CAATAGCTTTGATAGCGAGTAGTATCCTACCATGCCACCAAAACGTTCCGAAAAGAACTCAAAATCGCCAGATAGGGAGGGTAGGATCCTATTAGCAATTGCTGCTATTCAAAAGGATTCAACGCTCTCTATAAGCAAGGCAGCAGCTATTTATAATATCCCACATACAACATTACACGATCGGATCAATGGCAAAACATATCGACAGGAAACGCGTGCTAATAGCTATAAACTTACACAAGAAGAAGATGATTCGCTTTGCAAGTGGATCCTGGATACTATCGCTAGATACGCGTGGCGCTTCCCCTAGGCCTTCAGCAATGGTTAGTATGGCGAATCTTCTACTAGCAACACGCGGTGATACTACACCTTCTACTATAGGTGTTAATTGGGTAACACGCTATATTAAACGGCGACCAGAGCTTTGCACACGCTTCTCTAGACGCTACGACTATCAACGTGCGCAAAACGAAGATCCTACTAGTCTACGCGCGTGGTTTAGACTAGTAGAGCGTACGATTAATGAAAACGGGATCCTTCCTAACGATATCTATAACTTTGATGAAACAGGCTTTGCAATGGGCTTGATATCTACTACTAGAATCGTTACACGGAAGGATTTATACTGTCGGAAGCCTCTACTACAACCTGGAAATCGGGAGTGGGTAACAGCAATTGAATCTATATCGGCAACCGGCTACTCGCTTCCGCCGTGTATAGTATTCAAAGGGAAGGTTTATATTGCTAGCTGGTTTGATAACCTACCGAAAGACTGGCGAATCGAAGTATCACCGAACGGTTGGACTACCGATAATATAGGCCTACGCTGGCTAGAGAAGCTATCTATACTAGCTACTACTAGTCGTACGCAAGGCAAATATCGCTTGTTAATATTCGACAGTCATGGTAGCTATCTAACACCACAATTCGACCAAATCTGTCAGCAAAATAACGTTATACTACTCTGTATGCCCCCGTATTCGTCACATCTTCTACAGCCGCTAGATATAGAATGTTTTGCTATCCTAAAACGCGCATACGGTCGCTTAATTGAGGCCCAAGCTCGCCTAGGATATAACCATATCGAAAAGCTCGACTTCCTAGAATCCTATACACTAGCACGCTAGGAAGCCTTCCTACCTAGCACGATTCAATCAAGCTTTGCCAGCGCAGGCCTAGTTCCGCTAGATGCCGACCGAGTCCTATCAAAGCTTAATATATCGCTTCGAACACCTACACCTACTACTAGTAGGCCTAGTAGTAGGAGTAGCGCTTTCGTGCCTACTACACCTCATACGATTAAGTAGCTTAGCAAGCAAGCTTCCTCTATCAAAGCTCTATTACGCAAGCGCTCGCGGTCGCCAGGAAGCCCTACAGAAAGAGCGCTAGATCAATTAATCAAGGGGTGCCAATTAGCGATGCATAACGGAGCGCTTCTAGCACAGGAAGCTAGAGATTTACGCCAATTCAACGAGAAGAAGCGTCAAAAACGTACACGGTCTAATCGCCAGATATCTAGGCAGCAAGATCCTACGGTCGGCGAATCTATATCTCTAGTTTCAACGTTGCCAGCAAGCGTTGAAGCTATTCAAAACGATGATGCAAAGCTTCCTCAGCAGCCTACCGAGGGCGCTGAGCCTACTACTAGGCGTGTGTTTCGGTGTTCTGGATGCAATACAATAGGGCATAAGATTAATCAATGTAATGCTAGATAGTTGAATCAAATATATGGCGTTTTGGTGGAAAAATAGTGTTTTCAAAAAGTAGTGGGTGGTAGGGTGTCCGACTCGCTAGTGGATTACGTTATCCCCATGTGCGTCAGGATATTACAGGGATACTACGTGTTTTGTATGGTATCCCGGGTATACTCGGAACCCAGCGCCGTAACACGCAAGACAGCGAGGTAGGGGATATTCAGCATTCCTCCGCCTACACACTTGGATAGTTCAGTCACCCAATACATCACTATATTGAGCATCTCGTTCCATTGGATCCTAGCTTTCCTAGCCGATACCGTATCCTACTATATTGACACTTTTATCTAGCATTTTGGTCCATGGACTCGATAGCTCACAGTTATAGAAAGTCGGCATTGCAAACAGCATTCGATATTAGGACTGGCAGGCGCAGTGTGGTACTAAAAATAGCCCGAGGGACCAACCCAACTGCAACCAACATCTCCGCCGTTGACCCGTTCCATCCTCATTACCACGATGGCTCTCACCTTACCGAAGGAAATGGTGCTTTAGTTCGATCGACCGAATATCCGCGATACATTGGAGCGGTCGAGTCGCGATATCGTCACTCGAAAGAGCAAGGATTTTACGAGGAGGAAGGCTAGTGAAGTATACCCTCTAGCACTCGTACTGGCCTCCCATTCGCCGACCCAACAGGATCCGCTGGGCGGCCTCCTCGCGCAGGTTCCAAATACCACCCCAGGTCTCCTGAATTTCGGGTGACATGATGAGCTATGATACTACGATCTTAATGAGAGATCCAGGTCGAGTCCCAGCATTTCTAGAGCCTCCAGTCGGCGAAACGAGCGTGGGCGATGATGCTGCGTTCGTCTCTCCTCAGCATGCATCTATCATAGCACCACCAGTACAGCAGGAATTGCCGTAGAAACTTGAATGGATGTGGACTACGGAAATCTGGCTCAAGATGTCTACTGCTCGGGTCCAAGGCGGCCTAGTTCTTTGACAAGAATACTGTAGCTCTCGCAGCTGGAAAACATAAAACGTCCCATTGCTCTCCACTAGCCGCGAGGCCAACACAACTTCCATGGCTGGGTGGAACGGGAGAGTGAAGCCCCGCATTTGTTTCGGGATAAACCCTAGTGTTTGAAGATGAATCGAAGAAGTTCGGCGTTTGTTTAGTCCATGAATGAATGCGAATGAAAGTGCGAGGACGACCGGCGGGCCGCCGGATATATGCACGACGAACTATTTTTACTCGATATCATCCCCAAGCGCCCACCCCCCAATCTCAGAGGTGCCTCATATGGATGACTCAACTCTTCAATAGAGGTCGAAAATTGCAATTTGCTCCAGTTGTTGGCTCTAAATGATTCGGATCGTATTTAAAGCAGATGCGCGCCCTGCTCGCCCGGGATCTGCCGTCCTGTCTGAGGACTTCTCCCAAGGCACTTTCGTGCAGCATCAGGGCTTTGACGCTGATACAACCCACAAGGCGTGTTGTGTCTCTCTCCATACGACATTATCCTTCTCTTTGCTATATACGCCTTCTTGGCTCTCTAATGGTTTCCAGCTAGAGTAGTGGTGCTCCCTGATCTATACATCATCTCCGGGATCTGTGCCCCCGATAGTTGAAAATGGGTGCAAAATTGGAGCTGTTTAGGGCGATCTTTTTTCGAGCAGATCAGTTTGTTTGTGCTCTCGTGCGTGCCCTTCCCAAGACAAACTCGGGATCATGAGATAGGCGACTGACGGATCACTGCAGGCCGCTTATTGGCTGATAATTTGGTGGTATTTCTGGATCAATTTCGCGTTTGATGCCAGCAAACAGGCTTCTTTCATCTACACATTCTTGTTATCTGCATTATCCGTGGTGCTGGCGACAGTCAAGTTCTTACACCGTAAAGATGAGTACAGAGACAGGTCTACCAAATTCATGCTGTGCCTAAGTACAACTGCCAATCGCTCTTCCTAACTGACTCGGAGCGTCCGACTAACATCCTGTCTAGGTGACGTTACAATTTCACTCTTCTGGGCCGTTGCCTGGGTGCTGTTGCTTAATGCAAAGAACAAGTTGGAGTGTGGTCCCACAATCCCACACACCAAGTATTGCATCCGACAAGCCGTACAGGGCCTGAGCCTGGCTTGCACCATTTCATGGTTCACCGCAGGTGTTTGGGTATGTGAGAACTTATCGATGGGGAGGGGGAAGAGACAACCGCTAATATCCGCATTTTTCTTCTAGAGCGTCGTCTTCTGGATTCTCGGCCTGATGTTCGACGCCTGCTGCGGATGCACCAAGCGGACAAAGCGAGGTAAGAATCACAACCGCCGAATGGGACCTTCCCCTATGTCATGTCTAGCCACTGAGCCCAAAGTTCCACTGAGATCTGACATTAAGTCAACAGAGGCACTCATGCGATATCAATACCCGAAGTACAATTATTACGGATAGCGCTCATCAAAAATCTAGTCCAGTCGGAAATGGGCTTCGAGGCCGGTCGATGCAAGTCTCAACTCTTAATGCCGACGAACTCCGACTCCCCATAGAACTTGGGGAGAGATATTGCTGTTAATACTGATAATGATGGCGCCATAGTAAATAAACAGATAATGTCCAGCTGTGCAATTCCAGCTTTCCATCTAAGACGTACACCTTATTGTAGTCGCACACAAAAGATCGCCAAAAGGAAGGAGATCAACGACTTTCAAAGCCTTTGAGAGCTGCGAGCTATCCCGTCATTTATCGCGGATGCCAGTCAAGCGATCAACTGTGCCTCTGATCATTCCAGAGCTCCATTGATCTGGATTTCATGGAGTTTCAAATCTGACACGAAGTTCCTTCTTTTGGTATATTCTTAGTCCATGAAATATCCTTAATCCATCCTAAAAGTCGAAAGCAAGATGTGATCGCCCCCAACTATTTTTATTGCTCCAAGGTGTAGTCTTCTCTTCAATAGTAACAGATCTGGTGCTCTTTGGTTCAACGACCCCCTCGGCCGAGGTACGGAGCGTCGGAGTAAAATGAACATCCCTTGCTCGTTACGCGCCTTGCTTTCTACGGGGACAGGCGGGCGTGGCAATGCGAGGAGCTAGGAGTAGTTCAATGGTTTACTGCTATACGGAGTGGGTATGCGACAAACTGATGATGAGAGATCCATATCTGAATGATCTAGGGCCGTAAGGATGTTTGACTCCATTCACACGTTCTACGTTGGCCAAAATGATCTAGTGAAGTATATACCAGGAAGTCCAATTTAGATAGTATTCAACTCCAGACTATATGGCACTACAAAAACCCCTCGTCTATTCGGGCGGTGTAAAATACCGCTGGAAGCGGTCAATATTGGTCAAGCCCAACTCCAAAACAACCCAGTGACAACTCATCAACAGACTAGGGAAGCGCACTGTCCAGAAGTTCAAATAACCTTCTGGCAAGCCGCCGATATGAGCCTTCAAGTACTCCGGCATATCATTGTAGTGATTACGCTTATTGCGCAGGGCACGCAGCAGATCCAACATGCGATCGCCGGTGTACTTGCGCTGCTTGCCCAGACTGTCCTTGAAATCGCGCGGAAGGAGACGCAGGAAATCCATTTCCGGTCCCATCACCTGCCGCGCGACGGACTCCAGGCAGAGCAGCGCGTCCGAAGGAGGATCCCTCGGTTCAAATTCAAAATGATCAGAAACATCACACAGGAAGCTGAGACGATCAGATGGGGGCCAGAAGAAGGGGTGCATGAGGACGGCGCTGGCGTCGGGCCTAGAAAGGAATCAGTCAGAGAAAATAAAATCGAGGACATTAATCCAATGAAATATGAGATAACGTACCGGTGACGGGGGTCTAGAGAAAGCATGGAGCGGATGAGGTCGTCAGCCTCAAAGGCATAGTCGCCCAGGCGATTTAATTCTTCCAGGTCGAAACAGCCCTTAACGATATTGGCCTCGCGCATGAACTTGCCATTCTTATCAAATGGGTGGCTGCCACGGGTGAGGACGTAGTAAAAGACACAGCCCAGTGAGAAAATATCAATGGCCCGTGTGGCACGGCGATTTGTTTGGGGATCGACCACCGCAGGCTCGGACGACTCGGTGTATTGCGACGATAGGCTCATCGGTCCAGTGGTATCATCATCTACCAGCAATTCGGGCGCACGCCAGCCAGAAGTACCGGCCGCATGGGCAGTGGTTGCTCGGAAGGAACTCTGGTTATCTTCGAGCTTCTTGCACAGACCGAAGTCCGAGATAAGAAGACGAAGAGCTCCGCGCGAGGTGGTTCGTCCCCGCGGCATAGCGACCAGAATGTTTTGAGGTTTCAAATCACGGTGGACGATTTTCAAAGAGTGCAAATACCGCACACCTTGGGTGATCTGGCGCAGAACGTCAGGCATGTCCAGACCAGCGCCGTTTTGCACCAATTCAGGATATTGCGACGGACGCTCAACGACATCCTGCAACGAGGCCGGGCACAACTCAAGTCCAATGTAGAGGAAACCAGCAGCTTGTTCACGGCAAAAATACCGAATCACGTTGTGGTGGTCATCGCTCTCCTGTAACAGCCCCACTTCGTGCGAGGCAATATCGTAGAACTCCATGAGCATTCGCTTGACGGCAACATTGCGCCCATCGAACATGCCACGGTAGACCACAGTACCATGACTACCATGCCCAAGAACAACATCGGTATAGACTTCGAGACGCCCAATACGGATGACCCCGTCCATTTCCATGATCTCATTTGAGACGGTGCGTTTCAGTTGGATATCGGGTTCCAAACCAGGTTGAGGCGACAGATGATTGACTTGATTCACGACTCGGTCGGCGTGGTCTGAGGCATCGCCCTCCGCATCTGGCTTTTTGCCTCGACGGTGCGCCTTCCCCGCACGTTTACCACGCTGGCGACGCTTTTTCTTAACGGACTTATCGGGATCAGCCCCTTCCTCCGTCTCAGCATCGTCGGGTCCGCGCGATGGCTCCCGAATCTGGACCCGAGGCGTCGAACTCGGGGGTAAACTATTGTCTCGGGATGGCCGTGGGGTTGACTCTGTATCAGGCGAGTTACGATCTAGTTCAACATCAACAGTGACATCAGGCACTTGACGATTCTGAGTGGCCGCGCCTCCGATTTCCGGATGTGTGCCGACAATTGGGGTGCCTGGAGTAGAGAGCGGACCTCTGTCATTCGAATTGATGATGTTTTTAATGTCGAGCTTTTGCTTAGCAAGATCACGGATATGATGTGAGTTGAAGTAGATGAAGGCACCAATGAACAGCAAGATCAAGGTGACAACAATATCCAAGGCATTGTCCCAACTCTTCCGGATGATGGCGCTGTGTCGCAAGGCGGGAGGGAGCGCCAATTCCGAAGGGCTGCGTAGCACCTCTCGCGGGGTATCGTTGGATAATTCCGTTGCGGAACTGCCGAGTCGAGGAATCGAAGGGGTACTTCGCGGGCCGTTTAGAGAATGGACCCCTGCCAGAGCATCTCTTTGTTGGTGAGGGGTCAAGCTCATCAAGGAGTGACCCCGTCGGAAGAAATCTTTGTCATAGCACTGTGCCATGGGGGCGCGACCCGTGACCAAAGGGTATGTTTCTTCTGAAAGGGCATACCAGCCACCAGCATTGGTAGAATCGATAAAAACCCGCATATCACGATCATCCAATGTACCATAGTCGGGATCGGGGGGTTGAAGGGGCTGCGAAAGCAAAACGAGCGGTGTCGACGTGTTCGGAGTATCTTTATTAGCCGGACGAACAATATCAAAGACTCGAGCGACAGGTGATTGAAAGCGTTGTGTGTATCTGGGACGATCCATACGGGAATGATCAAAACCCAGGACAACGCCATCGTGCATGCTGTAGATATGACTTTGGTCCATCGTGCGCATGTACTGGCTCTGAAGGTCCATGTCCCGGTTATTCGGCGCCCACTCGGAGTACTTCAAGGTGCAAATAGGATCCCCGGTCTCAGTGTTCTGAATGGCCACAGCATATTCCACGCGGCCCAAAACTAGAGTACCAGACGTGGTCTCGCATTCCTCCGAATCTGAGTCCAAGCCATCTACCTTTCGACATTCTTGTCCGGCTGTGAAGGGCCCGCGTGAGCTGAATACTCGCAGAATGCTTCCCGTGCGAGCATCGATGGTATACAATGTGGTTTCTTTCCGAGCTGTATACGTTACAGCAGGATCTAACCCTGAATAGGGGGTTTCGTCGACAAGTTGCTTCACCGTCAACCCTAGCTTCTGGAGTCCGGCGTCGGGCCCGGGGCTGTAAATGTACAAGCTGCCATCCTGGCTCGGTTCGACAATCCAGAGGAAGTCATCCTCGGGTTGGGTCTCGTCGAAGCTGGACCGATTGGCACGATGATAGATGCTCTCGACGAGGGGGCTGCTGGGCACCTCAAGGGCCCAACGAGCGGAGCCGGTCTTGCGGTCTCTCGCGTGGATGGTTCCGTCGACGGTCGCCAACAGCACAAAGTCCTCAACCTCCCAGTCCTGCAGGGACCGCGCGTGAAGCTGCGAAGCCAGGCCGGCAGCGGTACTGCTAGCCTGGACAGGAGGGGCTCGAACGGCGCGGCCGGAGCCCGCCAGAGCCAGAGTTGCTAGGGCGCTCGCATCATTGGATTTTACAATGGGGGGCACGGCAATGGTGGCCGCGTGGGATGAAGATGCGTCTGCTCCGGCCGCTGCTAGCGGCACGGAGACTCTCGGAGTGGAGGAGTCATGGAGTTCTGGGTGCTGCTGCGGAGCGACCAGGACGGGGAGAAGGAGAAGGGCGACGCTGGCGGGGAGGGTCGAACAGGCGCCCGGCAGCCGCCACCGCATTGTGGGCACTTCAGCACTGGAAGAGGATCGAGACTAGAAGGATTCGCAAGGGCGAGGTGTGCGATTCATGGGTCTCCGGGGGAGGAGGAGACGGAGAAGGAGGTCGAGTCGGTTCGAGAGTCGATGGAGGGCCGGGCGGACGGTGACTGTGGAGCGAGTCGAGAATCCGGATAGCGGAACATCCCCCACCCCAAAGCGGACGATGATTCGAACAGGTATCCCCCGAGTGACGATGGCAAGCGATCGTTGGAGAAAAAGAGGGTATGAAAGATGGTTGGCAGAGATTTAGAGTTGGAGAAGAAAGACAGTGTGAAAGGGGAGAAGGAAAAGGGCAACGTTGGACGAGGATTGTGTGTAATACACGTGTACAGTACGACCACCCCCCAGCCACTCCCTGCCGCCCGCCCGCGTACCAGGAGGTACCGGTACCTGGCCACGCCATCCAGGAGACGCAGCCCCTGGAAGGGTCGCAATCCCCTTGAACTCGGGCCAGGATCAGTCGCGACGATTCTCACATGTACAAGGCTGACTTGAGGAACCTCTCTTGAAGAGTCTCTCTTGAGAATCCTCTTTACCCTGGCCGACGGACGAGAGGGCCCTGGGTGTTGTGTTTCGAGTCATAGCCGTCTTCTAACCAACGAAAGCGACCGATGGAACCCCAAAGAAGACCATGTATCAATACAAAGTACTTGGTACGAATTCCTAATGAGAGGCCCGACGATCCCTGCAAAGGATTTGGCCCCAGTTGGTGATATCAAATGTAATGACATGCAGGTGCGAAGTGGGCGCTACCGACTACAACCCCAACAATGAATCACATCAAGCGCCCAGCAGGAGATTGGAGTATCATACAACCGAGAAAGTTCCAGTGCATTGGGTTAAAGTACGCAGGATAGTGTCAAAGTCCCCTAAAGGCAGTAGGTCCCAGACGCCAAAGCACCTCTCTCCGCGAAGACGCCGCTGCCGGAAAACGCTCCAGGCGAGCAAAGAAAAGGGGAAAGGAAAAATCGTCATAGATACAAAGAAGAGAAGACACCGGCGAGTGCGGGTATGGAAGGAGAGGATAAGAAAGAAACAAATAAAAAGTACACAGACAGCCGGGGCCAAGGGAATATATAAGAACAGAAGACACCCACGGGGTGAGATGAATGACACGGATAAAAAAAAATTGAAATGAAAAGGAAAACACGGAAAATTAGCCACCACGGATCATCCAAGTGACAGCAACTGCCCACCCAGTCACAAAAATGACGGTGAGAATGCCAGCGCCCGCCCGGTCGCCAGTCGTCACCGTATTCAGGGCAGGGACATCACTGTCAGAGCTGTTGGTACCGGCACTCGGGTTACTCTTGGAGGTGCCGCCGGTGTCCGAGGTCAGGGGTGCTTGGCCCTTGAAGGGCACCATGACGGCATTGAGAACGCCCAGCACCGCCATCTGCTGTTCCAGGCCCGTGGAACTATCTGTCGCCTGCTCGTACCACTTGATGCCACAGAGGTTGCCGTCACTGCCTGCCGTGCAGGTCTTGATGGCGGCCTGCGCCGAGGTCTTGAATTTCGGCATGAACTGGTCCGAGGTGCCGGGCACGATGGTGGTTAGGAAGGCCAGCCAGCTGGTGAAGTACGCCTTGAACGTGATCTGATTGCGATCACATTTGTCGACCGCTTCGCAGGTGATCTCGACCAGGACATTGCCCCCATCGTTGTTGTATCCCTTGGTGGGGTAAAACTGGGCCGAAGTGCCGTACAGGCCGTCGACGCCATCCTTCCACTTCTCAGCAGTTCCGTTGGTCTACACCATATATCAGGTTAGCGTCAGTGATTCCTTTTTAGAAGAGCGAGGACACCAGGATTCATTGAGTTGAAAGGGGGAAAAAAGAGAGCCAAGAAGGTAGAGGGGACGGGGAATCACACATACGTAGTTGTACATGTAGCCGGCTCCACTGATGTAAGTGCCATAGTTGTACGTCCATTGCCAGTCACCGTGATCGGTACACTGGGTCTCGCACGTGGTGGAATCGGCAATGTTCCAATTCTTTTGCTTCAAGAGGGGTGTGGTGGCACTCCAGTCCCAGATACGTTCCGCCCATTCGGCGTAGGTCGCATTGTGGGTGTAATACGCTAGCCGGGCGGCCAGCTGGAAGAGACCGCCGTTAGAGATGGCATTTTTGGTGGTGTATCCGCTCTGGTAGGGCCAGATCTGCCAGCGCATCCCCCGTGGCAGCTGCTGGTGTCCCAGCGGGGGACTTGGGTGTTAAAGACGCCCTGGGCCAGGGAGACCCAGGAGGGCTGGCCGTCGCGCTCGGGGAAGTTGAGCTCCGCGGCAGTGATGGCGGCGAGACCCCAGAACACCTGGTCGTCATTGCCGAGATACTGGGAGTAGTTAGAGGGGAAGAAGTTGTCGTCGCCTTTTTGCCAGTACATGCCGTCCTGGATGGCGTCATTGAATTGGGTGTCGCCGGTCAACCACCAATATTGGATGAGGATCATGAACATGGAGCCGCCTTCCCACCAGGTGCCGTCAAACTTGCCGGGGATATCCTTCGAGTCGCGATTGTTATAGTAATCCATCATGTCGGTGGCGATGGTTTTGGCCGCAGTTTTGAGGGAGTCTACTCCGATTCCATCAGTGAACCGGTCGATCAGGGCGCTTGGTGTCTAGGGAACGAGGCGCCGGGCACATTCCGCAGTGGTATAGTAGCCTCATCGCATGAGGACTCACCTTGACTTTCCACATTCAAATCGATGGCGGCGTGAGCGCCCAGGATGGCGAGCGAGCCACCCAACAGGGTGGCCAGCCACTGGGAAGGGATCATGGAGATGTTAAACGAGTGGAAGGGCGTGCGACATCGAAACGAGAGAGGGGGAGGAGGGGGAGGGTAAGAGAGAAAGAGAAAGAGGGGGGGGGAAGATCAAGCGGAGATCGACGTCTTGAAGAGCAGCCGGGAAGAATGGGGGGAGGAGACGGAGTGGGGAGATGGAGGAAGAGGAAACCAGGTCGGTGAAGGTGTACAGGACGGTACAGTATGAGAGTATGGGAGTATGAGAGTATGGGGGATGGGGGGGGGGGTTTACTAGGTGGGTTTACTGGATTACTGGGTCACTTTACGGCCTCGACTGGACGCTGGCGACCTGCACGGGGACAGGGTCTCAGGGTCTGCTGGTCTTGGAGGTCCCGCCATCACCGTGGCGTTGCCCGGAGATGGTACGGTAACGCGGTATGGTCATGACCTTACGAGATTTTTTCTTCGCTGGAGTCCCGGTCTAGATGCGAGGATCGTCGAACTCGAAACTCGAGCACCATCAAGTTGAACGGCATCCCCGGACATTCACCAGTGGGAAATCCCAGAAACATCCAGACGGACACGCGGAGAGCGTCGGCGCCGGGGACTTGAATCCAGAATGGCCTTGACTGGCTCGGGGGAAGGTTCAGGGAGTCAGGGAGGTCAGGGGCAAAACGCCAAGAGAGCCCGGGCCTCCGTACCGGTACCGATGGTATATACGGGTCGATACCGGTATGGTCGGGTCCCGCTAAAAATAACCCGATGACGGGCACACTCTTGGTCCCTGGCAGTTGGCGGAGCCAGCAGCCACCGGATGAGACAGCGTCCCTTGGCAAAACCCTCATCCCTCGCCGGAGAGTCCGCCTTACTCATCTGGAGTCACCAATTCAGCAGAGGAGCGAGGGGGGAGGGGAAGGAGGACGAGGACGAGGACGAGGATTTGACGATGCACTCGCGCAATACGACTGACTATAAGGTTATCGGGTTATCGGGCTATCGCGAGACGATCGTCGGGTTGACATCTCTGCAACACCAAACAGAGTATAGTTTCAGGCGAACCCACCCGCACCCACCGGACGTCGAACACCATTCGACAATGCTGATCCTACGAAGGAGAATCGAATATCGCTACTCCTCCTCCTACTACTGCTGCTGTGGTGAATGCTGTGAATAATAAAAATCGATGTATGATCGTACTACATGATTACATCATCCCGCGCAAGTGCCGCAAGTCTAGCGGGATGATTCAGGGGTGACCTGGCACGGCGGTTGATGTCTGCTGCTCCACCAGACCCGTTTCTCCAACTAGCCGATTGTGCCTCAGATCTCTCATCCTCCATCTGCATACCATGCCGACGGAGTTCATTATCCCGGACCTGCGATGGGTCTCGAATGGAGCAATTCAATCTGCAAGCATTGGAACCCGTAGCACATGAAATGGCGGTCACTCATCTAGGTGAAGATGGGCGGCCGAGAGCATATAAAGAGGAGCTCACTGCCCCCTGTTTTTTGGGGGGGAGATACAACCGTTATGTAAATATGCCGTCTGGGCTTTTCATTAATGCCAGTATTGCTTCTTCGACCATCAAGATTGGACCTCTGTATCGGCGTCGGAAAACAAAAGCCGATCTATCGCATTGTAGCATTCGTCCTTACCGATCACAATGGGATTCGCAGCTAAGCCCGAACAGGCGCATTGAAATACTGGATAACTCCTCGTTACCGGGGGATAATTACAGTGTGCGATGTTATGATCATGATGATCATTGATTATGCTGCTGCCTGAGCCAAGGGTCTTGGTCTTCCCGTTCGGGAGTCAGCGGGGCCCTAAGGGGTTCTTCCGAGCGCTGCGCCCTTGCACGGACTCGACTCCAGCCTTGAGGACGATTTCTGACCAAGCAGGGTCGCAGCCTGAGGCCAGTATATTACATAAGACAGAGGCTTGCGACTGACGTAATCAACAAGCGAGCAAGACACACCACGGAGGAGGATTACGCCATGAGAAGTTGTATTCTCTACGATCACCGACGCTAAGACTAACTGGAAGTCCGACTACAGTCTCTCGAGATCAGATGTTTTGCACTACTCAATCGGATGGTCGCTTATCGAAGTACTAAGCTCGCGTGAGATAAACCTATATCGCTTAGCTTCATTTCTTGGGGGATCCCTATAATCTAGCCGCCCGGAAGCCTTCCAACCAAGCACGATTCAATATATTTTCAGTAGCACTGTGCTCCTAGCCGAGGAGAGTCGGCAATGAAACATATGCATGAGAAGGAACGCCACAATCCTACACGATCAAACTCCCAGATATCGTACGGGCGGAATTTGACAGTCGGTGAAGCTAGAAATATATTTTGTAACGTTGCCAGCACGCTTTGAATCTATTCGACTAGTGTATATAAGTTGCGGTCGGGAACCTACTAAATGCACTGAGCCCAGGGGCAAGCGTTTTTCTCGGCGTTTTGGAATTTTTTAAAATATAGCGTTGAATCAAACACCGTCCTACTGTATTGGTGTTGAACATATATCCCCTGCTGGTGAGGAAACATGTATTGAAATTGAATGTGTAGATAGGGTTGCGGCTCGGTAATGAGATACATTTCCGGGCAGAAGGGCCAATACTCTGAGGTTCGATGAAACCTCTATAGAGACATAGGTTGTTGGCCAGGGAGACCTTTATCGTGCTAGGAAGAATCCGAGACTGGTGAGGTCGTTCAATCATGTGGACAACTCTAGGAATTCAAACATAAGTCGGCAGAAATATTGATGAATGAGGCACTACGTCTACTATGCGGCGAGGCTCAAGAGCGTAACCAACATACTTATAATTGAGATGCCACTTCGGGAGAGCTCACCGTTTGTTAACCGAGGAATATAACTTGATGCGCGGTCCCAGATCCTGTGAACTAGATCAATACTGCTGGAAGGGCCCTTATAGAAAGAAACACTACCCGCTATACCGCAATCAGCTCGAGAGCTTGGTTAAATAAGTACAGAGTGTAGGATTTTACAGTCACATGAAGAAGTTCCTAGCTTGATTTTTGAGCTGAGTTATAGAATAGAAAGACAATGACTTAGTAGATTGCGGTCTAATAATCGATCCATTGGTGAGATAAGCTGTCCTCCTATTACTCATAGATGAGTTTTAAATACAAGCCCTACCGGGAGTCAGAATGATATCTATACTTCTAGAAAATGATAGCTAACAAAAAAAAAAGAGTTGGATTCGAGATCATGCCGCCCCGATAATAGGGGTGACCTTAGATGCGTGATACATCGCTGTTTATGATGAAGTACACTTTGATTATCGTCTTGACCGATGTTCCTAAACACTCGTTTATTTGAAGTGAGCATCACTTGTCAAAAGTTTATTGTTATATATGCCTTATATGACACAGTCTCTCTCTGTATGATATTTCAAGCATTGAGTACGCGAGAGAAATTTAATTCGAGGAGGTCGCGAAGCTCCGGCCCGAAGCCAAGGCTACATGCAGCAAATGCCATGAACAACGCTTCGTTGAGTCTCTCTTGTCATTATAGTCCGAGGAACTTTTAGGCCTTCGATCTAGCTGTTGTCTGCATGCTTTACTCTGCATGTGCAGGGTAAAGATGTTGAATATGGCCATTCTCGAGGCCGCTGATGTTGAAGGTATTGGTTAAGCAAAATGTCTACTATCCATCCGGACAAGAGCCATTTAAATTTCAAGTGAAATTTAAATTTACTGAAAGGCTGCATTCCCACGATTAGATTTTGACTCTAATGCCTAGCATTTTACAGGAATATTTCTATTATAGTGCTATATGCTTAGGTGATTAAGCCTCTTATATGCATGAAAAGACTAACCGCCTCAGCTATGCATTTTCTAGTCTACGAACTGAGTATTCGGCATGTAACAATAGCTATTTCTTAGTGATTCAGACTCTCTTCCCGAGGACTAGTAACATGTATCATTTGCCCTCCGGGCTGCCAACCTGGTGTTAGACTGACACCGAAGTTGATAATTGAGGTCTTTGACAGCAGAACTGATTTTTTAGACAAAAAAGTTATATAAAGCTTCACAATTTGATGTCAGCAATAACTTCACCAATTCTGCTTTCAAAGTCACAAAGACAACAACATCCAATCGTTTTGACATATACCCAGAAGTCGGCCTCCAACTATACTCAAGATTTACAGATGAGAAGATGAGGGAGAAAAAATTGAAGAGACAGAAGTCATGAGGCGTCGTAAGTTCTTGAAATCATCCAATATTCGAAGAGAATTGGTCTCGCTTTGGACTCCCGCGTTTAGCTTAATGATCTTTAGGAGGGACGGGGAGGTGGGCCGAACATACGGAAAATTGGTCAAGAACCTACTGATAAGTGAAAGCTATGAATATTATCTCTGATCGCTCAAGGTGGTACTTATCCTAATAACACCGAAGTATGGAGGATCCACTTAAATTTGCGGATTGGTCTACTACTAAGGACACTCGAAAATGGCTTCTCGAATTACGCAAGCTGCCCGTAAAATGAATCAGGTGAGACCCACGTACCTGGAGGCCGCAATTTCCCAGGAAGACACCACGTTGCCAATAGACTGAAGTCCAAAGCCTTAGAGTCATGTATAATGTTGACCAGATTGATCCTAAGGTCCCGAACACCCTAGACACTCTTATTGCTGGCAGTAGCGAAGCATACAGCATCATGAAATGTTCAAACAGAAGTGGGATATTTTCAAGCAAGCTGAACATGAGCATAAAAGGATAGTGAAGGGTTCCAGCGTAGCTTGGCCCCCAAAATACGTGAAACGTACCTTTGCTATAGCGGCTGTGAACCCATGTCTAGGCGCGAAACCAATGCATGTATCTTCCACTATCATGCCCACTAAACCTCAAGCGCAATCCTAGCGAGATTTTGATCCGCAAACTAAAGATCTCGCAACCAACAACCCCCACCTGACCTAACCACCTGCGGATGTTACTATCTATCTATAGCATGGCTTGATAATCCCTGTCCTAAGTGTTCAAAGTGGTTCATGCGGACATGTTGGACCCAGCCCCTTCAAAGCACCGTGCAAGAGGGCAGTGTAACTTGATCAGGGGGTGCTGTCTGTTGGGCGCGTAGCCCTCGGAGAAATAGGCGCTGGGGGCCAGGGGCTTTAGTTTAAAGCCAAATCACTGCATCAAGAAGCCGAAGAGTTTTCTGAATTTCGATACTCTTAATGGCCTGTTCATCCTCTTGAGAGATTGCCCTTTCATCGCTTCAGTCACGCTCCGAATCAAAATAAGAGCTCCCTCCAGGCAAAACACCGTTTTGTGAACATGGTATCCCCTATCAAGGCTTTTTCCTCTCTGGCGAAGTTGGTGGATTGGGGCCACGGTGCTCCCATCTCTATTGAATGTGCATACCTGAAAAAGGATCAAACCCGATGTCAGCGCAAGATGGCCGAGAATAATCTTATTCTTGCTAAAGAACACTTTAGGAGCCACCTAGAAATGCTCACCGGCGCTTCTCGCGGATACACACGGGCATCTCCGCAGCTCCAAATCTTGCAGAATATCGCGAAGGTCTACATTTGTGGTCTTCACGATAAGCTTGAGTCTCAGGCGATAGACCAATGGCTAAAAGAACTCGGTACACGGCAGAATTCTGAAAGTTTCAAGTTGGAAGATGAGACATTTGAAACCAGTCATACACTCTCCGAAGAAAGCGCAGAACACACAGAGGAGATTGAAGAGCTGGAGCATGGAGATGAGGGGGCAAGATGGAAGCCCGATGAAGAAGAAGATCCCTTTGAAGGGGAAGGAGTTTCAATCCTTTCGAATCAATCAACATTGTCAATAAGGACTGTACACCCTGGGCCCATGATGGAAGAAGATGAAGTGGCTAGGAGAGTCACCTGGATTTTGAAGCAGCCAATCGATGGCCCATTGATGAAAGAATCTGGGTATATTTATGTGATATCGCTCCCAGAGCTTCCTGGAATATTCAAAATTGGAATTACCTTGCAACATCCCACACTAGGCCGGTTCGACACACACAAAAACTGTTATGGCGATTACAACAAAATCGCAACAGAGTTTACCCAGTATGCTCATCGTGTGGAGAGACTACTACTAGCAGAATTCTCCAACAATCACTATCAGCTTGATGTTTGTTGTAAGAAATGCAAGCACTCTCACAAAGAGCTGCTTGACATTGACAAGAAAACCCTACAGAGAAGCTTGAAGAAATGGATTCGTTTCATCGAATCCCCAGCATATGACCGGTCGGGCTTACTTCTGACTGAAGCTCAGGCGAGGATTCCTCGTCCTGCCTCAAAAAAATTCCTCGGCTCCCCTAGAAACCCAAATTCGACAAAGAGAGGAAAAAGCCAGGGATTCCAAATCACGCCTCCGCGTCCTTTGGACTTTGAGGCTCCTACATCGATAAAAAATGATGCGGATGTTGACGAGGCCGAGGATGAATTATGCTCGGCTATCGAGGATCTTCAAATCACACCATCCAAATCGGCCAACACCCGAAAGAGTAGGCTGGATTATACTGCGCGTTTGAATCTTGTCTACTGAGTTCACGAATCTGGTATTGTTTCTGCTACTTTTCATGAACTGTTGTTACTTTTACAATTTTTGTTTTGAGCAAGATTGCACCGTGCAATTGAGTATGCTGGCTATGTTTTGAGTTCAAATCTGACTAGTGAAGCCCGTTTCCAAACGAAGAGAAGCTCTACGACGATTTTTGCGTATAATCAAAAATGGGTTAGACCAAAATTGCTCATCGGTATTCAACTTTCATGGCATACATACGAGATACGAGACTGATAGAGGGATTCGCTCTATCTCTATTTACTCTTCTTCCTGCTCCTCTGTGGTTTTCTTCTCATTCAGACTTGCAGAATTTGAAAATATCACGACACTCGCGGTGTTTTCGAATATTCTTTGACCAAATTTGCAAGCTTAATTATCCGCATCTTGAAGTCGCTCACAGGGAACTGTAGCCGCCTTCCTGCTTAGCGATATAGCGGATTTCGGTAAATGAATCTACAAAGAATCAATAGAAAATCAATTAAAAACAATCCAAACAATCGAAACCACCTTTTACGAGGAATCCCACAAAGGTCTAGCTCTCTCTTGGACTCGAGATTCGCGTACCATTCATATGCAGAATGTTATGCCCCCAAGATCGTCAGGTTTGGGCTCAATTTGGATAAATCTAGCACACTGGAGTTATTGCACTCGAGGCAAGGTACTGTTTGGGCGAATTAAGTGTTAAGCAGCAATCAAGCAACCATCTCCCAAGCCGCTTGCTGAACTCTCATTAGGCGCCTACTGAGTCATTGTCATACCGGCGGGAGCATATGTCTATGGCACGTGGTGTATTTTTAGGGGGGAATTCCTCAGAGAAAAAAAAATAGATACAGGGATTTCATCGGCCATCGTATCAATCATATCACATCCGCTCACGGCGGCGCGGAGCCGCGCGGATAATGTTATCCACCCGGAGAAGAAGCTAGAAGAGACCTCGGTTAGTACACGGAGAGCACAGAATGAACAAAGGAAAACCCATACCTCTGCAGCCTCAGATGCCGAGGACACTACAGCCTTCTTCAGCTTATAGGCCTCCACAACCCCTAATTCACGCATATCCGCAATGCCGCCACCGGGAGTCAACAGATCTAGACCAGAGCTGGTCATACCGTTGTTGATGGCCTGGCGCAGCCGTGTGACCAGATCGCTCGAGTCGAGACCGGCGTTGTCAGCCAGGATGGTCGGCAGCTGCTTGAGGGCATGGGCGAACGAGTCCACCGCCAGCTGCTTCTTGCCGGTCGTGTTCTGAGCAGCTTGCTCAACTGCCTTGGCCATGACCATCTCAGCGCAGCCGCCACCCAAGGTCACGCGGGGATCCTTCACGGTCTGGGACAGTACGGCCAGAGCATCGTGGAGCGAGCGCTCGGCCTCATCAAGCAGTTGCTCGGTGGCACCACGCAGGACAATGGTGCAGGCTTGACCGGCAGCCACGCCGGAGAACTTGATCAGGGTATCCTCGCCGATAATCACCTCCTCGATCAAGTCGCAGGAGCCCAGCTTCACCTGGTCAGGGTGGTCGAAGGTCGAGGCGATCTCGCCGCCTGTGACCAGCGCCAAGCGTTCAATACCGTCGAAGTCAGCGTGCTCGATGGACATGATGCCGGCCTCGGTGAATAGTTGCTCGGGCCAGTTATAGATCAATTGACGATTCACAAAACAGTTGATGCCGTGGGACTTGATCCGCTCCACCTTGGCGCGCATTTTCTCCCGCTCGGCCTTCTCCAACTCAGCCAGCTTACCCGTAGACTCGACCTTGACGCGGGCACCGAAGATCTTGACCTTGTCCGTGTCCATGGCAGTATTGGCGACGAGGATCTTGGCGTTCTCCAATCGCTTGGGCTGGTTGACACCGATCTTTTTGTCCAAAATGAAGCCCTCGTCCAGATACGAGTCGCTGAGCTTGCCACCGGCCTTCTTGATGATCTGGATGTGGCTGAGATCTGTCGATCCCTTGAGGCGCAGGACTGCCTCGCATGCCAAGCCAGCGAAGTGTTCGCGGTCCTGGGCCAGCACCTTGGAGCTGAGGGTTGTGCGGGCAATGGAATGCAGGTCTTTGCGAAAGGCCTCGGCGTCCTGGCTGCGGTCGACGGCAGTGTTCTCGAGCGCGGCGAGGGCGGCCCGACTAGCTATCCGGTAACCATCAATGATGGTCTGGGGATGGATCTTGGAGCTCACCAGCTTCTCGGCCTCCCGCAGTAACTCAGCAGCAAGCACAGTAACGGATGTTGTGCCGTCGCCGACCTCATCGTCCTGCACCTTGGAAATGTTAACCAGCACCTTGGCAGCGGCGTTGTCGAGAGCAATGGATTTCAAGATCGTAGCACCGTCGTTCGTCACAAGGATCTCGCCGGTAGAGCTATAGGAGTAGCAAATGTCAGCACTCGTGCATGGAAACATGGCTCGCTCGTCCTCGTTTTCCCCCCACCCCTCTCCATATCAAGAACCCCGCAACGTACGCAGACTGTAGAATCTTATCCATGCCCTTAGGACCGAGTGTGCTCTTCACCAGATCGCCAACGGCGATAGCACCGACAAAGGCAGACAGACGGGCATTCTCGCCCTTCTCCTCCACGACATCGTCGGCAAAGATCTGTGTGGGATTGGCAAATGACGCCTAGCAGGCCGCCCCATTAGCATCCATTTCACAACGCGTGTAGAGCACTAGGCGAGACATACCATGATTGCCAGCAAGAAACGAACAGTCGATCGGCGTGATCAAATGTGTCGACTGCTGGTAAGTGCAACTTTGTCAACAGTGGGGTGTCGGAGGGAAAGGAGAAAAGTTGGGTGGTCCGAGCTTCTTACCGGAAAGTCCACCGCCCGCGCATGAACGAGCTCCAAGCTTCTCTCCCTCATTTTCCCCGAGTTGCAACAATTGCGAAGACTTCACTTGCGCCGTGGTCGCCATGGCTGGTTCTGAAGAGGCCCCAGTGCCTCCGGCTCACAAGCGCCCTCACTCCGATCTAGATGTTGACCAGAATGGTGAGTAGAAGGGCCCAATTCCACTCAGCCGAACATTGCCCGCAGTGTGACTGACCGCGACACCGGACAGACGATGATTCCTCTTCCGACGATGATTTCGGTCCCGCCCTGCCTTCCGAGGCTGCTCCAAAAAAGAAACGGCGCAAGCTGCCGTTTGAGAAGGTCTACGTCAATGCGCTACCGGCCTCCCCACGATATTCGAAATCGTTGATGCACAAGGACCAACTGTCCTTCGTCACCGTGACTCCATTCACCGACTTTGTGATTACTAGCTCTGTGGACGGAGTGGTTAAATTCTGGAAGAAAATGGCAGACGGTATTGAATTCGTCAAGGAGTTCCGAGCCCATCCAGGGGAGATCCGCAGTGTCAATGTCAGTGCCGATGGCCGGAGTTTTGCGACGGCTGGGGTCGATAAGAGCGTGAAGATCTTTGACGTGATAACCTTTGGTAGGTGACATTGTCATATCGGTGCCCCTTCTCCTTTTCCTCCTCGTGCAAGGAGATGGGCCCAGCTAACGAGCGCCCTAAATAGATCTACTGGCTATGTATTCTCTAGAATTTGTCCCTCGGTGCGTTTGCTGGGTGCACCGGCGAGGGGCTTCTCTACCTTTGCTTGCAGTGACGGACGAATCCAGCAGCACTATCCAGGTATTTGACGGACGAGGCGAGAACCCAGAGCCTTTGCACTCGGTGAAGTCCATTCATCGCAGCCCGGTGGTATCATTGGCATTCAACAACGCATTTGATTGTGCCATTTCAGCCGATGAGTCTGGAATGATTGAATATTGGCGTGCTGGAGACGGATCCTTTGAGAAGCCCGACAATGTCTTCCAGCTGAAGTCGTCTACCAACTTGTTTGCCTTCAAGAAGGCCAAGTCGACGCCGACCGCTATAACCATTTCACCCTCGGGCGAGCACTTTGCGACAGTCTCGTTCCCGGATCGACACGTGCGGGTGTTTGAATTTGCGACGGGCAAGCTCTACCGCACATACGACGAGTCAATCGCAACCATCACCGAGATGCAGCAAGCTGGGACGGCCCCTTACCCCCTAGACGAGGTGGAGTTCGGACGACGTCTGGGCGTGGAGCGAGAGCTGGAAGGAGAGGCTACGCGGAGCAAAGTTCGAGTCTCCTTTGATGAGTCGGGCCATTTCATTTTCTATGGCTCGCTGTACGGAATAAAGTGCATCAACACGTACACGAACCGGGTCGTTCGGATGTATGGTCGCGATGAACCCTTCAGGGCATTAGACCTGGCCCTCTACCAGGGCCAGCCGCAACGGAAGGGGGTAGTCACCGTGTCGATGGCCGCCAGCAGCAACCCGCTGCTGCAAGAGGCGGAGGAACGCGATCCCATCTTGATCAGCACTGGATTTGCCAAGGTGCGCTTTTACATGTTCACCAACGAGACCGACATCTCCAAAAGCAGCCGCGACGTGCAAAACGAGAAGCCCACCGAGACCACCGGTGGACCCGATCCCAGTACCACCAAGACCCATGAGACCGGCACCGCTGCGATCCTGCATACAACGCTGGGCGATATCCATCTTCGCCTGTTCCCGTCTGCGGCGCCGCGAACGGTGGAGAACTTCGTGACGCACGCGCGGCAAGGCTACTATAACAATACGATCTTCCACCGGGTGATTCGCAAGTTCATGATCCAGGGCGGCGACCCGCAAGGCGACGGCACCGGTGGTGAGTCGATCTGGGGTGGGGAGTTTGCGGATGAGTTCTCGAGCTTGAAGCACGACAAGCCGTATACGCTGTCGATGGCTAATGCGGGGCCTAACACGAACGGCAGCCAGTTCTTCATCACGACGGAGAAGACGCCGTGGCTGGACAACAAGCACACGGTGTTTGGGCGCGCAGTGCAGGGACTGGACGTGGTGCACAAGATCGAGAATGTCAAGACGCACAAGGAGAAGCCCGAGGTGGACGTAAAGGTTGTCAGCATCTCGATTTCCTGAGCAGCGCGATCGGGGCTCTCTCAAGTGGGAGTGACCGGTCAATGTGTACTATAATTTGATATATCCTTCCAAGATTCGATACGAGACAAATGAGCATTGCCAATTGCATGAAACTCGCGTGTTGTGAATGTTGGATGTCGCACGGTAACTCGCTCGCGGAGGATTGGCCGCATTTCCATGTCCATAGATCCAGGGAGCCGAGTAAGGACAACACGCACGTCGAGCCATCAGCTAAGCCAAGCCTGCGCCGCTGTTCGCCCTTCGCGACCGCTATTCCTGGTCTCGTTTTGCGTTTCTTGTGTTTCCCTATCCGTTTCCCGCCCGGTCAATTCCTCTTTGAACACTCCCGTATACTTTCCTGTATAATACCGGTAAGGTTCGGGCCAGTCGGCGACCATTCATACCCCCTTCTGCTCCGGCCTTGTCCTTTCAACTTGATTTTGCTCTTCCGATCGTCTTCGCTTGAGCCATCTTCTCAAATTTCGCCCGTCATGATTTATACAATATGGCACCTAAACTAGCTCCTTCCAAGCTACGATTTATTCAGGATTTGATTCAGGCCCATTTTACTAAAGACATCTCAAATGGCTGAACAGGCCAAATGCAGCGAGCGTTACGATCAAGAATATCTGCAGTAATTTGTGCCACTGAGGAAGCTTTCATGCGACCCCTGATCGAGTTGGTCAAGGACGAACCATCGATGGTAGAAGCAATATACGATCATTTTCTGGCACCCCCGCCCTATTTTTATGTGGAATAACCGCATTTATCCAGGATGATTTCCAAAATCAGTTACAATCTCCAGTATATGGATGGCGCTTGAGAAACAAGAAAGGGCTAAGAAGGTGGCTCAACAGCAAGCCAAGCAGCCAAATGGCGCCGAAGTTGGACAACGTTGCAGACCGGTTCGGGCCAACAGTTATTCCGAGGGGAAACCAGAAGTGAAGCTCTCCACACGAAACTCTCCGTCGATGTATATAATATGCGTAGGGGACACGGGACACGCTTCAAAGTATTGTCTCGGAACCTTCAATTATTGCATGCTGGGAGTTTTTATGTATCAACAAAATGGAAGTTTTTAGGGCCATGCACCCGAGATTCCACGCGCACATCACCTGACGGCGGCGCTAAGCTGACACGCAGGCATGCTAACGTCCTACGATCATGAGGGGTCGCGTACCCACGGCTCGTTCCTCCTGAGCGCCAACGAGCCCTTGGTCTCCATGAATCATGGATTCAAAAATTTCCTTCTCTGCCCCCAATTACGGCTCGCAGACGGCGATCAACAACGGGTTGATCGAGAATAACTTTGAACTCCCACGGGGTATTTTGTGAACATCTTGAGTATCGACAGCGCTAATCTTTATTCAGATCTTGAAGATAAATTGCCTATCGTGCTCGACGCTACGTACGACTCGTATGAAAATCAGCATGACGATCAATGTCTACCAGGCACACGGACTGACATTATCCGCCAAATCAAAGAATGGGCTTCGTCACCACAGGGTAGATGCATATTCTGGTTGAATGGAATAGCCGGAACAGGAAAATCCACCATTTCTCGAACAATAGCCAGCTCTTTCAGTAAATCCAAAGTTCTAGGAGCAAGCTTTTTCTTCAAGAGAGGCGAAGGGGATCGAGGCAACGCAAGAAAGCTCTTCCCAACGATTGCATGGCAACTAGCAGTCATCATTCCTCAGATGATGTCAGTCCTACGCCAAGCAGTCCATGATAATCCAGGTGTCGCAACAAAGGCTATGCGAGAGCAATTCGAAAAACTCCTCCTTCAGCCACTCCAGAGCCTTGAGCGACCGGATCTCACCATTCAGACCATGGCAATTGTGATTGACGCATTAGATGAATGTGAAGGAGACGATGATATTCGACTCATCTTACAGCTCCTCCCACAGCTACAGAAGGCAAGGGCTGTACATCTACGGGTTTTTTTGACCAGCAGACCCGAGTTACCAATTCGGCTAGGATTCTCAAGCATAGCGCCTCATGAGCGTAAAGACCTGGTTCTCCACGAGATTCCGGAAGAAGTGATCAGCCAAGATATATCAGTATTCTTGGAGTCTCGAATTTCAGAAATCCGACAACAACGACGAGATCACCTTCCTAAAGACTGGCCTGGAGACGCCAATATCCAAAAACTCGTGGCGTTGTCCGTTCCGTTATTTATTTTCGCTGCTACGATCTGTCGCATACTCAAGGACCCATATTGGGACCCAGTGGATAGTTTAGCGGAGATTCTTGCACATCAAATCGACGAATCCAAGCTAAACGCCACATATCTTCCGATTTTTGACCGTCTTCTGAACGGACGACATGGAAGACAAAAAGAGAAACTGGTCTCAGAGTTCCAGCGAATAATCGGAGCGATCGTGGTACTAGAGAGCCCACTCTCTGTTGTCTCACTTTCGAAGCTTCTGGGTATCGAGAAGAGGCTTGTTCACATTCGACTGAGCCCATTGCACTCTGTACTCAAAGTACCAGATAATGAGACAACGCCTGTACGACTCTTTCACCTGTCATTTCGGGACTTTCTTCTTGACCCGGAAACCCACAAGAAAACGCCCTTGGGAGTACACGAGAGAGAAATACACTATGATCTAGCTAAACAATGCCTCCTAGTCTGTCAAACTCTACGGAAAAATATTTGTGGACTACCAAGCGATGGAACGGAACGCACGGATATCGATCCCCAGATTATCGAAACCAAACTTCCTCCAGAGTTACAGTATGCTTGTCGTTACTGGGCATATCATCTAGTTAAATGTGCGGACATGAAGAGTGTGTCGTTTACTGCTCTATTGCCTCTCCTGAGTGATTTACTGCGGAAAAATTTTCTCCACTGGGTGGAAGCGATGAGTCTACTAGGTTTTGCATCGGAGGTACCGCGCATTCTGAATAGCCTTCAAGCGGTTATATCAGTAAGTTGCAAGAGATAGTGAGATACGATTCATGCTAATAGTCTTAGGGCAATGATACTACATCAATTTCAAGTTTTCTTCACGATGCCAAGCGATTTATTTCAAAAAATTACCAAATAATTGATCAAGCGCCCCTTCAAGTTTATTGCGCAGGTCTGATATTTGCACCGCGAACGACAATAATACGTGAACAGTTTAAAGAAAGGCTTCCTACTTGGATACACCAGTTGCCACGCGTTGAGGAAAGATGGGGCGCGCTCACCCAGACGCTCGAAGGCCATTCGCATTGGGTTCAGTCGGTGGCCTTCTCACCCGACGGCCGGCTTTTAGCGTCGGGCTCACGCGATAAAACAGTGCGGCTCTGGGACCCGGTGACGGGCGCGCTCACCCAGACGCTCGAAGGCCATTCGGATTCGGTTCAGTCGGTGGCCTTCTCACCTGACGGCCAGCTATTAGCGTCGGGCTCAGACGATAAAACAGTGCGGCTCTGGGACCCGGTGACGGGCGCGCTCACCCAGACGCTCGAAGGCCATTCGAGTTCGGTTCAGTCTGTGGCCTTCTCACCCGACGGCCGGCTATTAGCGTCGGGTTCATTCGATCAAACAGTGCGGCTCTGGGACCCGGTGACGGGCGCGCTCACCCAGACGCTCGAAAGCCATTCGGATTCGGTTCAGTCGGTGGCCTTCTCACCTGACGGCCAGCTATTAGCGTCGGGCTCAGACGATAAAACAGTGCGGCTCTGGGACCCGGTGACGGGCGCGCTCACCCAGACGCTCGAAGGCCATTCGGATTGGGTTCAGTCGGTGGCCTTCTCACCCGACGGCCGGCTATTAGCGTCGGGTTCACGCGATAGAACAGTGCGGCTCTGGGACCCGGTGACGGGCGCGCTCACCCAGACGCTCGAAGGCCATTCGAATTCGGTTCGGTCGGTGGCCTTCTCACCTGACGGCCAGCTATTAGCGTCGGGCTCAGACGATAGAACAGTGCGGCTCTGGGACCCGGTGACGGGCGCGCTCACTCAAACGCTCGAAGGCCATTCGAGTTCGGTTCAGTCTGTGGCCTTCTCACCCGACGGCCGGCTATTAGCGTCGGGTTCAATCGATCAAACAGTGCGGCTCTGGGACCCGGTGACGGGCGCACTCACCCAGACGCTCGAAAGCCATTCGCATTGGGTTCAGTCGGTGGCCTTCTCACCCGACGGCCGGCTATTAGCGTCGGGTTCATTCGATCAAACAGTGCGGCTCTGGGACCCGGTGACGGGCGCGCTCACCCAGACGCTCGAAGGCCATTCGGATTGGGTTCGGTCGGTGGCCTTCTCACCTGACGGCCGGCTATTAGCGTCGGGTTCACGCGATAGAACAGTGCGGCTCTGGGACCCGGTGACGGGCGCGCTCACCCAGACGCTCGAAGGCCATTCGAGTTCGGTTCAGTCTGTGGCCTTCTCACCCGACGGCCGGCTATTAGCGTCGGGTTCATTCGATCAAACAGTGCGGCTCTGGGACCCGGTGACGGGCGCGCTCACCCAGACGCTCGAAGGCCATTCGGATTCGGTTCAGTCGGTGGCCTTCTCACCTGACGGCCGGCTATTAGCGTCGGGCTCAGACGATCACACAGTGCGGCTCTGGGACCCGGTGACGGGCGCGCTCACTCAAACGCTCGAAGGCCATTCGAGTCCGGTTCAGTCTGTGGCCTTCTCACCCGACGGCCGGCTATTAGCGTCGGGTTCATTCGATCAAACAGTGCGGCTCTGGGACCCGGTGACGGGCGCTCTCACTCAGACTAGGAGTGTTGAAAAACCAGTCACTCGGCTCGACTTTTCCTACGACGACGGTCTATATCTTCAAACAGATTCCGGAATTCTTGAAATTATACCTCGGACTGCAACATCCTATCCGCCTCATGTGAATCTACGTATCTCTATTGAGCACGGTCAGTGGTTAAAGTTGGGCGGTGAGAAGGTTCTCTGGCTTCCCGTCGACTATCGGCCTACCTGTTTCCAGATTAAGGGAAATATTGTTGCCCTTGGACATGCATCAGGGCGAGTTTCCTTTATCGGGTTTCATATATAAAAATTATTGGTTTCATTTTCTTCTTCTCTACTTTCTATTGCAGTTATTTATTGTAACATAGCATACGCTTTCAACTGCATCCCTCAATCTAACGTCATCTCCTAATAGCTGATCTGCGCTAAGGCCTTGGTGTTGGAGTTAGAAGAGAGTGACTGAATGTAGATTGGTCAAGCGGACTTTGAGGACCACTATGATGATCATGCTAACATGGTCAGACTAGTCTTTGATTTTTGGTTGAGGTCCTCCACGCTTTCGCTGAACTAAGTGGAGGGGGTACTAGGGCCATTGGTAATGGTGGTTCACTGTGAGCGCTGTGCCACAACTTGCCTCACAATGTCACAAGTAGTAGGTGGAATTTATTGAATTTGATACTGTAAAGGTTTCCTTCCTTCATCCGCATTATACAAATAGTAAAGGGAAATTACAGCTACGTAAGTGACACAAAAGCAACGTTGATAGTCAATTAGGAATCAAATTGGCAATTGATAACCTTAAAAATAATTGAAATAGAACTGTAGAAGCTACAAAGGCCCTCCCTCCCTCATTGAGGCGACTTCATTAAAATGCAATTCCCTTCTTCACATTCTGGACCCAACCGGGAATATCCTCGATGAAGCGACAACCAATATCTTTTTTTTGATTCCCTTGCCGATGAAGAATTCCGGATTCTGATCTTTATAGAACTGCCCAAGGTCAAGACCATCGTCAAAGCGCTACGTCGCACTCTTTTTGGAGTGTAGCCTTGAGATTCTCACCAGTGACATCTGACTGTTGCTACTCACTGTAATCTTTGACAGCCATATCTCTGGATCCGGGAACTTCCAGCAGACCACAACACTAGCCCATTGGCCTTTTGGCGACTTCCATTCCAAGAATGGAGAGACTGCAACGGTACAACGTTGATTTTGATAAGAGGGCAAGGTACTCTCGGTCCCAGGAAAGCACCTCCCTTGAGTTCGTTTCTCTCTGGTCTCTGTTGCTCTTCCATATATAACTCTTCTCGGACAGTTTCGGGTACATCTTCTTACGAATCAAGAACGCTAGTCCTCTCCACGTGGGTAACCGGGCGCCTCAAGTTGTGTTTCTTGAGGTGGTGGTGCTTCTTTCCCATTGGGTCTAGACAAACAATCGGGGTCAAGGTGACACGACGTCGAATGATCATATCAAATTATGGACGCTAAGCCAAACTGGCCTTTGGCCAGAAGAGACCTATTCAGTATTTAGCTGTGCGTCTCGCTCATCTAACCTGCTTCTTCTTAAGGAGGCTTAACCTCTTTTCTCGCCTCTTCGCTCGGCGGCCGGAGAGTGGTTGTCCTCTACATAATCGAACTAAATTTTCAGTGTGGGCTCCTTGCCTTGACAGACCAGCGTTGACCACTTCTACAGCTTTTTATCGAATGGGCACAATCAATATTAGTTTTGTCGTATCGTTTCGTTGAGTCACGCTGAGAACGATGCTTTACCAACACCACGATTGCAGTATCCTCAGCTCGCACCTGTTGGTTGCGGGAAACTCCACAACAAATGACGTCGTGCAGTTCCTGCTCAAATCGAAATCGACGCAGGCAGGCGCTTGGAGCCAGCACGATGTCCTCGTCGGTATCCTTCGACACAATCCGGTTATTGATCTTGACATGCTACTCTACCAGGTAGTGAAAATACTGGATACAGGTTGGCAGGTCTTCGTGAACTCTATCCCCAGTCCACTCAGATTGCTGGAGAAGTTTAGAAACATTATGTCGTGGTTGGGTTGCGATCTCATTGCCAGTGTCAATATAGGAAGGAGAGGGACTGTCAACGAATCCGGGGGTTGAGGCAGCATGGGAGTTCTATCCCTATAGCTCGGGTTCAGGCTGTAAGATGTCATCAATATGAGATGGGCTTTTGATTCATCTCTAAAGCTAGTCTCAGCCCTTCAGAGACCCATATTAGATAATATGAGGACATCGGCTATCGAAAATGATACTAACAGAGAACATTGCAGACAGGACGATAATCCCTGGTACGAACGAACTAATGATAATCTCCTACTCGAGTTCATGCTCTCCGAGGCACAAGCGCAGCCTTGAAGTTCGTGAAAAACGAGCGTAGTTTGTATAAATGCGTGTAAACGAAGACTGCGTGCGCGGTGAAAGAAAGGAAGGGGAAAGCGACCATGCTAGATCGAAAGGCCTCGCTCTGCGGTTTGCAAAGGAACATTGTCATGGGGTGTTGATTCATTGAACACACTCTCAAGCTTTTTCGATCTGCCAAATCGGACCCCAAACCACCATCCCGGCCACTGAGCGCGGACCGCCAGCCCAATCACGCCCGAGTTATCGTGGGAGCCTGGCGCCCCCAAAGGAGTCGAAGGATCCGGCCAACCAGGCCAAAACACCGCCACAATCACCGGCAGCTGGCCATAAGGCGGACGTTGCCCTGTCTGTCACCTCTCAATATCAACAAAATAGCGCCTCTAATCTGCCCACAAGACGGACTGAACATAATCTCCGTTTTCTATCCATCCATCGGATTTCCCCTTTCCGATTCGATCTTAATCTTCCACGATGGGCATGCCGCAAAATAACGACCCCGCGCCCGACTACGAGGATCTCTTCGAGCAGCAACCCTCGAACATGCGGACCGGGGTAAGTCTCTCCCGCCCAGCAGCCCCGTAGATCATAGTGGTGGTGGCCGGCATCTCTCGTACTCTCTTGGAGGTTCTCTCTCTCGGAGACGCCACAAGACACCGGTCAGAGCACCGAGGAAAGCGAAACTAACGACTGGATGGCATAGTACGCGCGAGTCGCGCAAGCCGACGAGACGATCGATCTCGAGCACGGCGCTGCCCATCAGCACTCGGCGTCACCGGCAATCCCGCTCGGGGTGCGACCAGCAGACGCCGAGCACGTCCATTGCGAAGTGTGTGACCGACAGCTGGAGCGACGGGAGAACCGTGAGAAGGCGGCCGAGGCGTGTCGGGTGGTGTCGCGGACTTTCATCCTGATTACCCTATTTCTGATGGTCTTCGGGATTGTAGCAGTGGTGTCGATTGCGAAGAGACCAAAGCACGACTAGACGAGGGGGTTTCCCTCGCGAATAAGTTTACCAGGTCCTCCACGAGCATATATATTATCTGTGGACAGTGAGGAGGGGAATGGGTGGATGGGAATTTTTTTGTTTATTTTCTTTTCTCTCTGTTTCTTCTTGGATAATGCGAATAGCCCTTGTTGAACGTAGAATAGGGTCAATAGGGGGAAAATCTACTTCCTCGCATGACATTTTCGTGAGTTTAAATTGGAAAGCCCGCCTGCGGGCGCTGAAGATTCAAGAGAAGTAGCAAGTAGAATTCAGATAGTGCAATATTTGCGTATTGAATGAGGGGATGCGCCGCCTACGCCGTATGTACCTGGGACCCGGTGCGCTCCAGCCGGGGCGTATAAAACATCGAGAGGGAGGATAAAGAAAAGGAAGCGGAGGAAGCAACGCAGCGTGAGGGATGCCAGTTCATCCAAAGACGCTGCGGGCTCCCAACGCTTGCCAAAAATGGGAGGATGAAACCGCCCCAAAACGTGGGAAGTAGAGAGAAGATCTCGGGGCATGTGGTATCTCCTTGGAATCGCGGACCCAGACCACAAGCTGGGACAGCCAGCAAGCCAGCCAGCAAGCAGAGGCCTCCGGTCCTGATATCTCGGTTTGCATCCATCTCGTAAATCAGACAAATAAATAAGAGAAGATCGTCTTACGCACCAAAACGCCAGACGATGCGTATCGGAAGAAGAAAAAGAAGCAGAAGCAGCAGCAGCAAGCCGAAGGCTCGCAGCGGGCAGCCCAAACCTATAAATCGATTGCTCCTCACAACTCGTCCAAAAGATCAGAGAAAACAGACAGGAACCATATCATAGGAAAATTGGGGCACGGGACGGAAGAAGAAAGGATCAACAGCAAAAAGTGGAGATGGCGGAGGACGAAGAAGCTCTCCCCACACCGAATAATGGAGAGAGGAAAAGAAAAAGGATAGAAAGCAAGTCATCACTGTCGCGAAATCTGTCGAATCTCCACGTCTGCGGCAGATTGCGGGCCCTTCTGCAGGCGGGTGCGACTCCCAGGGGCCGGCAGATTGGGTCCCCCGCGCGGCCCAACCTCAGTCCTGGAGCTGCTAGCGACGGATTCTGGGGCCAGGGTGCGGGATTGGGATTGACCCGGTGCCGGAGACGGGCCCCAGGGACCTGGCGGAGGGCTGAGGACACCGGAATTGCGTTGGAAGACGCCACTGCTGCTGGCATTGGCGCTGCCCCCGTGGTACAGGCCGGGTCGTTTGGCATCATAACGGCGCTTGAGCCAGACACCCCCAGCGGCGAGGGCACTGAACCCGACGGCCAGGACGATCAGCATAATGACCCATTGGTAGTGAGTGCTCCACCTGTTGAAGAAAAAAAAAAGAAAAAGAAAAAGGTCAGCTCGATGAAGCTCTTGGCTCCCCTGGATGATCATCTGCATACGCATGGGGCTTGAATCTTTGCGCATCCGTGATTTTCTTTGGATTTTGGTAACGAAGGATGGGAGATTGGACGTACCAGGACTTGTTCTCATCCGAGGTGGTGGTCTTGCTCGTGCTGGCCCCTGCAGTGGTCCCGGCAGTTGCGGATGTGGTCGACGCGCTAGCAGTGGTGGTGGTGCTGGTGCCGGACGTCTGGCCATCGGAGTTACAGTAGTTGTTGTACCAGGTGGAGAGGAGAGATTGGTCGGAACTCGAGCAATCCGAACAGACGCTGCCGGAGGTCTTCAGCGTGGTCAGGTAGGAGGATTGACAGAAGCAGGAGACCCAGGTGGATTGGGCGCCGGTGACACAACTCGACTGGGCATTGGTGAGGGCGGTACAAGTGAGGCCGCACGACGGGAAAGTGCTGGACGCAGCAGAGGGAAGGATATCGCCGGCTGCGCCCGTGGTGATGAGCGCACTGAGCGCGAGGAACAGCAGGGCGAACCCATGTCCGCGCCTGCCGAAGATGGTCGGAGCAATCATAGTGGACGATGCCCACGATCCGGGGAGGGAGAGAGAGGCGTTCGAGGTGTGTGGGATCGGGATGGGGTTTGGATGGGCGGAAAGCGAACGGACGAGTCGGGGGGATCCTGGCAGGAGAACGAGCGAGATTGAACGATCGACTAGAAGATCAATGGCGGCAGCCCATATTGGAATGGCCGGGCGGTTGGAGGTGGGCGGACACGCAGGACGAGAACAGCCGGAAGCAGGATGAGGTCGAAAAGGAAGAAGAGGAGGAGGGGGGAATCGACCGAAAGGGAACTAGTCACCAAACACGACGGGGCCGAAACGTTGACGGCCGGCAAATAAGGCTTGCCGGGGACCGAGATTGACTGGTCCGGCGAGCGGGTCGCAAAGTCTGGCTCTTCGCGATTCTGGGTTGATTCCGGGGAGGCGAGGAGTGTGGTGATTGTCCGTCGTGTTTCGTGGCCTCAATGGCACAGAAACCCCCCTGGACCGAGTGTGGAGGTGAAGGCATTGAAGCTGTCCGGGTCAGGGTCTTTGCGAGGGTCCGCGAGGGTCCGCGAGGGTTCAGGGTTTCGGGGTCCAGTCGGGGGCGCCGTTGCCCCCCAGCAGCACCCCCGACCGCCCCCAAAGAGAACCCCCAAGTGACCCTACGAGACCCCTACAAGACCCTAGCGAGACCCTAACAAGAACCCCCCAAGGCCCCAGGGTCCAACAGGGTCCGGCCGGAAATGGGCGGTCCCCGCAACCGGCGGTGCGCGAGACTTCAAGTTCACGTTTCCAGTTTATAGTTGTTCTCGAAACCGTCTAGATGGGGCGCTGTCAGGAAACGACCCGATCCGAGACGATCGCTCTTGGCTATGCCAGATCAGAGAGGCTTGACGCGACGCCGATCCCGCTTCTCTCCATCACGAGTCTTGATTTACTTCCAGGCGAGACGCCGATGCCCTTCGGATCCTCTCGAGTAAATTTCTGTCTCCAGGGTCATCATTTCTCCCTCTTTTCATATTTCCATTTCCCCATCTAATTATCTTCTCTTCTAGACCGCACGCGCTCCACTCGACCTCGTCAACGTCAAACATTCCCAGCCGGGCCCCACCGCGATCGGCATTCCCCCTTGCGCCGGGAGCGGCAGTGGTTCCGACTGCGTTGGAAGCCTCCAACCAACCCCGCCACAATAGTTCCAATACTTTCGTAGAATGCACGAGTCCTACAGCGAGGTTGCCAGACGGTGACGCGACACGTCGAATTCGGACGGGACGAGGAGGTTGGAGAGGAGGTTGGAGAGGAGAAAAAAGCAGAAGGAATGAACATCGTTGAAAGGAAATAGTCTCCCGCGGCGCAACGCCGCAAACAGAGGAGGATAGCCCCGAGGATGGAATTGTCAGCCAGAATCGGTCCTCCGGACTTACTCTACAACGCCAATCGGCAGTGATCGGCCTGTCACTGGCAGATGTGCTGCAGCACGTTTGGGATCATTCGACGGAGACGAAAGTGAGAGGGGATATCCAAAGAGAACTCCAGGAGGTCAAACACAACTATGTAGCACATCCTCTGGGAATAGAACGGGAAGTTTCGTGAGAAAGTGAAAGCGCTACTGGTGCAGATTGAAAGCACCCCAGCGGTATCGCCGACCACGACCTAGGCTGCAGTCGCAGCCCAAAATGACAATGCCACACCCTTGATGAACTACCGACAGCCCGAAAGAGAAGATAATTGCGTTCAAATCAGCACGTTAGAGAAACTTTGTCGATCCAAGAGACAGAGAAGAGAGCGACGGAAACGTATTTGGACGATACCTCCCTACCGATGCCGCTACTGTAAGGCTTTGTGCTCTTTCTTGATCCAAATCAATTCTTCGATCCCTCGCAGCCAATCAGTTTGTTTTCTCTACAAAATTCTCGACGGCCAGGGCACTTGTGCCCTCCAACTCGAACTCCTCTATACGGAAACGGTGTATGACTATTTGAACGGGGTCTTCATGATTTCGTGCTGTTCCCTACTTTTCAAATGTTCTATATAGGTATAGGACACTGCGATTCATCCCAGGTCGTCAAGCTCGATCAGATTTCATTTTCGGTAGTAATCTCGGGCCACCTGAGCGTCTCTAGGCGTCTCGCGAGAACGGGTGATTCAGCGGTGCGGTGTGCACGTGAGTACTAGCGACGTCTGTGAGGTAGCAGTCGCAAATGGTTTTTCATGTCGAGCTTTTGTATAATTCGAATAGAAAGAATGTCATTGTCCTCGATTCTGTTGATAATGTAAACTGTGTGCGCTCAAGCTACCCGCTTATCTAATTGCAAGGCCGAGATCGAGAAAGTACTGACGTCATATTGGATGCGAAGAGCAGCAGATGACGCGGTACAGTAAGATTGAGTCGAAATAATACAAAAGTGATGTCAAAAGCAATTCGGTGCATTGAGCTACTTTGGCTGATCACACTCGTGATTTCTATTGTTCACAGAAAATTTCCAGCTCAGGTATAGGATGACAAGTGGGGTCAAATGGCTCTGTCTCCTTTTTCCTCATACGAACGCGTCAATATTGGGCATGGTACACTCATCGCAATTTGGGTCACCTTTGGCGTGGCAAGTCTTGTCTTCTGGATGCGTATGGCAGTCCAAATAGTCTGGGTGAAACGCCTTGGAATAGATGATTATTTGATGTTGGCGGCCTGGGTAGGTCCGTTGTGTTTTGATGATCGTATACCTCGGGTTTGACGCCATCGTGATATAGATCCTACACACTGCATGTTGTGCACTTAATACAGTGAGCATTAGATGGGGTCTTGGTCAGCATTATGTTGACCTTGATCCATCGAGCTTGACAGCCGTTGTCAAGTTTCATTGGCTGGCATTTCCTTTCGCTGCGCTCTCGCCCATGTTAGGGCGCATCTCCTTTGCTACCTTTTTGCTCACACTACTTGCACTAATTTCACGGCGACGTCGACAGCTGCTCTGGATTTTGATCTTCTTGCAGATTGTCACTAACGTCACTCTCATCACACTCGCCTTTTGTCAGTGCCACCCAGCCAAAAAGCTCTGGAGTTGGACCATACCCGGAAAATGTTGGCCAACGAGAATTGTAAAATGTTATGCATACTTCCAAGGAGGTTGGTGTATACTCTTCACCTGCTTTGAACTTTCACGGTCTCAAATAGCTGAATAATGGACAGCAATCAATAGTTTCACCGACCTGTCGCTGACACTCATGGCTGCGGCACTCATCTATTCTCTTCATGTGAAACCAGCAACGAAAATTGCGCTTACGCTGACCATGTCTTTGAGTATTTTGTGGGTATGGCCTTTTAACCTTGTTTTGAAGCTTCGGATTTTGCTAATTTCCAGCCAGAGCTACCGTCGGAAGCATTATGAAGACCATTTATGTTCAAGGCCTGGGAAAGCAGGATCGACCATGTATCGTAATGTGCGAAACAACTCTCTGAAACCAACTAACCGGACTTTAGATACGCTCTGTTTCCTAGTTATCTGGTATACGTGAGTTTCCCACTTCTCACTGTCACGTCGAGATCATTCTGACTAGGAAGAGGGTCGAAAACAACATCGTTATCATCACCGCGTCTATTCCCAAGATTCGGCCTTTGTTCATCAAGCCTCGTCCTGGTCGATGATCGAAAATTCATATTTCAAAGCAGCAACCAGATGCGGCGTTCTATATAAAAAAGATTCACAATTGAGAAGCCTGGAAAAAAGCAATTTGTAAGTTAATACTATAGAAATCTCGGGCAGTGTTCAAGAGATATTCTACACCAGTACCAGTGTCAGGGGTCGAAAGAATATTTCGAGCGAGTCTTGCAAGGGCTGGATACTAGTACTGATGGTGTAAAGAGGCTACTTGTCAGTGTAGTCGTACTGTTGATCAGGTAAGGAAATAGATGCCCTAAAGGTGAAAGTAAAGATATAGTGTAAGAAACAGACTAAAGTTTCAAGATTCAGTCCTCTTCGACTCAGGTATTAAATACAAATGAAAAGCAGTGGAGGAACATGGATAACAAAAACGTAATTCACTGGTTCAACAGTGAGTGGAACATCCCACCGCCTACTAACCTTTTCGAAACACTATTTTTCCACTACAACAATACAAATTTGATTCAACTACTTACTAGGGCACTGGTTAATCCTATGGCCCATAGTATTACACCCAGAACACCGAAACACACGCCTGGGGGTAATAGTAGGCTGCTGACTACTACTAGTCTCCTCCTGTTGAGCAGATTCAACACACGCTGGCGGCGTTGAATCGAGAGATATAGATTCGCCGACCGTCGAACTTTGCTGCCTAGATATCTGGCGATTTGAAATTGTGCGCTTTTGACGCTTTTTTTCGGTCAATTGGCGTAAATCCCTATTTTGCTGCGCTAGAAACGCTAAGCTATGCACCGCTAATTGGCACCCTTTGATTAATTGATCTAGCGCTCTCTCTGTGGAGCTTTCTGGCGATCGCGAGCGCTTGCCTAGTAGAGCTTTGATAGATGAAGCTTGCTTCTTAAGCTGCTTGATCGTATGAGGAGCAGTAGGCACGAAAGCACTGGATCTACTACTAGGCCTAGTAGTAGGAGGTGTTGGCGTTCGAAGCGATGTATTTGGCTTTGATAGGACTCGGTCGGCATCTAGCGGAACGAGACCGGCGCTGGCAAAGCTTGATTGAATCGTGCTAGGTATGAAGGCTTCCTGGCGTGCTAGGGTGTAGGATTCTAGGAAATCAAGCTTATCGATATGATTGTATCCAAAACGAGCTTGTGCCTCAATTAGGCGATCGTATGAACGCTTTAATGTAGCAAAACAACCGATATCGAGGGGCTGTAGAAGATGTGACGAATGCGGCGGCATATAGAGAGGTATAATATTGTTTTGCTGGCAGATTTGATCAAATTGTGGTGTTAGATGGCTACCATGACCATCTAATATCAATAAGCGATATTTGCCTTGCGTACGCGGAGTGGTAGCAGGGATAAAGAGCTTTTCTAGCCATCGTAGGCATATATCATCGGTAATCCAACCGTTCGATGATATTTCGAATCGCCAGTCGCTAGGAAGGTTATCAAACCAGCTAGCAATATAGACCTTCCCTTTGAATATTATACACGGCGGAAGCGAGAAGCCGGTTGCCGAGATAGATTCAATTGTTGTCACCCACTGCCGATTTCCTGATTGTAGAAGAGGCTTCCGACCGTGTAAATCCTTTCGTGTAACGATTCTAGCAGTATATATCCGGCCTATAGTGAAGCCTATTTTATCAAAGTTGTAGATATCGTTGGCATGGATACCGTGTTCGTTGATCGTACGCTCAACTAGCCTAAACCACTCGCGTAGGCTTGCTGGGTCTTTATTTTGGGCACATTGATAATCGTCGCGATCAGAGAATCGTGTACAAAGCTCTGATCGACGCTTCATATAGCGTGTAACCCAATTGACACCTACAGTAGGCGGTAGGAGAGGAGGGAAGATATCACCACGCGCTGCGAGTAGATGATTTGCCATATTAGCAATTGCCGAAGGCCTAGGGGAAGCACCACGCATATCGAGCGATAGGATCCATTGGCAAAGCGAATCCTCTTCTTGTTGTGTCAGCTTATTCAGAGACGACCGTTTTTCTTGCCGATTTGGCACGCCTTTAATTCGGTTGCGTAGTGTTGAATGTGGCACGTTAAAAACCGCTGCTGCTTTGCGCATAGATAAGGTTGAATCCTTTTCCATAGCAGAAATTGCCAATAGGATCCTACTCTCCCTATCTGGCGATTTTGAAGGGCTTTCGGTGCGTTTTGGTGGCATGGTGGGTGGTTGAAGATAGATGGAGACGCGTAGGAGCTCGTTGTTGTTGTGGTGTCCGGAATACTAGTAAAATACGTTAGGTATCTGACACGTCAATGGTGATCATTTCTCTGTTTGATCAACGCGGGAATAGTGGCGCAACTATTGGCGCCACCCTCGTTTTCGAATGACAATTTCGAGCAGGGTCTTTTCAGAAGAAAAGGGGTCTGCTGTATTCGGTGGTCCAGTGAAGACGGCGCCGGATACACTGCGCGTTTTCTGTGTATACGAGTCGTTAGTTCCGGCTAGATCAACTAAAGGCGCGCCACATAGTTAGTAACACTATCATGCCAGTCATTTTCTTACACAGTTGTGGTCATCTCGAATTGTCTAAGCTTGATTGTACCCCCGGCTGTGCACAGGCGTGATCGGGCATGATCATCACCCCCTGCCTTTGACTGCATAGCCAAAGCTTTTATTATTCAGGAATCACGGCAAGCTCGAAAGAGCTGGACTCTGTCCGCAAAGAGTTCGTGCAAATGAGTCGACGGCGCTTGCCCCATACCGACGCGGCTCACAGAGTCCGCCACTGCACTCAATTTGTTATAGTTAACGATACTAAAAAATAGGCCATACGGTCATTTTCCGATTAGCTATCCTATTTATACCTCAACCTGTTTGTTTTGCCTAGAATGTTATTAGCGGATTCCCTCATTCTGATAAACACCCACCCCTACACAGAAACAAAACTTTCTGCTTCGTAGAACTAGCGCAGGAATATTTTTCAACACTACAGATTTGATCATGATCTGATCTTCAAAACCTCTGATAGGATAATAGAGGCCAAAGCTTTCGGGATGAATGGGCCACCCTATACTGGGAGAGAAGATGAACTGTATCTTTAGACCTAGTTCAGCTGAAAATGTGAAGTGGAGTATGCGCGGAGATTAAGATCCATCTCCGCTAATTCACTGCGGCTCGAGAATACTCCACAACACCAGGCGTACAAAAACCCGGTAACAAATTAAAACTAGAGTTGAGAGTCGGGTTTCAAATGTTGTAATTTTCCACATGTGAGCGTCTTGCTCGCTAGCTAAGTTTGCCGGACTGTATGATCTGAACTAGCGTCAAACATTCTCTGAAGAAGTCTGCCATTGACACTGTATTTATAGTATCGGTATTCTCTATATTCCCGTCCATTTCACACACCCGATAGCCCTCCTCGACCCTGCTAATATTAAGCCAACATTCAAACGCACTCTAGAGCTAATTGAGGATTGGCATCACCCAGCCTGGCGCCATGGTCCTTTTTGCAGATGCGGCGCCGGCGTTAGCAGGCACCACGATCCTATTGACGACCTTGGCAATTTTGACATTTGGCTTGCGCGTTTATTGCAGAATAAGTCGCAGGTCTTGGGGACTAGAAGATTGGATTATGTCGGTTTCATGGGTCAGTACTCCCGAGGAAGTCTGGAGTTGTTCGCCTAATGTAATTTGACAGGTGCCATTCTGCGTACTTGTGGCTGGGTGTCTGGGCGGATCTTTCAATGGAATTGGGGCACGTGATTCGACCCTTACAAAGCCTGGGAATGAAAAATACCAAATCGAAGCACAAAAGGTGATCGCGGCTTCTGCAACAGCTATCGATTATGATGAATAGCACTGATTTCAGGTGGCTAGTTCTTTCTCATCTTCGAAGTTGGCTATTGCTCTGCCATTATACCGATAAAACTAAGCATCGCATGGATGTTGGTTCGAGTCGCGGAAGGAAGAAAAGCATTTATATATCTGCAATACGTCGTGATTGCACTTTTTGTTGTGATGAACACTATCGCTTTAATTTTCATATTGATCAATTGTGTTCCTGTGGAGTAAGCCTTTTTACAACCACTTCCAAAGTGAAGATGCTAATTCAGCCATAGAGCTGCTTGGAATGCGGAGAAGCTCAAGAACGGTGGCCACTGCCAGCCAAGCTACGTCCTTGCTGATGTGTACTATGCGTGCACCGCTGTCAATATCCTTACCGACTGGGTAACTGCTGGTTTGTATGAGCTCAATATGAATGCCATCTTATGAAAAAGCACAATTCTCATGACAGATACAGGCCAATTCCTTTGCTTTGGAACGTACATTTGGACCGCAGTACCAAGATCTCAGTCTCTGCTTTAATGGGGCTTGGTATCTTGTATGGGTTTCTCTCCTATATTAACTATTCTTTTATTAACAATTCACCCCTTGCAGTGCCTCACTCTCAGCATGTATCCGTCTCAAATACACAGTCGCACTTACCAGCCAGGTAGACTTTCTCTTCAAAGTTGCAGATGTCGTCATCTGGGGATTCGCGGAGAACGGCATCGGCATGATGGTGGGGAACATTGCGACCCTCCGTCCGCTATTTAGGACCCTCCGCCATCGCAACGCTTCTGACTATAAAAGTCACAAAGATTCACCGAGGTTCAACAGTCCTCGGCGCCTCGGAGAGTCTACATCCTCACGCGAACTCGAGCTTGAAAATGGGAAGCACCTAAACCACGTCGTCACGCAAATAGATCACACACTGTATTCCAGCCTGAGCGCCGGAGACAGCCAGAAGGACATTCTTGGAAATGTTCAACAACCTGGTCAGGCTGATATTGTTGTTAGTAGGCAAGTTGTTGTAGCCTATGAATGACATCTTAGGCTCGTTCACATTCTAGCTTCATGGAATAGGCTATTGTTTATGTTCCTGAAAAGCAAGATTGGCAATGAAAATATGATTGGATTCAATCTTCATTCAATAAGTGCAGGAGTAGTTACTCGGTATTCTCTAGTGGTTCCTTGTTTAGTTTTCCGTGATCCACGGATTATACGGACTAGAGGAATGCTCAAACAATGAGGATCTTTTCGTATATTGCGACACGGGCACGGCCCTGGTTTTCCTCAACCCTGTTCCGTACCACTAATATACTGTTATCAAATCTCAATCGTATAATTCTTTCAAGAGTTTATTATCATAGTAAGTTTAATTCAATAGACTTAAGAAATATTTTAACGCCTATAGGCGGATTGAGTGGCAGTAAGGGTACCTTCTTTATCGTCGATTTATTAGAATTTCTCTATCTAGGGTAGGGTTAGTAGAGACATGAGAGATAAATAAATTAGTATTATACTCATACTCCCTTAGATACTCACGTCACTTAGGTTAATAGAAGTTCTTCTCAGTGATCAAAAAGCGGCGAGGGGTGAGCACTAAAACAGAAGGCCAAGACTTGCCATACATTTTTTGCTATAGTCGATAGGGTTATTTATTCCGTAACAACTAGCGTATTGATTTTTGCACTAGAAATCTAGGCGCCACTAATTAGCTACAGCGCCGAGAGGTCTCCGTTTAAACAAAGATTGGATTATTTTCTTTCACTCTATCAGAGATAAGGGTGTACTAATTTTGTCCGGATAATACATTCAGTGTTATGGAACAACCACATCTGATTTTATTTCCGCCGAACAGCTTGTTTCGGATACGAATCGTACATATGACGATATTATTTCATGGAGAAGAACAAGTTAGAATCGGACTCCTTCACCGTTATTACTTTCGGCAAGCAGCGGAATAACGACATTAAGGTTATAGAAAGAGAATCCCCCTTTCTCTGAAACTGAATCTTGCAATTATTGAAATAATACGCTGTTATTGTCCTTCGATTCGATCACGATTCTATATTGTATTCATTTTTCCTTACCTGACCAACAGGCCGCTACGCTGCAAGTAGCACCCTAACAATGTACAGGCTTTATCATTTTTTCGCATGACCAGCGAAGAGGTGACAGATTAAATTGCCATATACGGTCTGACGCGGACCTCTATAGGATAGGATTAGGCGAAGGCTGCAAGATGGAGGGGTTCACGAATCCCGGATGACAGTTCAACCGAAACCACCAAAATGACCGTTTAATTCGGATCTCGTCAAACGGTGTTGGTGAAACTGCTAATGGTGAAACATGCCTGAACGAACGCACTTGAATTTGCTTAAACGTCGACGGGTCAAACATCATGTTTTATTTTTCATGACCGCCCTTGCTCCACTGACAATATTTACACCGCTTTTTGTTCAACAGTGAGAAGGCGCTCTATCTAAGGTTGATTCTGAACGCCTCAACTTATTTTTCCGTGCCACAGTTTGGAGCCCGTTGATAAAAAGTCAAGTTCGTTCTGTTTTCATCACTACATTATGCGCCATCAATGTGCTCAAATAACAGCGTTCAAATCAACATCTTCAACGGTCGTACCCGCGGGTTATTTTGGTAAAGTTATATGAATCCGGCGCCTCGACTACGACGATAGTAAGTAGTCATTTAGATATTTAGATTTTTCTCTGGCAAACATTTACCCAAATAGCTATCCATCTCTTTCAGCTATAAATGATGATAACTTAGCCATGCTACCTGACTCTCCATACCTTCGAGCGTGCACAGTAGTTACGTCATCGACTATGTATCTTCGTCACAATTCCTGGATTGAAAATCATGGCCGCTACTCAAACCCAGATATTTCGTTTCATTAATAGAATCTCTCATATCCCGAGACTGCATTCAGACTTCAGGGAGATTACAATTATTCGGGACATTGAAAATGACCGTCACAGCGTCGTGAGTAGGAGGATTGACTTGTGAACACTATACGCATGATCAAATGTCAATTTATCTGACCTCTTTCGATCAGAGACATCTGCCTCGGTATAATCGCTGTTTTCATCCCGCCTCTTGCGGTGCTGTTACGAAGAGGATGTGGAGCAGACTTTTGCATCAACATCTTGCTCACCTTGTTAGGTGATATTCCTGGAATCATACATGCACTGTAAGTTCCACATTACTGCTGCTGCTAACATCAACGTTCCTTTTTCTCGCCATGTGCAAAGCAAACTTGATCTAGTGAGCTGACAAACCTTAAGGTATATTGTGTTCTCATCAAGAAGTCGACTTAGCAGCCAAAATCGATTCTACCAGTGAATTAATAAGCAGCGGTGGGTTTTCCGAAGCGGACAGCACCACATAGCTTTCCCTCAACATTTTAAACTACTTAAACATCTATATGTCAGACTTGATTGTCATTATCACCGGCATGAGCAGGTTGCTTTTTTTTGGGAGCACTTGACGCTGGTTCTAATCTTATACTGGACAAGGGCAGTCCTTTTGTCCTTGGATGTCGCTCTTATTGCAATGCAGCCTCAGACTTCTAGATTCTGGAGGCAGCCATCTAGGTATGAGGTCTGAGGGTAATTATGGGTGTTGAGGTTATTTGGCACCTTTCGCTTGTCTCGATGGAAGAAGTTGTTCAAGTACGTTGAATTATGCTTTTGGTTATGATAGCCAAAGATTCACTGTAAGTCCTTAAAATATATGGCATAAACGGGCGGTGATTAGCCTGGGTAGATGTCCCTCCATCTGAAGAAATATTAGCGAGAGAAATATGGTTAGATTTTAGTGTTAAACTCAGTTTTACTTATTGTTTAAAGGAAGGGTATCGATGTGGGAAGCCTTGTTCAATCTATGTTCATTAAGACAAGGTAGCATTGGTCAGACTTAAGCTCGCAGGAGCCCATGATAATATCTCAACCGAACAGACAGATTATTTTTATTCAGCTATCTTGAAGATGTAACATTGTGACGCTCCCAGGAGCAAGTGTTTCGTCATGCGAATAGCGGGGTCTTACTCCCGGTAATTGCTACCTAATCTGGCGAGAATAGTATGGTATCAAACCCCGAAAAGGTCTTCATCTTAGTAGTAGACGACCATAGAATGGTAAGTGAATTTTTATAGAGAGATCTGAAAGTATCTAATCAAAATCAAAGAAGATGCAAAGTTCGTCTAGAAAATCCAATTGCCTGCAGAGTTCCCAAATCTGGCCAAGTATCTATCGGGCACGGAAAATGCTCCTAGGAACATTCGATCTATAATAATTGTAATCGGCCAATTGAACGATGTTCAGTAAATACATCCTGTTTACAATGGCAAGGATCGCCAACAAAGTGGCAAATTTTCGATGCCCGCTCTTTGACTGAAATGGAAACGCTGTACGAGGGGTCGTGCTAGTTTGTTGCATTTCGTGAGCCTGCTTACTCAGATCACCTCTCCAGAGAAGATTGGTGAGCAAATATGGGATTGCTCAGGTCAGGCTCAGTGATCAGATCAGGACGTTATGGTCAGGCTCAGTGAGCAAATCAGGATGCTCGAATCAGGCGCAGTGAGCGGATCAGTCTGACTCCGTAATGATCACTGAGCAGCTCAGGTCGCTCAGGGGCGTGCTCAATCCTACTCAGTGAGCAAAAGCGGCGAGGGGGTGAGCATTAGAACGGAAGGGAAAACCAAGACTTGCCAGACATTTTTTGGTATATATGCATCCTCGGATCATTGTCATTTCTCGGATGTCCATGCAGCATCTATGCTTTCCAAAGAAACGCAAATATAGATGGTAGTACCTCTGTTGAGGGCTCTTATAGATGGGAGATTGAATTGAACTATGCTAAAGATTCATATTGAGTGCTCATTGCTTTGTGGGCACCGCCCTATCCACATTCGCCGTTGTTTCTCCTCCAGGATGGGCGTATGATACCGCCAATATTCCTGGCTAACAATAAAAAGAATCTGTGAAGGCGGCAACAGTGGGGTTTCGGAGGAGAGAGAAATAGGGGCGCAGCAGCTCGCCTTTTAATGGGCCCCATGAGTCGACCACTCACGCTGTTGTCCCTCGAATTAATGACCAACCAATGAAACAGCCTACTGTCATTTACTTCACCTATCTCGAGGAGATTTAGAATGTCCACATACTGGAATCCCACTCCCCAGCCACGAAAGTCAGAATGGCCTGACTAGAATTGACAGCCCTTCAGTACTACGCCATGGGTTCACTACGAACCGATCTATTACTCAACCTAATCTCGCTGAATTTAACCAGAGCTCAGATGAAAAATACAAGAATCTTGGGCCTGACATCTGATCAGCTTCTTGATGATGCAATCTCTCCATTCAGTGCCCGATAATCTTCCAGTGAGCCTCCAACCCACCTTGATACAGTGCTCTATGCCATATCACCCGTGGTTATACCTGCTTCCCGATCCCCAAATGAGGAACAATTTGATCCTTGCTGGAGATTTTGAGGAGGAGACACAGCTTTGCCTGGGTATGAAGGGCAATGGGAGCACGTGATCGGGGGGAAGGGGTATCATCGTTTGGAGTAATCCTTGCGATCCAGCAGGGTGGGAAAATTCCTGAGCCTTTTGCTCGTTTATGGGCCTGGATCATTAGGGATTGCTATGATTTGGCCTGTTTTACGAATCAGTGGCGGGCGAAGAGGAATGAAAGACAGCTGTTCCGTATGGGTTGATTGAAAAATTTGTTGGCATAGAATTTCTGAATGAAAAAAGTATTTTGCCAGCAGGCGATTTGCAACCACTGTTTGCCAAGCTAGGTGCTCAAATGTTATGACTCTGCAGAAACTTGATGGTATCAACAACAGACTTCTCCAATGATCCGTATTCCAGCTTTAGAGTTTCCTTGGAGCGGCTGTTGTCAAAGCCATAAAGAGGGTTGGGTTTGTCCGAAGTCAACTCAGTCGGGAGTTTGTCGGCATATTCAGGGAAATTCTTCTTCGCAATTTCCGCGACTTCTCTCATATCAAAATGGCCAGCAGTTATAAAGAAGCGCTTTCCACCTGCCTCGGGGACTTCCATAGCTCTGACATGAGCAAGAGCTATATCTCGCACATCCACCCAGAGCCAGGTACCAGTGGGAGGCAGCTGCTCCTTCCATCCTCCATGCATCAACATTGCAAAATAAGCGTTTGAAGTATTGAGAGCTTCTTGGGACTCTGGAGCATGGACCGGAGGTCCAAAGACATACGGAGGGCAGATAGTCGCAAGAGAAAATCCGGGCTTCTTCTCGTCCATAAAGGACCACGCAGCTCGCTCAGCGAGCGTCTTGCTAGCACGGTAGGTTTTTGCACGATCCTCAATTCCTTCCTCATATGTGACTGGGTTCCACAAGCTCTCGCTATACACATCGGGGTGTCCGTCTGTGCTAACGATAGCAGCAAAGGATGAAGTAATGACCACTCGCTTCACTGAAGGCGCTTTATCCTTGATTGCACGCAAAATGCCCTTCGTTCCATGGATAGCAGGATCAAGCAGCTCCTTGGGGTCCTGGAATCGGAAATGGAAGGGGCTTGCAGTGTGGAGGACAGCATCGAATGGGGGATCTGAAACGACGACTTGGTCGAATGCGCCTTCCTGGGCAATGTCAGGAACAATTACATAAGAAAGCAGGCTCTTGGAGGATTCCGGATAATCTGCGAGAATCTTTTCACCCTTCTCTGCGCTCCGCACTGTTGTGACCACCGTATGCTTACTGGCAAGTAGAGTCTAGGCGCAGTGTCAGACGAAACCATTATACACGAGCTCTATAGGGCAATACCTTCACGCAGTGGGAGGCAATAAAACCAGAGCCACCTAACATATTGATTAGTTATTTTTTGCATGGGAACAGTCATTCAGGAATACTAACCCGTCACAAGAACCTTCATTCTTCTTACTTCGGTTTGAAAGTTTTGAAAAGCTGTTTGAATTTTCGTTATCACGATCACTTAAGATGGTAAGATTGTAGACTCGGTTCACCCAGGCTTAAATACTACCCATTTCCTTTCTTCTCTATCTCTGTGGTCAGCGAGAGGTCTAATTCCGTGTCAAAACCCACTTGACATGATATGATGTTTTCGAGTTCTTCGGCCGATATTTAGTATCCTTCTCCACCAAGTGTGGATCCTCGGCCGAAGACCGCTTATTGGTTCATTTACGCAAAGAGGCCGGCTTGCGCCAATCAGCGAACCTTATTTCCTTCAATATTCAGCATGTTAAATCTGCACTACATGTCCATTGAATTTCCAGTGAAGAAGATGGCGGATTTAAGGTCCTTGCATGTCCGATATTTTGTCATCTCAGAGTTTGAATATTGAAAATTCTGCCTTTATACTTCCCTCCACAACTACTTACTCCTATGTGGTTATTAACTCGTCTCATTATCGCTTTACACTTCCCTTTTTACTTATCTGAGCACTAGAAAATATGCCCAGCCAAGCAAAAGCCGGCAGTGCCGGGGTTAAGGTTATTTTTGGAGCCATGACCATTGGAAAGCAAGGTATATTGATTCGAAATCCATCGGGGTGCTTACGACGACGCTGACTATTATCTGCAGGCGTGGAGATGACCCGGATTCACTCACTTGACGACACAAAGGCCGTGCTCGACATGTTCCAGAAATATGGTCATAACACAGTTGATACTGCTCGAGTCTATGGTGGAGGCTCATCCGAGGAGTACCTCGGAGCTTTGGACTGCTCGAGCCGTGGGATCAAGCTTGATACCAAACTATATCCAACCGCCCTCCGGCCAAATTTGTCGCCATATGAGCTTTATCACCACTCATCCGAGGATCTCCGTCGGGGCCTGCTTCAAAGCTTGAAGGCGCTGGGAGTTGATAAAGTCACAACATGGTATCTTCATGGACCGGATCGGACTGTGCCCTTTGCGGACACTCTTCGTGCCGTCAACGAGCTCTACAAGGAGGGGCTCTTTGAGAGATACGGTATTAGCAACTATCAGGCTTGGGAAGTCGCACAGATCTGTGAGCTCTGTGAGAAAAATGGATGGATCAAACCCACCGTCTACCAGGGTCTCTACAACGCTTTCCACCGCGCAGTCGAAGCCGAGCTGTTCCCTTGCCTGCGCTACTACGGCCTTTCCTTCTACTGTTTCAATCCCCTCGCTGGTGGGTTTTTGACTAGCCGTTACACCCGCGACATGACCGAATTTGAGGAAGGCTCTCGGTTTGACCCGAAGCGTTACCAGGGTAAACTAAGCCGCAGCCGCTACTTTGACGACTACTTCTTTGATACATTAGATATTCTGCGACCAGTTGCCAAGAAGCATGGACTGAGCGAGGCTGATTGTGCACTACGCTGGCTGTCTCACCACTCTCAGCTGAGAGCAGAGAAGGGTGATGGTGTCATCGTTGGCGCCAGCAGCCTGAAACACTTGGAAGAGAACCTAATGGCTCTTTCCAACGGACCGTTGCCTGAAGAGGTGGTTGAGGCCCTGAACAAAGGCTGGGAAATAGTTCGGGGTAAAGAGCTCAAGTTCTGGCACTGAGCAGCTTATATTCCGCGGAGAAAGGATCATATACCTCGGTTAGGCCAGTCTGTCGCCAACAGCGCAGTTCTTTTTACATGGTGACAAAAGTCAGTGTCACAATATTGGAGAATCGATACCCCCAAAGATACGAAGATCGCTATTTATTTTCCACTCTATCGATTCTCTTTCTTCCCTTTCCGACAATTTGTTATCCTCTTCTTCGAGATCGAGGGGATGGCTCAGTTCTGTTACTTTTGAACGCTTCCTGGCTTGGATTTTCTATGGCTCAGATTTTGTTGGGAAGATGGTGCCACGGAGCTATTGAAATCACTGCATTCGCGAGTACATGCGTGGGTAGTCATAAATTGACTATGTTAAATATGGATTTACCTGTGAAGTGGATGATCGATACCAATCGTGCGTAGAACAGAGTCCAGCTCATTTAACGATTCAAGAAACATCAGAGCGACCTAGTGGGTAAAGATAGATCTAAGTACTTAAGAGATGATCGGATTTTCAGATCGCTTGACAAGTACGTTAATCCCATTTCACACCGTCCATCTGGCCCATCTGTTGCACCCACGACTCAATGTCGAAATTTGACAGAGTGAAATCATCAGACATCACCGCACTGTCGATGTGGCTGGGTTCAAAAGATAACATGGTACCGGATACATGGAAATCTGCGGGACTTGCCGTGGTAGTATTAGACGGGTATCCGATACCCATCCAGCCTGAAGCAGCAGTATCCACTATCTGGCTGGGTTGATGAGTCGCAAGTCCGGGCGCTTGAAACTCGGGCTGTGATAAAGACTGCTTTTTGAGATGGCAGAGATTCAAAACCTGTAACGCTGAACTTGCTAGAGACAACCTTTCTTTCACCAGATCAAGACGATGTCTAGCCTTCTCGATTGCATGATCAATCCGATATGACAGAGCAGAATCTGATGGTGGGTATTGAAGAGTGATGACAGACAGGAAAGTAGAGGCGTCAACAGTGTAGACAGAGAGGGCATAGATATTAGAATACTGCGTGGCCATAAGGTCGAAGAGGCGTTCTTGTGCATCCAATATGGAAAGCGCCGATTCAATCGCAGCATTACGGCTGGCCAAATGTGTCTTTGAATGCGGTTTGTGTAGGGCCAGCAGGAATGAATGCGCGGCGGTTGCTATTTGTTGACGTTGTTTAGGAATGTGCGTATGGGTTAAATCCCAGGACGTGTCTGGGTTTACCACTCTGTGCACGGGAGGTAAATTTCTTAGTAGGGTCAAGATGCGTTCATGCAAATTCTTGACCCAACAATAATCTTCGAGATGGCGTACATGAATGCCTAGCGACATGGCTTCATGGATCTGCTGACAGACGGCGTACTGGAAAAGATGTGGTGTGAAGGATGAAGGAGGCTCATGAGAGAACAAAGCTGTTGGAATGGTTCTCGATGGATCTGCAGGGATATCGCGATCTGATGGTGGAATGACCGTACAATCACTGTTATTAATTGCTCGAGGTCGGCCAAGAGTAAAAGCCATATGGCTACCTTCATTAGCATGGGCTGTTTATTGAAGTAGGAAAGCCGAACCTATCCCAGGAAAATAATTTGATCCATAATCTTCGCTTGTATTCATCATACCACAGCAAATCAAGGGTCTCTTCCAGTGGTAATTGCGCTTTCTGGATGACCTTAGCCTGTCGGTGGAGTCCCAAATCTTGAGCCATTCTGTTCAGAATCAGACAAGGTTTGCGCTTTTGTTAGACGATGATATTGAAGCTAACCTAATTGCTCCACCTAAAATGTGCCATGCTTCTCTCCCACGACTGGAGTTTTTCAGCCACAATGCCCTCATAAGGTCATTCTGTACGGCGGTAATTGCAGGGTCATGTCTTCCCACAACACGAACGATTTCCATCCCCCTCGCAGAGAAATCACTAGAGAGACAGTCACGTTGAGTGAGACTGTCTATCCTTAAGGATTGAATAGAGGGCATGTTGAGTGGAGTAAACTGCAAGGCAATAGCAAGGACCTGGAATATTAGGGCTGGAAAGTAGAGAAGATCTCTAGACAATCCTTTGAGATGGCCATTATCTCTAGAATTATTATTGAGATCGCACCAGGAACTGTAGAGTTTTTCAAAGTAATACTTTTCCAAGAGGGCGAAATACCAATTAGCCTCTGAGAAATAGACTTCGATAAGTTCTCGGGTGATTGCGTGGGAAGGGATCATTGCACACAAATCAGAGAAGTTGCGCCATGTTTGCGATGTTAAAGGTGAGCTGTATGTGGAGCTTGGAGCCCGTAGCTGGCTATCACCTCCCATGAGCTATTCCATCTCCGTCAGCTACACAGCATTACCAAGAAAAGGATCCTACACTGACTTCATGCAGCTCCAAGAGCGTGTTTCCTTCGCTGGGCCCACTATATCCACTTTGATTCCGAATTGTTTGGTCTGTGAATATCTCTGAAGGTAAACCATCATTAATCGTTGAGGGTGGGCTTTGCAGGGGTGGTTGGTTTGTTCTGGAAGTCGATCCATCGTCGACGCTACGAGTGTATCGTAGTGGTTAGATTGGAAGACGCTGGCTGTGCACGGGTAGATGTGGCAAAGCATGATTTCAAGCAGCCACGCCAGCCCATACCTTTCTGGATATTCATATGTACACCTATCCGGGACATCCCTTCCTATGCACACGTTGCATGGCCTCTCACGGTCGCACTATCAATAATTCATTTAGTACTCAAGATGGCCCTCCTTCAAGAATACCGAGAGCTGATTGCCGGGCACCTTTTGTTTCCTTCGACGGCATTCTGTGCACGCCGTTACAGGGCGTTTGCGACTAGTAGGTACCAATGTGTGCATGGTATGAGTAAATGCTAACGATAGTCGTCTCGAGGAAAACGAGAGAACCTGTCGTCGAGGATCTGCAAAAAAAGTGTGGCGCGGTAAGTTATCACTTAGTCATCCTACAGAAGCCTCAGGTCGGCCAAATCTGTTGCAGCACCAGGATTGGTGGATATCCGTAGAAAGAAGAAACTGATACTGTATATCCGCCTAGATTAGTCATGTTTCTGCCCACCTAAATTGCCAGATAGGGGCTTTATAGCGATTCAGACCTATTGTGATTCCTATTGGTGCACCTACATGGCTTGACCATCTCTGTTCCGACAAAATCATTGTTATTGGCTCTCGACAAGTGACTGTGATGCACACAGCCAAGGGCATAATCCACTTGAGGTGAAATTCATCAAATAAATTGAGCTTGGTTCCATCTAGGACTAAGACGAGAAGTTTGCAATGGACGAGGAAGACAAGGGTTAACAGATTTAATGCGATGGAGATGAAACTTTTATACTAACAGAAATTGAACGACCCGGAAGGATTGAACTTGAAGATTATTGGTAAGACCTGGATTTCCTACTCAGTGAGCAAAAGCGGCGACGGGGTGAGCACTAGAACGGAAGGGGAGGCTAAGACTTGCCAGGCATTTTTGGGTATACATGCTCATTTATGGGAGAGAGAGAGTTCAGCTGTTGTTTTTCTAGTCGCACTTGTTAGTGTTCTATCCTATGGGAGTTCTGTGTTGATAGCTCAATGGTTCTAAACCGACTTCCATCCCTCTCCGGGGATCGTGATCCTTGATCAGTGGACAGTCCAGACTATGAAACGAGTAGTAGCAGCAGCAATTCTAGAAATAATAGTAGTTCTATTCCGTCGTTGCAGCGCAAATAGAGTGAGTGGCCTCGAAGCCTCACGATGATCGACATCCCGCTCTTCCCGCCTCCGCAGTGCATTTCCCGTTCCTCGCGTCCTCCTCCTTTCTTCCAACCCCATAAAATGTCCTCCTCAACGACCACCGAGCCCTCAGCCGCCATGCCGTCTCGTCAATTACTCCATACCTTGTTCAATTCCCTCGCCAACTCCCGCTGGACGCTAAGCCGCACACTGCGCAGCGACAACCCCCTCGACATCAACGGCGACCTGCGGGGCACCGCCACTTTTACCGCACTCCCCGGCCCCTCCCACCGCGACTGGCTCTACAGCGAGGAAGGCGAGCTTCCGAGCGGCGTGCGGCCCGGCCTGCCGCCGGGCATGCGCTGGACGAAAAAATACATCTGGCGGGGCAGCGAAACCGGGCGCATCAGCGTGTGGTTCGTCAAGGTCGCCCCGGGGCCCGAAGAGGCAGACTACCTCTTCCACGACTTCGACTTCGGAGACGCGGAGAGTGCGGTGGCAGGAGAACAGACAACCAAGGAGGGTGACTCCTCAGACGACTTCATCCAGCCCCCGATACCCCCGGCCATCACGACGTCGGAGGGGGAGACAACCGTGCTGGCGGCCCGCGGGAACCACCTCTGCATCAATGACATGTATCGCACTGCCTATGCATTTCGCATTCGGCCGGACACCGGAGAGGTGTTGAGCTGGGCCAGTCGCCATGTAGTCCGAGGCCCGAAGAAAGACCAGGATATCATCAATCGCTATGAGCGGAGTGAGTGATCGCGGGCGCATAACCGATAAACCGAATCGTTCCCCCACCACCACGCATCTGAGGGTTCAATGACACTCCGCTCTCAACTATCACAACACACACACATATAAATATCACGAGACCAGAGCCCACAGCAAGAATGGTGGAAAGAGGCCTTTTTTTAAACAAAGAAACACTTGCTTGTCATCACTTCCATAAAGCGTTATCTTGTTCTTCTTTACTGGCATACTACAAAAGCGCATCGCATTGCATTTCCATTCCCCGAATTGCCCCACTTCCCTGTGATGTCCGAATCCTTCACATGGTATACAAGAAATCCGGCCGCTTATCACCCAAGAGCTCGACCTCACTCTGGCCGAGGCCCTCAACCCAGTGGTCGCGCTCGCCGCGCCGACGCTTGGCGTTCTCCCGACGCAGGAGGACATACTGCAAGATTGAACCGCCAAAAAGGAACAGCACCAGGTAGCCAAGCACGACGCCGTGGCCCGGGTAGAAACGGGGCTTGTCCTTTTCACGGTAGATGTTGGAGGAGACGATACCGTTGAGATTACCCCAGCCAATAATGAAGCCGAGGGAGACCCCGCGTTTGTAGACCCCTACAAGGAAAAGAAAGGGGGCATCAGTCCTGATCAGATGAAGGCCGGGCGATGATGGAAGACCAGGGGGAAAAGATCGAACTCACCTTCAATATTGTTGCTAGACCAGGAGATGGTGTTCGCGATGGCCGGATAGATGCCCATAGCCCCCAGGAAAGTTCCCGCGTAGCGAGCACCGGGGGATTCACACCCCAGAAGCATGGCGAACCCGACCATCCCGAGGATGGACACGGCGATATTGCAGATACCACGCTGTCGGGTGCGGTCGGCAATGAAGCCAATCGAGATTGTCAAAACGGCGGCCGCAGCATAGGGCGGCACACTGAGCAGCTGGGCTTTGATAGAACTATAGCCTAAAGAGTAATAAAAAAATGATTAGTTCCAAAGGCCCGTGGACCGGCTTCTACAAGGAAAGAAATACCCTGTGTATGGAAAGATTAGCTTCGCGTTCCCTTCACTTGCATTAGCGAGGCCTGCAGGCGCACTCACAAGTTCACTGATAATAGTAGGCACAAACAGCGAGAACGCGTACAGCGATCCATCGGCTCCCATATAGATGATTGCCCCAGTCCAGGTCTTCCAGTCTTTGACACTAGCCCAGAAATACGACATCTTAAACTCCTCGTGCTCCGCGCTCGACTGCTGGTCCAGCGCCAAGCGGCGCAGGACACGCGCGCGGTCCTCGGGCGATAAGAAGGTCGCCTGGTCAGGGAAGTCATAGACACACCAGAAGGAGGCGACGCCAATAACGATCGTGGCCAGTCCCTCCAGGATGAAAATCCACGACCAGCCCGGTTTCCCGCCCACGCCATCCATCTTCGCAATGGCAGCGGCGAGCAGTCCACCGAAGGAGCCGGCCAGGGCAGCCGCAGAGAAGAAAATCGCCATGCGCACGCCGAACTCCGACCGCTTGTACCAGCAGGAGAGGAAGTACCCAACACCCGGGAAGAGTCCGGCTTCGCTGAGGCCCAGGAACCACCGTACAGCCATCAGGCCGGAATAGTTCTTGACGAGGCCCATGCAAGTCATGCAGATACCCTATTCAGTTTACAAAATGTCAGATATGAGGGCAGAGATAATTTTCGGGAGTGCACCACCAGCTGAGAGGGGTAAAGGATCGATACCCAAGCAAGCATGATACATGGAATGAAGATACTGGGCCGCAGCCGTTTCAGGAGGATGTTGGTCAAGGGTTCAAAGACGGAGTACGAGACGAAGAAGATGGTCAGGGTGGCATTATATTGGTCTGCGGTCATATCGAGGTCCTGTGAAAGTCCATCGATTTTGGCATTGCCGATATTGGTCCTGACGAGGGATGAGCCAGTGAGCTCGTGGGGGGGCCGGATGATCATTGTATATCGAAGCAACTCTCTTACCGATCAAGGAACGACACAAGGTAGAGCAGACTCAACCAGGGCACAAGGCGCAGATCCAGCTTCCAGAGAAGTTTGCGATCCTGTTCAAGAAGCGCGGTTAATAGCTGCAGCGATCGACGGGCCGACGTTCATGCCTGCAGGCGCGGGCATGGGCCGAAAGGGATGTGTTTGGGTGAATCGCCATGCATACAATCTTCGCTCTCTCTTCCTCACTCAGTCCCGCATCCGGGTCTTCAAAAGTGGCCAGCTTTCCTGAAGCATTGGGGTCGAGATCCTTCTCGTGATCCGAGAAGGACTCGATGACTGGCTTATCGTCCATCACGGAGGCCATGTTGGTCGGTTCACAGGCTACGGTTTAGCTAGGGGAGTCAGATGCGCTGTGCACGACAGGGAGAGGCTGCCGGACAGGGGGAGAGAGCAGAAGAAAAAGAAGCCCTCCGCGCCAGCATGGCAGCATAAACAGGGTCATCGTGAGCCGCGAGCGGGGTGTCCTCAGCAAGCGAGCTTAGCAATCCGCATACCGCTGACGAGGGTCCAACTACAGTATGTTGCGTCGGGCCAATGGGACCAGCAGCCGCCGAATCAGAAGACCAGGGTTGGAGAAGGGCTCACAAGCCCGAAGGGACTATTGCTTGGACGATCCTCCCTCAGCGGAAACCGAGTGGAACGGGGAGGAGAGGGGAGCCAATCCTCGAGGATCGGCGGCCAAGATACGGATACGATCAGCGCGGGGAGGCGGAGGTGGAGAAAGCCCGGGGCAGAGGAAGAGGCGCCGCTCTTCATCTTCTGGAAGGGCGGACCAGGGGAGAATTGGAAAGTACTGAGAGGATCGAAGATCGGAGCGTGGAAAGAGGTCGATTTCCGGGGGGTTGGAGGGTATGCGGCTTACTCTTGGTGATTATCCGACCACTTGGGGGGTTGCTGAGACGAATATAGACAAGCTCTTGGCTCCTTTTCTATGGCTTTTGTCATCCAGTGCCACTATTAGGGGGCCCCCCGCTGTTACCTCTATGACTACAACCACCACCACCACCACCCCATCACTGTTCAAATATCCGAGTACAGCAGTTAGGCGTATGGGCAGTTGGTATGTTCATCCCTTTAGAGGTGGACCTCTCTGTACGTTGCACGTTGCACGCTGTACGCTGTGCATTCGGGAGTTCGGAGAACCGAATTTCAGCACGCCAGCCCACTCGGCCGCAGAAGAAGTGCGGCCGGGAAGGCAAGTCGCGCCCGCAGCGTGAAAGGGGCTCGTGCGGGGCTTTGATTTTTTAAGTTGCAAAGGACCCGGGGAAACAGTCCGGAAGTAAATTCAGGGTGGGGAATGTTTACTAGAGCCCCCCTAACAGACCAAAATCAGATCAAAATCAGTGTCAAATTGCCTGCGCCGTATCAATGCTGAAAACAACTAAACCGCCCGCTATGTGATGATGACCCGTATAAATCCCTCCCCCTAACCTCCACCACAAATGCGCCGATTGGCACACGCAAAACCCTCATAACCAATCGTCGGACAAGGTCAAACAAGGGAGCATGGGTCGGGAGCCGTTTTCACCCAGACACCCTTGAGCTTCTCGTGATTGACCAGGATGCCACACGCCACGGCCGCCATTTTAATGGAATGAAACCGAATGGTGACCTCGTCCGCAAGGTCCCGCTCCCCAAAACATTCAACATAGTCGCGGCACCTTGACTCCTTCAGCACCTCATAAATGTCCTTCTTCAGGTGCTTTTGACGACGCGAACAGACAACCAGGCATCGAGTACGGCCGATCTTGGTAACCTCCGTTTCCGTAGCCGTGCTCATCAGGTACGTCGGAGTTGGGACGGGGCGTACCTCCACCGCGGTGAAGCCGATATAGAACCCCTCCTGCGCCACCCGGCGGAGGAAATTCATCGCTCCCTTCTGGTGGACGAAGGTCACCATGGCGGTCGGGCACCCAGTGATGGCCCAAGTATTCAACAGGGATGCGGAATAGATTGGACCCCCTCGAATGCGAGGCAGGATCTGACTGAGCGTGGCCGCGGAGGGCAGCTCATTGATGACCACAGTCCGGTACACATTGTCGTGACTGGGATCGGGGACATATCGCAGGCCCCACTGGAAGAATGAGTTGTCTCTCACGCCTTGAAAGAACGTGTTTGATCCGATCAAGGCCGCCTGGAACTCCTCTTCCTGGTCTGCAAAGATACTCGAGTCGTTCATCGCCCATTGCAACCAGTTCATCCATGTGGGCTTCCCAGGTGTTTGCTGCAGAGTCAGGTTGTGCCTTTTAGTCATGGACCTCTTCCGCGGCGGAGTTAGATTGTCTTTCATGGAGGCAGAACTCTGAGCCGGCTCCAAGAGAACTCGGGTCTTGGGGGGGACAAAGGTGCTGTCGCAAACTTCAAAGTCAATGGGAGAGCCCTGGGGATGAAGTATTAGTTTCAGCCCTGTAAGGTTGAAAAGGGCAGATGTCAATACAGACCTCCCGAATGATCGGGTCGTCTGATGTCGACTGTTCAGGCGACAAATTCTGACTACCAAGGAATGTTAGACGAGAAATGGAGTCAAGACACTCCACGGGCACAGCAACATGCAGATGTCGGCAGTAAGAACCACAATTGGAATATGACTAAAAGGTTTATAGGAGCCATGAGGAGATATTCTTGTCATCTTACCTGACGGGTTGCAGCGGAGGGAACTCAAATTGGTCCGCCGAGACGTCCAGGAGACTCAGCGTCATCAGCGGACGACGCACTTTCAGAGTGGGATTGGTATCTTCCATGTTGGTGGAACCTTTGTCCGGGAAATTGGCAACTGGATTGAGACGAGAGGGTCTGAAGATCGAAAGAAATGCGGGGATCCACAGAGAAAGAAGGTAAACAAGCAGGGCAAGGAATGACACGACGAGAAAGGTCGACGAGGTCTCGAGGGAAGGTGCGCTCATCATCACGTGTGACTTCAATTCTCGGTTCTCGTGTGGGAGTTACAGGTCTTGGAAATATGAACACCGGGAATTCAGTTCATTGCAAATGCTAGCGAGAAAGCGGAGAGCGATATGGTGATAGAGCAGGTGAGTGATAATCAAGAGAAGAAGGGGCAATGTTCGGCTAAGTAGCTGGAAATGATATACAGTTTAACGGATAGGTACATCGTATCACCATTCGACAGGTATCTAGCAAAGCGGATGAGAAGGTATACACCAACAACAACAAGAGCTGACAAGATGGAGCACGGCAGCAACAGCAACAATCAACCTCCAACGTCGACCAAATCTAGCCAAGAAATTCTCCACTCGCCAGAGCAATCCACGGCAGATTCTCATCCCAACAGTGCTGCACCAATTGCCGAGCGTTTTGAATCTGAAAAGGCCATGTCAGTGGAGAGCGCTTTGTCAGGTAAACAGTGGAGGATTGAGGGCTACATACCTGCTTCATACCAGACTTCTCGAGAACGAGGAACCGGTTCAACAGTCGAATCCGCTGGGATTGATCCCGAGACTCACATCCTGCGGTAAACAATGGAAATAGCGAACACACCTCAGTGGACGCACCGAGTCGCATGCGTCCCAATGCGCCAATAAGTTTACGAAGAGCATCCTTGACAGGAAATGAGTCAGGGGAGGATCCCAGAACACGCCGGTGGAGATGCAGAAGACCGGCACATCGAAATGCTTCTTCGGTTGCCATCATGTCATCACCCTCAACCCCCAAATGATGCTCCGGGTTGGCATGGGCGCGCTCACTCAAGTCATCAAGATCACCAAGAACCGCCTGGGCCTCCATGACCATATCCGCGGACGGGTGCCAGCCGGGTCTGAAATTACCAACCTCGTCAAAGCGCTCATTGTCACATTTCTGGACCAATTGTGCAAGACGGAGAAGAAACACGCCAGTGCGAGGAGTGAACCCCGTGAAGCAGTCTACACAATATTCATCATGATTGCTAGGACGGCTACAAGCCGCCAACACGGAATCGTACAGCATCAAGGGCGGACCTGCTTGGCGACAAGAAAGAGCCCCCATTGTGTCAATGTACCCAAGCCAGCGGGCGAAGAAGGCTCCAATGCGATTCCCTGGTTGCGCGATGCGATCGCTTCGCGCCAGAAACAAATCACGGGCGAGTTTGAGATGACTCTGCCACGGGATAGGGACCTCAAATGTTCCGGGGCAGACGATCTTTAACGACAAGAGCAAGATAGCCGTTGCCAGATGGCCATCGGTGATCTCTTCTTTGGAGGCTTCCAATGCGACCCGTAGCGTTGGGAATACATCGCTGACCCAATGTGCGATTCGGTTGGCAGGCTCTGGGTGTCCCAGATAACGGGCCCGATGGCTTGCTGAGTACGCGAGCAGCAAGTTAAGAAGATTAGGGTCATCAACGGCCACTATTCAGTCAGCATACGAAAATAGGAACAAGATCAATCGAAAGGGAATCTCGAAAACTTACTAGACGGCAAAACCGACATAAACGGGTTATTATCACAATCATGAGGAACAAGCATTTTAGATGTGTGGTTGAGAAAGTGATGAAAATATAGCAGATTGATCGGATTCTCCAAGAGTGTCGCTGGAAGCGGGGAAAGGTATCGCGGAATATTGATTGGAACGGGAGCCGCATAGTATCCACTGAAGTCAGACTTCTGCAACCCTCCATCACCCTGTGCAGCAGGCGATGAAGTCTCGCTACCCCTTCCACGTGAGCTGATCGAGTTGAGAGCTGAGTTAATATCAATGGCGGCGTGGTCATTGTTTAAAGCAAGATCTCGATCTGGACGTCCACTATCAAGCCCATAGTTGTCGGTGACACTGGTCAAATATGCCTGCCACTTGCTCTGTGCGGCCAAGGAATCATTTGCGCCTTCATCGCCTTCTGTTATCTCGGTTGAGAAAGTCTCAGAGGCATGGAATGAATGAAGAGACTCGGTATGTGGACCATGTGTTGAGGCGGGTGTTGGTCTATCATGACCCGGGGATGGCGAGGCATTAGAACCAAGCAGCAAAGCGGAGAGGCCACTTTGACCTGGGAGCTCGCCGGAATGCCCATCCGAGTTCACTGTTCCATTCATCTGAAATCCGATGCCACTGTCATCTCGTCCCATGGAGCCTCGGTGAGATGGCAGTCCTTCATTCTGATTTGGAAATGACGAAGCATCGGATGGGTGGCTGGTCAGGTCCACCGAGTTACGAAGGTATGAAACGGGCTGTGATACTGAATTGGAGTGAAATGCAAATGCGGAGAGAGATCTAAGACCAACTGCCTGGTCTGCAGCCGGAGAGAACGATCCATGGAAAGACTGTCCAAAGGGAAACTGAGAAAGTGATCCTGAAGACGTTGGTGTCAATGGAGAAGGCTCTAACCAACTGGAAGAGTATTGTATATCTCCCTGTGGGGGTGAATTTACCCCGTCAGATCTTGGATGAGGAGGGTTGGGCGAGTCAAGAACGCCAAAAGTGGCGGGTGTGCTGGGTGAAATTGCTCCCGGAGAGCCCACCCCTACAGGTCGGAGGTTCACGAACCCATCTTGGGGGGCATGGCTGAGGGATGTGGGTATCTGAGCTCCACTCACAGTGCTGGTTGGCATACAATCAGCAAACCCAATCACGGTGCCCCCGTAGCCATTAGACATGGAGGTTGGCGAGTCAACCGAGGACCGCTTAGTCCGGCCACCCCAGTTCAAGCGAACGCTATAGTCGCATGCCTCTCCTTGCCGTTGGCAGTTGAGACAAGAGGGCTTCTCCTCGCCACTGCAGGCTTTGATTAGATTGCTCATGGAGATCTAGAGAAGGGGATTGGTATATCCTTACCACTTTACTTTGCGGGCCTTACATGGCCTAGGGGATGTCGTTAGTCTGGCTGCAGCATATGGGCTGTGATTTCAAATCAAAAACTTACCAGCATCCTTTCCGACTCCTACGCTTGGGTTCTGGCGCGCCAGGACGTCGAGGGCGAGGCATTGCACCTCGGAACTATTGCGAGTGATGCCCGGCGCCCAGCAAGAGAACGGCGCACAAAGACAAATAAAAAGATGAGGACTCCAAATAGCCCCAGGGTTCAAGTTCGGGAATGCCGCAGCCATGCATAAAACGACGAGCAGCTTGATCAAGCGCCTTCACGGGGCTCCCTGGTCACAATTGGTGCGCTTTCGGCGTTTGCAACTGTGTTGGCCCCAAGTGGCGACGAAACGATAATCGACGAGACACCCACACCTAGTATACAAGCACATCGAGGTGTGGGAGGGAGATGTGCCCAAGACAATCAGGGTCCAGCTGCGGGGGCAGCAATGAGAGGCTCTTTCAACTTATCTGCAGGGATCAATGCCGAGAAACAATATGGCAGATGACGATCGTGATGATTTCGCGTGGCCGCGTCTGGGGATGGAAAATCCGGGGAAGGTCCCACACGATTTGACAGGCCTCTAGAACCCTACAATGCCTTTTCACTGCACACAAGCGTGGAAAAAAGGGGGAAGAAGCCAGGGAGCGTGACTTTCACGGAGCAGATTCGTATCTGGAGGGCGTGAAAGTGTGGGGAAAGCGAAAGATAAGGCTGATTCAGCCGGAGGTCGGGAAAACCCGCGGTCCGGGACGGCATACCGCGGCTTACCGGTCACGTGGCGTGCGTCATAGCGCGGTGCTCGGGTGCCAAGGTTGCCCCGATAGCCTCCGTCACCCCGACCGTCCGGGGTTCTTGCTGGTTCCTGACAATCTCGAAACAACCAAAACTCAAACCGCTCGTCCCGTCATGTCCCAGCCTTTCTATGAGCGGCATCCGTTGCAGCGGATACCCAGTCCCTCGCGGGGTATCTCTGCCCTGATTCATGTAAGTCCTCCGTGTTGTCCCGTGGTTCGTTGCTTATCAAGATGGGGAATCGCCTGTTGCTAATGTCGGTAGGTAATTGGGCTTGCAAGCTTTCTATGGTCTTTCAAATTGTATGTCCCGTCGATGACACTCCGGGCGATCTGTGCCAGACCCTAATTTACGTAAAAACCCACACTCACTGTTCCCACACAGCATGCATGAGAACCCGAATCGAGCGTAGGTTGATCCCCAGAGAGGAGGGACACTCACCGGGGTACGAGCCCTGCTGATCAAATTTTTCCAGCAACGAGGCCTATGGCTGGCACTTTCAGTACTTGACCGTGATCGGTTTGAGCCTATCTACGCTGACGTTCGCGTTTGCCTTGGTGGCCGATGTGACTCTGTCGCGACGGCTGTTTTTGATCAAGAACCTGTTGTCGGTCTGCAGTGCGCCTATGGAAGTGCTCATTAGCATCCTCTACTGGGGTTTACGGGTGGTAAGTGGAGACTCAGAATCTCTTTGGTCTGATTGACCCATCTGACCGACTTGGCCAGATCGATGAGCGATTGGTGCTCCCAGATTGGGCCGTGATTCCTCTGCATGCTGGTACGTTCCCACATCGTAGCGGCTCATGCCGAGCAAGAACTAACACCTACCGGCAGATATCGGCTTCCATGCCGTCCCGGCCATCGTAATGATGGTAGACTTGCTATTTCTGTCACCCCCGTGGACTATCACAGCTCTCCCCTCCTTGGCGCTGTCTGGAACTATTGCTTTCGGCTACTGGTTCTGGGTAGAACAATGCTTTTTGTACAACGGATGGTGTGTGCAGAATTTTCGCAAACTGAGAGTCTAGAGTACTAACTTGTGACAGGTATCCTTACCCAATTTTTGAGCAGCTACCCACTACAGGCCGAATTGGCCTGTTCTCCCTCAGTGCTGTGGTGATGGTGCTGAGTACTGCGACCCTGAAGTGGCTCTATGGTCGACTGAACGGGTTCGGGACGCCCAGTCCTCCTAAATCCCGCCCCGGAGACATCAAGCGAAAGGACGGATTGTAAAATTTCGGTCCCAGTGTTGGCTATGATCCAGTGCTCAGATGAATAACGATTATGGACCTTGGGAATTATTTTTCGGCGCGACAGAGTTCATAGAATATGTGACGACGTTTCAAACGGATACATTAGATTTGTATGCAATATATCTCATTTTGTGTAATATACGTAGTTGTTCGTGTACGGGGTGCACTAGATTTAAAATGAGTGCTTCTAGGACGTCAGTCTCGGGGCATGTGTGTAAAATATACATGTACATATTTATACCACTACCGGGGCATTATATTCAAGAGTAATGAATATTACAAAGTCAGAGATGTCTGTAATTTTCTTCTATGATTTTCGGCGGTCTTCACTCGGATAAGCTCCCATGTGCCTCACAAGAAGAGACCTAGCACGTCCTGCTTGTTTTACCCTTCCGCGGAGCTTGCGTCATTGGGATTGGCTGGAACTGTCGCGCAGCTCGGACCTGCTTACATAATCGAACTGCACGCCAACTCGAAGTTCCCTGGAAACAACGCAACCTCTGGTTGAATTTGACTCCGCGGCGATCCAAAAAGTCTCCAATACCGTAAAAATGTCAGTTCGTTCAGTTTTCAGCGGCCGTGTCGGCTCCAATGCCGTCGGCACACTCGTCCGTCTCTCTCCATTCGTCCAGTCCGGCTCGACAGCATCTCAGCAACTGGCGCGCCTGCACTCCACCTCCGTCCGGCCAACCTCATGTGTAGCACAGACGCCGGCAATCCGTCCCCATGTCCGCGAAGTTCCATCTTCCTTCACTCGCCAATCTGGCCTGCGGGCGCAGTCTACCTCGGCAGCGGCCAAGGATGAGGTGAAACTCGATTGGAACTCGTTCTTCAAGCTTCGCGCATCTCGCCGCCGATACTCTTTGGCGTCTTCAATTGCCAGTTCTCTCTTCACCACTACACTCGGCGTGCAAGTCCTATCATCGCAGGATCTGGAGTCTCTAGGTGCTCAGGTGATGGGTCTGGACCCCTTTGTCGTCCTCGGCATGGCCACGGCGGCCTGCGGTGCCGTTGGTTGGCTGGCAGGACCATTCGTCGGAAATGGCGTCTGGGGTCTAGTCTACCGACGGTACAAGCCTTCAGTAGCTACGGTAAGTCTCCTGCTCGTTGCGAGACTTTGAAATTCAAGAAGGACTTTTTCTTAACCCTTCTACCTCCCCTGCCATAGAAAGAGAAAGAATTCTTCGACCGTATCCGTCGTTTCCGTGTGGATCCTTCGACCAACTCGATCGCCAATCCCGTTCCCGACTATTATGGCGAGAAGATCGGCAGTGTTCAGGGATATCGACAATGGCTCAAGGACCAGCGAGCATACAACCGGAAGCGTCGTAACTTCATTGTCTAATCTCCTTTTTCGGTTTGGTCTGAGGCATTGGCATCGTTCTTTCATTCATTCATGTTTATAAGCTTGGCCCTGCCTGAAACGCCCCACAGTTTCAAGGCTGCTTGGTCTTTTTCTTCTTTTCTATGGATCGGTGTTTTGCTTTTCGACCTCATTAGCGGCGCGGGCGAGCGGGGGATTCCATTGTATTTGAAAAATCTCTTTGATAGCGCCAAATATTTCTATTCATCTCCCATAAATCCAAGAAGGGGTCTAGCTTTCCTTTCCGAGCATGCACGCCATTGGGTTTGGTGGACGTCGAACCTGGAATTTCAATTCTGATAATTTCATGTCACAGAAAATTGATAGTAGCTCGGCAGCTAGAGAGGCATACATCGTCAATCAAATCAAACACTGAACCAATTGAATCAAAGAAAACGCAGGCATCCAATTGATACGATCATCAACAAATGTGCCTTGGAGAGAATCAAAGAAGAAGTCAGGACATTTGGAGGATGCGGATGATGAATGTCCAGTGACCAGCAATGGACCTATTATACGAGACGTATTGTGTCCCAGATGCTTCCAGAGTGGATATAGAAACCGACAAAATGTGTGCGCGGACAAACCAGGGTACGTTGACCTTGTGCTGCGTGCCGAGGGATCGACGCTGCGCACAGAACAAAATAAAAAGAGAGAAAGCAGCCCCGCATATGCCTCTGGCATGTCCTACAACACACTTATGCTCACCATGTATCCTATATCGAATGCTGGTAGCATGTCCTCGCGTCGCAAACCCTATGTCAACATCTGTACAATTGGCCATAATGGCCATGGCAAGACAACACTGACGGCTGCTATCACTAGGACGTTGGCCGCTAAGTTCAGCTCGACGACCATGATGCCCTACGAGAAGATTGAACACGCACCCGAGAAGAAAGTCTATGGTACCACCATCCGGGCCGCCCACGTCGAGTATGAGACCGAGACTCGCTGCTATAGTCACGTCGACTGCCCTGGTCACACTGATTACATCAAGAACATGCTCAGCAGCGCGGTGCAGATGGACGGCGCGATCCTGGTCGTGTCAGCGATAGACGGCCCGATGCCGCAGACTCGCGAGCAGATTCGACTGGCACGACAAGCGGGCGTGCCGAAAATCGTTGTCTTTCTGAACAAGTGTGACCTTGTTGACGACGAGGAACAGCTTAAGCTTGTGGAAATGAAAGTGCGTGAGCTGCTGCACGAATACGACTTCTTAGGCAACAACGTGCCGATCATCAAGGGTTCGGCGCGGAAGGCACTGGATGGAGTCGGCGGGGAGCTAGGCGACCGCGCGATCGTAGCCCTAGGCGAGGCGTTGGACGCGTACATCCCAGCGCCAGTGCAAGTGGTGTCTCGCCCGTTCCTGATGGCGGTGGATGAAACATCCTATCTGCCTCGTTGTGGCACCCAGGTTGGTGGCATGGTGGCAATAGGGCGTGTGGAGCGCGGCATGATCAAGGTCGGCGACCAAGTCGAGGTTGTGGGCTTCGGAATGACATCTTCGACAATTTGTACGGGTGTTCAGACGTTCAAGAAGCAGTTGGACATGGCCCATGCAGGGGAAAACGTGGGTATACTGCTACGCGGCCTCAAGCGTGAGGACGTGAGGCGTGGTTGTGTGCTGGCTAAGCCAGGCACGGTCATGGTAAATGCGGATTTCACAGCAGAAGTCTACGTGCTGGATATTGATGAGGGTGGTCATACCAAACCGTTGCCTAACCACAACCAGCTACATTTCTACTTCCATGGGATAGAGATGAAAGGTTCTATCTCGTATCTAGAGAAGGGGAGGGAAACGGCAAAGCCGGGCGATAACCTATCGGTCACGGTCAAGTTGATTACGCCGATCGTAATGGAAAAGGGCCTGCATTTCGCGATCTATGAGAATGGTAGGACCCTCGGCTTCGGCGTCGTTGCGTCTATCCTCGATATATAGCCGCTGTAATCCTTATTCTCTCCTCAGATGCCTCCATGCTTCTCTCGTGCGCGCACGTTTGGTTTTTTAGACACGTACAGGAATCTTTTGGTTCTGAAGAAGGCCATTTTATCCTGTTCATGGCCGGAGTGATGCTACGGGTCGCTCGCCTTTATTGAGTAGTGCTGTGACACTGCCCAATGTCCTTATATTAGAAGAGATTCTTCAGATAGCTTTTCTGTTGTAGCCAGTGGACTCTGCCATCTCCGACATAGATAGTTCCCTGAAGTTGTTTGTGTCATAGATAAGCTTATGCGTGGAAGGAGCCAGGTCTGGGGCCATCTTTGGTTCGACCACTTGTGATTGATTGTTAAGATTCGCCTCCCGAGGAATGCTAGCCTGGGTAGCAGATGTATTGAAGTTTTCAAGTGTAACTAATAGGGGCATGCCGGAGAACTCCCGAGATAGTACCTTGGCGATGGGGCTAGAGAATCTCTCGAAGAGTGTAGTAAACGATGGGATCCAATGGAAACCAGTAATCAAATTTCGTATTTAGATTTTGCCAAATTCTTGGCCAGTTTAGTTGTCTTCTATATCTAAGTTGTGATATATCCGAGGAGAGATATCTCGGGCTCGGGCTTACGCTTCTGTCGGAGAATTCACAGGCTTTACTAGAATGATACGAGAGGGGAATGCTTGACACCCAGATCTAGTACTTGTTACCGGGTTTCTCGCAGTGAGATACGAATTTGAATATAATGCTTGTTGACACTGGTTCTAAAATGCCTGCGCCCAAAGTAAACCAAAGTAAACCTCAACATTTGTGATAATGTCTAACTACCTGAATACCTAGCGGGGAGTGTTGAACATCCCCTATCACGCTGACTAGCGCGTTACGGCGCTGTATTCCGAGTATACCCGGAATCCTATTTAACACATGTAGGGAATCGAGTATTTCTGTAATCCTCGGCCGCACAGCGGAAATCATAAACAAGAGCGAAAAGAGCATACAGAATCGTGATTCCGCCCCCCCCCCCCCCCCCAAATTACAACACTGGAACAACTCTTGCGAAAGATTTCAGAGCTTCAGCAACTTCAATAGATCATCTCGTGTTCAGTCGAGCCGCTATCTCATAGAAGATCTATTTGATGGCTTGGCGAAGGGTCCGTGGAATTTGCTGGCCACGTTGAATGCCGATACATCATTCAATCTTGCTATCTCAATTTGCAAACCGCAGAACTCTTATAAGTCCAGTACTCGTAACTCCTGTTGGAAAACTATTTTACTTTCATCGCAGAGATTGTGCTTCGCATTCTTTATTCTGCACGTCTCCATCACATATGCGGTAGCAAGGAGTGTATGCAAACAACATGTCCTTTAAATTCACCAATCGGTATACATCCTTGATCCAATTTTAGTACTACAGGGTGCTTACTAATCAGTGATTTCATTCGGTTTTTCAAATGGCCGAGAGAACCCTCGGCGAAAAAATCGGAGCTCTTACTGCAGCGCTCTTACTGTACAAGGGAGGAGATTACGGGGTGGCTTGGACGAATGGCACGAGATCTATTTAAAGGGTGAAGACTTCAGGATCCTGTACAAATGCTTGCCCTGCCGAGATATGCCTCCAGAATGAGGATGATACCATTGATAGCATAATCACCCAGGCGCCTTGGCGCCCGCAATTGCGGGGTCCCCAGCTTTATTTGATGCCAGCCGAGCCGAGGTCGATTCTTCCTTACCGAGCGCCCTGTTGTTTCATATATTATAAACGATATTCAGTCTCTGGAAAAAGGATAGAGTTCATCATATATTTACTCACTTTGACTTATCAGTGTTATCAAACAACGCAGCTCACGGACAAATCACAAAATGATATTCGATCCAGTCCCCATCGAGCTCCCAGCCTCATACGAAAAGGTCCCAACAAGCGGCCATGTCACTGTTTCACACCATCCCCCGGGTACACCAACAGCGACACCCGTTATCATAGTGACACTCAATCGACCGGCAAATAGCAATGCGTTTACCTCACAGATGGTTGGGGACTTTGAGAAATTATATCCCATGTTCGATGTCGACGAGCGCGTCAAAGTGATTGTCCTAACTGGTGCGGGAAAGGTCTTTTGCGCTGGAGCAGACCTAGACATTGGATTCAAGAGACCCCAAGAGAGGCCCGCCGATCATCGGGATGGGTAGGCATCTCCTCTGTCTATCCTTGAGAATGATTCATGTTAACGATAATTGAAGTGGCGGACGCGTCGTACTCGCCATCCATCGTTGCCGTAAACCAACAATCGCGGCCATGCAGGGTTCCGCTGTCGGAGTGGGAATGACCATGACCCTTCCAGCCATCATTCGGTATCGTCGCCTTGTCTTGACGTTGACAAGAGACCCATACTAAACCAATTTCTTTGCTAGAGTTGCCTACGCGAAGGGTAAATATGGGTTTGTTTTCGGTCGACGGGGTATCGTTATGGAATCATGCTCATCCTTTTTTTTGCCTCGCTTGATTGGCTTCTCCAACGCCAGCTATCTCGTTAGTACAGGAGGTATATTCCCACCTACTTCAAAGCACTTTGGTGATCTATTCAATGAGATCCTTCCCGAACCGTCGCAGGTTCTGCCTCGGGCACTCGAATTAGCAACTGAAATTGCGGAGAATGTCAGTCCAACTTCGCAATATCTCAACCGTGAAATGATGTGGCGAAACCCAGGCACTGCGGAGGAAGCTCATCTCCTGGAATCGAAAATTATCTGCCACACCTTTGGATCGGAGTCAGTACTTCCTATGATACCTATTTCTCCCAACGCGCCATCGATTCGCTAACCTTGCAATAGGGACCAAAAGGAAGGGGTCAAGTCGTTCTTTGAGAAGCGAAAGCCTCAATTTGGAGCCAACTTGGATAATGACCCTCCTGCTAGCGTGCCCTGGTGGATGGAAGTTGATACTGGCAGGAACCCCAAGGCAAAAACGCCTGCCAAGCTTTAATCAATGTAGACCACATCTTTTTTTGGTCCACAGTCTTAAATTTAACCAAGGACTTGGTTCCATAGATAAAATATTCAACGCGGACTTGCATCGGTATGAGAACGGCAATTCTAAACCCTCAATCTAGGTGATCATCGCTGCTGCGTAACACTGTAGTACTAGAAGTAAGAATGCTGGTGAATAACCACTTGAGAGAACCTGAGTCACCCATGCAAATAGTAATGCCGACCCTCCGGGCTGATACGCGGCACATTAGCCGGATACGATCCTCGGGGCAATGGTATTTGTTACAATAGAATACTGCTATCAAGGTAGTTGTCTGTCAAATAGGCAAGAAAATAAATGAAAGTCAGAACAGGATCGTTACTGAATCTTGAAGGGATTTCGTTCAAATGTGGAATTTTATCATTTGTTATGAACTGTAAACGGCGGACCTGTGAATTACTAGACGTGGTTAGTTTTGCCGTTCCAGGCTTAGCGTCCCGGTACGCTGTTTTGTAACCTCCTCCGTAGCCTAGACATAAAAGACCCGACCTTGGCCTTTTTAGTGTTATCAGTACCAGATGGAATCCCGCCAAGCAATTCACAAAGTAGCTAACTCACTTGTTAACGTAGTTCCCGCATGAGAGGGTCACCCAAAACATCATACTAAACGCGATTCTCCAAACCATGATATATCAACGAGTTCAAGGTTTGATTGATTCTAAGTATACAACGATCTCTTTGTATAAGAATTAGTATAGCCTAGCTTACATACTCAGAAAATGGGGACGGAGCATTCTAATGCTGTATAATTTCATATATTAAATGCTCGCGTACGGCTGCTGCGCTGGGTCAAATTTGCATCTGGCCGAATCAACATGTCGGTTAACCGGGCCAAGGGTACCCTGCTGTGCCAAGAAAAATGGGCAAAGAACACACGTCTGGTCTTGAACATGAAGGATAGTCTGTTCCGAAAGAGAGCTAGCAAGGGATACGAATGGAAGTGCAAAACGAGTTCCATTCACACCTTGATGTAAATATATACTCCATCTCTAACGCAAAGGTTCACCAAATTACCAATTTCCTCCAGCTCTGACACTGTTGTCTATTATCCCATTCACCCCAATGTAGCTTGCTACCAAGCGATTTGTGCAATGGGTCCTTTCGGCCAAAGCCGCACCGCAAGTTTGCGAATTTCATCCATGCAAAGTACTCCTACTGCAAGAGGAATTGGCAAGAACAAGAACTCCAATGGCACCGATCCAGTTCCAAAGATCTCCTGAATGCCCGGCTCTTCAGTCACAAAGATGGCAATCGAGAGACTGACTACCATACTGGCAATAAGCCAGGGGTTGCGGCGCTTCTTCCGTATCGGATCTGCCTGCAGGATCGAGAGTCGCTTGTTTCTCACACTCAAGATATTTCCCCATTGTAGGATAAGTAGACAAATGAAGTAAACACTTTGGCCAACGGTATTGAAATGTGTGAGCTCATCCTGGGTGTAACCGTTAAAGCCGTCAGAGTACTTTTCGAATGCGAAAAACATCGCGCTGGCCGGGATACCGGCGTGTTTCCAATAGTAAAGAAAGTACATGGAGTGTGCACAGACTGTTTGCATGACTCCCATGAAAAGATAGCTTTGAATGTAGACCTTCAGGTTGATCAAGTGGTCTTTCTTGTGATTTCGAGGGGGCAGATCAAGCAATTCAAACTCTTCTTGCTCCATAATGAGAGAGAGGGAGCAGAACAGATCTGTGAAAACACAAATGATAATCATCAAGAAGGACGATAACGGGAGAGGAACACCAAAGAAAACGTTGAGAAGGACAGGCCAAATTTCTGACCAGGAGCCCGCAGGGAGTAGATAACTGATGACCTTTTGAAGATTCTGGAACACCAGTCGCCCGAGACGAATCGCTTCGATGATCGAGTCGAACTTGTCCATCAAGATCAGATCTGCTGCTTCCAGGGCCACGTCACTGCCAGTGACCACTGCAACACCAACGTCCGCAGCCCGAAGAGCGGGTGCGTCGTTCACACCGTCACCAGTAACTGCAACGACATAATCACGCGCTCGAAGCTCATTGACGATTCGAAGCTTCTGGTCAGGCATAGTTCGACCAAAAACAATCTCTTGGTAGTCACAGACAACGTCCCAGTCCTCATCGGTCAATTGCGAGATTGAGGGGCCCTCGAGGAGAAGGCTTGTCTGCGACGAAGCAAAGTCTGTCTCGGTTGAAGACCTACTCGAGTTCCACCCCCGTCGCTGCACAACAGTCTCGAATGTATCAGGTGCGGCGGTTCCGCTGAAGATACCGATGTCCCGGGCAATAGCAACACCAGTCAGGCCGAGGTCGCCAGTCACCATGAAGAATCTTGCTCCGGCACGTCTACAAGATGCAACTGTGGCCGCAGCTTCTTTCCGAGGAGGATCGATGATTCCAAACATGCCAATCAGGGTGAGATTGGCGATTCCCTGGCTATGAACCTCGTCGCTGAAGGCGTTGGTCCCGAGGGATTGGGCAGGGGTGTAAGATCTTTCACACAAGAGAATAACTCGTTGAGCCTTTCGTGACATGCCTTCCTGGATCTCGAAAAGCTTCTTCCTGGCTTCGGCATCCAGAGCTCGGACACCATTTTCAGCGTAGGACCAATAAGAGCTGCAGTATGGCAAGAGGATATCCGATGCGCCTTTCATCAGAAGTAAATAGCTTTCAGGTTTGCTATCGACACCAGGAGTCTTATGTAGCGTGAGCATCCATTTATTTTTGGAGTTGAAAGGAATGCTGAATACTCGTTGGTAACTCTCGTTCAGGCTCTTGACGCACCCCGGCTGGGCTTCTTCTGCGAATCGCAAGACAGCGCCATCAGTGGGATTGCCCTGGATATTACGCGTGGTGACAGGATCCTGGATGGTACTAGGATCGAAGATGGCGTCATTGCAAAGAATAGCGGCTCTGTGGAGATTGACCAAAGGCTCAACGTTCTTCTCTTTGATTGTAGCGAAAGCTTCCTTGGCCAGAAAGGTCTTATCCGTAAAGGCCGTGGTACACACACTCATCCGGTTTTCCGTCAATGTACCGGTCTTATCCGAGCAGATGACATTCACACATCCTAGTGTTTCCACAGTGGAAAGGCCCTTCGGCAGAATGTTGTTATTTTTCATGCGGGTTGCAATCATCATGAGCGTGAGGGCAACTCCAACGGGCATTCCCTCCGGAATAAACGCGACAACGCAGCCCATGACATTGTTCAGCATAGCTACGACATCCATATACTCGTGATGGTCAACCCGTAGCCACCCAGCCCAGGTGAAGAGAAGAAGAGACGCGAGGAAGACAGTCAGACAGACGATGATCTTGACAAAACGAGTAATTTCTTGCTGGATCAGGGTCGGCTGCTCCTTCACGGAAGTTGAGGAAACAGTGATATGTCCCATGACGGTATTTTTGCCTGTCAGGACCACTATGCCTGTGGCACTTCCGTTGGTGATCATTGTCCCCATCAAGGCGATATTACGGCTCTCGAGGAAATTGCTGTCTGTCATACTAGTGGCTCCGTCAACTTCCTCGGATTCTCCCGTGAGCGTCGACCTGTCAAAACGAGTGTCCCCAGAAGTATCAACCAGGCAAAGATCCGCGGGAACTTTGTTGCCCACGCTGAGCTTGACAATATCTCCGATGACGACATCGGTCGAAGGAATCCGGACAGGCTCTCCCGATCGGATCACGGTGGCCTCGGCTGGGACTAAATCCAGGATTGCCTTCATGGTTCGAGCGGTTGACCAGTCTTGGAATGCTGAGAACGAAGCTTGCAGGAAAATCACAATCAACACAAGAATTCCGAGCCCAAGATTATATGCTTGCGGGTCCGGGTCACCGAGTGGACGCCAGCAGATGAAGAAGATGATCACACCGATCCAGAGAACCGAGCAAAACCCCCCGAAGACATATTTCAGAATCCTCTTGAGGTAGTTTGGTCGGACGTGAGGCAATGCATTCTTTCCATTACGAGACAATCGCGCCGCCGACTCAGCGGGAGAGAGACCTTGCAGAGTGCTCTCGAAGTGACCACAGAGCGCATCAACAGTCTGTCGATGGAAATCCAGGCCCTCAAAGTAATGCGAATCGTCCGGGATCTCCTGCTTCCCTTTCCTGGGACCTTTCAGATCGCTTTCTCGTTTCTCCCGAGTCTCAGATTCCGAGATCTGGAAACTCATGCGACGAAATTCAATGGGGAGGTTAGACGCCGAACGAGCATGGCTGCGAGATCGCGAGCGAGAGATTGATTTGCGGTTCTTGGATGAGATTCGACCCCGCTGTATAGGGTCGCGCTCATCGGGTCCAAAGGAAATGGCAGGCTGGGTGATGCTGACACCATATCGCTCTGTCTGAGGCTGGCTCGCATTGTCATCGAATTTGGAGTCAAGCTGCTTGCTTGAATCCTTTTCATGCATGCCAGGAAGGAATGCCAGGAAGGAAGAACAGCGGAAGACTCTGATTAGGAGAATGAGAGAATATCCAAGCCTTCTAGAATCGGAGATCAAAAAGAAGTTAGCCACAGCCCTACAGGGCAGTTGATGCACATGAGGAGATAGAACCACATACGGCAATATGCAGGTCAACAATCAGGAGTTCAAGCGTTGGTATACAATGTGCAAGAGTACTTCCTTGATGGACGCGGGTAGTATCTCTTATAGATCCCTGTGTGCTTGTTCCATTTCATGTTGTAGCGGGCCGCTTTTGAATTTTTCTTTTCTATTTGAAGTTGCTTTTACGTCAAACTCTCTATTTACTGGGGCATAAAGCTGACAGTTGAGAGCCCTAATAGAATTTGTTACTAATGCGTACGTACGGGATAAGGCAGGAAACCCCCCAGAAAAAGGAATGAAGTCGAACGTGATCTTAATATGGGGGCGATGTCGGGGGAAATCCCGCCTCGTGTAGTTAATCCCCACCCACACGAGATCTAGATCGAGCGAGGGTTTCATTCAGGGGGGACTGGCGAATGAGTGTGCTCTTCATGGTCAATGTTTAATCTTCGGTTGGAGATGCCACTAAAAGACAAGCTGATATGCTGCGAGCACGAGAAATTAATTTCATCCAATTAGTTTCTCCAGGTGGGGTCATCGTGTCAACGTCTGGTCCAATCTCAACGGTCCCGCATCCAGTGTACTTCGCTGCGCTTTCGGCGCCTCTTGAAGAATCGACCTACAAAAAATCCCTCATTATATTGCTAAAGGTGCGAAAGGAATCAGCATCAATATGAGCTTTTTATCCTACCCAATAGCCGTACCTATGATCGGACTAAGTCTCCATTGCAAAGGTGGCGATTAGCAACCCCTTTGCGACGTCGGGTGTAACTCTCCAGAAAGCCATACTGAAGGGAGATTTATAGTTCTGAATCAGCCGTATAGCAAGGCCTCATTCTCTATAGGAAGAGAAGGAAGTCCCCAAAATTGAAGAGGGCGGGAGAACGAGAGATGCAGAAAGGCCGAATCATCGCAGAAGTAGCCACTCATTTGAACTTTCATAGCCAAGATCATCAAGCAAGCTGACTGAGGTATGAATTAACGCTCAACTGAGCGTATCAAGGTTATTTTAGCGGTAGTAAGCCACTTAGCCTTCTTATGTATCGTCTTCTTTAGCCCATGGCGTCGGAACCAGCAAGGGACAGAAGTCTCTTTGCGAAATAAAACATGGTTACAGCTCATTGAGAGGTCTTCCTGCAAGATGATGAAGTCATGTACCAGCTGTTGAAAGAGGCCCTCCACAATAGTAGAGTCTATACTATAGGTCCGTTACCGTGCTCCCCCTTCCCAGACCAGTACAGACTTCATCCGTTCCCGATGGCACCATGTCTACGGCAGCAGTTCTTGATCAGCAACGAAATAACATTGCAATTTTCCTATGGGAATGAGTTGACCCCTCTGCAAGCATCTATCTTCCTCACGCTATCGACATGCGCTACATGAAAGCACGCGGCTATATAGACGGAATAGTTAGCTTTGGGCGGATCCTCAGACTTGATGACAAAGCGTCGGTAGAGGGCAGCCTGAGATTGAGCGCGCGATATATCTCCGCGAATCAGCGGCAGGAGCCTCGGCAGCCCACCTGTTGCTGTACAATACGCTTTCGAGGCGACACCGAGACGAAACTTAGCCGGAGATCAGAAGCACCACAGCGAAAGGCTAGGACAGCGCGAGGAAGAAGTGGCACTGCCTTTCAGGTCCCGCCAATTGAGGTGTCACCTCTTTGCCCTTCTCTGTTCGCGCACGTCAACGATGGACCGTCAGAGAGACGCGCTCTTGGATGATGAGTTCTTTGACGAGAACATTCCTCTTAATGGAGGAGAGTCAGCCGCGCATTCGGGGGTCGATCCCCATGCAAATTTGCCAGTCTACCGCACAATTCATCGGTGAGTGACACTGGAGAGCATGCCCCAGAGTATCACTTGCACGACTAGATAGTCTGATTTGAGGTAGCATTCGTCGAATCATCATGACCAGCATAGGCAAGCGACTTTCTGTCTGAGACCTAAGAGGCGATGCTAAGCGGGATCAAAAGATGATCCATATACGCCAGAACAGCTACGGGATCCGCAAATGAATATGTTGATTGTGAGACCCCTGGTTGATCAACTATACGATCCAGGGGATGTGTCTATCGGTAAGTCGTCACCTTTGACCAGGTTAAGCAGTTCTTCACAGATTCAGAGCCACGTGAATGGCAAGAATCAACGATCTATTGCTAATCCATGCCTCAGTTTACTGTCTTCTAGTCAATCGAACGCAATTTTTACGTGAGCAACACTATCAAGGGCATTTGCAGACTGTCAGTGTTACCCGCGCTGCCCTTTGTGAAATCATAGCTAGTCGGGTGTTTCGACGATTTGACGAGGACAATCCTGGCCAAGCAGGTCTTTTGCTACTTGCCAATATTCTGGTCGCGGGGTTCGAACCGTTCCAGAACGCACCGGAATCTATCGCAAGGACACTCCCGAACGCGCTGCAATGGCCAGTACAGAAACGTGGAGGCTACGAGCGTAAAATCACGGCTCTGGAAGTTGCCATCATATCGGAAAGCAAAATCTTGCTCAGCTCATCTTCATGTCAGAAGGTGGTCGATGCTGTTTACCGTGGAAAGATCATCTACACACCTCTTTCATTTGTCGACATCATCCCTGATCATTACAAGCATCACCCGATATCCCTATACAATCCTCGTAACGCGCCCATTCTGAATCACTACCGCCTCATAGTCCCACGGTTACGTAACATAATTGAAATATGCCAGTTCGCTCTCCTTCTGCTGCTCTACGGCCTTGCAATGGTTTACCGTGATGGGATCAACATAACCGGATATGAGGCAACCTTCTGTGCTTATGCAAGTGGGTGGTTGCTCGAGGAATTTGCAGCCATCATAGAGCATGGGTGGTATGTACACACACAAAATGTGTGGTCCTTTCTTGACATCGCATTTTTTGGTATCTACTCCATCTATCTCGCACTGCGAACGTATGCCGCCGCCGTCGGAGATGCGGATATGGCTGCTAGTGCTCTTGACATCTTATGCGTCGCAGCGCCCGTACTTCTGCCGCGACTGGCGTTCAACGTCATGCCAGATAACGTGTTCTTTATCTCGCTGAGAGCCATGATGAGGGATTTCTCTGTCCTGACATTGCTGGCCACGTGGTGTTTTGCCGGCTTCTTTCTATCCATGAAATGGCTGATTGATACTCGTTCCGAAAATGTCGTCGATTCGCCTGGCTCGGCCACTATTACAAAGTGGATGCTCTGGATTTGGTTTGGCCTTGATGGAACCGGATTTGAGCGCTCGGTCGACTTCCATGTCCTCCTCGGACCTGCTCTGATGATCGCATTTGCCTTTCTAGGTAACACGCTCTTCCTGACCGTCTTGGTATCCATGCTCACCAATACATTTGCAAAAATCGTGGACAATGCGACGGCAGAAGTCCACTTTCGTCGAGCAGTACTCACTTTTGAAGGTGTCAAAAGCGACGCCATTTTCGCCTATCGGCCGCCGCTGAATATCCTTGCGCTAGTGATTCTCTTACCTCTCAAGTTCCTCCTTTCGCCAAGATGGTTCCACAAAGTCAACATAGCAGCTGCAAGGTTTTTTAACGCCCCTTTGCTGTTGGCGATTGCTCTCTACGAGCGGCACCAGTTGTGGCGGGCCCCAAAACACGACGCCAACCGATCGTACAAACGAAGCTCACTCTTTCAGTGGACTTTCTCCGGATTCTCTCCACACGGTGACATTCAAGCTGTGTTTGATACTGAACCCCCCAAAACTGTGTGCTGCCCGGCTACCTGAGCCAGAGAGAAATCACGCTACTACCCTGGAAGGCCACGATGATGAACCTCCAAAAATTCGCTACAAAACTCCCGAAATTAGAAGTGGATTCTCTTTGCCTTCAAAAGAGGTGGGACTAGAAATGCTTGCGATCTGTGGTTCCATTTTGTCATTCACAAGATCACGTCGACTACAGTGAGGTTACGATGAAGGAGAATATCGGGAGATGATCACGCCTTTTGGAAGCAGCAGTGTGTGCAACATGCAAGTATCTCGACACCTAAACTGGGAAGGGTACAGTAACATGGAAATGTTCACACCGGGGACGCTTGAGTCCTTCTTGGGAATGCTCTAGCTTCTGACCATGCCCTGGACCTGGACAGGAAATCCGAATGTCATTCTACCAGCCATTCAAGGTTGTACCCAGCGGCTTAATAAAGTCCCAATCCTGAAGTTTTTGAACAGGCTATATAAATTTGATACAGAATTCATCATATCTCCTGCAGTCCCTTTTCAGTTGAGTAGATTGCTCAAAACAAACCAACATGAGGTTCTAGAGCAACTACGTACCTAGGACCGGCATCCATGTTTCCTGATACGATGAGGCTTTGAGTACTCGTGTCAAGGACTTTGTAGATAATCGTTCCCCGAATGAACAATGGCCTCCAAGAAAACTTGCAGTGTTCACAGGGATAACATGTGTGATGGCTCATCGATGGTAGATAGGTGAGACCAGTCCTGGGAACCCTGATGATCTTCGAGCCTCAAACCGATGGACATGTTGCTTTTTACCTGCGATGTAAGGGCATCCAATAAGATTAGCTACCGAACCCTAGCCAGTGCGAGTCTGGGCAGATGAGGACATTGGAGTAGAAAATACCGCACTCCAGCTCGTAACCGAGCCCCCTTCCCACAACAACAATTCTTACTAGAGTAACATCATTTAAATAGTCGTGTCTCCTAGCTCCAAGTTTCTTACTGAATCAATCTTATCATCCTCGACTACTGATCGTTGTGTTTGACTTGCTCTTAAAATGGGTCCTCGTCCGGTTCCGTAAGTCTTCGATACTTCCAGGAAATGCTTGCACTCTTGATATGACCTGACCTGACTCTGTACATCAGAACTGTCTGCTCGAAGACCTACCGAACTCCTCGCCGTGGTAAGTTGTCAATCATTCCTCAAATCTTAGGAACGATCAAGCCGAATCTAACATCTATATATCAGCCTATGGCGCTGCTCGATTGTGCGTCTCCTTTTCAAACCAACATGCCATTCTCCTTTGTTGGAGTGGTGCCATCGGATTTTGTTTAAATTTCTGACTTTGGAACTACGGTGATGATACAGGGATGCCGAGCTGAAACTCATCGGAGAGTACGGTTTGAAGAATAAACGCGAGGTTTGGCGTGTCCAATACACACTCTCCAAGATCCGTCGTGCTGCTCGGTTTGTAACACCCCCCTCCTCCGATTCAGAGAAAATTTTTAACTCAATAAAGAGGAATGGAATGATAGAGTTCTGCTCACTCTGGACGAAAAAGATCCGAAACGTCTGTTTGAGGGTAACGCGCTGATCCGCCGACTTGTCCGTCTCGGTGTCTTGGACGAATCTCGCATGAAACTGGATTATGTCCTTTCCCTGCGCACCGAAGACTTCCTTGACCGTCGCTTGCAGACGGTTATCTTCCGCCTGGGGCTTGCCCGATCCATTCACCACGCGCGCGTTCTGATCCGGCAGAAGCATATCCGGTGAGTTGTTCAGGCTTCCAGAGTAGACCATATGGCTTATGTCAATCATTCAGGGTCGGCAAACAACTGGTCAATGTTCCGTCTTTTCTTGTCCAGCTCGACTCGCAAAAGCACATTGATTTTACCCTCAAGTCTCCCTTGGGCGGAGGACGGCCTGGGCGCGTGGCGAGAAAGAAGGCGAAGACTATGGAGGGCCTGGATGGGGAAGGAGATGAGGAAGGAGATCAGTAGTGGAAGCTCTGTTGACCGTTTGCATTTGGAGGTGCTTGATAGACCTTCTTTTTCATAATCGAGTTCAAGCGGCAATTCCTTGTGTCCTCGACGTGTTCGAGCCTTGAGCTACTCGCAGCTTCCCCGAATAGATGGTACCAGATCATATGTACTTTCAAGAAGTTCGTCAGAGACAAGCTATTGCAAGCGACATCTCTTCGTACTTGACAAAGAAAGGATGTTTTCCAATAGTGAAATGAATAGCTCAGCAAGAAAGCATAGTTGAAATTGGTTGATGCAAAGTAGCTGAATTTCAGAAATAGGCATATTCGGAAACTTTGGACGCGGGTATGAAGCAATCGACTGCTGGGACCCCTGACTCCCAGTCTCTATCCTTCGCATTCTGCATCTTTATTAATCCCTAAAAAAACGGTCCATTTGCCTCCTCAACCCGGCTCACTTACTGACCCGGTCGACAAACATGATTCGGATGCAGACACCATTCGGATGAGCTCACCTGATTTCTGGGACGGAGCCAATGTGTTTAATTGCTCTGTTATGCCAAACAGCCTAAAAGTTACGGAATCTACTCCCGATTTAACGTATACAAACTATGCCGACTGCCAGCGCTTCAACTTTATCCACATTTTTCACCATCCAGAAACACCACCCAGAAACGACGTGCGCTCAGCTGGCAAAGGGAAAGATTGAGACGACCAGCCTCGAAACGTTGAATTGCGCTCCAATATGGGCAAACAATCTAAATATCAAAAGCTTGACTGCCTTGAAAGACATAATTAAAGCTAGGCCATCCGCTCTCACAGCACCGGAGGGGTCCGAAATACGAAAGCTATCAAAGCTGAACCAGGAGATTAATAGTGCAAAGGAATGGGCCAGAAACACTGCTGTCGCAGCCTCAGCAGAAATATGTGACGGAGACATCAGCTTACAGATCGGATGCATCTCAGGGGACACTAATCCGAATATGTGGCACCAATAAGACTATAGCACCGAGTCATCTAGATCGTACAAACAAGGTCCTGCACGCTTTTAATGGGGATTATTGGAAACCCTCACCCTGTTCAGTACCATTAAAGATTTCGGTCGATTTGTAATCTTGGTCACCCGTTTGCTGCCTGCACCGTCAGGCTTTGTGTGTAACTAACTATATGATGACTTTCGCTTTGCGGGATAGGACGCTGTCATTCTCTCCTCACAATTCCAAAAGTCTGAATTCCATTCATCCATTCAACTGCCAGATCATCAGAAATAAGATGCAAATACAGCAAACGCTCAATTAACTTTGGCATTGCTGTCGCCTTCAAGTTGTGTTGTTCAGATGAAGGTTCCTGGTAATTACGTCATATATCACGTAACCTCGAACCGAAACGGATCGCAACGAGGCATATCACTGGATCTTCGCGCATCTCTTACTTCAGGTTGCATTTATAAGTAACAGGGTACAAGAAACTTCAAAGTGCCAACAAAAAGCTTTTTAAGGATTGCCATCTAGGCAACAGGGTATGCAATAATCGAACAATGCAAGAAAGCAGTCCTCCGGATCCACATCGCCATCATGATTTTGAGAATGTCCAAATACCCACTCGCTCCACATCAACCCATCAGCATCATACGAGAAGAGAAGAGGGAAGAGAGGAAAGAGATTTTGACACCCCTCACTTCTTCAATGGGTTGACTCATGTGTTGACGGAATGGGGATGGATTTCACCCGAATCCGAGGGCCGATCTCATGCGCGACAAACGCCATCAAACCAAGAGTCTCAAGGAGCAGCAGTTGCTTCGAACTCACACACGACGCCTATTAAATCTCCAGAGTTTTTTATGACACCTTCAATACCAATAATGGGCCCCAAAAAAGAAGGAACAACGCGTCCATCCTTTGGTGAGGAATATGGCAAATTCCTCAAAGTTCTCTATTATGGTGCATCCAGCACCGTCCAACTATATGAGAAGAAGGCACCGATGATTCAACCGGCCTCACCATCCTCTGCATCTCCGTCAAGCCCTGTGATGGCCCGATTGAGGCGGGCTTCTACATCAAAAACAATCAGGGAACTCTATGCCGTGAAAGTGTTTCGCCACCCAAAATTTAATTCTCCTCAAATACCTACCTACCCGGAAGATGAGAAGCCACCGGCCTTATTGTGTCACCCAAATATTGTTGCGATCACCGACATCCTTTACAATAAACAAGCAGATCTATGCCTTGTCATGCCTTACTGTTCGGGCGGCAATCTGCACTCTTTTCTCTCCTATGGAGGGAAGCTAAGGGACGACCTCTCAATCGAGGAGGTCAACTGTCTGATAATCCAGATTCTGCGAGCAGTCGCCTTTTTGCATGAGAATAATATCGCCCACGGCGACATTCGGCCGGCGCGCATTCTCCTCACGGCTCGTGGGGCTGTGAAGCTTGGTGGGTTCGGGGAAGACGAGGACGCGGTCCGAGCCCTGGCACAATTATCTCATAATGGCAGTAGCAGCTCCGGGTTACCAGCGAAGACCAGAGTCGGCTCAGTATCGAGTATCAACAGTAGCAGTGGTTTAACTATGTGCATTCGTCAAAAAATCACAGATTCAAGCATCCCATGGCTTCCTCCAGAACGATTTGCCAATCGTCGCGGCTCTCAAACCGAAAACTTCATATGCAAAGACGTCCTCAATATTAAGGCTGCGGATGTTTGGTCCTGTGGTATTATCTACCTGGCACTCCGTTTTGGGCAGCTGCCCTGGAAAAGTGCGCAGAAATTGGATGCCAGCACATCCTTCGCGGACTACCTCCGATGTCGTTGTGAGGAAGATGGATGGGGTCGTATACAAGCCCTGGAAAGCGTAAGTCTCCCGTGGCAGTGCTGAAGGACTCGGACTCTCTGACTTGTTGCAATTTTACAGCGTTGTCGGAACGTGGTTTATGCCATGTTACATCCCGATCCTGGACTCAGAATTACCGCAGAGGAGATACTGCAATCTGAGTGGGCTCTGGGCGTTGCGATTTGTGAAGTTGGAGAGAGGGGACTATGAGCAGTGTTTATTTACTGGCTTCCTAGAGGATTATCACCTCAAGGATGCCTAGAACATGGGAGGACTGGTATGCCTCACTTGTGATTTCGATGGGCCAGAAATTGGGGACTAGCTACCCCATGTTGACAGAAAAGTGATTAGTAATATGATTGAAATAAAATTCGTGGATGAGTTAATGAGGATAATGCTCTTGCCAAAAACTCGGTATACTTTGATCGGCGCTTTATTAGGCGATCGAGTAGCAAATATAACAGAGAAAGGCAGATTCTCTGGGGTCATAGTCTTCCATTATTTCGCCCTGAAAACCCCAAAAAACGAAAAGAGAATTGCATATCCTATAGACCTAGAAGATCTAGGATAAAAGGTCTTTACAGATGAACATGGCAAGTCTTGTTTCTTCTTGGTGTCTCACCTCTTCGGCCGCTAGTCTTGTCCTGTTTGATTTCCTCACTCCTCTCTAGGTGCGCATTGAAAGACCCGAGGCCAGTGAGAAGCCGTAGCAGACGGTCGCAATGAGGCCGATGGCATTCAGGTGAATCGACATGGCGTGGTTGCGAGCAAAGTTGCGATTTGCTCGATGAGCTTTTCCATCGTCTACACTTCCTGGATTTTCTTGGCTCTCTGCAGTTTCTTCTCCAACTTCAGCATTTGTAGACTTCTCCTATGCAGTTTCGTTGATCTGGATGTCATCACTCACCAGCCAAAGCCCGTCGTACTAGAGCCGTTGTTGTTGTCCTGGGTCCAAAGACAAACCAATTCAAGGACCCAGTGACCAGAACGACGGCGAGTGACGTGATCCCCCACGGATCCTTCACCAATGAAATCAAACTATATGGAGGATAGGTCGCTGCTGTTAAAGCTGTGAGGCCGACTTGGCAACCGAAATAAACAGGGAATATACGCTTCTGCAAGACGATGAACTCGCGCATTGGGAGCGCCTGAAAGCAGATCTTGGTGTTGACAAAACTCTTCCCAGGCCAGTCAGTAGTATGCTCTTTCACCTTCTGCTGAATCCAGCGCGGGAAACGAGACAGGGAGGCTCGGGACTGACCTGGTACAGCTCTGTTCCCAGCAAAGCCCCATATGACATGAGGTGGTAGGGAAGCAGGTTTCCCACGGTACTCAAGAAGCGGTCCATCTTGTGTTCTTTGGCAATCAAAATCTGAAGAGGAAGAGGAAGATGAAGGTTACCCGGCGGGAAGGCTGACGTGGTGTCTGTCCTGGAGGGAAAGCGTGGTAAAGGGGGCTTACAAACAGGCGATGTTGCACTGGCTTGCAGTAAGGCAGGGCAGGACTGCAAGCATCAACCCCGGCTTCCTAACGGCGGTATCGGAATTTGGTTGCCTGAATGTTTTGGAGCAATCGCGGAACCGGGACCCGATTAGTTGGGCGGCCGTGAGCTTATTATGAGGAGTTGCAGATGGAGTAGATTTTGATTTGGCCGCGCCAGTTGACTGGGGCGTGCGTAATTACTTTTGGTGGCTGCTTACTGGGACTTTCTTAATTGCAGAAACAAAAGATTGTGAGTGAGTGAGTTAAGACCCTTTGACACAATTTGCAAGCAGAATATCGAAAGATTTGAACCCTCGACTACCCGATAGAGTTATGGCAAGATGGAATGGCGACAGCTTACAATGGCCAATTCGCCCTTTTCCCTCTCGCACGCCTATTTGCGGTGAACTTTCTAAGTATATCTGCTGCTCCAGCATGAATCGTTTGTGAAAACGATGTAGATCATGTCCCCAGACCCTCCTTCCCAACTTTGTATAATGACGGTTCCGGAAAGGAAACCATGAGGACGGACACCGCTTCTTCTTGCATGGCCCATTTGAGAGATAAGCCATCAACCTGCCTTTCTCGGGTGGGTAACTGGTGAAGGATATCTGGCTAGATTCAACCCTGCCGTCTTTCCTAGACTGAGATGCCAGCGGCCTCATCGGCTCAATCTCTTCCTCTTCGGATATCGTGGATGATCGATAATTCGACCATCGCCACCCTCCAAGAATCCGAGGCCCCCAAAGGTCTTTCCTGGCCTCAATGCCCTATACCCTGGATGCTGGAAACATCCGGGCCTGGATGACGCTCTCGTTGACTCCAAAACAGCCGATGCCCCAAGCGAGAAAAAGGGTTGGGAGTGGTCCAGGATCTCGGTTTGATTAAAGGCCTCCACGTGTTCCGGCGAGGGTTCATGGACAAGGTTCAGTGGATTTGGAATAGATCTCAAAGATGTTTTCTGGGAGAAGAGGCGTTAGAGACAAGTAGGACCACCTATTTCCGAGTGGCCTGCTTCCCGTACCACTCGCCCTGCTCCTTTTTGGGTGTAGGGGAGGCCCATGTCTGTGTGACATGTTGGGTTTTGGTGAAGTTTTGACTGGTGTGATGGTCAATCCCGGAGCGTATTCGGATCTCGTCATCATTGCTCGCTCACGACTTTACTACCCGAGCAAAAGGAAAAGCACAATGATTCTTTCGAAAACGCTCGTACTGTCCGAGGGGACATTCAGAGATCATTCGTTCCCGCTGCAAAGGATTCCAAGGACGATGTCCATGGAGATTTGAATGTATTTGGAAGTGCCGCTCGGGCTGTCGCTCAGAACCCACATTCCATATCACCCAGATATAGGTAGATCGATCTAGATTCCCCCCCCCCATTTCTCCTTTATTAAGGCATTCTGATGGAGCGCAGTGTTGGATGCCCTCCCACTCCAGAAGTTATAGGATATTAGAATTATTTTTGAGACCCAATTAGGACTTCCAAGGGCTAAATAGCTTTGGTAGGCTTGAAACATCATCCTGACACAAGCCTGGGAGGTTGTACAGTTCTCACCGAATATTTGCCACGCCAAGTGGCTGTAAACAGCAAAAGGTAGCTGGGTGATATTTGGACAGGGTTTTATGACAGAGTTTCTCCATGTGCTACGCCATGCCCTCGACCCGCTGGTAGCCGGGTCTTTCCAGGGTATAGATAGTCCTCCCCGAGTCGTTAAGACCCCCAACGGCGCATCAAGTGACGAGCATGCCCAGGGTACCATTTCCCCCAAAGGATTTATATGCAGAAAGAGCGGTCACGGAGCCGAGGGAGACAAAAGCGACCTGAGTCCAGGCATCGGACAGGTATAAACGTGACCCCCAAGTCCTGGCCTCAGTCCATCGACCTCTACTTCCAAGAAACGTCCTGGATGTATCCCCAAGATTTGTTGTACAACTGCGTGTCACGGTGAGATTGGAGGATTCTTCTTCGCCCTTTGATTTTTATAACTTCAAGAAGGCTGGTGTCTGGTTGCCAAAGCTGACTTTCTTTTCAATCTTTTTGGAAGCGTGAGAGCACTGACAGAAAGGGCGTGCCAGCCGATTGTTTAGGACATACACCCAGAGCCGGTATAGAACCAACGCCAGAAAGCATGAGAGTGGAGAAAGAGTCTGAATCCCCCGACAGCGAGGGCGCCTCTCATCAGAAGCAGGACCCATTAGAACGAAGACGACTTCAAAATCGGCTCTCTCAGCGAAACCATCGTAAGATGCTGTCTCTCCATTGGTTTGATCTTAAGGAATGGGGGAGAAAGATGACAAGTCTCTACGATAATAGGCCGCAAGATTCGGGATCGGATCGCAAAGCTCCAAGAACGGGTCATTGCGAATGAACTTAGAGCAGCCGCTGCTCTCAATGGATGGGATCAACCCTTTCCCACATCGCCTCTGATATCGAATCGGCGCATGGCTCAGCCAGACCCGGGGCTGGGAATGAGTGCACAGGATCCTCGTCAATTCGCTGCGGACCCTTCGCCTGCACTAGTCTCCTCCTACGGGCTCTCTATGGTGCCTTCGTGGTCCGGACACCTGCAAACGCTACCACCCCAGACCCAGATACCGGAAGAGTCGTCCTATCTCTCAACTAGAGGGACTGTCTCCGCCGAGAGCATTTGTTCGACTTCAAATCTCACGGGACCGAACTTGATGACCAGCCGCGGCTTTGAAGTCTGTTCGAGTACTCATGACGGACAGATGATCTCGCAGATGTCGAATAATGGGACGACGGCTCCATTCGAGCCTTTCACTACTGGCCTAGTCAATCAGCCCTTATATTATGTCACAACCGGTGAGTTTATCCTCCTCGTTACCCGCTATATATGGATTCTTGAATGATCTCGCAGCAGTATTTACTAATGCGTCTTCCAATCGCTCCTCTCCAGAAAACGGCTTACCTCAGATTCTTCAAACGTTGAATACTGTGGCTCCGCAATCTAAGATAATCGTCCTTGTCTCACCAGAGTGGGCGGTCGGGTCTGGTGCAGTTGCGGGAAATTCGGTCTCGTCCTCGCTGCCCCTGGGGAATCATGGCCTGGATCTGGATCCTCTTTCCTTCGAGTCTCTCAATCCTCCCAATCTCACCTATCAGAGGTCGCCCCCAATCAACCACCCGGTCTCGACCGCACCGGTTAAATCACGGGCGTGGGTTACGCTGGGGTCGTGCCTACCCGGATGTTCGTTGAATAAAATGTAAAGTGCAAATGGTGCAAATTCGTTGTCGACAAGACTGTAAGTTAGCGATGCTGGATCCTTTGGTGTTTCTTGATGGGTCTTATTGAGAGACAAGGCTGGGGGTGGGGGTTCGGATCATTCCACTTGTTTCAATAGAAAAATGGCACAGACAGAGAGCCAGAAAGAAAGTATAAGAAGAAAGTCCGCCCTGATAAAGGTGAATGGGGTGCTGGTGCGACCAAACTGTTCAGAAAAGACAAGGGAGAAGATCGGCCTCTCCTAAACGAGATTCAGTGGAATTGTGTAATTTTGTTATTTCCATTTAATTTTACTTATATTTTTATTTATTTATTTTTCTGTGTTTTTTTATACATTAAATCTGTTCCAGAATGCTATGGTTTTCGTTCGACGATGCTTGATCTAGAGCCGCGAGAAGAGGGTGACAATGCTAGCCACCTCAAAATGGACGCGTTGTGTTTTGTACCGAGTGAGCCACCTGAGCGACTCATCGCATCGTCCACGAAGTATGTCGTGCACCATCGTCTTGTTCCCCCGCCACCATGGTGCTCGGGCGCACGAAGGATCTAGGCGCTGACTCGCGACCCCACCATGGCACACTAGTGGAGTCCTGGTCTGCGATTCTGATCTCCGAGAGGGGCGATTTTCACATGGGCCATGGCAATCGTAACGGGCACACGAGCCGCGGCCGAGCCTTACTCTCCCCCCTCCCCCCACCATGACCATTTGTTTGAGAGTGGGCAGACAGAGACCATGACGTCAAATAGATGAAGAGGAGGGACTTCTCAAGCTTGACAGAATTTGGTAATTTAGTCATTTGGGTCATTAGGGTCATTGTAGTCGTTGTAGTCGTTGTATGGTTGGGTTGTAGAATTGATCCACACCCACCGACAGAGCTAAAGTCCATCGTTAATTGATACGAAAGGTCCATGGGGTCAACAGCCTCATGTGCCTCATCCTCCAAAGAGTCTAGCTCGGTGTCAGAGGGAGTTGGTCGAAGCCTCTCGCCAAGGAGTTGGAGGGGGAAGATAGTGACGGGTTGTGGATTGTCTGGGGCTTTCCCCACAAGGGCCGCATTTAGGGTTTCCGCCCCCTTGGACCTGCTTGGGCCTGCCGGAGCCAGGGGGAAATCCGGGGCTCTCGATCAGATGAGACAAAGAAGCCGAGTACAGCGCGGCTGGCCAGTGGTCCGTGGCAAGAGCACTTCGGGGGGCAAGAGAGCAGTCTCCTGGTAGCTGGTAACGGCTCACTAGTAACGGGCGGGACTCCCGTACTGCCGAGATGCCAAATGGATCGACATGGGGTTTGATGAATCTGACGCCTTCGGTTTTGAGTCTCTCTCATCTCTCGTCTGGGGGAGAAGGAGACCTCGATCCATTCGCAGCCTTCATGGTCATTTCAATTGAGGCGGTCTTAGATGGAATAGGATCTGTAGAAGGGTGCATCCCGTCCTCGCCGTTCACAAGGAATAGCGATGAGCGCGAGGACCGCGAGGACCGCGAGAGCCTGTCCGCGAGCACTACGACGCCTACGACTCGCCTACAACTCGCCTACTGGGAGGAAGTACACTGTACAACTACGACTCGTCAGGCGAAGTAGGCTAATAACGCTGCTTATCTCAGCTGGACCGGCCCGAAGAGGCAATAACTCTCCGCGCCTTCGCCGATGCTTGTGCGCTTTCCATGGTTACCAGGGACACTTGTTACAAGCTCTCTCTCTCTCGCCCTGTTGCGCTCTCTCCACTTTCACTGGGCTGGTCTCTGATCTTTCCACGTTGCCCCTCCCTCTTCCCCCCCCTGATCGGATCCGTGGCGTATCCCCAGCGGCAGTCCCGGGTGTGCCACTGCCTCCCCCGGTGGCCCTAGCTTGGAGGCTCGTCCGGGATGATTCCTTAGTTCCCACCGTGCTGAATTTGGTGGATTTTTCCCCCTCTCGTCTCTTTCTACTGTGCAGTCCTTCCGTATCGAGCTGCCTGGTTTTCAGTGCCAGGAGTGTCTCCCCATTTCTGGGCTGGTGATTGTGAATCGCGAAGTGTATGTTTATTGAGGTGGAGAGGTGAGACAATAAAAAGAAAAAAAAAAGAAGATGCACTCGAAGATAGGCATTGGAGTAGATGGCAGAATAGCGTGATATAAGACTCTATCGAACTGAGAACGGGTGGTGCGGTGTTGCGGCCGGGGTCACTTCGTCGTGACCAGTCAGCGCAGGCGGGATTCGCCTGATTCATCCCGACCCCGTCGACCCTCTTTGCCCCGGTTTCAGACCTCCGGGAGATGCGACGCCCCCGAGAAAATTGAGGAGAATATTTTCCGCGAGGCGCACCTCGAAATTATCGTGGGGTCATTGGTACGATCCGCAAGACGAGAACCAGTCCAGAGGAGAGGAGGAGTACAGGAGGAGGAGGAGCAGGAGGAGTAGTAGTAGTCAGTCACCGTCGAGAGCACCGATCGCCCACGGCGGAACGGGGCTATTGCCACCGCCCGTCTCCCCCCAGATTCGATGCCAACACGTTCAAGTCGCAGTGGCTTTCTCTGCTTCTCTGCTTCGTTCCAGTCCTCCAGTTCGTGCTCGAACGTTTTCTTTCTCCCGGGATTTTTTCTTCGGCGCCCCCGGATTCTCGCGCCTGCGCCTGCTCTTCCCCAGACTCCTCCGTGCCTTGTCCACGAGGGCTCCACACGACCCTTTCGTCCCCTCCTTTCCATCTCCACGCCCTCTGCTCCTCGACTTCCACGAACCCTCTATCCTCCTCCTCCCCCCACCTCTCCCTCCCCCTTCAAAACTATCCTTCAATCCTGGCATTCGTTTTTCCTATCTCCTCTCCTCCTCGCTCTCGTCTCTCCTCCCCAACCCGGACTCCGACCTTGCGCCCTCCCGTGTTCTCTCGTGAGGGATCGCGTAGGCCACCATGAGTACCACGATCGAATCCCAGACCGAACCGACCGCCAACCATCCCAGTCCGGCCCCCAGCGCCGCCGGCTCGACAGGAACCTCCGGCATCACAGTGCGCAACGGCCCAGGGGGCCAACCGTTAAGCTTCAGAAGGTGAGTCCCTCGTTTCGGACGATACGATGACAATGGGCGGAATCCCAGGAGAGGGGAACGTGCAACAGGGTTTTCACCACAGCGCACCCTCGAGCAGACCCCTGGAGAAAATTCGAAAGCTCAGGCACCTCATGGAGGATGAAGGCTGACTTGGATCTTCTTGCGGTTACAGACAACGTGCCTCTCGCGCGTGCGAGGTACGTCCTTTTTGTTTCGGGGCGGGAGACGCGATCTGGTGCGGGCGCTGGCGACAAAGAAGCCGAGGCTGGTGGTGTGCCTCGGTCCCCCCTGCTTATCGCGATGCGGCCTCGCACCACACCACCACCGCCATCGCGGCTGCTCCCCCAACGACTCTTGATGTCGCAGATATTTCCAGTGTAGAATTTGACTTGATCCGATTGCTAACCATCTTCTTTTGTATTCGCCACAGACTTGTCATGCACGGAAGGTGAGTGCTTTTGGTCCTCTCCCTCTTGGGCCCCCGCCCGGTCGCTCCTCGGGAAGCATCTCGTCCCGCTAACCGTCACCATTCATGATAGGTTCGCTGCGATGCCGCCAGTCTAGGTGTGCCCTGCACCAACTGCGTCGCCTTCTCCATCGAATGCAAAATCCCCACCCCCAAACGCAAGAAGAACTCCAGCAAGGGCAAAGACGACGGTCAGTACGCCGATAGCCCGCCTCACACAGCCTCCTCGCTTGTCGACGCTGCCGTCGCTCATTTTCGTCCGTCCAATACCGAGGACTCGGGCGAGCTCACTTCGTCCGAGAAACGGACACGCGAGTCCGACTCGGATGATAAGGAAGATGCCTCGTTTGGATACCGCAAGAACCGGATGGGCGTGGACGGCATGCCCGCCACCGAGTTGACCGAGTCGGAGGCTTCCCACCAGGCGTCCGGCGACAATGTCTACGCCCAGTTCATGAAGCCCAAGTTCGCCCGCGCCCCAATCAAAGAGGCCGGCCGGGTGGCCTACCTTGGTGAATCGTCCAATCTCTCGCTCCTCGTCCAGGATCGCCATGGCACCAGCGACGTTGTGCATTACCCCCTCCCACCCAACATCCGGGGGTCTCGAGCCCGCTTGACCGACCTTGACAACCTGGAAATCGACATCTTGCACCAGCGGGGTGCGTTCTTACTGCCCCCGAAGCCCCTATGCGACGAACTCGTCGATGCCTACTTCAAATGGGTGGCACCCGTTGTCCCCATCATCAACCGGAGCCGCTTCATGCGTCACTATCGCGACCCGAAGAATCCCCCCTCATTGCTGTTGCTGCAAGCCATACTCCTGGCTGGTTCCAGGGTTTGCACTAACCCCCAACTGATGGATGCCAATGGCTCGACGACCCCGGCCGCGATGACCTTCTACAAGCGGGCCAAGGCGCTCTACGACGCTAACTACGAGGATGACCGGGTCACCATCGTACAAGCGTTGGTCCTTCTAGGCTGGTACTGGGAAGGCCCAGAGGGTGAGTGATCTTGGCATTCTGCAAATCTCGGCCGGTTATTTTTTTTGGAACTTGTGTCTCTAACTCGATCTATAGACGTGACGAAAAATGTATTTTACTGGACTCGTGTGGCGATGGTGGTCGCTCAGGGCTCTGGTATGCACCGCAGCGTGGAAACCTCACAGCTCAGCAAACCAGACAAGAGGCTGTGGAAGCGGATCTGGTGGACTCTGTTCACTCGGGACCGCTCGGTCGCTGTCGCCCTGGGACGCCCAATCGGCATCAACACAGATGATTCCGATGTTGAGATGGTGACCGAAGACGACTTTATTGAGGATGAACTCGATGCTCCCGCCGAATATCCCCCGGACCCAGTACATGTGCAATTCTTCCTGCAATACGTGAAGCTTTGCGAAATCATGGGACTGGTTCTATCGCAGCAATACTCCGTGGCGTCCAAATCTCGGCGCATGAATGCCATGGACCTAACCCATTCAGATATGGCGTTGGCGGATTGGCTGCAGAACTGCCCCAAGGAAGTCTGCTGGCAACGGTCTCGGCACCACTTTTGGGCCGCTCTTCTGCACTCCAACTACTAGTAGGCTTTTCTAGCAGATCTTGGTGTTTCCTGCGTGACGAAGTGACTAACCGATATCCTAGCACCACTCTTTGTCTTCTTCACCGAGCCCATATGCCTCCGGCCTCCTCAGCGCCTAACAGCTACCGGGTTGAAGAGATGGCGTACCCGTCCCGGACCATTGCTTTCCAGGCGGCGGGCATGATGACTTCGATCATCGAGAACTTGCAGACCCACAACGAAATCCGCTATACTCCTGCGTTCATGTATGTAGATCTCACTTACCGCCCCCTCCTACCTAGCCTCACTGCCTATTGTTTCGCTTGTGGTTCCATGCTGACTCGCATCCCTGTGCAGTGTATACAGCTTGTTCTCAGCTTTGATCATGCACGTCTACCAAATGCGGTCCTCAGTCCCTTCGATTGTGGCAACATGCCAGGAAAGAATCAACGTCTGCATGGGCGCCTTGAAGGATGTTTCCAAGGTTTGGTTGGTGGCCAAGATGGTTCACACTCTGTTTGAATCCATCCTGGGCAACAAGGTACTGGAAGAGCGACTCCAGAAGGCCGCTGGTCGGCGACACCAGCGGCGACCACACGATAGCACATCCGCCCAGTCCAAGAAACCCGATCCCCCGAAGCGCAAATTCGATGACATGGATCTCGGATTGCCCAATGGCGGACCCACACCCCCCGTCTCATACGAACGCTCGCGACCACAGACCCCGGCCGTCACGCCCTCTCGTGAGCTGAATCAGCCCCTGGGCCATGCGTCGCCCAATGCCCACCGGGGCCCACTCGACCCGATTTCTGGCCCTGCCAACTCGCGGGGCAACACTCGACCCACCACCCCGTTTAATGCCCAGTTTTCCTTGCCTGCCACGCCTCCCGATTTCTTCCTCGTCACTCGTACCTCGCCCAATCTCTCTCCCTCACTCTGGGAAAACTTCCAGCCGGATCAATTGTTCCCAGACGGCACGGCGATCTTCCCTGAACTGACCTCGCCGCCGCCCCCGGCCACTGTAGACCCCCAGTTGCAGATTCCATCACAGTTGCAAGCTCCCGGCTTGGGGCAGCGACCCATGATGGGCAATCCCTCTCAACCGGTGCCCGGTCGTAGCCTGTCCGTGTCGCAGGGTAGCCCGCAGATGATGTCTGGGGTTCCTGGCGGCATGGGCATGCAGACCTCGCCGCAAGCCAATCAACAGATGTTCGCCATGGAGGGACAGCCGTGGCCGATGCAGGGGTTGGAGGGCACCTTAAGCGGTGGAGCGTTGGACGCCGCCAGCCAGGATGATAACTGGAGCAGCAGCTCGCGCAGTGGACCGACGGCGCCAACCACCTTGAACGTGGAAGATTGGTATGTCCCTCTCGCCCCAGCTAAAGGAAACAGACTGAACAACCGAGACGATCAACTGGCTAACCATACTTCCTCACAGGTTCCAATTCTTCGGTATCAATGGTGGATTTGGAGATTTGGCGGCCTAATAGTGGCAAAATGTCTTCCTCCGCTGAGAGCTTTACGCCCCTATCGTAATGTAATGCCTGTGTTCGCTTGGTGTATATTGTATCTGTGCTGCGTCGCTTCTGGTTACTCTTTTGGGGCTTCTGTTCGTCTTTGTCCGCTTCTTCTGGTTTTTTGGTTGGCCGGCGTTGGATACGGCCCTGCTACGGATTGCCAGGCCTTCCCGGCGTGTTCGTTGAGGGCTGTTTCTTTTTCTGTTTCATCTCTCTTCTGGGCAGGCCTTGATGGTCGGCTCATGACCGAGGGTAAAAAAGGGAGTCCTCGTGGTTGCAAGTTTTCATCGTGTGACAGATGTACAGTAGTGGACTGTCGAGATATTGAAACTAGCCTGAGTAAAAAATACTATGTTCTATATACTACACTAGTTTTGATGACTTTTTCTGTACCTGCTTTACCATCATAGCTTTCGCACATCTCTGCTGTTTCACTGGGGTCTATAAGCCGTTACTTATTGATCCTGCCTCTGATCTTAACTTATTTCACCTGAATACCATTCAATAGGCCCCAGGACAGTATGTCTCTTGACATGGCGTCTCTGGCTGAACCGGTCCGCCATTGGCCCGTGCGGCCCCACGCGATCGGCGAGTTCACCGGCGAGTGGCTTTCGGTTCCTCGGACAGTCGGGGTGTACGAAGGCCAGCCCTTCTTCTCTCGTTCCCTCCCTCTCCCTCCCTCCCTCTCTCTCTTTCTTCTGCTGGCAGACCCGATTGCTCCCCTTTTGGCCCCCTTTGTATAGTCCCGTTTCATTCTCCGTGATGGCCGCGTCCGAACTTACGGCGCCCCGCTACTTGACTGGTGATCAGGCCGGCCTGCGCGAGTTCTTGGACAAGTTTGATGTACGTCGCCTCGGGGTTCTCATGGATTGAAAGTGCTCTCGGAGTGTACATTCACCATTCAAGTGACTGACCGTATGCCTGTGCCTCCCTAGGTCTTTCTCTTCGACTGCGATGGTGGGTTCCCCGCGCATCGTTCGCCCGCTCCTCCCGCTGCCCCCCGCATCCCCGAATAAAGTCCTCCTCGCGGCGCATCACGACTGACTGAGATCTTACTATTTATACGGCAGGCGTTCTCTGGTCCGGTGATCATTGCTTCCCGGGCACCGTTGAGACCCTTGAATTGCTTCGCAAAAACGGTGCGCAAGATCCCCGCCCAGCGTCCCCAGTAGCCCGATAACCCTAACACCCGAGGTTTCAGGCAAACAAGTGGTTTTCGTGACCAACAACAGCACCAAGTCGCGCGCCGACTACCGCAAGAAGCTTGAGGGTCTCGGAATCCCTAGTACAGTGGTGAGGCGTTTCCCTCCCCCTTCGCAATCTCCCCAAATCAAATCACGCAATTGACTCACCTCTCCCCACAGGAAGAGATCTTCTCGTCCTCCTACAGCGCCTCGATCTACATCTCGCGCATTCTGCAGCTCCCTACCGACAAGCGCAAGGTCTTCGTGATCGGTGAGACCGGCATTGAGCAGGAACTGCGCTCCGAGAACGTGCCGTTCATCGGCGGCACCGACCCAGCCTACCGACGCGATATCGAGCCGGCGGACTATGCGCGAGTGGCGGCGGGCGACCCGGCCCTTCTTGACCCCGAGGTTGGCGTGGTGCTGGTGGGACTGGACTTCCACGTGAACTACCTGAAGCTGGCGCTGGCGTTCCACTACGTCAAGCGCGGGGCTGTATTCCTGGCGACGAACATCGACTCAACGCTGCCGAACTCGGGCACGCTGTTCCCCGGCGCAGGCTCAATGAGCGCACCGCTGATCATGATGCTGGGCCGGGATCCTGTGGCACTGGGCAAGCCAAATCAGGCGATGATGGACGCGATCGAGGGCAAATTCCAGTTCGATCGGCAACGGACGTGTATGGTAGGGGACCGGGCAAATACCGATATTCGGTTTGGCCTGGAGGGCAAGTTGGGGGGCACGCTGGGCGTGTTGACTGGGGTGAGCTCGAAGGAGGACTTTGTGGATGGGCCGGTGCGTCCGTCGGCGTATTTGGATCGATTGTCGGATTTACTGGCTGTGGAACCGTGACGAAACCCAGAGCGCTAGAGCCGAGCTGGTTCGAGAAATTTACGAGAAAGACACGAAGTAGAGCAAGATTGGGCCACGGGCTGATATACAGAAAGTGGATGACAGGACAGCATCTGCACAACTACACCATTGATAGAGATATGAATACACTCGGATTCTTCTTACTAGGTGTTCGACGTACGTATGTATAAAATCCTTCGAGCGGGCTTATTTGAGAGTATTTTGTTGTGTTCTGGTTTTTTCTCTCTTTTTTTTTTTCCTTCTTCCACCTCTAGAAGATCAACCTGGCCGTATCCCGAACGTATGGCAGCGCAGTCGCCAAAGGGTTTCACTTCATCATGCAACACACCACACCATACTTCAACCGACGTCGGGCCGGCCATATGAGAAGAAAATTTTCTTTTGTCAGACAGAACCTCCCAGCCCACTGGGGCGACTCGACCTAGCTATTCTTCATGGATCGACTAAACGAGAGCTGGGCGTACGATCGGTGGGCCCGTCAGCATCCAAGGCGCGTGCGGGATATCTGAGTCACGGAAACGAATGAATTTGATCGATTCGGCCCCCTCAACCTCAAACAATCTGAGGTAAACGGGGTTCTGACATGCTTTTCCAGCCAGATGGACCCTACGAAATTGTGACCGGGGGAACATGCAGAGATACGACCCAAGCCGCCAAACTCTCGGCCCACCCATTCGGGTCCATGGACCGAGTCACATCCGGGCTCTCTAAGCTTCTTCGGCGACACATTCGAAGCCAAGCCAACCCTCTGGTCCTGCAGGCTACTGCAGGGGAAGCCGGTCTCGCTTGACTCGACGCCCAATCAGGCCGATTCAAGTCCGGTCATAGATGCACCAGACCCATCTTGTTGCATCTCGTTCCCTATCAAGTGTTCGAGCTAAGCTCACCCACGAGGCTCCCTGGTTTCACGGTCTAATGTGAGATGCAGGTATCATTTGATCCCATTATTCGGTGGGGCCAATCGGTGATATCGTCGCGGGTGATACGGTATACGAGCGGGTTTCAGCTGGAGGCGGACGGGCGATTCGGACGAGGACACGGTCCGATATACTTTCGTGCTCGATAGGTTCGAGGCATCGGGCTACTTAAACCCGCAGGAAAAGATCCTGCCAGACTACGCAAGCAATCCCCGAGACCCACATTCACCGTCGTCATGGATCTCTATCTATTCGGGATTCTCTTCTTGCTGGCTGTGCGGGCGTGCGCGATGCCTGCGGCGGTGACCGACTCGACTGCATTCAATGCGGCGAGTCCTCGTGAACGACTTGAGCGACTGGCCCAGTTCGCCCTCGACACGACACTAAGAGGACTTGGCCACAACTCTACGACGTTCCACGGCAAGAAGTGTACACGCCGCAACTTGCGGATTCGGCGGGACTGGAGAGCGTTCTCACGGTCTCAGAAGAAGGCCTATATCAGGTCCATTCTGTGCCTGCAGGCACTTCCGCCACGGACGCCGTCACATCTCGCGGCTGGGGCGAAGACACGATATGATGATTTCGTGGCGACGCATATCAACCAGACCTGGCATATCCATCGCACGGTAAGCCCGTGACCCCCGGCCCTCGAGCAATTGTCTGCCTGAGCATTCATCCACTTACGTCTGTTCGTCCCAGGGCACCTTTCTAGCATGGCACCGGTACTTCATCTATGAATTCGAGCAGACTCTCCGCCATGAATGTGGCTATACTGGTGATCTTCCGTACGAGCTATTCTTTCTCTCTCTATCAGAGCCCGGCTAATATTCCCTGTGTAAAGATACTGGAACTGGCCAGCGGATATCAATTCAATGGAACGGTCCCCATTCTTCGACGGCAGCGACACATCGCTCTCCGGCAACGGCGAGTACATCCCAGACCAGCCGGATCTCGAGATCCCCATGGGCGAGACGGACATCCCTCCTCTTATTCTCCCGCCCGGCACAGGCGGGGGATGCGTCACCAGCGGCCCCTTCGTCAATTACACCGTCAACATGGGCCCGTCGTTCCTCTACGTGCCCGGGGGCAATGTCTCACGCATGTCGAACCCACTCGACTACAACCCGCGCTGCATGAAACGCGACCTGACGACCTCAATCCTCCGCGACAATACCAACTACGCGCGCCTGGTCGATCTGCTTCTCACCAATGGTGACGTGTGGGATTTCGAGACGAACGTACAGGGCGCCCCGGGCAGCGGCCAGCTGGGCGTGCACGGCGGTGGCCACCTCGCAATCGGCGGCGACCCGGGTCGGGACGCGGACGCCAATCCAGGGGACCCGGGGTTCTGGCCGCACCATGGGATGATCGATCGGCTCTGGTGGATCTGGCAGAGCATGGACCCGGCAGCGCGGCAGGATGCCATCTCCGGCACGGATACGTTCTTGAATAATCCCGCGTCGCCGAATACCACGCTCGACACGCGGGTGAATGTTGGGTATGTGAAACCGGGGTCGATTGCCATGCGGGAGTTAATGAGTACCACGGCTGGTCCGTTTTGCTATGTATACCTGTGAGGTGTGGAGATGGTATGGGGGCTGCTAATGAACAGGGATCGATGGGTCTTTGTGGTTTTGCTGGGATTTGATTTCGACTGGTACCCGGGGCGGGGGTTGTAGTAATAATGTGGAATGAAGCAAAAACCTGTATTACGTAGACGTTGTGTTGTGTTGTATTAGCAATAGTGATGATATATCGATTTCGAGTTTTCTCGCTTGGAATTTTTATTGCATCGTCTAGACATGCAGTATGAGCAGTAGAGAAAATTGGAAATGGGGAAATAAGCAAGACAGGCGGCTTTTCAGGGACAAAAAAAAGGACATGCTCCATTCACACATTCTGTTGATGGATTCAATCGGAAAACCTATAACCAATAACTCCAAATTTCACATTATTATATACCCGAAGATGTACAACTCGACCGCTGTGATCGTTCCCAAAACCATGGTGGGCTATATTGTCGGTGGAAGTTACGTCGATAGTTTGTCTGCGTCGGTTGCTCCTGCGATGAGGGGAACGAGTCGATCTCACGCATGCTAGATGGCATCTCACTTGACGGCAGCTCGCTGGAGGGTAGCTCCTGGCCATTGTAGGATCCTCGGGCGATGGCGACGAGTTTCCCGAGGATAGCATATTCTAGCTTGAGCTTGATACTGTATGCCACAGGTTTAAACATAACCTGGACGGCGTAGTATCCCACATACTCAATCACGACAACGGCGATATCGAGGACCAGGATAATTATGTTGATGAGGAGGAGCTGATTCAAGATACCATGTGGCCGACCTTGGGGTCGCAGCTTCAACAGCTTGACCGTCTCCCACACGTAGATCCCCGAGATCACGAGTTCCTGGATACAGAATCCGACCAGCTGAATCCGTTCCATGATGTCGTATCCCTGTGACCAATTGCTGAAGGGTTCTGCTGTGGTGCCGTAGAGAAGCACGATCGTAGGGGTATGGAAGAGCACCGCGTCGATAATGATCATCCACAGGACGCCCCAGAGCACCTTAGTATTTTGCAGCACCAAATGCAGGCGCGACCACAGAACCACCGACTGCCCCGTCACCATGGTCACCCAGCTGAAGACGATGAGCGTGACGCACACCCAAGGGGTAACACCCGTGGGAAAGAAGAGCAAGACATAGCCCAGGCAGTGTGGCACAATGCTGGCGGATGCGATAAGGAGACTCCAGAAGTAGCAGCCGTGGTGGCGCTTGAATGAGACGAAGCACAAGATGATGAGTTCGATGGCATTGTACCAGGCGATGGCTGCAAACGCGGCGAAGATATAGGTGCGTACTTGGTCCCCGGTTGAGTACCGGTGTATCAGCGAGTCCGCGATATCGGAGGCGCTGCGCGGTGACATGGATCGATGAGGCACATTTCTCAAAGAAACCAGAGAGAGGGAATAAAACAAAGCCTGGTGACAAGGGAGAAGGGGGAGAAGGTTCCAAAACAAAAAAGATCTGCCCTTGCGCGGGATTGCGGTCGCCCACTGCCGATTAAGGTTTATGTTTTCACGCTGCGCCGGGGATGCATAGTCGGACTCGAGCCCCCCTTTTTCCGATTTCTAACGCGAGAACGAGATGTCGGATCTTCAAAGGACCAGAGCGCGAGGGGGAGGTCTTTTGTGTTAGGATGAGGAAGGACGGAGGCAATTGATGCGGGCGGACGAGGAGAGACTCGGAAATCCGTTCACATCTCCCCGCCGGCATGACAGCTCCTCCTGCTCCTTTGAGGAGAGCGTTCCATGGGTGCCACACGGTCGATGCGACAGCACAGGGTGTGGTAGGATGATCGGATGGTCGGACAATAGAATGACTAAATTATGGGTCCTTCTTCTTGTCCCCGCCAAGAACCCGACCTCCTGGGTCCGCCAAAACTCGGGGGTGGGAAGAAAGCGCGCGGGTGCGGCATCGACTATTGAAAGGTTGATTGACCGATTCCAGTGTCTTCATCTCATAGGAGTAGTGATCACGATATGTCTTCCAGTGGTTCTGTATACTGGGCTCGTCTATACCTAATGGGAGCGGCCGGAAGTATTCATCCGACCCAGGGACAAATTGTGTCTCATAACGGCGTGCCTCACAGCACTCCCAGGCCACTGGATCCAGCCGCTTTATCATATATCTCACGTAGAATAATCTTTTTTCGTCGTTTGACCTGAGAAATGCATCGGTGTCGGTAATATCTTCCAAGCGCCTAGCACTTGTCAAGGTCTGATCAATATCCTGGTTTCTCCGTATGACTACATCAATCTCCTGGATCAGTCGACTTGGATCTTGACACCAGTCCTTCTTCAGGCCCCTCTCCGAAGTTTCCATCGCATGGTCGTGATCTACCTAGCACGGAACATGTTAGTCATGTGGAATAAATAACCTTTGCTCGAGCCGCTTGAGGAGCATATATATTGGCTAGCATCGACGTTTTCCGGACGCGACACCCGGTATAAGCTAGTAAAAAATAGGATCCACTGGAAATTAACAATCAATTGTGATGATGTCTTAGCTCTGAATATCTAGCGGGGAGGGTTGAACATCCCCCACCACGTTGACTAGCGTGTCACGGCGTTGTATTTCGAGTATACCCGGAATACCATATAAAACAGGTAGGGAATCGAGTATTCCTATAACCCTAGGATGCACAGCGGTATATATAGGTCCTCTCTGTATTGTTGGCATCTTCCCTCTTGATATTCTCTTTTCTGGTGTGTTTGTGGCATTTACTTTCAGTGTGACCCATCCGAAGGCGCAATCGATTGTTCCCACTTTTTGGCGCACAGGCCCCCGCCATTTACTGAAGTCAGTTCCCTTCCCCGCGCCCCGTAATCTGCGCCCGTAATCTTAAAAGACTCTCTATCTCAACAATCCACTATGGATCTTCGAGACACTCTTACAGGAAGACATGAATATCTTACCTCGTACAACCGAACCCCCGAAAACGCTATACAAAACCTGCGGTCCCTTTGTGCCGTGAATGACTTGGATTCTTTCCAGTCTACACTCGCGGAACTTCGCACGCACCCTGACCGCTTTGCTATTAACGACCTTGGGGAAGTGTTGAGTGACGCAATAGAACACAACAAGAGTGATTTCGCTTCCAAGCTTTTACAGTATGGCTATCCAATAGTCGGTCTCCATGCGAAAGAGGCAATTTTCTATAAGTCCAAGGATGTTTTAATGGTATATCTTGAGGCGGGCTGGGATATTAATGATCCAATTGACGAAATTTCCCCCCTATACTTAGGTAAGTGGTTTAGATCATTAAAATGCTCTATATAATATATACTAAGGAGCAACTAGCTATGCTGTACTTGACCGAGATTTGACAGCTTGGCTTCTTGATCGTGGGGCAAATCCAAATCAGCGGAGTACGGTAGACTGCACCCCATTATCGTATGCCGTGCAGCTTGCATCTATGAGTGTTATACGTCTGATGCTGGAGCGTGGAGGTGACCTGCTTAAGGGACAGCTTCTCCAATATTGCGTTTACCGGGAAGATGACGTGATTGACGTGTTGTCCCTTCTTCTTGAGAAAGGGGCACCTATAAATGCAACAATGAGCAAGGATCGACTCACCTTTGTGAGATGGTGGGTTTATGGCCTCGGAACGGCTTTGCATATTGCCGTGCAGCTTGGCAAATTTGATGTAATCCGATACTTGATGGAATCGGGGGCAGACATGAATGTGAAAGATGCCCTTGGACGCACGGCATTGGAACTCGCAAAAGTCAAAAACCAGAGGAATTTCGTGGCATATCTTGAAAATTGGAGTCGAGACTCAAAGCTCTAGGCTATAACCTCGCATTTCTCATGAAATTCAACGTGAAATCATTGTATACACGAGGAAAAGAATACACGAGGAAAAGAATACACGAGGAAAAGAGATCTCCTAGAGAACACAATCTAAGCACTCAAAAATCTTACCAGTCCGATTTTCTGATCTTATAGTATTATTTGAATCTACAAGTCTGGTTAGAAACGCGAGAAAAAAAACCATTGATAGAGTTCCAGACGTGATAGATAGGATATAATCAACCCTGGTTAATGTATACTCACGGTAATAAAGTCAACGTTTGAAGACTGATTATCGCCTATGTTGCTCCTTATAAATCAAGATACTGTACTATACTTCGACTTGTGATCTATCAAGTTAGATCCTTCACTTCGCCCTCGAGATGAGTCCTCCTGATCGTTGTGAATTATACTAACTTATATCTCAAATCTCACTGCAAGTCCCCTCTATTACTTTACCGTCTAATCTTAGTATCTTTCTACCCATTATACTGTACTATGTTCCAAAACTTCTCTGGATTCTCTTCCTCCTCCGCCTTTGCTTTCCCTGATGAGGTATAACTGTTAATACCGAGATTACTCTCATTAGAGAGGATTTGCAATATAAATCCGAGCATCATTACATGTACACGATACTCTACAGGAAGTTCAAATACTAGTTTTCCTATAGAAGTTACTCTTTGATCGATGTATTTAAAAATTTCGTGGGTCTTGAGAGTAAACATTGAACAGGAGTGGTACTGTAGGTGTAGAATCTACTCCCGACAACTTTACAATACTACACTAAACTATCTAAGGCGTAATTCATGTGTTCCTAGTTTGCACTTTTGTGATTCAGTGACGAATTCAATTCGATATCCTTAATTCTTACACTAGTAGCAAATAATATAGGCAGTCTAGATTGGAAATAGGATCCTTCTTGTTAATATTTAGCTCTAGCTGTTTTTGCTTTCTATCTCGGAGAATCTATTGATAGTGCTTGAATTTTAGTCTTGTAAATCCGATAGACTTATGAGGGTTGTGTATCGCCCAAGGGATCGCCGTGACAACGCGATCGTCCATGTACTGAGACGGAGTCATTTCACAAAGTCGGATATTGAGCTCTGGGTTATTCCTCCGGGCGACAAAGCATACCATATCTGAATACTAAGATCTCCTGGTTGACAGTCCAAGAGGTCGATATAGTAGGATACGGTATCGGCTAGGAAAGCTGGGATCCAATGGAACGAGATGCTCAATCTGATGATCCCTTAGATGACTTGACTATCTAGGTGTGAAGGCGGGGGAACGTTGAACATCCTCTGCCTCGCTGTCTAGCCTAAAGTGTCGAGATGGAAGACTGCATAATACCGCTAAGACCCACCTCTCCCCGTGTGTGTCAGATTGTTAAGGGATACTTGATTTACTACGCGTTTTGTATAATATCCCGGGTGGACTCGGAATACAGCACCGTAACGCGCTTTTCCTCCGGGCGACAAAGCAAACCATATCTGAATACTAAGATCTCTTTATATGAGACGTTCCAACCGGGCTTACCCTACTTCGGCTTTTGCGTGCTGCTTTTACTTTAAGGCACTCTAGCTTCAAACACAGGAAGGCCAAGCTATCGAGATCATTGAGAACTTCAAATGACAAATATTAACCTAGTAGAATAGTAATATAAACATATATGTACTGTACCGTTAGGATGTCTCCTTTGATCTTTCTATAGGAATCCGACCGGGTGGGTTAGTGATCGACTACGTCCTTCACCGAATGCTTCCGAAGTTTGGAACGCATTTCGGAGCCAAGGCTGGCAAGCTGCAAGCAGGAATGCTCGATGGCTTCTATGGACCGCGAATGACCAAAACTCTATCCATCCTAGCTTAACGGCTCTGCCATATGGATCTTAACTGGACAGTATGTAAATTAACTGCTCCCAGGCCTAATGTCAGTAAGAAGTAGACCCATTCACTAAGATCGACCGTTAGCCTGAAATGTGACAAAGGATTTGTCTGTGGTACTGGTTTTATAATTACTTTTATTCTCCTCTTGCCAGGTGATCTCACCTGGTGGGACAACCTTTGCGACATGGCTGCGGACCATACCCTCTATGAATTCCCATGTCCATACCAAGTGCTCTCTCTGTTCCCTCGAGAGCCCTTGAGATTCATTGTAAATATTGCCCTGTCCAAAAGACTCGCTGTGGTGGTAAGCCAGGTATTGAGTATTCGTTCCCGGGGAAGAGAGTCGCACCCGTAGGCGATTCCAGGGGCTCCCCCGCCAGCCATTGCTTTTGGACTTCATGTTCATGTTCCCAATGATGGCTTCCAGGGCCGAAGGTTCGGCAAAATGTCCAGATACGCCACAGGGAACACACCTAGGCATGTGTCTCCTGCACTGAGCCAAAAAGACCACAATTTCAATCCAATTACGCACTGACAGCGTAGAACCTAGATATATATATCCTGGCACACAATGGTGTATTTCCTAATAACCATCCTGCCATTTCCAAGGGGCATGCCTCCGGGCCCAAACTAGGGTTCCCCGCTAATAGAGCACTGGCCTTCTCACAGGAAGATACCATCTATAAATAAGGATGGCCTCAAAGGGTAAAACAACTTAAAACCCCTACTATTCATCAAAACGATCAGCTATTTCGTAGAAACCCAAGGGTTATACAATGGTGTTCAAAAGTATTTACCGGTCCCCACTTTGATCACCACACCAACCACCTACACATAAAATTTCTTTCCTTCTACAACCACCAACATGCTAGATAAGCTAGAATAATCTGCTAGAAAACGAAGAAAAAAAGGTGAGCTTACCCCCTAGCAGCGTCTAGCAATAGTATATGCTGCCAATAACGGTGTGTCTAGGATTCAGCTAGCACGTGATTTTACATGCAGTCCAAAAACGATATACAACACTATTCAACGCTATACAGAAAGCCACACAGTTGAATCAGCGACTCGAAAAGGAAGACCTAGGAAGCTTACTAGTCGTGATTGCACCTTCTTATATTTGCAAGCACGCCGGCATCCTTTTTGGACCTATAAACAGCTATCAGCGTGTTTAGCTAGTCATCTATCTAGGTCGACTATCTATCGAGTTTGGTGTAAGCGATGGTGTTGTGTGTAAAGATGATGTTCATATTCCCTCATGAGAGGTCATGATAAGCTAGAACTATTACATAATCGCCAGCCAGCGGCAACAGAGTACTTCGCCAATTCCAGCTTGCTAAACATCTATAAAAGCGTAATATCCCTTTAGGATTAAGCGCTGCTTTAGAACGACGGTATTTTGTATCAAAATAGCGAAGAATCGCTGATTCTTCTGGGATTCAAAAGTGGATATTTTCCGACGAGTGCTCGATTCAAAGAACAACGAATACTACGCCTAAATAGTGTTAGCGATTCGCTTCCGAGGCTTATAGGCGTGATCTAATCAATAAGTAGGTTCATGTTAAAGATATTTCGCAGATAGTTTGGGGTGCTATTTAGCTTAGTAGTCGATCGAAGCTTGTTATAATAGAACGGGAGGATATCTGACGGTCGGAAGCGAGGTTATACTGCAAAATCCTATATCCAAGTGTTAGAACAGGGTCTATTACCTATCTATAGGCCTAATATTATCTTTCAACAAGATAACGCTAGGATTAATATTGCAAATGTAACACAAGAGTGGTTTGAAATACACGGAATTTAGGTGGAAGATTGGCCTCCACACTCACCTGATTTAAACCTTATTGAACCTATCTAGCGGTAATTAAAACTGAAGCTTTTCGAATTGCATCCTGAGTTTATTGATATGGGAAAGTCTGAGGAGGATTGGCGTTATTTATAGCATGTATAAAGGAAGCTTGGGAGGCATTAGATCAAAGGAAGATAGATAGGTTAATCTTAGGGGTAGGAAGAAGATTAGAAGCTATGCGGAGGGCTAAGGGTTAATTATACAAAATATTAGTGGTTGCTAAGCGAGTCTAACCCTACCCGGATTCAAATTTTCTTACTGGAAATATATAGCTAGAGAGATGGTGGTGTGGTGTGTAGTGTAACAGATATATACGTATATTTGATGTTGGGGTGGTGAAAGTGGGGACCGATAAATACTTTTGAACGCCATTGTATTATAATCATATCATCTTCACTAGTACTCCCTGTCAGCCAGGAGGCCCCAATCGTAGATAGCACTAGTAATCCAACCTAGAACCCTGGTCGTCAGCGCGTTGACAAGTTGTTATGGAATAAGAATATCCATTGTTACCCTCCAAGCCAGGTCACATGACCCAATGGCACCATCTTGGCTAGCTTAGAGCATAACCAATAAGATCACCTTTACATCTACTAACTCTGTCACATCCATAATACTATTCGGATTAACTTCAGATCTAAATTGCGTATATGACGTGATGAGGATACCATATTTGTCGTCATCATTTATTGACTAGTTAATAGTCATGTTAATTAATCATTCACGATAAAGAAGCAAAATCTCATATCTTTAGAATTGAATCTTTTGAAGGTTAAGTCATTGAATACTATATACCCTTCTTATTCCTTGATTCTACACCGATTCAATATTGATATTTATTCTTTTCTTACCTAACCAACAGGCTAATAACCTGCAAGTAGTACTCTAATCCCATGTCACTGTGATAAACCTCTCCACTTTTCCACGACACATCGATATGAGGCTTTCCTTCCGCTGGAAACAGGTAAAGATGAGCTGCGTCGCCATCACTGATTATCAGCACAAACACGTAAGCAACGTAACATCCACGCACGTGGAAATATCAAGAGGCTGAAACGATATTATGGAGAAAAGGTAGTAAGTCTGCTTAGTTTGCCCGCTCCGCTTGAGCTCCCTTCTCGATGAGAAGCCTCGCCACTGCCTTATGGCCATTCGACGAGGCCCCGTGAAGCGGTGTCCATCCCCATTGATTGCTCGTATTAATGTCGGCTCCTTTCTCGATGAGAAGCATCGCCACTGCCTCATGGCCATTCGATGAGGCCACGTGAAGCGGTGACCTTCCATGTTGATCGCTCGTATTGACGTCGGCTCCTTTCTCGATGAGAAGCCTCGCCACTGCCTCATGGCCATTCGATAAGGCCTCGTGAAGCGGTGTCCTTCCATCTTTATCCCTGGTATTGACGTCGGCTCCTTTCTCGATGAGAAGCCTCGCCACTGCCTTATGGCCATTCGACGAGGCCCCGTGAAGCGGTGTCCATCCCCATTGATTGCTCGTATTAACGTCGGCTCCTTTCTCGATGAGAAGCCTCGCCACTGCCTTATGGCCATTCGACGAGGCCCCGTGAAGCGGTGTCCATCCCCATTGATTGCTCGTATTAACATCGGCTCCTTTCTCGATGAGAAGCCTCGCCACTGCCTTATGGCCATTCGACGAGGCCACTTGAAGCGGTGTCCTTCCATCTTTATCCCTGGTATTGACATCAGCCCCCTGGTCGATCAGAAGGTTTACAACTGTCTCAAAGCCACCTTCTGAGGCCCGTGAAACTGGTGTTCGCCCCCCTCTATCCATGTCATCAACGGCTGTTCTTGCCTGCAAAAGTAGCCTGGCAATCCCTGCGCGACCGCTCTGCGAAGCCCAGGTCAGCGGTGTTCGATTTTCATATGCTTTTAAGTCTTTCCTCTGGCCAAGGCCCTCTGTAATATCGATTCCGTTGTAAATCCAAGAAGATAAGCCCAAAAGAGCAGCAACAGCATCTTTGTTCCCATTAGCCAAAGCGGCAAATAGTGGGTATCTGTATCTCTCCCCAAAAATATGGATTTGCGGATCCTCTTTGAGCCTCGACCGAATGAGATTGGAGAATCCTTTATCTGCTAAAATGTAAAGTAGACTCGCGCTCGGGGTATATTTGCGATTCTTGAACTTTTCAAAAAGATTGTTGGCATTGGTCCAGTCAGAGACAGGAAATAAAGACAGGAATCTGTCTTGAGGAACCGATTTCGCTGCAGCGTTGGCATGGTAGAGGATATTCTGACTGGCATATTCCAAGAAAGGGTATTCGTTTGAGATTTCCTTCCGGCCGTTAGTGTCAGACTTAGACAGAAGCCTGCTAACAGATGTGCTGATCAGATTATTTTTCATATAGAAGCTGCAGCATTGTTTAAGCTTCTCATGGCTGAGGCTCTCGGAGTTAAATCTGAGCTCAGGCCACAATTCATATAGACCCCTATCCTTCACGAGAAAATCTCGAACAGATTCATGGATAAATTGAACTCTGGGATGACTAGATTGCGTTGTCTCGGCAAGTCCTTTTGAGGAGCTAATGACATATTTGCTAAATTTGTTGATACCAGCACTAGTATCTTGGACGGAGGCATCTTGGACGGAGGCATCTGGAATTCGGGCATCGACTAAACCCTTCGGAGATAAGCCAGACCAAAGAGCATGATAGAACTCCTGCGGCCGCAAAGGGTCCTTTGCGTACAGAATCCAGAGAATGCAAAGCAGAAGGGCCTCCATATCTTCATTGTCGCGTCTCAAGATATCTTTGAACAGTTCGCTCAGATCACTGGGTATTTCTGCGAGTCTCATTCCTAGAGCCATTCCGCCCCGTCGATACTCCTTATTGAGAATGTCAACAACTAAGACGACCCACATGAAGACACCTGCAGCTTTACCGAGAACTTGTGGTCGCAGCTCTTCTGCAAGCGTGGGATCTTCGACTATCAGACGGTCCGCGACGTAGGTTGCCAAGTCTTCCGCATGACCTAACTGATCCTCAAGTGTAAGCCGAATACCTCGTTGAATAGTGATAAAGGGATAGTGTCGACTCGAAAAGCAGGTTCGGAATAGGACCCCTTTTGCTGCAGATTGCTCAGCGAGATCTTCAAAGTACCTGACCATATCCACAACTTGCTGTTCATCACACTCATCAAGAGCATCAACAAAGCAGGTAAATGAGCGTTGACCAAGGGCGCAAATCGCATTGGCAAATAGGTCCTTCAGAATATTTAACGAGGGGCAACCATTTTGAACTGGGGGAACCAGGTCGGAATCGTCTAAAACAACCTGGAGGTCAGGGTACCCTTCAAGCAATTGAAGCAGTAGTGATCGATACATCCCTGAGATTGATTTTTCGAGGTAATCACCTCGAGCGTTGAAGAAAAAGGAAGCAGTGAGAGCGTTCTTATGACGTGCCTTGCTCTTCATACAGGAGAACACGAACTTCATAATTGTAGACTTGCCAGCACCGGGCTTACCACTGATCCACAAAAAGCCATGATTTTGCGCCAATCTTGCGGGATCAAGCCACGCTTCATAACAAGGATGGCTCAGAATCCAGCGACAAGTCTTTTCCTGTTGTTTTTTGATGGATGTTTTGCGGGAATCCATATGCTCGAACTTGAAGGAATTTAACAAGTGCAGGCGGCGTTCAGGTGATGAAACTTGATCTAAACATCCGGTGTGAGCAGCAGTAAGTCGAGGGTTGTTCCTCAGGCGGATATTAGTTCTTACAAGGATCGGCCATCGAAGTAATGCTCGTATGCGATTCGGTCACAGGTAATTCCTCGAGCAACTCCCTTCCGTATGCGGCTGCGGTTGCTGCAGCATATCTCTGCCACTCTTTGCTCTTGTGAGAGTCCGCGTAGTCGCAGATTCCCCGAATTGAAAGACATGGGAGGATGTCTATCAGACCAGCACTTTCCATCTCAAAACATATGACGTCTAGCTCTCGAGCAATGTTGTCCCGGGTAACACCGTCCCTCATGACTTGGTTTCCTGAGGCAATCGCGCCATAATGGATATTCACTTCGTTTGACATTCGTCTGCTTCGTGATACTAGCTTTGAAATGTCACATCCGTCACAGTTACCTGTATGAGACTCATGATTATAGGTCGCATTGAATAGACGATCCGGTGAAGTTGGGCGACCATAGGCGGATTGACCTTCGAGCTTCTGCTGCAAGATAGATTGGACTCGGCTAGGGCCAAATTCGTGCTTTGAACGGACGGCAGACACAGCCGTACTAAGCAACTGATGAGGAATTCGAGGAATTGCCGTTCGCTGGATATTTCCGGCTCCAAGGACTTTCCCAAGATCATACTGCATCACCCTTGTTCCGACGACAATATCACCTAAACGCACATCAGCCTTGCTTGGCACCCCACCGCCGATGCCCACCATCAAACATGCACGAATTGATGGAAAGGTCCGCTTCATGTTCGTCATAACTATCGCTGCATTATTTGTTCCATACTGGCCATCAGGTAAACACGCAATAACAACATTATGTTGATCGATCTTTCCTAACACGTAGGTATTCCTATCGTCCGTATGGGTAGGCAGGGTTTCGTGACATTCGTCCAGCATGGCGCGGGCGGCTGCCATCTCTATATACAGCGCACATATCCAAGCGATGGTGTACTGATAGTGTCGTGCGGCAGGCAAACTATCATGGTGAGAGGTCTTTGGTCGCTTAGAAAGGTGGAATTCTGCCGTGATTGCCCCGTAATTATTACCCATTTGAAGCCCATTATTGATCCCACAATAAGACTTTGATGTCATGGCCAGAGTAGCACGTGTTGTCTGTCGCCTGTAACGGATGATGTATTCCGACTCTCAGCTGAAGAGGGGCAGGTGCTCTGCTTGATCATCAGCTGAGACCATGGCGTTTAAAAGGCATTCAAAATATGCGCGCATTTCCTGCCTTTGGACTGTGAGCTTACCAGGCTAATGTTTTTTCTATGAAAAGCTCTGGAAGAGCTGTGTCAAATTCTGACTGGCATAGGGAGTGGCTAAGGCGGTGGGAGTCAGACAAACGTTCGTAGGGAGCGGGTTTATTTGTCGGAACGACAGGATAGGTTAGCTAGGTACTTATTCACGGATCAATCAACATTGCTCAATATGGTTAGTCAGCCCACTACACTCAATCGTCGTGCAGTTGTTCATTGCCAGTTTAACACTTATACATCAAGAAAAGCGCTGAAGACGGTAAATAGTATAATGGTTGAGAATCCAATAGCAGACAAAAGAAGACTCAGGCCATTTATCAGCATCCATAAATCTCCATGAGCATCTTGAAATCATTGTCACGTAAAAGTTGAGTCGCGGTAAGGCGGTCTCCGGGGGTATATACAAATACCTTGCGCATAACATATCTAACGAGTTGCAGCTCTGGTTTCGACACCCCCCTTTTACCTAGTTGACAAAGGATTTCCATTCTTTCTTCCCATCTATAAGATCTGTTTTGTTCCACGGAATCTAGCGTTTTTGCCTGATCATACCATTCATCAGGTCGATATTTGGAGTAAAAGCCGTACTTCTTCCACTCGACTGGTAGAGGACCCAGATATTGCGTCATAGCAGCAATCACACCTTTCCCTGGCATCGACTCGAAAAAGTGGAAACCAAAGTAGAGTTGTGTGAACAATATCATGAAACTCCACATATCGCAAGCTAGACTTGGCTTTTGGCGATGAAGACGTTCCGTGGAGCAAAATATTTCAGGTGGAGCTCCTTTCGGGATATCGTTTGGGGATCCTGCGTCGCTAGCCTCTATCGAAAGGCCGAAGTCACCGAGAAAGAAATTCTTGGTCCAGAACTTGCTTGGAATCATCATAGGCGTAACACGCTCCCCTTTTCTTGAGAGGTAGGAATATAATATTCCTTTCCTTAGAGGCGGGCCGACCGTTTTATACAACTCGGCCCGCTGTCGAGGTAGTTCACCTACACCACACATACAGTTGCGATTATTTATATCGTAAACTGTGGTTAGGTGATACCATCGAAGAAAAGAGGATTAGGGGCGTCGTAGCTTACCACGATGGATAAACCCTGCTAGGTGTAGCTGTTCGAGACCAAGTAATATATGCTTAGCAGCACGCATTCTTGTTCTTATAGGGAGCCTAAACATTGAATCCTCATCCAAGCATGGTCCCATTAAAGGGAAAGCCAGTGCCTGGTGTCTCCCATCCGGAGTGAGAGGGAAAGATTCGAGAAGTGTCACAAGATGTGAGGCATTCTTCACTTTTTTCTTCACAAGAGTCTGAATTGCGATCTCGGTATTTTGGAGCCTACAGGAGCAGCAGCAGTAGCCTTCAATGCTACTTGTCTCTGGTCCCGCATATTAACAGCGAGCCAAACCGTGGAGAAGCCACCGAACTCGATCTTATGCTCAACCAGGTATCGGTCGCCAAGAACATTTCCCACACAATTAGGAAAGAACTTGCCGATGGTTTTATCGCTTTCCGGATCATACCTTTCTTCAGGCTCCGCAGACTCGTCGATTTCCATCTCGTCATCTGAATTCATCGCCAAGTTGCCGAAATTATCATTAGGAGAATGGTCCGGATGCGGCTGCCTGACAGACAGGGTTGTCTTCATTGAGCTACCTGTAGTCATTTTGGAAGAGGTATCGATATCAGCGATTCTTGTTACCAGCCATTCAATGCAGGAGGCATATGAGGGTGCAATGGTAGGGGGCTTTATAGGTGTAATGGTTACTCAGCCTAAGACCGCAGCTTGGCGCAGCCTCAGACTCTGCCCCGCTGTAGGCACATGTGCTGGTAGCCACGCGGAGCTGTGACCATTGACCCAACAAAGGGCAACTTTGTGCAACTCGAAAGGCCGAGGGTCGATGGAGGAGTGGAGGGGTGTGAGGGGTGCTTACTCATCATCACTGGCAAAGCTGTGGGACTCGGAGTGACACCAGTAATTGAACAAGAGGCTCTACGAGAGGGCATATCTTTCATCTCTCTTCTTCCAGCGCTGGCTGATCATAAAACTGATCCAATTTCTTCTTTTCTTGTCATTCTGTGGGTAGTACGGACAGAATAAATCCTTGAAATTATGGCTGCATCATATGTGGATATCCTATTATGGAAGATGAGGCGCCGAATCACTGGCTGAATGAGTTCCGAGCAGGTACGAATCCGAATGAATATTGAAAGACTACGACTGATCATCTCATAGTTTACGCCACTAAGAACGGTAGCTATATTTCCGGTCTAGGCAAGTACGGTGACCCTCTAGGAGGCCAGTTCATAGCACCTTCTGATCCCATAAAGCGATAGAACGATTCAGATTATACGTAAGTTCTAGCCTACAGATCGATTTCGTGCGATTTCAGACCTCGAAGTTAGGTATATAGATAATATAGAATTATAGTCTATGATTCTTGCTGGTATCAGTAAGAATACCCTTACCTACAAAAGATTCCCTCATACCGACTTATTGCGATCTGCGAATCTCTATGTATACTGTTGACGGGACAAACCATCGACTAGGGTTATTAATATAGCGGTCTTTATTATTATAAAAGAGAATTGAGCTACTTTTCGCAAAATCGAGCGCTCGAGGAAGACGGAAGCACCAAGATTCTGAAATTTGCCATATCTAATCTATAGAATATACCAAAAACCTGAAGTATCCTATTAGTAATAAAAAGCAAGGGTTATTATTTTTTTTTCTAGGAAGTTGAGATAGAATACATTTATATATTGAATAGGCTCCTATAGGAGATCCGGGAAGTTATAGCTATCACTCTCTCGACTCGAGATATATTAAACCTACGAGTATCCTCTGCAGCTTTCTCCCCTATTATAAGCAGGTAAACCGTAGGTTCTTTCTAGAGAAAAATTCTAGGAAGCTAAGGATCTCAAGATTAGTTAGCTTCATATCGCCTTACAGCTTACACGTAAAGCCCCTTATGTTATGGAGCAATCAAATGTAGAATACTTGATGTTATTCCAGCCGACCTTGGATACGAATCATATGCATGACGATATGTGTTCACATGGAATAAAAAGTCAGATTCGGGGTCCTTTATCGTCATACCTTCGGCAAACAGCGGAATGACGACTAAGATCATAGAAGGAGAATCACCCTTTCTTTTGAACTGAATCTCTTCAATATTCAGTTATTGGAATAATACACATTTGCTACTCTTCCCCGATTCTGTAATGATTCAATATTGCATTCATTCTTCCTTACCTGACCAACAGGCCGCTACCCTGCAAGTAGCACCCTAACATAGAAATACTAGGCCAGACTTGAGACAGATGAGTTCTTTCTCTTTTCTCCTTCGAAAGAGAGGACGAGAGTTCCAGAATCGCCTCTCAGTAATATGTACTAAATAGAGAAGCACAAAATTCAGGGAACTCCATCTTGTGTAAATCAAAATGAGGGCTAGTCTATGGAGTATCAGATATGGAGAGTTGGCAGGGGCACAGTTCCCGGGTACTTCTCAGGTGCCACTGTCGGTACCGGAGAAGAACCGAACTTTGGTCGTAATTCAGGACTGCATGACTCAGGCTTAGGGAAATCAAGCCTTTTCAGTCTCAACGGCTCAATATATATCATAGTGTCATTGATCATGATATTCCGATATTCCTCCCGTCAGAACTCGCCTGTGCATTTTGTTCAGTCAAACTCCAGAACAACCTTTTTTTCCAAGGGTCAACCACTTCCCTTGACACCATTTACCAGCGGTATTTTCGTCTGTTTTTCTCTATACCACCTCAAACCCCGTTTGTTTTGGCCCAAGCCAATTTCTTGCAACCATACTACTTATCATAATTGTGAGTAATACTTCCTTTGAATCTATTTGCTGATGGATTTCGTGCGACCAATATAGTCTACAGCTCGACCTGGTTACTGGTTTGGACTTTGCCTTTCTATGCTTGTCCAACGGTATCCGATCACCCATATGGAGCCAGGCCATACAAGAACGCCCGACGTCACTCTGGAGCTTGAATAGCTCTAGCTTTTCAGCTCTGACGCTGAGCTGCCAGGCAAGCGATTCAGGCGCACAGTCAGCGTCACTACAAAATAGCTTGACGGTACAGGTCCTTTTACCCTCCTGATCTTTTGTTAGCTCTATATCATATTGTACCGGCCATTTCATATTCCCGGGAATTGGGTTACCCGTGAGGATTCTAGCCTCCGTAGAACCTAGAAGCAGTTTCCCACAGGGCCACGGGTCCGACGAAGGTTGACGGTATTTCCATTCTTGATTGAACGAATATGAACCCCGATTCCAACGTCTTCTCATCATCCGCGAGGGAGACTGATGAGCGGCACTGATTAAAACCTTATTGCCCTTGTAGTCAAACAAAGCCTCCCAGGCAAGCTTCCGGTTTTCATACTGCTGGATTCCGACTGGCATGACCGACCTCGACAGGACTTCAGTATTGGAACCTTGCTGAGACAGAGTGCCTAGCGCCGGTCCCACTTTGCGCCGAAAGTTCATCATAGGAGCAAAACGGTGTTGACCATTGTTAACAAGAGGATGGGGATAGGCAGCAGTGAGCGAGGAAGGCACTGATGTTGATACTGAAGCACTTCCCAATGGTGTGTTTCTAGATTCTGTCGCGGCTCTGGATGGAAATTGTCCTCCTGAGAATGACGGCGCTGTGGATGGAGTTAGTCTGGATGATCAGAGAGGAGGAAGTTTTGGGTCTAGATGCAGTGTCGAACCTTGTTGAAGCGGCGGCCTCCTCCCCACAAAGTGCTGAGGCTTCGCTTGGCTCTCATCTGCCGTGGTATTTCTATTTCTGCTCGAGTTGAATATTGTCCGAGGGAAACGCTGTTGCCACGACTGTTGCTGCCCCGAATGTTGCTGCCCCGACTGTTGCTGCCCCGACTGCTGCTGCGCGTCCATTATGTCTCTCAGTTCGCGGGCGCCCGCGTAGGGCTCAGGCTTAGACCTTCCATTATTATTCACTGCACTTCTGAGTCGCTCTCCTACACCTGTGAAATATTTCGACATCTTCTTTGCTCAGGTTGAGAAAGACAGAAAACGTCAACGGCGTATGGGCGGCTCTACCAATGTGAAGTGGGCGGCTACTCTCTCTTATATTGGGGGGTTACTATCCTTGCTATAGACCGCACGACCGCGTCTGCGAAGACCACTTCCCAACCATCATCTCCCGGTAATGAAATCATGATTGCACATTCTCTCTCGCGCTGCTGTTGGGTGAATCCAGCAGTCACTCCGTGTCTGGGCATTCCGCCCAGTCGCGATGCCCACCCGGCGCTTCGAGGGCGCGATCGCTCGCGTCCGGGCGTATGAGGAGGTCTGCCGCCGGTTGGCTGTGGATCCCAAGGATATATTTGGCGGCGCTTGGAAGCCCCCACCAACAGCAGTCCCGCGCAGATCGGTTGCTTCGAGGTAAGTTCTGACAAAAGGAAGTGCTGACTTAAGAATAGATTTTCCGTCGCTGGCCGTCGTGAATGCCATGAAGGCCATGAAGCCTCCCGCGGACTCCTCCCTTCTTCTGAGCAGGGTCCGCCCTGTTGAACGAATGCGATCCGTCAGATCCGATGGGTTGTTCCGCCTCATCTTTCTCTCCGGACTTCGAGTTCATTCCGATTGCGATTTGTGAGTCAAGTAACCACCATCAAGGCCGCTCCTGATGTTTGAGACAAACGAGAGCATCGAACCATGATCGTGGAGAAGTTGAATTAACCAGATTCCGGCCACCGACTGGAACTGTCCTGCTTGATGCTCGAGGGGAAATCGGAAATCCCGGTCGATGGCGCGGCCCGTTCCCGTTCGCCTGCCCCTCGTTGCGGGACCGCTCGGTCCATCGACTCCCGTTCTTCATCGCCATGCGTCTCCTCGGGCGGGTGAGTCTCGGCTCCGGCATTGTACATGCTCTGCGCGCCCAGGGAACCGTAGACTTACACCAATTCCGGCTATCGCCTGATTGTCCTAACTAGCCCCCTCTCGTCTTCCCAACACCGCCCATTTCACCGCGGCAGAGGAGATCGTTGTAGACTGGACAGGGTCACGTGCCTCGGCCGGGGTCCACGCAGGCGGTCACCTGACTCTGTGGCTCTGGGTTCGTCGGGCCAATAAAACTGCTGCGGCGCCCAGAATGCCCAGAATGGGCGTACGCACTATTAAACACCACCAAACCAGCATGCGTTGATTGAGGGGAGGGGGGGGGGGGGGGGTTAAACTATGGCCAATTGACAAACGGGCTGCCGCGTAATATGCCAATGAAGTCCTGTATAAACCCTCCGCAAAATCCATAATTCACCAGACTTCGGGCTGGCCATGGAACGTCGAGCCCCATTCTTGGTCTGGTGCGCGATGCCAGATCGGGTGACGTCAGGAATCTCGATCGCTCGATCATTCGATCCATGACATCCCGTCGCGTCGTCAAGGCCCTGAAAATGGGGACCGCGCCAGTGGTGGCTGGTCCAACGCGATGCGCGCCCGTTCACTTCCTCATTTTCTCCCCCAACTTCGACCTTTCACTGCCATCTGGGTGCAACCAGCCATCGCCTCCCGAATCCAGTCTGTGAGATATACCACAAGCTTCCCCTTCATGGCGCCCAAACGCTCGACGTCCAACAAGGACGCCGACGACTCCAAACCGGCTCATACCAGCAAGCGAGTGAAGACAGATCTGCGCGACCCGCACCCCAATGCGAAACAAACCGAAGAGTTCGGCATTGTCCTCCGCGACTTCTACCCTCCGGAGATGAGCAACGAGCGATGCAAAGCCTACAATGATGGAACAATCCAACGTCCAATCGAGACCCTAGAGAAGGCATGTCAAGACACAGCCGACAAGCGCCGTGCGACTACACCGGGAAAAGCGGTGGTGCATTGGTTCAAGAGTGACCTGCGTCTCCATGACAATCGAGCTCTTCACATGGCCTGCCAGCTCGCTCGCGACCACAACGTGCCCTTGATCGGACTGTATATTCTCTCTCCCGAGGATTTCACTGCCCATTTGACCAGCCCTGCTCGAGTCGATTTCACCCTCCGTACACTGAGTCAGCTCCAACGGGATCTGGGGGAGCTGGATATTCCATTATACATGGAGACCCAGGAGAAGAGGAAGGGGGTCCCGAACAGGGTGGTGGAGCTATGTCAGAAATGGGAGGCGAAACATGTTTGTGCGAATATTGAGTATGAGGTTGATGAGCTGCGGCGCGACGCCAAGCTTGTCCGTTTGTGCGCGGAGAACGATATTGATTTCTCGCCCTCCCATGACACGTGTGTTGTGCCCCCAGGGGCTCTGAGCAGCCAGCAGGGTCGTCAGTATGCTGTCTACACACCTTGGTTCCGATCCTGGCTTGCGTTCCTCAAAGAGAACCCGGATTACCTCGAGCTTTCGGAAGAGCCCGGATCGAACCACGGTGATGCACGAAAGCAATTCTCTAGTCTTTTTGATTGCAAGATCCCCACTGCGCCCGACAACAAGCAGTTGTCCGCCGAGGAGAAGACGCGATTCGAGAAAATGTACCCGGCGGGCGAACATGAGGCCCTACAACGGCTTGACAAATTTCTGGAAGAAAAAGGTCGGAAGTATGAAGAGACGCGCAGTATGCTCTCCGGAGAGCATACCTCGGTCCTCAGTCCTTATTTCGCGGCGGGGGCTTTGAGTGCCCGAACCGCGGTAGTAACAGCGAAGCGAGCTAATAAGAACCATCTGGATCGATACGATCAGGGGTACATGACATGGATCAGCGAGGTGGCCTGGCGGGACTTTTACAAACACGTCCTGGTGAATTGGCCTTTCATTTGGTAGGATCATTTTCTTTGCCGTTTTCTTTGCGTCAGACGGGATCTGCGGTGACTAACCTCCGATAATGGGTAGTATGAACAAATGTTTCAAGCCGGAGCATACCAACATCGAGTGGGAGTATGACGCTGAACAATTCCAGGCTTGGTGCGAGGGCAAAACTGGATATCCTATTGTCGACGCTGCCATGCGACAACTACGACACTGTGCCTGGATGCATAACCGCACCCGTATGGTGGTGTCGTCTTTCCTGTCGAAGGACCTGTTGATCGATTGGCGGCGCGGCGAGCGATTCTTCATGGAGAATCTCATCGACGGCGATTTCGCCTCCAACCATGGTGGGTGGGGATTTGGTTCCAGCACGGGTGTCGACCCGCAGCCCTACTTCCGGATCTTCAATCCCATGCGACAGAGTGAGCGATTCGACCCCGAGGGCGAGTACATCCGGAAATGGGTGCCCGAGCTGCGGGAGGTGGAGGGCAAGGCGATCCATGAGCCGTACGATCGGGGTGCCGGGGCCATTGCCGAGAAGAACGGTTACCCCAGGCCGATTGTGGAGCATGCGCCGAGTCGGGAGCGGGCACTGGCACGGTACAAGAGCGCACTGCAAGGGTGAGACGAGGTGTCCCATGAACGCCCGATGGAACTCTTCGTGGACGCTGGCGCATGCTCTGGATCAACGCCTGGGGATGAAGGATGCACTGATGGATGTTATGGCGTTTCATATTCCTCGCGACATACGAGGTCTTCTCCGCTCTTTCCAGCGCTGCAGCTACTATGGGCAATCTATTTATTTTCTAGCCTACTCCTTTTCTATCCCTTAGCCCGTATTAGATTGCACGTTCCTGCTCGGCTGCCTGCTAGCGCAGACTGGTCAGTCGGTCGAGGCAGTGTAGCGTCGGCTCCAATGACTGGCCAAGTGATTGAGACACGGCGCCACAATTTCCCCGCGCTTCTTTTTTCCCCGAACTTTGTTTCTCCCCATTCTTCGTCGCCCCGGACTCGTGTTCCTTTCTCTCCCCTCAGCCTCCTCAAAATTCCTCGTATTCCTCATGCCGACTTGAAATCCAGCCATGGAAGCCCAGTCCGGGGACCCCGATGCGACCTCCGGCCCGGTCGACCTTCCCAATGGCAAACGACGATGGCGACGGAATCGGGTCGCTTGCGATTCTTGTCATACCCGCCGAGTCCGATGCGACCGCGCTTTCCCCTGTTCGCGGTGCTTGCGCAGCGATATCCACTGCGAGTTCACCCGAGAGCGTCGCAAACGAGGACGCATTGCGCGTGCAAAGCTCGCGAACGCATCCACCGCACCGGGTGAAGCGACCGGGAGCTACGAACCCCGGGAGGACTCCGTCGATGACCAGAAACTCCCCGGTCAGTCAGCGCTGTCGCCCATGCAGGACAGCTCACCGGAGTCGGGGTTCCAACAACGCTCTCCCACGACCAACGAACTCAGTCTCTCGGCGCGGAGTATAGATGGCCCTCAATCAGCAACGGACGGCCGTCGCCCGGCGCGACCAGGGCCCGATGCGAACGCAACCGAGGAGTGGCTCTCTGCGGCGCACCTATCTCCAGAGTCATACGATATTTTAGGCGGAGCGAAGGGCAACGAGGGGCCTTTGCCACGCTTATGGGATATCTGGACCCCCGGCGATCTGGTGGGCCACCATCCCCCCAAGCGCCCCCCGCACAACCCCCCTGTACCTGCGCAAACTCATGCAGGGTCTGGCCAGAAAACTGGTCCACGGTCAGGACTGAAATACCCGGTATTAGAACCAGTGATGCCGTTCATCGAATCAAATCTTCCGCGTCGCCTGGTCTGCGACCTGCTGGAACTCTACTTCACGAGCGCAATCTCAACACACATGCACCCGGTTTGCCATCATATCCACTGCTATGTCCTGCGCAAGGCTTCTTTCCTGAGCACCGATCGACCTAGGCCCAGTAGTCCAGCGTTACTCGCAAGTATGCTTTGGGTGGCCGCGGTGGATGATCGCGCCTTTTCACTCTCCATCTCCCCCCTACAGCGTCGGAAAATCTGCCAATTTCTGTGCGCTTTGACTATTCGTCTCGTCCGACCATTGATTCACGTGTCGTTCAAAGATCAGGAACCGCCCGAGAATGCCAATGCATCCCAAGACCTCGCTACGGCGGCTGCCCATCACCCATTCGAGGGCGTTGGGGACGATAAAGGACTAGTTGGCCCGGCAGGATCCCTTGACGACGTGGTCACGTATATCCACGTGGCATCGATCATCTCGTCCAGCGAGCAAAAGGCTGCAAGTATGCGATGGTAAGATAACGATTCTGATACACCTTCGATCGCCCCGGGTGAACGCTAACCGGTCCTCAAGGTGGCACGCAGCGTTTACGTTGGCTCGAGAACTAAAACTCAATCAAGAGATTGAAGTCATGCCGAACATTGACGGACAATCCGATGGATCCAGTCCGTCATTCGGCTACTCTCTGGCTGGCTGGGCAAGCTCCCCTGGCGGCCCAGTCTTTGACTACTCGAACCCGTCTCGACCGAGCTTGAATTGCGTATGCGACGAGAAGCACGATCCGCACAGCAGCTCGATGGTCACGGAGGAGCACCGCGAGGAACGCCGCCGCACCTGGTGGCTCCTCTATATCATGGATCGACATCTTGCGTTATGCTACAATCGGCCTCTCGCCCTCCTAGATGCGGAAAGCGAAGATCTCTTGCTACCTCTAGACGAAGGGTCCTGGCAAGCTGGGAACATCCATAGTAATAGCCCACGTGCAGACGGACCGCAATGCCCCCGCTCTGGGGACCGGAACAAGCGTCGAGTGTTCCCCAATTTCATTTGCCACGACCATTCCATTCTCGGCTTCTTCCTGCCGCTGATGACCATCACCGGGGAACTGATCGATTTGAACCAGGCGCGAAACCACCCGACGCTCGGCCTTCGCCTGCAGGGCAAAGAAGCCTGGGAAGTGCATGTGGTTGAAGTACTTCGGCAGCTGGAAATCTACAAAGCCAGCCTCACGACGTTTGCCGCCGCCGCCGATCCAGATGGGACCATGGCGACCGGGTATACCCCCAAGCCAGACACCCCGGATGGGCCGATGTCACAGGCTTACTCCTGGCACACGCAGACGGTGATTGCCTACGCCTCGTACCTCGTGCATGTGCTGCACATCCTGCTGGTCGGCAAATGGGACCCAGTCTCTCTCATTGAAGACAAAGACTTCTGGACCTCATCTCCGGCGTTCGCATCGACCATCTCCCATGCATTGGAGGCGGCTGACGCGGTGCAGCAGATCCTTCGCTACGACCCGGACATCAGCTTCATGCCGTACTTCTTCGGCATCCAGCTGCTGCAGGGCAGTTTCCTGCTACTGCTGATCGTGGAGCGGCTGCAGAAAGAGGCGGGCGAGGGCATCCTGAATGCCTGCGAGACGATGATCCGGGCCACCGAGTCGTGCGTGGTGACCCTGAACACGGAATACCAGCGCAGCTTCCGACAGGTGATGCGCAGTGCCGTGGCACAGGCTCGGGGCCGCCCCGTCAATCCGAGCGAGATCCGGCATCGTCGCAAGGCAGTGTTAGCGCTGTACCGGTGGACGCGCAAGGGGACGGGATTGGCTCTGTAACGAATCAGCCCGAGTAACGGTTGTCATTGGAACCGTGGGTATCATAGGTTTCTAATCCCTAGTGGTTGGTGGATTTCACATTTGTCTTCATGAACAATTGGTGCTGTTGGCGTTTGCACTGATGGTAGTGGGGGGGCGTTCAGGCTGGGAGGTGTCTCGGGGGTATTCGGTCTCCGGCCATTGGGTCATTGCATCACTGCACGGTCAACCCTGCAGGAGCTCTCAATTTTCGTGTATCTAGTTCATGCTTCCGCTATCTCCCGTAATACATAGGGGTTCAAAAGTATTTCCAGATCCCCATTTTCACCACCCTCACATCAAATAGATAGGGGTTCAAGAGTTTTTCCCGACCCCACTTCTAATTGCTATAACAACCACCCACCCTAAATTTTCTTCTTCCTTCCACAACACCAATATGACAGACAATCTAGCAGAATCCGCTGGAAAACGAAGAAAAAAAGGTGAGCTTACCCCTGAACAACGTTTGGCAATAGTATATGCTGCCGATAATGGTGTATCTAGAGCGCAGCTAGCACGGGATTTTGCGTGTGATCCGAAGACGATATACAACACAATAAAACGCTATAGAGAACACCACACTGTTGATTCTATGCCTCGCCAAGGTAGGCCTAGCAAGCTTAGTGATAAAGATAGTCGTTATCTCTATTTAAAAGCTCGCCGGGATCCTTTTTCTACCTATAAACACCTATCTTCGTGTGTACCTAGTAATCCTTCTAGGTCAACGATTCAGCGTGTTTTTCGTCGATTCAACCTATTGAAACGCTTATCAAAGAAGAAGATCCCTTCAGCTTATAAGACTGCTTGGAAACGACGATGTTTTGTGTCGAAATAGAAAAGGGTGGTTGATTCACGAAGAATTCAAAAGTGGATATTTTCCGACGAGTTACTATTCAACGAATGTCGAATACTGGCCTAAATATTGTTGGAGATTTGCCTCTGAGGCCTATAGGTGTGATCTTACTAATAAAGAGGTTCATGTTAAGGATATTTCGCAGATGGTTTGGAGGCCCATCTGGCTTGGTGGTCGATCGAAACTTGTTATAATGGAACGGGAGGAATCTGACGGTCGGAAGCGAGGTTGTACTGGAAAATCCTATATTGACGCGTTAGAAGAAGGTCTGTTGCCTATCTATAAGCCTAATATTATCTTTCAGCAAGATAACGCTAGGATTCATGATGCAAAGGTAACACAAGAGTGGTTTGAAATGCACGGGATTTGGGTAGAAGATTAGCCTCCACACTTACCTGATTCAAACCCTATTGAACCTATCTGGCGATGATTGAAACTGAAGCCTTTTGAATTGCATCCTGAGCTTGTTGATATGGGAAAGTCTGAGGAGGATTGGTGCTATTCTAGAAGGTGTATTACAGAAGCTTGGGAGGCATTAGATCAAAGGAAGATAGATAGGTTGATTTTGGGGATAGGAAGAAGATTAGAAGCTGTACGGGAGGGAAAGGGTTTTACACAAAACATTAATTGCTGCTAAGCGAGTTCAGCTCTACCTGAATCTCCATTTTTATTAGGAATAAACATATATTGTATTGGGAAGTGGCAGACGAAGGGTGAATCTCTAATTCGAGGATATCTTCTAGTACACAGTCTTTACAGAATATAGCTTCGCATCTCCGATAGGGAGAGAATCAACTTTTACACTCTCTTCGCTTTATCTGCTTCTGCTTTCCCCTTTGGGGGGTTTCCTCTATCGTGGTGTGTGGTGGTTTGTTGGTCTGTTCGTCGACCTATCTCATCCTGCCTGTTTTCTCAGGTTTGCCGTAGAGCGCCCTGGTTCAGTAACCAAGTTAGTTAACGTATTCCACAAGCGAGCCGAACACCCTACCAACCACTACTTTTTGAAAACACTATTTTTCCACCAAAACGCCATATATTTAATTCAACTATTTACTAGGGCACCGAGTAATCTTATGCCCTATATTCCCACATCCAGAACATTGAAATACACGCTTAGTAGTAGGCCTAGCGACCTCAGTAGGCTGCTGAGGAAGCTCTGCATCATCGTTTTGAATAGCTTCAACGCTTGCTGGCAACGTTGAAACTAGAGATATAGATTCGCCGACCGTAGGATCTTGCTGCCTAGATATCTGGTGATTAGACCGTGTGCGTTTTTGACGCTTCTTCTCGTTGAATTGGCGTAAATCCCTAGCTTCCTGTGCTAGAAGCGCTCCGTTATGCATCGCTAATTGGCACCCCTTAATCAATTGATCTAGCGCTCTTTCTGTAGGGCTTCCTGGCGAGCGTGAGCGCTTGCATAGTAGAGCTTTGATAGATGATGCTTGCTTGCTAAGCTGCTTAATCGTATGAGGCGTAGTAGGCACGAAAGCACTACTTCTACTACTAGGCCTACTAGTAGTAGTAGTAGGAGGTGTAGGTGTTCGAAGCGATATATTAAGCTTCGATAGGACTCGGTCGGCATCTAGCGGAACTAGGCCGGCGCTGGCGAAGCTTGATTGTATAGTGCTAGGTAGGAAGGCTTCCTGGCGTGCTAGGGTATAGGATTCTAGGAAGTCGAGCTTGTCGATATGGTTATATCCTAGGCGAGCTTGGGCCTCAATTAAGCGACCGTATGCGCGTTTAAGGATAGCAAAACATCCTATATCTAGCGGCTGTAGAAGATGTGACGAATGCGGCGGCATACAGAGTGGTATAACGTTATTTTGCTGGCAGATTTGGTCGAATTGTGGTGTTAGATGGCTTCCATGACCGTCTAATATTAACAAGCGATATTTGCCTTGCGTACGACTAGTAGTTGCTGGAATAAAGAGCTTTTCTAGCCAGCGTAGGCCTATATCGTCGGTAGTCCAACCGTTCGGTGATATTTCGAATCGCCAGTCGCTAGGAAGGTTATCAAACCAGCTAGCAATATAAACCTTCCCTTTGAATATTATACACGGCGGAAGCGAGAAGCCGGTAGCCGATATAGATTCAATTACTGTTACCCACTCCCGATTTCCAGGTTGTAATAGTGGCTTCCGACCGTATAGATCCTTCCGTGTAACGATTCTAGTAGTAGATATCAAGCCCATTGCAAAGCCTGTTTTATCAAAGTTATAGATATCGTTACGAAGGATCCCGTTTTCATGAATCGTACGCTCTACTAGCCTAAACCACGCACGTAGGCTAGTAGGATCTTCGTTTTGCGCACGTTGATAGTCGTAGCGTCTAGAGAATCGTGTGCAAAGCTCTGGTCGCCGCTTAATATAATTAGAAGACCAATTTACACCTATAGTAGTAGGTGTAGTATCGCCGCGCGCTGCTAGTAGAAGATTTGCCATATCTCGAATATGCGAAGGCCTAGGAGACGCTCCTCGGGCGTCTAGCGATAGTATCCACTGGCAAAGCGAATCTTCTTCTTCTTGTGTCAATTTATGACTATTTGCGCGTGTTTCCTGGCGATTTGAAACACCCTTCATACGCGTTCGAAGCGTGCTCTCTGGCACGCTATAAACCGCTGCTGCTTTTCGTATAGATAGGGTAGTATCATTTTGAATAGCTTTGATAGCAAGTAGTATCCTACCCTCCCTATCTGGCGATTTGAGCGCTTTTCGGAATGTTTTGGTGGCATAGTGTATGGTGGAAGGTGGTAGGTAGAAGATGGGAGACGCGTTTTTGGTGGGGTGCGCAGCTCGCTTGTGTGCGCAGCTTGCTTGTGGAATACGTTAACGTATTTCACTATCCCGTGACGCACACTAGCCGGCGACGCACCCCACCAACCACTACTTTTTTGAAAACACTATTTTTCTACCAAAACGCCATATATTTGATTCAACTATTTGCTAGGGCACTGAGTAATCTTATGCCCTATATTCCCACATCCAGAACATTGAAATATACGCCTAGTAGTAGGCTTAGCGCCCTCAGTAGGCTGCTGAGGAAGCTCTGCATCATCGTTTTGAATAGCTTCAACGCTTGCTGGCAACGTTGAAACTAGAGATATAGATTCGCCGACCGTAGGATCTTGCTGCCTAGATATCTGGCGATTAGACCGTGTGCGTTTTTGACGCTTCTTATCGTTGAATTTATGTAGTTGCCGAATCTCTTCCGCTTGCAAAACGGTGTTATGAAACGCTAGTTCAGCACCTTTGATTAATTGATCTAGCGCTCTCTCTGTAGGGCTTCCTGGCGACCGCGAGCGCTTGCCTAGTAGAGCTTTGATAGATGAAGCTTGCTTGCTAAGCTGCTTAATCGTATGTGGCGTAGTAGGCACGAAAGCACTACTCCTACTACTAGGCCTACTAGTAGTAGGTGTAGGTGTTCGAAGCGATATATTAAGCTTCGATAGGACTCGGTCGGCATCTAGCGGAACTAGGCCGGCGCTGGCGAAGCTTGATTGTATAGTGCTAGGTAGGAAGGCTTCCTGGCGTGCTAGGGTATAGGATTCTAGGAAGTCGAGCTTGTCGATATGGTTATATCCTAGGCGAGCTTGGGCCTCGATTAAGCGACCGTATGAGCGCTTTAGGATAGCAAAACATCCTATATCTAGCGGCTGTAGAAGATGTGACGAATGCGGCGGCATACAGAGTGGTATAACGTTATTTTGCTGGCAGATTTGGTCGAATTGTGGTGTTAGATGGCTTCCATGACCGTCTAATATTAACAACCGATATTTGCCTTGCGTACGACTAGTAGTCGCTGGAATAAAGAGCTTTTCTAGCCAGCGTAGGCCTATATCGTCGGTAGTCCAACCGTTCGGTGATACTTCGATTCGCCGGTCTTTCGGTAGGTTATCAAACCAGCTAGCAATATAAACCTTCCCTTTGAATACTATACACGGCGGAAGCGAGTAGCCGGTTGCCGATATAGATTCAATTGCTGTTACCCACTCCCGATTTCCAGGTTGTAGTAGAGGCTTCCGACCGTATAGATCCTTCCGTGTAACGATTCTAGTAGTAGATATCAAGCCCATTGCAAAGCCTGTTTCATCAAAGTTATAGATATCGTTAGGAAGGATCCCGTTTTCATGAATCGTACGCTCTACTAGCCTAAACCACGCGCGTAGGCTAGTAGGATCTTCGTTTTGTGCACGTTGATAGTCGTAGCGCCTAGAGAATCGTGTGCAAAGCTCTGGTCGACGTTTAATATAGCGTGTTACCCAGTTAACACCTATATTAGGAGGTAGGAGAGGAGGGAAGATATCACCACGCGCTACTAGTAGAAGATTTGCCATATCTTTAATATGCGAAGGCCTAGGGGAAGCACCACGCGTATCAAGCGATAGTATCCACTGGCAAAGCGAATCCTCTTCCTCTTGTGTCAGTTTATAACTAGTAGAGCGTAAATCAACAATCGAGGCTATCCCTGCGCGTCGTCGGCGAAGCGTTGCTTCTGGCACGCTATATATAGCTGCTGCTTTGCGAATTGATAGATTTGTGTCATTTTTGATAGCTTCAATTGCTAATAGAATTCGGCCTTCCTGTTCAACTGATTTTAAGCGCTTTTCAGAACGTTTTGGTGGCATGGTGTGTGGTGGAAGATAGTAGGTGACGCGTAGGAAGCGCGTTTTAGATGGGGTGCGTCGCCGGCTAGTGTGCGTCACGGGATAGTGAAATACGTTACCACCGTCTCCGATTATGTAATAGCATTAGCTTATCATGACCTCCTTCTGAGGGAATACAGCATCATCTTTACCACTACCTGCGCTTCGCTTGCACCAGTATAGACGGATATTGGCGGGCAACTTCACGGTATGCATCTTCCAACTCGGGTTCTAGATACTAAATGCAGTACGGCCGAGTAGCAGGATTTTCCATGTCGGAAATGATATCACTCATAATCAAGTGGGCACTGCGGGCACGGGCGAACTTATGAGCTTGGCTATCATTCCCAAAGCAAAAGTCGATGATGGCTGGGCTTATTGCAAGTTGGAGTGAATCGCAGATCCCGCGAACGACTGGTCTACAATGCCAAAAAGGAGCTTAGGTTGGATGGGGCTTCATTCCCTCTTATTGCTGCGATACATTGGTCGAGGTTGTATTCAGCTGTCTGTTTCTTCTCCTTAGCTGATTTACTTAAAATGTGGGACATGTGGATTGTTAAGTCTGTAGTAGAAGCGGCAGGGCTTTCCTCTGTAACCTGAGTAGCTGCCATGAAGACAATAGAGCAGGGGCGTTATGGTGACAGTTGCCAGGAGGTTGCAAGAGAGGAGAATACAGAGGCTCAAAAACTTGAAACAGAACGCACGGTGCGCATGCGCAGCAGGAATTCATAGGCTAGACCCACAGCAAGATTGGTACCTGTAGCGCATTAGACTTTCCCCCTCACTTTCTGGTCTTTGATTTCTCATTCTTTGTCCTATTTCACCTAACAGCTTGGTTTCCGGCCCGAGTTGCCCCCACCTCATGCCTGCATACGCTGTACCGCTGTACCAGGGCGTGGCCAACGTCAAGCACGGGTGGTAGTAGATCAGGTTGGCCGTAGGCATTGTCGAAGGCGACACCAAGGCCGCTAATGGTGATCGAGCGGCTTGGAACGACGTCAAAAGCGGCCACATCTGGCCTCCGACTTACCGTGTCATACGGATTAGTAGTAGTAGTAGTAGTACAGTCATCAGTGGAATCAGCTTCCGCCGTCAACACACAATCTTATTTTGATTAGTTTAGTTCCAAGATCTCATCTTCAAAGACTGGGATAGGAATTCATCCAACGGGTTGACTGGACTCGGTACAATCCTTCCATCCTATTGATTCTGAGTACCGGGCGGCCCAACACCAAATCATCGACATGTTAGCCAGCTCCTGTGTAATATGACCGCAGTGACGACTGCAGTCTTGGCAATTCGGGATATATTTAGTTTTGTGACGTTCGAAAGAGAGAATCACGTCCGTAAAGCGCCAGGATTGTTTCAGAGGGTAAGCTATTTGTAGAGTTGGTTTGTTGGGCATGGTAGACATCATTGTCTAGGCGTCAAGGCAGGGAGGCGAAAGAGGTGACCGTCCTCAATGGACTTTGACTGCGACAAGCCCCACCAAATTCTCCCTCTCGAGTCGTGAACCCAACATCCTCACGATTCCTTTTGGTGCGGCCAGGCTGCTGCGCCCATTCAACCCCTGCCCTGGCTGGTTCAACTCCCAACCACTTCCTTAGACTCACAATCTATAGCGGCTAGGTTTGTTTATGCTGTTACATGTAGTGTTGCTTCTGCTTAAAATAGCTACTCCTTTGAGTCAGTGTAGGAGATTCTGAGCCTTCTCGATACTATAAGTACTACAGCGGTTCCTACAGGCCTTCTTTTGATTTTGTTTCACAAGCTTTTGCAACTCGTTTTTCAACGCACCCTCATTTCATATCTCTGAAGACAAGAGATTTCCAGATATCTCTATTGCGATATTCTTACGTCTGTAAGTATTGGTTTATAATCAGTTTTGAGGTTCACTTACTAATAAAGTCTCTAGTCTACGTACTTTTCCGGAAGATCTATCAGTATGACTTTGAAAGAGCAGGCTGAGGCTATGCAGCGGTCAGACGTAAATTCAGGAAGGACACTTAAGAAGAAGGCCGGCGACAAAGATCTCTGGAGAACCAAGACCTATGAAACCAAACCCACGTTACATCAGGGTGAACCATCACAGGGTGGATCAAATTCTACACAGAATCAGACAAATACCACACGTTAGGGGCCTCTACGAGGACTTACGACAATATGCATGTCCCAAACAAAAATGGAAAATGAATGAAGATTCTGGCAGTTCTTCCTCCTCGTCTGGCAATTATTGATGGATTTGCGTGCTATGCTTACTACACCACAAAGCGCCTTTCTATATTAGCATCGGTATCTTATTGATTTTTCCTAAAAGCCCTAGCATATCCTATTTGTCGTCTTCGATCGTGCCTGTGGTTGTGCTTCTTAATTGCCGGCGTGCTATATCAACATCTAGTATTTACTCCTCTTTTATAGAGCATTCTCTCGTTTATACAGAATCAGTCATCTTCAAACGCTCCTATTCTATCAATAGTAATTGTATCAACCCTTAATAGACCGAGTTCTAAATTCTACCATACTATTCCCTCGAGAATAGTCGCCTATTCCACGCTTTTCGTCTATAAGCTCTATACTAAAGTCTCTGGGCGACTATGGCGACCTAGACCTAATCTGCTGGGAGCTGCCGTATGACTCCCTATATTACGGTGCAGATGCTGAATCAGTGGGGCGCCAGGTCTAAAGGAGGACTAAATCCGCCCTGAAACCCCTACTTATCATTATAGCCCTATTTCTATTATCCTCTCGCTCTCTTTAATTGATCAATATTATTGGATATCAAACTAGAATGTTTCAAATCCCTTTTTCCGCTATATCTATATCCAAATCGAGCTCTGTAGACCTCGTAGTTAAGGCTAGAGAGCAGGATTTTGTTACGAGCTGCTAACTGGTGTAGCGGGGAAATGGCCAACACAAGGGAGATCTCTGATTGAAACATCTTTCCTAGCACACAATCTTGACAGGATATAGTTCCGCGTTGTGGTTGTGCCACACACTAACGCATAACCACAGACTAATGCATAATTTTTCCTATTTCTCCTATGTATCGATGCATCCCAGTAGTATCCATAAATAAAATATCATCTTCCTGGTGTGCTTCCTCCGCTCTATCTAGTGCTATATCTTGATTCTGTGTAGGATCTGGTGGTGGTGATGTTCCATACGCTTCCTTCCACTGTATCCTTACCCGCTTCCGCTCTGCCTCTGCTTCCTTGTTGTTTCTCTTAGTAATAGAACGATTAGCGTCTCTAATAAAGAGCAGCCCTGTTTTTCTAAGCGGTGCTTTAACCTGGCACCTAGTGATTGGGCGCTATAGTGGTTGTTGAGCTGCCCTAATCTTGCGAATTGTATCATTTGCCATTTGAAGATTCTCTATTGCAATCTTATTATGATGAAATAGGCGATCAAGACTACGTTGCTGCCGTGGTGTAAGATCTTGTTTATATCTAGCAATCTTCTTTTGATTCTTCTCTAGATCCTATATAGATCTAGGTGGTGATTTGTTGATACTAGAAGATATAGTAGTCTGTGGTGGCGGCGAAGGTGATGATTGAAGCGGTTGTAGATCTGGTGCTATAAGATCTAGGTAATCTTAGATAGGAAGATTATCGATAATCTTTCTACTATCCACTGGATAAATCCCACGATCTCTAAATGATTCACGAATGATTCGTTGGCTATACGCTCTATTTCGAATATCGCCGATAATTCGAAGGACCTCCGATCTCCCGATAGGGCTACCACCCCAAAAAGCGTGCTCGTTATTCGGTAATCGGAAGTATTGCTAATAGTTTAGAAATGGTTTACCGTCAAGCGGCTGGCAAAAATGTGCTCTATGCGGTAGGAATCCTATGGGTAGGATATCGTTCTCTTCGCAAAGTTGTAATAATTCGAATGTAAGATGAGAATTATGACAGTCGAATATTAGGATACGTTTTTCACCCGATTTCGTACGGTCCCATGTTGATTCTATAAAGAATCGGAGCCATTTCACTGCTATATTGTTCGGTTATCCGACCCTTTGGCGATGTAGCGATAGTAGGTCTTGGTGGTAGGTCTTCTGTCTTGTTGATACAAGATTCTATGAAGATCCCGTTTCCTTTGAATATAAACCAAGGCTCCATCTGCCACCCGTCGGCAGAGATACACTCAATAGACGTGATATTTTCGCCTTGGTCTGGCTGAGGAAGATCTACTATCTTCTTATTAGAAGAAGATATAACATTTCTAGATCTTCCTTCGCCTGATTGAAAGCCGCATTCATCGAAGTTAGAGACTAGACGTTGTGGTGTCGTGCCCTTGATCGTTTCAGCTAGGAGATCATACCAATGCTGTAATGCTGCTGAATCTTCTGCTAGAATTCGCTTAGATTCCTTCATATACTGCTTATTAGGCCCTAAGTGAAGATGTTTAGGAAGCCTAGAAATAAAGGGATACGCCCATATCTTGCTAACCGGCGGCTTTCCGACGCGTTGACATGCCCGATTCGCCCACGATTCTAGAATCCTAGGAGTGATAGGCATATAGCGATCGTTCTATATTGAAGCCATCGAATCAGAGCTTCTTCTTGATAGGGTTCTAGGGCATATCTAACACCGCTTCTAGCTGTGCGAGGCCCTGTTCCCTTTTTCACACGGCTATAGAGAGTGCTTTGATTAACACCAAACTCGCGTGCTAAATGCGCTATATTCAGCTTCTCAACGCGTAAAGCAGCTAGGCAGGCCTTAGCCATACGATCCTCATCGAGTTTAAGCATCTTTTTATGGTGGTGTTGGATAGGGAAACAACAAAGAGGATGGTAGAAAAAAATGGCAGTCTGATGTGGTTTGGCAGTCTGACGTGGCGCACCTATAACCCGGGGGCGGTGTAAGGCACTAATATATCCTTTCTAGTTTCTAATTGTTACGGAAATTAAGATAGGAGGTAAAAGGGTGTCCATTCGTATACGTAGTCGCTACGGAATATGAGGTAGTAGCTGACTAATGATAACGTGACACTAATAAAGGTAACTTCCACCTATTATCTAGACTATACTTAGTAGCAAACGTAAACTAGGGTAATCATCTAAGGGGCAATAGGCTTAATTTCGGAAGGCCTATGTTAGGGTGCTATTTGCACGGTAGCGGCCTGCTAGCCAGGTAAGGAAAATGAATACAATACTGGATCGTCATTGAATCAAAGAAGAATAGAAAGGTGTATTATTCAAAACTGGATCTTGAAGGGGTCCAGTTCAAAAGAAAAGGTGATTCTCCTTTCATAACCTTAATGTCGTTATTCCGCTGTTTCCCGAATGTATGACGATAAAGGAGTCCGAATCCAACTTGTTATTCCCTGTGAACATATGTCGTCATGACTACGATTCGTATCCGAAATCGGCCGGAATAACATCAAGTACTATACATTTGGTTGTCCCATGACAGCTTCTTTCACTATTATTTACTTACTTATTGAATTATCTAGTAGGATTACAGTCTAGTAGGAATACAGTCATTAGCAAAAACAGCTTCCGCTGTCAACACACAATCTTATTATGATGACGCGACTGCCAAATGATTAGCGGGCTGTTTTGACTCGCCAGTGATTTTCAATGAAACTGACAATGCCAAATCAGCACGAGACACCCAGATTACACTACAATACCATTGTTTGTCTTATGCACTATGTATGTGAAGTAGCTAAGCGAATGGAATAGATTATCAGTCTGGTCAATGACAGGAAAGGTCGCTTGTCACCAAGACTTTGAAACTGTTGAGAAGCAGCGAAAGTGATACCATATAGACTATATGTTTTTATTGAAAATCCAAGGAGCGAAGTTGCCCCCAGCCGGACGAGCCTAAGTTTGTTAGTATGTACATGCTCTGTTTCTAGTTACACCTTCAGCTAGGTGGCCAAGGGATGAAACATTAAATTGATATTTCAATATGGTATTTCTTCGGGAAGCATTTACGACCCTTGAGACGTTTTGAAAGGAGGACGACCGTTATAGACTGAACGAGCACCGTATTTAAAAAGAATTTGGACGATGATCTGGTGTCCTCTAAAACAAGCTACCTGGAATGCGTTGCCATAGTATCTACTCTGGGATTTGACGTCAGGTCCTTCATGCTAACAGGATCTGTAGAATTGTATCGTGCCCTCTCAAAGAAGCTATATAGAATGCATTTCCATAGTTTCCCCCTAGGCGCTGCCATCGGCTCCTCGTTCTAGCAATATCTGCACGATCTTGTCGTGCCCGCAAGAAGAAGCTATCTGGAGCGCAGTTCCGTAGAATCCACCCTCGGCGTTGACATCGGCTCCTCGTTCTAGCAGTATCTGCACGATCTTGTCGAGCCCTTTAGAAGAAGCTATCTGGAGCGCAGTTCCGGAGAATCCACCCTGGGCGTTGACATCGGCTCCTCGTTCTAGCAGTATCTGCACGATCTTGTCGAGCCCTTTAGAAGAAGCTATCTGGAGCGCAGTTCCGTAGAATCCACCCTGGGCGTTGACATCGGCTCCTCGTTCTAGCAGTATCTGCACGATCTGATCGTAGCCCCTAGAAGAAGCTATCTGGAGCGCAGTTCCGTACCTCCCACCCTCGGCGTTGACATCGGCTCCTCGTTCTAGCAGTATCTGCACGATATTGTCGTGCCCTTCAGAAGAAGCTGCACAAAGCGCAGTTCCGTACCTCCCACCCTGGGCGTTGACATCGGCTCCTCGTTCTAGTAATATCTGCACGATATTGTCGTGCCCTTCAGAAGAAGCTGCACAAAGCGCAGTTCCGTACCTCCTACCCTGGGCGTTGACATCGGCTCCTCGTTCTAGTAATATCTGCACGATCTGATCGTGGCCCCTACAAGAAGCTGCATAAAGCGCAGTTCCGTAGTCTCCACCCTGGGCGTTGACATCGGCTCCTTGTTCTAGCAGTATCTGCACGATCTGATCATATCCACAAAAAGAAGCTGCACAAAGCGCAGTTCCGTAGTCTCCACCCTGGGCGTTGATATAGGCTCCTCGTTCTAGCAGTATCTGCACGATCTGATCATAGCCATAACAAGAAGCTGCATAAAGCGCAGTTCCGTAGTCTCCACCCTCGGCGTTGACATCGGCTCCTCGTTCTAGCAGTATCTGCACGATCTGATCATAGCCACAAAAAGAAGCTGCACAAAGCGCAGTTCCGTAGTCTCCACCCTCGGCGTTGACATCGGCTCCTTGTTCTAGCAATATCTGCACGATCTGATCGTGGCCATAACAAGAAGCTGCATAAAGCGCAGTTCCGTAGTCTCCACCCTGGGCGTTGACATCGGCTCCTCGTTCTAGCAGTATCTGCACGATCTGATCATAGCCATAAAAAGAAGCTGCATAAAGCGCAGTTCCGTAGTCTCCACCCTGGGCGTTGATATCGGCTCCTTGTTCTAGCAATATCTGCACGATCTGATCGTGGCCCCTACAAGAAGCTGCATAAAGCGCAGTTCCGTAGTCTCCACCCTGGGCGTTGACATCGGCTCCTTGTTCTAGCAGTATCTGCACGATCTGATCATATCCACAAAAAGAAGCTGCACAAAGCGCAGTTCCGTAGTCTCCACCCTGGGCGTTGACATCGGCTCCTCGTTCTAGCAGTATCTGTACGATCCTGTCGTGTCCATTCTGTGAGGCCCACATCAACGGTGTTGTTTTTGCATCGTCAGCCATATTGACATCTTGTTTTTTGATAGCAATGAGAAAATGAACCTCCTGTTCATGGCCGTTGAATGCTGCTAGGTGGAGTGCATTCATTGATGGAACTTGTAGTTCGTATGGCATTACTGCCTTCCAAAAAATTGGAAACCATAATGAAACCCGTCTTCTATGCATATCGTACACGCGATGTAGTTGATTCAACATCTCTTGGTCCTTCATCAGACTCATCTTTTGTACGTGGTCGGCCCAATGTACTGCTGCGTATTCTAAGAGGGCTCGTATATGAGATTTGCCTTCTTCGTCTTCCAAATCCTCCATCAAAAGATATCGCAAACAGATCTCAGCCATCAGAATTTCTGCATCACTAATGCTACTCCAGTATGTAAACTGGAGATTCTCCGAGGCTTGTTTTTGAATCAGAAACTCCCTGGCAGTCTGATGGATGAGATAGATTTTGGAATTGTTAATAAAGACAAATAAGCCACACAATTGTCGAAGTTTACTCTGTAAATGAGTTGGAGCCAGTCTAGCCCCCAATATTGTTCGTGCCTCAGTGTAGGTGGCAATACCTAGAGCCACGGCCATCTCTGGTATAGTCAGAGGACGTCGTGCCGCCACGATGATCTCCAAGATCCTTTTGACTATGTCCATTTCATCTGGCTGGACTCGAGAGAGGATCTTTTCGTATGCTGCATCCACAGAAGTCGGTATAAGTGTAATCGAATTCTCTGCGGGCCTCAGGCTCCGCTTAAAGGAGGTTCGGATATCATCCATGGCTAAATGTAGCCAGAGATATGTACGGTGTTCCATTTGAAGCAGCTGCTGTTCGACTCCCTGGTAGACCTCTGGTGGTAGTTGCGCTCCTTCGGCTAATTCTTTCACTCGAATTTTCACTACTAGATCAATTTCCTCATGGATTCGGTCATTTTCTTCCTCCCCCTTAATGCGCACATGCGAGAATAAATCAGTGATTGCCCGAAAGTGATCCTGTATGCGATCGTAGGGACGACTAGTGACCAGGAACTTTAAACAGGAAGTGCTTTTTGTCGATGAAGATGTTTGATGATGATAAAAAATCTGGAGCTTCTCAATCAATCGACCCTGATCGGCTTCTTGGCATTCATCGAGCGCATCAAGTACGCAAATCGTCTTGTGGGACGAGTCAGCTGATGTGGCTTTTATAAAGATCCGCCAAAGCTCATCAACCTCGTGTTGTATTTTCTCCCCGTTTTTCTCCCAGGATGGTAGCGCATACGGTAATAGATGAGGCCGTTCGCTGAAGAGTTGATGTAGCAACGAACATAAAGCGGTAGCAAGATGGTTCTGTTCCTCATTATCTTTGAAGAAAAAGTAGCATATTGTCACCCCGGAGCTAGAATCTCGTAAATTGTCATCGATGATCGATCGAGCAAGTACAGATTTGCCGCAGCCTGGGTCAGCTGATACCCATAGGAGATCATTATTGTTGCTCTCCCACCAGCGAATATATTCGGCGCTCTGTAGCGCCCACTGACAGGTTCCTTCTACTCTTCTCGGATTAATGTTCTTTTGCTCCTCGTACTTTGAAAGCTTGAAAGCTTGATGACAACGTTGGTGCTGATCTGTCAAAGCTCGTAATTTTTGCTCTTTGAAGTGTTGTTCTTGTTGATCATATCCTCGGTCTAGGCGCTTATTGGTGCCTTCAACTTCCTCTTTTAGTCCAGCTTATTATATAGGTCAACTACTTATCGTTCAATAAACTCACTAAAGATTAAACTTACTACACACATTCACCACTAAGTTCTCTTGCGACACGTGAGTTGTAGGTATATACCCTAACAGCTCTTTAGCATATGATGCCGCTGCCAAGGCCGCATATCCTTGCCACTGCTTGTTCTTATGTGTATCGGCGTAATCGCAGATTCCGCGAACAACAATACAAGGGAAGTCTATCATCAAGCCAGCTGCCTCCATCTCAAAGCACAAGGCCCCGGTTTCTAGCTTAAGCTGCTCGCGTGTGTATGCATCCTTGATCACAGCATTTCCAGACGCAATAATACCGTAGTGGGATTGTGGATCACTAGTCTCACGTTGACTTCGTGTTTCTTCCCATTCTGCTAGACACCCATCACAAGTGCTTGCAGTTGTAGGATGATCATGCTGAGGTTTAAAAAGCCGATCTTCCTTTGGTCGTTTGAAGTTCTTCTGAGTGCGTGTCGTTTTCCCGATTGCCTTAAAGAGATATTCAGGATAGCGAGGATCGTCCGTGAGCTCGTCGGCTCTCATTGAATTGATTGCTGTTAACAGGGCTCTAGGTGGGCTATTTAAAGAGCCAGTTCGATGGAACTTCCCCTCTGTGCCGACCTTGCCCATATCATATTGAAGTACTCCGCCAGAAGTGCCTTCAGGACAACTAATCACAACATCCCCAAGCCGAATATCATGAGCAGCCGACGGAATTCCACCGCCAACGCCGACCATCATTCCAATTCGAAGAGAGTTCGAAAAGGTGCGCACCATATTATTTGCAACAGTCGTGGCTGACGTAGTTCCATATTGGCCGGCGGGGAGGCAGGCGATCACAATGTGGTGTTTGTCGATTCGACCAAGGGTGTAGGTATTCGGGTCGCGTGAATCTTGCACGTCAAGAATGCCAAAATTTTCGTCCAGCATTGCCTTGGCGGCAGCGAGCTCGATGGATAAGGCACATATCCACCCGATCTGGAACGTCTCAAGTGGGGGGTGGGCCATCTTGGAGCAGTCGTCTGGTCGAGATAGGGATGGAAGGTATGTTGGTACCTGGAAATCTCGATAAGCACATTAGGACGGCATGGGAAACAGAACAGATGCCATTGTCAGCCGCAAAGGCCCGACTTCGTGCTCGACACGAAGCGCAGCAGCGGGCGGCAAGCGATCGAATGCTATTGGCCGAGTGGACGTGCGCGATGAGGGGTATCGCGTGGTCGGCCCGTCCCACGCCGTTGCTTGAGTAGCATTAGGTTAGTGGCACAGTAGGGCGCCGAGACTTGAGCGATGGCAGCACGAGCTCATTCGTGACATGATTCAAGATCGCAAAAGACTCGACAACGCACAGATTGCCGAAGCTGTCCGGTCGAATCTCAAGGGCCTTGGAACTGTGTTATCCCCCGCTAACTGTATCGGCCGCCGACGAAGCATTACCCTACCTATGCTAGAAGCTCTCCACGAACATCGTTTCGAGCAGTCCGATCTATACCAGGATGAAATGGTGGCGGCTTGGTGGGCTGAGTTCCGTGTGCCGGTGACAATCTACAGCATGGCAGAGCCCTAGCATCGATTGGTTAGACTAAAAAGGCAGCACGGAGGATAGCACGGGCAACAAAATACGGATTTACGAGACTACTACTTTATGTACCATCGGCTTTCCGATCCGAACCCCCTAGTGTATGTTGATGAGTCTGGCTGTGATAAGCGTGCGGGATTGAGAAGGACTGACTGGTCTCCTTTGAGGATGGGCCCTGTCAAGATTCATTCATTCCACCAGGGACAGCGATAGCGAGACCCGATATTGCCTGCCTCGGGCTAAGATCGTGTTGTCCTCTCGTAGGGGGTTCGGGGATCTATGGATGCTATTGTTTTCGAGGATTTTATACGACCGCTCCTACATCACTGCGGGAGGAGTAACCGTCGGCATCGACTGTCCTCTTGCGGGCCCTCCCCAACCTGCGTCTGATTCCCAATGAAATCAGACATACGTAATACGGTTGATTTTGGGGATAGGAAGAAGATTAGAAGCTGTGCGGAAGGAAAAGGGCTTTTATACAAAATATTAGTGGTTGCTAAGCGAGTTGGACCCACCCGAATTTGGATTCTTTTACTAGAAATATATATCTAGAAAGATGGTGGTGTGGTGTGTAGTGTAACAGATATATATATTTGAGGTTGGGGTGGTGAAAGTGGGGATCGGCAAATACTTTTGAACACCATTGTATATTCGAACGACATGGATGTGTCGGGGCCATGATCAAGCACATTCTTGGATGGAACAGCACTTGCAGAATTTGCTGCCAGATTATTCCTGCAATCAGTAGTGAGTCAGTCCACTGAAGGCCGCAACTGCCGGAGCGTCTCCCTCGTCGATTCCACGAAAAGGCATCCCATCACGTGCATCCCCCCGTACTCGAGAGGGCCCAAATCAACACACAATCCAGAACCTGACGTGCAGTTTTATCTACTATTCAATATCTGCCCCAGTCGGCTCTCTATCGATGTCCGTGAAATAAATATGCTTACACTCGTGCCTTTGCCTGAGCGCCGAGAAAATAGGAAGCTAATTTCGCTATCGAGTGTAGCGCAGAGGGGAGAGAGGTTGTGTAGATTCATGCACCAAACCAGTAGCCCGATGGTCATGGTCGATGGGCCATGTTTTCCACAATCAAAAGAAATCGACTTCCAGCTTTGAATCACGTCGCAGCTGTCATCATCACAGCCGCCCTGACACGCCATCTCCGGCATTAACCATTTGTCGCGTGGAGCACGCAATGCGGGGCTCCACTGACATCCCGTCCAATCGTCGGGCCCGCGTGCCTGACCTGAATGCCATGCGGATATCAAGTTCGAGTCGGTTAAGGGGTGCAACCGGTTGAGGGTCCCGGGTTGTCCCTCGTGGAGGCCAGACGGTCTCGAACCCGCATTCCCGCCCCGGCATGAACCTTCTCGCCTGCGATCTCGACCGGAAAACCCGACGCCTCAATCCCCTCGAGTGGGTCTCCGACCGGATCGCCATCGCCCCCGGTGATGGCATCATGGACGTTTTTCCCCACATAACGTCTTTGCCGACAAAAGCGGGGCCTGGGAGATCACGACATACAGTTCGCGGCGACAAGAGACCAAGACTGCCGAACCAGACGAGAGGCTCGAGAGTGTTCGGAGGGAAGAGGGAAAAGACACACCAGAGTGGGACAGCACCAAGCATCCGGCATTCGGCATCGCGTTTCTCATATTGCTTGTCCCTCCCCAGCTTCGTCTTCTTCCTCTGTCGTCTTTCCCTTTCCCTCTCTACCTTTTCACGTACGCCTTTTTTTCTCCTTTGAGCCTACGAACATTGACGGGGGCGGAGCACCATGAAGCTGTTGGCCGCTGTCGCAAGCTGCATCGTGGTCGCCGAAGGCGCCGCCATCGGCAGTCAGATCCAAAATGCCCTCCAATCCATCATGAGCCTCCCTTCTCCCTCCGCCAGCTCGTCAAAACCACCCAATTTCCTCTTTGTGATCACCGACGACCAGGACCTTGAGCTGGACTCTGTCGCCTACACCCCGCTCATCCGGAAGCATTTGCGCGACAAGGGCACCTTTTTCCGAAATCACTTTGTGACCACCGCGCTCTGCTGTCCCTCCCGAGTCAGTTTGTGGACGGGCCGCCAGGCACACAACACCAACGTCACAGACGTGAAACCGCCATACGGTAAGCAGCGGCCGACCCGCCTCGATATATCGCGGTGCACCTAAGAGCAATCACTGACGGATCCAGGTGGATACCCCAAATTCGTTGATCGCGGCTTCAACGACAATTTTTTGCCTGTTTGGCTTCAGGATGCTGGTTATGACACCTACTATACCGGCAAGCTGTTCAATGCCCACACCGTGGACAACTATGACAGCCCGTATGTCAACGGCTTCAATGGATCCGACTTCCTCATGGACCCCTATACCTACTCCTACCTCAACTCCACCTACCAGCGGAACCATGAGCCACCCGTCAGTTACGAGGGCCAACACACGATCGACGTCATCACGCAGAAAGCCCTCGGCTTCCTGGACGACGCTTTGGCGGGCGACCGGCCCTTCTTCGTGACCGTGTCTCCCGTCGCACCGCACTCGAATGTCGACCCAGGTGATCTAGCCGAAGGCAAGATCGAGATGAGCGCCCCGATTCCCCTGGAGCGACACCAACATCTGTTTCCAGATGTAAAGGTGCCGCGCACCAAGCATTTCAACCCGGACGAGGTACGTGTAGAGACAGAGGGTGCCAGTAGTGCGGTAGGAACGTGCGAACAAGTCCCCCCGCTGACGACCAAACTAGCCGAGCGGTGTGAGTTGGGTACGTGATCTCCCTCAGCAGAACCAGTCTGAAATCGAATACAACGACCACTTCTACCGATCCCGTCTCCGTGCTCTGCAAGGTGTGGACGAGATGGTGGACTCCCTCGTGGCGCGGCTGGAAGCGAGCGACCAGCTGGACAACACATATATCATCTACACCTCGGACAACGGCTTCCACATCGGCCAGCATCGTCTACCTCCCGGTAAGACTTGCGGGTTCGAGGAGGACATCCGGGTCCCCCTGTTCATCCGAGGACCGGGCATCGCCGAAGGCTCCGTCCAGGATTCGGTGACCACCCATATTGATTTGGCGCCCACCATCTTTGAGCTGGCGGGCATCCCCCCTCGCGCGGACTTCGATGGCACGGCCATCCCGGTCACGCCGGCATTCTCTGGTCGCCGCCATGAGCATGTCACGGTTGAATTCTGGGGCTTTGCTGTGGCCGAGGGCACCTATTCCAGGATCGGTACGTCTGTTCCATTTCTAGATTTATCCGCTATCTAGCAGCTCGAGTTCGTGCATCAACTAATCTTCATTTTTCTAATATATAGGCCCTGACGGTTCCACAATGATCCCCAACAACACCTACAAGTCTGTCCGTCTCTTAGGCGAGAATTACAACCTGTACTACTCCGTATGGTGCAACAACGAGCACGAGCTATATGATCTTTCAGTATGTTCCGGCCCTTCTCCCGATCTGCCTCTGATCACCATTACTAACCTGCGATTACGTAGACGGATCCGTATCAGCTCCACAACCTGTACCCGACCGCACGGTCCGATGACCAGAGCCCCCAGATTCTGGGTCGCAGCTTATCGCAGGCGATCGCCCGTCTGGATGCCCTCCTCCTGGTGCTCAAGTCGTGCCAGGGCGTTACCTGCATTGAGCCATGGGATGTACTGCATCCCGAAGACCCGGTCTTCAGTCTGCAGGACGCGTTGGAAGAGCGATATGATGCCTTCTACGAGATCCAACCAGCAGTGTCCTTTGACTGGTGCGATGCTGGCTATGTTCTCGCTGCGGAGGGCCCCCAGGTGCCCCTGACTAGTCGCTATGGCCTGCCGTGGGATGTGTGGGTATAGTGTGCTGAGCAGTAGTCCATCCTTGCGAGGGGGTCGAGAACACCGGAAAAGACGTATATACCCTAGATTATGAATTTACGACTATAGAAAGCATTGAATTGTTTCTACATAAACCTGTATAATTGAACATATTTGAGACCCGTTCAGAGTAGGAAAGTAAGAAAAAAAATAGAAAATCAAAGATAAAACATAAGATGGACAAGAAAAGGGGAAAAAAAACAAGATAATGATCCCGAACACACATCGATCTCGTTAGCTGGGATTGGTGGCCGTATAGTTCGTTGTACGGCCTCGACCACCACCACCAACCACGCCACATCCCACATTCCTAAGCGGTAGGTCGATGAGCAACACCGCCTGAGGGACCCACGACGCAACTAAACCGCCAGGCGATGCCTGCCGTGCTCGTCGACGGCAAAGCGTGACGAGTCGGTTCGGCAAACGAGTGCGGTGACGGGCCCGTGATTGCGCCATTCCTCCCCGCCGTGTCGCGACAACGGGGCCAACTTGGCGGCTCGTGGGAAGTTATCGTCCTACGCAAGCCTCGATAAGCGAGGAAAATAGAGAGCGCGTCGTCCCATAAGAAGGGCACGATGCCCCGGTCCAGTGAAATGCAGAAAATCATACAAGCATACAATTATACGCTCAGCAATCATTGGAAACACAGTCGCCAGATCTATACCCCGTCCCGACCCACCAAGCCCTACCTGCCTTTGTTTATATCATAATTCTTTTGCTTCACCATGTCGGGGTCTCCCCTCGATCGCCGCATATCCGACCAGGATATCGTGGCCGAGAAACACATCCAGGAGAAAATCCTCGACTCGCCGCCCAGTGAGATCGACCAGGGCATTATTAAAGACTGGGACGGCGAGGAAGCTGCCGTCAAGCGCAAGTGAGTGCCCCCAATCGTCATCCCCCGGATCGACGTCCATCGATCAAGAAGAACCCTAGATAGTCCCAAGGAAGAATGAATCCCTAACGAGTGGAACCTCCAGGATCGACTTCATCCTCATTCCGACCCTCGCCCTCGCCTTCTTCGCACTGCAAATGGACCGAGGCAATATCAGCGCCGTCCTCACATCCACCATTACCAAGGATCTGAACATCACCACGAACCAAGTCAATATCGGTTCCCAGCTGCTCTCGGTGGGCATCGTGCTCTCGGAGATCCCCTCAAATATCATTATGCAGCGGATCGGACCGCGCGTTTGGTTGTCCGGCCAATTGTTTGCCTGGGGGCTGGTGGCAACCTTCCAGGCCTTTATCCAGTCCTATCCGGCCTATTTGGTCACTCGCATCCTGTTAGGTTTCTGTGAAGGTGGCTTCATTCCCGGTATGCTCCCCATGATGCACAACGGACCTAAATTATTAAATCAGAACTGACGAGATTTCAGGAGCTCTATACTATCTTTCAACATGGTACAAGAAGGATGAGACCAGTCTGCGCACCAGTCTGTTCTTTTACGGTCAGATGCTCGCCTCTGGAACATCGAGCTTGATATCAGCCGGTCTACTACGACTCTCGGGCCGTCACGGGCTGGAGGGCTGGCGTTGGATTTTCCTAGGTGAGTGGCAGAGATTGAATATCCGGTCTGGGATAAATCCGAATGTGCCCTAACGAACCTTGTCATCACAGTTGAGGGGCTCCTCACGCTCTTCATTGGCATCTTCTTCACCCTGCTTGTACCTCCTAAGGCCGGCGATGGCCGCCCCCTGATCAGCTTCGGCCGTTGGAGTTACTTTACCGAGCGCGAGTCGCACATCATCCGCAACCGTGTTCTTCTGGACGATCCTCGCAAGGCCAAGGGCCACATTCAGATCTCCCGATCCGATATTTGGAAGACCCTGAAGCAGCCGCGCATTATGCAGCATGTCTTCGTCACGCTGGTGGCAATGTCCGGATTCCAGGGCTTGACCCAATACACTCCCAGCATGATCAAGTCCATGGGATTCAGCGCAATTCGAGCCAATGCCTTGGCCTCGGTGCCAGTCTTCTGCAGCATTGTTTGGTTGACGGTACTCTCTTTTGCCGCGTATGTCTAATTTTTTCTCCTGCCTTTGGAACAGCCTGACTTACTCCCTCTAGTGATTTCACCGGACACCGTGGACCCTGGGTACTGCTTGCTATTACCTGGAACGTGATCTCCTACGCCTGCCTGCGAACCACCCCATACACTTCATCAAAATGGCACCGGTATGGCGTCATCGCTGTCGCCAATGTGTCCTATTGCAGCATGCAGTATGTTCTCCCTTCTCCAGTTCAACCTTTCATATCCATAATTAACAAACCGAATTAGCATTCTGAATGTCGGTTGGCTATCGGTCTACTGCCGCACGCCCCAAGAACGAAGTGTTGCCATGGCGTAAGTTTTTCATTCTCTACTTCTCAGAGCACCACAAAAACGAACGCTTCATACTGACTTGTCTAGTCTCGTCGTGATGGCCGCCAATTGCGCCGGTATTTCCGGCTCCCAGATCTTTCGCACTGAGGATGCGCCCAAGTACATCCATGGTCTCACCGCAGTTTGTGCCTTGGCCGGGGCTTCATGGGTGCTGGCAGCAGTTCTCTGCGCGCAATATTACTACCGACGTCAGAAGAACATCAATACTGGTGCGAATGCGCCTGTGGCAGCGTAAATAATTGCCTTCTCCAACGGTCCTGGAGACCTTGAAACCCATACTTTAATGATTCATGATAGATACCTTTTAGAGGAATCAAAAATAGCCTTTCAATTTCTATTTCGTTCTTAGCCATTCAACTGTACTCTCCCTGCCCTGGTGTGCGTCGCATGCGGGTCAATGGTATTCAAGTCAAGCATCTGCCCTGGTCATCCTCCCACCCCATGTCCTGTGCCGTCCATCCCCTGGCTGCCTCCGCTTCCCCTGGAATCCTCAATCCAAGAGCATCCGCTGGGTTGGTAACTCGTGTCAATCCAATCTTCTGGTGTAAGGAGTTGATTTCGTTCATTTCATCCGTCTTGAGCTTCACGAGTTCTAGATTAGCATCAATCTGACTTGGCAAGCCCGCGTCCAGCATTGCGACGATATCCCGCTGCGCAAGCCATGATAGAATTATGACGCTGGCTGAAATGTTGTAGGCGGATGCAAGAGAATTGAGAAGCGGAATCTCGTCATTTAACATGGAATGTGCCTGTCTGTCTGTAGGGCTATCTGCCAGAGGCCTGGTTCTATATCAATCTTCCGGGGGATACGCCTTGGATGACGATGCAACCACTTACCGGCAGGCTACAGGTCGTATACCTTTCTCAAGGCAATAGGGGACCAATTTCAGGTTTGGGTTGAGAGGATTAATCTCGATCTCATTGATCAACGGCATGATCGTGATCTGCTCAAGCAGCACCTCTAATGTTTTCTGGGAGAAGTGACTGATACCCAGGCCCCTACAATGCGGACCAACAAGTTTTTCCATCTCTTTGTAGACCTGGGTAAAGTTGGGACTCTCACCCGGCAGCAAGCGACGGGACGATTCCTTCGATAATCCCTGTGGCGACTGCAAGACATAGATGTCGATATAGGTATCCAGCGAGCGTCGGGACCTCGCAAAGGCTCCACGGACATCATGCCAATCCTCTGCGCACAACTTCGTCACGACGGTGATCTCGGACCGAGGGATTTCGGACTGTCTGATAGCCTGCCCAACGAGTTCCTCGGCTGCGGAAGTCTTGCAGGTCTCGATCAATCGGTATCCGGCTTGGAGCGCTCGAACTATTGAATCAGAGAGATGATTCTTATCTTCTGGGGAGCAAGACACGCCACCTAAAGCTCTTATGTCAGACACAGCAGGATAGTCATTTAATATGCCATCTTCTGGCGTCTTGTACAAAGAGGTGGGGAGAGAAACTAACTTCTGGTGGCCCTGAAACCTAGAACAGGAATATTGCTGGCTTTTTCGGGTTCTTTGTCAACTCAAGATTTCCCTGGAGTCAAATGCTTTCTCTTCAAACATACAATTGTTCAGCTTGAAGGTCGCCGTGGTTGGAGGATTATACGCAAGTGGTCGGTGGCCTCTCCCGCTGGGATCGATGTCGAGGGTTTCCAGGGAGGCCATAGAGCACAATCTCAGAAGTAACTATGATGTACGACTGCAAGGAATCATCAGGCTCTTATTTAAACCCGTCATTTCTACGACAAACGATCCTCGTTCAATCTGAGGCCCCTATCAGAAAGGCCTCCTTGAACTCTAATCGTCGCCGTCAGCTGTTGTTTCGTGCGTCTAGTCTTTGTGGTACCTAGCCGCGCTTCCATGACCCTGGTCATTAGACTGTCTTGCATGAATGATATCAGAAGGGGTAGTAAATGTAGTGTCACGTTGCACGAGGAGTGGCCCATTGTAATATCTTGGTTATGCAGGAGATCCCACTAGCGGACCCACCATTCATCAATGGATAGTCAGCATGAATATTACTTCAGTGAGCTCAAAGAAAGAAGGTTATTCATGAGAGTTTTCAAGATATGTCTAGTTGTTTCATTTTTTTTTTTGATGGAAATGCATGGATCCGGAGACTTGCATATAATCGTTTGATCGATCCTTGGTTATCATGCACCCACTTGTTAATGTCTCCTGTTTTAGATTATTTGGTGTCATTTTCAGACTCATTTGGTTCTTCCAACTAACATAATCAAGTATTTGAAGCAACCCACCTCCCTGGTCAACCCCCTGTCTCTTTTTTCGTGGAATTCTGCTTCCTTATTGGTGACTGGGCTGGTCTATCTTGTCATGGGATTAAAGACCCCGGAACAACAGACGGGAACTATTGAAGTAGAAGTAATTGTATTAGTATCACTTTCTCTGATGTAAGGCCGAAGCAGGGATAGACCCCTGTAGAAGGTGTTGCGGGGTTGTCACGGAGCGCGTATCGTCGCCTCAGCTGTCCTGGTTGGGTACTGGAGTTCCGCCGTCACATTGCCCAACAGGCAAGTTAAGACAGGCTATAAGCAAGAACGTGTTAGAACTAATTTGACAATAATGCTAATGACCTTAGAATATACGAGAAGTATTCATTTGGTGGTATCGAAATCCTGAGATCTTTCTGGTTATTTCCCACCACTTCACGTCTTATTCATCTCATACGGTACTCATTGCCTGCACACCAGTTCAGCAAGCGTACCCGAACCACTTCCAGCAATTTATTCCTTGGCAGGTTCTTCAGCAGTTTCACAGGAGGTTTCAGCAATATCAACACCCATTTCCTTACCAATACCAACGTGGAGTCTGTGCTATGCCACCTCAATCAATTTTCGATTCCTCGATGATGAAACATAGAGGCAACTCCCCGGCCGCAAGTTTGATGCAAAAGGAGGAGGGATATTGAGAAATTGCGACGTACTGGGTGTTCGTCATCACTGGGCGTTTGACAGGACAACTGATCTTCATTCTTGGCTTGAAGCCAGGAACAGACAATCAGCCATGCAACTACAATCAGATATTAGCAAATGAACTTTTCAAAGCGACTTGGCTCCTTCGGCTACACAAAGTCAGTTGGCGGTTAACAACTAGGGCCCTGAATCATGGAACGCTGATACGGGCACTACAGGCCAGCTGATTATAACGTATATCACATTAATATACATGATTTTGGATGAGTTCAGGGAAAAACGCATTGTTGGCAGATTGGACAGTATCGCCACAAATCCACTATGCCTTCGAAGAAAAACGAGCAGTACACTCCTCTTTATATGCCTTCAACTGCTCCATCTTAGTCTGCGTAAATGATTCCATCTCTGCACGCGACTTATCATCAAGCAACTCAGAATCTGCACCGTTGTGATTTAATGCAGCCCAGTAGATGGTGTCGATATCAAAACTCTTCCTTGCCGCATAGTCGAACCAAAATCGCCCACTCTTCCATGAATCGCGCATCCGGCTAGAGAGAGACAGTCCAGCGGGTTTTTTGCCACCTGACATGACTTCAAGTTCCACTCGCTCTAAAGCTCGCAAAAATTGTTCCATTCTGGGCTCATAGAGAGTCAAGAACTCTTCCATTCCGCCGCGCTCAAGCCACATTTCAGGTCCAGAGAGCAACAGCCACCAGGGTGGGTCATACGTGAACTCGGCAGGCATGGCATTCGTAAACTCGAAGTCGAGAATAGCAGTGATCCGGAGTGTTTCCGGATCTATAAGCATATTTGATGGTCGCATGTCATCACAGAAGGGTATAAATAGCCCACACTCATCAGGATAATACTTTGAAACTAGCTGTGCGAACCGATGGCGGGCAATAAACCGCTTTTCAGCGATTTTTGGATTGTCAGCAAGGTTGCGTTGGGTCCAAAGGTGGATCAAGTGCTCGTTCGCGACCGATCTCAGATAATCGGTTGCACGGTCAAACGGTACAGTTGGAAATTGATCCTCGGGGTAGCCAGCAACAGTGGCCAACTCGTTCATATTATATGTCAGTGGTCTTCTAGTAACGTGCCACATATTTAAAGTAGGATCCTTCGAGATAGCCCCGATCTTAGCAAACGAAAGCTGAGAAAGCTGGAATATAAAATAGCCAATCTGATAATAAATCTTGTCCAACATAGTGTTGTCGATATTCGGGTTCATAACCATATTTTCTTGGTCGGGTTGTTTTAAGACAGTTGATAAAAGTGTACCGTTTACGTAATCCATAATAATGAATGGTCCAAGGTGTTGTGGACTCTCAGCAGTCAAGCCCCAGCTGTGAACACGAGGAATAGGGATATCAGTGTTTTGGCGGAGGTATTCCATGACCTGGACTTCATTCGCGACTTTTTCGTCCCTATAAAGGGTAGCCGTGTGTCCGGGCTTCGGAAACCGAATAATGACATCTGGCCGTCCATCGACGAAGCTGAAACGAAAGCTGAAGTTGAAGGAACCCTTAAGAAAATCAACATATTTTCCGGGTTTCTCTCCTTCTCGGTGTTTGGCGACAAAAATGGCCAATTCATCCTTTGAGTCAAAAGCTCTACTTAACCAGGCCCTGCATTCGTCATCGCCGTTGGTCTCCTCTAGCTCGTCAAAGTATGTCTCGAGCGAGAATGTCTTCTGCTGAGGCATCTGAGCCATTGGGATGCGGAGGTGTTGGGGAAAGGATACAGTGTGGGGAAAGATCAAGTAGGAATATAGCGCTAGAAGATTTGAATCGCATGAGTGACCCTGAGAAAGTGGATGGATTAAGGGGAAAACTGACTGGTCTGGGATTGGCCAAGCGGAACGGCGTTGATTAATAATCCTCAGGTTACAGCCCCTGACACTCGATTCGCGGCCGCTCCATGTCCGCAGGGCCTGCCTGGTACCATGTCTGCCTCGCCAATCATTTTGTGATATCTGTAGATAGCATCGGATTAATTGGAGAAGAGAGCTCCTAATGCAAAAAAGAACGCCTGAATAGACTCAGTAGAATGACGTAGACCTCGGGGCAAATAAAGGTTATGAGAGCGACAGAAAGCCTCATTCATCCCTTGCCAATGAATGATCTCGAGGAGGAATGGGGCACCGGGAGGCAGGGGCTGACGCACACCGAGACATGCATATCGCGTCGAGGCGATTTCACGTCCTGGCAGCCATCCAAGCCGGAACTTTCCTTGCATGTTGAAACGTGCATGGCGGGTGGTGGAACGTTTGATGTTAGCGACCCTGCCCGATCTGCTCAGACTACGGGCATCAAACAGCGCTTGATGGTGTCCGCGCCATTGCTGGGTTACTTCAACCACCTATCCCTTGGCAAAGTAACTGATTACCTCTGCGTCCTAAATTATTCAAAGGCGCCAACTTCCCGCTACTCTAGAACCACAATCATACATTTTTTTGACGATAGAAATAACCCAGGTAAAGCTGTGGATCATGTCTATGCTTTGAAATTTGTTGATCGATAGTTTAGCCAGTTCCTTCCTCAAGGCTACTTCTGCTCCAATATATTAACTCACCACAGAGCCATACTCTCAAGCGACAAGATGACTGATAGCGGCAGCTTTATCAAAGTTCCCAATGACGAAGAAGAGGCACGCATGCGAAAGGCAGCAGAGGAATCCCAGCAAAGGCGCGAGGCAGCAAAGAAGAAGCGAGAAATGGAAGAGGCGATGAAGAAGGCAGCCGAGAGCTCACAGCAGCGAAGGAAAGGCGGAGGTTCCTAGACCCTTTACCCGCGTTCTTAGGTACGCTTCTGGGAATCTATTCCATTTCCACGCAAAGGAGCCTAACTAATATTCAGGGACTCTTTGTGCCAAATGAACAGCAACAATCCGTCCGAGGCAACTCTCTGAGATGTTCGATGAGGAAAGAATATTGCTACTTGATGCTTGAGGGTGACTAGGAGGATGAGGCCTGTGATAAGCTGAAGACAGTCTAGAAGAGACAGCAAGGAAGTATTTTGGGTCAACCGTATCCGAATGAATGCTTAGGGCGGTACTTCGAAAGTAGTCTCTTCGCTCCGTATAATCTGAGGCTAAAGGGGCCATCTTGTATGTTCCATGGACACTTAGCTAATGAAGTTATATCGCAAATTGGTCCCCTTTTTCCATTCTGGAACGACCGATTCGATTATTACAATGCTATCTGGCAGCCAATCAGATACAGGAACTTCAGGGGAGAAGGTGAGGAATAATTTTGGGTCTCTTTTCGGCGGGAGAAGCACAGCACCTCGTCCAAAGAGGGTATCGTCATGCTTGTAAGATTCTAGGCTACAAGGGATATAGATAGAAGAGGTCTATTCGGACAGTGACCCGCTTAACTAAGAATCCTGTTAGCTATACAGCCCCTTCTAGAATTCTAGTATATAAAAATGTATAGTTACAGGGCCTTCTTCGCTTCATCCTTGTAGCTGTTTAGATTTATTTATGTTTTTTAGCAGCGTTTTTTCCATAAGATTAAAGTCTTAGCGATTAGCATAGAATTACTCACGAGGAGACTAAATCATATTGTAAAAAGCTTTAGCTTGTAGACAATCGGTATTCCAGTAGTGCTCTATATAGTCGTAGAGCGCGGCGAGTTCGTCGCCCACAGCAATAAAATCGCAAGAACCCTAAGTCGAGGCTGTTTTACTTATACACTTAACTCCATTCAAATTATCCGCTGTTTTATGTAATACTCCGTGTTTCGTTAATTCCAGACTATAGGAGTTATAGGAAAGGTGTTTCCTAAAGGAAATACTAGTTTCAACCAATATTTCTTATAGAACGGCGTTCCGGTATATCGAAGAAGTATCAGGTATGCTAAAAGCAGCCTTAGGTTCTTCGGTCCTAGAAGCTTTGTTTTACGGTAGGTTTTGCTCGCTTCCTAGCGAATTTTAGTACGATAAACACAAATAGTTCTTAGCTAATCGTACCTCGGTAACCAATTAACTAGTGAACCAGGGCGCTCTGCGGCAAACCTACGAATGTAGGCAGGATGAGATGGATCAGCGAACCAACCAACAAACCACACCACACCACGATGATAAGAAGCCTCCCAGAGAGGAAACAGATGCTGCTTCAGCGAAAGATGTGTAAATGGTTGATTCTCTCCATATTGGAGATGCTAAGCTGTGTCCTGTAAAGACTGTGCTAAGGAGATATCTTCCAATCAGAGATCTCCCTAGCGTTGGCCATTTCCCCACTACACTATGTGTCCGACTCGCCAGTGAATTACGTTAGTGGGCATCACAAGGTAACTAGTGGGCGGTCAAGCGACGGCTCGCCGTCCAATGTAACGGGCGGAAAGGCGGCGGTTTCTGGCACCAGAGGTTGTCACTTTCGGCGCCAATTTCACAGGTCCTCAGAATCTAGTTGCGCATAGGCATCATTTCCATCTCCCGGCTGCCCCTTTTGGCCGCAAGACGAGATACTTCTATTTAACGCGGTTCGTACTACTCGCATCATGATTTTTGGGCATGAATCCATTTGTGTTAGGTATGATACCGGTATCCGATAGCAATCCAGATAGTTATAGCTGAGGCTTCTCACATTGCTGACCTAAGAATCTGATTCTGGAATACTCAGACTTATCAACCCTTTAAAGGATTGTACAGAGCTGAGAGAGACTCTCCTTCCTATCCCCGGAGAGAGGACTTGTATATCAAGGGAGCAAGATCCCACGATAATGGATGGGAAAGGGCATGGTTGGAGGATTGTATGTAAACACGAGGAGATACGTGGCTTGTCGAGCCAAAAAGGCTATTCTTTCAAAAGGAAAGATGTCGAATATTTTGGGAATTTTGTAGATTAAAAGGCATCGCATGTTTATCAATACTAATTTTGCTAGATTTATGGCACTCAAAGGTATGATGAAAAACTACGGAACAAGACGAGTTGAGAGAAGTGATACTCGCCCTTTCATGTAACATAGCTCATACGGGTCCCAGTACCAGAAAGCTGTCACTCGGCATGCCAAGCTGATTTCGATGATTTGGAATAATTTTCTTTGTCTGCAGCTGAAGAGCCATCCACGGTTCAAAGATGCAATATCTTGCAAAATTGCGTTGCACTTTTGCATTCATACCTTATTTCTCAGAAATTAACACTAAGATAGCTTTAATCCTATATAGCGGAGCCTTTGTTTTGTTTCTTCAAATTAAATGATATTGTAACAACCGGTAACAGTGATCGCCACAATTCATGAGCTACCTGAACTTTTTCTCCTTCGGGAGGCATCATGGCGCAAAGATCAGAAGTCAAGACGTAAATACAGTGTGACAGAAATTTGAACTGTGAAAAGTTTGGATTAAACTTAAACGTCAGGATGGAGTCGTGAAAGCCCCTCCATAATCTCGATTTCAATGGACTGCTTCAGGTCTTGGAGTGCCTTCCGGAACGTGAGTCGACCAGGATATGTCGAGAAGGGAGACGGCATAATACCGCTAAGACCCACTTCTCCCGTGTGCGTCAGATTGTGACAGGGATACTCGATTTCCTACATGTTTTGTATGGTATTCCGGGTAGACTCGGAATACAGCGCCGTAACGCGCTGGACAGCGAGGTAGGGGATATTCAACATTCCCCCGCCTACACACATAGATAGTTCAGGCACCCAATACATCGCTATTTGAGCATCTCATTCCATTGGATCTCAGCTTTCCTAGCCTATACCGTATCCTGCTATATTGACAGGATATTCTTCATCCAGCGTTTTTTTCTTGTACTGCGACCACGTGCTTAAGCAGCTCTATAGCCTGCTTGATCTGCCCGTTAGATTCATATGCCTGTGCGAGGGAGTATTGAGACGCTAGTCGATCAGGATGTTCTTCATCGAGCGTTCTTTCTTCTACTGCGACCACGTGCTCAAGCAGCTCTATAGCCTGCTTAACCTGCCCGTTGGATCGATATGCTAGTGCGAGGGCGTGCTGAGACGCTAGTCGATCAGGATGTTCTTCATCGAGCGTTCTCCTATTTACTGCGACCACGTGCTCAAGCAGCTCTATAGCCTGCTTGATCTGCCCGTCGAATTGATATGCTAGTGCGAGAGCGTGCTGATACGATAGTCGAGAAGGATGATTTTCGTTATAGCGAGTTTGAATCCACAGATAATCCTCTCTTAAAAGACTGACAGCTTCTCTTGCTCGGCCATCAGCCAGGACGCATTTGCCGACCTTGAGAAGTAACTCATACTTCTCCTCCATATCTCGGTTTTCCTCTCGCCCAACAATTTTCAGGGCATGTGGAAGGTAACTTCTCCATATCTCACGATTTGTATATTCATCAGATGGAAAACATCTTTTTATATGTTGCGTGACGTTCGCGATAATCTGTTGTGTCTTCTGTGCCTCTATTATCCATGTTCGTGTGGATAGCTGTACAAGGCTATGCATATCAAACATATTCTCATTGCTCCTTTGTGTTAGAAAGCCGTAGCTGCATAGCGTACCAATTGCATAGTCCATCTCTTCTTCCGAATCGAGAGTTGGGAGAATAGATCGCGGGATTGACTTTGGCTCAAGGTAAGACATAAATTCCAACAGATCAGCAGCAGAGGGATCAGAGCCCTTAATCTGATTAAATGAGATAATCCACGTGGTAGTTACCGCGTTCGGTATTTTCCGGTAGCGAGTGGTATCGTGGAAGTTCCTACTGGCCAGACGCATCCGATCTTTTTCGGTTTTGTACATAATCTCGAGGTACCGGGTAGTCGTTCCATTATTTCGACAAATATAGTGAGCAGCCTGCGAAATAGCGAGAGGTAGGAAGTTTAGCTCCTCTAATAACTGTATAGTAGACTCTTCACTACAAAGTGACTTCTCTCCTATAATCTTTGTAATAAAAGGAATGCCTTCCTCTTTTGTCATCTTTTGGAGCTCAAGTATATCCTTTCCAGCAAAAGACACCGCGACCTCGCGGGTGCGAGTAGTGAGCAATGTTACGCCGTTCATACTAGCGGGGAAATACTGATCAAGCTCATTGGAAAGTAACTCTATGTCATCGGCATTATCGATGATAAGAAGCCACTTTCCGGCTTTATCAGAGCTCAGCTGTCGGTGCACTATTTCCATAACACTTTCACCGTCTGCATTCTGATGAATTTGAAGCTCTTTCGCGATTTGCGAACAGGCCTGCTCAAAACTCTCGAGACTTAGGGCAGGAGCCCAGAAAATAGAGCAGTCTGGTATATGCGCCTTTACCCAGCGGGCTAGTTGAAGAGCAACCTGGGTTTTGCCGATGCCACCTAGTCCGAATAGGGCTAGTTTTTCAGTATCCGCTTGAAGAAATAGCTTTCGTTTAAGCTCCTCCAGGGTGGATTCACGGCCGGTAAAGTGACGGTTCTCCATGGATGGGATAACATAGTAGGCTTGCGATGGATCATCTAAGAAACCATTATTGAGTGTAATCAATTAATCAAGTTTCCTGTTGACGTACAAGACCTAGTGTTTGTCTCTTTTATTGCTTCACCAGGCATATGGAAGTGGTTAGTGACCCAGCCGTGGTTGGTGCCCATTTGGAATCCCCCCACATTTGAACCTTCAAATGATGTTGTGGAAGCCATCCTCGCCACGGGAGCCTCATAGGTATCTAGAAAAACGACTGTGCCGTATGAATGGCCACTACCGCCGCCGCGAATATCCCGGTGAACGGAAAGAAATATAAGTATCGTTTGGCCTCAAACGTGTCGGTAGGTGATTATCTCACCTATTCAACAGAATCGAGGGGAGAGGAGGGGTAACGAGAAGTGATTGCGACCGCAGAGACGCCTCGCTATCAGCCTAATGCATCTAGGACATTACTAAGCACCCACCTGCGTCGGAAAGTGAGGCAACTTGACGAGTCATTGGGCACACGAGGATCTCGAACTGCATAAGGCACCTCGTGCTATTGGGAGTTGGTTGTGATCACGTAGCGGAAAACCAACCAACGACAAGAAGCCAAATTATCAAATTGCCGTCTCTCACCATAACTAAGAGTCGCCTCCCACGCGAATCTAAGAAACTATGAAGTAGGATAGATCTAACTTTGGTATAAATTCCAACCCCATCTAACTGAAAAGCTTGTTTTGAAATGGAAAGATAAATGAAAATAATCATCTTCAATGATGACCGTTAAATTTCATGAAACAGTACTTGAATACAGGGTGAGCTCTATAGACACGGCAATCAATAATACACAAGTATCAAGCGTGCATAGTGAAAATGGCCTTCGGCACTCTCTTCTCTGGCACCAACCATACTCACGTACCACTCCAGAAATCCCGGGTAAACCCTATCCGTATCGTCGCCAAGCAATCAGCAGTCGCGCTTATTGAAAGTTTTCAGCTCCACAAAAGATGCTTCTAGTATCAGATCCGGAGAATAAGGGGGAAGATACACGAGCTTAACTCCTGCTTAATTCGTCAAAAGATACCTCAGGTCGCTTTAGCCAAATAAATACTTTCTTTCAAGCCAGTCAATCTCAAAACTGAATATTATTTGGCGCGTCGGATGCACACCGAGCCCTAACACCCGCCCTGGTTGAGACTAAGATAGCAGTGTCAATTACCATTTTCGAGAACTCAAGAACTATGATGAGAACCATCGAGGTCGGCTCTGGCTCTGGCTCTCAATCTGGCATTTTGGAAACGGCGAGGTCGAGAAGGTATGCCATAATCACTATTATTCCTTTTGCAACGCCAAATGATGATGCTGTGATTTCCATTGCTGACCTTGACAGTTTCATGGATTGAAGCATACCCTTATAATTCTCGAGCATAGATATCTTCCAACCGATCAGGAATACCGAAAATTTGGCCTCACGCCGAAGACAGCAACGCAAGAAATCTCCCAATTTCACCTCATCTTTCTGAGGCCATTTGCTACGCCTCCCCATGCGTGCATGTTCGTACCAGCTGGAGCCAACCATCTAGAACGCATCGCCTAACGAGCGAGATATTTGAAGAAAGTACTCTTCGTCACCGATACGAGGCCGCGAGGAGGTCATTACATTTTGGTTCTCCCATGTGGCAGTCCTACCACTGCATCATGCTGGCTGCTCCTTTGGGTCTTCCTGCGTGCTGGTCTCGATATCATCCAGGTGACTTACATGATACCTTCAACCCCATCACTATCGTCCCTGTTGCCTTGTCTCTGTTCTGGAACGACGCCGGTATTCTTGTAAGCAGAATAATGGTCTAATCTTCGTCGACCGTCTAGTCTCTCCTCGTGAGAAATCAAATACCATTTTATCAAATAGTGCGTTCCCCTGCTCCCCACGCATGAGTAATGTGATGTAACTGGACTGATCGAGATAGGTCCTTCGATCCGGAGTCGAAGCTCCAGTCGCGGGTTTTCACCAGACCCGGATCGAGCGGCCCTGAGTTGAGTGTAAACGTATATTCGATGATCCGTGGGAGTCGAACCTTAACATGGTGTCTGAGACCCCTTGTCTGGCGTCCGTGAGAGTGAGGTTGCATACATCCAGATTAGGAGATCGAGAACCGTATAGATCTGCAATCTGTGAGGGGCAGCAGAATAGCGATCGTAACCGTTGGTCGAGTATCTGGGGAAATGCTCCGTACCTTGCGTGGAAGGCCCTGTCGACTCCCGTTTCAATGGCCTGTTCGCATTACCCCCTATGATCACCACCAGGGCCGGACATTCTGCAACTCCTGCATCCTTTTCATCTCCCGGCGGTCCTTGCACCGTGGACCATTGATCGGTGTCGCCCGCCACTCCACATTTTGAAACTGCGGGGAGTCCGGTCGGTTAAAAGAATGATGTTGCCGAGCTCCTTGGAAACGGCCTGCGACACCCCTCGAATGCACCGATTGGCGGCTCGCGGCTCGTGTGATTCGGTCCGATCCGCGCCCGGGCCACAATCCGGGGAAGACTCGGTTAATTTGCGATCATGCGGTGCCGTCGCGCCGCCCAGTTGCTTCGAAAATGCATCTGAATTGGCCCGAACCTGCAGCCGCCGAGCTTGGTCCAGCTCGCTTCGGAGCTCGTCGCTTGCATGATCTCCGCAAAAATTCTCATCCCTGAAAAAAAAAATGCACCAACATGCCCCGTGTTTGCGGGGGAAGCCTCCTCTTTTTTTTTTTCTCCGGGGCCATGAGCACGAGGTTTTTAAGCGTGCGCGTTCCCCTCGATTTCGCCAGTTCTGCTTTTTAGATTGACTCCACCGCATTCAAGCTTTGATCTCGCGTTTTTCGGTGGTTTCTCAAGTCTGCGGATATGGATTCTTCTTATGTCACAGAGAGATGGCCTGCGATGGACCCGGCCAGTCTGCAGATGGCGGGTGTCCTGCCTGAGGATCTCGTCCATGAAACCTTCTCTGCGCATTGGATGGACGGGGAAATGCCCTTCATAACCCCAGGCGAGCTGGACCCCTGGGCTGTCGAGCATCTGCGCTGGAGTGGCGAGGCCTCCAAGCCAGCCCCGTCCCCACGGGGACCGCAATACCCGCATTCGTGGGTGGCGGCCGGCCTCACCAAGGCCTCGGTGGGGCATCAAGCCGAGCAGTCCGCGAGGTGAGCAAATCCAGAGGAATCTTGGAGACCATTGGAGTCATCGGGATCAAAAAGACCGAGGCCACAGACATCCCTGCTAACGATGTGCGCCCTAGTCACCCCTACCACGCCCACTATGACGATGTCAACCGACGGGGATACGCCGGCCAGGCGGAAGGACACGCTCTGCCGTCCCAACTCGCCACCGAAAGAGCCCTGTTTATGACCCCCCCAGTCCTCCACTCATCTTTCCCCCTCTTCCCCGGATCGCCCGTCTCGGATCCCTGTGGCACACCCGAAATGAGCCATAGCTCGTTCGGCCGATGGGAGACCGACCCCGAAAGCGACGACATGCAATCATCCGGCTCACCACACGTCTCCCCACATATCCAAGCTCATTCGTATTACCCGCACCCCAGCAGCATCGACGACTGCCCCACCACGCTAGAAATGCCCGACGGGAGCACTCGCAGGACATCGAACTGGCTGCCAGTCGACTCCAGTGCCGGCTTTACCATCGGGCCTGAGTATTCGGCGCCTCGGCATGGAGAGTCAGACCCGCACATGCAAGATTTCCACGACATTCAGAGCGCGTTCTTCCCCACGCCCTCTGCTGGATGGGCCTATGACAAGTGAAGGAGCTGTCTGCATCATGTCGATTTATGACACATGATTATTTCTCTCTCCGGCCCGAGATTATCACAAAGCACACCAGACCAGGTCCCAACCATCCGACTTAAATTCGGGGCAAAGGTTGTGGTTCCCCTCTTTCTCCTCTCATGCGGACAACCTAAAGATCCCAAATTGGCCCTGGGCCTTGCGAGAAAAAAATCAATCTTCCATCAAATCTTCTTCGTGAATTCGATGGCAGGGGTCAGGTTTTCACCAACCGACATCCAAGTACCACCGCAAATCAGGGATCTCACTTCACGCCCAGTCAGAATAAAGTTACGATTTCCTCTCAAAAGCGCTTGGAAAAAGAACATAGTCGTCTTCGGAGTGATAGCACTATACGAAGAAAAACTACGTTCAGGGCAATATGGAAGCTCATCATAAAATGGAAAGGGTTGATTGAAGAATCGGGGAAACTGAGACGTCCTCCGATAGAAGATCTCGGGTCGCCTGCAGCCACCATAGCTCAAAGTCAATAAAACTCCCAGGAAGCTAATAGATTCACACAAATAATCGAACAATGCGAGAAAATATGTGTTCACCGCCTAGTAGTCTACCTGAAGCAAGAAGAAGATAATTAAAAGATGATGATCGCATCGCCCAGGAAAGGGAAGATGTCGCGGAATACAAGTAGCCAGTACCCGTCAGCAGGATCGGTCTAAAACCCGAACCCGAAGGGGAAACCACCGTGGCCGTGACCGTGGCCGTGGCCGTGGTGGCTCTCCCGTGGTGGCGCCGGGAAACCGCTCCCGCTCGGCGCAGGGGTCGGCTTCATGCCAACAGTCCTCCAGCTCCACTTGGGCGGCGGGCCGTTGGGGGTGGCACCGGGGCCGGCAGCAGAGAAGGCAGGGACGGAAGGAGCACCATTGAGTTGGCGTGCCTTCTTAGAGCTGGAGCTACTGACCTTGCCGACGCCGGCATTGCTGAGGACCGAAGACCGGACGCGGTTGGCATCCAGAACGTCAATGCCAGACTCGCCGCTCGGCCAGCTAGACAAGACGGATTCATCACTGGCGGAGAGGCTGCCCGATGCCACAAGCGTATTGGCAGCGCAGGTGCGGCCGAGCGTGGAGTCACAGGTCGACTTATCGCTGGAGCTGACGGCGAAGGTGTTGCCGGGGGAGCTGTCGGTGAGGAAAGGGGTGTTGACCTGGTGGAAGACGTTGCCTTCAATCAAAGCATTGGTTCCATCACCGACATCAAAGGCATGACCAGTGTTGTTGTACCAGTAGTTGTTGTAGGCGTGCCAGTAGCTATTGAACTCGAGCTTGGGCGAACGGCCGGAGGTGTGGTGAATATAGTTGCCCGTGAAGGTGACCTTGTCGTTTTTGCCGTAGCCAAGTCTGTAATGACCAAGGTGAGGAAGTTACTACTATAATCTAGAACCAATGGGTGTACATCCTTTTTGAAACTTACACCGTCCAGTAGTGGTGGCCATCGCAGGAAGCAGACCAGCTGGTCTGACCGTCGAACTCGCTGTTGGAGATCGTGACACGCTCACCTGGAGAGAGAACAGTCAGCCCCAGTCTATCATGAAGAGCGATTTTTATGGTCATGGAATCACTTACTGGCCTCGTATCCAGAAACGAACATCTGACGACCGATCAGGGAGATCTTGACGTGGTCAATCCAGATCTGGTCCGTGCCATCTAGAGTGATGGCATCACCACCCCAGATGTATTCCGGGTTGAGCTCAGTGATATGAATGTTCTGAATAATCACATTGCTCACCCCATTGGCAAGACGGAGACCCTTGCCACGGATGATACCTGCGCTGCCCACACCTACAATAGACTTGTTTGAAGCGACATCAATACCTTCGATGGCCGCTTTGTCGTAGGTGCAAGTGAGCGTGGGATAGCTCCCACACCAGGTTGATGAGTCCAGATCAATGGCATTTTGGCCAGCGCTGCCACAGGTGTTGGAAGAAGGCTTGCAACACTTGCAATCGGTGCACTTTCCCTGGCTGCCGAGGTAGTTGAACTCCTTGTCGATCAGGATCGTACGGGGGGTGCTGTCAGTCAGCCACTCGGTGAGCTGAGTGATATCGCTGGGAGCTGCGGCTGCGGCATTGCCACCACCAGTGGTGCCTGTTGCAAAGCCAAATGCCGTGCCGGAGACACCAGCGGCCTGGGCAGACGCTCCGAGAAGCGTGATGGCTGCGAGAAGCGATCTCTGCAACGCCATGGTCGATGGGCTGAGACTGTCGAAATTGAAGAAAGAGCAAATACGAGAATCGCAAATAGACCGCTGAACCAGCAGCGTATCAAGGAATGAATATACCGAAGGGAGAATGAGTCAAAAGGCAAAGGAAAGAAAGAAGCTGCACGCTGCTAAGATGGCCATCGAGCGATGATAGTCCGAACTATATACCCGCGTGGGATAGCTTGTCCATCAAGGACGGAATTAATCGTCTTGACTTTGTTTGACTTTGAGTGGGCTTGAGGCTCGTCATGAAGATCCATGCTCTTTTGTGCAAATCGACCGACCATATGGTGTTGCGAATTGTCCATGAATGATATCGACGGGGCCTCCTGATCGGCCGGTCTCCTGCCCGTTCCTCGTTCGGGCCCGCTTGTTTCAGAGTAGGACTAGTGTTCAGCGTTGAACTAAGCATCTTCGGAACAGGGTTCCTCGCTGGATAGCTATGGTGGTTGACCTGATCAATGGCATCGCCCGTGAAGGTTGGAAATCAATCCTGAAGGAGACAAGAAGACACGAGTTCGCGACACGGCAATCCCGAAAAGGATGGTGGAAAGGCAATGAAAGCGGACGCCCCAGTCTGCTTCAATCCAACTCCCTAGTGTCCGAAGATAGACCGGCCCGAAATGGCCCCGAATGGCGATCCCTATCCTATCTAGACAAGATGCACCACTTTTCAATGGTTTGAAACAGACAACGTACCAGATTGGGATGTACCATGTATGCTTGATACTGGGTCTGCATTCCATAATTCCATTTTATTGTTTAGCACTACCCAACGAACAGCGATCCAAAGACCAGGTGAGCTTCAGTTGTAAGGTGACCAAGTGACCAATGTGAAGAGGTATAGGTCTCCCGTCTGGGCTAGCATTTCTTCTCTTCAAACGTATGATAAATACTTATTAAATGCCCAGGCGATACGCGTCATCCCATGCTCTGTTATGCAAATCCTCTTTCACAAATTAACATAGCTTCGATCAAAATAGATAGAGCCAGCCCAAATATTAGATTGAATAGGCAAAGGGTGCTGCTTTGCAACTTCTATTTCGAACAACGAATCGTTTTCACTTGTACTGTGTGTCCGTGATCTCATATTTCTCAATCTTATCTCGTCAACACAAATCTTTATCGGTGAACTATCTTGTACTCTGAGTGGAGATATCATTTTCAGTTCCATGAGACTTGATAATTAAAGTTATGTACAATCGTAGATTATCATTGAAGAAAAGAAAAGAAAAGAAAAGTCAGGAAAATTGGCCAGATGGCTAGTGAGGTGCTTTCACATTCCGCCTATCTCGTTCAATTCAAATATTTTGCATGATTCCTGGCCTAATTGGCTCCAGGATCGTTGAAAGTTCCGTCCAGAGAATATTGCGAGCTCGAGGGGATTCGTCGCTGCGGACAAATGCTGAAAGACTGGTGTTGTCCGTGTGTCCGTCCGTCATATAGGTGCCATGCCCTTCGATACCGGTGGAGATACCAGCAACAAGGGCACGAGAGCCCAACTCGGTCGACCGTGCAAGGACAAGTTTCAGCAGATAAAGCTGCCATCCTGCCTCGCGGCCTAACGCTGAATGGCAGAGGCCTGGGTTCACCATGTTGACAACCACGTCGGAGCCACGAACTCGCCCAGCCAGCTCCTGGACAAGCAGAACCTCGAGCAACTTAGACAGCTGATAACGCTCTCCCATTCTAGCCTTTTCTTGGTCCGAGAGAACAGACATGGGTTTGTCAGATGATTTCCATTCTTGAAAGTCGACCCATGCATGAACCTCACTGACTACAAAGCTCAAACGTGGCTGGTTAGAAGGAATCTCTCTCCCTGTTGCCTTCAGCCGAGGGAGGATGAGCAAGCCAAGTAACAATGTGTTGATGACGTTGACCGTGATTGAGCGTTCGTAACCCTCGGCAAGCTGGAAGTTCCAGGTGGCCAGAGCCGCGTTCAATATGGCAGCATCTAGTCGAGGCAGTTGGGCAACACGATCCCCAAAGGCGAGCGTCGAACTGTGAGAGGCAAGATCGACCTCCCAGACTTCACAAACCCCGGGTCGTCCGGTAGAGTTCTCGATCTCCTCTTTCGCATCCTTGCCCGCAGCCACATTGCGCACACCGAGTATGACGCGGGCCGCCCCTAATCGTACAACATGTCGCGCAGCTTCGAGGCCAAGGCCGACGTTGGCACCGGTGATGAGTACGACTTGGCCGTCGAAAGACCGAGTTGGATAGGCAGGACGGACCAGCAGTTGAGAATATAAGAAACCCATGGCTATGATTTTGTTTTATCTTGAACTCGAGAGAAACTATATAGTCAGGAGAGCAGTACGGTCCTTTTATGTTAAAAAAAAAAAAGCAAGAAATAGATGTGAATAGGCAATCAAGTCGTGACGCCAGCACTGGGCCGGAGATTAACGCGGCGATAAGCTACGCCTCGAATTCCCCAACTCCGAGCAATTCTGGCGGGGAAATGTTTAATTCCGGATGTCCGAAAACCGACTTATCTCCCCCCTGGTTCTAGCCTGAATAATAGTTATTGTAATTTTTCTCTCGTGTAATCTACGAAGAATATGATCTCTCCAAGAACCCTTTGAAGGCTGTCTTGGCTTTTGGCTCTTGGCTTTTAGCAGGTGAACGAACATCTTCGTCTCAAAACCGGGGCCGAGCAAGGCAAAGTTTGGCGGGTAAGATAGAATCCCATTCCATTGCAGTCTTCCTCGAGAAAATTGTCGATGTGATTTCAACTAAGCCCTGGGCCAGGATGCACGACTTGTGTGCGTGTATTCCAAGGTCCAAACTGAAACCCTCCCCCACACGCGCGCTTAGATCAGCCTGCCATCCGCGTTCAGTTATGACGTAAGAAACCAACCATCAATTCTTCGGCCTGACCCTGCAGATTACTTGACCTTCTCTAATTTCAACTCTTTTTCTACTTCCCTCTACCTGCCTCCCGCTCATTTCCTTGCCTCGGGCCACATTTACCATGGGACAATTCGGCCAAAAAGTGCTCAACGCCTTTGGCGTGGGCCACCACCACGATCACCAGGGTCCGCTCCCGCAGCCTCAGCCACATCTCCCAGGTCATGGATTTATCCACGATGATGAACGCCCGCTATCATCGCCTCCCAACAATGGGACATATCCTCGTCTTGCTCGACTTTCTGACGGTTCCATTCTCTCATCCTTCACTCGATTTCCCGACGGGAAGCGTGCCTTGTGCGTTGCCCGCAGCACGGACAACGGGCAGACTTTCGAGAACTTCTCCGAAGTGACTCGAGCAGCTGGGGATGTGGATAATATGTTTCTCCTGGAGGTTGCCCCTGGGGTCGTCCTCGCTGCCTTCCGCAATCACGACCTCGGTCCAAACGGGCCCACTCATTTCCGCATCACCGTCTGTCGATCCATGGACGGAGGCCGCACATGGAAGTTTGCATCCCAGGCCGCTGAAAAAAGCCCTCCCTTCGGGATCTGGGAGCCATTCATGCGACTCGGCCGGCAGGGCGAGGTCCAATTGACCTACTCCGAAGAGTTTGCCCACAACAATCAATGTCCTATGCGAGCGATTTCACATGATCAAGGGAGCACCTGGAGCCGCCCACTTTGTTTACACGGAGACCGGGACACTCGGCGTGATGGTATGAATGGAATCGCGCCCACCATTGATAATGGGCGTGAGGCACTCGTGATGGTCTTCGAAACAACAACCTACGGGCCATTCAATGTCGAGGCGTTGATTTCGTATGATGACGGGGCCACCTGGCAGTGTCGCCATGAGGTTTACCGACCCCGTCGTGGACACAATGCAGGATCTCCTCAAGTGACTTCCTTCGCAGATGGTTCGATGGTGTGTGTCTTCATGACTGACGATGAGGCCTCCCAGGTGCAGTGGGTGAAGCATGCGGCAATCAAAGCTGTCTTTGCCGGGCCACCCCAAAATGGCAGGATTCAGTGGAGTGCACCTACAACCATCTCCCCAGCTTCAAGCTTTTGGCCGGGCGTGATGGCCATTGGTCATCATACAGCGCTTGTAACTTACGACCGCGGCGGGCCACTCACTAAAACGATTACCTGGCAAGCTCAGTAAATCCTTCGCATTCGTCCTGCTCGTCAATATGCCCTCAGATCAAGATTCCCCCTTCTTCATCTTTCTTATTATCTAACAACTAGCGGTATCTGATGATTATCAGATCTTTGAATCAACCGTGGACAGGTTACTTTGGTTTCATAAATTTTCCTCGGAAGTACATAGACTCGGCCAATCAGTCCAGAGAAATCCAATTCGAGTTTCTGGACAACAATGCCGGCATACCGTGGTTTCCTAACTCAATTTTCCCTGGCGTACCGGACATGACAGGGCTCCGGCCTGCTCTCGGAACTTTTGGCCGAAGAATAAGCGCATTGGATTGCGTAGATAATCGGATAGCCCATGGCCATGATGGTGGTAAGCATCAAGTGGAGTGATGTCTAATCTCTTGTAGAAAAATGAAGTCCATTCCACCTCCTCTGTTAAAAGGCTAGAAGTCTACGGTTTACATCGGTATAACAGGATGCGTGTATCCGTAGAGAACCTTCAGATCAGTAGTAGTATTTGACAATTTCTTTCATCTAAGCCGAAGTCACAAAAGCAGAGGAAAACAAAATTACAAATGATCTATTTCAAACTTCTTAAATGCTCGGACTGACTTTTTTTTCTTTCTTGTCCTGGCTCATTCCAAATCCCCGCAACCTGAGCCACGGAATGCTACTGTACTACGTAGACGAGCCCGACAAGTATCGTTGTACAGGGTCTGGGTCGCCCGAACCGCACTGGGAAACCTTGCGTCCAGCCTTCTTCCGGTCTGCCGCGAGGGTCTGGGCGAAGGGAGACTTCTCACGAATTTTAGGACCATACCAGTAGAAGATGTAAATCGGAATCGTGAACAAAATGGCCATGAAACCAAGGAACGTGGAGGGCCATTCGAGCCTATGGACAGTTCCCATGTTTTTATACACTTTTTTGTGGCATAGTCAGATCACAGTCTCAACTCGCAATAAATATCCTACTCACTTGGCACCGAATACATCGCCGCAATTCCAGCAAGGAAATCGCGCGCGAATCCATTTCCTCCTGTTGCGGAGGCTGAATATGGTCCGTATGCGGCAATCATGTAATCAATCGTCGCCATGTAAATCGAGAACTAGAAGACTTCAGCCAAATCCAAATTCAAGAGTTCAAGTACCCGGGTGCTTACATTGGCAATGGCAATCAAGCAGGAGAAGATCATTGGTGCAATCCAATGAACATGTGGTGGGCCCAGACTTGTCCAGGCAAAGCCAAAGAGTCCAATGGACAAAAGAGGTGCAACTAAATTGGCGTCAGAAGACGGTACAAATTCAAGGAATGAAAGGGGCGCACCATAAAGCAGCCAATGCAGTCGTGCTTCAGGTTGTAGCCCATCTGGGTCTCGCTCTTGTACCCTACAATGATGATGGATCCAGGGTAAGAAGGAGGCATAGGCAATCAAATAGCCAACCAGGATACTGCACAATAGAATCAGTAAGAACAGATCATTCAATTCCTGTACCAAATCAAAGCGAGTCAACCCACGGAATGAAAGACAGCCCAATGTCGATAGTACTAAATCCCCATTGCTTAAATACCGGGGTATAGGACTGGAGGAAGGTGAAAATCAGAGAATCACTGAAGCCGCTCAACAATGACAAACATAGGACAATAGGTTCGCGAAGGAACATGATGAATGGCCGTGCCCAGATCATTAAGATCCATCGAAACGACAATTTTGAGCCTTTTAGTTCATCGCCACTCCAGACTAAGTCACCATTCTTCCGTCGCCGACGAGCTTCCCGGGTAATGAGGATACTGCACCTCGTTTCGGGGACGAACAGGTGCAGTATCTCCACAAAGCCACCCAGGATCAACTGAATCCAGAAGTTCCAGTGCCAATCTAGGAACGTCGCAACGAACCCTCCCACAATTGGCGCGAGCACGGAACCAGCCACCGAAGACAGGACAATAAAAGCGACAGCCCATTGCTGAGTCTCTGCCTCCCACATATCTGCAATCATCCCCAATGTCACAGAGCCACCCGCAGACGAGAGGCCGCCGAGAGTCCGACAGACGACAATTGTGCCAAAGTTAGGAGCTAGTGCACAGGGTAACTGCCAGATATTAACCAGGAAGAGGCTCAGTTGCATGATTGGCCACCGGCCGAATTCCTCGCTGAAGGGTGCCCAGAATTCACATCCAAAGGCATAAGCCACCAGGAAACTCATCTGGCCGACTCGTGCCGCTTGCTCTGCGATATGAAAGTGTTTGGCATAGAGTGAGATGCTGCTGGCGTAGAAGCTGGCATTCCAGTTCATGGATGTCTGGACCGCGAAGATGACCGAGATGATACCCCATTTCTTCCACCAGGGGAATGAATAGCCTAGTTTATCATAACACTGCCACTCCTTCAGCTCAATCTTCTCTATGTGGCCATTGGCGACGCTGTTGGAGGCTCCATTGGCTGCTCCATCCACGCTCTCTTTCTCTTCGTGGCTAGGCCGAGGCGTACCTCCTGGCGAGCGAATGGGCCCATCGGCACGGTTTTGTTTTTCCACATCTTCATCGGCCATTGTTGACTGGGACATTGTAGATCGTGAAAGGTTGGATTAGTGAGGGGCCTTCGAAGCATAGGAAAACGGGGCACCGGCTAAGCAAGTGGTCACCATTCTCGCGAGGCAGCGGTTTGATGCCCCATTCTAAGAGGAATTTGGCACCGATTAAGTAGCTCATTGCTCCAGGGAAATCCCCAAGGAACCTCCGGCATGATGAATAACAGGTAAATATTTCTGGTGGGTATAATAGTATAGGCAGGGCTTCCGATTGGACCGGGGCACGACGCCTCGTGGTTCAAAACGCGCTTTACCATGTTCCTCGCATGTCGCCTGGTGTGGAGTAGACATCCGGGGACAATGACCCGGCATCTCGTCACCAACCTGGAGGCGGGCGCTCTCCACACTTTGGGGTTCGCGGATGCTGGGACAGGTCGCAACTATTTCCCGGGGCTCTCTTGATTCCATGTAATACATGCTGCCGGCGGACTGGATCTCGAATGAGTGCAATTCTTCTCAGAGGAAGTCAATCCCGTCGTTCGGTCTAGAGGGGTCTACTGCCAACGTCGGCATTCTTAAGAGCCGATGTGGAAAGGGCAATTGACTGTTCTCCTCCCTGTGTAGGATTGGACATCAGCATATGCCACTTATTGTCGTTTGACCAATCCACGGGGTTTCTGCTCAAAAGGTCGAGTGTCGGGGTTGAGTCATGGGTTTCAATGAATGAAAGCAAAAACACGGATCAGAGATGAACTTATTCGAGACTCTGACGATATACCACGAACCAAGTCCCAGGTGACAGGGTATGGGAAGATTAGTACCCGGTCAGGCTCAGGGGTCAAATCGCAAGATTTTGTGGTTGCAATGTGTAATGTTCGAATACATTGCTCAATTGGCGGATGAATCAAATAAATATCTCGGTCTATATTATCTACATACGGATGTTGGGATATCACAGCAAAGGGAACGCCATTCCATCACCTCTGGGATCACTTCCAGCACTATACACCAGCTGCCCATTATCATAATGCGAACGGATGATCTGTCCCCGGCCAAATGATGCTCGCTGCCATTCCTTCCGGACCTCGATCTTGTGGCCCAGGCGGCGCAGGCCCTCGATGGCTTCCTCGCTGATTCCCTCTTCAACCCACACGGTTTGGTCTGTCTCCTCGGATGTTGGTGCGGCGAGGCAAATCCGCGGTGAATCGAGCGCTGCTTGGGGGTGATAGCCGAAGGCAAGCATGTTCAATAGCACTTGCACATGGCCCTGGGGCTGCATAAAGCCGCCCATCACTCCGTAGACAGAGTGCAGGGATCCATCCGCCACATTTGTGATCAACGCTGGGATAATGGTATGATACGGGCGCTTGCGCGGAGCCAGTACATTCGGATGGCCAGGTTGGAGAGAGAAGTTGGCGCCACGGTTTTGCAGTGTGAAACCACAGCCCGCAGGGATGATAAATGTGCCGAAGCCCTCGTAGTTGCTAATGATGAAAGAAATACCATTTCCCTCGCTATCAGTCACGGCAAAATAGACGGTATCGCAGTGATTGTGAGCTGGGCTGCCGTGATCCAACAGATCCGCCGCGCGCTCCGGCGAGAACAGCTTCGCCCGCTCGGCCAAGTACTCGCGGTCCAGCAAGCCTTTGGATGGAACGCGCTCGACGTCCGGATCGGCGACCCACCAGGCAGCGTCAGCGAATGCAATCCGCAAGCTCTCAATGACGGCATGCAGATACTCCGCCGAGTTGTGTTGGGACTCACTGAACCGCGGGATCTTGCCGGTCCGCTCGAGTTCTTCGATAATGCCGAGAGCCATCAACGCAACGATACCCTGTCCATTTGGCGGGTGTTCCCAGATCTCCACGCCCTGATTGGTATCCCCATCCGTTCCAGGTGTCTGTTTAGAGATAATATCTTGACCAGTGAATTTGAGGGAGATCGCCTCAGTCTCTTGCGTGCCGACCTCCGCATGGTGCGCCAGGTCCTCGAGAGACAGGTAGCCGCCAAGCTCCTGGACTACCTTCACAATCTCTTCCGCAATGCGGCCTTGGTAGAATCCCTTCTTGCCCTCCGCGGCCAGCGTGCGGTAGGTTTTTGCCAGAGTGGGATTCTTCATAATCTCTCCGGGAAGTGGCGCACGCACACCATCTTTGGCTGTGGGGTCATCCTTGAGCATTTCACGGAAGTTGGGAGATGCATTCCGGATCCCCTGTTCATTTTCTTGCCACTATCAAGCTGTCAGCTCGCTTGTCAAGTTCATATCGTTGGAGTATAGCGGGGAGAATCTACTGACCGAATGGGACGACAGTTCTGAGACGGGAAACCCTTCTTCGCCCATTTCGATCACCGGTTGCAAGATCTGCGCCATCGACAATTTCCCACTGCCGAACTTCTCCACGGTGTCGACCCAACCGGCGGCCGCACCGGGGACTGTGGCGGCCAGCGCGTTGAGCAAGGGGATGCTGCCCTCCTCGCCCGGTGCCAGTTTTAAGTCCTGACGCACCTTCTCCAAGGTGGCGGCGCCGGGGTATCGGCCCGATCCGTTCAGCGCATGTACTTTCTTCGTTTTGGCATCGTAAAAGAGGCAGAACATGTCACCTCCAATGCCCGTCGATCCCGGCTCGGTCATGTTCAGGCCAGCGGCTAGGAAACGAATATAGTCAGTTTTGCTCAAGGCCCAAGATGCTAGCCAAGACTATTCAAGACATACCAACGGCCACAGCGGCATCCTAGACAAGACAAGTCCTATTAGTTTCATGAATCCATGTGGCTGAGCGGAGCGATCAGCATACCGCTGCATTTCCTCCCTGGCTTAGGATCTTGTGGCCGGCAGCCGCAGCCAAGGGTTGTGTGCACGAAACGATACCATTCTTGCTGTGAACGGTACTCCGCCGGCTGGCAAACGGCACATAAGCGGCGTCGGATCGCGCGTAGACGGCTTTCGAGTTGAGCGGCATCTTGTGTAGAGTCTGGCTAGAAGTGCCGAGTCGAGAGAAGAAACCAGGCGCTGTCGCACACGCGGGGTTCTTCATGCGTTTTGTATCATGTCCCACTTGTCTGAGCGCAATGCGACCCTGACCACCTTCTTAGAAGGGCAATTTGGCGGGCCCATCCCCCGCTAATCTGTTGAACCACAAGTTGGAGACGGTCGGAGTTGGGGTCTTCTCTCGTCTCCACGACTCCACGACTCCACGACGGGAAACGGGGACCGGCGGCCAGTTTTCCGCAGCGCCGAGGCTCGCATGGGGGGGGGGGGGGGGGAAATGGGAGGGGAGATGGAGAGGCACCGAGCGCGCACGGGCTTTGCATCGGATCCATAGCAGCAACCCTAGGGAGTTTCGAAGGGTTTTTGCTTTGGTCACGATAAACAGGGAATTGGACAGTGTCTCGCTCAAACCAACCAACGGTCTGGTGTGATCCGGGCGTCAAGGGGGCATATTGATTCGGAAATCGTGAAGAGTAAATAGTACATACAGAGCCCTACCGCGAGAGTCGAGTTCGGCCTATTACAATTCTTCCACTGCCCATGACAGTATAACAAGATCAAAAGGGCCGCGTGGAAGGGGAATGAATAGAAGAATGAGACCAGATGGGGTCTCTCGCTTTGTTTAAGATCTCTTTTTCTCTTTCTCTTTCGCTCTGGATCTCTTCGGCATGTTCCCCGGTCGTTCGAGCATTGAACTGATCAACAGAGGCTCGATCTCGGGCGTCGAAGCCGAGAGTCTCGGGAGGTGCCGCCGAGTCCTCAGGGAGACGCTTGGATTACCGAGATCATGATTCAAGATGATGGGAATCGCAAGCATAAGATCTCCAAACAAGAACATTGTTTTCCAGGATATGTCTCGTTCAAAGTAATAATGAATCGTATAATCACGAACCGGCGCCTTTTCTGGGAGCCGAAGGGGGGGGTAAAAACACAAGCGGGCCCGCTTGCGATTTCTCCGCATCGCCGGAGCTCATCCGAGTTGCGGAAGTTGGACCTTCGGACTCTTTAATTCCTCTCCCTCCCTCAACGACGCCCTACCCCCTCTCCAATCCTCATTTCTTCAGGTCGCGTCATATCACAGCTCATCATCATGGCCTCCATTCGTGCCAATTGCCGCAAGATCATGTGTATCGGCCGTAACTATGCGTGCGTTCCCTGCCCTCCACCCAGGAAGAATCCACACTCCGACGAAACCATCATGACCCGTGGACCCCATTGAGACTGACGAATGATGATTTGGACTATAGCGATCACATTACGGAGCTGAACAACACCACCCCCAAGCAGCCTTTCTTCTTCCTCAAGCCTGCGTCCTCGATCCTTCTGCCCGGCGCCGGCCCGGTCCTCCGCCCCAAGGGCGTCAGCCTGCACTACGAGGTGGAACTGGGCCTCGTTATGGGCAAGACCGTCCGTGACCTCGACCCAGAAGATGAAAAGGGGGCTTTGGATGCCATCGAGAGTGAGTTGGAGCCTGGGTCCACCTCAAGGACCCATTCGAGGGCCGTCCGCCATTCCACGCTAACACCGACTGCGCTTCTACAGGCTATATTCTCGCCATTGACATGACCGCCCGCAACGTCCAGGAAGAGGCCAAGAAGAAGGGTCTCCCCTGGTCGATCGCGAAGGGCTTCGACACATTCTTGCCCATCTCCCAAGCAATTGCCAAGTCCCGAATTCCCAACCCCCATGAGGCCTTCCTACGCCTGAGCGTTGGCCAGAACGAGCGCCAGGCTGATTCGACGAGCCTGATGCTGTACCGCATCCCGCAGCAGCTGGCCCAGATCTCCCGGGTCATGACTCTTGAGAAGGGCGACATTGTGCTGACCGGTACCCCCAAGGGAGTGGGTGAGGTCAAGGCTGGTGATGTGATGCGCGCCTCGATCGAGGTCAATGGCCAAGAAATTGAGGAGGGCCGGATCGAAGTGGAGGTGCAAGACCGGGATGGTCGCTATGAGTTCAAGGAGACCTAGAGGAGCAGGGAAGATCTTGTATTTACGTGGTGCGTGGATAAATAGAGCCCTGATTAGTTGATTACCCCCGAATGTTCATTGAATGGTTGGTTATACTGCTTGAACCACATGACCCTTGTAAAAGTAAAGTACATGAGATCATATTGTTAGTGGCATGGTCCAGAGCTTTATCGGTCGCTGTGCAACGCAATATATATATTAGGTGTACACCTCTCTTATTATCTATCTTTCAAAAATTTCAGTTGCTGGTGTTTGAGGGTAAAGGTGAATGGAGACCAAAGTACATAATATATCTCTTTACCATTCAAGATAAGGCGTCGCCTCGTCGTCCCCACGAACCCAGGGAGTGTAGTCCGTAACCGTCAAGGATCCCCACACAGCTCGGGCAGTTCTCTCCCGATTATGCCAATCAACCCGGCTCCAGTTGACTCCAGATCGACGGCCTCCGCGTGCGAGGGCTAAGGCTTTTGCCGCACAGCAAATCAGGCGCGCGATAAGATAATCCGTGGGCCCCACATTCCGGTGACTCGGCGTGGACAAAAGTGGTGCCTCCATCCGGCATCTGGGGAACAGCCCGCTTTTCTCTTTTCTCCAGCTTCTGCTGCTCTCCGTGCTCCTTCGTCATCCTGATCCTCCAAGACTTCGCTGAGATTGGGCTGACATAGCGCTGGATCTGGTCTACAGCCTTCGCCTCCTCCTCCCCTTGATGCGACATCCTGCAGCACATGGAGTGCCCGGCCATGGCACTCGCCCCGACTCGCTAGCTCAGTTCCTTATTTCTTCGATCCCACACGTTCACGATGCTTGAGTGGAAACCTCACGTTCGCGACACTGTCGAGCGCCCGGAGGCCTCCCCTCCGCACTCCGACCCGGCCAAGGAGACCGCTTCTCCACCAATGCACCCTCCGGAGACTACACCCTCTCGCGCCCCGCGCACCTTCGACTCTAATGCCTCCCTCGTTCTAGTGGGTATTCGCGGCTGCGGCAAACGTTCACTCGGCTTTATCGCCGCCACTGCCTTGAAGCGGCGCTTTATCACCGAAGATCACTACTTCAAAGAAGTGACCGGAGTCACGCGACACGAGTTCTTGAAAAGCCATGGCAGCCAGGAGTTCCAGCGCAAAGACATCGAGGTGCTGAAGAAGATGCTGGACAATCACCGCACTGGCTGTGTGGTCGAGTGCGGATTGGGTAGTCTGACCCGACCCGTGCAGGATCATCTACGGCGCATTTCGAAAACGAATCCGGTGGTCCATTTAGTGCGTGATATAGATCGCATTCAGCAACTCCTGGGACTGGATGACCAATCCGTCCGCTTATTGCGCGAGGGGGACCCATTGCATCGCACCTGCTCCAATTTTGAGTTCTACAACGTGGAGGACCGCACACGCGTGATCGGCGACGACGGCAGTCCTGACCCCCGCTCCGCGGCATACTCGTTCAAGCTGCAGGAAGTGAAGGAAGACCTCACCCGATTCGTGCGCTCTGTCACCGGAGTGGATGTGAATTATTCTAATTACGAATCTCCTTTCGTCCTGCTGGAAACACCCCCCGAGCTCCGCTCCTACACCCACGCCATCTTCGTTCGATCTTCCGACCTGCTCGCTGATAATGTAAACCTCCCGGAACTAGAGTCCGGTGGAGACGCAATTGAGCTCTGCGTCGACCGCTGGGGACCTGATATGCCCAATGTGATTAGCAGGCAAGTTGCCGAACTTCGCCGGAATGCACGGACTCCCGTGATTCTCTCTGTCGACACATCATCAGCGGGGATTGCGGAGCAGCGTGGTCAATCTGCGACTTATTTCGACATTCTAGAACATGGACTCCGCCTCGCAGTTGAGTATCTCGTTATTGATCTGGGCAAGAATCGCTCCCAGCTTGCGCAAGTCATTCGAGCGCGGGGCAAGACCAAGATCATTGGCCAGCATATCTTCGAGGCGTCTTCCCGCGTGAAATGGGAAGATGAAGGTTGCGTGTCTCTATACAAAGAAGCCGAGAAACTGGGTTGTCAGCTAGTCCGCCTGCTCCGGGTTGCGACAGCGCGTGAGGAAAATGCCAGCGTCCTTGAGTTTGCCAACAAAATCCGCTCCTTGCCTGGAACACACCCTCCCCTCATTGCGTACAATATCGGTCGCCTGGGACGGACGTCGCAGGTTTTCAATTCGATCCTCACTGGAGTTACTCACCCTGCCATCACTCGCCCGAAAGAGAACGAGCGAGATACACAGATCACGTCGCGAGACGCCGTAAGAGCCCTCTTCCAGAGCTATGTGCTCGACCCCTTGAAATTCTGCATACTCGGAGCCAGCGTGGCCTATAGTTTGTCACCGGCGATGCACAACGCAGCAATTCAGCATTGCGGCTTGGGCCATGTCTACCGCATCCCTGACTCCCCTTCTCTTGCTATCCTGGATGAGCTGCGCCGGGATCCGAATTTTGGCGGATCTAGCGTTGTTCAGCCCTGGAGAGTGGAGGTGTATCATAAGCTGGCAGCGAAAAGTCGACATGCCGAAGCCATCGGTGCCATCAACACGATTATGCCACTACGGGGCACCTCCGATGGTACCATGTACTCCCTCCAGGAGCAGGCCAGCCGCCGGAACCAAGCCGGCCCTGTTTTGGGGTGGTATGGTGAGAACACGGACTGGGTGGGCATCATGACATGCATCACGCGGCACCTGTCGCCGCGCAACGCCATCAGCGCGAAGACCACGGGCCTGGTTATCGGCGCAGGCGGCATGGCGCGGTCCGCGATCTATGCGATGCTCCGACTGGGCTGTCGCAAGATATTCATCCACAACCGGACGCAGTCGCGGGCTGACGAGGTGGCGGCTCACTTCAACTCCTGGGCAGCGTCGCAGGTCGACTCAGCTGAGGTAGTCCGCGTCTTACGGTCGACTGAGGATGACTGGCCCGACGACGCCAACCCGCCCAGCATAATTGCGTCCTGTGTGCCGGCGGACCCGGACAGTGAAGAGCCCCCGGCCAACTTCGAGATGCCTCTGCAGTGGCTCGGGAGCACGACTGGAGGCGTGGTCCTTGAGGTAAGTTTCTTCATGCGACGTGTCAGCTCGGCCACCTTGAACCCCCATGCTAATCAATAACTACAGCTTGCATATAAACCACTCGACACACCGCTCCTGCAGCAAATGCGTCGCATCCGAAATGATACGGGGCGGCCGTGGGTGTTATCAGATGGACTGGAGAACGTAATTGAGCAAGGCATTGCGCAGTTTGAGTTGATGACCGGCCGTAAAGCTCCCCGACGCCTGATGACCCTGGAGGTCCTGCGTCACTACGAGGGCGAAAGCGGGCGATTTGACGAAAAGACAATCCAGACCCGGCTTGACGGCATTTGCTCATAGACTGGCCCTAGACGACACGTGAAGATTATAAAAGGAGACCCAGGCTTAAATGATAGATCTGGAGAGATATGGATATGGAAGCGGGCGTTGCGGTGGTTCTTATATTGTGATTTAATGGAGGACAAATCGAGATCAATACAAGTTTGAAGAACAATGTAACACCAAGTAAGTCTATATCAAGAGTTCGCCGCCGTCTATGCAGGGAATAAGTTATTTATACAAGGGGTTGGAGTGGAGATGCTTTGTTCAGTTCTCGTCTTGCACATGTCTTGCGCGGTGGAGTTCGAAGGCCATGCGACAAGCAGTGTTGTAGAACGAATGGAATTCTTGTTCCAGGGAGTTGTCCGGCTGGTCCTGCTTCAGCTCCGACGTGCCGTTCGAGATATCGATATCTAAAGACACATCGGTGGTATGGGAAGCAAGAAACGGCCCACTTTCATAGTAACGGAAAGTCAAAGGTCTGCCGTCAAAATTGTACTGTTGAATAGCAGCTCCCTGAATGTCTTTGAGTGGTGGCAAAATGTACTCGACGGAGAGCTGCCCTTCGGGAACTTCGGTTGCCATCGTCGACGAGGTAGCGCGTGTGGAATGTGCCGAGAATCGGAGAAGGCCTCTGGGGAGGATAATTTGACAGAAAGGTGGTAATGAGGAAGAGTCTGAAGGCATCGTCTGCGGACCGAATGAAGTTCGCAAGGAGTCTTTTATGCTTTCAGCAAAAGCCTGGTAATCGGATGATTCAAGGTTCTCCCGCGAGACTATGGAGTGTTGCGTGCGAGTAAAGCGCAAATCGAGACCATTCTCTGGCAAAAGATAATCGACGGAATTGGTGTCGAAAACTACGTTAACACTTTGTACCTCGAAAGGTTGTCCAGGTCTTGAGATGGCTTCAATCTCAAGCTCCGGTGCAACATCGACGTGCGCGGCAGCTGGAGTCAAGCGCAGGCGGTAGGTCTGTGTCCCATCTTCGGACTTGATCGGTCGTATATTTTCCAAGAAGGGGGCTGTATTTGTGATGTCAGTAGTGAAAATCCGTGGCAAAGACAATCTTCCAAGTTGCAAAGCACTGATGGCCGGATCTTCGAATGGTGATTTCCGGGAGAAAAGACATCTGCCGACGGCTGCAGTGACAGACTCGTGTATTTGAAGACCGTAGCCATCGGTCGCGTTGGACTTTGCCTTAGGGATATCTCGAAGCAATTTGAGAAGGTGGTCAGACAGTCGTGTTTGGTGATCATCAAAGAAGGGAGTCTCATGCTGCAGGCTTCCCATTATTCGCGAGGGGTTGGCCCATCGCAACCAAGGCTTTTGACGATTAAACCAGGTGGTATTCATTTTTGGGTTATAGTCGTATAGGTTTGCCTGTTCTGAGGCAGGAAAATATGTAGAGAAGGGCACAGGCGCCGGGTTGTTCTGGTAGAGGGCTAATTGTAGACTTCGACGGGCATTTGCAGCACCCGTTTTATTCTCTGCAAGGTACAGAATTTTATCTGGGATATCGGATGCTTCTTGTGTCACGGCAACCCCATATGTATGACCAACCCATTCTAGGAATGCCTGAGAAAACACCTGGGCAAGCCCTGGACTCAACTTTGAGTGGGGGTCAATCCCAACTTCTTGCTTATGAATTCTCGATGCTGCATCAAGTATAATTTGATGGACTGGTTCGCATGCAGAACGGCATCCTGTGAGTCTCACTAGGCCAAGTGAACGGGTGACGTCGATGCTACATCCATAGATGGAGGCGACCTCGTCGAAAGAGAAATGTTCGGAATTGAGAAGTAGTGTAATGAAGGAAGGTGCCAGTCGAAGATCCAACTGGCCAACTTCATTCGCAATCGACAGGTGCCAACAGTCTCGAAGGATCCTCTCTGATAGGAGAGACTTTCCTTCCAAGGCCTGTGCTGAAGCAACCCGTTCTGTGACTTCAGTCCGCAGGGTTGGGTTGGCATTCAAAAAAGGAGAGGTCCCAGGTCTCCACTTTGGGCTCTCATCTGAGCCATGCTCCCTGGCTTCGAACTCCTCAATATAATCCGATAATTGTCTGTAGGTAAATGAGGACGATAGAGTGGTGCGCAAATTCTCCCAATCGCTGGCAGACATATTGTGATTTGACTGATTCGAGTCTCGAAGTATCTCAATCCGTTTCTGAATCACATCCGGCGTCAAAGGCGACATTTCCTCTCCAAGATCGTTCAGCATTGACTGAAATGTGACCGGGCGTGCATCGTCCACTGCGGCATCCGATGCTTCTTTTCTTTGGCGTTTCGATCGAGGACTTCGTTTGGTAGGTACCACAACAATTCGGCCTGGTTCTCCCAGAGAATTGACAGCCAGTGTCACGTTTTCATTCTTGGGCGATTTTCTTGAGCGGCGGCGACGAGCGTGCTGGCTCCGCTCTGGGAGGTGTGGCGCTGGTCCATCGTGGGAGCTGAACCGTTGGAAGCGGAGGGTAGAGCATGGCGCATATGAAGTCAATGGATGGATTCTAACTCTTAGAGGGAGAGAAGAGCTCCAGAGCGCTCGCACACTGGTAAAATTGCCTCGCATGATGGGCAAGCGAGCACAAATCTTCTCAAACCCGTCGGCGATCGCGGTCGGAGAAGCTGATGTGCTACTGGAAGCTAACCCGAATAGGAATTAAATCTAGCCTCAGGTGTCTATTTATCGCAATCACATTTGGCGCAATCCGGTTGTAGGCATATTAGGTGACTCAAGCTTTTAATCGCCATTGAAAATTATATACCAATCGCTCACTGACTTGAGCTTCCAATTTTTGACGACTGTGCTCTTTTTTGGATCGCATGTTGTCCAAAGCGCGGATGAGTAGGCCAGGTAGACATGGACTATTCCGAGTCTAATAACAAATAATGAGGGTAGAGCTTTCGACTGATCGCGGCCTCTCCCCTTCTACTCTAAGATTAATTTGTTCCTCCCTTTCTCTCTATAAAAAACCGCTGATTTGGAACCAACATTCTGTTCCACTTTATCGCACAATATTTTCAAGAAGTATAAGATAAGATAAGCGATGACACGGGAGCAATAATGTAGTCTTTGGCCTTTGCTTTACGGCATTATTCACATCGCTGGCTCTTCAGGACTAGGCTCGATCGGCGCTGGTAAAATGACTTGCATTATCCAATTGCGATTGACTACGGAATATTTTAGGGCAGTTGATTATGGATATCTAAAGGAGCTGTCTATATAAGGCAAATGGGCGCCGTTTATTGGCAGATGCTGGCAACATCACGGCCGCAAATGGTGCCATCCGGATTCGGGGCGTTGTGATTGGCCGAAAACAGGAACTTTGAGAAATGCTTGTGTGATGGTGGATAAGCTTAAATGATTTGCATGGGCGAGAATACGGGTTCAATATAAGCTACTGAGAGCCTCCTTCACTTCATAGATCTCTCGACTGCATCTCAACCATCCAGCCGGCCACTCCGATGATAGTTCAATCGCCGACCAAGTCTCGACCCCGGACCCGCGTGGGCCCCGTCATGCTCCATAGACGCTTCTGACAGGCTGCCAGCTCCAACCGATTCCCGGGGACAACCCCGATTGCCCCGATCCTACGCAGGAAAACTTAAGGCCCAGTCCAAACAGGCTTCGGCCGCCGCCCGCATCACCTCACACATCCGCTGTGATCGCAATGCGCGTCTCTCGCAACCCTCAAGATCATGACCGATCCACTCGACCAATCTGGGAGTCCTGAGCCGCCAGCCCCCGCGGCAGTGAGGGACTCGCGGCCACCGTCTGTGGACGAACCGCTGGAACTCCATGAAATTCAGACTCGTGAGGATGACGAGCAGCTCAACTATTCCTCACCCTCCGCTTCTTCGGGTGAAGAGTACCAGAACGTCACCCGCCGAACTGGATCTCATTCAAGAGTTCGTCGACCGCGCAAACAGAGAAAGGGTCCATGGAATACGGTTTGTCGGTTCTGGACTCACAATGTGACTTTGACGGTGCCGCAGAAAAACAACCGGGATCATTTCGGTACGCGAATGGCACACCCACACAGTTGAGAGACCTATGTACCTTTAGAACATTGAAACGCCTATGGGAAAGACGTAAATGACTGACATTGAATCTTCTACGCAGCCCTAGAAAGAACATTCCTCGCATACATCCGCACGTCGGTGGTTGTCGCTATGCAAGGGGTTCTGATCGCACAGTTGTTCCGCCTGCAGCGATCGAATGCCGCGGAAGACCGACTACGGTTTTACGAGGTCGGGATCCCGCTCGCGGTTGCATGTTATAGCGTAGCCATCGCAGTCGCTCTGATCGGCGCGTATCGATTTTGGAGACAACAGAGTGCGATTTCAGTAGGCAAAGTCCATGCAGGAGGATGGGAGCTGAACTCGGTAGGAATTTTGCTCTTTCTTGTAAGTGCATCCGAGGCTCAAAAGCCACGGGGCAATCAACCCATAGAGGCAAATCAGCTCACTGACTATATTACTGTGTGAGATAGGTCCTTTTAGTCACTTTAATTTTGTCGCTGGTGATCCTTATTGAAATCGACATGGCGCCAGCCATCTCCTTGATGAAGCGAATATTGAACAATTAGATCGCTGCAACCTAAGAATTGAAACTTGATTAATGCAAGCCATTGCCCCAAGCCACTTTGTAAAACTTACTTCTAATATTTCACTATATTCAATTTGTTATAGATTTGTACTCTAGTGTGAGTATTTTCCTATCGTTGAGTTTTCGACCAGAGGTATCTATTATCGGGATTCTTGATGTCTTTCTGCAAAATCTCTTCGATGGGATCTTTACTCTTAGCCACCAAACCCTTTCTAATACTCTATTACACTATGTTTGCTCTAAACATGTCCTTCACTTAGTCATGGAGTGTGAAAACTGTAAGGAAAAAAATTGGATGTCATTCTGTACACAAATTGTCATATGATTCCAAGATATTACCCCATACATCTATAGGACTCCCTTTGCCTCCAAGACATAAAATGAAGGTTATCTCATTAGATATTGGCGCCTCCATTGAGCGGCAGAATTTGTCCTGACAGATATTAGTCTGACTTCACAGGTAGGGGTTTCTCTGCATTCTTCACTTACCGTTGATCCATTCTCCTGCTGGGCTGGCCAGGAATGCCACAACGCGGCCAATGTCAGCCGGCACGCCGCACCGTTTCAAGGGGCTACCATTGGCCAGAGCCGCCTCAATATCTTCAAGAGATGAGTTCTGGTCGCAACCGGGAGCATAGCGCCAAGAGTTCTTCAACCACATGTCGCTCTTGACACCGGCCGGCGCGATTGCATTCACAGTGCAGCGCTTCTTACCGAAGTCGGCGGCAAAGCAACGAGTGAAGCCCTCAATGGCGCTCTTGCTTCCAGCGTACAGAGAGTGACCAGGGACTCCCACGCCCGCGGCGATAGACGACATCAACACAACACGTCCACCAGGCTGGATGTAATCGTAGGCGTTTTTGGCGACGAAGAACTGCGCCCGGGTGTTCAGATCAAAGACCTCATTGAAGTCTTCGATCGTGGTATCGGCCAGTGAGACAAACTTCTCGGTCCCTGAATTCGAGACGACAATGTCGAGTTGGCCGAAATGCTCCATCACTTGCTTGAAGAGGTTTTCGATGGCGTCAATTTTGGTCAAATCGGCTTGGAAGGCAGCGGCGGCGACTCCCAAGGCTTTGATCTCGTGAACCATCTTCTCGGCGGATGCTGGGTCTCTAGCGAAGTTGATGGCGATCGAAGCACCTTTCTTGGCCAACTCAAGGGCAATTCCAGATCCGATGCCACGGCTCCCGCCAGTGACGAGGGCCACCTTTCCGGCAAGCTCGGCCGGAGCAGCGTTGGGGTTGGTCATGACCATGTTAGCGATATTGCTAGTAGAAGCGACCGATATTTTGGATTGAGGTGCGACCAGATGGAATGTTCTAACAAAGAAAAAGATGGAGATCTTGCCGACGATGACCTATTTCACATAAGTTGGCTATACTTAAAGAAACTAGTTGCCAGAATCCTTCAACCTGAAATCAGATTTATTCACGGTCACATTCGATTTAGTCCGGATTAGTACTCTTGAATCTGGATGACACCAGGCTCATTGTATGTGCCTATTAATGATTATTTATGGGACAGGATGCGTGGTAGGCTGTTTTCGTGGAACGCAAAAGGTACTAGCGGACGTGAGTTGCCGCATGCGGAAATGTTGAGTTGCCGAACACCACTGATCGCCCCCACCCCATGTCACATCATGCGGATTGGTCGTATTTCACTATGCCTGTTCCTGATGGTTGTATGCCTGGTATTGTGCCCGGAATTGGCAGGCAGAAGAACCGGATCAGGGTTATCCCCAGTCGTGAGCAGCAGGCTGTTATACAATAGCCTTCAGACCTCTTTCCACTCCAAAAACACAAGTCACAAAACCCATCAGTCACTGTATTACACTCTTCAGATATGTCGCCTGCAATGAAACTCAATGCCGAGCCTAACTTGGACATTAGTTTCCAAGGTACGGCCCTCAAGAATTGAAGCACTTATGGATTGCTACTAATTTAAACAGATTATCTCATCCTTTCAAAGCTCGTATTTGACTGGGCAGACAGCTATGATGCAAAGGTAAAGTAGTACAATCAAATCTAAAGGCAAGAAATCTAACGGGTCATGTCGTTTTTGAAGGACTGGGATCGTCTTCGCGGTATCATTGCCCCGACATTGACGGTATGCCGCTTCTCCATGCATTACAATCTTTCGTTCATTTAAGATGAAAGTTGACTAGATAATGTGGATATTGACTTGCTGTTTTTCTTCTAGGTGGACTATACCAAGATCGGCCTTAAGCGATGGGATGACATGGCGGCTGAGGACTACATGAAAATGGTGACACACCCGGGATTCCTAGGAGACCCCACCATCAAGACACAACACTTACTCGGTCAAACATGGTGGGAAAAGATCTCGGATACCGAGGTTATCGGCCACCATCAACTTCGTGCCGCCCATCAGGTATACACTGACGACAGTCTTGCGGAGGTAAAGCTTCGTGGTCATTCGCATGCCACAAACGAGCACTACTACCGTAAGGTCAACGGAGTGTGGAAGTTCGCCGGGCTGAAGCCTAATGTGAGATGGAACGAGCTTAGATTTGAGGAGGTTTTCCGAGGACTGGACTAATTACTTTTCTTGGGAAAATGCGTCGTCCCGGCAAGATTCGATAATTAGACACTTCTTGCTTAAACTAGGAGACTCTTGGAATTAATTTGTGTGCAAGTCAATATATTCCATTCCTTTTACATTAAAAAGCTCTCGAATGATGCAGAGTGAATATGAGGATTGGCTCTGGATACAAATCACCGCCAACATTCTCGTCGTTTCGGAGCGATACAGCCACCCCAGCTCCATACATAAAATCTAGGATCCCAAGAGCTGCGGTGTCTTGCGATAAGGTCAAGCACCTGAAGAAGGAATATATATCAGTAGAACCTTATCATTCCAAGGGATCTTCTACAGGATGTATTTTCACATGGACTAGAAAAGCTAAGAGTGGAACTTCAGCATGTGAAGTAGTGACAGTCTTACGGATACGGATATCATGAGAAATTGTACTTTATTTATATCGGAGCACAAATTAGATCCATGCTAGCTATTGGGTGATTTCAATCATGAGGTTGCTCGTTCAGTCAATTGAGACTTCAACCCTGGCAAGCGAGATCTCTCCCTTTCCCGCCGTAATATTACGGCCCCCATTTACAGACCGACGCAGACGTCCCTCCCCCCTCCAGCTCTTCATTATCTACCAACATTGAAAACTCACCCTGTTGTGGCATCCTTTGTGATATAATGAAGAGCCGAAACCTTCACAGTACAACGAATCAGAAATCATCTTTAAATGGACTTCAAAGGGTTCGAACCGGATGTATCACTTGCAAGTAGGCAACATCTATTTCCTTATCCATCACCCCGACAGCTATGTTGACTCCTACAAATCTAGATTTCGAAGAGTCAAGTGTGATGAGATTCGCCCTTTCTGCCAAAGATGCCAATCCTCTGGGCGAAAGTGTGACGGATATATGTCTTCCTCTGTGAACCTAAAACTGCTCGGCGGATTGACACACGTTCTACCGGCGTCAGTTCCTGATGCGGACCACCTTTCTCTCCGCAGCCTGGACTTCTTCCACCACATGGTAGCACCTATTCTTTCAGGGCCTCTACGCAGGACCTTGTGGACCTCTAGTGTCACCCAGTTGGTGTATGAGGAGCCCGCTGCTCGACATGCGGCTATAGCCATCAGCGCTTTATATGAGCAGTTTGACCGTCGACCTGAGGAGGCTTGGAGTCTCTCTGGTAAAGATTTCGCCATGCTGCATTACAATAGGGCGATAAGACAGGTCCTCAATATCAAGGAACTAGGTTGTAGAGAGACAGACACTGTTCTTGTTGTTTCAATTCTCTTTATCTGCATCGAGTTTCTATTCGGGAACTCAGAAGCAGCTATAAACCACTGCAGACATGGAATATCCCTCATGAACGCATCTACCTCGGAAATGGATCTCGTTCCTATTTTTCGACATCTCAGTCTGGTCCAGCTTTTCTTCCCCCAGGGTACCTCGAAAGTTCCTATTCTTGCCAACGGTGGGTATAACAGACCATTTGAACCCTTCAGAACATTCTCTGAGGCCCTAGACAGCCTTGACAGTATCATATACGATTCCATCGCTCTGGCTCGTTACAGGGATCATGCCCGTGCCACTTCCGCCACGAATACAGCCTATCCACCTGCTGTTGTGGAAAAACAAAGGAAATACGATACAGCCCTAGATAGCTGGCTCGTTTATTTTCATCTATTGACGGCAACGCAAGAAGAAGACATTGGGATGGAAACCCTTATACGTATTCTCCAGACAAGATGGTTGGTTACCAAGATCTGGACAAATTGCTGCCTCAAGGACGATGAAGAGGCATATGATGCCTATTTGCCCGAGTTTGAGTGGATTGTCGAAATTGCCAGTCTGCCATACCCTGAGCAAGATCCATTTTGGTCGAGATCTCCAAAATTTTCGTTCGAGGTGGGGCTCGCTCAACAGCTCTATTTTGTGGTTATAAAATGCCGTAGCCTTTCTATTCGGCTGAAGGCACTGTTATTGATTCGCGAGAAATGCTGCCGAAGGGAAACGTTGTTTGATTCGGATGCGATGATCTGCATTGGCCAACAGATCATCGAGACCGAGCATGGTGTTCAACTGGGTTTGGACCCCGAGAAGTTCAGCAGGGAAATACAAAATAAGGAAGAATACCACTCGCTTCCGGCCGAGACCCAAAGGCTCCAAGAACATGCTTTTTCAAAGTTGGATTTGAATAGCCATCCGCAAAGTAATAGAAGAACTCTATCACAGGGTCGCCGCAAGCTTTACTTTCATCTTCCAACATCGGAATGTCGAGAAGAGTATCCTAAGCGCTCTTCACACCCGTTTGTATTACAAATTCCATTTTAATCAATTTAAGTTCAATTTGCAGTCCTATGAAATCTGACTATGGAGCATGACAGCATTGACTATTGTCTTGTTGCACACCACCACATCATTCGCAAGTTATCATCAAACCAAGGTGCATCTTTTGTCTGGTCAAGTTCCTGTCCCCAGTAGAGACCGGACTCGAGCTTCCACACGGTCTGGGTGGCTTCACCGACCTTTCTCCAAAAGTCTTCCATTGTCTTGGTGTCATGTCGGTAGTGCATTGCTCCATCCTTCATGCCTGCCATGTTGTAGTGACCACCAACTAGACTTCCCATCTGTCGTCCAGAGATCATCACACCTTCTTTGTCAGTACAGAACTTAGCCATTCTAGTAGCGACTCTAAGCTGAGTATCATAGTCCCACATGTGAAATAGAGAGCTGGCGAATATCACGTCGATTTTGCCAGCGAGTTCCTGTGACAACCGGCCACTATGGAATTGATCATCGTCTTCAGTGAGGTCTCCAGTCACAAACTTTGCATCCAGTGTATCCTTGTCTCGAAAGAGCTGATAACCGAGATCAATAAACACCTGTTCAAGGTCACAGCCAAAAAGCTGACTTCCTGGAATTCCTTGATCTGCCAAGAAACGAATCTCCTGTCCAAAGCAGCATCCTGCATCTAAAAAGACTGCCGTAGGGTTTGATTGGAGCCTTTCTAGCAATTTCTTGTAAAACGGCATGTGGGACAAGTTGAAGGATAGAAAGCGCATTTGGCCAATGCATGCATAATGGAAGACCGCAAAGGCTTCATCTCGCTGGGTTGGCGGTTATTATACTACTATATCCATACGCCTAGGCTGGGTCGACCTACCAATGACAGAACATGGGGGAGAACTTCGTCGGGTGCAAGATGGCTATAATTTTCTAAAAGCCGTTGGGCATCAGGATTAATGCTTTGAACTTGTTCCCGATACCACTGGGGCTTTCGGTTATCGGATGCCATATTTGAGCTGCTGGAAGAAACGATTGAAAAGCAGGGGCAATGCTCTCCTTCAAATACCGGTCCAATGGGGCGCTTTGTCCCCTCATCAGCCATTAATCATGGCGGTGTTGCTAACATCGGGGGCCGTCTTTCCCGAAAACAAGCCTTGTACCGGCCCCCAATAAGGAAATCTGGGCGCCTGATCCACATCGCGTCCAAGTATCCATCCAATGACCGACAATTCCCAGACACTGGCTCATGCACAACGCAATGGCTAGTCGGGGCGCAAACTAGCAGCCACAAGAATTTCCAAGGCGAGAATATGGTTTACGTAGTGCTCTGGTTATTCGTAACCTATAGGTTACTCAAAATCGTTAGAACTGACTGGTGGGCATGTTACTTGTAGTGCATTTACTATTCTAAACCTCATATGAGTGGTTTCAAGGCGGCCGGATTCCAAAAAGAGTATGTAGTTCATCTCGACCAGAGAGCTTGAAATTGAATATAAGATTTACAAAAGGAAAGAACTTTAATGTCACAGAACTTTGAAATGCAGCGGCTTGGAATATTGTACATGGTATGATGTCCAGGAATATTGGTCACAGCTTGCCCCCGGTAATCTGCTCGCCCAGCTTCTTGACACGGTCTTGAATGACATCCCAGCGAGCGGTCTCGCTCTTGCGGGACTCGTGCGCAATAGAAGACACAGTGGGTGGGACGCCCAGGTTCCAAATATTATCACCGTGCTGATGATCATTGCGCCATGCCTCATTCTCGCCCTCGGGGAATACCCGATCAATCTCAGCGGTGAGCTGCTCCTCGGTTATAATGAATGTGCGCGCATTCATGTACAAGGCCTGCAAATCATCCTGCCGTTGTGCCGTCTTTTGTGCCTGCTTGGCTTCCATCCGCGCCTGAGAAAGCGCGATGCGCTGTTCCCGGTTCGGGTCAGCGAGGATCGAGTGCTTCTGAGGTTGCATTGCCTGGATGACAGAAGGCCGTGTTAGACGCTCGTCATCCAATTCTGGTTGTTGGAGAACGCGCTCTCGCCGGCTCTGGTTCTCGAGACTGCGGTCAAACATCGTCTGCTCGGCCACTTGTTTCCGCTTGTAGAGTGTTTGGAGGCCTTCACGGAGGTTCTTTCGGCGAAGATCGGCCATTTTGAGTTTGAAAGCTTGCTTTTCGGGGTCACTGCTCTTCGGGTTGACTTTGCGCTCCGTGGATGGAAGAGGCGTAACGGCATCAAGGTATGCTTTGCCGGGCTTGTCCACGCGGCGAGTTGGGAAGAGCTCACGGGGAACGGGGAGAGTTCCCTTCACACGCGGCTTGACGGGATTGCTCGCCTGGATAATTCGAGGTACATCGATGAAATGAGGAGACTCGGGGCCGACTCGAAGATTGGCGGTGGTTGTGAAACCGCGGACCTGCACGCTGGCAGTCCGGCTGTTGCGGAGAGCAGACATCTTGCACCAATGGATACCAGCCACAATGTAGGAAATACAGGATGCACAAATTCGACGCAGGAGACTCAGTGACAATTTGAGACAAACACACTCGGCCCGAGAGACCGCTGTATTCAATAGTCGAAAAGGAGGATACGCGGAACAGCAGCCCCGGAAGAAACAGAAGCGATTTTGCCATGGTCCGTGCACGTAGATTCCTTGGCACCAAAAAAAAATAATCCGCTTCCGCCTTTTTTTTTTCCTCTTTTCTTCTCTTCGCGCTTCTGCCACTCTTTTGTTTGGACTTGCCTTCGAATTTTTTTCTGAAGGACCAACCCCCTATTTTTCTCATTCCATTTCTGAGTACACCCTCTAGCCATGGGTACCGGAAAGAAGGAGGCCGCTCGTAAAGTGCGGCAAGGAAAGACTGACGATGGCATGGGCAATGTTAGAACCAAAGGTGAAAACTTCTATCGGTACGTTCCATCACCTTGGTCGCTTTGATGAAATTTGCCTCTAACTGGATGGATATTCAGCGATGCGAAGAAGATTAAGCACCTGAACATGTTCAAGGATGGCAAAGCCCAGCGCAACGCCTCAGGAAAAATCACCAAGGCTGCCTCTTTCCAGTCTCGGGATGCCCCTGTCGCTCGCATTGAGCCTAACCGGAAGTGGTTCGGCAACACCCGAGTCATCTCTCAGGAGGCTTTGAGCTCTTTCCGCGAGGCAGTCGCTGAGCGTGCTGCGGACCCGTACCAGGTGCTTCTTAAGACCAACAAACTCCCCATGAGCCTGATTCGGGACAATGATGGTGTGAATGGCCTGAAGCAGCACCAGGCCAAGATGGAAATTGAAAACAATCCCTTTGGCGACACTTTTGGTCCCAAAGCCCAAAGAAAACGAGTCAAGCTGGGTGTCACATCTCTGGAAGATCTTGCTGGCCAAACCGCTCAAGTGCACGACTCTTACCTGGAGAAGACGGACCAGGGAACTCATGACGATGGCACACCTATCGTCTCTGCAGATGTTGGCGCGTCTGAAGACACCACCTTCTCTACCGCCCGCGAGTCCGTTTTCTCCAAAGGTCAAAGCAAGCGCATTTGGAACGAGCTTTACAAGGTCATCGACTCTTCTGATGTCGTGATCCATGCTCTTGATGCTCGTGATCCAAATGGAACTCGGTGCCGAAGCATCGAAAAGTATATTCGCGAGGAGGCTCCTCACAAGCATTTGGTTTTTGTCTTGAACAAGTGCGATTTGGTCCCGACCGGCGTTGCTGTAAGTGTCATCTTGATTCCCTTCTTCCTCAGCATCCCCCTCCTAGAATTGCACTTTTTCCTTCTAGTTGTTGGTTTATGTCTTTCTTTTCTTTCTCCTGTCTTCTATTACGGCTCTCCCGTCGTTCCATCGCTAAGTCAAGGCTTCTCCTGCGACCTCTTATGTCGTGTTTTCTCAATGGGAGTCTGTCTGTTACAGCTTTGGTAGATTGACACTGTCCCGCACCGAATTTCTTTCTGAAGCTAGGTTGACTGGTCTTCGTTTTGAAGACTAGTCGTAAGGGACAGATGTGTTTTGTTTTTGAGTTGAGTTCTGCTACTGCCTTTTGGTGGCTTCATAGCATAGCTCTTAGTAACATCCCACACATCCCCACTCTCACAATTTTTTTGGGTGACAATGTGCTAACATTGCATCCCCTAGGCTGCTTGGGTTCGTCACCTCTCCAAGGACTACCCAACTCTTGCATTCCATGCTTCTATCAACAACTCTTTCGGCAAGGGCTCTCTTATCCAGCTGCTTCGTCAGTTCTCATCGCTTCACTCTGACCGCAAGCAAATCTCCGTGGGCCTGATTGGTTACCCCAATACGGGCAAGTCATCCATCATCAACACTCTTCGTAAGAAGAAGGTGTGCACCGTCGCCCCCATTCCTGGTGAAACGAAGGTGTGGCAGTATGTTACATTGATGAAGCGCATCTACCTCATCGACTGTCCCGGTGTAGTCCCACCCAATCAGAATGACACTGAGGAAGACATTCTTCTGCGAGGTGTTTGCCGTGTCGAGAATGTTGAGAATCCCGAACAGTACATTCCGGCTGTCATGCGTCGTGTTCAGCCTCGCCATTTGGAACGCACCTACGGCATCAAGGAACCTTCCGATGCCATCGACTTCCTGAGCCGACTGGCTCGCAAGGGCGGTCGCCTGCTCAAGGGAGGCGAGCCTGACTTGGACGGTGTGGCTAAGATGGTTATCAATGACTTCCTCCGCGGAAAGATCCCATGGTATACTCCTCCCCCCAAGGGAACTGGCGGTGATGATGAGAAGATCGAAGGTCGTGAGGGCCGTCTTGGAGAGATGGGTCGCAAGCGTAAGCTGGACGAGACCATTTCCGAAGCCGCCGATGAGGACGAATCATCGGATTCCAAGCCCGACGAATCATTTGAGAACGTTGATGAGGATGACGATGATGATGATTCCATTGCGAACCTAGAGATTAGTGATGTGGAGAGTGGTGAGGAAGACTGAGAAATCGGCATCACTCCATCACCCACATCAATAAACCCAGTCCGTTGACCAGCTCCGCGGGGCCTTAAATACCTCTTGGAATAAAGAGTGTATTCAGTCGTCACCTTAGCACGGCAACCCAGCATCACAAGCTGTCACTCGTCATGGGAGCGTCTGCCGCCCTATGACTACACCCAAGAGCGAGCCATCGTCCGCATCTCTCAGTCAGCAGATGCCTACAGTATGAGCTCACATCATGCCAGTACCATCTGCGATGTGCACGGTCTTCGTGAAATCCATCCAGTCCAACTCTCGTCGAGTCTGGCACCATAGCTATGAGGCTATCTGCCCCTTGTGATACCCCGATTTAATAGAGAAATCAAATACATATCTATTCTCTTGATATTCATCTCCTACTATGCCAAATCGTATCTGTACAACATTCACCTGCTAAGTATAACCAGTGAAATTGTCCTTCGCTAGGAATTATTCACCACGGCCAGGGTCCCCGCCACTTGCTTCATCCTAAGCCAAAGATAGGTAGCATCTGTACTCTGGCTGTCGCTCTGCATCCTGAGAAATTGCCTGAGCACGATATCCGGTTTCCTTCCACGTTGAACCAACTCCCGTATCTTCGCGTCCAGACGGTGGGTCTTCATTGCGGTGCGGAGCGATTCGGTTCGAGCGACAGCAGGGTTCATCAGACTTGGTGGCCTAGTGACATCAAAATGTTCAAAGGCCCCATCTGATACATTTGGAATAGATGCTTCTCCGCAGTACTCGATCATGATTGCTTTAAGACTTTCAAAGAGACTTTCCCGGAGACCTGAAATGTCAGGAGCTTGATAGCTATTTCTAGCCACCATAGGACCAGCTCCCTTCCATCGCAGAACCCGTTTGCAGTCGGGGACATCCCCAGGTGAAACATTGCGTGCATCTTCCTCGTTCTCGTTCAGAAACTGTGTATAAAGCGTCCAGCCGCCATGGTCGTAGTTCATGCAAGCAGTTGCGACCGCGATCTTGCGAGAAACCATGTCGCTATAATCCTCGGCATAATCAAGATAGTCTATGGCCATCTCAACTTTGTCATACAGAACAGAGCTGCAGTATCGCGCATCATGGTAAACTCGATAATTGGCCTGGTGCCGGGTCACTATCACGGAGCAGCCAGAAAGCTCGCCAGTGAATAAGAAATGCGCCGCTGGCTGGTATGGAATATCGATAAATGCAGGGCTATTCCCTTGGATGCTAATTGACCTATAACCTAGAAAATAGGCCGGGACTGTGTGTTGCACTGGCTTACTGCAGCACTGCACATTGTAAACCACCGGGGGAACTTGGTTCCAAGGTCTACTCTTGACCAATTTTGCAAAGGATGGTTGATGGCTAGGCAAAGGTCCTATATTTTCACATCCAATCGGATTGTTCCTTAGAAAGGATACAATATTTTGACTCAGAACATTAATTTCTGGGCTTGGATCTTCCCTATTTCACACAAGATTAGCAGAGGGTGCATGTATATATCAATGGAAGTGGACCCACAAGACGTTTTTGACACCTCTCTGGACTGCCATCGTTACTATCTATCCAATATAATGGACTATGGAGGGTTAACAGCAAATTGGGTTTAGAAATGCACTGCAGCCACTCGTTTCTCACTTGTACTTATATATCATCGTGCCCGGTTTTAAGCCGCATAGTGCTCTGCTTATTCTTGGCAGCTGACGCTTCAAGTGAGAATAGTACTTGTCCCGGCACCCTGATGATGACCGAGCCTGATCATTGGTGAAAATAATTTACCTTCCAGGCCTAGATTCTTTGAGATTCTAATTTCATGCTATTTCCCAGATCGTACGAGCTGACTCACCTTCAGCCGTCCTCGAGAGGCCGAAGCTGCATTTTCCACAGCAGGTGTGTCATAGCGCGAGGCATTTTTTTTGGAGAAGTTTTATGACTGGACGTACCTATAATCTGATGTTCTTATCATATGACACTCACGGCTTTCTGCTTAGCCTTGCCTTTTTGTTCTTGGTTCCCCGGTGCTTGCTATAGGACGTACGTGGTACAGAGGTCTGGGAGAGGAGACGAGAATTGTTTTGGTGCCTTGGGTCAAGACGGTATAAGCTCATGATTAATCTACATCCGAGAGGTAGCCACGCCCATGCAGATAAAAGAGAGTCCCACCCCTCTGTTATGGACCTTTCGAGAATTTACCGTTGTCAAGTTGTGTCTGCGGACCAAATTCATGTCGCCTGACCGCGCTCGCCATCTGATCCTGCGAGGCCATCTGCAATTTCAGCCGTATAGCCACAGTATTTTTCATTATAGAATAGGGTCTCGCGTTATATAGAAAAATTCATCTATATGAATGCATGAGCATTTGTAGTGGAGTGTAGAGGGATGGGGAAAAGGGCGGGCATTGTCTCAAACGGGAAGTGGGATGACACCTACTGGTACCATTTTTTTACATGCCTGATAGTTCAAGTGTTCTTACTGAGCTAAAATAATTTTGATGGTTCCCCTGGTCAGCACCTGGGCCTGCATTGAAATATCCCTAGTCTTATAGAAAGCTTACTTGCCCGCCCGGGCAGCCCGTTCACCATCACCGTTCCATCCCGAACTCAGCAGCCTGTCATCCAGACCGGGGTTCCACCGTCGACCTAATACCTCTTAGCCCTTTATAGTAGCGAGCAGATTAAGTTGACTCATAATTTGATGAAAAATATTAGGGTATTCAAATTGGGGAAGCACTTGAGTGAGCTCGCTCTCAGGATCGTCCTCTCGGGAAACATGCGGTTTTGTTTGGGTCCCAGCAAACCAGGAAGGTTCAGCGGATCCGGGGTCTCACCGCCTGTGGGGTTCACTCCGTCATCCACCTTGAACAGCTCCCTGCAGGCGCAGATGGGCAGTCACGTCTGCATCTCTGCGAGGAGAGCAGCTTGCAGCCATGCCCGATGACATGTCTATGATCCCGTACAATGGGGGGAACCTTGATGTTGTTCTGTAAGCTTTTCTTGACCACCCCACCCCCGCCTTTGTTTCCAAGCTGATGCTCTTGTGAAGCCGACACAACGACTCGGTGGTGATCTTTGACCATGACTCCCAGCAGCTGGTTCTACGGAATGCTGCTGACGATCATAATGGCAATCTTGAGCTTGCAGACTGCCCGCTCTGTCATCGCCCGATGCGTGAGAGCAGCCGAGGGAGGCATCGCGGAAGCGCTGACCCCGAAGCCGAATTCATCAATCCGAACTACTTTCGCATGCTCAACAACAGCTTGCCAAGCTCTGCAACATCATCCAGACCTCCTTCTCCACGTCGCCGTCTTGTTCAGCCTGCCCTCCCAGATGGCCCCACCAGCGAGCCTACCTCTTCACATTCTCCTCGCACCCCAACTCAGAACCAAGGCATCTCATCCGCAGCATTCAGTCCCGACTATTTCAAACGATTCTTTGTGGAAGAGAGGCTACTGGGAAAAGGTGGAAAGGGCGTCGTTCTACTTGTGAAGCATGTCCTGGACAATGTCTCACTGGGACACTATGCTTGCAAGCGTGTTCCGGTTGGTGATGACCATGAGTGGCTCGAGAAGGTTCTAGGCGAAGTCCAGTTGTTGCAGCATTTGTCACACCAAAACCTTGTCTCCTATCGTCATGTGTGGCTGGAAAATGCCAAAATCAGCACCTTTGGTCCGAGTGTACCGTGTGCGTTCATTCTACAGCAGTACTGCAATGCTGGAGATCTCCACAATTACATCTGTGGTTCCGTTCAGACTTCCACAACAGCGCAACAGCTGAAGGAGCGAATTCGCCGAAGGTCAAAGGGGGCACCAGAGCCACAGGTTAATATAGGAGGCCCGCGGACGCTACAACTAGAGGAGATCTACTCCTTTTTTCGAGACATCGCGGCCGGGTTACGCCACTTGCATATGAATGGTTATATCCATCGTGACTTAAAACCCAACAACTGTCTTCTCCACGAGACAAGTGACGGCATTCGAGTGTTGGTCAGCGACTTTGGCGAAGTTCAAGCGCAGGACGCGATGCGCAAATCTACTGGTGCGACAGGAACCGTCTCCTACTGTGCCCCTGAGGTGCTTCGGCAGGAGTACCCAGACGGGCCGTTTGGAAACTTTACTTTCAAATCCGACATTTTCTCTTTGGGGATGATACTTTATTTTCTCTGCTTTGCTGAACTGCCATATGGCAGTGCTGACGTGATTAACGAGGAGAATGAGGATTTGGATCAGCTTCGTGATGAGATCACGCATTGGACTGGCTTTGACAACGGGCGAAGACTGCGCCCTGATCTTCCCACCAAACTTTACTCATTCCTGGATCAATTGCTTTCGGTTGATCCGGCCCGGCGACCTACTGCCGACGAAGTATTAACTGGTATTCAATCCAGCGCAAATAATAATGATCACTTTCGGGTCAAACGAACCAGCTCGGTCTCAGCAAATCCTGACCTGCCGGGTGGTGCCCGGATTCGACCCGTTGATAGTCCAGGCCTTCAACCAACAATGGACAGAGCCCTCTCACCCACCAAGCGCAAAATATCTCGAAATCCAATGAGTTTCCGACGCGACTCGATCTTTGATTCAAGCTCTGCCTCTAGTAGCACTCCAGGATCAGAAACAGTGTTAGATGGTCGTCCGTCGCTAAGTCCAGATCGCGACTTAGTGGTTCATCAACGATATTCGCCCTCGTCGACTTCACCCATATCCCCGCCGACATCTCCAACAAGGCACAACCATCAACTACTGCAATCAATAAGCCCACAGGATCAGTCATTTCCGCCTCGGCAACTACTTCCACCACCGCCTCGCCAATATGGAATGCTGAGTATGCTGAGGACACCTACGGCCTCGTCTTCTTCTCTTCAATTCTCTTTATTTGTGATCAAGCTCGTCACGGTCCTCAATCCTTGCTCCCCCTCCATTGCACAACCCTGGATCTTGTATCCTCTTCTCCTATTCGGTGCACTCACACTGAAGCTGTATGACATTCGCTTACAGGCCTTAGCTCTTTTTATCCATGTGGTGGTGGTTGCTTGTGCCAGAAAAGCTGAGATTCTTTGCTTCCTGTGAGCAGATATATGCATGAAGCATGAAAATTCATTCTCTGCTGTGATACATTGATATGACTAACATGATAACGCCTCAATGATACCTTTTAATGAAAACAAAATATCAGCTGGTTTTTCTCAAATTCTGTAGTTCCGAGTTTCTGTCTGAAGTATAGACTTTAACAGGGCTTCTTACAAAGATTTCTCATATCCTCCTACTAATTTATCAATCCTCTTAGTAATTGACATGATTCAACTTTTTTTCTACAGAATTTTTCTATTTTTGCTTAACCTAACAAGGCAGGTGCTTATATGACAAATATAAGAGGAAAGAATTTTAAACGCCATCGCTATGCCGTGAAGTCCCAGAGAGTCCAATACGCCAATCTTTATATTTATCATGCCGTGCTTTCTCCGGCCGCAGCCATGGCGGCACCCTCCATTGCAGCGGTGTTCGAGTGGCCAAGAGCAGAAGTAGCTTCGCGCTGCGAAACCTCTTCTCCAACAAAACACCCCAGACCAGCGAACGCTTCAAGTAACGTACGTGAGTAATACTCGCGCAGATCGTAGCCTCCGGCCAACACTGAAGCATTTGTGCGAAGTGAGTCCAGGAACGTGGAGGGGTAAGACTCTTTCTGAGTATAGTAATCGCGCTTCCCCGGTACGAGTCCCATAAATGGGTCGTATGGCTTCTCTGGCTCGGGGGCCTTGATTTTGCGCAAGCCCTTGATGAGCCCAACATCTGCGGCTGATCCAGCAGTATCGGCCGTGGCGAGTGGCATACCGGTACGCTTGGTCTCAGTCCCGCGAAGTGCGGCTTGTTTTTGCCGAAGTCGTTCCTCCTCGGTGCGCCGCGCTGACGACTTTTTAAGATGCACCTTGTGTCCCTCGCGAGCGATGGCGGCTGCGTCAACGGAAGACCCGGAGGCCAGGCGGGTCAGGAAGTCTTCTCGAGAAGCTTGCAACTCGCGTCGCTCGTTCTCGTATTCTTCGCGGGCAGCCATTCGTCGTAGTCGTGCCTCCTCTTGTTCTTGTGTCATCCGGGCCTGGAAGGAGGAGGCCTCTTGCTCCTCCAGCGCTAGATTTGTACGGATAGACTGCATGTTGTCGGTTGCATACTTTTGTAGCTGAGCTTCGGTCTTTGCCACGTCGATGCGGGAGACAAGGTTGGCGATAATTTCTTCGCGTTGTTCGAGAAAATCATCATAGGCACGTTTGGAATCGAATTCTTCTTCGCGGCGGTTCAGACTACACAAAGATGATATGTTAGAAGAATGAATAGTATGTGTCAAGATGAGCATCGTACATATGCATCACGCGCCGCCGAATATCCACCTCACGCTCGACTCCGATGTCCTCAAACGTCTGTGCGCGGAACTTGTTCTTACGCAAAGTCTTCCGACATCCAGCAACGGGGCAGCTTGATGGACCTGACGAGAAGATCCGGTCGACACACGACTCGCACATCTTGTGGTAACACTCGGGATTAATGAGGAATCGCATATTCGGGTTGAGGTACCGCGAGGATTTGCAGACGGGACAGACCTCTATTATAACAAGGTGTTAGTGCCAAAAAAAAACTTGAAATGAATACTGTTCACCTACCGTCTTCATCTCGACGGTCGATCCCATTCTTGGAAGCCATAATGAGTGTTGCGGCGGACGAGGTGTGAAAGAAGGCGGAGATCAGTTGGAGCTGGCGATAAGGCTCCACAGGGCACGTGCACGGACCACTCATGCTTCTCGTTTCTTCTTTTTTTTGCCCCTCCGATATCTGCTCTCTGTCTCGACATTCCCTATTGTAACTCAGATGCGACTGAGTTGAGGCTGAAGCCATGGGTATTCCAAACCACAACCTCGATGGCCTGGAGCAACGGCGGCTCGCTCTCGAAGACAACATCCTCCAGCTGCAGAAATCCCTCTACCACTGGCGAATCTGGGAAGCGGAGTACGACGGCCTACGAGAAGAACTGAACAATCTAGACAATGATGCGACTACAGAGGATTTCCTTGCTGCCGGCCGCGAATATGGTGCATCATTAGTGACTGAGGAGGAACTCCAGACAATCTTAGGACTCGGACGGCCAGGCATTACGCGCTCCCGCGGACAGGTCGTGGATCTTTTAGGGAGACGTATCGACTATGTCAAGCAGAATTTGACCACTATGGAAAAGACACTGCGGTCTGCTCAGGACGAATTATCTGCGCTAGATCCTACCAGCCCTGCGACAGCAGATAGCGGTGCTCCCATGCGCGAGATCATGGAGGAACTCGACGAGGAAGGGAAAATTATTTCTAGCTCGGTCAACAACCCAGGAGATCATGCGACACAGCTCCTGGAAACTTTGAAGAAGGCTGGCGTCGAAGACATCCCTGAAAATTCTGCTGCAGCTGACAGCGCCTCTGCGTCCGCTTCTGCGGAACCCGAACAAGATGCCAAAGATACGGATACGACTGAAGATCAGAAGACCGCCAAAAATGATGACTGCACACCTGCCCCTGAGCTGAACGAAGTAACACAGGATGTCGACATAGATCCAATGCACCCCGTGTCTCTTGTCACTGCCGAGGATCGTAAACAACCGCCGGTTACCGATATCGACGAATCCCCCGAAGAAGCTAAACTTCGCCGAGAAATGTTGCAATATGGCATTGATGAAGTGGGTGCGATTGTCGCTGAATTGGAATTAGATGAAGATGGTAGCGAATTCTCATTTGACGAAGATGATTTCGATGAAGAGGATAACGAGGACGAGTTTGGCCGATCGTATCCTGTGCTCTCCGACGAGTATCACCAACAGATGAGGGAGCTAGAGGCAAAACTCAACGCTCGTGGGATGTTCAATATGGGCAAAGACACTAATACATTCCCGGATGATGTGCGACAAGAAATCGAACAATCTGCCGCCGCGGAAGAGAGCGTTGCGACCAATGGCAATACTGACACCAAGGACAAGAAAGTCAAGAAGAGGGTCGCCTTTGCCGATGATCTTGATATTGCCCCAGCTCCTGAGTCTGTTGCAGTTGAGAAGAAGGAGGTTCCTTTACCACGGGCAGATATTCCAGTACTCTCCGATGCTATTGTTGAACGCACAGGAGGACCACAGGCAGAGCCTCGTGCGGCTTCAGCTGCTGCTCCCAACAAAGTTTCGCGATTCAAGAGTGCTCGAGCAGCCGCTCCCGCTGGTGATTCACCCGCGGCATCGCCATTTCCTCCCCACCCCACTCAACCTGTCAGTATTCACGCCACTCGAGCGCAGACCAATGCTATACCGTCTACAACACCCCCGGCTCTTTTCCCAGCTAGGCCACAAGAGCCTAAACCGTTCTCCCTGCCCATCTTGGATGCGCCTATTGAACGTTCTGTGCCTCGACCGCCCGAAGGAAAAACCTTGGCTGATAAGCTGGTTGAAAGAGAAATAGCTCCTGGGTCAGCCGCCGCCCCTGAGCCCGATGAGCTCGACGAGGAAATCCATCGTCGCGAGATTGCTTCGGAATTTTATAGAATACGGAACAGCAAAATCCAGCAACAAGGAGGATTTGTCAACACCGAAGAGCCTGAGTTTGAACCTATCGAAGAGCCGACCAAACGAGTCAGCAAGTTCAAGGCAGCTCGACTGAGATGAGTTATCCTTAGTTTCCACACGTTCCTATGAACGACATTTGGCTACAGCATACCAAATACATACATCATAGACTATTTTTTCATATTCTCTCACATTTCTATCCTTATATCTTTGTTGTGTGAATAGGGAACGAAGGTATTTTGCTTCTGAAAAAGAAACAATTCACTGGAACTCATGCTGCCATGGAAGAGTCCATGGCAGATCAATGGGTATACCCCTTCTTCCAATGAAGGCATTTGGTATACAACCATCACATAGTTCCAAGATTAAAAACAAACAAGGGATTCTCTGGCTGCATGACCTTCAGATCATTTGCCATCTTGGCCTGAGCTAATCTGGAAAGCTCTTCTGTATTGTGTCCGCCCGCAAGGAGCAGGATACTTACGGATTCGTTTCCCAGAAAAGCATGGTCGAGAAGCGCGATCTGAGATAATGGTGATATGGTTTATTTTTCTCCCCCGACATTCAATGTATATGTTCAATTTATTATTCCAAATCCGTGTCTGTAGCTTCAATATGACACTACCTGCCGCCAATACCTGAACCTTTTTTACACCTGATTCCCGTTATAGGTGTTCTGAACCAGCCGACATAAGCTCAGAGTCTAAGGCTACTCCACTATCATCCTTCTATCTATAGCTTGATGGATGTTGAACACATCGAGTCTGATAACTCCCTTGTCCAGATGCAATTCTGTCGCAGCTGTGCTCGCCAGAAATACAACCATCCAGGTCTTGCCCTCACAGGAGCGAGAAAGACGAATTGCACCGAGCAGGCGAGCTGGAAGTGACATCAGCACAGTAGAATTTGAGATTGGCGAAGGCAGCAGTACCCAGATTTCGGTAGCCAACGAATTCTGATGTGATAGACCACACATTTTGCTCGTCACCCTTGACAGATACCGAAAATGATACCTAGACCGGGTTAGTTAACTAACTTAAGTATTAATACCCCCGATTACATCATTGCATAGAATTTTTAGGCCCAGAAAAGCTCCGAGTCCTGTCTTGCTAGTATAGACTACGTGAATATTTCTGTGTAATAGTCGGTTACGGAACAAGCGGAATCAACTTCATGAAAACTGTCGGCTAACCAGTTCCTAGAAACGGACGTTAGCGCCAGAGTCCCGCGCAGTTGGATATATTCACCAGGCCCCAGTCTAGAGGAAAGTGTCAATATAGTAGGATACGGAATCGGCTAGGAAAGCTAGGATCTAATGGAACGAGATGCTCGATATGATGATGTCTTAGGTGACTGAACTATCTAAATGTGTAGGCTGGGGAATGTTGAACATCTCCTGCCTTGCTGACTAGCGTGTTACGGCGCTGAGTTCCGAGCATACCAGGGGTGCCATACAAAACTAATGAGGAAACAAGTATTACTGTAAGCCAGAGACGCACAGAGGAAGGTCTGGGTCTTCTCCGTATTCAGTGAGTTCTCATTCTCGACACAAAACATGGCCCCCAGCCTCTCCGGCCATCTTCGTAAACAACAAAACACATGTGCACTGTTCTTTCAAGGGGCTGTTCCATCAGGATGAGACAAGCTGTTCTTATATTTCGAGCTTGTTTAAAGAAGCATGGAAGGATCTGACGAGAAAAGAAATACGGAGGCTATGTACTCGAGGGACAGACGTAACGACGCCGAAGCCGACGGTCTTACCACCCTCACGGATAGCAAAGTGCAGGCAAACTTCCATCACGATCGGCGAGATCAGTTTGAACGCGATCGACAAGTTATCTCCCGGAATTCATTTCCCTGCCCTCCAGCAACGAGATCGAACCCGTCACGTCCGCCACGTGGAAGTAGAACTGCGGCGAGGAGCAGTTGGTGCACGGCGTGTGGTCCCCAAGGAAGGCGTCCTTGCTAAGCAGCTCGCGCACTTCTTTTTCCACTAGAAAAGTCAACTTGACTACAGTGGAGAGCCGCGATTTCATACTCAACATGGGCGGTCGAGATAGTAATACCATAGACTTTCTCCTTGGGCGGGTTGTCAATTTCGTCGTAGGCCGTAATGGTCGAGCCAAACTTCCTGCTCAGTGTCTCAATGATGGCAGCCGTCAGGGTCGTTTTACCATGATCAGCATGGCCAATCATACCGACGTTGATATGGGGCTTGTGATGTGAGGTCATTCTATCAGCGTCTGATGTAGTTTTTGTGGCTAGCATGGGCTTGTTCTAGGACCAAAAATAGGGGAGTCGGCGCCACATCAGAGAGGCACGCGCAGGCCACTCTCCCCTCCATCTGTGGGTGGTTTCCATCCCCACGGACCATATAGCACAATCTGATAGGCGGCAAAGGGGCCCAGGACGGCTACTATAGCTTTGAGTGATCAAAGATGAAAAGTAGCACCCGTCCCGAGGGACAAGCAAAACATACTGTCGATAGTGACGCAGCAAAAGAAAAAATATGCGGTCGGTACTCTGGTGGCAACCATAACAGATTCTTGGAATTCCAAGTGATACACGTACGATCAGAACTTAGCCCATATCCTTCAAATCCCAGCCTTTCTGGGTTGGTTGGCGCCGGTCCTCTCTGTGGTACTGAAGACAAACGAAACATACCAACATCAGCTTCAAGATATGATTTGCTAATGTCGAATGATTTCAGAGAGGCGGCGCTGTGAGTATAGATGGTCTGTAGGCATTGACCACTGCTAGTATCCCAAACCTTAATAATGGAATCTTCTGCAGACGAGGCGAGTAGCGTGGAATCGCGAGAGAAGACGATCGAGTAGACCTCCATATCATGACCCTCCATGGTCTGTATACACTGAGCGCTGCTAATATCGTATACCTTCACTGTGGTAAATAATGAAAAGGCGAGGAGCTTGGAATCATAAGAGAAGACGATAAATTGTACGGTGTTAATGAGATCCGGGAAAGTTTGTAGACACCGGCCGCTGGTGGCATCCCACACCTTGACAGTGCGATCGTGTGAAGCCGAAGCAAGGAGCTTGGAATCATGGGAGAAGCTAACCAAGTTGACCGATTTGCTATGGCCCTCGACACTCTGTATGCATTGGCCGCTGGTGGCATCCCATATCTTGATGGTGCGGTCGTCTGAAGCCGAGGCAAGGAGCTTGTTATCCTGGGAGAATGCGACCGAGTAGACCAACTTGCTATGACCCTTGAAGGTCTGTAGGCACTGGCCGTTGGAAGCATCCCACACCTTGACAGTGCGATCGTCTGAGGCTGTAGCGAGGAGCTTGGAATCATAGGAAAAGACGACCGAGTTGACCGAAGCTCTATGACACTCGATATTCTGCTCTTTCTGTAAGCTCTGGACACTGCTAGCATCCCACACCCTGACGGTACAATCGTCTGAAGCCGAGGCAAGGAGCTTAGAGTCACAGGAGAAGACCACCGAGTTGACCCATTCATTATGACCTTCGAGAGTCTGTAGGCACTGGCCGCTGTTAGCATCCCACACCTTGACGGTGCAATCGCTTGAAGATGAGGCGAGGAGCCTGAAATCATGGGAGAAGATAACCGAATTGACCTCGCTGCTATGGCCCTCGAGGGTCTGAAGGCACCGGCCACTGGTAACATCCCACACTTTGATAGTGTAGTCTCTTGATGCTGAGACGAGGCGCTTGGAATCATGGGAGAAGATGACCGAGTCGGCCCAATCATTATGACCTTCAAGGGTCTGAAGGCACCGGCCGCTGGTAATATCCCACACTTTGATAATAGAATTTCTTGATGTTGAGACGAGAAGCTTGGAATCATAGGAAAAGGTGACTGAGCTAACTCTCTCGCTATAGCCCTCCATAATCTGTATACACTGGCTGTCGGTAGCGTCCCACACCCTGATAGTTTGATCGTCTGAAGCCGAGGCAAGGAGCTTAGAGTCATGGGAGAAGACCACCGAGTTTACCCATACACTATGACCTTCGAGAGTCTGCAGGCACTGGCCGCTGCTAGCATCCCACACCCTGACGGTGCAGTCGTCTGAAGCCGAGGCAAGGAGCTTGGCGTCATGAGAGAAGACCACCGAGTTGACCCTTTCATTATGACCTTTGAGAGTCTGTAGGCACTGGCCGCTACTAACGTCCCACACCTTGACGGTCCAATCGCCTGAAGCCGAAGCGAGAAGCTTGGAGTCATGGGAGAAGACAGCCGAGCTGTTATTCCACTCGAGGGTTCGTCGGCACTGGCCGCTGCTAGTGTCCCACACCTTGACGGTGTGATCGTCTGAAATAGAGACGAGGAACTTGGAATCGGAGGAGAACGCGACCATACTGACCGGACGTGTATGGCCCTCGAGAGTCTGTAGAGATGCACTCCAGGTCTTCTCCATCGTTGGTTTACTAATTATCCACGCCGGTTCCTGGATTTCGAATTGAGTCCTTGTTATACTGCGGGTTGGGCTAAATACTAATCCTGAAGCGTAAACTTGTAGCGGTTGATTCTCAATCGCCGTCTTGTGGTAAAGAATGAATCGGTATGCATCCACAACTCGACCTGTTAGCTGGGAGTTCTGTGATGTTGTCTAAAACAAGAACGTTAAGATACTTTCCCTATGGCATTTTTGGAAACAAACCTTTAGTAAAATATCGAGCCTTAGGATCGAAGCTACTCCCTCTGATAAGCATTTTAACAGGCTAAGAGCCTCAAGCCAATATAGGTAGTCATTCTGGAAGAAATTTCCAACTGAGCCACTATCCTGGAGATCTGCCATCGCGTTCTCGCTAGGAGAGCACTCGTTGAGGTGATTAACCCAGTAGATACATGCGTACCGTACTGTAGCCAGCGGATCTGGGTCTGGCTGGTTGACCTGGTCGATCGGATATCCAGGCTGGACAAGGTCATAGATGTCGCGTCGAAGCGACCTGGAAATAGCTTCTAATGACTGCGAAAATATGGAATAGTGTACTATCTCCTGTCCGTTGGGGAAAATTTCATGCGCCGCTTCTCGAACTAGAAAGTCCTTGACTGACTGATGAACTAGAGAAATTATGCGCCCTCGGAGCGTAAGAAATGACCCACAAAGCCCTATGATATCTGCTAGATCACTGTCATCTTCAAAGTCCCCGGATAAGTCGATGCAAGACGCTAATTCATCTAGGGTGATAGGCCGGTAAACAGTCGTGACGATGCCAAGAAGAGACTTGCAGAGTTCAGCATCATCCGAGTCGCTAATTTGAGTGAACATTCGCTTATAAAGCTCATCAAGGCCAGGAGGAAATTCTTCTAACTTCTTTCGAACATTTCTTTTCGGAGTATTTGCCAGTTGCTCGCAAACCAAGGCTACCCAGAGGAAGGTACCATATGCGTTTGCCAATAAGTGTTGGGAAACAGCATCACGAATTTCATCATTATATTTCTTCTTTTCTGTCAATTTCTGAACCTTATAGTGGATGAAGGCGGTGACAGCCTGAGCGATGGACGTCTCATTTAATTCCAGCCGGAGCGTTGTCTTTTGAGACACAGAACCAAGACTCTCTTCGATAACTGGCCAGTTACGGCTTGAGACGATCCATTTGACATTTGAATATGCTGCTGATTTCTGAACCACAAGTTCAAGAAGTCGGTCTAGACCCGTAGTACATTCGTCGAGAGCATCGATAATCAAATAAGTGGTGATGGGCTGTAATAGCGGGTCTTCAAGGATAGCAGTAATAATTTCCGACAAAGCCTCCCACGCATTTATATCCTCAAAGACCTGCTTCCCAGCTTTGTCATACTGCCGTCGTACATGGCATATAAGGTGTGGCTGCTGGTCAACCAGCATGAAAATCAGACCGCGAAGAACCGCGGTAGCGTGGTTGATCCGTACGTCAGTAGCCTGGCAGAAGAAAAAGGAGATTACAGAGGTATTAGGAGCGGACTTGGTCAGCTCATCGATGATTCCGCACAAGAGCATTGTTTTACCCTTCCCAGGGTCCCCTTTGATCCAAAGTAGCTGACTCTGTTGCTCATAACGCCATTGTTTGAAATCATCATGGCCGAGTATCCAGCTATATGCGTCGTTCAGTAGCCCACCCTTGACCATCTCGATACGGGCCTTGTCGTAACGAGGGTTCGTCGTCTGCAAATCCTGTAGGCAGGCTTGGTCTGCTGATGTTTCAGACTGTTCTGAGATAGGAAAAGCTCTTAGTGTTCATTTCTTAGCATAGCTGCTTCTTGACCTACCAATATGGTAATTAAACTGCGCGGTGATATTGCCATCATTTCGCCCTATTTGAAATCCGGAGTTCGTACCACTAAAGGATATCGTAGACGCCATAGTCACAATAAGCTAGGTCAGATAGCTCTCTCCTGTGGACGAAGTGAATGCGCACGATGATATGAAAGCTTACCGCCTTACCCCTCAATCAGGTCAAGCAGCCGGGCGTTGAGATATTGTGTGTATCAATGATACGAGTGAATACCGCGCGTCCATGTCCTGCTTATTCCCCTCATCTTTGGTACGTAGAGGATATCCAGTGGCCCCTTTCCTCCCTTAGGCAGGTGGGATCTTAATTTGGCTGGTGTAGGCTGTGATGACTTGGACGAACAGTGGGGACACTGATTCCAGGAAGAAAATGAGTATTTGCCAGACGCCTAATTCGAGTTCCTATCCTGTATTTGTCTCGTCAGACATTTTGCTGTAAGCACGCCGCTACTGCCCTACCTAACGCCACATGTCATCGTAATTTCATTTAAACGAAGCGTTGGGTGATTGTATTACCAAGACGACGAGCTACCATCAACAGGGAAGCGGGAGTAAATGCAATCGGTATGCTGGGGTATATCGTTGTAAGGGGGTATATCGTTGTAAGCATGCAGAACGAGGTGAATAACTGGATACAGTTAGGACTGACAGATGCTTTACGAGAACTTGGAATGACTAGATGAAAAGGCAGAAAGGAATCAACTTGCAGATCCCTAAGGCTTGAACCAGGACCAAATCTTTCACAATATGTAGCATTGCTCCCTGATAGGAAATGACGAATTTGAACCTGAATGAGATGTACTAGAAACGCCAATGGCAATAGGATTCATGAAGCTAAAAGAACGCCCAGGAAGATACAGCAAAAACCGTCACAATCTAGGCCCGGCCAGTCAGTTCAGCAGTACTCTCGATGCCCTCCCAAGGAAGCTCGTCATCATCCTCTTCTAAATCCACGTTAGACGACTTCGCTGTAGTCGCAGTGACGTCAATGCCAATCGACTCTAGGGTCATGTCAAGGTCATGCTTGCTAATGTCACCCTTACAGGTCTCCAGCACATCGTATAGAGCATAAATCTGGTCAGACTTGAGATCGATCTCCCGGAGGATAGTCTCCATCTTCTCCTGCACGGATTTACGCTGTCGTTTGCCAATTGATGCATCCAGCTTGTTGTAGGCAGATTGATAGCTTGCGAGCTGGATCTTGAGATGGGAAAGTTCATCTTCGAGTGCCTTGAGGACGCTCGCGAGGGCCACTGTGGGCGGTTGAGAAGGTCGAACAGTCGGGTCCTCATTGAGAGGCGAAGGCTTGGGCAGACGCTCTGAAACTGGAACAGGCTTGGGGACTTTGATTGGTTCGTGGTTGCACTGTCCGTCATGAGGAAGAACGTTCTTGCACATCATGCAATTCTTTTCGTCGTGCTGGGCCATGTCGTCAAGGGCGCGCTTGGTCGCCTCTGGAAGACGGGAGGGGTTGGTGGCAGCCAAGTCTGCTCGGCTTAATGTGATATCTGGCAGGATGAAAGCAGATGTCATGTCCTCCAGGTTTCTCTGCTTTTTTCGTTGGGAGATAGATGTGACAGAGTGATCTGAGTGTCGTCTCGGGCGCTCAGGGGTGGGCACAACCAGACTGATATTGCCTTCAGTGGTAGCCGTCGATCTGGTAGTAACATCGCCGGCCGCCGATACAGGTCGACTGATTGCTTGCTTGCTTTCGCGGAGCGAAGACTTGCGCGGAAGAGGGGTCTTGAGAATACTCTGGCGAGTAGTATTTACAGTTTCAGTAGTGGTGGGATCCCTCGGAATACTGGATCGACGTTGCTTTCGTGCCAATCTCTCTTCCTCCAAGGTTTTGCGTAGCTGAGCAATTTCGTTTTCCTGGAGCATCAAGGGTTAGCATTGTCTAATGGTAAAGACGAAGTGGTGTCGGAGCTTACATCGATGATACTGAGCAGAGTCAAGTTCTCCACATCTGAAGAAGCCTTCGTCTGCTCGGTTGAATCAATCACGCCGGTTGTATCATCCAATACAACACGCTTCACACGCTGCTTTCCAGTGTTGGATTGTTTTCTGGAAGTTCGAGCCTCGGGCTGACGAGAAGTTTCGGACCTGGAGGATTTGGAGGCTGACGCCCGCTTGGGTGGAAGAACATTGATAGAGAATAGAGCTTCCTCGGCGCGCTCCTTCTCGAGGCGAGAGATCTCCTTGTCGACTTGTGTGGAAATCTTAGCCCGAGAATCATCTTGACGTCTTGCTTTCAGATTGTTGCGAGAACTCTTCGAAGTCAAGTCTCGTGTACTGCGCTCGATGTACATCTGGCTATCGTCGGCATCAGATGCGCTCACACTGGTCTCCGACTCAATTGTATCTTGTTCTCGAGACTTGGATGACAAACGGCTCAACTGAGACTTGAGGTCGGTATTCTCCTGGCGCAGTTGGTCATTCTCTGCTTTAAGCTCTCTTGTCTCAAGATAAGCCACGCCCAGCTGAGAGATGGCAGCTTCTCTCTCTTGGTTGAGCCGTTTGACAGCAGCTTCTTGGACCTGAGATCTGCGATCGGCCACATCAAGTTGATTTTGCAACGCGAGGTTGGCAGCCTCAAGCTCTGTGTTTCGTCAGTAGAAAATACATGAAAAGAATCGGTTAAGATACTCACTTTGGTTTTCGCTTGATAGCCGTTTCGACCCCCGCTTATAATCAGCATCATCCGATGCGTATTTGTCGGAGTGTCGCGATCGGCCGGCTTTGAGGGCTGCATTCTCTTCGCGATAACCTTCAATGCGTCTTTCCGCATCGGATTTGTACATCTCGAGCTCTGCAACTTTGTCCTGCAGTAGTCGCAGAGAAACGAAAAGAGCCTTCTCATCTTCCGGGATTGGAACTGCGTCAAGAGGCATGTGCTCACGCAAGAATGATACGTCTGTCTGGTCTTGATCGTGGGGATGCGAGACGAATCGAGTGGAGCGCATTTTATGGTGGCGAGAGAAGACTGGCGTGCCATCCTCATAGACGCCTGAAACCAGTTCGGAAATATTGGGGAGATCGGGAAGGAGGAAGGATTGGCGTGTCATGGTGTCGCCCATAGTGTTGTTTTGGGTAGGTGCGGTTGTCGAGCCTGTTTTACGGGGTGTGTCTGCCGAGGCCGACTTGCGCAGTTCTTTCGCGTAGGCTTCACGAGAAGCGCGTTCAATCGCGTCCGCAATCTCTTGGGAGTTATTGGGGTTGCCAAAACGCGTTGAGCGGGCGTTCACAGGAACAGGGGCAGGTCGCTCATCACCGATAAAGGAACCGTCATAGCTGTCGCGTACTTTGGCGTGCATTTCTGAGAGAGTCCGACGCTGGTCGCGTTGCGATTTGGAAACTTGAGGGCTCATGTTTTCTTTCTGAGTCTGGGTTGCCCGGCGCAATTGAGCGTCTTTCCGCAAGTTCTCGCTCACTGCGCGCCGGGAGTTGGATCGGACGGGTTGTTTCTGAGGAGTTGGATACTCGACGCGAACTGCTGGTGAGGAAGAGCGAATACTGTTCTGGAAGCTCATAATTGAGCTGCGCGAATCGTCCCGGCGACGGGCTTTGCCCGTGGCACCACGACCCATCTCCACTGAGAGCTCATCCAGATCAGACATAGTGTCGTCGACGCGCACAGCGTCCTGTTCGTCCTCCTCTTCTTCAGATGTGGGTAATTGGGAAAATTCAGGGAATGCTCGGTCCAGAGTCGAGGTGTTGATGGCAAAGTCAGGTTCCTCGTCTTCCAACGTGTGTCTCATATTGGGAAGCTGCGGACTGCCGAACTCGCGAGTAGAGGCCAGGGCTTCGTGCTCCGGGTCAAAATCAGACACAGTAAAACTTGCGTGCGAAGCAGGCATGCTCAAGAATCAGGCTGAGATTTCGTCTCAACAAGCTAATTCAACAACATTGGTACAGCAGAAGAGAAGTTGTTGACGGGGGTTTTGTTTTGGCCCGCGGGAATGTTTTGGTTGCGCGTCTCCGCCAATCACGATGCCGCCCGACTCCCCAGCCTCCGATCGACACGATGACTGTTTTGCAACTTTTGCAACTCGTTAAGGACAAGACAATGGACTTGAGCGCCATGAGATGGGCATTGATATGTAGAAACATAACTCATAAGCTATATAAGGACACAGTAAAGAAGTCGTTTCTGTCTTTGTTGTAAAAGTACTCCCGGTAGAAACTCCTAACAGTGTCGATAGGCATATATTGCAAAGGTATATAAATATCTGGTTGGCTGGTGCAATGAACCATGATGTGCAAGAACCCAACCAGCTCGTTTGGCTTCAACCTTATATATAGAATCCACACAAGTCGAAATCAAAAACCCCAGAAATATAAACAAATACAACATAGCTTAGCATAGGGGAACTTTACCAGGTTGCTACTCTAGGGACAGACCAAGAGCACATGGTACGTATATCTGTGACGCTATCTATTCTTGTGTCTACCTCGCAGGGTTCATCATATTAAATGATAGAATAGAAGTTCTTGAAAGGGAACTAAAATTTGCAGCAAATTGTACAAATGAAATTCCCACCGCAATGATCCACATGAAGTTCAGATGCAAGGTACAGACAGACCTGCAGTACACGCAGTCATGTCTAAATGCACAGACATGTATGTATAGGGCATGGAACAACGCATCTACTGAGATAAAGCATGTATGGGAACCCAAGTTGCGAAAATATGATTTGAAGAAGGGTAGTATCTAAAGAACTGAGAACTCCTCCAGGTCCATATTTGCGTGATCTTCCTTTCCTGAACCGTAAGTCCCTACGCCGGACCACCTATCCAACCCAAGTCACCTGAATTGGTGCAATATTGTATGGTAAATCGCGAACTCATCGGTCAGTCAAAGCCCTGTAACGCCTGGCTGGCCGAAAAAAAAGAAAAAAAAACAAGAACAAGAGTGCTTAATCGAAGGGGATAGCTGGTGGTAGATGGAGAAATCAAGGTGCATCTCAGACAATAAAATAGCGAGAAAAAAAAGCACGAGAAAGGGGGATAATACAAAATCGTAAAATTCATTAAGGCTGCGCGGTAGGGTTGTTTCAAGCAAATCAAAAATCAGACTGCCGAAGAGCAAAAAACATCATCTTGGAAGATGTTTTATTATGAAACAGGGGAATTTCCAGCGGTGGGGCCGGATGCGCCGGACGCGGTATTTGGTGTCGGCACAGGATCCGTCGGGGCTGGAGGTGTTGATGGGTCACGTTGGGACTCCTCTGGATGCAACTCAGTAGGAGTTGCTGGGGAGAGAGTCGTGGGGCTAGCAACATTGATATGAATAGACGGCAGACGCATGATATTCGGGAGTTGCTGGTTGTTCCGCTCTCTCACGGGGCTTTCGTAGGCAGGGGCCTCGCCCCAGTCGAGATGATCGTATTCAGGTGGTGGTGGGATATTTAGAGCACCTAGGTCCTCTTCTTCGGCCTGTGACACGGGTCGAATAGAGGAGCCACGGGTGGATGTTGGATGGAGCGTCAGCGGGTCAGCGTCGGAGGACATCGTGGATGTGAAGGACTCCATCCGGGAGTGTACACTGGGCTGGTCCACTAACGACGGGGAGGAGTTGTTGACCACAGCATTCTGTAGTAGCGGGTGGTGATCCGAGTCCGAAGTGTGTGAGGTGTGCGAATCAGCTCGAAGGCGAGAGCCATCATGCCGAACGTGACCCAGCTCGGCGTAACTAACACTTGAGATCCGTCGTTCTCGTTCGCGCGATTGATGCTCAGCGATCACGGCAGATGCGCTGAGCGAGGTATTGCTTCCGCTGCCCTCCTGACGTCGATTACTCCTTGCACGGGATTCGCGGGCGAGTTGTTCGAGACGTGCTGTGTCACCCCGTGCTCGAGCATCTCTCCGTTCCTGTCGGCGTGCTTCCCGATCAGCAAGCTCTTGACGGCGTTGCACGCGCAGTTGATAGAGCGCTTCCATCTGGTCCTCCCGACGGGTTTCTTGTTCCTCGACAGTCTCGGGAAATTCGACGACCATATCCATGCCGCCTCTTTCTCCTTCTCGCGCGATGATCTGCTCTGTCGGCTTCGGGCTAGCCGAGTAAGGCGGCAATGTTATAATAGATCGGATGGATGTTTCGCGCTGCGGACCATTACTATTGTTGCGGTTGCTCTCCTGACGAGTGGCGATAGCAGCCATCTCTGGGTCCGATCCGCCCGCACCACGGTAAGATGTGTCTTGATCACGGCGTGCCGCATTTTGGTTCGGGACCTGGCCATACGAGGCGCTCCTGGGATGCCATTGCTTCCACTTGCGTTTCAATGCCTTCCCGGGGATGTATTTGGGTTCATAGTGCCGCTGCCGGAGCCACCGGGCCCCGAAGTACAGACATACGCAGACAGCAACGATGAAGATGAGGATTGAGACGCACTAGATCCAACGGGGGAAGTGAAGTTAGCAGGGGAATGAACGAACGACAAGCACCGAACCATGTCGGCGGATGCAAAGAAGCGACCGGCGGCAACGCAGTCGAGGATGATGATCGGATTCGCTCGGAGGTCAACGTACGATGATAAAGATGCTATCTTTTCGGCCAAGATCTCGTTTCTGTGGGATATACATCTTGGGATGCGCGGGCATCGGGCCCTAGAGATCTTCGGAAGGCATGGAAAGAAGGTCGAGAGAAGACGAAAAGTGAGGTGGGCTGAGGGAACACAAGGCCAGCCACTGGGTCTGTTCTGGGTGGAGCAGATCCCAGACAAAGTGTTCTCCGGCCGCGTAGCAACCAGCAGGAGCCAGCAGGGACCAGTGGTAATTCGTAATTCACTGCCCAAGCCCGGGCCGCCATCTGCCTATCATGATTGAGCGTGGTGGAGCGCCCCAGTGAGCAGGCCGCATGGCCCCTGAGTGGAGGGAGTGGAGCGAGGTGACAGGGCCTCCGCGTCGATCGGGAATTGAGGCGTGCTGTCGTGTCTGTGCCCGGGCTGAAGTTGAAGGCAGTGGAAAGAATGGCAATCGATTGCCCTGGTCCCAACTGGTCCCAACCCATTCCAACTGGGCTCAACCTTGTTTGAACCGAATCCGCACGGGACCAAGGCAGACTTCGAGGGCTGTCAATGGCGGTTGCCCAAGGGTCTCGTCAACTGATCCTCTCGGGAGATCCGCAGTGTGGAGACGAAAGACTTCCCCGGGGATAAGACTTGTCTTAGTATAATCACGATCAGGCTCAAACCCTCGTCATTGCCGGACTCGTGCCGCCGATTGCACGGTCTTCTTGGCTGCGGGTGCGCCTTTTGGGCGCAAGGAGCACGAGCTCGATCACCCTTGCAGATCAAAGGCGGCGGTAGGCAGATAGAAAGAGAGCAAGAGAAAACGAAGGGGGAGCAAAGGCCGGAGAATCAATTGACTCGAAACTCGCCTGCTCAGAAGTCTAAAGGAAAGGAATGAAAGAGCTCCAACTACGGCGATTGCAGGGACGGGGTTGAGGCTCGTTGTTCCTCGTCACCTGGCCGAGTGAACGGAGTTCCGGGCCATTAGTACCGAGTACCTCGACAGCAGGCGAGTATAGGGGAGGATTGGAGGTACAGGAACCAGGACTGGGACCCGAGACATGGATGTCTATTTCGAGGGAGCTTGTCATCCCTGCCACATCTTGTCTTGGCAACGCTCTGTGGTGGCTCCTGCGCCCATCTCCATTTTGGACTTTGGTACATTTGAACTCTATACTAGATGGAAGTTAAAAATAGATTGGATAAAAAGCTTCTCCCATTATTGCCATCAGAAAGAGTGGACGAGGTAGTCGATCTTGAGATGTCCTCGGCCGATCACGAATGCCCAACCGGCAGCCTCAAGATGGGAGTATATAGGTGTCTTCTGAAGAGTATTCTTGAACACCCTCATCCTACTCCATCAGAGTTCCCCATCAGCACCGCCACGGAACCCACCTCGAGACCGCGAATTCGGTAGAATTACGGGGACGGGACACGTCACTGCCACTGCATTCGCCCCGAACCAAGCCATTCCCAGGCGCCCACCTCTGTAGCTGCATGGACATCAGATCTAGACGAAGAAGACATGCAAGACGGATTACAAGACAAGCCAACCGCAGAGTATGAGCCACCTTCCATGTTTTTATGGGAAAGTGATAGCCACTTTGCATCCCACGATGCAGGAAAATCCAGCCAATCGTTCCCTTCCGGCCAACTCTGATCGGTGAAAGAACGCCAATGAGATTGTTCGTTATTCAACAGCCCTACCAAACCATATTTTTGGGCATCTTCAGTTATCGCTATTCTCTTTCTAGCTCTATTATCTCCCTCATGCACGCTCTGATATGGATCATTGCTGGTGGAATAGACAGGCAAGGGCGCTTCCCTCCAACCACGCCTGATCCTCCGTCCAGGCGTGCACGAGTAGGTCTCTTCCCACCGTCACCACTTCCTCGATCTGCGACGGGCTTCCCCATCCAGGAACACGGCTGCCCCAGCAGACCAGGTGGGCGCCCACATGAACCGCAGTTCGGAATGCCATCGTCCTGCTTAGAGGACCGTATCCCTCCAATAGTCCGTTAATCACAGAGATGCCCGCGTCCACGCCCCGGAAGAGCTTGGTCTCGTATAGTTCGGCGATCATCTGGCCCAGATCCAGCGCCCGGCTCCCGATCTGACACATTTCCCAGTCGACCACGAAGACGGTGGTTTCTGACTGGCCAGTGAGGGGGATGTTCGGTAAGAGAATACTGCCAGAGACGTTAGAAATTAGAACGACAGCGTACAAAGGCACGCGGAAATCATTTATAGACCCCCAAAGAAGAAATAAACAACAGTAGACAAAAAGAAAAGTAAGCTGGCCACGTACTTTCCCGTCCAGAAGTCGCCATGAATGGCTCCATACTCGTCGTCTTGATCGAGCCGTTTCAGTTCCGCCGCCGCGGAATCACGAACCTGCTCAAACACAGTGCGACTCTGTCCGAGGACGTCCGGGAAATTGTCAATGGTCTCCAGCAACATGGGATAGTTAATATAGAACTTCAAATTCTTCAAGGCTTCATTCTGAGCAAGTGTCGCGCGGACGCCCGCCTGCTCAGGCGCGGCGGCCCAGTCGTGGAACGACCGAAGCCAGCGCCCGAGACTGTGGCCGAGGGCTCGAGCGGAGGGGTCCGACAGGTCCGTTGCTACGTCCGAGAGAAGAAAATGCTTCAAGTCAATCGAATCGGGACAATCCTCTACGATCTGGGTATTCGTCTCCCGATCAAAGTGGAAAAGCTGCGGGGATTTGACGGTGATGGCCGCTGGCGAGCTATACGGGGGAAACGCGTGGAGAGCTTCGAGGATGGCACCTTCAAAATGCTAATCTGACGTGAGTCTTTTTGATCTTGAACGTGGATCTCCCAATCGAGTCCTCGACCATCAAACATAGACTTGGAGCCGGGATAGGAAAATTAGGGAAAGGGCAAGAGGGAGGAAGACAACCTACACATCGTGCAGCGTCGAGCTTGAAGTCCGCGTTCGAGGCTAGGTAGTTTTTGGCATGTTTGATGACGATTGATTTAGGATTTCCCGAGCGAGGAATCCCTCGATAGACAAAATTCGCCGTGCCACCCGAGAGTCGGCTGAAGGAGGAGCATGCATACGGGGTCTGCTCGAGTTGCTGGGCAAGCTCGTCCCGAACCTCATCTGTCTCAACCGCGGGTTGTGCCATTGTCGCGTGGTATTTTCGATGATAGTTTCGAGGTGAAAATGAAACGAGCGCGGATCATACGCGATGGGCCTGTACCCTTTTCCCAGACAGATTTGTTTGGGTGAGGCTGGAAACCATGGAAACCCCGTGAACTACTTCCAAACTATAAGTAGTTGGGTGGCGGCTGTTGACTTCCCGGCCGTTTACCCTTTTGAGTGCCCGCCTCGGACTCACCGCGTTACGGTGCGCGAGACGGCGGTACGAACAGAGAAGACGTGAGTCATTTCAACCCCGGCGAGACGATTTGCTATAATTCAATACGGAGATAGAGAGGAGGCCAGGTGCTGTGATTGATTTGAAGAATTTCCCACCCGGCGGACCCCTGCTAAACTCTGGGTTGGGGATAAGATACTCCTAACTCCTCCCCCGCTAAATGCGTGCTGTCTCCAATTTCCCGCGCTCATATAATCATATAATTGCAGCCCTTCATTTCACCTTCAATACCACCGCGGGATACTCATAGAATAGTTCCGGAATGACTTTTATGATTAATTCACTGTTGCTCAATCCTCATCACAGGCATGTCGGTCGCATACTTGATGGAGCCAGACCACTAGCTGCTGGAGGATTGGATGCTCAGTGACCCCTGCTGAATCCATGTAACACTTAGCGCCATGATCACCTGATAGTGAGGCTGAGGATGGGACCCCTCAATGGGAGGTCGTTTTCTGCTTTCGCCTAAATCACGACTAGCCGTGTATATGTTGAGTATGGAATCTGTGACATTGAATAGCGATCAAAACTCAGGTTGCCAGGTGGGGGTCAACAATGGGGTGATGAATTTCACATCCAGTGAGTTTCGATGGTGTGGAAGGACAGGACTACGTTGAATTGACTGACAATGACACGCTTTCCTAGAACAACCAGAGCCTCGCCCAGAGCCACTGTGGATTGTGCCGTTCCAGCATGACCCGGACTTTGTTCCCCGCGAGGAAATCCTTAAGACAATCCACGAGAAATCGTCAGTTCCGGGGTCTAGGATAGTTCTTGTGGGTATCGGCGGTGTGGGGTAAGGCGCCACGGGTGTAACGGCAATCCGTCAAAGGCTAACTGTACAATAGAAAAACTCGGCTTGCCATCGAATACTGCCACCAGGTCCGAGAGGAATCCTCCGACACCTGGGTCTTCTGGGTTCATGCGAGCACTGCGGCACGCTGCGAGCAAAGCCTCCGGAACCTGGCCGACCGCGCCAAGGTGCCTGGACACGAGGATCAGAACGTTAATATATTCCAACTTGTCGGGAACTGGTTGCAAGATGGAAATATCGGAAAATGGATCCTTGTCCTGGATAATGTAGATGATGACGAGCTCCTTCGCACACCACTTACAACTCGTACGGACGCCCGAGCGAACGCCCGGAGCCACGTTTCGACGCAGCCACCGTTGAAGTACCTCCTTGAAGCCTCAAATGGCTTTATCATTATTACGAGCCGGAACAAAGCAGTAGCATCGGAGATCGTTGGCCCTAAGAAGCATCTGATCGATGTCCAACCAATGGATACGGCCGAGGCGTTAGATCTAATGCAGCACAAGCTGGACTCAGATGCAGACAGATCGGATTTGGTTCAGCTTGTGGAGGAACTTGAGTTTATGCCGCTGGCACTAGTGCAAGCGGCTAGCTATATCGCACACAGTTCACCCCGTTGCTCGGTGTCGCAGTACCTCGAAAAGCTTCGGCAGAGTGATCGTCAGGCTACGGAGCTTCTGAATTTTGAGGCATTTCATACTGAACGAGACTGGGAGGCAAAGGACTCAATAATATTAACATGGCAAATATCCTTTGACCATATTCGACGAATAAGGCCGTCTGCAGCCGACTTACTGTCTCTTATGAGCTTTTTCGATTCACAGGGAATCCCAGAGGATCTTCTACGGAATCGGGGGCTGGAAAGAAACCACGACACCTTAGTTTCTTCGGGGAAAGTTACGAATAGCTTAGGTGAAGAGGATAGCGATACTTCGTCTGAATCCGACTTAGGAGACAGTTTCGAGAGTGATATTGCAACCCTCAGAGACTATTCATTTATCTCTATAAGTGAAAATAGCATGGTGCTCACGATGCATCGGCTAGTGCAGCTCACAGTACGCACATGGTTCAAAACACACGGCCAGGCCGAAGAGTGGAAAAAGCAATTCATTTACAATCTTTATAATGGATTCCCGACAGCTGAATATGAAAATTGGGAGAGATGCCGGACACTTTTTCCACATGTAAAATCAGCTATGTCACATCGACCGAAGTCGCAAGACTGTCTCCAAAGCTGGGCTGATTTACTTTACATGGCAGCGTGGTATGCGCACCAATGTGGCAATATCCTTGATTCGCGGGAAATGGCATCTGTGTCGAGAGAGCAGAGAATAAAGATATTAGGGTTGGAAGATGAAGACACACTCCATAGCACGACAATGCTAGCAATGACTTACCGACTTGAGGGGGCCTGGAGAGAGGCGGAGCATCTCCATGTGCAGGTCATGGAGACTCTCAAGGCGAAGCTCGGGGCCGACCATCCGGATACGCTGACGAGTATGGCCAGTCTAGCGCCGACGTATATAGAGCAGGGCCGGTGGGAAGAGGCGGAGCAGCTCCTGGTACAGGTTATAGAGGCTCGCAAGACGAAGCTCGGGGCCGACCATCCGGATACGCTGGCGAGTATGGCCAATCTAGCGTCGACGTATGTGGAGCAGGGCCGGTGGAAAGAGGCGGAGCAGCTCTTCGTGCAGGTTATGGAGACTCGCAAGACGAAGCTTGGGGCCGACCATCCGGATACGCTGGCGAGTATGGCCAGTCTAGCGCCGACGTATGTGGAGCAGGGCCGGTTAGAAGAGGCGGAGAAGCTCCTGGTACAGGTTATAGAGACTCGCAAGACGACGCTCGGGGCCAACCATCTAGATACGCTGATGAGTATGGCCGATCTAGCTTCGACGTATACGAGGCAGGGCCGGTGGGAAGAGGCGGAGCAGCTCCAGGTACAGGTTATAGAAACTCGCAAGACGAAGCTTGGGATCGACCATCCGGACACGCTGAGCAGTATAAACGACCTAGCATCGACGTATATAAAGCAGGGTCGGTGGAAAGGCGCTGAGCAGCTCAGCCTGCAGGTTATAGAGACAAGCAAGATGAAGCTCGAGGCCGACCATCCGGATACGCTGGCGAGTATAGCCAATCTAGCGTCGACGTATGTGGAGCAGGGCCGGTGGAAAGAGGCGGAGCAGCTCGACGTGCAGGTTATGGAGACTCGCAAGACGAAGCTCGGGGCCGACCATCCGGATACGCTGACGAGTATAGCTAATCTAGCTTCAACGATCTGGAAGCAGGGCCGATGGAAAGAGGCAGAGCAGCTCCTCGTGCAGGTTATAGAGGCTCGCAAGACGAAACTCGGGGCCGACCATCCGGATACGCTGGCGAGTATGGCCAATCTAGGGTCGACGTATGTGGAGCAGGACCGGTGTGAAGAGGCGGAGCAGCTCTTCGTGCTGGTTATGGAGACGAGCAAAACGAAGCTCGGGGCCGACCATCCGGATACGCTGACGATTACAGCTAATCTAGCGTCGACGTATAGGAAGCAAGGCCGGTTAGAAGAGGCGGAGCAGCTCCAGGTGCAGGTTATGGAGATGAGAAAAACGAAGCTCGGGGATAACCATCCGGACACGCTGGCGAGTATGAATAACCTAGCTCATACCATTTGGTCAGCAGGTCAAGACCAAGCCGCTCTACTCTTGATGGCCGAATGTGCTCGAATGTCCGAGCAAAAGCTAGGCCCTGATCACCCGCACACCACATATTCAAAGTCTACTTTGGAAAAATGGTCTGACAGGAATTTTTCTACATCTTCATCTCCCCAGCCCACAGAAGCGGAGACGGAAAGCAAAAGTGTGCAGGAAATAGGTCGTTTCTAGTCACGAGCCAAGGGCCTATGGGCAATAGCTATTAGTTTGTGTCGAGAAAAAGAAGCCACATAATACTGCGAGGACCCATGTATTCCGTGCGTATACATTCAAGCGGAGATTGACGAAGATTACGAAAGCTATTTTCGCCTCCTGATCGATGATGCATGTGTCATCTCCTAGACATATCTGAATCACTTTCCCTTCAACACTGTCTATTTTCTCCTTTGGGGGGTAGTTCTCCAACATTGTGTGCGGCGGCTTGGTGGTTTGTTTGTCAATCCTAATTCGAACCATTTGCATTGTTGAACTTTCCTGCGGGCGCTGTGGTTTGTATGGTAGTCCTAGAGAGGGGATCCTCTTATATAGGTATCAGAGCCAGTGAGAACTGCTATCTAGGCTATATCACTTACAATGAGTAGGTTAGCCTTGAGTAGAAGTAGACAATCAATTTGACTCAAAGAACTCTAGCAGAAAGGCTAGAAGTAGCGCTGTTGAATATAGTATAGTTCTTGAAGGAAAGTATGATAAATCGCCCGTTAGGAAGGCCTTGTTTGATGAGATAACATTTTGAATAAGCATGTGTGAAGATCTGGTAGAGCAAGCCCGGTTTATCTGCAACTGAGCAATATTTCCTAAGCCCGAAGTCCTGTGTATTACGGAGCAATCAAGATTAATCGTGTTATTCGGGATTGGATTCTAATCAAAAGTACGCATGACCTGATGGATGAAAATCAAAGGAAAGCTTCCTTCCCTCATCATCTACACAGTCATCAATGTAGTCATCTGGTATAAGAGAGCGAAATCAGATGTTTCTAAACCGAATCATGAAGAGATTCGGTTATTGATATTCCATACTATATTGAGTTTGTCCCGATTAAGCAATGATTCTATTTTGATAGTAAAATAGTTAACTACCATGCAAGTAGTACCGAACCCCCACCTCTCATGATTGGCTGGATGAACCCTCGCTAGACTCGGTGAACAAGATCCTTTGTAACAGCTTATTAGGGTCTTGTGATATGAAGCTTTTAGATCGCTATCACGCTATTATTTCCTCTTACTCTCATTTGGGCCTATTAAAATATTGAATGGGTTTCCTTTCCGGCCCTCGGTTGCATGATTAATGATCCTGTTTGAATCCTCTAATGGCTTAGTTATTTTCCAAGATTGAAGTTTGCTCTAGGAGTCCAACACCCGAAAGTAAGCGCTTGCGATAAAGCGTCAAGGATCCAACCCCAAGAAATGATCCGACCTCAAGAAAGGATCCAACCTCAAGAGGTGATCCAGCCCCAAAATGTGATGATTCAGTCTCAAGATAGCCATAATTCTGGGGGCGAATCTAAACGCGTTGTCATGACACTTTCCAGTCAATATTATTGAAATAAGCAACAGATGAGTTCAAGGCCCCTGACTTAACAAATATAAATCCATCACATGATAACTATGAAGCGAGCTCTTATGAATAGAATTATTTCTGGTGGAAATTGGTCTTTATGGACTGTCAATTTCATTGCACAAAGGTTTGATAGAAAACTAGGTTTGATTTTGGACAGTTGAAGAACAAGCTCGATATGACCCCTTCTTCTTATATCTATAATTTCCCATCATCCTTTCAATTTGCTTTTCACTTGGTTGGCACCTGTACTGTTCCATAATTCTTGGAAAAGATGACCTTCCTATTCTTATATATATGCGCAGATACCACACGGGCTGCATTCTTTAAGTACGTCACACTCCCGTGGAATTCGTCGATGACCGTGCCTTGCTTGTTCTTGGTCTCGTGAGGACGGCCCCTATTGCAGGGTAAATTAGCTAAGTGAGTGCGTCTAAATGAAAATTGAAAGATTTTCAATATTCCCCTTGTTCACCCCATCTAGGCCAGGAACCTGATCGAGGACGTCTTCACCGATCTTCTTCACCCAACCGCCCTCCGCCTCTGTGACACCATTCATGTCCCACGGAATTTGCCGGTTCTGACTAGCACTGGAGGTAAAGGACCGGCTTGCTGCAGTCGCCGCCGACTTTGCTGTTGTTGCTGCTCTAGATTACATGTTGAGAGATTTTCAATAAAGATATAGCTTCCGGACCCAGAACTGATAAGGGAGATGAGATCGGTGTTTTTTTTTTTTGGTAATTCAAGTGGCTGTCGATGATATTGAATCCATTCATCGGAATGATCGAGCTCTTTATGTGTTTGCTGGGAGTCGTTTTTAACGCTGGCTTGTATAAATAGCAACTTATTTGGTTGACCTTTATGCCACTGCCTCTCTGCTGGCTTCAATTCGTACCATCCAGGACCTACAGACGCTGGAGGTTCCTATAGAAAAGGCAATACGAGCGCGTGCAGGTAATATGGGATCTCCGATATAGATCTCATATTGGCCAGCCTGCACTTACAGGAGTTGGGGATCAAGTTGTAGTAATTCTCACAAACAGCGAATTATGTCATTGTCATTTATGCCCTTGCCGCTGTTGACTTTAATTCAATATCCGCAAGTACCTTAAGAAGTTGAGAATCTCGGTCCTAGTTGGGTTGTGAGCGTATGTAAATAATATGAGAACTATGGTATAGGTCTATCCCTATATGATATCATAATTATTGACCGATTTCATGTCCAACCTATGACAGAGGTACTTTGAGAGTGTTTTGGAATTTGGTGTGAGCTCCATAGTTGGCCCCAGGGGCTGCTGTAGATCCTCACACAAACATGAAATATTCACCCATGCAGAATCACATCTTATAGGGATGTATAGGTAAATGCAAGCGCTTAGGATACAGTGTCACATTCTTTGTATAGATTCAGATTGAAATGATATACAGAAGAACATTCTGTGAATTGACAGGACTTCTTTGATGATTAGAATTAAATTTGCTTTTCCACCTCAAAGCATAAGAAAGGACCCTTGTTCATCATTCTGCCAGTGTGCGATTGATTTTTGGGTAAGTTATGAACGAATCACTGGAACGGAGACAATGAGATCACCAACAGAATTAACAACACAGAACAGCCTGCAATATATCAAATATAACACAATTCACCAAGTAATGAGTGACGTGACTCATTAATCCTGGCCTATCGATATTTTCCATTACTGTTGTACGTATTATCAAGTGGGTCCCTCAGCCCCTGTGGACCGCCAGGTCGAGCCAACAGGTCACGTGCTGTTGGAGCGTGAATCGCTCCAATCACTGGTGACGTGTTGGGTATTGTTGATTCCCCTCGCCATTTCCATTCTTCTCTTGCCCTCTGTTGGTTGAAGCTTTTATATGAGCAGTCTTGAAATGTTCCCTCTGATTTAAACTGTCGAAAGGTGCACCGAAATGAGGGCAATTAGACCTGCCATCAAAGCTACAATGACACGCCCATTGTCTTCTCTCTGCAGAAAGCCTTTCACGCTTCCACCTCTTGGTTCTCCTTTGCCTAAGGATGAGATGGTGGATGAAGAGATTTACCAAAATTATAACCCCAAAAATTTTTATCCAGCAAACCCTGGTGATGTGCTAGCCGACCGCTATCAAATCCTGGCGAAGGTCGGCTGGGGAATGTCCTCAACCGTATGGCTTGCTCGCGATATGAGAGGGTATAGTTCCAGATTTATGATTTATGTAGCAGTTTTTTGTATTAACAAGTTGAATAGAGATAAAGAAGACCCTGAGCGTGTGGTTGCGCTGAAAATCGGGAACACCAACCAGGAGGGAGCTGATGCTGAACGTGAAATCGAACAGCATATTGCCGAGGCTGATCCAACGCATCGCGGCCTAGCAATTTTTCGGACACATCGTGATTCTTTCGATCTTACTGGCCCAGAAGGCCGGCATCTATGTCTAGCATATCAAGCTATGAGGGAGCCATTTTCGATCTTTAAGAGGCGCTTTGAAAATGGAAGAATCCCGCTTCCTCTTACCAAGACATATATCTATGTCCTCCTTGCCGGCCTCGATTATCTTCATACGATCTGTAAGGTTGTCCATACCGGTACGTGTTTTTTTCCCCTGATTAGCTTCTATTTTGTGATGAGTTAGTTAACATTCAGCTGCAGATTTAAAACTCGAGAATATGATGGTCACCTTCGAGGACCCGGAAGTTTTTGGTGACTTCCTGGATTTCCAAATGGAGCATCCAATGGAGTACAAGGCAGACCCTTCTGGTCAACACGTTTTTCGCTGTCGTAGTGATTTTGGGCCACTCAGGACATTGAGAAATATTATCCCGAAAATTATTGACTTTGGTACATCATTAAAACTTGATGAAGACGATATGGGAATCCTCCCTATTCAACCTAGACCATATCGTGCTCCTGAGGTTACTCTAGGCTGTGGTTGGGACTCAAGTACTGATATCTGGAATCTGGGTGTTCTTGTATAGTTATCTCGTCTTCTATGGGTGCGATTGGTGAGATAGCTAACATCGTTCTAGATGTGGGATATGATCCAAGGCCAAGAGTTATTCCAACAGGTTTACGATGCACAAGGTCGATATGACGCAAAATCGCACCTAGCGGAGATGATTGCTTTGTTAGGCTATCCTCCTCCAGAGATACTTGCAGCATCTCGGAATATGCGAGAGGCCGAATGGCCTATAGAGTTATTTAATGAACACGGTACTCTCTGCAACACTGTGGAACAATTCTTTGGTGGGCCATTCTTTGGTCAGGATGGTAGTCTGCTAATATTTCACCCTTTGTCAAACCCAGTGCTTATGCAGTCTCGATAGGCAAATTCTTGCACAATGACCTGATTCCAGATCGAACTCTTGACGATAGCATCACCGTACTCGAACAAGAAGAGAAAGAGCAATTCTTATCTTTCGCACGAATGATGCTCACTTGGCGCCCAGATGAGAGAAAAACAGCCCGCGAACTCATGGAGCATCCGTTCCTGAAGATAAACTGATTAAGGAATAGACTTTTGCATAGAATTCGTTACTAAGGCATCAAAATCTCCACTCAGACGATCGGTCTCTCCGTGAATACAATGTTACCTCCAGTAAGAAAAAGGAGAGCCTCAGGAGTGTTTTATACATGAGAAATCTCCTAAATTAAAGTCTTTGAGAACCACATGCTTAGAGTGAAATTCTTCATTGGACCCAATTTGTCCCAAACAGTCTCCTTAAATCGAGTCAAATATTAAGAATCTTTTTTGCATACGTATCCCTCATCCCACAAGCTTTTTACCTGAGAGCTATGGTAAAATGTGCAATCAAACCTTCAGGGCGGTGACAAAAACAATGTGCACCCTTATCGAGATCCAAAGTTGGCTTTCAGACAGAGGATCATGGTGGGGTTGGTTCAGTGAGAAAGAGATGGAGTGGCAGGCGAAGACAGAACTCCAGTCCAGCTCCATTCGCACAACCGAGAAAAATGATAAGCCCCGCGAGAAGCCAAAATGAGCGATCGCCGCAAAGCCGGCTGGTGTTCTTTCATTACGTACGTCTTGAAAAGCTCCCAATGAAGTGGACATCGAACCACATCTTTTGAATTCTCTTATTGATTGCCTATTTTCGGAACTTTGCAGAACGAAAGCAAATCCCCGAAAAAAGCTATGATATTCGTCGAATCCTTCCTCATGAAGTGGGCTCATCATGGCTAGCGATAACGGGAAGACACCACGTGGCTGGATGCCGAATCTGCTGTTGCTCGCCCAGCTGACGCTCTGATCTAGTGATGCAGCAAATCGTTATCAAAAGACTGAATCATACCACACAAGCCGAAGGTAGTAAACTTACACGAACCAGTTGAAAGCAGTAAATGTCATTCGTCCTCCATTCTGCGTATTGTGCTTTGGGAATCCGGCATGGGGATACCAATAGATTCAACATACTTCATCAGTGTGACTACAAGACCACACTGGTAGATATCGCCCTAGCAGAAGAATGTAATGATCATGCAGGGCGTTTTCAGGAGTATTTTCAGGAGTCTATTAGAACTGTATATTCAAAGCGAATCAGGTTTGGCAGCGCGTCTCCTTTTAGGTTTGCAGGATGAAAACAGTGCCAAGATGCATTTTTGATAGGAAGAGGATCCTTTATTCAAATAATCAAGAATAGCCAAGGTCAAATTTTTATGTACAGACACTTGATATTGTTACCGACCAGTGATGTAGAACCGGTGTCTACGTCTGAATGCGAGTCGGCCAAGAATAGGTCGAATAGGCGGCAAATCCAAGATCGCCTAATTCGGTATAGTGATACGGTCGTTCGTTCCATACACACCGCACTTGGCCGGACCATAAGAGCACGAAATTTCGATCTGGTTGCCCTTACGTGGATTGACACCAGATACCACAAGAATCTATCACTACAAAAATCTGAGAAGGACTATCGCCCAGTGAAAGCCTACTAGAAGCGTGAAACCCTTGAGTTTCAATACAACGTTAATATTACAAACAGAGTGGGTAGACGTCGCAACGAATCAACTCGCCAATTATCCCTCACCAGATTATTGTCGGATCCAACAGCACTTCTACGTGAAATATAAAGGCAAATTACTATATCTGTAGAACTAATTCACAGTCATTTAAACCTTGAATGCGAATGTGGATATGAATTTGATTTCTTAAAGCGGATCTACCTGGCCTATTTGGTACGGGGTACACCGTATTGTATATCGTAGTTCAATGGCTTATTGCGCACTTATTTCTTTATATAGTTAGTACAGGTAGATCCACCAAAACAGCCTCGTACCCTTTTTACGGAGTACATCATTCGATCCAAGGCTGAGCTAATGGGGGCTGCAATAAGGGGCCAAGTCCCCACATTAGAGGGCCAGAAATGGAAGCCCCCTTTGAACTCCAAATAGTGTCATTAAATAAGAGGACTAGACAAGCCAATTCTAGAGAGATTGAATAGTGTAACATTCTAACAGAGCCAATCAAATTAAGGGCAAATTATCTCACAATGGTTGCTAATAAAGAGAAACCGGCAATCGTTCTCGTCCATGGCTCTTACCATACACCAGCGCCGTACGAGCCTTTCATGCACGCCCTCGGCTCTCTGGGCTTTGAGACTCATTGTCCTCAGCGGCCTACATGCGATCTTAACAAACTGAATGTTGGCGATGTGAATGCCCCCGACTTTGACAGAGGCCCTCCACCAGAGGGATTTCCCAGCGACAATGATGACTTGGCTACAGTTCGTGAGGTTCTGGACCAGCTCATTATCCAGCAGAAAAAGAAAGTTCTCTTGATAGCACATTCCGCTGGTGGTTGGGCTGCAACACAGGCTGCAGTCCCAGAACTCCTGTACAAGACTCGCGATGCAGAAGGCCACAATGGTGGATTAATTGGAATCTTCTATTACTCGGCATTTGTGATTCCTCTTAATTGGGCCGTCAGCGATCATTTCCAATCAAAGAACGAAACCTTTGAAATGCCTCCATGGCTACGATTCTGGGTGGGCCAATATTTATCCTATTGTAAGAACGCTGACTAACCACTGGTATAGAAACACGGTTTATCTGGGGTCGGTACGATTGTCGATGCACCAAAGTTGATGTTCAACGGCCTTGATGCAGCCGAGGCTGAAATGTGGACAAAAACCTTGACAGCTACGCCAATCCAAACCGGCATTCTCACGAATAATGCGTATGCAACATTGCCCTGTGCTTACGTAGTGCTTGACGAGGATTACGTGTTACCTAAAGAATACCAGGAAGCGATGATCGCGGAGCAGCATCGGCTTGGGAATGTTTTCACAGTCTACCACGCGCCGACTGGCCACTCGGCTCATCTTTCCTGGAAGGAGCCATTAGCAGAGAAGGTGGCCGAGTTCGTGGACAAAATCAACACTGAGTCCTTATAAACACGACCAAAACTATCAAAATAGATACCTCAACCGATTGAGGCCAGAAAAGTCTGCGGAGAAGAGTGAAAGTTCACAACGCTTGCTAGGCGTATGAGGCGAGTTGAAGCGCTTGCCGTTGCTCACTACTATATGGGTTTTAATGGTCCAACTGATATGGCTAGACTACAGTACGCTGGAACCAAGATAGAGAGACAAATCCAATTTAGAATCTGGGATACCATGATGAGGGCATCACTGGCTAAATAGTATACCTAGGGCTTGTCCCATATTCAGTGACTCTATACTGCCTTTACAGTCAGCCAGAAGTAGTACAGATCACTTGTATTCTGTATCCGAGGTCGAGAGAAAGTGCTCCTGCAAGATTGGGATATATTGAAGAAAGTATTGCAGGTCATGTGCTTCCCCCAGAGTAGCCTGATCTATGTTGGTTCCTTCGAGAGAAATGGGCAATCTATGCGCCACTCGAAAGATAGGGAAACGATTCAACTGGTATTCATGATGTTCCTGTGAGAGACGTTTGATTCTTTCTGGTCTACGCTGCATTGCATGCCATTTATTGGAAAATGTTCCTACGAGGTCCAAGTAATCCTTGTAATGTCGCCCCATGTAATAGATATCGAAGTTCGCTGCCTAATTTATTGTTTGACTAGATGTGGCTGATTGGATATTAGCAGATTGCAGGGCCAGTAACTGGAATCCTTACTGAGCCCAAGGGATAGGGTATAGTTTGTCAAGATTCCGTGGGAAATTATGAAGAATACTCTATTTTCTGATTAAGTTTAGATTGGATGATAAGATTCAGGATTAGGTCGGATCCGAAACCCACTTATCAAATGTTCAAAGGAGAATTCTTCCCTACTTCATGAAGTGGCCTCAGCGGGGCTGGAAATGGCGGGGAGACGCCGGCTGTCGGCCACCGGTAGCCGATGCCGACTCTGCTGTTGCTTGCCCGCCGATGCTCCGATCGGGCGATCCAGCAGATTCAAAAGAACGAATTGTATCATGGAAGGCGAAAGTAATAAGTGCGCAAGAACCAGCGGCCAGCGGTCAATTTCAATTGTCCTATGTTCTTTGTACCCTGCTCTAATTGCCATGCCCAGTGGCCACTGATACAGGCGAAGGCGCACTCTCCATGATCAGGAGGGCATGGGTAGATCATGACCGTGAGAAATCCGATCGGAATTGAGGTATCGCGGGGGCGCAGTGAAAGCTTGACCGGCTATCGGTCAGAGGAACTGGGCGTTTAGTTGGTTGTTACTGGTATATGAATCGCGATCATCCATTCACTCGGAGCCCATTTGAGCAAGGGCGAATGTGTGTGATACAAATCGACACTCCAACACGGCCACCGCAACCATGCAGAACATCGACGCCAATGAGCCTCCCCACGTCATCCCCCATACGCCCAGTGGCCTCCCCAATGGCCGTCCCAATCTCGTCATCTTCATGCCGGATCAACTGCGTTATGATGCTTTGCAGTGCTCGGGTTTAAACCGGGTTGTGAAAACGCCACAGATTGACACTTTCGCATCGCGCGGGGTTCGCTTCTCAGAGTGCTATGTGCAAGCGTCAGTCTGTACACAATCGCGATGCTCCATGTTTACCGGGCTGTATCCCCATGTCTCCGGCCACCGGTCCTTGGAAAACTTGATCAAGCCGTGGGAGCCGAATCTGTTCCGGTCGCTCAAGGAGCACGGCTATCATGTGGCCTGTATGGCGCCGCGGGGGACTTGTTCGCGCCCCAGGTCACTGAACTCAGCTTGACTGAATATGGATTCTTGGAGCCGCCCGAAGTCACCAAGGTGATCGGGGGGAGGGAGATGAGCGTCCAGAAGAGGAGATCAGCATATGGGAGCGACTGTTCTATAAGGGACGCCGGGACGCGAGCAAAGCAGTGGATTACGACGAAGCCGCGATTCGAAGTGCAGAGAAATGGCTCGAGTGCCCGCCCGACGACCGGCCATGGGTGCTGTTTCTACCGCTGCTTTTCCCGCATTGTCCTTTCACAGTCGAGGAGCCCTATTTCTCGATGTACAAGCGGGAGGAGATGCCCCCGCCATCTTCACCGGAAGACAAGGTATCGTATTGCATCATTCCCTCGTCTCCCTGTATCTTTTGCCTCCTGTTTCCTGCCTCATTCTTTAGATGAAACACGGAATCTGATATTACATATAGACAGGATATGAACCTGTATATATGCAGATGATCCGGGATCGATATGGCACCCATAGAGCGAGCCCCGAGATATGGGCCGAAGTGTCGGCCACCTATCATGGAATGATATCGCGACTCGACGACCAATTCGGTCGGATTGTGGACAAGATAGATTCGAAGGGGCTCTGGGATTCGACCATCACCATGTTCTTCACCGACCATGGAGAGTATCTGGGAGACCACGGCCTGATCGAAAAATGGCCGAGCGGCTTGTCTGAGACCCTCGTGCGCGAGCCGTTGATCATCGCCGGCGGAGGTATACCGGCCGGACTGGTTCGCGACTGCATGACGGAGATGGTGGACTTGGTTCCGACTGTGCTCCAACTGTGCGGGATCAACGAGACTTTCCCTCATAATGGCAAGTCTCTGCTGCCCGTGATCCTGCACGACGCACCCCATCGCGAATTTGCCTTCTCGGAAGGAGGCTTCTTACTGTCCGAAGAGCCCCTCCTCGAGCGGGCATCATTCCCCTACGATCTCAAGTCTCAACTACAGCATGAAGACACACGATGGGTCGGAAAGGCGATTTCGATGCGAGATCACCACTGGACCTATATTTACAGGCTGTACGAACCGGCAGAGCTGTATGACCGTCGAGCCGACCCGCTGGAACTGCACAATTTGGCAGCCGACCCGCGGTTTGTGCATCAGGCTCGGCTGATGGAAAGCCAGATGTTTCGCTGGATGGTCGAAACAAGTGATTTCTTACCCTACAGCAAGGATGGTCGCTTTCCTCAGGTGGATTTGCCCAGTCCTAAGGCCCTCTGGGAGGAGCGGAAGGCTAGATCAGGCGAGCGATAGACAAGCATCTAGCCTAAAAAATCCAAATTGGTAATGCTGTGAATGGTCTGATATATAGTATTTCCCCGGCAATCCGAGCATCCTGTGGCGTAAGAGGAAACGCAAGACGGGCAGCCAAGGGAGGCCAAGACGACGAGATCACCAGGTCCTCTCCATCCGTCTTACCAACCTTCCCACCTTCAAGCCTTCTCCACGCCGGCACTAGCCGTGCATAATGTGCCTGAATTTGCTTTCCCCAACCACGAATCCGCCCCGCAAACCGGGGCAGATCGACACGCGGTTGAGAGATCATCTGCGCACAATGAATGATCCCGCAGTGGCGCCGACCGGGCTCGCCGCTGCTCGGGGACCGCATCCTTCGGATGCCGGGTCTCGTCCCAGCAAAGATCGACACAAGCGAGTTGGCAATGGTGACGGCCCGGCCAATCGGCGCCACTAAATGGCCAGGGACACTGCGTGAGGTCATCGCAACGCTGCATCACCGGGTCTCGTCAGCCTGCCCTACTCAACAGGAATGACAGGCGTCGAGGGACACGTCGGTTTGCGGGGAGGGGACTATATTATGGGTCCGTTCGCATATGGCTATATCGTCTGCATAAACCCACATTCCTCTGCAGCCCCGCTACCTTCCTGTTCCTGAAGGGCCTCTCTTTGATTATACCATTGGCGTCTTTGCTTGACAGGCATCGTTGTAGCCCCTCCCTAACAATCCCCGCGACATGTCGACCCTTAACTTTGCGCTGAAGAACCAAACCGGTTCCAATACGGTTTATGCCTACATCACAGGCCAGGCGATTGACAATAACAATGCACTCGTTCTTCTGCAAGCTGATGGTACCACAGCCTATTACCCAACTTCGCCGTCATCAACTGGGACGGCGCTCGCGGTTGACTGCGCCATTCCACTCGGTGCATCGGGCAGCACGAAGACGGTGACAATCCCGCATATTGCGGGAGGGCGAATTTGGTTTTGCCGCGATAGTAAACTGACTTTTTACCTAAACCCTGGCCCGGCGCTTGTGGAGCCTTCTTCCTCCAACACATCAGACGTGAATTATAACTTGTACTGGGACTTTTGCGAGTTCACCTGGAACAGTTCCCAACTTTATGTGAACATTACCTTTGTTGACTTCGTGTCGCTGCCCATCGCCCTGGCACTGACAAATACATCTGGGACCACGACGACTGTTCAGGGTCTCCCATCCAATGGGCTGGATACCATTTGCACTGCACTGAAAACGCAAAACAACAGTGATAGTGCCGGCTGGGACAAGCTGATCATCACCAAGAATGGGGCAAACTTGCGTGCGGTCTCGCCCAACAACGGCATCAACCTGAACAGCTCCTTGTTTTCAACCTATTACGATGCCTATGTCGACTCCGTTTGGTCCAAGTATGCCAGCGCCACGCTGACAGTCAACACACAAGGAGATGCTGGAGATGTCACCGCGACGGTCTCTAATGGCACATTAAACTTCTCCACCGGTAACATCTCGTATTCGCAGCCCTCGACGGCCGACATTTTCAGCAATAGCTCTGGTGCCTTCGCTAGTACAGGCAATAGCACGAAGGACGCCATCACCGCTCGTCTGGCCGCTGCCTTCAATCGCTCGACAATGTTGACCGTCACCAACCAACCGAACGGAGGCACCGTGTCCAACTACTACCAGAATGCCGTGACGAACCACTATTCTCGGATCTGCCATGCCACCACCCTCGACGGTCGGGGATATGCATTCCCCTACGACGACGTGGCGCCAACCAACGGAACAGACCAGTCCGGTAGTGTTTATGATTCCAACCCCAAGCTTCTGACAGTCACAGTGGGCGGTTCATCCAGCAGCAGCTCCTCGACCAAGAAGACTACGAATCAGGACCAGACCGCGCCGTCCCAGGACAACCAGACGAACACCCGGTTTGCTGGTCTCAAGAAAGTGCTCAGCAAGCTGTCCTGCATGAAGTGATCGGGCGATCGACACGATGGATGTCGACTCCTCGTATTGGATGGGCTTTCCATGGAGGTGGAAATGCTACGTTACGCACACGAGATGTAGATAGGCTTTGTTTTGCTTTTCCGGGTCGTTCTTCCGTTGAGCCTTTTTGCTTTTTTTTGGATACCCAGTACCACTCAGGATATCCGGTTGGAATTCAATATTTATCTGCGTTGCATATATCTACACGCTCTATACGCTCTATTGTATAATTCAAAACGTACAGCATGATATCTCATCAATCTGTGTAATCACTGTGCCACTGAGCCTTAATTCTCACCAGCGTGTTTCCGAATATACGCCGCCACCTGGTCTGGAGCGGCAAGCCAGGGTGAATGTGCGGTGCTGATCTTTTCTGTCTCGATCTTAGCGCCTTTCTGCTGCGCCCGATCCACCATCAGCTGTTGCACAGCGAGTGGGATCGCACGGTCTTCTTCACACAGCAGATATGCAGAAGGAATTTGCAGGTAGGCCGCACTCGTGGCTGGAGCGTTCTTGGTGGCCCACGCGTGTGGACGAAGGGTCTGGGCCCATTGCTCTCCATCGGGGACGTCGTGGAAAAATAATGTAAAGGGGTCATCCGCGGTGACTGTGCCCTCACTTTCCTGCTTGATATCTTAACAGGGCATTGTAGCTATGGATAGTCTATTTTCCAGATGGGTAGGGGAAGGGGTGGGGGGTTGGCGTTCCATAACTTACATTTCGCACATACCAACTCGGTGGGACGCCCCCCAAACGCACCGATCAGACTTTCGCCGACATCCGGGATGAAGGCCGAAAGGAAGACCAGCTTGACGACACCGCCATGCTGCCCAACCTTTTCGCGATCTGCCTTGCTGAGCCCGTCCAGGGCGCTGTTGACTGGTAGGCCCGACCAACTATGAGTGACCAGAATGATATCGCGGCCCGCATCCGCTTCCTGCTGCACGACGGATCGCACAGCGGCGATGTCGGGCTGGAGATCTTGCACGGAAGTCGCCTCTTGAATAGATGGAAAGGCAATCGTATGACAATTGTAGCCATCTAGTCTTTCGATGAGCGGGTCAAATGCAGTCGGTGGGTACCACGCGCCAGGCGAAAAGATCAGAGTAGGTTTTGACATAATGTATAACTAGATCTTCAACAGATTGCAAGATCCGAAGGCAGGTGTTTCTTTGGAAATTGGAGGGGAAACGAAAAAGAAAAACAAATCCTCGCATAGGGCTGAGGACTTATAATTCTGGTAAACAAGACTGCGTCTCAGCCACGCCTCGGTACATCTTGGCACAATGGAGAGGGGAGCTTCTAAAGGATTTGGCCCCCAAGATGGCTTGCGTGGGTGATTGGTGGCTCATGGTATCGGGTGTGAAGCTAGTGGAGAAACGTGGTGGGCGAGCAAATGGCGGACAAATGAAGAGCGTGCACGAGAATAGAAATAACTGGTTTTGGGAAGTAGAGCGTAGCGTGGAATGAATAAATTACGGTACACAGGCGTGGATGTAACATTCAAATTGTCATTGACAAGTCTCTTTTCGAAAGCATGAAGCCATAGACATTGAAGTCAATATCTGTATTGGGCTCTACGGAAGGTAAATTGAACAAAATTCTAGGTCGGATTCAATCTCCACAGAATTTTTATTTGTATTTTGTTGATTGCCACCTCTAATGCTCGGAAAAAAAACTGGTGTAGGAGTGAAGGGCATAGTGTGATCGGATCAAGAGAAACAGTCATCGTAAAAGAAACCCCAATCGACAGGCTTGAATAGTCTCTAGGCATCAAGAGACTCCTCGGGATCACGTAGTAATTCGTGAAGCCTTCCTCCTACTCTGCGCGCAAGGGTTCGGTATGGGCCATCTTCAACTACAGCTCCTTGGTCAAGCACAATAACATGATCAGCGATTTCGATCATCTCCTTCGCATGGGTAATGATGATGACAGTTAAATTGTGCCGCCTCGTAACCAGCTCTTGTATCGTTTTTCGTACAATCTCAGCCCCAGCTGGGTCCAAACTGGAAGTAGCTTCATCTAGAATGAGAATTTGGGGTTCGCGGAGCAGAGCGCGAGCTATGACGAGTCGTTGCTTCTGCCCCCCAGACAAGCCTACTCCTCCGTCGCCAATGATGGTGAAATACCCTTTTGGTAGTGAAGAGATAAAATCCTCGATACCAGCTGCTTGGGCTGCTGTGCGGACATGCTGAAGAGATACCTGATCGCCCAATGGATAACTAATGTTGGCGTATATTGTCCCCGGAAATATCGTTGGTTGCTGCGAGACGATGGCGATTTGGGAACGAAGACTTGGTACATCCAAAACGTGTATGTTCTGGCCACCAAGAGTGAGGACAGGAGGCCCAGTATGCGAAATCGGTGTCTCATAAAGCGCAAGCAACAATGAAGCGATAGTCGACTTGCCAGATCCAGAGCGGCCCACGATCGCCGTGCAAGAGTTTCGGGTAATTTGTACTGAGACCCCTTTCAAGACTACTTTGTCAGGTCTGGATGGGTATCGGAAGTTCAAACCAGTCATTTTTATTGGAGTGAGGCTTGAAACTTTCAGGTAGCCGCGATCCTCATGAGACTTTCCTTTAGGAAGTGTTGCGAGCCGAAGGAGTTGCGTTGCGATTTCACGAGAAGTATTGATCTGGGGTACTATCTCAAAGTGTCAGTACATGAGATCTAGTAAAACTTCAGAGGCTTGATTTACTCCAAGATAATATCTGGGCCGCGTATCCGATGCTGAACAGAAGAAGCGAGAATACCATCATGACATTGTTGACAGTGAATTCAGATGCTGCTAGTATGGCACCGTAGTAGAAAATCAAAGCTGCCGATGCAATTTAGTATCAAATGTTTTGGAAACAGCCCGAACCAAGAACAACTCACCGGTAGCGAATACAACTGTTGACTCAACCATACCGAAGAGTAGCCCAGTGTAAATCGCACGCTTCAATCCTGTTTTCAGGCTTCTAGCAACAGCTTTTGCATGTTTTTGGTGAAAGTATCCCTCTAGCGTCAGTGTTCTCACTGTGAAGATTTCTGTAAAAGTCTCTGTAAAAATTTCCGAATTGATTGCGTTGGCTTCATTGCAACGTCTTTCCCAGATGCCATTGGTCCCCTCGAAGCCTCGTGTAATGACATAGATGACAGGGCCACAAGCGAGAGCGACCAGAGTTAGCTTCCAGCATACAATCAAGCTCCAAATGATTGCCATGACTGTAATTGAAATAGCGACAAGGACAAATCCTGCAAAGCGCCCCAGCAAGTTACGCATATCCTCACTGTTCTGGTCAAGGTAAGACGAGAGCCGAAAAGAGTTGTTGCCATCTTGCTCAAACCAAGCTCGCGGTTGGTCAAGGATTCGCTGAAATGCTCTTTTTCGGAACGTGTTAATCCACGCATCTCCGCAGTACTCGAGAGAGTAGTGCATGAAAAAGGATGCTAGCCCATCCCCAAGCGAGACACCCAGTACGGCCAGTGACCAGGTTCTGGTCAATTTATCTCCGTTGTTTCCCGCATAGAAAGTGCTAAGCAATTGCGATAGGCAGTACGAGAATATTGGTGTTGCACTTGCGTGCATCAGTGATGACACAACTCCCAGGAAGAGAATTGCCCGTTGCTTGGAAGTCAAGCTAGGCCATATGGTCCCCATAATATGAGATAATGGGGTCAGTACTTCTTTTTGTTGGTCCTCGTTCTTTTTCGGCTTCTCTGAGTTGCGATTCAGACTGCGACGCTTTAATTCAGGGACTTTCGGTGAGATTATTGACATGGAATAGGGATCATTTTTAGAGCCCATAGACCAGTCTTCGATCTGCACATTTTCGGTTTCTCTAAAAAACGTCGAATGGTGATTTTTTGACTGATCTAGAGAAACTTCATCCTTTGGCAGATTGAGGAAGGAATATGGTCTAGACTCTAGAATGGCAAAGCTGTCCCTCTCAAGTTGGTAAGCGGACTGACGTTTGTTTGTAATGTACCATGTATTTGAGCGAAAACTTGGAGGGATATGATGCTGTGCCCATGACTGTCGCGCCTTTCGATGCGTCTTTTTGGGCACCATAAGATTCACGTCTGGTAATCTCTCGTGTAGCGATATTTCCCGATCAAAATCACAGTACCCACTGTTAGCTTGTTCCGGTTTCGACGCTTTTGGTCCATCATCGATCCTCTTGTTCAAAGCGAAATAAATTTCGCTGCCGGGTTGCTTTTCGATGTCAACCTTATAGCCATTCTTCACGATGGATCCATTCTCTAGGATATAGACAAAATCATGATCGGTAATTTGTGACATATCATGAGTGATAATGATAGTTGTTTTCCCTTTGCGCCATCGGCGAATTGAGTCCATAACTGCCACACGATTCACAGAGTCCAAAGCGCTTGTGGGCTCATCAAGAATCAAGATTGGCGTATCTCGTAGCCTGGCTCGGGCGATAGCTACCCGTTGTCTTTGGCCGCCACTGAGAAGGTTTCCACCGAGACCAACACACGTATCGAGTCCCTCTGGCAATTCATGAACAGTTCCCTGTAACATTGCAAGATCAATCGAATCTTGTACATCTTGTCTAGTAACAGCGTCATAATCTGGCCGTCCGAAAGCGATGTTGTGCAAGATAGAGTCATTGAACAAGACACTTCGTTGCTCCAGAAGGGTGATGTTATTTCGGATCCAGTTGATATCAAGGGATTGGATTAGGTGTCCATCAATCAAAATCTCACCGGAGTTTGGGAGATAAAACTGCATCAAGAGCTGACATAATGTGCTTTTGCCCGAGCCGCTTTTGCCAATAACGAAGGTTGTCTCTCCCGCCGGAAAAAAGAACGTAGATGGCTGTAAGACATAGTGGTTAGGTTGAGATGGATAGGCAAAAGACACCTAAGAGAAACAATCAGCATCATGAAATATTGCCATGGAGTTGCCAGAGGATAAAACCGACGTTGTTAAATTCAATATCGCCTTCACAGTGCTGAGGGTACTTAGTTCCGTTCATTTCGTCCTTGAAAGCTGTCGATACATGTTCCATGAAAGCTAACTTCAAACCGACGCTGGCAACTTTGCCCTTCTCAAGAACAATCATCTGGGGAAGTACTTGTTCAATTGACTGGGCGGCGGTCAGGCAAGCCCAAAATGTACGCAGGATCTCACCAGATGACAGTTTCCCCTCGCGTGCAAGCGAGCCGCCATACCAGAAGCCCTGAACAAACATTGCGAACATCATCCACCGGATAAAAGCGATTTGCAACGAGTTTAGAACAGCCTGTCGGAGATAATAGGCAGCGGATTCTTCGATTCGACTCGAGAAACTCCGTGATTCAAGTTTCTGCCCATTCAGGCATTTGACAGTGTCAATAAATGTGATCGCATTATTCGCAATTTTAGACGCCTGTGTCAGTTTCTCCTGTTGCTTTTCAATATTGGGCTTCATTCGGGCGGAAAGAAGGGCGATAATCATGGTGAAAATTGGGATTCCTGCTAATGTCACCAGAGACAAGCTCCATGAAGTGTAAAACGCCAGCACTAGGGATGCCAATGATCGACATGAGTACTGCAAAAGAAGTCCGAGGGGTTGCGAAGTTGCCGTCTGCAGCTCATTGATATGGCTATTGAAAGTATGAGACTCTTGTGCTTTAATTAATCGACCGGGTGGTACAACTCACGCTTGAATTTTCGACAATAAAGCGCCAGATCCTTCTTTCTGGGCTTGAAACCATTCCATATCTCGCTTTAGTAGCTTCTTGAAGATACTTGAGCGAACACGAGAGGCTTGAAGTTCTCCAAAGGCGACAAAGGTAGCAAAGTATACCCCATTGAGGAACCATCCAGCAGTTCCTAACCCGACCATGCCCAGGCAATTGGTCCCGACCTTACTTCGGAGTCTGTCAGCTTGAATATCCCCAGCCCCGAAATCTATAAAGCAATCAAAGATGTTGCCGAGAAATATTGCCAGAGCAGGAGTCACGCATCCAGCGAAAAGAGCAAAGATACTTCCTGCGACGAGAGTCGATAGATGTCTTCGGGCTGTGAAGCTGAACAACGATTTCCAGCTTGGTTTGATCCCGGCCACCATTTCACCTGAATTAGCCATGCCGCAATGCAATGCTCTGCGTTTTACGATTGAACAGCCACCGTTTCAGGTTTTCATGGTGCAAGTGATAAATGATCCGTCTCGCAAGAATCACGGTTTCAGCCCATGGTAAGAAATCAAGACGCATAGAACGATGTGAAAAATCCATCACGGGAAACCAAACCCTTTGACAAGCTGTGTTGGCCTAATTGGCCAGAGAGGACAATACTAAGAATTATCCTAATGCGGAAGTATTGATGTTGGTGGAGAACAATAATACTCGACGAGCATTGTTGCAGGGGTCACGTGCTAGCATAGGCACCCTTCAGACTCGACCGCCGACAATGGAAATCAATGAAGTGTATGTTTGAGTCTGATAAGTCTGTATATTCTGTCGAGGTAGCCTAGATATATTGCAGGTGTCTTTTTCAGCACCATGAGAGACAAAAGCCCGCACCGCCAGGCACTCTGAGACGATGGCCACTCTTGACCAAACTCAAAAGGCTGAAATGAATGAAATGAGAGATAGACGTTAATCATGCAAACAAATTTATTTCCGGGTATATTGCCACTTGAAGTGAAGGCCTTGTCAAAGTAAGGCCAAGGCCAATCCAACTTCGAATCAAAAAGATTCTATTCGGATGAAAATTCTATGTCACATCACGGCCATTATCCACAAAGCCCGCCAGATACCGAATTCGCACGATGCTCTTGCCTGTTGAAAACCAGCTTTACAATTCGATGCTGTATTCCGGTGCCAAAGAAAAGGCACATGCCGTCGGTCCAAGAGCCGGGTGGGAGCCAGGTTTGACCATGCAGTCAAGCCCGGTGGAAAGAGAGGGAGGGAGTGCAATCATGAGCTGGTCTTCTGGGCCTTTTCATAAATCCAGTCGTTCAATCCAGCACGGTTACTACATGAGTTAGCATCAAGGTTCAGGCGGGCTAGCTCAACTAATCAAACTTACCGGGCAATCTCGACCGCGTAGAACTGCATCCGCACACCTGATGATTGTAAGTTCATACATTAGCTCACCGACAGGGCGATGCTGGAATGAAGCATCCTCAGCGTAAAACTCACCGAAAATGGTGTTATGCTGCTCATACTCGCTATCCGCACGAGCACGGATCATGGTACCAAAGTTGTAATCCTCGATCTTTTTCTCGAACTTCAAAATCCAGGTGCGCCACTGCTCCTTGCCAGCCTTGCTCTTCATCTGCTCCTCATCGAGGGTGCCAGCAGGGTCAAAATCGGGGAAAGCCTCCTTGAATGAATCGTAGATCTCGTCATCCATCTTGGTGAGGCGCAGCTGAGAGCCTTTCACCTTCTCGAGGATCGCCCAGTACGTCATCAGGTGTTCAACAGCTGCATGAGAAGCGACAGATTAGTCTTTGCTTTTTCTGACAATGCGAAAGCGTAATCCGTGAGACAATAAATATTGAAGACCTCGTCAAGAAAAAGTATTCTACTCACTCTTGACAGCAAATTGCTTCTCCATCTGTGCGAGTTTGTCAGTGACGCCCGTTCTCAAAGTGGTGAGTCAATTTTGTGCGGCATACATCCTCCAGGTTCTCAGCCTGCTCGGGGTCGAAGGGCTTGGACATTTTGGCGATATATGTATAATGGAGCGCTTTGAAATAACAGAACGATCGAGTGAATGGGTTAGGGATGGAGAGCAAGAGTGGGGGAGCATGTTGAGTGCCCCGCGAATATTTTTTTCGGCGGGCGGAGAGAGATACTGCCGGTTCAAACCCACTCCGCCAACGTCATCGCATTCCTGGGCGTCAATAGCTACCACATCTACGGATGATAAAGAAAACGTAGAGAATAAATGCTGAACCGATTGTGCTTAATGAGGACCCAAGATCCCAGAATTGGTATATAATGAATAACTCCGCAAGATGTATTCACTGAGTAGGCGAAGCCCATCAAATCCATCACCACCGAAAAGGCAAAGATCAAGAATTATGGGGTATCTAAAGGGACAATCAAACCTAATTAGTCGCTGTCAGCGTCGTCCGGCAATTCCTCGAGTCTTCCCTCATGAAGTGCTTGTGCCACAGGGTTTTCCACTGTAATCAAGCCATTTGCTCTCGCCCTATCTGAGAATTAGCAATCGTCGCTTGAAGCAGGGTACATGACTAACCTTTCGAACAACACAAAGAGTCTTTCCGCCTCCCGTTCTTTCTCCTCATCAGTCATGGGTGGGCCAGGATCCTGGGGCTCTGCAGCCCAGCGTTGGCCAGTAATTGGGTTAACACCTCCATCCAACCCATCGGCATCGCTTGAAAAGGCTTCACTCGCTGATTGGGGGATCTCCATGCCACGAGAAGCCAAAAATCCAGCCGCAAACCCATAACCAATCCGTCGTGTGAGATTTTCTGCGTCCTTTCCAGACAAGACAAACATGAGTTCCGAAATGCCAGTTTTGAGATTCGGATACGGGCTGGTCGAGAGTTTCAGGAGCCGCGATGCAAGAGTATCGTCTCTCCCAATTGGTTGACTGCGATCGCTCTCTTCAGGTAACAGAAGCCACTGCATATATTTTCTGGGCCCCTCGGGTGCTATTTCATGGATTATTATAAGCGAATGGAGAAGGGGAATAGCTTTCTCTTCGAGCTCCTCCGGTCGGTACACCGAAACTGCTCGGTCAAGGATGTTGATCATCTTGTCCACATTGCAATTTTGGTTGAACTTGGGAAAAAGAGGATTGCTCTCAAAGGTTTTCTCCCTTTTCTCCTCTAAGTCAAGGACAGATAGGCAGTTAATCAGATAACTAACTAATCCGTCCAATGGTTTTGCTGGGATATCGATGCGACTAATAATCTTCAGGATGTGAGGAATAGAGGGAGAAAAGGTGACAGCAAGGTCAGAATAGAGCTTCGAAACATTGAAAATCAGCTTCAATGTGTCTGTCAGAGCTAATTCATCCATTTGTGTCAAGGGGGAGCGGCCGGATTTTGGAAATTGCTTGGCATGGCGACTCAATTGCTGTTGGGGTCAGCAGAGCGAAAAACAACCTCAAGGAGCGGTTGAAAGACACACATAGTTGACATTATCTCCCAAGGAGTGATTTTTGATCAAGATTTCGAAATCCATGGTGCTGTCGTATGTTGACAAAAACAAAATGCGACTTATGACCATTTCGTCTTCTGAGTTATCGGTCTGAAGGTTCGCGCAGGTTAATCTCCATTAAAGCTTCCGGTTGGCGTCTGATGTCGAACCTTGAGTCTTTGGGCCAATTTGCCTCCGAAGCCGGTGTCCGCAAACAACTGGCGCATCTTCGCATCGAGAAGTAGGGCATTTGCAATACAGCGTAGCGCGGCCCGCCGTACATCAGGAGTCTCTCCTTCGACTCCATATTGTGCCAGTATTCCGATTCCCTGCCAATGTCCGTCAGATCATCCATCATATCCAGCGAGCGTGGGAAGGGAGCACAGGGTTGCCCGTCGTACATCGCTGCAATAAATCGGTCCTGCATCGGTAGGGTTGGTACCGTGTTGGCGCAATTGCAGAAGAGCCTCAACCTTTTCTAAGCAATGAAAGGAGTGTGAGATTACTTTTGATAGCAGATCAAGTGGCCTTTTGATTGTTGAGACATACGAGTGGCACTAAGACGTTTCTCTTGTAGGTCTGTGTTCAGGGTATCCAGAAGCCGAGTGACCTGTTGCAGCTTTGCTGGAAGATAGAGTCAGCTCAAAATCGCCGATAACATCCACATATTTCTAAAATCATAATACCTGCGCCGCTCAGCTGGGGAAAGTTCATAGCCATTGCGCCGCTCGCCCGAGTCCAACAAAATCCAGGTACTGGGAGTAGCGGAACGCCAAGAACGCGTAATAGTTCGGGGGCAAGAGAGCTGCGTTCCGTCCTCAACAGTATGATTGAAAGGTTGATTACGACATCAAGAACCAAGATTATGAACGCGCGAAGCAGAAGACAGGATGAGGAAGAAATGCGACGTGACGTGGGGAAGCGTGCAAATCCACCCTAAGAATTTAGACAACCCCACCTGAGCTCTTCCGAGTGGGCTTGCGACTTGTGCGGACAGGATGCTTAGTCATTCCTGCCATCGGGGTGGTTGCGAGTTGGGCGGCCAATTCCCGTGTCGTGCTAACCGTCACATCTGCAAGTAGATAGAGTAATCTTAACTATGGTTATTTTTTCCCAGTGATAAATTTTTCGCAGTGTTAAAATTATTCCTGTTCGCTGTTAACACGGAATTAAAAGTCGACAATCTCCAAATCGGAGCTTTCATGGCCTTGGCCCCCTCACGCTATTTTTGTTACGAAGAAGTTGTCTTCCAGAGATGGGACACTTTTGTGAAAGCCACAGGTCGGCGGCAAGAAAATAATACCATTGGATGGCGCTCACGGACACCCGTCACTTCTGGAGAATAAACTATTCCTGACCGGTGGGTCCGCTTCCGAGGGGGTAATAATGTTGGACAAAGGCCTTCCCTCCCTCAAAACCCGGCTCTTTTTTGAAGGCTGCAGGTCATCTTTCCCCATTAAGGGGAAAGATGCTTGTTTCAACTATTTTATTTATGTGAGCTGCCATTGCCCATGCGTTTTAAATAACGTACTCAGGAAAGCCTTTACTCCAATCCGTACCATAGATTGCGCGGAAGAACCGACGCTGGAGAGTCACTGGATTCCTTTGTCTAGGCAGAAGAGCAATCTTGTATCCCAGACCCTCTTTCACAGGCCGACAGGGCTACAGTACGATACGTCGACTCCTGAAAATATATATACTTGAAGAGTGAGACAATTAAAAGGCGGATAAATATCATCGAACGGTAAGGGTCCTGCAACAATTCTCAAGAATATATACATCGCTGATCTTCCAAACATTTCGAGTGACAATAACCGAAACCCCGATAAGACATTGATCTTGCTGTTGCTTTCGTCCTCAATTGCCTCCGCAAATTCCGCAGATTCACTGGACGTGTCAGAGGGGAATTTATTTTCTGCATGGATGAGCGACAAAATAAGTATTTCTCAGATGTGGCTGCGTACGCTATAGGTGCTGACCGTGCCTGCCAAGAGGGCTGGGACCAACTGTAGATCACTCTGAGTCAATCAATCAATTAATCTGGTTGGCTGCGGAGGCTGCCCCACAGATTAGCGCCGCAGTCGCGCTCACGGAGGTGAAACTCCGATTCATTGGCTCTGCATTGCAGGGCGGGGCTACCACTGCGGCACCCGGATGAAGTCCACCAGCTTTCTACCTGATTTCTTCCCGAGTCCGCACCAAAATCCGTTGGGAGCTCTCAATCAAGATGCAATAGTCTGACCACTATAGGGTAACGCGACATTCCAGGAGTCCGCTTCTGCAGGTCATACCCTGATGATTAGACGAGCACCGTACCAAATCCCCGAGCAGCCTTTTATAAAGAAAACGACCTTTTGTAGAGTTCTTATTGATAGCATTGACTGATTGGATATGTAGCCGCTCAGGCGAAGGGATGACCCTCACTAAGCTTGCCTTAATAGGGCCGCGGTGGGTAAGTGGCGCCAACATCGCTATATTATGGTCCTTTGCACACATTTATTGAGCATTTGGAAGGTATTCTCGGGGCGAATATACCCGAAATCCGGTCATGGAACAGGCTTGCAGTACTATTGATTTTGCAAGGCGAAGATGTGTGAATTTATGCTTTGGGTTACTATATTATTATTACTGCCCGACCCCTTAGCTGAGTTTGCCGCGGCTAGATATGTTTGGACTCTTCTTGTCATTTACTCCGAAATTGCGGTATTTGGGGAGTCTACGACATCTGTCGGCACGAAGGACATTGTCTCTAGCCTATATTAGCACAGCTGCATAGCGAAGTGTCAAGTTTGAGTGTCGTAAGGAACAAAAAGGGCAAAATGTATACATGAGAGAGGGCTGGTGGTTTAATATCATGATCAAGAGTTATCTATCTTTTGGCAGGCCTTGGCTATATCTCGCCTGCTCAAACTAAGCCATTGAGAGGATGACTGGAGAGGACCTCAAGCAAGGTGTGGCTGGCTGAGCTGGCCATGGTCCAGATGGCCTAAGAGGATTGTTGAGCTCCAAAAGAGACGCGAGCAAAACTACGCACAGTCATCAACAGTATCAGGGTAATTTTATATGTATAGATAGATAGAACTGTTAAAATGAACAATCATCAAGACTGTCGAGGAATAATGTTGAACAAAAGGCCCACGCCAGGCCTCATCGACTTACCCTTTTTTGGATAAGTGATTGGTCGCTGCCAGTCTTAGGTTACACTGTCAGTTAAGTTAGCCTTTGGCATGGTCCCAGACCCCGCCTTCGCAGATGTTAGCTATAATATGAAGAATTATTGATGGCGACCTGCTTTGAATTGGGCTGATGGTGCGAGAGGTATGCAAGCGGGCAAATCCTCCTGATTTCCCATCTGTCACTGTAGCTGCAAACCCCTCTTCCCTCTTCCTGCCCACACAATAGGACGGTGTCGGACATGATGGTGATTGTTCATTGATGATATTCCTTGATACCGCGACATGATCGTGAGCTTATATAGACGGCCCTTCACCTAGCAAGTGATGCGGAGATTACGCGGATATTAGCCATTGGTGATGGGTAACGCCGGTACTCCAACTGTCCCATACAACGCAGTCTGCTTGACGGTATACGAAAATGACGAACTCGATACAGAGAAGTAGGAGATCTCGATACTCGACCAACAGCTTCGGCTGTGTCTCACACATCAAGTGGCGCTGAGAGGGCTGATAGACTGGGATTAATCAGCGGCCTGCTCGGGGAGGGTTCAACGGGCTCGACGTAAAATATATACCCCATCGCGCAAAATCCGACAGCCTGTTGCGAAGGAATTAGTAATGGGGCTTTGCGAGCGCTGTGAGCGCTGCGTTGCTGCGGAGGACCGTTGACTCAATGAACGAGAACTCGTTCTTTCGCCTGTCTGCCTCTGGGATCCTCACATTCGGCGCTGAAATGCGAGATGATGCCTTTTCTAGCGCAATTAGCAGCATGCCGATGCGTTGGTGATCTTTAACGACGACAAATCGACCAAACTCAGCTTTGGACTTCTTCAATCGGTGAAATGAAAGTGAAAATAGCGAGCATTGCGACAAAGATCACGCGTTTTCAGCACTTGGCTTCTACCAACGAGGACGTTTATCTGCAGCATCTAGACACAACCCATTGCTTCCCCTCCTTGGAAATTCCTCACGCCTGCAAGTTGGCGCCGGGACAGGCTCTTCAGCGGTCTAAGGAGAATATTTTGCTGCTCGAAGATCCAACTAGAGCGAAATAACTCCAAGATCCATCCACCCACCAAGAACATTATCACTGGGAAGCACACCCGGAAAGCCCGGCCACGGCATGTAATCCTCCGCAGAGACCGGAATCCCCAGGTCGTCAGCTGTACAGAACGGCGCCGCCGAGTGCGTCGGTTGATGCTGAGGATGCACAGGAACGATCGTATGTTCGACGGCAATTCCCCCTTGCGATACCTTCTCCCGCGATGTAGACGCATTGTAATGCCTCTCAAACCACTCCTGAATCCACTGCAACCAGCCCGAGTAATCGAATCCTGTTTTGCGATCGGGCTCCTGAGAAAGTTGTCTCGAGACGCAAGTATCCAGGACGCAGATCATGTCGAGCTTATCGACCAGGGCCTGGACACGGGGTTCGTTCAGGCGCATGGATTTATCCGATGCGGCCATTAGTGCGAGTTTGCAGGATAGAATCAGGCAGAAGCCCGTTTGGAGCCATTGCGAGTAGCTCAGGTAGCGTTCGGTGTTGAGGGCGATGGTTAGGAAGGCGTCGAAGGAGCTTCGCGCCGTTGCGAGGCCGTGGCAGAGGATGTCAACTCGGACGGAGTGAGGGAGCTGGGCGATGCTGTCTTTTTCGAATAGGCTTACTTGGCACAGGTAGAGGTTGACCGTGTGCAGCTGTGCTGCTAGGAGGACTGTTATACAGTTAGCAGAAGCGTAGCGTGTAGGCAAGGGAGTAAACGCACAGTTGTTGTCTGTAAAATGTGGTGAGAGTTGCGCGGTGTATTTTTGGAGTTCACTATACATCGTCCGGAATAAGTGTAGATACGCATCCATATCACCAATAGGGCTGGTGTACCCTGCGGTGGGAATGTTGGGATCTGCAGAGAGGTGATCAATCTGCTCGAAGAGATACTGGAGTCGGACGAGATGGATGAGGGACTTGTCGCTTGCATATTCACCCTTCTCGCTCAGCTCGAGCGCGAACGCCTCTACGCGGGAGGACCATGGGAATGTGCAGGTCTTTTGAGTGATGACGGAGGAGCTTGGTTTGTTAGGAGAGAAAGAGTGCGTTTGGACGGATCGCCTACCATGACGCAAGGAATGAACATCCAACCACTGCCCTCTGCTCGTCCTGTAGAATATGCAGCGGTCGCGCAATGGGACTGATTATGTCGATCGTCATGCGCGGACAGCGTTTGCGGAGCTCGACGGGACGATCCAGCTCCAGCTCCACTACAAGGCTGATCGCCAGATGGAGATAGTTTGAAAAGTCTCGCGGCGCGTGCCGTTTTGGTCCCTTTGCACCCGCTTGATGTTGTCCCCTGAAGCGATCAGACCGTGGCAGGAAACGTGTTTTGAAGAGCTTACCATGCGACTGACACGAGAATCCCCTGTATGGTCTCCAGCGATGCCTTGTGGCAGTGGTCTATTACTGTTCGCTTGACCAAGACAGCTGCAGTTTCCTCGTCGAGGAATCGCTGTAATTCCACATCGCGCGTCACCGAGACAGAGAGGATGGCGAGGAAGAGAAAGGGCTTCTGTTCACGAAGCTCGCTAACGGTCATTTGAGGAGGCACAACGACAAAGGGAAAGTGAGGCATCATTAGCCGACGAAAGGAGTCTAGCAGCGCATCTGCTTCGCCAAGCGTCACAACGCCTCTGTCGATAACGTCGCCGGCGGTTGAGGTTGTGCGCGGAGTGCTTTGGTCATGGTCACTGTGCTGGCTGCAACCCCCGTGCGATTGTTGACCCAGCAATTCCTCGACTCGTCGCTCCAGCGACTCAAGCCGGCTCTCTTTTTTCGACCATGCTTGTCGCATGCGAGCCGGACGGAAATAACATTGTTTGTTCAGGCGCAGACAGCTGGATGATGATCAGTCAGATGTGGAGGGTCTCTACGGCGAACATGAGGGAGACTCACCGATCGCAGACCGTCTCACCAGGCGTGCGCAAGCACCGGATCTTGGCCCTGGCGCAAGTTTGGCACGTTTTGACGCGTTCTGAACAGGCAGACATGTTTCGTTGATTCCTCGCCTTCCTTTTAACCTATACTTCGTATTGCGATGGAGGCGGACACGGACACGGTGTGACCTTTTATATGGCAACCTGGTTTGGGGGCTGAGCGATACGGACACGGACACGGACTCGGAGTCGGTCACTCGGTCTCTTGGCGCGCCCTACTATATAGATAACCCCAGCGGAATGGCCTCATCTCCTGGAGGAAAACCATAGAATTCAATTTAAACTATTATATTGCCATTCATATCTGTTTCTCATCATGGATCCCGCAACATGCTCCCTGGAGACTTGCTCCATCGAGGATGCATATATTCACTATCAACCTTCGATCCCCGGCAACACGATCTACATTACCCTCTTCGGGACTCTTCTCATAGTTCAGGCCGTCCAACTTCCGCTGTATCGCATGTGGGGGTTCTCCCTGTCGATGATCGCTGGTCTATTTCTCGAAGTCCTAGGATATTCCGCGCGGATTCTGTTCCACAATAACCCCTTCAACTTCGATTGGTTTCTCATGTAAGTTCGGCAACGCCAAGACAGACAATTAATGAGGACGCCCATACTAACAGAGATGAAGGAATCTCATCAGTCTCACTCTCGGACCCGTTTTCTTCTGCGCCGCCCTCTACTTCCTCCTCGGTCGGACCGTGGTTGTATACAATGGCGAAGACATCTCGCGTGTGAAGCCTAGGATGTATGCCATCTTCTTCATCTCGTGCGATACGATCGCGCTGGCAATGCAGAGTGCTGGAGGTGCCATCACTTCGGCAGCCGAAGGTGCAGATATGCGAACAACTGGGACAAACGTCATGATCGCTGGGTTGGCATTTCAGGTAGCCGTTCTGACATTGTTCATCTACCTGGGATCCGAGTTTGCCTTCCGCTTGCGCCGTCGGACACGGAAGGCAGAGCGGACTGGGAGCAGTGACTCTGAGAATAGAAAGGATGACGGGTATGCGGCCATCCGCGAGAGACGGCGGTGGAAAGTCTGGATCTTCAGTAGGTTCCCGAGGCTATATGTTCCCATCCTGGGATAAGACTGACTGTGGCAGCCCTCGCTCTCTCAACACTCTTGGTCTATATCCGATCTATCTTTCGTGTTGTCGAACTCAATGGAGGATACGACAGCGAGTTGGCCAACGACGAGGTCGCTTTTATGGTATTGGAGGGAGCGATGATTTCAATCATGTGCATTTGCATGACTGCGATCCATCCTGGATTTGCATTGCAGCGGCGGGGATACAAGCGAGATAGCAATGTGGAGTTGTTGGAGAGGATGCCCTGAGCCTGCGGTTGGGCACGGAGACGGCCAGCGGATAGACTGGAGAGCGGAGGATTCTTTCTTGGTCAGAGCGTTCTTTATCGTAATTGTTTTCCTCCTGTCATTGATTTTCAGCGATCTAGATCCGCCCAAAACGTAATGCGGACCCATACTTTGCTCCTTGCTCTTTCCCGACCCATTCCCGAAAAAGTTCATATAAATCGATTGATCTTCCAGCAGAAGATAGTCCACATAGTTCTGTTTCGATTAAATGCAATACCTATTCCATATTATTCTCCACTAAGCTTGTATTTTATCGAGAGCTAACCTACTTCCGCTAGTAATGTTCGACGACGGTAATTCCTGTCAGCGTTCTTAGCTTGAAATTTAGGGGGAGCTATCCAAGGCTGCGGAAATAGTCTAGCTCGAGTTTCCTCGCAAAGGATAGGATCGGTCCAAATTAGTGCCCATCGCCTTAAGCAGGCGTTAAAGGTAGAGGGGCTATAGGAGATGTCGGGTACAGGGGCCAAGGTTAGGACTCTCTCATAAGGGGCCTAGGATCCAAGTTCGCCAGTGGAAACGGGGGGAAAAATCGTTGAAGTCGAGCGTCTACAGCAGAACGCGAGAAGCGTGACTAACTGACAGTCACGGGTGGGTGCAGAATAAAGATCAGAACAGACGGGCGGTCAAGGAGCAGCTCGCCCGTCCTATAGTTACGGGTGGAAAGGCGGCCGTTTCTGGCGCCAGCGGTTGTCATTTTCGGCGTCGTTTTCACAGGTCTCTACATTCTAGGTGTAAATGCGAAACGGAAACGCGCGGGTGTCTGCCTTGGTGCCTTGGGGCCTTGGTGTCCTGGTGCCTTGATGCCGTGGCGCCTGGGGCGTCCATGCGCGGCCACTTTACGCGATTCGCGACAGGCGCGTCCCCGAACTTTAGTTTTCACTGGCCTTGGTTTACACGCTCCCTTCGCCGTTCACGACCTTGCCTCCATTTGCTCGTCATTCAGCAATGGTCTTTGATCCTTCTGCGGCCTCCTTTCCGTTCCTCCTCTGAACCATGGTGGAGTCCACCCTCGGCCCTCACCCTGCTCGCCCTCCAACTCCTCCCAGGCCTGGTTCACGGATCGACCAAGACAACCCGGAGTCTACAGCTGACGTCCAGACTCCGAGAGACTCGGCGTATGCGACGAGTATCACGAAGGTTTCTCCTTCAAGCCATAGTGCCAAACGGGTGAATTTCTCGCCATGGCTCCATACCATCATTGAGGCGCCCCAATCAACCACCAAGGCACGGTTAGCGAACTCCAAAGAGATCTCACACCCTCAGAGCCCATACTTGAGTGACGGGCGGCCTTTTAAATCGATCTTGAAAGAAACTAGCTCCCCGATCCCCGTTTGGTCACCCAATGTCGATACTTTCACGACCGAGTCACTCGCAATGCTTCTTGCATCAGTGATTCAGCAGTTGGCTGGAGAGTCAATCACATCACGACTCGATGCATATATGCAATTTTTTGGTGCTCTTAGAACATATGAGGGGCTTCCGGGGGGGAAAGATATTGCGGATAAGTTGGGTCTCATCACTGAATCTATTCAGCGTGATGTGAGCCGCGATCTGGTGAACGGCCAACCACTGGATACAAACTTGGCCAACCAGGCATTAAAACTCTCGGCTGCCTTTGTCTGGCATGAGGACATTTCATCACATCTCTCAGACGAATTCCGAGTCTTCTTGGTAGAGCAAGCAATCACTTGCCTCCAAGAGGCGAAAATGCCCAAATCGGTCCTGACACATTACATGTCGATTCTATCCACCCAAAACTTTGGCTCGAAGATCATGACCCAGACTCGGGTCACTCGTATTCTCACATCGTTGCAGGATATAACCAAGCAAGTCTCTGGCAAAGCCATCGCCCAGCACCGCCTAAGCATTTACCAGCGCCTTCTTACTCAATCCAAGTCAACTTTCCTCTCACAACCTTCGACATGGATGGAGCATCTAGTATTTGGCCTGTTGCATCATATGAAGGAAATACGCACAAAAGCAATCGCCCTTGGCTTTCAATTATCTATGGCTGCCGGACCGAATGCTGCTCTATCCAGAACAGTGCGAGACCTTTTTAATCGGCCCCTGGAGAATGGTGGGAAATTGATTACGGAGATCCGCGAACGTATGTGTCGAATGGTTGCATCTGCAGAAACTGGTGTGTTCGTGCCCCAGATTTGGAGTATCATAATTCTTCTATTGAGGAGTAAAAAGTGGAACCTGGACCAATGGGAACATTTCAAGGAGTGGCTTCTTGTCATGCAAAAATGTTTCAACTGCAGCGAGCCCTCAACAAAGTCTCAGGCCATAATCGGCTGGAATCGTTTCGTCTTCGCTATCAACCCTAGCGAAACAACCGGCCGATTGCTGCTCAAGATGCTGGGCAAACCAATCATTTCTCAGTTTGAACGCAAAAAGTCCGACAAGCCAGGAATGGCACCTACTCCACTCGCTCTGACGAGCTATTACAACTTGCTTTATTACACTTTCCGCCCCTCAATACCTCACCATCATCTGGATTTCATATGGGAAGAATATGTCGCTGCTCCTTCCGCTGCGATATTTTCAACAGCACCAGGACTCAGCGATAGCGCTGCAGCTGTCCTTGCGAATATGCTTTGGTGTCCACAAGCGAAAGTTTGGACAGAACAACGGATCACTAACCTTGCCAAGATGGAAGTAGAGGAGCTTCCTTCGCTTGACTCCAGATGGGTTCGCTCCAGGATATCCTCAGTCTTGAATGTTTTTGAATCTCTTCTCAAGTCGTCTGTGTGGATTGACGAAGGAATCGAGAAGTCAAACATCGCTCTTGCCTGGAATAGCCTATCTAGTGCTTTATCACTCGCTTCTAGCAAGGAGATCACTCCTTCAGGGGAATCAATGCAGGCTGTTGCAAGTGTGCTTGGCCTGTTACATCGTCTCTGGACAACGGGGCCACCCTCATTGAATGCATATGGCGAGCACTGTGAGGATATTTTCTTCGAAAGGTTCCGCTATCTATCAACAACCATGATCCTCTCGCTTGGTGGCATTTCCTTCACCGAGAAGCTTCTCTTGAGAACTGCAGATGAGACTTTCCAGGCTTCCCATACATCAACTACTCATCGAAACCCAACAGCCGGAAACAATCTCGATAGCCCCATATTACACCTTCTCCGAATAATCACAAACGTCAAATTGATAACCGAGCCGACTCCTTCATATGTCAAACTTGTCGAGAGAACAATCCATGCGTCTTGCAACGGCCGAGTTACCCGTGGTTCTCGCCTGGAACTTCTTCAACAATGCGCTAATTTGGGCTTTCCTGGGACAGCCTCGCCCTCGCTGTCCAATGATCTTTCGGTCGTTGTTTGGAAATCTAGTGCAGTGGCAGCAACGAATGCATTGCAATCATACCCAATTGACTCGGCCAGGGAGCGTGATGGCTCTGTTTCTCGCGATTATGAAAATGCGACCAAGATTCTTGTTTCCGGCATGCATTTTCCTGGTGCATTCAAAGAATGGTCAGACCTCCTTGAATCATCTGTACGTGTTGTGAGGACTGAGAAGGATGATGAGGTTCTTGTCACATTGGTCTTGGAGCCTATAGCTGAAGGACTCGCTTTTGTACCGATCCATGATGCCTATCTACTAGTCGCATCACTCCTTCGCCACGCTTCGTCGATTCATTTTCTCCAGGAGCCTGGACGGGGATTGGAGAACGCGATATCTCCGCAGATGAGGCTCCCACCATTTCCGCATAAGCTGCTTGCTTCTGTCGGAAGACTTCTCGACTTAACTTACAGCGGGTTCGAGGCTCCTGGCAGTGCTGCTCTCGCTGGATTCATTGAAAGTTTACCTTCTTTCCTTGGGTCTGGTACGGCATTGTTTCGCTCGCAGGTCTTGGAAGCCCTCCAATCACAGTTGGTGCTTTGGATGCGAGATAAAGAAAACAAATTTGGCGTTACTATCCCTGTTGATAGCAGAATTTCAACTGCGGTAAGTATAATAATCTGTCTGGTGTTATACGAAGGAAAAACTGACGTGCTATCAGTGTCACGCTCTGTCTTCTGCTATACTCAAAAACATAGAAGTTGTCGTGGTTGACAATGAATCTTCTGTAAGACAATTCGAGGGCATTATCTGCGCTGGCTTGGAGTCAGAACATATTCCAAGAATGAAGCAGTTTTTACATTTTTTCCAGTCGGATTATGTATTCTCAGATGCTTTTGACAGCGCCACTACATTGGGCAAAACGTTTTCTAGGACAATGTCCAGGCTCGGGTCACAGTCTCAGAATAACATCGAGGTACGTATATCCTATATCTTCCACTTCATGTAATTAATTTTTGGGCTCCCAGGACGCAATCACATCGCATTCCACAGTCCATACCCAATCGAGTCATAAAAAGCCTGCGGATGCCACCGAAAAGCGGGCAGTCGCCATCAATTCACCGCTCCCAGGTGACGGCATGGAGGCATCTGAAAATAGCGAAGTTGCTGAGCCTTCGTTGCCCACGAACTGTGATGCAGCTGTACCCGAGGCACCTATCACATTCCAGAAAAGCCGACGGGAAGTATTTCGCATGATAGAATCCATACGATCATCTTCCCCCGCCAACACCCCGGGGAAGCTGGGATTCGACACACCTGTCCATTTACGGAGGCTCCATGCCGCACATTCTGGCATTCCATTGACACCGACGCTTGTGCCAACTGAAAATGAAGAAGGCTTTATTGGTTCATCTCCCACCCCAGCAACTCGGGACCCGACACCGGCAATGAACTCCGACGCTTCGGCTCTCAAATCTCAGGATGTTACAATGAATGATGCCGCCGATATTCCTTCCTCACCCCCTGAAATGCACACTCGGAGCCCAAGCCCCAAAAAGCAGTCTCGTCGTGAGCGGCGGAGGTCTGCAAAGGCTCGGAGAGAAAGTTCCCGCAGGGCCGTAGAGGGCCAACCTCCTACTGACAGCACTATTAATTCTCTGCACATGGGCGAAGACATGCCAAGCATTTCCAAGGACAGTATGTCCGGTGAAACAAATGAGAACACCAACACCGCGTCCCAGGCGCATGAGCGGCCATCCAGCCGTCGACTTCGCTCTGGACTGGGTCAAACTTCAGAACATGATGCAGGCTATGCACCAACCCCATCAGCGAGTACACCATCTCAGCCAACGGAAAGCTTTTCTGCTTCTCGAAACACTAGATCCAAATCAGGGTCAAAGAAGAAGAACAGAAAGTCTACATCCAAGCCTGAAAATGACGCTGGTGAGCAAGCTGCAAAGCCTTTCGATGCACCATCCACCTCGGTTACTCTGGAGTGTGATCTTGATTCTTCCACCGAGGAATTGGAAACGCAGATTGCATCGCAGCTTGAACAAGACTTGGAACTCGCTGTTGATATGGGTGTCAAGACTGATGAAAATCCGTCTACCCACAAAAAAGCCGACAGATCAAAAAGCAAAAAGAGAAAAAGAGAAGAAGATCACACACAGACCTCTGTCAAGGAACGACGTCGATCAACAAGACTTTCAACTACGCAAGACGTCATGGTTGTTGATTTAGAAGAACTTGATGCTACCCAACCTCATGCTTTCCCGACGTCTGAACCTCCTCAACAGGCCGTCGTTAGGCCAACTTCGACAACCCCGCGCCGGTCAACTAGGAATTCCCAGCGGAGGGGATCCGATGCAACCGTTTTCGAGGTATCTCCCTTGGCAACTAGGATTTCAGAACCTATCCAAGAGGAGCCTGCCAGGAAAGAAGAAGATTCGCGCCAGCCCTCGAAGCAATCGCTTCAGTCCCTTTGCCTTGATGAGCCGCTTACCCCGGATATCATCGAAAAGAGTTTGAGTCGTCCGAGATCTTCTCGTGGACATCGTTCTCGAAAGAGGCGTTCAGGTCACACTGGAGCGCAATCTGATGAAGAGCGGCAGCCAGAAACAGAGCTGCAAATTCACGATAATGATCTACTCGATAAGCAAAATGATTTGACGGATGCCGAGGCGGGGGGCATCTCTCATTCCCTTAAAAAGCTTTTAGGAGATATGAAGTCGGCCAAGCTGGGACCAGACGCCCTTCGCGAGGTCGACGACCTCCTTTTTGATATCCGCGTGGAAGCCCACAATGCATCACGGCGGCACAGCAATATAGCATAGCGATGGCGTTCACGACTCAATTCATGCTTTGTTTTACATCATTTTTCTTACTCGATCTGTCCTTATTCCCCCCTGCATCTTACATTTCCAAAACCAATAGCGGCCATTGCATATGTGTCTCCGTCGTTTGTTTTCGGGGCATGGCTTTACTTGCATTTCCGTACTTCACTTTCCTTTTTTATCCTGTCATGTTTTACTGATGCTGCTTAATGGGCCTTTCTGAATGAATCTACATATTCGGTGCCGGAACACATGAACAATCGCCCATAGGACTCGAATTTTCCGATGTCAGAATAATCTATGTAGAATAGGCCTCCAGCTAAAGAGTCACTGCAACTATGGCATTCAAGGAACCTTCGACCGTGATATTTACGTCGGTTCGCCACGAACCCCACTGAGGCGATGATAGAGACCGCCTTTGCCACTGAATCAAAGATCTTTAGACAATGACTCCATATCTAGGGGGAGAGCTTCTGGGCTTCGTTTGCCCACAGCTCTAAAGGGGCGTAGATGGCGAATGACGCCGGCGCCACCGCTCACCATGATATCGAGTAGAACGCTACAGTTTACCCAATCTTCTTACAAACACCCCCCTCCAGTCCCTTACTATTTGTTATTTTTATGATCCCTCGTCTGATACTCCCTCGTCTGATACTCCCTCGTCTGATATATCGGTAATATCATTGAACACGCAGCCACAATGACTCAATTTATGATGCAGGCCGGTCTAGCCACCGGGATGTCCGCGACAGAGGGCGTGAATTCACCACATGTGAAGCCCATGGACTCACACCTCAGTGAACCCGCCTACGTGCTGCCAGCTGATCTCGTTCCTAACTCACGCAGTCGAATTGCCCTCCACGGATATGGCGGCAAGGACGTGCTCATCCCGTACATGAGCATTGGAACCTGGGCATGGGGAGACAAGGCAACATTCGATTACGATGCAACCAGAGATCTTCCAGCCATCCATAAAGCATGGGAAAAGCTCAAGTCCGTGGGCTTGACTTTTGTAGACACAGCTCAGTCGTATGGCGACGGAGAAAGCGAGCGCATCTGCGGTACCTTATTCAAGGGTATGCCACGCGACAGCTTTGTGGTGCAGACCAAGTGGCTCTCGGTGCCGGACATGACCAACACGGTCCTGCAATCCGGCGCGCCCAAGGCTAAGCTCAAGGCCTCGCTCGCACGTTTGGGCCTCGACTATGTCGACATCTATCTGGTGCATGGGCCCATGCATCCCAGCTTGATCTCCACAGTCGCAAAGGGTATGGCCGACTGTGTGGAATCGGGCATGACTCGTGCCGTGGGAGTGGCCAACTATGACACCAAAGAAATGATCCGGATGGCCGACGAGCTGGCGAAGCATGGCGTGGCTCTGGCCGTGTCCCAGTGCGAGTACTCTGTCATCCGCCGGATGCCCGAGGCCAGTGGCATGATTCGCGAGTGCAAAAAGCGCAGTATCTGCTTCCAGGGATTCGCCTCGCTCGCGGAAGGTCGGCTGACTGGCAAGTACTCACGTTTCAATGAGCCCCGACGAACGCTGCGCTTCAGTAGTTATCCAATGCATATGCTCGAGCCGACAATCCAAGTGCTGAAGAGCATTGCCGAAGAGCGACGTGTGCCTGTCCCTGCTATCGCGTTGAATTACTCCATCAACAAGGGGGTGGTGCCGCTTGTCGGCGTACGCGACGCCGAACAAGCGGAGCAGGACATGCAAGCGCTGGGCTGGCGATTGACGGAGGACGAGATCCATCGCATTGAAGCCGTGAGCATTCGGGGAAACACCTCGTTAATGATGCAGCATGGATAGATCTATAGCTAGGGTTAGTCACGTATAGGAACAATGATATTCTCCAAGATTCGTCCGGGTGCGGAAATGTATTGGAAGGTCAACGCGCGAGTGGGGCGAGCTCCGATCCCCCGCCATCATCTCATCACGCATCACGCATCGTCCCGCACTTCCACTCCGCCTTCCTTCTCCCTTCCACTCTAACCAACCTCATCATGGACCGCTCCAAGAAGCCTTCTGCTATCGGCGTAGGAGCCTCCCTCCCACAGCCCACCGTCTCCACCAATGATGGAACCATCGAAGCTCGCTTGCCCTCCGGCGAGTCCGTCACGGTGTACCTATACGGCGCCACGGTCACCTCGTGGAAGGCCAATGGCCAGGAACAACTGTTTCTGAGCGAGAAGGCTCATCTCGATGGCTCCAAGCCGATTCGCGGTGGCATTCCGCTTGTTTTTCCGGTATGATTTTTTGAATTCGACGCTTCCTCGATGCCAATCCTCACAAGCTAATAATCTTCGTGCTTCATGTCTAGGTCTTTGGCCCTCCTCCCCAGAACCACGCGACTTCCCCGCTTCCGCAACATGGCTTCGCCCGTAACTCCATTTGGGAGTTCCTCGGCAAGTCGTCCTCAGAGTCTGGTCAAGGGGATTTCTCAGTGAAGCTCGATTTCGGTTTGTCGCACGCCCTGTTGACCGAGGAGTTCCGGAAGGCATGGCCATACGAGTTTGGCCTTGTCTACAGTGTCACGCTCACCAAAGACACACTGGCAACCGCTCTACAGGTCACCAATGAGGGCAAGGAGAACTTTGAGTTCCAGGTGCTGATGCATACTTACTTGCGTGTCGAGGTATGAATATCTTAGTGCTGCCTTACTTCTCTGGGTCCATCTCATTAACCGCAGCAGGACATCTCAAACATCCGGGTCAAAAATCTCGAGTCCAAGACCTATGTTGATAAGACCCGTAACGCATCCTCCCACACCGAAACCTCCCCCGCGCTTGCTATCACCGAAGAGACCGATCGCGTCTACCAAGATCTCGACCCTGCCAAGCCAATCGTTGTCTCCTCTGCCTCAGATAACAACCCCTTGTTCTCAATTTCTCGCGAAGCTCTGGGCGATGTCGTGGTCTGGAATCCCTGGATCGAGAAGGCGAAGGGAATGTCCGATTTTAGTCCAGATGAGGCATACAAGAACATGATCTGTGTCGAGGCTGGATCTGTCGCTACATGGCAAACTCTGGAGGCTGGTGACTCCTGGTCTGGCGGACAAATCATCAAATCCCGTCTGTGATTACAGCTTATGGCAGCCATCCTCTGAAATCGGGATTCCCATTCAGTATGCATGATACGTTATGACCTCAAGGTGCTTCATTATTTCGTGAGCTTCTTAAAATGAATAGAACTCCATCAGTCTCTGACTATGGGTGGCTTCTTGTCCTAATGGATACTGATAATGCGGCGTAGTCGAAATCATACACATTTGGTGCTCTCATTGCTATAAACATTCGTGAGAGCGCACGCTATACTCTCGAAAAAAAGCATCAAATGACATAAATATACAATATATGACATAATATCAAAACAATCATCGAGACAAAAACAACCCCCAAACCACCCTGCAGTCATACAAGTCATGCTTCATCACACCGTTTTTTTCGTAGATCCGCTCACCTCACATGTATATGATCATCATGACAAGATGTAGGCGACGGACTCGCAACGTCAATGAAAGAGCGGCGTCCCTCCTTGCCCGTCTGGAACGCGCTCAATCTCTCCGCGGCCTCGAAGCTATATTGGGGGCCCTGATATTCATGTCGGGCCCGGAGAACCCACCACAGCGTTGTTAAAGCCATCAAGCCTGCAGCAATAACGCTGGTGTAGTTCATATTCTGCGCGGTGGCGGGAAGAACGAGCGGGAAGCAGAAGAAAACAACGGTGACCAAGATATACGCCAGCGCAGCAACATTGACCACCATGCCAAGTTTCTGGCCCATATAGAAGGGCCCAGGGACCATGTTGCGTCGGCTCGACAGGACGTGTGGCAGGATGGCGCCGAAGTAGGAGAGCGTGCTCAGTACAATGAAAGATGATATGAGCGCCTGAAAGGCCGTGGTGCTGCCGACATAGATACATCCCAGACAAGTGACAAGTACGCTCATGGCAACTGTTGCGCGAACGGGGCAGTTGAGATTCGGATCCACGTGAGCAAAATAGCTGGCGAAGGGAGTCGCGTTGTCTCGAGCAAGACTCCACCACATGCGTCCGCCAGTGACGAACGTTCCGATCAAGGTTGGGAACGTGGCCAGGAATAGGACTGCTATGAGGCCAATTGCGCCAGCATTGGAGCCTGTGGCCTGTCGATAGATCTCGGCAGTGGGGAAGAAGCCAATCGGACTGCGGTATACCGCGTCGAGGTCTTCAATAGCATAGAATAAGGCCACCAGGTAGACGAAGGAAGAGACGAAGGCAGTCAGCATTTGCAGCATGATACCCTGAGGTACCTTTAATTCGGGCTTCGGCACTGTGGAATGGGACATTAGCCAGCTGGATACTCCCTATGCTTTCGGTTCTATAGTCCTCACAACATACCTTCCTCGGATAGATGGCTGATACAATCAGGGGTTCCAACTGCAAAGGCAGCGTTCAACAGTCCTGTCATAAAGCAAACCCCATCGGACCATCCACCAGTCATATTATGGTATTCCTTCCAGACCTGGGCGCTGCTGGCATGCTGCTTCGGCATCACAGCAAGCACGATTACCGTCACGACCAGGCCGCACATTGATAGTATGAGAGAGATTCGATTGATGTGAGGGATGAAGCGATTTCCAAAGCATACAATGGCGCAGCAGGTCCAATTGACGATTTGAAAAACGATGAAAACTTGCCACGCATGCCAGTCAACACTCGTGTGTTTGAGAAGGTACATTGCCACCGCTTCATTCCCCAGCATCGAGCTCATCGATGACGCCGACAACAGCCATGCACAGGCGTTCAGGTAACCGGTGAAGAATCCTGTCCTGCGACCATGATTATGACTTATCACAGAGGACCAGTAGTATACGCCGCCCGCAGAGGGCATGGACGAAGCCAATTCTGCCAACGACGCCGAAATTGCAGTATAGAAGATGCTAACAAGTACGAGACCATAGATCACGGCCATCGGACCGCCATTTTGTAGGGCGACAACAATTGTCCCTCCAGTCGATGCCCAGGAACTTGAGTTGGTCAGATTTCTAGATTCACATCGGATCAAGAGCACTAGGGACCTACTTAGCAATCACAATACCCAAGCTTGTCAAGCTCCACAGGCCGAAATTTCGCTTTAACTCCTGCTTATGACCCAGAGCAGCCTCCAGACGAACCTCATCTATTTCTCCTTTGGTCTTGAGAGGCGTTACTCCGTCTTGGAATGGTGTTGGGGGCGCCGACATCGTCATGTTGTTCTCTGTCCAGTGCGAAATTGCCAGGGGCCGAACATGTGGCGATCGGAGAGATTAAGAAAGAACGGAGGAATAAACTCCTCAAAGACGAGCAGAAAAAAGATTCGTAAAAAAACAAGGAGAGCCCCCGCTCCAGGAACATGACCCATCTTCTTTTTCCACCGGGGCGAATTTGGCTTTGCAACCTCAGGAATGCTGTATGTGAGGGTCGATGCCCATATGGCAGCCACGTGTGGGGGCATGGGTTTGACGCGAAAATCCTACGAGATGGGAATGATCAAGATTCGATTTCTTCCTACACTTCAAGAATAAATGCCGCTAGCCCCTGCGCCTCTGTTCTGGGCAAATTTGGAAGGCCAATCTGCCGGAGTAAAAACAACGGCTATTGGCAATAGGCAAATCGATGGGTGCAGTGGCTCATGCACACAACTGTCAGTAACGGGGTCTGAACTCGAAGAAACAAGGGATCTAGTATTGTTGCTTTCGGAGTACACCGGTTGAATCAGATCCCTGGCCCTCTGCTGACCTTCCTAAAGGCGTGTGCTCTGATGTGCGATGCATCTCATGCACAAGCAAGGGGGATTGGGATTTGGTCCACTCCGAGGGCCTGGATTAGGCCTACTTGGCGCCGATCAACTAGGATCATCCAGGCGCATACAACAAATCGAGAATGACCATGGTACACGAACGCAAGAGAAAAATATATCTCCTCGGAGAGTATGAAAGCGATTGTAATCGTAAGGATATGTGGTCCATAATCCTTGGGGGGGGGAAAATCCACCTAATTGGCTTATTCCATCCAGCGCCTCGTCATACTCAGCTTCTCTCTCCCATTATGCCGCCCCCCTTCCAACATTCCTGTCATTGGAATGCAGTAAGTGCATCTGATTGGTTCCACACATATCCGTTGACCCCACTATGGCTGATCTATATGGCCTTGCTTGATCGATCGGATTTACTTATGCGACCGCGGGAGGAGAGTTTAATAGAACCATGCAATAACACTCGACCTGCTTCAAGTGGAGACTACAAGACACATCGATCGATAGAGTTCATTCCCAATGCAAATATACCCGATGAAAAGAAAAGTTTGTCAGTGTACATGAGAATGAGACCCTTCTAGTAAACGTTATCAAAAGCCGAGGTATCTTCCCTCGCTCAGTCCACTGTATGATTTATCAAATACATACTAGTTGCTTTGATTTGAGAACATGCAAGTCTCCCTTTTGAGACTCTAGTACTCGTCATAGTCACAAAACAGAGCCCTGTGAAACACCAATTCTCGTGTTTCTTGATCGAATTTATGAGCTGGCAAGACAGTACTGTATATTTGCAGGAATTTCAAGTCGACATTCACCCAAATCGCGAAGAAACTCGTCTCCTCGCAGCATCGGCAGCTGGACTCACTTCGTGCTTCGGATATCGCGCATAATCCCACTCTGTTCGGGCCGGAGCTCATTCAGGATGCGCTGAGTGCAGACTCCTCCACGCATGAGGACGTTAGCTTGCTAGACCCGGTGTATACGGCGGATATTCTGAATGATTGGCTTAGTGAGCCGCCGTTTCCGAGGGAGAGGTTTGATATGGAGCCAGGGAACTTTTAGGTGCTCTGGGGCCAGGAAAGGATTAGGATAGATGTTAGGAAGAGGTGCTGGCAGCACACTTGACAGAGCAGAGCGATTAAGAAATATATCCGTAAGTCTGAGTGAGATTGTGCCCTTCTATATCTTCATCCAAGTGAGTGTATGGGTGTGGGCTCTATTTTGCAAGCTTACTATTTTCAGGCTACTGTCCACTTCATCAAAGAAAGAGAAGACAACTAGTTTGACTTCCTGTGGACATACAGTCCATGTCTTACTCCCTGTTTGGTAGAAATGCGGCATGTCTATAGTCTATACTCCGCCCCTTGGGAGAACTAGCTTTCGGTCAGAGTCCGCCACATCTCATCCTCCACAAGGACATCCATATGATCCCTCCGCAGCATAACAATAACCTCCACCCCTTTCTCCCCTTCACCTCTCCGCCTCGGCAGAACAATGACAACCCCATCCGCCTCCATATAACGGCAAACGCACAAAACTTGGCCCCCCAAACCCGGTCCAAAATCAACCTCGTACAGCCCGAAATCAGCCCACGAAGTGATCGTCAGGTCCCCCGAGTTGAACAAGTCCCAGCCTACAAAGAGAGCGCCGGGGTCACCCGTGTGTGTGGCAAGCTCGTGGACCTCTGCGATGTGGCGTGCGTCAATTGTTAATGGATATTGGGAGTTGAGGATTGTGGTGCAGATTTCCGCGAGGGAACGGATGGGACTCTCGTCCGCCGCCGTGAGTGCCGGTGTGGAGAATTCGGCGAGGGCGTAGATGATTGCGTTGCCTAGATATGGGGCGTCGGGTGGGGAGAATGCTAGTGGTAATCACTGGCGCGCATTTACTGCTGTTACCAGACGGCTGGTTTGATCGATTTCCCTCGAGAGGCTCCCGGATTTTGTTCGGACACGCGTGATTGTGGTCCAGAGGAGTGCGTTCAGGATCGTGTTTGTTGAGGATGGTGTTGATGTGTGTTTGGCCAGCAAGGACTTTAACGTATCGATCCAGTTAAGTGAGACTGTAAAGAGCTTGCATGCATAGGAAGAAAATGTCTCGGGGACAGCGGGAGGGAGTCTCGAATACTCGGGGTGTTTCTCGAACAGCCCGTCTGTCGAAGTGGACAATGTCTCAGCGAGGTCATCCGCAAGCGCCGCCGTGAGGCGCTCGCACCTCCTCTCAAACGAGCTGGGAATGGCCCGGCCAGGCTCTGCGATAGCCCTTCCCCAGTGTCGTATAATCTCTGAGAACCCTGCGCCATCGACAGCGTTATGATGCATGCAAATGCATAAGCCGAGCCCTCGATCCGCGAAGCAGAACGTACTTGCCGCGAAAACAGGGGCTCCCGCTGTGTATGGAAATTCGTCTATCATACCGAGCACCGGCCATACGGTCTCTGGAATTGACTCGGGTTGTATCCCGTTTGCGGAAATGGTGTCGTACGAGATGTCTATCGTACCCTTGTCGATGAGAGTTGGCGTAGTGTGTCCATACCATCGGATCTCGAGAGAATACGGTTCTCCAGCCGCTGAAGTTCTTGGTAGGACTCGACCGGAGAGCCACGGGATCTCCTTTGAGATAGCATTGAGCCCAGACTGCAGAAATTTGGTACTTTGTGCGCGTTGGTTTGTTGCATCTTCGAAGACTAGGACAACCCGGATGTAGCTCCGCGGCATCAAGGCATCGATAGGGGTGAGCCCCTCGATGGAGGTTGAATGGGTCATACTATCCTCAAATACTGCGAATAACTCATAAAAATGGCCGGAGCGTATTTTATTGATTCGGGCAGGATTTATAGTGAGGGATAGTATTATGCAGGCTGGCTGTCCGGTGCCGCGGGCCCGAAGTGCCGTAGGCTTCCCACCACGGTGACATTCATTATCATATTGATATTCGACAATATCCTCTTTACTGTGATACAGTAACAGCGTGTTAACGAATGTCTTTAGAGCGGGCTTACCTTTTACTTTATAGCAGCATAATCGCCGAGGGGAAGTTGTAAAGGTACTACTTGTCAGCGTAGTAGGCTGTCCGCATATTTCCTACATACGATTTGCGCGCGAAGTTGGCCCGATTACCATCAAGTATTATGAGCTCGGTTGTTCTATAACAGAAGTGATAGCGTGTTAGGTTCTTAACGCAATCCCTAGATCTAGTGTTTAGTATATTTGTATTGCTTGGAAATTATAGTTCCCTTGGGTCGCTAATACATTTACGAGACAAGGTACCGTAATAAATGAGAGTAAATAGTAGTATCGAGACTAGTACAGAAATATTGATATTCCGGGGCTATTCTGAATATCATCTAGTGTCTCCTGGCGGTGAGCCTAGGAAATCACTCACAGAGTGGAAGCGGTTGCACCGATTTTGCAACGAGGCTTGTTTGTTTAGAGCTATTATGAATATGGGTTTCGGACAAATTATGACTGTTAACTAGAGGGTATATCTTCAAACGCAACGGCGCGAGAGTTATTTTATTGCAGCAAGCACAGCCAAGAGAGCCTTTTTTAGGATGACGCCCTTGTTGCGATAATTAGTCTTTCAATGCGCACGACCATAAGATGGTGTATCACGATAAACCAAGAATGCCTGCTACTATGATCATTTTTGCATCATTTTTTCTATATGAAAATAGTGGCGAATGATGATCGAGGCAATATAAAGAAGCCAATTATGAACTTGGGAAATGAGAGGTCTCGGGTGTTGTTGCCGTTTCATAGGGTCTTTAATTCTGTGGCATCAGACTATCCAAGCCTTGGCTTCTCAGACCGTAGAATAACTACTCACTAGTCAATTCAGGTCCGAGTCTGACATCTTAAATTTAGAATTTTGGGCTTGACTATCGAATTCTGCAACGTGATGAGACTGATCACACCGAGTTGGTTGCTCATTAAATTTACCAATGGAAAGAGCGTAGGCAAGAATGCTGAAGGCGCCTGTTGCATGTACGTACATAGTGAACATTGATTTGAGACGTTCAGTCCTGTGGGATCCTAAAATTGACGCCATGGGCATGTACATATTCTATGGATGAAGTAGACCTGAATGGACATCAAGTGCTCTGCTCAGTAAGCCCTACTCAGCTCGGATATCGCGTTAAGGTAATTCAGAACTGTCGATCCTGCCTCAAATAATGTGTCTAGCATTTCCTTTGGGGGGCTATTGGGACTTAGCTTGGCTCACTTTGCAGATCAACGCTCCGATAATCACCAATCAAATTCCGCGCCGCAAGGTTTACGCGCCCGCTTTGGAATCTGATCTGTCACTCTGATTGTCATCTCGATTGCTTTGACTCGAGGGGGCGCAGATCATTGAGTTCTCACCATCGTGAATACGGAATATTCCGCCCCTGTCTACTAGCAAATAAGGGCTATATATCGGGAAAACGATCGAGTGCAAAAAGATGTTACACAGGCCCCAAAATTTCGTTTTCTTGTTGAAGGCGCATTCAGATAAATACCTTGTTATACTTTGTGGTGTGGCACCAAGAAAAAGCAATATGAGAAGGAAGAGATAATTCCGAGGCCTGGATCCCTGTTGAATGTGCTTTTTCGCCCTTGTACCGTGGGCTCATGAGATCTTAATGGCAAAAGAAAGATATAGTGAGGAGTCCGGCGATGCACAGTACTATTGATCTCCCATTACGATCTGCATTCCGAAGCCAACTGCCATCTAGCTGGCAAGGCGGTTCTCTGCATCCCTTGCGTCGTGACCCATTTTCTCCTTGCGTTTTACTGGACCCTCCAGCCTAGCACTGACATTTGAATGATGGGGGTGCGTGATGTCGTAGCCTTGGTTTGCACTGGTTGTTCGTGTTAAGTTTCCGATACCCAAGAGTTTATTCGTGCTCACCGACGATTGAGAAGCGACTGCTCTCCAGCAGCAGTCTTATCGGTGCAAAAGCACCGTTTTCTCTTTGGAGCTCACTCTCCCATAATCTCTTCAATTATGCCTATTACCAGCCTCGGAACCGATTCAAGTGCTATCATTGCTTCTTTCCCGGTACCTATGGCACAATATTCTTTCACCTCCCTAAAGGCTTGAAGTCTGCCTTCCCCAGGGAGCAACATTTACTCCATCCATCAGGATGGGGAACACCTCACCTACACCACATCAGCTTCTTGTAGAAGCTTTGATCTTTTGGAGCATAGGTGTTGTCCTATACATTGGCCGAATGTATGAGCAAGCCATCCATCGCTGTCAAATTTCGCAGCGAATCTATATGCTGATGAGAAGACAGGATCTCGCGGATAATTGCGAATGGATCGATTAAGCGGTTATTCTGTACGAATTCACCTGTTCTTTCTTCTGGCCCGACAGATAGTTGAATACTGACTACTTATATCACGGTTCAGGGGATGACTATGTTATGACAGGAACTTTCGTGAGCTTACCATCTCATTCAGGCTATCCTTCCGTGGTGAGGAAATCTTGCACTAAATCAAGTTTATCTACCACAGATGATATATACCACGCTCCTTGTACTGATTCAGATATCTGCACGCTATGCAACGAATCTTATGGACCCCAAAGACTACGGCCCGGTCTTATCCGACCCAAAGCAAGTCAGTGACCGCATTTACGGGAGCAAAATTGTGATCGGATTAGAGCAATGCATGCTATTCTCGACCTGGGGCGTCAAGATGTGCATGTTGATACTGTATTGGAGGATCACGCAAAACCTGCGCTCTAATCTATACATCAAAATTTTGTCAGTGTATGTGGCATTAGGATTTGTGGTCATCATGATCACCTATTACGCAGTATACTGCCGCCCATTCGAACAATACTGGGCGATGCCCGTCGAGAATATGCAGTGCGCGACATATCAGTACTATTCCATTACGCAGGCCGTGTTCAACATATCCTCGGACGCTGTGATGTTTGCCATCCCGATCCCACTTCTCATCAAAGCGCAGCTCAAACGACGACGAAAAGTCCTCCTGCTTGGGGTCATGAGCCTCGGCCTCTTTACGATAGTGGCTGCCATCTTGAATAAGTACTTTAACTTCGCATCTCCATTGACGACAACCTACCAGATTTGGTATATACGGGAAGCAAGTACTGCAATCTATGTTGCAAATTTGATGTGCTGGTGGCCGCTCCTCCGGAAACTCTTCGGTCTCAAGGCATTTTCATACAATAGCAACCGTGGGAAGCGCGTGGGTCACGGTAACAACCGGAACAAAGACGATAGTACCTACGGGCCCGGATCACAATCGCGCCCATCCTTCTCCCTGCCACGCGCTTTAAACTTTATGCGATCTGGGATGCGAACAGCAGCGAACGGCGCGCACCTTGCTCGGCACGACAATGAACATCGCTCTAGCCAAGAGGCGATTACACAGGCTTCAAGCGACTTCATGGATGATTTGCATCGGGTTGAAGCGGTACCGCTTGAGGAATGGAATAAGAAAAACGACCGGGCTTTCAACATCGAGGAACAACGGGAAAGGGGGACGAGTCAGGAATCTATGTCGATGTATGATGCTGAACGCTCCAAGGGTCCATTGCAGAAAGACCATATTCCTAGCAGGTATTGATGACATTTCGAAACCGAGTCGAACCCAGTGCAAAGCCTTATCTTTGGTCTTGTGGCCTTGGTTTCTAGACGCTGTTTGCTGCTTTTGCTTTTCCCATTGCTCTGGCCATTTCTTTTATACCCGAAGCGAATTAGTGTGTCTCAATATGGGTTCCAAGGAAAAATCAAGATTTCTTTCCCACACAATGTATGCAAGCTATTATGATAAGATAGAGGATAGTCGATAGAATTATAAACAGACCAGGTATCAGAGGAATGTCAACCATGGTTCATTTCCCCAGAAAATGCCGCAAACAGAAAGCCCGGGTGGGGGTCAATACCCAGTTGTGGTAGATATCCCGTTACATGAGCGCCGATGATCCAGTGGTATGATGTTACCCTCCCATGTGACAGGTAGATACCCGGGTTCGAATCCCGGTCGGCGCATTTTCTTTTTTATCATTTCTGATTTTTTGCTTGTTTGATGTTGGAAAAAAATCCGTCATAACTCTGCTGTAAGTCCTTCTTAGGATGGAGATTGGGAATGGGGCTTGATGGTTAGCATTTTCACAATAGTTGGAATAAGCATCCATCTATCCATCTTTCCTACGTATATTGGCACCGTTGAGATAGATATTGAATCTACGTAGTTCGAACATTCCAACAATCCCGATGGTTAAGCAGATGTAAGTACTCCGTCCAGTCAATAAGTTAGACCAGGACCTTTCACTCTTTTCGCTCTGATCTTATTTTTATCAAGAGCCCTTTTGCGCTACCTTGTCAAAGAATGGTCAAGCCCCTCGACGGACCCCCGACGCTCGGATGTCCGAAGAGTCGGAGAGTTGAGCGGCGGTTAAGTCGGCATTCCGCAGACCGGTTATGGCCAAACCCACGCAGGTGTGGGGGCGGCGATGGTGTCAGAACAAACGTCTTTTGCCTCTCTGCTTGTCTCGTACGAGATTTCAAATATTATCGATCGGATCGCACTCGTTGGCCTGCACAGTCGATGTGCCTGGTCCCGTTTTATTTGCTGCACCGCGTATAGCCTCGCGGAATCCAATCCCCGCACGTTACACACGGGCACGCGACCGGGGTCTTGGCCGATGAAGAGCTCCCCATACGAACATGCGGGCCACCAACCCCACCCCGAGGAGCCAGAAGACATCCGGCTACCTCATCACGATGGTCAAGTTTCGCCGCCAACAGATTTGTCTGGTCAGAGCGATGAGGAAAGTATGGATGCCGCCAACGGTAGCTCGCCGGGGCGGAGAACTATACAACCTACGCCGTTGATCACCAACCACCGGCGCTTCCCATCAGTGGACGAAGATGATAGCGACGATAATCACGATGGAGTTCTCAGCGCAGCTGACGTAGAGCATGAAAAGCCGGTGACGTGGAGTTCGTTACCGAGGAAAGGGCAGCTGGCGATTCTGACCTTCGCCCGTTTATCGGAGCCGCTTACCCAGACCTCATTGCAAGCCTATATGTTCTACCAGCTGAAATCGTTCGATCCATCCCTACCAGACTCCACCATCTCAGCACAAGCAGGAATTCTACAAGGCAGCTTCACTGCTGCGCAGTTCCTGACTGCAGTCTGGTGGGGTCGCCTGGCTGATGCGGAATGGATGGGTCGGAAGAGAGTTCTTCTGATCGGCTTGCTAGGAACCTGCATTTCATGTCTGGGCTTTGGGTTCTCCAAATCCTTCGTGACAGCCGCCATCTTCAGAACTTTAGGCGGAGTGCTGAATAGTAACGTCGGGGTGATGAGAACCCTGATCGCGGAAATAATCGCCGAAAAGAAGTACATTTGACACGTCATGTTGATGGAGATCTCCAAGCTAAGACCTTTCTAGATACCAGTCCCGTGCGTTCTTGCTTCTACCAATGTGCTTCAATATCGGCGTGATCATTGGTCCTATTTTGGGCGGATCACTGGCCGATCCTGTGAATAGTTTCCCCGGCCTGTTTGGCCCGGGTTCTCTCTTTGGAGGCAAGAACGGCGTATCGTGGATGGAACATTGGCCCTATGCTTTGCCAAATGTGCTCAGCGCGATTTTTATCTTTATGTCGTTGCTCGCCGTCTTTCTAGGCTTGGATGAGGTAAGAAATATCTGTCTCATCCCAAGTTACTGTGTCCCGAAGAGTGTACTCATTTTCTTCCTAGACACACGAGATCGCTCGCTATCGTAGTGATTGGGGCCGCAAACTGGGCAAGAAAATCGTTCGCGCTTTTTCACGGCGACCTCGTTATTATCGACCACTCACCCGATCTGGCGATGATGATTCAGTATACCTTGAAGGTAGTGTTGGCACTTGGTCCGCGCCACCAAGTCCAACCCAATCTCGAACGCCCACTCGACCCCGTCCCCATAAAAGACCAGGAATCAAGCAAATCTTTTCACGAAATGTCATTCTGACTCTTCTAGCGCACTTTCTACTCGCCTTTCACACCAGTGCCTTCAATGCAATGTCATTTGTCTTCCTCCCTACTCCCCGTGCCCCGGAAGGCACTCGCACTGATTTTTTCCACTTCGGGGGAGGACTGGGCCTACCATCCTCAAGGGTTGGGATGGCCACAGCTATCATTGGTCTTATCGGCCTCCCTCTCCAAATCCTTCTTTACCCTCGGATCCAGACCAAGCTAGGGACTCTCACGTCTTTCCGCATGTTTCTTCCTTTCTCTCCCATATCTTACCTCCTAATGCCATTTCTTGTCATTCTACCTCGTGTTGTATGGATTGTTTGGCCCGCCTTTACCTTTGTTGTGGCTTTGCAAGTCATCTCCCGCACCTTCGTCCTCCCTGCAGCCATCATTCTTGTCAACAATTGTGTCACGGACCCATCTATCCTGGGGACGGTGCACGGTGTAGCGCAAAGCATTTCGAGTGCTGCGCGTACCCTGGGTCCATTCCTTGGGGGTGGGGCCTTGGACTAGGCCTCGCAAACAATATGGTCGGCGCCGTGTGGTGGGCTCTTGCTGTTGAAGCCCTCCTTGGTTGGTTCGTGTTATGGAGTATTTATGAAGGGAAGGGTATTGAACGCCCGAAAGTCCAAGATGAGGAGGGTCGCGACTGATTTTTGTTTCTATTTAAAAGCCTCTATGAGTATTTTTGCAGGAAAATTTTCTTTGACCGCCAGGCGGGTATTCTTATAGAGCTTTAGATTTGATAGTGATTTAAATTGAAAATAAAGGAGATGAGCATATGCACTGGAAAATTTCTGGCAACTTTTGGCTTTCCCTTTCCGTTTTAGTGCTCACAGCAAATAAAACCAAAGGCAAGACTCCACAGTAACGCTCAAAAAGGTATAGCCGCCTCTCTTATTGGCCCAATCTCAGGGTCTCAGATATTAGTGCCTTACACCGCCCCCCAACCCTTCCGGGTTGTGGGTGCGCCACACAGTAACCCAACTTCACACAGTAACCCAACATTTTTCCTATTTCCCCTATCTACTACTGCATCCCACTAGTATCTAGAAAGAAACCCTGCCTGTTCTGACGTGCTTCCTCTGCTCTATCTAACGATGCCTGGGATTCCTGTGTAGGTTCTGGTGGTGGTGATGTTCCATACGCTTTCTTCCACTGCTTCCTTACCCGCTTCCGCTCTGCCTCTGTTTCCTTCTCATTTCTTTTAGCAATAGAACGATTTGCATCTCTAATAGAGAGTACCCCTGTTTTGCTAAGCGGTGTTTTAACCTGGCGCTTGGTGATTGGGCGCTGTAGTGGTTGTTGAGCTTCCCTAATCTTGCGAATAGTATCGTTCGCTAGATTTAGGTTCTCTATAGCAATCTTGTTATAATGAAATAACCGGTCAAGATTGCGTTGCTGCCTAGGTGTAAGATCTTCTTGTTGATATCTAGCAATCTTCTTTTGATTCTTCTCTAGATCCTGTATAGATCTAGGCGGCGATTGGTCGATACTAGAAGAAGATATAGGTGGTGGTGAAGGTGTTGAACGAAGCGTTGAATGATACGGTAGTAGATCTGGCGCTAGAAGATCTAGGATTTCTTGGATAGGAAGGCTATTAATAACCTTGCTACTATCGACTGGATATATCCCACGATCTTTAAACGATTCCCGAATGATTCGCTGGTTAAATGCGCGGTTTCGAATATCACCGATTATTCGAAGGAACTCTGATCTTCCGATAGGGCTACCACCCCAAAACGCGTGATCGTTATTCGCTAAGCGGAAGTGTTGCTTATAGCTTAGAAACGGCTTACCGTCAAGCGGCTGGCAAAGATGTGTAGTATGTGGTAGGAATCCTATTGGTAGGATATCGTTCTCTTCGCAAAGGTGTAGGAATTCGAATGTAAGATGCGAACCGTGGCTGTCAAATATTAGGATACGTTTTTCACCTGATTTCGTACGGTCGCATGTTGATTCTATAAAGAATCGAAGCCATTGAACTGCTATATTGTCGGTTATCCAACCGTTTGGCGATGTAGTGATAGTAGTTCTTGGTGGTAGGCCTTCTGTTTGATTAAACCAAGATTCTATAAAGATACCGTTGCCTTTAAAGATAAACCAGGGTTCCATCTGCCACCCGTCGGCAGCGATACACTCGATAGACGTGATATTTTCGCCTTGGTCCGGCTGAGGAAGATCTACTATCTTCCTACTAGTAGTAGAAGATATAACGTTTCTAGATCTTCCTTCGCCTGGTTGAAAGCCGCATTCATCAAAGTTGTAGACTAAGCGTGCTGGTGTAGTCTTCTTGATTGTTTGGGCTAAAAGATCGTACCAATGTTGTAATGCTCCTGGATCTTCTGCTAGGATTCGCTTTGATTCCTTCGTATACTGCTTAGTAGGCCCTAATTGAAGATGTTTAGGAAGCCTATTAATAAAGCGATACGCCCACATCTTGCTAATCGGCGGCTTCCCGACGCGTTGGCATGCACGATTCGCCCACGCTTCTAGTATCCTAGGAGTGATAGGCATATAGTAATCGTTCATAGATTGAATCCAGCGTACTAGAGCTTCTTCTTGATAGGATTCGAGAGCGTATTTAGCATTGCGTTTAGCTATAATAGGCTTTGTTTTCTTCTTGATCCGATCAGAGAGCGTTGTTCTAGGCACGCCAAAATCGCGTGCTAAACGCGCTATATTCGGCTTCTCTTCGCGTGATGCTGCTAAGCAGGCCTCGGCCATACGAGCTTCGTCGAATTTAGGCATATTTAGATAGTGGTTTTGGGTAGGGAAGCAAAAAATAGGGTAGTAGGAAAAGTGACGGTTTATGTGTGGGTGACGGTTCATACGTGGCGCACCCACAACCCGGAAGGGTTGGGGGGGGCGGTGTAAGGCACTAATAATAGTTTTCCCTGTGTAAAACATAGAAGCCAATTTCGAACTCGAGTGTAAATCAGAATTTGCGAGGGTCAGGGTAAATGAAATCAGCCAACCAACCAACCGAGTGTAAATCAGAAAGATCGCGACGACGCTGCGGCCATTCATCAAAAGCCTCTAAACCCCGGCGAATCCCTTAGAATCGTTACTGCAGGGAGCCAATATTACTAGTCCGAAAGGGCAAAAAACAATTTTTCGCAAGCGGTGCTGTGAATTGACCTCTACTGATGCTTGCGGGAGGCCTATCTTACAAGGCACGCTAACAATCAGCATTTTGAGATGACAAACCAGCAACTTCAGACCACCAACCTGCAGCTGGACCAGGGAAGACTTTCTTGCACGACGGTACTCCGGACAGCAGATGATACTGGCGTACTTGAGGCGTTCGAAAATATTTGGCAGGGTACCACGACTGTCTTACCCAATTTTGACAACTACTACATCAGCCGGGAAGCAAGCCACATTTGGGAGTAATGGAAAATTCAGGTGTGCTTGATTCTCAAAATAGCTACATATTTAAACAAAGAGTAGTACTAGCATCGTAAGCGCAAGAGCTAGTTGACGAAGACGGGATCTTTTTTTATTTTGGTCTTTGCGTGCAAGAAGGCGATACTGTAGTCAAATCCCAGACCAGCTGAATGAAACCAAATCATAAAACTCATTAGGAAAATTGACCTTGGTCTTACAGCATAGCAGGCCCTATTACGGCCAGGGAGTCATCTGGTAAAAATTTCCTAAATAATCTAATACAGCAACAAAAGACAAGAATCATCCATGCCATTGTCGATGCTATTGAAAATCCTGCAGATAACCATGCGGCGGCAATCATGCGCGCACCTAGACTAGCATAAGCACCGAAAGGCTTTAAAACACTGTCTATAGCGGCGGTGAGTGTTCTATAGATGACTGTCATTGCTATGCATGCAACGGTGATAAAAACAGTCGAAGCCTAGGAGTTTTAGTAAATAATACCTAAATTCACCGGGCGTATTATACCTACCAGCGCTATGAGGATTAGACTGATCCTAAGATTTGTAAAAGACAAGAAGATAGATACTACTGTTAACACTAATCCGATACAGAAACCCGTTATCGACCATTGAGAAGCTTTCTTGTATCCCCCGAAGATCTTCTTCCCTAGTCCTAGTATTATTTCTGTGATATCTAAACTTATATTTTCAAAGATACCGGCGAAGTCAAAATAAAAAGAGGCGTTGGGCTTAGTGCAATCCTCAAATTTATCACCGCTTCCTCTACAATACCCTAAAATACTAGCTGAATAGAAACCAGGCAGATTAGGCTAGATGCTGTTAATCAGCTTTTGCGCTCGATTATTGACTTAGGCAGCTGTTCCAGTCACATCGGAAACTTCCGATGAAACCGTCTGTATCGCGTCTGTTGCACTTCCTTCAGCTGTGGTGATGTCAGGAGAGATTTCATTACTAGGGTTGCTAATATCGAAAGATCGACGTAAATCAAGCGATCCTTCTTTGGAGAATCCTGTCAAATTTATCTATATTTTCCTTGTCAGCTGCAGGTATTCTGTGTCAGACGTGTCTCCTACCTTCATAAAATAGAGATCATCCGGCGAGAAGGTTGATGTGCAGCCTGACAACACAACTGCGACTGATATCAAAGATACCAAAGCAAACGAAACCGGTACGAGCCTAGATATAACGTTCAGCATATTCACAACCTAGCTTCTCTTAACTTAAGAACATACTTCGGAAAATGGTTGAGAGATTCAAACTCCTAAATATCAAAAATCAGGACTAGCACAAAGGAGATGATAGAGAAATAAAGACATGTTGAACACATCATTATAGGGCATGCATTTTGAACCAGCTTTCCAGGAGGGCTCCCCTTCAGTTGCTGGTCATGTGGATAGGATTTTCTTTTTGGATATATTGTATTAGGTCCTTTCACAATATTGAGGTATGCCACAGTATGCAATAAGGCTATAGCACAAAGACTGAATGTTGCAGAAAACACTTCGACCAACTTTAAACTCAATCCATCTAGTCCTCATATCCTAGCATCACCGCGAGACTCACTGGCCCTGCAGGTAAGATACCACCTATTCCGTCTACCGTTCTTTCATCAAACGTGTAGGCATTGTTCACGTAACCTCCATCTGAGGAAATAGATGAGCAGGTTCCCGTGGCAGAATCACAGATGCCCATACCATGGACTTATTATTACTTGCTTGTGCAGCGATTGCGGAAACATCAAATCCAGACCATCCGGAGTTTTTGGTAGAACCGAAATCAAATCCCCCCCACGTTGAAGCGTAACCCTCATAGTCGTCAATGGGGATCGTATAGCCTGGTGCAGCCGCCCAGCCTCCCTGAGAGTTCTCGTCGAAAGCAATGTGCTGTGTTTTGCCATCCTTCAAAGTCAATCTTTCGCATGCGTTACCATACCAGCCGTCACGACGGCCATCAGGTCCAATCTTATTCCAAATGACGACGGTCCATGCTTCGGAGCGTTTAGCCCTAAACTCAGAGACATAATGGTAACTTTCAGAGATTTCTGCAAGATTTTGATAATATTGCTCCCATGGGGCTTTCCAACATTTCCTTTATACCCTATTCCATAGCCAGACGCCTCGGTCACATCACCAAATCCAGATTTTGAATATGTTGGACTGGTATTTAGGAGGTTTCTACTGTACAGAAGCACATTCGTCATTACAACAACATTCCATCTGACCTTTGCAAGCCTCCCGTTTCGTTATCTTTTCTCGAGGCATGTGATGGGAAAGCGGTCGTCCTCCGGGTACACCATGCTCTGTATGATGCATGAAACATTAAGTTGATCCTGAAGGACCTCGTTAGCCTGTTTTATGGAGGCTTTCTGCCCCAATACCCATTTTTACAGGACAGTATTCAGCAAATCAATGATGTGAGACAGCCTGGCGCTGAAAGGACCTACTGGGAACAATATCTCGCTCAGGCAAATGATACCATTCTCCTACTCACAGTTGTGGACACGAGTGGTCGCAAGAATCCCCTGAGACCGCATTTCAAGACAGTCTCGGACGACTTCTCTTTTCATTCAACGGACCCTCTGCTTCAGCCTGGGGAAAATCATTCACTTCTGCAGCAATTATAATGGCATATGGCCGTGTTCTTTCTCAATTCACTGGTCGCTCGCGGCCGACATTCTTCTTTAATCATTCCTCTCGTTTTCTAGAGACCTTCAACGGAGACGAAACAATCGACTTGACGAACATGAGCGTTCCGACCATGACTGTGACACCATTGACAGTGGAGATTGAGACCTCATCAACGAAGCTGTCATTGCAGGCTGTACAGGATCATTTAGCCCAGCTCACAAGGTATTCACAGGCTGACAATCTTGATGTCCTTGCGCCCAGGTCAAATTAGCATCTCAACATTATATATTCGGAAGGGGACGACACGCAGGAGATGAATCCGAACCCAATGGAGAAAAATGTGATTCTTCAACGTCATAAACTGGAAGAGCCGCCTCTTGCTTCCCACCATTTTACAAAGACTGAACCGTCATCGAGCTCTTCAACTATTGACAATCTCGACACTTCTTCAATTCATGGCGAGCAGCTTTACTTCAATGTTTTGGTCTTCCCTGGGGGATATCGCAAGCTCACTGTAAGCGGCGATGAAGAGCTTTCGCATGGCCAGCAGGCACTGGCCACCAGATTGATGAGCAGCTTTGTCTCACAGTTATTGGATTTAATCGAGACGTGAAAGGCCATCACGGGAACCTATAACTGATGTATTCAAGCGAGCCTTTCCCACTGGAGGGGATGAACAAGGCGGACTCGGCGAAATTGAAATTTGATCATAGGTGCCAGTATATCTATCATAGATCCAGTGAATCCATATTTTTCCAAGCCATACCTAGATAGCATCAGACTTAAAGAATTCGGAGCGGGCTTCTAGTTTGAATAATTATTTCTATACTCATTAATCACCTGCAGTCCCCTTCCCCTTATAGACCCTTTCTTCCTGGCAAAACCTTCGCCAAAAGACACAAGTTCAACCAGTTCAACATTAAGTTTCTTGGCTCGGCATTTTCATTCGTTTTCTGGTAGGCCGTTATGGCAAAATATTTCAAGTCCCTAGAGATCTGCTGAAAATGCGATCGTGAACTCAGGAGGTACTCCACCCAGTCATGCATGGAACCATGGACGATGACTTCCCTTTCTCGGATTTGGAAAGATACTTGCAATTGAAAACCACAAAGCTCAAACTTGTGCCATGTTGGGTGACAGTAAAATAAATACTATCACAATATCAACGTTAACATTTCTCGGGCTGTTGCTTTTCCGATGATGTGTCTGCCTGGTGCTTCGACATGAAAGATTCCGAAATCTCCTCCAATGATTTGCCTTTTGTTTCTGGAAAGAAGAAATAGATAATAAGAAGGAAAAATGACAGACACCCAAGAAAAACACAGTAGTACTTCCAACCAATACTAGAAAATGCGACCGGATTCACATATTGGTTGGAAAATGCAGCAACCGAATCTGATAAAAGTGTGGTAGCCAGACCTTTTGCGCGAAGATGGAATGGAAGGATTTCAACGGGATATGCGATGAAGAGAGAACCATAAGCGATATCAAAGGCACCAAAAAAGAGAAATAGTAACGGCACAGCAGCAACTCCAGCTGCGGACAAGCCTTGCTCTTTGTAAAGCCCCGTTACTATCGTGACCAAGGCTAGAAAAAGTATCATCAACATAGTAGAGAGTAGCCATAGAGTTCTACGGCCATATTTCTCTGATGCTAGCCCACCAAGAGCAGAGACAATCAGATTCCATATCTGCATGCCAATATTTACCACGGCCTGGTCGCGGACTTTTGTAACACCGACAGATGTAAGGATTGGTGCTAGATAGTAGGAGATGACCCCTATTTAGTGTTAGCAAGCAAATTTGGTTCATAATATGAAGATTTGATATACCATTGCCCGCCCATTCCTGCATAAAACCAACCATAATACAGATGCCTAACATATGCATACTCCCACGACAAGAAAAGAACTTTTTCCATCCATGCGTGGCTGATTTGGAGTTCAATGGAATAAGCGAGCATATCTGGTCGAACTCCTTTTGAACAATCTCGTCATGTTCGTTGCCATTCGAATGATACTTCCGCAGAATGCAAAGGGCTTCGGACTTTCTGCCCGCCGATACAAGCCACCTAGGGCTTTCTGGGACAAACATAAGGCTTATAATCTGGAGGCTGGGGTATACCATTTGCAAAAGGCAAGGTAACCTCCAAGACCAACTGCTCGCTATGTTCAACGTCAGAATGGTCACAACAGCCGATGTAATTGAACCCATGCACCAAGTAGTGTTGTAAATAGCCGTGGCCGATTGTCGCGTGTGCGGATGCGCGATTTCCGTGACAAGCAAGGGGGCAGCGGCAGCAGCTATTCCACTTCCAATCCCTGCAACCAATCTTGTGCTCATGAAAACCCAGCGGTTTGGGAAAACGCCTTGGAATAGCGATGTTATGATGACAATCGTCGATCCAATCCCCACACATTTCTTCCGACCAAGAGTATCAGCAATATATGATGCCGGTATATAAGAGACAAAAGACCCAATCGCTCCTGAGGCGATCATGAGCCCGATAGTGGAAGGGCTGAGATTTTGCGTGAAGATAGTAACTAAATAAAAAGGTAAGCTATTCATTTGCCAAATGGCATGTCAAAATGTATTGGGTTGTTATACTTACAAAATGGCAAAACCTGTAGACCATTGATGAGGCTTCCAACATAACCAGTCGAAGCCCCAGTTGAAAACATGAGAAATATCAAAAAGTTTAGTTTTCGTAAGCCTGGGTCTCTGAGCCACATTTTGGGTAGGTTATCATTAATCAGACTGAGAATGTATGTTCACTCAACTCCCAAGGTTTGAGATAAAAACCGGGAGTTGTTCTCACCGGCAGGAGTATGATATTAATCTCAGTGAAAGGGTATCTTCAGTGCCAATGTAGCGGTTTTTACACTTTGTATCAGTTCCGCATCAGAAATTGGAGATATCTAGGTTTATATTTGGAGGGACCAAGAACAAGATCTATCAAATGCTCAACTCGAACTTGAGAAGCTCCTTAACCTGACCCCCCCCCCTGCCGCTATTTGATGCTTCTAATTTCGAGTTAGACATACCGGTATGCCATGTTGCTCAGGATTTCGGATTGTTGGAATGTAGGGGCTCTGGTGGACGCAAACCTGAACTTGTTATGTCTTAGCGCCAGGAACTGCTAACAATTGCGGTAACATGAAACAAATAGAATTTCAGAAGCATCTTGCTATAAAACTCGAACTGTAGGTAGAATCAGGCAATGGTTACTTGCGAATTGCTATCCGGAGATCTATCGCCTATTAGTAGAAAGAGGCACCACTAAAAATAATCAAGCCAACAAGTACCCCGATGCTGAAGGGACAAATGGTTTCATAGACAATTGACGTACAAATGCCATTGATTGTAGGGTTGAATGTCTGCATGGTACAAATTGAATCATCTGCATCCATGGACGATAAGCTCCTTTCTCTGGGCCCCACCAAGTGGCCTGGCCTTCCTCATTGGGTATAAATGGGCAAGCCGGGGAGATCGGAGAACTTGCCCCTTAGCCAAGAAATTGCCGATCTGATCGAGAAATACTAGTAAGTCATGAGATCTTGACAGAAGGAATGAACCTTGCGGAACTTGCCGAGAATAAAAGGACGAAAAGATTATGATTGCTGATCCGAAATTTGGCTGAATATGGCCAGCTCCCAATATACAATGTGAATTGCTTCACTTGATTAAGCATGGAATGACGGCCGAAGTTTTCGGGACAGGGTCAAAACTACACACTCAGTGATTCAGACTTGAGGCTCTTGATACTGTATTTCATCCTAGTAGCCCAGGGTTTCACAGTATCGTCACTGGGCAGAAATAAAGCCGGATTCAACTTTTACGATAATTGTGAGCTGAATACTAGTATATATCAAATCTTATTCTTTGAGAAAGGTCGGCTTACTATGAGATCCATCAATTCTACACCATGCCTCCAAGGTAGTTTTTTTACTTAGGTACCGCATTCAAAAAATTCATTCAAGCAAGGCAGGCTCATAAAGTTCTTGTTTGAGAACGCAGCAGAAATAATGCTCTTAGAACTAATAGCATTTTAACCCTATAAACATACTAGTGCTAGTAGCTAACTAGGTAGTATTACCATCGCTGAGATCAACCAAGTATACATACACCAATGTACTTGAAGTAGGTATACTCAGAGTAGATAATGAACCACAAGATCATTACAATCCTGCAGAAACTTTGAAACCTTAGATTCATCATGCCAAGCATCATTGTAAGCGGCACTCAGACACATAGATCCTCGGAAAGTACCCAGAAAAAGACCAAGACCAGTTCCTAACTCCTCCCCAGTCACCCATGGGCTCTCCAATTCGAACTCGCCGTGTTTAGGCGATATTATTTTATCGATCACGCCCAAACTAGATATGGATACAGATGGCTGCTCGTTTGGTTGCGGAACTGGCGGGGGATTGTCACCCACAGGATACGGAGGAGTAGCTTTGGACCAGTAGGATGGGGCTAATGCGATATGCTCTTTATCATCACGGATCGTGGTGTAATACCTGGACACATCTTCGACCACGTGAAGGAATTGCTGTTTTGTAAGATTGCTAGAGGCCGTACCCTGTTCGGTTGTGCTAGACGGGACGTCCAAATCAATCACAAGACTGAGTCCAGAGACAGAGTGATACACCGCCGCAGGATGCTTTGAAGTGTTGTAAGGATGCCTGCAGAGGGGTCGTTCGTTGATCAGGGCGTAGTTGATATAGCGAACCTTTCGTTCCCCAGAGGTACGCTCCTGGAGCTTCCTCAGAGTGAGAGCGATAGCAGCGTGGTAAACGTGTGTCACGCTCACTCCGATTGACTTGATTGCATTCAGGATATCTTCAGACTCCTTTAAGCTCATGTTAAGTTCAACTCGCTGATGGCGCTGAGGTGTCTTCGGTCCACGTCGGAAAGGTAACTCCGCAATCTCGCTATCTCCACGAAGCAGACTGTTTTTCTCGTAGATCTCGTCAAGTCGGGTCTGTTGGACGGGTTGCAAAGTATCTGGGATAGATGCGGCCACTCGTAGCGGAGGGCTCAAATTCTTCGCTTCATCGCCGAAATTGGGCAACTGCCGGTCCGGTTGATCTAGAAAAAGAGATGCGTGGTGGAAGAGATTATTGAGCAAATGGAGAGAGCCAATACCGTCGACAACGTCATGCTGCGACCGAAGCACAACGTCAGCTGTGTAGGTATCTGATGAGCTCGGTCGTGTAATGAGGAAGAGCGTCGGTAGCTTGGGCACGGGGGGATCAGAATTGCACCATTCCTGTCCAGTTTGCCCATTGGAGATGATTTGAAACGTTTTATCAAGCCACTCTGCGCAACGCTGGTCATGTATATCCGTGATAGGCTCGTAGATCTTCTTGCACTTGCTGCTCTTCGAGTCAAACTCTACCCATGAGGCAATGGTTGGGTGATCATAGCGAACTTGGAGCCATGCATTTTTGAGAGCATTGATCGGGGCGAGAGAGTGGGTTGTTCGAGGGACGGAAAAGGATACATGGGCAGTCATGGCGAAGAATATCCTGCCGGTTCCTTCAAACCTTCTTGCGAGCGTTGTGTAGAATTGCTCCGCTTCGTCAATGTTGCGCTCCAACCGTCCATTGTCGCCATCCTTCCAATCGAATTCCTTGTGAGAAGCCATTTCAAGTAAGGGTTTCGGAGGATTATCCCGATTTTCGATCGCAATATGCAGATTTGGATGACAGACTAGTCCATGTACAGTAAGCCGCGTGTGGAATGCGGGTGCTCTGAGGCCAGATTGTCGAGGCGATCGCCGTTTTATGAAGAAATTCGGCGAATGGCTGCCAAGTTGAAATTGACGGAGAACCCCAAATTCTTTAAAGTTAGCGGATGGTGGTTCCTTCACTGCCCAACCCGAAGTTTAGCCGGTCAGCAAGACATGAGTCGACATGGGACCGAAGGAATGCTTGAGATCCCTTGCTGATTCAGAAACAGTGCCAGTGGGAGAGGAGCACGCGTGAAGGCTCGGGCGTAGGGGGTCAACTCGGACTACAGCCAATCGTACCCAACCTCGTAGCAAACAGGCCCGATATTCCGTCACGATGGTGTTGATTCGTCGGGGCCTCGGGAGAACTGCGGCGTGAGATGCTTAATTCGGTATGTGGCGCCGCATCTTCTTAGTGTACACACTAACTGATACGAAATCGAGATTAGCTGCGGGGAACTAAACGATCTTGTTTGGATTTTTCCTACTCTACTGTTTTGTACTGTACCTGGCACCATAATTTACAATTCGCAATGCGTTTCTCTGGACATAGTCTGTCAGTCCATTACTAGTAGTACTTAAGAGGTTTTCCATCTTGAAGTTTTGACATTCAACATGTACAGTACTATTCAAGTACTAGTAGTACTTACTAGAGTATTATAAGGGTAGAGCAGGACGAATATATTTCGCAGATGCACAGTGTACTACTAACAGTACTACCACACTAGATATTATTATCACTTCAAGTTGTTCCTTGGTACCTAGGTAGTACTAGTAGTACACCAGGGTGATCATAGCTCAGATGGACTAGTATACTGAACTTACTAGTAGGGGGTAAGACCGAAATTTACAAGTAGACGTGATTAGCAACTTGAAGACGTGGATTGGTCACGGGAAACAAAAGGAATGGCTCGCTGGGATCACAGACATTCAAACGTGACACTAGTACTACCTACAGTCAAGTGTCACAAGTCGGTTAAAGACTCTCGCTGCCGAGATACTAGTATGTAGAAGGACTATTTGACCCGAAGTTTGGCCGCAGCCTGCTACTATGCACAATGTGATAACCGATATCCCCGGAACAAGGGTGTTTCTACTATGGCTAGGTGACCAAAATCATACAGATGATATCATATAACGGGGTTGATACATATGTATGTCACTTCCTATACCCTGGGGAGACCAATTCATGACTGGACGATCGAGGATTGTTGTTTAGTGCAAAGCTTCCTTCCAGAGCTGAAGCAACTGCTTGTTTGCTGTGAAATTGAGACACCGATGAAATTTAGGTTAATCGGCCCGGCTGAACCGCCTCAGCAGACTATTGACCGGTACTAGTAGCTTTAATCCTGGTAGGTGAAAAGTCTTACATATCTATAGCGATATTTTACTACTGAACTTCATATGCACTCTAGCTGCGAGGAGCTGCGTAAAATGAAGCGAGAATTCAATCAATGTTTCCAAGCTGGGTTTTCCGGAAGTAGATGTTTTAAGAATAGTAGGGGTATTTTCCTACAGCCATTGTTCCTGGGTGGGCGGGTGATGTTCTAGTTCCGCATTTATATGACACAATGAATTCAAGCAATGAAGTCAAGCAGTGGAAATGATGATTTTTGGCCAAGTCAATACAATTAAAGATAGAATTCTGTTAACAGTGTGCAATTCCCGAGAGTCGATTCTTATCCGTCCCCTGGAGACCCACAGAGACCCCACAAAAGAACCAAGCAGACGGGATAAGTGTGGAGAATGATCACGAAACAGGTTGGGTAGCCAACGTGATAGGTTATTGTAGTCTTCAAATCAGGGAATTGGGGTGAAGGTGGCTGATCCATGGAAGTCTCTGCTTGAAAGTCCGACAAAAGCTTGTATCCCACCACTGGGAACAACCCACTGCTGTTTAATAGTATCCCAATTGCTAATGTCGCGCCGGGTCAATTTGAAAATAACTTTCTTTGATTTTCCGGCGTCGAGATGGACTTTTTCAAAACCACGTAGAACTGTTTTGGCAATGGAACCTTGCACTGTTCCACGTTGGAGCTCAAGATAAAGTTGGGGCACAGTGAATCCGGCGACCGGGCCCGTATTTTCCACAGTTGCTGATATCTCATACACGACATCCCAAAGATGAGGGTTACCTCCAGGGACAATTTTTGCTCTTGGTGGACTGTGCGGAAGATCACCACTGAATTTTTGCTGCACGGAGATTTCTTTGTCGATAGAAAATGTTGTATATGAAAGCCCAAATCCGAATTCATAAACAACACTCTTATTGTAATAGTCAAAATGCCCTTGTAGAAATGTAAGCTTGATATTGAATGACGTTTTGAAGATTTTTGTGCTTGTACGTACGATAGTCGATCAAAACCCCTTCTTTAAAATCAGACTGCCAAGCCTTAGGGTCATCTGTGTTCTGCAGGACTGTCGAATTTGCTATAGGGGCAAACTCGTAGCTCTTTTCAGAGTTTGCGATTGTGTATGGCAAGTGCCCAGAAGGATTCACATCGCCCCACAGCACATCCACTATACTATTCCCAACCTCTTGGCCCGGCAGATGAGCCGCAAGAATTGCGGTCACGTTTGGATGGTCTGCCCAGGGCATCACGTTCGCCCCATTTGAATGGGTGATAACCACAGTGTTGGGGCACATCGCGGCAATACTTTTGACGACATCGTCTCCGTTCCAGTCAACATGCAATGTTTCGCGATCCATACTCTCGGTGGCCCAGCTCTTAAGGAAGACAAGGCAGACATCCGGCGGTGACGGCTGAAGTGCAGCCAGACTGTTTTTGTCAGTGATGGTGGCGATTGGGATGTCAAGGGTCAACGAAAGACTCACTAGGGACTTTCGGGCTCAATGATCGCACTGTTGTTCAGAACATATTGAACCAAATTCTTCTTGAAGTCTGCCTTTCGCTTGATTGCTTCCAGAGGGCTGACAACGTAAGTAAAAAGTCCAGACCCAGAGCCGCCTCCTGTTGCAAGAACCCCGTATTCATAGTTCTGAATACCATTGAAGGTGAAATAGGACATGCCGTTTGTAAAGTCTCCTGCGTCGTTACCGAAGACACCAATGCGTCGAGGATTTCGCAGAGGCAAGGTGCTGTTGACATTCTTGAGAAGAACAATACCTGCCGCGCCCGCCTCTCTGATCGCTGCGCCATGATTCTTCCGAACGTCGACGTTGGCTTGGGGACCGAAAGTGTAATTGTACTTGTAGTCGTCCGCTTACACTCAGTTAGTTGCATGATCGGGTACGGGGACTTTTGAGATGCAGTTAACACTCACGACTTGAGAAGAGAAGTGCGTTCAAATCTTTCTCGCTTGGATCAATTGCTGGAAAGTTTTTGTCTTGTTTCAGATGGAAATATGGAGTCAAGACGCGTCGGCACATATCATCGAGCCTTGAACGAGGTACACTCCCATTCTTGACCGCGTCCACAAGTGAGTCGTGCCAGTAAACAGGAGACAATTGGTCAGTGCCAGGCATGTCCATGTCCTCTCCCGCGTTTATTGCTTTAGAGCCACTGTGGGTCGCAGCCCAGTCAGACATGACGTATCCTTGGAAACCGAGTTCAGTCTTCAGGATTCCATTCAAAGTTTTGCTGTTTTGACAGCCATATGTCTGATTGAGCCTGTTGTAACTGCACATCACCTGTCAAGTGTCAGATATAATGAAGTATCTATATCTTGGAAGTCCTACCGAGGCAACGCCAGCTCGCACAGCCTGTTGGAATGGCCAAAGATAGAGTTCATGTAGGGTGCGGTCATCGATGTTGGAAGAGACACTCTCGATAGTGTTACCCTTCTTGTTCTCAGTAGGTTGTCGCTGGGTTTCCTGCTCGTTACCAATGAAATGTTTTGCGCAGGCTTGAACCCCAGCATGCTGAATTCCTTTGATTGAGGATGTAAACAAATCACCAGTAAGATAAGGGTCGGGGGAAAATCCCTCCCAGTTTCGTCCACCAAAGGCTGATCGACCAAGTGGTCCAGCAACTGGGCCAAGCACGACCTGTGAACCCTTTTCACGGAACTCGTCCGCGAGATAAAAGCCTCGTTTGAAAGCAAGATCTTTGTCCCATGTTGCAGCTATAGTAACACCGGCAGGAAATACCGAAGAGTATGTACCCTGCTCCAATGCTAAAGGTCCATTCTGTATGCAAAGGCCTGTAAAGTTGAGACGATAAATGGGGGCGATATTTCCGACGCAGGGACCCTCAGTCCCTGAGACAAGGCTGACTTTCTCTTCAAGAGTGAGCTGGGCGACAAACTCATCAGCCCTTTTGAAAGCACGATCCCAACCTAGGCCGTTTGAATTGGCTGCAGGTTGTTAGTAGCACGGCATACTCAGAGGGGGCGGATATTGCGAAGATCTTACGATTAGGAATCTCGCCCGATGATGGGCTTGATAGAAACTGAGAATGGTCCCAAGAGAGCGCAAAAGCGCTTGTCAACAGACAAAAGATGGTTAAGAAATTCCTATTTTTCGGATCCATGGCCAAAAAATTGGGTTTCCTTTCAAGGTTTCTTATTCTACCTCATTGATTGCCGGTAGAGTAGGACAAGGACTCGCATATTGGACAGCTTTATATAGAGATTCTCATGTACCGGGCTTGTCGATCACTTCCCACTTGGCAATGTATTCTATTACCGAATATGGTTATGTTGCATTGTATACTTATATTCGATACTGGTATGTCCTTGCGGGGTACATCGGGTGAACGTCGGTTAAATGGCGATCCCACTGGGCCATTACCCCCCTACTTTTTCGGAATATGAATCACCAACAATATGTTCCAAATCGGATAACCATACACACATCTGCTGTCTCAATATGATGATCGTTGCCCTTCCATATCTCTACAGTACCAAGGATACTCTCGCGCTTGGACCCGGTCCGGCGCAAGGGCCTGCGGGGAAAATACATACAGGCCCCTTCCTGCATGAGAGCTACAGGAAAGGGAAACTCCAAGTTGGAATAACAAATTCATGTTGACTTTTCAACGGCCGTTATCCGATACTGCCACTAAAACCTCTTCCTGCGGTCTCACTTTCGAGTGTTAAGTGAGACAGTAGATTTCATTGAGAAAGAGGAACGTTTCCTGGATTAGACCACGCCCTATATACTACTACTACTACTATTACTCCTACTACTGACAACGGTTTCGGGCTCTGGTATCCCTCGGGGTAGTCCTTCAGGCCAAATCACTCCTATCTATCCTGAGGGAGAGATCCTATATATGCCTGAATCGACGTACAAGCAGCCACAAGTAAAAGATATGATATTAGTAGTCTTCGGATGAATTTTGTAATACCAGCCAACCCTAACTGGCATTGCGAGCTTGATAACTGGTGCATACAGCAAAATTCATCCAGAATGGCTAAATTAAATGGGAAACAATACAAAGCTGGTAAAACCACGATTTGGTGTCGTGGTGCACCGCACCCCAACAGAGGAATTTGACCTGGGAACAGGTGCTACTCCGACAGCGGAACAAATTGCCCAGGCAGCAAGGAAAATCATCGAAGACAATGACCTGGCACCGCACGGTTTCCACATCAAAGAACTCGCTTGGATGAAAGCAAAAGACAAATCTCTAGGGAAATTTGCCTAATTGGGAATTTGGTTCGATAACCCAGAGGGAGCAGAACATATTCTCCAGAGCGGTTTCATCGTCAACCAGCACTATATCCCTCATGTCGTACGACGTGAGATCAAGAAAAAGAGATGCTTTCGGTGCCAACGTTTCGGTCATTTGGCATGGTCATGCAAAGAAAAGCCGCGATGCGGACATTGCGCAGGACAGCATGAGCGCGAACGATGCCCACCAGGCGTGAGAGCCCGATGCCTCGATTGCAGTGGCGAGCACCCTACCGGTGATCGACAGTTTTCAAGTCCAGTGAGCTTTGACTCCACCAGATGCTAGAGACAAAGCTACACGCTCTACAGTTGAATATGATGAAATCAGCACCGAGAATGGAAGCACTGATCAATGATCATCAGACCCAAGAACTAGACATCCTCTTGATCTAGGAACCATCTACACTTGACCGGGTGGTGGAGAGCCTCACAACAGCGACAGCCCAGGCAGTTGACCGCTTTACCCCCAACACGCGCCCAACTCCATATTCCAAGCGATGGTTTACCCCGGGTCTGAAGGTGCAACAAGTTGAAGTCAACCAACTACGCAGGAGATGGCAAGCACGCTGTGCAGAACTCGAAAGAGATCACCCAAACACTGCCGCAGTCTTCCAAGCCATGCAGAAGAAACGGCGAGCGTGGACCCGGACCATCGAGAAAGCCACAGCCTCACACTGGAGACAGTTCCTGGATGAGGCTGGCGAAGGAAAGCTTTGGAAAGCGGCAACGTACATGAAGCCTCGAGAAACATGGGGATGTATCCCAGCATTATGAGTTGGCTCGGAAGAGTTCACAGAGAACAAAGACAAAGCGCAGGCTTTCCTTAAAGCTTTCTTTCCCGTAATGAACACGCCTGACCCTAGCTCACCAGCCATATCGGACACAGAACTCCCCTGGCACCCCATCACTGAGCTCGAAATCTAACGATCACTGAGAACAGCAAAAGGGACGACTGCTCCAGGAGAGGACAACCTGCCAATGCTTGTTTGGAAGAGGACTTGGGAGCATCTAGAATGTTTCATTGTCGGCATTTTCACAGCATGCGTAGAACTGGGGCATCACCCGAGATAATGGAGAAGTGCGAAAATCGTCGTTCTACGAAAACCAAGCAAGTCCGACTACTCGGTTCCGGGCGCTTACCGTCCAATCTCACTGCTGAATACGCTCGGCAAGCTCCTGGACGCCGTGATGGCCCGACGGCTGTCTTACCTTGCGGAGAAACATAACCTGTTGCCGAACAGCCAGTTCGGAGGGCGCCCGGGCAAGACCACCGAGCAAGCCTTGCTAGTCTTGTCCAGTGCGATCGACCGAGCCTGGTACAAGCACAAAGTGGTAATCCTGATTGCATTTGACCTGAAAGGCGCCTTCAATGGGGTGAACAAGACGAGCCTGGACACCTCACTGCGAGCGAGACGGATCCCGATGGCAGCCAGGAAATGGATTGCAAGCTTCATGAGCGACCGGCACGCCAATATCGGATTTGACGGCTTCCGCACCGAGACTGAGCGTTTAGCACATATACACAGGATAATGTCTGGCAACGCTTGGCCATCGCCACCGCGATATTGATGTCGATATCCTATCCAATTGCCCCAAAATCCTTCAGGAAGAAGGTCTACGTGCACCCGTTTTTCGCTTTCCAGCTTCCCGGGGAAAGAAAAACGTACCTTGAATGGCAAATTCATCCTTTTTCGCAAGGACGCTTGCGATATACTCTCGTTCGCGTCCCACAGAAATTTGAGACAGTTGAGAGTGCCGCCCCCCCTCGGGCGCCCGGCCTTAAAGAAGGATATTCTTGCCATCTATCACCATATCGGGAACACAGTCTTGTTTCCGCTGCAGACCATCGAGGGATTTCTTCTCCTTTTTACTGATATAAGCTCGAAACCGAGGCTATTGTGGTTGCGAGTGTGCTTGGTTTGCTCTCCCAGTTGCGGCAGATAAGCAAGACTGGAAAAGGACCTGGGGCTGACCGCAATATTTCTAAATTTATCAAAGGCCTGCTTTACAAGAAGTAGATCTTTGAGTCATTAACAGGGAATAAGGAGTTTATTTAAAGAGAATATACGCCAGAGAGCCATGGATATGTCATTGAATATTCAAAGGGAGATGCAACGGTGTGGTCAACTTTCATAGCACCATAGGCACCTACACCTGTTAGGAAAGACGATCGGGGTTTTCTTGTCACCGGGAACTGTAAAAGAAAGCCTGCTTTAATTGAATTTGGATATAACAGTAGGCTCCGTAGTGGATGCATCGTTGCATCAGATAGTCACTCATGATAGCTACGAAGTACCGCCTCTCTGCCTTGACAACCGCGGGAACAGCTTCATCGCATTCCCAAAGTTGATCATATCTCTCAACTCCGGACTCATTTCATACGACTCAAGCGCCTCCAAAAATGCCGGATAGGCAGTTACCGGGGCATACGGGAAATCGCTCCCATACAAGATGTGATCACGCGGAACCATTTTCAACAGCATATCCAGGACCTGCGGCGAGGAGCTCAACGCCAGATCAAAGTGGAAGCTACGAAAAGACTCCATTGACCTGTCATGCGTTGTTCCCATACGATGCGAGACTGCAAAGTCGGGTGCTTTTCTCATAGGGGTCGTAACGCGCGAGATGATATAGGGCAGGGCTCCGCCGGCGTGGGATAGGATGACTTTGCAGGCGGGATACTTCAGTCGGGTTCCGTTGGTGATCATATCCATCGCTGTACGAGTTGTTTCGTGAGGGTAGTCAATAGCTGGCTGTGGTAACTTTGAGTTCACGGGGTTGGTGTCAACTGGATGGGTGGGATGGACAAACACCACACAGCCTCGTCTGTTGAGTTCTGCCCAAATTGGTTCAACATCTGGATGACCAAGGTAGGTGTTGGAGGAGCCGTAGCGAGTGAAAAGAGTGACTCCGTCGGCACGGAGACTATCTAACCCGTAGGCAATTTCCGCGAGAGCATCCTCCGTGTCAAGGATATTGGGTAATGACACAAAAAAGGCGAATTTCTCCGGCTCCTTGTCCCTGAGATCTGCTGAATATTCGTTCAACTTTCTTGCGAGTTGAGCGCGTGCTTTACGATCTGGTAGGATACAAGCTCCAGGAGCTGTGACAGAAAGTACAGCTGTTTGAACTCCCACGCGTTTCATCAGCAGCTTTGAAGCCAGCGGGCTCCAGTGGGGAGTTGGCCAGCCACTTGGGTCGCCTCCTTGCTCCTCGATCGCTGTAGTAATGTTAGTTGCTGAGGACTAAGAGCTTGGCACTGATAATATCTTACCCTTGGCATAAAAGGACGGCACACAGTGGTGGTGGGTGTCAATCTTGTTAACTGGAGGTCGGTGGCTCCAGCCGATTGCCTTTTCTTGGAGCCAATCAAGGCCGTGTTCGCCCATCGTGGAGAAAATAGCGGGCTTGTAAATATAGACAAAGATGATCAATGCAACTGGGATAGATATCAATGTCAACATTATTCAAGTCAAAAAAATAGTTCGTGCATTTGGCACACGCTCTGTTCTAATTATGTTCATGGTGGGAGGAGGCTTTCTCAAGCGGGGCCCCGGAACCATTCCGGCGACAAGTCCGGGTCAATCCGCACCAAGTCACGGTGCTGTATTATCCGCTGCACAATTCAAGTGGAGTAACCGTTATCCATTTCAAAATGGTAGTAGATTCCGGAATGATGTAGTTTGGCTGCTCAGCCGCCTGGTCGCGCTCGTTTCCAGGTTGCGGTGTGATATAAATGTGTTCGAGACAGGTAGTAGCCGGAATAGGGTATCTCACAATGAGTACATCAGCTCATTCGCACTTCGCTACAGCAGCAAAGCAAAATCCAGTTCTCGCGACTTCTTTCAGTATCATCATATTGATAGCAACAATCTTCTTGATCATCCAAGAGATCTTCACACCGGTCGGAAAACGCAGACCACCCCCTGGAAAGGAATGGAAACTTCCTCCAGGTCCCCGAGGAATCCCCATATTTGGCAATATTTTGCAGCTCAATAACGCTAGGGATGGTCAAGATCATAAAATAGTAAGTTCGAGGCTCTTGCCATACGTGAAGAGGGGGATCATGGACTGACGGTATGCAGCACAATGAGCTTGCAAAGTATGGTGAAATGACCACCCTCCATCTTGGATCCAAAACTTGGATTCTGCTAAATAGCAAGCGTGTGGTGTCCGAAATTATCGCAAAACGCGGCTCCCTCACAAATGGCCGAACCCCAATGCCTGTTGCCAGTGGAATTGTTAGCCGGTATGGACGATCCTTGCTGCTTCCACCTTCGCAATGGACTGAAAAGCGACGGGTGATGCACTCACTTTTGAGTGGAACGGCCTTGAAGCAATATGGTTCATGGCAAGAGCTTGAAAGTACTCAGATGCTTGCAGAGTATCTTTTCCAACCGGAAAGGTGGTATCGCCACCATTATCGATATGCAAATTCGGTGGTCCATCGTATCGCACTCGGTGAGCGATTGGTCAAGTCAGGAAAGGAGTTGGCTGATTTGCAAGATGTTGTCACTCTTTTCATTGGAAGTATTGGAACTAGCTTGGTGGATTGGTTCCCCGAACTAGATAAGCTACCTCGCGTGTTGCAGCCATGGCGAAAGCACTGGGAGAAGCTTGGGGACTGGAACGAAGAGGTCTACAAGTCATGGTGGATTCCGGCACGAGAGAAGGTGGAGAATGGGACAGCACCCCCGTCATGGATTCGTGACGTTCTTTTGCACCCAGACACCAATTTCACGGGAAACGATCAGGAAGCCATGTATGTTGCTATGCAACTTCTAGAGGCAGGATCGGATACGACCAGAGAAGTCCTGAATATCTTCGCCATGGCTGCGCTCTGCTATCCGAAAACGTTTCAAAAGGCCAGAGAAGAGGTTGACACGCACTGCGGCACTGCGACAAACTTCCGCCTGCCTGGTATTGATGATCTAGAGAAAATGCCATATATATGCGCTTTGATCAAGGAACTCCTTCGCTGGCGACCTATTTTCCCTTTCACTCCCGACCACGAGCTGACGTCGGACATGGATTTTGAGGGATATCACTTTCCAGCAGGGGTGGGATTCGTGATTAATGAAATTCCGGTATGCAACGAGTGTGAGGACCCGGAGGAGTTCAAGCCCGAAAGGTGGCTGGATGGACATGAGACCGATCCTGCACATGGACTTTGGCAGTTTGGAGGAGGTCGTCGTATTTGTGTTGGCTACAGATTGGCATTTCGGGGCCTCTTTATCAATGTTGCTCGCTTGGTGTTCTGCTACGACTACGAGGCAGTAAGTGAAAAAAAAATAACAGAGACATAATAGGGATACTGGCTAATATGCAGCAGGCTGGACCGTATAACTCGAAGATTTTGAATCACCACCGAACAGACGAACCTTTTCCAGTCACGGTTACTCCAAGAAGTGAGCAATATGTGAACCTGATACTGGGTGAAGCAACTCGGCTTGAGGTTTTGGAAGATTCTAAACGCCAGGTTTGATAATCGATCGTCATTTAATCCGTTCTCAATCCCTCTCTGCGTGGTTGATTTCTTTTTGCTTTGATGTATTTATTGTACGAATTTAGTCTTCGTCTGAATAGAAATTTAACTGCGAGCCTTCATTAATGGGAAAATGGTTTGGATGATTCATTCTCTGAGACAAGATATCACAAAGTCTGTAATGGTTTTGGTAGTTTGACTCGGAAGCTTGCCTGCCGAAAAGTCCATCAATGGGCCATCGTGGGCTTCATTGCCCATAAACAGCGTCACATCGCCAATACTTTTTCTTTCCAGCATCTGAGCTAATCGCTGTATATGATCGCTAAAGACCTCTTCAGACCCGCCGGTCACCAGAACATGATCAACGGCCTCGAAGTTATTCCACCAGCTTTCAGGCACATCAAGTGCCATCCCCCAGCCTTTCCCCGCAGAAACCTCCTCTTTCCAGGGAGAGTTCTCCACAAGGTATAAGCCCCATTCATGCACGACCTTTTTACTCAAAACATCGGCACTAAGCCACCTGTTATAAGAGGGAGTATTGAAGTTGAATGATGCTAGAGGAGATACAAGGAAACATCCTCTTACGACACCACTCTGGCTCAAGAGATGCTTTGTTGGGCAATCTTCGAGGCGGGGATGGTGAAGATGTGCCATAAGACTTAGGGACAGATGGCCTCCCGCGGAGTCCCCTCCAAACACAATCTAGAACAATATCGTGTTAAAAATACACTTGGTAAGTTTTATATAGAATATTGGTACCTGGGAAGGCTCATATCCTGAGTTTAAAAGATGCTCAAGTGCGAGAATGCCCTGTGACATCTGCCTAGGGTATTTATTTTTGGGAATCAAATCTGAATCGTGAGTCAGTGAATACTGTTCGCCGTTTAATGAAAGTTCTTGACCGACCATATGCGAGAATACACACGCTGAGCTCCACCCCAGCATTGATGGCCTCATTCCTCACATGTGCCATCCAGTCCAAATGCCCTTTAGAAAGAGGCATCACATAGCCGCCACCTAGTGGGTTAGCAAAATTTGAGAGTGTTTATTGCGTCTCATACCATGAAAAAAGAGGACCACATTCTTTGCCTTTTTTGGTCCAATCCACAGCAGACGTGTTGAATTGTCAGCCGCCAGATTATCTACAGTATGAGCGGTATTGTGGGACGACACCCATGTGTTATATGTCTCGATTGTAGATGGTAGAATGCTTTGAAGGTCTCGAGGATGGGTGTTGACCATCAGAGCTCCGGCAAAACCATTCCATATGGATGGCCCAAAGGGCAAGCCTTTCAGCCATGCCCGAACAAAAGCTCCAGAAATTCTGAATGCTGCACTTGGTAAAGTCCGAAATAAGAAGTTCAGAAACAAGCGTAATTTTGTCTGAGCCGATATTTTGTGCGTCATTCTTCCAATGCTTCACAAAATGAGATCGGGCGAGGTGAGCGGAGGCTGATGAGGCGCCATCTCCCTTAGGTAGGTATTCATAGAGACAAGTATAAGTCAACAAGCTGGCCATAGCCTCGGTTCTGTGGACATGTGAGATAATTCTGCCTCGGACTGAAGAGGAGGTAGGAATTACCCAGATTCAAGACTAAAAGGTCCAAACCTAACACTAGTATACAGGCCAGCGGCGTGTACGGTTACGGTCGGCTGCCCGGGAAAGATCCGAGAAATGGGGTGAACTTAAACCCCACAAAGAAATGATGACGAGGAGATACCGGAACAGACCCGGATTTAAAGACCCCTTGTGCCGGAGAGCTCCAGTCACCTACTCATTGTTGCTTGCAAGTCCACTCCTCCATAGAGTCTTGCGAGCTAAGATACATCCGCTATCTTAATCGACTCATCAAGCTAGTGGATCTAGATCTTACAGAATGTCACCGAAAGCTGCTGGAAACCCAAAACGACGAGTCAGAACACGCCCTAAGATCGCCTTGGCCTGCGACTCGTGCAGGGAGAAGAAGATTCGCTGTGATGGGATAAAGCCCATCTGCGGGCCATGCGTGAGACGATCACATCGGAATGATCAGTGTGTTTATAACACGGAGAACTCCCGGTCGACTAGCAGGGACGAGTAAGCCTCCTCCGCATGTACGATTTGTTGCATTTTACCTCTAACGCAAGATAGATATGTCCGTGCTCTCCACCAGCGAATCAAAGAACTGGAAGACATCTGCTTGAAGGCTGGAGCTCATGTCTCAAGGGCCTCAACTCCACACGCTCGGCTACCTGGTGACTCCACTAGGCAAGAAGAAATGACACTAAGGGGGGGCCGGCGTCTCCCCCAGTTCTCGTCGTTTACGTCTGGAAAATACGGAACAGAATCCGGCCTCTCCAAGCTCCACAGCCGGATTTGCCTCGGGGCATATAATACTGTGTACCCGAAGTGAACGCAACGATAGCCACACTGGCTCACTCGGGGAAAATACTACCGATATCTATGAATCGCCATTATTTGATGAAGATCAAGGTCGCATTACGGGCATGGGCCAGATGATCTTGTCAGGGGCGGAGAGAGAAGATCGAAGGAGATCCACCCGATTTCAATTCTATGGTACTTCATCTACGGCTTCGCTTATGCGCTTTGCCTATCAAAGCATGCCATCAAGGCCGGCGGGTGGCTCTCGTGCCGAGGCCGCATACAACAGGCTTCAGGACACATCCACCACCTACGGGATGGAGGATTTTTCATTGCCACCGCGAGCGTTTGCCGATCACCTCGTGAAACGATTCTTCGAAAAAATATACATTCTCTATCCACTATTCCATCGCCCAGCCTTCGAGGCGGCCTATCAAAATCTCTGGCGTGGAGAGGACGAACCCAATATCCCCGCGCCGACCGATTTGCAGATTGGAATAGGATCAAAGACAGAGTCGGAGCCCACATCGACTGTCTTCCTGTGTGCCCTGAACTTGATATTTGCCTTGGGCTGTCAGTTTGCCGATTTGGCATCCGAGGAAGCCGAGTCCGTCGCCAATTCGTTCTTCCTTCGAGCGAAGCATTTTATCGGGCTCGATTTTCTGGACATCAACACACTTGGCGTGGTTCAAACTCTACTCATTACAGCACTTTATCTGCAAAGCTCCCCATATCCCAGTCGTTGCTGGCATTCTGTTGGGAACGCCTGCAGAGTTGCCTTTGGATTGGGACTCCACAAATCCGATATTCTGGCTTCTCTGACACCTCTGGAGTCCGAAATTCGCAGGCGGACTTGGCATGGATGTGTAATAATGGATATGTAAGTCTTCAAATCCTCTGTCTTGTTTGTTTGCCATGCTAACCTATAGCTTGTAGGACTTTGAGCATGACATACGGCAGACCAAGCATGACCTCCCATCTTGCCCGAGTTCCCACACCAGATGGTTTAGAACTATCCGGGCACCAAAATGGTGCCAGTGAACCTCCCTTGATGGCATTTTATATCGAAGCGATCAAGCTTTATAATATCTTGGACAATATTCTAGCTGATGTCTACAATGCATGGCGTGGCCGGCTACGCCAGGACTACATGCCATCCCCGACCTTGAGCCTTAGGAGCCTTCAAATTGTTCTCGAAGTTGAAAGAGAGCTTCTATTGTTTAAGACCAATGTCCCTTCCTTTTTGAAGTGGACACCTGGGGCACACTCCGCGCCTTCTCGTCCAGAACCCAATATGGCTATTGCCCAGCAAAGAAATGTCCTACATGCTAGGTGTGTTGCATATCGTTACAGCCTCAGTTGCCACTTTCTTACCTCTCTATACAGGTACATACACCTTCAGATCCTCCTCTACCGTCCCATATTCACACAAATATACTCTAAACAAGATTCATCGTCTGTACCAGAGCTACAAAATGACTCGTCATCCCAGAGCATAGAGATGCAAAGCAATCTGTATTCTTCCATGTTCAGTAAATGCGCCGAGGCATGTGTGACAGCTGCCATTGATCTCACATACCTAGTACGAGAGACTTATCAAACCGACTGTTCCGATGCATGGTGGTACAATGGTTTCTGTATGTTACAGCCGTTATTCATCCCACTCTACTTATCATACTAATTCTACCACTCCCAGACGCCTCGACTGCAGCAATGGTCCTCCTCATGGCTATTTCTACACCATCCATGATGGATCAAATACTATTGGACAAAGCACGAGAGGCTTGGAAAGAGGCAACCAGTGTCCTGGAATTCCTGTCAACATTTTGCCGCTCTGCAACCAACACTCTTCAATTTCTCCAGGCTGCTTATGTTCGAGCTGTCCCTACTGGTCAACATCAGACGGGTGCAGAAGCTGATGCTTCACATATACCGCAACCTAACGATCAAAATGATAACTTAATTAACGACCTTACCCAGTTTCCAGTCTTCGATTGGGAGGAGTTTGCGGAGAACATGGCACCTGGATTGGATGACTTAGGATTTCTGACGGGGTTTAATTTCCATGATAATTTTGCATGAGATTCATGAGATTCATGAGTCTTCCTTCGTGAATTGTATTCAAATGCCCGGCCACAACATCATCGACAGGCGTCAAAGCCCTAGTTAAGAAGCTATTCTGCCAGTCATTAACGCTCACTAGTGGCCTTGATATCTTGTGTTCACTCATTTGGCCTTGTCCACCTTCCCTTCCTTCCGGTCCCATCCAACTGTGTCGGTTCCGTGAATCCAGTCCATCAAGCCGATAGTTCCATAGTTGACACGAAATTTCTCGTGGTGTAGATCGTGCAACTCGGCGGGTGGTAGTTTCAAAAAGTCGTACCCGCTATGATCAGCCGCGGCCTCCCAGAGCTCGAAGGTGACAAAAGCCATAATTGAGAGGCCATGAGCGCCTTTCAGGTAGAGAGGGAGTGTGACCGGTAACACATTGGCTAAAATATGCTCGATCGGATGAGCATACTCGGCAGCGAATGCGACTGGGGTAATGTATTTGTGATGCATCTTATGAACATAGGCGTAGATGCGGGGATGATGAAAGGCGCGATGAACGTAATAAAATGAGATTTCTCGTGCTAGTAGAGCAAAGACGAAATCTCCTATAAAGGTCTTCAGAGAGGGGATGGTTGCGTCGAAATTCATCATTGAATGATCGAAGCCGCCAGCTATATAGAGCATCGTGCCATGCATAGCAATTGAAATAAAGTTGTTGAAAAGAGAAATCTTGATACAGTGTAGAATTTCCTGGCGGGTCGGCTGCCGACGAGGGCCTTGTATCTTGTGGCGCTGCGAGAACTTCGGGAAAAGAACATCGATCAGCATGTAGACAGCTGCTGGTATGATGAACCCGACAATTTGAACCAGTATATCAGCCACAATTTCGATGATGCCTAGCCTGTATGTGGTGATGATACTGGTCCAAGTAGTCTGTAATTTCCAGTGGAGATCCATGGCTGCTTTCTGTTGTTTGAAAGATTGTGATCCAGGGCAAAGTCATGTTTACCTCTGCGATACTAGCATTATTATAGCTGTTTATACCCGACCCACGGACTTGTTCCGCTGGCTACGAAGATATTTTTTCTTTTGAAAAATGATCCCTCGATCGATATCTTCTTGCCATGACATGGAAATTCGGAACTGTGCCGGTGCCGATTGAGGATGAGCCTCGGAAGTTGAGGATAATGCCCTCCTAGTCAGTTGACACGACACCCAAAGTCGCTTCTCCGCGAGGATCTACACTTAGTTTTCTTAGATGATGTATGAAGAAAGTATTTTTGCACATGTGATTTCTCGTTTCGGGTGCATCCGAAGCCACGGGAGTGGTCCCGATGTGATGTGATCTTGATATTTAGGGACAGCCAGCGATATGTCATACTTAAACTGAGTACCAGCCCCGTATTAGGATAGGCTACATCATTTTGTACTGAGTTTATGATCATTATCGTTCGAGATGACTGTACCGTCAACCGAAGCCCCAACCTACAGTCAGATAGCCTGTGTTGGTGCCGGCCTATCGGCTGTGGCTCTAGGCGCTACGTTACAGAGATGGTATGGCATTGAAGACATTCGTTTCTTTGAGCGACATCCCACGACCGGTGGAACATGGTACATCAATACGTATCCAGGTTCGCCAAACCACTCGACCTCAACCTGACTTTGAAACTGACACCCCTGAAGGATGCGGCTGCGATGTCCCAAGCGCTCTTTATAGCTTTTCTTTCGCGCAGAACCCGAATTGGACAAAGCTTATGCCATCTAATAAGGAAATCAAGGAGTACGTGGATAAGGTGGTGAAAACCTACAATCTGCTTCCGAAGATGACCTTCGGAGTGGAAGTTATCCGTAGTGTCTGGAGAGAGGACGCCAATCGATGGCTTCTCTACCTGCGAGATTCGACAGGAAGGGAATATACCCACGAATGCCAAATTCTTTTTGCAGCTACTGGGCAACTTGTAGAGCCCCGTGAGTGCGAAATCCCTGGTGCGTCGGAGTTTGAAGGAAATATCTTCCATTCGGCCCGCTGGGACCATAGCGTGGATCTGAAGGGGAAGAAAGTCGTTGTCATTGGAAATGGATGTTAGTATCAACCTCGTCATTGCCTAGAAAGCTGCTAGAAAGAGTTACTGATATATTCATAGGTACTGCTGCACAGATTGTCCCAGCTCTTGTGAAGGATGGAGGTGTGAAATCACTTACCCAGGTTATCCGAACAAAGCACTGGATCTTCCCGGCGCCAAACTTCAGCTATCCCAAGCTACTCCAGTGGATTTTCCGCTACGTCCCATTGGCCATGAGACTACACAGATTCCACATCTTTTTGATCGCTGAGAACGATTTTCGTCTATTTCCAATGACAAAGAGTGCGGCCAAACTGAGGGAGAAGAGAAGAAAACAGGTGGAAACGTATATGCGGCGGGCTGGTCCGGAAAAGTATCATGATTTGCTCATCCCAGATTTTGATGTAGGCTGCAAGGTAGGTCTATTTTTGATAAACATCTATCATGTCTAGCGCGTCATGTCTAAAAGTCTGGATGGCTAATTCGAGCCTAAGCGGCGAATCTTTGACCCCGGGTATCTGGAATCACTGCATGACGACAAGGTGCTGCTGACAGACGCGAAAGCCGAAAGAATAACCGCAGAGGGTATCAAAACCAACAAGGGATTCATTCCTGCTGACGTTATTGTGCTCGCAACAGGCTTCAAAACCAACAAGTTTATTCCCTACATGGATGTCGTTGGACGTAACGGCCAAAATGTCGAGCAGCACTGGGGGAGCAAGGAATACGGCGGTCCAGCAGCGTACAACTGCTCTGCACTGAATGGATTTCCTAACTTCTTCATGCTATTGGGCCCCAATGCTGCGACTGGTCATACGTCTGCCATGATGGCTGCAGAGAAGTAGGTTACGCGTATCGACGATCTCTTATATTCTGCACCGCGGGTTTCTAACCATTATAACTAAACTAGCTCGATAAACTATGCCCTTCGCGTCCTCAAGCCAGTTCTAGATGGTGATGCTGGTTCGATCGAGGTCACTGCCAAAGCTGAGCACGATTACGTGTATTGGGTGCAAGACGCACTGAAAAAGCGTGTTTGGAACGCTGGATGTTTGTCGGTAAGCTCAGCTCGTCTGATAATCCCCATCCGGCATCTCTTATTTAACGGATTTTCATAGTGGTATCTTAACGATAAAAACTGGAACTCCATGTCCTACCCCTGGACTCAAGGCCACTACTGGTGGAGAAGTCTGTTTCCTACATGGTCTGACTGGTCTATCAAGGTTCGAGCTTCAAGCTTCCCGTCGTCTGGCTAGCACTTCATGCTGATAAGCTGTTTCACAGAGAGTCGTAAAGCCAAGAGCCCGCTCTGCTTCCTGGGTTATACTGTTGGCTTTAACTTGCGTTGGGATCTTGGCAGGTAATCAGCTCAGTGATTCTCGGGAATTCCTCAGGCAGCTCAAAACCTACGGCACCATAGCGCTGTCCAACATGCACCTGGGGAAATTATAGTAATCGGAACTACAACCAGTGCTGTATTGTTGAAACTCGGGATCATCTGTATATTCATCTTGCGTAATTCTAGTGTGTATTTTATCTTACTCTTATTAGTAGCTACCCACATTCTCTTGAAACACTTTTTCTAATCTTAGACCATTGATTTCTCAAGACACGCAGAAGAGGTGTCTAATCCTTTGGTTCCCACTCAAAACTCCTACGAAAAGGCTTCACACTACAGCCTATCCTGCTTCAATATGATTGAATTGGTTAAGAATTGGTATTCGTCGATAATGAGCAGACAATCTCTAGCAATCTCGAACTATCGGCCATTGTTGGTGCCAGACTTTCTCTAAATATATTTAGACCTGTTATTACTATTTTATCTTTTGATATTGGGTAAGTATACCGTCTGAACATGAGCTAAGAGGAGTCGAGAGCCGGAATGAGAACTGGAGTATCCCGCATTGTGCTGTCTTTTGAAAGGGTCGAGGGAATTCTCTATGTTCCTACGACGGCGCTTGCTTTGATTAATTGACTTCATGGCACCATTCAAAATGCATACCACCAATGATCGAAAAATACTATACCATAGACTGGAGATGTCCAGTGGGCACAATCTCTTTGAGTTCTTGAACCGGAACGTTCCGGTTGTCACGCGAACACGATCCTTGGATGGATATTGCGCCGACATACCGCCATCCGGGTACTGTCCGGCTCAGACACGGAACAGTTGCGAACTTCAAATTCTTGAGAAGTCGGAGAAGATCACAGACTATGCGCATTGTGCAAAACCTAAGTTAAGCAGGTCGCGGCAACGTATCCGATTTCCAAATGTTCATAAAGTACTAAATTGGGGAGAGATTTCTCCACCTCCCAATATTGACCACACCCAAGTTTAGATTTCGACGATGACGAGCAAAGGAGCAATTCTTCCCCGCGAGGGCCTTTACATTGACCCAGTTTTCAAATGGTTACGGCAAACACTGCTTCATCCGTTATTCACGCTGACATGCTTATACTTGGTGCATGGAGCCAAGTTGAGCGCTGCTGTGCCATATCAAAGGCCCGTTCAACTGATCACCGGGACCAGTATCTTGCTGTTTCTTAATGACTGGTTGAGTGGCAAAAGTCAAAACAACTGGGTTACAGATGACAGCTGGGACTGGAAGAAGGAGCTGGTAGTAGTCACCGGTGGGAGTGGTGGCATCGGGGGTGGTGTTGCACAACGTCTCGCGGCTATGGGGGCTCGGGTGGTTGTGCTGGATATTATTCCTTTGACATATGAACCTGGTACGCGGATTGAATCCTTCTCATTCACTTGCCTTCGACTAATACGACTTCAAGGGAAACGTATCGTATACTATAAGTGCGACCTTAGCGACGAAAAGGAAATTTCATCTGTCTGCGAAAAGATCAAAGTCGAAATAGGTCATCCAACAGTTCTTGGTAAGGTAAAAAAGGCGATAAATTAGATCTCTAGCTGACAGTGGTAGTCAACAATGCTGGTTTGTCTCGTGGTCGGACTGTTGTCGAAGGTTCATACAGCGACAATATCATTACCTTGAAGACCAATTTACATGCACCTTTTCTGCTCACTAAAGAGTTCCTTCCAACCATGATCCAGCAAAATCACGGCCACATTTTTAACGTCTCATCGATGAGTGCTTATATTCCTCCGCCAGGGATTGCAGATTACGCAGCGTCAAAAGCTGGAATGATCGCATTTCATGAAGTAAGATCCCGGTAAAACTCTTTCTTCCCTGTTTCAAAGTGCTTATTTTCTTAGTGTCTTGCGGAAGAGCTTCGAGGCGAGGGTGCACTCAAAGTTCGCACATCGCTTGCTGTTTTGAGTTTTACAAAGACGCCTCTTTTCAAGGGAGAGACAAATCAGTCCCACTTCTTAATGCCTCTGCTGCATATAGACACCGTCGTCGATGCGATTGTTGATACACTTGATAGTGGACTAAGTCAGACTATCTTTCTCCCTGGTATATTTAGGTTCTTCGCAGGCTTGGTAAGTTATCACCCCACTTTGAAGGACTTTTATTAACATATCACGTAGCGAGGAGCTCCCGTTTGGTTACAGAATTTGATTCGAGGCGGTGCCAAGTCTCTGAAAGTGGATTTCAAAGGGCGCCAGGAGATTGACCCGAAGACAGGAAGGCTTAAATAGAGACCTAAAGGCTGGGCTGGTATCCTCTTCCTGCATGTTTATTTGCTAATCAATGTCCCTTCAATATTCTTGACGATGGCAAAAGATGGCAAAATATGACAAATATGATTAACAATACAAAAATCTTCTCTTATCCAAATTGCACGTATTTGAAGTTTGTTCTCTTGTCGTTGCATAATTATTCCCGTGGACTGGTAACCTGGACAAGCAATGTTGGGATAATTCCACCGACAACGACAATGCCACTCATAACCCCGGCCGTACCAGTGAAACCTAAAGCACGAAACATGTATGGGAAATAGAAAGGGCCGACCTAGAATTTCTGTTAGTGAGATAATAGATCCTGAGGCAGAGGAGGACGAACAAAACCATAAAGTAGCCTGATAACGTTGAACAGCACTCCGATTGATGCAGAGTCATCGGGCGAAGTATCGATGGCATACGCTGTGAGAATGGTAGATTGAATCTGATTGCCAAAGCTGGCAATGGCAATTCCCACGCAGGGAGTTACATTCCAAATTTTCGCTCGCTCAAGTTGAACCCCCCAGACGAGCTGACCAGCAATGATAGTGAGGAAGCCAATGTAAGTCAACCAGAGGCGATCGGCCGGACAAACTCGGCCTTTGCGCTTTCTATATACCTTCATGAAGTAGTCGGACATTGGACCACCGATCTGCTCTCCAATTACGCACCCGATGATGATGGGAATGAATTGGAGACCGGTTTGTTGAGCATTGAGATGAAATTTCTCCCCAAACGTGAGCGGCATTTCGACCACGAAGACGATATTGGCATAGCAGAAGGTGATAGCAGTAGCTAGCGCTGCTACCAAGATCCGAGGGTTCTTGGCTAGGTGAAATGGAGACACAAAGTCCGATATCCTGATCGGACGCGTATCAAGTCGTTTGGGCAGTAGCCTGTTCACAAACGCCCGGAAAATCGAGATCTTTTTTTTGCTGCATCATTCTCAAGTTCCATGACACGAAGTGTCTCCCCACCAAGGCAGATATAAGCCAACGCTTGCAAGAGATTGATGATGGCAAATATCCCAAATATGAATTCCACTTGAGTGTGCTGCGCCACGAACCCCATGATAAAGGGACCTGCCGGGGTACCGAGGATGGTCATCAAAACCCACCACCCCACCTTCCGGGCATATTCATCTGGAGTAGATAATTCAGCTACCACTCCACTGCCAATTCCAATGGGTGGAGATATGAAAACTGCAGTCAAAACACGAGTGACCATCTGGCCAGCGTAAGTTTCGCACCGGACGCCTCCGATGTTGCACACCATACTCGCAAGGACCGAAAATATAAGGACATAATGGCGGCCATATCTTTCTGTGATGACAATCCAGAAAATAGGTGCTATTCCAAGTAGAACGATCTAAATCGCATTCTTATCAACAAACCTGATTCACTCTGGGAATATTACGAGACCAGATACTTACTTGAATGGACACCAGGTAGCTTGCGTCAGCAAGGGGCACACCATAAGATTTTGCCAGTGAAGAAATTGCTGGCACGATTCCTGCTGCCATGAACACAGAAATCATGGAATGAAATGAGACCATCAAAATTGTAGCATTCTTCTTCCATTGTGGCCAGTCGACAGCTTGGCGAGAAGTAGGTTCCATTGACGATGAAGGGACTGCTCCATCCAATTTGACCGGAGGACCCGATTCAATTGACTCCAAATGCTGGAAGGGGTTCTTTGTCTGAAGGTTGCCAGAACCCGTGTCGCTCATAGTTGCGGGGAAGGATTGAAATTGGTAAAAGCAAGATCTCTATCTCCTATTATAAGATTGGATTGAGGTCCAGCGAACTGACTCCTGATAGTATGGCTGCTAGAAGAAGCCAGCCAGTCCACCTCCTTTTATACCCATCTCTCGAATGCTTTACTTTCTATTCTAGGTTTTTCTAATTCGTTCTGATCTAGTATAATGCGGGGGAATAGTGTCATTCCCCACAGAAATCAGGCAAATTTATAGTTTCGGTTCTCATCCCGGACTGTATAGATCCTTGATTCCCCGCGTTTCGGGACTAATCCGCGTATCTGGGATAGCAGGCGTCTGATTGGTCCAGAAGGATTGGTAGATTGGCCTAGTGCAAGGTTTGAGACCCGTTTCCGCGAGGTCGGCTCTTCGCCCAATGAAAGTTAATCATATCCTAAGAAGATTCGAGGCGAGGATTAAGATGGGATCTATCCCGAGTGCTTGGACCCCTCAACGGCACGCATTCCTCGTGTTCTGTTCACCGTAATTGCATTCTAATCAATATTGACTGTTACGAATGAAGTATAGTTAGAGCGGAATTATGGCGCGTCAAGTTCAGATACGCCTTCAGAAGAGCTATGGGCATGGAAGAGTGTCTCAAAATGATGGCACATTTGGTCATTCATGATTTCAATTTCGATATTATCTCCCATGACACGACGAGCCAAAAATTTTAGAAAGTTAACGCTACTTTCCCATCCTAGAGCCATACTACTATAGAGCTTTGAAAAGGCTGTTCGCAAGATCTTATCGCGTAGCTCTGGGTCAAGCGGGAAGCCGTCTAGAATTTGCTTGAAGCCAAGTGATTTGTCGGGGGACGCATAACCAAAATCGGAACCTGCGGAATATAATAGCTACTGTAAAAACAACAGAACTTGGCAAAAGCCTTACCATAAGTAATATGATCATGCGGAATAACATCGAGACCTAGTTTGAGTACGACCTCGGAACTGGAGAAGGCCAAGTCAAAGTCGAATGACCGGAAGTCTTCCATGATCTCCTTGGAGGATTTCCCATAAATGCGGGCGGTTGCAGCGGCTTCCTTGGGCACGGTACAAACGCGCGTAATCAAGAAGGGCAGGGTTCCTCCGGCGTGGGAAAGAATTACTTTGCAATCTGGATAACTTATCTTTCTGTTGGTGATAATCATGTGGACAGCAGTTCTCGTGGTCTCATGGGGATAATCAATCGCTGTCTGCGGCAGGACAGGGTTGACTCGAGTCGTATTAGCGGGATGAGTAGGGTGAATGAAGACCACAGCTTTTCTGATATTTAATTCCTCCCAGATATGCTTTAATTCGGGGCTGCCAAGGTATTGGTTCCCAGAGCCGTATCCTGTGAAGAAAAGCCACACCTTCGGCGTTCAACACATCTAGGGAGTATTTCATCTCCGCCAGAGCGCCTTCGGTATCACGAAGGCAAGGCAACGATGCGAAAAAGCCCCATTTCTTTGTCCGACTCAAGGGAAAGCCTCACCCACGTGCATTGTTATCTATCAACATGGTCTCCTCGTCGTACATTCAGCATAACGTCTCCCTTTGAATGCCAATATTCTTTTGACGCAAACTCGTATATATGGAACGGATACTGATATAAAAAAGTTGAAGTGCCAGGACATTCAATATACCATAATATAGACTAAGAGGATGAAGTAAGTATTCAGCAACTACATCGATCGCAGAGGTGATTTACAAGTGAAAAACCAATGATGCGTGATCAACCTGAAACGAGCATAGCTTGGCACCGAATAAGTGCGTGGTCGAGGTCGCTTCCACCTGGGGGTGGCCGACGGAGTCAGAAGGCTACCCTCTGTTCCCGACTTTCAAGTCGGTGATACACCGGTGGCCATCTCATCGACAGCGCAGTCAGCAGTCTACGTCGAGCTAAATTACCGAAGACCAGCCTGTAAAAGCGACTACATAGATAGTTGAAGGAATCGACTGTCTTGGTGTCGCATGATATTGCAACATGAGGAGGTTATTCCCAACTTAATGCCTTAGGTGTCGGTTAGACACCTTATCGTCAGGCTTCGTGATGACAACCCCACTTCCCCACAGAATACGGCTCAGTAGGCGGCGACTCGGGTGGGTCAGTAGGCGGCGACTGCCAAGAATCACGTGTCAACCTTTCCCCAACATGGGTGCATGGCCTACAAGGCCCTAGGGGTTCGGTGCCCTTCCAGGGATTCGTGAACCCCTCCATCTTGCAGCCTTCGCTTAATCCTACCCCATGGGAGCCACGTCAGACCGCATATTATAATGTGATCCATCGTCTCTGCTTTGGTAATGTGGAAAGGTGTCGAAGCCTGTACATAAATTGAGGATCATGGAGAGATCCAAGATAGCAAGAAACAGTGTTTGGCCTTCCTTACTTGACGTCTATCTTCCTAACTAGTTGACAGGCTTTCTACCCTATACAAGTCGTCATATCCTAACAAGCCTATAGTATCCTAGCTTGCTCCGATAATTTATTATACTACCTATATTTAGTATATTGCATAATTAGTTTCCTCTAGGTAGCTACCCTATCGAAATTTTCAAATGTAGACCTTGTTATAAAGAGTTAGATTTTCATTTTAAAAATTAAATATTAAGACTATATCTTTTAGATCTAAGAAGCTATATATCGACTTAAGGTAGGGCATTATATGATTAATAGGCGCCTTGCTAACTCACTATAATTAGTGACTGTACATCAGCTTGCTCTCACATCTACTAGGACCCCATAGTAGGGAATCTATATCAATATTACAGTCATAACACATTGGAGAGGCAAAACAAATACTTGCAACGCATTAGGTCTAACATGCGTCATCGATTAACTCAGGCGCGGGGTGACGTTACTGCGGAGACTAATAGATTCGTTGATTCAAATACACGTGAGCCACAAGAGGCCGACATGCCGAGTACCTAGGACCCTCTCCTTGGGCTACTGTTTTGTCACGCAGATATGTAAGCATTACAATTCCCAAGCGAGAGGTCAACTAGTGCCAAATTAGGAGACGCTGGAATGTGTACTTGGACATAATAAGGGCACTTCAGCATTCGCGGGTAAATGATCGATTTGATAGGATCCTCGAAAGTGAAGAGTGGATGCAAATATAGCACTTGACTAAGGATACTGCGCTTGAAGCTATTCAATGAATGACTGGAACTGTGAAATTTATTGATTGTCTCTCTACAAACTCGCACGTTCGAGCGGTGATCTTCTCAAACTCCAGCGAACGGTATTTTAAGTTGAAATATATCTCGAATGGGCATCAAAAGAAGCTTCACCAATTATGTCCAACCTGGTCGAGAATGGCGACCCTGCTAGACGTGCAGCTACCCTTCAAAGACTCGGTATGGAGACACTAGGCTGTATTTCAATATTGAGAAGTGTGGGGAACGCATGTATCTTTTTCCTTTGTTGAATTATGATCCTTATTATCAGTGCGTTTGGTAGGTGGTGCAGGTTTCTCCCATCAATTTATCCTAATAAACTCTCTCGTCTCGGTCTGCCAAGGATATTGCAAGTTTTATTATCCACTTACTGCATATAACGACATATACACCCGAAGGGGTTCAGACCACTCGGGTTATTTCTGTGGTCTGGTAGGCATAAAGTACTGGATTTTCTTAGTACAAAATTCAGGTAATCGACCAGGTATTTGCAAATAACCTGATACCCTGGTAGCGGGGCAGAAGGGTCAGTTGAAGAAAAGGATAGAAGCAGCGATGGGATTTCAATCTTATATTCCAGGCACAGAAATCTTGCACCAAGTTTTCTGATTAAAGCCTTACCATTGTTGATTAAACAGGTGGCCACTTACCCCCTAGGCCAAATATCTGGAAGATTGCCTCTAGATAGAACCACACTGACTTCCTTGGGCTCACAGAGTATCTCCCTTTTGTTGGAGTTATACATACAGTTGACATAACCTTTTGACTCACTCGTCGACCCACATCGCTCGACGAAATGCGTCATAAATGGCACCAGTTCTCTCGGGGTGATTATGCGCCGAGCAGTCTTCTGGAGTAAATCTGGAAATTGAACCAAGACTAGAACGTGTTGTCCTATTCTCAGTCAGTCTAATGTCTTCTTGAAGTAAAGAAACCGATGCACTATTCCACAATATTTTTCTTAGAAACCTAAAATCAATAATAGAAGCCGTGCAAAAGGAGTTAGTAAATAGTGTAACGATTTATATTAGTTTAATGATGCTGTGATAAGGCTGTTACTTAGGAACGATACGCAATGTTGAAAATAATTTCCTCCTATATATAAAAAGACTAAGTTTATCGGAAAACAACTTCATGCTATATATATAACCTCTTTGTATTTCAATGAAATAGTATAAAATACTTCCTCACAATTTACAACGAATTATTCACCTTATTTAGGTTCGTTCCCCCGAATCTTTATTTTTTAAAACCTGTACCAACAGATAATATTTAACAATATCTTGTTAGATAACAATAATTACACTTGATTTTCAATAAGGCTAGTCTATCTTTCTTTAGTAGTAGTTCTGCTTATAAATTATCTATTATATTTAGAATTTTAAGATACGCCGTATATTACCCTTAGGTACGAGAGGAATAAATTACTTATATAGCAGCATTTAATGAGTTTAACGAAATAATTAAGTATATTAATTAAGAAGTGAATAAATAAGAGAGCGAGAGGAGGTGTTTGATATATCTATAGATGTCTAACGAACGAGGCATTAACTAAGGAACTACAAGATTGATTACGCGCAAATAGCGCAAATACGCATTGAGTTCTCCTCACTAACAAGGACAGCATTAGGAATAGAAACAAACACTATTAATTACACACAAGAGGAGACAATTAGCGAAAAAATCAGTTGCGGGTGTAAATAACGGGTTTGTTCTCCTCGACATCACCCAACTGATTTCACTAAAGCTCGAAGCTAACAGTCTAGTTTAGAAGAGCATACAAAAAATGGGCCGGTCACGAGTCTCTGACAGCAGATTAAAATTGTATTTAATATCTACAGACAGGAACAATAGAGAGTCACCGAATAGGTAACAAATAGGAAGGAGACGCAAGCGTCAACCCCGCAGTGGCCAAGCTCTTCCCAGGGAGGAGGCCCTATCACACTCTGCTTTTTCGACGATTTGAGAAATCTGCGTCATGCACTCTGAGATCCATAGGGATAAAGATCCCCAACCTAGAGTCGTTTCCAGCAGAACCCTTTACCCAGTAGCACTAAAAGCATCCGTCCATAACTCCGATTTTCGGCAATCCAATCATCGCGAATTCGGTCCAATTTCGCGACGAATTATTGTATGGCACTTGGAAATCTTGCTATTGTTCGTGAAACCCAAGAAAATAAAAATCAAGTCCTAATCACGTGCGGGACCTTTCCGCTTCCTCCCACTTCCTTCGGTCCAGGGCACAAGGCTGAAAGTATGAAATTGTATAGCAATGTACTGCGACATATTCAAAAATAACCCATATCCAAAACTTCGGAGATAGCTCGAGCTAAAGCTGTGCTTGTTATATATAACGCATCTCTTCAGATTCAGACCGGATCGAGATCTTATTTGCTGACGGGTGAGTCAATTTACTGTACCTGCCCCCATATTCGGCGGATTTTTACCTGATCGAGGAATTCTTTGCCGAGCTGAAGGGTGGTATACATCAAGAAAGCCTGTTCAGCATACTAAGAGAAACCTGGGTGCTAAGCCAATTGTGCTTATATAACTCAACGACTGGTAGGTTTTATGAAATATCATGTCCTGTGGCTTGCGTTTGCATTCTTCCAATGTATCGATGATGTAATATATCTCAGGGCCAGTAATTGCTTGTCCAATAGTCATCAGAAAAGCCCATTATGAGACTATACTCTCTAAGGAAAGCACTAAGTCATTGTTACCGATGAGGATGAGAGCACCTTAAGAGCAGACAAACAGACTTATTGAGATGGCTCCCAAGATGGAAATTTAGTATTGGGGGTGAATTCCAATCGCTCCTACGTGCGGTATAAGCATGATTGAAAGTCCTGAATGGAGATAGGATCGAAAGTACAACGATGGGTGCGCCGACCGTACGGTCAAGAAGAGGTTGTTCATTGAGTATTCCGACCAAACAGTTCCTGGTTTTTAACAAGTTTTTAAAAATGGCAGGTCTGGTAAAGAAAGCGCAAGGACAAGATAGAAATCCGCAAGTGGAATAACACTTTGTTCTCACCACGGAGATTCATTCTCCCATGGCAATCCACCAACCTCTCTAGCATAATCATCCACGGTCGTCCACTTGAAATAGCATTGGCCCGGATTGATGATCTCCCGCGCATTGGAGGAATGGTCGAATGATCCATCAGCAACTAAGAGATTCATGAGCGGCCCTAAAAACAGATGAGTATATTTCAATAAAACTTGACTGGATTTCACCAACCTATCATGTTAGGGGGAATTGAGGCTTTCTTCGACTCGTAGTCCCGCTCAGCATCCTGAAGTGATGTAAAATTCGTTCTTAATTTCTCTTTGCTTTCATTTTCAAAGCATTTTTTATATTCTTGAATGGAACGGTTGTCGGAATAAACTCGAAGTTGTGATGGGCAGGATTGAGGCGATGAGAAAGCAAGCAAAATTGTTCGCAGCGTTAATGGCCCTAAATCTTTCTGACTGGTCATCGCGACAGGCCTTTCTCCAGTTCCTACAATGTTCCACGTCCGATTTTTCGTATCAAATCCTATAATCCTGTCAGTATGTAGAAAACTTTCTGATTCGTATTTGATTTTATTACCAAACCACTTGCAGAATGAAGTCTCCATAATCATCCCAGTGTATATAGCGATAGACTTCAGGCCGAGGCTTTGAGCATAAGACTGATGCTCCTGCTTGCTTGCAAACATTGGATGCTGATATCTAATATGGAGGTGATCAGTACCCCACTCAGAAGGCACATAAACCTTCACATTCGCTTCAGCGCCTAATCGAAAAAGTGAGTCCACGAATCACGAAGTTATCTTCTTTTAAAGAGTAGAAGTCTCACAAGCTTCGACAAGCAGCTTCTTGTTCTCCTTGGAGTCACCTCCTGTCCCCATACAGGACACAACAACGTCGACATCTTCTAGCATCCGACGCAAGGAAAGTTTGTCGCCAAAATTGATGAGACAAACAATAGCTCCTCCGGTGCGCGCAGCATCATAAGCCGATGACCTGGGGTTTTGTGTTGCAAGCTTCAAGGACGACAATTCGCGTGTTTGCAACGCATTCAGGAATGTCGGGAGAATTTCCTTCCCAATGAAGCCATTGGACCCGAAGAGTGCCACACAGGGAGCGTCCATTCTAAATTAACCTCGCTGAAAGATAGGCCAAACTAAGTTTCAATCTTTGTATCCTTGCACCCTGCGACAAACAGCGCGTAATTTATAGGGCAGATTCCCTTGGTCTTCAATGCAATAGCGTGGAAGCTTCGATTAATAATTGAAGTCTTTTGCCGCTCGTCCCGCTCCTCATTAATCATCAGCACTTAGATCCAACCTTGGTCTTGCCGAGATTCCCAGCTTAGTGGGGAACAAGGTTTGTTCCGGAATTCGGCATTCGGCATTCGGCATCGAGGGTGAGTAAAAAGAGCTGCTACGTTCTACAAAGTTCACGACTACTCCAACACGTGTCTGATATCGTTCTCAATCATTCATTTTGGTAGACGAAGTGCGTAGATGAGATTCGGAAATGCAGGAGTACACAATCCCTTACGCTGTGAGGCGCATAAGGTCTTTTTGGAAGGCACTATCAACAACTAATTAGATGAATACCCAAGCAAGTTGAACTCGCTCGCAAAAATCTTTTTTTTGAAAGAAGTTCTTTGGCCTCCCTTCCTATTAATTGGTGCTATAGTGTATCTATATCATCCCTGACGGCCCTGGAGGGAACAAGGATAAACCTCCTAACTAGTTCCAAATACGTGACAGAATGGCAGAATAGTACCACTAATACCGACCAGGCGAACTTATTCTACATGTCAGCAGTCTTGTGGCGGGTTAGAAATAGAAAAGCTAGTGAGTTTGGCTGAATCGAGAACGCTTAGCAGGAACGACTACACTAGCTAGTTAAAATACTGAATATAACACCAGCGTGGGATAGCGAGCTTTGTCAAGTTAATATAGTGAACATTTACCGAACTTTGGATCATTAATTCTTTTATTTGCCTGATAAGGAAAAAGCTAAAAACTCTTTAGTATTTTAACAGAAATATACAATTTTAAGACTTGTCACCTATCTCTGTAGATTTATGAGAGAATCACTTTACTGTACCGAACGTCAAATGCTAGTCGAGCTTTTTTACGCCGAAATTTCCGACCTCAGCCGAGGTTTAATTCGGAATATGATCCGAATATACGGAATGAGCTCCGAACTTCCCAGGAGGTGGAATGCACTCCAAAATTTCCCAAGAGGCCGGATAGCCCTACAAGAACGCTATGGTATCCTGCCCGTTTTTGCCTATCCAACTGAGTTGATATATGATTGAGAAAGTTGACTTTCTTATCTGCGGCAGCGGAAGCGCAGGTCTTTTTGCCACAACCTAGCTCGCTTGCTATGGGATCCGCTGCAAGGTTCTTGAGCGGCGTGACGGTCCTTTAGCCCTGGGCCAAGCAAATATGTACAATGTCGTACTGTTGAAATATTCGAAAGTTTTGGTATTGGTGACCTGCTTTTAGGTGAGGCTTACTATGTCCTCGAGCCCGCATTTTGGGCAGAGCAAGGTGCCGAGGGAAAGGTCATCAAGCGAATGGGTAGAACAGCAGTCCCCCATCAACCCTATGTCATCTTGAACCAGGCTCTATGAACAATCTCTTGATTGAGGCAATGCGCCGGTTCAACGACTTAAGGCATCGAATATGGCTATGACATTAAGCACCTCGAGGTAGATAGCGAACAGGCTAAGGATCCTTTAGCTTATCCTGTTAAAGTAATCGCTAAGAAGAATAGTTATTTAGTCGAGTTCGAAGCTAAGTACGCTTTGCTAGGTAGAGCAAATTATTGTCCTAGTGTGCTATTTTACTAAAAAATTTACTAATAATACACAGGCTTGTGATAGCGCCTACAGTATAGTTCGTCGCGCACTAGGTTTTAATATACTAGGTAACAGCAGTAATACGATTTAGGGCGTTATAGACATAGTACCTCGAACAGACTTCCCGGATATTAGAAAAAAGGCGACTATCCGGTCGGGGGCAGGAAATTTGCTAATTATTCCTCGGGAAGGTAACGCCTACAACCTAGTCTGATTTTATATCGAACTTCCGAGAGGACCCAAGCTAGGAGAGGTGAAGTTCGAACACCTACAAAATTCTGCTAATTATATCCTTAGGTAGTTTAAGGTAGAGTCTATTAAGAATGTATAGTGGTCTGCCTATTCTATCGGGCAGCGTTATACCGATAATTTCTACAAAGTGTTACAGACCCACCCCTGGGGTGCTAAATATAGACACGCCTGAACCAATCGATTCTGTAACAAGGTTATCAGCGATGAGCCTCGACTTATCAGCAATAAATCTGAAAGATAACAGCGATAAGTTCCGCACTTATCAGCGATGAGAAGGTTTGGATATATAAGGACACTCATTCACCTCTATATATTTAGTTCTTCGCGTTAATTTACATATTGTTACTTGAGACCTACCAATCGAACTATCTTAGTTACCTGATTCTATCTATAGTACAATATAAGGACACACCCACAACTAGGAGGAACACCTAGTAGTTATCCCATAACTACTTCGTCGACTGACTAGGCGCTCTACCTACTGACAACGTCTTCGGTCTACTCCATAGACCCGAGTCCGTGTAAGGCCTCAGCGATTCGGCAACGGTACGGTTGCGAGATCAGATAGTCGGAGATTGCGAGATAGGTACGTTAGGATAACGCACATTTTACGTCAACCAGTTAACAGCACGTACCAAGTACCTCTGCTAACGCTGTAGTCTTAGCTATAATAGCTACGTTACTAGAAGGAAGCTTACGCGTAGCGACTAGGCGACAACCTGTAAGTATACTACTGTCTATGCGCCTAGCTACCTCTATTTTCTTCTTATCCGCTATCTTCACGATATCCTACTCCTTTTTCGACCGGAGGCGCGCCTGTATCGTATTATCCTTGATCTTGATAATCACCTAACGATCTTCTGCTAGCTTAACTAGCGATACGCTGACTGAGCCCGACTAAGTGCTCTATTCCGACGGAGGTTTTACTATAATTATACGCTACTAGCCCTAGGTGCGAAAGGTACGCTGCGCGGCTGCCGAGGACTGCTAGGAGGAGGATATAGTGCAAGTAATTGATTTGATACGAGTAATTCGGTTAGTAAGCTCCTGCTGCCCCTTGTCGATCGCAGCGATAGCGGTAAGGACAGCGGCTATCCCCTGGGTGTTATTTTCGCGCGCTTTCAATACGTAGCGTTCGATAGAGAGGATGAAGCCTCACACGATCGGGTTAGCCGTGCTTGCATATTAGTTGTAGACGGTTCTTGCGATATAGGCGATTTCCTCTATCGAAGAGCAGTCGTTGATAGTGAGCTTGTTAGTTAGTTGGTTATTTTGCTTGTTAGTTCGCCGGTCGGTCTGCTAGAAGTGAGTTTGTGCGTTCCGTGGTTCGCGTAAATTTCGCGCCCGGTCGGGATACAAAATCCCTATTTCGGCCACGCCTGCTACCGCCATCGCCGATATAGCCTCAAAGCCGATATCAAACAATAGAGCGGGAAGTTAGATTGATTTTGAACTAGGTCTGGAGATCCTAGGACCTCTGGTTGACGAGATATCGCAAGAATTCGATTCTGCCAAGAGATAGTTCTTTTTTCTAGCATAACTATACTAAGCATTACAGAATAGAGACCCCCCCCCCCCTCCTCCTGAGTAAACAAAATGTAGGTACCTACAACAAGCGTTGAGATTAGAGAATCACTAATCAATCACTGGTCGATCACCGGGGCCAAGTAAGAATAAGTCATAAATCATATAACGATATTGATTGATCACTGAGCTGGAGCTGGAGCGCCCTCACAAAAGCGGCGGCAGCTGAGAGAGGAAAGCCCCACCCGCCAGACATTATCCGGTCTATATAGGTGCATATAGAGCTTGAATAGATTTTGTCCAAATATGCGTATCTACGAAGTGGGGGTTGGAAGATTCTCTTTTTATGAGAACCTTCATAAATCCTCTTTGCCGCTTCTTGGTTGTAAATCCAGTATGGACTTCAGTCTAAGCTTCCTGTGGTATAGAGAAGCATATTTATGCTGCTAAACCTACGGAGTAGAGTTCAGCGGATTGAATCAGAGAGGTGATCCAGGCGGCCCAAGCTGTCGATCGGTGTGGACCCTTTATGTCATCTCAGGGGGTAGCAGAGCAATCTTATCCGACCAAGTTGGTACATCCAAGAACGCTTTCTGGGGCTCTTTCATACGAAGAAATCTTATCGCTGAGTTGGTCAGTAACTAGCGCTCTGGTATTAGTGTATAGTAGATACAGATCTAATATAGCAGCGCGAGGTACGTATCTGGAAGCAAATTGCGTTCGACGAATATAAGAAAATCCAGATAATCTATAATCATGACTCGACGTAAAATTATTTTCAACGTAACTTTGAGTGAGTACTGTGAAGTATGCATAACAAAGGGCTCAAGAGAGACCTGAGCTACTAAGGTCTGAAAAGGAGTCGAGAGATCAGCGTCTAGAAAAAAGGAAAAAGAAAGCGATTGCGTGTGCCTGCACCACGGTAGCTGCTAAAATCTCCTGGGCTAGTGCCAAATCCATTTAATTAAATGCCGACATAATGCCCATCTAGGACCCATCCCTGGTGTAGGTGCTATGAGTTGTCCAAATTGCTCTCAATTGTGTCGTGCATTGATTGTACATGACCCACGTGGACAACATGCTCTTACATAGAAATCGCCATTTCTAGGAGAACCCTGTTGTGTACTTCTATCTGGGAATCAGAGGTAAAGTCGCATTTATCGTAAATAGCTTGTTGAGAATAAAGGTGCCCAGAGCCGAAGCCCAACATCCCAGTCGCGATTTAGAATTACGAATCCCTGATCACCACAGGATCATGGAGCCCAACAACAGCCAAGTCAACCGGAAATATCATGAGACACGCAGCGACTCGTCAGCTGTGATGAGGCGTGCATCAAAAACAGGCGTGATTCTTGGGCCGTTATAGGGTGCGTCAGACAAGCTGCTATGGCGTGCGATGGCGAAATATGCGGGCGCCAGTTGCGTGCTGCGGCCCCCATCCAAAATCCCCCAGTACAGCGCGGACGATCTAAATGGACGACCACGCATCTCATGCTTAAAACATTATTTAAGACAAGCTTATGGCGTTTTGTTTACTCTCCCCAGCCCGTGCTCTTTTCTTTACCTTGGGGGGTCTGCAGTGCTCCGGTATAATCCTCTATCATGGCGAAGTTCAACGGCACGAAGCTCGGCAAGGTCCGCGCATACTTCTTTGGCTTCTTCATTTGTCTCGCCGGGTTTCTATTTGGATATGACACAGGTATTGTTGGTAAGTACTGAGCCTAGAGATGGGTCCCCCCCCCCCCCCTCCGAGTTCCTCCATTCGCATGTGATTGCTGATTGGTACCCCGGGTTAGGTGGAATCTTGACCTTCCCGTCCTATATAAGGGACTTCGGATACAGTGATGAGACCACTGTCGATGCGGTTATGGTCAGTCTGCAGAATGTCGGTGCTTTCTTCGCCGCGGTTGCTGTTTTCTCTGTTTCAGAACGCTTCGGGCGCAAGAAGACCATTCAAACTGCAATGTTTATTTTCTGCATGGGTGTCATTCTCCAGGTTGTGCCGTCACACTCTCTCGTCTGCTTCTATATCGGCCGTGTGGTGTCTGGAGTAGGTCTAGGCGGTGCAACTGCCGTTGTCCCAACGTACAGTGCGGAGATGGCGCCCAAGGAGATCCGTGGCAGGCTCGGCTCCGGCGTACAGTGGCTCTTTACTTTGGGGGTAATGGCTAGTTACTGGATTGACTATGGTGTGGAGCAGACTTTGGGCGGCCAGTCTAAGGAATGGCAGATTCCTGTTGGTTTGCAATTGGTTCCGTCTTCAATTCTTGCATTTGGTCTGTTCTTACTGCCCGAGAGTGCTCGATGGCTTGTCAAGAAGGGGCGTGAGCAAGAAGGTTGGGCGAGTTTGACTTGGATTCGTGCTGACGATGGTAAGCATATCTCATTCAGAAGTACATGGGGTAAGGGATCAATATACTGATCGACTTGCTTATTTAATTAGGTCCTGATGTCAAAGCCGAGTTCAATGAGATCAAAGTCGGCCTGCAAGAGGAAATCAAAGCAACCGAGGGCCTAAAAAAACGTGAGCTCCTTGAACCTGCAAACCGATATCGTATCCTCGTCGCGTTTTGGATGTTCTGCGGCCAGCAATGTACTGGCATGACTGCTCTTGCATACTACGGACCGCAGTTCTTTAAGATCATCGTGGGTGGTGATGCTGGTCGGAACCTGCTTGTGACTGGCCTGTTCGGTGCTGAGAAGTTTGTCACGGTCGGCACCTATATTCTTTTCTTCTCAGAGAGATGGGGACGCAGACCCACTCTCTGGATCACCAATATCCTTATGGCGCTCTGTTTCGTCATTGTCGTCATCGTGAACAAGACGACCGACTCTCTCGATGCCTCTGGCAATCCATCTTCGGCTGGTATTGCGACTGTTGCCATGATCTTTCTTACCAACTCAATTTACCAGTTCGGCTGGGGCCCCTTGCCATGGCCTTACACGACCGAAATATTCCCGTCGCGTATCCGTGAAATCGGCTCTTCCGTCGCTGTGTCCTCCCAGTGGCTCTTCAATTTCCTCTTTTCCCTTGTTACGCCATACATGATCAAGTCTTGGGGCGTCTACACTTTTCTTTTCTACGCCGGCCTTGATATTATTATGGCCATCGGTGTGTGGCTTTTCGTGAAGGAGACCAAGGGAAAGAGTCTGGAGGAGATGGAGACCATCTTTCATAGCAAAGCTGCATTTGATGTGGAGATTGCACGCCACGACGGTCAGATCATCTCTGATGAGCAGGTCAATGCCCTTGAAGTGCACCATAAGAGTTCAGACTCGAAGAAGGTCCAAGACGACTCCGAATGATATTTATAGGCAACTGAATATAGATAACCTAGACATTTTAAGGACATCTGTATGACCTCTCGGACGCCTCCGCTCTCCCGTAGTTGCTTGAAGCTACTCCATATAGACTGCTGATACTTAGCCAATGTTGATTCGTCCTTGAAACTGTTCAATACTCCCTGCCCTTCTTTCTTCACAGTTCACTCTTCTAATGGTCTTCACCTTGAAATTTGGAGTACGCTATTTCTAGGTATCTGTTTGGAATATCGAAGGAGGAAAGGCAGTGGTAATTGGGCGGACTAGAGAATCAAAATCAGGGAATAAAAGCAAGCTTTATACAAAATGAGATGACTCGGATTAATATCAATCGAGAAGGAAGGCTAAATAGTTCAGGGTCGATGAACCCCATCCATAATATGCATAGTTGCTTGTGAATGATTTCTAAAGTAGATACAAGCCAGCTTCTAGCAAGCAGCTATAAATTTCTAAGATAATTCATCTGGCTAGCTTTCTTTCGTCAAGTTTCAGTGCCCTTATACGTGGTTCTGTGAAGAGAGAAGGTGATCGAAAAAAACCACACTTCCCCTTTCGAGATGATATGGGGGAAGTGTCAACCTGGTTAAGATCGGGTAAGAAATTCCAGTAACAATTTGGAAAGTGTACGAGAAAGAAAAGGCAAGTTACCCCGACCGCGAGTTAAAATGGCTGACCCCGCTTAACCCTTCCCATTAGTTGATCTGATAGGGCGGAAGCCCCCTCTCCAGATTCCCAAAAGGAAGGTAATTGCCCCGCAATTCGCAGATAAGGACCGCCCTCCACGAGATCAAAGGGGGAAAAAATGATTTGCTGTCTCATTATGATGATAGGAACTGCTGGTATGGGAAACCTAAGGCGAAACTTGCATTGTCATGGAATACCTGACTGAAATCATCTGCGGGGCAATCACACATATAATGAATGACTTCGCATCGAGATCGCAAGAACAAAAGGTATCACATCAAAACTATCGTTACTGAGCAAAACTAAGCACGAGAGATATTGATAGCCTGGATCAATTTAAATGGCGCCATCCGAAACCATTTACGACGTCATCATAATCGGTGCGGGCCTTTCGGGCATCTACAGTCTTTACAATATCCAGAAACAATTCCCATCATGGACGGTCAAAGTCATCGAAGCTGGCAACGGAGTTGGCGGAACCTGGTTCTGGAATCGCTACCCGGGGGCAAGATTTGATTCCGAATCAGTGTCGTATCAATTCTCGTGGGACAAAGATCTTCTTGATGAGTGGCACTGGTCAGAAACCTTTGCACCGCAAACCGAGACACTCAAGTATATTGAGCGAGTCTGTGATAAACACAATCTGCGTGATGCCATGCAATTCAACACCAGAATCAAATCTGCTACTTGGAATGACAATGATCGCACCTGGATGTTTATGGACGAAGGCGGGTACGAATATCAAACCCGGTTCTTTATTAGCTGTCTTGGTGTTCTCTCTTCGCCGACACTCCCCGCCATTCCCAATATCGAAAACTTCAAGGGCCAATTATTTCACACTTCAAGATGGCCAGCAGACCTTGTTATTAGTCAAGACTTCACGGATAAGCGAGTTGGTGTGATTGGAACCGGGGCCACGGGCATTCAAACCATCACCGAGCTGTCGAAAGAGCCAAGCCTTCGATCGCTTCATGTCTTCCAACGCACTGCTAATTGGTCTGCCCCCCTCCGCAATACGAAGATCACTACTTCTGAGATGAATGAGATCAGAAAGAACTACGATTCAATCTTCCAGCAATGTCTTGAAACTCCAACTTGCTTCTTACACAAAGCGGATCCCCGAAAATCATCCGATGTTTCTCAAGAGGAGCGTCGTGCTCTTTGGGAGAAGCTTTACGCCGAGCCTGGATTCGGCAAATGGCTCGGCACATTTTCTGATACATATACCGATCGTGAAGCCAACAGGCTGTATTCAAACTTCATGGCAGAGAAAATTCGAGCTCGATTGGCTGATCCCAAAATGGCCGAGCTTCTCATTCCAAAAGATCATGGATTTGGACTCCGACGCGTGCCACTCGAAAGTGGATACTTTGAAGTTTACAATGACCCTAAAGTGAACTTGGTGAATCTTCGTGAGACTCCCTTCGAAAAGGCAACCGAAAATGGTCTTATTACCTCTGACGGCAAGGAACATGAACTCGATGTCATAATCTGTGCCACTGGTTTCAACGCCATCACTGGTGCATTTAGTGATATTGAATGGAGCGGCAAGGACAAACGACCGTTGCTTCCTAATCGACGATTTCCAGAGGAAGAAAGAAAGCGCGCCATCTGGAAGGACCAAAAGCCTCGCACGTTCTTGGGAATCATGTCCAATTCGATGCCAAATATGTTCACAGTCCTTGGGCCACACCAGCCTTTCGGAAACATTCCAAGAAGCATTGAACATGCAGTTGAGGTCGTCATGGAAATGCTGAAATTCTGCCACGATAACAACTATTCCTACATCGAACCCACTCAGGAGGCAGTTGACAAATGGACTGATCATGTTGCCGCCTGTAGTGAAGGCTCACTTATCAATGAAGTCGATAGTTGGTTGACGGGGGTCAACACAAATGTGGATGGAAAGACCGAGAGAATTGTAGCAAGATACACAGGAAGTGCCATTGAGTACCGGAAAATGTGCAAAGAACACGGACTTGCAGGTTGGAAAGACCTCACTGTGGCATGACAGGAAGGAACTGATATTTTTTGAACTCATTTTGACAATGCATTGTATAATCTGTTTTACAAGACTTGTACACTCTTCTATGAGGAAATACATCACTTCATAAAGGATATGAGGCGCAATATTTTTTACCAGAGAATAGAGCTTAGGATTATCGAACAGCCTTCCGCTCGCGTTCACCAATACTCCTCCATATTCCACTCCGGATACCAGTCCATCTTTTAGCCAACCAGACTCATGAAACATTTTCTACAAAAGCACTATTTAAAATCTCACAAGACCTTGCGGTAATATTTGAGAAAATTGGTGATCAAGTCATATCAAGACATGAAAATGCCATACCAGCACGTAAAGTCTATATCTCGCTAAAGTCTATTGTCGTTACTGAATACATCTATATTTCACCTTAAGGCTCGCAATTGGCCTTGCTGACTCGTCGCCCCTGGTTTTCTTTCCTTTCCCGAACCAATTCTTGTGCGAACTTGCTGCGCTCGCGGATTTGCGGTCCTTTCCAGTAGAACACGTAAATTGGTGTAACAACAAGGCATGAGAGACAGGCAAGCACAGTGCTGGCGTATTCAACATGCCACTTATCTCCGATGTTGCTGTACATCGGCGTTGCATACATCGCGGAAATACCAGCGAGAAGATCGCGTGCAAATGCATTACCACCACATGCAGACGCAGAATAGGGGCCATAAGATGCAATCATATAGTCGACAGATGATAAATAGATAGCATAGTTTGCAATGCCAACCATTGTCGAAAAAATCATTGAACCGATCCAATGTACACCATATTCTTGTCCCAAAGATGTCCAAGCAAAGCCAAACAGTCCAATGGGCTCAAATGGTGCGAGGAACAGGAGCCATTTCAGTCGCCGTTCTGGTTCAAGAGCATCATCCCCCTTGGCTTTCCGAATAGCACCATCTCTCAGGAACCAGGGGAAATAAGAGAAATAAGCGAGAACATAGGCCAAATTGATTGGGATGACCGCCCAAGCCTGACCAAGAACACCGAAGCCCCAACCCTGCTCATAGACGACCGAGAAACTCTCGAGAAAAGTAAAAATAAGGGCATCTGAAAAACCTGACAAAAGAGACAGGCAAAGAACGATCGGTTCGCGCAAGAGCATGTGAAAAGGACGAATCCAGATTTTTCCGGCTTCTTTGAGCGAGATACGAGGCTTCTTCAATTCGTTGGGTCCGTAAATGTTTGGGTCTTCTCCGGTTTTGCGTCGTCGCTTAGCCTCCCTATCAATCAAGATAGTAGAGCGGCTTTCAGGCATGAAGAAGATAATTGCTTGTACAACGGCTCCGAAAATGAGTTGAATCCAGAAGAACCACTGCCATCCAAGAACTAGGAATGGGTTAACAAATTAGTTGCTCGCTCTATCAAGGATCTGCCTTTCAATACTCACAGCGCTCAATTGGACCACCAATAACGCCTCCGATGCTTGTTCCAATGCAAGAGGATAGGACAATGAAGGCGAGAGGGAATTGCTGTGTTTCCCGTTCATAGATATCGGCAATTAAGCCCAGAGTGACACTACCACCCGCAGTAGATATACCACCCTTTGTTAAGTTAGCTGGAAAACATGTTTGGCAATAACCTTAGTGGAACGACTAACCAAGCCACGTGCCACTACAATCGTTCCCCAATTCGGGGCGAGGGCTGCAGGGATTTGCCAGATGTTGATGAGAAACATAGAAAGCTGAAGGATTGGCCAGCGACCGAATTCCTCACTCCAGGGTGCCCAAAGCTCACACCCAATGGAGTAGGTCACCAAATAAATCATCTGTCCTGTCCGTGCTTCTTGCTCTCCGATATCGAAAGCCTTTGAGAGAGGCTTGACTGCATTAGGGTAGACTGATGTATTGAAGTTCATCGATACTTGAACACAAGCGACCGCGAGAAGATAAGTCCATTTCTTCCATCTCGGCCAGCAATAGCCCAGTTTGTCATAGCATTCATGTTCCTTAAGCTCACGCTTTTCGGTTGAAGGAATGATTTCTTTCTCTGTTTCTCCAGTATGTACTCCGCTACTAGCTTGACTGTGTGCACCACTATCAAGGGGTAATCTGCTTGGGCTCGGGCTAACCGCGGGTACTGGATTGGACATTATCAGGAAAAATCTGATAAGAGTTGGATTAATTTGAGACCGAGAACCCTGCATTCCCCGTTCATTTAAGACTTGCTTGAAAACAGAATTTATTGCGCAGACTTAACCCTTGCAAGGCATCGTCATACCTCGCAAACCGGATTCATGAGTGTACCCACAATGAGAAGAGTGGGTTTGAAGTGGATTCTGTTGCTCTGACTAAAGGACGCAACGTGAGTTGTGCATGCACAAGTACTCATTCCTAGGCTTGTAGCAGCGAATATAAAACAAACCAAACTTATATACAGTATCATGGTTGAACGAACATAGCTCCCTATATAGCCCGAATCCATACATATTATGATTCAAAGAAGCCCAAGATTGAATGAGAACGTTCGAGGCTGAAAATTTTGATGATGCGATGGGATCCTCGGGTCATCGCCGGTCTCTCCTCGTCCCTTTCTTGGCGGCTCCACTATAAAGTGGGTTGACCGAGAACCAAATCTGACGTCAATCAGGGCACCCACGCCAGCATTCTCATGGAAAAGGCCTCGGTATGTACGGATATTATAAAGTAACCACGGTTTAAGCAATCTACAAATTTAAAGTCCTTGGAGCAGATTAGAGCCCCTAACCCGAACGCTCCAATGATTCCAGGGTCTCGTTAAATACTCATAGACGTGGAAAAGTGTTCACAAGAGAAGGGATGAAACTTGTCCGCATACTGTTTTCATGATGGCCATCTTCCTTCGTTCATATGCTAGTAGCTCATTCATAAACAGTGCTGATTCAACGGAAATCCACTTCTTTCCCCCGCTCCGCACTGATCACAAGTCACAAGCCCATTGCTGCCCCCGGATGATACTCTACTAAGTGACATAAGTTCGTCGATCTTCTCATTGTTCGAAGTGCATATCAGAAATAATATGCCATCATGCCCGAAATGAGGGGGTAATGAATGCCCTCATAGCACGGGTAATATCTCCCTCGTTGGCCTTGAGCAGCTCAGTCGCCTTGTTCTTGTGGAGATCCAACTGGTCAGCCTAGAAAAAATGTATCAGTTTCTGTTCCAAATATCAAAAATATGAAGGATAAGCTGTTGGGGCATTTGTATACCAGTAAAGCGACATCAGCCGCAGCAATCTTGACTGCCTTCTTCTTGACTTCGGATTCCTTCTTCTGTGAATCAAATGCGGTCCTCTTCTCCGTATTACTACCTGCCGCAACTTCAAGGCGGCTCATTGCCTTGCTGAGAGCTTCCTGGTCGGCTGCAGATGGCCCTCTGGGAAACGAAACATCACCAGTCACCGCACTGTTGTTCAGCGCGGACAGCGCAGCCGCAGCTTTACGATCTTCAGCATTGGCGGGAAGCTTTTGCTCCACTGCATCAGGATCTGCTGTTGCTGATGGTATGGGATCTGACATGACTATCACTCGGGTCGGTCAATGGTCCAAGCCGAACAGGACTGGAGTTTGTCGTGCGGAGACTCAACGTCACTGATAAGACCTGCGATAACGAACCAACAAACAAATCTGACATAATCATCGCCAGAGGTATTCATGCCTTATACTTCAGGCCTACCGCATGAGTCATCCCGAAATTTCCGCGAATAAGCGGCAGAAGGCTATTTGTGTTTGCTGGCTTTTTTGAGTGCTTTTTTTATTCTATGTTGATTTGAAGATCATCCTAGACTATTCATCTGCTGTACGACTCTTCGCATTCACAGGTCAATTGCATTCAACACTTAAGGGGGACCGTCTGCCCCAGTCTCACCTCATACCCTATCGTCCCACTTGCCCGTCCGGGTTATCCACTAGCCATGAGCGACTGGACTCCAAGTTGTACGCGTTCTTCTATCCACCATCCATGAGCCCTGGACCATTCTTCGACCCATTGCTTACTCTAATCATTCAGCCTGGACGAATAAGCCCATCAAACAGGATGTGGTCTATGAAGATGCTCAGGGCGTCAAGGCCGCTCTAGAAAAGCTGCAAAAGCTGCCTCCCCTGGTGACCACACAGGAGGTATGCCTTTCAATACATTTTTAACCTCACAATGACCCAAAATTCTAACACCCTGTATAGATTAATAATCTCAAGAAGAGCTTGGAGAATGTCGCACTTGGAAAAGCTTTCGTTCTTCAGGGCGGTTCGTTTCTCAATATGTACGGAATCTTAATGGTTGTCCACTGACTTGGTTCGACAGGCGACTGCGCCGAACTGTTTGACTACTGTAACCAGGATATGATTGAAGCCAAGGTCAAGCTCTTGCTACAAATGAGCTTGGTATTAATCTGGGGTATGTACTCCATTCATTCTTTGTTCAGATGAAGCGGATCGACTGACCATACGATACAGGAGCCAACAAACCAGTGATTCGTATTGCACGAATCGCGGGACAATTTGCCAAGTAAATGCCCAAATCTCTTCATTCAATTTCTCAAGTACTAATTCTTTGTTGTAGGCCGCGCTCAAGCTCTACTGAAGTTGTCAATGGAGTCGAGATGCCCTCTTTCAGAGGAGACAACATCAATGGCTTCGCCGCCGATGCCGAGTCAAGGAAACCGGACCCGACCAGACTTGTTTCCGCTTACTTCCACTCAGCTGCAACCCTCAACTACCTGCGAGCATCCCTTTCTTCGGGACTTGCAGATCTACACTCCCCTCTGGATTGGGGCCTCGGCCATGTCATTACCCCGGCAATCAAAGAACAATACTCCAAAATCGTCAATGCGGTTAAAGATGCATTACGGTTCATGCGCACAGTTGGCATCGACAACGACCGGGGTGTCGAAACAGCAGAAATTTACACTAGTCATGAGGGTCTCTCACTAGAGTATGAGCAAACATTGACTCGACTACTCAAGCACCCCTCCAAAACTAACCTAGGAACAACTGCCCAGTCTGGGTCCGGTTTCTACGCAACATCCGCACACTTCCTTTGGATCGGCGACCGGACAAGACAGCTTGACGGCGCACACGTGGAATTCTTCCGCGGTATTGCCAATCCCATTGGAATCAAGATCGGGCCATCTATGGCCACAGATGAATTAGTGCGCCTTCTGGATATCGTAAATCCGAACAAAGAGATCGGCAAGGTCACTTTGATCTCACGTTACGGTGCGGCCAAGATTGGCCAGTTCCTCCCGGGCCATATTGCCGCTGTTCAGGCTTCTGGTCATACCCCTGTGTGGCAGTGTGATCCCATGCACGGCAACACGCAGGCGACTCCGTCGGGTGTCAAGACCCGCCACTTCAAGGACATCCTATCCGAGCTGAAGCAAGCACTGGAGATCCACCGTGCAGCGGGATCGTTCCTCGGTGGCATGCATCTTGAGTTAACTGGAGAGGCAGTGACCGAGTGTGTTGGTGGTGCGGCTGGCTTGACTGAGGATGGACTCGGGGAGCGGTATACGACTTTCTGTGATCCGCGACTCAATGAGAAGCAGGCCCTGGAGCTTGCCTTCCTCGTCGCGGGATTCTATCGTGAAGAGTCGGAAGAGTAAAAGTTTTTGAGCGGACTTGAAGTTTTCGGTGCCGAGCGTTTTCGGGTACAGACATTTGGATATCAAGGATAATTGATCGAGGAATATACAACTTTCATTGGATGAGTAGTATTACTTTAACACAAGTCGCTGCCTGATTGCATAGGGTTCCTATATCTGCCGAATCACGATTCCAACCCTTAGCTTTCCATAATCATCAAAGCCCTGACTACAGCACTAATTCCTGAGCACCCCTATCATGGGCCTTAGGTAATGTGGGTAAAGTATGTGGGCCATATGTAACATCTTGTTAGCTTACAAGTGCCCTCCATTTCGTTCCTCAGAATAGCAGGACAGGCAGGATCAAACGATAGGCGACCGATCCCAACAGAGGGAACGGTATAGTAGTGGCCATCACTTCCTTGACTGGTCTCAGTTGGTCAAAGACTCTGAGTCACAGGCGCTGAATTAATCTGGCAAGAAAAGTGCCATCGCGGCTCCTTATCTTCAGTTTCACTCGGACTGTTGCATATGATTCAAAGATAATCTCGTTTATCTCGTGCTATCTACAGACTTTCAGGAACCAGAGGCATGATTATGAGCAATAGACTCGATTCGAAATTGAACGACAAAACAAGATCTAATCCAAAGCCCATCTGCAAGGCACCCAAAGCACCAAAATGCACCTGATAATCCGCAAAGAAGAGGCCCTCCATATGTACAGTGGCCGGGAAACGTATCAAAGGTATCAAAATTAAAAAACAAACGTATTCACTGCCCAAGCGGGCTACGAAGGGGAGGCTTATAGAAATTACTCTTGCGTCGAGCCGCTTCCATGCGCGCGCGTTGCTGGCGTCGTGAATCCACTTCATCATCTTCTTCCAGGCTGAACTTCGGCTTATCAGTTGTCGTGAACAAGCCGCGGTTGGTCTGCTTAGGCGGACAAGACTGCTGAACCAGCTTATTACGGTTCGAGAGGAAGTAAGGTGTAGCAGGGGACATGCCAATGGCATCAAGGTTGGCAAAGTTGTAGCCAGGAGTGGCCGGAATGTGGAAGCGGTCTGACTGTTGCGTTGGTGTGGACGGAACACCTGGTTGGGGCGTAGGAGGGGTGATCTTGCGGAATCCTTCCACAGCACCCCGATCAGCACCACAGCGACGGCCACTCGCAGACGGCGTGGATGGTCCGGGGACATGCACAAGAGTGCCGTTGACGTTGCTCAGGGCACGAGGCTCCATACTCTTGCGGCGTTTGGCACCGCCTCGAGGAATGATGGAGCTGTCAACAGCATAAGGGGTCTCATCTAGCCACTTATTTTCTCTCTCGCAGCTAAATTCTCGATTAGTCTCTGCCAGAACGGAATGTAAAAAGGGGACAATAGAACTTACTCGAGAATCCAGCCAACACCAACACACTTAACCAGACCACCTGCGTGCTTGACCTTCTCCAGAGTACGGAGTCCGCCATCTTTGTATACCACATGGGTAATTCCAACTCTAGATTCTTTCGGCTCCTCCCCATCAACCGGTGAAAGACTGCAACGAGGATTCCACGACCACGATTTGACACAGCGAGCACCCATTTGTTGCAAAAGCTCGAGGAAAATCCCTGATGCGTCTTCACCCTCCGTAGTATGAACATCCACATGCACAACAGCGCCACGAAGGGCCTGTTTACTGATGCTGCTCCTTCGACGGGGAGTTTTGCCAGGGCTGCCAGTCACAGACGGGGATTGCGGTATTTGGATTTCCGGCATCTTTCCAGTGGACCGCCGAGAAGTACTGCAGCGGCGCTTTGGACTTGGGCTTCTAGAAACGCGGGGCGCCTTGTGGGGGAAAAGGTCGGGACTGTTTCGGTGCGTGGTAGAAAAATGGACTTGCGAATTCGGGGAGAAGAACGAGTAGGTGATGTACTTTCGAGCGAGAGACCTCGTTTTCGTGGGAGCTTCAGCGGTGAAACCTCCCCTTCGCCTTTCAGCGGTACCTTCGATACTGTGTGGACGGTTCGGAGCTGATCAGTTCCCCGTTTGATCGGAGTTGCAGGCAGAATGAAAGGAGAGACGCAGTTTTCTTTGTCTTCGTCCTCCGGTAGTGGCTTTTGAGTCTCATCTTCTGTCGGTCCAAGGATAGACAAACTTTCACGAGCTTTAGCCGATACAGACAAATTCTCGTCTACTTCTGGAGACTCAGGGTCTTCGAAGATGTCGGTCCGGATTGGCGAATAAAACATGAGGCTTTCCTCTTCTTCAACCACCGGGGATTCCGCAGCACGAGTCGACTTTGGTGTCGTGCTTATATCTTCACTCTCGGCATGGAGAGGCATTTCGACGGAGATAGGCGGGGTGGTTGTAAGGGGAGTGTTAGAAAGATCCGGATAAGATACATCCCCGGAATTTGGCGTGGAGGGCTTCGGTGTTGATGGTCTCGGTGTAGGGTTCTCAGCATCCTTCTCCAATGGTCCAACAAGGGAGAAAATGCCCCGTCTGCGTGGTCGCAGGGGTCGGCCTTGAGAGGGAGTGTTAGCTTCCCAGCTATTGAACTGCTGTGCCAAAGGAGTGAAGCCCAGGTCGACATTGAAATTTGATTTTCGCTTGTCTGAGGCGCTAGGGGTATCGGAGACCGCGTGGAATGTAGGGGTAGGAATCTCAGACTGCGTAGTCTCCATAAAGCTATCTTCAGCCATACGTGGCTCGGTGTTGATGTCAAAAAACCGGTCTTGGGGTCTGACATTGTCAAGAGGAGAGAAGATAGGGGCCACATTGGCAGCAGGAGGTGTAGGAGCTTGTAGAGGACCGGACTGCGTCTTTTGGAGTGGAGTATCGATTTCTTCGGCTTCGTAAGGCTCACTCGGCGAGCCAGGCAGAGAGAGAACAGTGAAGGTGGCTTCAGATTGCACAAGAGTGGGCTCTTCGTTGTCCATCTCTTGCTCACTCTCAGGCTCTTCCTCCTCATCTGCATAACGCGTGAGGCTAGACGCATGTTGGTAATCCTCTATTTGATCGTCCATGTCCTCAATCACGTCCGAATCGGAATACTGGGCTTCTTCGAGGGCAATCATCTCAAGCGTAGGTTCTGAGGGCAGAGGAGATTGCATTAGAGGCCCATCTTGGCTTATATTCATGTGAGGCGGCTCAGGTGAATGATATTGCCCCTCTTCAAGGTCCGCATTGTCTAATGCCACTTCTTGCTCCACGATATCTTGCTTCTCGCTATCGGATTCCTCTGCAGAATAATCCATGTCAAACTCCATGTCGTCTTCAATTTCTTGGTTGGCTAGGTCGCTTGTAAGAGGCTTTTGAAGCGCCTCCATAGTGTTAAAGCAGATTGTTTCAAAATCCTCCGCTTCTGGCTCATGCCGAATTTCTTCTTCGAGCTGCTCAATCTGCTCGTTGATGCCCAGTTCCTCTGTATCATCCATTTTCTCTGAGGGTTCATAGACTGGTTCCGGTTCCAGAGGCTCCTCAGAATCTTCCATCTGCTCAGTGGGTCCGTCGAGAGGTTGAAGTTCAAGTGGCTCTTCAGCTGCTGAAACTTCCTTGGTAAGCGGCGACGTTGATGAGGATCGAGAAGAGGAATATAACTGGATACCAAAAATATCACGGGCGACTTCTTCAACCATCTCGATATCTTTGTCGACAAGCTCGTCTTCGTCTTTTTCCCTTGGAGACACATACTGCTGAGCAGAGGGAATTGTTCTAGAAACATCACCTTCCGCCGAGTTCAGTGATTGCGATGTTCCCTTAGATGAAAAGAGAGAGCTTTTAAACGGAGAAGCGATTCTCTTTGCTGGGCTCTGAATGAAGGAAGACTTGGCTGAGAACGGAGTGGAGGTCTTCGATGGAGTCTGGCCCACTGATGCCCCTAAATGGCCTTTCCTCGGCGACATCTTGAGTGGAGAGGATGGACCTTGGCTAGGGTTGGAAACTGAAGCAGTATTGCTGTCTTTCCAGAAGACATGGTCGCGGTTAGGGGTATCTCGAAGGGAGAACCGGAACGGGGATGCATCAGGGCGTCTGGCCGGGCTAGACATGAACACAGAATCGCTGAAGTCAATTGACTTGCCTGCAGGGAGGGCTAGGTGACCGCTATCCGCGACGGCATTGTGGCTGCGACTGGGCGTGAAGTTGATTTTCCGAACGGGTGAGCCGAGGCCCACAGACTTGGGCGTAGACAATTTTGGCTCTCCATTCTCATCGACCAGACTGGTAGCTTTCTTGGGCGTAAGATTGATTCTGCGGACAGGTGAACTAAGTCCTGTATTCTCAGAGTCGTGTTTTGTGGGAGAATGAACGATGAGCTTGACAGGGCTCATGAAATTGTCCTTGGCTGCGCTCAATTCATCTTCTTCGCCATCTGAGCTGGCATATGCAGAGAGAGACCTCGCCATTTGTTTCGCCTTCTTAGGGGACAAAGGCTTGGGTGCATCCTTCTTAGCAGCAGCTGGCTTTCGGCCACGAGTACCTGTTGTAGCAGCCGCCTTGCGCATCGGTATCGCTCCGAGACCAGCTTTTCCTGTACCAGCAGATTTTCCAGTGGCCCTCCTACGCCCAACTACCGGCGCGGCAGGCTCTTCCGCATCTGATTCAGTGTCTGAGCGCGAGGGCTCCTGAAAAGTCACTGTTTTCTTCTTGGCCGGCCCACGCAGAATATTCGATCGCATTGTTGTTGAGTTTGTCGCAATGACAATGTGCTTGGTCTCGGAGGATACGGCACTCGATTCAGGCTCGGCCACCGTTCGGGTGCTCTTGCGTGCAGCAGGAGTGGTCTTTGCAGTTGTGGACCCCTTCGGCCGCCCACGAGGCCTAGGCGCTACTTCAGACTTGGCGACAGCGGACTCCTCTGGCGCCGCGTTTTTTCTCGGCCTCCCGACGCGTTTCTTTGTTGGCTCTGGCTGAGGGCCCTCCTCTCTGGCACTGTGTGATTCCGCGGGAGTGGGTGCTGCCTTCTTCACCCGAGTCGTCGTAGCCTTGGTTGTCGTAGCCTTAGTTGCCGGACGAATGGGAGGGCGCCCGCGAGGGCGTGCAGATTTCTCATCATCCTGTTTCATCATCATCACAAGCTCATCTTCGGTGTCGTCGGAGTTGTCGTCGGAGTCGACCGCTGCCGGCACGCGTTTCGTCGCAGCCGTGGTTTTGCTGACGACCCTCTTCTTCGGTTCGGTAGCCTTGGCTTTCGTACTGGCAGTCGACTTCATCAAGGTCGTTCGGGACACAGTGCGGTTTGCACGTTTCGCAGGGGATGGCGGAAGGACTGCCGCGCGTGCCATGATGGCGGAGAGGGTTGCTGTTGGAAGCTGTTCAAGATGTTGTTGTGCTGTTATGTCGTCGTTGTCGTGATTGTTGTCGGTTCGGTTTATAGTGAGTGACGCGATGCACTCATGACGGGGGTCTGGGCGCGTGTGGGGGTCGTGGCTGGGTCGCGGGTGCCGTTCAATGTCGTCGAGAATGCATCAGATTGCAGGTCAAAATAGTCAGGCTGGTGGAGCGCCTGTTTAGACGAACCTTGGGGTCCCGCGTAGTTGCCGTGGTAACAAGCACGTGACATTGGCTGATCTGCACCGGGTTCCCGAGTCTCCCGCACTGTCTGAATTGGAAACTCTCCAGGTAACATGGGATTCAAGTTTGTGCGAGATCCTTCCTCTTTATCTCATATACGCTCCGTGAAGATTTTTAATCCAGATTTATCGCTTTCGAAGTCATTACATAGATTGATAATTGGTCCTTGTGTATGACCTGGATGGAGCTGAATATATATATCTGCGAAAACTCAGAAGTAGTGGATGTGGAAAGTCTGCATTCTGTGCTCGACTACACCTAGTAGCCGTTTGTCTTTGCCAGCAGATGACTTTGACTACTTCTAGCTCTTCATAAAGCTTTCTTATCCGAAAAACTACAGTGCAGGGTGCCTAGGAAGAAGCAGCCAGGGATATGCCCAGTCACCGAGCTGCATTGAATAACTAAGTTTCTAGTATTACTTAGGTCATCAGCTCTGCGTTGTACAACCCATTTTCTGGGTTCTCCTAGAAATTTACTGTCTACACCTACGGGCTTGCCCATCACCGATATAGAGCTACTTCTGCCTTAGTTAACCTACATTGGCGAGCTTACCGCACCAAAAATGCCCCGGGCTGCATGTCAGACTGTATGGCTGGTTCAGTTTCTAACCTTGATCACACTGGATCTCGCCCAACGCCGATAGAGACCTACATAGATGGCTTGTCACGAAGCCACGATGCTCAAACCTTGAGAGCGTGGGGTTACGGACCAGTTCCCCGCGACGGACGGAGAGTAGGCCTCGGCCCAAGCGTAGCGCCTCATTGTTTACTCCCGGTCTAGCTTTCTTGGCCTTGCTTTGCACAGCAAGAACCATGGCCTATGCCAGTGCACCTTTCATAGTCCCAACAATAGAAAGTTGCCTGCGAAGCTATAGATCTGACGATCCATGGAAAACAAGAGGGAAGCCTATCCCGACCGAAGCTCGCTTACCGATCAGAGTTAGAGCAAGACCTTGTGCTTCGCAAGGGTATCTCTCGTGCGCCGCAGCCCCGAGCGGTTCGGGCCCGGGCCGGACGGCACTGGGAAGAGTGTGCCTGCGGAAAGGCATGGAGAGGGGGAGAAAAACAGACTATTGCTACAGTGGCTGTGGTAGAGGCCAGTCGCAAGGAAAGGCCCTGGGAAGGGCACTGACCTCACGGTCTCGCCGGTCCAGATCCGGACGGGCCTGGACCGGGCGAGGTTCATCAGCGGTGTGAGCGCGTGAAAAGAAAACACCAAAAGGACGAACCCGCGTCGGTCTCGAGCGGTTTCGGACAGGGGGGTGAGAGGCCAGCATGCCGGCCTGCAGGTCGAAGAAAAATCTAGAAGCCGCATTGCCGACGTTTATTGCCTTTTGGGTGTATGGATAGTAGTAGTGGGAACCAGATCGCGCGGGACGCGGGACTCAGGACTCTCGGGATCGCCCGAACGAGTAAGGAGCCTTTGGCAGACTCTGTCGGTCATGTGGACGAGGGAACCTGAGATCTCGTAGCCGCGCACAGGAGCTAATTTTGGAAAGAGATTCGCATCCTGCCGCCCTGGTGCTTGTTTGAGAAATACGAAAATGGACTTGGAAGCTTGTTGGCGGGGGAAGTTGGTCGTCGGCGATAGCCTGTGCTATGAACGGGGTGATACTATCACCTTTCACGTCTACTCGGATCTTTTTGCGAGTAAAATATTGAATCGGCGTTCTCGCCTTTCCAATATTCTAATACGGATTCTCCAAGGCTTTTGTATAGCGTCCAGGCAATGATTCAAATGGATCCTCTGCTTCAATTCATCCACTGCTGGAAGGGGGGATTCACGATCCCGGGAATGCATGGGCTTCAGGCACAGGAACATGCCAAAGGCCACATGACCTCGCGGATCGGTTGGTTGGGGTGCCGATCGAGAGGATCCAACTCGTGTCGAGGTGAGCTGGCTATTGAACGAGACCTCAGGCCAGCGTTGTTGCGAACTAAGTCCGTCGAACGACCGAGTCTCCTGGGGGCGGAAGGGCTTCCCCGGGTCACCTGAGCCCTCCGCAGTACAACCAGCGCCAAACTAGAAAGATGTGGCGGGGAAAAAGAAGAAAAAACCGGATCCCGATCGGCTTCTCCCAAAACAGGCATCCGATCGACTGCCGGCAGCCTTCCCCTGTCTATCTGTCTATCTTCTCGTTTTATCTTGTTCTCATTTTTCCTGGTAGAGATTCAAACTGGTGGCAAATGATGATGGAAGAGACAGGATCACGGCTCCTGAGCTTGGTTACCATCCCTGCCGCCGTTGCGTCGGTCTTCGATCATTGAAGGATCTATATCCTGAATCATAGTTGATCATAGTATCAGCATGGTATCATAATACTATCATACCAAACATTTGGGGATCACTTGGCGTTTGATTTTCCCTTTTTTCTTTTTTTAGGTTCACCGTACTTTTGGGTCGTTTAGCTGAAGTGTACTTTGGGGGAGCCCTCCCAAGGAGCACCCCGTCGCCACGGGTCGGCGCCAATGCATTCTCCAGGGCGCTGGATGGCCTGGACCCGGGTCCACTTCGCGCTTGGCTGTATCTGTCTGGCATACCCGTTTGGGACCAGGCAGTCTCTGCATGTTCACGAGACCTTCTGTTGGACCAGGATGCCCCTTCGCCGCGTCGGGTTGGGAAGAGGCCGATGTCGCGTCCTCTTGTCCTCTCGTGCTATCGTCCTGTCATCTCCAATATTTAAACCGTTGGTCGTCCGCTGGAATTCGATTCTCATCACTTCATCATCTCATTCTATCCCCCGGGAAACTAAATTATTATAATCGACTTCTAGTCTCATCTGTGACACTACCACCGCACGTTCTATATATACTTCCATTTTCCATCCCTCCGGACTTATTTTATATACTTTAATCTTTCCGCATTTCCTCCACCAAACTTAACCGATAATGTCTGTCTCCATTGAAACCACCGAGGTCCCTGCCACCCCTCTGGCGACTCAGCCCGTCCTCATGGGCCAGAAAAACCGCATGCCCGAGTTTAGCCTCGCCGGCAAGGTTGTCCTTGTCTCAGGCGCAGGCCGTGGTCTGGGGTTGACCCAGGCTGAGGCGCTGTTGGAAGCCGGCGCCAAAGTGTACGCCTTGGACCGTCTGGAGGAACCAGTATGTTTTCAATTCCTTGCCTCCCCCGAAATGTCCCCCAACATCTCTCTTAGCCGCCAACTATCCAAAACAGTTGCTCACCAACCCAATTTTAGGCGACCGAATTTGCAGAGATCCAGCAGCGCGCTAAAGAACTGGGCACCGAGCTGCAGTATCGCCGCATTGATGTGCGCGACACCGAGCTGCTGAACAGCGTGATCGAGGCCATCGCCAACACGGAAGGCCGCATGGACGGCCTGGTGGCCGCTGCCGGCATCCAGCAGGAGACCCCCGCGCTGGAGTATTCGGCCAAGGACAGCAACACCATGTTCGAGGTCAACGTGACAGGCGTGTTCATGACTGCACAGGCCGTGGCCAAGCAGATGATTCGCTTTGGCAACGGAGGCAGCATCGCCATGATTGCCAGCATGAGCGGCACCATTGCCAATCGGGTATGTTCCTCTTCCCTCCTTGATCCTCTTTGCCTTGCGGTCCTAGCATATCCTGTTGCCCGTTTGTGGTTTGTGTTCGGTGGGGAGGGGGGATTGGGCGACGAATCCATGTCCACGCCGGGCCCAACTAGGCTGGCTTGGGAGATCGTCTCTCTTTATCCCCCGCATTGATCCCTGCCTTTTGGTCTGTTTGTGTCTTCTCCACAGAAATAGACCGGGGATATTCCCAACCAAACCAACCGCTGGCCTTACCTCCCCTCCTTCTTCCTAGTTCAAATACGAACACCAAAGGCTAACCTCAAACCTGCTACAGGGCCTAATCTGTCCCGCCTACAATGCCAGCAAGGCTGCTGTCGTCCAGCTGGCCCGTAACTTAGCTGCCGAGTGGGGTCAGTACAACATTCGTGTGAACACCATCTCGCCCGGCTACATTGTCACCGCGATGGTGGAGAAGCTGTTCGTGGACTTTCCCGAGCGCCGGGAGCAGTGGCCCAAGGAGAACATGCTCGGCCGTCTGTCTCGCCCAGAGGAGTACCGCGGCGCTGCCGTCTTCCTACTCAGCGACGCCAGCAGTTTCATGACTGGTAGCGACCTGCGCATGGACGGCGGCCACGCCGCGTGGTAGACGGGTGCCGGCTTGGCCTGACGAATTGTATTCCACGAATCATCTTGGGAGGGCGCTGGGCCTTGCCGGGATCTCGGCAAGGGCTGGCCTCTTTTTGTCTCTCATTTTTGCATTTCCTCATTTTCTCATTTGCATGGCGCTGGGATCTTTTTTTTAGCTCCATTTGATTTTCTTGGCTTGCTATTGATTTTGGGGATCGTGCCAGCGAATCAGCGAATTGTTATTTTTGTTTCATTGCGTTTTTTGTTGAACACGATACACATGTTTTTTGGACATCGCGCACTTGTTGGCATCTTGTTTCATGACTCTTTTGCCATCAGCGATGTGTCTCTGTTTCTACTGTTGCTAGTTCTCTGATGTCCCTTAGACTCATCTCGATCGCTCGAGTTAATGCAGGCTCCAGATTGGATCTGACCCACCCACCCACTTTTGACAGATCGGGCTCCACCTCGTAGACCCAGCGCTGTGTAGAGTACTCCATGCAAAGTACTATTACATGTACTACATACTTGTGAAATATGCACCGAGAGAGTTCACTCCAAAGCTCAGAATCTCTCAAAAAGATCAACTTTGATGTCGCTCAGATACCTATCTCCGGGTAACAGACGTGTACATCCCTTTCCCTTCTACGCCCTCCCCAATACCCCCCGAACCGGCATCGCATGTCCGAGTCCTTCCGACGAACATCTCACCGACACGTCTCCTCGCCTTCCAAGCCAGTCGCATCCCACCAAATCCCCACCAGAAAACCAGAGAATCTCCCCCGAAGCCCGGACCTTCCAACCACATCACAGTTTCTCAGGCGCCGATCACCCCCCAAACGCCCACGCGACAACCCTCATCTAACACCCACCCAGCCAACGAGCCAGTAAGGGCGGCTTGAAGGACTCGCCCCCCGCCCCCTTACTCTGCCCCCCCCCCGACTGAAGTTACCAGGACTGCACGACTCCAACTCCGGGGAAACATAGGGCGACACGCCCCAACGGCCACGACCTGATGACACAATCAACGTCATCGTTGGGATGACCAGGGTGAAAGTGTGGGTAAAAGCTGGAGACGAAACCGGGGATGTGCCGCCGGGAATGATGTATACGCCAAGGAATCTTATACAGTTGGGAGAATGTGGAGAACTCAGAACGCGGGGAAATCGCGGGATACGGAGTGATTGCAATTACGCGGGGATAGGCGGGTAACCGTGTAGACTTGATTTGGCTTGGTTTTAATTGGGGCTGACGTTGCTTTATGGCTTCATGTTTCCCATACCGTCGTTACTTGACTTGAAATGACAATGATCTCCTTCGCGGGGGTGACCCGACAAGCAAGGATGTATAGCGAGACCTATGCCCCGAAACGGACAAGTGGAGGGAGACACCCCGGCTCGCTTGGCCCTTGCCATAGGGTTGGGAGGAGCTGAGAGCAAGGTACAATTTTCGGACAAACTTAGGTGCCAATCAACGGGTTGAGGGATTGATGGGGGCATTTCTGGGCTAGGGCAGAGCGACCCGGGGAGCCACTATCCGCGAGGAGCCATGCCGCAAAAGTCTGAACGGGCGGCTGTTGGGGTTAGGCGAGTCTGCGCTGTGGACTACGATGAAGGTGAAAGATTTGGGGAGTTCAGAATGATCCGGTTTGAAGAGACACAACTGGTCGCACATTCATGCTACGTGTGGCGATGCTCGCACAGGTGAAGTCATGGACTCGTGTGTGGCCTGCCTTCATTGGGAGAATTCAGTGGCTCAACGATATGCCAAGAGAGAGGAAGGCCAGTCAAGTGAGCTACTTGGCTGGCTTCAACACCAGGGGATTTCTGGACTGTGGAGTATTCTATGCAGCCGGGCGAATTTGGAAGCTGGAAAATTCTGATTTCCTTGTGTAGAGAGCATTTTCATGGACTCTTTGGTGGAACCTAGATATAGCAATCTGTAGCAACCTAGGAGCTTGTAGCCTGTAGATGCTTCTTAGTGCATGCGCTGGCGACGGAACAAAGCAGGAATGTGTATAAAGTGGGACAGAAAAGGGGGGAGATTGGGGATGGAATGGGATGTGGTCGTTCTTCATGATTTCGGGACTCCCTATTTAGGCCTTCTTCACGAGACCCCGGACGTGGTGCCGGCGGTGGCCTTCACGATTGTGTGTCGCTTGGCGGGCGCCGGGCCCGAAGGCGGAGTTCCCGCCCGCTGGACTGGGTCGCCACCCGGGCAGAGCGCGTCGCGAACGCCCAAAAAGCTGGACAGCCGGAATCATGGTAAACTTGTTTGAGGGTTGCTATGATGAGAATGACCAAAGAATGAACGGAACATCCGAGAGGCTCTGGCACTACCATGACCACCCCATCTACAGTAGTACTAGTACTCCGAATATCGAACCAGTCAACGGACACCAACGATGATGCCCGATTTGGGGCCAGCTATCGTGATAGTGGCATACTGCTTGTCCCAATTCTCTGGATAGCTTTGCAGTGGGCGTCAAATGACAGAGAAGCGACCAGGTAGCACGACCCTTTGCCACCCTCCTGCCCTTGTCCAGCTCTCTCCGGTCTGAACGACGCCGTTGCGGGATGAGGTGATTCGATGGGTAATTAGGATAATGCAGGTGGAGCTCGACGGCCGATAAGTGGTGGCGCCAAGCCAATCAAGCAATCCAGGTCATTTCTGACGAGAGCGTCGCAAGATTCAAGGGCCTACCGTCTCCCGCCCCTCAATCGTGATTTCAAAATGATTCTCATCAGCAAAAGGATTTGAAACAGAAATTAACTATCTCAGCTCGCTAGTGAATTGCCTGCTAAGTACGGAGCACTCCGTACCCCAGTGTGGGCCAGTAAGGATTTGGGAACGGCGGATGGGTCTCGTGCACTTAGTTCCTCGATAAGAGGACGCCACTGATTGCGACAGCCCGAGACCCTCCTACAGACCCGGCGGCGAAAGGGGCTGGGCACGAGGACAAGGAAGACAGCCTTGGACCCCGGCTTCTAGAAGCTGTTGAAGACATTCGAGAGCGCGGGTTGAACCGGAGGAAGATGCACGAATGGCAGGCGAAAATCCGGAAGAATTTAGGAATCAGCAGGCTGTCAATGGTCGAAGATGTGCCACTGCAGGGTTATCAGCAGCAGGAGCAGCAGCCATCTTCTAGGGTCGTAGGAAGGTGGATTGAGGGCGTTGATGGGGTCGTGAGGGTGTGTCTTTGCAATTACAAATATTATCATGGTTGGGGGACCAAATTCAATCAATATTCCTCGTAGTGCCCGCTGAGAAGAACAGGAATGGCCGTGAAGAATATGAGCCGTCTAATTTCGAGAGGGCCAGCGTATCGTCAAAAAAGGCCAGAAAAAGTTAGAGAAAACAAGACAAGCCATTCACGGTCGCCCTGCATGTCACTCGATCACTCGACCAATATGCCCATACCCAGATCGCGGGCGTGATAATCGCCTAGGACTGACGGGCCCCTGTATCTGGGTGGGTCGGGACGAAAAGACTGGTAGCGCTTCGCAACATAATGAGGGCTGCTCAGCGGTGGCTGCAACCAGAACCACAGGAAAGAAGACGCCAAATAGACAAACCAGGCAAGCCGCACTGCGATCACGAACAAGATCACATCAAATCCTGCCGCCCGGTCTTGGCGTCGCGAACACGGACATGCCCGACCAACTAAAGCAACCGAGACGACGCAGTCCCGATAAGCAAGCTAAGCAACACCCAAGCCTTTCCAGCCGCGACGGTCTGTGCAGTCCGCATCTCCGTCGGACTTCCTCTGCCTATTTGGTCAGTCCTGATCCAGCACCAGCCCCAAAGCATGCCATCTGGTAATTGGGGTGGGCCAGAGCCGAGTTTGATAGGATGCCCTCCTCACTGGGAGCAGGAATCGGGGTGAAGGCCCGAGGCCCATCACGATAAAGTGAGATACGCAGCCTTTCGTCCCTTGCCTCTTGACGGAGCTCCTATTGGGCCGTTTCCCATCCTTGCACTAGTCTCTCCGCCATAGTTTGGCTGTTTCTCTTCGTTCATTGCTCGCTCGACCCCGGAGAAATTCATATCCTGCCATTCCTCATTCCTCCGTAACCACAGGTTTGCCGACCTCGATCCCTTGTAGGCAAGCCCCACGGCCTTGCCGCGTCGCCTCAATTGACCCGGCACTTGTCAATATTTAGGTTAAGCTTCCTGGCGCGGCACGGATTGACTTCGAAGCCTTTTGCCCCAGCCCGCCACTCACGGGTCTTGATTGCGCTTGGGGAGGGGGCAAAACCGATAGTGGAGCTATCGTTACATGGCCCAGGGCGGGTTGCATCCACCAGGACCACGCTCAACTTGGAGCTAGAGCCACGTTAGCGGCCTTGCACTCGTGAGTGTTCACTAGACTATCTGGACGGGCTGGGACTTGGCTGGACTAGCTGATGGGCGGCGTGCCCGCTCATTCGTCGGTCCCTAAGCCTTATCTGCCGAGGGCCACGGACAACTCCCCTGATCCAGCATAGTGCGATAGGCACATGGCGTGATAAGTCTGGGGTAAAAATATGGCTCTTGGGGGGTCACACTTGAGCCACAGGGCAAAAAAGCCGAATTGGACAAATGGATTTAGTGTGTTTCTGTTCAAGAGCAAAAGAGCAGGGGATGGAGGCGCGATCAAGGGCGCAATCTGTCGGTTAGCGGCTGCGTGCGTACGTCGAACCGTAGGAGAGACCCGAATATAAAAGTCACTGAGATCTCATCTCTCACGGGATTCCCTTGCTCCTTCCCTTCTCTACACGTCGCTTCTCCTCGCCTTCCTCTCCCCCTCTCCCCATCCCCTCTCGTATCTCTTGCGTCCCCTTGGTCACCATGGCCACCGAGGCCGTCACCCGCTCCTCCAGCTCGATGGATATCCATGAAAGCAATCGGGATGTGCTCACCGAGAAGAACGAAGTGATCGACCTGCACAAGCCCGAGAAGAGTCTCGTCTCCGAGGCATATCTCCAGCAGTTGGGAGACGAGGACCCAACCGAAGAGGAGTTGCACGGAGAAAATGCCCTGCGCCGAGTGTCGGCTCCGATTCCCTGGGCTGTCTACACTGTTGCCTTTGTTGAGCTCTGCGAACGATTTTCGTACTATGGCACTCAAGTTCTATGTATGACCAAGATGAACCCCCAGAGCAAGAATGAGTGACAGAAGGAGAAGATGGAAACGGTCTGAGATACAGAAGTTCTAACTCTTTAATCTCCCCCAGATTCCAACTTTGTGAACCACTCGCTGCCCCAGATCAACGGCCCCGCTGGCTCCAACCACTATACAGGCGCCGGTGGTGGTACGTCCCAGGGTGTCTCGGGAGCGCTAGGCCAGGGCGTGGAGACCGCGAACGGAATCAACACCTTCAATACCTTCTGGTGCTACGTTATTCCTCTCTTCAGTGCGTACGTTGCAGATGAGTACTGGGGACGATACAAGACCATCTGCTGGTCGATTGGTTTCGCGATTCTCGGTCATATCATCCTCGTCATTTCTGCCATTCCTCCCGTCATCACCAACACCAATGCATGCTTTGGCGTCTTCATGCTCGGTGTCATCATCATGGGCTTCGGCACCGGTGGTTTCAAGCCCAATATCTCCGCCCTAGTGGTGGAGCAGATTCCTGCCGTGAATCTGAAGGTGCGCACTCTGCCCTCTGGTGAGCGAGTCATCATCGACCCGACCATCACACAGTCTCGGATCTATCACTACTTCTACCTGTTCATCAACATCGGTGCTCTGATCGGCCAGATCGGTATGGCGTACGCTGAGAAGTACGTTGGTTTCTGGCTGGCCTATCTACTGCCCACTCTCATGTTCCTGACCACCCCGTTCGTCATGTTCTGGGGCCGCAAGCGCTACCGCCAGGCTCCGCCCCAGGGTTCGGTCGTGTCAAAGGCTGTTCGTACCTTCTTCTACGCTCTCAAGGACCGCTGGCACTGGAACCCGGTCAAGTTCTGGAAGCGCACCCACGACGGGACCCTATGGGAGGTGGCCAAGCCATCCAACATTCCGCCACACCTGCGACCTAAATGGATGACCTTTGACGATGCGTGGGTGGATGAAGTGCGCCGTGGATTCGCGGCCTGCGCTGTGTTCTGCTACTACCCGTTGTACTGGCTCGCCTACGGCCAGCTGACGAACAACCTGACGGCACAAGCGAGTACGATGACGCTGCACGGAGTGCCGAACGACGTGGTGAACAACCTGGACCCGTTCGCGTTGATCATCTTCATCCCCATCTGTGACACCTTCCTGTACCCAGGACTGCGCAAGCTGGGCTTCCGCTTCACTGCCATCAAGAAGATCTTCGTGGGCTTTATTCTGGCGGCGTTGGCGATGGTGTGGTCCGCCATCATCCAGTACTATATCTATACTCGCTCGCCCTGTGGCTACGACGCGAACAACTGCTACAGCGAGAACGGTTCCGTGATTGCCGCCCCAATCAACGTCTGGGCGCAGACTGGTGCCTATGTACTGATCGCATTCTCCGAGATTTTCGCCTCCATCACCTCTCTTGAATACGCCTACTCCAAGGCGCCCCGCAACATGCGTTCCCTCATCCAGGCCATCTCGCTCTTCACCAATGCCATCTCTGCCGCCATCGCCGAGGCCCTGAACCCGCTGTCCAGCGACCCCTTGCTCATCTGGAACTACGGTGTCTTCGCTGTTCTGTCCGGTGTCGGTGGTGTGCTGTTCCTCTGGCAGTTCTGGTCCCTCGATAAGGAGGAAGATGCTCTGAACAACCTGCCGGAGGGCCACGTCGAAGCGGACGAGAAAAGCAGCAGCACAGCCATCCTGGTCTCGGCAGAGATTGGCCCCGTGAAGGGATAAAAGGTCAAGGCAAGGAAAAGGCGCAGAGCGCACTCCTTCGTCTCACCTCTCTCACGTTTTTATTTTACTTCATTTCATTTTTGGTCTCTCGGTTGTTATTTTTTTTTTCTGCTATGATCTGCCGAGGGGGGGAGCTTTTCACGCCTCAAATCATGATATCCATACGATTCGGCACGACGTAATGCGACCATCTAATAGTTACTTACATCTACGCATGATGATAGTTTCCTCTTTTAATATTATTGGCATTACTATCAATTATAGGACCACTACCTACTCTTATGAGCTCCTAATGTCCATTTCTTGAGCTTGTAGATCTCTACTAAATTGTGCACGTTCACAATACCCCATCTTATATGCTCCATGTATCCCACTTGTTATGATCGTATCGACCGTCGGCGGTTGCGCCGTAGGGCGGCTTCCTGCAGCCCCGAACGCCTCCTCGCGTCGATCCCGGGCTGCCGACGCTCCGGCTCGCGGGGTCCCAAGCCCTCCCAACAGGACGGTCGGGGGAACCAACCGAGCTCGGATCGCAATGTCCAAGCCTATCGTTCTCTGTGCCAGGCTCCAATCTATTCATTGCACCAGCCACATCCCACGCAGCCCTAGCCATCCATCTCTAGCCAGCCCCATTTCCCTGAACCCCTTCCTGTTGCCCCTTCCCACGAAGAAATCTCCCAAAGCCCCTTTTCCCCACCACGACTAATACTTTGGAAACCCCGCCAGCAATGGGTCGCAGATACCACAGAGCCAACACCGACCATTGCTCTTAGCTAGCGTTGACTAGCGGTAACAGTAAGCGACCGGGCGGAGCCGAATAGGACCCAGCCACCATCCTTGGCGCATTCCATAGATTTGCGGCTGAGTTAGCGCCTCAATCGCGGCGGTGAGAAATCCAGCTGCCTGGGCGGGTTACAGCGTTATCCCCAGTGCCTTTTCGTTTCTGGGCGCCGGGGTTAGATCGACTGAACTGCCGGAGGTATCCGAACTAAAACTCCAATGCAGGAAACGAGCGTCCATTCTTGATCCCTGCTGGAAAGGCAATCGGAGGGGGTTCCAGACCGGCATAATCACAATTTGTATACTTCAATTCGACTCTGTGTATACAGGTCTCCCACTTGCCATGATTATTTTCCCACCGCCTCTTATTTGCCAAGTTGGGACTCCACCGCTTCATTATTCTTATGCATGGATTGTATTCCCGGGCGCCGGTGGCTGAGCTGTGGATCGACGTAGCCGTCGCACCCGAACGAATCAAGGGGCGTAGTAGAATGGGGAGCGTCGGCTCAATGCGCTGTGGAGGGGGGCCCCTGCATGGCATGGCTAAAGAAAAGTCGTACAGACCTTGAACAGGGCTCATGTAAGTAAGCTTCTCTTTGGAGTACGAAATCCGTCTACTCTGCGCCGATGAGCCTTGTCTCAGGTGAGATGCCGTCGCTTTGAGAAGGGAACAAAAAAGAGAACCGAGTATGGGGCTTCGTTTTGATTCACTTCTCAGTAAAATAGCAAAATTTATCGACTATTGGTCATTTTGAAGATTCCGTACTTTCTTAGGAAATAATCTGAAAAAAAAAAAAAAAAAAAAAAAGAATGGAGTGAATGGAGCAGCCTTAGCAACCCGAGTGTTTTTCGAGGTCGTATACTTCGGCAGTCGGAGGATAATCTTCACGACCTCCGACCCCGAACCGTGCAGGCTTATATCAGGTTTCCAGACCTTGATCAGGCGCGCGGTTCTATTCGACGCACCTACTTATCGCACAAGCAGCTAGATGTGAGCAGCCAATACGAAAGAAGAAAATCAAAAACTCAGACTTGTCCCTGGATCCCCGCTGGATCCCCGCTGGATTCGGTTGAGAGACACGAAGACGGCGATGGGAAAGCAGTTGCCTAGTACGAGGGTGGAGCGCCTAGAGGCTGTGAAGACAATGACCCATGCAGGTTGATGCAGAAAATACTGGAAATCTAGCAAGCATGGCTGATTATCCTCCACCACAGTCTGCCTAACGGGCCGGGGAGTTCAGAGGTAGAGCAACCAACTATCAAAGTAGCAGGTCATTATGATCTGGGTTTTTTTGGGAGCAGAGAGCAAGAATGTTCCATTTTTGCCCACGGTAGTTTCAAGTTAAGAGCCTGGCGGTAATCGAGTTGGATCGTGCTATAACAGACGATTCTATATAGAAATTTCCATTGTCGAGATTCCCGATGGTGCTGGATCGGCGCCAAACAGCCACACCGCGATTCGGCGACTCCAAAGTCCGGGGCGAATGACGTTGCAGAATTCCCCCCCAACAACAACACAACCACAACAACTACCCCCGGACATCGCACGCATGGTAACACTCGATATGGTCTCGAACACAGGCCTCACCTGCAGGGGATCTGCAAGCCCTGTAAGGCCCGCAAGACCTTCAGCTCGGGCGGTCGACAAACATGCATTCTACGTGCATAGAAAAACATGAGCACAAAGATGAATATACACGGCTCCACATTTCGGGGTCCGCGGAAGGGTTCGTTAGCTTCGGCTTGACATCACCAACTCCACCAGGCGCTTGCCCACTCGCTGCGCCATGATTCGTTCATGCAATTGAACATACCGAAAAAAGAAATGTGAGAGCGCCGGAAAAAGGGTGAGGGAGACCTAAAAGTTTCGGCTTGGCTTGGCTTAAGCTTCCGGCGTCCCCGGCCTGCATAAATACTACAATCGCCCAGGCACCCCCTAGCTGCAAAGATTTGCGGTCTTGTCTGCGCTTTCGTCCCAACCTCCTGGATCTGTATCCATCCCCGTTGTGAGGTTTGCGTGAGCATCATGAAAGCTACTGCCCTGTTCGCCGTGGCCACGCTGGGCGCTTTGCCGGGTATGTCTTGAAGATGATCGGTCGCGTGAGACCGAGGTCCAACCCTCGGCCGGACTCGAGATCGGTTATGTCCCATGTTTTTGACAGACAGAATAAACAGCGTAGCTAATTCGAACATGATATGATAGGGGTCATCGCATCTCCAAGTAATCTCGAACTAGACGCGCTTGCTTTGGCTGTTCGCGCACTCCCTAATGCCCCTGATGGGTATACCCCGACCAACGTGAGCTGCCCGGCCTCGCGTCCAACCGTGCGCAGCGCCGCCAAGCTGTCGCCGAATGAGACCTCATGGCTCGAGACCCGTCGGAGCAAATCTCTTTCGGCCATGAAGGAATTCTTCAGCCATGTCAAGGTCGGCGAATTCGATGTGACCTCCTATCTTAACAACCATGCCAGCAACACCTCCAACCTGCCCAACGTTGGTATTGCGGTATCCGGCGGTGGATATCGTGCGTTGATGAACGGCGCTGGTGCTCTAAAGGCCTTTGATAGTCGAACCGAGAATGCCACCACCAGCGGTCATCTGGGTGGCCTGCTGCAGTCGGCCACCTACGTGGCCGGACTGAGTGGTGGTTCCTGGTTGCTGGGATCCATCTACATCAACAATTTTACCACCATCTCATCGCTGCAGACTCACACAGATGGTGCCGTATGGCAGTTTGGGAATTCCATTCTCGAGGGCCCGGATAGCGGTGGCATTCAGCTCCTGGACTCGGCTAGCTACTACACAGATTTGTTTGAGGCCGTGCAAGATAAGAGGCATGCTGGGTTTGACACATCCATCACAGATATCTGGTACATCAGCTCTTTACCTTTGTTCCTATTCTCATCAGAATATGTTTAAAGTTGATGCTAACATGTTTTCCCTACAGGGGTCGTGCTCTCTCTTATCAGATGTTCAATGCTAGCAATGGCGGAATCGACTACACTTGGTCCTCAATTGCCTTGACCAAGGACTTCCAGGATGGTAACTACCCAATGCCGCTGGTTGTTGCCGACGGCCGGAACCCCGGTGAGCTAGTGGTGGGCAGCAATTCGACTGTATACGAATTCAACCCTTGGGAATTCGGTACCTTTGATCCCACCATCTACGGTTTCGCTCCTCTCAAGTATCTCGGCTCTCGGTTCGTCGCTGGCTCGATCCCCACCAATGAGAGCTGTGTGCGTGGTTTCGATAACGCTGGCTTCGTGATTGGCACCTCATCCTCCCTTTTCAACCAGTTCATGCTGCAGCTGAACACCACCTCACTCCCATCCTGGGCGAAGGACATCTTCAACGACATCCTCAACGACCTCGACCAAGACCAGAACGACATTGCTTCGTATGATCCGAACCCCTTCTACCAATACAACCCTGATTCGTCCCCTTATGCCAGCCAAACCACCCTGGACGTTGTGGACGGTGGCGAAGATCTCCAAAATGTGCCCTTGCACCCCCTCATTCAACCCGAGCGCCATGTCGACGTGATCTTCGCCGTCGATTCCTCTGCCGATACTACCTACAGCTGGCCCAACGGCACCGCTCTTGTCGCCACCTATGAGCGAAGCCTAAACAGTTCTGGCATCGGCAATGGCACGGCCTTCCCTGCTATTCCCGATCAGAACACCTTTGTCAACCTAGGCCTGAACACGCGCCCAACCTTCTTCGGCTGCAACTCGTCCAACCTGACAGGCCCTGCACCGCTGGTAGTTTACTTGCCTAACTACCCGTACTCTTTCTACTCGAACGTGTCAACCTTCAACCTGTCCTATACTGACAGTCAACGTGACAACATCATCCTCAATGGTTATGAGGTTGCTACCATGGCCAACAGCACTCGCGACGGCAACTGGACTGCCTGCGTTGGCTGTGCCATCCTTGCCCGCTCCTTCGAGCGCACCAACACTGACCTTCCCTCGATCTGCACCCAGTGCTTCGACAACTTCTGCTGGGATGGCTCACTCAACTCCACCGAGCCGGGTACCTTCGAGCCTAATTCCCTGATGACCGTCAGCGCTAGTAGCGCCCTGTCCCTGGTTCCCACGACACTATCCACTTTGTTTGCGGTTAGTTTGGCGTTGTGCACGTTGGTCTGAATGGCGCCTTGAGGTGTAAATGCGCATTAGATTCGGGTGTCGCTCGTTTTTCTTTCTTGTTACTTTGACTTTTTATGACGTGACCCAGCCACAATGATTATCCCACTTTTTTTGATTACTTGATTGGTGTTCTACGCTTGTTGTGCTGTGCTCAACTATTCTCTTTTTGCCTGGCTGGGTCCGAAACTAGCGGCTTTCTAGTACATGGAATGAAATCTTACATACTCACCTTAATCTGTCCTCGTGGGCCTTTACCCAGTATACCGTTCATGTCTTGTCTTTTTTCGCTGTAGGCTTGATCTGATACTTATGAGTCCAAGATGCATAGTCAACCTGTGTGATCTCTGATAGGTTTAGATTGCTACCGATAGAACTCCTCCACTTACTCAATCGAGCTACTGCCTCATAGATCTTCCTAATGAGACCTTCTATAAATAAACCAATAAGGAACACACGTCATTGGTCAAATATGTCTCGATTGAATATAACAAGCCTTATCCCTCCCCATGCCAACCTTCACACTCCTATATATGAGCCTTCTGGGTAGACCCTAACCGGCCCATAGCCGATCGCAACGGACCAACTCTTGCATTTACGATCGGCCGACTGAACCCCTTCCAGACGCCCTCCTCGTTCTTCCCCCGTGTTGGAAACCACGTATCTCCCAAACCCACCGGCTTGCTGTTTACATAGATAGATTCCCAGTTGCCGCGGGGCACGACGTACGTCTCGTGGAAGATTGCCAGGTGCGGATTCTTCTTCTCAACTGCGACCCAGTCACGCATGACGCTTGTGTGCAGTGACCCATGCGCAAACCGTTGTAGGCTCTCATGGTCACGCCAATACATCACCGTCATAGTCTCATTGCCTGCCGGGGCTTCCTGATTGAGCCAGCGCGTCGTCCCCAGCAGGCCAGCCGACTCTGGGTCGGCCTGCAGCTCTCGCATCATGGCTATGACGCTGTCGGAGAGGAATTTCATGCCGGGGGCGAGCGAGCCGAGGGGGTGGTTGGACCGGGCGCCGAGCAGGAAGACGACAATCTGTTTGTCGGCTGCGGTGGAGCCAAAGCTCCCGTCTGGATTGGGGAATTGGTTTGTGTATTTGTGTGACACGACGCCGTCCATGTAGCGGTTGCGGGTGATGTGGGCGGCCATGAGGAGGTGGTCGACTACACGGTAGAGCAGGATGAGAAGCGTTGGGAGAATCGACAGAGGGCCGAGGGCGAGCCAACTGAGACCTTGGAGCAAGCCGCCTAGCAGGAGCCAGCTGGAAAGAGCCATGTCATCACGAATAGCGGGAGAAATAACAAAGGGTTTCCGGGGTAGAGGAAGTGGATCATTGTCGGAGTCCGGGACATTGCGAGCGATGATATGGGGCGGGAGAAGTGGTTTGAATGATTCCATGATGTGGCAAGATTAGAATACCAGGTTGATATCTAAATCGACTTGTTGCGAGACATAAATATATAAAATCGATCGCTTGGTTGTGAAGACGTCGAGGAGTTGTTGTTTTTTTCGTTGGAGTATTTGGGGGGGGATATCGTCAGGTATATATTGGCCCGAAGCTCGCGCATTTCAAAGGCACCAAAGCCGCAAATAGTATGTCACTAGTCGAACAACGGCAACTGATGCGATCAAAAATCGCCTAACAAGGCGGGCCAATCATTTCTCATAACATAAATACCGAAAGGGGTCTAGTTTGGGGGCTTTGGGGGCTGCTCGGGGCTTAGATGAACATCGTTAATCGGATCCACTTCCATTTCCACTCTCATGATCGTTGAACTCGAATCACAGAGCTTTAAATGTAATCCACTCTATTTCTGGATTACGTTCGATGTCATTTGCCAAAGACTGCAGATCCAAGTATTTGCTGAACAAAATTGCAGTCATAAAAGCTATTCTCCAGGTATTTGATCAATCTTGGCAGCTCTAGTATTCTGCCTTTGTCGATCAACCCACAAACCAGAGAAAATTGAGAACTCAATGAATGTCTTGTTGCGAGAGTGTTGCAATATACAAAAAAGCCCGATGATAGTAGATGAAAAATATTATTAGGTATGGATACCTCGAAACCCACGGCATCCAATACCTACGTTAACGCCCTATCTCACAAGACCATGTCATGAAAAGAAATTTTCAGCAACAATTATGTACAGGAAGGGCCGGGCACAATCAGGTCCCAACAGAAATCCGCAAGCGCGGCAGGCAGCGATATACATCGCTCGAGAAAAATGGAGTCAATACACAAAAGAGGACAACATGGTGACGGAGTAAAATCCATGTGAGTTGGGTGGATGAATAAGAGAAGGGGAGTAAGGTAGCGCTTGCGTGAGCATCCATGGAACACAGCCATTCCAGGATATATGCGAGGACGTTTTTTTCGGAGGCGGAAATATCGTGATAAATTAACAAGAGGCAAGGAGAAAATAGAGGTGGTGACAAATGAGGTGATGAGGTGATGAGGTGATGGTAGCGATATCAATGACATGAAAATGTGATCAACAAAGCACCACCCAAGAAAAGAATAAACCATATGTAAACTGCAAAATCATGTAATTCGGGAAGGAAGGGGTCACAGAGAGCAAGGATTAGGCTTCGCGGTATCCCCAGATCCGTCTCTGTTCGTTCTCCCACCATTTCCCGACCTGCTCTGCATCCTCGAGCCATTCAACGGCATTGTCGCCATATTTTGGCGCAACTTCCTCGATAAGGTCATCGAATGTCCAGGCTTTGATGGGATGCAGCTCGCCAGGATCTTGGTCTAGGTGGGAGAAAACGTATTCAAACCCTTCTTTGAAGGGAAGGACGAGACGATAGGGCATGCCGGCCGCTGTAATGGAGACCATTGAGCCACCTGCATTAATGAGGCCGAAGTTCCAAGTATATTGGATGCGGTGACCGTCTTTGTTATGGGACTTGTGAGACTTGCTTGGGATGCGAGCATTGATGTCGGACGGAGGTTTAATATGGGAAATAAAGGGACGAATGAGAGACTGGCCCTGGTATTCGGGGAGCAGAGCTGAGGCAATTTCAGAATCGCGAGAGTTGAGGGAGTGAGATTGAACGAGCAAGTCAAGGATGGTGGGGATAATGGAGAGTGAGGTCGCGTTGGCGGTGATGTCGATCCGGGGCATATGCGGGTGTCGAAAGACCAGAGGAACGCGGAAGTTGCTGATATGCCCATTCTCGTAGGTACCGGTCATGTCTTTATTATCTTCGCCGAAAGCTTGTCCATGGTCACCGACAATCACCACCAAGGTCGAGTTGGCGATGCCGGTCTCGTCGAGCATCGTCATAATATCGCCGAGCCAATCGTCCACAAAGCGTGCTGTATTGAGGTAGTTATTCATCAGGCCGTGGTTAATCGTCCCCTTGTCTCCCATATACTTTTCATTTTTGAAGTCATCTGGGGTGTTCCATGGATGATGGGTGGTGCTCGTAACATGCGAGAGGAAGATGCGGGTCTTGTTGTTAGCAGCTTCTTCGAACAGATCGCGAACATATGGCCTGAGCTCAGTTTCGGCGTATCTGCAGGACAATAGTGAGAAAAAAAGGGAAAATGTCAAAAAGGGAGTTGAACATCGCACATACCCGAAGTAGTTGATCTCCGATCCCTTCGCCCGGTATTTGGAGTGACGGTTGTTCAAACTGTTCTTAACAACCTTGTGCCTGAAACCCATGTTCTCGTTCATGATATCCTGACGGTCGTAGTCATCAGTAATCGACTGCATGAAAACCGACTTCCATGGGTAGTTCAACGCCTCAGATGCACTCTCTTCGCGCTCGGTTAGCGATTGAGACGGCGACTTGACTTCGTTGAACAGGTCAAACAACTGCGGCAAACAGGGTTGATAGATTTCAAGTTGAGATTCCTCCAAAAGATCAACAGGCAGTGGCTGCACTCCGCAGTGACTTCCTAGGATACTTTTGAATGTCAAAGAGCTGCCAGTGAGTGCGCCTCGAACATTCAGTCCCCCCATACCATCTTCAGCCGAGTCATGCCATTTCGCTTGGCTTAAGTCGACCTGCTCGCCCTTGCTGTCGGTGGCATGCTCCCCTGTCAACATCTGAGCGACGGGCGTCATCGTGACCAGGCGATCAATTGCTGCCGCTCTATTCTCTTTGGGGTGGGACTCAAGCAGGGCGTCGAACATTGGGGTACCCTGCTGCATGGGAAATATTTCTTTGCGCCCACTCTCGAGAGTAAGAAGGATCACATTATCAATAATGACGGAGTTTCCTTTCAAGACGTTCTTCAGGGGCTCCAAGATCTCGCCGTCAAGATTAGATATCTTTAGTGGATCAGTCTTCGCGTTATAGAAACCAGGGTCACTGTTACAAAGATACCACGCAGGGTTATCTTTCTCGGCGCGTTCCTCGGGGCTGATCTCCCAACGGCTGAATCCCGAGGGTGGATGTTCGGGGAGCCAAGTGGGTCGGGACCATCCTCCATTCATGAAACTAGTCTTCACGTCGGTCCATAGAGGAAATTTCTTCGGCGCATTGCGACATCCATCGCCGGTCGCTGACTTCTTGTTAAACGCTTCGAGCAGAGTCAACGGAAGGGCGCCGGACAGGTGATCGTATGGGACTGAGGGTCGGCTCAATTCTAAGAACAGCATCGAGGAACAAATGGAGACTGCGATTGCGATGCGGCGCACAGATCGGAAATCCATTGAAGTCACCCAGGACTTGTTTGGTGCCGACAAGAGTGTATACCGTGCCTGATGACCTCCGGCAAACATATCTCGAATTGCCTGCAACGCGAGGCCCGTCCAGTGGTATAGTTTTGCATGGATGAGCCATGCGACTAGCCCGAGGACTGTAAACGCAGCAGTAACGGTTGAGATGCCACTGAGTAGGATCTTCATGGCGGCGGGGTCGCTGAGGAAACTATGGCTGGCAGACCAGGCGACTTCGGCACCGGTTTGCATGAAGAATCCGAACTGGATGGAGGCTGCGCCCCAGGTGATCAAGCTATGTTGGATGAAGCCCATACGGTCAGTCTTGTATTTTAGTTTCTCTCTGCCATTTTGCATGCGGCAAAGCTAATAGTCGGCTGTCTCACAGGTTGTCCAGCACAGAATGGGGTGGAGGGAGGGCAGCACCTACGCTAGAAGCCCACCGACGCATGTTGACAGCCATTGTAGTTTGGATTCCGGGGCTGGGAATTGCAATAATACACGCGCGCCAGAAATGACCAGCACATCCGGCACGACAAGAGTAGGTGAGTAGAGGATGAAATAGAGCAATGGTAGCGAGTGAATGTGCAAAGCGATATGCAGGGCCTTGGATGCGAGGCCGCCGACAGAAAGGACCGCGAAGAGGAACGGGGAGGCCGGAGGAAAGAGGGCAAGGAGCTTCATGGCGAAATCATAACATAGTTCGAAGATGGCGTAGATGGAAGTTGAGTGAAAACCAAGCGAGTGAAAAGGAAAAAAGACACACACAAAAAAAAAAGAGAGAGAAAGGTCGCGGAATGGATGGCGAAGAGGGTGAAAGATTGGAATGAGGGAAAAACACCCCGGAATGTGTCGAGCGGACGAGGGTTGACGGATGGAAGTATAGGCAGGTTCGGAAAGAGAAATCGATCACCGAAGCAAAGTGAAGAGATGGGCGAGGTTGAAGGGATATTCTTAGATTATGGATCTCATTGAGTGGAACAAGAACCCCATAAAACAAGGAGACCAGGAAACCAGGGCCGCATAAATCCATTAATATCTTCCTAGTTGCGGTAATATTACACATGAGCAGCCACGCCAGGATGTCTTTGAACAGGTACCTAATCGTATTTGCTTTTGACTTGCCTGTCCGCGCACCGCCAATCAGCACCCACCGCTCGTTCAGCCGCCCTGCTAGCGCCCCCCATCTACCACTAAGACACCCCAGAAAGGGACAAAAAGCCACTAAGCATAAGCAACAAACCACAAAACGGAAATCACCAAAAATAAAATAAAAAAAAACCTGGATCCGGGATGAACAGGTCAACAGGGCTCAACAGGGCCGAACAGGGTGCCTAAGCACGCGACAAACGCTTCGATGGAACAAGACTCTCACAAGCCTGATTCACGCGTCGGATGGCCCGTGGATCCGGTCGTATTCATTATATGATTTTTCTAGGCCATTCTTCTTACTGAGTTATAGGACCCTCAAATGCTCTCTCTACCTTTTGATTCTGGCGATTCTGAGATAGATATGTATGTCCATAATTGTCCATCAAGTAGATGTTGCGCGGATGCTCCGGAATCTCCGCCCTCTTAGACGCCTATCGGTGGGTCGAGGGTTCTTTGGACGGCGCTGTCTGCTGAGCAAGTTACATAGATTAGTGCCGATCTAGTTTATCCTACTTTCCTCTCATTCATTACCGTCACAGTTCATCTCACTCCTACCTACGGACTCGATGATTGCCCCTTGTCACCGACTGGATGTGTCCCTCACTCTCTTCTAGGGGCAAAATTGGTCTGGCGCGCTGCAGGGTCCACTCGGGGCAGCGCCTCCTCCGAAGGTTCCCCCATGCCCTGTGCCCTGATTCGCCCAGCTGAGACATGGTCTTCACCCATCTCACCAAACACTCCCCTGGTGCCGAAAACCCAGGATTGCAAATAATCGCGACGTTTCCAATATTCTTCCGCCATCTAAGATGTTACTTACTTTGAAATTCTTCCTAGGCAGTAATTCTCCTCGGGCTCAGAGCTCCTGAGCGAATTTCTTTCGCAACATGCATGCATCTCGGGGCACTGGCCTACGCATCCTCCTTCGGGCACCATGAGACCATTTGAAAACTATGATGCACGCGACAGGACACTTGCGCTCGTGTTACCAGCGCTTCGACCTCCTTCCCCCCAAATTCCGGGGAATGGATTGCATCCGGAACCGAGCCAGTCACTGATCAACCCGACCAAAACGCCTCCGATGTGACTTTGCATAGTCGGAATCCGTCTCACTCCCGATGACCCGTTTTTTGTCTCTCATCTTTGTTTGGTTTCCCAACCCACTTGTCTTTCCCTGGATCATTGTAGCCGGGCACCGGGTACTCCAAACAGTCAGCCTACTGATCGTACCTATTTCTATATGCCCCAACCGGGACATTCTTTTCTTCACCTTGAAGAGGACTGCCACCCTTGACATACACGAGATATAAGGATATAGGCTGTATAGAGTAGAATGGTCTTGTCCATTTTGCTTCTTACATCTCTAGTTTTAGCCAAATGCGATCTTCAGTGGCTTCTTTGCAGCTTCCTGATCCGATCAGCCTTGTGGAGCTGATTGATGGATCTAACCACCGAAAGGACAAAGAACGCTGTCGCCTGCTGCCTTTTCCATATCCAGTCAATGTCTATTTCTAGGGCCCACCCAAGAGCCCACTGGTGAGTATATTATGTATTGCATACCATCTCAAAAGAATAAAAAGAAAGGACAAAGCTTGTATCAGGCGGAGTCAGCCTCATGGACCCTGGTTTCAATCCTTTTTTTGGTTATATGGAGAGACCAATATTTCCCTTTTTAGCTGGTTCAGGGACTGCGGCCCCCACTGTGGTCTGATGCTGGCGGCCTCCGTGGCAAGGTGTGGGTGGTCCACCCGTGAATAATTTGCACGGCCATGTCAGAGCTTGCCAGCCTCTCCGGGATCCGAGGTTACCTTGAGCGACGTGTGCATATTTACCTAGCTAAGCTAGTGAAAAAATTTCCACAAAGTGGAGTGGACCCTTTTCCCACTGAGTCTAGGCGTCCAGGTGATATGGTATCTGCCTATTATACTCCTTTCTACGTCCTTGACATCGCCTCTCTCGTCCGCGGGGGCTCCCCAAACAAGACCTGTTGGTCACGCGACCCCCCAGCGAGTGAGCTTATCTAAGGTTGCCCAGTTTGCAGCCTCGACAGTTAGGCACCTTTTTATTGTCGATTTTCTAAAGATGAAATGCCTGTCTACCTGGTACCACGAGCAACTGTATTCGCTAACTCCGAAATTCGATATCTAAAGTGATGTGACTTAGCCTATGTTGATGATCCTTGCAGATCATCGCCTCCCCGCACTAAAGATCACGACCACACGATCTGCAGAAGTGGATAGGGGCCAGTTATGGCTAGCACAAGGCTCTAGTCAAACAATCCTACAACAGTTTCCAGAAAGCTTTGTTGATACTTGACTCTAATACCCGGACAACTTAATTATTCAATCTGCTTCCATCATTGCCACCCCAGATAGAGCTCATGTGTCACGAGCCTTTGTGAGAGCATTCTTCATGATCAACATAGCATACGTATATTTGACCGTGCACCCACCACGATGACACGGCGTCAACTGTCACACTGAATAGAATATGTACCCACCACCACTCTGAAATCCTTAAATCACCCAGTTCAAACTTGAATTGGCCCTCTCTACCCAACCAGTCCCCATCAACGATTGACAGCAATCTCTACACAATTCTGGGCTCCCAACCACGGTCCCCGGCCTCTCCAGTGCCCCTCACCTCACCCCTTGGTCCCAAACGTCCTCTTTCAATTCCCAATTCATGATAATCACGATGGCCTACTTACGCTGTGACCACCCAAGCCACGTCCTCATCCTGTTATTCATCCCTTTGACAGCTTCACATACTCTCCTATCGCCTCGTCCACCATCCATACCACTAACCGTGTCCCACGTGTGTACCCTAAGACCGCAGGTCCCGCATGCCACAGTGGGCTCTTAATCTGAAGGTGGCGGGGATATCTGAGAGATTCTGCGAGAAGATCTCGAATTTGGGAGATACTCGGTGCAGAAATACGTAGTTGCCTTTTGGAGATTGGGTATAACCATTCTTTGTATTAAATTTTGCCCTGTATGAGAAATTTTCAGAATAGCACCTTCATCTTGTCTCTGTCGCATATCCCGGTGACTTGGAATGGCGAGCTGGTCCTCCCTGAGATTGTCAACGCTTGTGTTTCCCCACGTCTCTTCTCCTCGCAACGTCGAGTGAATTTATCTGTCCCTCTTGTTGCCCGATAGCCTCTGGTCGTGCAACTCTGTAGGAGCAATCTGCGAAGTTCGCATTGAAGAATGAGTTTCTCGATTCGATGACTCAATTTTTTTTTTCGTGTCTGGTTTCTTTGAAGAATGAAGATTAAAAAAAATGACTTAACGACGTATTGGAAAAAGAAAGATGGGTCCAAGCTGCCAGGTTCAGATGAAAAATTGGTTTGCATGGGCCTGATATGAGAGCATATAGTCGTTTAATAGCGATGATGAAATAAAAGAAGAGCACCCATTGGAAAGAGTCAATCTTGGACGTTTGTTTAAAATGATCAAAAGTAGAGATGATAGAAGTCACACAAAGCGAAAATAGAGAATACTATACAGAGATCCTATGCATACAATTTGACGAATTTGACGCCAGTTCCAAAGCCCGTTGAATGCACCAAACAGCACAGAATGGGCTGGGAGGAAAGAGAAAAAGAGAGAGTAATTGGCATCCTTTTGCCAACATCACAATCTCCATAAAAATCGATCCGCGCAAAGCATCTGCCTGCAGCATCACCCGGCCCTCGACACTAATCCATCTTTTCCTAATCGATCCATCACGCCGCTCTTCAACCGCATCAGTCGCTCGATCTCTCTTCGGGGCATTCCTTGCCGATCACGCATAGTCAGCGCCTGCTGGATGGAAAACGCATCCAGGAACTGCCGCCCCGCAAATTCACCCGACCCGAGCTGTTCGAGCTCTTCTTGTGCAGCCTTGTTGATCCTCTGTCGTGCGTTCACGACCAGTAGCGCTGGATTGGAGGCTGTAGGGAAGATGGTCTGCATGGAGCCACGGTTGACGGTGCTCGAATTGGAGAGGGTTGGGAATGGGTCAACGGGGCCAATGTGTCGGAGGGAGGCGGCGAAGTCGGGGTCTCGTCCGTCGAGGTCAATGGCTAGATATGGTTTGAAGTATTAGTCGGATTGGTCTTTGAGATCAAGAGATTTGCGCTTGTAGTGCATCTTTTTGTTCGCCCCCGGGCCGGAAACTGAAAGCCGCTGAACACTCACCGCTAGATTTTATGGTCGAGGGTTGTTCATTAGAATGGTACGTAGGACCCTTTGGCACAGGTTTCGGGGCATGACTTGACGAAGACGGCGGGGGTGTGTGAGGTGTGGGCGTTTGCGACGGTTCTGTTGCCTTTGGGGCTGTCGGCGGGACCCGAGGAGGAGGAGGGGCTTGCTTGGGGTACTGGCGACGCGCAGCTGCGCCTGCAGCAGACTTGACTGGTTTCGAAGCAGCCGAACCCATCGAATATGTGCAAGAGGGGTGGTAGAACGTGACTTGGTGAATGTCGTGAAGCTTTTGCGGCGGAGGTCGGGGAGAAGCGCGGAGTCCGACTTGGCACCCGCGATTAGAGTGTAGCCACTCAAGTGACGTCAAAAGATAATCAACCCCAACACGCCTCATTTCTGTCAATAAGCAAATTCCATTGACCTGGTTTTCTTTATCTGATCTGGATGAACCATTCACATTGACTTTGGGATCGAATCAAGTGGTCTGGAAATGAACGTGGATACAAAGACATGAACAGATTCTCCGGGACGTGGAGAAATCAACTTACGCCGTGTACGGACAGATGGTTTATATTTGCATACATGTATTTTGCCGAGATACTGAAGGAATAGATATCTACCATGGAAAATTGGGTTCGAAGATACTGGTTTCGCAGAAAGAAAGACGGATATCATCGCGACTAAGAAACAGCTCTAAAGGAGCTTAAAAGGCCACTTCTCAGGCCGTGAATTTGATAGCCCTCAGGCACGGAATGGATGCATGAAGCCACATCATTAGCCATGATTCTCAACGAAGGCCAGCAAGGCGCCGACCCTGCACCTCACCCAGCGCACGGCTGCCGCTCACGAATGCGACCGCGCCAGCCAGCGCCGCAGCAGGTAGAATCTGGAACAGGTTCCACGAAGTGTAGTAAAGGAAGAAAATACCCTCAAATGCGACCAGAGATCCAAGAAAGATAGCGTGGGGTAAAGGGGCAGACTTGAATGCGGTCGGAAGGTGGTTGAGGTTGGCACCGAGGAAGAGCCACTAGGCAGATAGGTCAATTAGCATGTAGTTCAATGGCAAAGGTATATAAGGTTCATTTACCAAGCCTGCGAGGACAGGAAGAGTAGCACCGACCATGGCCATAAAGACCAGGGTGATGATGATGGGTGGGCTGCTTGCTGAGTCCTTGAAGATATGGTGGATCTCGGGCTGCTTGCCATACCGCGCGGTCTCCGCGGTCGGGACAGGCACGTTAGGGTCGCGCTGAATAGCTAGCTTGAAGACAGAGCTGTCGTAGGCGTCCGAGTTGCCGAAAGAGCCGATCAGGATGTGAGCGTCGACAGGATCAGGGAGGAGAGGAATTGAACCGGAAGCTCCTTCTGGGTCTAGATGCGGTGTCTGATTAGTTTGCTGTCCACATAAGAGCTTCCTAACCCGGGTTGCATGTACCAATTCCACCCGCGACTTGCCATTCTCCTTCACTGTGAAAGGATAGGAGATGTCCAATCCACTCTGAGGATCTTTCAGTAAAAGAAAGGCCTGGTGTGGTCGTTTCGCAGAGCTTCCCTCCTGCGCGGTCAAGGTGACGCGCAATGTATCGGCACCGGCAAACGAGACTGGTTTCGACAGTGGCTTCGACGAAGTAAATCTAGGGAAAATCCGATGTCAGTAACCATTGCATTTAACAAGGAGATGAAGTCCATTGGTTCATACTGTTCCTTGAATCCGCCGTTGATACCAGCGCCCTTGGGTTGAACTGCCACGGTGGCATCAGTAAAGCCCCAAGCTGTCGCTGCCACGGTGGGTAAGGCTGCTGATGCCAGCAGACAAAAGGGAATAGTGGCCTGCCACAGATGCATTGTGAAAAGAAACCCCGAACAATCACACAAGGGGAGAAAGAGAAGAGGGGGAAGCTGGGGAAAGGTGGTTTGTTCTGGAGTTGCAGAATAAGGCGGAAGACGGGCGATGAAGCCGATAAGCGCCGATCGACCTTAGCCCTAATTTCTTTTCTGTTCAGACTTCACCTCTCCCCATGTCCTCGTCGCCGTGTGGGCCTTCTCACTTCCAAAGCGCTCGACTGAGGCCTTGGACAGTGTGCTGACTTTCCGAGAGACATCTTCTGCCTGATGAGTCGGTGAGTTCCTGTTGCCTCTCCGAACCTGGCCCTAAACCCCAACTTGCACTTGCTGCCCTGCGTGCTGCACCTCTGACGTTAAATCACCATCCCCGAACTCCCTCCCCCTTTCCTCACTGCTTATCAGATTGTCGTCTTGTTGTATTTTTGTTCCAATCTGCCTCTCCTTTAAGATCCTTATTTCAGCCTATTCTTCGAGGCAAAGCTTCCCCTTCTGCTTGATCGCGCCTTTGACGTCCCTCGTCGCTGACTTGAGATTGGGCTCAACCCCCAGGAGTTCGTTCACGATGCCGCCTAGGAAGGGCGTTCGCAAATCGATGCCTGCACGCATCAATCATCTCAACAATGCTACCTTGACCCCCTCACGACGCTCGCCCCGGGTGCCTACCGGGGCCAAATCTACAAATGGCAGCCCTCCGTCCTCCAAATCCCTCGATCTTTCTTCCACCACATCCTCACCCGAAGACCCTTTCAACGTTGATTTCTACAATCCCAAAACCCCTTCTACAACCCGGAAGAGCAGGGATATCTCTCCGGATGCGCCTTTGACTGGTCGACGGCCATTCCAAGCGCGTCCGTCCCGACTGAGTACTGTTTACACGCCGGTCGTGGAAACAACTCTACACTCCAGTCAGAGTAGTCGCAGGACACGCCGCACAGCTGCACTCGAAACTTCTCAAAACGAATACTCAGACTCGGAATTTCCAGATACGCTCGGTTCAACAGGTTGGACCTACGATCAATATATGGGCGGCCGCGGCTCCAACGGAACAATGGACCGCCACACTTCCCCTGGTGCCTCATCTAAGGGCACCAGAACTTCTGGTCGCATTCGCAAACCGACCATGAAAGCCATCGAGGCCATGGAGTCGAAGCCAAAGCCTCGCAACACTCGGAAATCCACACCTGCGTCAACCAAAAGACAGACAGAGGAAATGATTGAAGCCATGCCTCCTTCTGCGCTTCTTCCGGCGCCTACACTTCCGCCTTCCCGCACCCGTGCCCGTGCTCCTATTCAGGCTCTAACGCCGATCGTGCGCAAAGGTAAAAAGGTCTCGAAAGCAAAGAAAGGAAAGAAGAACTCTAAGCCAGAGAAGCCGCAACTTCAACGGATTCAGATTGATGTTGAACGCGCAGGTCAGAAATTGTATGAACTTGCCGCCCTTGCCTTGGGCACGGATTTTGTGGCCCCGCCTGATGCCGAGGAGTTCATCAGAAAGGCCCGAACGGAGTACCGAAAACTTGAAATGGATGAGTTGATTGGCACCCCGCGAAATTTTGAAAACACACCAAAAGATGCCAAAGCTAAGGCAGACTCCAAGTCCCAATTCTTTGACAGCTACAAGAAAAAAACAGCTCCCAAAATCGATGCAGATGGGTGGATTCATTCTGGCTGTATCAATAAATTCGATGAAGAGGTTGTTCTCTCACCTGCAGAGCACAGCCCTTACCGTTCCCCCCACACCTACGGAGACGAAAACCTGCCATTTCCGCCCGTGCGCATCCGATCCGGAAAGCATGTTGAGAATGACAATGCACTCGGTTTCCCGCCTCTCATCGGCGACCGCAACATTCCGTTTGACTCTCAGTCGCAGTTTCAGCCAGAGGATGTGATCGAGGAGAAAGCCAAGGCGAAGGCTCGCGGAGAGGCGTGCAAGAAAAACACCATCAAGCCAAACCCCGCACAGACCGAGCACTTGAAGAAGTCTGCTGCTCGAAAGCGTGGTCTGGCTGAAACCGAGTCAGAGTCAACTAATGCCATTGCTTCAGTGGCCCCTGGGGGCCCCAATCCTAGAAAGCGTCGCCGTGAGGAGCGCGTCTCTATGCCCGCAAGGGTTTCGACTGTCAAAAACACTCGTTCCAAGACTCCGATTTCCCAGGCTTCCAAGGCGACCAAAACAACCGCTGCTGCGCCTGGTCCGACTCTAGAGGCAAAGCCACAGTTCCCGCGTCTGAGGCTGACACTGAAGCCTCAGAACGAGAAGGAGCGGCAGAAGTCCTCCAGCCCTTCCGACGACTCATCTGACTCGCCCGTGGAAAAAGCGCCTACCAAGAAATCTGCGGCTGAAGGCCGTCGCAAGCGTGTCATCGACATTACCTCGGACAGCGAAGCTACAAAGGAGCCTATCGTTGCCAAGGGCAAAAAGAGAGTCGCCGATCTCATTTCGGACGACAAAGTGATAGGAAATTCAAAGACGCCAACAAAGCGTCCACGCATTGCAGCTGATTCCGATGCGGAGTCTACCCCCACGGCGCCCAAGGGCCGCGGACGTTCTGCAACCACCACCATAGCCACCCCAAAGGCAGCACAAGGCCGAGGGCGAGCGCGAGGTGCATCCAAGGCACCCTCGACTCCTGCGCGGAACCGCAAGCGTGCAACCTCGGCCCCTTCTATCCGTGGTCGTGGTCGTGGTCGCGGCCGTGGTGCTTAAGGGCAACTGCAATGAAAAGCGAGAAGCCAAAAGCAAATTGAAAGACGAGGAGCTGTGGATATACCTTGTAGAGACCTGTTTGTCTCTATTGATTATGAATAACGTTTGTTTCATGAGGCGTTACATATGTGGTGATGATGATTGTGCAAATCAACCAGATAAGGAACAGCATAGCGTGGTGTTTTTTTTTTTTTTTTGCAGGTCCGTCATGTATATTGTTTGCTTCTCTGTGATTACCTGATTAGGTACAGAAGCTGTTTTCGGGTTGTCTTTTTCTCATACATGAACAAGGCTTCGGCAGCCTGTGTTCCTATTCTGATATCTGTAGAGGGAGATTTTTGCTCAAAATACCATCATAATCAACATTATTATTACCGACAGCCTTTCATTCCTGATCTAATCATACAATTCCTGGTCCCAATATGCTTATTTGGGTGGTATTTGCCATCATCTCACAGCCTCATAACTATCTCAATTCCATGGTTATACATACTGACTACCCATGAGCCCAATCCTGCACAAGGCTGGTTGGCTGGCTGTTTCAGACTATGGCCAAAATGAACTAGTATCAGGAAGATTGGGGTCAGTGAAAGTGGGCATATCGCCATCCCAGATGAGCTCTGCAATTGAATCCGCGGAAAGTAGTTCTTCAAATAGCTCGATGGGCGCTCGGTCAGTCTCGGGTGTGAAACTATCATGGTGGTTATTGGGCGTTGTTGCTTGGGAGACTGAAGCTTGAGTAGTACCCGATATCAGAGATTAGCATCACGAGCTTCTAGGGAATGAAAGTCTTCCAGGAAGAAGAAGCATATGCTTACCCAGTAGGGTTGGACTTTGATCCTCAGTGGGAGCTGGAGTATATGGCGTTACCGATTTTTCAATAGTGGAAATGGTGGTGTATTCTGTGGCACTTTGGGTTGAAGTTGAGTTGTTTTTGTCTTGTTGCCCAAGAATGAACTTTTGCTCAGATCGCATAACTGCAGCCACAAGGTCTGTCAAAACCTTTGCACTCTGCGTTGAGAGAAGGTGTTCGCCAAGAACACTATTCTGGTGAAGGCGTAGAATATTCGCGACACCAGCTTTGGCCTTTTCCGCGCTCGAGGATAGAGGCCGCGAAAGGGCAAAAGTGCAGAGGATTACCCCGGCTGTGAATAAGCATATTCCAATATGCATGGCAGCATGGGTTCTCCGACAGGCTTGCAAAAGGGCTCGGTATTGGTACAGCTCTGACGTGCGGAGGGCAGAGTTCAAAAGCTGTTGTTGAGAGAAGGCAGATCCGGATAAGATAGGAGCCGAGTGATATTCAGAAGATCCCTTCGAGGAAATTCCAAAGGCCGCGCTTCGATGCAGGAAAATTAGGACATTATCGTAACTGAGTTGGAGCAGCAACGCTTGCATCCGAAGCAGCAGCGGTTGAGATGTATCTTTCCCTCTATAGGTCTCCAGGCGCAGTTTATGAGGCAACTGGCTCTCCCAGGAAGCCAGCTGGTTATGGATTCCCGTGACCATTTCTAGCCGTTTTCTGTCAAGCTTGTGATTCAGAAAGCGACCAATTATGCGGTATAGCTGGACTTTGCATTGATGATATTCAGTGTGCCGACTTTGCCGGTTGATTATTTCGGAGCTATTTACGATGTCTGAGTTGTTTATGTTGAAATTGCATTTAGAGTCATCTATACCACATGGTCGTCCAAAGACAATTGTGGCATATCTGCAAAAGAGATATTAAATGGCTATGCCGGATATAACTTGGAGCTGAGCACCAACTTACTTGTCAAAGATTTCCAGGGTCAACCATGTACGTCGTCTAGATTCAAGGACAGAAATTGGATCAACTTGATTCATTGGTTCACGATGGAGCCCAATGAATTGGCCAAGTCTGATCCCACTTTCGAGAACTCCCAAGCCAACAGGGGGGCGCCCATTGAAAATATGGAAACTTCCCATTAAAACGCATATTTGAACAGCCTCCACATTTGCAGAGCCGATGATTTTGAGAAATTTGGCTTCGAGCTGTTCAAGAAAGCTTTGAGATAGCTGCTGGAGAATCAATGTCTTTTGGGGTTTTAACACCGTGAGGGATAGATAGTGGGACCCCATGGCATGAACCAACAATACAAGCCAAACAAAGTTGATATCTTCTGTTGCTGGTAACTCTGTTGAGGCCATCAAGCTTTCATAGCGCTGTCGAAAGGATTCTTCATGTAAAACCTGACCCAACTTGGGTTAGCTTCGGGGTTCACAGAAGATGAAAGGGCCTCTAGACTACCATGACAAACCAATCCACGGTTTGAAAGAATACATCCACTAAGATGTCAAGGCATGCCCTGGAAGGTAGTGATATTCCGATCATATCACGCCATGGAATCGAGCTAGATATCTTGTTTGGTGTTTTCTTGCCTCCAGGTAGAGCCGATGTGTCATAGTCAAAATTGAAAGATCGGTCTTCGGATGCAAGAATCTTCAATATCATGCTAAAGTCAGGCTTTATGTATATACAGAAGGTACGGAGTATTTGATTTGAAACTTACCCCTACGCTGAGATCGAAGATGTTCGTATCAGAGAAAATCACTGCCTCGTTATCTTTGGAAGGACCGGCAGGACCATGCTCCCCACCTTGGGCGATTTCTTCGACTTGCGAGGTTGATCGCCCCCGCGAAATACAGGGCACACCAGCCCGTTCACATAATTGACATGGTCTAAGAGGATCACACTAACGGGAGCAAGGTTAGCCTCGTCATTCTCCCCACTACAAATCAATGTTGAATGCATAAAAATACAATACCCCTAGTTTTCGTTTATGGCACCGTTCGCAGGCCGAGGAGACCTTTTGGCGTTTTCGACGAGTATCCATGCTCTGTTTGATGACATTTAGTGAAGACTAACGGGGTTTCTAAGCCGGAATGAATGCAGCGGAGCCGCCGATTGAGCGTCGGAGTCCTGAGGATTTGAAACCCAGAACTCCGTGGGTGAATAAGCACGGCATGCCGCGAACTCCGTCGGACTTAGGTAATCCCTCAGTGACATCAGCAGTATGGAGCAAGATATAAATATACAACAATTCGCCCTGCTTTTCAAGGCGATATTCTCATTTCATATCATACAATCTAAACCTCCAGTGTTCTCGGAACATCTTTCAAAACTCAAAAACTGCCTATTCGTTGAATTGGGATTTTGTTGTCCTTTTGATCCACCATGGCTCCCCGCAAGGCTCTTATCGCTATCACCTCGGCACACGCCCCTCTCTACCCAGAGGGCAAGGAGACAGGTGCGTACCAGAACTCATAATTATGAAACGACTATTTCCCTAGCAGATGATACATGTACTGACATAGTGGTATCAACCAGGTCTCTTCATTACTGAAGCCTTGCACCCCTTCAAGGTCTTCAAGGAAGCAGGTTTCGAGGTTGATCTTGTCTCCGAGACGGGTACTTACCAGCCCGACTGGCTCTCGGAGCAGAAGGATTGGCTTCCTGATGAGGATCGAGCCATCTGGGAGGACCACTCCAGTGAATTCCGATCCAAACTCGATAACCTCCTGAAGCCAAGTGATATTTCCTACGCCGATGTACGTTTTCCTCCTTTTGTTTCTCAATTATACAACGAATACTATTATTAAAAAAGAAACGCCATTGTCTGACATCAAACAGTATGGCATCTTCTTTGCCTCTGCAGGGCATGCATCATTGATTGACTATCCCGAAGCAAAGGGTCTTCAGCAAATTGCCTCTCAAATGTACAACAAGGGCGGCATCATCTCAGCAGTGTATGGAACTCCCCCAATACACCATTCAAAGATATCAATCCGCTGACACAACCCACTATAGTTGCCACGGAGGTGCAATCTACCCCGGCATCATTGACCCCAGCACTGGCAAGTCTATCATTTCCGGCCGCAAGGTAACCGGCTTCACCAACAAGGGCGAAGAGGAGCATGGTCTTCTCGACGTCATCAAGAGCTGGAACCGGCCTACCATCGAGGCTTCTGCTGCATCTGTTGGCGCAACTTGTATGTCTTAAACCCCTAAAATCACAGAACCTCCTACTAACCATATTACTAGACATCTCTCCCGCGGGACCCTGGGATGCCTTCACAATCACTGATGGCCCAGTGGTCACTGGCGCCAATCCCGCTAGTGCACATGTCACTGCCGAGGCTGCTGTCAAGGCATTTGACGCAGCGCAGTAAATACGCAGGTATGAAGAGTTGAGTGATACATAGTTCCAGAATATTCATTCGATGATAGGCATAGAGAAAATACTAGTTTCGTCGAGATTGATTCATTGAACACTCAGTTCTCGAGTTCCGGATCGCTGTACATCCCAGTCCTTTCCAATCCATAAAGAACTAGTCAATTTCAATTCTTTGTAGAACAAACTACATCTTGAAGATCCCCACGCCCATCAAGTCCACCTCAAAATCAAATTTCTCAACCAGGATGCACATCTACTCTTCCGTATTTGTATTACAGTAATATATTCCACCACCCGCCGATATCACTCCCTCAAAATACCCAAATACCCACTATTCCTAGTCAGGCCTAGCGTTCTCTCAGCGCTTCCAACGGACTCGAAATCATAATGCATGAAGACTCGACGTTGAAGTCAAGCAAGCCCAATCCTCAATTACATTCACCCACCCATCTCCTCCCTGCAAGTCAGGTTCCATTCCCCAATTTCCCGCTCCCGATGCCCACTCCTGTCCCTCCACACCCGCGAGTTGTGCGCCCAGGAGGCGCGCGGCGCGCGGCGCCCCGGCCAGTGCAGCCGCAGGCACCGTATGAGATCCGCAATACGAAAGAGTACAAAGTTGCAGCGCGACGGTACGTACAACCCTGCATTCTCCAAAATTTCAGAGCATGGCCCTGGCTCTATTGCGCCTTTTTCTGGGGCCGTTCCTTGTATCCGTTGATGCGTGTCGTGGCTGGTCAAAGCTGGTCGAAGGTGCTGATACGTGTGTAGATGGCTATCCGGAATTGTGGCATTGCCAGTTGCGCTGTTTACAACGTGGATTCTGTATGAGCGGGGTGAGTACTTTCTATTCCTGTCGCAATGGCAGTACTTGCTGGATGTTGAGGGTTGTCCCTGCAAGGCAATCATGCTGACGCTATCTTCTTTGCATGGTCTAGTGTATGGCAGCCAGAGTGTGAAAAGGTTGAGTGACAAACGACAAACGAAGCAAGAAGAACAGGTACCATCCTCGTCATCTGAGCAATAAAAGCTATGACTCGGAAATGAGGCTACTGAAATGGCGTGGGTGTTGACTGCATTTGTATATAATCTCTACTTTTAATCGGGCATCATATCATCACTGTATTGTTTGATTGCGTCGTAAACTCCGCCAACTTCTTGTATAGACAGAAAGCGCATACACACTTACAAGTATCGGGCCCCTGTCCATGACACAAACACGAAGAAAAGAGGAAGGCAAATGGGCACGGTAAACACAACAGGGGGTGGGTAAATAAAAATCAATGTCCATAAGAATCGTTCCGATAAGTAAATTTTTAAACTTTCCAAATCCTCCCTCTCGTATGTAAAACATCCCCCCGCACCTCGCCAGCAGGCCGGGGCGAACGAGAAAAAAAAATATATAGTCCAAATGTGGTGGTACTCAATTGAGAATACCGATCGATATTCGAAGAGAACAGGGCGTTGTTCGAGGAAACGCCACAAGGTCTGGTTTGGGTATATGGATTCAAGTCCAGCTCAACCAGCAACTCCCTGCACTGGCAGGTGATATTCTCCCGAAGTGGCAGACTGGGGCACAGGTGTAGAACCGTTATTCGTGCTAGGCGTCTTGACATTGCTGCGCTCGCGCATGCGACGACCCTCCATCAGACCACGCAGACCACGTTTCTGCAAGCCAATCACGCTGCTCAAATCGCCTGTCCAGATCTCGCGCTGCGGGCGGCTGGCGTCCGTGCCGCGACGGTTATAGGCGCGCGACGCACTCCGGCTTTCACTGTCGCTGACGAACTCCGAGTCAGATTGGCTGAAGCTGGCGCTGGAGGCGGTGCTGACAGCGCTAACGGAGTCCTCGCGGTCACGGTGGGCGCTGCGCTGGCGGTGGCGCGACATGTCTGTGTCAATGCGGAGCGCGGGTAGGCCGCGAGTCACGCTGGTCAGGTCGTTGGCGCTGCTCGAGGCGGAGACCGTGGAGATGCCACCGTTTTCGGTGTCAGAGGAATCCGAGGCGAGCAGGACACTTTGGTGGGAGTTGGTTCCCTCCGACATGGGGATGGATCCGTTGCGGCCGGCCTGCGCACCACTCAGGGCTTCCAAGGTGCCGCCTAGTCCGCCGCTGAAACCAGTACCTCGACCACCACCTGCCGCCATGGCGGCTGCGTTGAAGACGGCGGCGGCGTTGCGGCCATCGAGGACCTGGTGAAGTCGTTCCACGGTGGCCTCAAGTAGACCATCAACTTGGTAGGGCCGGGCGAGTTGGAGCAGCGAACAAAGGATTTGCGGGGTGCAGAGAGAAGAACCAGGCGGTGGGAGAGCTGAAGTGTAGAGGTATTGGACGAGGACTTGGAGGGTCAGGATGGTATGGGGGAGATAGAGCACCCGAGGGCGAGCAGTGGGAGCGAGGTTATGGGCGGAGGGCACCTCCAAGTTTTCTAAAAGGGCCTTGGATGGCACCGATGGGTTCACTAAGGTGGTTGCATTGGAATACATGCTGTTTTGACCGATAGACGGTGTGATTGTAATGCTCGAGTTCCGGCTAGGGTGTATTTGGGAGGGACGAAGAGTGCCGACATCCGCAATACCCCCGTCGGACGACTCACGCAAGAGCTGGATGAAGTAAGGGCCCCATCGGCGGGTCAGCAGACGAGAGTTGACAGGAATGCGTTCGCCCCCCACGGCCTGCAATTCCATGTCAGACATTTCATGCAGTGAAAGTGCTAGCTTGCCCAGTTCGTCCGATGTGGCAGATAAGGGTCGTCCACCGGTGGTCAATTGAGCCAGCTTTTGTTGCAGGGACGCAGGGACGGAAGGGGAGCTATAGGATTTATATCCTGATGTGGCAGCCGTGTGAGACGGGTTATTATAGAGACCAAAGGCTTCAAGTTCAACGAGGCAGATATGCGAGAAGTTGATCCGGCGATGATTATAGTCTTCAACCAAGCTTCGTTTCCGATGTCCCAGGATAACGAATGCACTTCGGCGCGGCCAGAGAATGCCGCGATTCCAACTACCATTGCCAAAGACTGATCCGCCTGCGTCGATGCGACCCCAGGTCAATGTTTTCAGATCAAGCGCCCAGAGAGCATACTCCTGCTTCGATGAGGTCAGGTAAGTTCCGCTGACGACAAAATGGCCATTGATGATGCCGCCGTTTGGGAATCTGAGGCCCGGCGGCGACGCCTGGCTTTGCATCGGTCGCTCGACAAGGCGCCCGTCCGGCAGGCGCACCTGCAGTTCTAACTTGACGTCCAAGAAGTTATAATTTGAGTATATAAGCATGGGGCAACCTGGCGAATCGGGGTTTTCGATGGGTTCGTGGGTGTCTCGGTCCGGTGAGGCGGAGCCAACCTCCGAGACGTCCATGCCAACCAAAGGGGTCACAACACTGCGGTATGCACCACAACTGCGTCCGAGCGGGCTGGTGTTGGTCCACTTGAGGCTGCGGAGGTTAAAGACGCTGATCTGCTCAATATAATGATTTGAGCTATCTTGCCCGCCAACAACCACCATCTCCGCTCCTCCAAAGCCATCAATGTCTATTCCGAGGCTGCCTTGATGAGGCGTGGACGATTCAGGGTTGTGATGAATAGCTGACAACGGCGCATTGGCCGACGTGAAACAGGCGCTCGACGGTAGTATCGTCGCGCAATGCGCGTATCGTCCTTGCGGTGACTCACGGGCCGCCACTCGGGTCCAGGATCGCGACGGGACGTCGAAGATGTGAATGTCAGACATGACCACAACCTCCGACTGAGAGTCGGATCCCGACTGGCTGGCATTCGATGGATCTTTGGGTGTGCTTGGCGCAGGTGACATGCCTCCATAGCACACCAGCTTGTTATCACCCAGGGCGCAGACACTGTGGAAATAACGGGGCGGCGGGATATCGCCGCCCGCCTCAATCTTCGTCCAATGACGGCGGATCAGGTCCAATTCGTAGAGGTCCGAAGTTAACTGTGGACGGCTGCGCGAGAGGATCCGGCCTCCGAATACGTATAGCTTATCACCCAAAATCGTGGTGGTGGCTCCCACCAGGGGATGAGGCTCCTTGCCCGTAGTGCGGCGCACATTGCACACCAGCCCGGAGAGGTTGATGGGACCGGACGAGGCTTGTTGTTGCAGCGAGGGCGAAATGCCCGAGAAGGGCTCCTCGCGGGCTGAGTCGAGGTGCCCTAGGCTGGACTGGCTTCTTGACATCATCGTGGGTGGATTTGGTGTACGGTTCTCCCACTGGATGTCAGAGGGGGCGGTAATCAGGGCGGGCGGATCCTGGTGTTGGTTTTCCCTCTCCCCCTTTTATTCTCTCGGACCACCCAGTCAATGTCGATGTCAGATGAGACGCATATGACGAAGAGCGCTGTCTTTATAGGCCGGCTTGCGGGTGTGTAACGATCGGAACCTGCTCACGCTTGATCGCAGGAGAGTGTTGCGGCTCGAATGGGTGGCCTCAGCGGGGAGTGGAAAGGAGAGTCAGGGGGTTAACTTTCCCCACCACTTCGAAGCCCAGCGTTTACAAAGGCGCGGAGGAGGCCAGGGCGGTTTGTGTATAACAAGATCAGACGCAAGGAGGCGAGGCTCGAAGTGGAGAGGGAAAATGACAGTGAACGTTGGATCGGCACAAAAAAGGCGGTCTCAACCTTTTCCCAGATGGGGTTGGGGCCGGATACGACCGCGCCCGCGCTCTCTATACGGAGTACACGTTGGACAATACATCCGAGGACCAGGGCGTGGAGACGCGAGGTTGCCTACAAAGTGTCTAAATACGTTCTTGAAAAAAGAGGTTTGATCTATGCATTGGTTGAGGGAATCGCATCGTGACATCTTGACGTTTGGGGCCAGTTCTCAGGTTTCATAGTACTATTCGCTGGTTAACTCCACCGGGACTGGGAATGGGCCATCCACATCACTCGTTGAGATGGAGTCCATGCAGCCCATGCATCAGGGGAGCCAGTCACACTAAACGGTACGTGGCCACTTTATCTGGATCGGAACTTTTCTCACAACCCAATTCGCGTCCACTGAACCTGACCAGAATATGGCCGGGTCCCACAGATATATACAGATGCGAATGAACAGTGTAGATATACATGCCAGGTTACACGGCAGGTAGTCAACTATCCAATCATGACGGCCATCGTTCGTAAGGCACCAAGGGGGTCGCGGATAAGTCAATTCATATTTGGTATCAACAGTGCTATACCCGGCTCAACAAAAAAAAAAAAAAAAAAAAAAAAAGGGGCCCAAAGAGCAATCGCATCCCAAAGTCATCTTTTAAATATTATCTTTTCTCATATCACGGTCGTAACCAGCAAGGAATCCCTCTCGCCCGGTATTTACTGGGAGCCGGGGTACTTGGTGAAACGCAGGTAGGGCTTGACCTCACGGATCTCACCGAACTTAGCCTTAGCATCAGCAGTAGAAACGGGAGGAGGGATGACCACATCATCACCGGGGAGCCAGTTGATGGGGCAGGTGACACCGTGCTTATCGGTGAGCTGGAGGGCATCAACGACACGGAGGACCTCGGCGGTGTTGCGGCCAGTGGAGGCAGGGTAGGTCATGATCAGACGGATCTTCTTGGAGGGGTCGATAATGAAGACCGAGCGGATGGTCAGGGCCATACCCTTGGAGTCGACGTTGGTGGTGTCCTGGAAGTCGACCATGTCGTACTGGTAGGCGACCTTGCGCTCGGGGTCGGAGATGATGGGGAACTTGAGGCTGGAGCCAGACACCTCATCGATATCCTTGATCCAGCGGTGGTGGGACTCGACACCGTTGGCGCTCAGGCCAATGAGCTGGACACCGCGAGCAGTGAACTCGGGCTCGAGCTTGGCAAAGGCACCGAGCTCGGTGGTACAGATGGGGGTGAAGTCATCGGGGTGGGAGAAGAGAATGGTCCACTTGTCGCCAATGAAGTCGTGGAAGTTGATGGGACCGGTAGAGGTCTCGGCATCGAAGTTCGGGGCGACAGAGCCCAGACGGAGACTGGAGAGATTGGGCATTAGCTATGGCATGGGGGGAGTGTGGAGGGGGACCTTGCGGGGAAGCACGGAGGAGAGATGCACATACGGGGGAGCACGGTCAGTGGCCATTGTGATGGTAGGGGATGGGGATTGGTTGCAGATTGAACGGGAAGATGGAGAAGAGAAGAGGAAGCGAAGTTGAGGGGAACCCGACGGTTCAAATACCTGCAACCCCTCCTGCTTGTCGCTGTCGAAGCAGCCGTGATCGACTTACCTCATCCGGCGGCATGGTCTATCACGCAATTATCCACCGCCTCGGGGCAGAACCGCCATGATTGGCCCGAGCGGTGGTGGGCTGTAGTGGGCTGTTTAGTGTCCCTCGCAAGTGCTCCTGGTTCGCCGCGGGTTCGTGGTTGAGTTCCTGATGCCATTTGCCGGGCCCTCCAGCGGAGGCCAGGTTGGTCGCTGCTGATGCCGGGTTATGGAAGAGGATTGTGTGGATACTGCTGGGTTATGCTTTGGGTTGCCGTTCAGGTTCGACCCCTTTGCCCTGACCCAATCTATCTACGATGTAGGAACTAGTCGATACACTTTATAGTTCGAGGCTCTGTCCCTCTCTCGATATATTACCCTTGATTTCTCGAGCCTCCCACTTTCATCTCCGTATAGTCTCGGGGACCATGATCTCTTCGGGATCCTTGTCACTCGTTCAATAGTCATAGCTTTGACACATCATTCGGCGGAGTCGTGATTACTCTTCAGTCGGCCGACACTTCCCCCATCCCACACCACGAGCCAATGGAGACCCCGCGAGATGGCGCCATTCCACCCTCCCTCTTGCTCGAGCATGATTGCGCCGTGTCGATCGGCGTCTGCCAGTCGCTCAGATCCCAAGTTCAACCCCAATGGGATATTGCGAGGGGAGAACCTTGAGGACCTGTTCTCTCTGTCGGTAGCTGAGGTGGTTCAGGTCCATGTTGATGCCGGGGACCCACTCCGGACAGGGTTCGACCGGCTTCTTCGGTACTGCAATAGGATTCATCATCTGACTGCAGATTCAATACTAGACCCATGATCCCTACAAGCATACCAGGCACATGCATTGGAACACTCCATACTCTTCCCCTCAAGGTGGCCAGCTTAATCCGGCAAAATAATGGTGTTGCACTAGGGTTCGAAATATAGACTTTCCCGTGGACACGAGGATATTCAAGACATCGGGCATTCTAGTTACAGTCTTGCATGAATACATGCATAAATGTACTGTCTACTCTGCATACGAACAAGGCATGGCGCGCGGGGCATGGAGGCTAATCCTCCACAGGGCGATCTATTTAGATTCCAGAGAATGTCTTCCTCCTGAGTATATCCATAGAAAAGCTAATACACAGATCGATATCGACCCTGTGCCCACTTTGTACGCCTCAAGGTGTCACCGCAGCGCTGCAGATTGGCTCCAGCCTCTCGACTCCCTGGGATGCCCTGATTGGCACCGCGTCCCTGACGTGATGCCTATCAAATTGCGATCTCGACCCGCACCGGTTTCAGCCCGTCTGGAGTTTCTTCTTTCTACACAGCGACAATATAGTCAGTCTTCCGCCACAACAGTGGGGGATCGGGATATCCCCCTCGCTGCCTTTTTTATAGGACAGGGATAGCTATATGATCTAGTCATGGCATCTCAGATAGCGGCAGCGCTTGGAGAGAAGTGTTCTATATTTGCAACGTTAGCTGATCCTTCCCCAACCAACCGGATAAAGGTGTGCTAGCCTACTGTTTTCCGGGTCAGGCATGAGGCCAGACTCATAAAGTCTCATATATATATCTGTGGATGGCTTACAGGCAAGGTCTATGGATTTACGGCCTTTTCTTCGAAAATACCATGTGCCCCTCCTTTCCAGGGACATTTATGATTCCCGAGAGGAGTGCGAAATTATGTGGGATCAATTAGAAGGCTGTTTGATGAAGGGCGCTTCCGCCAAACCGGCCCAAAACCAAATTCGACGGGGGTCCCTGGCGGGATATTGGCAAGACGAACAAAACGAACAAAGCGAACAAAACGAACCCCCAACCCAACCCAACAGCGGGTAATGACATACCTCCCAGCTTCGAAACAAGGGAAGCTTCCCGAGACTAACTGAAAGTGCAGAGATCGAACCCTACATTTAAAACCCGCAAGATCGCCTCCAGGAATTTCCAACACGCCACGATACGCGCAAGAAAAAGCAACTGATTCTGGCTTTGCGTCCAACAACACGAGCTCCCCCGTGTTGTGCCCCGACGATCCCGGCCATCAATCCGTGTCACGTGGATCCCCCCAAGACTCCACCGGCGCGTCGACTTGAGCGATCAGCAAACATAAGCTCCCCCCGAGGTATTCCAAGATTTTTCTTTCTCGGATATTTTGTGTACGCATTGCACGCTCAGGTTGAAGCAGGTCCTGTCCACTGGGGCGGATTTCAAGTGATTCAACGCATCCAATTGTCTTGTTTACTCAGCCCAACCGCCTAGCAAACTCCCCCGGATCATCCCCCAACTAAAAATGCCGCCGAAACGGAAGGCAGAGGCCGTGGCTGTGACTGAGGCGGCGGTCGCAACGCCCACAAAGCGCCCGCGAAACTCATCGCCGGCGCCAAAACCGAGCGAAAGCGCAACGCAGGTAAGCGCGTGGATTCAGGGGCCTGATCGTCAGGATTCGCCCCCTCCATTTCCCCCAGATCCACCAAGGAGCTATGACTGACGGTGCCGTCCGAGCAGATCACCGACACACCTCAGACGGGCGAGAAAAGAAAGCGAGGTCGTCCGCGCAAGTTCCCCGAAGGTCAAACCCCCAAGCCGACTGATGGCCCGAAGCGTGGCCGGGGTCGCCCGCGAAAGGTCGTCTCGGAGAGCGATCTGGCAGCGGCAGCGGCAGCGGCAGAAGCAGCAGGGCCGAAACGAGGACGCGGACGTCCTCGCAAGGAACCTGGTAAGCTTTGAAACACTCTTGGTTTTTTTTTTTTTTTTTTTTTACCCCTCTTCAAACACACACTCTGTCGCGCGCACCGCTTTGGATCAGGTTGGGTCTGGTTGGCTGACTGGCGTGTCTTCCGGACAATAGGCTCTACCACGACCACTCCAAAGGTGACCCCGAAGAAGAAGGATGGGCGTGGCCGGCCACGCAAGAGCCTTCCAGCCAATGGCACCGACACGGAGCTCAAAGAGACCACAGTCAAATCTAAACCCTACACGGGCTTCCCTGACGAGAGCGGCCGATCCTACTGGTTGATGAAGGCCGAGCCGGAGTCCCGCCTGGAGAAGGGAGTCGATGTTAAGTTTTCTATTGATGATCTGGAAGCTGCCACGCAGCCTGAGCCCTGGGATGGTACGCTGAAGTCCCCATTGGGTGTAAATGAGAGTGACACTGACATCGGGTAGGGGTTCGCAATATTGTTGGTAAGACCTTAATGGGGCAATGGATATGATGATACCGGGGCTGGCATTGGGAAATGATGTAACTGACAACTGAATTACAGCGCGAAACATCATGAAAGACATGAAGAAAGGAGACTATGCATTCTTCTATCATTCCAACTGCAAAGTCCCTGGCATTGTCGGGGTAATGGAGATTGTGCGGGAGTATTCGGTTGACGGTTCGGAGCCCCCAATCCATTGCACTTGATATCTCTCCCTCCTCCTGCTTGAGCCATCGACTAACCGATGGTGGTATTTCCCCCTCCTTTTCTACTATAGAATCTGCCTTTGATACGAAGCATCCCTATCACGATCCCAAGTCCACCCGTGACAATCCCAAATGGGTTGTTGTGCACGTCGAGTTCCGCCGCAAGCTCACCAAGCAGGTTACGCTGAACGAGCTAAAAGCCAATGCCGAACGGGGCAAGCCCCTCGAGAACCTCCAGACTCTGAAGCAAGCCCGTCTCAGTGTCTCATCTGTGACCCCCGAACAATGGCAGTTCATTCTAGAGCTGGGTGGCGAGGACCCTCGGAGCATTTAGGCGGAGCCGTGGTCCTCCACGCCCCGCGCAATCGCAGGTATTTGTATGCACTTTATTCGGCAGAACATAGGTCTTTGGCGGGAGGCGTTGCTGGTGATTTGATAGGTAATTTAGCATCAAGAATTCAGGTATTTTCTGGATCTGCAGTCTCCTTGATCTTGGCGTTTCGCTCTTCTTCATTCTTCGTCCTGAGTCTTGTAGCGTCAGGTCGTGTTGCACTTGAACCCCATCTGTCTCCGACGGTCGAGGCTTGGTGACATGCCGTCGGATTAGCAATCATGCAGCGACATGCATTCCTCTGGCGGGGACATTCGGGATGGTACTCCCAGTATGATTCATGGCCTCCCAGTGGTCCATCCAGAGAAATGCGGAGAATTAGCCTCGGTCGCCGGAAGTGTCCCTCAGTCGAGTGGAGGGGGAGGCACGGCATGACCAACCACCGGACGCAGGCCCACCGAAAGCAGCAATTCGACCCTTCAGCTTCCAGCCGTTGCCCACGAAGAGTAAGTGTATGCGACGGCAAGTGGGAACGCCTTATCGTTATCGCCCACCAGCTTCGACGTAGTTCGACTTTAAACCCCTCGTCTTCTCTCCCTGCTGTCGGGGAATGTGTAGCTTGTTCTTTTCTCGGCCTCTGTGCGGTCTGTCTTCTCTATCATTCTTCCCACTCTCCTCGTCTCGCATTGCCCTCCATACGTCAACTCGCTCGTTCCATCGCTCCGCCATCATGTCGAACCTCTCCGTGCAGTTGACTGCCCCGAACGGGCGCTCCTACACCCAGCCCATTGGCCTGTTCATCAACAATGAATTTGTGGCTTCGAAGTCCGGCGAGAAGATCGCTTCGATCAACCCCTCGTATGTTTGATGATCGCCGCGATCGCCGTGCGCTGCATAATGGTGACACGAGCCTCCGAGCTAACGGGCTTGCAGGACCGAAACCGAAATCGCCTCGGTGCACGCTGCCGGCGAGGAGGATGTCGATATTGCGGTGCAGGCGGCTCGCAAGGCCCTCAAGGACCCTTCCTGGAAGCTCCTGCCCGCGACAGACCGCGGTCAATTGATGTTGAAGCTCGCCGACCTGGTTGAGCAGCACAAGGAGACCCTCGCCACCATTGAGACTTGGGATAACGGTATGGTCCCTTCGGCATGCCCCGCGCAATGCAAAGGAGAAGAGACAGAAGAGGCTCTGAGGCTGACGTAATGGATCCAGGCAAGCCTTACCAGGTCTCGTTGAACGACGATCTCGGTGAGGTCACCAACACCCTCCGATACTATGCCGGCTGGGCCGATAAGGTCACCGGCCAGACCATTGGCACAACTCCGCAGAAGTTCGCCTATACCCTGCGCCAGCCCATTGGTGTGGTTGGCCAGATTATTCCCTGGAACTTCCCCCTGGCTATGGCCGCCTGGAAACTCGGCCCTGCGCTGGCGTGCGGCAACACCATTGTCATGAAGGCTGCCGAGCAGACTCCGCTGAGCATCCTCTACCTTGCCACCCTGATCAAGGAGGCCGGCTTCCCTCCTGGTGTGATCAACATTATCAACGGCCATGGTCGCGTGGCTGGTGCCGCGCTGGTGCAGCATCCCCTTGTCGACAAGGTGGCTTTCACCGGATCGACCCTCACCGGTCGTGAGATCATGAAGATGGCCGCAGGCAGCCTGAAGAACGTGACTCTCGAGACTGGCGGTAAGTCGCCGCTGTTGGTGTTCGAGGATGCCGACCTTGAGCAGGCCGCCAAATGGGCCCACATCGGCATCATGTACAACCAGGGTCAAGTGTGCACCTCCACCTCGCGCATTCTGGTGCACGACTCCGTGTACGATAAGTTCGTGTCTCTGTTCAAGGAGGTTGTGGCCAGCACCAGCAAGGTCGGCGATCCGTTCCACGACGATACCTTCCAGGGCCCGCAGGTTACCAAGGCGCAGTATGACCGGGTTCTGTCGTACATCGAGGCTGGCAAGTCCGAGGGCGCGACCCTGGCCGCTGGTGGCGAGCCGTACAAGAACGTCGGGGATGGCAAGGGCTTCTTCATCGCCCCGACTATTTTCACCAATGTCAAGGACAACATGCGGATCTACCGCGAGGAGGTTTTCGGCCCCTTCGTCGTGATCGCCAGCTTTACCACCGAGGATGAAGCCGTCACCCGTGCCAACGACACCACCTACGGTCTGGGCGCTGCCCTGTTCACCCGTGATATCGAGCGCGCGCACCGGGTTGCGTCGGAAATCGAGGCCGGAATGGTCTGGATTAACAGCAGCAACGACAGTGACTTCCGTGTGCCATTTGGTGGCGTCAAGCAGAGCGGTATTGGCCGCGAGCTGGGCGAGGCTGGTCTCGAGGCGTACTCGCAGGTCAAGGCCGTCCACGTCAACATGGGCAGCCGTCTGTAAACGACAAGCAACGAAAAGCAAAGAGAGGAAATGACAGGATTTTTGATGTTCGCGGATGCACCCGGTTGTGGGGGCATGTATTTTGGAATCCACTTGTAACTCAATGATATTTATGTTTTGATGACTAGCCCAAATTTATCATGTTTATAGTTTCTCGAAAACGAATGGCCTCGGTATTCTTTCGACTCCACGGTGAAACCAACCATATAATAAATTGAACGTGGGATGAAGATATGATATCCGGTCGATGAACTTTCCTTTCACCACCTTGTTTTGGTGGTGTTATTCAGTCTTCTCGACAAAGAAGGTCAGTAAACGGGGTGGAATAGGTGCTGATGAAGCGCTTGGGAGGTCCTTTGCAAAGGTGCCCCTGTTTTGAGGATGGCTGTAAAGGCGTGTTCTATAGCGTATCGCCCTTCCGGGCTGATAGGTTCATTGCTGTGCCCCAATAACTTACTCGACGCACGGGCTTAGATCCGCGAAACCGGTATCTCCGAGGAGACGGCCGGTCTATCCGTCATTAAGGAAGCCGTGAATTACGCGGTATGTTGAGGCCTTGGCGTCAGTGAGAAGGCATCTATTCGCGAAAGCTTAGAAAGAATGAAACTCTCCGAGCCAACCAGGCTTGAGCTTGATCTTCTTTTACAGGGATTGCAGTTTCCAATCAAAATTTACCATAGAGAATCGCCCCGTGGAGTACAGCCCTTTTATCGGTGCAACTATTCCTCCGCTGAATTCCCGGCCTGCAGACCCGCACGGCAACTCAAAAAATGTCAAGTATTCGCGAAGAGAGCAATCATGAATCAGCATCATGGTTTTGAGATTGATCTGAAGTTAGCAATGTGTCCGCGAAATCCCTCGTTCATGACTTTCGATCTAAATGGATGAGGTCCCATATATAGGTCCATCTCCTCATCCCCTTGTCTAGCAAAATTCAGCATCTACGTTCATAATTTTCCCAGTCTTCCTATTGTCAAGGTAGTTTACAGGACATCTACTCCCCTCTTTACCTTTGTTCGAAATGCCGTCCTATGTTATTACTGGGGCCTCTAGGGGTCTTGGGGTGAGTTTTGCTCCTAAACACCGACCGGATGAAGACTAACATCCATCAACCAAATCAGTGGGAGTTCCTTCGCCAGCTGTCTAGTGATTCGAACAAAACCGTGATCGGTATTGTTCGCAACAAGGCTCAAACTGAAGAGAAGGTGAAGGAAGAATTGCCGGAACGTAGCAACATCCATATTGTGCAGGCCGACATCACCGATTATGCTGCTTTGAAGGTAAGAAATCTGAAATTTACAGAAGAAATCTATTGACGTATACTTGTAGGCCGCGGCCGCCGAGACTGCAACGATCACTGGTGGGGGGCTCGATTATCTGATCGCCAACGCCGGGCTGGTGTCCCGCTTCGATGCTTACGATCCAATCGGGGTTCTGTAGGTCCCACCGGGCTTGAATTATTGGGTTCTCAATTTGGCGGTCACTGACAAAGTGAATTTGGTTAAAACAGGGGACAGCAGCCCGAAGCCCTCGAAAATGACCTTACCCAGTGTTTTAAAGTTAATGTGGTCAGCAACATTCACTTGTTCAACTTGTTCACACCCCTGATCTTGAAAGGAGAAGCCAAGAAAGTTATCGCCATCTCCAGTGGTCAGGCCGCCCTCGATGCTATTCCGAAGTTAGGAATCGAGGTCGCGTCTCTCTACGCCATCAGCAAGGCGGGTCTGAACACTGCCGTGGCCAAGTTCAGCGCGCAGTATGCCAAAGATGGTGTCCTTTTCATGAGCATTTGTCCCGGGATGGTTGATACGGGCCACTTTGCCGACGGTAGGCTTGGATTTGTTCACCTTCTTGTTTGATACAGTAATCTGATCTCCTTTTAGTAACGGCAGAGCAAATGAAGGGCTTGCAAGGAATGCTGGGTGCATTCGCCCAGTATGCACCCAACTTCAAAGGTCCGAGTCCGCCAGAGGCTGCAGTGAAGGATGTGATCTCGGTCATGAACAATGCTAGCGTCAGTGGCGGCGATGGCGGCTCCTTTGTATCGCACTACGGCAACCAACAGTGGCTGTAGGAATCTTTTCCAAGACTCTTTTTCCTTGAAGCTCATAATTGAATATATACCTTGAGGTGTGTTATTCATGGCTGGGATGTTATCTTTGCTCAATTTTCGAGTAATAGATGGATTTTCATCTCATTACGAGAACGATTAGAACGCGATAGACTGTTCCTTGCCCACCATCGTGAATGAAAAATTATTGCTCCATCGGATATGTTTCTATGTGTTTTGCACAAGTTGGATATGTAAAATTGTGACCAAGGAAACATAATAGAAACAGAGGGGGTTTGAGGAGCTGTCATTGTGGATATTTATGATATCTTCCAGCTCAGAGTAAGGGAAGAAGGAGACGATTTAGAATATAACTGAGATAAAGAGTTGATAAATCATGTTCTTAACTTCGGCTACCTAAGAGTATTGATTTATACTTATACAATTCAATCAGAGAAACTAAAAAAGAGAAGTGAACAATAAGTAGGTTCCTGAAGCCCAAAGCACGTATCGTATTCTCCAACATGATGTCCATGGTGACTCTCTTGCTATACAAGGGAATCATAGAGCCGGAATAGGTTATCAGGATCCTATCTCTTCTTAAGAGCATGCAATCTGTGCAGGCGTAGTGCAAGCAGGATGCTGGATAGTGGTAAAGATAATGTTCCATTTCTTAAGAGAAGAGTATGATAAGCTAACAAACTTTTGTCCGTGGTAACTTCAATAAACATTCCACTATATACTCAATCGCCAGATGCCAGTTCCAAAATTATGAAACAGAGATATCGTCTGTCCCATATCCCTTTCAGCGGAACAGAACCAAAGTGGCGTTCCTCTCAGTTAGACAAAAGTGGGCAAAATAGTGCAACAGCTCAAGATGGCACTGAGCTTTTCGGTATAGTTAATCTGGCCTTGGGAGAGGTCGTCTTGAACCCAGATAGCCTGGATCAGCCTCCTGGTCAAAAATAGGGAGCGTGATGAAGCCCCCTTCTCCGTCCTAGAAAGTACATCGAGGACCGTACGCCTTTCCACTTCGGTTCGCGCTTCGCAACCCAATATAAGCAACGGAAATTGACGTTCACAAGAATTGAGCTGGGAAAAGATACTGAAGGCTCGTTCAATCCGTTGTTGAGTTTCTGCAGCCGGCTCAAGGATGTTTCCAGAGGTTCGGCTGAGGTATACTAGCGTGGCCAATTGGAATAATTCAACGAGCGTTGCCATGCTTGAGCTTCCTTCGATTGTATCGTCCGAGATTGAGATAGATTGGATCCTCCATGCGATGATTTGGAGATAGCTTTTGAAACCATCGTATGCTTTGGATTGGGATTTAGGAGGCGGTTTTTTTGTGGCTAGATCGCAGACCTCGGCCAAAAGCTTCAGAATTGTGGTGAAGGGCGATTGGGTTGGGTATGTGGTCTATTACACTTAGTCATCTCACCCCTGTAAAATGCAGGATGATTGTACCAACCTCCATACATAGATCAGTATCTCCCAGCGACGATGGGATCTCTACCGACTCATCTCTGTCCACAAAAGGCACCTCAATTAGCGGTTGGTGCCAATGTGTGAGACTGAAATGAGACAACACATCATGGTAGTAAACCCAGTCCAGCAAGGCACTGTAGTCGCTGTTCCTTTTGAATGTGTCGAAAGGGAAGGTTTTGATGACGCTTTTGACGCCGATAATGTACGACCGCCATTGGCCAGAGGTGCATGAGGCCTCATGAATCTAGGTTGACGGCTATGTCAGTGAACTTTTTGAAGTCATTTTCATCAGGGAGTTGAATTGACCAAAACTAACCTCAAATGAGCATAAGAGCATCCCGGCCGCAATATGCTGGACTTTTTCCATCTTGCCGATCTCACCATTTAATGCGGCACCAAGGGCTTTCAGGGCACCGATCTTGAGCTCGGCGGCCTGTGACTGCAGGCCAGAGCGGTGCAATGAGGATAAAGCAAGCAAAGAGCGCAGCACTGCTGCGGCAGAAGGAGTGTTATTGACAAGAGCTATGCGGATAAGCATGTTGCCCACATCCGTCGGATCATGGCCAAAGGTTGTCAGCGAGCAGGATGCGGTACATTGGACTGCAATACTGGTCAATTCCATCGATAATTCTCTGTAAAAGGGTTATGTCTCGCTGACAGTATTGAAATAAACATTTTTCCGCAACATCCAGTTTGAATGGATTCCATGGCATCGGCGATCGTAGTGTCAGCCGGTGGTACTCTATAATTCATCAATATCCTTGTTTTCTTATTGGTCGTATCAACTCCATGCTTAGGAAGACATTACTATTAGTTGCTTTACCTGAGAGATGGTAGTGCATCTCAATGTCCCAGGTGGATATATTGACAAGTCGTGCATTAGCGAAACGGCGCGTCGTGCCCCTCTGCTGCAGCGATGAGTGTGCCACGATGGCACGTCGCTTATCATTTGTCTTCGGCCACGACAAACGAACGCCGTAGCCTTTGCAGGTACGGTTAGATTGGGAGCACTGCGAGCACACCGGGAAAGCTCGATCGCAGAGAATCCGGCGATCTAAGAGCGAACGTCAGTAATTTCATATGCTGAACTTCAAAGAGGTCGATTTCGGGGTGGAATCCATACCCCTACACGTCCCACAGCTTCTATTCGCCATGTTATTTCTCATGAATAGACTATATAGCTCTTAGCGTGAGCGAAAGTAGATCAACGAGATAATATCAGCGAGCGAATATCACATGAATTCAGACAACTTGTCGCGGCCACCCAGGGGATATGAGGCTCGGGACGATGATTCATGACCCTCTTGCTGATTGTGATGGGTGCTTTGTCTGTATACGGGGGTCAACGGGGGCTGATGGGGGCCAAGTTACAAGCCCATATTTGACCAATCAAATACCGTAGATGAGCCAAAGTGGATCCCCAACATCACCATTGAAAACATGCGTTTTATGCGCACTTTTATCATTAATTCCAAACCTGGTGAAAAATAAGGCTTCAGCGCCTAGTAGAACTCCCTATAAATCCTATTTGAATATGCCTTTTCGCGGATGTCCAGTAAATTTTCTGGGATCTTTTATGACTCTTTGAAAATTAAATAACCTATCTGTATCTATCCTGAGCGGACAGGGCGAGGCTAATCCAGTTTCGGTGATTTTGATATCTGATTTCTATATATCTAGTCTTATGGAACAACCAAATGTATAATACTTGATGTTATTCAGGCCAACTTCGGATACGAATCGTATGCATGACGATAAGGTCCACAAGGAACAATAAGTTGGAATCGGACTCCTTGATCGTCATACCTTCGGCAAATAGCAGAATAACGATATTAAAGTTATAGAAAGAGAATCCCCCCTTTCTTTCAAACTCAATCTCTTCACGATTCAGTTATTGGAATAATACAACTTTACTATTCTTCTCCGATTCAATAACGATTCAATACTGTATTTATTTCCCCTTACCTGACCAACAGGTTGCTATCCTGCAAATAGCACCCTAACGTCCAGCATTTTGCTCATGAATCACACTATATACATATAGTATATCATTAGAAATTCAAAAAATTATAGAAGATCGTAGAGAATTTATTATACAAAGCTACTATTATATTCTACTAACTAGTTAACGTAAATAGTGCGTTATCGTTCCATTCCTAGCATATTCGCCCCTAAAACAGTTCTGTCACTAACCGCTATAACAAGTCCTGAGCCTGTCGAAACTGCATCCGTCCCCACCATCGCAGCAAGCCCTAGCGGACAGCCCACGACACCGGCACCTCGGACTACCGACAGCGCTGACGACAGCGGTGACGAAGTTCGAAACCTGACTCCGGAAGAGTTTGAAGATTACTGCAGGGAGCGTCATTTATTCTAATTTTGTTACCCGCCTCTTTTGTTACCCACGCTTTCCCGGTGTTTCCCCATTCATGCTAGCTTATCAACCACATATAGTTTATCCTCCAGCGAGACGCTGGCTTTCCCTAAGGAGGCAGATGTTACCATCACCGCCTGATTATATCATAGACTTAGCTTTAAATGACCTCATTCTGAGGAATAAAGGATCATCTTTCCACATAACACCATCGCACGTTACCAATATCCTTAAATTTCGCACCATTATCCGAGAACTTACGCGGCATGTGCTCCCCAATTGAACTCCCAATCCTCAACAAACAAAACATTTTCCACGACTCTGTCCAGCAACGAAAGATGTTTCCGCTACTTGTCTCTAATGTCAGTTAGAAGCGATATCAGACCAACTTATCAATTCTGGGTCTATACATGGAACTTCCGAAGATCGGAACACGAATTGTGATTTTGAATATACAGCGTTCATTCTATCATATATTATCCCTAGGCCATAGGTTAAACGATCGTAATATATCATATTGATGGCTGTCATACCCCGACCGAAGCAATCTATATTAAGGCACCACTTGTGCCTTGGATTCAAACCAGGGGATCGTGCTTCTACGTAACTCCGCCCACCGTTTCCACGGTGCTAAGAGGCTCACCAAAGACCTACAGGTCCGCCCAAATCTACTGTTCTAGTAAGGTATATGTGCGATCCATTTTCTGCGATTGAATAGCTGCAGCAAAGAAGCCATCCAGGCCCTGTTCCAGAGATAGAATTGAACCCCTCATCAAGCTAAGCGCCTAGGTCACATGATAGTGAGGCTGAGGATGGAAAATCTTCTACTTTCGAGTGTTAGAACTTTTGATCTCCCCAAAAAGATCACTCAAGGAGCATTACGAATACAACCATGTCTTCCATATTGTTCAGCGGCATCAACTCCGGGTACCAGGTGGGAAACAATAACGGAACGATCCATCTGCCACCAGGTAAGTTTCACAAGGCACGACTCCGCGTAACCAGGCCTGATACTAATCGCGCCGCCTTTTGGCCCAGAGCGACCGGATACCCCACCGCCCCCTCTCTCGACTGTTCCATTCCGTCGGGACCCAGATTTTGTTGATCGTGGAAAATTGCTCGATTTGCCACAAAAGAAAGACTCTACTGAGGGCGTACGGGTCGCCTTTGTCGGCCTGGGCGGTGTAGGGTGAGTTCACAGAACAGTTAGCGAGCTTTATATTACTAATTGTGGATAAGAAAGTCGCAACTTGCCATCGAATATTGTTATCGAGTTCGAGATCAATCGCCTACAACGTGGGTTCTCTGGATCCATGCGAGCAATGCAACTCGCTTCGAGCAGAGTTGTCGGGAGATTGCCGACCGAGCCAAGATACCAGGTCGGCAGAATCCCAAAGCAAATATTTTTAAGCTCCTTCACGATTGGCTAAATGACGCGAAGACTGGAAACTGGTTACTCGTCCTAGATAATCTCGACGATGATGACTTTCTCCATGCGATACCTTCAACGCCGTCTAGCTTGGCCAATGATCACAGCGATGTGTCTGAACGATCGATCTGGTCTTATCTTTGTCAGGGATCGATGGGCTGTGTTGTGATAACAAGTCGAAGTAGAAAGGTGGCTTTGAGAACCGTCGAAGACTATGAAATCATTCCGGTTGAACCTATGGACGAACCCCACGCTATCTCGCTCTTTGAAAAGAAGGTCGGAGCACAATCTGACCACTCCGTGAGTGTTCAACTAGTTACAGCTCTAGAGTTTATGCCGCTTGCGATTGTGCAGGCGGCGGCCTTCATTAAGCAAAAAGCTCCACGAGAGTCAGTCACACAATATTTGGAAAGATTTCAGAAGAGTGATCGCCAGAAGATCGATCTTCTTGAATATGAAGCGGGCCAGCTTCGCAGAGACTCAGAGGCTAAAAGTGCTATTCTTGTTACCTGGCAGATCTCATTTGAAGACATTCGTGAAAGAAGCCCATCGGCGGCAGGCCTCTTATCTCTTATGAGCTTCTTTGATAGGCAAGGGATCCCTGACGGTCTCCTACGAGAAGGCAAAGCTACAAAAGAGACAGACGAAGAAAACAATCCAAGTGACACAGAGGATAGTCAAAGCGTATCCAGTGACGTCGACAAGTTTGAGAACGATATATTATTGCTAAGGGACTATTCATTGATATCTGTTACCTCAGATCAATCGACATTTGAGATGCATCGATTAGTCCAACTAGGGATGCAGAAATGGCTTAAAGCTCAAGACAACTTAGAGCACTGGAAAGAACTCTATATCCGAAGGCTCTTCCAAAATTTCCCTAAAGGAACGTTTGAGAACTGGAAGGAATGTCAAATAGTATTTCCTCATGTGCAGTGCGCAATTATGCAGCAACCAATCCGGGAAGCCTCAATGGAAGAGTGGGCATCACTACTTCACGAAGCGGCATCATTCGCATTGACAAAAGGAAATTTCGTCGATGGTCAGAAATTGGCAAAGAGGGCAATGGAAGCGAAGACAGAGTTATTTGGTGTGGAGAATGAGAAGACGTTGAGTAGTTCCAATATGCTTGGGTTAGCGTATAGTTTGAGTGGGGAATGGAAGGAAGCCGAAGAGCTCCAGGTGCAGGTGATGCAGACAAGTAAGCGGGTGCTTGGGCTAGAGCATCCTGATACTCTGACCAGCATAGCCAATCTAGCATCAACCTACTGGAATCAGGGGCGGTGGAAAGAAGCCGAAGAGCTCCAGGTGCAGGTGATGCAGACTCACAAGCGGGTGCTTGGGCTAGAGCATCCTGATACTCTGACTAGCATGGCTAACCTGGCATCAACCTACTGGAAACAGGGGCGATGGAAGGAAGCCGAAGAGCTCCAGGTGCAGGTGATGCAGACTCGTAAGCGGGTGCTTGGGCTTGAGCATCCTCATACTCTGACCAACATAGCTAATCTAGCATCAACCTACTGGAATCAGGGGCGGTGGAAAGAAGCCGAAGAGCTCCAGGTGCAGGTGATGCAGACTCGCAAGCGGGTACTTGGGCCAGAGCATCCTGATACTCTGACTAGCATGGCTAACCTGGCATCAACCTACTGGAATCAGGGGCGATGGAAGGAAGCCGAAGAGCTTGAGGTGCAGGTAATGCAGACTCGCAAGCGGGTGCTTAGGCCAGAGCATCCTGATACTCTGACTAGCATGGCTAACCTGGCATCAACCTACTGGAATCAGGGGCGATGGAAGGAAGCCGAAGAGCTCGAGGTGCAGGTAATGCAGACTCGCAAGCGGGTGCTTAGGCCAGAGCATCCTGATACTCTGACTAGCATGGCTAACCTAGCATCAACCTACCGGAATCAGGGGCGATGGAAGGAAGCCGAAGAGCTTGAGGTGCAGGTGATGCAGACAAGTAAGCGGGTGCTTGGGCTAGAGCATCCTCATACTCTGACTAGCATGGCTAACCTGGCATCAACCTACTGGAATCAGGGGCGATGGAAGGAAGCCGAAGAGCTTGAGGTGCAGGTGATGCAGACAAGTAAGCGGGTGCTTGGGCTAGAGCATCCTCATACTCTGACTAGCATGGCTAACCTAGCATCAACCTACTGCAATCAGGGGCGATGGAAGGAAGCCGAAGAGCTCCAGGTGCAGGTGATGCAGACTCACAAGCGGGTGCTTAGGCCAGAGCATCCTTATACTCTGACTAACATAGCTAACCTGGCATCAACCTACCGGAATCAGGGGCGATGGAAGGAAGCCGAAGAGCTTGAGGTGCAGGTGATGCAGACAAGTAAGCGGGTGCTTGGGCTAGAGCATCCTCATACTCTGACTAGCATAGCTAACCTGGCATCAACCTACTGCAATCAGGGGCGATGGAAGGAAGCCGAAGAGCTTGAGGTGCAGGTGATGCAGACAAGTAAGCGGGTGCTTAGGCTAGAGCATCCTGATACTCTGACTAGCATGGCTAACCTGGCATCAACCTACTGGAATCAGGGGCGATGGAAGGAAGCCGAAGAGCTTGAGGTGCAGGTAATGCAGACTCGCAAGCGGGTGCTTGGGCTAGAGCATCCTCATACTCTGACTAGCATGGCTAACCTGGCATCAACCTACTGCAATCAGGGGCGATGGAAGGAAGCCGAAGAGCTTGAGGTGCAGGTGATGCAGACTCGCAAGCGGGTGCTTGGGCTAGAGCATCCTCATACTCTGACTAGCATGGCTAACCTGGCATCAACCTACTGCAATCAGGGGCGATGGAAGGAAGCCGAAGAGCTTGAGGTGCAGGTGATGCAGACAAGTAAGCGGGTGCTTAGGCTAGAGCATCCTGATACTCTGACTAGCATGGCTAACCTGGCATCAACCTACTGGAAACAGGGGCGATGGAAGGAAGCCGAAGAGCTCCAGGTGCAGGTGATGCAGACTCGTAAGCGGGTGCTTGGGCTAGAGCATCCTGATACTCTGACTAGCATGGCTAACCTGGCATTCACCTTGAGATCTTTAGGCAGAAATGAAGCTGCCTTGGAAATGATTGCCAATTGTGCTGAATTTCGCCGCCAATAATTAGGCCCTAGTCATCCGTCCACTTTATCATCGATGGCGACCTGGAAAAAGTGGCAAAGTACAGGTGAAACCTCATTCGTCAAACCTGCTGGTCTTGAAATTGAACTACCACTGAAGGAAGAGGCCCATGCCGCGTGTACGGAAGCTACAACTAGAGTTTCTTCTATTAGCCGTCTGTCGAGGCTACAAACTCTCATTTCCTTGTTACTCCTAGCCGTGAGCTTTGTTTATTTATTGAACAGGGGTTAGATATTCTTGGAAGGCGAGATTGAATAAAGGATACCATACAAATTTATTCTAACGAGTGGCACATAGCCTGAAACAGTGAAACAAGCAGCAATTTCGTCAACGTATATGGATAGCCTGTGGTCTTGACGGATCTTCATTGTTGTGAAGTGTCCATACATAGTTCTTGGCATAGGTTATATGGAACAACCGAATCTATAATACTGAAATGTTATTCGGGTCAACTTCAGATGCGAATTGTATGCATGACATGACGCACACGACCATCGGATACCACAGATAAAAGTCGTAAACGTGGCGAGATCAGGTCTCATTTATCTTCATGCATTTGGTGAATGTTATAAGAATTAAGTCAAGATTAATATAGAAGGAAACCCCCCATTTCCTTCGGACGGAACCTCTTCAAGATTCAGTTATTTGAATATTACACCCCTATTATTATTCCGTGATTCTCTAAAGATTCAACATTGCTATTTAGTCCTTTTTTTACCTGACCAACAGGCCGCTAGCCTACGAGTACCACCGTAACATTTATTAAACCCTTGTAGAAATATCCGAAGAAGCACGATATATCATTATGACGTATAGTTTTTGACTTAGTCTGATTATTGGTCGGAGTAGTAGGTCTGATCTATGACTTTGAGGGTAGTAGACCTTAGCTTTATATCGTTTTTATCACCCATTTTTTTTTAACAAACTTTAGGAAGAGCAAAATAGTTCGAGTGCCTAGGAACCCAGATGATTATAAGCGAATAAGAGAAAGATAGCTACAGCAGAGCAGACAAGGCTAGGGGCCTTCAGATGACTAGGAGCATTGTTCTTGGACCGAAATTCTTGGCCCAAATGAGAGAGTGATTACCAGTTAGGGATTATTATTTGAGCGTTCAAAAGTAAGAAAGGTAGACATTGTCCTCACAATGTGAACAATCTTACTCTAACGGGATTTTACTCAGTGCAAGCTATTCTGTACTAGAGTATTCTCGTGTAGATGTCCTAAGACTAATATTTTTCCAAGGCGCCCATTGTGGAGTCAGTAGACAAAAGGCTACCGGGAACATATAGTGTAATCGATCGGGTGACCATCTAGTAGGCTTCATTGTGACACAATGAACCGCAGAAAGTATCCAAAACGGAAAGAGAATACCAAGCGTTGTCAGAAATTACCCGATACATATGCATATATATCTATAGGTATTTCTCTCTCTCCATCCTGTGGTGTCAATCAGTGGAGTCCCAAGCCGATCACTTCGATCTTCACCCCCACTTCCACCACAGTGACAGATGATAGGTCCCTCAATCTCCTTTATACTCCATGGTCCCTACCCAAAAAAAGGAACATTTCCCCTTTCGCAGTCGATGCCCAACGGAAAGAAAGAAAAAAAAATGCCTCTCACGACTCCCAGGAACTGTCCATGTACAAACTCAGCATACCGTTGATTTCACCAGCACCCGTAAACCCAAGACTAGGACCTTTGCTCAGACCCCGTATCTTGGCCAGAGCCCTAGGACTTAGACCCATCGCACGCCCCGCGCGACATCTGTCCCCTCGAACGATCGAGCGACTGATCTCTCCTATCTACCACACGCCCCGTGCACGCTCCTCAAACTCCCTACAGTCTCGGTCTCTAGTGCTCTTTTCCGTCCCCGTCCGGGATTAAGGCGGCCCGGGCGAAGACAAGAGCATACTGGCTTCTCCCCCCCCCCCAACGGGCTATGCATGCATGCAAGCCTTACGCTAGCCCTCGCCCCGCAAAAACCACAAAAGAACAGCTCGACCCGAAAAAAGAAAATTAATGAACAACGCAGCTAGACTCGAGCCACGAGTGCATCAGCCGTCGGTGTGGGTGATGAAATGCAGAAGGGGTTTTCTTCTTTTCTGGGGCGGGTTGAGATGGTTCCGAGGGCGCAGCGCGGTGGCGGCGGAGGGAAGGAGGGGGTCTGGATGTGGGTGTGGATGTAGATATGGAAGTGGAAGTGGTGGTGGGCGTGTTCGATGACGAGCAGAAGAGGACAGCAGAGATTGAGAGGCCCGTGTGGTTCTGGATATCGGGAGTTTGGGGGATGTTTTGGGGTGTGGTGATTGGCTTTGATGTATGTGATATTTGGGGCGGGATGATGGATGGTCTGGAGGGCTGCAACGACAAGTGGACATGGGACAAGGTTTGGGGTCTGTGGTTTGTGGGCCGGACCGCGATGGATTACACTCTATACTCTATTTCATGGGGGTTTCTTTTTCTTTTATTTTCTGGACTTTGCTTTTTGGGGGAGAAGGGGGAGGTTCATTCATTTTTCTCCATTTTTCCATTTTTATTAATTTATTTGTTGGCAGGTTTGATGGGCGGTTCAATTGACGGTGGGCCATAGTGTTCCCGGAGTCGGACCCTGGTCTGCTATCAACGTGAGACACGTCCTGCAGGGTGGAATTAAAATTGAGGTGTGATTCCCCCCACGGGAAGCAGTCGTGATCAGGGGGACGAGACGGGGATTTACGGGATCGTGTTCGAGTGCCGAGGAAGGCGGAAGGGGATGTCATCGTTGGATGATGGAAATTGAGAGGAAGGATATACTTGGAGGAACGAGAGGGTACTCGAAGAAGAGACGGGGATCCCGAGGATATAGATCCCCACGGCAGGATTGCCCCATAGAGTATAAGGATTATAAGGTATACATGCAGTATATGGACAATGAATAGTTCTGCGTACTGCAAGCGATTATTTCGAAGAACCCCACAGACCCTCAAGGCTGCACTCTCTTCCCGCAGGTCAAGCTACCACGCAAGCATTGACCCCGAGGCGCGGATTCCCACAAGAAACCGGCCCCCGGTATCTATAGGACTCCGTCCAGCACGATCATGAACGTGTGCGAGCGCAGACGTCCGATTCTGCTTTGGGCTGGCTCCCTGGGCTCTCCTCCTTCTGGGGAAGGGAGCCACGAATCGCAGGATTTTCTCTATGTACTGGCGTCTCTCTTATTGGTTGGCCTGGGGGTACTTTTATGCCCAATCCTCGTCGTTGGGTTTGTTTGTCAGGCAGGAAAATAGGGGCGACATGGTTTAGCGCCCGGGACCAGCACATCCGTACATGAATCTCTTGCAGCTGCTGCAGATGCATGCAGAGTCGGTCATGTGGGCGCTTGGGCTGGTTTGGGAAAGACTCTGTTGTTCCGCTGGAGGAGAGTAACAGCGGTCTCTTGCCACGGTTCCGTGTCAGTTTGAGGTCGGGGTCAAATTTCTATACGAAAGAGCGTCTATCTCAATGCCAGGTTCTCCTCGGGTGCTGCCTCAGCGTCCACGGCTCCCGTCCTTCCCGTCCTACAGTTCCCGTGGTTCCTAGAGTTCCTAGAGTTTCCATGGGTGATGGGTGATTCTCGTACAGACATCAAAATCTCGCAGGGGAGATCTCGGAGACTTGCTGCTGTGCGCTAGCCACCAGCTGCATCTAGTGGAGCATCGGGGGGATCTGGTCTGCCGTGAGAATGAGCATATCATGACGGGGGAGGAGGCCTGAAGCCAATGGGACGGGAGAGCTGGCTTCATATCCCTTCTTAACTGGTCGACCGTTCTGATTCGGCCTTGCGAGTCGGTCCTCCCTCCCTCTTCGTGGTCGTCCGCCAATCCCGCCGGTCTCGCCCGCCCGTATTGATCATGTTCGAGCTGGATCTGCATCGGACGATGATGGCAGTCCGACTCCACCGTGTGGGGGTCGGGGGAGAAGGCTTGGCGGCCTCGATGATTGACCGCCTTGGACTGCTTCGAGTCCGGCTGGGACGTCGTCCTGGCCCTCCATCTAGAGTACGGAGGCCTCTGTACAAACCTGGTACATATTCTGTACAAAATCCGTCTGTTCTTCGCTCCATTCCCGTCTCTCTCTCTCGCGGAGTGAGTAGTCAAGGTGGCTGCCCTGTTTCCCCCATGTACCCCCATGTCTCCCCCATCTTCCGAATCCCCGAATCCCCGAACGCCCCCCACGGTGGTTTCCCCTCCTAAAAGAGCGGTGTCTCGGACGGATCCTCGACATCATTTCTTTTCCCTCTCCGAACTAAGCAAAACATAGACCCGAGCTAAAATCCAACGCCCGACTCTATTACAGCAGGATCGGCATGTCTGAAATTCAGAAGTGGACAATTCATGAGGTTAGCTCCGTATTTTCCTTCCCTTTCTTTTTCCTGAGGGGTTCGTGTCCTCTTTTCTCTTCGGTTCTTGGGGCTGGGGGTTCGGGCTTCAGATGTAAAGCCCTGGTCGTCCATTCAATTGGACCTTTGACTTGAACTCTGGCTTTGGTTTGATGTGATTTGATTTGATTTAAAATTGATTTCGTTGCGGGCCGCATCCCGGCATGTTTCCTAGTTTTGCGTGCATCCTGGCTGATCATTTGCTGGCTTCTCACTTTTTTTTTTGCTTTTATGAATTTCCCCTATTTTTCGTTGGCATTGCTTTTGGGACCTTGGGGCCTTTCTGTCGGTCAAGGTTTGAATCCACTAATTGCGCTCCCTGCTGCACGGTGAGAGCAACCGAAAAAGGCCACACTCACATCCAATCATAATATAGAAGCCCGAGAAAAAAAAAAGGAGCTCCAGAAAAAAAAAGAAAAGAAAGAAAAGAAAAGAAAACAAGGACAAGCCCAGAAACAAGATCAAAGACTAACACGTCTCTCCAGCCCTATCTCGCCATTGGCGGAACTCTCCTCGAGGGCCCCTATCACGATGCAGCCATCAACGAGTTCCGCTTCATCGACATCTGGGACCACAAACTATACCGTCTCGATCTGGCCCGCGGCCCTGAATCGCTACGGGTAATTGAAACCGAGGATTCTATCGGGTGAGCGTCTTTCACCGCAGATCTCCCTCCCTCTCTCACTCTTTCTCTGCTTTCTCTTCCCTTTCTCTCTATTCCTTCCTCTTCTCCTCCATCCCGGAGCCCCCCGGAGTCCCCCGAGTCCCAGTTGCCCTGTTTAAATAAAAACTCCAAGCTAACAGCGGACATGCTCCTTTTAGCGTGACCGCCAACATCGCCGGCGAGACCGACCAGGATGACCTGATTGTCGGGGCCAAGCATGGATTCGCGCGGCTGAACCGCACGACCGGACGACTGTCGTATATCCGCGAGGCCTGGGACGACCACCCGGACCGCACCCGCATGAAGCATCTGTACGTATTGCCGCATCCTGTGTCTCGTCTCTCGTCCATTCCAACCCCACTCCACCTCCCCCTCTGCGCCTCATTTTGAGCTCAGAATGACTGGGCCACAAGAACACCCCCCAAGGGCGACGATGTGGCCCTCGACCTTACAATTACACTTTATACTTATGCAACCCCAACCCCCCCCCCCCCCTTCTCTCTCTGCCATAATTGGACCATGCTTTCACTAACCCGGCCCCCCTTCCCTTCCAATAGCATGCGCTTCAACGACGGCGCCGTCGACAGTCACGGTCGCTTCTGGGCCGGGACCATGAACGACCCGAAGGTTCAAGCGCCGCGCGCAGAAGGCACGCTCTTCCGACTGGACCCCGACCTCAACCTGCACGCGGTGGTGCCGCACGCGACGATCCCGAACGGGATCGGTTGGAGTCCGGACGAGGCGACCATGTACTGGACGGACTCGGCGACGCACTGCATCTTCGCGTTCGACTTCGACGCGGCGACAGGGATGCTTTCACGGCGGCGAGTGCTGGTGAACGTGGGCGAGGGCTTGGAGCCGGACGGGCTGGCCGTCGATGAGGCGGGAAATCTGTGGAGTGCGATATACGGGGGCAGCCGAATTCTACGGGTGTCTCCGAAGGGTGAGGTAACTGGGGTTGTGGAGGTGCCGACGAAGAATCCGACGTGCGTGGCTTTTGTGGGGACGGAGTTGTGGATTACGAGTGCGGCGGATGGAAGGAACGTTGAGGAGGGAGGGGAGTCGGTGAAGATGGGGGGATGTGTGTTTCGAGTGGATGTTGGGGTGAGGGGTCTGCCGAAGCACGAATTTCGGTTTGAGTAGGCGGGGAGAGGAGGGGGGAGTGCAGAGTGTAGACTATTTAGTGGATATAGTGTAGAGAAGAGAAGAGGAGGGAAGAGAAAAGGGAGGCAGAGGGAGATCTATTGGAAAGCGATGGTGGGCATATCCGGAGATGAGGGACGTATAGAAGAATTGGACCCCTCGAATAGCGGTGGGCCCTTCATGATCTCTCTCGACTTTGTAGTGGGAGCGACATTTAGCCTGGTTTTTTTGATTGAGACTTGTTTTCAATAGCATTTGGCAAGATGGAAAAAGTACTGGCAACCAGGAAGGTGCATCGTTAAAAACAAAACAAAAAAAAAAGGCATTGATAGAATGAAGAATCCATACGGAGCGATCGATTTGCCGCGCATAGAGGAAGTGACTCCACACCAGTTGCTATACTTCACATGTAGCCCTCTTTTTCAGCGAAGAAGAAAGAGCAAAAACGATCGACCGTACATCCGCCGTAACCATTTCCCTCGACCAAAGTTTAAGAAGCATGCAACGGCATGCAATGGCATTCAACAAGTGATATACGAAGTACGACAGACAGAGGGACGCAGCTGGATGCGAGCCCAGCCTCCCAGCTAACGCAGGTAACAATTGGGAGGCGCAGAGCGAAGGAGCTATTTATCCACGACGTCGGGATTCGCTAGGATTCAATAGATCCTGGGGTTGACTGGGCGAGTGGGGTGAGAGGGGGGCCGGATTGTCGTCGATCACCAAACGGGCGATCAGAACATAGCGGACCGGCACGCTGGCAGGTCGTGGGTCAAGTACATACTGTAGACTGTAAGGGATGGGGTGCAGGAGCGAAGTGATAGGACTTAAACAGGAGGACGGTCAGTCGAGTTAGTAGGGTCTTTAGTGACGAACACGTCAAAATCAGGCCTCAATGCCGTCATCGGCTGATCTCTCCACAATTTCAGCAGGGCTACGGGGCCAATTGAGTCTGGCGTCTGTGATGTAGGGTGGAGGAGAGGAAAGCAGGGAGTGTTACAGTGAGCTGGGGCCAGTTGGGGCTGATTGATGGCGGTGATGGTGGTTGGTGATATACTACGGAGTACTTCCAGTTACAATCAGGTCTTGTCCTTGCCGAGTGACTCGTGTACTTTGGGACTGGTTGGTTTACCAATTCGGCCGATCGTCGGCCTTGAATTTTGGCCCTATGCTATGCGTGGATAAATATGCGAGCACTGCCACCGCTTGAGCGGGTCGGCCCTGCAGGGCGACGATGCAGCCATGCAGGCACGGAGGGGGGACCAGTAGGCGCTACGGACTGGGGGACTCGGTGTGCACAGAGGTACAGGTACAGACATGCCCGACGTTGGGTGCCATGGTTTAGTTGGTTTCCCGGCCTCAGCTTCGGAGGATGAGACAGATGAGGCAAAGGAGGCAGATGGCGGCAGGGTGTACGAGTCAGGCTCTGGCTCCAGGAGGCGTAGATACATCTCCAAACTAGACTGGAAAGAGCCGGACAAAAAGCACGGGGCACATAAAGACGGAACTCGGTGTGAAGTGCAGCCGTACGGACGCCACCTGGGATTGGATGCTCTGCTGGCTTACAGCATCATTATCCAAATTTTACATATGCCAGGCGTGACCGCCATTGCATGCAGACCATTTATCGGGCTCATTTGCCTGCTTTCCCACCATGACTCGCAGCACGCAAGATCCGAGCAGCGGAAAAGAAACCCGGTGGTCTAGACCATGAAGGCGGAGACAAGAAAAAAAAAACCACATCGAGGATTGGTTTGCTATGGGATGGCGGGTGCAGCGGACACGAGATAATGAGGACGATCTTATGCAGGCCCAGGGATAGCCCCTTCTCCGACAGCATAAGACATCCGGGAAAGAAGAAGGGGAGGTGACCGGAAGGGCGAGGATTATCCGGAAAAGCAAATTTATTTCAATCTGGACGAGGAGAAGCTCCACCCAGAGACCATTCAAAAAGCAAAATCAGAAGTCAGAAGAAGGATGCAAGATCGGACAAACATCATTATGATTTTTACTGTATTGATCCATGACAATAGACAAGGTATACTACATATGAACTGTATATCAAACTCGGAGGGATATAGTGGGCGCCCCTGGTCCGTTTAGTATGTTAATATATACTCTCGCGTGGCAGTGGGCAAGTTGGGGGCACCAGGATTCCTGTCACTGGTACCTCGCACCCCCAACCTTGGTACGCCGTCTCCGTGTACCAGAGACCTGGGACCAAATACCCCAGTCGCTCTGTTTTTTGACTGGTCTTTTTTGGACTTTGAGTTTTTGGCCTCCTATCTTGTCCCCCGTCCTTTCATCAATTTGTTTATTTTGGCCCCTGACCCACGGATAGCCGGTATCCATTATTCTCATAAGAGCAGAGAACAAAGCTATGACTCGCATTGTACCGGGGTCTCGGAGCCTACCTACTCACGACCCAGGCAGGATTACGTGCCCATCCCGCCCCGGCCGACCCGGAGCTCTGGTAACCCTTGGAAACGGTGGTTTGAGATTGCAAGCCGCCCATTCAGCTTCTGACAAAGGCCGATAGGCCCTCTTGGACGATTCTTGCCGTTCCCGTATCCCTAGCCAGAGGACCTTGTCATCCCGAAAACGCGACCAATGATCATATTTGGCAATTTTTTTTCCGACCCTGTAGGATTTGAGCTTGGCTCTGTATGATGCCATCAAACAGTCATCATTGCCCCCCTTTCTCCCCCTTCCCCTACTGTAGAAAAAAAACAAGGACAAGGCAAGTTTGAAAAAAAAAAAAGAGAACAGGAAATGAAAACTAAGAAGCCTAGCTCGCTCCATGGACCAGTCAGAGGCATTGGATCTATCAGGTCCCAGTACGCGTGGTGATTTGTGGCACTGCTACAAGGGCGGCTAACGATTGCAGAAGCAGGCAGGGAAATTTTCAGTAGGGGCATGCATGGCAGCCAGAAGACTAAATTGTGGAAGCATTAACTCCGCGACATCATAACGAGCTCCAGCTCAGGGTCTAGCCTGGGAGCTCCGCATAGCTAGCTAGCTAGCTAGCTCTGAGTTCCAATCAAAACAAACATAAACCACCCAGATCGAAAACCTCCCAACAAAACAAGACCGCCGGCGAGACTTGTGGAGGAGCAACTGCAACGATCTATCAATTTTTAGTTTAAAGCCTTCTCGTCTTCCAGCACACCACAGCCCCTCCTACCACATCTGGACTGCAAGTTGTCATGCTGATCAGGCGTTGTCTAGGGGCCCGATGGAGACCTGGAGACTCGATCGGACCCATCCGAGAATCTCGCGGTCTCCAGCCCCGAAGGAACACCGACGTATGGCCCGAGTCCTCCGTCTTTCGGACTGGGGACATCGAACTCTGTGGCTAGCGGAGTGGTGAAATTGCTCGTCAAGTGAGCACGATTAAAGTTGCTCGCCAGGTTGGAACTGTTGGACCTTGTTGGTAGCGTTGGCTGTTGGGGTCAGCTCAGCCACGCCCCGGGGGCTGGTCTTGCTGTTGTTGGCTTGGGGCCATTGTTGGGGGGGGAGGGCATGGTGAAGTTGCGGTGCCGCCAATTCTCGTCCCACTGGAACTCCTCCCCCGTTCCCCATCGTCAGTTGCAGGATTCGGGAATCCACTTGGCTGCAGCTGCCCTCTTGGCGCTAGTTAGACTGGCGGTCATCATTCGAGCTTGTCACGCGGATGTGTTTCTCCCGCGCTAAAAGGACCGTGGAGATGAACGGGATCTCGAAAGGTGAGCTCTCCACTTTTCCTTTATTTCTTTTTTCTTTCGTTCATGCAGAAGCCATGTTCTCACGTTGCGACAGGGGTGGTCCTTGCTGGGCGGAGTGCCTTCCGGCCGTAGTCCCGGCATCCCCCCGGGAGTCTGTCAACCTCCATGTACAACCGGTTGATAGATCGTCGCAGGAGAGCCTAACTGTCAATTTCTGATGCCTGATGCCTGGACGATTCCTCGTTGCTTGGTCGAGGCTGCCATTCGTTTCAATGTTGAGGTCATGCCTCGAGTGCCTAGCTACGAATTACAGGGATCCCGGTGGGCTTGGCCAACGGACCACTGCTCTGTAGATCATCACCGTAACACGGGTTGGACCAGGGTCAATGGCCATGGTGTCTGTTGGAGTGATAGGCCCTGGGTTTGTGCCACCGTGCCTAATGCAGTGACGTAGGAGTCGTCCTCCCCATCCCGTGTATGAGAGCACACAGGGATTCTTCAAACCAGTCCACAGGAGGTTCCATCTTTTTACGCGAAGTGTATGCATACCCAGCTGGCAGGCAATGGGTTATTCTTTGGCCTGGTCTTTCGTCCACTACTTTTCTCCAATGGCGAGTATTTCTTCATTCCTCCGAAGCCGGATCCTAACGGGGCCCTAGGAGGTCGGTGACGATGCATTGTTGAGCATCGCCTACGAGCCCCAAAAAACGGCTGCCCCATGCTCACGAACAATAGGGTCTCTGAGACCCAGTTTAGACGGAATAGAGAATAGAGGGGCGTGATTCTGCTATATAGGGATTAGTATCAAGAAACTTACTAGTCACTGGGTCTTCTCGCCACTGTGTTTTTTTTTTCTTCTTTCTCCAGGAGCCCCACCGGTGCCAAAGGACCGGTGAAGGGGAAAGTTTCCCCCCAAGAGTCGGAGCCAACCTTGAACGCCCCTAACGGCCACCAACGGCAACGGCCCCCCTTTGCCGGGATTGACACGGGGGACGCTGGTGATGCATGCACAACATCCACCGCCCTCCACGTTAAGGTTTGAGCAGTGTGCATCAACACGGACTCGTCGCAAATCAGCGTGTCCCTGTGGATTTTGACTTTGACTTTTCTCCTTCTCTCATTCGTCATGTCTTAATCCTGTGAGATTTTTTTAAATTTTTTTTTTGGGAGGGTAAAACGATTCTCAATTTATTTGATCTTCGGCACTGCTGACTATCTGACCGGAAAAAGGGGAAAGGGGGGAGCTTCAAGCTCGGCCATCCCCAAATCGGCCTTTTGGTACGAGCGTGTCGCCTGAACTCACTCTTGTTTTTGGCTCCCCTGGTTCGCACCCCCGTTTATTGAGATCGACTGCAGTTGATCGGGATTTGTGATTATATTTGATTCATTTTTCGCGTCCCACACCCCCCCCCCCCGGGCGGCCCCCCTTTCTCTCATCTTGATCCTTGGCTGGGGGTGATCGTGATGATTATCGATTTTTCGGTCTCATACTTCTAGACTAAGGCGCGAAACCCTCGGAAAATGACAGGACCAGCAGACTTTCCTGGAGCAAGGCCGTCGACCCCATCGACCATGTTCCACTAGCCCCAGTGCAGTATGGATCTGAGGCACCTGGCGCCATCATGGAAATTGGTCGTCTCCGTCATGGTTGGAGCTGGGTGTTCTGCGTCATGGATCGAACGATTGGCCCTCCCCAACCCTCCAATCGGCCAGCCATCGCCCGCCACGAAAACTGGGGCCCCCAGAGAAACTTTCGGGTCTGGCTGGACGTTGCTGTCATACTCCATACTCTCTCGATTGGGATTGGGACAGATTCCTCCGGATAGAAGAATACTCCATAGGATGATGATGATTCGGAGGTGATGCTCGACTCGATGATTTTCTTCCCTTCCGCTCAATCCGCGGCCCCCTTTAAGATTAGACAGCGACAAAATGAAACAGAAAAAGAAAAGATGCGTTATCATCGTCACTAGAGGTGATAGCCACGGGCCTCTCAACCTTGCACCCTCCCCCCTTTTCCCCTTTTCGCTCTCTATTCTTCTCCGCGGACTGACAGTCGCGGCGCACAACTAGCGCCGTGATAGTATCAACCGGCACGGCGATTCATGTCATGTATGAAGATCGGGGCCTTGGGGGATGGAAATCGACCTGTCAATGCGGTGGATGTTCGACGCACGATGTGGACGAAGGCAACTAACCAGCTAACCAGCTAACCAACCGCCTAGAGAGCTAGCGAGACCAGCCCGAGACTACCGGGGCGAGCGGCCCCCCGGCTCCAGAACGAAAACCCAAACCCTCTTGTGTGCCAGGGGGCTCCACTTGTCCCTTGTCCATGTCCATGGTGACGGCGCCCGCGCACTTGCAGCTTTTCCCCGTCGAAGCCCCCGGTGATTCGTGCGTTGCCTGCCGGTGATCGCTGGTTGGCTCCCACAGCGTTAAGAAGAGAGACTGGTGCCAACCACGCTGCCAATGGTGTCAGAGGATATTGAGGAACGCCCATCACACATCTTTTTGGTCTTGCTGGCCTCTCCTGTTCTCGGGAAGGTTAGTCTCATCGTGACTTGGCCACTGTATCCACACCCACGAGCTTGGGACTGGCTCTGACACGCTCTCTACTTCCGCCCCCTCGAGGCTGAGATGCCAGGCCCAACCGGGATCCTGGAGCAGTTTCGTGCAAAGAAAAAAAAGGGCGTCGCCTACTCTGTCGCTCTCGGTTCCGTGTACCTCCCGAGTAGGTGGTTAGCCCGGTCGTGACTATCGTCATCGTCCTCCTCGTCCTCGCCTAGTCCCCTCACTGGGTAACTATGGACCGGGATGGGAGACACTCCACCACTACCGGCTTCTGCCCTCGATGTTTGTTTATTTGGTTTAGCACCGTGAACACCCTGGCGCCCCCAAGCCCTAAGGTCTCATCCACGCTTCTCTGCTTGACGGCAGTTCGACTCTATTGAACGGGCCCACAATTTGTCGCATAAGAATGGAAACCTCGGTGGTACCTAACTGTCGACTAGGCGATCTCATCCGGTAGGGTACCGATGAACGGGGAGAGCCTGTCCCCATTTTCATTTCTCATTCCCCGTACATCAGTTCTGTCCCTCCACCACTGGACGATGGGGCGATCCTGCCCAACTATCCGACAGTCTGGGTCGGACAGAAACGCAACCTTTTTTTTCTTTTTCTTTTTCCCTTTTTTTTTCCCTTTTCCTTATTTTGGGTTTAAAATAAATGTATTTGACAAAATGTCTTATTTTGTTTTATAGATTTTCATTTTCCTCTTCGACTATTTTCTCTTGTCGCCTTGTACTGAGGACCGTCCAGGATCTTTGAAAGGAAGGCAGAAAGAAAGAATGGATAGAGCGAGGGAGTGTGAAAAGACATGCTCCAGGAGCGCAACCAACGAATCATCAATGGAGGGTTTTTCTTAAAAAATAAAAATAAAATAAGAATAAAAATAAAAAAAGACAAATAGGAATAAAAAAACCAAGTCCATAGCACTGCCCTGGAGAGATCCCAGGCATCATCCAACGGGAATCCACCGAGAAAATCCCAAAGTGAAAAATCCCCAAAGCTCCCAAAGATGATGGATCATGGGTCCTGCCCCCTCTCTCTCTGTCTCGCCTCTTCACCGCTGGATGTCAACGGCGGACGCCCAAATTATTAATTCCGTTTCTGCTCATGATTCATCCGTTTCTCCCTCTCTTTCCCTCGTTTTCTCTCTATCCACTTATCACTCTTCCCCTTCTCCCCCTCCCTCCCTCTACTCCGTACACACACCCTTCATTAGCTTGGTCCCCCTCGGATGGGACCTCGGGCCACTTCCCGTCACGCACATGGTTGATGTGATCACACTGGATCTGGACTGTCTGGACCATCGCTCTGCCTGTTTCTATTCTTACGACTCCTAAATTCTGACTGGTGTGACGCATCGGTGAACTGTAGCTGTGGTGACAAACCTCGATACGCTCGGGTCCAATCGGTTCTAGTGCGAGTGCTTCTGATAAGCTGGGGACCTTTTTTTTCCCCTCCCTCTTCCTCGAGAATCGTTCTACTCTATAGTACTCGAGATAGTACTCTATAGATTTCATCAAAGACTTGGTGCAGCATTCAAACTACCCACGGTTGAGCGTCATCGCGTGGGATTTATACCAGCTCTTTCGGTTGCCAATTGGAGCCCGAACCGACCTGCCTGCCAGACCGACATTGCTGGCACTCGACAATCTCAGACGACCTGACGCAAAGAAGAGAAAAGAGAAAGCAATTAAGCCTGTGTTCTTGGGCTAAACTATTCGACCTCGATCCTTCTTCTCCTCGCACTCTCGTTTCTTAATCTTCATCTTCTCCCCCTCCCCTCCTCCCCCATTTCATCGTGGCGACTCTGGGCCTCAGCGTGTTGAACGCGCCGTACTCTGGGCCGCTCCATTCGCCAAAGCTGTCGGATTACCCAGCGGATCCTCGCTATCCGGCCTCTTCTCTCTCAGACAACCTTCGTGGGACCTTCGGTGACACAGAGAGAGGGGGGGCTCGGTCATGCCCTAACCCCCAGTCCGCCGCAGTTTCGTCGATGTCCCAGGAGCCTCGACTTGGTCCATTGTCCGACGATGCGACTCACTCTTCTTCCGACGACCGCAGCGTGATTGACAAGGAGTCGGGGATCTCCAGCAGTCGCCATTCTGCGCGTCGGCCACCGCTGCGGGCTCGTCCCCAATCGTGGCATCCATATGGGCCCGTGGAACCTCCGCTGGAACCGGCGTCTTCGCGGCCCATTGGCGTCCACGCCATCCTCAATCCACCAGCGCAGGTAGCTGGAGATTCGTCAGGGACCAGTGGAAATCGAGAGCCCTTGACGCTTCCGGGACCGGCCTCCTCACCCAGACCACGGCAGGGCTCTTCGCCGATACCGCGTGCCGTGCCCCCAATTGCCCAGCAGCCCTTGTCTCCCCGGTCCCATTCGCGGCCTGTGATGAACACGAGTTCACCCTCAGCTCGATTTGTGAGTGGCAGTGGCAGAGCATCGGGACAGTCGAGCGTGGTTCACTCGCCGTTGATCCACCACGACCCATCCTTGGGCTCGCGGCAGCCGCTCCCAGTCAGCTCTCCTATTCCGCTAGATTCGACGCTTCGCCCGGTGGCCTCCCTTCCGCCTACGCAGCCTCCATCGTTAGCATCATTGCATTCGACGGCGAGCATCCATTCGAGGAGAACAAGCGCCGGTCCAGGTCCATTGACGACCCCCAATTCACAAGAAACGAGCCCGACGACACCCCATTCAAGCTTCAGCCATTTCGGACGAGCATCGCCAGCTGTCACGAATGTCTCTCTTCCTCCAACCACAGCCCCATATGCGGCTCAGATGCCCTATGTGACGATCGAATCCATGAGCCGGGCAGCCTCAGTCACCGCTGGTCCTCGCAGCAGTGTCAGTGAAGAGATTGCCGGGATGCCGGGTCTGATTCCTTGTGTGCTAGACCTCAAATCCGGCTCCTCCAGCCAGGCCGAGAAACGGAAAGCCAACAGCGACGCCTCCCGGCGATTCCGCAACCGCAAGCGCAATGAAATGCAACTCGAGCAGCGACTCTCCGCACAGCAGGACGAGCTTCAACGCCAGACCGACGAAATCCGCGCCCTCATCCAGCAGCGAGACCACTACCGCACCGAACGAGACTTTTTCCGCGAACATCTCGATCGAGCCGGGTCTTTGACCCAATTACCGCCGCGGCCGCCGTCGCCGCGTTCTTCGCTCGTCCCGGCGGCTGACTCGGGTGCAGCGGCGTGGGCGAGTGGGGGGACGGGACCCGATCGGCCCCCGGCCATGGGCAGCCTGCACCCAGCGCGGGGCCTGGCGTCCCCCCGGGCAGGCTGCTGGACTCGGCACGCCCGCAAGCCAGTTGGCCTGGTAGCCCGGCCGCATACTCGCCCGCTCCACCCGCAGGACGCAGTGTCGGACCGCCACCGATCGCAGGCACTGCCCTGCCTCGCTTCCAAGGATCTTGGTCCCGGCCGTGATTGGGGGGGGACGATCATCTGGTGAAGATGCAAGGTTCTTGATTTGGACTTTGGTTTCCTTTGTTTGTTTTTTATGTTTCTGCCGATAATATTTCCTCCTCTCCCCCCCCAGCTCTCCCACATATGAGCAAACAGCCTGCAGTCACCGGCATGACTGTCGAGCCAGTGCTCCCCCACTCCCAAAAAGGGAAAAAAAAGTAATCAGCATTGCCCTTGGTGCCAACGTGCCCTCGACCTGTGCTGCAGGCGGGTGTATAACTATATTACGAGTATTACTTTTTTTGGTTACTGGGTCTCATCTTATTCACCTTGACATTCCCCTAAGCCCTTGCCTGTTTCTATAGCCTTTCCTCTTTTCCCCGCCTGCATTCCCGTCAAGGCTGCTGGAGTTTATACTACTTTGCATCTTTTTTGGAGAAAAAAAGGTTGTGCTTCAGATATTTACCCTCTCCAGACCACTCTAACCTTCTTCCCCCTCCCCTCCCCTTGACCCTCTGACTTTCCGATGTTCCCCTGACCCATGTGTTTGGTGCTTCTGTTCTGGTGTCTGATTTCTGCAGCGGTGATACCTCTCTTGGCGATGTTGAGTTGATCTTTTGATTACATTTTATCTCTTATCATTATTTGGTCATTTTTATTACATTTGATTTCATCCTATTTCTACCTCTTCCTTCCCTCCCGTCTTCGTCTCTATGGTTCAGTGGCTTGATCCCACTGCATTGTGGTGCGATCTCTTCTTGTTTCCTCAATGTGACATGTGGCGCATAGAGCTGATCCTCAGTTTCATACATATATATATACTTGGCGCCGACCATTTACTCCATTTTGGGCATTGCAGTTGCTTTATTCCTTTTAAGTCATCGTAGTCACAGAGATCCACACCCCATATCTCTCTACCCGCATGTATTCGCAGTCTGCTACCTGCTGCATGGCGCGTTGCCGCGGTGGTACGGTCCATCCCCTCCATCCCAGCCGCCGTTGACAGGTAGCACGCGATACATCGACTTCCAGCCGCGTCTGGTCGTCCTAACCACAACGTACCCAATGGACATGCACAAGTGACGCAGCAGTCCTGCGCAGATCATCGACACGTCCATGGAGCTGGGGTCCCGGGGTTCGGATCCTCGGATCGTCGGGCCCGGCCTGGCCTACTATCTATCACTTACAGTCTACAGCCTACACGTCAGGTCCCCGGCACGGACCGGAAGTGGTGCTACGCTGCTGTTGGATAGGTGGATGGATAGGTCCCCCTGCTACGCCAGCCTCCTCCCTCCCCATCCCCTTGCGTCGTGATCGTCGCGGGCGCGGACGTTGACATATTTGATAGCTCGCGTGCGGTGTCGGATCCTCGGATCCAAGATCGTCTGGCGAGACGGGCCGTTGGGGATGATCGTCCGGTAGGGACCAGGATCTGGGGACGCCGAAGCTAATGCATGATGAAATTTGGCTGTTGACAGGTAAGTCAGTCGCGCGACGTCGCGCGGAGGTTGGGAATGCTGGTTCTGATTGGAACATCTCTGCAATCTGCTCTGTACCGTAGTTATAGTCGTCAGGCCGGATTTCGAAGTGGGGGTAGGGGGGAGGGGAAACACACCCTGGTCTGGCCGGTGGGTCGTTTTCATATGAGAAGAGGGGTGCTTGGAGAGGGACCGAGGGGGGACGGGTGTTTGAAGTTCGACACTAGGGGAGTATCTGCGTGTCTGCTCCGAGACGGCGATGCAAGAAATGCGAGATTGGTGGTGGGGGTGTTTCGTAATGTCGTTTGTAGATGACTTGAGTGTCGAGGGCTGGAGGTTGACAGATGACCGATGTAGTAACTCCTCGAAGGACTTCGAGCTACTTGATTCCAGTCCGCACGACCGTGAGTACTTCAGCACTTCCGGTACCTGGAATTTGTCTCTTCAAGTACCGGCGAAAGGAGGTGTGGTGGATGGGGAAGTACATGCGCGGCCACGCTAGGTTGTATGGGGCCCGAAGTACCACGGGTTGACGCGATCCCGTGCGGTCGTGTGGTAGGGCAGAGCTGCCACCAATCAGCGACCGGCGCCGACTCACGGGCTCATCGAACGTCCTGGGCCAAATGCAAATGCTGCAAAACAATGTGCAACACCGCAGGTGTCGTGACTCTTGACGGCATGTCTTCGTTTTTTTTCACCATGTCGGCCCTGGACTCGTGGAACAGTCTTGTCCGGAATCACGGAGGTCTTTGATCGCTGCATTGCGCGCACGCTCGGACATGGCGGGGTCTACGTCTACTATACACATCCCTAGCGAGGAGGAGAGACTGCTGGGCGGTCAAAGCGAGGAGGGAACGTCGTCCAAGGCCCAAGCTGCCCGCAGCTCGCGCAGATGGGCTCTCACGGCAGTGGTGACGCTCCTGACGGCCACCGTGGTGGCGATCGTGTACCTGTGGATAGGGTATGAGCCCCCGCATGAAGTGACTGTGGCTGCCAGAACTCTTCCTGACCAGCCGGCGCCGATTGCGCCGTCCAGAAGATCGAGCGAGGTCCACCATCCGAAGGCGTGCAACAGCGTCAGTGGCGGCTACCAGTGCTTTTCGGACCTCTCGCACCGCTGGGGCCAGTATTCGCCCTATTTCTCACTCGCAGATGAGAGTATCTCCGGTGCCACACCCGAGAAATGCGATATTACCTTCGTGCAGGTGCTGTCTCGTCACGGCGCACGGTATCCAACCGCAAAGAAGAGCGCGGCCTACAAGGCGCTCGTGGAAGAGATACAAGCCAACGCCTCCGCATATCACGGCAAAACCGCTTTCTTGCGCACTTACAACTATACGATGGGCAGTGATGACCTGACTACCTTTGGAGAACGCCAAATGATCAGCTCAGGTATCAAGTTCTACCAGCGCTACGCAGCCCTTACGCGGGACCACATCCCTTTCATGCGTTCTTCGGGCTCCTCGCGAGTGGTCGAGTCCGGCAAAAAGTTCATCCAGGGGTTTCAGCAGACCAAGATGAAAGACAGCGCCGCCAACCACGTTCAGTCAAGCCCGATTATCAACGTGGTCATCTCTGAAGACTCGGGTTCCAATAACACCCTAAATCACAACACCTGCTCGGTGTTCGAGGACAGCGACCTCGGTGATACCGTCGACGACAATTACATAGCGCAGATCGCTCCTTCCATTGCCAAGCGTCTGGAGTCCCAACTCCCCGGCGTGACACTTTCCAATGATGCCGTAACCTACCTTATGGATCTGTGCGCTTTCGACACCATCTCCTCGACTGCAGACGGCAGCATCATCTCCGACTTCTGTGCCCTCTTCTCCGAGCACGAGTGGACTCAGTACAACTACCTCCAGTCGCTGGACAAGTACTATGGATACGGCGCCGGTAACCCACTCGGCCCAACCCAGGGTGTCGGCTTCGTCAATGAGCTCATCGCTCGCATGACCCACACTCCCGTTCACGATCATACCTCGACCAACACGACCCTCGATGCCCCCGGCGCTGCCTCCTTCCCCGTCAACCGCACCCTCTATGCGGATTTCACCCATGACAATGGCATGATCCCAATATTCTTTGCACTGGGACTGTACAACGGCACGGCCACGCTTCCTCTCGACCATGTCCAGTCCGCCGCGGCGGCAGATGGATTTTCTGCGGCGTGGACGGTGCCGTTCGCGGCCCGCGCGTACATCGAGATGATGACTTGCAGTGGTAGCTCTGAACCCCTGGTCCGAGTGCTGGTGAATGACCGGGTTGTCCCGCTCCACGGTTGTACGGTAGACAGCCTGGGGCGGTGTCGGCGCGGTGACTTTATCAAGGGCTTGAGCTTTGCTCGTAATGGCGGCGACTGGAGTAGCTGTTATGCGTGAAGCCGCGGTCCAAAGAGAAGTGTATTGAAGGAGGGAAATGAGGGAGAGAAGGACGGCAAAAATCTTGTAGTGGCGCTCAGGGAAATCTGACAAGAGGACGAGGCGAGTTGTGCGAGGTCTTTGCATCAAAAAAAGCAAAACTACCGACGCTACGTGATGATGACTGTTTCGTATGGCATACTGTTGGAAGGAATGATCAGTCATCCGCCTTGCTCACGGATGGCTTCGCAACACTGATCGTCTCGGAAATCTGGAAAGGGAAGCAGAGCGCCTTTTACTTTATCTTTTTCACAGTCCATTATTTTCATAGGTGATATCCTTAGCGGCATCACCTTTCTGGATACCCTGACTTTCGCTTGATATTCTTCATGAGATATCGATAGAAATGCATTACAGCGCTTGGCCATTGTGGAATTATCCTATTTCATGTACTCCTGGTGAACATAGCTCCATACATCGTCTCCTGCTCACTCCGGTATATCTATCGAAAGTATCGGACCGTGAAAGGTTGTTAATTCCATTTTAATCCAAGCTAGCCTATGTATCTAGGTAAACAACATTTCACACCTGGTGTCCTACGACAGAGCCTTGCCTTTTGCCCCTGGAGCGTACTACGATTGCTCAATCCTGGCACTAGTGACGGGACGAACGTATAATACTCAACTGAGATCTTTGGGATTTCATCCGTGAGAATCAAGTATGCTCTTTGCTGAAGGTTCTTGGCACCTCATTTCTGTTGAAACGTGACGAAAGACTCTTGAAAAGGCTCCTACAAAGATCATGTTGAGCCTTCTTAACAGAAAGACTCGAGTCTGTAGGATCTAGCCCCCATCAAAATTTCCGAGTTATTTCACTCGCGCCTATTGGATTTCGTCTCGTCCAACGTGTTCACTTATCCGTACTTTCTATTTAATGTAGATGGACATAACAGACGTGAACCTTAAGCTGAAGTCTTATTACTTAATTAGCATTGTATTATGTCCAAAAGGCAGTAGGTTGTCAAGATTTATAGAAGGGATTTCAGGAATTTGGTTCAAGTTTCATTTTTGTGTACAGTTCGTCTCGAAACTGGCGCACCTTCCTTTACTAAAAGAGATTCTTCGGCCCTACTTCATAATGCGCAGTAGTCTAGATCAAGTATCATTCCGGAATATTAATATTCCTGTATTAGTCTCAATATCATCATTCACCTTTCATGAGATACCGTGGCTCGTCTTATGGCTGTATTGGTGATTCAGAAGGAGCTGGAATTTTCCTTCCTGATGCAAATGAGTCAAGCAACAGAGCCGGAGACTCCTCGAGAATCTGGCGGGCTACCGCATCCCCTTGCCACTCCTATGTCCGAGTGGCGGTCTGGGGCTCTTACCCGGCGCTAAAGCTCGAAAATACTGACAAGTTACTTGCTTACTGTACTTTATCTGCAGACTACTTATGCACCTACTGTCACAATACTCAGCCTGACAAAATCTCTACTTGCTTATCATTCACATTCTTGGTGGAAGCTAATATGTGACCATGCCAATAGAGTCTTTACTGGCATTTTCTGACTTATGGGGATGACCTACACTTTTTGATCAACGATGAATCTTACCGACCTAAACTTCCTAATATATGGGAATAGACTCACTCGTATGCCCGTATCCCTGGTTACCTTGATCGCGAATGGACGCTATCAGTAGACTACCCTTCACTAAACCCTATGGAAGTACTTGGTGAGTAACTATCTCTTATATCAATATCGGTTCGAGGAGTAGAGTTCTCATCTTGCGGGTAAACACAAATAAAAGTGCGTAGGATAAGGAATCCCCGAGCTTTATCCACTACTAGATCCAGTGGAGGATTAAACTGAATAACCTTGTGGTCAAAGATACAAAATAAGAGCTAGCCCAACCGCCTAGATCTTACGAGCAACGGATTAAAGAGGATGCTAGTAATATTCTACGACGGAAGACAGCGCGTGGCCGACAGGTGGGATTATATAATACTAAAATCGTGTCATCAGTGCATTCCCAATGGAACATGAGCAAATACTTTGAAGGTACTAGTATTAATTAGAGGGCGGCTGAGAAACAGCTCCTAGTGAAGGCCTATCTATTCCGTCGTAGTAAGAAGATCCGGCTTGAGATATCTATCCATTATATAGTGAATAGTGGGCCTATTCTATCTAGGAAGGATAAAAGAGGAAATTTATTAGTAAAACCCACGCAGATACTCGATAAATGAGACGCTTAGATTAATGCTAAGTAGTTGCCCGGCTAATATTCCGCTGAGTGCGATATTTATCGAGTCATACGGTATCCCGGGCTATTCATGAATATATTGCAATATAGTATACCGGTATAGGTTGTTGTCTATTAACTGAAAGACAACCAAACAAGATTATCATTATTCATTACTGTCGTTGCAATTGAACTCCCCGTGTTGTTTCACCTAGTGGCCGATATTACTAACGAACCGCCGGGCAATACCTTATTTCACGCCGTGCTTGACAAAGAAATGCGGGTCTTGATCAAATAGCAGCAATCGAAGGTGAGCAATGAGTCTTTCAGAGACAACATCAAGGCTCGTTGACGCTCGAAAATTGTCTTGAACTCATACAAACCAATCAAGATCAAGAAGCTTCTCAGGGGTTTCGGTGTCACTCATAACACGCCTCGGCTCGCAATTCGCGTGGATGATGTTTATTTTATTCCAAATCTCGGCTCCATTACGCCGGCTCCAGTGACTCCTACCTCTTCAATAGGGAAGCAGAAACAAGCAGATAGATGGAAAAGCGTGCCAACCCAACAAATCCAATAAAGAAACCTCGGACGCTGACCTCCGGCTCTGATTCCCAGCCACAAGACGACGATATCCAGACCTGTCTCTCTAGTGAGGCTCGCCCTCCAGTAGAATCTGAACTCTACGATGAACACATTGGTAAGATACAACCGCTGGCCAAATGACTCGCCTGGAAGAGCGTTCGTCAGCTGACACAATCCTCCCGGGCCGTCGACCTAGAAGAAGTCGTAAATTCTCCAAGGCGGATTCACCCTTATAGCAAGCTTATGTGTAACATCAATGTCAGGCTTTCTGGGGCTATTCATATGTCTTCAAATCTCCTTTGTTCTCTCCAGAAAATCACATTCGTTACAAGTGAGACTATGCGTTGAAAAAAAAATCAAAGCTTGGACTTGGCCCATTCATCGAAATCGCACTGAAGAACAGTATTCAATCGTGAAAAAGAGTAGTAAAACCCCTACACCCGCTGTTAAACTTTTCGACTATACCACGTATTTCAGTTGCCACTTACCTGAAGAGATATGATCTCCACTATTTCTCGGTCCGAGAACTCGCTCTTGACACGCTTCCATAGCTCATCACTGACTTCAGGCTGTTGGATGATTGTTTCCACGAAGGCAAGCAGGATAAGATCTTTGGCACTAAACCCCGCCTTGAAACCACACTTTCCATCGATAAAATAACTATTTTGCTTGGCGGATGCCTCAAGGGCCAACTGCTGCTGTTTGGTGACTCCAGCTTTTAATGATAAGGGAAGATGGTGGGTCCATTCGTAAGTAGAGTTGAATTTGGACGTGGTCAACATGATAACGAGCTCGCGGTCTCTAGCAGAGAGTAATAACTGTTTGAACTGGGCATTTCCTAATCCTGCCCAGTGATCCACAGTCGCAGCACTATAGGAAAGAAGTTTCATAATATTGATGGTAGGATGGGATTTGGCATGTGGCGTGTGGTAATCGGGATAGGGAAGTCGAGCCATATTTCCCTTTGAATATAACTTATCTATACGATAGTTGACTTGAGAAAACCTTCGGGGTTGATAAACAATTGCAGATCATCGTGGATTAGTGAAGCTCAAGATGAGGTTGGGTTATATATATTTTCCGTATCATGGATGGTCCTGGGCATCCCTTGCTGACAAATTCGACAAATTCGACTCCTGGTGACGAGGCCGACGACCTTACCTGTAACACAAATTGTAGATTATGGTATCGAGAAACTTACATCCTCGGTCCACATACCTGTACTATTTTATCACTCAATTTACGATTCATTTCGTACTTGCTTCGTTTCAGGGCCACGGCGTGCGCCAGCGCGCGTCACCAGTAATGCGACGTGCCCTGCCCATTCACCCTTTTTTTGTCGCAACACTCTAGAATGTATTGCGACGCGTAGCTTCGCTGACTTGGATTTGTGCCGTACCCGCACCACCTCAATACACACACTTATGCCAGCTAACATGGCAATGCGATCATTAATACACTCCGCGAGTCACGCATCCTGATGACTGTTGGCTACCTCACGTGATTAACTGGGACAACAACCCCTCATTAGCAACTCAGGAATAGCCTGATCTTAGAGGTATCAACCCTCTTATGAACCAATCACACATCACAACCAATGCACTGACCACACGAGCTCAGAATATGATTGGATTTCAAGGGTGGGCTCAGAAATTCCAGTTGGAAGTGGAATCAGTCGGTTCCAATTATGCGAAATTTCGCAGGCAGTCTTTATAGGCCTGGTGATGATGTAGTGATGGATCGTCAATAGCAGTGGGGCTGAGACTTGCACTTGATGCCGAGTATCCCCCATCGAGAACTCCGCTCCGCGTCAAGCAATAGCCAGGCTGTTACGACCCCTGCAACTGCCAACTCATTAAGCAGCCGCAGCTTGCAGATAGGCCACCGGCCACTGAAAGCCAATCGATTGGCAAAGCAGGACATATGAGGAGCACGGACAAATCAGAAGAAAAGCCCAGTCTTACTCTAGGTTATTGAAGGCGCCAGGCAAAATTTGAAATTACCTGCCCCCTTCCGTAACTTCTCCACCCCATCAGGCAGACTGCGCACAACAGGTAGGCGTAAATACCATCTTCAGCTGCTTCCGTTGGATTCTCTGTCCTCTCACTACCAAACTCAAGACCGATTACTCGAAAACATTGGAGATAGCAGCCAGTCACTGGACACCTTCCCTCCGATTCGGCAATATCTCCCCCTACTCCTAGTGTTGGTTACATACTAAGCATATGTGTGCCTCGAATTCTGAGAGTTTACCTTATCGACATGGATGAGAGAAAATTTGGGAAACAAAAGCGTGTCGAGAAAAACTTATCTCACTTGCCCGAGAGACCAAAGGCTCCCCACGATAGCGGTTTGCTTACCCTACGACATGATCACTACACCATAGCCTGGATTTGCAGGCTGCCTATAGAGATGGTAGCAGCTCAGGTCATGCTTGATGAAAATCACGAATCCCTGCCTACGCATGCAGACGACAGTAACACCTACATACTTGGAAGCATCAAGCGACATAATGTCGCTATTGTGTATTTACCACTAGGCAATGACGGCAACGTGGCGGACTTCATTGCGAGCATGAAGCGAACATTCACCGCAATCAGAGTGGAATTGATGGTCGGGATTGGTGGAGGCGTGCCGAGCATGGCTGATGTTCATTTGGGTGATATCGTCGTCGGAACACGAGTGATGCAGTATGATCTTGGGAAAATTGTTGAAAATGGGAAGTTCGAGCGAATAACAGTAGCTAAGGCTCCTAGTAGTTTGCTTGAGACAGTTGTGAATGCCCTTCGGGCGAAGCACAAATCATCACCCAGTCGAATCTCGTCTATCCTACAACAAAGGCTGGGAAAAACCTCTGGGTATGGCCGCCCAAAATCACCAGACCGTCTTTTCCTGGCAACATATGACCATTTATCACCGTCAGCAGCTAGCTGTGATGAATGTGATCATTCAAAGTTGGTGCCACGAAGCGAACGGGAATCAGACGATATTGTGATTCACTACGGCCCAATCGCTTCGGGGAATCAAGTCATGAGACACGGCGTCGCTCGGGATAACGTTGGTCGAGAACTCAATGTTGTATGTTTCGAGATGGAGACTGTTGGCTTGATGAATAATCTGCCTTGTCTTCTAATTAAAGGGATCTCTGACTACTCTGATTCTCATAGGAATCAAGAGTGGCAAAGATATGCCGCTGCAACTGCGGCCGCGTATGCAAGGGAATTGCTAGAAGAGCTACCTGAGACCAGTCATGGTAAGTTAATCCAGAGGTCTTAGTATTAAGTACGACATATTCTAAAACCTAACCTCCAGGTCAATGGGGTCGCTTCCTAGATTCCCTCAGGTTTGAGCAAACCGATGCTCCTGGATTAACCATTGAACCGATTCAAGCCAAAGCATGTCAATGGTTTCTCGATCACCCCGACTACAAAGCATGGATGGATCCAAAGAAACTGACCCATCATCATGGCTTTTTGTGGATCAGTGGCAAGCCAGGTGCCGGCAAGTCAACAATCATGAAGTTCTTATACCTACACATGAAGAAAAACACCCGCCATAACGATAGCGTCATTGCCTCCTTTTTTTTCAACTGTCGTGGCCAATACTTAGAAAGGTCGACCTTAGGGATGTATCAATCCTTATTACGCCAGCTGCTTGAAGGATACCCTGACCTGCAGACTATTCTGGATAACCACGAGTTAGTTTCACAAAGCCAAAGTTCCAACAGATCCCTAAATGTCCTCAAGAGTCTCCTATACGAAGCGATTTTAGCTCTCCGTCAACGCTCGTTTATCTGCTTTGTCGATGGTCTCGACGAGTGTGATGAGCAACAAGTTATGGATATGGTCCAGTATTTTGAAGACCTAGCGGAACAGTCAACAGCCAAAGACATCTCATTTCGAATTTGTTTCTCCAGTCGACACTACCCCTATATTCCTTGTCGACAGGGAATCCGACTTACACTGGAAGATCAGTCTGGCCATTTAGAAGACTTGGCAATATACGTTACAAACCGACTTCAAGTTGAAGACCAAGACCTACGATATCAACTTCTCAGTAAATCTGCTGGTGTTTTTATATGGGTCATTTTAATGGTCGCCCTTCTTAGCAAGGAGAGACGAAAGGGTGAACTGTCTTTAAGAAAGAGACTCGCAGAAGTACCCAGTGGCCTAAGCGAACTATTCAAGGATATCTTGAGACACGACTGTGAAAGAGAAGAGGAACTCCGGCTTTGCATCCTCTGGCTTCTCTGCGCAGCGCGGCCTTTGCAACCGAATGAGTTCTATCATGCGCTCCACTCCGGTTTGTCGCCAATGGGTCTAGTAGATGACAAGATCCCAGATGTCACCGTACCAGGTGCTATTGATAGGTCTAACAGACTTGTTATAAGTTCATCGAAAGGACTTGCTGAGATCTCGAATTCTACGCGTCCAATAGTTCAATTCATCCATGAATCTGTCCGAAACTTCCTTATCAAAGAGAAAGGTCTGTATGAATTGTGGCCGGACATTGGATCCGACTGGATAAGCCCAAGCCATGAGATGCTTAAACAATGCTGCAACTTCTACATCAATGATACCTCGGTGCGTGCATCTGTGAGTAAGTTGCAATTTGAGTTCAAACCCGACGCACGGACGGAAATTGTAAAAGTGTACCCGTTTTTGGAGTATGCTAGTCAATACATCCTCTACCATGCCAACACTGCGGCAAAAGTGATTCCACAAGATGAATTCCTATCTTCTTTTCCCGTTTCTAACTGGATCACCATCAATAATCTTTTCGAATTTGATACGGTCGATGAATACAGCCTGGATGCAAGCCTTTTTTATATCCTTGCAGATAACGGATTCTCTGAGCTCATCCGCACAAGGCTCAAAGCGGACCCGGAAAGTCATATTATTGGGGGAAGGTACAGGTACCCTCTCTTTGCTGCTTTGGCCAAAGGCAACATGGACACTGTTGCTGCTCTTTTGAATTTGCCCACGAACATTTACAAAGGAGTCGATATTATAGAGGACCTGAACTCCGGGGAAGACTTGAAGAATTACACAAATCGAACCCCGCTATCTTGGGCAGCTCAGGGTGGCCGGACAGAGATTTTCGAACTACTTCTTCAGACGCAAACGACCGTCAATGACGTGGATTGGGAGGGGCGCACACCACTTTCACGCGCTTCGGAGAATGGCCACGAGGCTGTAGTGAGGTTGGCTATTGACAAAGGAGCAGATGTCAATGCCAACGACAAAAATGGATTGACACCCCTTCTATGGGCCTCTCAGAATGGTCACGATAAGGTGGTCAGGCTTCTTATCGATGGGGGAGCAGATGTCCACAATGCTAAGATCATGGAAACTGCGGTCGCAGCGACGGCGACAAGTGAGTTAAATAGGCGAGCAGTCCTGAGGCTCTTTCTGGATCGAATAGGAGATGAGGTTATTATCACGGAAGCTGTGGCTATAGCCGCGGTAAGCAACAGCTCAAATGGACGAGCACTCCTGGAGCTCTTGCTGGATCGAAAAGGAGATGAGGTGATCATCACGGAAGCTGTGGCTATAGCTGCGGTAAGCAATAGATATAATGGACGAGCACTCCTGGAGCTCTTGCTGGATCGAAAAGGAGATGAGATTATCATCACGGAAGCTATAGCTATAGCCGCGGTAAGCAACAGCTTAAATGGACAAGCGCTCCTAGAGCTCTTGCTAGATCGAAGAGGAGATGAGATAATCATCACGGAAGCTGTGGCTATAGCTGCGGTAAGCAATAGCTTAAATGGACGAGGACTCCTAGAGCTCTTGCTGGATCGAAAAGGAGATGAGATTATCATCACGGAAGCTATAGCTATAGCCGCGGTAAGCAACAGCTCAGATGGACAAGCGCTCCTGGAGCTCTTGCTAGATCGAAGAGGAGATGAGGTGAATATCACTGACAAGATATTGCGAGTGGCTGCGGAGAATTTTGCAAACAGAGATGGCATCATAAAACTTCTGTTGGATCGAAAAGGAAACGATATCAAGATCACCGACGGCATCGTGCAAGTGGGCGCGGTGAATGAAGCAATTGGAAACATCGGACCTAAAAAAGACGAAAAGTCAACCCAAATCTTCAGTTCTGTCGGGAAGGGCCTTGATCCCTTTACAGAAGGCACTCCATTTTTCCGTGGAAGTTTGGCACCGAACAGTTCCAACTACGTGTCCGATCAAATTTTTTCTGCGGAGCAACGCTCGACGTTGAATACTCAAAGAGCTTCGCTCTCAGATGTTGAAGATCTACAAACAGCCTATTCGGATACTTTAACCATGAATCATTCAGTCAAGGAGATTTACATCGACAAGCTCGTTCGTGAGCTTCTCAAACATTTTTCGCCTTTCCAGATGGACAGGTCATCCATGAGGCGTATCACAGATGCTATGCCTGATTGCCTGAAAGCATTTTCCTTGAGACTTGGGTCAAACGAATTATCTCAACATGTCCACCGAGAAGTCCCTGCGTTTATTCGAAAATATCGACAGTAAGTACATGGCTTAGCTTATTTCGAGGCGAAGCGGTATGGACTCGTTGACAATTAATGAAAAAGGGACATTGCCGATGCATTCATGAGTGAATTACTGGATGATTCATCAACAACACGCGAGTCTAGGGCGGGGGACAACATGGCATTAGACGAGAAAATGAAACTCTGGTCCGACCATGATGCAGACTCTGTGGATGATGAGGAATGCAGCAAACCGATCCAAGAGTCCGATATATTTCCCGATGCCGAAGGTGAATGCTCTCCTATTCCTGCCGACATTGTTGATTTGCACCCAGAAATCAAGATAGGTGAAACTTTTAAGGTTGTAATGCCTGAACTGCATGAATATCGCGAGTACATCGTCAGACATCCGGCATATGACTGGCTTCTTAGCGATCTCCAGAGGCACTGTCTTCACAATTCATCAACCCAAGAAGTGAGGGCGGAAATTAATAGAACAATTTTGCACGGCCTGCCTTCACAAACTCGTTTCAGCAGACGAGACTCAGAACTTCCCTACAAAATGACGTACACTGTAGACTGGGACCTTATTTCATTTCTGGAGGACCAGGATTATAACGAAGAAAGTTTCAAAGCGCTCCCGCTGGTCATCACAATTACTGGCTCTCGGAAAGCAGCTCAAGCGCTTACATGTTCCCAATACCTGCACCAGATATGGCCATCGTCTGCCGGAGAGGTTCTCAAGTTACTTCAGACCTTGCTAGAATCTGGACCAAGAAACAAAGCTAGAGGTATGCTATCCGAGATCATTTGTGGAAGACATGCCCATCATATTGACTCTTTGGGCCGTAGTTAACCTTTCGGATGGCACAAGACTCGCTGCTTGGTTCTATTCGTCTCAGCACTCGAAGGAATGCAGGATCATTTTTGAAGTTATAGGTTCCGCCTATTCAATCGCCGAAGTTGGCGAGCAGCTCTCCTGGCTTGGATCCGCTCTTCGCTCTTCGCCATATCCAGATCCAATCGCATACTGTCGGCCTCAGGTCGAGAAATTCCAGATGACCGATTATAAAAGTCAGACAGCAAAGCGACAATTTACCGCGGAGGTCAGCGCAGATATTTCCTTTGCAATGGATAGGATCGAATTTTCTTCCAATGCAAGCGGGGAGTGTTGGCATGATCTCTTCCGGAACTGTGTTGTTGTGCAGGGCTACCCAATATCCCGACGACTTGAATGCGGCGCTTCAAGTGGCCTTGAAATTCCGCTTCACATGATGGCATGTCTTGCAAAAGCGAATTTTGTGAACACATTTCGAAACTGTCTAATCCTGAAAGGGTTCTCCGCTATGCTTGTTCCAACCGAAAATTATGACGAGGTTATTGTATGGCATTTAGTGTACAATAAAAATGGTGATCGAATATCATACCTTGATAGCACGGTGGACCCTGCGGAGGGCCTGATCGCCGGACGTTTATCACAGGCCCGTCACATTTTAGGATGGTGCTCAGACACAAGATACCTTGCCGGTATGTTTAGATACATTATTTCCTTCTCTAATTAACACTATTATATTTTCAGGGACACGGGACGCAAAGTACGAAGTGTCAGGCTCCCGGCTTCCAAGGCCACGCGATAATGGAATTTTTAGCCAGGCATTCATCTCTAGCGGGAAGCTAAGAGGCGGTGAGCCCTTCTTGGATGGATACAAAGATGTCCCTTTCCATATTTCCCGAGGTGGATATCTCAAGAAGCTCAAATGGATCATCCAGAAGTCTGCGGTTCTCTGGGACGAGGAGACCAAGCAAGGGTGGTTGTTAAACGGAGCAGGCGCTCTCCTACACCTTGTGCGTGCCTCCATAATGCACGATAGTACCGGTCCCCTCAGCTCGGAGTGTCTTTTTCGATGGGAGAACCTAGAGGAGGCACCGGCCCATATCACACGCACTCCTGAATCTGCTATTGCAGTACTTTCGGACCGCGGTAACCGGGCTCTAACGATCTATCAGGACAAAGATGAGCACATCAATTTTGAAGACCGAGTTGAGCACTTCCTCAACATCTTCGAACAGATCTTTGATTATCAGGTACATGCTGTCGGGCCAGATGGCAGTGGATACAGTTCCAAGTCTATTCCTCGGGCTCACTTCGAAGGCTGGGACTTCCATGACCTCTCCACTGAATCAGACCCATTATTTCCCCGACTAGCAAAAATCCCCGTAAAGGGAAAATCATGGATTGACTTTACCCGGTCAATACATACAATCAATCTATTTGGTCGTGGGTTTGGGGAAATGCTGGAGCCATCAACTGTTTCTTGTCCTTACTGGGCCTCACTTCCTAGAGATCAATATTATTTGGCTGCAGGGATTGCAGAATTGCAGCAGATGGTTGTCAAATATACAGGTGATTTAACGGCAAATCCTGTACGGCTAAGCGAAAATCTCGTGTGGCATAACCCAAAAATGGTCTTTGAATTCTGTGACTGCGCCGATGCTACTGCAGATCATGCCGATTTAGTTCAGGTGATCTTACCAGCTACACTGTCAGATGAGCCGCAGCAATGCAATAATACCGTCACTCTGGCTCGTAATGGCGCGGTGGTCTTCGGATATAATCGAAGGTTTCGGTGGCGATGGGGGGATATTGGGGACCCTGAAAGGGATGATATCAAGGACAATAATGAAGTTCCCGTTGCCTCGACCTATATATCTGGGCATGATGATATCAAGACCCAGGTTGGTTCTGAGAGTGATTACTTCCGATTATCGAACACCCAGGCCTCTTCGATTAAAGACACTGTGGCCACTTCATCTGCTGATCATGGGTCTGCACGACCCAACCACTTATTGAGATCATACACTAAGTGGAATTTGGAATCTCTAAGGGCTGAGGACTATGCTGTCGGTATTTTGTGCGCACTGCCATTAGAGCTCCTGGCTGTCCGCGCGTTATTCGATCAAACCCACCCCGACCTCTCTCTGTCTGCTGTGGATTCAAATCACTACGCGCTAGGCCGTATAGGGCGACACAAGGTCGTCACTGCGTGCCTGCCCTACGGTGAATATGGCACAAACTCTGCAGCAGATGTTGCATCGAATTTGAGAAGAAGCTTTCCATCGGTAAAATTCTGTTTACTGGTCGGCATCGGAGGTGGTGTCCCATCGCCCCGACATGACATCCGTCTCGGTGACGTGGTGGTGAGCAAGCCAATTGGAATTAGCCCCGGCGTTATCCAGTACGATATGGGCAAGGCTCTGGAAAATGGTGTTTTCGAGCAGAGTGGATTTCTCCAAGCTCCTTCACGTGTGATTATGACTGCACTCAGTATTCTGGAGTCTGATCCTCATCTCCCTCCGAACCCTTTACAGGAATATATTGAAGAAATTACGGCGTGCAGAAAGGAGTATCGGTATCCAGGACCAGAGAATGATCGTCTATTTTCTAGCGTCTATGCGCACAATCCCAAGCACGCCACGTGCGATTCTTGCAGTATTTCTCATGTTACCACGCGGCCAAGCCGCTCGAATCATCACCCACAAATACACTATGGACTCATTGCATCGGGTAACAGAGTCATGAAAGACGCAAAGCTGCGTGATATATGGTGCATGGAAAGAGATGTTCTATGCTTCGAAATGGAAGCAGCTGGTATCGTGAACACTTTTCCCTGTCTGGTCATCAGAGGCATTTGCGACTACTCAGATAGTCACAAAAACAAACAGTTTCAGGAGTATGCGGCAGCAACGGCTGCGTCATACGCAAAACTTCTGCTTTACCATTTGAAGGATAGCATTCACTTAAATGGGACGGCATGACATGCAAGCAACGAATAATCAGAGCCTACCTAGTGTGTTCCGAAAGACTTTGAATTGTATCAATAGCACGGGTTTTGACAGTGTTTGAGCTTTAGTATACCTTCGATGTTCTCCAGTCTCAGAAATTTACCCTTCTTTCAAAATCCAAAGGCGGTCTACTCTGAGACGAACTTGGTGAGAGAAAGGGAACTAATGAACTTGTATGTACGTGTGCGTCCGCAAAAAGAAGACACTTTCGCTAAATAGGGACCCTGCTGCCACACAATCTATTTATTCGCCCTTTCATCTCCTCTTTAATCATGACTTTCATTGGCTTTAAGGGTTCCAAGGCTTTTCCTGCGTGGATATGCACGTTGCTTTGCTTACTATACCCCGACGCTTTACGACGTATTGCCAACCTTTGCTTTCCTGCGTCTTTTGTCTTCAGCCTGCGGTCCTCTATATTCTTAGTATAGTAAGCATGCATAACACCAACCTATTCTTCCTGCCACGTTTGCAGTCCCCAGGTCTATATGTCCGCACCTATTCAGCCTCCGCGGTGATGCTACAATCTAGAATCTTATAGATTCGGCTTTTTTCTTGACATCTCCTTCCCTTCCTCTCATTTTTTTTTTTTTTTTTTAGGCCACAGCGCGCGACGCGCACGTCTTTCAGTTGACAGGGGTGCTTCAGAACCTTCCAAACATAGCTTGGTATATCTTGACAGCGGGGCCAGAGAGTCTGACAAATAGTGTAGGAGGGTGTACCAGTTTTGAGACGCGCTGTAGCATTATCAAAGTCCTAAAATTGAAAGAATTTTATATCGAACTATTGTTGAATTCACTTGAACGGGGTTTCTTAATCGCTGGAAAAAGAACATAAGGTGACTCTGAGAGCATGAGCCTATCACCATATCGATTTGCTTGTATTGGCAATAACGTAAGGAAGATATGAGAGAATTTTGCTGCTTTCTGAAAGCTGGGTCGGGCTGGTCTAGGGGACTATATACTCTATTGCCGATAGATGTATATACAGTTTCTAGATGCGAGTTGGCTTATTTCCACCATGATTGTTTTCTGGGACAATCAAGTACTTACGTCTGCTATTATTCTCGACAAAAAAGATCTCGCTGTGATCCTCCTGGGTTATGATGCAGGTTAGAGAGGACCTTCTAACGCCTTGTTAGCTTCCATTTTATTCTAGCTTAAATTAAAAATGTGGCCAAGTAGTTCAAAATGTTAGTAAAGGCGGAGCTAGTATTTGCCAAACGCCAGAATGAATGTCTTCGTGGCGTTTTTAAACATTCGGTCAAAAAAGTTATATCAATTGTTTGGTTTTCTAGTAGATAGTTCACGTGGTCTTGGTTCGATTTGAGTCCAATATCTATTCCGTGTTATTCCCTGATCACAAGACTTTCATTCCATCCAGGGTAAACCTACTTGCACTTGTACCATTCGATAGCGCCAGTTACTATTAGCGTTCTCAGGTTATATTAGTGTTCTCGGTTTCAAAGTGCTGTCCAAGACTACGGGAGTGTTTCAGTCTAGCTCGAGTTTTCTCGGGAAGGACGACTGACAGTCCTAGCTCGATGTAGAACGGATGGGCAGTACGGGGCAGCGAGCGGTCAAGCAGCGGCTTGCCGTTTGAAGTTATAGGTGGAAAGATCGCCGTTTCTGTAACCAGAGGCTATCATTTTCAGCGTCGATTTGACAGGTCTCTATGTTCTAGTCGCGGTACATCGCAGTCGGTGGCTTACCACCTAAATAGCCTAAGGAGTCGGGCTGAGGATCGCATTATTGAGCATAATTCACTGTATAAAGTGATGGTTCTGTCAGGTCAATCAACCACGGGGAGTTTCGTATTCATAATTCGGTATTCAGCATCGTCGTTTTGTGCACCTATATTCTTAGTTTGCAACATCTGTGTAGACGCAGAGCTGCTGAAACAGGCCAAGGGTCTACATCATATGTAACCGAGAAAAGTCAATGCTAGTGTCTAGGGGCCATTATATTTAATTATATTTAATTCATTATTCCCTAGTTCCTCCGGGAGGAATCAATTGAGGCCGATACCACTGATTGTTTCAGGCTGCAGTGCGGGGCGTATCGCGATGAGATCTACTCCTCGAACCGGAAGGCCTAGATAGAGCAGCCAGGAGCAGTTGGAACGTGAAACAGGCAGGGTGGAGGTCACGATATGAGAGAGCAAAACTATTGTTTCACGATTCTACGCCGCAGAATCACCGATGCCAAATGCAAAATAGGCCTGGCCCTGGACCAGGAAAAGAGAATATACGAATGTCACAAAAGCCGCCAACACCCAGCCATGAATCTGAAAAATCCGATTTGCAACCTTTTACTCGTCCCCCCTCGTCCGTCATACCCTATGCCCCACAGTCTTCTCATTCAAGGCCCCGAGAGGTCCCTCCCCGAGCCCGAACCCCTCTTTAACCAGCCCATCCCGCTGCGGCCCCGCTAAAACCCACGCTTCCCAAAGCCGAGCCTGCTCTCGCGCCACACAAACCCCATCATCCCCCAACTCCTCCACACCCAATCCGCGGACCTTCTCCATCTCCGCCCGCCGCCCCAGCCCCCCCACGCCCACTGCCCGCAACTGCCGTACTTGCTTGATCCATCGGCACCGCCGTCGTCCCCGCCGCAACAGACACCGCCGATGCAGGCATCGGGTCGAAAACCTCAACGCCAGCCTCGGCGTCAAAGTGCGCCGCGTAGCCAATGTCGCAGAGATGCAGCCGCTCCAGCCGGACCAGCTCGTCGCGCAGCACGGCCAGCACATCGCGCCAGCGACCGCGCGGGCGCAGGTACACAGCGACCAGGCGGAAGGTGCGCAGTCCCGGGTGGCGGCGGGCCAGGCTGATCAGCTCGTCGGCGCTGAGGCGCCAGCCTTGCAGGCTGAGGGTGCGGAGGGCCTTGCGCGGGGAGGAGGAGGGCGGCAGGAGGGCGTCGAGGGGGAGGTCGAGGGGGGCTTTAGGCGGGAAGCCTATGTGCAGGGCGGCCAGGTTGGCAGCTTCGGCGAAGAAGGCGTGGAAAACTGGGGAGAGGGTCGCCATTGTCGGGGTGATGTCGGAGTGCGAATAGAAATTGATGTCTAGGCTAGTGAGGCGAGTGCCCATGGCGGCGAGGGTAGTGGATGGGGCGCGGAGGAGTTGGAGAGTTGCTTCAGGGCTGATTTGCGGGCCGATAAAGCGGAGGGAGGAGCATTGTGAGTTGAGCAGTGCGATACCGAGGTTTGTGACGGCACGCGAGCAGGCGTATTCCCAGTCGAAATGAGGGGTGGAGCTGGTGGCCGTGATGACAGTTGTTGCGGCGTGGTCGTCCCGGATGAAATCGAGGAGCCGTTCGTCAGCTTCGTCTTGCAGGCGGAGAAGCTTGATCTCTTGGAGGGACGAGAAGGCCGTGATGGCGGATCGCAGCTGCGTCAGATCGTGGTTTGTATCAATAAGGGCATTCTGTTCACGTAGTCGGCGACTATGTAGTCGCGCGAGATTAGGATTCTGGGTGTCTAGGGCCCGGAGGATCGGGATCCAGCCTGTATAGAGATGCGAGTGTCAGCCACGCGGATTTCTGGGGCAAGAAGTGGAATGCATTTGCGAGGATGTTTGGGTACCGCTGCCATGATATAAGGGTCGCACGAGGTATGTCACCGTTTTAACGTAGTAGGCCAGCTGCATATTTAGCAAGTCGTCGAGACGACGGAAGCCATCTTCAGAGAATCGGAGGATGAAGCGTGAGAATTTTCGCGGCGTGCCAATTCGCATAAACCGTCGACAGACAAGGCGAAAACGATCGAGATCGCACGCCTCGCCGTACTTCACCGGGCGGTAGGATTGGTGATCTTCGTGGTGGTGGCCGTTTAGTCCATTTCCGAAGGAATTGCCATTTAGAGCTCGTGGTCTCGACTCGAGCAAAAACGATAGGATCTCACTCAATAGCTCGTCGGCCAGATCGTGAATGTGACGATGTTGGGCCATGATCGGCGCGCGTGGCAGCCGACAATTCGGCGACTTGGGAGAATAGTAGCAACATGGAAGTTCGAAGCGAATGCCGGGGAGCACAGGCGCTCGCCAAACCGGGTCTTGACAGACCGGTACGGAGGCGAAAGGAGGAGTGAGGGGAAGACGAGAAGAATGTTATTCCTACGATGTAGGAGAGATGACGCACGAACAGTGGGCATTGTGCTGGCTATAAATTGACAGAAAATATTCCGAAGGGGGGAAAAAAGAAAAGAAAAAATAAATAAATAAAAAAACACAAGCTGTCGAAGGTCGAGTCGACTCGTCACTCCAGACCTTGTCTCACCATGGCCGCATGGCGGAGGGTTCTCGCCCTAACAATGCGCGGTGGGCGACCAGGATGATCATCAGGACCCTGGTTTAGCGCGCATTGGGGCTGTTCCGGCGCGGGCTTTGGCATCACGATCTTGCCCGTTCCATTGGCGACGGAGTGACGGTGCAATCACATGATTGAAGGAGGCTGCGGCCAGCCAGCGCAACCAGCGCGAACCTGCAGGCGACGGGAGCCAGTGGAAGCCAGTGGAAGTTAGAAGGAGCGAGTCTGAGCGAGTCCGCGAAAGGTTCGCGGTGGAGAGGGTGGATGATGAGTGGTGGAGGGGGTTTGAGAGACGATGGAGGGGAGGGAGGGGACGACGGTGGTTGGTGACGAAGTCGGGCAGGGCCACTGCAGGCCCCGGTCTTTGTCACATCTGCAGAGTGACGGGAGTCGCGTTGTGGAGAAGTTGGTGCTTCAGCAGCCCCGGATTGGGGGGAAACTGGCCGAAATCGAAACCCAAAGGAGCCAATTGCTTGCGCTCCAGGCGCGTTGGAGCGTTGGAGTGTTGGAATGTTGGTGGGATCCTTGCTGTCTTGAGTCTGGTCTTGTTTTGGCTGCGCCAGTCTATGCGGGTTCTATGCGAGTCTATAGGTCTATAGGGAGAGGGGTGATAGAGGAGGGGGTATGGAGGCATGTCCCGAATGCCAGATCAGGGACCATGAATCACGGACCACGGATCATCATGGATCGCAGATTCCAGATCAAGGCTCGGCTGATCGACTACAGACTCTATGTACACGGTGCGCTGCGCTGTTCTCGCTCCCCGACATTCAAATCCGCTTGCCCCGGATGCCATTGGGCAGGATGCCGCTGATTTCCAATCATGCCTTATCACAATCCTTTCAGTCCCAAGCTTAGACCTTGGCTAGGTGCATACGCCGCCGCCGAATATCTGTACTGCTGATTTTCGATTCGAAATTATTGGCGGTGGCCTCGGTGACGTCCCCGGTTTGTAATACGTCCACCTCGAAGATCGCCAGGCCCTTCCATCCTTTCTTCGCTCGTTCCACGTTGACCGCAGCCCCGCCGGCGCTCGTTTCCTTCGAAACGACCAGTGCCGTCAGGCGTTCCTCCGTGATTGTTGGTCCATAGGGATCCCAAATTTCCACGAACTTGAACGCCAGACGGGGTTGAATCCGCATGACCACGAAGTTTCCGTTCGGGCCCGGGGCAGTGGTGCGTTCAAGCCTAGGGGGTTGATTCTGAGCCTCCGGCGGAGAGAAATCCATGATGGCAGTCAAGAAGGCCGCCGTGTTTTGGAAGCGTTCTTCCCAGCTCTCCAGAAACTCCGCATACTTCTTGTTCACCAGCAGTTGGTCGCCAGTCACCCCAACGCTGAGAAGCCTATTTTGATCCTCATTCGCCTCCGTGGGGGGCTCCAGGGTGAGGGCCAGTGCGGTAAGCAGCAATTTGTGGCCGAGATGAAGGTGGTCGAATGTCCCCCCGACGATCACAGAATAGTGGGGCTGGAAGGGGAGTGACGGTTGGTCTTCGGAGAATAACAGGTGCTGGGGCACTGTCCAGTTGGAGCTGGCTGTAATAGCTTGCACATTGAGAGTTGGATGTTGTGTCGGTGAGGAGGCATCGTTGAGCAACTGGAAAAAGGCCCGAGACAATGTTTGGCCAGAATGGTTCTCGAGATAGAACACATGGTCCCACCGTCGGCCCGAGGTCGCGAGTGACTGAAGGCTGAGGATAGGCCCAAATTCCCATTGGGGAAATTGGGGTGCAGGTAATGAACGATCGATGAAAAGCACGCGGGCATCGATACCCCCTGGCTCATCGAGCTCAATTTCATGGACAGCTGCAACGGCGCCGATCAACGTATAGATGCTGGTGAGATAATGCTGGAGTTGCGCAAAGATCTTGGCCCGCGGTCTGTTTGCTGGGTCCAGCAGACCGGGCAGCTCCAATGCAAGATCCAGAGTCGCGATGCCATCAGGTCCATTGACCGATCGAGCGAGCTTTTCTAAAGCTTCTGAGATTGGAGTTTCGAAGACCTTCTTGACCTGATCGAGTGAGACGGCCGGCGGTGGGGGAAGTAGCAGTAGGGCCGCCGGGGCGCTATGGCGACTGTCGGTAGATGCCATGATAGCGATTCCCGGTGAATGCAAATAAGAAGTGTGTCGGGAAGTGTGTCAGGATGAAGACAAAGATAATGAATTAATGAAAGAGGCAGCCACAAAATCTCAAAAAATTTAATAGACTTGGCCGAGATCCGTATCAAATAACCGAATCGACGAAGTAGTAACCAGTGAGATCGGGAGAATCGGCCTAGTATTTCCCAGTATACTTGCGACGCGGAGCCACTTCTTCGGCAGGGATGAAAAACAAAGGCTATATAGATCTAGCGTTCTTCGGGTTGACTTGTCACAGTGCTCTTTTTCATAGTTCACCAGGGCCAAAGGTTCCAGAGATCCAGGGAGCAGTAGAAGTGCTGGTCCTCGTCCCCAAAAAGCGTCCGACGTTGCGGGAAACCGGGGTTAGCTGACTCAGCGCGGGACTAGCTTGCCTCGACGCAGCTGCGCCTCGAAGAATGGCCCAGGTCCTCTGTTCTCCTCCTACTAAACTCGCTCGCAGCTCTGTCAATTCGGTGCCCTTCCTCTCCTCCATCCTCTCGTGTTCCCCAGGGGGGAAGCTCACGGCGTCTCCTCCCCTCGAAGGCAAGCGCCGTGGCCATCTGCTTGGCTCCTGGCTGCTGGGCACCCACCTCCGCACCATGTCGAATCCCGCGCAGACCTTCGACTCCCCTCGACGGTCGGCCGTATTTGGGCGGCAACCCGAGGAGCTACACATCCCTTCCACTGGCTTGATCAATCCGAATCTTGCATCTCGCCAGCCGCCTGCCCACGACTATCCCGCCACCCCAGACGCGGGGGGTGCCCAAGTCCCCTCGATTAACGTCCACTCCAGTTCCCAGCCGATGCAGTATGGGGCCAGCGGCAGTGGAAGCAGTAGCGCCGCCCTCCCAGGCGCGCTGACGCCGGGAAATCAAAATCGGCCCCCAGCTGTCTCTGTGAATACAGCTCCCTCAGTTATTCCTACCTTACCGCAGTCAGCGAACCAGCCCGCTAGCCATCGCTCGAGCATGATCAACTCACACGGCCACTCCCGATCCAGTCCTGCCGGCTTCGACCAGTCCATGTACAAACAGCACGGCGGACCGGATGGGTCCAAGTACCCTTCCTCACCTGGCGCCGGTTTTCTGCCGCAGACGCCGCAGGGCTCTAAATATTCTCCGTTAGGGCTGGCCGACATTCGACCCTCGGGCGACCATTTGCTGGGAGATGCCTTGATGAGCCCGGGGCTGCTACCATACAATGGAGACAATCAGGTGCCGACAAATAGCAACTACGTGGCACCGTGGCCTATATACGCAGTCGATTGGTGCAAATGGCCAATATCTGGGAGCTCAAGTTCGTTTGGAGGCAAATTGGCCTTGGGAAGCTATCTGGAGGATAACCACAACTATGTTCGAGCACCCTTACATCTGAGTTCTAGTAAACAACTGAAGATACTTTGGTTCACTAACCATGACTATTTAGATCCAAATCATTGATACCCACTGGACCCAACCGGACCCAGACACCCCGGACGCGGCTGCGGGAGAGATCAAGCTGGAGTATGTCAAGACCGCAGAAGCAACGCATTCGTATCCGGTGACTCGCATTCTTTGGGAGCCTCCGTCTTCTCAAAAACAGTCGACGGACCTTCTGGCCACATCGGGCGATCACTTGCGCTTGTGGTCACTTCCCAATTCTCAGCCATCGCACAGCTCCAACTCGATCACCCGCTCCGCCAACCAACGAGATGCTCCCCCTTCCAAGCTGTCCCCCTTGGCACTGTTGTCGAACTCCAAATCACCTGAGCATACAGCCCCTATCACTTCTCTCGACTGGAATACCATCTCACCAAGTCTGATAATCACCTCCAGCATCGATACAACCTGCACTATTTGGGATATCCCGACATTAACTGCGAAGACCCAGTTGATTGCCCACGATAAGGAAGTTTATGACGTTCGATTCTGCGCCAATAGTGTTGACGTCTTTGTCAGCTGTGGCGCTGATGGCAGTGTACGAATGTTTGACTTGCGTAGCCTCGAACACAGCACGATTATCTATGAACCTTCTGAAAAGACAGAAAAACGTGAGTCCAAGCCAACGTTTGTAGTAATATGGAATGCCAATGTACTCACTATCCTGCGGAAGTTATGAGCCCCGGTAACTCGAGTCCTTCGGGTCCGTCACAGTCTGGCATGTGGCCACCACCACTTTTACGAATTGCAGGTATGAAAAAATCCCCTCCCCTGGAGTTCTTTTTGTATTTTTAATGCAAAGTCTTCGAGTATATCTTCTCACACTCGCCCATATTAGCCTCTCCTCATGACGCACATCTCCTGGCCACATTCTCCCAGGACTCCAATATTGTTCGCGTTCTCGATGTGCGCCAACCCGGCCAGGCTCTTCTTGAGCTGAAAGGCCATTCTGCCCCTCTCAATTGCGTTGAGTGGTCACCAAACCGACGTGGTGTCCTGGCCTCCGGAGGCGACGATAGCCTTGTCCTGATCTGGGACTTGATCAATCAGCACAATGCAGCACCTATTGCGTCGCCTTCTCAGACTCCAGGCACACAGACACAGTCTACGACCTCCGAGCGAGGTCCCGCCGCCGCCTGGCAATGCGATTATGAGGTCTCGAATATCAGCTGGTCCCCACAAGGCGGACCCAGCGCCTCTGGTCAGCCACGGGAATGGCTCGGCGTCTGCGGCGGACGAGGAATATGGGGCGTTTCGTTATAGTCAGACAGAAAAGACGATTCAGAAAGGACTTCAACGCGGGATAGGCTTTTCACATCTTCCCACCCTCCCACTGCCGCGCTCCTGAGAGCCTGCTCCTCTTTATCATCCCAACTGCATTAGATGACTTAACAATTCTCCCTGCCCCCAACCTCTCAATCTCCCTATCGGACATTGCTTTGTCTCCTTCCCTTTCCCGCACTCTCCTTTCCTTGCGCGGGCTCCAAGTGCCCCCCATATTGTCCTCGTTAGATCGGCATGATTCCTCTCCTGCGCATCCCCTCCCCGCCCCCATCTATGCATTCTGCTGCACGCGAGTCTAGTCAAGTTACTAAAGCCATTTCATTTTTCCACGGGGTTGAAACTACCGCATGTGACGCCTAATTCCTGGCCGTTGGTGGAGAAAGTCTGAATTCCATCGCGATCCGTCTTTGATTATGTCTTTTTTTTTGGTACGAGTGAATGAATGAACGACACGATACATCGGAAAGATTGGTCGTCCAGCGCTGCGTTTCCTGTCCCCTTCTTCTTTTCTTCTTTGCCCCTGCGCTGCTTCACTATCGTCACTTTGTCCAATGTCTCTTGACGCTTTTTTTTCTCTCTAGACGAGCTGGTGTGCATTGCGGTATTGCGGTAGGCAAAAATCATCAATTCTATTTCATTCGAGGTTGTTTATTGCACTATGTATAGCTGCTTTTCTATATCTACAGGCCAGGCCGGGGTTGGAGGACAAAAAAAGGGACTCGGGAGGTAAGAGAGCATGCCCGTTACGGCCTCGAGGTGGAAGTCGCAAGGACTCGTCCGGCGAGTCGGAGACCAGGGCAGAAAGGGATATCATAAAGAGGGGAAGAAAACGAAGAGAAAATTTCTAGACCAATGAAACTTGAAACAATACCACACAACTCACTGCACTCGCGGGGTATGTGCCCTCGGGCTGGCCAGGCTGGGCGTGCCCGACGCGGGAGCGCCGCGCGCAACCACGCGCTGCTCGATCCAGCGCGCAAACTTGACGCTGGGGATGTCGACCGCGCGCCAGAAGACGTCGCCGGCCCAAATCGACATCGGCAGACATACCAGCCAGCCGAGCAGGAAGCCGAGGCAATACTGGAAATCCGTGGCCTTGCCGGTGACGGCCCAGATGCTGGGCATGATGGCGTAGCCCAGGCAGTGCAGGATGGGCCCGTGAACGATGTAGAAGGCGAAGGAGATCTTGCCTAGGTACTGGGACAGTGGGTTGACGAAGAGTGTCTGGATGTCGGGCGAGTGGTTGATACTGAAGACGATCAGGACTGCGCCGATAGTCTGTGCGAATCGGTGCGGCTCTGGGTATGTCCAGGGCGTTAGATGCCAAAGCCACATGAAGCCGGGAGTCCACTTGAAGCCCAGGTTCGGCGTGGACCCGATGTACAGGCCCACGACGAAGATGGCGATCCAGAGGCGGCGGTAGGAGATTTTGGCAAGGCTCTTGCCGCCCGGGGCGAGATGGAAGTGAGTTGTGTCGTCGAGAACGGTGCGGCTGCTGGCGGGCCGCTCCCAGGTGCCGTTGATGAGGTCGATCTCGGCCATCAGCATGCCGCATAGGAAGAGGACGACGTCCCAGCGGCCGTAGCGCATACAGAACCAGGTCAAGCTGGCGACGAGGGACATGCGAACAACAGAGACTAGGCGAGAGGTGGCGAGGATGGCAATGAAGAGGACGATAGAGCAGCGGAATTCGACTGGGATGGTCCATAGATGTGGGTTGTAGTTGTTGTAGTAGAGGGCCCAGTCGAATGGGTTCAGCAGATGTGCGGCTGTGTAGTACCAATCCCAGAACTGCTTATTAAAAGAGCGATAAATGGGTGGGTGCTGTTCATTCGTGCCAAGAATAGTGTGGCCTTCCTTGATGACGCTCCAGGAGTAGTTGTACAAGCCGAGCCGGACGGCCACGAAGACACATGCAAGGCCGATGAACGAGGGGATATATAGGCGGAGGGCGCGACGGAAGGTGGATGAGGCTAGGACCGTGAAGGTCTGGTCAAACGATTGGGATCGAATGGTCTTTAGTGGTTTATAGGAAAGGACGTAGCCGGAGATGACGAAGAAGATGGCCACCATGATATGCCCCGAGATCAACAGATGCACGAATGGCAGCTGATGGAGTCCGAAGTTTTCGCCTGCAAAGCCCCACCCAATCGCGACTTTCCAGGTATATGTGAAGAGGAAGTGGAAGTTGAAGACGAGCAAGCAGGCCCAGCCGCGCAATCCGTCCAGCGCAGCGATGGCGTGCAGCTTGGTAGGTTGGGGAGGTTCGCTGCCGACATAGCGTTGGAGAAAGCTTGGAGTAAGGGCCACGGTCAGTCTGTGTGCCGCATCTTCGGTATAGGCCAGCCAATCTGTTTGTGAGACCTTCTCGGTCAAATCATAGGGGTTGGCGAGGATATTGGAGGGGTGAAACTTGGAGAAGCCATTCCAACGAGCGGACTCGTGAGAGCTCAAACGAGGACCAGATTCAAGATCAGCGAGAGGAATGTCCACAGCCGATGTTGAGGCCTGCTCTTCAACGTGTGGTGCCATCATGAGGAGAACGGGCGAATCGTCCGTGGAGAGAAATTCGGAGGGTTCGAGGATTCGGCGGTTTGATTCCTCAGAGAAACATCTCTGAGGCGGGTAGAGGATTAGTCCGATTGGGGGTGAATCGCAGAGGAGAAAGACCGCAGGGTCTGAGAAGAGAGCGGGCACAGTAAGCAAGTCCGTTGTAAGCGCTCGTCCTGCGAGACGTCGATGGGGGCTGAACGGGCCAAATCGAAGATGTTGGGTGTTGTCTTCGATCGGCGATGGGAACGCGGCAAAGGAAGCGCGGGAAGTACGTCAGCGGGCGTTTTCTTATCCACTCGGTCCGGTTGCAGCTATCAAGTATTCTTCTTCGTGGCGGCTTTCGCAGTACCAAGTCGATTAGCTGGAGCACATCAGCAGGAGAGAGCAAATCCCGGTGGGAAATGGGAGGAATTGCAGAAAGAACACCAACCGACTTCGAAGATGCACTAGGCACTAGAAGCGTTGATCCCCTGCCATTTGCGGCCGGCCGGTTGGTTCCAGGGCGGAACAAGACATCGCGAGCGGCTAATTTGACGTCTAGTTTGCTGCGGCGGAAAGTGCCATTGGGCGATCCGAGAAAGGCTACTCTGTATGATCCGCTATTCCCTATTCCCTGAATCCTTTGGATCTCTTCCGGGTCTTTGAATCTATCGTTCTATCATGGGGGACACGAGCGTGCTCGGGGTACATCAAGGACGCGTAAGACAAGCGGGATGGTCCAATCTAATCCAATCTAGATGAGGGCAAGCGTGGCAATCCGTTCCTAGACACAGGAAGACTATGGACTGGCATTGTCGCGGGAACAGTACGATGGGAGGTTATTGACAGATGCTTCGACTGACTGGATGAACTCGTGCCAACTACTTCGTCTCGATGCCGTCGAGTTGCCAGTCGCTGGTTTCGATCCAACGAGTCTTGGCACTCAAGTCTTGGCATTGCGGCCTGTGATGTCAGGCAGCCATAGATCTCATTCAGGCACCAAGGCTGAGATGAGTCAGCGGTATCACGTGTCCGTCTCGAGATTCCACTGTGGCCTCTTCGATGACGGTCAGGCACCACGTCGCAAGGGAAACTAGCACCGGGCGCAGAAGGAACGCTCAGAGAGAGAAGGAGAGAGAAGGGGGCGTCTCATTCATGCTATCCATCATGATTCAGAGACCATCCTGGCTTGTCCCGACCCAACCAGGTGCCAAGAGCAATGCGAGTCGCGTGTAGTGTAGAAGGAAGCTCGACAAGCTTGATACGCTAGCTTCCGCGTGATCGCGGCCGGAAGCACCGTCCACGCCGAGTGCACGGGAGGAGAAATACCGATTAGATGAGATATCCGACTCGTAGTCGTTCTATCAAAGCCGAAGAAGATCCCCGAAGGGCCCTTGGAACGGCTTAAATAGCACTTCCCCAGGACAGCCGGGGATTTGTGCTGCCCGAAGCGGCGATGATCCTCCTCAGCTCCCCGATTCGCGCAATCTGAAGTTCTCCCTTCTTTGTTCTCCGCCCATTGACCCTCTCAACCTCTCAGCATCGCGGCCCCTTCCACGGTCTGGATGTCGCGATCGCTAGTCGCGTGTCTTTCTCGATAAAGCCCTGCTCGCGCCGGTGGTTGCGGTGGTCCGCTGCCTCCTGTGAACGTCGCGATGGATTTGCGCACCATCATGAACACCGACGCCGGCGGTGCCTCCAATCGTCCGCCGGCCACGCCATCCTCGAGCTCGCCCACCGATGCTTCCCATCAACAGCGCGCACAACAGCCTTTCCCGGACTATACCGGACGCCCCTCGCAGCCTCCATTGCAGCGGCCGCACGCTTCCCCAGACCGATCCTCGTCCTTCGGCCCCGTGGGATCACCCTACCAGCAGTTTAACGCGCCGCCACCCATCAACACAGCAGTACAGTCTCAGCGAAGCCAGAGTCCTTCACATGTCTCGACTCCATACCCCGGGGCGCGCGATACATACGGTGGATCGGGATACAACGCGCACCAACAATCCTCGGCTGGCCCCTTGACCTCGCCGTATACACCACAGCAATCTCTGAGTGCGGGCTCGCAGCAATCCGAGCATCAGTCATACTTCGCGCAGCAGCGCTCTCACTCGCTCCATTCCGTCGTGACAAACCCGCGCGCCGCGGGTGATGCATTTCATACGCAGGATAGCCCTCCCTCCACCTCACAACCTCTGCCGCCCCATCAGTTTTCCCCCTCCGCGCATCGCTCCGTTCCTGGGACCCCACTGGGGCCTCCACCGACCTTCTCGTCGCGCCAGTCGCCCTCGTCGGGACGTCCTCGGTCCTCCGGTCACGATTCCGTCCACAACCCTCTATCGAGCCCGCAGGCCGCACTGGAAGCGCAAGGACGAGAGCCAACAAAGACTCAATCCCCCTCAGCTTCTCGGCAGTTCGCCACTGCATCGCGTCCATCCGAACCAACCTCCCAGTTCCACTCCAGTAGCGTGCAACAAGAGCAGCCTGACATCACCAGCCCCAAGGTGTTCTCCCGCCAGAATAGTACTGCAGCAACCTCGGATTCCCGAGGGTCCCCAGTTGCGACGGGAAATCCACACATCAACAGCTCCCCATCGGCTCAGCGAAGTAGCTCGCACCCTCTCAAAATGGAAGTCGACCATGAGTTGACTGGCCATTCCGAAAATCAACCGCCCAAACCAAAGAGGATGCGATACAATGAGCCTCCGATCTACGCTCAACGATCCACCCGTACAAAGGGGGTGTGTCCACCAATTCAAAATCCTCAACCTCTGGTGTCGAAACAGGAAAGGCGGCTAAACCAAGATGCCTGGGCCTCGCGCAGGCAGTCTCTAACCTCGGCTCCGAGATCCGCTACTACTCCCCGTACTGCTCGCACGCCTGGCCCGCCTGGTCCGCCTCCTGGCCCGCCTCCTGTTAGCAAGAACGGGCCTCCCTCGCAGCCTCCGGCTCCAAGCGCCGAGCCAGTGGGCGGCCTTGGACCGTGGGAGCCCTCAATCAGTGGCTTCATTCCCCACGAGGAAATCACCAAGATGCTCTGTGATTTCCTGTTCAAACATGTGGTCTTGAGTAAGGATGTGGCAGTTGGGCCGGCAGGTTCAGCCGCTGTAGGCCAAGGCGCGATTATCGAGATTGAGGCTAAGTTAGGTCATGTTATCGACATGGATCGTCGAGAAAGACTAAGATTGCCCATCCTTACGGAGAGCGTCATCGACCGAGACAACTCCGGGTTTCGAACATCTTTCGAGAGCAGGATGACTATCGTAAGTCACTGTGTCCCCATCATGCCATCTACTAGCAACACCGCAATCAGAACTAATTGTCCATTTACCCAGGAACAACATCGCGCTATGAACAACTTTTTGAACGAAGCCGTGAAGGGGTCCATTTCAGTTACAGACCCGAATCGCATCCCCATCTCCTACGCACACAAAAAAGAACGCGATACATTCTATGAGGTCTCCTCCGATGACCTGCCTCCAATCATTCGACAGAATCTGAATCGTCGACACACACCCAAAGTCCGTGTGACCACCGACCAACAAACTGGTGAAGTGATCGCCAAGATCGTCAAGTGTCGTGTCGCAGACATGGACGTATGTAGTCCACGTACCGTCGTCGACTGGCGGGTAAGCGTAAACCTGGAAATGGAATACGACGGCGACATCAGCCATTTATCACCAGTCGACACCAGCAAGGGCGGCCGAGGCGAACGCAATAAAGATCGCATGAGCTACCGACACTTAGCTTACCAGATCGATCTCACGCAGGTAGCTAGCGCCGATGTGAGTTTTCTTTTGCTATTTACCCTGCCCCGAGAATTTGTGTCGCGGTGGACTTCTCTTCTAACTTTTGAAAATAGCATCCGACGAAAAATGATTTCGAGCACGAGCTTGAGATCGAAGTATCTGCAGCCGAAGTTAAGCGCCAGGGACAGCTTGCCATGACTGGCAATCCGAAGAATCAGTATGAGGAGCTGGTCAAGGGGTTTGTGGATAATATTCGTTTACTGGCACGGGCTGTGCCAGGATGAAAAGTCCTCTCTGGCCGTCTTTTGTCATTTTTCACTTCTGTACCATGTATTCTCAGTAGGAATTTTATGCCGACCCTTGCGAGGGGGGAAGGGGGTTCTTTCCCTTTTTTTTTTTCTCCTTTCGATTCTTGTCTTGCAGATATGACTTATTCGCATTGGCTTCCCGGGCATAATAAGACGCCCCACCAACAATAGACAGGACATGACAGGAAGAGAGCTTCTTTAGATCTCTTAAACATCCATCTCCGATCTTGTAAAGAATCTATACGTTTCTTCATTTTTTATGGTCTGGTCGTTGACTGAGGTTCCGACCTTCTTAGACACGTTCATTCTCGAGGCCTATGTTGATGATCCGGATGTAAAATTTACACATACAAGACACGATCCATAGAAGTGAGCTATCTCAATGAACAAGATCGCAGATCCAATCATCAAGAAACCCAAGGGATTCCTATTTGCCGTTTTGAAGTATTTCGCCACTTGGTGGTTTTTTGAGTATGTAGGCGCGCTTGGAGGATCTGCTTTCATTTTATATTCTAAGTCCGAAACGCGTAACAATAAATCCATCTAGATGTGAAGGGGAAAAAAGAAGACTGACCGACTCTCAAGGCTCATTGATCACCAGACCACCAGGCGAGAACATACGTCTACGCAACTGGAAATTGTCATCAGGCATGCGTCTCCAATCCCACGCGCCATTTGCAACTCAACTTCCGCCAAGCCTAGCATCCATTATTTTTTCGCGGGTCTGGGCAGAGTAAACGGCATAAGCAGGACACCTCGTTTGCATTCAATTACATTCTAAATATATACGGACGCTCAAAAGTCCCCTTCATCATTTTCCTCGGCTGATCCAATGAAATTTACAAGTACTATGAACATATCTAGCAGATTTCAGTAATGATATTACATCACCGGCTAAATTTAACTATCAGTGACCTTCCGACCATAGTTTCCACCGCCGATTCACGAGCGAGTCAACCCCAGTTAGCCATCTTTTCCACGTACTGCCTCCTCCCAACTGCAGTACCATTTTCATTCGAACATAGTCCCTAGTTAATTGGTCCTCCTCCTCGGTTTTCACCTTTATGCAGCTATCGGGCCCCCAGACCATCCACTGACACTGGTGGTGTTGATAGTCCGCCTGCCAGGGTGGTAATCCATACGTAAATTTGATCCAGGCTGACTTAAATTCACGTGCCATATGCTGCTCGTTTTCATTCAATTCATGATCCAAGTTTCCAAAGAGATACAGCAGCTCATGGGCATGGTATGCAGTCCCTTCCAATGCATTCGGTAAGCGGGAACGTTGATCGAAATGGTAGAAGAATAATCCCCCCTCTTGAGATCTCCTGTGGTCTAGAGATTTGTGGGCGAGGACATAATTTGGTATTTTGAAGATTGCATCTCCACACATATGCTCCACACGTCTGAATAGCTCGACGGAGGAGAGATCTTGAGTGATTTCGTAAGCGCTCAAAATCTTGTCAGTGGATGCTTCATCTAAAATATGACTCTGTAGCACGTCACGGATAGCTTCGTAATCATAGTCAAGTAAGTTGAGGTGGAAAATAATGCCCTCGTGATAGGTGTCGCCAAACATGTAGTCTTTCAACCAAGGTGGAGGAATATTGACATCGCGTGGGTCGAGATCTGGATGATAAAACCACCCATCAAGACACGGATTTCCAGTGCCGGATGGAACGCCCTGGATTGCAGGGGTTGCATTTGCGAGATCCTGCTGCGGAATTGCTCGCAACTGCTCTAAAGCACTTTCAGCACATGGGTCGATTTTGAAATGAGAGCAGACAGCCTCAAAAAGTATTTGATGTTGTTTCTGAGTCCATGGTGGGATTGCAGCAGAGAGGCCAGACATGCAGATTGCGCGATGAAAGACTGGAGGGTTCATGGCATGCAGCTGGTTACTGATTGAGATGCCTCCCGCCGATTCACCAACAGCAGTAACATTGTTAGGATCTCCTCCTAGATGTGCAATATATTTTTGGACCCAGTCAAAGCCAACCTGCTGATCTGTGAAGCCGAAGTTGCCGTTACCAGCATGTCCATCTTTCTGTAGCTCTAGCTTGATAGAGTTGCTCGCGAGAAATCCGCCGATTCCGACTCGGTAATTGAAGTTCACGCATATGATAGGAAGCCCGATGGAGATACTATGAGAGACAAAGTTGACTGCATCAAAAATTGGCAAATTTGCGCCACCGTATAGCAGCGAACCCCCGTGAACATAGACGAAAACAGGCAGCTGGTTGCTGCTCACTTCGCACGCATGCGGGATCACAATATTCATAACTAAACCTGACAGTTCGTCTACAGCCATGGGCCAAGGTAAATGTTTTGAAGGAGGAACTGGGACAAGGTCATTCGAATTATCGCCCTCAACTATTGGCATGGGACAGTCGTGCCTGTGAGAAGTGTGAGGTTGAGTTTCAAGCATTATTTATTGAAATTCCAAAAAGAACCTACCCCAAATGGGCTCCGTCATGATATCCTCCATTCCATGAGGTCTTGAGTATAGAACGAGTCCAGCGCTTGGGCAAATCAGCGTAGGGAATCCCGCAAAACTGTTGAACACCATTGGCATATTGGAGGCCCTCCAGCGTACCAAGGCCAGGAATGCTGGTGGTGCACTTGGAGACAGGGTCTTGAAAGGACATCTGAAGAGGGAGAAATAAGAAAAAAATGAAGTATCAATCTGTTAATCAAAGTGCCTACTCTACCATGTCCGTCATTATATGGGCATGTCCATCCGAATTATACTTCCAAGCCGATTGTTATCAGCCGGAACGGGCAGTCCGACCCGTTATCAGCGCCGCACTCCACGCGCTCCACATCCCCGCATTCCTTATAATGCACGACGCAAATCGCCCTCGTGCGAGCCTGCATTGTTCTTCTCTCTTCAGGAATGTCGACCCGCTCTCATCAAGGATGTTGGACCTGCAAGCGCCGGCGCCGGAGATGCGATAACGGTCATCCGTCATGTGAGAACTGTGTCCAACGAGGCTTGGATTGCGAGGGCTATGAGGTGCGATTGCGCTGGGGCACTGGGATTGCTTCGCGGGGTCGGTTTACAGGAGCCGATAAGCCTCTGGACGACAGTGTACCACCGAGGCCTAAGGGGAGACAAAGGGATCGTAGTAAGGAGCGAAGGAAGCTTGAAGAGACAAGGAAGCTCGAAGAGCTCAAGGCAGAAAACCCGAATTACACCGGTTCGTATATGAGCTCCTCAGCAACCTTGGGATACGTCTCGATTTCTAAGATGCTGCTATAGAGCTTTCCGCCACGACTCCACCGCCGGAGGACATGGAATTCACCGACAGCGCGAAAAAGGATCAGGAGGAAGCCATTTTCAACGAATGTGAGTTTTGAATACTTGAAAATGAAAAATCGTGTCAGTCCAGGGGGTTAACTCAGCACGTGTACTAGTCATGAAAAATGGAATCAACGTCCTTCATTCAACCACCGCTAAAAATAGCATGCTTCAACCCCGACTGCCCCAATTGTGTCAAGAATCTAGTGCCTTGTATACCATCTGCCTCACATTCCAGTTATCTTTGTCGGCGACTCATACTCCACGCTTCTTCGAATACTTCGACTCTGCGTTACGCGAATTCCGATCCGAGCTCGCCCATAGTACGATCCTCTCGGATGGGACACTGACCGCGGGGCTGTTACTTTGTAGTATTGGCGTAGGTTTTCCCCATGGCCCTTTGTTTCAGTCGAATCTTCAGCTATCTACAACAATCTCTGACACTTTATTATATTTTCTCAGTTGATGCATGGTTTACCCTGGACTATGCATCTAGAAGGCATGCATAATATCTTGCAAAGCCATGGTTTGGATGACCAACAGAGCACAATTAGACAAAGCCTATTCCGCGCCCACTTGCTCGAGGTCATGGGGGTCATGGACATACCCTGTGTTGCGGTCGGGCGCCAAAGACCCAGTATCGGCATCTGGCGTCGTTTCTGTCAACCGACGGGACCAAGACACGGCATTGAACCGGTTACAGGACTACCACGCACGCTAGTTGATCTGTTTGCGGGAATTGACTTCGATACAACGGAGCAAAGCTTTTGGGATTGGTCCGGCGAAGCGGGAAGCTTCTTACAGTGCTATTTGTGGGAAGCCCATCGCTTGGCCGGCATTTTAACCCTTCGTCGAAATGCGCGTCTTGGCAAACAGCTGTCTCCTGACATGTCAGAATCCGCGTCGTGGAGACACCCAATTAAGTGCCCTCTGGATGAAACGGTGTTGGTGGCCCGCATATTAGCCAATCTTGATGCTTTGCGTCTAGCATATTTCGAGCGACCGACAGAAGAACCATGTATCAGAAATGCAGTCAATCTTCCGCTATTTATTGCAGGCCTTGAAGTTACCGTTATTTCTCACAATCCACAGTGGCAGAGAACAATTCGAAGTTGTGTACTTGGTTCGCGTCAGGATGAGATTCTTCTCGATATCCTGGAAGAACTCTGGCATCGCAATGATCCTATGCTTGATGTGGATGACATTGCCCGAGCAAGAGGGGTAGAAATGGGATTGTTGTGACATCTTTCTCTCTTGAATATATGTACCTCTAACCAGGGAAGCTCACAACTGGCTCTGGCAAGACGGAGAGGCCGGTCGGATCCACCCATCACACACTACTAGCACTGAGAAGGCCTCCTAAACCAGTAAACAGGCACCTGCTTTTGAAAGAAGTGGAAGAAAGCTACCATTCCCGCTTTCTAGCAACCAGGGACTACATCTGCAATGGTCATATATACACCAGATCCAACCCACCAAGCAACTTGGTCGCCCAGTTGGCGATTCCCCACAGCACAATGGATAATAGATAATGGAGCTACTATCTCAAAACTGGCTGGGTATCATATGAGCAGCTTTTTCCTTATGAAACCTCTGCTGAGCGAACCATAACCCAATAATTCAAATTTGGAACCTCTCCCTCGTGTGTGGGTGCATCCGTTAGTTCTACCTTTTCAATAACCCGGAAACCGAAATTCTCGTAAAATCCAATATTTTCATAGCGCGTGCACTCCAGATAAATTGGTTGGTCTGCGACCAGGTCGAGGACTGATCGCATCACACCAGCACCCAGTCCGCGAGATTGAAGCGCGGGATGAACAGCAATTACCTCAAGATACCACAGCTTAGATGCTGAGTATTTTGCTTGAAGTGCTTTTTTGCATTTATGGTTTTCTTCGACTAGTTTGTCGACTCGCTAGCGATGAAATTGGATTAGAGAAAAATTGTGAGAAGTTAAGTGCAGGAATGATAGCCTTACAGCGCTCTTGCATCCTTCATCGTTTGCGGGACTAATCAGTTCCAGGAGCCATAGTTTGCATGCGAGCCACAGCGAGGATATGGTCCACCCACAATGACCCTTCGGCGGGAAGAGAAATACAACTGCTCCTGGGTCCTCTCGGCTCGATTGGATATCAGAATTCTCCCTCACGGATGTTGAAATTGACTTTTCGGGGATAGCATTATCCCGTCCTGCCGATGTAGATTTCTGGCCCTTGAGAGGAAATTCATGTGCTATTTGACCAACATTGGCCGAATACAGCACCTTCCCTGAAGACATCACTGTCTGAACCCTTCGGTACTGCCATTTCCATGCAGAAGGTTCTCCCTCAGCCCATGGTATCGCATTTGGGCGAAGCCATCGAATCAATGGATCGGATGAAAACGCAGCATTGACTGTTCGGACGATGGCTGAAATCGAACGATCTATATAGAATCCACGCATGAGGCAAAGAATCTTCTCTTTGCGGATATGTCTTAAGACCATTCAAGAGTGAAGACATACCATGTTGCACCTGGAAAAGATTGACCTTTGCCCTATGTGTGGACATTTTCCTCCCGAGATTCCCAGAAGAGGAGGTGGTAGTAACTGCAAAAAGATGATGGGTAAAAGATAAGGCGACTAGATATGAGTTTCGAGGGTCATTGGCAATGCTAGTATTGCACCGGGAAGTTTTAATTGATAGCTTGGTCGTGATAAAATTAGTCGATGAGTCCACATGAGTTCTGTAAAGAGCCCCATCGTTTCGACATACCAGTTTCGGCGATTAGCCAGACTGGAAGCTTGATTGTGTCCACCTTCCAAGTCGAGCGGATACCCCAACTTTTCGGGCTCGCTTATCAAAGCCAGGGCGCCCAGGAGAGGATGGAGCTTATGAGGCTGCGTATCTAGACTGTAGACCGGGTCGATCAAGTCTGCCAAGAGCCTCTGATCCTGGTACCCTATACCGGTTCCGGAAGGTCGACACCCCCCGGCTCTAGAAATGAGGGGGGGACGGGAGCGCCACCGTAAAACTAAGTCGGGAATTATCTGCTTTGTCCACGCCGATAAAGCTTGCCAGGGTCGTAAAGCCGGGTCAAGGGCTTATCGTACTGGCTCACGTACTTCCAACTAGCCAAGGTGGCGCAAAATGATATCGTCCATCATGTGAACCAATACCAGTTGCGCTTGAAATCCGGGGAAGTAATTAAATATCTCCGGTTTTCACCACAAGAGATCCAGCTGTCCTACTCTGCATCAATTGTATTGCAATTGGAGATATGGCTAGCGACAGCGATCATCCTGAGACGTCCTCTTTTGAAAATGAGAGCGCTCTTCCTCCAGGCACTTTTCGCTTGATTCGAGGTACGTAGGGAAACGACTGACATTCCCGAATACCGCATTAATTGATAGCAACAGAAGATGGATTGGATCTCCATGGGCAGCGGGCCATTCTACTTGAGCCTATTCCTACCAATGATCCTAATGAGCCCTTAGTATGTTGTTTGCTTGTATCCGTCAGTCAATATTCTTTGCAGGACTAATAATCGGAATTCATAGAACTGGAGCACTATGCGCAAGGGTCTGAATTTCACCATTCTACTGGGCATGACCATCATTGTTTTCACAGCGTAAGCTCTATCTCATTCTCCTTTTCTCTCGATTGAAGAGCTAACAAGCTCCTGGGTCAGACTTTCAATTCAGACCATCTTTTGGCAACAAATGGTCGTTGATCTTGACGTCAGCTATTCCGAGCTCAACCAAGCCATGTCTGTGAACTACGTGGGACTTGCAATGGGCTGCGTATTTTTTATTCCACTTGCGAAGAAGTTTGGCCGGCGTCCGATTTATATCGCATCAACGGCCCTTATGCTTGCTACCTCATTTTGGACCGCCCGGCTTGATAGCTTAGCGGAGTTGTACGTGGCCAATCTGTTGCAGGGCCTAGCTGGAGCTACGAACGAAGCAATCTCTGAGATTACTGTACGTCTTTGCAGTTTATAACGATTGACTATCTAGCTGATATCTTCTAGATTTCCGATCTATTCTTCGTCCATCATCGTGGTAGTGCGAATGGTCTCTATATGACTATGGTCATGATCGGCGTAAGTACAATACAGCTTCAAAATAAAATGTGGCCCTGAGCTACTCTCATTGAAAGAATAATACTAATGATTACCTGAAGAGCTTCCTGACGCCCATGGCAGCGGGTACCCAAGCAACCGCACAAGGCTGGAGATGGTCATATCAAACCCTCGGCATTTTCAACACTGTCTTCTTCCTCATTTTCTTGTTCCTATATGAAGAGACTAAATATACTCCTGTCATAAATGGCCAAATGAGTACGGGAGGAGAAGAGAATGATAGTGTTCCTTCTACTATGGATCCAGACCACAAGTCCGCCCGGGCAGACACTAAAACCGCAATATCAGCAGAACCAAGCAATTTCCACCATGAGATCGACCTCAGCATTCCTCTAAACTCCTGGCGCAAGCGCCTCGCCCTGGTCACACCGACCCCAGAATCAATTTGGCCATATTACTACCGCCCATTCTACGTGCTCTTCACGTTCCCAGCTGTATTATTCGCGGCCCTGCAATATGCTGCCGGTGTTGTCTGGCTCACCATAACGGCCAGTGTTCTTTCTCTCGTCTTTCCACTTCCTCCGTACAATTTTACCCCTGAGCAGATCGGATTCATGAGCACGGGCCCGTTCATTGGCAATGCTATCGGCGCACTGTACGGTGGATTCCTGGGTGATCGGTCCATCCTATTCTTTGCACGTCGGAACAAAGGCTTCTATGAGCCCGAGATGCGTCTATACATCTTGCACCTCCCGGCTCTTGCTATGGCGGGGGGGCTCATTATGTTTGGCGTTACCATTTCTAGGGTAAGAATGTGCCTCAACATATTCCAAGCTTCTTCATCCTTCATTAGTCCCCATTCTGACAAAGAATACTTCTTAGGGAATGCATTGGATTTATCCCAGCGTCGGAGGCGCTCTTTTTGGATTCGGCCTCGGCAGTATCGGTGATGCGTCCTTGACCCTGGTCATCGACAGTTATCGTGATGTAAGTCAACTCCACCTTTTGTTACTCTATCATGTTCCTTCTTTAATCGCACCCACCTATCAAATTGAGACCTGACACTTATGCATTAGATTACTGGCGATGCTTTCACCGGCGTGGCGTTCCTTCGGAATGCCATCAGCATAGGCATTCCATTTGCGATCACTCCTTGGATGAATAGAGATGGCCTTCAAAATATGTTCATTGCTTGTGGCTTTATAAGCTTCGGTGTGTCACTTTTGATTATCCCTATGGTGTTTTGGGGAAAGAAAGCGCGGCGCGGCTTGGCTGCTCGATATCACCGACTAGTGGAGCAGCAGGGTCATTCCCACTAATGCTCACGCTCTTCCTGGGAAAATTGAAAGGGTTAATCATTGGGTATTTTATCACTTCGCCAGATAGGGAATGAGACTTTTGATGGATTATATTGACTGTTCTGGGGGGGAATTTCCTTCGTAATTATTTAGTTCAAAAAATCTTGGAGAGATTTTTGAAGATTTGGGTACAATTAGCGAGGTGTAGTTTCCCTTAGGCGGGCTATTCCGATATCTCGAATTGCTCAGGAATTTTTGAGTCAAAGTAAAGAACAAGGCACTTGAACTATATCTTTCCATCTATTCTTTCATGTTGGAACTATAGATAAATTACATGCCAACGTAATCACAGACGTGAGCTGAAGGGCTCACCGCATGAAGTCGGTCTAAAGATTAGAATGGCGGTTTGAATCCACCACATTCTTAGGCAATTGGGCTTCGGCAATTCGTTTTTCAGAAATGAGCATCTGTTCTGGGAACCATGACAAATCGGCGTTCGCAGTCGCAGCGAGTTGACCTCCCTTCGTCAGAAGCATAGTTGCCAACGCCTTCCCACACAGCCAGGCTTGTACCATGCCCTCACCCCCAAATGCAGCACAAGCCCATTCAGCGCCGCCAGCAGGGCTTGTCGGCCCAGCACGCTGTGTCATAGAACTAGGCAGTTGTCCAACCCATGGAAATCCGTCTGCACTGAAGCCCATGTTGCCCGTCCACATGGCTTGGATTTGATCGCCGTGCACGCGACCCCAGGACTTGTGGCCGAATACCGCACTCAAGGCTCCAGATAAGTGGATATCTATGTAGAGGCTCATATCGTTATCTGTCGCAATGCCCAGATCGGCAACCCCGCCACCCTCGCTGTTAGCGAATCCTCCGCCGAACATCATCTGCCCCTCTGGCAGCTGGGTCAGGTAATCGAAGCCGCGTTCGTATGTGAACAACCACGAATGTTTTGCGGCTTGCAAGGGAAATTGGTCTCCAGGAGTCTGAGCGGACATTTGACCGCGTAGCGGGAAGATACGCCCCCGGAGTCCGGGAACTAAATGGCCCACATGGGCATTGGTGCAGTGAATGACGTGTTTCGCGGAGATGGTGCCCCGAGAGGTTTCAATCCGGTATGGCTGGTTTGAAGTCAGATCACTTTGAATCAATTTCACAGCTGCATGATCCTCGACCCGAAATTCATTTGGGTAGTCCTCAAGCAGTTTAGACAGGACGCCCGTCACAAATTTATAGGGCCAAAGGGCACCTGCGGGACCGGCCACAATGCCGGTGGCACGCGAGAGTTTGAACTCCTATATCGTTGTAACAAGGTATGGTTAGTGATGCTATAAATCCTTGTAGCTCGCCGACAGTTATCAATTGGTGTAAATACCTCAGGGATAGCGTCTCCTTCATACGCAACCCACTCCGCGGATTCCTCTGGCATCCCGTTCTTAAAGCGCCGCAGTCGTTCAAGGGCTTCCTTCCAGGGTTGCTCGCCAAAGAATGCGCTGAGAAACCGGACCTTCCGGGCTTGGGCTTCTTCTGTCAGCCCAAGCTCCTCCGCCACATTTAAAATCTCCCGCAGGTGAGCCAGTCGGAACCGCAAGGTCTTGCGCGCGACATCCTCGCCAAATACGTCAGCCAGTTCGGCGTATTCGTCTGCCGTCTCCAATATATGGCCCCCGTTGCGACCAGTGGCACCGCTGCAGATGTCGCGCGCTTCCAGCATGACCACAGCTGGATGGGATGGAGTTGGCGAAGCGGAAGGAGCCCGGTTTTGGAGCAGCGTGCGGGCGATGGAGGCGCCGGTGATTCCGGAGCCAATGATAACGACATCGGCCGATGGGGGCAGTCGCTTTGAAGAGCGCTGGGCAAAGTCGGGATGTGGCTTTTGCAGCCAAAAGGACGACGTTGTCGTCTCTTGTGGAATGCCAGGGTCCGCATGGATGCGGTTCAGCGCGTCCTGTCGCTCTGAGGCCGGGACGGCGGTATTCGTGAGTAGAGATTGAGCAAATGGCATTCTGACAGAGTTTAAGATATGGTTTCCTCGAGAGTGCGACTGAAAAATCGTTTCAAAGAAAAGATGAAAGTGTTGCATGTTGAGCTTAGAGTCGTACCAGCCTCAAATAGGCCGCAAGTATGCTCTAGGCAATCAAAGCCATGTCACATTGTACCCGTTGCGCACTAATCGGAAGCAGGCTGTTGGACTTCCCCTTTTCGTTTTGGCATCATATATCTTATTGTAACTGTGTCTGCAGGCTTCAAACTCTCAAGCTTGTTGATAAGGTGGAGGGGTCGACCTACTGTTTTGGACGGTTTGGGGGTGCGGGGGAGATGGACTCCACTCGGACAATCTGCGGAATAAACACACCAAGGCGATCAGGACTAAGTCATAGTTTTCAGGACATGGAATATGCCTGCACAATATAAAATGGCAGTTCTGGGTTTGGGTATGGCTATCTCTGTCTCTATCGTTTCTTTCATCTCCCATTCATGATGTCCTCCATTCCTTCTCCCGGCAACAATCTCTTCCCCAATGGCCCGCAGATGCGACAGCCAGCGTTATCCTTTCTATATCGATTGGAATGCGATATCGAAAAGCAGGAAATTGATGTCGGTGCTCCTCACGATGCGGGTATCATACGTAGCATTGCAAATATCGTACGTGGCAGCTTGAAAGGGCCTAGGATTGAAGCGTCCATCCTCCCACTGGGTGGTGCAGACTGGGCGACAGTGGTGAAGGGAACTCACGTAAGAGGACGTCCCCGAGGTCCTTAGGACCGTATCAAGAAGACACACTCTAATAGGAATATCTCTAGTCAATGAAACTCGATGCACGATACACCGTCCAGACCACCGACGGCCACTATATCTATGTTCGGGCCCACGGGCTGTATCGTCCGGGCCCGGGAACGGACTATGGGAAGCAAGTTGCGGAGGACTGGCGCAGACCTCCCAAGGCGGTTGTGACGCAAGACGACGTGGAGTTTTTCTCCCATCTGCGCCTTGAAGCGGGTCCAGGTCCGTACAATTGGCTCAATGGACTGGTCTGTCTCGGAGTGATGGTTTGTGAAGACGAGAAGATCTGGATCGATGCGTATCACCTCACCAACTTCCCGGGCGTCCGGCCGGAGGATGTGAAGGCGACGGCATAAGGCAGAAGCCCAGAGAGGCGCGGCAAATAGCACTCAACAGAAGCCGAAAAGGGGGTCATTCCAGCCTGGCAAACGAGACGACTGATCTGTACGTCTGATCTGTTTCGCGTCATTTTAATGGATGAGAGAGTGGATTAGTCTGCATTAGGCTCAATCAGGGATGTGGACGCACTGGAAGGACTGCGGGGTTCAAGTGGAAATGGAAGTCCGGCCGAGGCGCCCCACGTGGCTATCGTCGTTATCGCCGTTATCGTCGTTATCGGGGGTCATACAAAACATTATAAGACCGTGTTAGCCAAATAGATCAATACACATCTTTCAAGCTTCTCTTTTTCTTTTCGTACAATTTGCAGTGACGATGGAAACAGCCCCTCAAGCAGTCGATTGGCAGGAGCTGGTGGCTCGCAAACGCAGCGAATGCCAGGCGAAGATCCCGCACGAGTGGATGGTCACAGTGGATCAACTTCAAGTGTCCCCGCGACTGTTAGAATCTGGTCTGGTGCGGCGATGTGGTCTCTTATCCGAGATCGAGCTCGATATTACTGAGAACTACTCAGCAGCTCAGCTGCTGGCCAAATTGGCTGCAGGCCACATCACTTCATTGGCCGTCACCACCGCGTTCTGCAAGCGAGCAGCCATTGCGCAACAAGCGGTAGGCGTCCTTTTTACCCTTTTACCGTGGTGACCATAAAGGGCTAATTGATATATGATATAATCATTCTAGACATCGTGCCTGACGGAGACCTTTTTTCCACAAGCGCTGGACCGCGCTCGCTTTCTGGACGAATACCGCGAACGCGAAGGCAAGCCTATCGGGCCACTGCACGGACTGCCGGTCAGTCTCAAAGACAGCTTCTGCGTTGAGGGTATCCAATCTACTGTGGGATATGTCTCTTTCCTGAACCATGAGCCCGCAAAAACCAACTCGTCCCTGGTGGCCCTACTTCTCGACCTCGGCGCCGTGCTCTACGTCAAGACAAACATCCCCCAGACCATGATGGCAAGCAATTTCCCACATACCTCTCCAACTCAGAGAAACTGTCTCTCAATCAGCAGACTAACTAACAACAATCCATTTGACAGACAGGTGATTCCGACAATAACATCTTTGGCCGCACGTTGAACCCGCATAACACCTCCTGGACCGCCGGGGGCTCGACTGGCGGCGAAGGCGCCCTCATCGCCTTCCGAGGCTCTGTGCTCGGCGTAGGTACTGATATAGCCGGCTCCATTCGCATCCCAGCCCTTTGCTGTGGCGTATACGGGTTTAAGCCAACCACTAACCGCATTCCGTTTGGCGGACAAGTCTCCGGTGCCATGGAGGGCCTGCCAGGCATCGTCCCTGCTGCCGGCCCACTCGCACACAGCGTAGCAGACCTTAAGTTGTTTATGAACTCCGTTGTTAGCGATGGCCATGCATGGAAGTACGACGAAACGGCAGTGGCTGTGCCTTGGAACACCGGCGCTCAGGTCGCCGGAAATCAAAATGGGAGTCTGGTCATCGGCGTCTTGTCCGAAGACAAGCAGCTCCCGCTACATCCTCCGGTCAAGCGAGCCTTGGCCCGTGCCGTAGACGCACTCACTCGGGCAGGTCATCTTATCGTACAGATTGATAACCAGAACAAGGAGCATCTTTCCGTGGCTTATGCGTCGCGATTGGGCTTCCAATACTTTATCTACGGCCCACACGAGGATCACATAGCCTCCAGCGGCGAACCGCCTGTTCCCTCCGTCGCGAAGGCTGCATCGCCGATGTTCACTGGCCCTTTCCCAATTGAACCAGGCCTAGAACCTTTCCAGACCATTCAAAATCTACATGTCGCGCGCAAGCAGGTGTCGGATGCCTGGCGTAAGGAGTGGGTAGATCAGAAGCTGGATGTGATTCTTGCTCCCGGGGCCCAGAATACGGCAGTGACCTATGATACATACGGGTGGCCCCCGTATACTCTGCTTTGGAATCTGCTAGATGTAAGTTTGACAAATGACTTTTTTTCTCGAGCGTTAGTTGTTCTCGTTACTGACTATAATATTTTTCAAGTATCCGGCTTGTATCATTCCTTTTGGGAAAGCTTCCAAGGAATTGGACCCTGAGAAGTTTGAAACTGGAGATGACGTGCAGCCAGACTGTAAGTTTTCTTTTGCACAATCCTCAATCAGCGAGCTCTCATTCACTAACCCCTTCTTAGATATTCCTGAGGAACTGGATGGAGCGCCCTGCGCCATCCAGATTGTCACCCCCCGCTTCCAAGACGAAAAGTGTCTGGCAGCTGCTGAAATCATCGAGAAGGCGATTCGCATGTAAAAGGCCTCATTTAGATGATAGATATAACTCAATTGTATATATTTCTAAATACAAACCAACGATATGTACATTCTCTCAGTTAGATAGCATTCATTTATTTCGTCCACCGTTCCATCCAAGACTCGATATATCTGTGTATCAATCCATGGCTAACAGGGTTCTCCACTTGACCCAAGGAGGAACAGTCTTGCAGGGTGCGAGCTGTCTCAAAAACTAGTCCACCAGGTTTTGTTGGGGCGGCATCTTCTATCGGAAGTTTCTGCCCAGCGCCCCCATATTTCGATCGCCAGAAGTCAATCAACTTAATGCTAGGGTTCTGCTCCGGATCTTGCTCGCTCGAGGCCAGCTTCTGAAGCCACTCCTGGGGGGATACGACTTCAAATGACGGCAGTGCCGAGCTTTGCGTCAAAGCCGGGAGGAGATCATTCTTCCAGCTAAACGTCTGCGGGTTGACCAGGTGGTACACCAAGTCAACTTCATCACTGGCGGCAGCACCTTTGATGGCGAGATCGACGACGGCAAGAGCACATTGATCCACTGGCAGCCAGCTCGGATTCTCATCCAGCGCAGGGAGTGCACCTGTTGTCAATGCACTACGAAACATCAGAGCCACAGCTTCGGTGTCGTTCCACTGCGCGCTGACCCTATCGCCGCCAAGTTGGCCGATACGCAGCACCCGCGCTTGCATGCCTGTTTGTCGCATGGCACTACGTGTTATATGTTCTGTGACCAGCTTGGAGCGACCGTAGCCCATGTTCTGAGCATGATCGAGATTCTCTATCATCGTCTCCGGGATCGAGGCTGGCTTTGGGGTCCCGCTGGCTGTGCTCACGCTCGAGCAGAAGAAGAACTGTGCTGGACTCGGCAATCTGGACCGCAGACAGAAGTTTATTAAATTATAGGTGCCACGGATGTGTTGCTGTTCAAAGGATCGCACGCCCAGGTTGAAGTTCACAGCCCATGCACTATGAATCACGCACGTCGTGGACGAAAGCAGGTGCTCCAGGACATAATTTTCCAGGCCCAAGTTTGCCTGTGACAGATCACTAGGAACAGCGCGAAGCTTCGCGGACTCATGATCAGAAAGTGAGATATTGCGGTCAGTAAGTGCCTGTGCCAGGCGAGCCCCCGCGGCGACTTGCCCTGGTGCTCGGACAAGCGCCCATACCTCTGAGACTGTTGTCCGCTTTAGAGTTTCAGCAACGATGAAAGCGCCCAGGTTTCCTGTGGCACCGGTGACAATGACGACCTGCTTCTCTCCTTGGTTTGGGGTAGATGAGAAGTGTTGAGTAAACGTTGAGTATTTCTCGATCATTTCCCGCATAACTTGGATCTCGTCCTCTGCTTCAAACTCCTGGCCAGTCCGCATCTGGTAGAGATGCTTGGCAAGAGCATTGACCGTTCCCTTCTCGAACACAATGTTCTGGCTTAGTTCATCTGCTTGGTTGCCGATGTCCAGGTCATGCACAATGTATCTCCAGATCTGCGTCGTTTGCAAACTGTCTACACCGGCGGAGAAAATATCTGCTTCGGCGTCGCGTAGTGTAATGCCGAGGTCGTCACGGAATCTGGCGAGTAGCCAATTCTCGAGCTCGACAATGCTTAGTGCAAGACTTCCTTGTTTTCCCTTCCCACCAAAGCTGTCATAAGCTAATTGGATATCTTGTTCAAATTGCTGGTATACTTGGGCGCGGATAAATGTACCCTTGTCTGTCCTGGGGTATGCGACATCGCCGCCTTTGACAACCACCAGCTCCTTAGGAATTCGAGAGAAAGTCTCGGCTCGAGCATTGGCTGCCTCTACCGCCGGCCAAATTGCTTCCAGGAATTCTTTATCATTTAATTCCAATGCCTTTTCTGCAGCCCGGAAGATCAATGCACCAGGCACAGTTCGCTGGAACCCGAAGACCACGCACTCTCTCACAAGCTCTTCCTCTCGTACTCGTCCTTCTATGGGGATTGGAAGGACCTTCTCTCCATTCACAAGTGTAATCCTGTCATCCAGGCGGCTCAGGTATTTAAAGTAGTTGCTCTTATTTGGATCCGGGTGTCGAGTGAACAGATCTGCGGTTCTGAAACTGTTCGCAGGATTCTTGTCACTGAACGGCGCCTTGGAATTGGAGGGTCCTTTGCTAGGAAGACCGTCCAGCGCGACGCACTCGAAGACTCCAGGTGAGATCTCATCCATCAAGGTATGATCCGCGACAGGACGGTGCAGTCGCATGTATTGCCACTCCGTATCCCCTGGCGGCCGGAAGGAAGTCATAATCTGGCCCGTTTCCGTGGCACCATAGTTGCCCACCAGATTGACACCCTGGGCAACGAGACGATCTCCAAGATCATCGGGACAACTGGAGCCACCATAGAGCACGAGTCTCGGTTTTGCGAGCAATTGGATGCCCTCAGGCTTCTCTGCAAGAAGCTTGATCACGTACGGCACGGCACTGACCTGCTGCGGCTGCGCAACCAGGAGGGAATCCACAAGGTTCTGATACGTGACTGGCAGCGCATGGTTCCCCAGGTATGAAGGCGCACGCGTATAAAACGCGCGGCCCAACTCCATGAGTGCATGAGAATGGAATAGCGGGCTAATCGTAAAGAGGCGGAGGCCAAAACTCTTACGAAAGTTGGCCAGAGTCTGAAGGTTGGTCAGGAAGATGGGCTTAGGAAAACCTGTACTGCCTGAGGAATGCAAAATCCACGCTGTCTTTTTTCCTTCGCGCGCAAGATCTACATCGGCTCGTTGGAAACGCGGGGAGCTGGCTGGACGATTAAACCAGTCGGCGCGCTGTAGAATGGGATAACTCTGGCAGCCAGTCCGCTTAGCGGATATGTCTTGAACAGTCTGGTCAAACTGCTTTGCGATAATGAGCTCCCTACAATTTGCCATGTCAAGGAGCCGTGCATAGGCAGGGGCTGTGAGACGCGTTGACAGAAAGAGCACAGCATAACCGAGCCGGTTCAGTGCGAAGAAGGTCACTATTGCTTCGAAGCTGGAACCAGCCAGCATAGCGACCACAGGAGCCTGTTCAAGAGCAGGGTTCTAACCAAGAATATCAGAATATATTTTCTTTGCTGACGATTATGTCAATCTTGACCTACCGCAGGATTGAGCCCCCGCTTCATATAATAGTGAACAGCGACATCGGTATATCGATCGATATCGCCAGCGGTATGTTCTTCAAAATCAGCAGCACCCCGAATAGGATAGCATATTAGTGGCTTCCGCGTGTCATCTGGCTGAGCAGCATGCGACTTCAGCAGGCCGTCAATAGTCATGAACTGTTCGAAAGGAGGATAATCGGCATGGAGGGTGCCGTTCAGTAGGCGGGTGGCAATGTCCTTGGTTTGTAACAATTGCGCACCCACATCAGTGGTGGTTTCTGTAATGGTCGCCATCTTTGGGCATTGAGTAGCATGGCTATCCTGGCTGTGACATCCAATATACCCTTTATATGATGTGGAGGCTTTACCCCCACGATTGCTTCATTTCCCGTTCCGAGGTGCTCGGATATATATCCGAGGCTGGGACGTTCCCGTTGCAGGAACGGAAAACTAGGTTGGATTTCCCTTCCGGGATAAGAATTCGTTCATGCGATCTTGAATCTGGGTACCTGTCTTCGTAGAGGTTATGGAGAAATAGTGAGTCATCATATATAACCGCAGGAAACTTTTCCGATAAATGGCTTCGTTTGCCATCGGGTAACCATCTATTTTGTATCAAAGCATTTTAGTATTTTGCTGAGTTGCAACGCTCACTCTCGGAAATATAAGGTGAATTATTTCAATTTCAGATTCAAGTTGAATTACCTCATGCCCCTATGACTAGACGAAATACATGTAATCGAGATGGCGTTACCCAGATTGGACCCATAGATCCCCTTAGCATAGAAAGCCTCATATAAGACCAACATGACTGCTGCAACGATGTCGGCCCTTTAGGTCTTCACTTCGATCATTGCAGCTATGACAGCCATTACAACTATCATGCCAAAGGCTGTCACCATGAAAGAAACACGACAACCCTATATAACGTCAGAAGGTTGTTCAAAAAGAAACCATGTGCTGGTCGGACCCATTTCTCGACTGAGTCTCAGGCTCGCTAGTTCATCTGGTCCAGCTGTGAATTGATCTTTTGACCAATTCTCCCATTTACAAAAGCAGACATGAGACAGCCAATAAACCATGCACTGAAGCATTGTGAGAACTGAACGCGAAAGTCTCTCATTATCAGATGGACATAGAGATAGAGCGTGGGAAGCCTATTGGCGTTCCCAAAACAAGCCAGTGCCCGGACTAGTCTGAGGATAAAAAGAAGATCGTCATTTTTTCCGAGAAATGAGAACCCTTCAGCCGTATTACCCCACGCTTCCCCCGCATTCCTTGGCCATTATGGAGGACTCCCTTTCTCTACTGAGGTTCGACTAAATAGAGATATGGAAAGCGTGAGACAGGTTTTGATATATGATAAAGTTGAGTAATCTACTTACGACTTTTTGTGCATCAATATGTTTCATCAGCCATAAATTGTGGGAATATGCCATATTCTGTATTTTTAGCCGCATTCCCAACAGCAACTGAGATCTCGAATTCAATCACATGTTGCATGACCACGTATCAGAGCGCCAAATTAAGCAGAGCAAGACTCACTCGATTCATGACTCATGCTAGATACCGATAATATTGCAACCAACGTTTTCATTCTGGAGATTTCTTTACTTGATCGCAAAACACCTCTCAAAAGTTCAAGCCGTGTACCTTGCGATTCCCCATTTCTAAATCCTCTATATAGCTCTAGAATGGCCTCTATTGTTTTTTTATGAAAATATTCCGAAAATAATGTCCACAAAACTATCTTTCTCGGGGTTGGAACCCCGGAGAATACAGAATACCCTTTGAAGGGCTTTGATGTCTCATGTCCCTGCTGACGCCCGATTATTCTCGGCCATTGGGAGCTCCGAGGTCCCAATTCACACTTGAAGGCATCTAGGCCTCCTTGATCCTTCGTCCTCCGGCGACTCTATCTTCGGTTTCTTATTTCATTGAGTGATTGGCTCAGCATGATTTAGACCGAATTCGGCCGAGAAGGCTTAAACGCGTTAGCCAACTTATCTTTCGTGATTGGTTTTACCCCCGAGTGGGGACGGAGGTCCCCGAAAAACCCCAATTTCATTTCGGCGAAGCAATTGCAAATGCCGAGCCAAGAATCGACTATATTCGGCTGTCAAAAGTCTTGTATCTCGAACCAGCGATGAGACTTTGAGTCTAGTGACACCTTACTGTGACACTTGGCGGGATTAGGGTACGCCAGAAACACAATCGATCACCATGCTATCCTTTTGGCCCGGCAGCGCTTCCGGTACCAAGTCTGCTGAGAAGGATCAGCCAGAGACCACGTTTGACCCGGATTTTCTTGTCAAATGGGACCGTGATGATCCCCTTAATCCTCAAAATTGGCCTGTCTCTTACAAATGGTGGATCACCTTCCAATTGGGAATGCTCGCCCTCGCGGGCAGCCTCGGCTCAAGCATCATGACGCCGGCGGACAACATAATAGCAAAATATGTTGGTGTGAGCAGCGAGGTGGCGGTTCTTGATGTAACAATGTACCTGTTAGTCACTCCACGAGCATATACAGTTGAGCTGCCACTAATTTCTGAACAGGCTTGGCTTCGTTTCCGGCCCTCTGATCTGGGCACCCGTGTCCGAAATTTGGGGACGCCGAGTGAGTATTCTTCCAGCAGTATTTTGCCAGGCTGTATTCGCAATAGCCACTGCCAGAAGTACCAACGCGGCTGCATTCTATTGTACGCGATTTTTTGCCGGCTTCTTTGGCTCTGCCCCTATCAGCAACGTGACGGCCGCACTGGGGGATATCTGGAGTCGAGAGACCAGGGGCATAGCAGTCAGTATGTACGCCGTCGCAGTCAATGGCGGTCCTGCTCTGGGTCCCATTATCGGAGCGGCTATCGTATTGAACCCTCACCTTGACTGGCGGTGGACAGGCTATATCTTGGCCATCTGGATTTTTGTCACCTTCACCATGGCATTCTTCTTCCTTCCCGAGGTATACCCACTGGTTCTCCTCCACAGAAAAGCAAAAAAAATTAGAAAGGAGACCAATGATCCGAGATATTATCATCCGCATGAACACATTCAGCTTGATATTCACTCCATTGTTACCAAACAGCTCTCCCGACCTATCAAAATGCTCTTCGCAGAGCCTATTGTCACCTGTATCGCCGTGTACGCCTCGTTTGTTTACGGCGTGATGTACCTCACGCTGGAAGTATTCCCCATCGTGTTTCAAGAAATTCGTGGCTGGAACCCTCTCATAGGGTCTCTGCCTTTTCTCGCCCTCTTGATCGGCGTCATTTCCTCGGTGGGCCTCAATATCTGGAACCAGTACCGCTACAATCGAATCGCGAAGGCGGCCAACGGGAAAGCCGTTCCCGAAGCAAGGCTGCCCCCGATGGCCTTCGGTGCGGTCTTCTTTGTTGTCGGCGCCTTTTGGTTTGCTTGGACGGCGAAACCTCCACACCATTGGATTCTACCCTGTCTGGCTGCATTGTTTATTGGCGTTGGTTTCAATTGCATCTTTCAGCAATGTTTGAACTTTCTGGTCGATGTTTACGGGCTCTATGCCGCCAGTTCTACCGCGGCAGTCACCTTTCTTCGAAGCATTATGGCAGCAGGACTGCCGTTGGCTGCGAAACCTATGATCAATGCACTAGGCGTTGGCCCCGGTGTATCAATCATCGGCGCAGTGGCTGCAGTGTTGTTGCCAATTCCGTTTTTGTTCATGAAGTATGGTCCGCGACTGCGAAGTTTATCTAAACTTGTCCCGGAAAGCCACTAGGGCGGGCCGGTGCAATTGGCACCCAGAACGCCTAGACGGTGATTGATGTCCATGATACAAATAATAGAATGCATCCTTGGATGGCGGAAGGTAACCTTGTTTATAGTGGGGTAATGTGAAAATAGAGCCACTTTTTACTCAAATGAAGTATCATTTACTACTGTTCTGGAGAAATTACATCAGAGGTTAAAAATTTCAAGTAGAATACATGTATGAAGTCGAGCCACTCCTATCCGGTATCTAGAGTCATGCTGTGCTGGGTCGACAAGCTTTTTGGTGTGTCGGGTGATATAAGACGCAAAAAAAGAAAAACAGTTCCAGACGGAAAGGCTTTACGGGCTAGGCGTGCCCTCGTCATACCGGGGTCCACCATCATCATCACCGTAGCCTGCACCAGGAGTAGCAGCGATGCCACCCATCGCAGGTGTAGGAGCGTCAAAGGCAGCAGGGGTCGGGGCATCATAACCCCCACGCTTGGGCATGCCGCCGGGGGTAGGGGCATTGAAAGCTCCCCCAGGTGTGGGAGCATTGTCCGCCCACGCCCCAGGAGTGGGCGCTGACGCACCAGGGGTGGGAGCGCCATATGCGCCTGGGGTAGGTGCAGAGTAGTTTCCACCAGGCGTCGGGGCATCTTCAAAATCACGTTGGTCTCGGCCATTGGAGAGGCCACCCCAAGCGGGTGTGCGGTTACCAGCGCCAGCATTGCCCCAAGCGGGGGTCCGTGATCCGGACGCGAAGGCATCGTACCCAGAACCAGAATCATAAGGGGTACGAGATCCAGTGTTCCAGGCCGGGGTACGATTGCCCAAACCGCCATAGGCAGTACGGTTACCCTCGGCATAGGGGTTCGAGGTGCGAGATCCATCATTCTTCCATGCAGGAGTTCGGGAGCCACTCATGCCGCCCCAAGCAGGAGCTATTTATCATTAGCATGTAATCAAGAATCATGGTAACTGGTTTCTTACTTCGTGCAGATGCAGCACCACCCCAGGCAGGAGTTCTCGATGAATCAGCCGCGGCCATCGGTGTCCGGCTTCCCTGCCAACCGTTATCTCTCCCTGGCGGGGCAGCAGATGACGCAAATGGCACGCGTGATCCTCTTCCACGGCCACCAATATCGATTGACTGCTTGGTAATTGGGCTATTTGAATTAGAATTGGCACAACTATAGTAAGTTTTGGAGGGCGGAAACTTACTCCTTGGGGTTCAGGATGTCCCGCGGTAGTAGAACAGGCTTGTTTGATGTGTAAAGCTCAACTTGAGCCGAGGTATCGTCCGCGTCTCGGACAACACCAACCAGACCCTTATAACGGCCCTTCCTCACCGTCACTGTCTTGCCTATTAACCTATCGGGGCCACCCCGCTTGGGCGGTGGCATCTGGTTGCGACCCTGCTGCATCGCCAAGGCGGGGTTCAGCTTCGTCAGATCAGGCCCTGTAGGCCGGCCGCCTCGGGCAGATACTGTAACAACGCTGTTCGGTCGTACCACGGAGATACCAGCATTCTCAGCCTGGGCCTTGTTATGCAAGAAAAGGAAAGCGCGGAAGATATGGCGAATGACACCGTTTCGTTGCTCGCCATATAATTCCCGGACGGTATCACCATGACGAATCTCTGCACCATTGCGGTCTGTTGCAACAGCATCCCGACGAGGGGTGATCTTATTGGCAATCTGGGTGGGAAGAACATTCCGAACGGACCCATTCTGATCGAGGACACGAAGAGACTCACGATCAACTTTGACGACGCAACCAACAGTAGAGGCATCAAGCTGGACAAGGTCATGAACATCGTAGATACCAAGTTGGCCGTCGGCAGCCATCTCGGCAGAAAGTCGCAAGTCTTTGCTAAACACTGTAATCTCCTGCATGCTCATATCGCTCAGCAGAGTGACGGTATCATCCTTGACCTGGACGACCATGCCGAGTTCGTTTTGATAGCGGCTGCCACCAATCACCTTGACATGGTCACCCTCACGGAAACGCTTGCGTAGAGTGCGCATAGGAGCATCAATTGTCTGGCCTTCCAGGTCGCCTTCGGTGACTTGAAGTGAGACAATTTCGCCGCGAGTAGAAACTGTCCGGCCAATCAACCCTTGTTGCTCACCGCGGTAAACCTCGACAGGATCCCCGGGCTGGTAGGCATCCTCTGCTGTCGAGTTCTTCAGAGTGTCCGCAAGGGCGGCAAGATCGAGATTTGCGGTGCCATCTTCTCCTCCTCGAGCAAACATAGTCACTTCCTCTAGTCGGGGATTGACATTCTTGGTAATCAACCACTGTATCTTCATATCCTTGATGAGGAAGCCATCCACATAACTCTCTCCAGCATAGTTCCAAGACTTGCCACCCAGTCCAGAGGTAGCGGTAAGTAATTTACCGTGCTTCTTCTTTGCTTCAGCTTCACTAAAGAGTCGCTGAGGAGGACGAACAGTGCTACCGAAGCCTCGCTTACGCTTGGCGGCATCGGGGCCAGCCACAGCAGCATTGTCATCGTTCATGCCGTAGTCGAGACGGGGCACCAGTCGAACAGTCACATTCAACCCGTTGGTCTCGACCTCCTCGAGCTGAGCCAGATCGCCTTGGTAGTGACCAGCGCGCTTGATGCGGACCCAGCCACCGGGCAGAAGCTCCTCTGATTTCTGAACACGCAGAAGATCAGGCATGTCCTTGACAGGGACTAAAGTCATCTTCTGGGTAGGGTAGTAAAAGTTAATCCCCTGAAGGCCTTCAATGACATCGGCTTGTCTGCGCGCCTCGCAATAGAACCAGCCTTGCGAGACATTTCCGTGCTCGAAAGCCGAGATGATTCGGATCGGGTTGCGAGAGCCTGGTGGGCGCTCCTCCATGCGCTTCTGAATAGAGAAAATAACATCCCGTTCCTTGCCCTGTTTGCACCGGCAGCCCCAAATACTTGGATCCTCCACACTTGGAAGAAGAAGTCGTTTAGGAACTACAAGAGCATCTGTAGCAGCAGCGCGGTTCCGTCCATATCGCTCTTTGAGCATCTGCGCCTGCTTCTCTGCGTCCATGGTAGCATCAAGCTCGCGTTGGCGATCCAATTGTCGGTGGCGGCGGTCATCCGTTTCGGCTCCGACAGGTAAAGTATCAAGGTCATCGGGATGCATCTCGGCGCCAAAGTCGGCGAGCTCGTCCTCTTCATCTTCAGCCTCGTCTTCTTCATCGTCGACGCCTGCTTCTTCATCGAAGAACGAGACAACACCACCCTTTCGACGCTTGGTTGGGCGACCCTAGAAAGACATGGCTATGCGTTAAAAATATACCTTTAATTCATTCCAGAGGAAACCAGGTACGAACCACGGCCTGTTCCTCTTCATCTTCATCATCGTCTTCCTCGCCAAAGTCTTCGGCCTCGTCATCGTCGGCAAGGTCTTTAGCGTTATGATCTTCCGCTGCATCCTCCGCATCCTTCACATCAGCCCTCGAAGTGCTTGCCCGTCCGTTTGATGGCTATTCATCCAAATAAATCAGCATTCTACTTGGCGCCAAATATTGATCGCCACCAACCTGAGCATCTTCGGCATCAGACTCTTCCGCCGCGACGGGATTGAAATCATCATCCTCATCCTCCGAACCGAAATCTTGGTTGAGAAAGTTAGACATCTCTGCAGATGAAAATACGGGATATAAGAGTGGTGGTCGGGCTTGGTCTGAGAGGTACTGCCGGGGGAAACTATAGTTTGAAAAAGAATCAGCACCGGGGCAAAGAGAAGGATTGGCGCAACAGTTGAGAGAATTGAAGAGTGAGACGAACCTGGCCGTACAGCGAGGCGTTAATTCAGAGACAATGACACAGGTAACCCCAAGTCGGTTGGTAAACACAAATTACTTTCGCAGAGCCCGCTCCGTCCGATGTGATTACCAGTTGATCAAGATGATCAGTCTGGGAATAAAGACAGGGCGCGCAACGAGCAAAGTAGGCCTGCTGGGCTCTGCGGGCTATCACGGAGCGACCACCTGCTGGAAACACAGTCGCACTGCAGGTTCAGGGCACAAAATGAAAGACGAAGCAAATATCTGCCGTGCAGCTTGCAGGGAAACGAGAGTCCTGATACTCTTTGTCACCTGATGTGGGTTGTGGAGAAACGGAGAGCTGGCGATGTCTCTCCAAAGCGAAGTTGAGACGGGAGACTGCGCAGTGGGTCGCTATGCGATTCCCTACCAACTCTGTTTACTTAGCGCCCCCCAACTCCGACAGGCACGGAGGACCAACACTTGGCATTCTGTCGCTTTCTTACGCAGATTCAAGCTAAGGAATAGAAACAATCTCTGTTGCATAAGATTGTAATAATATGGCATGATGATATGCTGTGGTTACAGAGAGAAATATCAAAGGTTTATTTGAAAGGCCCATCAGGGGAGAAACTTTCGAGATGCCCGATCGAATACTTTTTTTACATTGGGCTCATTTCATGCCAAGATGTCGAGGATTTGCACGGTATTCTGAATGCAATGTCTATTTCACTAGTACATTGAGACAAAAGAGCTAATATACTAAACGTTATAGTACAGGACAAGATCATAAATCAAAATGCGTCACACCGGACAGGATATCTAGCCAAAATAAAAAAAAAAGATTCAAAAAATGAAATCCACCGAAATCAAAATGAGGACGCATAAAAGATCATCTGAGATGGAGCGCCAAGGTAACCGTGGAACAATGCTCTATCATTGAAAGGGAACCATGCAAATGCTCCATTTAGAGCTTCATACCGAACATCTCATGCACGCGCAAGCTCTGGCGCATGCTCAGATCAAGCATAATCTCCTCGCTTCCACCCGGGATAGCGTAGGCACGAACGTCACGATACAGGCGCTCGATCTTGCCACCTTGGCCGCCACGGCTGTAGCTAAGGCCGCCAAAGATCTGGCTGGCCTCACGGGCGCAGAACTCGAAGGTCTGGGTGGACTGGGCCTTCAGGCCGGCAATGGCACCGCCCAGTTTGAGCATGGCTTCGGTCTCCTCCATGCACTGGCACTGAAAGATAATGTTCTCGAGCCAGTTGTAGGTAGCCTCGATCTGGCGGGCCATGTGGGCCAGCTTCATGCGGATGACCGGGTGGTCGACCAGGCGCTTGCCGAAAGTCTTGCGTTTGTGGGCATACTTCATAGACTCCTCGTAGCAAACACGGGCGAAGCGGACACATTGGATGACGATGCCGATTCGCTCGTGGTTGAAGTTCGTCATGATCACCTTAAAGCCCTGGTTCTCCTTGCCAATCAAGTTCTCGACGGGGACCTTGACGTCCTCGAAGGTCACATACGTAGTACCACTGCTCCAGACACCCTGACAATCCATGCGGCGGGTACTGACTCCGCCAGCCTCGCGCTCAATGAGGAGGACACTCAGGCCGTTCATCCCGGGCTTGCCAGTTCGGACAGCAGTGGTGAAATAATCAGCCCAGACACCGTTGGTGATCCACTTCTTCTCGCCATTGACAATGTAGTGCTTGCCGTCCTCGCTGAGTTTGGCCTCACAGCCCAGGTTGGCAACATCACTACCGGCATCAGGCTCGGTGATTGCCAAGCAAATGCGCTTGTCGCCAGCCAAGATACCTGGCAGGATCCGGTCCACAAGCTCCTTCTTGCCAAACTTCACGAGAGGGGGACAGCCAATTCCATAACCACCAACTAAGTTCCAGACCAGACCACCACTGCCCGCACGCGACAGCTCATCAGTAAGCAGCATCTCGTGAAACAGGTCCCAGCGCTCTGGAGCAACAGACTGGACACGATAAGGAGTGTACTGCTCGGGATACTTCACACCCAGCAGACCAGCAAGGTAGCCTCGTTCACCCATCTGCTTGTATATGTGGTCTGGGACCTGCTTGCCCTCATCCCACTCGGTCACGTACGGCTCGATCTCGGTATCGACCCATTGGCGGATTTCCTCACGGAGAGCAGCATGCGTCTCGTTGAAATAAGGCGAAGAATACTATAAGTGAGAATTTGAAGGCGTTAGTTTTCTGGGGCTCCAATTCCCTACATTCCTAATCTTCGTTGGGAACAAGGAACTTACACCCTGGTACCATGAGGGATCGGCGAACGGGATCAACTCGCCAAACGGATCCTGAGGCTCGGCAGTTGCCGGTGGCTTGAAGTCACCGGAGGCAGGCTCTGCCGAAGGCTTCGGGGCGGCCGGCTTGGGTGCTGGGGCCGGAGCAGCCTCGACCTTCTTAGTATCCAATGAGCCGATCTGCAACTGCCCCTTGTACTTCTTTAAGATTCCCTCGTTGTGGTACTTCCAAAACTGCTTCGAGGCATCTTTTCCGGCAACTCGCTGGAGGACTGCGCATGTGTTAATACCGATATTCTCGAAGGCATCGGGCCGAGCCATGACGTACTTTTCTTCCCACCTGTTTACGAAAGCCAAGTCAGCACGTGTGATTCTACTAGTAGTCACGCCGTCGCACCCTAGACTAGGCGCCCAGGCTTTTTCTTCTGGATACTAAAGGAATCAAGAGGTAAGACTGACCAGGGTGCTCATCCAAAAATTTGGAGACGTCGTAGACATCTTCGTCGATGACGATCCAAAGGCTGTCGCCCTTGCTGTGCGACGCCACTTCGTCTTTGCTGAAGGTCTTCGCCATGGTAAAGGCTATATTATATGTGAGGGAGAAAGGACGTAGAAGAAGCGATAGAGAAAGAAAGGAAGAGAGAGCGAGATTTCGTGGGGGAAAAAAAAAAAACAAGGGTCAACTCCGGGGTAGATGGAGCACGCGCGCTATATAGGTCCGGGGGCCAGCGCCCGATTCAGCAATCCCCGTCTCTTTCACGATGCGACTCCAGTCTCGGGGGCCTCGGAGCATCCACCTCGTGCACTTCGGCGTGAATTCTGGTCTTCACCTGCTTTCCTCGGTCGCTGATCGGATCGGTCATCGCCGTATGCCAGGGCGGTGATTGGCTCCGACTGCGTCATCGTCGTAAGAAAATGCCGAGGCGCTTGCTTAGGTAAGGTACCCTGACATGTGAACGCCTTGACCCGTTCGGCGCATTTGCGATTCGCGGAATGCGATCCATAAGAGGATGATATGGTAGTACGCATAAATAGCTAGAGCATGAGCTAGGGGCCGAGAAGTGATTTGAATTGATCGCGAAAAGGATATCAGCTGGTTGAGATACCTTAAGATGCCATCACACTTCAGACCCGTCACGAACGGAATACGAGCTACAGTAGGCCGAATAGTAATAATGCAACAAATGTTTGATATCAAATCACAAGGGCGGAAACCGCCCTTCCCAAGAGATCAGGTCCAGAGGAAGCCCGATTAATCTAGTAATACATCCAGTGTCAAAGGGGTTAATGCCACCCTCTACTCTTCCTCGCCCTCCGTCTCGTAAGTGAACTCGTCCGGCATCGGAGCGTCCTCCACACCTTCCTCATCTTCATCAACGGCAGTCAAGACACCAGCCGCCGCGGCCGCACCACCGGCAGGATAGTCAGACAAAGCAGAACGAGCAGCGCCTCGTTGAGGAGTCTGCAGGCCCGCAGCACCGATAGCAGCTTGCAAGCGGTCCTGAATGGTTTCAGCTGTGGGGGCCGGTGGGAGTGCCTCCTTGCGACGGCTAGCCTCCAGCTCGATGGTTTCGCGAGGCTCGTCAGGCTGTTTGTCGAGGACGACCACAACACCACCAGTAGGCTGTAGAAATATTAGTCAGTATGTGCCTATTTCCACTATTGAAAGCAAAAAAACTTACCCTCTTCACTGGCTCATATCGGGGATCGGGGAAGGTAAGATATTTGAGCTGGGCTGGCAAGACTCTTGACATGTTGTCCAGCTCATAGCCAACCTTCTCCCGCTCAGCCTTCTTCTTCTGACCCTCAGCAGCCTTTTCGGCCTCCTTGCCCTCGTCCCCTTCAACTGCCGCACTATCCTCGACATCCATCTTGTCTGGCAGCTCTGACACTTTAGGTGTGGTAGGAGTCTGAGTCTGGTCAAGATCCATGCTTTCCCGGCGCGCCTGCTTCTCGCGACGCTGGGCACGACGCTTGGCTTGAGCCGTGGTAGAGAGCACGGCAGTCTTCACCTTCTCGGGAGCCTCCTCAGCCTTGACCTGCTGCTCAGGTGGGTAGTCGAAGAGACTGGGACGAGTGTTGCTATGGAACTTGAACTTCGGAGCCTCCAGCTTCTGGTCCACACCGATCACAGATGTGGGAGCAAAGCTGAGCGACAGGAAGTGGCTCAGAGGGAACCAGTACCAGTACTGCACAAAAACTGCGGCACCGACGATACCAGGCATGTTGAGGTTACCAGTCTGAGTCTGTAGGCTGATGGTGCAGTTGCGACCACCAGCATCAATAATACCGAGAGCTACAGCACAGCCGAACTTCGCCATAGCATCCTCGTGGCGGTCACCGATCATCTTCAACATAGCCTTTCGAAGGCTTGTAACACGAGGGTTCATAGCCTCATTCTGCTGAACGAGAACCATGGAAAGGGCGATCAGAGCACCCTGGCGGACGAAGTCTGTCGAGTCTTTGAGCATCGGCTCCAAAAGATCAATGGCCTCGTCCAATCCAGTTCCAGCGCAAGAGATACCGAGGGCCATAGCAGCGCCATAACGAACATGAGGGTTGTAGGACTCAGAGAGCAGCTCCACCATGCGCGGCACGCTCTGATGCTTCCGGAACAAGATGAACCCCAGACTCAACACTGCAACGCGGCGCACATCATCGTTGACATCGCTTACAGCAACGTGAAGGAGCTTTCGAACTGCCTTGTTGCTTCCACTGCCACAGTAGGCCAAGGCAATGGTCATGATACCACCATAGCGCAGAGTGGGGTCAGGATCGCCGAGCAGACCATTGATGAGCTCGTCAGCGGCTTCCTGGCGTCCGTACATAATCAAGGCCATACCCATAGCCAGACCCCGCACTATTTTCTCGTGTTGGGTATCGTGGGCATATTGAATCATATCCTCCAAAGCCTTCATGTTGCCCGTGCCCAGCATGACCAGACCCATAGCCAGGCCAACAGCTTCACCATTGAGCGCTGAGTCGGTATAAAGGACGTTGCGTAGATCTTCGTAGATACCCTCGTCCCCAGTCGCCATTCCAGCAACACCGAGGCCAAGGGCTCCACCATGCTGTACAACCTCCTCTGATGCGTTCTTAAAGTAGTCACGGATGATGTCAACGGCCATGCCGCCATGGTTAGCATAAATCAGACCGTAGGCGTATAGAGAACCACCCATGCTGTACACTGAGTTTGCGCTGCCACCCACACCAGCAATCTGCTCCTTAGGGAGATATGGCTCGAGCAACTGCCGACCCTGGTTGATGTTTCCGCGATGGATGACACCGAGGGCAGCGGTGGCAGTGAACTTAGACCAGTTAACAGCCTTGCCAAGCCACTCCAGGTTATCCCGGAAGAACTTGTCGCGGGTGGTTCCTGCGTGCATGAAGGCATTCGTAATAGTGACAGCGGTGTGGAAAATGGAATTCCGTGCCTCGAGGCTATCACGAACCTTGTCCAAAATAGCCATATCAGTCTTGTTATTTTGGTAGAGGAATTCCAAATTCAGCTCGATAGATTTGAGGCCATCCAGAATCTTCAAGATATTCTTGTATGCAATGCGAGATTCATCAGAAAGCTTCTGTTCTCCGGATGGGCCAGAAGAGCTGTCCTGATCATCGAGCAAACGGTCAGACTCGGTCGGCTCGCCGTTCTCGTCCTTCTTCGCATCATCCTCAGGTACCAATTCCGCAATCTCCTGGCGAACCTTTTGGAGGAACTCCTGTGTACTATTATCATAAAGGTCGAACGAAATTTGGTAGGCAACCGCGAGAGAGCGCGCGTCGCCCTTCTCGACCAGCTGGCGAAGGATGACGGATGCCATTGAGTGCTCGTTCAGGTAGACAACACACTTGGCAATGGAGAAATAATCGGGAGCGGGGATCTCGTTGAGCAGATCAAGGATAAGTTTCAAGATCTAAGCGTATAATTTCGTTAGATGCGTCACGAACTCATGTCAATAAATATACCAGACGGAGAGACAAACCTCATTGCGGAGGGCCCGTTCCTGGACAATGCCCATGCAAATGTCAAGAACATACTCCATAAGCTCTTCGCTCCGACGGAATTCACCCTGCTGCTTCTTCTCATCATTACTAGCACGGAGAATAGCCATACGGAGCACTTCCAAGCTCTTCGCCTCGATTGCGATTCCAATCACTTGACGGTATCGTTTTTGACGGAAGCACTCTTCGAATAGTCGCTCAATCACAGCCTGTAGTTGGCCCTGAACACCACGCTTCAACACAAGAGGTGTTTCTTCGTGCTGGACACTCGCGTCGTCGCCTCCGGGGTGCGCAGCGTCGATGCCAGGGACCTCCTGGCGAGACAGCAAAGACTTGGACGGCAAGGTGGACTTGGAGAAGGGTGTGATCGGGGATGTTAAGCTGGCGGAAGTGCTCGTGGCGCCATCGCCAGAGGCTGCGAAGGAGTTGTTCAGGTTGGCGGACTGGTCACCGGCGCTGCGTCGCTGGGCAGCGGATAATGAGATGAAAGTATCGACGCATTTCGCTATAATTACCGAGCCAAATTGTGAGCAATTGTGGGAATACGCTTGGAGATTCAGTTTTCAAGACGACTTACCGATGATGGTCTCCTCGTACTCGCCACCGCTATCCAGCTTGAACAGCTTGCCCGCACCCAGGGCCAGCACCATACTTTCATTATATTCTTGCAGATGATAATATACCTTTGAGGCGACCAAAGCAGCCAGTTCACGCTCAGGAAATGATTCATCTTCGTAGAGAGCCTCGCTGGAATGATGTTGTCAGCAGAGTCCTGAAAAACCCGGGTGGTCCATTTGGATCCGAGTCGCGCCAAGATGCACGGAAGATGCCGTGATCTGGCGAGACTGCGACTGTTTGCAACCTACATCTCCGGGACAGCATTCACGACTTCTGTCCAAAGCAGGTCGATCTGCGAATCTAATGACTTCAGGGCGAAGACCTTGAGCTCTGGGTCTGGCTCGGACAGGAAGCCGACCAGACCTCCGGCCGAAACAAGTCCGACCATCTTTAGTGCAGGAAACACCGGGTGTCGAAATCTGGAGGTGGAAAATGAGCTCGAGCTCGAGTATTGATGATGTGATTGTTGCTGTGACGAAGCAACGTCGGCGGGAAGGAGCTTGGGGGAGAGCAGCGAATGGGCCCCAAAGCAAAGACGTGTGGAGGGGAATTTGGTAGCCCCGAATAAGGTGATAGCAAGTAATACAAACACAAATTAAAGAGAAAGGACAAGACGAGATGAAGTGGACGGTGGAAATGGAAGCTGGAAGCAGACAACAGAAGCTTCCGTAGGCGCGAGTCAACGTCAACGGAGAGCTGACTGTTCGCGTCACGTGAGACCATGACGCCCTGGGGCCCGAGAGCGTCAGGTGGTGATGTCCTGCGGACAGTCGCGCAAACGATGGCCTGGCCCGTTTAAAGAGCGTATTTGTCCCCAGGACTGCATGCTCGGGGCTTCTCTTCTTCTCTCTGTCTCGATACCGAATCGAGATTCTCCGTTCTCATTGTTTACCATGTCCGCCCTGCTTCCGTTTCGAGACAAGCGGCTACCGCCGGTGCCAGCGGGAGCATCCATGTACCACCATGATCCTCTTTTGCATATCGAACGCCAGGCAAAACACATTCAGCAAAATCTCCAGATACTGATTGATGCTCAGGGAGAAGGCTTACTCGCGGGTCTGGCCCAGTCCCACCCAGAAGATACCTCGGAGGGAAGCTTTACCCCAACCTCCTCCGCTACCGGTCGAGCTCGGTCTCCTTCCACCATCCCTCTCCGACAACCCCCCGTGAGAAAAATTGGACTTCGCGCTGCACGACAGGGTATATTCCAGTCAATCTATGATCTGCTAAAGCTGAGGGAGGAGGAGCGTGAAATCTTGTCGTCTCAGGCGGATGAACGGGAGCATGCGCTCCATGACATTCAGAGATTTAACTCAAGACGAGGCGGCTTGGAGGAAGCGATATCATCTATCCACAATGACCGAGAGGAGGGAAAAGCCAGGCAGTTACAAGAAGAAGCTAACGGGCTTGAGACTGACATCCGAGAGCTGGAAACTAGGCTATTTGAGATGAAGGCCAAACACCGGAATATGCTCAGCGAAATATCGAGCATTCAGAACTCAGTCGATGCGAAACTCTCCTCTTATAATGAGTCCCTCTCCATTCTACAGTCTAATATTCGAAATTACCTGCGCGATCCCCCGATTCAACCTCTGTCGCGACGTTCGAGCGAATCCACCTTCTACTCCCTCAATGCCAAACGCCGAACACTGGAGATGGCAGAGGAACACTGGATATTAGAACAAGGCGACATTCAGAAAAGGCAACAACAAGTAGATACAGAGATCTTAGCTCTGGAGGAAGGGGGTGGTGTTTGGAAACAGTCCATCGCGGATGTGTCTGGTTTCGAGAAGCGGCTGAGAGCCAATATGCGCCATTTTATTGAAATCGAAACCTCCCCCAGTACTACGAATGGCGTACAGGTGTCGGGAACGAAAGAAGAACTCGCTGCGAATGTGTCCGACGACTTGGACCGGACTACTCAACGATTGCAGACCCATTTGAGCCTGGCAGAGAAGAAGGACTGGAAGCTTCTCGTCTGTTGTCTCACTGCAGAGATCGAGGCGCTTCGAGAGGCACGGAAAATGCTCCTCCCAGCCTTTGGCCTGCCTTCCCCCGGTGACGCGCCGACTGACAAGTCGCCCTCACCAGCCAGTCCTGTTCCAGAGGAGCCGGCGAATGGCCACGAGGAGCCGGAAGACCATGGCGACTCTGAACCTCCTCCCGACTTACTGAATGATGAAGCTCAGCATATAGATGTTGCATCACGGTCGGAGGACGATGAGCCTGATCCCGCCTGGCTTTAAGCCTTGGGCCCGGTGACTAGCTACGATGAAGTAGATCCAGATTTTATGCATACAGCGCTCTTCAACTAGATGATTTATGAATCGAATGCACAATAACACGTCTAAGGTACGGTCAGGTTAAATCCGGTTATTAGAAACATATAATTATTTGTACAGTGCTATGAGATGGTTTAGGTGATTTTCAATGTGTCGCAATGCGCATCTATATATATTCGGCCCATCATCTCCACTTCCGATCACATACAAGGATGTGGACTTGACTATAGCCCTCCAAGAAGCCAGAAAAAAGACGTATCTAGACACACAATCACTAAATTGCTCTATAAAACGAAATTCCGAACTATCCAGGGTCTCTGACGATATCACCAACCAACAGGGCGGCCAGGCTATCGCTGTTGGTCGTTGGTGTACCAACGGTCGGCGGACGGATCTTCCACAACTGAATCTCTGCAACCGCGCAATTCTCTTAAGAGTCGCCCATCAGCAACATGGCCTGAGTAACGCGAGAAGCAAGTACCGCCATTATGGATCTTCCGCGGGTGCCGACCTTTTCTTTCACGATTCCCTCGGTTCACGACGAGCGCCATCTGGAATGTCGTCTTTATGTTCCACACAAAACTATCGAGTCTACCTCGAGCTGGGCGACCCGCGGTGCCATCGTTGCCCATCCCTATGCACCCCTCGGAGGCTGCTTTGACGACCCGATCGTGAGTTTCATCGGTGGCGAGCTCCTACAGGCAGGCTACGTCGTGGGGACATTCAATTTTCGGTAAGTCGCCTCCGCCCTGTGTTGGGCTGTCTGGCAGCATCAAACTAGGTATTTAAGAACATAGGCTAACACACGGCCAGCGGCGCGGGCAACTCTGACGGGCGGACCAGCTGGACCGCGAAGCCAGAATTGGGTGACTACGTCTCCTTCTACGGTTTCATGCTTCACTACTTGCATGCGTTGAATACTGCATTCACATCGAAGCGAACCGTCGCAAGTGATGGAGAGCTGGGCAGCGAAGCAGTGGTCGGGTCCGACAACCGAGTCCAGCTGGTGCTGGGCGGATATTCCTTTGGATCGCTGATCGCGTCCCATGTCCCGGACCTTGATGTCATGGTCGACCTGTTCGGAACGGGAACCGCCAGCTCGACAAGCCCGATCTACGCGATTGGTAACGAGGCTAGGAAATTCGCAGCGCGGTCGATGCGGCACGTTCAGCCCAGTCGGGCGGACGGTCGGGCTGATGACCTCAAGTTTCCCCGCGGGGCTACAGCGATCTCCTATCTCCTGGTATCGCCACTGCTGCCGCCGGTCAGCCAGCTCCTGACGCTGTTCACCGCACTCACCGTGACCGTGCAGGGCCAGACGTCAGATCAGGCCCGACCCGCTGGCCGACCAGCCGACCAGCTGAGTGCGCACCGGACGTTAGCGCTATATGGGGACCAGGATACCTTCACTTCCGCCCGCAAGTTGCAGCGGTGGTCAGCCGAGCTGGCCCACCTGCCGCAGAGTCAGTTCCGGGGTTGCCAGATCGATGGCGCGGGGCATTTTTGGCGAGAAAAGGGAGTGGAGACACGGGCGCGACAGGCTTTGCTAGAATGGTTGCAGATGGGCTCGTCCTGATCGTGACTCAAAGGGCAAGTTGGATGGCTGTGGAGAGTTTGGTCTGGCTGAGGGCTGAGGGAGGGCCCAGGAGCTCTTGAGATGTATGGTCCGGTGTTAGACGAGAGACCCAATTATGGCATAATAGCAGAGTATCTAGTATATACAACATTTTAGAACAATATTGTCGCACCTCTTTGCATGTACCTGGTGGCGGCGGAGAGTCCGTGTCTCACATGCATCTGCATGTGAACCGCAGACGCCAACCCCGGAGTAGGACACGTCCAGATGATCGAGATGATCGGAGCCCGGGGTTGTCAGAGATTTTCGGACGGAAGAAATCCTGGCAGAATTATTGGGCCCATGACTTGCACTGTTCTGCCATCCCGTGTGAATGTGTCAATCGGTGAATCGGCGAATCTGCTAATCTGATTGACAACCCCAACTTCGTCGGGCCGGGGAAACAGCCTAAGATTGGGGTCGGGCGGAGTCTACGGGACCCTCGTGACGTCTGTCCTCTTCAGACCGCCAGAACCGCATTTTCTTTGCGAAAACCTTTCTCCGTCTTGAGATCCTGAGATCCTGAGATCTGGAATTCTTGACGTCTTGAATTCTTGGACTCATCTCCTTCTTCTGTCCCCCGACCCCTTGGTCTTCGATCCTTCAACTGCACGACCATTTAGCCTTGAGCTTATCGTACCTGGACCTCCGAGTGGGCCGCAGACACCCCCGGCTGAATGGCTTGCTCCCGATGCACAGGCCCGCGATGTCAATGTTGGGCAACTCCACAATAGTCCATTCGCAATGCCACCAAAAGGATTCGGATCAGCTCGCTACCCTGCCTGCGGCGTCTCCACGGCGTACTCTACGCAAAGCTATCTCCATTCCGGCCGTGTCATCTCTCGTGAAGGACTCGTGGAGTTGGGCGGGTGAGACCCTGAACACATACCGCGATGGACTCTCGCCCGAACAACGGAAACAGAAAGCCGAGATTGAGGATCGCAAACAGGTGCTCTATATGAAAATCAAACATGTAAGTACAGTGCCCTGCAGGTCCTGCGCGCCGCGGTCGCGTGGCTGAGAAACGGGTGCTAATCGCCTCTCCCGCGGCGAACTACAGGCGGTGTCGTACGAGGAATGGAGTAGTTGCGCGAGCGAACTGGACATCCTGGAAGACAACAGCACCTGGAAAACCGCGGTCGAATCTCCGGACTATCATCCCCAATTGGTCCAGGAACGGTTGCGCCAACTCGAGGAGGCACGGATTAGCTGCGATGTCAGTCGCATGTTGTTTCTGGTCCGGACCGCCCTGAGCCGCGACTTGGGGAAAATGAGCAACGCGTCGCTATACCGACATTCTCATATTGGCACTAAGGATCTGGTCGACCGCTATATCACGACTGCTTTGGACACGATCACGACGTTGGTCGATCTGTCGGTCCATAATCGCTGTGATGGCCTGGAACTGAAGTACATATTGGATCAGCTCCTGGCAGCCCGGCAGGCGTTTGGTCGCAGTGCCCTTTTGTTCTCCGGAGGCGCAACATTTGGCATGAATCATATCGGTGTACTTAAAGCTCTTTATGAGGCGAAGTTGATTCCGCGTATTATCTCGGGAGCCTCGGCCGGCAGCATTGTCTGCGCGGTGTTTTGCACACGAACCGACGATGAGCTTCCGGATCTCTTGGAAACCTATGCGCACGGAAGCTTTGCAGTATTCAACGAGCATGGTCAAGAGGATAATATTTTCCAGAAGACAGCTCGTTTCTTGAAGTTTGGGTCCTTCTTGGACATTTCACATTTGGCAAACACAATGCGGAGTTGGCTCGGTGATATGACCTTTCAAGAAGCATATAATCGGACACGCAGGATATTGAACATCTGCGTCTCCAGTGCTGGCATGTACGAGCTGCCTCGATTACTCAACTATATTTCCGCCCCGAATGTTCTGATCTGGTCTGCGGTGTAAGTTCTCGAGTCTCGCCAACTGGATGTCAGTATCTAATCTCTAAGCGTGTATCTCCAGAGCGGTATCGTGTTCTGTACCATTGGTATTCCGGCCATTTACCTTGATGGCCAAAGATCCGTTGACGGGGGAATCCAAACCCTGGAATGACTTTCACAAACAATACATTGACGGCTCGGTTGACGGGGACCTTCCAATGACCCGGCTGTCCGAAATGTTCAACGTCAACCACTTCATTGTTTCACAGGTCAATCCTCATGTAGTCCCATTCCTACCTAAGGAATATGGACCGACCAACACAGCAGAGCAAAGCTCGTCACTTGTACCCCGTTGGGTCAGCACCATGACCCATCTAGCCAAGGATGAAGTTTTGCATCGAATGACTGTTCTTTCAGAGCTGGGTGTGTTCCCAAACTCAATGACCAAAGCAGCTTCTATTATGAACCAGAAATACAGCGGCGACATCAACATCTATCCCGAATTGATATCGTCCAATTTTCCTCGGATCCTGGCGAATCCGACAACGGAGTTTATGCTGGAAGCCTGCCTCAGCGGTGAACGAGCAACATGGCCCCGATTAAGCAGGATCAGGAACGCCTGTGCCATTGAGCTGGCTCTCGATCGAGCCATCCAGCAAATGCGAGCCCGGGTGGCATTCAGCCCCGGCCAACTGGAGTTGCGCACCCACAGCTCCTTCCATCATTCCGCTGATTCCATGGACAGTGGTGCCGGGCGCGGACGAATTCGCAATCGGCGACGAGGCTCCCACAGCCATGAATTGGAACGAAGACGTACCAGAGGCCTCTCCCGGAGTGACCCAGCGCAGGAGCTTCGCAAAGCTCGCAGCACCATTTCGCTTGAAAATCCGCTCTTGACAGCATCTAACGATCTTATTTCCGTTCCAGCCCGGCAAAAGGCCCACCGCCGTCGATCGTCCATCACCTTTGGCGGCGGAGGGTTTGCCGTGGGATCCGGCAGCGACGATGACGAGGAGCCCGGACTGTCTTTTTCGATTCGTTCACGGACCCCTGGTCACCAAGCGTCCTGGGATAGTTCTCCTTACGGCGAGGAATTGAACCACGGGGTGTGCAACCCCGTCCTGTCCCGGCGATCTTCATTCTCGACCGGGAGGTCACCGCGATCTACTTCCGGCCGCCGAGGGGGCTCTCCTAAACAGGTCTACACGCCGTCGGCTCGTGAGATCTCCATGGCTTTGTCCCCGTCGTCCCGACATCTGCTGAGCATGACCCCCTCGATTCACCCGAGCTCTCCTGACTCGGTTGCGCGTCAAGCTCGTCCGTGATGAGGAAGCGAACCACGGGGTACAAGTGAATACCTGGGAAACGTCATATTCTATCAGCCTGGTTTCACATTGATGCCATGTATCGCGCTATTTGGCATATCGGCATCGTTTTGACCTTTTTCTATGTGCTGCTTCCTCCCCCTCCCCACCCCCTTCCTGGCGCGGATGTTGGGCACTGTCCCTCACGAACTATCAAACTAGAGCAGCTACAGTCACTTCCCATGCTTCTCCTACCACTCTCTCTTCTATAGTGGTGCTCGTGTATGCGTTCATGATTTGGACTCGTTCCTTTTTGTCTAGACCGGCTTGGCGGCTTGTCTTCTGGATAGATAGAACTCCGATTTCTGGTGAGCCGTTACTTGTGAGAGGCTAGTGGCGTTTTTAAGTGTATCTAGCATATACAAAGTCATAACGTGGAGATGGGTCCCTCTGGCTGTGGACCTTGTACGCAGTATATAGTATATCGTGGCAAAAGTGCCAAACAGAGCAGTCTTCTAGATTCGATTTTTTTTTTCTGATTTCCCTGTTCGCTTGTTTCCCTTAGTCAAGGAGTTTGATCTCAGCTCCACTTCTGTCTCTCTAATTGACCCTCGACCCCTTTCAGCTATAAGAATACGAGGGTTTCCGCTCTTGGCGCCGACTCTGGAACTAGACCGGTTCTTGCGGCAAACACCGAGACGGGGGCTGCATGAGACTCGAGCCTGTCGGTGACTGGGTCCTGGAGTAATAAACGGGGCCGATCCCTTCCCTTATTCCGATGGAGGCCGGCAGTCCACGAAGGGGAATCATCGACACGAGGAGAAACGAGTTCCAGGTTTCTTGAAGCTTGCTGGTGCCGTACATAAGGGGTGGACATACATATGATGGTGTCTGAGCTCGTTCGAACAGCCTCTGTGGATCCCAGTTTAGCATTAGATTTTAATTCTTGTTCTTTCTGGAGAGGACCTTCGAGCACGGCCAAGGCGAGAGTACTGGAGAAATGGTGGACAGGTTGATGGTAATTTGAAGTCATGGGCCCCACTTGGCGGGCGAAGAAGCTGCTTAAACCAGCTTAGCCCGGTTGGGTGTGGATTAGCCAGGTCCCAAACTCAATCAAAACCCAATCACACCCCAATCATACCCCTAGCTGACGACGCTGTGGAAACGTTCTCTCCACCTCTTCTCGATGTATGGAGGTGAACTTGCTCGCGATGGAGATGCTCTCCATTCCAGGGCCAGTAGTCCGTACTCTAGATTGACGTCTTCCTCAACCCAGACTATTCTCAACCACGCTGAGATCGGTTGTGCAACAGCGAACGCAAAGGAATGGTTTCGTCAATAGCTTCCAAGACTTCCGTGTGCTCCATTTCCAGCCTGATTCTTCAAGTTCACGATCGTCCTTACGACCAAAGGCCAGCCGAGCCGGTCCACCTGTGCCGATCCAGCGCTGTCAATTGGCCGCTCCTTTATCAATCAGTGGGAACGACCGTGTTGGGCTTCAGGCCTAAGGGTACACATCTGGGTCGAAAGCATCCACTTTACCCGCACGCAAACCCACAGTCTTTGTGCCCTGAGACGTGCCCTGTATCAGTATCCCTGATACCCGCCGTGTGGCAAAGAGATGCGCACACAGATTATGAGGCGGCTGGGAAATCCAGGCAGAACCGCCGCGCCCTAAACCGCCGTCGAATCCTTGAATCCTTGCCCAAGGATTTTGTCGGACATTTTGATGGTCTAGGATTCAGGGCACCGGAACGCTAGCCCGGCAGAAAGTGTCGGGATTTAGGCATTTGCCCGCCTAGAATTAAGCTTGTCGGTGTTATTGTCCAGTCTCGGCCGGCCCCGTCAGGGATGAGGAGCATTGGTCCACCGCAAGTGGACGACCCATCTGCGATCATCGTGGATTATGATACGGTCAGACCACCCCGGCACCTGCGATAAACAATAATATAGGGAGTACACGGGACATGATCGTCCTACTATTTTCTGGGTACCTGGAGCGCTACCCCTTCAAGCAGTCTAAGCGAATGTCGATACTTGCCCCCCGCGGTCTCGGGAGTGCCACTTTCCTCCAACGGGCAGTGGTTCTATGTTGTTGTGCCGTTGTCTGGACAGCAGCTATCACGCTATCCATCCTTTGCAGGTGGAAAATACCTCAGCCCCAGACTGGAATTGCCGACTGCCTGGAATCGAGGACGGCCCTACGTATAATCCACTTGACCCCTGGTGGGCCCAGCAGGTCCCTCAGAAATCAGAGATCGACAAACCTGCCTCTCAAAATGAGCCGAGCAGAGTGCGGCCCAGCCCCAAGAGAGGCAAATTATTGAAGTCATGGCCCGATCACGGAGAGTTTTGATCAGGTAGCGGAGGAGAGACCCAGAAAGCCCAGCAGACCTAAATCAAGCCAGCCAAAGCTCTCAGATATCCCGGGATCTCTATAAAGACGCGCTGAGATCCGCCATGAGCTCCGATGGTCTTTCTTTCTGGAACTATCAAATTGATCAACAACCACTCTCTATTCATTTGATTCGAGTGTGGACACTCTGAACGCCTTTCACTCCTTCCAGATCTCCCGTTCACCCTAATATAACATACCTTTTGGACAACATGAAGTTCACCGGTCTCGCTGCTATGGGCTTGATGGGCTGTGCCCTCGCCCTTCCTGCCGCCCAGGATGGTCCAGGTCCCGTTCCCACCAACCTGCCGCCTGCACCACCTGCGCCCTCCGGCTCTGCACCACCTACACCTTCCGGCTCTGCCCCAGCTGGCCCTGCCCCGTCCGGCTTCGAGAAGCGTCAGTTCGGCGGCCTGCCCTCGGCCATCCCATCGGGCTTCCCTGAGCCTTCTGGTGTCTTCGGTGGCTTTGAGCGCCGCCAGGATTTCCCTGCGCCTTCCGGCACTCCCTCTGGCTTCCCTGAGCCTTCTGGTGTCTTCGGTGGCTTTGAGCGCCGCCAGGATTTCCCTGCGCCTTCCGGCACTCCCTCTGGCTTCCCTGAGCCTTCTGGTGTCTTCGGTGGCTTTGAGCGCCGCCAGGATTTCCCTACGCCTTCCGGCACTCCCTCTGGCTTCCCCCAGCCCTCTGGAGCCTTCGGCGGATTTGACAAGCGTCAGGACTTCCCCGAGCCTACTGCTGTGCCCTCTGGCTTCCCTCAGCCCTCTGGAGTCTTCGGCGGATTTGACAAGCGCCAGGGCTTCCCCGGGCCCTCCGGCATTCCCTCCGGGTTCCCCCAGCCCTCGGGTGGCCCTGGTGGCTTCGAGAAGCGCCAGTTCCCCGAGCCCAGCGGTCCTGCGCCCTCGGGCCCTGCTCCCTCAGGCCCTGCGCCCACTGGTCCTCCCTCTGGACCCATTCCTACTCCTCGCGTTTAAATCACGATAATCCAAAATCACCGGCGATGGCGCGTGTGTCGAGACTGTCAGGAACAGATGGCACTGCCGAGTCTTGTCTGGTGACACTGCCTCGTGGCAGATTGGCTGTGCTCTATCATGTTTCTACGAAAGGGTCTTGATGGATGAGACGGTATCATGACCGCCTCAGAACCCCTCAGGGGCCCTTGACTCACCAGGGATACTTACAGGAATCTCTCTTATTTTTGATTTGTTTTCCTTTCCCTTTTGTGTGCTTTTTATACGAAATACGGATGCTGGACTACGGGTATAAATGGGCTGCATGTTATGAATGCTCAATGACAAGGCCGCCTGATACACGTGGTGCTGATTGTGTCTGTTTACTTTACTTCTCAATACACCTACATATATCTCTATCCATTTGTTTGCCCGATGGTACTTCTCGCATCTAGAGCGCGTATTGTTTGCTTTTGGTGGCACGGGAACCACCGACACCCGCAGTTCCGTGCAACCCCGGCGTAGTTGAGATTAATTATGCAGGATTATGTCAAACAAGTGCTAAAAATAACACCTAATTTACTCTATCCTTCAATTTACAGAAGAAGGTTACAGTGCATCGTGCAGGACTAATTAAGGCTAATTAGCGCCCGACTGCTATTTTAGGTGATAATTCCTGACCATCCCGCATGTGCGCATGGACCTGCTGCTAATTCAGGAACGCAGATGACATGCCCTCATTATGAATCCTCCGCATCCCAGTCGAGAAGATGATCTCGGCCGGCTGGCTCACCCCCGGTCAACTCGGCGGCAAGCCGTCCGTCGCGCCCATTGGCCTGCAAACCCCAAACATCTCCGTGTCCAGCTGGAGGGGCCTCTCGTGCAGCCTCACCAATGCTTCAGATTATGCACGTCCGAAAAAAGAACAGGATGCCCTCCGACACAGCCGTCAAGCTTTATATCAGAGCGCCCCCCTATCTGAACATGTCGTCCACTATCGGTCTCTCCTGGTGAGAAGCCGTCAAAGTTGTTCTGGTTGTTGGTTAATACGGAACTGCCATTACTGTTGTTCCAGCCTTCAACCCTTGGCTGTGCTTGTGCTCTTTTCTTTTATTATCTTTGCTTGCATTACGTATCTCGTGCTTTTCAGCGTCGCACTTCTTGCTTTGCCTGGTTTCATCTTCATTAGTTTCATCTTTTGCTTGTCATTGGCTTGTCCGTCACTACACCCCGGAGACCCTGGTCATTTCTGATTCCAGCTGTGTCCAATCCGAGAGCCTTCGTCCATTGCACTGGCCTACATACCCTGCAGTGTCCACCTCACCTGGTTGTGTTGATCACTTTGGAGGCGCCGCGCTGCTTTGGATTCTACCAGGGGGTTGATTGCTATTTGAATTTGAGGTCATCACCTCGTGAGCTCTTAAACCCACTCGGTCTACGTGGTACCTCCTTCTTGACTCTTCCCAGGCTCGAATGCTTCCTGCCATCCCCCCCATTCTGCATAAGTTGGGGACGCACTCTATAGCATGACCAGTATTGTTCACAAACCACTGGCGATGTTTCGCCGAGACCCTTCGCCCAAGCCTCTTCATGCTCGATGGGGGGACGTCGCCATCTCGGCGCCCACCCAGGGCTCCTGGAATCAATACGATAACCCTATCCGTCGCCCATCTGGGAGGCAACGATATGGACCGGGCTATATTCCGGACTTTCGACCATCTCGAGGCCTCAAGACTTCGTCGCACGATTCCTCAAACCAGTCAGACTCCAAAGAAAAATTCAAGAGTACCCTTCCTGCGGGTCCTGCTCCTGTTGCTGCTGTCTCTGGTCAACCCAGGACAGCCCCGGCAACATCGATGTCCCGTAAAGGTTCCCTTCGCCTGGGAGCTCTCCATCCTCACAGACTCTCCGTCCGCTTGGCATCGCGCCCCAAGCAGCTACAGGGCGAGTCCTCTCACGAACGGGAGATCTTTTCCCGCGAGGTGTCTCCCCAAGAGGGAGTAGAGTCTACTTACTCTCCTAGCGACAACAAGCAATCCTCCAGCTTCGCTTACAGGCCCATTCGGCCAGAATATTCTGTCGATGCTACCGCAAAAAAGGCCGACAACCCTCGCTATCGATACATCCCTGCTAAAAACGGCTATGCAGATGTCGCTCCCAGCCAACGCAGCCCACGCAGTCTCTCAACCAGTCCATTCCGGGGCTCTTCTAAGTCCCAACGTGACTTATCCACGGGGCCTTTGGAAACAGCACCACGCATCCGTGATCCGCTGCGAATGAACCCACCATCCCCTCAGCGCATGACCCCTGGTCTATCGCCAAACCGGAGGAAGGCACTACCCTTCGACTACCCGAAACGGGCGTCTGTACTGAAACCCATGACCTCAGAAGACATGGTGCCCGACTCCGACGATCTCTACTGACGAGACAAAATTACTCTCCTATGTCTTCTTTTTGGGGATTGTTTTTTCCGGGCGGCTATTGGAGATTTCTATCACACCCCAATTCTACGTTCATTTTCTTTGACTTTTTCACTTACTATCATGGCGCGGTGTACTTGACCAGTTCATGATTTGGCATTATCCAGGAGTCGGGGCCCCCTGTTCGTGTTTCTTTTTTCACTTTGGTTTCAGAGTTCAATTAGTCCAGAATGCAGATAATCCATGTTACTTTTGAATCCTGAAACATTCCCTGCGATGCATCTAAGCGCCGCCCACCTCTTTTGGGCAAAGTTCGGGTGTTTATTGCCGAAAGCAGATGTAAATGCGGCCAAGAGCTGAGTTCCTTGCCGATTGACGTCAGTGTGATACGAGTCAACAAAAACTAAGTACTACTGTAGAGAGACGTAGATTCTGTTATTGGTGGACTGAACCTCCATCGCCTACAACGTTATTAGTAAGCTGTGTGCTACCGGGGATGGCGAACAATTTCATCACTCCTCATCATGACGGCATGCCCCGGTATTTTTAGAAGAAAGAAAAAGAAATGAAATGAAAAAGAAAAGAGCGGGCGCTCATATCGCGCACAGCAACATAAACAGAACCCCGCTGTACACGTTCTAACTGGACTGAACAGAGTACAAAGCCGAGCGGGGATTTGCATGCATGTACGCGCCGACCCCATCACACCCGGCATAAGAACAACCACTCATGATGGCGGACGCAGTAGTCCAACTCCGCTGCGGCGTTAAGGTGCGTAACCCCTCTTTTCACTCGTTCGGCTGACCTGGGTTTCCAGCGCTGATCTGGCTCGGGGTCGTGCTGTACAGAATGACTCTTGGGGCAAGAAAGGGAAGGAGTCGGTTGTGGCTCAACTGTGGTCCAAGACGCCGGGAAGCGGCGAGATAGACGAGTCCCAGACCTATTCTGAGGTATGCCAGCTTATAGACAGAGTATATGCTTAGATGATTCTAATTTTCTTTCTAGATGTGGATGGGCACGTATCCATCGAACCCGTCATACCTCCTGTCAACCGGAGAGCCGCTGGGCGACTACCTCAAGAAGAACCCCCAGTTGGTGGGTAAGTCGGTCTACGATCGCTGGGGTCCCGAGATTCCCTTTCTACCGAAGGTATGAAACACCGGTGCAATCCGATGACGCCGGGGCTAGGACTGACAGCGCGACGGCTACTACATTGGTATAGATCCTTTCGTTTTGCAAAGCGCTGCCCCTGCAAATCCACCCAGACCTGACTCTTGCGGCCAAGCTGCATAAGGAAGATCCGCAGAAATTTGGTGACGCCAACCACAAGCCGGAGATCGCGATAGCACTTTCCAAATTCGAGCTATTCGCCGGGTGGAAGCCACTGCAGAATATCCAGGCCCTGTTCAAACTCAGGCCGCTGGAGAAGTTTGTGTCGGCGCCGAGGAGCTTTGACGACGAGGCACTGCGGCAAGTTTGCAAGGCACTTCTCAATGCCGCCCCGGAAACCGTGGCCACGACCATCGAAGAGCTGCAGACCATCCCGGAATCGCAGTTTGGCTCTGATCCGTACATTCCGGGCCTGCTGGACCGGCTGAGCAAACAGTATGGCGCCTGCGACAATGGCAACTTGGTCGCGGCCCTGCTGATGAACTACCTGACGCTGGGGCCGGGTGACTCAGTCTTTGTCCCGGCCGACAGCATCCATGCGTACCTGGAGGGTGACATCGTCGAGTGCATGGCGCGATCGGACAATGTCATCAACACGGGGTTCTGCCCAGCTGCAGAGCGAGACAACGTTGAGCTGTTTGGGCAGGCGCTGTCATTCATCCCGCACGATGCGGAGGGCGCGCTACTCCCTCGCCGGAAGAGCGATAAGGGCATGCAGGGGCGGACGGACGTGTACGCGCCGCCGATCAGCGACTTTGCTGTGTTGTGCACCTGTCTTGGAGCCGGAGAGGCAGAGACGCACAAGGCCATTTTGGGACCGAGTCTGATGATCGTAACCAAGGGCGCTGGATCGGTGAAGATCCCCGGCAACCAGACGGTCGAATTACAAGAGGGATATGTGTTTTTCGTCGGAAATGGCGTTGCGCTGGACTTTGAGACTGAGAAGGGGCTGGCGGTTTACCGCGCCTACGCAGAGTAGACCATAGAGGTCGAAGGGAAAGCGCGTAGAGAGTTATATGTGTGTTACTGTGCTATTGATTCGGCGAGGAGCGCCAGGGTGCCTAGACGGGTGGCCGACCTTGGCTCTCTTCCCCTGCTGCCACGCTGTGTCACGAACAAAGCTTAGACATACTCGGTTCACAGCTCCTTTTTGCTGCCAATCATTTCTTGCCTTAGCCAGAAATGGATCCTTAATGCGCTTTGGTCTGAATTGACGATTGACTCTTCTATTTTCGGCACCGCAAAACTGTCTACGGACCCGTCCTAAATTTGCCCTGGGCCCGTCGTGGAGCTCAAAGCTATAGATAGCATCGGTACATTGGGTTAATAACAGCCTGAACTTATATGGGTAAACTCTATCGACCAAAATATCAACCAAAATTAACCTGCTCAAAAGATCTTAATCCCGAAAGCGAAGCTGCCAAGACCAAGGCCAAAAAAGTCCGCCCAGTCGGGGCTGGGCATAGGGAGGGTATACACCGTAGCCTGGCCGGGTTAATTTGCCCAATTTGCCCCGGCGCTTGCACCTCACTGGTCAGCATGGCTGCATAGCGTTGGGCCGAGGGCATGAGTGGCTGTGATTCGTTGTGCTGCACTAGACCAGATCACGAAGCTGCAGATCTAGCGGGCGCGTCGGTGACGAGAGTTCTGGGCCCCAGAGAGGTCAATGGTGCGAAGGAGTGCAAAGGGAAACTTTATTGATGCTAGTGTGATGTGTTGGCCCCGAATCGGGCCCGATCGAAAGATAATTAAGTCGGTGCGCTTGGAAATTGAGGGTCTTTGCAATCTATCTATAGTCCGTCAATTATCCCTGCTACTATCTTTACCATTCTGACTGTGTTCTGCAGGCCCGGGTGGCGTCTCGAGTGCATCCAACTTGAAACAGGGTTCTTGTGTCAAAGTTCAACGCTTCGCGCTTGCACGCTGGCTGATATCATATAACTCGACCAGAGATGGGATGGGCCACGGGGGCTATAAGGCTGACTTTGGATTTCTGTTATTGCTTAAAAGTCTAACACCTTCCACTCAAATTTGGATTTTTGGCCTTTGGGGACCTTGAATTGAGTATTGGCGGCCCCCTTCTTCCCGAACATAGTCTGGCACTCTGGAGGTAGGGAGTCGAAGGACCCACACGCCCGAGCTTACACCCTGGGATCTATATATCGGACTGCTGGAAAGTTGGGTGTGATTTCCATCGAGTTATTCGCTGTGGCCGACATTGAACCGGCCAAAAGTGAACCAGCAGTCACAGTTAGTCTGATTTGACCGGGGGGCTCCATTCTCATTACGAATTCATTCGGATTGCGATCCCATGAATTCCTTGGCAGTACGTTTGCCCTTGGACTTAGCACGGAGTGGTGATCCCTGCTAACCATGCCGCTTTCGCCAAATGCGCAGTGACGGGCAGCCTTCGACATTTGTTTTCGCGCAAGGAGCGGGCGAAGCGAAAAGAGCCTCAGCAGCAGCTGGACCCTGGGCCGGTGCCGATCCCCCAGCCCTACAAGAACTACTATCACGCATCCAACGGGCCTCGCTCGGCGTACCCGCATACGCGCACGTTATCCTCGTTCGCTCCCGATCCCAGCCGCCAGACAGTCTACCCATACCCATATCAATCTCGAGCTTCTACCGAACACCCCCCGCCGTACCTCCCAACATATGACCCGTCCAAATTATCTCCCATCCGGCCGTGCTTGACCCCCCAGACAGACCGCTTCTCGCACCCATTCACCGCAATAGGCAGCCAGCCATCGTCGCATCTGAGTGCCATGCAATATCCAGATCCGCGGCATTTGTCACTTCATCAGCAACCGCCGCCAGTACAGCCAGATCCACATGCACCACCGTACATGATGATGATGATGCGGCCACCGGCCTACGATTGGAGACACACACCAATGCCATTTCCGCCCGGTGTGATGACGGACCAGTATCCCTCAAGTCTGACCGATGGGCGAGAAAGAAGTATTTCGGATCCAATGCCTCCCCGTCCCGCCCCAGAGCCGGACCGACAGGGTAGCCGCCGGCCCAAACCTGTTCTGTCCCGTTTGGTAACCAACTTCAATTAGAATTGAGGGGTTTTTTTTTTCGTTTCCAACTTCCGTTTTAATCTTCTCAATTTCTATCTCTAATTTCTCCCCTTCTTTTCGCACTTGATGTTTTTCTTTCTGAAATGGAAATACTGGTTGGATAAGGGAACGCTGCAAGGCAAGAAATCCCATACTTCGGCGATAACACTCCACCGAAACATGACGACTGGATAACGAACCACCATGGCGCCAAAGGGGTTGATTGGATTTGGCCTTTGGAAGGCTGAGGATGGTTGGGAGGACTGGGATGACTGGGATGACTGGGATGATCGATATGATTTCTTGTACCGGGGTCGGGTTGCGGTGTTGTGTCGGGGGTGGGCCACCTGGAATCTGGTCAATCTTTTTCTTGGGCTGGCCCGAGGAGAAGAGACGAGGCTGAAATTGTGTATATAAATCATCTGGATGAGTTGACCGATATGACTGTGTTTACAGAATTCCAAGGACTCCAGGCTTGGGTTCGTGGAGCCAAACGCAGAGCCAAACTCGTAGTCTTTGGTAGCCCATGGACAGCCCAACTTTCTCCACTCCTCCACTCCTCCATCTATTCCAGCCCCATAACAAACCCACTTCCACCAACAAATCCTCTGCTGTTCACTACGAATGCTTCGGCCGGAATCCTGAAGATATTTAGTACTTTTGTACCCGCCTGCCCCCACCCCCACTCTATTATGCATACTCTCCTCAGGGCATTGATGCCAAATCATCAGCGTTGCCCCTGTACGAAACACTTAGACCAACCACATTATTGATTTGTGATCATCGTTGGCACTGCAACCGCCCACGTATTCAAGCGGAGAGATCGCAGCCTCAAGAGGCGGCTTTAGCTCGTGCTACCTAACGATCCTGGCGGCCCCTCTTCCCCTCATTTGCACGATCGCAGCGGCTCCATCGTGCTCTCGCTTCGACCCAGACCCTCCGAGAACCCTTCAGATAAGCTTTGGGAAGAGTCTATGAACGGACCAACGGCCATGAGATTGAACGGGATGATCCGACCTTGTTTTTGTGGTCCTCCGATTAAGATCCGTACTCGAGAATCCTTTCAGGACTATAGACACTTTCCCCCCCTCAAGGCGTTCCTCGACCCAAATGGTGACTCTTCGAACCTCCCTGGTCGCTGTTGACAAATACTCTCTTGCCTTAACTGGATCAGGACCCACGCCCACAAGTACTAACTCCACCCTAGTGCAGGGACCGGGATACTCTATGGTGAACCGAGGGTTCTTTGTCAACGACGAGGAGGGGGTGGATTTCCCCCCACTTCGTTCGATGCCTGCCCGACGGATTGTTTACTGCTCCTACCGTAGAGCCGCTTACTTTGTGGGAAATTCAAGCCTAGAACTAGGTAGGATCGGGCGATAGCCAGGTGGAGAAGGGCCTTCTTCTCGTTGACCATGACTCGTGTCGCGCCTGGATTGCGTGGGCTTCGATGGCATACAAACGGCAGAAACCAGCAACCAATACTAAAAAAATGCTCTGCTCCACCTTATGATGTCCTATCATCTGCCCTTTTTGTGATCCTAGCGAGTCTGGTCCAACTACGCAGGTGCAGATCCTCTTAAGCGCTCTGCCAAGCCGCCGGCGGGCTAACGTGGCTTAGGACGGACGATGTGCAACCGACGCCTGAGTCGCCATCAATGCTGTCAACAGCATGGTCTGCGCTGAAATTGTCGACTAGAGACCTTTGCATGGGTAGACAAGCCAGGGCCTGGTGGTCCAGAGGTCACTACTTCATTTGGCCCCCGACGCTCTCCACCCCGCCGCGCTCACTGTTCTTATTCATCCACTCCAGCATGGCGAGTCCCTCTTCCAACACTACCCGATGAGCCTGAGTCGCCCGGACGGTATCTCGCGTCTGCTGCGGTCTAGTCTCTGTGAGGTGTGAACAACAGAGCTGTTGTTAACTGTGCCGGACGCAGCCCAACCTATCGAATTTGCCTATTCCCACTCGCGTCGACGGGGGCCACCGCTGGACCGGTCGAACCACTGTGCTGGGCCCCCAACGCATGCTGCCTCGCCGCGCGCAGGTTGTTGTTTTTTGGAGTTCCAACAACCAACCGTGAACTTGACTCGTGAAAATACCTTCCCTCCCTCTAATGTTTATACAGAAATGCAGTTGGTAGCTGGCGGCTTGTCCTCTGGCCCCTTTGTTCTGATATCACATATAACACGACTTATCCGTGCGGCTCTCTGCGCCCTCCCACCCGTCTTCATTATCTACCTGAATTTTAACCTCTGACTCGGCTTGCCATCCAAAACGTCTCTTGTTTAGTGGCTGCTAGTGTGAGAGGTGTCCTAGGGAGTGGTCAGTCCTCCTTCCTATTGTCTTTTTTTTTTTTTTCTTATTCTATTACATTCAACTGGAAGCCCTTTCCGCTGAACATTCATCATGATAGTCCAATACCAAGTCATGGCAAATATCATGAAGAAGTTCAAGAAAAAGCGCGCGCGCTCCTCGGAGCTGCACGACCGCTGGGGTGACACTTCAATCAGCCATCCAACCGAGGGTTCTTGGAACCAGTTGAACCAACCACCTGGTTCTATTGGAAATAACTCGACAAATGATCCACCCCAACTTCAGACCTCAACACGCCGTTATGTGCCTATAGATTCGGCATCGCCAGTCGCCGCAGCATCGAATGGGTTTATTTACCGCAGCATCGAGGTTGACCCGGCTATTCCCCGAGGATACTTCGACGAAAACATACGCCACCCAACGCAACGAAGAAACCAATCACCTATGACTGGTCTTGGGATCAGTGACCACCACAGACCTCGCATGGGAAGCCCTCATACTCTCTCAGACAACTCTTGTGATGAGTATGAAGTGATCCGACATGATGTTTGTGCAGAGCCGGGAGAAGCTCAATATCTTCAACCCTTTTCAGCCCGAGATCGATCGCGAACCCCCAGACGAGACGATCCCTATTCCCGAGTTGATCCATCAATGAGACCCGCACCACTCGCCGTGACTCAACGCATGCGGAATCTGAGTGGGCAAAGTCCGATGACAGAAACGCCTATTTCGGCGTCTGGTACTGTCAGTTCTGGTCTTACCAGCCACACAGCACTCTCTTCGATATCGGGACATTCCTCGACTCCCCCAGGAACTCCCCGGGTCAGTGTGAAGGATAAACACTCTTTCCCGCGGCCGAGAAACCCGGAGCCCGATCCCATAGCCGAGTCCGGGATGGTTCCTTCATATGATGAACTTTATGGTTGATGAGCCCACTTATCTATTCTGGACGACCGTGGCGCAGCATACCTCATTGGAGGCATTTTTTTCTATTCTTGATTTCTCCTTGTTTCTTTGGCGAGCGATAAACTGGCTGCATTAGTGGAGGCATCATTCGTTTCACTGTTTGGATTTTTGACGCGTTCATTCTAGTTCACATGCGCCCTGACAATGGGCTGGTCCTGTATTTCTCTCTTGATTCGGCAGTAATTTAAAGCACACCATGCTTGTTATTTTGCTAAAGATATCACCCTGTGAAGCTCCAGTGCCCGTAGAAGCACCCAATATCCAATATATAATGTAGTTTGGTATTATGGTACAGTTGTTTGAAAAGGAAGACCTGATAGGGCCTCGCGGGGTATAGACTTGGCTCTCCACACCGGGTCAGCACTTAGAACTCCCGCAAGCCACATTTTTGAATCTTGTTGCAATATCACCTTTTCGATGAGATATGAGAATCTCTTGGCCTACCGCTTCCTCTACGCCCTTTCCCTCGCTTTCCCAGGTATCTCCGGGTGCCAATTTCCGGCATGAACTGGGCCTACCAAGGGCCGGCAAAACGAAGCGGGGCTGCAGCGAACACCCGCCCGGTCCGTGCAGCTTATGCAGACCAAGTCACAATCACAGCGAGCCTATCACCAATCACCCCTCCAGCTCTCATCACACTGGTCACAGCTTCCAGGCGGATCCACTGACCAGCGTACTGTAGCCGGAAATCCTGCCTTCTCTGCCACCTGTTACGATGCTCCGAGTGGTTTGTCTGCGACGAGTCCTAAGCGCCGAGAACAACGCTCTGGAACCCGTACTCGATTCGACATGCCCGGTACACATGTAGGCCCTGTTCGCCCAGCAATTTAGGGCCCTTTGCATGATCATGTTTCGCGCTACGACTCCTCTCTTCTGCACCTTTTCTCGTTCAATCACCACACCCCCTGGCCGTGCTGCGAGAGAGACAGAGACTTGCGGGCGTTGAAAAAAGAGGGTTTCTCCCTTTCCCTTCCGCTTCGTGGTTCCTGTCTCTTTTCCTGCCCTTCTATTCGGGTTGATTTACCCCCCCAATGAAATCGTGCTCGCTTCCTACTCGACACTAGGTCTCTTCGACTTTCCCCCTCTTCTTGGCGCTCACGAAACCAACGGAAGTCATATCGACATCGCTCTCATTGTTTTGCAAGATGCCTGGACTGTGGGCAGGAGTCCCACGGTCCTCTAGAGTGCTATTTATCGTCCTTGCAGCAGTTCTACTCATCAACCCCTCGCCAGTTGTCTTTGGCCTCAAGACAACCTCAGGCTCACCGTGTACAGAGAAATGCCATCAGAATGGCGCTAACACGACCGTGAGTGACATTGAATGCCTGGACACCAACTTCAATGTCTCGAAAGGCGGTATATTTCACGAATGTATCGCCTGTCAACTGGAAAGCACCTATGTAGATCGAAACAGTGGGGAAACGGATGTCAACTGGGGTCTTTGTATGTGCATCGCACAACACCACTCTCAAGATGACCGCTTCTAACATCCCGAATACAGGGAACCTCCGCTATACACTGACTAGCTGTATTTTCGGGTATCCAGGCTCGGCGGCCAACATTTCGACCCCTTGTACTGTCGGGTGCCAGAATATTCAAAGTTCGCTGGAAACTGACCTTACGAATCCCAACTCTGATAACTTCAACAATTGGTGCTCAGCAAATGGCTTTGCCGACAACGTCATCAATGATTGCGAGTTCTGCTACAACCTGACATACGGCCAAGTCGCCCCGCAGGTATACATGGCAAACTGTGTGTACTCCCCCGTCCTGTCCACCCCAAGCTGCGCTCTTCAAAGCAACTCCACAGCTAACCAAGTCTCAAATTAAGTCCTCGAGTCCATCCGATATAACTGCCATTATGAAACAAATATCGGAGATGCCTTCGCGATATCCCCGTCTCGCATCTTTACCGAATCCCTCTTACCATCCAGCATGTCGCTCTCGACGTCTACCACCAGCAGCAGCTCCGGCGTGAACCTCGCCCTCGTGGTTACCGTGCCGGTCCTCGCCTTCGTCATTGTACTCATCCTCTTGGGACTCTGCTGCTTCTGTTATATACGCTACCGCCGCAAGCGCGTGCGCAGCAACCGCGAGAACAACCCTCTCTACGCCCGCTGGCACGACACAACCATCTCCACACCCAGACAGAACCACGGCTGGGATAACCCGCACCAAGGCAATGCCGCCTCATACGGGGCCGGTTTTGGCTTCGTGGACAGCGACGGCAGCACCCAGAGCGTCGGGTATGGGTACGAACACGGCAAGACACCCTATCAGGACAATATCTCCGAGGCGTACACTATGGACTCGCGAACGGCGCTGCATGGCACACATGGTTTTAACCCGGATCATAAGATGTAATGAGGACGCCCGCTTAGGCAGGTGCAATCAAAAGATACATACGCCAGGAGAAATCTGCGTGAACGCATGGGTTCCTGGACAGTGCTCATAGTGCCGGGTTAACGTGGGCTGTTGATACCAATTTAATTGTGCTTGGTGTGGAGTTTTTTTTCTCGTATACGGCGTTTTCTCCTTTTTGATTTTTCTAGTATATATGCTCTGGTGTTGGGATGAGTGAAGGTATAATCTTCTCTTTGTGAGCGCTTTATATCGATGCTGTTGATCGAAAGAGTTATGTTAAATAGTTGAATCCATGACATACACAAAATATCAAAAAATAATCTCCATACTTTGAAGCATGACGGTGTGGCTTGCATATTTATTGCTTCTTGCATAGTTTGATTTTCTTTAATGAAGAGGTTGCCATATGGGTCATGCATTTTACAGTGAAGAGGTGGTTTAGAAGTAGCGTGCCTCGAGTTGGAGTCTTGCTAGGTCTTTGTTTTGCGCACTTTGGTACTTATACCGCTTTAATGATTGTATTCAACGCCGCCAATGACGTTTGATATAGCGTGTAACCTGCTTAACACTAATAAGAGGTGGGAAGTCTGGTTTTTGGACACTCGCTGGGGTCACGATGTCCACGGATATACCGTAGAACCTGATCTGCTGAGAAACTCGTATAGATATATGAGCCCTCAACCTCCTTTTCTCAACGGGCCATAGCCTGGATGATACATACTACCGCCGAGTCGAGCCTGCGCAATGCTAGCTTAAATCGCTTAACAATGTTCAGACTACCGCTGAACCCAGATTGGAATAACATTATAATCAACTTCTCTTAAAATAACTGGTGACTGAACTAGTTACTGGGGACACATGCAGAGTTTTGGCCGAGTGGGTCCATTTTCATACGTGGCAAGATGGTGAGGATGTTAAACATAACCCGTTGATCTAGTGTGATCGGGAGCGAGGGTGCATGAGGAGGAGACGCCCCAATTTCGGGGAGGTCCCAGAGCCGCTCTACAATAGTCCTCGCACTGGAAGGGCATGGTCATAGAGCCATTGTAGTTTATAAATGCTTCAAGATAGTCCTAGAACTGAGGTTGCTAGAGGAGCACATGTCATTTCTAAGCATACCCTATAATCTAGGTTTTGCCCACACAGATAATGCTTTTAGAGTCAGTGGTATATATATTAATCTGCCGCTAGATACTTTCGGGAGCTGTAGTAGAAACCCGGTACGCATATCCCTCACACGCTCTTTTTAGAGTGACCAGTCGGCCACGCGTAATAAAGTCTGTTAGGTGGGAAGGAGTTGATAGGCAAGAAACTGAGAAGAACCAGCCCCAGCAATGAGCAATATATTGCGGGTGCTTAGTGTCGGGAAGATCTAGCTTCCGGAATTCCGTAAGGATTTCTGTCAAGATGTAGTTCAAGTCTCGATGTTTGATCGTTGCGGTGCATTAAGGACTGCGTAGTAGCAATCAAGGACTTCTTGTCCAGATGCCCAACCTGTGGGCTGGACTCGTGCCTGTAGTAGCTCGGCAGCAAAGTCGTGTTTATCCGCGATCGTGCTGTAGTATTTGCCGATGGTCTTGAGGATGTAATGCTCGATAGATACTAGGACTTTCTGATGATCCCTATAAATCTGAAGATTGTGTCAGTACTTCATGTGTAAGAATTCCAGCTTGGGAAAATTGTTTGCATTGAGGCCTGTTAGACTAGCTCCATCTGGCTTGATCTGCAAAGGCGTGGGCTCTGCCGACTTGGCTAGTGTTGGTTTACTTTCCTTGGAAGAGTCTATGAATTGCCAAATGTTCTGGACTATTGCGAATTTCTAGATGATGCCGATCTATTGTTTTCAATCACCGGGGCTTTGGACACTGGTCTAGGAAGGAGTTTTTAGATATGTTGAATCTATTTTTGGCCATAAAAGCAGTAGATGTCGGAAAAAGTCAAACATACGGATGTCCATCTGATCATAACGGCATGCGGCGTGCAATGAGAACAAACTGCGTTGAATGAGCCTGGGGAAAACCAGGCTTGTAACTGTTACCCTACGAGGACCCGTTGATCTGATGAGTTGAAGATTCTTGGTTTTCTATCAAAAAGTATGACGAATGTTGATTTCTTTATACGTCTATTCAGTCGTAGGCAGCAGAGACAATCCGTCAGCGGTACCTGTGTTGCCTTGTGCATGTTTATCACTCTATGTGTGAATCCGTTCACGAAACCTCATCTTGACGATACTTAAAGAAACCTATACTAGGAGAGCAGATTTCAAAGAGACGAGCAAGGAAGATTTGCCTGCGCATAGTCGAATGCATCCAGATACCCCATTAACTGGACCACAGCAGCGCTTACCACCAGGATGTGAAATATCGAATGGGAGCCCCATAGGTCGAACTTGCCAGGATATTGGCTTTCGGGGAACCTGGTCTTCAGAACCAAATGTGTTAGGGGCCAATTTCTGTCTTGAGTGCGAAGTTGGGAGACCTACTGCATAAAACGAAGTCCCAGATAGAAGGCAGCCTGCTTTTGCCAGATTGTAAGGAAGAGCCTTTCTCATCATCTGGGAAATGCCGAATACATAAAGGCCATGGATCAAGGGCGCAACACCGGATAAGCCAGTCGCCACGAACATCAATGCTCGGAAGAGGCGGTACCTTGGGCCCTGGAACTTGGGATTTATTGTCATGAAGATGGTCAATATCCCAAAAACTCCAATCTTTCAACCGAGGAAATAGGAGTGTTAGACTCAAGTATCAGGTCTGAGATGAGGCAAAAAAAGTTGTGCACATAGAGAATCACTAACCATAGACCAGTAGATATTGCGTGGTAAAGGTTCACACCAGAAGGTCATGTATATTCCCAAGACAAGGTCACCCAGTATGAATATCACTATTCCCAGCATATCCAGTCGCAAACAGAGATGTTCTACGTGTTGAGAGTGGTTCATCAAGGTGTGGTATATCGCCGACAGCGACAGGCACGTGGCGGCTGTCAACATGAAGATGGAGAAAGCAATAAAGTCGGCGCCAGTGACTCGGGAGTATCTGCTGGTAAGGTACTGCTGGAGATACCACTCGCCGAGTAGGAAGAAAATGGCGGGGATGAGGTGGGAATAGATGTTGACGGACTCGTTGTGGATATACGACCAACTACCGAACGAAGCGTGAGCCGAGCCCGAGATAGGCCGATAGCCACGGAGAATCCACTGGCTGGATTCATGTCGGAACCATTCCGGCATCTCATCGAACGAGAAAAGAACTCGGCGCTCTGCCTTACCGGCCTTGGATGCAGTGTCACTGGTGAATCCCATTCCCCGCCCTTTGTGCGCCTCTGGCGACTGCCGGCGCGGAACTCGAAGACGGAGAGGGAATACCATTTACTGTCGTGCCTCATGAGAATGGAATGTGAGGAGGCCGGACTTTGAGAATAAGAGAAATACAAGATGAAGAAAAAGGTGGTCCCTCTTTCTTTGTTTCTTCCACTGCGGCGCTTGCATTCCGTTGGCCTTGCTAAGCGCCAGCTTTGTTGTTCGCCCACTGCGACTTGGACGGCTATATGATTCGCGCTCTCATCGAAGGCGCGTTGATATGAGTACTCCCAAGTCAGGAAATGACTCCGGCCGTTGTTGAACTCTCCAAAATGACGGAGAGTTCGCCGGCTAATACGGTTTGCGCTGAGCGCGCTGCCAAAGCTTGCGAGGACCAACAAAATGCCGGTCCCTTCGCCAGCGCCAGCAACGAATGCGACTATTGCTCGACAAACTGCCTTTGCAGCCTTCTTCGCTTAATTTACAACTGAAGTTCCCCGAGCTAAACCTGTTCTTGGGAACAACAAGTTGTCGTTCTCTCCCACATCGCCAACACAGTATTGTCCACAATGCGGCGTCATGGTTGATATCAAGGATACTGCAAGGCCGTTGCTATACCAGTAAGCAGATTGTTCCTGTCGTTTCATGGGAACGTGTGACTAATATGCAACGGAAATCATGCCATCGGAGACCTGGAGTCTCTCATTTGTTTTTTTTTCCCCCACCTCGCTTGGAAAGAGGTCACGGCGGGCACGGGCACGGCCCGCTCACATTCGAACGGACGGGGGCGGAGTCAAGTTTTCTGGTTCAAATAGTATCTTACCGAAGCTACCATGGACAAATTCCATCGTTTTTTTGGAAGCGATCAGCACTTCGGGGAGAAATTTATAGCAAGTACCATCCTTGTGCCGCTATAGAGACGCTTGGGGCTCTGAATGCACCGAGTAGGAATGAAAGAGCTACTTAGAAGGCGAGAAAGGAATATGCGCGCGGGTCTCATCACATTAAGCCTTTGCAGGGGGTTAGATGTGCTAAGCCAGGGCGTTAATAATAGTAACCAATTCCCTATGTAATGGGAACGCAGAGGATAATCAAATAATATAAAAGAATACTGTTATCATATCATGGAGCTCGTTATAAATAGACTGCGGACGAATTCTTTTAAGCGACTCATCGCGCTTGGCAAGGGGAGAAGGTAATAGGAGGGGAGTGTTAATAGATAACAATATTATAGTGGTATATATTGTATAAAAGCGCGTAATATAGAGTGCAGGGAGACAATAGCAGGAGGGCTATAAGTAGTAACGGTAGGGTGAAACATGTTGCGAGGAAAGAAAGGTGCCACCAACACGGCGAGAACCAACATGTTCCGCTGTGCGTCCCTATATTACAGGAATACTCAACTATTTAGTTGTTTTTTACGGTTTCCAGATTATACTCAGAGCTCAGGGCCGTGTCGGCGAGGCAGGGAATATTCAACACTCCCTGCCAGCAGTCTTAAAAAGCTAGACATCATCACACTGACCATCGTGTTCTATTGACAGGTACTGGGAAAGAGCAGCGCTAATCTGAGAAGAACTGTCTGTGGCTGACAGAGATTTGCTACTTTGATTGAAACTTGTGCTATGGAGTTGAAATCTAGCTTTGCCACGCTGATGATAGCCGATTACAGGTGGTGGGAGATGGAATTATGGGAATGGTGATGTAGTTCACCCGCCCTGGACCGAAGTGAATATTATTGAAAGCCTTGAAGATGCTCTCAGCCCTATTTGTAGTTTAGTATCTGAATGATAAGTAGTGCACCTTGACTTGGAGTCTTACCTGTCAATAGGGTCATTATGACCGAAAATACCAGAGCCCGCAGTATCCCCCGAGCTGATATCCAAAGCAAGGCGGTTACCAACATCCACCACGACGTTTGTTGGCCAGAGTTCAACGTCAACTGTGTAGACCTCGTCAGGCGTAACTGGAAGAACGTCCTCTGCAGCATATTCTCTATATGGGAGCCAGGCACGATGCCGAGGATGCTCTGGGTGGATCTTTCTCATACTGACTCGAAGCCACCCTTTAGTCACAGGGGCGCCTTCACCAGTAGTCCCTGTATACAGGATTTCTGAGCCGTTGGTAGAGATATGCCGCAACGTGAGGAACAGGTCCAAATCCGATGGGTCTGGCGCTTCAGCCTTCTGGCTGACGGAAACATTGAGGCGTGCAACAATATGGCCTGTAATTTCGGTCTCTCTCTCAAAAGGTGCTGTGGTGAAGGTGACGATGTCTGAAGGCTGACCTGTGCCCAGCGCCTCATAACTTCGCTTGCCAGTAATGGATTGCGGCTCCGTGAATAGCATCTCGCCCCCGTGATGGAGGTAGAGTTTGGTATACTCAGTCCTTGCCGGGGGCCATTCTGCTTCAAATCTTCTGGGGAATGTCTTTTCGGCAAGAGTATTGTTGTATCCAATGTCTCCCTTTCGCAACACAAGATTCACGGGAGGGATGGTGCCCTTCCTGGTCCACCCATCTCGGTCATCGCCTTTCAGAAAGGCATCCAAGAAGCTTCGTTGGATCTCAACCTCCTCATCCAAGTAGAACGGCAGATCATGGCGACCGGTGATAAAACGAAGATACTTATACTCAGACCCAGCCCAAGTAAACCCTTCGACATTCCCACGAAGGTGGAGTAGGATACCACCCCAATTGGCCACGCTCAGAATAGGAACTTTGATATCCTGCAGGTTGTATGCGATTTCCTTGAACGCCGCATCGTCGTTATAGCGGGCCTGGGATGCAACGTCTGGAAGATATACCTGGTTCTCTTTCAGCTCCTCTTCTGATAGATCACCTTCGATGGTGTCCGGTCCCCAGTTCCGCGCAGCCTTGCCCGGCAATCCATACTGGTTCGATGCGACCTGAAAAGCCCACCAGAGATGAAGAAAGCGATTCGCCAAGATTCCACCATGCCGGTATGCGTCGCGGTAGATGTCGGAGTAGCCTTCCCAAGGAATGGCAGCAGCCAACCCTTTTGGGTTGCGCGCAGCAACTGGCCACTGGGTCCCTGCATAGTAGCTGATTCCAAGGAGGCCAACTTTTCCACTCGACCAACTTTGCTCGGATGCCCATTCAATTACTTGGCAGAAGGCGTCGGTTGTTTGTGCAGAAAATGGGTTCAGTTTTCCTGGTGATTGGCCGGTGCCAGTTTCATCGGCCCGCAAGACGACGTACCCGTAGGCTGTCCAGTACTCTGGAGTAGGTGTCTCCCACGATGAATGCACGGTTTTATGGGCTGGACCGAGCTCGTGATATTTCTCGGCATTAAATCTAAAAGATTTCTTGGTTAGAATGTTGCATTATGTGCTGCAGGAGCCACAAGCCCCAAGATCAAGGTTTTTATCATTGATCACATACGATTCATATGGGACGTCTTTCCCATAGGGTCCGTATGTTGCCAACACGGGATAACGAGACCCTGTCTCGGTATCCTTCGGCCGATAGATATTGCAGCGAATGACCTGACCATCCTTTAATGGGACGGTGACGTCTTTTTCAAAAATGTACGGGTAGGTCTCCCTGTCAATTGTGTGAATATCACGACGTTGATTCGGCATTGTATATGAACAGAGGGAAAATCGGAGTGTCTTGAGTAGAGAATTTTGAACTTATAGAATATTTATTTCCATACTCAAGGGAGGATCAACGCTCTTATTGAAATTTTAACCCTTTCAGCGGAGAGGAGAATGAGATCCACACATCAGTCGGACCGCAACTATCGGGCCGAATCTACTGTAGTGAGCCACCGCGACGGATGCGGTTAGATGCAGAAGATAATGTCAAATCAGCTCCCGTGTCTTAAACATGATTTACATGGAGCTTTTGATCAATTAAGTCGATTCTTTAAGATTTTATATATTATACACATGCTACATAAGCGTAGGGAAAGGGGCCAAGAAATCACCATCCCGTGCGTGTTTGACCCTCCCAAGCGTCAAATAAGGAAGAGAGGTCTTCACCCATGATGCTCATGTCATCAAGAAGAGAAATCTGTTCGTGACTTAACGAGCCTCCGATAAAATCCACACTCTGTGCTTCATATGGATCGAAATTTGGGGGCTCTAATGTCATTTTCTCTGGTGATCTTTCTGGAGATACTTCTCGTGGATCTTTCCTGCCCTGTGAGACATAAGGAAATTGATATAAATAACAAGAAGCTTCTGAGGGCTGCATGTAATCAGAGATACTGGTGGAGATATTGCACTCTGAATTCGATAAATAGTTGCATGACGAGAACAAAATAGCCTGGTGATGATCAATGATATCCTGCTCACAGATGTGACCTTTCAAGCAGAGTAACACTTTCTTCCACTTTGCCACCCGAGGAGTTAGCTTTCTTGAACCCACTTATCTTATTGAGAACATACCAGTCTTTCAAGGGGAACCCAGTGTTGTCGTAAGTCGTCTAGAATAACTAGACAAGAGAGGAGCTGTACACGAGCATATTTGAGAATACCCCTATCTCTGAGGGTGAGGAAACTTGCGTAAATCGAGCAAACCACAAAGCTGCAGTATCCCACATAAGGCGGTAGTTCTGCGACCTTTCCGCCAGCGGAGACGAAATGATTGAGCATGATGACAAATTTTTCGGCATGAGATACTGTGGTGTATGTGCATTGTTGAAGAAGTTCAGAGGGCAGACAATCATTGATCGACCTTGCCGAGAAGAATGGAATGACAAATGAATGAAGAGAGATCATAGCCAAGTTGTAAACGGAGTGGAGGAAGAAAATTACATTCATGTATGGTCGGGTATACTCTTCATAAGACTCCTCGAATCGCAAGTGTGGTGAGTTTCGACGAAACTGGAGCATACGTTGCTGCAGACAAAATATCTGCTGGATATCTTTCTCGCCAGGTTGAAGAGCGTTCGCTCTCAAAACCTGAATATCGTGGCTAAACAAAAAAGAAGTCAGTGGTAAATCACAAGCCAGAGGCTTCTTTCTTACAGTATATGAAGAAGCTCCACGCTGCTCATAAAGACCTTTTCCATATTACCAATACCTGGCTCGATTGTAATTGTAGTCTTTGCGTTTGCATCTTGCGGAGGCATTAAGGGTGGTAAGACAGAATCTTTCGCAGACATGGTGAAGATTTCATCTTTCAGAATGACAAAAAGAATGATCCAGCAATTCCAAAAGCACATATAACCACGTTGTTGGCTATAGGATCGAAAGTCCTTTGGATCTGGTTGGTAAAATTCAAGGGCTCTTGCCGCAACAAATGCAACATCTACCAAAGGCGGTTAGATATGTATTGCGATGAGACATAGGAAGCTCAGCTTACGAGCGTGCAATTTCGATCTGTGAATTTCCCCAACAGCAAACCAGTAGGTTGCCAGAATCTGACTCGTTTGTATTATCTCCAATGAAGGTTGGTGCGCATTCAATAAGCAGAATTGGCTTGCTGAATTCGCCCAGGTAATGGCTCGTGTTTGTAGACCCAGAGGCGAAATGAAGGTTCTGTCAGACATGATCATTTCTTGTGTCTTGTCTACAAAGCTGCAATGCTTCCTCAGCTTAAGGGGTCTCCTGGAATCAGATATGGAGCTCTTACATGGAAGCTAGGGCAAAGACAGCCTGAGAAACATGTTTAGGGAGGCTACCTTCGAGATAGCCCTGGATGACCTTGTCTTTATGAAATATTATAGACGCACATATATAGTGCGAAAAGGTAGTCTCCAGGAGATATAAGCCTGATTGTTTGGATGGAAGGGACATGTCCTGAGATTCCGTAGTAATCATTTGCGGAGAGTCGTTGGTTTTCTTGAACGCGTTAGTGGAGATCCCTCATGAGAGCGTGGACAAAAACATGATTACTTACTGCTATGGATACGTTACATGGATCTTTCAGGAATTTTCCACAGCTTCTGTTGTTGCGATATTGCTTCTGGCCCCAGGGAGTCCGGGTTTTGGCGATCGCTTTGCGATCTGGTGGAGAAGGGTACTGGCACTCCACATGGTTGCGAATACACCTTAAGCAGGCTGGGAATTCCCGGGTACATTTAAGCTATAAATTAATGATCAAAGATAAGATCTCTCACTCACTGCCTGCCTTGCAAGGGGGGTTTAAAGTCACGGACTTGAGGGAAAAAAACCTACTTTATGGCCTCGGCATCTCCGGCACGCAGTGGTGGGAGTTCGGGGTGCTTCTCTTCCATTTTCCGAGGAATCCATCTAAATTACCCAGAGTGTTCAAGATATATTGAATTAATTGAATGAAATTCAGTGGCCCTGTCTGTCCTAGATTTATGGGGCAGTAAGTGTATGACGGGGACGGATGCGCATACAACTTTACGTCCGACAAGGTTCAATTCGATCTCCGCCCTGGCCCATGAGTAATCAGGTAGGTTGTTACTATAGTAAACTGAACTTTTGTCAAACTCCATAGAGTCGTAGCTTTTTAAAGTTGTTGGACGTAAATGCACGCTCAAACAAATTATATAAAACACAATTTTCGTTGTGTATACTGTTGAATCCCATCCAAACAATGGTATATACCCAAAAGAGTTGACGTTTTTCAAGCTTCAAGTATATCGCATGTACTGGAAATGAGATGCGAGACAAACAACATTTTACCAATCCTGACCGAGCCAATTCAAAGCCAAAATGAAAAGCCGAGAGTTTACAATGACCTTAAATTTAGAACTTTGCAGAAGAATTTTCGAAGTTACCGGTGGGTGATCAGCCATAACGAGGACGGGGTTGCTCGTTTTGGTTCGGGTTGACTTATGGTTCCCCGGCTCGTTGGCGCATGCCGATTCCGTCGCGCCTCTTGAGATCCTCTCCACACACCAACACACCCGCCATGGCCGCCCTCACATCAGATCAAATCAAAGTCCTCGAGCAATCGCGTCAAAGGCTTGTTCAGCTGACTCGCTCTCTCGGTTCCCTTATAGGCAGCTTAGACAAGGGCGATCCCCTCCCTCCGTGGTGTGCAGACCCGATCCACCCAATCTGTCTTAGCGGACTGCTCGAACTAATCTGGCATACCAGGTCTTCCCTCCAATCGCAAGCAAGCATCATCTCTAATAACCTTGTGAGCGTATCCGAACACCTCTCCGACCATCGCGATCTCCTCTCCTCCCTTGTTGCCTACCCCGGGCCAGACTACCCGGGCCGTACACAAGCCAACACCCTCGAGCAGCTTCTGCGCACGAAACTTGACCCCCGCGTCGAGGACTGGGTAGCCCGGGGTCGTGTGGCAGGCACCGAGCAACCTGATTCCGCCCTGGCTCCTTTCAACTCAGTGCCCAACCCAAGCGCCGCGGCGACGGCCAAGGAAACTCTCAGCGAGTCCGAGCTCGCGGAGCTTTGGGAATGGGCACCAATCGAGGCCAACCAAGAAGCACGGCGACGGAATTGGGGTGGAAATTTCACTCTTGAAGAGCGCGAGCAGGGCATAGAGAATGTGGTGACAGGGTTGCAGAAGCCCTTGGAGGATGATGAAGGTGACGAAGATGAAGAGGAGGGTTCCGATGAAGAAGGTGAAGACGAGATGGAGATTGTGGGCGTGCACCGCAAGGCAGGTGGTGGCTCAGGCTTGGAGTTTGACATCGCACCTCATCATGCCCACGCCGTCCAGCCAGTCGTGCCGTTGGCAGAAATTCTAAGATACATGACTACCGGGCGCATGCCGTAGCCCTGGTTCCACATGGCACTCTACTGTCTACGAACATTGGCTGATAAAGTATAGACAAAGCATGACTGGACTCAGCTCTATGAGCCAGTTGTATGAATTTTGAAAGGCATTATTAGGAGTATTATAACGGATTTGAAAACGAAAGCGCAATCAATTGGAATTCCAATATCCTTCAACCCCGTCGTCGCGTAGTAGGTGTCTTAGAGCCCGCCTTGGGGGACACACTAGAGCTTTGGCCCGAAGGCTTTTCGGCGATCTTTGCGCGACTGGCCTTCTTCGGCGCGGGGCTGTTCCAATAGTACAGCATCTGCGCAGCGAGAATAAGGTTGAGACTGAACCCGGCAACAAATCCATACAGAATGAGCTTGTCGTCGACTTCTTGGAGAGTTGTGAAGATACGAGAAAGTGAGCCGGCAAGATAGTTGAATACCTAAGAAAGAGAACCAAAAAGTCAGTTGATATCTTCAGGCATGTATCATACAGATCCAAGCATACCGCAAATGCGCTCAGCTGTCCAGTGCCACCCTCGCTCCAGATCGTGTATATTTGGGGCGCTTTGCTAGCAACACCCAGAGCACCTGCACCAGCTTGGAGGTATGCCATGGTCTGCGCGTCAATCAGGGTCTGATCGAACAGCAGCGCGTACACAACGGCTGCCACAACGGCGACAAAAGTGGCAGCAGCAGCAGATCGGCCAGCAAAAGTCAGGACCAGAATGCCAACAGCAACATCCTGGACGGCAATAAGAGCCGACTCGCCATAGGTGCTGAAGGGAAACTGGTTGCGTACGCCGTAGGACAGCGTAATCAGCAGGCTGGCAGTTTCAAGGGCATAGGAAATGAAGGAAACACCCGCCGATGAACGGGAGTTGATCAGCTTCAGAATCTGCGGAACCTTAACGACAGCACTGGCACCAACTATGGCGATACCGAGAGCCTTGGAGATGGCCAGGGATGTGCAGGCAGGATCCTTGGTGAGACTGAGGTCCAGGAGCAGGGCGCTGTGGCAGGGCGCACCGATGAGGGAGACGACTGCATCGTGAACCGGTTCGGGGATAGCCTCAACGATGGGCCTCAGATAAGGCTGGAGCGGGTCCAACACGGTTTTTTGAACAATATCCATGGTGTGGTTTGTGGAAGTCGCAAGATTGGGAGAATTGTGTTGTGAAGTGTTGACATTCCAGAGACTAAATTGCGGGTTTGGTCCGTGCGGCCGCCGGGGAAATTGTTCCCTCTTCCACTTTTCCTTCTTTGCTCTTTTCCGTTGACGATCTCACGACGCGCCATGCTCCCTCTTCGGTCCGCCATCTTGAGGCAAGGGCCGTCTCGAGAGGCGCTTCTGTGTTCACAATGTCGGATCATTTCACAGCCTCAATGGCCGCATGCCGCCCGAGGCTTCTGGTCATCCTCTCATCGCCGAACGGGCGTCACGGATAATCAGACCACCTCTGCCCTACAGAAGACCTACTTTTCTCCGAATCGACTGTACGATATCTCAAGATTGAAAGGAGGTTTTCTGTCATCCTTTTCATCTCCCAATTCTTCTTCCGACAATCTTTCCAATGCTTCTACCTCTCAATCCTCGAGTCAACCGTCCGCAGGTTCCCCCAATTCGACTGCGGGTTCATCATCGGACCCCATTGCTGCTCAAGCTAATCGGGACGAGCTTCCGCATCGACGAAGGAAACGTTTAAAGGAGTCTGACTCCGAAAATGTGTCTGTGGAGCATGTCATACCACCCGATGCCTCCGCACAGCTCTCGAAGCTTTCCTCTGCCCTCCCCACGACCTCGCTCCGCCGAAAACTGGCCGCGTTCTTTGCTCTCACCAAACCCCGACTGTCCTTCCTCATTCTCCTCACCACGACCTCTGCGTACGGAATGTATCCGATCTCCTCGCTACTTACCCTCGACCCGGCGATGACCCCTCTCCCCACCCTCTCAACGTCGACTTTGACCTTTATATACTTGACGGCAGGTACATTCCTATCATGCTGTAGCGCCAATACACTCAACATGATGTTTGAGCCTCGGTACGATGCATTGATGTCGCGCACGCGGAATCGTCCGCTGGTCCGCGGGCTGGTCTCGCCCCGCGCGGCACTGCTGTTTGCCATTGGCACTGCTGCTGCTGGTCTTGGATTGTTGTATGTTGGGACCAACCCGACTACCACTGCGCTATCTGCTGCAAACATTTTTCTGTATGCATTTGTCTATACTCCGCTGAAACGAATCAGCGTGGTCAATACATGGGTTGGCGCGATTGTTGGTGGCATCCCACCCTTGATGGGCTGGGTTGCAGCAGCCGCTCAAACCGCAACCACCGGCCATGATACGTGGCGGGATATGCTTTTCAGTGAAGATAGCATTGGTGGATGGCTCTTAGGTGGAATCCTGTTTGCTTGGCAGTTCCCTCATTTCAATGCTCTGTCTCATCTTATTAAAGATGAGTATAAGGCTGCAGGTTATAGAATGCTGTGCTGGGTGAACCCAGCCCGCAATGCTCGTGTTGCTCTGCGTTATTCAGTGCTCATGTTCCCTATTTCCATTGGTCTTTGGTGGGTTGGTGTCGTCGGTCACGGATTCCTAGTGGGCAGCACATTTGCCAACGGCTGGCTTGTCCGTGAGGCTTATCGCTTCTGGCAGCACCAAGGCGCTCAGGGATCCGCTCGTGGCCTCTTTTGGGCTAGTATCTGGCAGCTTCCAATTCTGCTTGTCGGTGGTCTGGTTACCAAGAAGGGCTTGTGGGACGGCGTGTGGCGTCAGATCTTTGGGGGACCCGAAGAAGATGAGGATGAATTTGTGTATTATGACGAGGAGGATGAAATTGTTGATGGCTCTGAAACACCCCAGAAAGACAGCCGAACTTCTTTGTCGTCCTCACGAGGGAGTGTTTTGTCAACTGCATAGGAGGCCTGAGTCTGTTCTTTGCACATCTCGTCTCTAATTTCCTTTCTTCTGGACCTGTTATATACAGCGGTTGGGAGCGGCGTTTTTTGTTTTGTCTATCTTGTATAACAATGTCCATATGGGACCATCTACAGATCATCTCATCAAGATATCTACTTTTCTTGTACAATTTCATTTTACCACAGATGCCCCTTAGCTATTGTCGCAGCCCATTGACACCATTTGCGGAAATTTAAGTTTCACCCGAAGGAGGCCTGTCCGTTTGCTGGAAATTGTTCAATCTCGATTCTATGTGGAATCAACAGTAAGAAGGCACTCAGGCTTGTTAAAATGGAGAAAACACGTACAGGACTCATTATATACTCTCGGTAAATAATTACACAGACGCCAGCCTTAGAGCGACCCAAGGATTTCATTCACATCAATGGAACTGAACTCCTTCAATGTCTCTTCCCATAATCTTTCCATGACTTCCTTGCCCTCGGGGGAGTACACAAATGCAGGATATCTATATCACCAGGTTAGAACAATCTCTATATAAGGAGAAAATAGAAGCGACTTGCGGTGCAATGTCCCAGTTCATAAGAAGAGATCCATGTGTATCTTTCTTTTTGACGATGGAAGCATCCAAATATGTTGATGCTCCAACCTTCACAGTTCGAGCAGAGACCGCCTTCAACGTATTTAGGAAGATTTTGACGGCCATTGGAGCATCTCGCTGCAACTCCGTCCCTTTGACAAAGCCAGGCTCGACCATATTTACAATAACATCTTCGGCAGAGACCGACTCTGTAAGCTTCCAGAGGAACAATTGACCCAGAAGTTTTGAGGTTGGGTATCGGTCGACCGAATCAAAGCTCTTCTCGTCGTCAAACGACGGAAGCAGTGGGTCTGCTTTTTTATTGGCAAATTTGGCTGTCAATGAGAGCATGGTGGTGACTATCGTCAAACGTCCGGGGAACCCGGCAGGGGATTTGTTCTTAAGAATTGGCAGTAACAGAATAGCGAGGAACATGGTTGACAAGAAATTGATCTGGACGGCTTCCTCGTGTCCCGTCCCGGGCACGATCTTGAAACTCGCCCCCACGACGCCAGCATTCAAGATTGCGATATCTAGCCGCGTGAGCTCTTTCTCGGCTCGCGCTGTAAAAGCTTGAATGGATTCATAGGAGCTCATGTCCAGGAGCCACACGGCGATGGTGGCATTGGGGTACTGTTCCCGCAGTTTGGCGGCGGCATCCTCACCCTTTGCGGCTGTGCGCACAGCGATGATCAGGTGGGAGAGCTTGAAAGATAGAAATTGACGGGCACATTCAAAGCCTAGGCCGCTGTTGGATCCCGTCACGATAGCGACCTTTCCAGAGAGATCTGTATCCTCGGGGGGAAGCCGCGGGGTGGAGCAGAATTGGTTTTTGATAAACTGGTTGGGGAAGAATGGAGTTTTCGATGGTGGTAATTCCTTTGAGGAAGGCATCATGAATATTTTTGGGTAAATGGATCTCTGCCGGTTGGCCTTAATGGATATTTGAATTTATACTCAGGGAAGATGAATGCGGACGTTTGAATCAAGGGATGAGCAGCATTTATACTGTTCGAGGGCTATTGACAAGTGGGTGGTTCAGGCGGTGTTACGGATTCACGCATTTCCGTATCTGCCAATGATGCATTATATACATTCATTGCAAACTCATGACTGTAGAAGAAAGTTATCTAAAAGAATGGTATAAGCCGCCTTCGTGCATGTCTGAACAGACCAAGCGCCCGGGACCCACTTATGGGCTGCAATCGGACCTATGTTGATCGAGGAGCATATCCGCTTTACCGCATTAGGGAGTCAATCTGATGCATTAGCGCCCGCCGTGAACCAAACCTCCGAGGCTTCGAGGCGGCAAGTTCCCGTCGGACTTAACGGACTCTCGGCTCTCACAACCACCTCCAACCCAATGCTAATGAAGCGAGCTGACCCATCTTCAAATTTTTATCTGCACTAAATGCATGAACTGGCAGGCGTATAGGCTTGGTTGATGGCCTATAAATATGACTAACGCAAAAGAAGATGGTAAGTCTTGTGACAGCCCATTCGCGGTCAGACCCTTAGTATGGTGGCAAGGCAAGCCCTCCATTAATGAAGGATATTGCGGGCAGGAACACTCTTATTTATCGATGGACTGGAGAAGCCCGAATCAGAGAAGCGAAAACAAATCAGGAAACATGTAATGCTTGGAAAAAACCGCGGCAAGACTCGGAATGTCAGGGCCGGTGGTACAAAATCATCAAACCCTTCGCCATCTTCGGTAGAAGACCTAGAGCCAGGTTCAGGATTAGTGGTAAAAGTTTGCTATCCTGTGATACCCAATCAAGTAGGCGATGAAATTTCTTTCACTCAGTTTGCTGCCCCTGTGGCACCGCAGCTAATACGGGATGTCTTGAAGTGTGAGTCTATACCTCTGAATGGCATTTTGGGGCTACGCTTATAAATTGTTTTCACAATGGCTTGATGATAGTCTCCTAAGTTATGTACCCTCTAGAGTCCTGCGTCGATTTCCACAGAAAAGAAAAGGTCGATACATTTTATTTTGACTTGATGACCTTTGACGCCGTATACCTCCATGCGATAGTCTTTTCGTGTCAAGCATACTTCGGCCTTGTTTCTCCACAACCACAACCAGTCGCAACTAAAATGACCCTGACACACCAAAACGCTGCTCTTCGGTTGCTTCGCGACAGATTGTGTGCTCAAGGGGAACAGATCAAGTACTCAGACTCCACGATTTTGGTGATCGTGTGTCTAGCCATGCATGCGCATTTTGTGAATGAAAATGAAACTGCTAGATACCATCTGAGAGGCCTAAGAAACATGGTTGACGTAAGAGGAGGCTTAAAGGCATTCGGTTATAATCCCAAGTTGATCATGGAGATGTTAAAGTATGTCATCCCCACAACACCAAACATACCACGATTGATTTATTTCAGATTGATATTTGAAACTGACCAAGATACAGGTGCGATTTGGGAATAGCACTTTTCCAAGGAACCCAGCCCATTTTCTTCCAGAACCACGCTAAAGAGCCCCTAATACCGTATGAGCTTGGACCACTGATACCAGGACACCGGGATATAGATGAAACAGACATGTCGTGGGACCCGACTTATTTGAAGATCAATACAGACCTGGTTCATGCCTGGACAGCCATGAGAAATTTCTGCTCGACAATCAACTCGGTTACTGAACGCAAGCGCCGTCTGTCAAAAGAGATCCTACTCAACACAATGGCCTCCGTCATGTACCGTCTGCTGGCTCTGGAGAGTTTCGACCACAACTCGCTTGATGAGGCGGTTCGTCTTGGACTCTTGGCATTCTCATATTTGGTCTTTCTTCGCTTTGAAAATGTAAAGCTCCCACAGCGACACTTTCCTCAAAAATATTGGGCTTGCCTTCAGAGCCTGAGGACCTCGGAAGTGCCATCAGATTTGCGATTATGGCTATTTGTTATTGGCGCAATAGCATTTGCAAGTCCTGATGATGATACTTCATCGTTGGCCTTGCTGAGGATTGACGTGAAATCTTATGGAGCATACCAATTGACCGAATCCCTCCACCTTTTGAGGCACTTCCTATGGATCGAAATTTTAGTACAATCGCCTGGGAAGGCTGTACTTGAATCACTTCGCTCTTAAAGAACTCTGTATCGATAGCTATTGAACACTGCATGATCTTGAGAATCTCATATATTGATCGGAGATTGTCACCGGGTATCTTAATCTATGGTACACAAATAGTACAAAGCCTGCAAGCCAGAAATGATAATATCTATATCACTCCCTCAGCTTGAGGTGATAGGTCTGCAATGCCTCCTCGGTCATGAGACTAGGTGCCCGAACCATGGCATCATCGCCACCTTTGCCAGTCTTCGGGAACGCAATGACGTCCCGCACAGACTCCTTGCCCAGCATGACTGCAACGAGACGATCGAAACCAAGAGCTAGACCCGCGTGAGGCGGACACCCTGCGCGGAGGGCATCAAGCAGATGCGAGAAGTCAGCAAGGCGCTCGGCAGGCATCTTCAGAATGTCACGAAGGATAAATTCTTGAACTGCTGCATCATGGATACGACGGCTGCCACCGCCCAGTTCAACGCCATTCACAACAAGGTCATAATGGTCTGCCACGGCTTGAGTAGGATCGGTAAGCAGGAGATCCACGTCAGCAGCAGTCTTGGGAGCAGTGAAGGGGTGGTGAGTAGATGAGAAGCCTGCGGCGCCACCTTGACCGGGCTCGCTATCGGAAGAGGGCGAGAATAGCGGGAAGTCGACAACCCACATGAAATCAAAGCCAGTGGGGGCATTCTTGAAGCCTGTCGAAACTGCATGTGCGTGAAGTGCACGGCGGAGATCACCAATGGGTGTTGAGCCGCCAGAGAAGGGGGCACGCGGACGAGCTTGAAGAATGATCAAGTCGCCGTGGTCAGGCTCGAGCAACTCCTCCACCTGCTCTGCAGCTTCAAAACCGAAGGGCTGCAAGCCGCAGAGGGGCTGCTTTCCATTGTATACAAAGACCCCGGGGCCACCATCAGGGTTGTTGTTGAATGGCGCGCCGGCTGGGGAGTCGAGGAACTGAGTGATGAATTTGAGTGTCTCAGCAGGATCGTTGTCATTGCTTTCAAGCTTAAATGCTTCGACAATTGGTTCGCTCAGGGGCGAAATTTTCATGACCAGGTCAACTGGAAGCAGATGATCGAGTCGCAAGATCTCCATGCCGTATCTGGTGTCTGGCTTGTCGGAGCCATACTTTGCCATGACTTCCTGATATGATACACGACGGAAAGGACCCTCGGGCGCAGAGTCTTTCATCAGGTTGGCCCAAAGGCGACGGATGACACCCTCAATGGTGCGCATCACATCGTCGCCCTTTGCGAAAGACATCTCTAAATCGAGCTGGGTGAACTCCGGCTGTCGGTCAGCTCGAAGATCCTCGTCCCGGAAGCAGCGGGCAAACTGGTAGTAGCGATGAACACCACTTGCCATCAGGATCTGCTTGTACTGCTGTGGACTTTGAGGCAAAGCATATGCCAATCCTGCCCGACGAGTTGGGACCAAAAACTCCCGAGCTCCTTCCGGTGTCGACTTAAACAACAAGGGAGTTTCAATTTCCACAAACGCCGGTTGACAGCCCTCCTCTAATTCCTGTTTGCAAGTATTTCGTACTTGCGCTCGGAACCTCAGCGCGTCACGCAGATCGGCATCCGATCGAAGTTGAAGGTACCGCTGCTCTGGTGCAAAGACGGTTTCCGGTGTCATAATTATCTCCTTCGGAAAGTCGTTGAGAGGATGGATATCTTCCAATGCAAGTTCCCATGAGTCTTCAGGTTTCCCAGATTCCTCGGAAGCCTTCCTTTTTTTCTGTTGTACCGTGCCGCGCACAGCGACAGGACTATTGGCGTTGATAGCCTTGAGCTTTTCGAACGCATCATTCTTGGCAAACCCAACTATCTGTAGACTGTACTTCATGGAAGGGTCTGTAAGGCGCACGAAGGAGAGCTTCTTAGAAAGGTCCGCTCTTTGACCCAGGTAGCCGTGTAGGACAACTTCGATATTCGGCTCGGCCTGCGAGAGGAAAGACTCGAAGTCGTGTGTGGCAGAGGGGAATTCCACTAGATTAACAGTATGGCTGGTTAGCAATTGATCTATAAAGATCGCGATTGAGTTAATTGACATCCCCAATATTCTACTCACCAGCTGTTTTGTAAGCCTCCATAAAGCTAGGAAGCTCTCGCGGAGTATGCGGCTCGCGTAGGCATGCCGGGCGATGGAAATGCTTGGTCGCAATAAATTGCCTCTGCCATAGGCGTGCCGATTGAGGTGTGTAAGGCGTCAAGCCTGACCGAAGCCGTAAAGGCAGCTGCACGCCTGCCAACCGCATGATGCCTGCCGATGTTCAACTTTCAGATTGCGCAACTCGAAAAAGCAGCGGCTTCCGCCCGCCCAAAGCGGCCTAGCGCAGACCTATAACTAGCGCGAATCTTCCCGCAATTTTTTTCTTTTCTTCTTCATCCTTCCAAGTTTTATACTTGTGAGTCCCTACCCACGATGAAACTACAATAAATTTACCATACTGACTGGTTTTAGATGATGAAAGCCTAGTGTGTTCTATATGATTAATTTCTCCTCTCTGAGACCCGTGGCTCTCCTTTCGGGGCTCAAGGGCTGCGGGACTCGGGACGGAGGGAGAGTGATCGAGGCGTTCGGCACACCCACCTTGTTAATTCACGGACGCGATTAAGGCATCTCTGACCCATTTTTAAAACTTGATGGTGTTTCCCGTTGGCTGGCCCACGGATTGTTGGAAAGCGAGAAGATCGGAGCTTGGAAAGGTGGTTCTCCGGACAGACTTGACTGCCGTTTAAAGAGACGCTTTGATGACAAGCCTTCGCTGTTCCGCCCATACAGCAATATTTGAAAATAGCCATAACTCCATACTCTTGCGAATTTTCTATCAGATAATAAAGCCGAGTGCTACAGGCCGTGATCGGATATATTTGCTATGTCTTTGTTGTAGACCTTTTCATCAAATTAGAAATTGTATTCTACAAAATATATGCGAGACGTCAAGAATGTATTTTACACTGAAACTGCCATAAATATGCGCTATCATCCCCTTTCTCCGCACATCATCCCAAGTCATTTGAAGAGCAGTCCATAGATGGCTCATATGAAAGAGTCTTCGCCTTTATAGACTAGGATAGCTATGGAGTTAAATCCTACGGAAACCTGGCTAAAAAAAAGGGCTGTTCACTCGATAGGGGCAATCGATCTATTTCACTCTATCTCGCATTTTAGACGTTGGACATGCGTACTATAGGCAAAATCGGCCTTATTCAGTATCATGGATATACAACACGTATCAAGACATGTATCAATGTAACTAGAAGAGGGGCGCTATAACCCTTCAGGTCGTTATAACAGCGGGAAACCCGACAAATATCCCGCGCTATTTTATTTAACTAGGCCTACGTGAACTCAAAACGCAATATAGCTCTTCGAGTTGAGGATAAGGTAGACTATCAGAAATAATATAATACTTGTTTTACAAACTTGGTACAGTAGGGTTTAAACGACATGAAATATGGCATTCATACAACTCGGGACAACCTATAAACACGTGGTCGAATCCATAGAAACATTTTTCTTGGTGGCCAGTCCACTCCGTGAGTTGGCTATTGGGTACACCCCACCCACGCTGAGGGCAGATATGATTAGTGTATCATCGTGAGGTGAAAGCTAATTTATGGGTCCTACTCTCCAGTCCTCCTCGCATAATTTCCCACTAGTCTCACCTCTTCCCTATCATAATTTGAAACTTGTAATATTGGGACCTGTCAATTACCACACCCTATTAGTCTTGTCGTTTGGGGGTTGGCGCTCTATTGCACTGTCATGTGACTAAGTCTTCATATCGCCTCGGCATAAAGACACTAAAAGAATCAATTAGTTGACTTAAAGATTAGAATAAATAGTTGATGTACGTCATGCCTGGTATACGGATAAAAGAATACATTGCAGTAAATCTTCTCCTGACACTATTGACTTCCATAATCTAGACAGTCGCTCTGCAAGACACAAACAAACAAGATACAGAAGCAGAGATAGAAAGGCGCTCACAGTGGTCGACTAGCTTGCTCACTCTTTGATATTCTGAGCGATATTCAGCAATTGAGCCGCTCCAGCATTGGAAACAGGGCCGATGTTTAGAGGTGCGAAATGGACGCGAGGTACAAAGAGCGAAGTCGCGGGAAATGTGTAATCCTTGAATGCCGGGAATGAAGGTAGCACACCAGTACTCAAAGTCGGTCCGCCTGGCGATAGATCCAAAGCCGTGGTCGTGGCATCCCCCGAAAGAACTGATAGCTTCACCCTGACAGGGCCAGGTGGGGTGAGTATCGAGATAGAAACATATATATCAATCGCCTGTTGGCCTGCGAAGGACCCGGAGGGAGTAACCTTCGAGAACGATCCAAACTGGAATCGGCTGTAGCAGTAGGATAGTTGACATAGGCCTCCAACGAATTTGAAGACACCTCACGCAGAGTAGCTCCTAGCAGCTGGACCCGTTCAAAATCAATTATAGGAACTGTGTCGCTTTTTATGATCTCTTTTAGAAAAGCGCTCTGGGTTCCTTTCCAGACCAAAATACCCGGGGGCCACTTAGCTCGAGTCCACGTGAAAAGAGTAGATCGGTTGTCTTTTGGCGTGCATCAATCTTGAGGAATCCTTCACATTTTCGCATGGAAGCTAGGTATTCCAGAGCTTTCACAAGCTTGCCTGCAACCGCGCGGTGTTCCTCCACGGAGCTATTCTGAAGCAAGTTGCCGACACTGTCGAGCCGAGCATCAATCAGATTGCTTGAGAGGGCATTATCAAGACTCCTTGCCCATTCGTCGAACGCCGCTGCATATTTCTCCGGATCATCGGGTTTTCGGGACAGGATCAAATTTGAGCTGGAGCTCCCACCCTTCACTCTAGCATTGAAGCTACGAGAATTGAGATAGTTGCTGTAATCGCTAGTGGATTTGATGCCTGCCTCAGCTTTAGCCTGGGCCACGAAGCTGCATTCTGCGGAGACATGAGCCTGAAATATTTGCTTTGAAGTATACTTGCTCGCATCGCTCTCTACTCTCAGTTGATATCGAGCTCCGAAGGTGCACGATTTGATGACATGGGTCCCCCATCTGCGGAAGAACTTCACGTACTGGCGATAAACGTCATTAGTTTCGGCCCATTCGGGCAATTTCTTGGCTTCCTCCACCAGATTCTGGTTGATTCTCGAGTCGGTAAATTCAGGATCCTTAAGCACCAGGCTGAACGACGTATGAGCCACATCACAGAGGGCATAGTATCTACTATGGCTGAGGCTTGTGCTGTAATTGTATTGAGCAGAAGCGCTTGCTGAGAAACCTGCATAACTGCACTGATTGAAGCACTGATTTCCAGTTCACGAGCCATGTCATCCCCACTTTCGACTTTCAGCGAACTAATCTCTGTCTTGCGGTTCACCATTATCACTTGGACGTTCGTGGGGAGTAGATAAATTTTCTCGTCTGCAAAATTTGTCTGTTTTATGTCCTCTGCCAGCGTAATTACAGTGTGTCTATCACAATCTGCGATGTCCAGGTCCAAAGGATCATGTTCTATAGTGGACCATGTTCTATAGTGAGCGATGCTTCAGATTAGCCGGGACATCCACCAGGTCGACATTGATATGAAAATGTTGAAAAACGGGCAAGAGAAGCAGAATCCAAGGGTCCATCGAGTTGTCGAGTTGGAATTGAGACTACGGAAAGGACCTACCTCCTGGGAGTAGTGTTACACTTTGACCAAGTAGACAGGCGTCGTTAAAGGGAACACCCTTTTTGGGGGCCATTGCGAATTAGATGAGATAATGATTCTGGATAATGATTCTGGGTGACGACAAGGAGTTTCTTAGATGAAATCCTAATGATGATTTCTGTAGGGTTACCAGCAGTTTTAATAAATATTTGTTCGTGGTTCAAGTTCCTCTTCCAGAGATGTCTGTGCGATGAGATAGCTGAGTAGCCTTCGTCGCTCATTTTTCCTAATGCCATTGAAAGATAGATATTTGGCGATAATAGACGATGGTGCACCAATGAGATGAATCCGAAGGTCCAATTAGGGACGTGACAGCCTTAATAATCAAGACGGGGTCTCCTCAGCAGCAGCCAATCACGAATATGGGACATCAAAATTGGTATAGAATTTGTCAATGTTCCATCAGAAACCTCCATCAATCACACTTTCCAACATATATACCCAAATGGAATCTCAGCCAAAACTGCAACAACTAACTCGGTTACCAATCCTGCAAGTGCTGCCGAGCGGACCAAACGAGATCATCTGACTAGACGGGAGCTCCGAAGGTCTAGTCTCCTGGGACCATGACTATTCAAGCCGATGCGAGAATTGCCAAGGGCGCATCACTTAGAAAGCGAAGAGAGGCTAGCTGAACTTTTTTTAAAAAAAAATAAGGTAAGCACTGCCGAGAATGGCTAGAAACGCGAGCACACGGAACTATGTGCTATCGGGGTTTTCCAAGCGTGGATTCGCGCTGAAAGTCAAGAAAGATGATTAATGGCTAGCATTAGTCTTGGGGTATTTGCGGAGTTGAATGTGAAGTCCACTTCAAAGCTTGGACTACACACGCAGTCTGTCAAGACTGAATGTGGTGGAGAAGTACATAGACAGAACTAATAGCGGGTACTTGAAAGTATCATCGTCGACATTCGACAGTTACCGTTTTCGTTCACAGCTACATCTCTAGATCTAGAAATCTGGAGTATTGTTTATCGCCATGGTCATTTCACAGTCTGAATCAGTCTCTATACACTTTTTTAAACGCAAAAACGCCAATCAAAGATGATCCCTTTTTTTCATCAGTTCGACTCAGCGATCATTCTTTCCAATACCGCTTTCTCGCCGCTATTGTCCACTAAATTCTTGAATACTCCATTCTCAATCGCCATCAGATCTTTCGGTGCTCCAAACTCAACCGCCTTGCCGGCATCCATTACAAGGATGCGATCGAAATCAGCAATTGTGCTCAGCCGATGAGCAATAACTAGTAACGTAGTCGCATTGCGGCCGAACTCGGCGCGAATGGACTGCTGGATCAGTGCATCGGTTTCCATGTCCACGGCCGAGGTGGCCTCGTCTAACACCATGATTTTGGGTCGAGAGACGATAGCTCGCGCTAGACAGAGAAGCTGGCGCTGGCCCTGCGAGAGGTTCAGCCCACCTTCAGAGATTGGCGCGGAGAGGGAGGTGAAGATGTTTGCATTGACTTGGTGCGCAGTGGCGGTATCGGGTGTTGTTGCGCCGGTCGTGCTCGATGGACGCGGTGTCGCAACTTGAGACGTCAAGGTGGTCTCATCGTCATCCACTTCTGTCGAAATTAAGTGCACACGCATCAAGGCATCGTTCAGCTCCGAATCACTGTATTCGTCAAATGGGTCTAGATTCGTGCGCACGGTCCCGGAAAACAGTACAGGATCCTGGGGAATAATTGCCAAGCGGCTGCGCAGGTCGTGGAGCTTGATCTTTGAGACATCCAAGCCATCGATAAGGATTTGGCCCTCCCGGGCTTCGAGGAAACGGAAGAGCGCAAGAGTCAAAGACGATTTGCCTGCGCCAGTACGACCGACAACGCCGACTCGCTGGTTCTTCTCGACTGTGAAGCTGAGACCCTTCAGAATAGGAGGCAGCTCCGGGGCATAGCCCACGACCAGATCATTGACCTCCAGCCGGCCCTCCGTCGGCCAGGCGGCAGGGGCATCGATGCCACCCTGGTTCTCGAGCTCAATTTTAGAATATTCAATGATGCGCTCCGTGGCGTTCATGTTTAGCTCGATATTGGCGTATTGCCGAAGAGCCATGGCAATGGCGGAATTGCACTGTAGGGCAAAGCTGAGCGCGAAGCCAGCGAGCGAAGCCGAGATACCCGGAAGCGAAACCACAAGTACTGCAGTGAGTGTCGAGAAAACTGCCCCGACAACATTCATGCGGATGCCGAGCCAGCGATTAAAGAGCCACATGGTCCACCAAGCCTGCGCATGGGCGTTGATCTTGCCATACATGAGGTCAATGAAAGTCTCACTCTTACTAAAAGCTCGAATGGTTATCAAGCCAGTCAAGCTGGACCCGAATTGTTCGAAAACGGGACTCTTTGCTGTACTCTCCAATCGTTTGACTTCTCTTGCGCCAGCTAAGTAGATCGCCGCTAGCTTTGTACATGTCGCCAACAGTATAGCCCCCAGAACAATCACCAGTGGAGACACAAGGATACCGGCAACCAAAATGCCGCACACCTCCAAGACGTGGCCTGTGAGAAATCCAAGATCATATCCAATTCGTGAATCGATCATGTGGAAGTCAGAGGTAAATCTGTTGAGAATTCGACCGAGGGGAACGGTATCGAGCCATCGCAATGGCGCACGAAGTATGGCGAACGTCAATCGATTAAACAGATTCCTTGATGCCCGCACACTTGCTGATAGAATACAGTAAAACCGTGCAGTTCCAATAGCACAGGCGAGGACCGAGATCCCAATGTAAACGCCAAGGTACAGCCGCAGATGATCATCCTCCTGTGCTGTAACATTTCGGGTCATTGTGTGCTGCAGAAGAGTCCGGAATTGCTCTGGATGAGAATGCTGAGCTTGCGTGCTGGATGTCTGGCTGGTCCAAACATTAATCCACCAAGCCTGTTCATGTGAAAGTATTAGATACCCATAGACATCAAGTGGTACAACAAATATAATGTGTTAGAACTTACCCGTCCTACCATCAGCGAAGAATACCCGAGATAAACCAACACAGTGATAATCCAGAAAAGAAGGCTACCACCCATTGACAAATAAGTCTTATACACAGAGAGTTGAACATGTCCAACTTCTCGTTTCTCATCTTCGATGAACTTCTTAGGAGAAGACTGCTTTGTCACCCCATCATTTTGCTCAGCAGCAGGTTTTTGGTGCGATGTGTTGGAAATGACCTTTTGCAATGTTGTCTGCTCCGGATCGATAGCAGCGGATTCTTCAGTGGTAACTCTCTGGTCTTCTTTGGTGGCGGCTTCCTCTTCTCGAAGAATATCATCCAAGTGATTTTCCTTTCTGAGCTCTTCAATAGTGCCTGCATATTTGATGCAGCCATTTTCCAAAAGAACGGAGTAGTCAGTTCTCGGAAGACAAAGGGCAACGTGGTGAGTGACCAAAATTCGAGTTCGGTTTCGTCCGATATCACCAGTAAGTGCGTGTTCGTAGACATGCCGGCCAGTGTGGGCATCCAGTGCACTAAAGATGTCATCCATGATGAGGATTCCCGCTCGTGAATAAAGTGCTCGGGCGAATGAAACTCTCCATCTTTGACCACCACTCAGGTTGACACCGTTCGCGCCAATATCTGTGAGTTCACCATCGGGCAGCATCTCCAAATCCTTTGTGAGCGCACACGCAAAGAGAGTTGCCTGGTACCGTTTTTCATCATAGGGGAGACCGAATAAGATATTGTCTCTGATAGTTGCGTTCTCGATCCACGGAATCTGTGCAACATATGCAATTGCCGAATCAATGATCCAGTTTGCACTTGTCACACGGTCGTCATGACGTTCCTTGATTGGGGGTGGCACGGGCACTTTGACTGTTCCATAGAGAACATCACATTCGCCAAGGATGGAGGCGAGGAGCAAGCTCTTTCCAGATCCAGTTCTTCCAGAAATAACACTCAGACCTTTCTTCGGAAATTCCAGATTCAAGTCATGTAGTATGAATCTATTTTCCTCGTTTTCTTCTTCTGTTTCCGGCTCTGCAGGCCACGCCACCGACGCGGCCTCAAACGCGATGCTATCGGAGGGGACGGTATTGACGATCTTTTCTGCCGCGCCCAAATAAACGTCAATACGATCGGCACTGACCATGGCCTCCAGACCATTGGAGATGAGCTCAGGCAGAATAGCAAGGGACATTTCCAAGGCACCAAAAACAGACATCGCTGTGAAAGCAACAGAGGCTGATAGCCCACCATGGATGAACGCATATACTGTCAATGAAACCGCAGAAAGACCGATAGGGCCGAGGATCCAAATTGCCAGAAGAACCACGTCATACATGAATGAGATCCACAGAGCGTGGAGTTCTGAATCTCGCGCGCGGCCAATCTTATCCTGCCACTGCTGCTCCAATGCTGAGAATTTCACCTGGCGGATTCCTTGAAGCACCTCCGTAACAATCGCCATCTTTTGATCTCTCAGCTTCATCAATTTATCCTGAGAACCGGTGTATTTCTTAGCGGCATAAACGTTGAGAGGAGTGACCAGTAAGGAGACAGCAATGCCGGCAAAGGCACTGCGCCAGCCGAGGATCTTGACCAAGAAACTGCAACCAATGATAACCTTCAACATTGCAAAGGGAATGAGATAGCCCCAGGAACTAAAGTCCGAGACACGTCTCGCATCGACCGCAGCCAGGTTGATGATACTCTGTCGGCTCTTTTTCAACGATGCTTCATCGTCTTCCTCATTCTCGTCCTGCTCTTTCAGCAGTGCTTTTCCGGAATCCGTCGCTTCATTCTTTCCTTTGGACTTTTTTGTGCCCTTGGTATCCTTTCGACGCATTGACTTGGCAAAGACAACCGCGCAAAGTTCGGCATACATAGGTACGAATACTTTCGAGCACACAGCCCAGAAGAGCCATGCCTCAAAGCTTGAGTGTAGCAGCATCAGCCCTCCAAGCGCCAGAACCCATAGAATCATCTGTAAAGGATGGAATGACTCGGTCCCGCGGGCCTCTAGCGAGCCAAGGATATTAAACAGAGCGGTCTGGGGGCCGAAACTGAGAATGGCAATTATAACAGTCAAGCAGAGTTGAAACATAAGCGAGTCCCAGTGAGCAATGATAATTGCTTTCCAGATCTTGCGCGACTTTCTGGCCTTTTCGAACCTCGCCCGAACGCTCGCTGCCCGCTTGTTCATTCGTAGCTTGTGTAGATCATCGAGAGATAGCGTGCGGTTCTTTACGGCGAAGCTGAGCAGGCTGCCGGCCCACGAAAATGTGAAACGGCCCAGAGCCGAAACTGTGTATTCACGATCCACAAGTTTACCATCATAGAAAACATCTGGCCGGCGTGGAAGAAGCAAGCTAAACAGGGCCCGTAGCAATGCGCTGGTCAGTTGGGTAGCCACCAGCGCTACCCATACTTGCTCTTGAAGGATCAAACTATGGGAGATCCATGCCACGCGGATTTCGATTCCAGTGAATGCGATAGCAATCAGACTGCCACCAAATGAGAACTGACCAAGTTGAAATCGATGGGTTGGCCGGGGTTCAGTGAAGAACGCAACTGCTTGTGTGGAGAGCAACACCTGATATTGAACGCTCGGTCAATCATAGATTTTTTTTTCAAAGATACAGAGAACAACCTGCTTTGACAGCATTCACATACCCATATTCCCAACTGCAACCACGCCCGGACAATATAGTGCGTGCGGTAATGTAAGGTTATGAAAATCGCCAGGGCCAGAGTTGCGATGAAACCAACGGCGGTGAACACAGCAATCACTACACGCTGCCATTTATCTGAAAACGCTCGGATTGATTCCACCGAGGCTTCGCCATCTTCATCGCGGTAAACTGTCTTGGCTAGATCGTGTTCATTCGGCAGAGGCGATCTGCGCACGATCCGATCGGCGATACTTTTGATGGCAGGGATACTGTCTAGGGCAACTAGAAATGCGGCAACAGCACCTGCCACTGTGGACGCAACATCGGCGTTAGGGGGCATTCCTCATATCACCACTGAAGGATGTGGATGGAGAGAAAAGAAAATAGAACCGGGAGGGAAAGGGTGGAGAAAAAGAGTACATCATCCAAGCGCTCATCTTATCGCGATCACAGTCATCCTCCTTCTAGTCCCAAATGGTCGTCCGAAGCGGGTCTCTAAGTACATGTATTGCTTAAAGGGCGGTCCACGGCCCATTGGATTGCGAGGTGACATCCACGCGCTGGGCGGGGAACGCTTCGCCTCCCGCCAGTTTGGTTCAAGTTGTTTCGCCGTTGGCTCCTTTGGTACTGGCGAGGGCGTGAGTGAGTCAACCCCTGGTTCACGAATTTCGTATTGCAGCATCGTAGTGTCCTCGATCATCGGGCAGTGCTTCCTTCAAAAGCCATAGTTGCGATGCCTCAGTCGATAATGCTCCCCATGCAGGTATCATGCTCGGTGTGCAGCCAGCCGGCGGTCTGAGGGTCAGAAGTCAGCCACCAGGAGGGGGCGATTAAAGAACGGTGAGGAGCCTTTCGGAGACATCAAATCATCTTCATTGGACGATATGACGGAGAATGACTCACGGCTCCCACTGGCTGCATGTTCGTAGTAGGAAAGTTGGAAATCCAACAGGGGCGGGGACTCCTTTCGGCAAGGGTACGTACGCGCTGATTAGTGTTGATCATGAGTGGAGCAGGCTTGTGTGCTCGAGCGGCGCTCACCCGCCGGGGAGTACGGGGGGCACTAGTGGGACTGGAACGGCGGCACAGTGCCTAAGGTCCGAAGGAAGTGCATATCGTAAAGACATAAGTGGGTCAAAGCACGATGAATCATATACATAGTTCAGGGAAAGCAGGGAGCATCGAGAAGAAGGGGAAAAAGATCGGTGGGAAATAGAAGTCGAGAGTCAGGTGCACGGGGGTCTCGTTTATCAGGCGTTCGATAACGTGCTTTCACCACATCTGACAACAGCGCCGTCAAGCTTACTACTGGGCCTGGAATGAGCTATCCTGTGTCTGGTAGCCTCAAATGGTTCGAAGGTATTGATTTACGGAAGTCATGAGTCTAAGATTAACGCAACTGATTCTTCTAGTAGCTGTTCAAAATTCATCGTAAACCCTACAGAGTTTACAAGTTTCGAGCCTAGTGGACTGACCTTGACCCCTCAAGGTTGACATCATTTTATAGCCCTTCAAATCTACTCAGAGTATCTCTACATTACCCGGAGCTGACCAGCGAATCCTGTCTTATTTTATTTCAATCCCCCTTACAGGGCCAGTGACCCCTTGACCCCTCTGATCCCGAACCTCGTGCCCACCCTATTCATGGATCCAACACCGGCATACATGTAGAACGGTCTTTTCAAATAAGGACTTAGGTCTCAAATTTAACAATTTCGCAGCTGGCGACCGTCCATTGTGATATAAGGTAGACTTCACTCCCATCAGGCTGGGGGACATCAATCAGATGTAGAAGGAGATCTAGAAATCACGTATCATTGAACTTCTTAAATTCAATGTTTTGACATACGAACATCTGTAAGAGGAATGAAACCCAGACCTCAGATGGCCTGAAGCTGCGTTCTTCTGATCATCCATTGTTGGAATATCACTGGATTTGAGACGGGCTCAAAAGAAGCTTAATGGGTGCCACTACACTACGAATCTCGAAAACTAGCCCTACAAGTCGTTCCTTCTTCTTGCCTACAACATTCATCCCACATCTTGACCTCTCTCTTCGAGTGTGTAGTTACAAACTTCATTCCATACTCAAATTGAGAAAGTCAAATTATGCTCATCTCTGACCTGCTTAACAGTGGGTCGTTGACGTACGCACCACCCGTCCTCCGAATTCCCAAATACGGCTCAAAACGCCGAGCTCAAGAGCTCAGTTCAAAACCGGTCTCCACCCTTTTCTCGGCATGAAGTCTCGCACACTCTCATCACTCAGGACATCTTGGCCTCGGCGGCCCGTCACAACACTCTGTTCGGCATCGGGCCCGCGGACATAGAAAGGTTCGAATCCTGATTGCCGCCGACCGGCTCCGACGCTCCGGACCCACTGTTTCTTCGGTCTCTTATTTTCATCCAGGTATCGTTTGGGTTCGAAGCCGGAACTCTCGCGGTCTAAGCTGAGGTACCAGCGTCGTTGATGAATGGAGTCGATGGTATTGTAGGATCCAGGGTACGCATTGTTTTTCTGGATTTGGAGATTGATGTCGTCATCGGAGTGGTTTGCCTGGTCTGCTTCCGACTCGCGTGTTGCTGCCTGCTCTGGTGGATGGGTCGAGTGGGTTCGATCATCAGGGGGAGGAGATGGAGAGCCCCCTGACGAGGAAGATGGTAGAGGTGCGGGCAGTGTTGACTGTAGGACACGCCTACGACGCTTGGGGCCTCTTCGTATAGGCCGGGCATAATTGGTTGATTTGTCCATGCGAAGAAGAACTGTGTAGTCTTTTGGAAGTCGGGTTCCATGCAGCCGAAGTCGTATTTTGCGCTAAGTAGGCCAAAATCAGGACATGGCAAGTGCTGAAGAGTGCCGAACAAGATGAAAGTTTAGATACATACATTTTTAAATGCTTCCCGAAGCTTCACGCTGTCAGGAATTCTAGATCCTGGTTCGATCGAGTCATCTGAAACGTCTGAACGAGAATCATCGGTCTCCGGTTGAGAGTACTCCGCATTATAAGGTAATATTTCATATTCCCCTGTGTCCCAGATGATCATGCTACCAGTCTTGGTGGATGCAGTCTCTATAAGGTGATTCTGCAGCGCGTTAGCCTCTCTTGCTGAAAAGAGTATCACAGAGAAGCAGCTCGTCATACCCAGAGGCAGTGAACCCGGGTCTCGGTTGCGTTGCGATTGAGTCTTTCGCTATTTGGATCGCCTGGTAACCCATACATAATTGACCAACTCACAGAGCTGGTGTCGGAGAACTGAAGTCGAAGATCGTAGTGAGGTCCTGCGACAGGATGGTCGTGTTGATGGACTACAAAGTGACGTCCTTCTGAATGTGCATTGCGGCGGTATAGATTGGCCCACTCATCGATTGGAATTCTTGGAACATCTGGTGACTCGGATATTGGACGAGCACAACGGCCTAAGCTAGTTGAAAGAATGCCCAGATGATCAGTGACTTCGATCTGGCCTGCTTCGATGGCTGCGATGTCATGGATGACTTGTTGCTGAGATGAATTCGATCTCAGCTTTTCCTCTCGTCGATCTTTGCGTGTGAGGACGATGCTCTTTCTCGTCTGTGGTGGAGAGACTGGTGCATTCAGGCTAGATAACAACGGAGCTTGCTGTGCGTGTTGTGGCTGGCTGGAATCTCCGCTTTCCGTGCTCCGAGAGCGCTTCATGGTCGCCGATACCAACGCCCATCTAGATTTCGCAAGGCCAATAAGGAGGATACTTCTAAGTGATCCATTGACCAACAGTTCCAACCCGATTTGAAAAAGCTCATGGGTATAATAAGTCGGGGGAAGTTGACAACGGCGGATGAGTCCTGACTAAACTACACCACGAAGCTGAGTAAGCGCAGTACAACTTGAAGTCGAACTTTCACATTCAAGTTGAAGTTCAACTTTCTCGGGCTTCGTGAAGTATGGGAAGATAACATTTACTTTCATCGTGGTCTCAGTGTATTAATAGGCTTGTGCAATTTTTCTGGTTGGAATATTCAATATGAATATGAGATAAGTATTATACATTGGGAAAAACAGATTGTTTAGATAATGATACAAAGCACGGCCTTCTGGTCGTGATTGTCTCGTGTTTCAGTCATAGGCAAAATCTGGTGATAAGGTTTAAGGAGTGCAGCAAGCCTCAATGGTAATCTTATGTGAGCTGAACGCTCTGCGGGTTATGAAATATGTCGTATGGGTCAATCTCAGCTTTGATCTGCTGCAGCCGAGGGAGGTTGGCTCCCCAGTAGGATCGCTGGGCATCCGGTAAGAGCGGGTCAACGTATCCTGGATAGGCGCCATATGACGTATTGGGACGAGATGAGGAGATGACATTGTTGATTGAATTGAGGAAAGTCTTGGTCTTGTCCGAGACGGGTCCGAAAAGGTTGATTGCATAGGACTGCATCCACATAACAGCCTCACGGTGGGCATAGGCCGTGGCATTAACAGGGGGATCGTTGGTGGCACCAGCTTCCAGATCGAAGATGATAAACCAAGCAAGGGTATCTTTGTCGGCACTGTCAATGTACTCGAAGAGCTTATCCACGACATCATCGGTGATGAAGTCCTCGTCGGTGAAGGACATGGACTTGGCATAAAACGAACACGGGATGGCACCACCGACCTGCTGGATGATGTTCTCGGCTTCGCTGCCGATCATACCTAACCAATCAGTCAAGGTGATTACATTTCCCTTATTAGCCGGTGGGAAATTTTTGTGCATCTCAAAGGACTTCCATTCGGACAGAGATCCAAAGAACTTCCCCGATAAGATGATGCCAAGCTCCGAAACCACCAATTCGCTTGAGACTCTGCGAGTGAGATTCTTGGTGAAGATGAAATTTTGCCAGTCCTTGAAGACCTGTGCCTTCTGAGTCGTATTTCCTGCGTTGAATGTGTATGAATACTGGACTGCATGTGTGGGCACAGCATGCGTATGAAGCACAAATTCGGTGACGATGCCGAAACTAGCTGCGGCGCCCTTGACTGCAAAAAGAACCTCTGGGTGGTGAACATGATTGGCTCTCACTATGGTACCGTTGGCCAGGACGACTTCCGCTTCTTGGATGTGGTCCAGAGCGAGTCCCCATTCCCGTGACATGATACCGAGGCCACCGATGGTGAAATGACCGCCCATTCCAACATCTAAACAGGTACCATGGGCCACTGCTCGGCCACCGGCATTCTGCAGGCGCGTGTGAAGGTCTCCCAGGTTAGTGCCTGCCCCCACAGTGGCCCAGTGAGTTCTGGGATTCATCGAGAAATGTTGGATGTTCCTTAGATCAACCACGACTGCCCCGTCTTCACCACCGAGACCTGGGAAAGAGATGACATTAGAATGTGCGTGAAACCTGAACAGCGTGTTCACCTGCCATGGTTGCCGTAGCTGTGGCCACCACTCCGAGCCTGTACTTTGTAGCCATTCGCTGCGGCACATTGCACGATCTGGGCCACCTGAGACGATGTCTCAGGAAACGTCACCAGCGCAGGGGTCACTGGGACGTTTGTATTGTAAAGCGGGGGTACGCGTGAGTGGAAAAACGGATCACCGTTGAACGCAACCAGACCTGGATTGTGGCTGACTGCTGCCATAAAGCAGTCATGGCCCGCAATGCTGTGGGTATTCCCCATGTTTGACGGCCGTGACCGCAGGGGCTCCCGCAGATAGTTTGATTTTCAGGCCAGACGGTGAGCGAAATGAACAAGGAGAGGCCTGGAGTAGCGACCTTGTTGACGTAGATGGAGTCAAGTTCCTCGAGAACGAAAGAACTTGGAGGTCGCGATCAAAGTGTGGAGAGGTGAGTAGGCGGCGGCGAATATTCTGGCCAGGCCCCTTCTTGGAATGCAGGTCTTCTGGAATGCACACCTTCCCTTGGACCTCAACTCCCGCATTTCTTGAGGGATGTGGAATCAACAGCACCATGAAACAAACATGAGGAATACAGTGAATGATAGGCGAGAATACAGGCTGGGTGAGTTGTTCCTTATGGTATGATAAGTTCTCGTATATTGCGATGATCGGGACATGTTCTGGAGAGTGATTGGAGTACTATGAGTCCCAGATATCTTGTCTATGGGGTCTATAGGGTCGTATTCCAACATAGAACCAGTCCGGGCTTCTTCCATACACCTTCCATACTTGTTCTTCTTCTTATGCGTTCTATACTTTCTATACTTCCGGTGGCTTGGATTCGGAAACACCTGCAGGCGCGGGTGTAACGCGACCCACCAAGCCCTTCGGTTTCCTTTTCCCCCGGATTGCGATTCCAACCGGTTTGATAAGTAAACGAATTGACAGATAAAACACCTCATGTTTGTCCCTCCAAGTTGGATCCTTCGTCTTTCGGTTGCCCTCGCGGAGAACTCGGCTCGGGGACCATCTGCAGTGGTCCCCGAATCCGGCAATCCCTCGTCGCAAGAATGTGCCAAAGCTTCGTGCTTGCCCCCTCGGGAACCCTCATGGACATCGGCTTCTTCGGCCTCTACCGTCTGGTTCGGGGAATTCTAGTCGTTCATCTTGCGTGGTCTCCAATTCTTCACTCGTCTCTATCTTCCCTTCACGATTAACACGGTTTTTGTCTCGTTAGCCAAGCGAGCTCCCATGACATCAACCGACCGGTGCCATAAAGTCTAATTCACCACTTCAGTTCGCTCTCTTCACAGACACCCGATCATGTTCACACCTATCCATACCTCCTTGGGCGCCTTGTTGCTATCCCAAGGCTCCTCAGGCCTGCTCTTCCACAATGGCGCTGTTTTTGGAATCTCATCTCTCATCTCCGGGTCTGTCTTCAACCCGAACGACGAGAATGTCCCTATCATTGCTGGGCTCGTATCCAGTATTCTGCCCGTGTATCTGCTCGCGCCCTCCCTGATTCCAAGTTATTCGCCGGCTCCTCATTCTCTGGCCTCCGTCGCGGCAACACTAGGGCTAGGCTTTCTGTTGGGGTGGGGAACAAAAGTAAGTCGTATAGATAACCGATGGAGTCGGAAGAATGACACCGAGTCAGAGCTAACGATTCAACCATCTAGAATGGCCGTGGCTGTACTTCCGGCCACATGTTGTGCGGTCTCTCCCGTCTCTCTCCGCGCTCGTTCATTGCCACGGCTCTCTTTTTCACGACGGCCCTGCTCACGGCCAATTTTGCATTCGGTGGATCGAACATCCCATCCTGTGGCACTATCCCATGCTACACACCCGTGTACCCATCGTCATCGGAGCTGGTCTTCATGGCTGGTTCCGTACTTCTTGCCACCATCACGAACTTTCTTGTAGTCCCGAAGACCCTCCATGCATCTAAGCAGTCTCGAACACTCTTCTCTTATCTAGCCGGTCTTGAGTTCGGGCTTGGTCTTCTGATCTCAGGAATGGCAGATGCTGGCAAAGTTCTAGGGTTTTTTGCCATCCTTACGGATCCTCATCGATGGGATCCGTCGTTAGCCTTGGTTATTCTCTTCGGCCTTGGCCCCTCGCTTGTTGCGTATCTGTCTCAAAAGCCAGGCCAGGCGGGAGAGAAGGGCAAGCCAAGCGCATCACCTACCCTGGCCGACCGGTGGAGATTGCCTACAGCCACGACCGCCGATATCGATTGGCGGTTTGTGACCGGTGCAATCGCATTTGGAGTTGCCTGGGGCTTGCAGGGGATATGTCCTGGTCCCGCTCTGCTACGCACAGCTCTTCAGCCGACCTGGGGGATTTGTACGATGGCCGGATATATCCTCGGGAACATCTACTTGTGAGGTGTGCAGATAAACGAAATAGATACTAAAATGCATTTTGTTGATCACCGTCTGATTGAACTTCCATACAAGTAAATCATGGAGGGCTTCTTCTCATTCTGGCCCCGAAGCAAATAATAAGAAGGTCGATATCAGCTAATTCTTGAAGGTTCAGATTGCTTATCGATGTTTAAGTTTTAAAGTTGAAGTTTTCGAAGATCTTGTGAGCGTGTTGTCATGGTCTGTTCTATTAAACATTGATTGGGCGTTCATTTAGGTCTTACGGTCTCACTCCGAAGGCACATTATTGGTGCGTGAATCAGTCGCTCGGACCGCCTACCAGATGACTTGCAGACTACATCAATAATCTAGAACTGGGAATATCGACGATCCTGTATCCGGTCAATCAAATTTCCGGAGTCCAGAGTCTTCTTTTTCGCGCATCACTTTCGAGGCTGACTCCAGGAATTTTTGGTGTTGGAATAATGTTGGTCCGTCCGCATCGGTGGAGTCAATCAAGGTGCCCTGCGATGCCAGGATAGAAAAGATAGAAACATCTAGCAGCGTCAATATCACCCAGGCCAAGCTGCAAGTTTTTGAAAGAAAGTTCTGATCACCAGCAGAGTTTCTTATAATATAGACTACTCAAGCTCAGGTTGACGAGGAGGACAAAATCCATACACACATGTGGTATTTGATTAGCACATGAGAAATTCTAAAGCCCGAGTAGTAGAGACACCACCACCAACACGACGGCCATTGCGGCGCTAATATTCAGATGGCATTCGATAACCAGGTGTTGGCCGGTTGGCGACCGAGATCAAGTAAGCGAGCTGTTGGGAGCCGCAAAGCCTCAAGACGATGGGGTGCTGGTGGAGAAGGGGGCCAAAATGCATAGGATCTCTGTTCTCATAAGGCAGCTTTTCTTCTATATGTGGGGCATGGCGCACTTTCTGCCCCATTCATTACCTGCGGCATTGGGATCTGCGTCTCATGGCTTTTTTTTATTTAACCTGTCTTGGTCTCTATGACGGCGGAGGGAGTGGATTTGCTCTCTGTTCGGGTTGAAGGGTGCCCTGTAGAAATACCCAGCCAACATGGGTATGATGATCAAACCTCACTTGGTTCAAAGGATCTTGATTGGGTTTGGGATCACCTTCATCGGCTTGACCTGGCTGAGCTTGAATGGCCCATCTGCGCGGGGGACAGAGCAAAGGGCATTTGAGATTGACCGGCAATCATTAGAAGAGCAAAAGCCTTCGCAGGACCAGACGCTATGGCACGACCTAGCCAATACTCAAAATAAAACTCTCGGAGTAGGTCAATATGAACCAACCTGTTTGGATTGATCACTGATCGACGGTCTAGTTTGGCAAAATTTTCGTCATCAACCTACCAAGCCGAACTGACAAGCGTGACAACATCAGCTTGGGCTCATCGGTAACCGGGCTCACGGTTGACTTTGTTGATGGAGTAGATCCAGAAACAGTCAACCCGAAAACCTATCCCTACGTGAGCTCTCGAGAACATAGACACATTCCTTTTCACTTAAGCGCTAACGAAATACCAGAACTGGAACTATGATCAGTCGGACACGGAATATGCCTGTCGGCGAGCCCATGTAAATGTGGCCCAAAGGTAGGGGGGAAGCCAGTCTGTTTGAATGATTGCGCTGATCACCTGTGAAGAATAGTTGCAGAGGGACTAGATAGTGCCATTATTTTTGAAGACGACATCGATTGGGATTTCGGCATCAAAGCGCAGGTGCAGAGCCTTGCTCTCGCAACACGAGCCCTCCAAGGTACCCCTTCGAACTTCACTGGCTCCCCATATGGCCATGACTGGGATGTTCTTTGGACAGGCCACTGTGGAATGGAGTGCAAGAACGAGGAACCTTTCTTCATGACCCCAAACGATATGACAGTGGTGATGGCTAGACACCTACCTCATTACTTCTTTGGGGTGCCCGACTACGACGTCTCGAATCGAACCAGACTGACTTGCACCCTCCGCGACGCCGCCTGTACGACTTCATATGGTTTAAGCTACCGCGGGGCCCAAAAAGTCCTAGCTGCGCTTTCAGTCAATCCGTCCGGTTTTGCCGATCAAGTCGATACCAGCGTGCAAATCGATGTAGCTCTTGGTCGCATGTGTTTGACCGGGGTATTGCGATGCTTCGGCGCGTTCCCTTCCTTGACAGGGAGGTATGTGTCTGCCGGGCTAGCTTCAAAGGGTACTGATCAGAGGAAACCAGATGAGATTCCCCAGATGAAACCTGCTTTTAGCGACGGAGTTATTTACAGCACAATGCTCAACATCAAGCGCATTCTGAGAGGTCAGCGCACAGTTGAAGCAACCTGGTCTGATGTGGAGTTGCACACTATTCTTCCAGAGGATATCCACATCGATGGAGGAGAGTGCCATCCACCAATACACCCATCAAAAGCCGCTGCCACACCCGATCTACCTTTGCCAGACCTGAATATCAACCTATATTCAAGTATAGAAACTGGCGATGTCCCCTCGGGGACACTGTCGCCTCATTATGAGGCATCTTCTTCATCGCCAGTGCCAATACCCTGGAAGCGTTAAATAGAAATGTGTTTTCAAATACCCAAGAATAAAAATTTTCGATCAATAGCAACACTTTTAAAGTCTTTATCCTGGTTCATTTTTCTTCTCGGAGACTAGAGTGACGAAATGATAAATTTTATCTCCCTAGAAGAAGCTAAGAGAAAGATAAAACTGAGTGGACAAAGGTGTTTCTAAATGAAGGATAAGAAGGGCAAGAATTCAATTCCATGAGAAAAATATTATGTTGAGTTTAAACAATTCACTCTAATGCAGGAAAATCGGAATAAAACTTCCATTCATAGACTGTATCCATGGAGAATCAGCATTGGTTAACAGCGCTATCGAATGTGTATGGAGCGGAACTGGGATATCGAACAAATAGTGGACAGGGTAGATTGGGTATGAGAAAGGGCTCGCGAATAATGCCGCAATGCAAAAAGGTCCTTTGGCGCACAAGGACAGGCAGGACGGAGAGGCTTACAATTCGGTCTTTTTGTTCAATCGAATAGCTTCCGACTCCTCATTCAAATCTTTATCACGTTTGATCGTATCAGTGTGTTCGAGAAACCCTTCCAATTCCATCCACTCGGCAGCGAATGCCGTCATCAAGATACTCCAATCTTCAACGGTGTCCATGTCCAGATGTTCAGCATCATCATCCATCGTATGCCATACAGGGGGAAACCCTTTGAATGGGACAAAATCGATAAGATGAAGGATCTCCACCCCCTTCGCCAAGAAGGGAAGGTGGTCATCTTGGATACCACCGAGCGCCATGATCTGATGCGAATCCTTGGAGCTATCAATGAACCATGGGTCTTCGGATGTGGATTTCATCTGGCCGAGTGATCTGAGGCGCTGTTCCAAGGAACCTAGGTTTTGGTAGGCCCAGTGAGTAGTTGGATAGTATGACTGAATATACGGTCCCTTGGCGCCCAGTAAATCCAACAGGACGAAGAGTGATATAGATGAAAGCGGCGTCTTGAATGTGGACATGGCAGGATACATCGAGTTGTCCCAATGCTCAGCAAGCGCTCGGGCACCGTATAATGAGTCTGTATCACTCCATTGGTGGAAAGCCTCCTCGCCGTCCAAGAAAAGGACTTGAATCCCATGTTGCTCCTCAAGCGATGGGTCGAGGCCCTTATCCTTCATGGCTGCCCATTTCTTATCCAAAGCCGCATCAATGCTCCTCATTGCATGCATTATCATAGCACACGGTGCAGCGCTGTCGATTGCGCCAATAAAGCCCTCGGGTTCGAGTTTGCTATCATAGTGCGCAACCATTGTCAACCGGCCGACATCCCCAGCGGAGGCTCCCGGGGGGTCTCGATACGCAATGAAATTGATGAAGGGGACATCCTTTCCACCCGATACTGGTGTTTGAGAAGTAGAGTTTTGGAATTCGATCTGCCACTGCGGTAGTGTTTCCCGGAAGAAGGCTGCAAAGTGTTCGAGGACTGCGGTATGGCCGGGGGTGCCCGGGATGCGCGGTATGAGGATTGGGGCCAACAGGGCCCCATTATAGATGTTGAAGTCCTGGCTTGATCTGGGCAGAGATCGCAGAGTCTCATCGGAGAGTTTCTCGTATGCCTGTCCAGGCAGCAGGAACAGCCATAGAGCAAGGGTGAGCAGGAGAAGGTGACCACAGAGGCCACGATAAGCCGGAGACATGGCGTCACATAGATTCGCTAGCAGTTCATGATTTTGCGTTGATCATCAATCATCGGCAAGGTAAATTGGGACCCAGGCCCGCTAGGTAGCCCAAGTGAGGTGCAAGGACAACTGTAATTTGCTAGCGTGTCGCACGTACGGAGTAAAAGAGGCCAAACAGAGCGGCTCCGAAGGCGGTCGCCGCTTGACTTTGCGGCAGACAATGCAATTGCACTCCGCAGCTCAGCTCCGACAATCCCGCCATCATGCGCATTCTACTCCACCCCCAATTGCGCGCCGCGCTCCCAAAGTCGGCGCAAAGGAATTTGTGCTCGCGCATAAATTTCCGGTTTAAATCGCAGGCCTCACGCGTGACCCAACGCCATGAATCGGTTGTCCCCACATCCAAAAATGCAGGCCCAACAGCTCGCAATCCATCTACAGCTAGTGTAGCTGCGAAAACAAGCATAAGGAGAGGTAAGCCAAGGCTTTTCTTGATGATTGGCCATAAGCTTAAGAGCTATAGGGCCACCGGAACGTATTTTGGTGTATTATGGAGGCACTGGCAGATCCATGTTCCTGGGGATACTGCGAGTAACCACCATCCTTCTATTTGGCGGCGCGTGCTTGATAGTTGCTCCGTCATGCTACAGTGATGAAAGTCCATGGTATATCACACCACTAGGTAAGTCATCTGGGTATCTTTGCTATCTATGAGCCTCTACTGATTCTGGGGGTTGTTTAGTGATTGCTGGCGGTGCTCTTCCCATGCTATTTGTTGCGTATACGTGTGCGCCCTACGTCAACTTCGTCCACCTAGCCCTTCCGGCATTTGCGAGAAAGTCTCGGGAGAATGCACTCCACTATGCCAGGGATCTCCCTCCTACATCAGTTCTATACCTCACAACTATGCGATTCAATACTATTCCACGACAAACAGTGGTGCGCCTCGGCGATCTCGTCCCAGACAAGCACGCAATTCGGCCAGTGACCTTCCGAAATTTGAAGCCCACACCCCGGCCGTGGTGGATTGGCAGGGCTCCAACACAATTCTATGCTTCTGATCACAGTCAGCCAGGAAGACGGGCCGCTGCATTTTACCCTGAGCTATGGCCAGCAATTTACAAACGGATCCAGAGTCAAACTGCTCAAAAATTCTAAGAGCGGCTCTTACTTTACTATTTTGCTGATTTATTACTGTGAACTCCTTCATTATCTATGATATCCTTCATAACTCAATTTGTATTATTACAAGAAAGATTCTATTCCACACTTTCTTCAAACTTATGATTCTTGCTCCAACCACACTTATTTTACGTGCTCATTCTCGTCTATTTGACTTGGACAGAATTTGCAAACAAATTTTCAGATTATCTCTCACATTTGGCCCGGACTGGTTGTATTTCATATTTACTTCATTCATTTTGAACTCACTCTAGCAAGGCAGCATTACAGCCTCAGTCATTGGCAATATAAACGCTCATTCTTGTCCGTTCAACTTGAGCAATCCAACGAGCACGTTCTGAGAGTATCTCTCACTTCTAGGCTGCAATATAGTTGGCGGACTACTACTAATTTATATATAGTTAATTCATTTTCAACTCATTTTAGAAAGGTAGTATCATAGTCTGACTGCCAGTAACATAGGTACCCTTTCTCGTCCATTCGATTCGGGCAACCCAGCGAGCACGTTTTTGGAAAATCTCTCACTTTCACTCTCAGGCTCATCGACTAGCGCAAAGTATTCAGGTCACTATCAATAGCTTTCACTCCTCTCTCTTCTTTACCTTCCACGCAACTTGACCTTCTCACAATACGGACCTGTCTCCATTCTACGCCGTCGTTCTGATACCTTTTTCTAGTAAGTTAATTTTGCAAACGCTTATTTCACGGTCCTCTCATCTCCCATCATAAGATTTACCTTTTCTCAGCCGATACAAATCACAAACTCAGAGATCAACAATACCACAAGATGCCCAAAAAGACCTCCGAAAACCAGTTTCTTCTAGGTCTTACCCATAAAGAAGCACGGCTCCTTTTGCTTGGAATCCTGTGCCACGACGATGTCAAAGTAAGTCTTCTCACTATTATACGCTGATCCTCACAAATCAGGACGATCTCAGCTTCCGGTTTACAAATACACCCCGATTCTGAATATTTTATACTAATGAAACCCCCAATTTTACTAGCCGAACTTCAATAAGCTCGCCGTCCTGTCCGATTTGACCTACAATTCAGCCCGTATTTTGTGGCCAAAGGCGTTCAAGAAGCTGGTGCAGAATGCTCCTAAGGTGTCTGCCGCTGCGGGGGGAGATTCCGGGTCTGGTCCCGGGCAGGAATCGGCATCAGCATCGGGACCAGGGCAGACAGTGGCCCCAAGGCAGGCCCGCCGCAGCACTGTATCCCGGAAGCGCAAGACAAGCGGCCCCCAGGAAAAGAACAATCCCCGGGCATCCCCCGACCCCCAGGCCGAGAGCTCCGATGCCGCAGGAACCGATACCGCAGACACCCACGAAGAGGACATCTAGGTCCCCGTTTTTATTTCTATCGGCAGGCTTAGGGGTAGCTTACGGGCTGGATTTCACAAAACTTTTGTGCTTGGATCAGAGGTGGATTGATATCCGCTATTTGCGGAGGTGATCCTGATTCGTACGTGCTTGTTTCTTACGGACTACGGTTTTAAACCACCACCTGTCTATTCATTCTCTGCTAAATAAAAACCATCGTCTTTGCTTCACAAAGATCTCTGATATAACCGTGTGCACATATAATCTGAACACCCTCCTGTGAATTTTCGTTATTCACGGTGGCTATAAATCAACTTGTCCGATCACAGGAGAAATAGCCTAGGCCATGCCTATTAGACAATGACGACAACCTATCTTGTCCCTGCTGGTTCGTTCGCCTATCGCATCTGTTGCGAGGAAGAGCTAGGATATACATAATGTAGAGAATAAGACATAGCTGTAGTATTAGAAGATAAACATAGTGCTAAACGCCATTTTGTCGAGATATAGGACACAAGAACCAAGGAAAGATAAATCACCCTAATAGAATCCGATAAGAATCAAACATCCTGTAACATCTCAACAAATCATTACAGAGCTTCGATAGCCTTGCGCAGAACCTCAAGACCGAGATCGGTAACGTCACCATCCTCACCGGAAGTTGACTCCCGCAGCGCCCAGGCTACATCACTCCACCAGCCCAGGCCGACGAAGCCACCGCCCTTACGGCGCTCGAGGCTCTCCTTAAGCCGGCTTGTATGCTCCCATTGCTTAGCAGCAACTTCAGCCCGCTCAATAACCTTGTTGGAGATTCCGCACATAGACGCACAGTGCATACCGAAGCTACCTTCTGCAACGCCGTTTTCAAGCTTGTAGAGGAAAGTTACACGACGTTCTGTGTCATCAACGTGAATCGCCATGCGTTTGGGCGCAATTTCAGGATGCCCGTCGAACTCAGAGGCGAGAGAGTGATAGTGTGTTGCGAAGAATCCCATAGCTCCAATGTGTGTTGCGATGTGATGGAGGACAGCCTGTGCCACGGCGACACCATCATATGAACTGGTTCCACGGCCGAGCTCGTCCAAAATGACTAGCGAGCGTGGGGTGGCCTCAGACAGAATCTTCTTTGTCTCAGAAAGCTCTACGAAGAACGTTGATTGGGCAGCAAAGATATTGTCGTTCGCTCCCAGACGGGACATGATGCGGTCGACCGGTGTCAACCGAGCAGATTTGCAGGGTAAGTAGCAGCCAATTTGAGCCATGATGACAGCCACACAAGTCTGGAACCGAATAGGATTAGTAAAGATTTCAAAGTTTAAGGGATCATTAAAAAATAAAACATACCATGCGAAGCACGGTTGACTTTCCTGCAGCGTTTGCACCTGTCAACAAGTCGATATTGGCTTGTTTGCCACCAAGATGAACATCATTTGGAATGAAATCTTCCACTGAAGAAAGCAAGCAAGGATGACGCAGCTCTTCAAATTCCAGCACGCTTCTTTGGTCATCCACAAAGACGGGTCGGCAGCTGGGCTGGCCAAGAGAGGCAGATGCCTTTGCCAGACTAATTAAACAGTCAAGTTGAGCGACAATGCGTACGGCAGCTAGCCATGTTCCATAATTTTCATCAAATCTAGCATGGAATCGACCAGCAACATCCTTGACGATTTGGCTGTGGGTTTCCTGGGCCTCTTGGAGCTTCCGAATAAGACTGCGAAGTTCGGGGAAATAGAACCGCTTTACCTGCTTAGTAGCAGACATCTGGTCCCAATTCTTGGGAATGTTCTTGACCTTAATGGGAACCTCCATCTGGTAGATCTCCTTACCATTGTCACGGTAACAAATAGCAGTGGAGCCCAGTTCTCGGCGGGCCTTCTTCAATAAGTTATCCAGGTCCTTGTGAAGCCCTTCAATAGTCTCCTGGGAGCTGTCAAAGTCTGCCTCAACACCGCTTTCGGGCACTAAGATCCCATTTTCTTTCGCCTTGGTGTGATCGAAGGCTGTCTTCCAGTACGCAAGAAGTTCAGTCATATCAGGCATTGCGGCAATTAATTGTCCGATAATACCCTCGCCAGAGCCACTTTCCTTGAGGAGGCTCATCGTATAGTCAATCTGTTCAAATCCATCGAGCACACGGACAAAGTCCTGGGCCTTGCAGTTACCGGCGTGAACCCGGGAGATCAGTCGCTCCAGGTCGGGCATCTTGGTCAGTTGCGAGGAGAACTGATCGCGAACACTTGGATCCGCATTCAGTGAATCAACAGCATCCAGCCGAGCATTGATGCGCTTTGCATCCATAAGGGGATGACAAACCCACTGCTTGAAGGTACGTTTGCCAAAGGGTGTGATGCAGCGATTAAGAAGTTGGAACAGGGTACCATCAACACCGCCATCAAAAGAATTGGCGAAAATTTCCATGTTGATCAAAGTTTGACCATCTAGCACTAGACTGGAAGCCTTCTTGATGGGGTCATACCAAGTAAAGTTGCCAATAGTTACGAGGTCTCGCTCGATTTTCAGCATCCGAAGATACTGAACAAGAGCACCGAATGCCGACATGAGTAGCTCCTTGTCCCGTGCCTCACGGAGTGTTTCGGGCCAAGCTGTGATGTTGTCATCATCATTGGATACGAAATAGTTGCTCGCATCAAGCTCCTTCAGGGTGATATCAGCCTCCCAAAATTCCTTGCCGGGTTTCAGATGATTCCAGAGAGTGGTAGGCCCAGTGTTATTCTTGAGGATGCGGAGGGTCTTTTGTGAAACGCACGACTTCTCAAGCAGCAACTCCTGCGGCCGGGTCTGCGCAACAAAAGTCTCAAATTTGGTCATGTCTACATCGTCCACGAATTCAGAAATGAAAAACTGGCCAGTGGCCGTATCAACAAATGCAATTCCGAAGGCAGGAAGATCATCAACGACAGCTTCCTTGATGGCGACGCAGTAAGTCGACATGTCGTCCTGGAGCATCGACCCTTCGACCAGTGTGCCGGTTGTGAGGACACATGCCAGCTCTCGCTTGATGATCTTATCCTCCTTTCCACCTTTCTTGGCATCTCGCTCACGCATTTCCTTGCCAAGTGCTGATTCAGATTGGTCAACACGAGCGATCTTGAACCCCTTGGCCACAAATTGGTTCGCCCAATGAGAAAGACTCATTTCAGGAACACCGACCATACGCATGTTGACTCGGTCTGTCAGCTTTAGGTCAAATAGCTGGTGACCGATTGTGGCATCGTTCTCGTAGAGTTCATAGAACTTCCCTTTTTTGAAGAACACCACCGTATCCCAAAATTTCTGCTTGATCTCCCAGTACTGTTTCTCAAATGGAGAGAATTTAGACCAGGCCAGAGGAGGGACATAAATGGTTCGTGGGTCATAGTCAGGGTGGCTTGGAGGATTGCCATCCATATCTCTGACATTGGCAAGCCATGGATATCGCTCTTCAGGGTCCCTAACATGGGCTTTCTCCTTCTTGTTGGTGGCGGGCTTCTTAGAAGTTGTTTCAGCCGCGCGTTGCTTTCGAGGCTCTGTGTTCTCAGGGTCAAAGGTCCACTGCAAGGCAGTACCGGCCGAGCCCTCGGGAAGCTCCATATCGAGATCCTCACCCGCAGGTGGTGGAGGGGGTAGTGGAGAAGACTGGCTGGAGCTTTTCCGTGCAGGAGTGGAAGCCGGTCTTTTGCGCTTCTTCGGGGCCGCCACTTCTTCATCGGAATCGTCGGCGACAATGAAGTCGTCCATCTCTGTGTTCCGTCAGTACTGGCTCAGGCCTGGCCAAGGATTCGGGACTTACCATCATCCGAGTATCCAATATCTTCTTCAGCGTGTTGGAACTCATCCTCACTATCAGGGGAAGTCTTTCTTCGCTTGGTGGCTCGGCCGCTGGCGTTGTTTTTGCGACTGGGGCGGAAGATGACTTCGTCGTCCTCTTCGCCTTCTGAATCGGACTCCTTGTAGCTAACTTTCTTCTTGGCCTGAGGGGAACGGTGTGAGTCTGAGGAAAACTAAGGAAGATTCGGGGCTATTTGACATACTCGGCGAGAGGGAGACATTGTGGTATCCTGAGTTTCGTCGCGTCCGGGCTACAAGTTCAAAAAAGTTGTTAAGATAGCGAAGGGAGAAGGGGAGAGGGGTTGCGAAGGTTCAAATCCATGCGCACCTTCAAGCTTTCATCGTTGTCTTCATCTTCACCTGGGATTGGAAGATCACTGCTTGGGATGGGAGTCAAGTCCTGTGCGAAGCTGGAGAAGTTCCTCTTGGGTGTAGGTTTGACTGTAGGTTTGACTGAACTAGCACCACGCTGTTCGCCGGCTCTCTGGGAGGGCGAGGATGCTGGTTCACGGGGCTGATCATTTTTGGGAGTTGCTGGAGAGGATTTTTGGAAGAAACCGAGGATGGATTTCTGGTTTTTCATATTCTGCGCGCTCGAGGTGGTTCGTTTCAGGGCGCCCGAAGGAGGCGTCGCGGTGGGCGATGAGGCGGAAGCCTTAGCCATTGTCAGGAAGAGGCAATGAGCTATATATCTGCGATACTGGCGATGCTGATTGGAATTCAATTAAATTTTCAGCATAGCATTGCAGATCTAGCAGATGGGAAGGTGTTGAATACAGACGAGGAACGGCGAGGTGGTTGACGGTCGATCGGGTTGGGAGTACACGGGACTGATGGCAGATAAGGCGCGACCCGCGTCGACGCGTAAAGTGGCCGACAGGTCACTTTTGCTCCACTTCTCCCCGTCCTCCCGCAAACCAAAACACTTGCGTTCCTCCTAGGCCTAAAGTAAAGCTTCTGAATTAGAAGAAATCGGGTCCCTTACAACATAGTCCGAGAAACACAACTTTCTTACGCGCGATACTATTGTGGAGCAGACATGTTGTTTGGGCGCACCAAGAGACTCCAAAGCGTTCTTGATAATGCTGAATGCAATGACTTGCTGATATATTGTACAGATAGAATATGCTACATCGACCATATTATACAAAGGGGAGATCCGTTTCAATCTTCACACTAGCCCTGGTGTCATTTTGTCTCTTCAGGCGTCTCCTCGGCCACCTCCCATCCCGGAGCAGTAAGCCCTTGCGCGCGGAACTCCTCGTCGCTAATTATATTTACCATCTTGAACTTCCACTTGCCCAGCTTCAGCATGAGGAGATTGCCATCAATGATGTACTCCTGTGTCTTATCTGAGGACCAAGGCCGGATGGGAGTAAAGGTGAGATCGTCGGACATGGGCCCGCTGTCGCCGGGGCGGCTGCCTACAGAGGCGCCGTTATTCACAATGACACGATGGCCCTCACCCTTAGATGCCACCATCCCGGCTGACCAGAGGATCTTGTTAAACTGCTGGTTGTAGACTAGAGATTTTGGAAGAGTCACCCGAGCATTCGGCATGTTGGCAAAGTTTGTCTGGGAGGCGTAACGGTTCCCGGATTGAGGATTCAAAAAGCCGGCGGTTGGTGATTTCGCATGGCTGGAGGGCTGGCTGGGGGTCCGCGGCATAGGAGTGGGTTCACCGGTCGAGGAACGGGGTCTAAAGAGCTGGCGATGTTGAAGGGACACAGCATCGGCTTCCTGCTTGCCGTGGACAAGTTCAACGAACTCATAGGCTAGTTTATGCTGAGCAACCCGCTTGGAAGGATCCTTGTTCTGCTCCTCCATGATGCTAGCAATCTCAGGCAAGGGAATGAAGGTGAAGAGCTTCAAGTAACGCTCGACGGCATCGTCCGGGGTTCGAACAAAGAACTGAAGAAATTATGAGCTATAGACTAGAAACAATGGGCTATAGAGTGGCTTACCTGATAAAGCTCAAAAGTGGAGGTCATGTCTTTGTCCAGCCAGATAGCATTGCCCGCAGACTTGCCGAACTTCTCGCCGGAAGGTGCAGTCAGCAATGGCGTTGTAAATCCAATGGGCCGGTCTAGTTCTGATTCTAAGGGGTTTCGCAGTTGCTCATCGGCCGTGTTGCGACTGATTGCTTTGACAGCATCCATGCCGAAAAGAATGTTTCCATATTGGTCAGATCCACCAACTTGAACCTGTGTCCCTTTTTGGAAAAGAGTCCACCAGTCCCAAGCCTGGAGGAGAGGATAGGAGAACTCGGCAAATGACATGCCATCTCCTTGGTTCAATCGATTTTTGACACTAAATCCATTGTCAAAGAATTGCAGGTGAGGGAAAGGAAGAATACCACTTACGTGTCTCGGCCCAGCATTGGCCCAAGTCTCATGAACGCACCAAGATCCCGCAATACTTCAATGAACGGCATAGAATTCCACCATGTATTGTTGTTGGTCAATGCTCGCTTCCAAATAGGCTTCCTTTCATAGCCATGTCTCCGGCCATACTGTTCAATGCTTGCGCCCAGCTTCTTCAATTGCATGTGCATGCTAGCCATATTGGCTTTGCGAATTGAGGAGTGGACCTGCTCCCGCCCCTTTAATCGACCTGTTGGGTCGCCAACTCGCGATGTTGCACCACCCAGCTATCTTCAATCAGTCGAGGCTTCGGTTGAAGGGTGTTGAAGTCACGTTGTACCTACCAGAAACGTCACAGGCAAACCCCAGACATATCCCCATGCTAGAACCATAAAGGGGAGCATATGTCCAACATGCATTGACGGTGCTGTAGGATCAATCCCAACGTAGATTCCGGTCCGCTTCTCGGTAAACAGCTTATGAAGTAATTCGCGCTCACTATAATCACAACATGCAAGTCAGCATTGATATTGAACATGGTCTCGGAAGATCCAGGAAACTGAGCATTAAACATAACATGAGGGAGGGCTGGCAAGAAGACGTACCCAACAACATCATGGATCAGGCCTCGTTCCTCCAAATGAGCCGCAAAGTTCTTCCTCTTCCCTACCTTGATTTCCTCAGCATGCTTGGCCCATTCTTCTCTCCCTTCCTGCATCCTCTGAATATATTTTTGTGTGATCCATCGCTTCTGCTTTGTCTCCTGTGCAGATTGCTGTGGGCATAATTGAGGGCGATGACCGTAACGAAACGAACTTGTTTGCGTGGCTGCCCCAAAGCTACGGGCACCGCATAGTGATGTTCGGAGAGGGTGGACGTTGCGGTAAACCGCCCGAGGAAGCGGTGCCGACTGTGGCCACATTGGACCGTTGAATAGAAGAAACTCGAGAGCAAAAAAGCTCACAATGAACCAGAGTATGATCGCGATGTCCGACACGAGCTCCGAGATTATTTCGATAAGATCTCGGAGAATCTTTGATGCGGCTCACAATCACGGTAAGTTACTCCGCCCACTCCACCACTTCGCTGAGTAGATGCACACCCATCATCATGCTTGTGGGCCTCAACGAAGTTAAGATGAAAATGAAAGCAATGTCAAATCATAGAGTCAACTCATAATTTCCGAGACCAACTACCAATATTTCCTCTTTTCATGTCACCACTTCGCTACCACCTAAAAATGACCAATTTTGATGTATATCGGATGGCTGAGGCGAGCCATGGCAAGGAAAGCTGTTCACCATGTTCTAAAGCCCTATCAGAAGGAAGTTTTGAAACGTTTGGTCTATTCTATTCGGGCTTTATCTATTCCTATAACATCCATGATTATAACATCGTATGCGAGTCGGATGCTATACTTGATTGGCAACGATCGAATTATTCGGGCACTCTGAAAGGATCAAAAAATGTAGCGCGAAGATGAAGTTAATTCGGCTCGAGCTACTGAAGGATCAAGTGTCAGAATTCAAAAACCACTGACAAAACTCTTGAACAGTTTGAGCTTGCTATTCACATAAAGGAGCATAAAGCAACCGCTGAGACGAAATCGTAAATAAACATTGCCTTGAAATAATGGAATCGGGAAACAGAATTCACTGGTCATTGCTATCCCATAGAGGCCTAAAACTAACCATCCCGCGGCCGAAAAACTATGCCGTACCTCAAATTTTCTCTTCATGCGGATGGAGGAGGAATCATCCATGAGACAGAAATACGATTTCCAACGGACTCCTGTTCGTTTCGTTAGGCCGGCTGAGCATCTTGTAATGGCGTTTGAGTGGGTTCACTATCTCCGACCGGTATACGGAGTGACTGGATACTCGATCGCATACGATACTCGCGTCTCTTCTCCCTGGCAACACAAAGGATATTCTCCAGTTCGTCCTTTTTAGGAGGTAGGAGATTATTTCGCAAAATCGGCTGGCAGCACTTGATGAATTGATCAAGTGCAAGACAGGCCTTGGCCTCATCCATGGGCCTGGGCTTGGGTCTTGGTTGTGGTGGTTTGACTTTGTCTACACGGAGAACAATGCCCAGTTTCTTGCGAATTGCGCGAAGTGTGCGTTCTGACAATGGTGTTCCCTCTTCGCTTAGAATACGGAGAATCTCGCGCGTTCGCGTTCTGGCTGACACAAGCTCTTGAACACGCTGTTGAATAGCTTCATTGTTCCTGGGGTGGTCGCGATGCGGTTGCACCCCCATTCAGTCAAACGGTGTCTAATAGTAGCGGCCGTAGTTGCCACTCGACCTTTCAGGATTTCAACAATGATTTCTTGGTGTGCCCCTTGACTATTGTAGGAAATAATTTCATCTTTGTAAGGGTCAAGGTTGATTCGCGGACGCACCATAGCCAGTATGACCTTGCAAAAGCGATTAGTACAGAGGGGGAATACACCTATGCACACACCCACATAGAAACGTCAAGAAGAGTGAATCCAGGAAATTAACCAAATCATCAAAGAATGCGACAGCCTTGGGACGACCGACTCGGATAAGAAAAGTTTTGGACGTGGTTGAAGGTGGAGGACAAACCTACAAAGCGGCCTTTTAGGCACCTCGTACTGCCGGCTCCCACCGGCTTCCCGACTGTGATCTAGAGTATAGACAAGTCTCTTTAGGTCCTGTGTTCTAATAGCAATACCTAGAGAGAGAAACTCGAGAGAGAAGATATTCTGGAGTGTATTTTCTGATTGAGATTTTGCCTACCAATTTTGCCTGATGATAATACGGCGTTTCATCAAACATCAGCCTCACTTCTTATCCTCTTATTAAAGGCTTTACCAAAAGAGTATACAACTACATTTGCTGGCTCCCAATAAGCAAACTCTGTTTTTGAAAGTCTTTTGGAAATATTCATCATCTTAATCAACTGACAAAGACTTGAACGAAGGCCTCATTGCTCCACCCACTATCCAGCTTCATCTCCTTCCACGCAGAGAGGACATCGATTGCCAGTACATTAGATTTCTCGCCACTTTGTTTCGAAACGGTCCTTTGGGGTATCGGCCTTCCTAAAATCATGACCATGAAGTTACTAGAGATATCAAGGTCTTGTAAGTTGGAGATGTAAATCCCTAGGGTTCCAAGTGCTTTCAAGTGTATGTCAAATCGCAAGCGGCCGTTCTCAGCCACCAATATGTCTGAGCTGGCCACGGCAGCGGCGCCAGTCATTTTCCCAATGAGACCTAAAATGGCCACATGCAGTGTATTGCTGTCAGAGTTGCAGTGTTTTCTCCTGCTTCCCAGCCCAAAGGAATGTATTGGGTACGCGGTAAGGATCTCCCACTCCTTTTCCTTCAAAATAATAGACACAAGAGAATCTTTATCGTGTGACCGCATTCTTCCTGTTACTTTGCCACTAGTGTGGGAGCGGACAACATACTCGCAGTTTGAATCTTGATGCACACCTGGGAAGTCTTTCAACGATACTATGCATGACGCTTCGGCAGAATGAATATTGAAGAGACCCATTATGCCGCTGCCTGTTCTTGCTCGGCCAGTGTAGCTTCCCACGCGCAAAACCCGACCTTCATCATAGCCATTGTAAACATCAATTGTGCGGCCGACGACACTTGGACGTAGGATAATGGTGCTTCCTTGAACAGTTGGCGCCGTCATCTGGTCAATCACACTCAAGTCATGTTTTCCTGGTTCATCGGTGATATGTATCGGCCCACCCGAGATACATCGCGCTGCTGCGTGAAAAGATGCGTACGGATGGTTCGTCTGGAACATATCCCAGTCTGGTAAAGCATTCAAGAATCTGGTGAAAAGTGCATTGTGCGCATTGCAAAATATATGCCACGGGTGAGATGCAGGTATTTTGGGGAAGAAGTCATCTGAGTTTCGTAAGGGAATCGTCGGCTTGTTGGTTGGTAGCAACGAATGGAAGATAATCTGTGGAATCAAAGACATGCAAGAAATAGAGCGTGTGCTGAAGTGCCTCAATGAAACAATGGACCATGCATCCTGGTAGGATGTTAAAAACCTCTTGCGGTCTTCGGAGTCCTCCAGAAAATCGAGAAAGCACTGGGCATCCGTTTTGACCCCATCAATGCCAGCGGAAGCGAGGTAGCTATAAAATTCATCATAAAAACGTTCAATATCCTCTGGATCAATGGCCAGGAACTTTCCGTCTGCGAGATTGTGTGCGATTGGCCCGTCTGGGGAAGGGTCCTTGATTCTCACTTCCTTCGTCTTATATCTTTTGGCGAGGTCACTGCTAGGGCATATACCTCCCCAATACCCTAGCAACGCATGCCAAACTGCAATATGTCCGATATTTGGATGGGCTCGCCGAATTTTCTCCACGGCGTTCTTGAGCCCACGAGGGAATGCTTTCGGATTTGCATCAAAACGCTCCCAGCGTCGCTTAAACTGGGACTCTTTCTCGTTATCGACACTCTGCCAGTTATCGTCGATGATCAGATTAGTAATGTTAATCCCGTGGGATTTCAAAGAATCCAATGCGTGGAGAATTTTCTCTTCGGTCAGATTCTGTCCAAGGCCATCCCAAGTGCAATATGTCAATCCATCATACCACTCAGTGAGCCATTGAGCCTCAGGGTCTTTCTCGACGACAACGATATCGTCTCCAAGAGGAGACAACGGACATTGCTCAAGATGTTGGTTTGCCGATTCTCTAAACGGTCTGACCACTTTCCTTGCTTCATATATCACTGCAGAAAGAGCAACCTCAAAATTATCCGCCACGGCGGCCAGAACATGGAATTCAGATGTCGCTGGGTTGTCGCTTCTGGACTTGACCACCAATTCGCCATCGGCTCCAGATTGGAAAACCGTCAATATATCATTGGTTCCCGAGATTGCAAGAAACAGTAGATTAGTCCCATCTTTCCGGAGAAAAGAGCATAGGATTGCATCTTCCGTTAGTCTGAATATGTCCTTGCCGTGTCTTGGACCCAGCCACGGACTCCATACTCGAATCAAGGAGAAAAACCTAGTAATAGACGAGGGAATTCCAAGCGCAAATTGTTTGATACACGATACGCCATTCTTTGCTCGATCCACGCTCCCAGAGATACTCCAGAGTATGGAGCCAGGCGCTTCGCTCGTTCGCAGATTCACCTGCACTTCAGAGGACAGGCAATCAAGATACTTGGAGAGCTCATCCTTGGGGCTGAGCAATGACATGTCTGAGCCAAATGGCTTATCTACTCCCCAGTGGCGCGGGCTGAATACGAGCTCACCATCGCCGATTGGCTGCTTCTGGTTGGCCCATTGCCATTCGGCGTCTGGATTGGGCCGGAACCTCACAGTGAAACGTACATAGCCGCCGCTAGCGGGCAGTTGGATAGCCTCAGAAAGAACATAACGATGGTAAGCATACTCGTTATCCGTCTGGTTCAACAGAGGTGCTTGTGATGGCCAGCTCTCATGGAGCGGTAATGCTGACCATTCGGAGCCGGTAATGTTGTGCCAGATCTGTGCCTCCCAGCGCTGGGTTGGGAAAGAAGTACTTGACTCGATAACAACTGTGAATCGTACCTGGTCGGTATTAACGTGGTAATCCTTATCACTGGGTTTATCTCCCAATGCGAATATTGAGCTTTTTGTAAACAGTATTTATCGTGTACTCACAGTGTCTTCTTCTTGCTCTAGCTGAGTCGCTTTCTGCGTCCTCTGAAGGCAAGTTACTTGCCCCAAAGGTGGGTAGCACGTCACTCGAGAAAACAAACTCATCTGGACTGGCCGAATAAATGTCTCGTTGAGCGGCTTCTGAGGGGAAGCGGTAACAGGGAGGGTGCAGATTGTATCTCTCGTGTTGGCCTGCATATCTGGTATGAGGGGTAGAAGCTGGCTCAAGCTTGCCAGCAGAGGTTTGACGTGGCCTGTAACAGAATGAAGTATTCTGGATCAGGATTCGAGACAATGGATATATGCTATCCAAAGTGATTTATATTGAAATAATCGTTCGTAGTGGAGCTGCGACTGTGGTTGATGATGGATGGATGATGATACGTGAGGAAGAGGTGGGGGCTGCAACCTGCAGCCCCTTCCAACGTCGGCTTCAACCTTTTCTACAAACCTTACCCCCTGTTGTACCCAGCTTCCAGTCTACTATGGCCCTAATCGACGTTTACCCGAATTTTTTCAGTCTACGAAGATACTACGAAGGTCGCACCTGAAATTTGGCGCATGCTCAAGGACCAAGAATCATGTGGAAACGAAACGTGAGGCTGATTATTTTATACCGGGCGCTTAGTTGATCTTAATTGTCAACTTACCAAAATGTTTCTGTGCCCACTGTTGACAATGTTAGTAGATGATCAGGGACTCGCAGCGCTGGGTTGGCTCACCATGTATTCATAAGCTTCCCGAGCTTGGTCAAGAGTGAAGACCTTCTCATCTACCACGGGATGAATATCATTGGCCTCAATTGCGCGGATCATGTCTCTCATGAGAGCCTTGCTGCCCACATAAACACCCCGCACGGTGCAGATATTGTTGAGAGTGTCCAAGATAGCGGGTTCACCCTGCGGCTTGACACCACCCAGGAATCCGATCACACTGATAACCCCCTCGAACTTGATGCACTTGAAGCTCTGAGTCAACGTGCCCGGCCCACCGACCTCAATGACATAATCCACGCCACATCCATCGGGTGTGAGTTTACGAGCGGTCTCGCCCCAGTTCAGATCTGTTCTGTAGTTTATTATATGGTCGGCACCAAGCTTCCTCAGCTTGTCGGCCTTCTGGTCGGACGAGGTGGTGGCGATCACGGTCGCGCCGGCCGCTTTGGCGAACTATAAACCAAAATACGAGATCAGCAGGAGCCATGGCATTTCGGGAGGTGGCATAACTCCAACTCGTACCTGTAATGCGAACATGCTCACTCCCCCGGTTCCCTGTACGAGAACGACCTGTCCGGGCTTCAGGGGCTTCAAACCATATAGGGCATTCCAGCTCGTGAGTGCCGCGCAAGACAAAGTACTGTTCTCCAACGGAGTCAGGTTCTTCGCCGCCTTGACAAGCCCTCTTTCGTTGAACACGCCATACTGGCGCAAAGCGCCATCAATCACGCCTCCCAATCCAGTTTGTGTTGCCGTGATATCGATATCTCCGTATTGGTGACCTTGGTTGAAGAGGGTTGCAACTTTATCTCCTTTCTTGAACTCGGTGACTTTGGATCCAACTTCAACCACCTCTCCAGCACCGTCGGACGCGGGCACAACGGGGAAATTACAAGGGAATGGATATTTGCCCTGCGTCAAAAAAAGCCATTGAGTCTTCTGTCAACACAGGATCCAAAAATGTGAAGCTAAGTTCGGTCATTGGGTCACTGTCATACCTTTGGAATAATCAAATCACGGTAGTTCAGCGACGCCGCCTGAAGCCTCACCAAGACTTCATTCTCACCAAAATTTGGTACCGGCGCGTCCTGATAGACCAAGCCGTCGAAATCATTCTCTTTGCTCTGCACGACCCATTGCTTCATAGCAGACATTGTGAGGCTGCGATTGGGAAATGATTCCAGCAAACCAAAGCTTGCTTTTGTAACTTACACACGAGAGTCTATTCTTGAACGATGACAGGGCACTCTTTTATACGTACATGTACGCTCCCTTTTGAACCCGCTTGACGTAGGGCATTTCTTGCCGACTCCACTTCCATGACGGCAAGATTATTAAGGATCCAAAAAGTCTCCGTTCCCAGCCTAGTTTGCCAGTATATGTCTGCCGCACGGGGCAATTTGAAGACTCAAGGCGGATACTTTTATCGCATCGCTGACAAATTCAGATGAATGCCTTGATTCTAGGGTTGAAGTCACAAAACACTCGGCGCAGCCTGCCCGGGCCGAAAGGTTGGTTCAAACGCCGATTCGGCGACTATAAAGCTTAAACACATTGGGAGAGTAGCTACGCAGATCCCAGTTGGGCAGAATAGTTCTCTGGTTATTAATAAGCCCGAGGTTAATGGGAAAATAAGAGACAAATATATTTCAATTCCTAGCGATGAAAAACAGAATGTATAGATGCATCTATCTGAGCCCCAGTCGAGATCCCTGCAACTCGTCCGGCGGCGGGCCCGCCAGCCAACAAATGCCGAAGCCACTGAATCGAGGAAGGGACTAGCGACATATCATCACTAGATTGAGAGTGGCAAGGGCAAGATTCGAAGTGATATTTTGAAGCCAAGCCGTAGATAGCATTGATCTAAGGGACAATCCCGCCCATGGCTCATGGGTCTGCAGTCTACGGGGCATATTCACTTAGCCGCCGGTACCTAGTGAGGGGCCCGCAATTGTGCCATCTGAAGCTAATATCGCTCATTCTAGCCTCCACTACGAGAGACATCATGAACGGCCACCAGGGTGCCTGAAAAGCACGAGATCAACGGACCGCGTGTCGACGCTGGTTTGGCGCCATTTCAGATCGCCAACTAGCGCGGGGGGAGGAGGAGGAGGGGTAATGGTCACAGGAAGAGTTAAATAGTTGCGACATCCGGCTTCACTATTTGTTTTATTTTTCTAGACTGCATCGCCGATTGCACCTTCTCTCTACCCTACCGTCTCTGATTCACCCTTCATCATGTCACTAGGACGCTCTTTTAAATTGAACTCAGGCTACAACATCCCCGCCGTGGGCCTAGGCACTTGGGTAGGTGATTTCATGGGACATTGCGTTGTATCTATAACACAGGAGGCTAACTCGTCTCCCTAATTCAGCTCTCCAAGCCTAACGAGGTTGAAAACGCTGTCGAAGTGGCCCTTCGCAAGGGTTACCGCCACATTGATGCAGCTGCGTGCTACCAGAATGAGAATGAAGTTGGCAATGGTTGGAAGAAGTCGGGAGTCCCGCGAGAAGAGATCTTTGTAAGTAGCTCCCATCTATAATCACTGGGTTCAGCCGCATCTCATTGATTCTGGGATATCAATAGATCACCAGCAAGTTGTGGAACACTCACCACCACCCCGACCACGTTGAGGAGGCCCTCAACAAGACTCTGAAAGACCTGCAGACCGATTATCTGGATCTCTACCTGGTATCATCGCCCCCACGGCCCCTTCCCCTCCTCGAGGCCCCTCGTTCGGTCCATCGGCTAATCTGCATCTAGATCCACTGGCCCGTCGCCTTCGAACACACCAACGAGACCCTCACGCCGACTGACCCGGTGACGAAGCGGTTCCGCATAGCCGATGTCCCGGTCGCCGATACCTGGGCCGCCCTGGAGAAGTTCGTGGCGACCGGCAAGATCCGCAGCATTGGCATCAGCAATTTCACGATCGGGGCGACCCAGGACCTGCTCAAGACGGCGAAAATTCCACCCGCGGCGAATCAGATCGAGGCGCACCCTTACCTGCTTCAGCCAGGCCTGTTCTCTTTCTTGAAAGACAACGTAAGATGGACTTTCCTGTCCGTAAAATCAGAAAGAAAAAAAAGGTCCTAACACGGTCCTTAATAGAATATCCTACCTGTGGCGTACAGCCCGCTTGGCAACAACATCTACAACTTGCCACGGTATGGAAAAACCCCCCTTCTCCTCACAAAGCCCACATACACTAAAGGCAGACCCACAGCGTTGTCGACGACCCGACGGTGGTGGAAATCGCAAAGAAGCTGAACAAGGACCCCGCCATCCTGCTGATCTCGTGGGCCGTCCAGCGAGGCTCCGCGGTGCTGCCGAAAAGTGTCACTCCTTCGCGCATCGAGAGCAACTTCCAAGGTCAGTCTCCCTGTCAAGCCTCATTCGAAGACTCATGGTCTGATTGTTGTTTTAGATTTTGTCATTCCCGACGCGGAGTTCGCAGCTCTGAACCAGCTGGACCGCAACGAGCGATATAACTATCCATTCCGCTGGGGCATTGATGTCTTTGGGGAACTCGGTGCCGCGGAAGCTGAGCAACGAGCTGAGGCGCATGCAGCCAAGTTGAGGGAGAGCTCTTGAGTCACTTTGTTTGAATAGTCGATATGAAGCATGGGAAAATGGATTAAACTGATGTCAATACTACTGGCTGCCTGCTACTAGCAAGGATCATGCCCCATTTCCCATATAGACTTATCACCCCTGCTAGGTACTTTGCTGATTGGGCCATGCTCTCCACCAAAATTCAGGTGGCACCATCAATCACCTTTGAACACATTTGGGAGATTGTACTTTTGCATGGACACACGACATGACAAATGGACTTGAAGATTATGGAAGTGATCTCTGTTATGCAGAAATCGTAGCACCCTAGTCATCGAGCCTATCTTACAGGTTACGTGTATTCTGTAGCCGACTTGTTCATGTCATAGGCCAATGGGTCTTGGAATGAGTTTAAGTCCAAGGGTATTTCCTAGCCCGCCTAGTCATCGGCACTCTCACATCTGGCCAGAAGAGTGTCGTTCGAATTATGTTCTAATCGTGTGCCAATTCATTGCGGAACGTTTCCAAATGAAGAATTACCACTCTAGAACCTCGGTCTTGGGATCGCATGAGACAGCTAACTGCAAAGCAACAAAGATCTTATAGCATGCTTGAAATTTTCGCATGAAGTTCACAGGACCTAGGTTAAAGGATTGGTCTTGGTTCGTGCCGACAGAAGCAAAATAAAACCGGTATCGACGACTATGCAAGCGAATCGAAGTTGATATTCCAATCAGACGAGACTGACGCCTCGATAATGAACAACGCTTCGAGGAAGACAGAGAGCAATCTAAATTTTGGTATGCTCTTCAGGAAGACTTTTTTGGTTCGTAACTTGTTGAAGAGTCTCGGGTTTTTGAATCCTCGGAGGGTAGATAAAGACAATCAGGCTGGAGTGAAGGTGATGATGCATCTTCAGGAGGAAGAATAATCCTGGCTCTGGCTGCCCTCGTGAAAATTGCTCGGGAAGCTATGCTGATACCTCAGCGCAAGTGCATCTCATAGGCCTCGCAGGAGGGATTGAGCTGAAGTCAAATGTATAGTAGTAGTAGTTCACTTGACTCCCGTACGAATCACTTTGTGATGTTTTTGCGTAAGCGACCAGATAGTAACCGAATGAGCTAGGAGAGTCATTTAGTGGGTCTTTGATTAAAAATGGGTCGTGAGATAATTTGAGGTGGGCTCATTTGCAATGGGGAAAAAAAAGAGGAAGGAAAAAAGAAACACCCCCTACGAGGGTCGAACTCGTGACATCCAGATTTCCTATAAAAGTCTGGCGCTCTAACCAACTGAGCTAAGGAGGTGATCATGTAATGGACGCCGCGGCTCAGACTTATAACGTAAGCTCTTTAATTTCTATCAGAGCTCTACATCGCTCCCACATCAGTATTTCGGCACTATATGGACTTCTAAGACAACCCTCTAATACACCATTGTTTATAGGAAGTCTTACTTCGAGAGAGGACATATTAATATGGTGAATCCATGGGGGTATGCGAACGTATTTAATATTGTGAATTGCCTTAAATAGCCCCAGGAATTTCCAACAGTGGGTGGATCAGACTAACCCAAGGTTGCTTTTCAGGTTCTAGCATCGAGCGCGTGTCTTTTCTTTTTTTTTCCCCTGTTTTTCAACAGCAAATTGATAACATAGTATATTCAATAAATAAATATCTTGTCGGCTTCACGAGTCTTGAAGTCGAACAATCCTGAAATCTTCGACGACCACAGTCACATCATTCCCCGGGCTAGTTGCCAATATTAAAGACCTTTTATTGGGAGTTGATAATGGCAAGGCCTTCCCAGTCAACTATAGTATCTACATAGATCACATAACAGGGATTATTATCCTATTTTCAGAAAGAGCAGCCCCTCCATTCGACCAGGCTCACGATCGGGTTGCGGATAGTGATATTTGAGGACCCATGTAAGAATGTGATTCAAGAGAAACAAATGAAATAAGCATGAAATGAAATGGTCAAGGGCAGCACGCATCGTTTGAAGGTATGTGATAATCAAATGTCAATATCATGTCCAGGGTAGGTCCCGCTGCTCTCAAAATTCAGCGTACGCTCGGCTTAAAGTGTCTAGTCCATAGAGATGGCGTTTTTCTGGTGCAGTATTTTCTGTTCAGAAGACATACTTGACAGGGAGTCTAGGCTAGGGATGGTTTGGTCTTGATGTATGATTCAGACCAGGTTGTAATTTCACTTTTCCGTTCCAGTAAAACTTCGATTCGTTTCGATATATATATCTCAGGTCAGGTCCCTATATTCATGAGATATTGTTTCCAACCACTTAGCAAACAGGTATATCCTGAATATCATAAAGACTATTGAAGCTCTTCAAATTCGCGATTCCCTTCCTACGAGGTAAGACATAGCCGATGCTGGAAAGCGTAATGTACAAGGCGCTGGGAGGCGTCTTTGGGGTGCGCCTCCGGGCACTTGGCTTGCTCCGCCCGCACCTGTAGACCCAGGCACCCTGTCGCGAAGTACGATCTCGAACAGTCGGTACCAGTATTCACGAAATATCGAAATCTCGAAGCAGACCACTACCACTTGTATCCGCTTACCAACCCTTCTCAAATGCCGGCCACTCAAGAAGGCCGAATTTCCAAACGCAGGACCTCCCGGTCTCAAAACCCCACGCGACGCGTCTCCAACAGCAGAAGTGAGTCGGCGCCTCCCATAGAAGCGATGCATTTCACAATGAACCAATCGAGAGCGCGCTGATGTAAAACCTGCCACAGCCTTACCGCTGGTCGAACGCACCAACGCCCTGCCCACTCCGGAATTCATATCGCAATATGTGTCTCCACTCCTCGCCAGCGGCAGCACAGGACCGGAGACCAAGACCCAGGAGCCTCTGGAACCCACACCGTCACCGAACGCGTCCCTGGACGTGTACTCCGCGACGACCATCCCCGCAGCCGACCTGGAAGCCTGTCTCGATTTGATCGAGCAGACGTCGGGCGCGGACTACGCCGCGTCTGGGGCGGGCTGGTCCCGCCCCAAGAAACGCAAGGAGATGAAGCTGCCGGACATGAAGTACCTGATTCTCCGGAATGCGACGCTCTCAGACGCTCCCAATCAGCCAGTGTCCGGCGCTAGCAGTGGGAGCGTACTCGGATTCTTGTCATGCATGGTGACCTACGAAGACGGGAAGGAGGTGATTTATTGCTACGAGATCCACCTGTCGCCGGCGGCGCGGGGGCGGGGGCTCGGCGCGTTACTTATGAGTCGGATGGAGGGGATCGGGCGGCTGGTCGGGGTGGAGAAAGCGATGTTGACAGTCTTTAAGGCAAATATGACGGCGCGGCAGTTCTACGAGAAGGGTGGGTACGAGGTGGACGAGTATTCGCCGCAGCCGCGAAGGCTGCGGAATGGGACGATTAAGGAGTTTGATTATTTAATCTTATCAAAGCATTTGACGGGTTGAACATGAGATTTTGGATGTATGATGTCAATGCAGTTCTTTGTCACATGACATAGATGTTTTATGCAGCGAGGTGTGAATATGATGATTAGGGTATAGGTTAGACCTGCTTCACTTCTTGGCCCTTGGCTTCAGGGTGGTCCTGCTCCCATTCATCCCGGAGCGCGGCAAAGATGCTGTCGGCTAGGAGAATAGACAAACCTAAGCTCCAGACGAGAGTGATGGCGTAGAAAAAGTTGGCGTTGCCGGACCCTGCATAAATCCACAGGTGATAAAAGGCAGGACCCAACAGACTGGAATATAAGATGGCCGAGATGGCGAAGAAAGTGTAGCGCATCACTGCGAGTGGTTAGCAAAAGGGGCTGACATCGCCTCATGCGGAAGGAATCCTCACTTACGTGGAAAGAGATGGCGGTATAATGGGAGCACTGCAAAGTACAAGGATGCATCAGAGATGCTGGGGTATGGCTTGAAAATAGCAAACACGCCTAGGAGCGACGTGATGACAAACAAAGGCTGCCGACGCAAGCGGGCAGTCATGCCTCCCACATAGCTGGCCAAATGAAGCCAAAATACGCCAAGGAAGAATCCACGGAAGGAGTCAAACATCTCAATGAAAAAGTACCACCACAGACCCACGTTGGGGGTCAGGTCCGGCACAAGAAGGTGGAATCCATAAGTTGCAGAGACATATTCCCAGAAGCTTCCAGTGATCAGGAAAGAGAGACCAAGTAGTCCCGAGACGCTAGCAACCAGGATGCCGCCATGTTGTAAGATGAAGAGGATGATGTTTGACTGTGAGCCTGTCCCTTGAACTCGCTGGTCGTAGCAGAGCAGGATCAAGGGGACAAATAGCAGCGCGGGGTAGAGGGATAGATAGGAGGCGAAGGCAAGAGCGAGCATTGCATTGAAGCTGTTTCCATCGACAGCATTCGAGATTGCGAAGAGAATGCCTGTCGTAGTGAATACGCTCGTTGATCGTGCCAGACATGTAGCAATCGTGAAGGGGTTGAAGAGGTACCTGGAATTATGTCAGAATGGGACCTTCTATTCAGTATACTCTGCGATATCATCATACCAGGCGGCAGTAGAGACTCCATCCCATCGAATATGCTTCCGAATGGCCGAGTGGAGACGGCTCTGGATTGATTGGCCTGACTCGGAGATAGTGGCCAATGCATGAGCATTAACCAAATCGACTAAGAAATAGAAAATTGCGGTAGGGAACGGATTGGCCTTGACGTCGGAGAACAGCGCGAATACGGGGAGGAGAAGAGGAGCCTGTATATGATTAAGGTTAACCGAGGAGGCTCTCAAGAGCAAAGCATAGGGAACGGCGCTTACCTGGTGGAAGACACCCCCGTCATACGGTGATACATTTCGAATGTAGAGGTAAAGTCCTTCCTGCACTGTTTCTCAAAGTCAGATTCCGCAATTTTCTTCCCCATTGAGGCCACTGGTTCACTTACATCGCTTGAAGCTGTTGACCGGGGTCGACACCTCGACCCGGCCAGTGAGCAAGTCCGGCAAAGCAGGGAACAGGCATATCAGCAGCAGGCGCAACACGAATGCCGCGCCAAACACGACGACCTTCCTTCGGTCCACCGTCATGGCTGTCTGGGCAGGGCAGATGAAAGTGGAAGCCCGTCGGTCTGGTCTGTTGTGCCAGTTGCTCCAGCTGTCCCTTAGTCGGCCGGCGGAGGAACCACGGTCGCCCGCAACGCACGGACCACACGCGCCCATCGAAAAAAAAGTTATCGAGAAATTTTCTTCTTCTTATCAGCAAGACTGTTTTGGCTTTCTTGCGATCGGGACTCCAACAGATCTCACTATGGCAAAGATTAAGAAGAAGGGTATGCTTGCCGATGCGAGAGCGAATTGAACATACACTAATACTCTTTCCCCCCAGGCACCTCTGGCCAGGCCAAAAACTATATCACCCGTACCCAGGCCGTACGCAAGCTTCAGATTTCTCTGCCGGATTTCCGTCGCCTATGTATCTTCAAGGGTAAGACTGACTCATCTTGGAGAGCGATTAGCCTCAGACCTGAAATGCTGATAACATGCGCAATCGATAGGAATCTATCCTCGTGAGCCCCGGAATAAGAAGAAGGCTTCCAAGACCGCGACCCCGAATACCACTTTCTACTACACCAAGGACATCCAGTACCTTCTGCACGAGCCGCTCCTCAACAAGTTCCGTGACCAGAAGGCCCTTGCTAAGAAGATCGCGCGTTCTCTTGGCCGTGGCGAAGTCAGCGATGCGGCTCGCCTTGAGAAGAACCACGCTCCGAAACTCACCCTCGACCATGTCATCAAGGAGCGCTACCCGACCTTCATTGATGCACTTCGTGACCTTGACGACGCTCTTTCACTGCTCTTCCTGTTTGCTACCCTCCCTTCCACCAACCATGTCCCGCCCAAGACCATTGCGCTCTGCCAGCGCGTGTGCCACGAGTTCCAACACTACCTGATCACCACCAACTCGCTGCGCAAGTCCTTCCTGTCCATCAAGGGTATTTACTACCAGGCTACCATCCAGGGCCAGGATATCATGTGGCTGGTGCCTTACCGGTTCGTGCAGCGCGTCAACGGCGATGTCGACTACCGTATCATGGCCACTTTCGTGGACTTCTATACCACCCTGCTGGGCTTTGTCAACTTCCGCCTGTACTCTTCGATCGGATTGAGATACCCCCCGAAGTTCGATACCCGCAGCGATGAGAATGGTGCTGAGCTGGCTGCTTTTACGCTTGAGGGCCGCACGGTGGCCGAGACCCCCAAGGCCATCGAGGCCGGCAAGTCGAACAGTGCCAACAAGGAGGTCTCCAAGGAGATCCAGGCTAAGGTGGACAAAGTGATCAAGTCGGCTGGTCTCGACCAGACTAAGGATGAGCAAATGGTTGATGCTACTGAAGAGTCCACCGATGCCATTGACCGATTCGAGCCCGCTGCCCCCGAGGCCGACACCCTGCCCCAGCCTGACATGAGCGGCAGCGAGGCAGGTGCCTTGTTTGCTCCATTTGTTTTCTACATCTCCCGAGAGGCTCCCAAGGCCCCTCTCGAGTTCATCCTGCGTGCTTTCGGCTGCAAGCGCGTCGGCTGGGATGCTGTCATGGGTGATGGCGCTTTCACTCACGACGAGACTGATCCCCGCATCACTCACCAGATTGTCGATCGCCCCCAGCTTCCCGAGGGCTCTCTGCCCGCAGTCCCCGATGCGGATCCCTCTACCCAGAAGGTTAAGCCTGGTACTCGTATTCCAGGACGCACATATGTTCAGCCCCAGTGGATTTGGGACTGCATCAATGATGGCAAGCTCCTCCGCGCTGATCTGTATGGCCCCGGCGAGACACTTCCGCCCCACCTGAGCCCTTGGGTTAAGGCTTCTCGCGGTGGCTATGATCCCCGGGCCAGCCTGGCTGAGCAGGAGGAGGAGGGTGAGGCCGAGGCGGCCGAGGATGCCGAGGATAGCGACGAGGAGATGGAAGATGACGCTACCGCCGAGGACAAGGCCGCTGTCTCTGCTGAAGATTCCGACGAGGAGTCTGTTGATGGTGGCATGGACGTTGCCGGAACTGATGACGACGAGAGCGAGAGCGACGAAGAGGAGGAGGGCGAGGATGAGGACTTTGGCGGATTCCAAGAAGAGGCTGTTTCCGAGTCTGATGATGATGACGAGGCTGCCCGCAACCAGCACCAGCGGGAGCTGGAGGCTGAGGCCGCCGGACTTCCCTTTTCTTCTGCTAGCGCCACCGACGAAGCCTCTAAGAAGAAGACCGCTCAGTCCAAGAAGCTTGCTGCCAAGAAACGCCAGGAGGATGAGGAGCTTGAGCGCCAGAAGATGATGATGAGCCGGAAGAAGCGCAAGCTCCTTGAGAAGATGATGTACTCGAACAAGAAGACTTCTGACGAGGCCGCCAAGCTCCGCTCAAAGCGTCGCAAGCTTGAGAAGGCCGGTCAGAAATAAAGTGCCCAGCCTGTGTCAAAACTATCAAGAGTGCTTTTTCGTTCGGCTGGCGTTTGCGGCTGGGATAAACCCCTGTATATGCATGTCCTAAAATTTCATGTCTGTTGAATTTGATCGTTTTTTTCGTATAATCTCATCATCATACGCCCTCTCAGTAACAATGTCTATTTGTTCATTAGTACTATGCCGATTACATTTCTGAGGTAGTAGTAATTCAACTGTACGTAGCGTGAAGATCCGCGAGTGAATTGTAAATCACGTGATAATGTCTATGCGGCCCACCCGGTTGAATTTTTGGTGATTTCCATCTTCAAGGGCTAGACATATTTGGACATGAAATGACCAAATTAGTCGTTTGAGACTGCTTGAGGACGTGTACGTGATGATTTCCCGTCACGACCTCATCATAAAGTCAAATTCAAATTTCAACCCATCATCTATGTGAGATGAACGGAATATTAGCTCCAAAGTCGATATCTGTATCCCATTCATTGCGCTGAGGCATGTCCTCATTTTCAGAAAACCAACAGCTATCCTCGTCTCAGCTACAACCTCCACAGTCAGCACAGCCTCGGGGCTCGTTGTTTGGCGGTCCCAGTAGTGACTTTGGTCCTCTACCGTCTTCTCAAACAGCGCAACCCCCCTCTCTTCGGTGGAAACAGTGACCAGTATGGCATAGAGACGCACAATGCTTCAGATCCTATGGATCTGGAGGCTGCTGATCCAGAGGAAGATGAGTTTTATAGGCTCATGCGAGAAAGGCCTTTACCGGCCGATTATGGTTCTGACGGGGAGAGCTTCCGAGAGAGTGATGAAGACGAGGATGAGTCCCTAGCGCAGCCTCGTCATGGCATTCACGGCAAATTCAAGCGCGAGAAATCTTCATCTCCGTCAAAATATCTATTGAAACGTCCTGTTCGGACAGCTTCGCAGGGAACGGTATATGTTCTTGACCGCGGCCTTGACCCGATTACTGGAGTTGAGCGCCCCAATCGATGGACTGGGCCTCCTACTTCATATCGCAGGAACATTTCTGATGCCCTGGAAGCTCATGAATCTCTCTCAGCCAATCGAGCCCGAAACCTTGGGGCTCATCTTTACAACGCCTTTGCCATTAAAAACGGAACTCCTGAGACGGTTCAAAATCCTGGAAATGGCGATTTGAAGGGTGAATTCTACGTATCTCGACCTTGGACCGCGTGGCCACAACTAGCGTCTCGAGTGCCACGCATCCAACAGACCCTCAGAGGCTATCTAGATGACCCTGAGACATTTCACATGCAATCAGATCCACGCTCTAGCGCTGATTTAGAAGAATCAATCATGGCAACCATGATGAGATCTGCGAAAGAAACCTTCATGTCACGCCAGTGCGACCTTGAGGAAGTGAGGGTTACTCGTGTACGGCGGGGAGAGGATCCTGACCAGATGACGGATACTCAAGATGAGAAGACCGATTTCGATGGGAAAGAACAAACCCAATCACGACGACCAGTTATTCTTCAGCCCGTGATTCAAGCCGATGATGAGAAGTCTCGGCGTCAATTGCGGCCCATGGCGCGGAATGTCATCACAGAACTAGATCGCCTTTTGATGGGCCTCCACCATTCCGTGAAGGGTCGAGTCAATGATGACGAATCTGACAGTGCGCCAGCGAGTGATTCAGGCGATTCGGGAGACGACGAGTCTCGATCTCGGTCTCGACGCAATTATGGATCTAGGAGCCAGTCGCGTGGTCGTCGTCGTAAAAGAATGCGACAACAGTCTCGTCAATCGGATGTATCCAGCCAGCGCTCCCTTAGCCAACGGCAATCAACCGGGACTAGTCTTCGAAACCAAAGCATGCCTAGCGTCTCTCAATCACGAGGTCGGTCGCGCACTTCCCGCAGCTCTCTGGGCACTGACGACCGTCCCACAAATCGACACCGACGTGGTTTGCGTGACTGGAGCGAGGTGATGGGCCTCGCTTCCATGCTGGGTCTCCCGCCGGCCGCCGTCATGCGAGCCTCAAAAAGATGTGCCGATCTCTTCGGGCAAGATATGACCTTCCAGACCCTGCTCGAGGGCCACATTCAGAGGGTGTCTCCTCTCGAAGGCTCCTTTCACCAATACGCCTACGTGGAAAGTGAGGGTGAACCCGAGGCAGCAAGCCCACCTCCATCGACTCGACACAAGGCCAAGGCATCGCGACAAAATCCTCGAGCCCGTGGCGCTGACTCTCACCCCTCAAATGCACTAGGTGCATCATCACAGACTGCTGAGTCCTCGCGAGCTCCCCGGGGCAAGGGAGAACATCGGAAGGCCGATCTCATCTGCCCCCTCAAGAGATGTCCTCGACACTTGGATGGGTTTTCTCGCCGGTGGAATCTCAATTTGCATCTGAAGCGCGTGCATCCATCGTATACACCTGGGCAGAGCGACCGATCTAGATCTCAAAGTATGGCTAGACCTGGACCAGGTGGTACGGAGGTGATTGAAATTGATTAGCATTGATTCAAGTTTGTTTGCTGTTACGATATCCAATATGTTTTGAGTTTTAGATTATCTTGTATTGCTATGTGATGCTGCGCATGAAGACCACTTTGTGTTGTAGGGACTTGATACGACTTGATAATAATAGCTGGAGGGTCACCTGATTCCAAATCCACCGTCGGCTGGTCCTTCCTAAAAGCGTCTTTAAACTGTCTTGTAGACCAAGATGGAATTACGAGAACACTATCTGCTCCAGGAGAAAGGTCTAAGAATTCTGATTGGACTTCTTTACCGAAGAGTATCCCGTCTGAGCTTCTTATTGGTTCAAAATACCGGATATGGTCATCTATGTAATCCAAATACATAAAAGTGGAGAGCTGGGCAGACCGAGGGATTAGAAGAGTCAACAAGAGAGATGTCTCATGTCTGACATGCAAATGGCATGCAATTACAATAGCTATAGGACTGTATAATCTCAAAATTGACTGATGGGAAAAGGGATAGGTAGCGACGTCGTAGCACACCGCCTGGAGAAGAGGGAACTTTGGCCCGATGAATCGGGAATGACATCAATCCTAGAGCATCCCCGCTTCAGCATCCAGCTTCCTTCTGAGGACAACCTTTGACACATCGGCTCGAAATCCGTCCTCGGTGCTTCTCGGGCTTGAAGAGCAATCACCATCGAGCGCCCTAGCAGCTCACGCCCGGCGCGACCCTCCTCCGGCAAAGACCGAGCCCTTTAAAGACGTCTCCAACTCCCCTCCCCGCACATCGAACCGATCTGCTCCGCGCTTTGGTCTGTATTTTTATTCCCAATTTCTCCGCAGCCCGGCTTCCGTCATAATGGACCGCATTGTTCGCCCTGTGGCTCGGCAATTACTGCGACCTCGACCACGATACCCTTTTTCCATTCCCGCAGCACCTGCGGCCAAGAGACTCTACACCATGGGATACAGCAAGCCCCAGGTGAGTGAGCCTTCGGTGAGACCAAGGACATGGACAGGATGGACTAATTTGTCCCTAGTTGAAAGATGAATCTCTCTTCATTGAGAAGTGCTACATCAATGGCGAGTGGGTTGGCGCCCAGTCCGGAAAGACCTTTGAGGTCCACGGTAAGGAGCACAATCCAACACCTTTGAAACCACACGGATCCACAGAGGCTGATGGCTAATTATTTTGCTTCTGTGTTTCGCATTTTAAGATCCTGCTACCGGAAAACTTATTGGAACGTGCCCGGAGCTTGATACCGCCGATGTCGAGAAGGCGATCCAGGCCGCCTCGGAGGCCTTCCCCTCATTCCGCACAACCCTAGCACGCGAGCGTGCCCGCATGCTACGTCGGTGGTACCAGCTGATGATGGATAATGCGGAGGATCTGGCGAAGCTCATTACTTGGGAGAACGGAAAGCCCCTGGCAGATGCGAAGGGCGAGGTCAACTATGCTGCTAGTTTCTTCGAGTGGTTCAGCGAGGAGGCCCCGCGCGTGTACGGCGACACCATCCCTTCCTCTGTGCCCGGAAACCGGGTGATGACCCTCAAGCAACCTGTTGGTGTGTGCGGTCTGATTACCCCATGGAACTTCCCCGCGGCTATGATCACCCGCAAGATCGGCCCAGCCTTGGCGGCTGGCTGCACTGTGGTCGCCAAGTCTCCTTGCGAGACGCCCTTCACCGCCAATGCCCTGGCTGAGCTCGCCCACCGGGCAGGTATTCCAAAGGGTGTGGTGAATATCGTGACTGCGGCGGAGAACACCCCGGCAGTGGGTGAGCTTATCACCACTCACCCGGAGGTGCGCAAAGTCTCATTCACTGGTTCGACCAATGTCGGCCGACTTCTCATGAAGCAGGCCTCGTCGACAATCAAGAAAGTTTCCTGGGAACTCGGCGGCAATGCGCCATTTATTGTGTTCGATGATGTGGAGGATCTTGATGCTGCCGTGGCGGGCGCCATTGCCTCGAAATTCCGCAGCTCCGGTCAGACCTGCGTTTGCGCCAACCGGATTTACGTGCAGAAGGGTGTTTATGATGAGTTTGCCAAGCGCTTTGTTGCCAAGGTGAAGGACTTCAAGCTTGGAGCCGGCTTCGAGGAGGGAATCACCCACGGTCCCGTCATCCACGAGCGTGCTGCTTCCAAGGCGCACGAGCATGTGCAGGACGCCACATCTAAGGGCGCCAAGGTCGTTATTGGCGGACAGAAGGCTTCTGCTCTGGGCCCCAACTTTTACGAGCCCACTGTGTTGACAGGCATGAGCGCGGATATGCTTCTTGCCTCTGAAGAGACATTTGGCCCTGTGGCTGGCCTCTTCCCCTTCGAGACTGAGAAGGAGGTGGTCGACTTGGCTAACAAGGCCGAGGTCGGTCTTGCTGGCTACTTCTTTAGTGGTAATGTTCGCCGTATCTTCCGTGTTGCCGAGGCCCTGGAGGTTGGCATGGTTGGTGTCAATACCGGACTGATCAGTGACGTTGCTTCTCCGTGAGTGATCCTGAAGTGCTACGTTCCATATTTTCCGTCCACTGACTTTTTTTGGCAGATTTGGTGGTGTCAAGCAGAGTGGTTTTGGCCGCGAGGGCAGCAAGTATGGCATAGACGAGTTCATGGTTATCAAGAGCGTCACCTTTGGCGGCATGGGGGAGCCTCTGCAGGCCTAAGGCTTCTTTATATAAAAAATACCATAATCAAATAAACAAATTATTTCAATTTACTGTATTAACCTGGAGCAGGACGCTTCGAAAGTTGACCTCTGCGTCATCTTTATTTGAAATATAGAATCGTGCTCGTCTTTTTTCAAGACCTGAGTCCATTACTGGCGCAAATAAAAGCACTACCCACAGTACCACCCCAATAGCTCTCGAGGACAGACGCGACGGAGACCTAAATTCAAGGTGAAGACATCATTAAGCACATACCTACACAAATTGACTCTAAGTAATAGACAATTCCAAAGACTTACATATGTTCCTGGACCTAGAAAGAACAGTCCAATGATGATAATAGCGATGTTGAAAAGCAGATCTATCCAGCCAAGCAATCCCATCTTGTTGTAGATAATCGAGCCGTGGTCGACTTTGCGCATATGTAGATTGGCCATTCCCCAGAAAATGAAACCGAAGAAGGAACCAAACACGGCACCCATGATTGATAAAAGGTCAGAGAAGAACGGAATCACCTCTGCGATGACCCAAGCCAAAATCCAGAGAACGAACAAGATTCCAGCCCACGATGCCCAACCAGCTATGGTATGGTTGCCCACGTGGCGAGTCGCTGAAAATAAATGAAAGAAGATAAAACGGGCCGATACTGAAGCATAAAGAATCCCTAGAAAGATTAGTGTTGGCACCATGAAGGAAAATGATATCTTCATGTAGAGCTCATTTCCAAGTGAAGCAATGGCCATAGAGCTGATATATTGCCCTCCGATGAAAGCGTAGACGACTGCGCCTACAATAGTGAACAGAATAATCTCTGCAGTTGTCACAACGGTAACGGATTTCCAAAAATCTCGTGGCTCTGCCATCTCCGCAATAAGACTAGGTAAGGTTATTTGGCCAATGAAGGTGAAACTTATATTCAAAAATGCGCTCAGCCCAGTGACAAATGTTGTGCCCTCAGCAGGAACAGCAAGCACTATTGGATCTCCGCTTTTATCGGACCAACCGTATGGATGGTCTTCAATTTTTGAAAAGATAACCACAAGTACAATCGAGATGAAGGTGAAAAAGGCGGAGAAAGTTCCCAAATGAGCCAAGGCACGGAATGTTCGAGGTAAAGAACCCATGAAAGAGATCATTGCAGTGATAAATGAGAATGCAATGGTGCAAATTGCGTGGTTTGACATGGTATTGAGATATTCAGCTCCCACCAAACAATGCAGCCCCTGGATGAAAGTATTATTCAACAAGAACAAAAATGCTGTCGCATACCAAGCCCACTTAGAGTCCCAGAATAATAATTGACCAATGTCGCAGATGTCTCGGAGCTCAGGATACCGTAGACAGAGACGCCTATTACATTTGGTTAGGATCCGCTTGATTATGGTGGGAAGTATATTCACCATATTGTCAGGGATGTGTATAGGACTACCAGGGCGACAGTGACAGTGAGGATCAGGCCAGGAACAAGGCCAAGAATGGAGTACGACCAGGGGAAGGACATGATGGCGATGCAAATGTATTCTGAGAAGAGCAGTGTGGCGGTCTGCACGCCGGTGAGTATGTCACAGTCGTCTTTATGTCGCTTGAAAACTTACCTGTTGCCAACTGCACGTTCGATATTGAATCGAATTTGCTGATTCCATCCCGTGTAGTCCCTCTACCCCCTCTCGCAGTGATAGGGAAGAGTGAACAGAGATCCGACGATTTAATCCATTGCAACACTGGCTCTCCAGATCATGTTCTTTGAAATCATTGTTCTTTGAACCGAGATTCTCTTCAGTGGTCTTTTCAGAAGACGAGGAAATGCCTTTAGATTTTGATTTAAGAGCCATTTTCAAAAAAAAATGAAAATCTCCGAGCGCCAAAAGGCAAAAGTATCAGGAGAGGCCTGTCAATATTTCAGAAGTGATGATTGCAAGCGATACTTGCTTTCACTTCAGAGCCATTAGTTGCTTTCTAGTTGTATTTTGCTTCTATCATGCAAGCAAGTGAAGTATTGTTCCTTTCAAACTTTTGAAGTTCTAAGGGAACCTGGAATAATGAATTTGATATGAGCTGATTGTCAATATATCCCAAAACTACACCAATTTCCTGAGAAACTCAAAGCTAACCGTTTATATACGAGGCATAAGTTTATCCAGTCTAGTAATTCAAATGAACAACGTGGTAAGCCCCGCACGTTTTCCCGGAATTGGTAAACTTTTCCGCTGGAATCCAGAATTGTACCTACTAGCTCTGACCCTTATACCTAGACTATAATGATATTTCTTTTTGAATAAGGTACAAAGTCTTGAGACTTGACTCATCTCGCAACTGAAAGTCTAGTGAGCCGATGATATTATTAGCATCTAGGTAAAATTCAGCCAATCAAATATCTGTATTAGTTGATGAGTGTCAGACTGACACGACCGCTAAACCACAGAAAGTGTGTACACACCATTTGTGCTTTGTACGGCTCAATACAGTACTATCTGAGCTTGGACATAAAGCTTGCAGATCAATATACTTTGGCCCATGCTTCAATGATGTGATGTGGGGAGGATGTACAGACTTTGCAACTTGATTACGCTAATAATGCGTGGCGGATACACTTATACAATGATTTATTAGTGGAAACCCTGTTTATAACGTAGGAAATCATTATTGACGAATTGTTGTCAAATTTCAACATTTGTTTCCAAGAGTGCTAATGCTGAGAGAATCGATTGGTTGAAGAAATTGAGCGTCTCAAATGGAACATATCAGGCTTACCACCATCATGATTTTAACACCAGAAAAATGAGATCTAGTCAGATATTACGATTCCCCTCCCCAACAATGACTACACTCTATTTGAAAAAGAGTGGATATTTGGAGGCCAAAGCCGAAAACCATACACCATATCTGCGTGACCAGGGCAATTTATTCTCAATATGGAAATGATTTCCAGGATACCCGAGCCAATATCCCACTTGGTGTCAATTGACTGCGGTTTCTGGTACTTCGGTATTGATCCGAAATGGAGGTTTTCTTTGAAAACTGGTGAGCTTAGAGATCTGATCGGGTCACGTGCTTATATAGTAGCCTGAGGCTACAAGTTGGATACTGCCACAGGCTTGACCGCCTCCTCATCAACCTGTGCGTCTTCAACGTGCGGTACATCACACATCGAGGAATCTGTTGCTGGACACCATTTCCAAGGCATGGTATGAGGCTCCTCCATGCGGAAATCATTGAGCCTCCTTGCGGCTATCTCCCGCAGCCAGCCATCAAAACTCAAGAGGCCAGCCATCAGTCTAGACCATGTAGGTGGTGCCCTACGTCCTGATGGAATGAATAAAGTAAGAGAACCTAATTGATTGCATGCAGTTCATACAAAGACAGCGGGTTATCGCATTATGGAGAGAAATTGTCAGAGCTTTGAATAGTACGCTTGCCTCTCTGGGTTAGCTGTGTTCCTCAGTCCCCCCCAGACTCACCAAACAAAACTCTAGAAATCCCACCCTCTTCTACGCGAGATGAATTACATTCGTATGCTCGGCAAGAGTTTGAGCGTCATCGCGAAGTGACAGAGTTGGTATGTCATCCATTTCGGGCCTTGACAACTTGCCGCCATGTGCTGATCACTGACCTATTTCCTTGGCAGTCTCATATTCGGTACTTGATTTCGGTATGACTGTCCCTTTGTATGATATTGAAGATTGCGCAAACTAATGATTGCCACAGACAGGAAAAGCCGAGTTTGAAACCATGAAGCGCTATATCGATGAACAGGTTGCTGGATGACCATCATCTGAAGAGCCCATGGTTCTTGGCATTCGAGAGTTCCATGCACAACATATGTATATTAGATAGAAAACGCAATGTATTTTGATAATCATAAATCTAAGAGGCATCGATATAAAACGATTCATCGTCGCATTTAACATCGCATTAATCATAGCATTCGTAAATCTGGCAGCACAAAGGCTGGCTTACACAAATGCACATCACTTTTGGAAACGACTTCTCGAGTCTGCTTCCACAATTGGCTTTGTCTCGGCCTCAACGTATTGTCGAACGGTGTCTGGGTCATAAAATCGCTGTTGTACACCCCCATCTGTCGGGTGTGTTATCGAGTGCTCATAAGGGATGTGCATATAGGTTGCAGGCACGTCGATGGACATATTGAAGTCCTTCATAGCGCTCAATCGACTGCAGGAGAGCACCATTCCGATATAAGTAGGCGCGATGAAAAAGAAAGGGAGAACGAATATGGCAAGGTAAAGCCAACGAGGCCAGGCGTCGTGGTATCCAATGAGTTGCCAGCGAATAGCAATAATAGCCCACATAGTGTTCAGCCCGAAAAACCCGATGCTGCTAAATAGGAGAGATAAAGAGGGTCCCTGAATTCATACGGAGTTAGTCAATTCAGAAAGCAAAGCGTCATGATATTCATTACTCACCTTGTCATCTTTGCGTGATTGAGTTGCTCGACGGATTATGACGAGGACCCACAGCACAATCTCAAAAGACACGATGCAGGATGCGAGTTGCCGAGCGCTGCGGACGCAGTTGTAGTACCAGCGATAGCTGTCCGAGGTTGCAAATTCGCGCGTCTCATACCCAATGTACAGACCACATTCCCCTACAGAGACCACAGCCAATAGCCCGACGAAAATCCAGTGAATGATCTCGAAACTCAGAGATGCCGTTTGTGAAAAGTATCGTCGAGTTCGATGAATGATTTTGTAGAAAAGGAAGAATACTGTGCACAGCCCAAGGAGGTAGAAAAAGTCATTCAGGATATACGCAATCCTCCAGTAAGTCTTGACTTCCGTGCTGGTGACAATGATCAAATCGATAATGACGGACAAAATTGAAAACCTGTCCATTGTAGAGAAAATACAGTCAGGTCTGAATCGAGAATGATGAAGCAGATGCTAAGTCTTCGCACTTACATGGAGAACACTGCCAGAGACACCATGAGAGTCTTGAAGAGAATGATTTTGCGTCTCCTCATCACACAAGTGACAAGGAGGGCCAGCAAAACAATCAACAATAGAATGTCGAAGGCAGTTTCAACTTCGTAATAATTCTTCCATGTTCCAGATGTTGTGGGTTTGACAGACTCGTCCCAGTCAAGCCTATCCGCACGCCGAGATAGCATAATCGCCATTCTGCCTTCGCTCTATGACTTCTGTCCAGGCCACTTTTGAGAATTTATATGATGGACCGATTGAAAGTCTTTTGATTTATGTCGTAAAAAGCGCTGTCAAATAAGTCATCATCGAATAGAGGAGAAAAAGTAGCTTAAATTGCACTGATCCATTAATAACACACCGCTCAGTCTGCTCTGACACGTCATTTGATGCTATTTTTTCACTAGGTTCGCCAAGTATTGAGGCTATACTCTATTGACGGGGGCTGTAGTCTGGAGTCAGCTGTAGTAATGCTTATTGGATCCTGCGGTGGGCACGCCAGCGCATCAAACCTCCCATTCGTTGTGACCAGTAGTTTGCCGGGGCGCGAGTGCCTGTGCGTTGCTGGGGTTTCCCGGCTTTGGCGGGTCTGCCTTGCGAGCTCTGATAGAGCCGCGCTGCGCCTCCCGGGCAATGGCTTGTTCCTCTCAATACGAACTTATTTTTAATAGAGCTTTGTAGGGGGCTCATCCTGCACGAGATATTCTTGAATCATGGTCCAACATCTACCTCCGCATATTTTAGCTTGATTGGCGAACAGCTATCAACTGTGGAGTCTATCTCAAAGTTTTTTTTTGGAATGAGACTCAAGCTCCAAGAGGCGCAGAATCAAGCCCGGTTCCTTGGACAACCAGGTGGAGTATTTGGAAGAAGTGAGTTTTATTGTTACCTAATAATACTTATCAAATGGCAGGCATCAATTGTCTTACGTCTCTATAGTACATTGTCTCCGTCCTCCCCCCCCATTCTTCCCGCGCACAGAAAGATAATACCAAAGCAATGTCACGAACGAAGTTGTGTTTCGTCTCCCCGTTCCATAGCCATAAACTTCTCGGTGATATTTGATGCCGCATCTTCGCCGAAGAACATGGTTTCAACGTTCAAACCATCCTCAATGTGCTCACGACCTCGAGGGCGCATCTCTGCTTCATAGGCATCCACGGCGCGCTCTATGGATGCCGCGTCAACCTCTGGATCAAATCCATACTCTTTTTGGTGCCCCACCTCGGCGATGATGCGCTCAAATAGCATCAAGGCATCATACATGGCTTGGTTCACGCCTTCTCCATTCGGCGATGCTATATGTGCCGCGTCTCCCAAGAGCGCCACACCGGGACAGCGGTTCCATTGATTCTGGCTCTCATCGGTAACGTTTATACCAGCTTCAGGTGAGGGGTGCAATAAATCTGGGTTGAGTCGGTACCATGGCCAAACCCGCCAGGGACCCTCCGCGTCGGCGATGAATGCACGCAAATCTGGCGCCCAGTTTCCAAAGAAGCCGTCAGGTGCGAGCAGAGCAGCTCGTGTCTTCTCCATATTGGTGATGTCGAGGTTGCCTCCAGGCCGCGTCAGGTCCTGCGGACCCTTGATGCCCATATAGACCCGATACGAGCGGTCGGACATTTGTTGAATGCACATATTAGAATTGACGCCCGTTGTAAGCGAATTACCCATGCCTACCATCTCTTGCGCCGCCGCATATTGTGGGTTATCAGGTGAGATGCGGCCTTCAATGAACAAAATTCCTGCGTATTCCGGGTTTGCAGGTGTGATCTTGATATCGTCAGCTTCTTCAAAGAACCGATTTGAGAGGCAACTAGCAATAGTCCACTTACCAGCTGTCGCAGCTTACTCCATGCACCATCTGCGCCCACAACAAGCCGGAATCCACTTTCGTACGAGCCATCTGAAAAGCGCAATGCTATACTCGCAGCTCCGGAGTCTTTCTGGTTCTCATCGCGCTCAGCCGCGCACAGCGTCTTTCCCCACAAGATACGATGTGCTGGCAGTGAATTCAGTAGAATCTGTCTCAACTGCACACGGTCGATTTCAGGGGCATCGCGATTTTCACCAAACTTGAATCGATGTTGCCCACGGTAGTCCTGGATGACCATTGACGTAGCATCCCAGCGTGCGAGCGCCTTGAATTTAGCGTGCAGACCAGCACGGCGCAGTGCCTCCTGGCCCGTCGTGGGATGAATATCTAACGTGCCACCCTGGTAGGCTCCATCGGATGCTGGTGATGTATCGCGCTCGAATACAACGTAGTCCATACCGGCACATTCGAGTAGACGAGCAAATGTCAGCCCGGATGGACCGCCGCCAACAATGGCAATCGGAGTAGGTTTTGAGGGTGCCATGGCGGTGCTGGCTTCAACTGGAGAAGGAAATTTTTCGATTTATTATACCAATCTCACTGCCAAAACCAACCGGGTTTCTTTGAGATAGAGAAAACGGAGTATTGACGTGTGTAGTGCCGTATACCACTAAGGGCAAGGCAATGAGAAAATAGGAACTTCGTGCCTTTTATATTATGACTCTGTAGTTCTACGCATTTTGCGGCTTTTGCAAGACACATGAACCATGAGGCTTTCTTCACGTCGGGCCCGAGTGGGGAGGTTTATTATTATTGGTTCTGTCCTATTTGAAAACTACGCCTCGGGAGATAGTAAAACCCGAGGGCAGGGATTGGCACCCTCGGATATTAGGAAAGCCCGAGAGGTGTAGGGAGTTTCTTTGAAGGGCAAAATGATGCAAGTTTATAGATTCATGGGCCTTCTCAGAACATGGATAACTTAGAACCTGAAAGCGGATTCAAATCGATTACCTTAACCGTTCCTAGCCATTGAAAAAACAGTCTTTATGTACAAATCAGCTATGTCGGGCGGCCGTGCCAGCCAAGATGCCTTCAAGTTGAGAAGTTGCCCACAAAAACTTGAAATGAGGACATTTATTTATGCAGTCTCAGAATGAATATGATGGAAGCCGAGCTGGGTAAATACTTGAAGTAAAGCAAATATTTTGAAGTTATCGCTTTAGTGGCTACCCTTTAGGCGAGTCACTAAAAAGTTAAGATTGAGACTAGCCGTCGAGCTAAGATCGCAATATCTGTGCAGGGCCCAAATACATTCAAGTCCAGGAGTCTCCAAATCAAGTATGCACCCCTGTGATTCGAAGCCTAGTCATATTTATTCCTGTTCACCCGCCCCTGTAGTTGATCCTGTCAGGTGCATCTTGATTTGCCACCTGCAACATTCGTCACCGCCAGCGGTTTCACGGACCCTGCCCCTTGGCCAATCAGCAAATACTGTAGTATCTGCACTTTGGCGGGCCAGGACCGCCTCTACCCCTCTTGCGAGACCCAGAAAACTCCACCTATGTCATGACTCACCTACAACAGTTCAGAATCGGAAATGGAAACCGGGTACTTTTGAACAAGCCCGGTCTGAGAACCCGCCCATCAAAACGGTTCTCATCGATTCGATATAGCTCATATTGGTCTTTGGATCGCTTTCGCTAGACTATTTGCTGTTCAAAATTTATTACATGCACAATAAGTCTAGGTGGCAAAGGTTCGTTATAGCTTCCCCCGCTTTTTTGTGGTAGATGAGAACCCACCGTCCATATCGTTCGTAATCGAACGCTTTATTTCCATAGCAAGTTTTGAGAACTTCCTTGTAGCCCGTGCAAACTGGGCTCGATCAAAGCAAGGCCATGTGATCTATAAAAGCAGCCAGTTGGATATTTACCTAACAATCTCTCAATTTCATACCCTGTGCAGTCATTCATTTCTTGGTGATCTCAACTCATCAACCTTCCTACCTATCCTGGCATATATCATGGCGACATCTTTAGACGATAGCAGGGCTGTCCATCATGCTTTCCATGCAAACGTACAAGGCGCGATGAGCCCTCTCGCTATGGTTCCTCAAGACGACTCAAATTTGATGACCTTATGTTTATCTAATGAAAAAGGAGGGGCATTTCAGCAAAATACGCTCAAATCATTAGCTCACCCGACATCGAACAAGAAAACTTCCCGAATTATTCAAAATAAAATGCCAGAGACAGCGGGAAAAGGTCGACACCTAGCCAGGCTAACTTATCAAAATTCTATCCGACAGCCACCTGAAGCTGCCAATATCAACTCAGAACGGTCAAAGCAGCTTGAGAGGAATCGAGTTTCTGCTAATAAGTGCCGGGCAAAACGGAAGGTTGAGCATCAAATGATTCAAAACACTGTACAAAACGAGTCAGCCAAGCACGATTCTTTGTTAAGCCAGGTCTGTCTACTAAAAGAGGAGATCTGGCATCTTAAGAACCGGATATTTGAGCATGCGGGGTGCAATGATTCGAAAATCGACCTGGAACTGGCTAGGATGACTGAAAGTGTACTTGGCGGCAGTTCTGGACAGGTACAATGTCCATTTGTGGTACCTTCAGCCAATACATGGCTACAAGAACCAACAGGTACAGACGATCTGGGGTCTTCTGACAATTTATCATTGTCGTCATCAGCTGAGAGTGGTTACCCTCCCAGTTACTCAGAATCTATTTTCAATACCTTCGTGGACTTGGAGCAACTCTCTAGCCAGTCCCAATAAGAACTTTTTTTGATCCGAATTCGAAGACAGCAGTTGTCTCGATGCCTTTCTAAATCGATTCATTACATATAGTTGCTAATATATCGACCATGTTAAAGTTCATTCCAATAACTCGATTTTAAAATCTTTCTTTGCTGTGGAGCACGGACACCAACTAATTATTCCGAACGAAAGTACCAACCAATTGTACTTCTGAAGCACGATGATTTGCCGGTTTTCTGGAAAAAGGGATCTTCACCCCCACTCCTCCAAGAAGGGACGCGAAACCTCAAAAAGGTAAGAGTGAAGACAGCTAGCCACCCACATTCTCTGGAAGAATTTTGAACTATGCCGCTGAGGATGGTTATGTCAGGGTGCACGGAAAGGGCGGAAGACGTGCTTGTGGCTGCTTCAAGTTGAGTGGTTGGCAGAAACGGCCGACCAATCAGACTGACGGGATCTACTGAGGTTGGGCGGAGCTGCAGCTTCAGCGAACAAGAAGCTCCCGGGGATTGACTGGTGGTGCGAGATGGTTCGATTCGATTTCCTCTTTGAATGTGAAGCTCCAGCCTCTGATGTCAGCGCTTACACAGCCACATGATATGGATGTGGTCTAGGACAGCAGGGCAAGTGAATTTAATAATAACAGGCTCTCTTTTCCGCAGCGCTTTTAATTTTTTGGTACTCCCCTGAAATGATAACTCCACGAGCTGTTTCTACAGCTTCATAGCCGCGAATCTATAATCTGACCTATATCTCGTCGGCTCCATCGTTAATCATGTCTAAATCATCAACGTCGAAGACGTCAAATCTTGGCCAAGAAATGGCCCGCTTCACACAAAGGACCTTTATGGGCATGACATTCGAGACGACCGAAAGGTGAGGATTTGCCACGCGCAATCAATCATTCCATTTCATCAAACGCTGAGACTCTTCACGATAGATATCAACAATTGGAGCCCATTGGCATGGGTATATCGGGCCTTGTTTGGTACTTTCTTCATGTATACTCTTCAAAAATTTCTTACAAAGCTAATTTGCGACCGTGATCCAGCTCCGCACGAGACCAAATATCACACAAAACAGTGGCTGTGAAGAAACTTGCAGAGCCTTTCAAAACAGATAATATTGCCAAGCATATGCATCGCGAAGTCAAGTTATTAAAACAGCTTCAGCATGAAAACGTACGTTGCCCATCAAGGTCTCCCGACCATATCGATTTAACATAAGGGCCAGATTATTCACTTAAATGATATCTTTATTTCGCCTTCAGAGGATATGTGAGTAATGTTTCGTTTCTGTCATATCAAGCCAATCTTGATCTGACTGGTGAACACAGCTACCTCGTGACAGATCTGATGGCAACGGATCTTCATACTCTACTAAAAACAAAAAGGGTTGATCGGCAGTTCACGCAATATTTTATGTATCAAATCCTGGTAAGAAGATCTGGATCCTGCAATGTAAGTGACGTCCATTTCTAATCAATCCACAGCGAGGCCTCAAATACGTCCATTCAGCTGGTGTCGTCCACCGTGATCTAAAACCAAGTAATATTCTGGTGAATGAGAACTGCGATCTTAAGATCTGCGACTTTGGCTTGGCTCGTGTTCAAGAAACGCAGATGACTGGCTATGTCTCTACGAGATACTACAGGGCTCCAGAGATCATGCTCACATGGCGAAGGTACAATGAGAAAGTTGATCTCTGGAGCGTGGGATGTATTATGGCTGAGATGATGCTAGGAAAGCCCCTGTTTCCAGGAAAGAACCATATCAATCAGTTCAGTGTAATAACGGAGATCTTGGGAAGTCCACCAAGTAGTGTTATCGCCAATGTCACAAGCCAAAATGTTTGTCAGGCTCAAGGAAATTAGCAGTTTGAGTCTTTTACTGACTGTCTTTTTTTCTTAGACTTTGAGTTTCCTCCAATCTTTGCCTCAGAGAGATCGAAAACCTCTGTCTAAATTGATACCAGGTGCCAATGGGAAGGGTATGTATATGCTTTGATCTAAAACATATGAAATATAATACTAACCTCACTAGACATTGATTTACTGGACAATATGCTTCAATTCGACCCAGAGAAGCGTTGTTCCGCAGCCGAAGCACTGACCTCAGAATACCTTGCACCATATCATGACCCAAGCGATGAGCCATCGGCCACGCAAACCTTTGATTGGTCATTTCTTGAGGCAGATCTTCCAGCCGATATTTGGAAGACCGTCATGTAAGTGTTCTTGCGCATTATTTTTTCCCAGACAAAATTAAATGAAAACCAATTGCGCTTACTAATTTTTTTAGGTACGCGGAAGTTTTGGGATACCATGAACTGGCAGGTGCCCCATCACGACCTACGGTTCCAAATTATGAGATGGATTTAGGTTAATTTGTTGCAACAACGAACTTCACATGCTAGCATTGTTATTTTCACCTATCAAGCGCTTCCTACATAGCAATGCGCCATTTTTGCACTAGTGGTGGCAGGTATCCACTTTTATCATCTGCTAGCTCATTCATTTTCATTTTTTTTTTTTTCATGTGATACACTCGACGGGCAGCTGACCAAAGACTGTTTTCAAGAACCACGAGGAACATTCATTAGGAATAACATTATCGTATTAGAATTTGATCAAGTAAATTATGAAGCAAAAATAAAAACAGGAACATGTCATGACAACCAGACGCAGCACTTGAAGTCAATCCATGTACACGGTCGTATATTCGTTTTATCACAGGAGCCAGCGTTATATTGACCATTATTAGAGTTTAGTCTTCCAGCATTATGAGCATAATTGTGTACATCAGAGGTATGGTCGCATCTTGACAAACTTCAAACGGTCTCAGGGTTAGTCACCTCTGTGACTTCTTGCTGCTGTTGATGAAGCTTGCGGTTGCGCTTCGAGTTATGGACGTCCATAAGGGCATAGACGTTGGTGAACACGAAAAGGGCCCTATAAAACGGAACGGAGATTAGCATGTCATATCATTTACGCCTTCGAGGAGAGTGTTCTTGGACTCACCATTCAATAGCAGCCACCACAATAGTTGCCTGCAGGCCGTGGCAGCTGGCATAGTTACACACGTTTGGTTTGGGAATCATCGCTGCCATAGCAATCCAGCCACTCAGCCAGAGCCCCATAGTGAGGATTTCAACGGCGGGGATCACGAATTCGTGAGAAATGCGTGGTAGCCACAGAGGCGCGAGACCAAGGTAGGGAATGGCCACGACTGCGGTCCAGCATCCGTTGAAGAGCATGAAATAGATCAAATTGGAGAAGGACCACTCGTCATATAAAGAAGCAATGACTAGAATAGACCATTAGCTATGCTGATGAAGCGAGTGAATTGGGTTGAGTGTGTAGAAGAACTTACCATAGGCAGTCAGACCAATGGTAGCGAAGGCAAATATCGCCTGGACAATTCGAATCGGATAAACCCAGGACAGCATGTTGGGCGAATATAGCAGTTACGTAATGCGATTTTTGATTGATACGTGAAGATGCAATTCGAACGCGTAAAGTGCGAAAGGTGCCTAGTTTCTAGGCACTCAATGAGTTCGTTGATTGACGATGTGATGAAAGAAGAATCAGATCCACTTCCATCCAGCAGGGTGTCCACTGAATCTTATATACGGGAACTGCTCCACCTTGATTTTTCGAGCTAGTATAAACTTCAAATGAAAAAGGAAAAAAAAGAGGAAGAAATTATGTACCTAACTCAAACCGAGGCGTCCTTTGTAGCAAGACGTCATGGTGTGATGCCTCGGAGTCGGAAGTCCCTGCAGGGCAGCCCGACGGCCACGGAATCATCCCGGTGCAGGGTGTGGATCGCGGCTGCCCAGCAGGGGTTCAAGAAGCCTGTTGGGGCGCACTTGTGCTGAAAGAAGCTTTAGGGCGTTAAACTATGGAAAGGCTTTGGCCCCTGATATTTCTGATGGGGAACCACGCCTCGGCACGCCGAGAACCCGTGTGCGGTGGCTCGCAGCCTTTTTTCCCCGGGTTTTCCCCTGACTACTTTATTTGGGGATATAGATCAATGTACGGGGGCCTCCTCTCAACGTCACATTTCAACTTTATATATATTTAGCAATGTCGTTCAACAATTTGCTCGACGATTCGATCTCAATTTTAGGCTACCTTTATAAAGACAATAGTCGAAAGCTAGAAAACTTTGTTAAGTCGATGGCGCTGGACTGTCGATCTCACATGAACTCCGTAGGCCGAGGCAAAAGTGCCGAACAGAATACCTGAATGGTCGATCCTCTGATCCGCTGACTCACGTCATTCCCCAAACATGAAAGGTGGAGATTGAAGCACCTATATACAAATCGTACACAACAATTCTGATTATTTTACACGTGCCAGATAGATCAACCCTGCCTCAACGCTAGTTTCGTCGTGACAGCAGGGCCCGCACACCATCCAGAACCCCAATCGACTTTTCATCGGCTGGCTCGATCGCCGCCCGGGCCGCATCGGGCTCCGAGGATGACCTCTTCCCTGCCTCCTTGGCGGCCGCCTCGATGGCTGCATGCCGCTCTCGCCACTCGCGATCCTCTTTATCCCGAACCTCTAGTTCGCGTAGCCATGCATCGCGCTTCTCCTGGTTCTTGCGCTCCTCCACCGCCTGCTCGAACTCGCGGCGCTGCTTGCGCTCGGTCTTGAAGTACATGCCTCCGGCGACCAAGGCGACGAGCGTGAATGCTTGGGCATAGATACGGGCGCGGAACATCCGGTTCATCTCCGCGGAGTCACCGGCCTTCATGGATCGATAGGCGCGGTAGAGGGCGTAACAAGTGGCGGCGCATCCTGTAGTTATGAGAGGACGAGGTTGAGTATCCTGGGTGCATTGAAAAGTTGAAGGGCAAATAGATGCCTGGGACCCAGCTCACCTAGTGGGACCAGAGGCTCTTCCTTAAGACGTCTAGTGAATTTCTGGAGGCCGGTTTCTTCCCTGAATTGGCTGCGTCGGGGCGAGAGATGTTAGCAGGCAGTCCCTTTTAATCATCGGGCTCCAGCCGCGCTCGTCTGGTCTGGCTCATGGTGTTTCCCTGGTAATTTCCCGGACGTACATATTGTCGTCCAAGGACGATGGAAGAGGCTCACGACTCATGATGGCGGATTGTTGTTGCACGAAGCTCTGGTGTGTGGTGTGAGGTGGTTGGGTTGCGCGCGACTCGGTCGTGCTCTGAACGCTCGGTCGGGACAAATCTTTGGGTGTCGAGAGTATCAATGATGCACCGGACTAATGCGGCTTCGGGAAGCGACTCTTCGCGGCTGCCCCAGATTTGATTGAAGTCAAAGGATTGGTGATTGGTGGTAGCACACGAGGGTTGCGTGGTGAAACATGACGTCGCAGGGTTGCCAAGGAGTTTTTCCTCGACTTTAGCATTGGGCGGTCATGCAACTACCGAGGGGAAATGGGCCAACAAATACATGATCTAAGCTCTGGAGACTGCTTACGAGGCCTTGAGGGAACCAAAGAGGCATACATCCCATTACTATCCGTCACTATAACATGCTTCGAGACCAGAGCAGACGAGGTCGATTATCTGGGCCAGCACGCAATTCCCGGCAAATGGAGTCTTGACCGCCATCTTAGTACAACGAATAACTGATAGTTATCCGCCACTCTTCCTGTCTTCCCAATCTTGCCCCGCACTGCGAGACTAGCAACCACAATTGAAACCACTAGAAACCGGGCGCATAAAATCTGAGACCTGATCTCGACAGGATCTCTCTCGTAATATAAGATCAGATTCAGCTCGTAAGCACAATCCAGCTGTTTAGGGCTCTAGACCAGGGTTGATGACATAAGTCCGCTCCGATCACGGTCCCGCCTCCGCAAGAAAAAAGAGTCAGAGGCAAGAATTTCCCCGTCAGCCTGCTCATCTTCTCCATAGCAATTGATCCTCCTTTTTCTGGATTTCTGTGGAAGTTCCTTCTTTCCAGAATCATCATGTCTGACGAGCCCGTCCCCAACGGCGTTACAACACCTGTCTCACCCAAGGCGAGTGGCCTGGCTTTGACCGAATATACCGCCGCTCCGACTCCTCCTTCGGAGCGTGTTCAACGCATCCCTGGTGTGCCACCCAACTGGGGCATTCCTGAAGCGTTCTTACTTCCCAATGGATACCCTGATGTGAGAAACAACTTGCCCGCCAGCAAATATCCCCCGCAATGCTAACCATTGCTCGTGCGCGGGGTCCAGTATCTCCGCTTGATCCTAACCTCTCGAGTCTACGATGTGATCGATGAAACACCCCTGCACCATGCAGTGAACCTGAGCAACCGCCTGGAGAGCCGGGTCCTCCTCAAGCGGGAGGACTTGCTGCCCGTGTTCAGCTTCAAGCTTCGTGGTGCCTACAATAAGATGGCTCACTTGAACCCGGAACAGCGGTGGAAAGGTGTCGTTGCTTGCTCTGCTGGCAACCACGCACAGGGCGTGGCCTTCTCAGCCCGCAAGCTGAGAATCCCTGCAACTATCGTTATGCCTGCTGGCACCCCTGCGATCAAGCACCGAAATGTTGCTCGTCTGGGAGGAAGTGTTGTCCTGCACGGAAACGACTTCGATGCGGCCAAAGACGAGGCTCACCGTCTGGAAAAGCAGCACGGTCTCACTAATATCCCGCCGTTTGACGACCCCTACGTTATTGCTGGCCAGGGTACCATTGGCATGGAACTCTTGCGCCAAGCGAACCTGGATAAGCTGGAGGCGGTCTTCTGTGGGGTTGGCGGTGGAGGTCTGATTGCCGGTATTGGCGTGTATCTCAAGCGCATTGCACCGCAGGTCAAGATCATTGGCGTTGAGGCCTACGATGCCAATGCCATGGCCCAATCCCTGGATGATGGTCAGCGTGTTTTCCTCAAGGAGGTCGGTCTCTTTGCGGATGGCGCTGCGGTCAAGTCTGTGGGAGAGGAGCCCTACCGGGTCGCGCGGGATGTGATTGATGAGGTCATCCAGGTCTCGACTGACGAGATTTGTGCCGCTATCAAGGATGCATTTGAAGATACTCGATCTGTGGTCGAGCCTGCCGGTGCTCTGGGTCTCGCTGGTCTGAAGAAATACATTGCCAAATACCCCAGCCCTGACACGAACCGTGAGCTAATTGCCATCACTTCTGGTGCCAACATGGACTTCGACCGATTGCGCTTCGTTGCCGAGCGTGCGGCTCTTGGTGAGCGCAAGGAGGCGCTGCTGAGCGTCAAGATTCCAGAGAAGCCCGGCGCGTTCGGAAAGCTCGTCGAAGTTATCTTGCCTCATGCCGTAACGGCTTTCAGCTATCGTTATGCCAACGACAACTCGGCTGATGTTTTGATGGGCATTTCGCTCTCTGCCTTGACCGGCCGGGAGGACCTGGCCAAGATTATGGAAGAGCTGGAGAAGGGTGGAATGACCAGCCGCGACCTGAGCGATGATGAGCTCGCTAAGCGCCATGTGCGCTTCATGGTTGGGGGTCGCAGCCAAGTCACCGATGAGCGACTGTTCATGTTTGAGTTCCCCGAGCGCCCAGGCGCCCTGGCCAAGTTCCTGACTACTCTCCGCCCTAACCAGAACATCTCTCTGTTCCACTATCGTAACTACGGTGGCGATGTTGGTAAGGTTTTGGCTGGAATCCAGTGTCCCTCGCCTGAAAAAGAAGACCTGGAGGCCTTCCTCCGTGACCTGGGCTATCCTTTCAGCGAGCACACAGATTCCCCCACCTACCAGACCTTTCTTCGCTCCTAATCAGCCCCTTCGGCGTGGCGTCCTGCATTAAAACGTGAATAACTGGACAAGACGGTTGATAAATATTTTCAAGTTCTTTTTTGCAACGGTCTAAAAGTGCAAAATTTCAACGATGTGCTTTCATTCCCCCCGCGTTTGGCGTTTGGTCCCAATAGACTTTTGCGACGTTTGATTTTAACTGTATGATAACTTTATTTCCACATATCAATTCAGTTTATATTGGCAAATATCCCTCAACAGGCTCGGAAAATTTTTGTCGGTTAGGATCATACCTAATAGTTTGTGTAGTATGTACATCCCCAACTATACCTAAATGTCGAACATATGCGGATATAATTGAAATGGGCATGGTAGGCTCGGCGACTCGGTATTACTGAACCTCCGGGAAACATTACTTGCCCAGCGCGAGGACCCTGGGAGCATGTAGATCGAAAGAACAGGAAAATCTTAGCCAAAGAAACCAGGAAATATCGTTTCTATGGGTCATGGAAGAAAGCATCTAGTTATATACACCATAATTGCACAACACTTGTAAAGAAGGCTATAGCTTCAGAAGGATGTGTCGAAAAAATGCGAGTTCCGCCGAAGAGGGCCTCGGCTCTACTTTAGGATTTCATGCTTACGAAATGCAGGGTATTTCAGAGAGTAGAAAAGGTTCCCGCTAGATTAACATAGTAACTTATTTTAACTTGTAAAGTTATGGGAACAAAGTAGTAATCTAGGAGGATGTTGCTCGCCAAGCCGGGGGAGCCATACAACGAATGAAAATCACATGACATATTAATAAGCAGATCGGAGAGCAATCACTGAGGTCAAAAATCCGGTACCCAGAAGAGGTACATAGACAACGTCGACCCTGCACTCACGCCTCCTTGTCCTCGGAAGGCCATAAATTAGAGGCACTGCGCCTCAAGGTCGTCATTGTCAAGTCTTCACCTCAACCGCTACTATGTTCTCCCTCCGTACCGTCCTCGGGGCCCCCGCGGCTCTCCGCCAGCTCCTCCCCTCTGTTTCTCGCCGGTCTATCCCTGGGGCTGCTTCGCTGCGTCCTTTCTCGCATATGATTCGCAACAGCCTCACAAGCTTGCGCGCTGGTCAGTCATCAGCCAGCAATGCTATCTCCGCCACTGTTGGAACCGCTCGGCAGATCGAGCAGGTTCGGGGTATGAAGACTCGCTCTTCAGTCAAGCGGCTGTGTGATGGGTGCAAGGTATGATTTGAATGACTTGACATATCTTGAGCAGTCAATTCTGGGCAAATTGAGTAGGTAGGACTGACTGATCTATGTTAGCCGGTGCGCCGAAAGAACCGTGTCTACATCATCTGGTGAGTTGGCTTACGAATGACATAGCTATGTAACTTCAATTGCAGCCTACTAATTCCCATCTTTCTTTTTTATAGCTCTAAGAACCCGAAACACAAGCAACGACAGGGTAAATAGGTTGGGAATAAGTTCTCTCCTCTGCTCTTGTTTGACGACAACTACCTGTTGATTTCCCACCAACGAATTCGATTTAAATATTTAAACCGACCCGTCAACCGTCTGAAGAATTGATCGATATTAGTCGGCTGGCGCAAATGGCCTATTTTTACTTACGTTAAAGGTCCAAACAAATCGAGTGGGCGAGTTCATCTCAACTCTTAAATTGGTGGCATGTTCTTTGCATACTTGTTTCAACCCAGAATTTATGGGGTATTGCGGCGCATGGGTCTTTTATACTTGTACATTAGCCTGGAAGCCATGATATCTGGCCTCCTATATGGAATTCACTCCAAATGATCCCCTGGACACTTCATCCACTTTTTCCCCTTTAAAGTTTTGTTGTTGAAATGGTCATAATAACCCACAGAATAACTGTATTATATTTTCATGTCTCCACTGCGATTTCGACACCAATCCTGCGGATCCATTAAGCATGGGCTCGAGTACACTATTCAATGTACTGGTTAAGGCGACTTGTAATGGGTCGTACCTGAGAGGCCAGCGGTCACGTGTCCCGTCCCTGGCTTCCCCGAACTTTTTTTTCCGCGAAAACAAGCGCGCCTTCAACTCAACTTGATTCGATCAATTCTGGTGTGAGTTGACCGTCGCGATGAGGACCCCTTCTCTTGCGCGGTTGCCGTACCGTGCGGTGTCTGGTTTGACCAGAACTTCCCGACTCCCGTCTCAGACCCTTCTGCATTCACGATGGGCATCCACAGCCGCGAAGCGGCCTTCCGGTGTCGCGCCGGCTTATCAGTCGATCATGAGGCAATGGGAACAGCGACGTAATGCTGCCAGTGCGACTGCATCTGCAGTGTAAGTAAAGACACCGAGGGAGTTTTTCTAATGTCGCTTGCTAATCTATTTTATTCCACAGTCTCGAGGCCGCCGCCGCCAGCCCGGAGACCCTGTCGCAAGCCGCCATTATCGACAATCTCGACCCTGTCGAGGCTGCTCGTTTGGACAAAGTTCGCAACATTGGTATCGCGGTAAATTTGCCTCTAACTCCTGGTCATATGCTGTATGATTATCTAACGATTTATCTCTACAATAGGCCCACATTGACAGTGGTAAAACCACCTGTACCGAGCGTGTCCTTTTCTACACTGGTCGTATCAAGGCTATCCACGAGGTTCGTGGACGTGACAGTGTTGGCGCCAAGATGGACTCGATGGATCTGGAGCGTGAGAAGGGTATCACCATCCAGTCTGCTGCTACCTTCTGTGACTGGGTCAAGAAGGACAAGGACGGCGTTGACCAGAAGTACCACGTCAACTTGATTGACACCCCCGGTCACATTGATTTTACCATTGAGGTCGAGAGAGCGCTGCGCGTTCTGGACGGTGCTGTCATGATTCTATGTGCCGTGTCTGGTGTCCAGTCCCAGACCATCACTGTCGATCGTCAGATGCGTCGTTACAATGTTCCCCGTATTTCTTTCGTTAACAAGATGGACCGCATGGGCGCAAACCCTTTCAAAGCCATCGACCAGATCAATTCCAAGCTCAAGATGCCCGCTGCTGCAGTTCAGGTCCCCATCGGTGCGGAAGACGAGTTCGAGGGTGTTGTTGATCTCATTCGCATGAAGGCTATTTACAACAAGGGCCCCAGTGGTGAAGAGATCATGGAGACTGACGAGATCCCCGACAAGGTCAAGGATATCGTTCAGGAGCGGCGAAGCATGCTTATTGAGACTCTTGCCGACGTCGATGATGAGATTGCCGAGCTATTCTTGGATGAGCTTGAGCCAACTGCGGACCAGTTGAAGGCTGCGATCCGTCGCGCTACCGTCAGCCTGAAGTTCACTCCTGTTTTCATGGGCTCTGCTCTTGCGAACAAGTCTGTTCAGCCCATGCTGGACGGTGTCATCGATTATCTGCCTAACCCTTCCGAGGTCGAGAACCTTGCGCTCGATCAGAAGCGCAACGAGGCGTCTGTGAAGCTGGTCCCTTACAACTCTCTTCCCTTCGTCGGTCTTGCTTTCAAGCTGGAGGAGAGCAACTTCGGCCAGTTGACCTACATTCGTGTGTACCAGGGTACCCTTCGCAAGGGTGCTAACGTGTTCAACGCCCGTAACGACAAGAAGGTCAAGGTTCCACGTATTGTGCGCATGCACTCCAATGAGATGGAGGAGGTCAACGAAATTGGTGCTGGTGAGATCTGCGCCGTGTTCGGTGTTGACTGTGCCTCTGGTGACACCTTCACCGACGGCCAGCTCGGCTACAGCATGTCTTCCATGTTCGTCCCTGAGCCTGTCATCTCGCTCTCCATCAAGCCTAAGCAGACCAAGGATGCCGCCAACTTTTCCAAGGCCATGGCCCGTTTCCAGCGTGAAGACCCCACTTTCCGCGTGACCTACGATAACGAAAGTGAGCAGACCATTATTTCCGGTATGGGTGAGCTGCACCTTGACATCTATGTCGAGCGTATGCGCCGCGAATACCGTGTTGACTGCGAGACTGGCCAACCTCAGGTCGCCTACCGGGAAACTATTGGTAACCGCGTTGAGTTCGATCATCTGCTCAAGAAGCAGACCGGTGGTGCTGGTGACTATGCCCGTGTCATGGGTTGGATGGAGCCTACTGGCGCTCTCGAGGACAACAAGTTCGAACAGCAGATTGTCGGTGGCAGTATCTCGGAGAAGTTCTTGTATGCTTGTGAGAAGGGTTTCAACATCTCTTGCGAGAAGGGCCCCCTGATCGGCCACAAGGTGCTCGGCACCAGCATGGTTATCAACGATGGTGCTACCCACATGACTGATTCCTCTGAAATGGCTTTCAAGATCGCCACCCAGCAGGCCTACCGCAAGGCTTTCCTTGACAGCCAGCCTTCTGTGCTTGAGCCCCTGATGAAGACTGTCGTCACTGCCCCCAGTGAGTTCCAGGGTGATGTTATCGCTCTGCTGAACAAGCGTGGTGCTACTATCAACGACACTGAGACTGGTGTCGACGAGTTTACCATTTATGCCGACTGCAGTTTGAACGGCATGTTCGGCTTCAGCACCAACCTCCGCGCTGCCACTCAGGGCAAGGGTGAATACACCATGGAGTTCAGCCACTACGAGCGGGCTCCTCCCCATGTCCAGTATGTTTCATTTCCTTTTTTACAATTTCTTGAGCAAGTATTCCGTATGCTAACATCAACTTTCCACTCCACAGGAAGGAGCTCATTGCCAAGTACCAGAAAGCCCAGTCTGAGCGCAACAAGAAATAAATCCGTCCCTAGCTCCTTGGCCCCGTCTCAATCTCCCAGAATGGCCAATCCTCCTCTTCGCCACTTGTAAAATTCCACCTACTACTCTCTCATGACCTTGATTGGCCCAAACGGGGCCTGGCATTCATCTCAAATACAGATACAATGCAAGTTGAACTCCCACCCATATACAAGACCAAATTTTGTTCTTGACTCAAAATTCATGTACTTTTCGCGTCATGGCACTATATCATCTTGCGGCACACCTTTGGGACATGTACTTTAGAATTTGATTTACCCTTCTACTCTCCTGTCTGAACAATTCATATGCACAAATATTACACTGTCACCGATTTCTAGATTCCCGGGCCATTTCTTTATGCCTACATCATAAAGCAAATTGAAAAAGAAGCCTTGTTTTGTCCAAGCCATATATACGTAGATTGCATTGAGATGATCTTTTCAGCTAGAAATTCATATAACTAACAATTCCAAAATTACTCTCTTAGTATAGATGGCATGCGTCACTCGCTCTACATTGTGCAAAAGTGGAGATGAAATAAAATTAAATATTTTCATGAACTAGTTCTTGTCCAAAGGCCATGTGTGCAATCTAAGATAGGCCAGCTGCTAGATATGCGGTGAAAGCAGTATTAGAACTGCCAAATAGATTATGGAACGTTCAATTCACTACCTAAAGGGGTTAGTTAGACAGACTAGTCAGAAGTAGACTGTACTTCAGAATCTCTGCAGCTGATATTGGAAGGATTACAGCACGGGAACATATAGCTTGTCCAGGTCCTCACCAGTTTGTGATACGAATAAGTCACCTACATCCCACAGGCGCAAATACAGTTACACTGCCTCTGCGGGAAGTCAAGAGATGGTCTGTTTCTTGCTACGATATGAACGGCGTGAGCTCGTCGACGGGGTTGTACTCGGCTGTGACTATGGAACCGATCTTGGACAGGAGGTGTTCTAAGATCAGACAAATTGTACCCAGAGTCTAAACCCGCATTGTATTTCACCGCAGGCACAAATATGGGTGGGATGTCTTTCCCTCGGCGGCGAAATGCGATGGTTTGTCGGGGTTTCCAAAGCGATGACTCGTCAGCGGTCTGACCGGCGTCCCGAATGGAAGAATGATGTCGGTGCGATGGTTGGTGATTCTCTAGACGACGATGCAAGTTCACATGAGCAGTGGCTGGAGGAGAAGGAGCGTGGTATCTTCTTCCTCTCCACTGAGAAGGTTTGACGTTTACCTTGTCTACTACATGAGCAAAAGGTACAACATCTCGCACCGCGGGTTGGTGCTTACCCGCATGTCGGGGTTCCAGATGGCTAGGAGGTGGAGGAGAAGAAGAAGGAGCGTGATATCTTCTTCCTCTCCACTGAGATGGTTGGATGTTTATCTTACCCACGACTGTGCCTTTCATCTGACCAGAAGCCCAAGCCTTCGACATTTTTCCGTTGAACGTGCCAGGACCAAACATCTGTGGGACCATGGATGAACAAGACAATATGAATAGTTTGCTCTTGCTGGGTGTCAGATGAAGCAGGGGGCTGGCTTGCGATGAAACTTGAAAACACTGATATAATATTCTAGAAATAAGGGGCTTCAGAGTTTGGTACACGCTGGATAGACTTTTGTTCAAGGCTTGGAGCCTCCAAGTCACAGAGATTGCTGTGATGATCCAAAATGTAGAGGAAAGGGTATTTTTATAACTTGATGCTGGAAAGAGAACAGAATAGAGGTATTCTTTGTTAAACCTATAGTTGAATTGTTTTGTTTGCTTGAGAATGAAACGTTAGTTCATTGAAAGAAGTTAACATCTAAATTAATTTGATCTACCTCGAACAAAGACATACCTCGGGAATCCGAAGGAACAAAGTCTTCCTTGATGACGCCATGGACATTGAGCGTAGCTTGTTGATATTCTCCGTTTTCAGCAAATAACTACAAATAAGGATCTTCTGCATGGGATTTGACTGCTAAGATATAGTTAATTGAGTCATTTACTATAAGAATAGACTATCTGCAATCAAGAATAGACTATCTGCAATCAAGAATAGACTATCTGCAATCAAGAATAGACTATCTGCAATCAAGAATAGACTATCTGCAATCAAGAATAGACTATCTGCAATCAAGAATAGACTATCTGCAATCAAGAATAGACTATCTGCAATCAAGAATAGACTATCTGCAATCAAGAATAGACTATCTGCAATCAAGAATAGACTATCTGCAATCAAGAATAGACTATCTGCAATCAAGAATAGACTATCTGCAATCAAGAATAGACTATCTGCAATCAAGAATAGACTATCTGCAATCAAGAATAGACTATCTGCAATCAAGAATAGACTATCTGCAATCAAGAATAGACTATCTGCAATCAAGAATAGACTATCTGCAATCAAGAATAGACTATCTGCAATCAAGAATAGCCTAAAAGGCTCTATGTAAATTTCAAGGGGCACGCCAAGGATCAAAGTTCCATCTCTATTCTGAAAGACTATAAAGCCTTTGACGTTTTTGATCCCAAGACAAGATAAACACTAAATTCCTAAATTCTTTGAATATTGGGGTTTAAACTAAATCATTTGTCCCTGGATCTCATTGCTTGGTATAACATTTCGGTGATATGCACGAGACCCTTGGCAGATGCCTGATCAAGAGCTTGTTGATCAATAATAGCATTCTTGTCAAGTAACATTTTAACGATCCGCGGATCGCCAGATCTCAATGCTCCGGCAAGCGCTGTACCGCAAAAGGCACCAGGAGCATCATTCACATTGGCTCCCATGTCCAACAAAATTCGCACAATCTCTTGGCGGCCATAATATGACGCTGCCTGCAGTGGTGTTAAGTAATTCGGTCCTCCTTGAATATGGATGTTCGCTCCATTGTTGAGTAAGATCTTGACAATCTGCAAGTGACCCCCGGCTGATGCCGCCTGAAGTGCCGTGTAGAAGGTCTTGCCGCCTTCACAGTCGACATCTGCTCCGTTTTCGATCAGAATATTAACAATTGACTCGTGGCCCTTTGCTACTGCCGCTTGTAGCGCGGTAAAATAGAATCCACCTCGCACGTTGACATGTGCCCCGCTTTCGAGCAGTAACTTGACGATCTTTTCACTGCCGTTGCATGCCGCAGCTTGTAGAGCTGTATGATATTTACCTCCAGTGATGTTCACTCTCCCCCCACACCTCAGCAACAAATTGACAACTTCTTCATGACCAGTGTATGACGCGGCCTGTAACGCCGTATGATATGTTCCCCCTTGAGCGTTGACGTTGGCTCCGTGATCGAGCAACATCTTGACAAGTGATGTTTCACACCGCGATGTTGACGATGATGCTGCTTGCAGTGCTGTATGAGCCTTTCCCCCTTCAATCTTGGCATTGGCTCCATTTTTGAGTAGAATTCCCACTATCTTCTCGTTGCAATGTGCTGATGCTGCTTGAAGTGCTGTGTAAAAATGTGCTCCGCCAGTCACATTGATGTCGGCGCCCTTGTTTATTAAAGCAACAACAGTCTCTTCACGCCCCCGCGATGAGGCTGCCTGAAGCGCTGTATGGTACATGCCACCTTCAGTATTGACATAAGCTCCCTCATTGATCAGGATCTCAACGATCTTGGTATGGCCTTCTGCCGATGCGGCCTGTAGCGCTGTGCAATGTATGCCACTTTCGATGTTGACATCGGCGCCACTTTGGAGCAATTTTTTGACGATTCCTTCGTGACCTCCTTTTGATGCCACTTGTAATATCGAAGAATGAAGCCCATTTTCAATATTGATTTCTGCCCCCCGCTCCAGTAGCAGACTTACAATATCTTCATGCCCCTGCGCAATTGCGCCTTTAAGTGCTGTATGATCCTCTCCACCTTCGACGTTGACCTGCGCATTGTTTTCAAGCAGCAACCTGACGATCTGTATATGGCCATTACAGGATGCTGCTTGAAGAGCGGAGCAGAACTGTTTTCCGCCTAGGACATTGACATTGGCTCCTCCTTTTACCAGCATCTCAACAATTTCTAGGTGACCATGCTCTGATGCTGCTCTGAGCGCCGTTTTCGGCTCTCTATCGCAGGTGATATTGACATTGGCTCCCTTGTCTAACAGCATCTTCACAACCTGCCGGTGACCTTCTCGAGATGCGGCATGTAGTGCCGTATGATAGTCTCCGCCTTCTATATTCACTTTTGCTCCTTTACTAAGCAATAACCTGACAATATTGGAGTGACCCTCTGCTGCGGCTACCTGAAGAGCTGTATGGTAGTCTCCGCATTCAGCGTTGGGGTCCGCACCTTCGTTCAGCAGCAAATCAGTTACTTTCTCGAGACCGATAAAGACTGATAACGCTAAGTCGGTCCAATTATGTAAATATAAGAGGCGCCAAAAGTCGTAATTGGGAGTCCAGATATTTGCAGCATGTCCATTCACATCGCAGAGCATACGCGCTTGCTTGACAGACTGATCAGCAAGAGAAACCTCTTGGTCTGCGAAATGTGAAGGCCAATAAGTAGAAGCATATGGAAGCAATGGATATGTTTCATCTCGTGGTGCTTCAACATCGGTAGCCTTATCGATATCAGGGAACAACAGGTACTGAAGACATATTTGCGAAATCATGCCATGACCTTGAGGTAGGCTAAGTGAACCTTTCCAACGACCCTTTTCTCCATCGCATCTGGGTGAGATAAGAAAATTTCTCGCTGTTTGATGAATGAGAGAAAGCTTTGAGTCGTGCACGGTGACGAAGAGGCCGCAAGCACTCATGACGACAGCTTTGAAATCGTCTGCTCGCCACATTTTGGCATTAAGCGCTCCATGTGAGGTCAATTCCTCTTTATGCAGAGCGATATTCAGTGCAACGTTCGCTTCCTCAAGAGTCAGAGGTCGCCGAGCCGCGAGGACAAGCTGAAGTATAATGATCGTTCGCCGCGGATCTTTGCTGCGAGTCAATATGGTTTCATATGCATCGGATACTTTGGTTGGAAGATTTGAGAGTAATTCTTCCATATCCGAGGGTCTACTATATCCAGCTGGGTATTTTTCAATGACATCAAATATCAAATACAACCAAAGATATGTCCGATTCTCCATAGATTTGAGGCGATCTGTGATGCGTTGTCGGTCCTTATCGCTAAAGCCGTCTGTCACACTGTTGACCCGGGCATCTATAACGAGATCAATTTCCCGGCCAATTTCTTTTGATTTTTCATCGCCGTCTAATCGCAAATAGGCCACAAATTTCCGAAACCCCTTGAATGAATATTCGATATCATCATATGGACGACTTGTTATTAGGAACTTGAGTTTTGCTTTTGAGGACGCCTGGCTTCCACAATAGAATTCCTTGATGGTTTTGATTATTTCAAGTCTGCTGCGTTCGTTGCATTCATCCAAAGCGTCCAAGACACAAATTATCTCATTTGCATCGCTCAACGTAGCACAGTCCACGAGAATTTTCCACAGTAATGAAAATTTTGTGACCAAAGATTGCCCTTCTGTCTTGAAGGGTGAAAGTGCGTGCTTGAGAAAGTTTGGGGCGAATGAAGATTTGAAAAGTTGATGGAGCATTGCACTCAGAGCGCTAGCACCATCCATATTGTAATCTATACCTTCTTTGAAGAAGAAATAAGTGACGATCGAGGTCGGACCCGACAAATTGCCCGAGGATGTGATCGTCAACGTTGTGAGCGGGTGTAAATGCTCCTCATCAACCAAAGCCCTCGATAGGACCGACTTTCCACGCCCAGGGCCCGCGGAGACCCAAAGAAGGCCGGAATTGCCATCACGCCAGGTACTAAATCTATTGTCACGTAAAAACCATTCGCAAGTGCCAGGAACTCTCTTCGGATTGATATCCTTGTACCTCTGGTAATCTCCAGCTGCTCCGGCCAGGGCTCCAAGAAGTCTTGTTTTCTGCGATTCTAATTCAATCTGCTGACTGTACTCAAGAGACTTTTCTTGGATAGCACGAGAACTTTGTAACTCATGCAGCTGGAGATCCCTGGATCTTCGAACCTCAGCCTGTTGTGCGAGAGGTATGAAGCGAGTGCGACAGCTTTCGTCGGCAGTTTTGATTCTTTCTGTGATTGCCGTCCAAGCATTCGAGTCCCGCAGGTCCTGCCTTGCTCGAGAAGACTGCGTGCTCGTCAGATGGTGTATAACTCGAGCATGGTATTCGATAATATCAGAAAAGAGCTTGGACAAAGGCTCGATGAGAACCTTATAGTGCTGTTTATGCTCAGATTCGAAATTCTCCTCGAAAACCTGCCAGTATATCTGAATCTCTCCAATGGTATTCAAGCCCTCTAGCATATTCTCATTTTGTTCAATGCCGCTCGTGAGGAGCTAACGAAGTCAGTAAAAGCAACATTACTGTACAAAGAAGATGATCGATGATCGACTCACTGGGATGATCAAGGAAACCCCAGACCACGCAAGTGCGGCATATGGTTGACTGCTCAACGCCCCCTTCACGAGAGAGTCGGACCATTTAAGAAACTTGAGAATTTTCTCGAATTGAGCACGAATCTTGATATCATGACTCTGAATCGTAATTTTCCATATCCTCTCTTCTCGGGTAGCCAGAAGACGGCTCAAGACGTCCTCAACAAACTCCCGATCGGATAAATCTGGTCCCTTCTTACTGTGGCCTTCAAACGACGCAATGTGTTGCAAATAAACATTCATCAACCCCTTGTCTTCATCTCTCTCTTGAAATAACTGGAAAGCACGAGTCCATAGAAAATCTCGAATCCCTGCCTCGGGAGCGTCTTCCACTGGTGGAACGCTGGTTCTGGCTGTATTTTTAGAAGTCAGGGGACCCTGTGAGCTCGAAGAAGCTGTTGCCGGTGGTGTCTGCTGTAATTGTGCATCATTGCCAATTAATGGGCTGAGTGAGGCACGATCACGTTGTGATGATTCTGAATCTGGCGTAGAAGCTGCAGAGGGGTCTGTCTGCGCCGACTTGGGAGAATTAGATCCCTCATTGCTTCTAGGCGGCTTTACAGCAGACCTTTGGTCATATTTACCAAGAAAACGACTCAAGCTAGGCCTGGGCATGATCTCATATACATCAATAACAAGGAATAACCAAATAGCTTAACAAGTTTGTCTCTAGCCTAACCAGGCACCGAAAGCAATTCAAGACGGGATGGTTGAGGAAATAGCCTAAGGGGGCTTGTGTTTTCTCGTGGGGCAACAATCCCTGTCGAGCAGCGTTTCTGTGACTTGTCTCGCATAATGGGGGCTAAAAATATACCTGTCTTGCAATCGGCAATGGTGGGACGCCAAACCACAAGCACTTTTCCATTTTAGGATCACACTTCATTGGCCTTGAAACGTTCAATTAAGACCCGAAGGCCTAGCTACATGGACAAATCCTCATTAATTTGAATCATTCAGAGCAATTTGAACAGATGCGAAGGAATCAACGATAATTGGACAGCTCGACCGCCGACAGTATATTAGGAGAAAGATAGTAGTATAAAAAAATCCAAGAGAGTGTAAGCATCTATTTTGAATCCAGAAATCATTATTTAATATTCATTGGTCGAACTATTCATAAGAGCAGTACTATTGTTAGCAACGCTAATGGTAGGGGTATATGTGCGCGCTATAAGAATCCCAAGGAAACAGAGCAAGATCAACCTAGACTGATAGAAATACATCCCGGAAAAAAAAAGAAAGTAGCAAAGCTGCCTAATGCCACTTATGGAAAGAAATAACATCAAAGCCATAAAATCCACCGCGCCCCAGCGACAGCACCGCGAAAGACACTACGCAATAGCTTGAAAGCCATTACAATCAACCAAACCCACCATAGCATAGCGACAAGCGCCCACTCCAGTACGACGAAGCCGGTACGCCGGACCCAACGTAATCGACGACGCCTCTTTCGAATACCCTTATCTAAGGCATCGCTAAGAGATTTCACGGCAAGCGTACTAGTGGTGTTGAGCTGAATGCATAGATCCTCGGCGATATCAGCAGTTTGCCGGGCTCGAGGTGTGAGGGATTCATTGATGAGTGCCTCCAGATCCTTCAGTTGCGACCGTAGAGGAGAGGAAGTAGCAGAACTGAAATGGTGCATCGATTGTTGAAACGAGTACTGGGTCATTTCAAAGCGGCGTAGGTAACTCTGAGCGGCGACGTCGAATTCTTCAAGTCGAGTCACTCGAGGTATCGCCGTATTAGAGCCCAGTGAGCTTTGCAGCCAGTGAGGTGGATCACGGGCGCTGTGAGCTCTACGAGCGATTTCTCTTGCCTTGATGCCCGAAGACAGAAGGAGGGTTCGTGTGCGCTCAACCTCTGTTTTTCTGGGGACACCAAAATCATTCAATGTATGCAAACTGCGGTCTGAGATACTCCAGGTACGTGTTGCCCCAGACAAAGTAGGTCTTCTCTCGTAAGGGGAGGGGGAAGCTCGGGCCTGAGCAAGGCCAGTTACTGGGGGGCGGGTCAGACTGAAAGGAACAGAGGGATCCTTGATGGCGCGATTCTTCAGACGACCACGGTTCGACTGAAGAGTCGGGCTGAAATCGAGCGTCTTGCTACGAGACAGAGATATTCGCTTCGGACCCTCTTGGTTATCCGCTTCTCGCGAGGAAAAGTTGCGATCACTGGGGCTCCCAAGCTCAAGAGCGTCGGAAGAGTCATGTCGCTCGTCTTGTCTCAGAGGCGACGTGAAAGTCGGCAGAGACGGCATCAAATTTCGAGACGATGGGGCTCTCTCCGACTCTCTCCGAGTGAGACGACCAGATTCATCCGCGAGGTTCGGCAAGCGTTTCAAAAGTCCCTTCGGGCCAGATCGCTTGTCCGTTCGCTTCTCCTCGGCGTCTGAGTCACTATCATCTGAGCCAAGCGTAGTCGCAGATGAATATTGGCGGGAATCGGTGATCGGCTCCTTCTTTAGAATCAGGTCTCCAACTTTAGAGACCTCATTTCCAACAATTTCAGCTATCCGACCAGGTCCTTTAAAAATTCCACGTAATTTGGAATCCGTTGAATACTGGCCTTTCCGTCCTCTGTACTCCTCAACTTGTTGACTATCGGCTGCGTCTTGCTCATCGGTATAGGAAGAAGACACAACATCAGGTAGGGGGCTTGGATCAAGCTTGGAGACGTGATCTGCAGGTCCAAGTGATGCTGGCATAGGGCGTGATGGGGCCATGACATCCAGATTGCCAAGTTCGTGACGGCGGAGCTCTCGATCACCTTGCTTACTCTTGCTTCTTTCGTGACGCGACACAATTTTATGGCGAAGCCCTCTTTTGGCTGGAGAGGGGGATCGGCTGGAAGGCGGAGACAGATTGACTGCGATACTAGGAAAGTAGCCAGCATGGGCCGGGGAGTTCGGAGCAGTGCTATCCACGGCATCGTAGGACATCCTTGGATTGTATCTGTCATCCATACTTCCCGCGGACGAAAAGGAAGCCTTTCTATGGGCAAAGGCTGGTTTCGTACTGGACGGAAGAGTCGATGATTGATTCTGGCTCTCAATCATGCGAATGTCACCGGCGGTAATAGATTTGCCATATGATCTATGAGATCCCGAGGAGTTCGCAGCTGGATGTCTTAGGACTTCGGAATCCTTTCGTGAATGCCCAAGCCCTGCCTGCTTTCGCGGCTCTGCACCAGACTCGCTTGAAATACTGCCGGTGCGTATTCTCACTTTGTCCCATCGTGAATGCTTTCGCGAACTAGAAGCGCTGCGGCTCCGTAAGCTGTGCGAATGGCTGTGAAATCGTTGATGGTGCCGCCCTCGGCGGACGCTTTTGAATTCCGGGGCTAGTGCTGGACGAGAGCTTGACAGAGAACTGTGACGAGAAGCCATTTCTTCCTGGAGAGGATCTCTCATTTCAACGGACAGCCGTTGAATTTGTGAATCTCGGTCCACATCAGTGTCTACCAGAACGAGATCTGTAGGGTCCGGATATAGCTTATTGCCATCTTTGTCGACAATTTTTGCTTTATTGACACCGTCCTCAAGCCAGGCGACATCGGCCAGTAATTCTGCGGGCAAAATTTTCCAGTCAAGACGTCGACGGGGTGCCTTCATGCTATTGGTGCGGCTGACACGCCTCAAGCTTGCAGGTGGAGAAATAGTCATCTCCAAATCCTCAGCTTCGCCATGAGTCATCTGGTTTTGTGATTTTTGGAAAGACGGAAGCTTAACAATTTGTATCTCATCGTAAGATTTGTGATTGTGCTTCTTCTCAATAGCATCAATCCATTCATGGACCTTCCCAACATCATGCCAACCTTCCGCTTCTGCATCAATGGGACATTTCTCACGATACCTGACTCGTCGATTCCGAATCGTTTGAAGTGGGTTATAATTGCGGACCGTTGGTGTGGCGGGAGATGGCTCTGATGAATCGGAATCATCAGTGGGTCGGGGCTTTCGCAAAGGCGGCAGGGAAGGAAGCAGCCGAAGATACTCGTGGAATAGATCAAAATGGCGGCGGGCTCTCTCCGCACGAGCAAGCGTTCGATCAGAGAACTCATACACCCGATTGTCATCCAATACGGTAGATGGCAAAAGATCCACCACTGGAGACTGGCCACCTTGTGTAGTACCTCGTGGAAGCCCTTCGGCAAGGGCCGAGCGATATGACGAATCCCGTATCACTTTGTTTCCCCTTGGAGATGGCGTATGTAGCTCCACGGGCGCAGAGGCAGGAAGTGACACAGACAGCGGTCGCCGTCCGTTTGTGTTTGGAGGTATTCCAGAAGCAGCCCGTTTTCGAGACTCATTCAGATTTAAAGCTAAGTTCACAATCTGAATAGAGTCTCGGTCAAACCCAGGGGGAGTGGAATGGCCTGTCTCGTGCGTGCTAGAGGTGGTCCGAGATGAGTTCTCGGATGTCAGTACACGTGGAGGCGCAGAGGGTTGCTGTACAACTTCTGGGCTCGATGTAGGTCCCGCTGAAGTTGACTCGGAGGCAGAAGTCTTGTGTCGACTCCATGGGAAGCGAGAACGTTTCTTGGGCACAAGGATATCGAATTCGGGGACGTTGAATGTTTGCGCAGGTGGTGCGGAAGGGCGAGATCGATGCCCACCAATCCTAGAGCTTCTAGCGCGAGGTAGAGACTCTAGCAAGAAGCTACTTGAGCTTTGCGTCCTGCGCTGACCTGGTGTCCTCCTGTCGCCTTCGCGAGAGCTGCTACCCAACGTACTTCCCTCCAGTTCCCCGCTCGGTCGTCCGTCACTTACTGGGGCTGCCGCACGGGCAAAAGAGGCTCCGGTGGGTTGTAACGGATTTTGACTGCCTGGTAATGCATCACGCCGTTGCTCATCTGTCGGATTCATTGAATCGAGCTCGGAAAGGGAGGTGACTCGTTGCGACATCGGTCAGGGAAAGGGCGAGAGAGCTAGCTATTCATGCTCGTCAAAGATGCACCAAACATGACTTGACCGAAAATACAAGCATGAGCGCGATCAAACAAAATCCGGTGATTGTCCACGAAGAAGAAGAAAAGCACAAATTGCGGAAGTGTTTCCACAACCTGCACGGCGCAAAGGTGTCGATCGACTCCTAGTTGCGCGTCACTGCCCGCAGCACAGCTTATCTAAGCATCTGGATCCACTCTGTCGAGCTGTTGGACCCTTTGACATCAGCCACGGTTCCCGAAAAAGCCTTTAAGCTGTATATAGCTCCGTAAGGGATCTAAAGAGCAAAGTATATGGCACGCATGGTTGACCACATGCTGGCCATCTTCATAACACATAGGAAAAGTTCTAGAATTTGGGTCTAAAGCACAAGTACAACTAGAGGTACAGTTCCTGTAGACGAGACGAAGATGTACAGGATAATTTGAAATCAGCATCACTCAGTTTACTCCACCCGCAAGCACTGAAGCCGAGCCTCAGTCTCCATAACCTATGAAGGGAAAAAAGTGGGTGTTAGCAAAGCCGCCTTCAGAAAACAAGTACCATAGATCAGTGCAAAAAATCCTTACCTCGAGAGCCTGCTTGACTTCAAGAACCCTGCGAACATCGGCCAACCAATCCTTGCTCAGAATCTTTGCCCAGCCCTGGAGGGTGTTCATCTCACGAGCAGCCGCATCCACATTACCCTCTTCAAGTAAGTTCTCTGTGCGGAGGAGAATGCTTTCCACGTCATCACCGTCGGCAAGACCGTCCCTCTTGAACATGACTTTGCTCAAAACGAGACTGGCAGCGTGGCTGGCAATACCGGCATCCTCAGGGAGAAGGCTAGCCTTGCGAACCTCGCTCGCGACACGGCGGAAGCGCTCGATGATCTGAGTTTTAGAGGGAATACCACGCTGGTAGGCGGTCGGGTTGATTGAGGCAATAGCGGCATCAACCACAGGGTCATCAGCGGCAAGTTCCTTGACGGCAATGAGCTCACGGACGAAAGGCCGGGAGGTCTCAGCACGCTCAACGACAGAGCGGACCGCATCCACAGCAACCTGAAGCTGCTGGGTCTTCAGGTTGGTGTCGATAACATTGCTCCAGCCGGTGGTCAGGCTCTCAAGCTCGGTGATATTGGCAGTGAGCTCGTTCAGCTTGCTCAGGCGGCCTTCACGCTCGCGCTCGACCAAGTCCTTTACTTCATGGACGTATTTCCGGTTGAGCTCGATGGCCTGCTCCACAAGCTCATTCTTAAGGCGTTGCTCAGAAAGCTGCTGAGCCCGGAGAAGCTCAGTCTGCAGCTTGTCCTGGTACGCCATAGAGAGCTTCTCACGCTCAGCCTCAAACTCCTCACGGAAATGAGCGATTTCTGTGTTACGCATCTCCTCAAAGCGGCGAATCAACTCCTTCGCTGACTCGTCAAAGGTAGCGTGGGCCTTGTTGATCTCTTCCTGGGCGGCCTTCTTCGCTTCGTCGCGAATGGCAGAGATCTTCTCTCCGATCTTCTGCAGCTCGTCCTTGGCCTTAGTAACCGGTCCAGAGTACTTGCCAGAGTTCTCATCGGCACTAATTACAGTGACAATGTCGTTGAAGGTCTTAACTAGCTCTTGCACGACACTGTCATCACCCTCCTTGATATTCAGAAGCTCAATGGTGTTTGCGGCGGTGACGGCAGGTTTTCGGGGCTCATCAAGGGAAACAGCCTTAGTTTCCTCCTTAGTGGGTGACTCTGTTTCCTTCTTGGCCGACTTGGAAGCCTTTTCTTCCTTGGCCTTTAGCACGGCCGCATTGCGGTCATCCGGAGTAGCCTTCTCGGTCTTAATTTCACCCTCGTGAGCCTTCGCGCTCATGTGAGATCCGCTCTTGGAAACATCGCTCCCCGTCTCTTCCTTTGAAACTGTCCAAGATAGACCGCTCTTGCTGGGGATTGTGACGGACTTGCCCTCCTCGCGAGGAACAGGCTGAAGACGGTTCGAGTGCCTCGAAGCATTGGGGAATCGACGGTAGAAGTCGCGTTCCTCGAAGTAAAGAACACATTCTTCGCCGTACGGAATATATTCGGTGAAGAAGTCGTGGAAGTTGTCGGACTTGAGGGCCAGGAAGATACTGCCTCCGTAAGCGATACCGGATGTCAGAATCAGATAAAGCAAGAATCGACGGAAGCGACCAGTCTTTCGTGGCGTGACTGCAGGAGATGACGGAATAGTCTTGGAACCTAGATATATTCCGTCTAATTAGCGCGTGTGGCGGAACAAGGACACCAGGCAGCCGTACCTTGTTCCGTGGGCTTGACGGCCTCGTGGGGGATAGTAGATTGGGAAGGGGTTGCAGGGGTCGGGCCGTCAGTAGGAGGTTTGGAATCCGCAAAAAACCGCTGCTAATTGTGTGTCAGCGGACATACAAAGGTCAAATTTCTAGCGTGGAGATGGCTTCGTACCTGGCCAGTGAGCCGGCTGGAAACACCGGCCTTGGATAGCCATTGCGCAGGAATCCGTTGGCGAATCGGGGACGACAGCAGCTGTCGACTCGGAGCAATTGAGGAGCGCAGCATGACTAGCCGCACAGTCGCCAGAGACCGGAAGGTGGTGGGGATAAGAAGAGGTAGATGAATTGGAAAACGGGAAGTCCGATGTTCAGTCGCGATCCGCCCCGATGATCCTGCAGGCGGTCAGGCTGGCACACCCAAATTATCCCGCATTCCTCCAGCCCGACGGGTTTCGTATCATCGATGATATAGTTATAACTTGGGTGGGCTGTTGACATCAGGTCAAACAGCAATTTTAGACTTTCGATGAATTATTCCTTATTAATCTCAAAGTGGCCATAACCAGTCGATGAGCTGCATATCTACAGACGCTCATGTTACTGTTAAGATATATTTATTGGCACAACATCATCAATGCCGTCGGTCATTCCCACAAAATTGCCCTTTATGCCGTAGATTATTGCTAATTGAAGTTTTGGAGTCAGTTGAAAACTTGTTCATCAGACTCATATTTGTGGCCCATTGTCAGAAAACCTAATCTGGGCCGATCCATTTATGATCTTTATGGTGGATTTCTTTAGGACTACCACGGCTATTAAGGATCAAATATCCCGCGAAGGCCTTAAGAAACGCATTTGAAATTTTGATTAGATGAAGTGTTAAAAAAAAGGAAAGCTATTATAGTAATAAGATCTACAAAGCAAGCAGAATTTCAAATATGTACAGCTTAAAGAAATGTATTATCTGGGAATAGCATACTAAGAAGGGCTCTGAGACAGACAAAAGGGAAGCGCGGGGGATAGTAACAGGTAGAAAATTTAGCCCAACAAGACAGGAAGAAAGACCAGATTTAGACGCCGTGGACCAGAGAGAATAAGAGGAAAAGGTTGGCGTATTCCGTCCCAGCATATCTAAAGTCAACTTTAAGTTGTGTCCGTTGAACTCGAGATACTTCAATTGATAGCAGACCTAGTGAAGTCTCCAAGAAGTATAGCGAGCAGAATATCAAAGAATCATAGGGAAACCGAGACGACTAGTTGGGAAACGAGCCGAGAATGTTCATCTCATGTCACAATCAAGGTTATGTGAGAAGTCCTAGAGAAGTTGGACCGTGTGGATTCGGCATCGGGATTGTGAGCTCAAGGACGAAACACGCCTTGAACCAAGCAGATCGAGACCAGTGTGGAGGGAGAAGTGGATTAAAACCCGGTCGATTAACAGTTGCATGCACCGGCACCCTGTGTCCCAGGGGCCTCGGGTCGCAAATCAACTCCAGGTCGTGGTCCTGCGCGCAGGTTACGAGGACCGCCAGCCTGATCAAGAGGGAGTTCCCTTGCAATGGCTGTGAACAACTCCTTGACATTTTTGGTGGTCTTGGCGGATGTCTCGAAGAAGAGAATCTTCACGCTTCTGCCACCTCGGGTCACAGCCTTTTCAGCCTCTCTGTTGAGATCATCGACATATTCCTGAGCAGCCGAGGTAGGAATTGCGCGCTTATTATCCGGGTCGTTCTCTTCTCCAACAAGGTCCAACTTATTGCCTGCCAACGCGATCACAAGGTCGTTCCCGCTGCTTTCGGCGTTCTGGGTAAGTTGGGCGACCCAAGCCTTGGCTTTCTCCAAAGACGACTGTAAGAAATGGGTAAGTTAGACAACAGTGCGGATAGAAAGCGAGTATCAGTTGGACAGGTTCAGCTTACGGCTTGAGTGATGTCATAGACCACGACGGCACAGTTGGCATTCCGGTAGTACATCGGAGTCAACGACTTGTATCTCTCCTGGCCAGCGGTATCCCAGATTTCAAACTTGATTGTAGCATTCTTATCCTCGAGTTTGACGGCCTGTGTCAAAAAAGCTGCGCCGATGGTGGACTCGCGGTAATCGTCGAATTGGTCCTGATGCGACATTAGTCTCTTTCTGATCTTCGATATGTCCGCATGCTATCCGCCCCTGGGAGATGCAAGCAGACTGCTGCGACCACTCACTTTGACGAATCTCATGACCAGGGAACTCTGGGGAATGACATGTTAGCGCCTGATAAGAAAGCTAGGTGACAACGGGAACCCCGAACCTTTCCGACGGCGGACTCTCCTATAGGAAAGAAACAATATACGTTAGTGCCGAAGCTTCAACTCCTGAAAAAGCTTTAAAAGGCCACTTACCGAGCAAGACAAGCTTGAAGTGGGCGAATTTTTCCCCAGGCTGGGCGCCTGCTCCGGGTCGGGAAGCCATGGTCACTGGTCAGGGGGAAACGTAGTTGAAGGTGGATGGGTGAGGGGGGTTAGGAACAACAAAACAAGCGACAACTCAGTCGCCAAATACGGTCCGGGATCGATCAAAGGCAAGTGTCTCGGTCACGGTGGTCGTGGAAGGAGAAGAGAAGGCCAGGCAACCTATCGAGTTGGATGACGGAAGGCCCAGCCACATGAGCAGCGGGGCGGTGTGGCGGTACGACCAGGAGGCCCGCGCCTGCCGGGCCTTGGCTGACCTGCGCTTGCGCCGGGCTTGCGTGTGTGTACGCCGCGGTCGATCATGTGTTCCTGGGCCTCGCTGGTTTGATTCCCCTCCACCAACAACGCCCCCTGATATCTCTCCCCTGAACACTGGTTGGTCGGGGTCATCACGATGGCACCTCAAATACTCCCTTTTAGGGATGTCAATTTACATGCCTCGCCCTCACACTATGCCTTTACTTCACCCTCGTCTCCCCAGGCACCCACGCTCGTGGTGGATCGGCCAACGGGCGACCTCCGACTGAACGATGGCCCTCTATCGGGAGCAAAGCGCATTTCCAGTGTCGCTGGAATTCTAGGAATCGTCAAGATGAAACTAGGTGAATTGCGATCCCAGTGAGAGTCTACTCTGGATATTCCTGGACGCTAATTCCCTTCTCCCGTAGACAAATACATCATTGTCATCACGAAAGCCCAGCCGATGGGACGCCTGCGCGGCCACATGGTCTACAAAGTTGCTGCGACCGAGTTCCTGCCGATGCGTGAACGTCCGCTTCATGATAAAGACGAGGACACCTACCTTGCTCTCGTGAAAGACCTCCTGCGCACTGGCCCTATGTACTTCTCCTACTCCCTGGACCTTACCAACAGTTTCCAGCGCCAGTCACAGAGTGCGGCGGATCTTCCCATGTGGAAGCGTGCCGATGACCGTTTCTTCTGGAACCGTTTTGTCCAGTCGGATTTGATTGACTTCAGTCTTGGAGAACATGACACAAACGGCATTCGATACGGTCCGCAGCCCGGCGTTGACCCCTTTATCCTTCCTGTTATGTTTGGCATGCTACGCATCACCCCAGCTCGAGTCAAAGGAATCTCATTTACATTTGCCCTCATTACTCGACGATCCAGACACAGAGCGGGAACAAGATACTTCTCTCGTGGAATTGACGAGCAAGGCAACGTTTCGAACTACAATGAAACAGAGCAGATTGTGATTCTGAACGATGCCGCCGGAGGGCTATCGGGATATGCGCCTGGTCAATCCATGACCAATAATAAGACGGGTCAGGATCTTCAAGTCTACTCCTTCGTCCAAACTCGAGGCAGCGTGCCCGTGTTCTGGGCCGAGGTCAACGATCTGAAATATACCCCAAAGCTCCAAGTCCGTGGGGTCGAGACTGCCGTCGAGGCCGCTCGTAAGCATTTCACTGAACAAATTCGTCTGTACGGAGAGAACTACATGGTAAATCTCGTCAACCAGAAAGGCCGAGAGGAACGGGTCAAGAAAGCATACGAGCAGCTGGTTCGCATCCTCGTCACGTCCTCCACCGAGACCACTGAAGCTGACGACAAGACCTCCGAGAAGATTCACATTTTGGAACCAGGTCTGAAACGGAAAGAGATGGACCGTCTACATTACGTCTATTTTGATTTTCACAATGAAACCAAAGGCCTGAAATGGCACCGTGCTGAGTTGTTGATGGGTCGCTTGAATGATGGGTTGAACCAGGGTGGCTACTTCCGAGGCGTCGAAGCACCAGGAGCTTCGGGTGGACAATTGGATATCCGATCGACACAAACAAGTGTTGTGCGGACTAACTGTATGGATTGTCTTGATCGGACCAATGTCGTGCAGAGCATGCTTGGTCGTTGGGCGGTAACACGGCAGCTCATGGATGCCGGTGTGCTTCGCGCGGGCGAGACTGCCAATGATGACCGAGAATTTGAAGATCTATTCCGGAACATCTGGGCAGATAACGCTGATGTTGTTTCGAAGTCGTATTCCGGCACTGGTGCCCTGAAGACTGATTTCACCCGAACAGGGAAACGTACTCGCGCGGGTGCGCTCCAGGACTTGAACAACTCCATCACTCGATATGTCCGCAACAACTTCATGGATGGTCCCCGCCAAGATGGCTTTGACGTGTTCCTGGGCACATATCTCCCCTCAGACGCCAGTTTTGCAAACATAAAGCTGTTCATTGACCGAAGACCCCTGGCCATCCAAGCGGTTCCGTATGTTCTTGCGGCCAGTCTGTTTCTGATTTTGGTTGCCACTCTCACCCGACAACTACCCGATGCCGCGGTCTGGCCACTTCGGCTTTTCATGATCTTCTGGGTCATCATTGGTGCCTATTGCTTCCGCTTCATTCATGGGCATGGCATGCTCTATGTCAATTGGCCAAAACTTAATACCCCTGTGGCTGGCGCGGAAGGATATCAGGATGCTCTGATCAAAGCTCGCTCTGACCCAATAGTTGGCCAATGGCTTCCGACTAAAAGACATCAGCGAGGCATCAGCAATGCTCGTCTTGTATTCCTTGAAGAGGGCAAGACTAGGATTGAGTGAACTTGCTTTTACTTGACCTCTTCTCTTTTCCCAACTCCTTTGTTATCATATTTGTAAACTTGATGGCTTGTATGTTTTACCGTTGCTGTTGCTCCCCGTTACTGGCTTGGCCTGGACCTTTTTTTTCATTTGTCTTTTTCGTTGGCAACCAAATGCCCCCCAACTTCATCTGATACAGTTTTTATTTTCCTTGTACTCGGGCTATCTGACTCGAGTGCTATTTTCATCACATTCTGATATGGCGACTTTCCTACCTCGCTGTTTAGCGCCTCAACAGGAAGACGAGATCTGGGGTGGCTTACCTAGAGACTACAGCCAATTTAAGACTATTGATTCAGTGTAATTATTATTCCTTTTACTTAAATATCGGGACTTTCTAGATATCACCAAATCTCTTTTCGCTCAGGCGTAGGCTGCAAAAACACTCCCAATAGATTCGACAGACATAAGAGGAGAATGAGGGAAATGCGAGGTTTAAAAGTGCCTTATAGTGCTTTTAAAAGTTCTGTTTCTCCAGTCACTCTCACCTTTTTTCCCCCCAGAAACATGATAACGCTTGTTGAATCCTCTGAATTGTGAGATACAGCCCTAGAATCAAGTGACTTGATAATATCACGTGATATTCCCGGTCTTCCGACGACCGGTTTCCCGAGGAGAGCTTGAACCGGGAGCAGAACCAAATAATCGACCTTCGAGCTGCCCGGGTTTCTTGTCTCGAACACTCCCGCCTGCTCCCCTTGAATCGCAGGCACGGGTTTCAATTGTCCATGAGAGGGATCTGGAGGTCCTTTCGCTGTTCCTATCCGCAGCGGCGAGTCTCGACTCACTCGCCCGCTATGACTCGCTCATATGAAGTACGTCAGCTGTCTCTTATCGCAATGCGCAGAGCATACGTGAATAGTACAACGAGTACTGGCCGTTTTACTGACATGTGATCGGTTCAGGCTGCCATTTCGGCACTCAATTCTCTCCAAACAAACTATGCGATTGTGGAGGAGCTTCGGAAAACCACCTCGAGAGAGGACATGAACAAGCGCTCCCTCCCCGAGACAGTTGAATGGCTTCGGCGCATTGGTTATAAGGTTTGCCAATTTCTTGATCTGCACTGGTCTGGTACCTCGGATATCTCAAGCTGACATGGGTCTTTCCCACTAGCCCTCCGATCTCAACCGATTGAATGTGATCCATGTCGCGGGTACCAAGGGCAAAGGCTCAACCTCTGCATTCATTTCGACTATTTTATCCCAGTATACTAAGGTGGAGCCTGGCAATCCTCCACCTAGTCTCCACAAAGTCGGACTCTATACCTCTCCGCATCTTCGCTTTGCCCGCGAGCGTATCCAGATCGATAATGCCCCGCTTTCCGAGGAACAATTTGCACGATATTTCTTTGAAGTCTGGGATCGCCTCGAAAATGCAGCCAAGCTTGCAGGCGAAGATCCTATATCCCCCGGCACGAAGCCCCAGTATTTCCGCTACCTGACTTTAATGGCATTCCACACTTATATGAGCGAGGGCGTTGACGCGGCCGTGATTGAGTGCGGCATTGGTGGAGAATATGATGTTACGAATATTATCGAAAAGCCCAAGGCGACAGCGATTACAAGCCTAGGTATTGACCACACTGCGATGCTGGGAACTACCATTGAACAGATTGCCTGGCACAAGGGCGGGATCATCAAGCCTGGCGTCAAGGGCTTTACTGCCCCGCAATTACCCAGCGCAGAGGAGGTTCTTGCCAAGCGTGCCGCGGAAAAGGGGACACAGCTAGATGTTGTGTCTAATCACCCCGATCTCCGTGTGGGCCATAGTCAAGTCCAGCTTGGGTTGGCGGGTGACTTCCAGTATACGAATGCATCTGTAGCTGTGGCTGCCGCGGCGGAATTTCTGCAGAAGGCCGGTGTCGCTGATATTCCTGAGAACGTTATGTCCACCCCGCTCCCAGCTAAGTTCGTGACCGGCCTCGAGCAGACTCGCTTGGGTGGTCGGTGTGAAACACGGACCGAGAAGAATGTTGGCTGGTACATCGATGGAGGACACACTCTAGAGAGCATCCGACTGGCTGGCCAGTGGTTTGCCTCTCGAATTCAGGCCGACTCGTCATCGCAGGATGCTGCCACCAAGAAGCCGCGCATCTTGATTTTCAACCAACAGACCCGTGATAGCACTGCCCTGGCACGCGCTCTTCATGAAACGCTCACTAAGGCTCTTGGATCCACTACTCCTTTCACCCATGCTTTTTTCTGCACGAATATCACATACAAGCAAGCAGGATACCGCCCCGACTTGGTCAGCATGAACACCAATGCTGATGATGTGGAACTACTTCGCGTACAGACTTCACTTGCCTCTGCCTGGAATGAAATTGACCCGCAAGCCCACACCCAAGTGTTTGGCACGATTGAAGAGGCCGTTGACTTTGCTCGGGATCTGGCTGCCCAGGAACGAAGGGCCTTCCAGGATGATGAGGCGCCCGTCATGACGTTTGTCACTGGTAGTATCCACCTGGTAGGCGGCTTCCTTGATGTGATCGAAACCAAGCCATATACCGAGAGTGCTTAATTGCTGCTCGTTTCGGCGATTGATTTAACGGGCAGCCTGGAGCTTCATGCCCCTTTTGGTTCTTGTATCAACACTTGACATATAATTTATGACATAGCGAGATGATGGAGACTATAGAGGTGTTTTTGTGGATTTCAACAATTCAAGATTCCCATAATGCATTTGTCAATCAGAAGAGTTGTATTTGGTCATGCTTACTGGTGCTTCGGGGTGCCGAGGTTCCTTGCACACCGCGCTAGCAAGGAACAGCGCAAAGACAGCGGCTGTGGGACTAGTGTAAGTAACTTGGTAGATGCAAGCCGCGTAGTAGCCCATGCGAACTCGACAAAAATAATTCGTTTCTCACATAGTGAGACAGCATCGTTTCACCATGGTGGAAGCCAAATGATACGGAGCGTGCCACCCTCGGCCCCGCCGATCCGCAATTGATGCGGTTAACGTTAACGTGGGGCCCAAACGAAATCCTTCCCTTCTCACACTCACCACCGCGATTCGTTCCTCCCCCGCATTCACTCCAACTCGTGGTCATGTCGGACTCAACGGACAAGGGAAAGGCCCCTAAGCGCCACGAGGATGAAGCTGAAGATGCCGGCACCGGCAGCGCCTCCAACAGCGGTAAGGGTGTGCACTGTGATCTACGGCCTGTATGGTGCCTTTACTGAATCGAGATCCTCAGGAACCGCAGCTGCCACCAAAAAGCTACCACCGAAGATGCTCGAAATGCTCATGGAAGCGAACCCTGCCCTCAAGAACGAGCTTGTCAACATGCCGAAGGACAAGGCGGCGGAGTTGCTTTCGAAGATGGACATTGCGCAGTTGTTGACTGGCCTGTCGCTGGGCGGTGGAAAGAACCAGAAGGACATGGCTTCATACAAGTTCTGGCAGACACAGCCCGTGCCTCGATTTGACGACCAAGCGAACCCGACCCCCGTTACCCAGGGCCCGATCAAGCTTATCAACCCGGAGGAAGTACCGAAGACTCCTGGACCGTTGGTTGACGGGTTTGAGTGGTGCACACTCGATTTGACCGACCCTAACGAATTGAAGGAACTGTATGAGTTGCTGAACAACCACTATGTGGAGGATGATAATGCCATGTTCCGTTTCGCCTACTCACAGTCGTTCTTACACTGGTTCGGCCTCCAGCTAAAGTTACACCCCTCCGCATCGTACGAGATGGCTAATTTTTGAATGAAATTGTACGAACAGGGCCCTCATGTCTCCTGGCTGGAAAAAAGAATGGCATGTTGGTGTTCGGGCCACTAAATCGCGCAAGTTGGTCGCATCCATTTGCGGTGTTCCGACGGAGATCCGCGTCCGCGGTGAGCGGCTGAAGGTGACTGAGATCAACTTCCTCTGCATCCACAAGAAACTGCGCTCCAAACGTCTTGCCCCTGTTCTGATCAAGGAGATTACCCGTCGCTGTTACATCAATGGCATTTTCCAGGCCATCTATACCGGCGGCATCATTTTGCCCACTCCTGTCAGCTCGTGCCGATACTACCACCGCGCGCTGGATTGGCTGAAGCTCTACGAAGTTGGCTTTTCGCCTCTCCCCACTGGTTCCACCAAGGCCCGCCAGATTGCCAAGAACCATCTCCCTAGCACCACCTCTACTCCCGGTCTGCGGCCTATGGAGGTAAAAGATATTGATGCGGTTTACGATCTTCTGGAACGATACAGTCACCGGTTTGATCTCAACCAGGCTCTCACCAAAGAGGAGGTTGAGCACTGGCTCGTGTATAAGGAGCAGCCTGGCAAGGACCAGGTTGTTTGGTCATACGTGGTGGAGGACCCCAAGTCTCACAAGATTACCGACTTTGTCTCATTCTACAACCTTGAGTCCACAGTCATTGATAACCCCAAGCACGAGGTTGTCCGTGCTGCCTATCTGTATTATTACGCGACCGAGACCGCCTTCACCGACAACACCCAGGGACTCCGGGAGCGTCTCCTGGTGCTGATGAATGATGCACTGATTTGTGCCAAGCAGGTATGTGATTCCACGACACGTCTGCTCCTGATAATGTCGTCTTCTAATACTCCATTCTAGGCCAAATTTGACGTCTTCAATGCCCTCACCCTGCATGACAACCCCTTGTTCCTCGAGCAGCTCAAGTTCGGCGCTGGCGACGGTCAACTCCACTTTTATCTGTACAACTATCGCACAGCTCCCATCCCGGGTGGAATCAACGATAAAAACCTGCCTGATGAGAAGAAGATGGGTGGTGTCGGTATCGTCATGCTTTAGGTTGGTGCTTATGTTTATTTGGTTAGCGGATCTGGAAGCAGTCTCGGACACCCAAAAAACGAATCTCCTTATTTATGGCCATGAAAATAAAGAAATTACAAACCATTACCATGCATTAGATCATCTATAAATCTTCCAATTGTTCTGCCTACCCTGATTCTTTCCAGTTGTGAAGTCTGGGCCTTGAAGCAGTCCAGCCCCCATTGACACCTCAGGCACCACAATCTGACGTCGTCATCTGAAACGTTGCTTGTTCTCCACCTTTCCTTCTTTCCTTTGAGCCTGTACTTGCCGAATTCCGAGTGGTTGCTCTTCTTTTTTTTTACTTTTTGGAAAACAACTTTAGACATCTTATCTTGGTCTTTGTTAGAAAGACCAGCGAAGCGAAGTAAAGTGGTGGGGTTCTCCCCGCTCTTACGGCTGCAATGGGTGCTAGCCAGTCAACAGATCACAGTGGAGCGTCACCAGGTCAGTCATCTCCCTCTCCCTCTTCAAGCTTTCGGAGTTTCCCTGTTCCATCTTGGATCATGTATACGGAAAAGTGCCATCATCGAGCCCCTCTCTTTTCAGTGCTCGCCGCAAATACATTTTTGACATACTGTTGACTTTAAACAGAGGAGTTGAGTTATGTGCTTGCGGAGCGCTTCGCAACAAAATGTTTCTCTCCGTTGGAGCTCACCCACCTGAAAGACAACTTCTTCTCCCGTGCTGCAGAGCAGGGTGGTCTCAAGTACTGGAACGAGAAGACGCTTTCTGACTTTCTTGGCGTCCCAGATGGGAGCTTCTCAGCTGGCCATGAGAACCCGCTTGATGCGGGCCCCGTTCTGTTTCGAATGGTTTCTTTTCTGGGCGCATTTCCATTCCAGAATACTATGGCTCCCAGTGTATTGACATTTGAGGCCATGGTCAAGGTGGTCGTGCTACTCACAGAGCGCTACGGGAGGGTTCTTCGCCGTGGCCGAAAAGACCGTATTAAGCTGCTATTTGGTAGCCTTGCTGATGTGGGGAGAAAGAGTACCGGGCAGTCATCTAATCAGGAAGCAAATAAGGAGACTGAAGCTTTGGATGCCAATGCAGCTGACGCTCCAGCCGTCAATTCTCACACTCCAGGCTTTTCTATTGACGAGCCCGCGAATGATGATTATGACGAGGATGAAGATGATGATCTTGCTCTTGCGGCCTTGGAATCTCTTGATGCAATTGAGGTATTCAAACATGACCATCGAGTTGATAGAACGGTATATGAGACACGGATTTCCATTGATACCTTTCGCCGACTGCTCATGTTGTTGCTGGTTATTGCACCTCTCAAGCCCCTGGAGTCTGTCAAATCACACATGGCTGATCTCGGTGTTGAAAGGGTTGAGGCAATCCAAAAGGAGGCAGATCATATTATCGCGGCATTTTCATCTGAAGAAAATGATGGTGGTATCTCATACCGAGCCTTCTCCCGGACAATAACATCATCGTTACCGTACTTGTTTGATCCTCTCACGCCACTTTTTGAGCATCTCCTGTTCAGCAAAAACTTGAACCTTTCCCAAAGACGACAGACAGGAAATGAGCTAGAGGGGGAGACGAGCGAGAAGCCGGACGAAATTTTACCACCAAAGCCGATTATACGCCCAGGAAGTTTTGAAACAAATATCCTTAACTCAACATTGATCTCTCATATTTCCTTCTTCCTCCCTTCCGTCTCAACGTCCTCCAGCCTTTTCAAGAGCGGGGTTTGTCTTCATCCTGTCTTCTCTACGGCCGCTCACGGTTCTTCATTAACCTCCTTTTCCCACCATGTTCTGACCTGGCAATCTGCTACATTACTTATGCTTCAAGGCACAGTGGAGGGGTCCGATGCGGACCTGGTCACAATTGGCGCCTACATTCCACAAACATGGAAGTCTCCTTCATCTCACGGAACATCACGAACATCTGACGCATTGCCCTGCCTCTTCCAATTATCTCCAAAGCACCAGGTCCTACCGGGAAATCCGTCTTTGTCAATCCAGAAACAGGTCAACACACCTGCGGCTTGGTTCTCTACCCATACCGGCCTTGCACTAGGTTGCCAAATCCCCCCGGCCTCACGCAGTCATCACGCCCAGCCCACTCCGCACGGGGCGGCTAGCTTGCTCATCGATGTGAATCTTGAAAGTGCTGAGCTGCACGTAGCACCTGTCGGTCAAGATGGCGTCTTCCTACCGTCTGGAACTTCTTCACCCAACGATCCATCGACTAAAACCCGCCTTGACATATATAGCCTTGAGATCTGGGGGATTATCGCAGATCCGGAGCAGGCTGCTTCGTCTGATTCAAACTCCAATGCGGTAGAGATGCAGCGTGCAAAATGGGAATTCGAGGCGCGAGACGCAGAGAGGCGACGCAATATCAATCTCAAAGCCGGTGCTGGTGACTCGGCAAAGGAGAGCGCGCGGTGGTTGTTGGAGACGGCTGGAATTATTGGAGATGAAGCACATCAAGCCGGGGGCAGAGGTTGACATGATTTTGATTGTTGTTGTACTGTTAAGAGGCTGCGGAGTTGGGATTCGGCGTGATGGGCCAGTTCAATCTTGTTACCATGAAAGCCATCAGGGGCCTGACTCTTTGCGCTGTGTAATTTCTACGAAGAGAATGCAGTAAGATCTTGCGTAGGCGAATGTTTCTCCATTGTTGATAAGCAGAGATTTACAAAAGGTAGTATTAACTATGCCATGGACACTGGGCATCCATAATTTCTCTTTGAGAATACACGCTCGACTTAATCAAATATCAGGGCAAGCAACAGAAAATAGACACTCTCTGCCTCAGACACGCAAGGGCGGCATGCTCATGGGTGCATCATAGAAATCCATCAGCTCTTCCTCTTCAACATCTACGGAATTTTCTACCTCTGATTCTTCATCGCTGGGCTTCGGGATAGCCCTCGAAGCCCGATTGCGTATCGCAGCAGGACCATTAATCCCGGAGAAGGGTGTGCTTTCGGACTCAAACGCCTCTTGAGCTTCTTCATGGGGCAGACGCAAAGCCGGAAATCCATCAGGAGCGCGCTCAGCCCGGTCCATGATCTCGTTCATGTACTTGCGGACTTCATCAGCCGGCTTGACGACGCGAGTAAGAGGTTCGAGGATCCTGGGACTCCCAGCGTGGATGCGGAAGGTGACTGGTTGCCAATACTCTTTAAGATTGGCTTCCTTGGCTGGCGTGCCAGGTGCCTCTTGCTCAGTCTTGGGCTTGGACTCCGACTGATCGGCAGACCCTTGCTGCTGAGGTGTCTCTGCCGGGGCGGGCGTCTCTGTGCCATCCTTCCCCTTCTCTGCTTTGGCTCCCTTCTTGGATTTGGAGGCGCTTTTACCCTTCCGAGAAGTGGAATTCTCAGAGGGTACTTCGATGGGAAAGGGCGCGTTCGGGTCCACTTTTCTCACGATAAGGAAGGAAGCCAGTATTGTATTTTCGTTCGGAATCCATTCTAGAATCGAGTGCTCGGGAAACAGATAACGATCACCGGAGCCAGCGTGACCGGAGGTGCTGCTTCCATACGGCGTCAATGGGGAAGTGAATTCGAACACAACGGACTTATAGTTGATAGGCGTAGGCAGAGGGCGGGAGGGAGCTGGCTGAGGACGGTAGTATGGTGTTGGTGAGTCATATTGCGAAGGGCGTGACTGGAGCGGTGGCTGCGCGCTGTATGGTCCCTGTTGATATGGAGTTTGAGGTTGACCCGGTCGTGGCGCTGCCATTTGCGGCTTGTTTGGAGGCTGTGGCGACTGTATTGCAGGAGCTTGTTGTTGGGTCACAGAGCTGGGGGGAGGGACAGCGGGTGGACCAGTCGTTGCAGAAGGAGTAGCAGGAATAGCAGGAGTAGTTGTCTGTGGAGGTTGTGACGGCATAGCTTGTTGGTTGGTGGATCCCGTTGTGCCTGGTTCTTGTTTGATCGCCGGAGGCAAGCTGGGGCCTTGTGAAGCACTTGCTGCCGCCGCCGGCGTTTCAGTTTGCACAGGTGTTGCAGGCGCTGGAGGTTGAGAAGCTGATTGCGCCGCCTCACCTGGCGGTTTCGCCGCAGCGGGCACAGGAGCTGGTGCAGGAGTCACATCCAATCCCGTGGATGCTGGTTGTTGCTGTGGCTCCTTCGATTGTGTCTGTGATTGCGTACTAGACTGTGGTGTGGCAGCCTGATTATGCGGCGTCGGCTTCGTTTCCGGGACGCTCTTCTGTTGCGGTGTGGGTTGTGGTGGGGTGGATTTATTTTGATGTGCAGGAGTCGCTGTCTGAGACGGAGGCTGTGGTTGAGAAGGAGTTGCAGCTGCATTTCGCTGGCGCTGTTGCTCTTGCTCTCTTGCCTTGATTATAGCATTAAGCTCGTCAATGTGCGCCTGGAAAGCCCGAAGCTGCTCTTGTGACGCCTGGCTGGATGCCACAACTCTCATGAGTGCTTTGAGTTCTGGATCCGCAGCGGCTCTGGTCGCAAGCATCTGAATCACTGGGTCTGGACTGGGTTTGGCGGGCTGTCCGGACTGGCCGGGCTGCGGTTGAGGTCGGTGTCCTGGCTGAGGCTGACTCGGGCGTTGCTGGGGCGGAGGATGACTTCCGGGGTAAGCATGGGGTGGACGACCTCCAGGAGGACCATGAGTATAGGGAGGTCTCTTCTGCTGGGAAGGATATGGCTGGTACTGCTGAAAGTTGTTCGGGTGGCCGTAGTGGACCATCGGACGTTGTGGGGGTGCATACTGGATTGCGTTTGGGGCGTTCGGGTCCTTAACCGTGTAGATCATTGCATCAAAAAGATGAGGACCAACGGTTATGTCGCATGGCCCAATTCGTGTCATCGAGTCTTTTGGAGGGTTGTTCTTTTCGATCTGTTCGCGCTTCGTCTTTTTCGGCTTGGTATAATATCGCACCAAGATGCCATCGCTCAACCATTTCTTTTTGGATCGCTCGAGGGATAAAAGGAGAACAGCACTGTCAAAATAGCGACATAGATGATTAGCATTGCCTAGAGCTTTCTGGATGTCTTCAAATCAAACCTTTCTGCGAAAGACTGGTACTCTTTGTCCGACAAGTCACCGGGCTGTCGTTCCCGGGTGACTGGCACAGGTTCACCATCCTTGATACTAATAGGCAATGGGGCCTCGACAGGCTCAGGAGGTGGAGGTGGAGGAGATGGAACGCGAGGAGTTGGTGCCTTTTTCTTCTGGGATTGCGGAGTCGCAGCCTCGGAGACTCGTCGCTTGGCCGCAGGTTCGCGACCACCACGCGGGGGAAGTTTGCGCTTTTCAGCCATTTGTCACAGCTCACAACATTTATACAGACAATCGTGATAGATCACCACAAACAATCACTCACGGCTGCTGGAAGGGACGAAGAATGCGGAGTTGAAGGAGATGCAAGTGGTGAGTGGAAGGGGGAAAAGCGTGACGCGCGATAAATGGGATTGTCCGCTTATCCGCTTATCAGCTGCTCGCCGCCTTCTCCGCGATTCACCGGCTTCCATGTTGACATCCTGCAACGTCCAACAGGATGGTGGAATTGAAGTCTATATTCAGGAAGGCCTACTGGTCACTTGCAGCTGGTGGGCTGGTCTATGTTCTATTCATATGCGCCTTGACCTTCCCCGAAGTTCAACGTTTGTATGCATTTTCCCGTCTTGAGCTGATGGGATGTGGATAAGCTGACCCAATATACAGTTTCCTTTACGCCAACAAAGTCAACCCTAGTTATTGGCAAGACTTGGACCAAGTGGAGCAATTTGGATTTTTGAGTAAGTGGCATAAGGAAGTAAAATTGAAAACTTATTGATTGGCCTAGAAACACAGGTGCAGCCATTCCATCTGGTCACGCCGGATAATGAAACACTCTATGGCTGGCATCTGCTGCCTCTACATCTTTGCCGAGAACATGAGGAGGAGCTCATGAAGGATCCCCCATCGGGTCCTGCTGAACATTATTCACAAACCCTGGCTTTCAAGCTTTTAGCTCATGATCCAACTGCTCGAGTTGTCGTCAGCTGTAGGAAATCCTGCTATCTGACCGGAACCTCTACGACGGAGCTAACATTTCAAATTAGTTCATGGCAATGCTGCTCATCTTGGCTCGGCTCAGCGCCCATCTAACTATAATGCATTACTCAGCCTGTCGACCCCATCAAACCCAGTTCATGTCTTTGCAATCGACTATCGTGGCTTCGGCGTCTCCACTGGCAGCCCTACAGAGGAGGGTGTCATCACAGATGGCGTTTCACTCCTCAACTTCCTGACTGCAGAGCCATTGCATATCCCTCCATCCCGAATTGTTCTCATGGGCCAGAGTCTGGGCACGGCGGTCACGGCAGCAGTGGCGGAGCGTTTTGCATTTGGATCACCGGATCCGAACGCCATTCAACCGGCCATCAAAAACGCGGAGCCATTTGCTGGTGTGATTCTGCTTGCATCCTTCAGCAATGTTCCTCATGTCATTGAATCCTATAGTCTCAAGGGTCTTACTCCTCCCATGCTATCGCCGCTAGTCGGATATCCTCGATTCCAGAAATGGGTCATGAGCCATATTGTGGACTACTGGGATACCGCAGCCAGAGTGGCTCGTTTGACTGGTGTCACTTCTTCCATCCCTGATGCCTCGGGGCTGACATATTCGCAAAAGGATCTTGATTTAACAATTGTACACGCCAAAAATGACGTGGAGATCCCTTGGTATGAAGGGCGCCGTGTGTGGGCCGCTGCCATCGGGGAAATTCAGGAAGACACCCCTGGAAAACTCATATACGAGAACTCCCAGCCTGGTCGCCCTAGTGAAATCAAAGTCTGGGAAAACCGTATCACTGGAAGCGACGGAACCACCGTTGTGAAAAAAGTGAGATGGGAGCGTGTGCAATATGGTGGTATGTTAAATTTGTTCAATGTGTGCTCTTTTGTGAATGTGCATTCCCGATACTGATGATCCTGCTAGGTCACAACCGGGTAGCATCCTTTTCGGTTGCAGGCCTTGCGGTTTTACGAGCTTTTGAAGAATAGCCGGGGGGGTCGGTTCCCCAAATGCAACCTCGAACAGGTTATAGAAACCATACGAGTGACCGAGCACATAGATATCATTCACGCATAACAGCCTAATAGGCCTTTAGAGGGTAGAATTCAATATCTTAACAAGTACTTTGACGCTAAAACAATTGGACATGATCACATCTTTCAAATTTCATTGTTGAAATAGATCAATGTGAAAGCCCTCAGCTCAAAGCAGTATGTGCTTCTAAGCCGGCACTTGCCGCTGGACATTGACAGCGTAGTCGACGCAACTTTCTTCAAAAGTTCGGGTCTGGTTGCAATGGGACTGATCTCGCTAGGATGAACTTGCTGCTGTGTGGTTGTATGCTTCTTTTTGAGGAGCTCTTTCATCAGTATATCTACGCTAATTGTTTGGGTTGTGCATTTTTGACAAAATACTCCTAAATTGGCATCCTCCATGATCTTTGTTGAGCATTTCGAAGAAGCATGCCCTGGATATAGCCCATACTCGGAGGTTTCTACTATACATTTTAGCGCTATGAAAGGCCGTCCTTTAACGTTGGGAGGACAAATGCCATTAGCGACGCTGAGCTCGCGTCTTCTCTTTTTGGCCAATCGTTTGGCACCTTCGATACATATGTGATGATATTTTGTCAACAACCGTGTTCTGGAAGGTTGAACTCTGTTTAAATCATACAACTCTATTCGAATGGTTGAATCTGGCTGAAACACTTCGCTTTTAGCGATGGCTATTTCTGGACATCGACAAGGAAAGTCTATGTCTTTCGGAATGGCAGTTTTGAATACAGCGTGGTACTGAGGCACTGAATATGGACATAAATGCCTCTCTGAGGAAGACAATTTGACTATTTATTCCTTGACACACTGGGCGTGATATCTATCGATTCTCAATGCCTCGATGTCGAGCGGTACCTGGACCCCGTTTCCCCCGTGCTGGATACGTCATTCGCACGGTTCCAAGAACGATATTCCGAGCGCTGTCGACGGGAATGGCGTGCGGGCGCACCCCGGCGGGTAACCTGCGAATGATCCGGTTTCTGGTGCGGTTGTTGGTCGTCACTCTCGGATTCGAGGTTGAGGATGCGGGCGAGGTTCTCAGCAGAGCGAAAAGGGCTAGTTGATCGGGAAGTCATTTTTTATTTTGATACTTGTTTGCAATTCAAGTAGTCTAGGGATGTCGTTGACTAGGTAGGGAGGAAAGAAAATTAAAAGATTATTTTGCATTTATATGGATATTGTGGCACCGCTGGAGGCGAATTCGCGGTTAGTCATAATGAGGACACATTGATGCAATGGATCAAGTTCTCGGGCAGTTATGTTGGAATCGAAAATGTATTGGATTAAGTATTAAACACTGATTGTAAGAATATCAAGATCCATCCAAGTTTTGGAGAGGCAACAGACATTCGGATAGAAAATACGAAATGTCACTGTTGCCTTCCATCCACTGTTCTTCTCGTCAAATACTGAGCTCACTCCCGATGTGTTTTCCCGCTAGACTTGCTGATCAAGCGCTTCAGACTGTAGCTGAGGGAACGCGAACTGTTCTCTCGTTGTGGTGTCTTCTGCGAGACAGATGCTACCTCCTTGTCGGAGGGGGGGTTCAATTCGGAGTCTGAGGTTCCCAAGTGGTGGGTTAGACTACTTGCAGTAGATGGTTCTTGGTTATGAGACGGGAATTGCTTTGGAGAACCAAAGAAGGGAGTCAAAAGTGTCTTTGGACCGAGCCAACTGTTTCTTCTCTTCGTTCGGGATTGTCTGTTGGCATCGTTGCTGAGTTGGGAGAGTAAAATCTGGACACTCGAATCCCAAGGCACATATTCAGTCCCAGGATTATCCAGAGATGTAAAAGTTTCATAAATCATTTTCACAGCCTTCGGGAATTGTACTGCAGATGGTAGGTTGAGACGTTCCACCCTCGACAGCTCTCGGCTTGCAACAGTACTCCAGTCTCGCTGAGGTGGTTCGACGACCAGACCATTTCCAGGGTACAAAGAACCAGAATAAGATCGGTTTCTATTGCGTTGGCACCTCTGCAAAAAAGAGCTGAAGTTGGCCGCAAGAGTTACGGCGCAAAGTGGTACGAATCCAACTTGAATGCCTTCATTGGCACGCATCTGGTAATTCCCAGGAAGATCAACGGCAATCTCAAAGCACCAAGCCCACATGTCTGAGAACATGCGACCGATGACATAGAAATTCCCCAACCTCAGACGGAGTTCATCTGCATCTCGATTGTCTTGTCGGATACGGACCAGAGATGGATCGATTCCGATAACGACTGATCCTTCTTCTATTGCCCAACTGTCGGTATCCTTGCATCGAATATCTCGATATGACACCAGACGATTACACAACTTTGCTGCAGGTTGGCGAAGCACAGCTTGGTGGTTGGAGTTTGAGGTCTCATCTTCCGTTGAGCTCTGATTGAAATTCCTACCCCGAACGTCGGAAGTAGCTCGGACGTGTTGACTATTGCTGTCATGGAAGGTATCGGTATCTACAGACTGTGGCATAGTCAGAGAGAGGGATGCAATAAAAGACTTTAAGACCAACAAAGGCTCACCCATGAAACAGACTTTGTCCCGATAGTTCCAAGACCTTGATCAGAGGACGATGTGATTGTTGAGATTGCTGTGTCCCCGTCTTTCAGTGACAGGTCAGATGTATGCATGCTCCAGGGACCACCAAGGGAGAAATCAAAACGACCAGGATATTCCTTCTTTTTCCTCCATGAACTGACCTCCTCCTCGTGAAAAGATGGAGAATGTCGATAAACCGTCGTGGATCTTTCGTCGAGGTCGCTGCCGTCGGAGTTGGATACCACGGAAGACGACTCGTCAGGTAAAGAACGAGGAAACCAAACCGGGGGTCTGTGGAAGTACTCGCCATGGCGCCGTTTTTGCGAAATCGAGTCTGGAGTGTATGAAAAATTGGATCGTTCTTCGTCGCTCAAATCCTCTGTACAAAGTAACACCCCAGAAGTAGGACTAAGGTATGACAGAGCAGCCATACTGTTGCGCTCAGCGATGGGATACGATGATCCTCCGGGGAGAGATGGCATGGTACACTGGAGAATAAGGTATGCTGAGAGGAGAGAAAATGCGTATGGGAAGGAAATAAGATTTGAGAAAGAAGCAGGCAGAGGACATGAAAAGTTTAGATGTGTAAAGTAAAGTTGAGAGAGAAGGAGAGAGAGAAAACCCGGGAGGGAGCAGTCTTTGCATGGTAAGTAAAAAAGGCAGGTGCATTTACAGTGAGGTCTCTCAAGTCTCATAGGCCTGGAAAGCTCAATTATACAGAGACAACCATGATAGTTCTCATATTTACTTCATTCGTCCAAGTTTTTGTCAACTACTTGCATCCCGACCTTGAAAATCCATCGACTAAACTAACATTTTGTGTAATACAGAACTGCCAGGTGAATCGCCAGATGGATCAGCCATGATGTTGAAATATAGAACTATACATTACAAGGCCTCTCCGGAACTGGATTGATCGTTTGAACTACATCCAAGCCGGAAACAAGCCTCGGCTGGAAGTTGAATCTCATTGCGCTGAGTAATACATGCCGTCTCCAGCCGCGGTGCTGATTGCGGGGAATGGGAGCTTAAATGCACAGTGTCCGCTTATCAAGTCTATCAACTCAAGCCTGGGAATCTAACGAACAGTCTCCAACTGAAGTATTCCTTAGCTCGCCCCCATAAAAGCGATATCAAATCCACCATGGCTCTCCCGAAGATCACTCTCTATATAGACATTGTTAGCCCATTCGCGTACATTGCATTTCATGTATTGAAGGCAAGTCCGCCAAGCTGGATCTACTAACGAGATCGAGTCCCGAGACCGCTAACGAGCCCTTTCCCCCAGAACTCGCCCACCTTTGCAAAATGTGAGGTGACCTATGTTCCTATCCTCCTCGGCGGGTTGATGAATTCGTGTAGCAATACACCGCCTATCGAAATCAAAAGTGAGCATACAACGATCTAATACCTTGTGCACTCATGTTATCATGACGCCTCCCCGCTGACAGGTATCTCTAGACAAGAACAAATGGGTGGCGCAAGAAAGATTACGATGGGCAAAGTTTTTCGCCGTCCCCATGAGCGATTCGTACCCGCAGGGCTTTCCACCACGTACTTTGACCGTTCAGCGGGCCCTCTGCGCTGTCTCGCAAAAGTCGCCTGCAAAGCTGCCCGCGGTCATCGATGCGCTATACCACTCATTCTGGGTGAATGAGAATTTTAAAATTGGTGAGCCCGAGACATTTGCACCTATTCTGGAGAGCATTCTAGGCAAGCAAGTAACTCAAGACGTACTGTCGGCGGTAAGTGAAATGGGCTCAATCCAGGTGAACCTCTGAGAGTGGCCGGTGTTGACCAAGATAACAGGTGAGCCACCCGGAAGTCAAGGCACTCCTTTTGTCAAATACCGACGAGACTTTCAAACAAGGCGCATTTGGTCTCCCATGGTTTCAATGCACAAACGCGGCTGGCGAAACAGAAGGATTTTGGGGTGTGGATCATCTAGGCGTGGTGGCCAACTTCCTTGGGCTTGATCGGAGCCAGGATCCCGGATTTAAAGCAGTTTTGTAAGAGGTGCATTGTGGGCAATAGGTTAATCTCCGCTCTATATTCGAATATCAGGCATTCTATCGATTCTCATATCAAGTCTGTCATGGTTGATTGCAATCTTCTGCGTGCCATCATCCTCCAACTCGAGACAGTTCCAACATTTGCATATGTCACAATTGGAATTGCACCAGGCTAGCCATCTATCGGAGGGAAAAAAAAGTAGTATGAATAGGCCTTATTTAATCGTTGGTCGCGGAGGCGCCGTACTTCTATGTCTCTCTCTTAAGAAATCACAGATCTCCTCCTCGTCCATTTGATCGATCATTTCATGCTCCGGATGCGGGGAATTCGATTCTATTTCAATAAAGCCGGTCAGCTTGAGCCATTATTTGACGTTGTATTCTCATATGTCTCCCACTTACCTTGGTTTGCCTGGTCGTTGTGGCTTCCATTCACTGTATCTGCTAGGCTTTGGACCCGGGCTTGAGCACCCTGCAAAGTCTCCCCCGCGGCGGGGACGACACCATCGAAAACGTTCTCTTTTATGTTGCTTGCCGTCTCTCCAGCCATGGTGGTGATTTTGTTTTTGATTTGTGTGATAGAGGCGCCGTTGGTAATGTAGTCGAGTTGTTGTTTTGCCCCTGCGAGAATGCCACCAGAAGCGTTGGCGTCGTGATGGGTTGGGTCTGGTTTAGAATTCAAGTTCTTCGAGACAGTTGATGTGACAGTGTCAGCAGATTCCCTCATCGCGTAACGATGGTAATTATCTCGAGGCGTGCACGGGGGAGAAATTGTTCAATAGGTGTGATTGAGAGGCGATCGAGAACCATAGGGCTGAACTTCACGTAGGGCTGAGAAGACTGCTCATATTCCGCGACCACGCGGGCCGGCAGGGGTATGACATCGATTAATGGTGGAGAACAGACGCAAGTATTCGTGCAGGCAGCAGGGGTTCTCATAATCTCGGCTGAGATCATGGTGCACTTTGCTAACGATGAAACTTGGCTACGGTGGGTGCAGGGAGCCTCTCCATCGCTGATCCGTGCCTCGCAATGACGTCGCCGGACCCATCGGACACCCAGGGTGGGCAAGACATTCGAGGCGTGTAACGTGGAAGAGAAAGATGCGGATAGAAGTCAGTCACCGGAGAAAGATCCGCTAACTCGACACATGGGTCGTTTGTGCTCGGAACTGCGATATACTTGCGAAGTGCATGGAGTATGACTGGCTCGGAGTGAAGGTTGGCGTTGATGGACCCGTCAGCTTGGCAACACCCGAATTGACCATTCGGTGCCTATTGTGGCGCGAGCCAGAGCGATTTGAGAAAAGTATTGAGTGTGGCAAATATTCAACGAGTAAATTCCCGATACTAATGAGAATAATAATGGTTGGATTTCATGGCGGCTGCGTTCTATACTTCGATGAGATTGTAGACTCCTATTGTGTCGCAAGTATATGAAGAGCGGGGCATTGCGACTTTGAATTCGAATTGGAAGTGGTCGTACAATTCCCTGGAGACTATAACACATCCAAGAAATTCAAGTCACATCCCGAGTTAGCATCATCCCCCAGTCCTTCTCTTCCTGCACCAGCGTCGAGGCGTCGAGTCGTCAAGCCCCGAGCCAGAAAAACCCAAGCCCCACCGGCGCCAAACCTCTCGCCGCATCGAAAGCGCAAACCCCGCGACATCAAAACTTTGTCCTCTTCAACAACCCCCAAGCCCCGACCCCAGTACCCAAATATCAGAATACCATACTCTATACCACGCTCGTTCGAAAACATCGCTAGAAGTTCTCCTCCCTACACAGTCTCGCCACTCTCTACCATGGCGCCTATTCCTGTGACAATCGTTACTGGCTTTCTCGGCTCCGGCAAAACGACCCTCCTCCTCAACCTCCTCCCCCAACTCCCGCCAACCTACCGCCTCGCCCTGCTTAAAAATGAATTCGGCGACGTCGCCGTCGACTCGCAACTTGCCGCGACAAACTCGATCTCCGGCGTGCGCGAGCTACTCAACGGCTGCATCTGCTGCAACCTGGTCGGCCAGCTCGGTGACGCGCTGGAACAACTCCGGCGCGAAGTGCAGCCCGACCGTATCGTGATCGAGACCAGTGGGAGCGCGTTCCCAGCGACGCTGGCAATGGAGGTGAATCGACTGGCGCGCGAGGGCGATGGCGGATTCGAGCTGGATGGGGTGATCAGCGTGATCGACGTCGAGAATTGGGAGGGGTATGAGGATACATCGTATACGGCGAAGCTGCAGGCAAAGTACACGGACCTAATCATCTTTAACAAGTGGGAGTTGGTCGATGAGCGGCGATTTGACATGTGCCTGGACCGGGTCGGCGATTTGGAGGTCGAGACGCCGTGGGTTAAGTCGCGGCGGGGTGTGGTCGACAAGGATGTGCTGCTGGGCATTGATGGCGCGCTGTTCGCGAAGCAGGACGGAGTTGTCGAGGATGGGCGCGATCGGGACCATGCGCATGCTCACGAGCACCAGTCGGAGGTTGAGGTCTTGTCGGTTGCGCTGAAGGGAGTTGCGTCGGGGAAGACCGTCGATGTGGCCGCACTAGAGCGGCTGCTTGCGAGCGCGCCGCGGGAGGAGGTGTATCGCATCAAGGGTATCATTCGCTGCTCGGCTCAGACACCTCCCGCAGAAACCTCGGAGGATCTAGAGTCGCGGGTCAAGGGCGAGGCAGGCGAGGTCCGGCACTATATTCTCAACTGGGCCTTTGGCCGGTGGACGTGCACGCCGTCCACCGTGGTTGCAGAGTCGGCGGATGAGTCAGTTGTCGCGCGCCTGACGCTCATTCTGGCGCGATATGAATCCGCAAAATGGAGGAAGAAGCTGGAGACAGGTAGCTTCGTGCAGGTCACGGAAGGAGAGGAGGCGGAGTTGACTGTTCAGCGTCTGGTTTAAAGGAAGCCGGACTCGGGGCGACGGAGCGGGCTCCGATCGCATTCGGGATTTTATAAACGATCTTTTGATCGAGCTATGATCGTGATGATGTTTGCCGCAAGATTTGATCGGTTAGAGAACATAGATATGATAGAGATACATGATTGAGTACTACGCAATATGAATAGTGAAATGCATAGAACAGGCAGAAATACAAGTGGAAGATGGGCCTTCACGACAGAGACTACAGTAGAGAGGTGAGCCCTCAAGAGAAAATTGAAAGATGCCAAAAAAAATATACGCAACGCAAGCAAAGAATCTATTCTATCGATTCTCTAGAACAGACACAACAACAAAGAAAAAGTGTAAATGCAACAGAATAAGCAACCACTATACTATTAGGTGACCCCGGACAAAGAGGTGCACGGAACCACGAGTATTTCCAAAAGTAAGAGCACAAGATCAATAACGGAAGAAAATGACAAACGATAGTAAATAAGGCTCAGAGAGGCCACACGCTACAAGACTAGTAGTCGAGCAGGGCTGAAGCACCAGGCTCGCTCGAAATATAGATGATCTCGTGGTTGTCCGAGAACCCATTAAAGCGAGTGGCACTGCACTTCGTGTAGGCACCCATCTCCTCGAAATACAGCCAGTCACCGGTGTTCAGCAAACCAGGAAGGTCGATGCGCTCAGTAATGACATCAATGCCATCACAGGTGGGACCCCAAATCGAGTAAGCAAAGTTCTCCGAAGTCGCAGAATTCGGAGAACCAGGCTGAGAGTTGTCGGCGGCAGAAAGAAGGACCTTGGCAACAGGATGCTGGTGGTCGAAGATGATGTTGGAAAAATTACCATACACACCGTCGTTCAGGTAGAGCATATACGCATCCCGTGAAGGGTCCAGCGGGTCTGGAACATCGCGCCGCGCGATGACGTTGGCGGCCAGAGTGAAGGCATTCGCAACATAGTAGCGGCCGGGTTCGGCGATGATGCGGATATGCGGCGGAAAGTAGGTTTCCAGAGCATCACTCAGGATGGCGGAGAATTTCTCGAATGTGTCCTGGCAGAAGCCACCACCGACATCAAGAGTGTGCATCTCATGACCAATCTCGGAAGCTTGGTCGAACACAAGGCGGGCATCCTGGACTGCCTTAAGGAAGGCTCGGGGGTCTTCAGCGCCGGAACCAACGTGGAAGCTGACGCCAACAACCTTGAGCTCGAGCTGACGGGCCAACTCGAGAAGCTGCTGGGCCACGTCCAACGAAGCACCAAACTTCATGCTCAGGCGACAAAGACTGGTGGAATCATCAGTCAGGATGCGAAGGTACAGCTCGGCATCCGGGAAAGTCGCCTTGATCTTGTAGAGCTCATCGGCGTTGTCAAAGGTCATCTGCTTGACGCCGACCTCCCTAGCGTAGCGCAGGTAGGACTTGGTCTTGCAGGGTTGCGCATAAATGATCCGGCTGGGATCAATGCCTGTCTGAAGGGCCAGATCAATCTCCGACTTGGAAGCGCAGTCGAAACCATTGCCAAGCTGGGCCATGAGACGAAGGACCTCAGGGTCTGGGTTACACTTGACAGCTAGACGGATTGTTAACGAATGACTTGGCGTAGGTAGTGCATGACGTGTAAGAGGGGCAAAGCCTTACCATAGAAGGGCTTCACACGACCCAAATTCATCTTCCAGCGCATGTGCTGGCGGTAAACCTCTCCCATATCCGCCACATAGAATGGATCCTCCTCACCTGCACCACAACGATCGGTATCCACCTCAGCGGCCCGCTTCTTCAACACTGCCATCACCAGTTCCTTGGCAGTCAACCCAGATTGCAACAAATCGTCCCCGCCATGATCGCTGATGAGACCAGAATGGTCACGACTATTTAGGTCGTTCTTGAGATTGCATAATTCAGCAGGCGATACACACGCAGTCGGTGCCATAACCGTGCAGCTGCGACTCAGCACGAATGGATCTTTTTTTTAAAAAAATAAAAAAAAGTAAAAAAGAAAAGTTATAAAACAGACGTGGTGCGCGACTGCGTATTAGGGAGGACGAAAATTGTCGCAACCGTAGTTGACTGGACCAAGCCTCCTCGACCCTTCCTCCTTAAGAGGAAGAACCTGCAGAGAAGTCCTATGCGGCAGCTCAAAGGTTGAGGGAATAATCTGAGAGGGCGTCAACTGGTGGAAAAAAGGCGCACCGGACGAGCTCTCAGAGGTGAACAGTAGGAGGTGGAATGTTGTTAAGAGTGTCGCGGGGACGTCGAGTGGAGACAATTTGGCTAAGAAGCAGAAGGGAGGCTACAGGAGCCGTGATGACGCGGGGGTTGCCTTTGGTTCTGGGCCCAAAGGCACGATCTGAAACTTTTTTTCGGGGGTTTCGCTAACAATTGAGCGAATGTATGCTGTTGGAAGACAAGTTAGTGACCCTGGTTCCGAGAAGAAGGGGGTCCCAGATAAATATGAGAGAAAAAAATGGACGGTTGAGAGGGTCGGAGGAGAGAGGGGGGGGGGGAAGTGGGCGGGCTCAGATTTTTAAAATTTTGGCCAGTTCGGGGCGGTGTTAGGGCACAACGACCGGGGGTTGGTTGGTGGACACAAAAATAGCGCACGGTAGCCCAGAAATAGGGCCAGCACGATCGAGATCAACGAGTCACTCACCTTGAAAAGAATGTTCAAGCCCCTAACGGTGGAAAGGGAAGATGAAGGTGAAGTGGGAAAGGAACTGAAAATGCGGTTCTGGGGAAAGCGAGGCTGCGTGCTTACGGCAGCACCCGATGGGCCTCGAGCCCAGCGCTGGCACTTCGAGGTACTTGTGCCCTGCTACTCTAAGTGGGTCACGGTCAAGTAACTAGGAAATAACCGGCAAGTACACCTGGGCGCAGGATAGGCGATTCACGAATAGGTTGACATTATGACTGCGAGTATCTCTCGTAAGGTACAAACTGGGATTACATTCTCGGCTCGTCGCATGGGCAGTCCCCTAGGAGTGGTCTTAATGAGCTGTGTTAATTCTTAATCGAACGTACATAAGGACCATCAATCCTGGACGGCGCCAGCAGACACCCAAAAACGGCGAAGCGCGAAGCCAACGCGCAATTGTTTCGAGTTTCCCATGTTTCGCGCCGGTGTGTGTTGGCCTCCACTATGAGCGATTTCCAGTCGCGTCTACCCGTTCCATTTTTATCCTTTGAGGGCTGGTTGTCTCCCTGCCCTGGGTGCGAGCAGGGTGCAGTATGCAAGAAACCCGTGCCTGCGCCTCGCAGAACGGTGTCGTGTCCCCCCATGGAATTCTCGGTCGCCGGCCAACCCTTCTCTAGAATGGAAAAATTGCGGTGTGGCCACCTCCGGCAGCTGTTTGACCTAAAGGTGGTGGTGGTGGCGCTCGAAATTCCCCACAATCCTGGCAGGATCAGCCCGAAGGGCAAGAAAAAAACTTTACCTTGAGTGATCGGTGTAGACGATGGTGTGAATGACAACTATCGGTAAACTCCTCAGGGGAATGTATCATTGACTCGGCACCTGGAAGTATCTGCAGGCAGTGGCCTTCCCCGAACCCATGCAGACCAGAGGATCGGCGGGGAGGTCTTCTGGTGGTCGAAATGGCCCGCAGAAGGGCGAGAACCCGGGACAGACCGATGACGCACCGCGCACGGACCACTGCACCCTGCAACAGGCTTGCTGCCGTTTTGGGGATCGCACCGGGGAATAGTCCGCCGAACTATGACACGTCGCCTTGGTCAGCAGTGCGGCGGTAGCAGTACAATTCAATCTGATCAACCTCTTCATGCGATGCGGGCAACTCTATGGCGGCCTGCAAGGGCTCAAAGGCCACATTTCGCATCAGATCGAAGAAAACGACCTCGCTCTCGTGCCGTCGCTTCAGTGCGACTAGCACCAGGGCGTCCGGGGAAGTCCGAACCAATCGGTCTAGCACTGACACTAGGGTCGGCAGGCTGTCTGCGTTGTAGGTACAATCAGAGACCAGAATCAGGTCGATGGGCCGATTGCAGAGCTTTGGCGGCGGGTTGTCCCAATCTAGAGTCTGATATCTTATTGAAGCCGAGGCTTTGGGAGTCGCTTCTTGGATATTACGAGTAACAATGTCTTCAACCTCCGGCAGGTCGGTGAGGAGAACTTCACAGCTAGACAGCATGGTGGCTAGTGCGATGCCAACAATGCCACAGCCTGCTCCCAATTCCACAACCTGGAGCGGCGCGCTGCGAGGGCCCATGAGCTGACTGAGAGCGGGCATGCTCTTCTCAGTGCCCGTAATGACCTTTTCAAGGAAGATGATGGAAGCAAGTGCGGCATCCCTGGAGAATGTAACCGTTAGGACAGACTGAATTCCGACTGGGGGTTCAATGAGGGATTAGTGCACAAGCGTAGTCAGACTCACCAGATATGTCGAGCGATGCTATTGCCTGTCTCCTCCCAAATCTTGAGTGGCCTGACATTGCCTGTGATGTTCAAGTCTCGTTGAATCAGCTTTTCAGCTGGTTCCCACTGAGGTCCAAATGGTGCACTGCTTCCAGATATCACTAGAGGGGTCGTGTTATCTCCTAATGTATCTTTATCAACACTCGGAAGTTGAATTTTCAAGACTGCCGTCTGCCGGGCCACATCATTCGAAGAAAAGGGTCCCAGAAGAATAGACAACTGGCGAGATCCAGCCTGCCATTGTAGAGGTGCCTGATATCGTACTTTCTGGGAGGAATGCTGAATCCATGTTGCTACCAAGTCAACATCCTCGGCGAGAAAGTCGTCCCCCAGGTCCGTTGTGATGCAGATCAGAGCCGAAATGAAGACCGATTTTTTCTGTTGCTGGAACCGTGGGGTCTTCAGAAAGCGAATATAATACACCATCCTCTCTATGATCAGACCATTGACCGGCCGATGTTCATCTGAAGAATGATCGCGAACCACTCGTGTGCCCACCACTTTTTCCATTTTCGGTTTACCCCAGACACCCCAAGCCTCACGTGCCGGCTGACTAACGCAAGATGACATCGTCGCCAGTGCTTCATCCACGTCTGGCATTCGTCCTGCCAGGAACGGCTACAACGAGCCGTTGAAGTGAATACCACTCAATCTGACTGCTCACACGCTCACATATTACCACATCCTAAGATGATCCGCACGCGCGATCCCCGCATCCGCCAGCGGATCAACCAGATCTCCCATAATCTCGAGTCCGCGAACGAAACCGCCCAGGAGGGCCTGTACACGTTCTCTCACAATTATATCTCTCCGTGTCTGGCTTCAATCGGAAATTGTGTCCAAGCATGTACAGCGCCGTGCCTTCCAAGTCGCGAGGAACACCTCCGTCGCCGCCGACGCGGGCGGGCCGAGGCTAACTTCGATTTCTACGACGACTGGGAGAATGAAGAGGCTGATGATAGTCTGCTTGGATGGGGCACTGGTGAACTTGACCGTCTCTTGGCAGGCAGTGGTCTAACCCGAGGCGGTGCAGAGCAACCGCGGCGCCAGAGGAGGATGAGCTATGGGACACGTAACACAAGGCGGAGGAGCACAGTACACATCCCAGACAATCGTGCCGACCCAACTGTCATCCCAAGCTCTTCGTTGATTGGGTTTTTGGAGCGCTTTCCCTGGCGATTTGGAGCAAAAGGAGTAAAGTACCGGCCTTCAGCGGCAGATTTACAGGAACACCCAGGCAGCACCCGATTCCTTGCGCAGGAGAACGAGCCATTGATGGAAGCCGCCGAAGATGACTGTGGTCCGATATCATACCAGAACAATGGGCGAAATCGGAGTGGTACACAGTCATCACGCGGGACAAGTAATTCTCTCAGCTCCCGAGGCGACCTATTCCCAAGTGATGAAGAGGAGGATGCCGTTCCACTAGACGATGAGTTTGCACTTGTTTTTGGGCGTCGGAGTACTGGCTTAGAATCAGATGATCAGTCTGGCACAAAACCAGAGATGGTGAGATCTGCTTCAGGCACATCCAGTCTAGGCGACGCGTCATCAAAAAAGTCGAAGCGCAAAAAGAAAAAGAAGCGGTCATCAACAAAGTCCGCGATTAGCTCGGATCCGGATCTTATTCACAGCCTCGACACGCCCTCAATAGCAGACCTGAAAATAGAAGACGACCGCGCCGCGCGCGAAGAAGAGTCCGTCATTGAAAGGAAGCGACTCGCAGCGCATGAACTAGCATTAAAAAGGGGCCTGGATTCAGGCACTACTGATACGGTGCGGAGTCACCATGCTATGTTCGCCCAATTGACCTCAAATTGACTGATGCTATCTAGATGTCTACACCACTTGATTCCAAGATACAGGCTACGGGACTCTCCCCCACCCAAAGCCCTTCTGGAGGCCACACTCGACAATCAAGCAACTCCTCTGGTCAACGCTTTACAAGCGAGCAGATCGAGCCATTCCCTTCTTTTCCGCTGCAACAATCCTCACTGCCAGGCTCCCCTGGTGTCACAGCAGCCTCCCCCAGACCTAGCTCTTTGAATGACCCAGACCCTAGTCATGGCCCCAGCCATTACGATGGTAATACACCTCACTAATTATAGCACAGCTTCAACTGCTCAAATGGCCATTTGATCCGTGGCTTGGTTGTTTGCTTTGTACGATATGATGACCCTCTTTTTCATGTACCTTATACCCCATTTTAATGATTGCATACACCCTCAGTGGCAATAGCTCCTTCCGTTGAGCTCCCAAGAAATCTTAATGCACAATCTTATGCGCAGATGAAGTCCACATGGCCATGAATTGATCTAAAAATAAGTTTGCAGCTAGAGTTCGATTAGAAAGACCCCTATCAGGACACTTGAGTCCTATAATTGAAAGCGGGCCTCGCCTATGAAACCGTAAACAGCATCAGAAAAGGGAGTGCCGATTGGATGGTATTTAATATTCGATGCGGTTGGTTAGATCGACTTCGCGGCACCTCTTATAGCCATATTTGGCCGTGGACGAAACATTTATACTTCTATCTAGCTAATATGGCAGCATGAGTGAAATCAAAACGGGATGGAGAAAAGGCAATCAACGAATGGGGCTCATCGTTGGCCCGAAACTACTGAGCGGCCCACTCCGCTGCGGGGGTCAGTCAGTTCATCAGAACCGCCCCAGCCCACTCTCTGGCACTCTTTCACGTCGATCTTCTTCTAGCTATCTCTCTTTCCTGCAAGCCAAGTCGGAGTACATAGACTGAACTCATTCTGTATCGGCAGATCTATTTGTGGCCTCATACCCGAGTTACCGGCCTATTAATAGAGAAAGTGTCTCAAGCATGGCAGGCACTTACGTGAACGAAAAGCGCAAAGGGGACTTTGATCCCCTAGAATTCTCTTGGTATGAGCCGAAAGTCACGGAGGTTGAGGAAAAAGCCCGGAAGTTGCTCGAGAACTATAGCCATATTCCTCCGGACAAAGTGGTGGATCATGTGAATGATTTGGTCAGTTCACCAGTGTTTTTAAAAGCTTGTGACGTTTTCATTGTGCAGATGCTGAATTTGGAATATGAATATTCTTAGCGTGACCGGGCTTTTGCTGTGGTTAGTGGAGACTCCTTTTCAAAAAATCTAAAAAAAAATCGCGTGAGTGCGGCGTGGGAATGATATAGAACTAACAGTCCCAAGTTTCCCTATCCTTGCATTGGCGCCTTTCGCTTTCTAGATATGAGCATATGCCAATCTCCTGTCTATCCGGAGATTCTTGAAAGGCTGAAGTCAGGACAAAAGCTACTTGACGTCGGCTGTGCTGTTGGCCAAGAGCTGCGGCAATTGGTATATATACACTATCTGTCAATATCGCCAGTGAGATCTTAGCTGATTGCGACGTTAGTCCTTTGAGGGTGTCCCTTCTGAAAATTTATATGCCGCGGACTTGCGTCGGGACTTCTACGACATAGGCTTTGATCTATTCAAGGACCGCGATCATCTCAAATCCGAATTCATCGAGGCGGACATTTTTGACACCAACTCTGATCTAGTGAAGCAGCTCACCGGTAAAATGGACATTGTCAACGCCGCGTCCCTGTTCCACCTGTTTGATTGGTCTCAACAAGTGGCTGCTGTCAAGCAGGCTATTACCTTGCTCCGCCCTGAGCCGGGCTCTTTGTTGATCGGGCGTCAAGCCGGGCGACGAGATCCGATCCATTCAGACGGCAACGGTGCTGCTCTCCTGCGCTATCGACATGACGCTACTACGTGGCAGAAACTTTGGAAAGAAGTTGAGAGAGATACTGGCACCAAGTGGGACGTTCAGGCTTGGGAAGAGTCTTGGGAAGGTGTGGATGCAGTATTTCAGAAGTACCATCCCGGAGTAGAGACCATTAAGTTGAGATTTGTGTCTCGGAGGCTATAGAATAGGCCATTAGGGTGAATTATAGCTTGTCTGATAAGGCTTGACGCATAGGTCGGATCACTTGAAATTTAGCATTCAAATACTTGTGCAAGGCTAGCGGCTTTCCGATCTTTTAGGCTCCAGGTCTTCACAATCCAAAGGGATGCTGCATTGGAAACCTCTATCATTAGAGTTGATCATAGAAAGAGAATCTGGCGGATAATCATACATGTGACCGAAGATGACAATATTCTAGACATAGCATCTAAGTATTTTCTGAGAAATGATCGGAGTTCTGCCATAGTGGGCCTTCCATTTCACGACGATGAAAATGGACAAAATGCTTCTTTTGCAACAAAAATCAAATTGACAGCCAAATTGAGACGTATAGGATTAAGAAAAGAAATTACTGCCTGCTCCTATCGCGCGCGTGTTTCCGATAATGCAGAGTCGCTGGAACACTTATAATCTAGCCACCGTCTGACAAGAGGTCCAACAATAACTTGAACCATGGCAATCAATGAGTCCATAACGCCAAACCCTCGTCTGGGTACAATGCCATTCATGGCACCAAAAAGCAAGGCTGCTTCTAACTCGCTACAAATAATGAAATCTTTCTTATCGACTGCCGCTATGATTGCATCGGCGACATCTTTCGCGGAGTGGATTTTTCCCGACAGCTCAGATAGCGGCGCCGTCGTCCCTTCAAGTTCCTTTGTGAGCTGGGGCTTTGTTTTCTGCTCATCGACAAATGAAGGAGAAATGAAATTCGAGGGGAAAGCAATATGCACAGAGTATTGCGATGCTGGACCTGAGTATCGCATCAACTCAGTCCGCAGACCATCGGCGAGGGCTCGGACAGCACATTTCGCAGCTATAAAGATAGTCGACATGTTAGTGAGCGAGTTCCTTATTCCGAAGCAATTTTCCAGGGCCAGACTGACGCGTGTACACTGTATAACCTGGAAGAGCGATAAAAGCAGCTGCACTGCTCACGAAAACCAGTTGTCGAGTTTTGGGACGACTTTTTCGACCCGACGGAGGTTGAAAGCTTTTATCATCCTCAGTCCACAGTTTCAAAATTGCCTGAGCTGGATATGCACTCGTGAGATAGTTATTGGTCATGCATCGTGAAATAGTGTCGGGACTCAGATCGACCAAAAAGCCTAGCTCATTCGTAGTCCCGCCCGCTACGCAATACAAGATATCAGGTAGACGAGGTTGCGCCTTGAATGTCTCTGAAATCTATTCGAGTGATGTTAAAATAGGAGATTTCTCAAGAAGATTCTCCAAAAGGACGAATAGCCTACCGCAGTTGCGTCAGTCAGGTCCAAGGACTGTGTTTTTACTTCTTGCTTCTCATGTCGTCTCGCTGCAAGGACTTCTGACTTTGCCTCATCAAGCTTTTGTTGTCGACGAGCAAAGATAGTGATATGGCAGCCTAAATGCATGGCTTAGAAATCAATGCAATTTCGGCGACACTTATATATCGAAAGAGTCGGAAATTGTGTGAAAACAAATATACGCACCTCGCCTTGCCAGGCTAATTGCCAATTCTTTTCCAAGCCCAGTGGACCCTCCGGCAATGAAGACAGTCTACATATATACCATGAACTTGGTGAGAAATTATGACTGGAATATTTTTTTCGTCCATTTACCAGAAGAAACCAACCTTGCCTGTCAAATCCTTCATGATATCGCAGCCACAGTCCCAAATACCAGCACAAAGATAGCCCGAATTTCGTGCACGAGGTCCAGAATGCTGCTAGTAGCAGGCTAATCCGACGGAGGGTAATTCAGGAGTAATATATCCGTGATGAGCGGATGTCGTGTGCAAGGTTGTAATGCTGTAAACCCTCTCAGGATACCCTGCTTACCTTTCGGAACTAGGAATCATTAGCCTGGGGTTTTCTATCGATAGTCACATCATTGATTTTATGCGTACGTTGGATTGAAAAAGATGAGCGGAATGTTTGCCCCTGAGTGTGTACGGTCTAGATTATTATCGATGGCCAGAAGGCGTTTTGGAGTACTTTCAAAAGCTAAGCTCATTCCGGTTTAGATGCTTTCCCCCATGCCGACTCGTAGGTCAAAATCTCGTTGAACTCGACTCAGCTGCTGCTCATCTGACCGGGTAAGCTCAGCCACATAGCTGAAAATCATTGTTTGAGAGAGGGGAAAATCTGCAGAGCTCATCATGATGATCGGTTTAGCTCGGCCGTCGGAATCCGACCTCGAGGGCTTCGGGCCCCATGCAGCCACGTAATCAGCCCCTCGCGATCTCTTGATTCTTGTACCTCTAAATTTCTCGGCACATAGGTCAGATCAGCGGCGGCTGAATAGTAAGCAGCCTAGATCTCGCCCCAAAAGTGTCGTTCCTGGGCCCCAAGTTGGTACTTGTGATTGCTTCGCATGCAGTGGATCCCAGTACGCTTGAGCGCGCTTGGAGATAAGCCCTCAGCGGTATCCGATAAGAGGTGGTTCGGTTGGTACCGAAGTATAGGTTGTTGGTATTTGGTGGTCATGCTAGGCTACGACGGCTAAAATTTCGTTCAATGTTGAATTCCACATGACTTATTTCACATTACTATCGCTTTCTGTACTGCACCTCTCGATCCCGCCAACTCTCACAATCTTGTTCGCACGTTCACCAGCAACATGTCTGGATCCATAAATCCAAGTCTCTACGTGAACTGCACGGTCGAGACGTGCCCTCTTAATACTTCATATTATAACTATCGTGTTTCTCTTCCTGCAAATGTGGTCTTTGTTGCTCTCTTTGGCCTTGCGCTGATCTGGTTCATTTCGGTATTCATTTATTCCCGGCGCGGGCTCTGGTTCACGATCGCCATGGTGCTAGGAACATCGTGCGAGATTGCGGGCTATGCCGGGCGTGTCTTCTCGTGGAAGAACCAGTGGAACCAGAATGCCTTCCTCGTTCAGATTATCTGCATCACGATCGGTCCTGCATTTCTTTCTGCAGGTATCTACCTTTGCCTAGGTCGCATTATCAGGGTTTATGGAGAGGCGAACTCTCGCATTCCAGCGAAGTGGTACGCGAGAATCGTAAGTCCACTCGTTATCTACGAGCCTGGATAAGAGTTCCTTATTTGACTCACCTTCACCCATAGTTTATCCCATGTGATGTTGTATCCCTCATTCTTCAAGCTGCGGGCGGTGTTGTCGCGACGGTCGCGCTGCAGGATAATAAATCTATGACAACCGGGGACAATGTTATGATTGCCGGCCTTGGAACGCAAGTATTTACCTTGCTCGTTTTCCTAGTTCTTGCCGGCGATTTTGCTTTCTCGGTCTACAAACGACAGCGCCAGATGGCTTCCAATGCAGTTCTTCCCCAAGACCCGACGTTGGTTCGCATTCGTGGGTCTTGGTACTTTAAGGGGTTTATGAGCGCCTTAGGTCTTGCCACAATCCTGATATTCTGGCGTTCGGTGTATCGTGTTGCTGAGCTTAACCAAGGTTGGACCGGTCCCATTACATTCAAGCAATGGTTGTTTGTTGGAATGGAACCTGTTTTGATTGCTGTGGCAGTTTGGGCTTTATGTTTCTTTCACCCATCCCTTTGTCTGCGCGAGGCCATGAGCACATCTTACAAAAATGTTGTGGGGACAAGTCAACCCACAATAGAAACCAATGACACAAACAGCCCTTTGAAAAATGAAGATGCTTCGAAGCACAATGGGACTGATCCCGCCGTCGCTTCTGTTAGGGGCCAACCTCAAAGGTTGGCGGCTGAATCTGCGTCGGAGGAGAAGCTATAGACACCAACGATATGGTTTCTTTGAGACTTGACATCATAGATCTTGTGAGAAGAATAAAGGCATACCTAGTTTGACCTCAAGAGGAGCACTCGGTTGGCTGTTTGGAGTGCATATTGGCATGTACATTACAGATGGCGAGTAATTTGGCTAAATGTGTTGTAATTGTATCTTTGGTAATTCTCGCTTCTCATTGTAAGAAATTAGACCAATTCTCAGCTCCATAATTTATAAACGGAGTATCCTCTATCGGTTCCATAGATGCTGACAGTTTATTGGAACGATACTGGAAGGGACCCATGTCATCAAAATGCAATGCTGGCTGGGCGAATGTGGACCCATCCGCCATGGGAACGCCTGGCTTCAGGAGGTAATCTAGGGCTGACATGGAGTCATCCACCAAGAAATTTGCTGTATTATTTTGTTGATAGGCTGTTGTTAGAGCTGGAAATTGGGAGAAATTGCCTTGTCCTTGCCGTGAGAGTATGGGGACGTTGGACGGTTTGCTGATGAGATCGAGTACAATTTCCCCCAACTTGGCCATTTTTGTGATCGAAATATTGACTTCTCCAATGCAGCTGACTGACCGTAGAATTTTCACAAATGATGATAAGAGCTCAAGATCAGATTTGTTGCATTGGTTTGTAAGTGCGAACGAAGTTAATTGAGTAAAGCTCAAGGGGGCGTAGGTCGCAATAATCCTGCGGTCATTGACATCAAATAAATCATTAACGAGCCCCCAAAGTTAAGTTTCCGGAAGAGAGAAAAGGACTTACCGTATCATTGATATATGACTTCCCAGGTCATCATTTTCTATCCACATACGGTGGACCAAAGACAAACAAGTTCTTGCGCTGCTGACGAGCCTAGCTTCAACGTCGAGTTGCTCACGCATCGGCCACCAAAGAAACAAATCAAGTGCGTGTACGACAATTGTGAAATCAAAATCCAGGTATGGTCCTTCAAATGGCTTTCGGGTATCGTCTAGTCTCTCTGTGCTGTGCTCCAGCCAACATTGCTGGAGCTGTTGACCAAGCCGAGTGACGCTTTGATTGATTGCTTCATTTGTTCTCTCACCAGCACTATCACAGTATAAATCCAAGAATATTTTTTCTTCAATCCGAGCCAGCTTTGCTCTGGAAGCTAACCGAACAAGCTGAGCATCGTTTGGCTGAATAGGTGAAAGCCAGGTCTCGAGTTTTCTCAGGTGAACATTGGCCGGCCGGCCGTCTGTCCAGCACCTTGATCTATCCAGAATAAAGAGACAGTAAAGAGTTCTGCGTCTCTCTTTAAAATCTTGAGCATCAAGTTGGCCTTTTGCTAGGTCTAATTGATGAAGCCCCATTGACTTTGCAGCGATTGCAGCCAGATTTAGAAATAGGCCTGCACGCTCAGAGCCCCAGTGAACCTGTGCAATAAGGTACTACAATCCAACTATCAGTTTGAATTTACAAAAAATATTGAGGAGTTACATAGCATAGGCTTACCAGAGATAGAAGGGCCTGTATATTGATCAGTCGCGGGGTAAGAAGAACCTCAATATTCTGGATAGCCCTCTTGGCGTTTGCAAGGAAGGACTTGTTTAGATCCAAATCAATAGTTTCTCCTCTCGGGGCTGCCGTACCAGGGCTCAAAATTTTATCTGAAGCTGCCAAAAGTTTTGCAGTCAATGTTAAAAGAGCCACACTGTTGAAACAAATAATATCGCCTCTATGTCGTAGCTCATCACCGTTCTTCTCAAAATTTGCGACTCTTTCGTGGAAATTGGTTTTAGACCAAATGGGCATGTAGTCGTTTATTTTGTCAAAAAATGGCTCCATCATGGCTTCTAGGATGATCAAAGGAGGGCTAGTTGGAGGAGAGCCATCATGGATTACATCAACATCTTCTCTTTCAGTTGCAAGCAATCTGAGTCTCTCCACAGCTTGTGTTATCTTATCAGAATGAACATTCTGACCAAGTGAACATTGAAAAATGGGTATCAGCCCCGACTGGCTCAAGCTAGAAATCAAAGCATCCAAAGAACTAGGACCAATGCAGTGCTGCAGCCCATCTGCGCCGTGAACTAATTGAAACTGATCTGATAGAAGACCAACCTTTCTAGAAGCCAAGGAGGACGACGAGGACGGGGATGCAATTCCGGAAGTGGACAAGGATGCCTGTCTAGTGTTCTCGTGCCAAAACGGAGCACCCTTTGAAGCTGAAGGCATGAAAAGATCTGGATCCAGCTTGGCAAGGGTTCCTTGAATGTCTGAGATCGTGCGTTCGAGTTGATCAAGCCGGGTTCCGAGACTCATTATAGCATGGCTCCTGTAAGATATGGAAACGATGTTAGACATTACAACTGAATGGTAATATGTGGAGCTGGGATTGCTAGGCAGCATTCCTAGGACCCCAGTCACTCAATGATGAAAGATCAATCGAAGTAAAACGACGATGCAGACAGAGTGGTGCTAAGACAAGGCGTTACACTGCATGTGCATTGATGAATGTAGTAAATGTGAAAGACGAATATGGAGATTTTCGTACAGCATGGTGGTCTGATTCGGCTTCTTCCCATATCCCGACCACACGCATTCAAGACCAGTGCGAGTACAATTCGAACAACGCGGCCGCTCTCGGCCGCAACGGATTTTCTTCAAGCGGCATTGATCACAGACTGCGAGTATATTACCTAAAGTCGGTCGATGTTTACACCCCAAAGATCCTCTTTCTCATCAGAAGAAGACCCACCTGTATAGTCCTTTCCTCCGTTGGAATCTTGATTTACTCTCTCCTCTGGCAGCTCTGTTTGTTTCGGACTCGACCAAGCAGTTGTACTTGCGGAAAAATCGACATTCTCATCGTCGAGCATGTGCGAAGGGCGCTTCTCGACAGGCATAGTTGATACTCACTTCTATAAGTGAGAGAACTGTGCGCTCTAGGGAAAAAAGCATCGGTTCTAGCCCCAATAACTATCAGTACTTATGAGACAAAAAAACTATTTCTTCTAATCGGGAATAAAAAGAACGGAGGGCACCATTCCCGTACACTACTACTCAGCAGCGGTCTCTTAGCACACGCTTGTTTGATGAATCTGCCTATCCAGTCTGAAAATGCGGGTCGTGGATGTGGGCCCACCGTCAGATGGAACTGGGGCCAAGCGAGTGGCGTTGCATGAAACCAAAAGCAAAAACGAAAATTGCCCGGTGTCCACTGACCGAGTACCTGAGAGTGCTCGAAATATCCTGTCTGAAGGGACGTGGTGCCCTGATAAAAGTAGACCTATATTGTATCGATCAGCCCGAAAACTTGAATACGGGGTGGCTTTCTTTGCTGCTGTCGTTCTATAGGCCAGCAGCATCATATGATTGATCTCCCTCGGGCTTAAGTAAGGCAAAAGCTTAGGTTGCTAGCAGTATATGGTTTGTGGAAATGGGAACAGATCAGGAACGCAAATTTCCGTCGAAAGATTTCAAACGTTACATTCATACTTACATATCACCTGAGAAGGGCGAAAGGAGCTGAAATTGATTACGAATATGGAAAATGCAGGTTTGGAAACCCAATATTTTATCTTGAATCAGTGATTTGTGGTAAGATTCGCGGTTCCCATGCGTATAAGGATTTTTGCAAAGGATCGTAATGTCTTTGGCTCACGAAGAGAAGGCAACGAGTAGAAACGCAATCAATTGGCTCCACATTGCCTCCTTATGAGCCAAAGACAGGGGTCCCTCCTAGAACCAAGCCACAATTTGGACCTCATGCATCTCATTTCTCCATCAATAATGATAATTGGAGCTTGAAAGCCATCGCAGACAAGGTCTTGCAGTGAGATATTATTATTTTCACTGCCAGAACGGCAAAAGATAGCGAGAAGGATAGGAAGGACTTTACACGGCTAGGAAATCACAGCACGTTAAGGGGGTTTCAGCTCTTATAGAGTACTCAGTAGTATCACACAAGCTTCCACACTAATCTGTAGTTAAAGTCTGTTGTCGTCAATACACTTTAGGGCGGCACAATCACCATTAGCTTGAGAAAACCCTAAAAGTGTGAGATTGCAATACCTTAGTTGCAGGATCTGCAAGTGGCATTGCAAAAAGTTCAGAGGTCATGATCTCACGTTAGCAAGGCTACCCCGACTAAAATGATTAAAAGATGCGGCCACTCAACCTAATCTCCTAAAGATCTGGACCGACCGGAAAATTAGAGGAAAGTGGAGATTGAGACTGGCTGCAGTCTCCTGTATCCTGTCACCTCTTCCCCTCACGAAATGAGACCTAATCAATGCATAATGTTCGTGGGGGCGGTTTGACATCTCATCCTGGCCTGCGTCCTAACAACTTGGCCATGACAGAAACGTGGCAGGGCAGGATGCAGGCTACGTTTTCCTATGTATATTTGAGATATTTTGTTTAGGGCATGCAGCTGCGATTCACATACGAGGGAGATATTTTGCCAGCACCAACAAACTAGTTGGTCTGCCTAGTGATCTTGGAGCAATGGTAAGCACTAATGGAACGCAGCCCGCATCTTTGTTTGCTTAGGCGGACCGTTCCGCTGGTCCCGGTTCCTACGAGTGTGGATAATGGGGCCAGTTTTAACAAACTTTCCGAGACTACAAAATCTCCCGAATTTTCACCTCCTTATATTTTTCACAAATAACGTTGTATTACTCATCATCTACAAAGCTGTTTTGTATCGGACTGTCACAATATGTTTACTCTTCTTAGTCTAAACCTTCACCAGCACCCCTATTTCCACTCACTTTTCTTCTTCATCCGTTCCATTTCCATGCCTCCTACCCCCCTTCCCCGGATCTCCTTCAATTTTTCGTGGCTAGAACGGTGAAATCCGTGGGTGGTTATATAGTTAATACTACCATATCTTAACTTTGCTACATTCTGACGATTATATGTACTAATATACGTCAGAGGGTACAATTGTTCACCTCTGTATTCTGGAATTCTAGAACTTATTTTGAGGCAAAACATCCTACTCTCAGGCTCCACATAGAAGACAAATTCAGGGAGCAGTATTGTTTTAATCTTGCTTACGAAAATGAGGAAATCCCTGGCCTGGTTCTGACTGCATGAAGGTGGCTCTATGTAGCGTAAGATTACTCGAAAGGATTCGCCGCCAGCTTTGATACATCCAGTTCGCGGAAATTCGCACCTTTGTCTAGACCAAATACCTTTCGCATTGCGGTTGGGATCTCATTACCGGGTTTCTTGGAAAGGTCCAGCATCTCCTTACTCCATCGGCAAATCGATGCTGCTAGGCCTTCCACCTCTTCCTCCGTATTTCCCGCATGGATAATCAGCCTTACCCGGCCCGTTCCCCGCGGGACAACTGGAGGATCAATTGGAATCGCGGTATATCCATCTCCGTGAAGATGCATTGTCAAAAAATAATTCTGGCCCTGTCGTGTCCATACAGGCAAGAACTGCGTCACAAAAGGCCGGGAGTCCAGGTCTTCACTGACAGGAATAGAGCAGATTCCAGCATTGATTGCGTCATCCCAATCGGGATTTGCTTCAATACATTCGCAAAAGTGTCTCACAAGGTGCTGGACACGGTCTTGCAGCTATCAAACACACTCGTGTCAGGCTTCCCGGGATCAAAAAGATTGTTATGATGTCTTTTCGTGCATTACCTTTTGAGTCTCTCCACTCTCCATAAGGTTGTAGCCTGCCCGGATTGCTGCTAAAATGGGAAATGACGGTGCTGTTGTATATATGACAGGCCGGGCAAAATTGTAAAGTGTGCTAAGAATCGTTGAATTGGCAAGAATTGCACCTGCGAGTGAAAATTCAGTTTATCATGCGCAATACGAGAGAAAGGTGAACACACCTCCAGTAGTTCCTAGTCCCTTGCCATATGTGTGGACTCTGATGGCAATCTCTTTTTCTAGACCAAGCGCACAAACCAACCCTCTTCCATTCTTCCCAACTAGCCCGGTGCTATGAGCTTCGTCAATAATGATTTGTGCATTCCCAGCCGGAAAGATGTCTTTGACCACCTCAACGATTTCCGCCAGGGGGGTCACATCTCCGTCCATGCTGTAGACAGATTCTACCGAAATAAGCACACATCTAGCTCCCTGCCGAATTAAGGAGTTCGAGTCTTTCAGTTCATTCAGTACATCTGCCAGGGAACCGGCGTTGTTGTGCTTAAATGGAAGTTGAGTGGTAGCTAGGCTGGACTTCATGCCATCATGCACGCTCGCGTGAATAAGCTCATCATAGACAATGACGTCTCCAGGACGCGGAATACTTGAGAAGACTGCACAGTTTGCATCGTATCCAGAGTTGACCAGCAAGGCACCTTCTGCACCGTGAAAATTGGCAATCTGGCTCTCTACCAGCTCGACGTAGGCATTGTTGCCGTCAGAAATTCGCGAACCAGTACTACCGACCGCAAACTCCGGGTTTCGCTCAATTTCTTCTAGAAAAGCCTTTCGTAAAAGCCCAGAAGTAGCAAGAGAGAGAAAATCGTTTGAAGAAAAGTCTACCTTGTGCTCAAACCGGTGTAACGTAACTAGGTTGTGACCAGCTCGACGTTCGTCTAGAGCTGCCTCAAGGTTGCGATAGAACGGCGAAGCATCTTTCATCGTAGAGGCCTTGGGCTTTTGAGCTTGAACCCATTTTTGGATTTGTTTGAGGTCCTGGCCTGCATACATTGCAGAAGGGGTAGTGGCTTCGGGCATGGTGATGAATAAAGAGATCTTGTCAGCGTATATTGTTTTTTTGTGTTATGGCCAAAGATGATGGAGCTATACACGATTGTTTAGTCTAGACTAGATCAAATTTTATTGGAATATAGTGAACAAACAGGAAGAGAAGATGGCAGAGCTGGAAAGAAGGCCACTTTGCGACAAAAGGACTTTTTCTCGCTCTCGTCAATGATCTATCCGGGATATTCGTCCCTCTATGTAAGAGCGACGAAGATTTCAAGTGACGTTATTGCAAGGACGCTTGGCACTTCACAAAACGTATTTCGAGTAAAGATAAGTTCTCAAATCTTGATAGGTTTGGAGAAATTTGATTTTAATGAATTTCATCCCTGTTGGGCAGTAACGATTACGAGTATAGAGCTTGTTTAGACATGGGGCGATCGGTCCCGGAATCCGGGCTTGACGAACAGGACTGGCCAACCACTCGCCTGAGATTGCAGTAAGCGTTTAAGTACTTTGATTTGAAAATTCCCGCATATCCATTGTATGCTTCAGGAGTTGATCACTCTCACCTCGTGGCCCCCGAATATCGTTCGGGCGCCATACCACGCACGTCTCATAATAAGCCGTCATGATTCGTAGTCATGATTACGCTCCTTACAACAGAGTTACATTGAAGGCTCTTGAGAATTCTAGCTGAGGTCAATATGGCGCCATTTAGGGCACTCTATATCTTTCGGGTTCCGATGAATCTATGAATGCCTGGACAAAAAGACAGCCTGTTCCTGCAGGATGTTCAACCCCTGGATAAAAATCCACAAAAAACGTACTCGGAACCCGTCTGACAAGCTTAATACTTTCAAGATACGAAGTACCATGAAACATCATTTTCCCGATACGGTGCTTCAATTTGTAAGATCTGAACAAAGTCTCAATTTGGCAAAGACAAACCCGAACGAGCAGGCTATTGATCAAGCCACCATGTTCGATATATATCCTTTCAAAACCAGATTCAACGCCCTCTCAACCACCTTGATTTTTAACCCTGATAGAAAATCTGAGCGATAAAGACCATTGAAGACAATATTATTTTTTTTATACAAGATGAATGGGCCAACTGTGTCAAACGGCACCATAAACGGGCACACCAACGGTCATATCACAAATGGCACAAATGGGACGAGTGTGTACACGAATGGTCACACTAAAGCTCCCGGCCATTTCGATAGAGTCGGTAATGGGGTGACATCCAATGGATGTGAAGGAAGCCAGACCAAAAGCTTCTGTCCAGAGCCCATCGCAATATGTGGCATGTCAGTGCGTCTACCAGGTGGTCTGCACTCACCACAGCAATTATGGGACTTTCTGATCTCGAAGGGCGATGCCCGTGGGCCCGTCCCGGAATCACGATACAAGGTATCATCTTTCTACTCTGAAACAACCAAACCCGGAACCGTGAAGACGGAATACGGGTATTTTCTTGACGAGACTATTGATATTGCGACCGTTGACACATCATTTTTCACTATGCGCCGTGCTGAAGTCGAGCGGGCAGATCCACAACAGCGTCAAATGCTCGAGGTCGCTCGCGAATGCATGGAGGATGCAGGTGAGATGAATTGGAAAGGGCGACCAATTGGCTGCTACATGGGGAGTTTCGGGGAAGACTGGACGGAAATGTTTGCCAAAGAGAATCAGCAGTACGGTTTATACCGAGTTACTGGGTACGGAGACTTCATGCTACCGAACCGAGTGTCTTATGAGTTGGACTTAATGGGCCCCAGGTGAGTCAATCTCAGTGTCTCTCAAAGTATACAATATCGATATACTGACTAATGTGAAAGCATGGTCATTCGCACCGGCTGTTCTGCCGCTCTTGTGGCATTGCACGAAGCTTGTCTGGCTATCAACCGCGGTGACTGCGAGGCAGCCATTGTTGGCGGTGCCAACCTGATCATGGCTCCGGGCATGACAACTGCCATGACAGAGCAGGGTGTTCTAGCTCCGGACGGCTCCTGCAAGACTTTCTCCGCAGATGCCAACGGCTACGCTCGAGGAGAGGCCGTTACTGCTATTTTTATAAAGCCTCTAGCTGACGCCATCCGCGATGGTAATCCAGTTCGTGCTGTAATCAGGGCAACCGCCTCCAATAGCGATGGGAAGGGTACTGCGGGTGGCATCCAAGTCCCCAATGATATTGCGCAGGAGGCAATGATCCGACGAGCTTATGAGTTGGCTGGTATTCAGGATTACTCGGAAACAGCTTTTGTGGAGTGCCACGGCACAGGGACCCCAATTGGAGATCCTATCGAAGTTCGGGCAGTCGGTCGGGTGTTTGGTCCTGCCGGAGGCGTCCAGATCGGATCAGTCAAGCCCAACCTTGGTCACTCAGAAGGCGCATCAGGCTTGACTTCATTGATCAAGTCGGTTCTCGCGCTTGAAAACCGCACTATTCCTCCGAACATCAAGTTTAACGAACCCAACCCCGATATCCCATGGGAGGCATGTGGACTGTCTGTTCCTGTGGAACCCATGCCCTGGCCTGTTACTCGTCGTGAGCGAGTGAGTGTGAATTCCTTCGGCATTGGAGGCACCAATGCACACGTCATTCTCGACTCGGCGCTTAGCTTTGGGCTATCTCCTGTCCCCACACGGTCTACAACATCTCCCCAAATACTTCTTTTTCCGCCAATCATGCAGACTCGCTGGAGAAAATGATCGAAAACTACGAGGGATATGTCGAGAAGAACCCAGACAGAGTCACTGATTTGGCATTCACATTGGGAACTCGGAGGGAGCATCTGCCGTATCGCAGCTTTGCTGTGGCTAGTCCGCTTGGTTCTATCACCAAATCATCTGCATCCAAGGCTGGTGAGGCACCGGATATAGCCATGGTATTTACTGGACAAGGTGCCCAGTGGCCACAGATGGGTCGGCGGCTTCTTCGCAGTCCTGAGTTCCCTATTTTTGAAAGGACCATCAAAAAACTTGACCAACACCTACGCACACTTGAAAATGGGCCCGACTGGAGCATACAAGAAGAGCTTCAAAAGCCAACCAAGACAAGTCGGCTTAGCCAGGCTGAGCTCTCTCAGCCGCTCTGTACAGCAGTTCAAGTTGCCCTTGTTGACTTGTTGGAATCTATTGGAGTTGCTCCAACTGCCGTTGTAGGTCACTCCAGTGGTGAAGTTGCTGCCGCCTATGCCGCCGGTGCTCTTACTGCAAACGAGGCCATCACCGTTGCATATTATCGAGGACAAGTCGCTAAACTTCAAACTAAACCAGGGGCGATGGCAGCAATTGGAATGGGCTCTGAAGAAGTTCAGCGCTACTTGCAACCCGGTGTCATTGTGGCCTGCGAGAATTCTCCTAAGAGCATCACTTTGGCCGGTGACCGTGAGGCAGTTGAGGGTTCTGTAGCAGCGATCAAGGAAAGTCAACCCGATTTGCTTGCACGACTTCTACAAGTAGACAAAGCCTATCATTCACACCATATGGCCGAAGTGGGCGACAGCTACCACGCGATGATCGGGGAACAAGTCTCACCCAAGAGCCCTACAAAGCTGTTCTTCAGCAGCGTCGAGGAGAAACTGCTTACCCAAGCCTCAGACTTTGGACCTAAATACTGGCAAAAGAATCTGGAATCTCCCGTCCGCTTCAATTCTGCTATTACGACAATCCTCCAACACAAGATTGCGAAGAACTTGGTGTTCCTTGAAGTTGGCCCACATTCAGCCCTTGCAGGCCCCTTACGGCAAATTCAAACGAAGCTGTCGAACTCGTCTCCGTATGCGTCCGCACTCATTCGCAACCAGAACGATGTGGAGTCATTCTTGACAGCCATTGGGAAATTGTACACTTTGAATATCCCAATCGATTTTACCAAGGTTATTACAAGAGGCTCTATTCTTCCGGATCTCCCGCGATATCCCTGGAATCATTCCGAGAGATTTTGGTATGAGTCTCGCCTGAGCAAGGAATGGAGAAACCGCCAGCATAAATATCATGATTTGCTTGGTGTCCGTGTGCCTGAAAGCCTGGAATTCAATATCTTGTTCCGCAACCTGTTCCACTTGGAAAATGCGCCATGGATCCGAGACCACAAGGTTGGAGAAGACATCGTCTTTCCATTCGCAGGTTACGCTGGTATGATTGGCGAGGCAGTACGACAGATAACTGGAGTTGAAGATGCATATAAACTTCGCAACATCGTTGTAAGCACTGCTCTTGTCTTAAATGAGGGCCAGCCGGTTGAGATTATGACAACTTTCCGTCGACTTCGCTTGACGGATTCTCTTGACAGCGAGTGGTGGGAGTTCACAATTGCGTCATACAATGGTACGGTCTGGACAAAGCATTGCTCTGGCCAGGCAAGATCTCATAGCGAGGATTTTGGTACAGCGGAAGTGAAAGCCCCTCTACTGCGCAAGGTTGGCACCCGCCGTTGCTATGAATCCATGAGCAAATCTGGCCTCAACTTCGGCCCTACCTTCCAGCGACTTGAGAGTGTCAGGTCGGATACAGTTCAACGCAATGCAACTGCCGAGGTTACGGCAAAGGAAGGCGAAGGCAACGGGTACCACTTGCATCCGACGGTCATTGACGCATCCCTGCAACTCCTCAGTGTGGCTGCATCTAAGGGCTATGCCGATCCAACAACCAAAATGATGGTTCCTACAAATATCGAGGAGATGTCGATCTACCGGCACTCCGAGAATGTTCAAGTGCGAGCTTCTGCAGATTACACCCCCAACGGTTCCATCACCGGAAGCGGCCAATGTGTTGCTTCAGACGGCAGACTCATTCTTCGCAGTACAGGTATCAGATTGTCAGTCGTGGATGATCAAACCTCTGATGATGGTGGTGAGCCTACAGCCCGTGCTGAATGGGGCCCGCACATAGACTTTTTGGACGCGAACACGCTTATCAAGCCCTCAGTCGACCGTAGTGCTCACATGCCCATTCTAACCGAGCTTTCTAATTTATGCATGTTTCATACGAAACGCGTTATTGCTGAGCTGGAAACTACAATTAGACACATGCAGAACTACCGCTCATGGATCGACCGCCAACTTCAATCAGTCGATACTCGCGGTCTTGAAAGACTTGATAATAACGCGATTGAACAGCGTGTGACCGCTATAGTCGAACAGCTATCTCAAACATCCGCTGTTGATGCCGCTGTGGCCATCAATAAGATCTTCAGGAATGTCGAACTGATCTTCACCGGCAAACTCGAGGCCTTGGACCTCCTTCTATCAGATGATACATTGAGCAAACTATACATCTTCATGGACCAATGCGATGAATCCCAGTTCTTCAAACATCTTGCTCATAGCAAGCCTAATCTGCGGGTTCTTGAAATTGGTGCTGGAACTGGTGGATCCACAGAAAACATCCTGAAGCTACTAACCCCCGGGGACAAGGCTTTGTACTCCAAATATATGTTCACTGATATCTCTTCTGGCTTCTTTGTTGCCGCAAAGGAGCGCTTTAGAAACTATTCAAATATGGAATATGCCACACTCGATATTAGCAAGAGTCTCGCTGAGCAAGGCTTTGAGGAACAGAAATACGATCTGATCCTCGCAACAAACGTGATTCATGCTACGAAGTCTCTCAGGGAGAGCTTGAGCAATGTTCGGGAGCTCTTGGACCCGAACGGGCGCCTCTTGCTCCACGAGCTATCATCGACCTCCAAATGGGTCAACTATGTTTGGGGAACGTTGGCTGGATGGTGGTATGGTGCTGCTGATGGCAGAGCAGACGAGCCATACATTAGCGTTGAGCGCTGGGCACGAGAGTTGGAGACTGCAGGGTTCCGCACACCCGATGCCGCCGTTCTTGATTCCCCCGAACCTCACCAACTCAATGCTATGATCGTGGCCCGGCCCGCACTCGCGAGGGTCTCGAAGAAGGAAGTCACCATACTGACCCTGCCGGAGTCAGAAAACGGGACACAAATATCCCGCTGTCTCCAGAGTCGTGGCTTTACCGTTCAAAGCTCCCTCTTGAGTGATGCGCCATTACCCGCTGGACGGGATATCATTGCCCTTCTCGATGACGAGGGTCCATTTTTTGAAAACATCGGAGAGCATCGACTTGAAGCTTTCAAGAAACTCATTAGTACCTTGAAAGACTCCGGTATTTTTTGGATTACCGGCCTATCACAGATGAATTGCCAAGATCCGCGATTCGGTCAGGTCCAAGGAATTGCCAGAACCATTCGATCCGAGATGCTCGTTGATTTCGCCACCTGCGAGGTTGACCATGTTGGTTCTTCCATGGAGAGGATAGTTGATGTGTTTGAGAAGTTCCAGCTTCGTGAGGAAGACGAAACCCTCAAGCCCGAGTTCGAATTTGCTATCGTGGAAAATTCCGTTCACGTTGGGCGTATTCACCCGTTCTCTGTACAGAGCGAACTCCAGGAATCAAAGTCAGATGGCAGCATTGCTCTCCGTACCAGTAAGCCAGGTCGTCTGACGGCCTTGCACTGGGCCCGACAGGAAATAGGAGTATTAAAGGGCGACGAGGTTGAGGTCGAAGCCTACGCGACCGGCTTGAATTTCAAGGTATAATATTCCCACTGGAAATATTTAGGGGCCTTACTGACACAAATTCATAGGATGTTCTATGTGCTATGGGGATTGTGGAGGCTTCTGAGAACGGGTTTGGTCTTGAGGCTGGTGGTATTGTGCGACGGATCGGCCCTCATGTCAAGGACCTCAAAGTTGGAGATAGGGTTATGCTTATCGCGCATTGTGCCTTTGCAACAGAAATAGTTGTGTCTGAGAATCTGTGTGAAAAGATCCCAGATGGTCTTGGTTTCGAGGACGCTGCTACCATGCCTTGCGTGTTTGCCACGTCCATCTACTCTATCTTCAACATTGGAAACCTTCAAAAAGGACAGGTTCGATTCCGCGAATCTCACACTGAAGTGAAAATATTTTCTGACCTTATCTATAGTCCATTCTCATCCACAGTGCCTGTGGTGGTGTTGGTCTTGCTACGATTCAGCTCGCTCAGATGATCGGCGCGGAGATCTATGCAACTGTCGGAAACGATGAAAAGGTCAAATATCTCATGGATACATTTGGGCTTCCTCGGAATAGAATTTTCAATTCCCGCAATGCATCATTTGCGGACGATGTCATGCGAGAGACTAATGGTGAAGGCGTGGACCTGGCCTTGAACTCCTTGTCTGGTGAACTGCTACACGCGACATGGAAATGCATCGCTGTGTTTGGTAAGATGGTTGAAATCGGGAAGCGTGACTTGATTGGGTCTGGAAAGCTTGATATGAGTACTTTCGAGGACAACCGGAGCTATTGCTGCGTTGACCTGGATCAAATTTGTTTCCGAAAACCTAAGGTTGCAAAAGAGTAAGTGATGAACGCGACTGTGTTTGGTGCTCTTTAGAGACTAACAAATCCCTCAGACTGCTCAAGAACATCGTCAATCTGGTCCGGGAGCGGCATATAAACCCGATTCAACCGATCAAGGTTTTCAGCTCCGATGCTATCCTCGATGCATTCAGGTATATGCAACAAGGCGTCCACCTTGGTAAGATTGTCGTAGCAATGCGAAAATCTACGGGGAAGACAAGCATGCTAGCCGAGGTCAAGGAGAAACCAAAGGCTGTTCGGTTTGATCACACTAGCGCATATCTGCTCGTCGGTGGACTAGGTGGACTAGGTCGATCTATCTCTACATGGATGGTCGAACGCGGGGCGCGTCACTTAATCTACTTTTCCCGAAGTGCTGGCACAAAAATTGAGCACCAGGAATTTGCGCAAGAGCTGGCCAGCATGGGATGCCGTGCCGACTTTATCCAGGGCGACGTTACCAATCTTGATGACGTGACAAGAGCTGTTGCACAAGCTCGAGGTCATCTCAAGGGTATTTTACAAATGTCCATGGTTCTGTCGGATCAAAACTTCACTAGGATGACGCTGAAGGAATGGAATACGGCTGTGAACCCCAAGACTAAGGGCACATGGAATCTCCACAATGCATCACTCCTTGCAGCGGCTGATTTGGATTTCTTCGTGTTCTTCAGTTCCCTTTCCGGCATCATCGGCCAGCCGGGACAAGCAAACTATGCGGGTGCCAATACTTTCCTGGATGCCTTCTCGCAATACCGGCATAACTTGGGACTTCCAGCCTGCTCAATAGAAATTGGAGCAGTGGAGGAGGTGGGTTATATGGCCGAACATGACACCCTGATGCAGAAACTCAAGGGGTCTGGCGCATCAGATGGGACGGTCTCGGAGCGCGAGCTTCTTGAGGCTATGGCTGCTGCAATGACGTCGATGTCCAAACCACCTAGAGAGAAGTTGGCAAACATCTCATCCAACAACTTCTCTCTCGGATTTCGGTCCAATATCCCCCTGAGCAGTCCCAGCAATCGTTCTCTCTGGAAAAAGGATGTCCGCTTGGCTGTCTTCCACAACATCGGGGAAGCAAGTGGCACGGCGGCTGCTGGCTCCAATGATACATTGAAGTCTTTCATTTCCTCGGCCAAGGGAGATGCTGCACTGCTGAACAGTCCCGAGTCGGCACATCTACTGGCAATTGAAATTGGCAAGAAAGTTTTCGGTTTCTTACTCAAGCCGGAGGAGGATTTAAAGACCTCGTGCTCACTCTCCGAGCTGGGCATGGACTCTTTGGTCGCGATTGAAATGAGACAGTGGTGGAAGACGATCTTCGGTTTTGATATTAGTGTGCTAGAAATGATGGGTATGGGGACCTTGGATGCCCTGGGAGAACACGCTGCGAAAGGCATGCTCAAGATATTCCACGGCTCTGATGAAGAATGAGGCAAGTGAACAGGAGTTGCGGTATACTGCGATGGCGCAGGTGGAGTTTGGTAGTTTATTTAATGCAACTTATATCTACTGGGTCATTCTCTCGCGATTGTACGTCATGGTCCTTTCCCAAGCTCTGTCGGCATGCTTCTCCGAGCAAAGCTTAATGGTTAATGACCCAACATGTGATATGAGCGGCAATCCTCGGAGTTTTGCCGTGTCTCGCAACGGATCAACTGTTTATGTCCTGCTTGCAACGGGGAATAAAGTGGAGCAATAATCCGCCATCGCAGATTTTGACTTCAATTTCATTGATATTTGGAAGTTTCATAACCAGGTGGCTTCGATATCGGTAATTACTCGTTGAGAAAGTCAAAATCATTCCGCGAACTCGGTGTTGGCTGATTATATAGTCTAACAGTAGGGCTAGACATGAAATAGAGTTTCAGTAGAACAGACCATTCAGAGCATCTTCGGCCTCCTTTCATATTAATCCATTATCTCGAGGAGCATTTTCATTCCCGAATATGCGACTCAAGCTTGATGGCAGGCTGCCTTGCAGTTGAGGCACACTGCTCCATTGCGTATTTACGCCAAAAGGTGGAGCGCCATTGGTCAAGACTTCAGAGTTATATGTGACTGATGGCAGCTCAGCCCGAACATGTTGTCCCGTCGCTTGGGGCTTTTGGCTTTGCGTGAAGTCATTTGGATCTTGGAATAGCCACGGTGGGTTTGCCAAAGTCATAATTTCCTGGTCAAAGATTGTCCATGTGTCGTCGACCATTGGTCCAGGAAATGCTAAGGCAGAGCTAGTGTTTGGCGGTGTGTGCATGGCTTGCATGCTTGATTCAAGGCGCTGAGAAAGCACAGAGTGTATGCTTGCTGTGGACTGGTAGCTTCGCTCTAGGCTGTGAAGGTGTGTTTGAATGAGATGTAGGTCTGCAGTAGGTAATCATTTAGCGTTATTCCTGCTGCTCGGGATATCGACTTACCATCTTGGTGGGTAATACCGTCTTCAACACCTCGCAATAGGAGGATTGCCGCCCATGTAATCATCTATATTCAAACACAGATGTTAAGAGCGTGCAGGTGTCAGGCAGGAACTAATGAACTTACTATCAGATCCCAGTTGGACCAGATACTCGCATCATCTTGTCTCAACCTCAGCACTGCCCGTGCTGATACAAGTAGCTCATGTCTTTCGATGGGATTAATGTTTGCTGCACTGAGATCAAAGCCCCTGGCTGGGTGATAAATAGACAGCACATAAAGCTTATGCAGATGATAATGCAGAAGTATCAAGATCCCTTGTCGATCTGAAGGCGTTGGCTCTGTCGAAAATGAATAGAGACCGGTTAGCAGAATCTCCAATCTGATTCTTTCGCAACCATGACTTACGAGACGATCCATTATATTGTACCAACCAGTCATCCAATTTGCATGCCCATAGTCTTATCACCTCGGAATCATGATCTGTGAATGAACTTGGAGCAGCCGAGGCACTATGAGAGGGCTGCTCATTGATGGAGGACCAGATCGTCGGTAAACCTCGACCCACAAAGTGACTTAGACCATAATGCATCATATCTGCTAATCCCTGAAATGCATGGCCTTGATGAGTTTCAACTTGCCGAAGACCCTGACGTGGGATTATAGGGTATGACATATGCATAGAAGCATGTTCGATGTCAATAATCTATGGGGTTAGCTGGTTCGGAAAGGGGATGGATTATGAGTCCTCACTTGAAGCCCCGAAAATAATCCACGCCAGTCTAAAGTTGAAGATTCCAAGTCAGATGGGCAATGATCCAGCCAGAGACGGTACGCAATAGCGATCCACGACCCCGTGGTATCTATATAAGCTTCGGAGCTCAGACTAGCCATGATCAGACCGAGTATGTTGTGGAATGTTTCATAACTTTTTTGCTCTTTAGAAACATCCGCTCCTGTATCGATTACCGTGATATCTCCCACGGTGGGTCCACTTTTCAAAGCTGGGGTAACTAGCTCAACAATAGCACTACACGTGGCGGCGAAATAACCTGCTTCCATTGAAGGCTGGTCAAAGGATTGATGGTGGAGAGAGGAGATGTAAAGAACAGACGCAAGCAATAGTGGGGTGGGTGATTTGAATGAATCTTGACTTTTTAAAAAGTGAAGAAGAGGCAGATTGTTCAAGAATCTGACCAAGTGTGAGTGCAGGCCGAAGATTCAAACTAGAGGGAGGTACCCACCGGCTCCATAATCGCTTGACAACGGTTCGGGTCCATATTTTTTCATCTGGAGGAGGGCGTGTGATGGATCTTAAATGAGCAACGGCTTTCCAAACTCCTTGTACTATCGCACTATCGGATTCTTCTTCATCATCGGGAACCTGATTCGGTAGCAAATCTTCTATTTCCTGATTTATTCCTAAAGCAGCTTCGATTCTGTCTAAGCGATCAAGAATTGACTGCTGATCTGCTGAGTGGGATGCATTGAAACTTTGTTGAGATTCCTCAAACAGGTCATGTAATGCAGAGGCCTAGGTCCGCCGTTAGTACCACACCTAACGTAGCTCCAGAGAGTCATGCTTGTGGCATACATTAGCCCGGGGCTTGAAAATACATGCTGCCTGAGTTTGACGGCAACGGCGGCATGGTGGAGACCCTGAAACTTCACATTTCATCTTCATAGCGTCAGTCACAATCCGACCGTGTGGAGATGGTCAGTGTAGATACCTTCAGCCTACGGCAATTCACTGCCGAGACGATTAGCGCTATAGATGGTATGGAGTCGTCCGGTCTATTGTCTTTACTTACCACATGCCTTCGTCGGCTTGGGTCCCAAGGCCACCGAGCCCCGTTTATTCATCGTGTTTGGCCTGGTAACACTGCATGGGGAAGAGGAGCATTACGGCAACACGGATTTCTTATCGGTGGCCACGTGAGTCGGGGATAAATTAGGCCCCGCTTATCTACGCTTATCCCACTCGTCCGGGGTTGGTTCCACCTTCTTTCACCCCACAGACTGGACCAACAGAAGATTGAATACAAAAATATTATCGCATTTTGAGTATCATTTTGTGCAAACTGCTCTCAATGACTTGTTTAATTATCGAAATGATCTCTTTGGGAGCCACTTTGATGCCTTTGTCTCCAGAAAGCTCTTCTTAGGGGACTCCGGCTCGGCGGTAATTGGCGATAGCGAAGGCCGGCTCAGAGTACGGTTTTCATCCGACTTTCCTTCCTCTTCATGGGTCTCCATGAGTCTATCAACTGCCCATTTTAGATTCTTTTGCAGAGCATAACTCAGAGGTGATCCACTCTCCTTTGCTTCCGCGGTCGGATCTGCCCCTGCGGACAGTAAAAGGCTGATCAGTCGCTCCTGGGACGCTTGTATATCATACTCGGTGCTCATCTGCGGCTGGTGCTCCCTTTGCAGCACAACAGCAGTCAAAAATACCAGAAGAGGTGTCTTGCCATCCATATCCCGAGCATTCACATCCGCACCAGCGGTAATTAACATCTTTGAAACAACTTCGGAGTCCATGCTGACCACAGCCACATGTAGGGGGGTTCTTCCTGAACTGTCCTTCGCGTTTGGATCGCCCCCATTATCGAGCAGAGTTTTTATTGTCTTTTCTGTATCCTTGGCCTTTGCTGCGATATGCAGTGCTGTCTGGGAGTTGTTCACGGCATAGTATGTCTGCATCAGATCTCGGGAAGTCTTCAAACTGACCAGCCCCCTAACTGCGGATACTGAGCCCACACTGGTCTTTTTATTAGGTTCTGCGCCAGCCTTCAATAGAGCTTCCACGACTCCCTCGAGTCCTGGAGTCGCAGATGCCTTATGAAGTGCTGTGACTCCAGAGCCATTTGTGATGTTTATATCGACGTCACTTTCCAACAAAATCTTCACTGTCTCCACCAAGTGGCTTTCAATGGCATAATGAAGTGGAGTGTTCCCACCCTGTCGCGTTTTTGCGCTTGCTTTTGCACCCGCGTCAAGCAATATTTTCACCATTCGAGGTCCAGCATCGGATCGTTTGGAAGCAGCAAAATGAAGGGCAGTGCGACCAGGGTGATTTAGTCCCATGGTTTCTACGTCCACGAGTGCACCGTTTTTCAGAAGCCAGGCTACCATTTCCACGGCCTCTGAGTCTGCAGCAATATGGATAGCGCTCCACCCAGAAGTATCTGGGGCACATATAGCCGACGGTAGTGATGAAATAGATGTACTCCACGATGTAGCCCGGTTTGCTAGCCATGGGAGATTTAGCCGGGCAGATACAAACAGCAAACTCGTACTAGTAGAGAATCCTGAGTCTGGAGTGAAATATTAGCTCATTATCGTAGAAATTCCTTTCAGAATAAGACCTACACTTTCCAGCTGTCCAGCGTTTCAGAAGATCGTAAGATCTCACCCAGGTTAACAAGGCCGGTGACTCGGCAGCAAAGAACTCTCTCATTCCCTTCACATCCGTTTCCTCTTCAATTTGACACTCTCGGAGATGATGTCCCACAAATTCGACACAATATTGCAGGAAATTATAGCCTTCGAGATATTCCTTTCTTACCGCCATAAGCTGACCTTTCTCGATCAAACCATCTGAATTAATCGGAGGCTTGGGGACTTCTCGGCTTTGAATCTCACCAATCCGTAGATAGCTTAAACAGGTGGATGCCATGTTTCTATGTGCTTCCTGCATGCTCAGTCCGTATCGAGGGTATTCCATTTGACCCTCCGCAGTGAATACATTTGAAAGGAAGTCCTTCACCGATTGATGAGCAAAGTGAACTGCTCCATCATGAATCGCAAACAAGGCACCCCAACTGTTTTCGATATTGCCTTTCAAAGCATCGATATCTTCATGAGAACTTGCTTTTCCGTTCTGTTCTTTTCCCTCCTTAATATTCAAGATAATATCCAACTCCTCCAGTGTCACTGGCTTGCATGCGAAATAGACCCACATAAGTAACTCTTGCAATGTGCTCACAGAGTCACGCGGTTGGCGTTCCAACAATGTTTTGTAAAATGCCTCCACATCTGATGGAATACTATGTAGTCTTTCTTCGACCTTCGTCTGTGTCCAGGACCCCTCCCAGGTTCCGAGGTCATCGAGGGCCAGCGATAGCCACATGAACATACCTCTGCAGTTCTTCATTAACAAAGCTGAGGTAAATGATTGGATACTCTCCGAAAACTGTCTATATTCTTGAATGCTTTTCATCCGACTATCGATGACTTTGTTGATGTCAGGTTCATTTTTTGTTGACAGATCAATTGTGTATTTTGGAAGCATCTTCTCCCGAACGAGCTTGCTACCCCGATCTGAAATAATGCAACGGAAGCTGAATTGGGATTCATTCGCCTTTGCCTTGATATTGATATTTGTGGTAAAATCGTTGATCCACCGTACAACCGCGGGTAAATGTGGCCCACATTGGTCCAAGCCGTCGATAAGAAAGTACAGAACTTCTAACTCCGGGTCTTGAACGATCTCTTCAAAGATTTTCTGAAGTACGTCAATTGACTGGAATTCGTCTGGGTCAAATTCTGCTGTTTCGAGGTCGCCGTAATTTTGCAAGTGCTTCTTCACATATTTGATCAAGTTGCGATTTTGCTGCAGCAGTTTGGATAGTAGAGTCCTCAATATCCCAATCGGAGTTTGTCTTGACTTTACTTTATCGTCGCAGAAACAGGCAACAGCAATGGTCTTCCCAGGGATTCCGAGCGATTCAAGAGGCGGATTCTTCTCCTCCACTGGTGATGAGAGCGAAGGGGTACCGAGCCGCAGCCGTCTCTCTAGCTCCTTGAGAATATACAAAAGCAAGACACTTTTCCCGGTTCCTGGAGTTCCCTGAATGTATAATGGTGTCATAGGTGAGGGATCTTCTGCTGCCCATTCGCAGAAAATATCGCTTTCAAAGACCCATTCACATGTCCCAGGATCTGCTCGTCTGATATCACGTCTGTCACCGGGATCATCGCTAATCAGAGCCTCGAGAATCTTGTCTTCGACCGTCTTTCTCTCGCCTATAATTTTTAATTTGACCTCTTAGTCTCTATTTCAAGAAACACGATTCAAAAATTCGATCAAGACGGCATACCCATATACACAGAGGCACCAGCACCGATATTGATTCCTTGAATTGAATCACTGTAGAATGAAGCTTCTATAGTGCCGAGATTCTGTCCCATCTGAAGTCCCTTATTCTCAGACTTTGAGAAGTCTGCAGACATTTCCGGTCCCTAATTATCATGATTAGCTAAATTTTATATTCAATCACTGCAATACCGTTCCATGGGGCTTCTCGTACTCTTGCAGATACACCTGCTGATGCCATTCTTGAAGACTTTGAAGTTCAATACACAAGTTCTCTCCTTGGTGACAATTATTAAAGGGGATGGACTTTGGGTAAGGGATTTTCTTCATCTCAACAATGTCACTCTTATTCTTAGCATAAATCCCCACTTCTTTTGACACTAGGTTATCACTACTGGACTGAGCGCAACGGACTGACAGTGCATGAGAGTACCCACAGTTCAGCTCAAAGAGACCCACACGGATGAGCCGATCTAGCGCCACAAAGTTGGTCATGCAGATTTTACTCCAGACCAATCAATGAACATGGCGCTAGACTATGACTCGTGTCCCTCATGGTAAATTTAAGCGATAGGTGGAAGTCGCTCAAGTTTTGTAAGAGCTTTGTACCTCGCTTTTACATGTAAAACAACTAGAAATGATGCCCTCTCCAATGCTCTCTCCACATGGAGCACATGGAGCCTTCGAATCATCTTCATGTATGATTTTCCGTTTCATCCAAATTCCAATGTAATATTCTTTAAGCGTTGACTCCATTTCTTCCATAGTTTCAAAGTAAACGAGACTTCCGGCTCTGGAAATGATACCGTGTGGCTAGCTGAAGCTTCATCTGCCACTAGTATAGCCGAACCTAATTCGCGCAGGTAGGAGCATCTGGAGCCTAGTCTCGAAGGAACTGACCAGAGATTTCTTTGTGTCAAAATGTGAGTACTGAAACGGTAGGAAAGTAAGTTCGCTAATACCTAGATATCGTAGAAGCAAAGTTACGGTACAGACTAAGAATGTTGCTCATGATGCATATTTAGCCTATTGGTTGTTAGAACGATGCATATGCATGCCACGGTGTCTTGGTATCTCTATGTACGAGAGCTAATACAGTTTTCTTTCAATTATGTAGACCGGAAATAGTGCTCGAGTTTAAATATTCTATCCTCAGCTGCCTTCTTTCCACCGCTATAGGCTTCAAAGCACATCAACAGAATTACGTCCATCATGTCCGTTAACATCATCAAGGATGCATCCAACGCAAAAGTGGAGTACGCTTCATAAATTCAATTTGCACTAACTAAATGTCTATTCAATTTGACGCTGAGTTCTTCCAGTATCGTTCTCGTCCATGGTTTAAAACATGATGACCAGGAAAACTGGACATCTGCGGAAAGCTCTGTCTTTTGGCCAGAGAAGCTCCTCCCGTCCCAGGTCCCCGACGCGCGGATTATTGCATTTGAATACGATGAAGCGAACATTGACTCGTTCTGGAATGAGGAGGATTTGATCGCCGATATTTCTGACGACTTGGTCAATGAACTGATGGGGGAACGGCGCGGTGACAAGGTCTGTCTACATCTTTTCGAGCTGAATATTCTTGACCACTTGACCCATTGAATACTAATTTCAGATGGCTTCAATAGGCTGAGAGACCTTTGATATTCATTGCTCATTGCGTTGGGGGTTTGGTTTGCGAAAATGTCTCTCACACCCACACAATTCGGATCTATGGAGAACTAACGGATGAAACCTATTCAAATTTACTTAGGCTTTGATTCGCGCTTGTCAGCATGAAAAGAAAAAGCAATTGGTCAACTCTGTCCAGGGAATTATCCTCTTGGGAACTCCGCATTTCCAACCGGAAACACTGTCGGAGGCTGGAAAATATTTCCAGCTCGCTGGGAAACAAATCCCAAGCGCGTCCGATCTAGAAGAATTGTCTCAATTCATATTGAAAATTCCTCAGAATTTTGCCCAGCTTAGACAGGCTGCCCCGATTAAAGTTGAATGCTTCTATGAGGGAGCTCCTATGAAGCTGAATGACCAGGAAGTCAAGATTGTTGAAGTTTCCGTGGCAAATATGCCCGGTGGATCTCCCGCAACTAGACTTGCGGGTAATCATTACCAAATGAGTCGTTTTGCAAGTGACAAAGACAAAGACTTCAAGAAAGTTTACAGGGTGCTGCAAGAGTGGGTGGAAGATCTTCCTGAGCCTGAAAAGGAGGGCACTGTAAACAACATATCCAATGCCTCATTCGCCGGATCTACCAATAGTGGTTATCAGCTAGGGCAGAATGTGGGAAACCAGACTGGATTCGTTTTTGGAAGGTGAATCACCAAGTGCAGGCCTGTTATTTGTCATAATTAACTAGCGTCTCAATACCAAGGGCTTTTGTTGCTGTATGTTAAGCGAGATTCCCGTAACATAAGGATGTCACAGTCTGAAGGCCTTACAAGGTAAATTAAGAACCACCATGCTCTGTGATTGACAGGGGACAGAGTGATCTAGACCCGACCATGGGAGGAAGCGTATTCCAAATCGAGGGGTTTGCGTATTAGTTGTTGATGAACATGTGTTCTACCACGCTAGGTCAAATGCTGGCAGCCACCATCTTTCGAGTGAGCCAATTAGGACAAGCCATCCTCGGCTGCTAATTTCCTAGATCCATGCACTGATCAAACTATCCCTTTGTTTGCCCACGACATGCGGGAGGAGGTCTCAGAGAAGGCTATCGATTGGGGAACAGAAGACTTGGGTCGGGCAAACCAGCTGCCTAGGCAGCGAGGCACGATACGACGTGGATCGCTCTAATTGGCGTTTTACAAAAGCGCCGCGATTCCAAAATCAACAAGCGCAGCGAAGGGGCTGGCTGAGTATTTCGGTTCCGACTGATCCGGCCAGTTTCAAACATCCCTACCCCGCACACCATGGGAGTTAGGTCTAGAAACGTGTAAACTGTCATGAAAATACAAGCTGAACACTCTTCTACGGCCGTTCCAAATCATGTGCATCACGTGAAAATGTCTTCGTTATGAGATTCTGTCCTACTTCTTCCATGTTGACTTGGGCTTCTTGATTCATAGTTTTTCTGTTCTGACAATCAAATTCCCTCTGGCGATTCTGCAGATATTACATTTTTCAATATGACCATCCAGCAGCAAAGTAACCCGTCTGGGCAGCCAGATTCCGATCTAGCTGAGTTATGGCAAACGGCCGTGAAATCATATGAGGAGACAACTGGCAAAAGCCTTCGACTGGGAAGTTCCAACACAATGGACGATGTGATGCAGGCTACTGAAGGGTTATCGACTAAATTCAAAGACTTTCGTGATGACAAATCAAAAGTGTCCAAAGTGCGAACTGCTTTCAAAAACAACATGTGGTTGATCAAGGACATCGTCGGCGCGGTACAACAGGTCGGAAACGCAGCATCAGTATGTTCAGATCACCATAAGCCAACTAGACTAAGAAAACTAATCTTCTGTCTTCTCAAGGCGTTTCCACCAGCGATGCCAGCAAGTCTGATCTTTTCCGTGTTTGGGCACGTTATGCAAGTATGGGATATGATCAAAAGAATATCCTAAAATTATGCTGACACAAACAGTCTTTTTCCGACGTTTCAGCTGATTACGATAAAGTAATGGGGTTTTTTGATTTCACGCATCGGTTCTTCGACAGATTATCTATTATTGATCACAAAATGCCGAACAGTTCGCCGTTCCAACGCTGCGTTTTACGTGTGTTCTCAAGTATTTTGAAACTTTGTGCGATTGCACAGAAATACTGCGCTGAAAAGCGATTCAGTACGTCTCAGCCATAATTCTTTTCGTTCTCATTTACCTGCGCGATAGTGGCCGGTAGCTAATGGTCCTGATTAGAGAAGTGGTTTGAGAGCCTGCTCAAGGGGTCTGATGGGGCTTTAGCTGGGGCCAGCAAGGAGATGGAAGAGGCCATCAACGAGCTGAGCCAGGCCGTCGGTTTGACTACTCTGAAAACCGTCGAAGTTCTTGATGAAGTTGTTCAAAGTATGAATGGCAATGTTGAGTTTCTAGTCGCAAACGCAAACCTTATCGACGAACGGACAAAGGCTATCCAGCTTGATACCGCCACCATCATCAAGCAAAACGAAGAGCTTGAATCAAAGCAAGATGAAATGACTGACATGCAACGAGAGACGCTTGATAAGATGACTGAGCAATCTCGGATGCTGACGCAGGTTGTTGGGTATTTCGGGTCCATTCAAATGGGAGAAAATTTTGGCAAGGCCTTCCAAACGAGCCTGTTGAAGTTGAGCGTAGTCAGGTTGCGACTTACTCGTTGGGGGGAGTCCATTGGTCTGGTAAGCATGACAGATATTACATCGCTTCATCAGGCCAAGATATCCCCGGAAGATATTCCACAAGTGGAAGACCTTCTCAATGGAATTCTAGACCAATTCGCAGACGCTGAGAGAATCTCGCAGCGATTCCAGCGCCGCAACACTTCTGTCCAAGTATTGGATCCCGCAAAGGAATTAGATGAAGTCTCGGCGTCTTTACATCAAACAATGTCTGATATTGTGAAGAAAAGACAAGGTGACTCAGAGCCGGATCCCACAACCAACTTAACCTTATATGAAGAGAAAAATTTCACTCGACTGATTGAAGATGTGAGTGATCTAGTCAATGATCTGGTGAACTTGTTTCCTGGTATCCAGGAAGACCAACGCAAGCTCTGTGAACAAGAAGTGTCAGAGATGAAGAAGATTAAGAATGCCCTCCCTTTGTTGAAAGATGTTGCAGCGGACGATGACAAGATGCTCAGCGAGACTGTGGTCAAAGTCATTAAATCAACTACCACCACAACCTACAACAATAGTGTGGTCTTTTCGGGGACGAATTCCGGCTTCCAGGTCGGAAACAATAAAGGAAACATCAGTAATGTGCGGTTCAATTAACTTGGACATGGCAACCACATTTTTTTTCAGAGAATTGAGGCAGATAACTGTAGATTCCATTGCAAATATCGTTGCTCAGCTACCGAGCCTAGTTCAATTGAATACTGGTCATCACGAACTGCACGAAATATTCCAGGGTGAGGTGCCCCTTTTTGTTGGCATGGCTGATCGAGTAACACATTCACTCGGCGGTCGACGCAACTTTTTATTTGTGCGGAATATCAAGCCTTCCGCGCATCTCGCTCCAAGTTGACAACACCAGCATCCAACTTGCCATATCGCTTCTGGCTCCTATCTCAGAAAGTTTTGCTTCTCGCACTATCTAAAATTTATCCAAGATGATGTATCGCGTAGAAGCAAAATTCAAAGATTGTTACGAATAGCGAAATTTGATTAAACAGATATCTGTTCCCCTTTTTGGTGGTGTAAATGAGTTGATCGTATCTATGCAGCATCAAACTCACTACTTTAATCATCGAATACTGCCCCTAGCTGATCAATATCTTCTCCTGCTCTTCCATAAAATCCATATAGCTTTCTACCATAAGCAGGTTGAATGCATTGGTCCCCGCCGATTCCTCCTACCTCGAAAAAGTCCCTATCTTCACGAGTCACCAAGTCATGAGTCCCGATTCGGAGTGAATGAGCACGCCCGGTTGATCCGTAAATATACATCCAGTAGAGGGGTTCATTGCCGGAAATGAAGTTGAAATTGGTGTGCAGGATATTCTGCTCTTCCTTTGGCGGGCAATATCCAGCCTGGCCCAGTTCGACGTGGCCCTGTCCATCCGTGGCCCATCTGATTTTGATTCCCTTTAGAACAATATCTTTCTCAAGGTCGTCACTGCCTTTGCCGTACCATACGTCCAATTGTTCCACGGGCTTATCACGCCAGAGGTTGAACGTCTCGCCACCATTACCACCAACTGCAGGGCCCATCTTAACCATGATGTGGAATATTGGTTTCTGGATGAATATCACGGATTCACGTTTTATTGATTCAAAAAAGTATAAGAAAAGATACAGAGAAGATAGGGTGTCTACCCATTTTAATATCTCTGTCCTTTACTTTCTCAACGAGAGCAGATCGGTACTCAAAATTCTCGGCCTTTTCCAATACCACGCATCTATTGATGAGTTTCGTCATCCGTCTCTCGTATGGGTTGAGCATTCGGTAATGTTACATCACCAAAAACTACTGTCATCGTACTACCATGGGTACGTGAAATAATTGAGCATACTACTGCGGGCACGTGAGAAGAATTGAACTTGCTACCATGGGTACTTGCAATGTCGCGGGATTGTCGCAGCTTATTAGTAATAACGCGCCGGTTACCCATCAAGGTTAAGGCGTTCCGGCCTCGAAGGGAATAAGGAATAGAATAACGTTAAATTCAACTTTATCTAAATATCAATTGGATTATTGATAATACGAGTTGGTAATAAGTATATCCGGGGACATGTGTGCTTGTGGTGACGGTCGCTCGGTGTTCGACTACTTGTACGAAAATTTTATATCTACATATAGAATCTTCGCATGAAACAAATTGAATACGGATAAGATTTCTAGTTTAATGTTCGATAATTCCATGTTCATCTGCAAGCGGCGAATCGGCATTGACAGGGCTCATTGGATGTTGTTGGTTTTAACGGGAGTGCTTGCACAGCAAGGCCGGATCTGATACGATCTGAAAAGAGCTATGTTACATTAGATAGTCGCTCGGTATTGATATGAAGTAATTTGCCTGGCTTTCAATATTCACAGGGTGTTATATTGCCCTAAAGCGATGGCATAGAGCATGTTGGGGAGGCGTCCCCAAGTTCCCGGGAGACCCTCGACAACCTGACCTCGGCCAATATGATGAATTGCTTCATTTTTCAAATAGGAGCTAGTGCGTATCACCGTCATGTGCTATCACTACGTACCCTTACGAACAAAGAGTTCGGCTCTACTGTTCAAGCTCTTGGCTGATGTTCTCACGTTTTTAGTCCGCCCTGCGTAGGCTGGAAGAGAGTCCAGGGCGGTTCCGATAAACGGAGACGGAAAGCGTATCACAAGACGGATTCGCATTTCCATTGTTATTGCGCATGCATTTTACCGGAACGATAAAAATGCCACGTCTATCAACCAAGGGAGGCAGCTGGTTGTAGAAGTGAGGAAAGCTCTGGTGCTCAATAGCACGTATAGATCTTGATAGCGCGTTTCAAAGGGAAGGGAGTAGGGGCGCAAATAAAGGGAAGGAGAAGAGAAATAAGGACCGGAGATTCATACAGGCCAGGTAGTAATACATATATGTACATGGGAATGCACAGATGCCAATACGTCACCAATGCAGGGGTGTAAAAATACAAGGGGGGACGACCAGGGTATAAAGTGAAACTTTTACAGTAGGTCGAGGTCATGGCGAGTTTCTTCAAACAGAAGGCGCAGAATCACTCTCTTGGCCCATGGACAGCTTTCGCACATCCCATTGCGAGTTTGCCCAGTCCTTCTTCTCGCCCAGAACACAAGTCGCCTTACGCGAGCCATTGACCAGGAAACGATCAGCAACTTCGTTCACGTCCTTGGCAGTGACATCAAGAACTTGCTCTCTCCAGCGCTGGTCCATCTCGTGGGTGACACCGCTCATGAAGTAGCGAGATCCCTCCTCATCAACACTCATGGGAGCGTCAAGACCCTGGAAGATGCCCAGTTTCGCTTCCTCAATCTCCCGCTCGGACCAGGCACGATCCCGGGCGAAAATTCCGCTGTTTTGGAAAACCTTCAAAGAGTTCAGGGGATTGGGGTCCCGGTAGCTCATAAAGGTGAAGATGCCCTTGAGAGGGCCGTTGCTAGCACCCGCGCCGTACGCACCTCCTTTCTCACGGATCTCAGGGTGTAGATAATTATGAGTGAGCATTTGGGAGAGGACAGTGAGCGGCGCACTTGAGGGGTCGACAAATGGGACTGTCTGGGTAGCTTGGCCGGAGTAGTAGACTTTGTAAGGAAGATCGTAGAAAGCCTGAGAAATGGGCTTGAATGAAGTTGCAGTGTTAGATGCACTGGGTAAGCCGCCCTGGGGCAATCCAGAAAGCCACTTTTGGAGGACAGACTCATTCTGAGCAGCGCTTTCTTGCTCGCAGACCATCCGAACACGGAGGCTTGAGGACTTGGAGATAGCGAAGGACTGGATGAGGCGCAGCTTGTCAATCAATTCCTGAAGGCGCTCAGGCGATGTCTCTGCGTCGCGAAGAAGGTTTGCAGTAGCCTGCAATTGCTCCAAGCCAGACTGCTGCTCCTGGACCCAGAAACTAGGTGAAAGGCTAGCAGCAGCAGCGTTAACGGCATACCGATGGCCAGTTGCGGCGACTGAATCCAGTGCACCATTGGTAGTCAATCGCAGAAGCTCTTGGATCATTGCCGGGGCAGCAGGACTCGAGAAATCAGTCTCCGTGACCAGAGTTGAAAGCATATTCAGCATTTCAGGAATGTTCTTATCAAGCGCAAACCCAGAGAACTGCAGTCCCTCTTTGTATTGATCCAGGTGAGTCGGGGATGACACTAAGAAGGACGAAGTGGATATTCCGCCAGTCTTGAGTTTGATGAGGTCTTCCCATTGCTCCATTGACCTATTCGCTGTTCCCAGTCGCATAACGCAGTCGTTGAAAAGTGGCATTAGCAGGCGGAGATGTTCAGGGAGACCTTCAAAGGCATTCAGGGCTTGGAAATATGTCAACCCGTTGGTAGGGGCCTCGCGCCAGACAACGTCGACACCGTCGACCTTCGACTCGCGCACGGGCTTCCGCTCCTTTTCTCTGGAGATATCCTTGACTCGTAGCGATGGGAGACAGCTCAAGTCTGCATTATGCGCGTCTTCTTGCACCTTCAACAATTGCAGCTCCTCTTCACTGAGCTTGGCAACAGCGTTTTCAACCGAGCCATGCTGCTCAATAAGCTGGGCAAGTTTCTGGTCTTTCCGCACAACTTCCTTCTGATCCAACTCCTTGTTGAATGTAGGGCTTCCGACCATAGTAAAGGTCATACACTGATCATTGAGGAGGTATTTCTCGACCAAAGACTCGAGATATCCAGGCTTCTCATATCTTCTCTTAAATTCCTCAATCACATCGTTCCAGGCCAATTCTTTCATCGGGTTCGCGCCATTGAACCAGGAGGAAATGGTCTTCTCCATGACACCAATGCCAAAGTTGGCGGTCTTGTGACGCAAAGACAGTTCCAGCTGGTGAAGGAATCCACGGACCTTCTCCTCGCTGAACCCGGCCTTTGCAGATTCTCGGAAAGTGTCCTGGATCACTTGTTTCACAGTTGGCGCTTCGGCTTCACCGACACCGGTCAATCCGACAGAGAAGATGGGAACTTTGCCGGATGAGTCGAGGCCTGTATTCGGGGTGAAAGAAGACCCGAGTCCGCTCTCAATAAGAGCGCGGTACATAGGCGAGCCATAACCATCAAGGAAGAGAGACGAGATGATACCGACGGAGAAAGTCTCCACGGTATCGGTGGAATCACCCATATACCAAGATGTGGATGTCTTGTGCTGCTTGTTCTCGCTGGCAAAAGTATCAATAGGTCCAGGAACAGTCACGTTCAAAGGTCCACGGCTAAGATCCAAAGGCATCTTCACATCGATATCCGTTTGTCCTTTGCTGAATCCATCTAAAACTTGCCCGACTTGCTCCAAGTGGCGAGTCAATGGCATATCTCCGTAGGTGAGAATTTTGGCGTTGCTGGGGTGGTAGTTGCGCTTCGAAAAATCGGACAATTGCTTGTGGGTAAGATCAGTGATGAATTCCGGATCACCTCCCGAGTTGTTCAATGCTGGCACAATGCTCTCCTTGAACCGAATGTAGTATAAGTAGTTTGCATCCGAAATTTGTCCCTTCATCTCATTGTAGACGACGCCCTTGAAGACAATGTCCTCTAATTGAGCTTTCTTCTCTGGTTCACCCTCAACAGGTAGAAAAGCCCGGGGATCCTCGGGACCTAAACGCCATCCTTCTTGCCGGAAATCCTCTTCTTTCAGCAAAGGGTGCAAAGTGGCATCGAGGTACACCGACAGCAGGTTCTGGAAGTCTTGCGAGTTGGTTGTCGCAAAGGGATAAGTCGTGTGATCAGAAGAAGTGAAAGCGTTCATAAAGTTTGAAAGGGAGCGTGGAAGCATCTTGAAAAATGGATCACGGATAGGGTACCTATATTAGTGAACGGCTTGTCAGTTGTTGCGCTAGCCTATGCACCAGCAAGCTGAACATACTTTTCACTGCCACATAAGGTGGTATGCTCCAGGATATGGGGCACACCAGTAGCATCTGGAGGATTTGTCTTAAATCCAATACCGAATACATTATTTTTGTCGTCTCGGGCCACATGCAGGTAATCCGCATCAGTCTTGTCGTGGGTAAGCCGCACGGCAGTCAGGTGTAGCTCCGGGACATGCTTCTTCTCCCGAACAGTGAAACCGTGAAGCTTCTCTCCAACATTGGGTAAGCTCTCAATGTTGGTAACGGTAGAGGCAAAGCGTTTTGTAGCAAATGGGTGCCAAATCGCCGGATTCAACTTTGACAGACCCCTAGAGGCAGGCTGGCGCAAAGCCGGGACCCGGGCCCTGCCTAGGCCCACTGATGATCGTAACATGGTGGTGAGATATTCACAGGAAAATCAGTAGCCACTCATCCCAGTTCACTGAGCAGTGTCCAGGTAGGTGAAAATACCACTGTCGAGCGTGAAATTGAACAGCCAAGAACTTTTGATGTAGAAACTCCGGGCCGACAGCACCACGCTTATGTCATCCACTAGGCCCTAGACTCGTGACTGCGTTGTATCCAACTGAAGTAACTTGCGGACAATTGGAACTCCGCTTGTCTTCAGGCTCCGACTTCTTCACACGAGACCAACTGAGACTCTTGTCTGTCGTTTCCTCAAGTGAGGCCTGTGGCTGGTTGATCAGTGTGGTGCGGCTGGTTCGATGACTAAGGACCCCCTCGTCGAGTTCTGCGAGTCCGCGAGAGAAGGAACCGGAATTGCTTTCGTCCTAAGAAGCGCTGCGACAGAACACTTGACCCAGAGGTGATCTCTCCGCTGAGCACGCCTTACCTCTGGGATCACATCGCTTTCCCCCTGCTCCGCAACCCGATTGAATGCAACCCCTCCAACGCCGTGCTTCCCACGCCGAACTGCACAATTTTCCAGTCTCTGCCTGCCCACGCGAACACTACTGTCCCAGATTCAGACCGTGCTGGACGTGCGGAATTTCTGGGACTCTTTGAGGATCGCGCAAAATGTCGACCACCACTATGGCGAAGAAGAACAAGGGGAAGAAAGTTGCCGATCCGAATGAGACATCCAAACTGCTGGCCGCCAAGATCTCACAACTTGAGCAGGATGCAGCTGGAGAGAAGGATCAGGAACAGGAGATCGGTGCGTTCAGATCCCCGGCTCAGCCTGCATTGTAGTGTCTCTGCCATTGTGGTTGATACACACGTACACCGCTTGTCCGCATGCTTTAGGTTCGAGGAACTTGGCCACTAATGTTTCTTTCCTATGTATAGAGCGTGAAGTCAAGAAGGCGACTCGAGATCTCAATCAGCTTCTGAACAACATAGAATCCCCGATGACCCGACTGGAAACCGTACATAAGAAGTACACCGAGTTGCTGGCCGATATGAAAAAGCTAGATCGTGACTATGCCAAGAGCAAGAAGCGAGCAGATCAGCTGCAGAAAGACCAGGAGAAAGGAAAATCAGAGTTAAACAAAACCGTGACCATGAAAGACAAATTGGAGAAACTTTGTCGCGAACTGACGAAGGAAAACAAGAAGGTGAAGGTAAGAGCTCCAAGGCAGCGCTTCATTCCCGTATATCCCCACTGACCCCACGCAGGACGAGAACAAAAAGCTCGACGACACCGAGAAAAAAGCCCGTCTTATCGTCAACGAACGACTTGATTCCCTCCTGTACGACATTCAAGACGTCATGGCCGCCAAGGGAAACCCGCGCAATGAGAAGGTGGACATGGATTTGGATGAAGCGTACGCTCGTCTCTCACTCGCTGCATACCCAATTTCACTTGTGTTGTACGCTAATCACAACAACAGGCTCCGGGCTAAGCTCAAGACGATCAGCGAACAATTTGATACACGCGAGCTGCATTACAAGGGCTTGCTCCGCAGCAAGGACTCCGAGATTCAAAGCCTGACTTCCAAGTATGAGGAACAGCGCCGAACTGCTGAAAACGAAAGTGCCCGGGGTCGCGCTCTAAGTGCGCAAGTCTCCACCTTCTCTCACACCGAGGCAGAGCTCCGCAGTCAGCTCAACATTTACGTCGAGAAATTCAAACAGGTATGGTGACTCCAACAGTCATCTTGCATCCGCCCAATTATTAACTGTTTTCAGGTCGAGGACACTCTCAACAACAGCAATGAACTGTTTTTGACATTCCGGAAGGAAATGGAAGAGATGTCGAAGAAGACCAAGCGGCTAGAGAAGGAAAACCATACCCTTAATCGCAAACACGAGCAGACCAACCGCAACATCTTAGAAATGGCTGAAGAGCGCACTCGGAACCAGGAGGAGCTGGAAAGATGGCGACGCAAATGTCAACACCTCGAAGCTCTATGCCGACGCATGCAAGCCCAAGGCCGTGGTGAAGGCCTAGCTGAAGGAGATGACCACCTGGATCACGATGACGAAGGCACCGAAAGCGAGTACGATGACGATTACGAAGACGAAGAGGAGCTGAGCGAAGAGGGAGACCTGGATGAGCATGATCGCGACATCCCCCGGGCTGGCGCGCCTACTGAACGACCTGTTTTTGGGCCGCCTCCACCACCTAACCTGCTGGAGGCTCGGGCTACCAAGAGCGCTGCCGTTTTAAATGGGTGCCACTAGTTGCATTTTTTCGTGTGCTTTTTTTTTGAGGAATACATGCTACCAATCTCATTGATTTCTGATTCTTGATTGTGGTGACATGAGAAGTACTGCCTTGAAGCTCTACACCTGGAGCTGCTCAAGGGTCGATGCAAGCTTCTTCCTCCCACTCTGCAGGTGCGAATTGACTCGAGGGTGGATGGTTTGTTGGAACAGCAGGCCTAGTTGTTGACTGTTCGAGAAAGCATGCTTCCGTGGTTTGAGATAATCACTACGAAGCGCCTTGCTCTAGAGTTATTCGTGCTAGGCCGGAGAGCATGTTCTACAGTATTCGTCTTGTCCATGGGTTCATTCAAGTTCTGAAGTGCTGTTTCTGTACAAGTACATGTCATATTAACAATCCAAGGATATCCCTGTCTTTGTAATGATGATGCCTCCCCAAATGTGTAAACTCTCAGTATCTATAGTTTGCTTGACATGCCAGTGCCCGTGATATATGCATTGCCTGCCTTGAGAACATCCACAGCCTGCTGCACCATCTCTCTTACAATCACCCCAGCAGGCTGGATGTCCTTGATGCTGGCCGAGACATCGCCCATCAAGAATGGCATATCAATGTCCTTGTCGTTCTCCAAATCATGCATCATGGGCACCACCCCCTTGGCCGTCAACGCTGCAATATCAGCCGGTCTACTCTCCCATTCCTTCACATAGTCGTTAGGCAGCATCCGCAGTGGCCGTCCGGAGACAACCAATGTCCGACAAGTCTCGCCATACTGTGCGCCCACAACAGCCTCCTTATGCAGGCGACTCGCTCCGCTCTCCTCGGACGCCACAAATCGCGTTCCGACCCAAACGCCAGCCGCGCCAAGCATGAGTGATGCCGCCAGGCTACGGCCATCGTTGATACCGCCGGCAGCCACCACAAGCGCAGGTTGACCGGTCAGCGGGCTCGTATAGCGACGCGCTACATCCACGACAGCAGGCACCAGCACGGAGAACGGGATATCGCCGGTATGTCCGCCGCCCTCGCCGCCCTGCGCGCACACAATATCTACGCCGCGCTGGAACGCCTTCTCCGCATGCTTCGGCGCGCCAACCATGTTCATGACGAGGATCCCAGCTTCGTGGAGCCGCTTCACCGTCTTCTCGGGCGGCACGCCGACCGCCGAGACGAAGAGCTTGGCACCATGCGAGATTACAACCTCGATCAATTCGTCCAGATGGCCATGGGTATAGTCATGGTTGGTTGCACGCGCACTCCCGCCAACTTGCGGTAGCGCGAGATCCACACCGAATGGCAGGGATGGGTCCTTGAGTAATGACTTCAGCTCCGTCAGCATCTCCGATAGCTGTTGGGGCGTATAGCCCAGTCCTCCGACAGTACCGAGTCCGCCAGCATTCGAGACAGCGGCAGCCAGAGGAGCACTGGATGCACGAGCCATGCCTGCTAGCAGGACAGGATGCTGGATTTTGAGGAGAGAGCAAAGTGGCGTTTGGAGAGACATAATGGCGGGTGGAATCTTTGAAAAAAAGGGGGGAAGAAAGTTGAGATTTTTGGAAGGACTAGTAGCTGGGAAACAGATCCCGTGGTGGATTTCTTTCTTTTTTCCTTTATACGACAAGATTGAATTCTTCAAAAATAGAAATCCCCATGGCTGTTGTTGCAGAGGTTATCTATAATCACGATGTGTTCGGAGTGGAAAGAATGCGGGGAAGCTTGTTGGGCCGGACCGAGGCATCTGCCCCTGCGCTGTGCAAGTCGAGCAACTCCTAGAACAATTTATGAACGCATTACAGAGCACGGAGCTTACACAAGTAAATCGGCTATATGATCTTCGTCTTTGGGCCCATTCATCAAACAATAGAGCATCATCTATAGTACACTCCTATGTAGCATTTTTTTCCCTGGACTTTTGACTTTCTAAAGCTTTTTCTACCATGTGTTCACCCGCAATTCCCACATGCAAGCTTTATTGCACAAAGTCACCATTCACATTTCCCTCCGGCGAGTTTTCATAGGCATGAAAAATAGAATATGGAGACAGAAGTGCAATAGTGGAAACTAATCAATTCGCTTGGGGCTTACATTAATATTTATGAAAATACATAGTGGTCACAATAAGGTGTGTCGTGCAGATGCTGCTGGAGATGGGAAGTATATATTTTTGCGCATCCATGATCTAATAACAAACCTGAACACAGATTCTATATGAGCATGGTAGAAAAGTCCCAGTAATTGCTAATATTATATCATGATTTTCTATAGACCCGACTGTTCATGGATTTCACTGAATGTACCAGCAACCTAAAATTTGGGCGTCGCTCATGGCCTCCATCGAAAGGTCTATTCTATCGCACCAGGTTGCCCGCATTTATTCTTATCATATTATGGAGACAATTTGTGTAAATATGCGGAGGTCATGGACAACCTAAAATTATAAACATATTGTAAATAAAAATAGTTGATCAAGAATCATCTTCGGCGGAACAGAAGCTCAAGCTACTGATTCTGACAACTGGCGAGGCGGGAGTGGGTGTGTCTCCCGAAATGGGAATGTAAGTAGCTCGACGCGCCAAATCGCGTGGGGCTCGCGTCCACTGCTTCTCGTCCGTATCACCGATCCCAACCCTTCCTCCAACGCCAGGATCTCGGGATCCGCCACTCTAAAATGGCAATTGATGATTATGGATTCCTCTGCCCTCCTGGGTATGTTTTTATTTCTGAACCCTTCCCATCGTCTGGAAAGCTTTTGCGCAATCACTTTTGATCGAGATCCGCTCGCTGACTATTGAGTGTTCACTGTCGGAATAGCAACGAGGAATACGAGCCCATATACCGCAATCCTTCACACTACAACCCCCTCGACACATTCAAGCTACCGACTGGGCCTGACCGGCACTACCAGCAGCAATATGGCGACATGTACTTCCTGCGTCTTGCGAAGCTAAAGCCCGCGGTAGAACAAGTTGCGAAAGAGGCATGGGGTGAAATCAAGGTATGGGAACCCTTCCTCCGGACGCCTCCGGACGAAGAAATATCTGCGTCTTGGCTGTAAATCTGTCTAACAGCGGAGTTACGCCTATGATCAGATTGCTGGTGAGCATGCGCGACGTGTGGAACGAGTGCTCGATGTGCGACAGGGCGAGCTGTGCTGGGTGGCCGGCACTGTCTACATGGACATGCCCTTGAAGCCCAATATTTTGGACGACTTGACCAAAGAGGTATGTCTTTTCCGGATGGCTGGATCGCCTGTTTTGACCCCCAATATCAGAACTTCACTTCCGCTCCTCCCCCGCGCCGAACCTATACCGACCCGTCGGACCCATCATCAACCCAGATCATGTTGGAAGATGAATCTGGCCGCCTGCGTTTAGCTGGTTCTTTCCTATCATCCACACAGGTGGCTACAGGGGCTATCATTGCGGCCCTGGGAACAGAGAATGCGAATGGAGACTTTGAAGTAATCGACTTTAAGGTCCCGGACTTGGCCCGACAGCCTCAACGGTGGGAGAGAGGTAGTGCATCATCAACAGATACGGATAAGACTGGAGAAGGCAAAGGCAAAATTGCGTTCGTCAGCGGGCTAGGCATTACAGGGACATCAAGTGACACGCTGACATTGGAGCTTCTCACGGATTATTTACTCGGATATACAGGGGTTTCTGGCAGCGAGGGAAATAGCCCATCATCAAGTGCGTCAAGGATCTCACGACTCATCATTGCGGGCAACTCCCTTGGAGCAAGCGTGACAACCGAGGCAGTGCCAGGTGATTCTGAAACCGCAGCAAAGAAAAAGCTCGCACCGAAGAAATACGGTTACGATGCTTCTGCATATAACGCTTCCCCGATCACACAGCTCGACAATTTCCTGGCAGAGATCCTACCCAGCATTCCTGTGACCCTCATGCCCGGCGAGAAAGACCCTGCAAATTTCTCTCTACCACAGCAAGGAATCCATCGTGCCATGTTCCCGCAGGCTAGGGCATATTGTGCACCTCCACCCTCTGGTGAAACCAAAGCTGAGCCCGGTTGGTTTGACAGCGTCACAAACCCCTGGGAGGGCGATGTAGAGGGATGGCGGCTTTGGGGCTGCAGCGGACAAAATGTGGACGATGTACTCAGGTATTTGGATTTTGCTGGCAATGATAGCACCCCGGATAACGAGACCGATGATTCTGAGGCCCGCCTACGGATTATGGATGCAATGCTCCGATGGCGATGCGGCGTCCCTACTGCTCCTGACACGATTTGTTGGTGCTCCACTTCAAAGATCTCTCAATTGATAGCATGCTAACGATTTACAGGGTCATATCCCTTCCAAGAAAATGATCCTTTTGTCCTTGAATCCTGTCCGCATCTTTTTTTCACCGGAAACCAGCCCTCCTTCAAAACGGCTGTGATCGAGGGGAATCTTCCTCCCCGCATGGATGAGGGTGATACCGAGATGGTAGACTCGGATGATTCTTCCGTTGCTCGTGTACGACTGTTATCAATTCCAAAGTTCAAGGAAACCGGAGAATTGATTTTGGTTGATGCTGAAACGCTCGAGGTTGAGGTAATCCGATTTGGTATCTTTGCAGGCCAAGAAGAGAAAAAATAAAACATTAGACATAGCATTTAAAAAACTAGCAGCTAATGAAATGGATTTTTTTTGCACTTGTCTACGATGAATTGTATAGAAATGATGCTTCTCTGGTTCAAGTCGTTGATTGAGGCATGGATCCAACTTGAAGCCAGCCGCCAAGCCCCACATCCGCCGAAGAATCGGATTCTGCGAATTCAACCTCTACAGAACATATTCAGTTCAAGACAAACGAACCAACAAGGTCTCAGCCGAAGAACTGGCTCCTTAAGAATTGAGTGTACATTTGATTGAGCATAATTTTGCCCCCTGATAGAGGCACAGTCTAACATGTTGCTCAACGCTGAAACTGGTGCGCAATCATCTCACCCCACCCCATTTATACCTCTCTACCCCAGCCGGGAATTGTGCAAGGAAGATATGATAGGACTGAAATAATACCAAGAAAACAAAAACGAATTACTGACAAAACTACAGCCCTTTCAACATCCAAGGTGCTCTTGGTTCCATACTCGACATGGCACGTTCCCAGATACCACGAGTGGATGAAAGACGAGGTAAGCCATGCCAGTATTGACAATCAAGATAGAATGCGGCGAAAGAGAAGTTCAATATCTAAAAAATGATAATAGGAAATTCAAGAAGCAACTGCATCGGAGCCACTGTCTCTAGAAGAGGAATATGCCATGCAGCGCAGCTGGCGGCAAGACGCGGATAAATTGACCTTTATCGTCTGTCGCTCCGTATCAGCTTCAATAGAACAAGCGAAACTATCTGCCGAAAGCGATTCCCCAGAAAAGATGGTTGGCGACATCAATCTATTCCTCCGCGTCGATGATGGCGAGGATGGAGACGCGCAGCCAGAGATCGTCGGTGAAATCGAGCTCATGATCGCAGAGAAAGTAAATCAGCGGCGTGGATTCGGTAAAGCCGCGCTTGTTACTTTCATGAGATATGTTGTTGAGCGGCAAACTATGATTCTGGAGGAGTTTGTCAGAGGTGACGTCGATTCTGAGACTGAGACTAAGCTGAGAGCGGCGACAGGCACTCTGTCGTTTTCATGCTTGAGTGTTAAAATCGGGCAGTCGAATACTCGCAGCCTTGCACTATTCGAAAGTCTTGGCTTCCAAAAATTATCGGCGGAACCTAACTTTTTTGGAGAGTTTGAACTGCGAAGAACAGAGTTGAGTCTGGAGTCTGTTAATGAAGCACTTGGTACGGCTGGTGCCGAGAATTATGCCGAAGTACCTTATAAACGCAAAGAATAGAACTTTACAATGCTACTCAGAAAAATACATTCAAAGCTTAGAAAACCAGTTTCTCATTCAAATAATATCAACAGAAATACTTCGCTTGGCACAACACAGAATCGAACAAGTCTTGCCCAGCAAGGCGCTCCGTCCCATCGATCTGAACATCCTCCCCTCTATTCGGCCATTTAACCAGAGTACAGAGCGGGCCCAGGGATAATATACTCGGTGAGCGTAGTATAGATGTTGATCAGGATACCCGGGTCGGTATTAGTATAGAGCTCTTCGCCAGCAGTTCCAGCTGGAACGTCACTACCACTGCTAGTGACCTCTAAATTCAAGCATTGTGGGTAGTTCTGAGCACCGTTCTGTTGCCCAGCAGAGTGCAGGGCGATGAGTTCATGACGCATCACGTAGTTTCCAGACGCAATGCTCGAAGGAATAGTAACCGTCCAGCGGTTCCCGGCAGCAATAAGCTGGTCGGTGCCCCAGGTACCCGGAACAACGGTGTCATCAATTAAGCCGACTTCATCAATTTTGAAGAACTCTAGGGTAGTCTTGTCCACAGTGCTGCAGTCCCCATTGCACGAAGCCAGGTATGTGATGACCGGGCCATGGTGCGAGTCAGGCCACGTGGTCCACTGGATGTCGACATCCGAGCCTGCAGTGACAGTTGCAGAGAGTGCGGCATTAGTGCCGTTGCGGTGGCAGATGATGTTTGGATCTTGGTATTGGGTGCCGTCTTCAAACCCCAAGTCTGTGGCTGTTGTAGCCCAGCCGACGCTTTCGGGTGGGTCAGACATATAGGGGTAGGAGTTGACGATATAGCCAGTATAGCTGTGTCAAATGTAAGCCACATAATATCATTGCGCAGACATGTATTCAGAAATAAAGACATACTTCTGACCGTTGGCAACAATGCTAGAAACAAAACCGTGCCCGGTGACCATCGAAACAGCACCGAGCAAGGTGGAAAGAAGAGCTATTTTTGAGAGCGCCATAGCGCCAGGCTTTAATTCCGTATGATATTATGCACAATTAATTGGGTTGAACTTGAGAAATCCATGTTCATCGGGAAAGCCATGGTCCCTTTTATAGACATCAACGGAGGGTCCATAGAATGGACGCAAACCCCGTATCATATTCCAACTTCGTGGAAAAAAGCTCCGTTCTGATACTGGAATAGTCTCAAGGACATTATCCGGTGTCATAGCATGTCTCTGGCTGAAGAAGCCAAGCGTTTCACCCTCCCGCGCAGTCTGTGGGTCATTCCAGACCCTGCAGACATCTACGTAAGAGGCACTTTACGCCCATGTATATGAGAAAGTAGCCATTTGCTTACACGAAATATTGTAACTAAACTACCGGATATATGGAAAAAAGTAGAGCCAGATTGCGACATTGGCGATGTTAGAAAACTTTGTTGAAGCCAAAGTGTGGAGTGCAGGCGCCTGGACGAGGATACTTGCAGCTGAATACGGCAATCGATAATGGAGATCCGGGGCAAACGGGCCGATAGAGTGCGATATTTGCGAGGACATTGTATCAGCCGGATGAAATAAATAATTGCCAAGGGGGCTGTGACACGCCAAGCACTACGGAGCGGTAGTATAGTCGTGCAAAGCCCGTGGCCCGAAAAGCAATGATCAGCAGCGGCCCTAACTTAAGGATCGCCTTGATTCGAGGAAGTTTTGGCACATATATCTAGATATAAACGCATCATTCAGAGCTTTGAAAACACAAATATGCAATCTGCACCGTAGGGTGCTTTGATCCCCAGGTCCTAAGCTACAGTAGGGGAGGTGACCGTAGCATCATTCCAGGTAAACTCGCGATTCCTGAATATTCAAGTGCGACGATGATTGTTTCAAGATTTGCAGACCGGGTTTAAAAACAGGTTACTTTGGGGAAAAATTTCCGCGGTATATCGAAGGCCTCTATGGTGATACATAATAGTGGCCCACAGATTTCTACTTGGTCCATATCATTTTGGGGAAAAATATGTAGTTAATAAACCTAACCAGAGTGATAGTAAAAGTGATAGCTCAGGTAAAGGAACACATCAGACATGATACAGCATTTCCGAGAATCGGTGTCACCACCATTTCATTGTTTCTCAAGCCCCTGTCGTCCGAAGGCTCAAGAAGAAATCACATCTAGACATCAATACTACAAACGGGAAGGGCGTGGTTGATAAAGTAAACGGCTTGTACTAATATAAGATGATGATAGTTTAGAATTTGAAAGTTTATATACTTCCTGAATAAACTGGTCTGATTCTAGATCTTTCCGCTGAACATTAATTTTACCTACTTTCCACTTTTGCAGTATCGCAAGAACACCTTTGTTGCCATAGCTATCTGCTGTCTTAAATAAATCATCACCTGGCAAATTTGGATCTGCTCCATGTTCAAGCGAGAATCGGGCAACCTTCTCTCCTCTTGGATCTTCTACAGCCCACACTATATTGGTGGCCCAATACTGATTGAGATATAGAGATAATTGAAGTATTCATCCCTATCCAGTTGATTGACATTACATCCAACTTCGTCCACAAGGAAACGGACCATGTCCATATAAGGTACCCGGCTTGCTCTCTTCACGGCAAGATGAAGCTTGCATGGCCCATGAGGAGCTCCGACTTCCTGGAGCCGCTTGTAAAGAAAATTGTGTCCTCTTTCAGCCTCGGATTGAAGCAGTGGGGGAGATTTGACCGTGTCCTTTCATCATCATCTAATGTAGCTCCATGGTCAAGCAGCCACTCAAAACGACTTGTTTAAAAGAACTGCATCCAGGCAAAGTGGGCCAGAGCACGGTCTGAGAGGGAGTCTCATCGTGCTGGCTGGCAGGGACACTGTAGTTGGAGGATCTTTGGCAGTCGGCCTCACTGGAACACGTTTGTTCATCCTGTGCCAAAAAGCGGATAGCAGGATAGCATCTCGATTACCCCGGCGAAATTGATCTGCTCCCCACCTTGAACAGCAAGCCTAGTTAGATCGTAGCCATGATAGGTGATAAACAGGTGCCGTCGCTATCACGATGATCTAGTAATTTACGTTGCATATCGGTGACCACGAGTTTAGTGGGTCTTAGAATTAGGGTTCAGGAAACAATGAAATATTGTAAAAATACTGTAGATGCCGTGTGGCTCCATTAGTCTTATAATGTAACGAGACTATAAAGGAAAAGAGATAGGAGAGGTAAGGATGAGATTCATTGACGATAACAGTTGCGCTTTTGTCGGTTCTGCTTTTGACGATTAGGCTTGACCCTAGGATGTTCGTCCATGCACAGAGCGAGCTTTTCAAGGCCAAGATCGCGAGCAAGGGTTTTTGTCTGCTCGTGCATTTCGAGAAAGTCATTAGATTCAGCGAAGCGAAGGGGACCGAGCTTTGACTTCATCATGATTGCCCGGCACTTCTGAATCGCGATTTTTTCGACGGCAATTTCGGCAGCAGGATTAGATGGCCGTTTCCAAGAAGCACCGAGTACCAGGGCAAGCTCGGAGAAATATTCCACGGTTATACGGAAAAGCTCGGCACAGGTACGAGTATCAAGATACTTCTTGGGCTCCTGCGGAAGTATTTCCTCGACCATTGTGACGCTTTCGTCACGCACACTTGCCACCGCGTCCCAAAGAGGAGAGCTGCGGTCAATTGGGCACAAATCTAGGGGACTAGTCTTTAATTTCAGCCACCGGAAAACCTCCAAGATGTTGAATTCGATCGCAAGGTGAAGAGGTGTTTTATGCATCGTGTTGCGTGCGTCATGCTTCCAACGCGACTTTTCAAGCATTTACTCTAGGAAATCAACGCCGCGGCCAATCCGAACTGCGACATGCCATAGTGATTCACCGCTGACCCAGTTGTACTCGTTGCTCACATGGATTCCCCATCCCGTGTCGAGCCTGCGAGCCTGGTCTACGGAGACAAAACGGCACAGCTCAGATGCGATCTGCCAATAAGCAGATTCGTTGCCGACTGTTAAAGAGGTCTGGAGACGAGCGTTGGTCACTCGATCCGCCACAACGTCCAAGAACCGGTCCAAGTACGCGCTGTCTGATCTCTCTACTACATCTTGAAAAGGGATACGACCTCCACTGCTAGACGTCGGGACGAGGAGCAAAGCACGCGCCGGGCCTGGCTGATTAAGAAGATGGTCAAGGACGTTGAATGCCTGGTGTCTCACAGCAATTCCCACAAAGGAATCGCCATATCTGTTACAATAATCATTACCAATCTTGAGCATGTCGCGGATGCACATGCAGCATGACTTACCGTGTCCCGAATAGCCTGTGTGGGGAGGATGTCAGGCTCGTCATCTGGCAAACACTCCAGCTCTGGCAGCGAATCCGCCTTTGTGATAACATCGAGCTCAGCTTCTTTCGACCATGTCCCTCCTAACAGCAAACCAGCGTTCACAGTCTCCCCATTACACGATTCCGCCATAGATCCGAGAGTGACTAATGGGTATTTTCGAGAATTGACTTTATCGAGTGCCGTTCGAAGAATATCTTGAAGATGCGGACGGACGAGATAGTCGTTCACAATCTGGTTGAGTTGCTGGCTCGCCTGAGTGATAATAATGAGGCGATGAAAGCAAGAGTGATCCAATTTCGGAATCCCGAGGAGCATATGATCCAAGATGTCCGAAGTAAACTTGTCTGGCAATCGACCAAGAACACGTAGGGGTGATGAGGAATGGCAGGATGAAGAGGAATATTCGGCAGATCCCCCTTCAGCAACCTCTCCAGAGGGTGGATAGAACGGGATAGTGAACGTGAAATTGCTCATGATGGACGCGTGGAACACAGCGAGTTACAGTCTGAATATGATAGGTAGAGAAGTGCGTCAAGCTGTTCGCTCCCAACTTCGAGAGACAAAAAGCGGTATATATGGTGCCTTGGCTCGGAGCTTGACGAGTATGTCTGTTCTTTGGGTCTCTTTGAGTCCCCCGTCTTAGTGGGTGATACTACAATAATTGTAATGGATGAGTTCTTTGATTCCCGGGCACAATAAACAAAGTATGTCCTTTGTCACTTGAGAGAACTTGCCAGGGCAAAGTAGTCAATCCCGGTCAACAATGTCACTGTTCGAGACTAAGACAGGATGGGCAGCTTTTCACACCAGATTCCTGGTTACAAGGTGTCAAAAAGATGGAAGGCCATACGTTTGCGCACCTAGCAACTCTGGAGCAGATTGACGCGACTCTGCCCAGACCGCGCACCTAGAGAAAACGTATCAAATGCATCGCGAACTCTATAAGCATTGAAGCATTGCCCAGGCTCTTGATACCAAAATGAAGATACAGAGAGCATTACGTAGAATCTACGTGTGCACATGTCTACCACGAGAACTGAAGACTGTGACCATGAAAGGATCCATGCCATAATTATGAACGATGGACAGAGCCCGAGCGGATCTTGCAAGAAGCCCAGTAAGAATGTTTGTTTCAACTGTTTTTTTTTCTTGGGTTGTAAGGACCGGAGGCTCCGACAAAAGTATTCCTCCCGGATGTCCAGAAACTGCGAGTCGTCTGACCGGTGGAAATATCACAGCGGTTGACAGACGCAAGGATAGTTTCATAACATAGCTTCCCTCGCACGGGGTAGCTACCCCGCACTCACGGAGCCATCCCCGTGTCGGCCCGCAGAGAGATCGGTCCAGGCTAATGGGTCCCTCTTACTGTTGGTGTTGCATCAACGAGTCGCGTCGCACTCCAAGCCTCCGTTCATTCTATCGTCACTGCATTTACAGAGACTTCTTCTTGTCACCCTTGGTGACGTCGACGACCTTCAGGGCTGTTGAATGGGAGAAGGTATCGTCAGCAAAGGGTCAGAATAGTAAGCGGTCGCACAATGTCATGTCAGGCCATTGGTCATTCGTCTTGTCCGCCATAGGCATATGTCCAAGACCAAATCCCAAGACACCATCATATCACATCATACTGTGGGTAGAGGACCAAGCTTGTGTGGGGTGTGACGTACAAGGAGGCAGGGACTGCTTGAGCTTGTCGGCCTTAGCGGCATCGGTCAGGGAGAGGGTGTAGAGGAGGCGCTCGCAGCGGACCTTGAACTTGGTCTGCTGGTTGCGGTTGCGCTTGATCCGGGCGGCTAAAGCGAGTATCGATCAGTCTTTGAGCTCCCAGCACATCTATCCGAGCTTCATTCTTCTCCGCGTTCTGAGCTCGTCTGGGGGCGGGTGTCCGGGAAATACGTACAGGAAGCGTCCTTGCGGCGGCAGATCTCAATGAACTGCTTGATATCGGAGACTTCGCGAGGCATGGTGACGGTTTGATGCGGGATGAGATGCGATATGAGAGGAACGCCTGCTGTCGACACTGAGGTGGCTTTCGCGTGTGTGTGGATCGGATTAGGGTTTAGGTCCCGGATAGCCCTGGAAGTCACGTGGACCAGTATCCAAGGGGCCAGTTGGCCCGGGAGTTGCAGGCCGACCGAACTCGTCTTGAGGGATGGAGGCGTCCGGAAAAGGAATGGTGAAGTGGTGGAGTGTCGAGGCAGGACGTGGCTGTGGTTGGTAGGATGAGTTCCACCGACGCTCATTGTTCAAGTTGTTATATCCCGCCCAACGCCGGGTTTGCATACTTTCCTGTCGCATATGCAGTGCCGGTGCTGGTGCCTGGAGAATCACGTCGTGCCCTGCACTCTCCAAGTCTCGATTTATTGGCGTATTCTTATTGATGACATGTACGCGGACTCGGTATTGCCTCCAAAAAGATACCCTATAGACTTCTTAGAGGGCATGTTCCTCATAATATCACATGAATATACAGTCCCTTACCCGTGCATTACCGCCACTCCAACTGCAATCACAAAAGTGGCCGATGTCAAAACGGTGACTGCTTCCATGCCAATGATGCCCTGGGCAAATTGAACCGTATTGGGAAATAGACGACAAGAGCGAGAGGAATGTGCTGTAAAGAAACGTTTGAAGATATGGAGCTCTGGAACGATTGAATAACATGCCCTCCAAAACGAGTGATGAGGGAAATGTAAGCTATGAATCTGAAATGTTGCAAATGTACCAGTTTATCTACAGGAGTCTGGTTTTACGACAACAGCGCTGGTAGGAAGGCACTACTTGCATATAGATCTGTTAAGATGGAAAGAAGGGAGTTGCCTCCCGTAGTGTGGCGGCGGTGGCGGTGCAAACGCATCGTTGGTGTGGTCATGCTGTCCTTGAACTTATCAGGACACATCGCATCATAGTTCTTTTTCTTATCAAGAATCAACCATCAAACTCGTTAAATTGCCAGATATTCAAGCGCACACTTTTGTTGAAGCCAGAATAAGACTAGGATCCTTCATATAACCGCCGCAGATTCCTGACAAGATGCCTACTCCGCTTGATCGGGCTCTCCATTCGAAGGTATGTGACCCCCATCTAGAAATCCAAAATCAGAAACTAAACCAGTTTAGAATTTATTTCTTGGTAAGAGATCTATCTCATATTTTGATGATGTACACAAAAAAGCAGTCCATCCAACCAACGTCGACATATAGGCTTCGCAGGGATGGTCACAGCAGTAGCTGCGTGGTCGATCTGGGGAACAGATGTTTTTCCAGCAGAAGCTGATCCCAAAGGAAGTAGGTGAATGATTTTGTCAGCTGTAAGGTTATGTATGCTGACCGATGTGCAAGACCCTGAAGACTGGACCACAGATGAGATGAGAAGGTGGTTGCGTGCAGTATGTTCCAATTCAAGCAGGTTGAAGATAGAAGCTCACAGTTCCACAACAGAGAGGTCTTTTACCGAGTGAGAATGCGACGCGTGAAGAGCTGCTCGATAGAGTCAAAGCTAATTTGCGCATACCGCGCAACACACAACCTTCCAAATCATCATCATAGTAACAAGTCATCATTTGACGGATCAATTTTTTTTCGAAATTCAGGGTCAAGCACGAGCTTGGCGTCATTCATTGGTCACGTCACTGATTTTCTCCTCTGGGTACTCAATATGCAGTGTTTTTGTCGCCTGCAATAGTTGCCAGAACTAGTAGTTTGTAGATAGCGCTAAGCAGTTGCAGGTGATTGTTCGCTCCGTAGATACCTCCTCCATTTCTCGCCATAGCAGCTAGATGACTGACAGGAGAATCATACGACCAACCGGAAATTCTGGCTCTGGATGAGCCAGTCCCTCCGGCGCTTGCCCCGTTCAGTGGATGGATTGGGCACGATCACAAAGGTTTCACTGAAGCCACGCTGAGGCTGATCACGACCCTCGCCATATCTGACATACCCACTCACAATGACCAGGACAGACATATCTTTGGCGGTCATTTCAGAGGGCGGCTTGACCCCGGTAGGTGTAGCGGTGGGGTATGCGCGGTTGATGACCTGGCAGTCATAAGACTGAACCTCGTAATGCGCATTTGGCATTTGCTTTGTGAAGATATCTTGGACGGCAGCACCATCTGCTACTGTATTGCCGTTGAACAGAATGGTGGAAGGTGCGGGCAGATAGAATGAGCCGATGGATTCGCGGTTTTTCTCCAGGGCTAGGTAGAATGACAGGACAAGCTCGGCGGCAGCTGCAAGAAAATTCCCAGTCAGTCTGATTTCATAAATAATATGGGTAGCATTCAACAGGGCTCAGACAGACCATCTGTAGACACCTTGGTCAGGGTATCGTCGTTTACTGCAGCCATCGCGGCACTAGCTTAAACAAGGCCAGATGGGGGGGGGGGGGATCCAAGGGTATTTTGGAAGGATATTCAAAGATGAGGATAGCAAAGAAAGATTTATAAATCCAAGGAAGGTGTCTCAGACAGGAATTCAATGCGATGGATAATGAGCAAAGGCGATTCAGAAGAATATAGCGGAAGACCGGCGCGAGCCAACGGACAAGGAAAAATGCCTGCGCAGCGCCGGGAGCTTGGACCACCTCCGGATCGCATTGCGGCATAACATGCGATCTCCGTCTCTCCTCCTTTTGCACCACCTGCCTCAATGGCGACCACGAGGCTTCCCTTCCGTAGCCTCTCGAGGGCTACGCGATTCCTCCATGAACGGCGACCGTGGACTTGCTCCACCTGCAGATATGGGGGACTCAAGGCTTTCCAGCGCGGAGTTGCGACGACTCCCGAGAGCCCGAAGAAGCCTTACTATGTGACCACGCCAATTTTCTATGTCAACGCCGGTATGTGTGTATAGTGGTATCGGCTATGGGGTCCCGGAAACTTATAAATGATTTCTACTAGCACCTCATGTTGGCCATTTGTACACTATGGTCATCGCCGATATTCTGAAGCGATGGCAAGTCCTCCTCGGCAATGCAGATGCTCAGCTATTGACTGGAACCGACGAGCACGGAATGAAGGTACGAGCGCAAATAGTAAACGGAATGAATACTTTTTCTCTGACTGCCATGGTCAGATCCAACAAGCCGCCCTGGAAGCTGGCATGGATACGCAAGCATTCTGTGACATGAACTGCCGAACCTTCGAGGTATGTATCTTCTCATCCTTTGCTTGTCTCTGTACACTGATCATTTACGCCGTATTTTAGGCCCTAGCCAAGACGGCAAACCTCAGCAATGATCATTTTATTCGTACTACTGATGCGGCACACCGTGATGCCGTTCAGTATTTCTGGGTACGCGGACCTGCTTGTTGGAGACTGAATGCAGCTGACAGGGAAACAGGAAATGTTGAACCATCGAGGTTATATCTATAAATCAAAGCATGAGGGCTGGTATTCGGTCAGTGACGAGACATTCTACCCGCAAACACAAGTGCAAAATTCCTTGGATCCAACCACTGGTAGAAAGCGAATGGTAAGTCCCTGAGGCCCGCTACTTGAGCGCTGTGAAGATGCTCACCGGTCGCTAGGTTTCGATTGAAACAGGGAAAGAAGTTGAATGGTCTTCGGAGGCCAACTATCACTTCCGCCTTTCCGCATTTCAGGACCGTCTGCTGGAACTGTACAACCGACCGGATTCATTCATCACGCCGTCGAAATATGCGACTGCTGTGATTCAGTCGGTTTCATCCGGGTTGCAGGACTTATCCATCTCCCGACCCGCTGAACGATTGACATGGGGCATCCCGGTTCCCGGCGACAGCACACAGACCATCTATGTTTGGCTGGATGCTCTGGTCAATTATTTGACATATGCAGGATACCCTTTCCCTCCTGGGCAGGAAAACTCGTCTATCTGGCCAGCTAATGTCCAGGTTGTTGGAAAGGATATCGTTCGGTAAGCGCGACGCATTGACCTAGGACACCCGAACATGCAGCTGATCACCCCCCTCTAGTTTCCACTGCGTCTATTGGCCAGCCTTCCTCATGGCTCTGGACCTTCCTCCCCCCGGAATGTTCTCGTGCACGGGCATTGGACCATGAATCGCGAGAAGATGTCGAAATCTACCGGGAATGTGGTGAACCCCTTCTTTGCAATTGACCGATTTGGCGTGGATGGCATGCGATTCTTCTTGGCCTACCAGGGCGGCCTCGCTGACGACGCGGACTATGACAATTCCTTTATTATCCGTGACTATAAAAAATTACTCCAGGGAGGCATTGGCAATCTGGCACATCGCATGATCGGATGTGCTAAGGGGCAAATGCGGTCGTATATTCAGGACGCCACGTCTGATAAGCTCCCGAATCCAACTCCGGCAGACGCAGAACATCGGACTATGCTCGTCCTAACACCGCCAAAGGTTGCTGAGCATATGACCGGCCTAAATCCCCGTGCTGCGTTACAGGAAATTATGAGCATAATTGAGAAGGCATGTAGGAGAATGGATCCTCCCCGCACACGCCGTCGGACAAGTGGCTAATCTGTCTCGTTTGGGGTTTCCCCCGTCAATAGACTAACAAATATTTCCATGCGGCGGAGCCGTGGAAAAACCCCAATCCCCAATGGATCCTCTACAACGTGGCCGAGTCGCTTCGGATCTCTGCGATCCTACTTCAGCCGTTCATGCCCGACAAGTCACAGGAACTTCTCGACCTTCTACGCGTAGACACTTCCAACGCAGCCAAACGAGCATTCTCGGCCACAGTGTACGGCTCCGATCCGGATTACGGTGAAGACATCAAGAAGGGCATCCTTTTCCCTCCCCTCCTCACTGAGGAGTAAAACCGCGTGGACACCGAGCTTTCCATTTGATAAGAAGAATGCACCACAGGCCAATCATGATGGACGGCATGACCCGTTCGAATAAGATTTACATCATCTCCGCCCCAGTGCAACAGATTTGGAGAGAAGATTTCCCGGGTCCTCTCCACAAGGCCAGTGCTGAGTTGCCAGGTTTTCCAGCGTGACCGCGGGGGCTGGGATACCCTGGAGGTCATGGCCGACCGTTCGATGATTGGCGCTACTCACAAGGTTATCGACGGGAAAGAATGGGCCAGAACCGTGGATGTACCCTATCTCCAACAACGGGGTCGCCGGGTCGGGAAAGTCGCCCGTTTCCCGTCGGGAAACCCCAATGGCCGGCCATTCGTTTGTATATCAAAACATGTCGCATTATTTGTATACTACTACTGGTTTTTTTACAACATTAAAAGAGTGCTTTTGAAGTCTATCACTTCATTTCGGTCGGTCGGACTTGGTTATCGTCTCTATTTTTATTCTGATTCTATACTCCGCCGACAGTCGTGTAACGACTCGACTTATCCAAAACATAGTTCTATTTTGGGATCAATTCCCTTGATATTTGATACTGAGTGGCTTTTTCAGTCTCAACCGAGCCAATTTGCCTCAACGCTCATTGTCATCTCTCCACCATTTTTCATACAGCAACCATGGGAAGCATGGTGCCTTCTGTCGAAGACTTGAAGCCGACGTTCAAGACACCATGGATTGAGACGCCGCTGGTCGAGTCAGCATGCCTTTCTCGGGCCGCGGGATGTCGAGTTTTTCTGAAGCTGGAGAACGTCCAGCCCAGCGGCTCCTTCAAGTCTCGTGCTATGGGCAACCAAATCCTTTCACATCTCCGCAAACCCGAGTACGCCAACCGCCGAGTTCACTTCTACGCTTCCTCCGGTGGTAATGCCGGTCTCGCGGCCGTCTGTGCCGCCCGAAGTCTGGGATATCCTTGCACCGTTGTGGTGCCCCTCTCTACCAAGCCTTTGATGATCGAAAAGCTCCGGGCCGCAGGCGCCACGGACGTGATTCGGCACGGAGAGAACTTCTTCGAGGCCGGGTCTTACATGAAGGAGGTGATTATGAAGAAAAGCTCAGGAGATGATGAGGATGTGGCAAAGATTGCCCTCCATCCATTCGATAACCAACCCATCTGGGAAGGAAATAGCACTATTGTTGACGAGCTGGAGAAGCAACTCCCTCCCGCTGCCAATGCCGATGAAGAGGAAGTTTACCGCGGGCGGGCACTCCCTCTAGATGCTGTTCTTTGCAGCGTTGGTGGTGGTGGCTTGCTCAACGGCCTGGTCATGGGTCTTGAAAAACGCCGCTCTAACAAGCAGAATGGCCAGTCCAACAACAGTCACTATTACATGGATACCGCTTCCTCCGAAACTACTTCTTCCCACACCATGGGCTCTCAGCCCGGTTCTATTCATCTCCTCGCCATCGAAACCGCTGGCACCGACTCCCTGGCTGCTGCCATTGCCAACAACTCCCTCGTCTCCCTACCCAAGATCACTTCTCAGGCCACCTCCCTGGGCGCCATCCGTGTCTCGGAAACCACCTTCCAATATGCTGTCTCTCCTCCTCCTGGCATCAAAGTCCACAGTGCCGTGCTTACAGATGCGGAAGCCGCCCGGGGCGTTCTCCGCCTCGCAGATGACGAGCGGCTTCTCGTCGAGTTGGCCTGCGGCGTCTGCGTCGAGGCGGCTGTTGGCGATGCCGCTGCCGCTGCATCTGCTAAGACTTCGGAGACCGCCGTGGTTGGGGGTCAAAGCACCAAGAAGCGCAAGAGGGGATCGAACGAGACCGAAATTGTCCGCGATGAGGGCTACGGTGATGACCGATGGTCCTCCACAGACAACGAGACGGAGCCTGAGACGGAGGTCGGCGATCGGGCCAAGCCTGTGTCGTCCACTCCCCCTGCCTTAAAGTCTAAGCTCAAGCAACTTGTGCCAGACCTGAACGAACAGAGCCGGGTTGTGATCATCGTCTGCGGTGGAAGTAATGTGACCATCGACATGGCTGGCGAGTATAGGAAGCAGCTGGCCGAGGGATGGGCTTAAACGATGTTCATGTTGATAAATATTTCTTTTCTCCTTGTGCTTCATATATACCTCTGCATGCCTTTCTTTCTTTCTCATGACTACTTGGTTCTTTCTCATGTGTTCCTTTGATCTCATGTCCGGGGGTTTGGCGTCTTTCCCCCCTCCCTTTCTTCATATATACCAAACACAAGCAGCAACGTCGCCCCTCCGGGCCGCCGCGGAAATGCATTTGGAAACTATTCTAGGGGAAATAGTATTTTCTATTCCATAATTATCCATTAGCTAGTTGACCAAAAAGGATAGAAATCACATACATAATTTCAGATACAATAAAATCTCGACCTAAGGACCTTCCCTATATTACCAACTAGACATACCCAACATTGAAGCATTAAATCTATCTAATCTCGTACGGTCGTATATTGAATCTATAAAGAATCGAAGCTATTGGACTACTATATTATCGGTTATCTAACCGTGTAGTGATATTTTAATAGTAGTTTCTTAGTAGTAGACCTTTCCTAACCCAATCACGCCGCGACTGGTCCTAAGATACGAATCCTATAGTCCCAATAATTCTTCCGAATCGGATCATACTTGTCCTTCAGCATCGTGAACATATCTGCCGCCTTCTCCTTCCTCTCCTCGGTCGCACCATAGACGTCCGCCAACCACTCCACAGCATGACTACTCTTAACATCCTGCCCGTTCACAAACCTCCCCACAAACTCCTCCCACTCTTCTAAGCCCCTCCCTGCCGCATGCAACACGCCACGTGCATACCACCATGGACTTCGGTTTTCCGGTGCCCGTACAATCTGCATCTGCGCATACTTCAGCTCTGCGTCAATAAGGTCCTCGTCCACCACTGGTAGGCGGCCCTTCTCTCCCGATGCGACATCCGCGTCCCCGGAATTGACCATGCCGGCATCGGGCTCCTCACTGCGGGGTCCAAAGCGCAGCATGTACCGGTGATTCCAGGCTGAGTTATTGCGCACGTCAGCCTTGATCAGCGCGTCCATGTCCTCGATCTCGCGCGGCGAGTCCCACAATTTGAAGTGGCGGACAAGCCAGTGGCGGTAAGTCCAGACATGGTAGTTCTTGGAGTCCTGGGCGAACATCTCCATTAGGAAGTCGAGTTCCTTAGCTGGGTGAGTGGGGAAATGTGTCCGTGAGGACATGAGAACTTGGCGGTGGTGCCTGTGGATGGTTAGCTTCTCGGTAGGTGAGGGGTTTGGAAACAGGAACAGGGCGATCATGTACCAGATTTGGTAGTTCTTGAGGTATTTTAGAGAGACTTCGTTGAGCCAGTTGAGTTCTGCAACAAGGTCCTTGTCAAGGGCGAACAGGATCTTGGCGCGGTAGATCCTAAAAAGCAGTTCTTAGCCTTTTATTTTCAAGGAATAGGAGGAATCAAAACATGGGAGCCTTCGTATCAATAGACGCTTATCAGAAGAATTGTCAACATACCATACAGTGTAGTGTGCTGGGTTCATGGAAATCACGTCTTCGGTCAACTTCAATGCCCTCTCGGACATTTCATTCGCGGCCATGACAGCCCGCAGGTACGAGGTCGCCTCGAGGTACGCCGGGGGATAGGCAATGGTGGCCAAAGGCATGACATCAGACTCGGAGCCATCATCCAAAGGGATAGGATTGATGGATGCCCACTCGGGGTCATTTGCATACTGCCCGTCCATTATTTGCAGCGGGTTGGTTGGGATATCAAATTTGCGGGGTGCGCCCGGAGGCGGATGCTCGGACTACCGGGTGATAACAACGAAATATGGCAGCCCTTGTAGTGTGCGAGGATATAAAATCTGAGTTTTTTTAGGAATTCGAGCTTGAAGCAGGATAGGATAAGGCGAGTAGTTGGCGCTGTTGTAGTGACGGGCGAAGCGCGAGGTGAAGGTGGGGCGGAGTGGCGGCCTCAGGCCTTAACAAAGCACAATCGCGTCGCTCGATATGGTTCTTTTTGCGCCGAACCATAACTCCTCTTGCCCAATAGATATATTGCTTACTCGATTTACAGGACCATGAACGGGGATCTCTTTGCATTTTTGACTTTCTTTGTTTTGTGGATGTCTATGAGCCGTGGTAGTTCCACAAACGCTTGCGCTCTGCCACCCACCACTTGCCTACCTTGGCCGCCTCCGCCACCCATTGACCGGCTTGTGGTCCATGTTTACCTTGAACACGGGAGATTAGCCCATCAACTGACCATCCACGCACTGTGTGCATCTCATCCGGATCGGTATCCAGATCGGAGAAGATATACTCGAAGTCCGGCGTCAATGGGAGGATGAGACGGTATGGGACAGCTGCCGACCCAACACTCAGCATCTCACCTCCGGCGGAGATGATACCGAAGTTCCACGCCTGTCTTCCATTATGCTTGGCCTGATACGGCCGAATGAGGGACTGTCCCTCGTACTCATTCATAAGGTCCAATGCAACCGCCGAGTCATTTGCATTCAAGGATTTTGTGTGCACTAACAGATCCAGAATCGTGGGGACGATAGAGATAGATGTTGCATTGGCTATGATCTGAAGCTTCGGGAGCAGCGGATGCCGGAAGACCAGTGGGACGCGGAAGTTACTGATATGTCCATTTTCATAGCACCCAGTCACCGGGGAGTCTTCTTGAAATGCCTGGCCACTTCTAAGTGTTAGCGTGCCAACTGTGATGCAATGTTGATACCCCAACTTACTGGTCTCCAACAAAAACAACCAGCGTCTCATTGGCAATGCCCGTGTCATCCAGGATCTTCAGCATATCCCCCAGCCACGTATCCACGTAGCGGACGGAGTTCAAGTAACTATTCATGTCCTCATGCTTTCCCATCAGGCTCTCGCTTGCGAAGTATTGTTCATCTTCAAAGTCTTTTGGCGTCGCCCAGGGATGGTGGGTGGTGCTGGTAAAGTGTGAGAGAAACAGTCTCTGATTCTTCTTGATGGCATCTTTCACCACATCCTGCAAATACGGGTAGATTTCCCGTTCCGAGAATCTGCATGCCATGGAACCATAATTAGAACTCCATTCTTGCTGCTTTTGCATAAAAACTCATAAATGCTTACCCAAAATAATTGATAGGTTCCATATCTTGATGATAATATTTCGCGCCAGGATGACCGATACCTTCACGATATATAGCGTCCTTGAATCCCATATTTTCATTGAGAATGTTCTGATCATCATATAGCCCAGTAATAGACTGCACGAACACAGAATTCCACTTGCGATCCTGAATGTTGCTCATATTCGTCTTAGAAGGATGGCTTCCGGTAGTTGTGGGTGTGGCCTTTTCCTTCAATTGGTTAAACAATTCCAATACTTGCATCAGGCAAGGCTGATATATCTCCGATTTGACCTCATCCATGAAGTCGACCGGAAGTGGTCCAACTCCACAGTGATTGACAACAGCGCTTTTGAAAGAAAGACTACTGCCCGTAGTAATACCGTTCACATTCAGACCACCCATTCCAGGGCCCGCTGTGTCCTCCCATAAAGAAGACACAGAAGTGTTTTCCCTTGCATGGAAGTTTCCTGACTCTCCGGTGAGCTTCTCGGCAATGGGTGTTAGTTGAGACAGCCTTGCATTGAGCTGCTGGATCACGTCAGCGGTTTTCGTTTTGTAAGAAGATATAATCTCGTTGTGTAAGTGCGATCCAGATTTGAAAGGAAAAATGTCCTTTCGGGCACTTTCCATCATCACAAGCACCACATGAGTTATTGGAACGTCATGGTCTTTGAGTGCTTGAGTCAGTGGCTCAATCAACTTCTGATCCAGATTGGTGATGCGAAGCGGGTCATTGATCGGGCTGTAATAGTTTTTCTGAGGGGCGCTTTGCTCTGCTGTGACATTAATCCCGGACTCATTATACCGAATTCGAGGATAGACATCAGTCCAACGTTGAAAGCCATCTGGCAGGGGGGCCCGTTGCCCATTCGGGGAGAGCAATAGATTTCATATCGGAGTTTGGCGCCCAGCCTTTGAAATAACCATGAGCAGGCTCCCAATACTCATTTGAAATCAATTCAGAGAGAGGGAAGCGATTGTGAGTCTGGTGAGATGTTGTTTTCAATGGATGTGATCCCAAAGATGCAAGGAATGTGAATGGAAGAGCTCCTGACATATGTCCGTACGGTACAGCTGGCCGAATCAGCCACAAGAGGGCTGTTAAAAATATGGCACAGGTCGACCATATACGGACCATGCGATTTTTCCGGAAAACGTGTTGCTTGGTTTCGAGTAATTGTTCTTCGTCGCCATTCCCAGCCGACGGGACAATGAAAATATCGGAGAGCCAGCTGTGGAAAACAGTCCAGATTATCGAGTTACAGAGAAATGAAGCCATCAAAAGCATTGTCGCTGCCACTAGAAAGGCTTTAAGTCCGCTCAACATCAACTTTCTTCCGGCCGGGTCGTTGCCAACACTTGTCGCGGCGTCCCATCGAATCTCACTGCCGGTCACGAAATAGAAGCTGAGCTGAGAAGAGGCTAGAACAAGGGTCAAAAATCTATATTCAGGATCAGTAAAATTGCTGCCAACTGTGCTGCTGGGCTCGGGACTCACGCCACAGCCGTGCCTATAAAAAGCCCAAGGATTGACCCAAATCCCGTCGATTTCTGCAGAAGAAACCATGTTACCGCAAACAATAGTGTTTCTTGAATGAAAAACGTTGGAAAAAATAGGAACAGTTGAATGAAAGGTACTGAGGTGGCGTGCTGAAACAAATGAAGTGTTTTAGAAGACAGGGATGAGACCACCAGCAAAGACAACAGAAATGGCCGAACGAATGATTGGCGACCGGCGATCATGTTGGGTGATGCAAATTGGCGAGCCCATATCGCTGCGCAGACAAGTATTCAAAATCCAGATGTTGTCTCAGAGTGATAACCCCAAGGCACTGTTATGAGTTTAAAAAGAAGAGGCTCTTTGGTTAGGATATATTTGGCTATAACCAATTGATGAGCCCCATAGACCTTGAAATATACCGAATGCGGCATAAGGTTCTTGACCTTCTTCCACGGGATCAACCTTTGAAATTCCACAGGTTTTGGAAATAATCCATTTTAATAATTGAAAATTGCATCAAAGTCTTTTTTCATCTCGGTCAATATGAAGTCGATCCCATGAGTACCACACTACCTAATATTGTGAGGCTGTTCCAAGGCAATATGAAGAAAACTGGATTTCTTGATTGTCTAATTGGGTTCATAAATCAAGCAAACCCCACTCTGCATACTATGTAACTCATTTTCTGAAACTAGCCACAGAACAGTTCAGGTAGTCATTTCTGTTTCTCTTAGCTTATTAAAACTTAAAATATAGCCGAAAACGCTCGTTGGAACCTATTTTGCTTGCCAAAACGCAGGGTGGAACTTAAAGGTGAGAACAGGAGCAAAGAATGCTTGTCCCCAGCCAGGGATGTCGTGTGTCCTCTTGCTGGATTTGTTTAATCTTAGCATTCCAGAAGCTGGGGGCGTCAAATCCAGGGGTGTTCGACCCCACATTAGAAAAATCACGGCATTGGTCATATATTCTGCTTAGATCAACAAATTACAGTAAATTTTAAGAGGAAATCTTGGTCATGATTACATTTAAATGGCTTTAGAAATCGTGCGGGAAGGAAGACCAGGTATGTAGTATTGAACTGCTTGCCAGTCTCACAGGCTGAGCATGCTGAGTCAGCACCAATGTCAACTCCCCAGATTTTGAATCGAGGCCCAGCGCTATTGTTCACAATGACCTTTACAAATGCAGTCTGTGCGCCAAAGGCGAACACATTTGAAAACTCGCAATGGATGCACCCAATGCAAACGCCGGAAAATTAAATGCGATGAGAATGGCTTAGAACCCTGTGCACAGTGTGTCAAAAGCCGCTACAATTGCTCCTTTGCTCCGCCAGTTGATGACACAGAATTCTCAACTACCACACGTCTAGACCTGGAATTGCTGCATAACTTCACAATTAACACTGCAAAATTGCTGTCAGAGAAGCCGGTTATCCAGTCGTTCTTTGCAACAGATTTGGTTCACCTTGCGCTACAAAATGACCACCTCTTGCACTGTATCATGGCACTATCTGCTTTTCACATAGTGAAGCAGCGTAGTTGCTCTGACTCGATTCCATCTTCTTTCCCTCAAAATTTGATTGATGTATATCTACAAGCCGCGTATCGTCATCATGAGAAGGCTTTAACAGGGTATCGGCAAAGTCTCTCGAATATCACTTATGATAGCTGCCACGCTATATTGGCCTGTGCTTGCCTCTTGGTTATGGTTTCCTTTGCGCGGCCATCCGAGAATGAACATCAATATTCTCGATTCAATGACCCAGACTATGCTAGCAACTGGTTGGGTTTTCGCCTGTCAGAATGGATCATTCTGATCAAAGGTCCTCCGTCCATTGTTGCTCTCCAGGAACTACTACCCATCCTTCGTGAGGGTCCTATCGCTCCCATGATGAGGCCACGTAGTAATATTTCAACGGGTAATGAGGGCTCCTTGTCAGTAATTCACGCTATGCAGCCTAGACTGCTGCGTTTATCTGAAGCTATTCGGGAAGAATGCACAGATGATCGGGTCATCCAAATTTGCCAATCTTCGATTTCAAAACTACATGAGGTCGCAAAAACACTTGAGCCTGGTGAGGAGTCTGCCTTCTGCTTTATATGGCCTATGAGAGTCGATCCTGAATACCTCGTTCTTCTTGAAGAAAAGCGACCAGAGGCATTACTGGTATTTACCTACTATTGCACTTTTATCCACTCTACCAGTACTCGGTGGTGGGTCGAGGGCTGGCCTCGGCCTTTTCTGGAATCTATCAGGGACACTATTGAGAAGAAATGGCTCCAATGGCTTCAATGGCCCCTGGAAATAGTCCTTGGCAGCGAAAATAAGCCTACGGCGGAACAAGCACAATGAGCTAGGACGCCCTTGAAAATACGACAATTTTATTGCCTGATCCCTCACTTATCCGGAAATAAATGTGCTCGTTCCCTCTGACGCTGTGCGGAACGAGCAATAACTACCGCCCCCAAGTCTGTAGGGGCCATAGTCAAAACTCACCTGGTCTTGGCAATTATATTGACTGGATTAGGTTAAGTGTTTCGAGCGGGAAGAGGAATCGTGGTTGCTGAAGATCTTCAGTAGAAACATTGAAAAGAAATTCAAATTCCTTGATTTCAGTTCTTCAGTAAACATTTTCATTTTACAGCCAAACTCATCCTGTCACTCTACATTCCCAAAATTCATATACATACGCACTCTCTCCTTGACTTCAAGAGACTTTTCATCAAAATACATGGTCCATACTAACCCAAGATCCCGTTTTGAAAGAATGAAGTCGGCCTGGTAATACCCAGAGTGTCTGAAAAAATGATAGCATATGTTTACATGCCAACGAGACCTTTTATCGCAAAGTAGTATCAATTTTGTGAATGCTCGACATAACAATACGCATTATAGACCACGCTCCGAAACATGCTCAAGGAAAGCTATTCATTATATTACAGAAAGTTTTGGTATCTTATGCGCCCCTGCGCCTTTGACTTGGGCGACCCAATCAATTTCAACTGGATCATCTTAGACTTTACAATAATGATGTTCAGTCAACTCAGGCTCACTGTGGTATTCAAAATTGCTTTCTTTGTGGGTCGTCTTTTGGGGGAAAACCTGGCCCCAGAGACCGAAAGTGATAAGCTGCATGATCAAGCGGCCAATTTGAGCAACGCGTGGTTGATCTTCAGGGGTTTCTGGAATGATCATTTCAGTCACCCCATCTTCTGCCAGGAAGATCTTAGCATTCTGTGGAAGAAATCGGCCGGCATCAAAAACGTTCCAAAGAAGAGAGTTGAGCAATATGGTGGTAGCTTCAAAGACATAAAAATACCACTCATATCTCATCACTGAACTCATAGACTGAAGCTTATTTGGGTCCTTCAGATCCACTGATGTGTCTCCCGCATGCTCAATGACTCGGTAGATGCTGCGGATCAAGATCAAAAACATACTCACATATAGTATGAATGGTAGAGCTGGAATGGCCTTGTTTCGGATATAATGCTTCACACAGCGAACATAAAAGATTGTCGCCATCAAAAAGAATGAACAGATCACACAAAGCTGCACACCTAGTGATGCGAGTACCAAGATTTTCCCTGCATTCCGCTTGTTTCCTGTGGGGTTACTTGTGAAAGCCACGCCTAGTCCATTCAGGGCCTCCACGAGTCCCATCATACCTCCAAAAATAGCAAAAACCATCTGCGGAGGAATTGGCGAGAGCCAGGGTACATAGAAAAATATCTGTCCAAGGATGTGATAATTGGCCAATTCAAGAAGTGGGCTGTGGATGGTATTAGCATCCTTATTGCACCAAGTACATTTTTTTGACTCACGGGCCAATGTAAACGAAGACCTGGTTCATAATATAGATGTCTAACGCTTGTTTGTCGCTGTCGCCAGTATGTCTGTGACTGAAGGCACCAACTTCTCGCAATGCATATCCAACAGTGAATATAACTGCTACAAAGGGGTGAAGTCCAATCAATTTCCATGATCTATAAAGGCTGCCTTGGTGGTCAGATACTTCACTTTTGATGATCTTGAAAAGAAATTGACTCACCAACATTGCCAAATGTGACCAATAGCTGAAATACAAAACAATACTGAAAATACTATAGGTACTACCTTGCTAGGGGCATATATATACAGGCTGTCCTGAACGGTGGTGTATCATCGGCTCAACATTCGATCGCAAATGTCTGCAAACGCTTGCCAACCAGCCCGTTCTCACTCATATTGATCTTTTGTGATATGCAGAGGCCTCTCAAACAGTCCTGCTCAGCTGGGTTATCTCGAGATAGTGTGCAGAGGTAAGGATGCGACTGTGTTCCTTAATCAATTTGTTTAGGTGATATTTATGATGCTTATTTCTATGCCGTATCAGTTGTCTTTATATTTTCATTTCCATGATATAACATAGAGTACTGGGACGACAATCACTTACTATAAGAGAAGTAAGGACCTTCCGACAATGTGTCTTGCTATTATAGGAAAATAGAGATGGGTGCATGTCTAAATATAGAAGGATAGTTCTTTGCTCAAGCCGTTATAATGAGCATAGCTCTTACTTCTTGAAACCTGGTGTGACAGTAGTCCTTGCTCAGCCTTGTTTCCGCCCCCACGCGAAAAGATGAAAGTTGCGCGATATTGCGCGGCGGGATAAGGAAGTCACTTCCGCAAAGCGATACAAATTTCGGAAGGGCTTGTTCAATACTGTAACGTTGGCATACTGTAACATGAAATAATAAGGGTCAAAGATCCTGACGGATCTATACTGTGATGTTGATACCCACACGACAGAAGATCAATTCTATCTTTACCCAGAATGGAAGGCAGTGCGATTATTCTGGGCTTATGAGCGGGATTGTCGTAACATACAACGGAGATAACGCGGCGCATTAAGCTACACTTTCTACTACAGTTATTAGACAAATTATATGCACTCGTTTTCTGTCCGGCGGCTTCGTCCGGAATCAGGATTGCGGGCCTTCGAGATCGGAGATCTGCAAATTTGGATTTACGCATGCTGACCTTGTGGCTTTCACAATTGGCGAGCTTTGACATGAACCCATCCATCTACGTCGAAATGAGGAGGCTAAGCTGTCAATTTGCTGTTATTTCCTGAAAGGGGTTACCGCGATGCTTAATTTCCTAAATAGACGATGCGGTGCTGATCTTCGTCGCTTCAACTCCGCCCGTTTCTATACTGAGAGTCGAAGCAAAGTACATGGTTGCTTCAATATAAATAGTGCCCATAATTCCTCTCCCTCTACAGGTTATTTATCACAATTGTCGAGAATTTCAAGACTTTGAAGCAATCTCACGTCTTGCAGACGTCGAAGCCTTCGCAACTAGCTTCTCACTAGCGCCCGTCCACCCCGCTGTTTTCTATCAACTTTCATCATGTCGTCTCAAAGTGTTGAATACAAGAGCCAGCAAGTCGATGGGTCATACCCACCTCACCAGAATCAGACACAAGATGCTTATACCCCAGAGGTAAGTTCAAATTCAATCGTGGTCAAACAGAGAACAACGAACTAAGTTGCAAATCTTAGCAGCGCTATGCCTATGGCCAGCCCCAATTTAGCCACAGCCAACAGGGCACGCCCTCGCACTATAGTCAAGAAGGTCACTTTAATCACTCTCCTTCCCCATATGCGCATCAGCAGCCGCCACTCTACGGCGAGAATGCCTCCTACTACCACGATGCTCTTCCCAGTGACCAGCTGCCTCCCGGTGCCGAGGACCCCAACGGCGAGAAAGGGATCGGGTCGACCGTTGTTGGTGGAGCTGCTGGAGGCTACGCTGCCCATCAGATGAGTGGAGGAGGAAAACTGGCTACTGTCGGAGGCGCGTTGCTGGGAGCTGTGGGTATGAACATGGCTACTTATAAACTGTCAGTGTTCCCGTAGTTCTGCCAGGCATTAAGCGAAAGCACATGGAGCTGACATCTTGCAGAGAACAACACCAACAGCAACAACAAAATCCACAAATACAATATGTCCAGGCTGCTCCGATGCCAGCTGGCCCGATGCCTGGGACAACCACGGTCACCACCACTACCACTAACAGTAACGGTCTTGGTGTTGGAGGAGGACTCCTGGTGGGGGTCTTCTCGGTGGGGGCCCGGCTGGTCGCCATGCTCACCGTCGTCTTGTTCGCCTCGGTTACTAAGGTCCAGCACGTCTCGCTGCGCCAGTCAGCGGTGTCATTTTTCCGATTTGGAAAACACGGGTTGAACTACTGCGTTAATTTATGAGACATTATTTGGGTCTGCTTTGGTCAGGTGCATTTATTGTGTGTATGGCATCATTCAATCTCATTTTCCTTCATTCCTCATAGCTCTTAGATAGAATGAAGTGCTTTGTAGATCGGTGTTTCTTTTGATTTTGGTCTTTGCATTTAGCTTGCGCCGAAATTGGACCGATTTCTGCATCATTAGAGGTGGAACCAACCCATAGTCAATGGGCTAATATATATAAGAAGCTTTGAAAAGGAACTCCTGCTTGATCAGATTAATACACCTGATTGCAGTCGTCTTAATGATTCCTTCAGAGCTCTCTTATACAGTGTAAGAAGATATTCCTTGATGAAACATCAGCGCAAAGGCTATATTCACTCTACCTAGCCCACACATATTTTCCCTGTCTCTGTATCTCAATTTCTTTAATGCCTCAACAAGGGGCGTTTTTGTTCAAGACTTTATTGTGATGTGGACACCATCTATTAGGTTGTTTACATCACGAGGGTGCAGGTGTTGAGTTTCGTGGTGACAAGCGTGTGGAGATTGAGCCATTCACGCAAACATAGGGCAGCTCAAGGCATAACAGATGAGCGATCTGCGAATTATTTTTCAGAGATATAGGGGACATGTAGAGCGCGTCTCGGTCGCTCATTGATATTAGGTTTATGTCAGCGATCTCCTGCAGGTCGACCCGAACGGGTGAAAATATCCCGTTATCAGCCCCGGATTCCACACGAGATAAGCGCAAAGCACAAACCGCCTCTCCCCCGCACAACCCCGACTACCCTCGTTCTTGTCCCTCTGCAGTCTGATTGCCGTCCATATTCGCGATGTCGGATCCTCTCGACGGTTCCTTATTAAGACAACCGTGATGCGACGAGTCAAAAAGTCCCGCAACGGCTGCTCCAGGTGCAAGAGTAAACGGGTCCGTTCTCCGGTTCTATCCGAATCGACACTTGCCTGCCAATCTAGCTAACTCCTGTGCCGGCAGGTCAAATGCGGAGAGGAAAAGCCTCACTGCAACCGCTGTACTCGCCTGGGTGTTCGATGCCCTGGCTATATCCAATCTTTAAAATGGGTCACCAAATACGAAGAACCTAGCCCCGGCGCGTCGTCTGATAGCAGCAGGGTACAGGGTCCAGCGACATTCACGCAGCCACCTAACCAATCTCCACATGCCATAGAAGATGGGCATTCACTAGACACAACCAGTGATGGTCCATCGCATGGTCCAGATCCCCCAGGATTTGGATTAGAGGAGCCCCATGGATTATGTGATAATTTATGGGATCTTCCTGGCAGTGGCTCACTGCCAGAATTGACCGATCTGTGTCCAGCCTCTCCAAATACGGTATCGACGTCTGGGTTTTCTCAACATCCAGACTTGATGTATGACTTTGCGTCCACTGGTGATACAACTGCAGACTTGTCTCGCCTTCTATCACTCATTGGACCACCTCATGGCGAGGAGGAGAGTGTCAGCAGTATATACCGAGACTTCTCTCCGTCCAGAATTGTCCGAAGCTATCCTCCCTCTTCACAGACATCGCGATCAACCCCGCGTGATTTTATGTCCATCTCCCGTCCATTGAACAACCCATCATGGACGCTCATCGAATACTACTTCAAAGAAGTTGCGGCTTTGTTTTCTAGCTACGACAGTCAGATGAACCCATTCCGTACCACCGTATCCCGGCTATGGGGCTCATCACTTGCAATGTGCCGAACGATGCAGAGTATGGCAGCAGCCACTCTAGTCAATGACTTCCCACAATTCGGGCCCATGGGCCGCAAGATGCGCGACGAGGCCGTTGATATCATCACTCGCGAAGCAGTCATGGATGACAAAGCCCTCCTGGCACTTCTCATGCTCGGACAGACTGCTAGCTGGCACGACCCGACAGATCTAGGCATCTCGTTCTTCAATCTTCTCCGCAAGCAGCTCAACTCGATTACGGCCTCATCGAACAGCCCCAACCTGGGTTTCGTCAAGAGCATCGGTAACAACTATCGCTTCTTCGAAGAGTCCTTGATCTATTGGGAGATGCTGCTCTCCTTCGTCACAGACAACGACTCCATGGTCTTTTCTGACAGCCCACGCAGCCAATCGACAGGCGAGTCCCTCGTCCTACAACGCGTGCCACATCCCTGGACCGGCATTGCCCGAGACACCCAGTTCACCGTCCACGAGGTCGGCCGACTAGTCCGCCGCGAGCGCAAACGCATCCGAGCCCGCTCCTTCACCTCGCAAGACGAAATCGCCCGCGCCCAGAAAGCCATCGAGAAAGCGCGCGAGCTCGAAGAACGCCTGCTCGGACTCGCCCACCCCAGCGAAGCCGAGATCGTCAGCCCCGGCGACGATGACACCCCCGTCTGGCACCTCCTCACCATGGCCGAGGTATACCGCTGCACAGGGCTGCTGCAGCTCTACCGCGTCTTCCCCGACCTCCTCCACAACCGCCTACCAGACCCCGGAAGCGCCGCCCCGTTCCCTGGCCCATCTGGCTCGCAACCGCGCGACCCCTTCTTCCCCATCGACCTCGACAGCATGGCCATGCCAGGCAGCTTCGAGGAGCCCAACGCTCGTGCGGCTCCGGCCCCCGTCCCCGTCCTGTACGACACCTGGCTGACGGAGTTCGCCCTGACAACCCTCTCTCGCCTGCAAACCATCCCGCTCGAGTCGCGCACCCGCTGTCTCCAGCCGTTCCTACTCGTCGCCTCCTGCAGCGAGCTGCGGCTGCCCCGGCCCGCTGCCGCCGCCACCGCCGCCGATGACGACGACGAGCCAGGCCCCGACGCGCCGGGCATCTCGATGGGCGCGATCGAGGTATCGCGCATGCGGCAGTTCATCCTCGGCCGGCTCACCTCGTTCCTGCATGTCCTGCCGCCGAAGCCGATTAACGTGTGTCTGCAGCTGGTGCGGGAGGTGTGGCGGCGGATGGACGCCGAGGAGGCGGAGACATACTGGATAGATGTGATGATGGAGAAGGGTTGGGAGACGACGATGGGGTGAGGGTGGGGAAAGAGAGTAGCAATACAAGCGATACGAGAAATGACATGCGCCCCTTACTAGAGGGGAAGAGAAGAAGATAGCCTGAATAAGGTCTCGAATCTGCTCTGCTGCAGGTATCTACCTGGTGTGGGATGTTGTGGGGTGGGTGGGATATACATATGTGAAGCATTGTGAAGCTGAAATAAAATTCTAGCTAGTCGAGCTAGCTGTGGACATAGTTACGAGATATGAAGAAATGGTATGGATTATTTGTTATCTCCAGCCTCCTCCATCCAACAGACACACCAGCGCCATAGACATGCTCATGCCAAAGACCCGAGATTAAGCGGAAAAAAAAAAGTGAGGGCCAAGAATTAAAACTGAAAAGAATTCACACGGGACGAACGAAACATAGGACTCTCGGGGAACAGGGCACGATCCAACAGGGCCGAGATCACGGATAAAAAGGGTGTATAATGCGTATGGTTGGATAATGTGTACAGAGAATGGGACATGAACGTGAGTTAAAAGTAGTGTGCGAAATGTCGATCATCAAGGGTTGCGGTGAGAGATAGGCCCGAAGAGATGCATGGAAGAAATAGAGAGATAGAGAGATGAGGCGAGATGAAGCGAGGAGAGGAGGAGAGGAGGGAGGCGCGAATAGGGGAGAACGAGCGGAGAATGCGATAGCCAATGAAAACCTCATCATTGGCCAGCACGTTTCCAGAACTTCCAGCCCTCGCGCTTCTCGTTCGAGGCCACGCCCACGAGCCGCTCGATGCCCTCGTGGCCCTCTGCTTCCTCGAACTTCTGCTGGTCAATCTCCACGCCGCCCTCCTCGTCTGACCCGCTGCGCAGCACGGCGGGCCACAGAACACCCACGCCATCACCGCCGAGGGTGGACTCGTACTTGGTGAAGCCCTCAGTAGCGAGTTTCTGCTCCAGGTCGCGAACAACCTCGGGTTTGGCGTCCGGGCGAAGGAGGGTAATCGCGCAGCCACCGCCACCGGCACCCGTCAATTTCGTCCAGCCAATGTCGGCGTAATCAACGAGCTCGCGGATGCGTTCCAGGCGCGGGTGCGAGACGCCCAGTGAGACAAGGAAGCCGTGGTTAATGCGAATCAGAGTGCCGAAGTGTGACAGGGTGCTCTCGGAGCTGCCCTCGAAGGTGGGGTCCTCGAGCAGCCGCTGCGCCGAGCAGGTGACATGGTCAATGGCGTCGAGAATCGACTCGGTGACGATGGGATGAGCCTTCTTGAGCTCGCCGACCTTGGCAACCTCCGTAAGGGTGGAGCGCGACTGCCGCGTGTCGACTAGGAGGAGGGGCAATTCGGGGAAATTGGGGAGGGAGATAACGGTGGGGGGCTTCGAATAGTCCGAGCGCTTAAAAATCACGGCCTTGCCGCCCGCGGCGACCGTGTTGTCCACTCCACTCGGGTTGCCATGGATGCAGAGCTCGCCAACGAACGCCCAGCGGTTGATGCGCTCGATTTGGGTCTCAGCCTCCTCGCTGGGCTGGTCGGGGTGGGGGCCCGCCAGCGTGCGAATCTGGAGCAGGAGCGCGGCACTCAGGCAGACGCAGACACTGGCGCTGCTGCCCAGACCGGCCCCCGTTGGAATGAGAGAGCGGAGGGTGTAGATGGCGCCTGGGCTTTGCGGGGAGCCCAGAGAGAGGAAGAGGTAGAGGAACGAGGAGGCGGAGCGGATGTGGATTTGGCGCTGTTCATCAGGTGTGCCCTTGGAAATACCCTCCAGGTGGGGTTGAATGGCTTCGACGAGCTCGGGGTCGAGCTCCGTGACGAGGTCGTAGTAGAACTTCTTTTTGGACGGTTGCTGGAACACGTCCCAGGGGAGGGAGTCAATGTCCCAAGTGTGGCTGAGACCCAGGTCCCGGAAATTCAACGTCACAGTGCGCTGCGATTTGGAGAGAGTGGTGACGAGGAGGTAGGATCGGAGGGAGATGGCAGCCGCCAGAGCAGCCTTGCCGTGGACGACGGCGTGTTCGCCGAAGACAATGACCTTGCCCGGCGCGGACACCATGAAGGCGGGGGCCATAGGGGATGAAGCCTTGCGAGACATGGCTGGGCGTTGCGACTTGGTGCCGTTGGTTGTGCTGGGAGAAGAAGAGGTGCTGCTGCTGTCGGACGACTGGTCGTGGCCGTTCACTCGGTCTGGCAGTCCGTTTTGGAGGTCGTCGGGGAAGTGGGCGACCGGGCGGCTGGTTCGATTGCTGATGCCTCTCACGCTGCCGTTTGATCGACGCGCGCTGACGGCTGACATGGCCGGATTGGAAATTCAGGGGTGGTGGGATTGGGGAGAGGAGGGGTGGTGGATAGGAAAAGAAGGGAATATAAAAAAGTAAGGGGGAAGGACGATGGTTGGAGGGGAGCGGAGAATGGGGCAACTGGGGGCAGTTCTGGACACCCGCTTGTTGTGTCTGAGAGTCGCCGGCGTCCCAAGAGCCCTACAAGTCTGGCCCAAGATCCGACGTGCGCTCAACGGATCAACGGCTATCAATGGCTGCCAATGGGTCAATGGAGGACACCAGAACGCCCGGCGAATATCAGACTTGAATGTACAGAGTAATAACGAGCACGCGCTACACCTTCATAGTTGCACCAAATGCACCACCCCGTCAGCGATGCAGGCCCGCAGGCCAATCACCGTCTCGCTAATCCTCATTAGCAACCACAAAGCCCGTCTGGTCCAGCGTGGTCCATGGTGGTCCATCATGCTCCATAGCCTGAGTTTGGGTCCGCCTCGTTTACTTTTTCAGCCATTGGCTTTTCTTTTTGTTTGCACCTAGGACCTTTTGGGTTCTGCTGAGTGTGGCGTTGCGTTCGCTTAACTACGGGATGCGGGCCTGGTCAACCGGCTGAGGGCAACCCAGTATAGTTCAAACGGTGATATAGTCCTGCCCTGGCCCACGATTGGATATCGGGATGCGCCAGACTGTCCGCGCCTGTCAGGTCGGAGATCGCGCTCGGCTGAATGTACCCAAGTTCAATATAGTAATTCTTCTGCCCCGCTGATCTCCCTAGGGAGTGGCGCTGACCTGCAGGAAGGATGCGTTAGTCCATTGGTTATTTGTGATTAGGCGAGGCCGATCAGCAGCAAGTGCCGGTTTAAAGGAACGTACTTCAACTTCAGCGGGATGGACTGGATTAATGGGATCGGACAGACGAGGCAAATTACTGTGCTTTGGTCCATTAGCTACTAAGTAAACGGATGATCATGGACAACATGGAAGAAGACGGACTGAGTTCATCGGTGGCTTGGTTTGGAGTTCTAGATGTTGGTTGAAAATAGATGACAGGGATGGCCGTTCCTCTCATAGATGTAACAAACCCATCTGCTCTCAAACCTCAAGGCCAAGTACATGGGAAATCCCGAAATCCCTAAAACCCTTTATGTACAATGAGGTGCAACCCCTAAAAAAACGAAACAGAAAGCACAAAAATGAGGCAGAAGAAAAGATAAACCAAAAAAAAAAAATGGAAATAAAAAAGAAGCATTGTGCTATATGCAGTTTTCATGGTCATCGAGTCGTTTATAGATTCATCGTCACTGTCATACTATTACTGTGGACCAGCAGACACGGCGGCAACCCTTGCCATAGAATCTCCAGGTCACTCAGATACGACGCACTGTCCGCCTCGGCCCGCGACGTCCCCTCGACGGGAGACGGCAAAGTCGTGAAGATGACGGCTGTCTCACCACTCTGTTGAACCATCAACTCGTTCAGAATCAGATGCTGCGCACGACTGGGGAGGTCATTGAATGAGAGGGGAACCGAGGCGGGCCCAGGGAAGCCGGACGCAGGTTGGCTGCTCTGAGTGTCGGGGCCCGTGGGCGACACTGCCGCCTGGCGCCGCGCGTAGATGGACTCCAACTTGGACGGGAAGCGAGGAGGGGAGGCATGCGGCGCGAACATGATGGACGGACCTGCGCCCTCATCGGTATTTACCTTTGCTTCCGGGATGGGGGACGAGCTAAACCGATTGCTGGATGCTGAGCGGCTCATCGGGGGCCGTCGCATGGGTGATTTGCTCTTCGGAGAAGCATCGTCGCCCGTCGCAATGATTGATGGAATTGCCTGGCTGGCGGAAGAGCCCGATGGGATCGGTGGACGAGACGATGGGCTTAAGTTGGAGCTGCGGTCATCACTCTGGGGGCGTTCAAGAGGTCGAGAAGCGCCCTCCCTTTCGTTACGACTGCTTGCCACGTCTTCCTGTATAGCTTCTTCATTGTCATCGTCATCATAGATCTCCGGATCACTGAGGTATGGCTCCAGATCGCTCTCTTCGCTGCTCTCACTCGATGAATTGTCCCCGTCATAATCAACAAAGGCATCCAGCAAGCGATGGGTCTGCATGCCTAGATTGACACTTCCCAGTGTCCTAAAGCTGGACACGGACCTCCGGCGCCGAGTCGACTGGATCAACTTCCTGAGGCCAGTAACGCGCTGGTTATGGGGCCGGTACCCGCTCTCCTGGCTCGCCGGGCCTTGCCAAGTAGAGGATCTGTCAAAAGGCTGGATTTCCTCACTCCCATCCTCTTGGTCATGGATATTCTCGGGATTGCGAGCTCGAATGACCCCTTGCCACCAATCTTCGTCTTTCAGAACAGTATGAACGTTCTCCTCCGCATCAGCGATCTCAGGGGAGGTATCGCCATTCACAATAATCCGGTACGCCTTGACATCTCCACAAGCCAGCCAGAACACAAGCACTTCGGCTTCGATGCGCAACTTCTCGAGCAGAGCCTCCACCCGCCCTCTTTCATCTTCCACATCGGTCTCATATTCGACGAACACTGCGACCCGCACTTTATACGTCTTCTTCCATGAAGGAACGGTGTTCAAAATACAACCTAGCTGAAGAATCAATGTGTATGTGTCGAAATTTGTGGTGAGAACGTTCTGTTTGCTCTCGTTGTCCGCTCCCAGTTCAGCAGACATCTGGATAGGCCACAGATCGATGTACTTCTTGGTGTGGCGGCCATGTAAATCCGGCAACTCGAGATCTTCAAATCCCTTGGCGACTGCAACATTGATGCGAAGCTGGAATAACAAGTCCTCCAGAATCGTTACATAATTCTGGCTCGTCATCCCTTTGCCAGTTGCGTCAGAGTCATTCGACGTGTCTAGTCTTGAGCCTAAGACGGAGGACCGGCGTCTCGATTTAGAAGAGTCTCTGCGACTCGTACCAAGAGACAAATCTTCCGCAAGAGACTGATCCTGTCGGAATTGATCGATCACGACGATGTTAGGCCTCATGCCTCCCAGCCCTGAATTCAAAACGATGTTCCGGATTCCCCATTCTGCCGAAGGAGACACGGAAATATTGACAAAGGCTTTGATCTTCGTATATTCTACCAGTTTCGTCCAGGCAGTCTGCTGTCGACGGGCCTCCGGAACCGCCGCAGCAAAGTCATCCGTCACCAGGACGTGGCCGAGGACAAACAGGGCTCCCTTTTTCAACGAGTTGCAAAAAGAGACCATCTTGTATTGCCGATCAAGGTCACTTACAAAGAGCAGAATCTGTGGCCGCCAGAATTTGACATGCTCTTGCCGCAGACGGAGTAAGTATTTGCGCACCTGGTGGTAGATCAGACTTTGACTGACATCGCCCCACGGTTTGGGTGGCGAGCTGTAATGTATCAGCAAGAAGAGCATGAATAGGATGCCCACGCATCCAGTAGCGTAGAGCCCATCAACGAAGAACATGCTGATGCCACTGACAAGCGTTCCCGTCGCTGCAGTTTGCCAGTTGAAGTAATGAAATGAAGGTCGGAAATTGGGCGCTGATCCAATCTTCAACAGGAAACAAGCTAGGTTAGTCACCAGGAATGTCATTAGATAGGTCATTGTCACAAAGGATGCGATGCGATTGATATCAAACAGCATTGTGACCTGCGCAAAGATATACGTGACAATGATCGCATAGATTGGCTCGTCATTCTTCTTTGTTCCTTGGCCAAAAAGCGTGAATCCAGGGAGGAGACTATCCCGAGCAATGGCCTGCAGGAGCTTTGCCGACCCAATGACACCCATAAGAGCAGAGAAGAAACTGGTTGCAAACTCTCCTAGGAGAATAATTGTGTCCGAGAAGTTAACCTTGATAAATTGGGTACATTAGCAAATGACTGGGCGTTCGATCTTCTATGTGAGTCAAAAACTTACTACTTGGATCACATTGACATTGTTGTAGAAGGATTGCCGGGTGATTGAAGCCGCCATAGCAACAATGACCAGTGTATACGTGATAAATGTCAAGGCGAGACCTGCCAGGGTACCCTTTGGAATGGCTTTGCTAGGGTTTTTGAGGTCGCCAGACATGCTCGCACCACTGCATGCTCATTAGGGAATTGAATGTGACACATGTTTCAGCTGTCTACTTACGCGAAGATGCCGCCCGTTGCGGGGAACAGGATACCAAAAAGATCCTGAAAATTCTCTCGGCCTTTCAACTGGCTGCCAGCAGCACCTTTCGTCAGATGAGGTTTCAGATTGTCCACCAGAGTGTTCCAGCTCAGGCCAGTGAATTCGACATGCTCTTTGAGGGAATAGAATGGCTTCATGAATATTGCAGAGAGCGGGATGCTAAAGGTCGCAATGAGAAGCAAGATCAAAAGTCCGTTGCTGGCTCTCGCAAAAATGGAACTTCCGGCCAGGCAGATCGCGGTGCAAAGAATAAGGATGATTGTGCCCCAGAGGTACTGCCACCAAAAGCCTTCCATCAGGAAATTGGCCAATGAACCAGACTTGGTGCCAAAGTTCTGGGTAAAACAATCGACCAGACCTACGGCATTCATGCCGGTATTAAAGACATAGCCCAGGTAGAATACCACGCCAATAGATCCGCCAAACTCAGGGCCGAGTGACCTAGATATCAAGTAGTACGCCCCACCGCCTCGAACAGTACCGTTGGTGGCAATAGCAGAAAGCGACATGGTTGTAATCAGGTTGATCAAGTACGAAATCAGGAGAAGTCCTAGGATGCCAAGTAACCCAGCTTGACCTAGAATGAAGCCAAAGCGCAGGAACATCAAGATGCTCAGCACATTCAACGTTGTGGGAACAAAAACGCCAGAGAACGTGCCAAGCTTCTTCTGTTCCTCGATCGAACGAGACCGATATCCAGGCTTATCCTTCTTGTCGGCGCTGCTATCGCGCAGAGGGCCTGTCGACAAAGATGTCCGCCGCAGAGTGTTGTCACCAGTGCCTCCAAGCTCTTCTTCATGTACTTTCTTCTTATTCCACCACTGTGAGAGGCCACGAAAAGGGCTCGCCCAGAATGCATGACGGTGGTCTGGGGACTCAGGGTCCGACTGCTGGTGACGGAACCACGAGTGTGCTGGCCAGTGTAACAGCCGCGCCCGGTCCCCTGAGGGCGAAGTCCCAGACTCATTTGGGTCCAGACGCGCGACGTCTTCTTCAGCGGTCCGAGTCGAGAAGTTCGGGCGTCGGCGAGACATCGCGGGATCTCCGCAATTTGGCCGTTAGTCAAAGAAAGCACCCAGACGCATGGGGACGAGGAACCCGGCCGTGGGCCGTACTAGAAGGAGCAGGAGAAGAGCAGAAATGTCGCCAATCAAAAAGCAATGCTGTTCTATTGAAACAAGCAAACCACCTGCGTCACCGCGCGTCTCGCGGATGACGTGTGGAGCAAACAGTGCAAAGGGGCGGCCGCCGCACTTGACTAAGTGAAGGTTGACGCACTCGGCGTAGTTGGCGATCGGCCACGGCCTCCCTCGTCTCTTTCGTCTGTCTCGTCTGTCCCGGTTCAGCCACACCTCTGAACAGCCGCCGTTCCCTGCATGGTGTTGGCCGTGGTTTTCCTTTCCCATGCCCATATCCCTGATCCCCCCCCCCCCCCCAAAGATATCCTAAAGTGGGACCCCCTGCAACATGGCAGATAACGGTGAAGGTTCGTCGTTGAACCCACCTCGATCGATCCCCATTTCCACTTCGTCTATTCGATCAACGTCGCCGGCGCCAGAAGGCACTAGGCAGGCGTCTATTGCACGGCTGGCATCTCCTGTTCCTTCTCCGTCTCTGGGGACGTCTCTCTCTTCTCGGCAGGGTATCCCGACCAGCCGACCGATCACCACTGCGACCTCGGCCGCCGAGCACAACTTCCGAGCAGTCGACAATCCATCTTCACTACCTGGTCCCGGGCAGTCTATGCTTGCATCCCAGCTGCAAGAAAGCCTCGGTCGTTCACCTCCCAAATTCGGCACGCCCTCCCGCCTTGCGGGTTCTCCCCTGACCCAGCCAACTCTCGATAGCCGCCCCGTGGGCTCTCAGTACGGCTCTTTCGACAACAAGCCCGACCACGATCCGCACGGTGTAGGGGCATTTGAAGACCCAGAGGTGGTCAAGAGACATCTTGTCCTGCCCCAGAATGGCTCTGACCACCCACAGGCCGGCTCGGAGCTAGGAACCAGCGTCGGAGACGACGAATTCTCGAGTCTGCAGCTGCAGGGAGGAGACATCACCCGTCAAGTGTATCGATGGGCAGAAGATGCGGATGCAGCCCGGTTTGCGCGCAGCAAGAGCTTCAGTGTCAGTCGGCCAGCCCCGGAGGCGGAGATTGAGGATATCAACACCATTCGTGTACCAGGAGGCTTCCGGAGAGATTTCTTGCGGCGAACGGCGGGCAGCCCGCACCGAGGAAGTGTGCAAGGATCCAACTCGGGAGCAGGTCCCGCTCAGCCTCAGCTTCCCACGTCAAGTTTCTTGGAGTTTTTGACCCTCTATGGCCACTTTGCCGGTGAGGAGCTAGAAGAGGATGACGAAGTGTTGGGTCCGGACGAGTATTTCTCATCTGACACCTGGGATGAGGGAGATGAGCCCAGAGAATCTGGTGAAGATGCAGCACTGCTTCAAGGTGACACTGCTGGCCGCAAGAAGCGAAAGCACAAGCAGCGTGCCCCACCGGGAAACACTACTACCACCGGCGCAGTCATGCTGCTACTCAAGTCCTTTGTAGGTACTGGTATCCTGTTCTTGCCTCGCGCCTTTTTGAATGGTGGCATGCTGTTCAGCAGCATGGTGCTACTAGGTGTATCAATTTTGAGCTATTATGCCTTCATTCTTCTAGTGAACACTCGCATGAAAATTGAGGGCTCTTTTGGTGACATCGGCGGCATCCTGTTCGGCAAGCACATGAGGCGCATCATTCTTGGGTCTATTGTGCTGAGCCAATTGGGTTTCGTATCAGCCTACATCGTTTTCGTGTCGCAAAATCTCCAGGCATTTGTGTTGGCTGTGAGCAAGTGCAAGTCTTTCATTGATATCAAGTTTATGGTCTTGCTGCAACTGGTGATCTTCTTGCCTCTTTCCTTGATTCGGGATATCAGCAAGCTCGGGTTCACTGCGCTTATTGCCGATGCCTTCATCCTTTTAGGTTTGTTATACATCTACTATTATGATGCTCGAACTTTGATCGGCAATGGTGGGATATCAGATATCAAATCCTTCAACCCGACAACGTGGTCCATGTTTATTGGGACGGCCATTTTCACCTATGAGGGTATTGGTTTGATCATTCCTATCCAGGAATCCATGAGACAACCGCGCCGCTTCCCCGGTGTTCTGGCTGGTGTTATGGTTGTTATCACCCTGATATTCCTGTCTGCAGGTGCCCTGAGCTATGCAGCGTACGGGTCCGCAACCAAAACGGTCATTTTGCTCAATCTGCCCCAAGATGATAAGTTTGTCAACGTGGTTCAGCTCCTCTATTCTATGGCCATCCTCCTCAGCACGCCCCTCCAGCTCTTTCCCGCCATCCGTATCTTGGAGAATGAATTGTTCACTCGCAGTGGCAAATACAACCCCTATATTAAATGGAAGAAGAATGTCTTCCGTTTTTTCCTGGTATTCATTTGTGCTATCGTCGCCTGGTGCGGCGCCGATGATCTGGACAAGTTTGTTTCGCTGGTCGGAAGCTTTGCTTGTGTACCTCTAATCTACGTGTACCCGGTAAGAACACCCCTTTATCATTCTGTTTACAGAACAATGCTAACATGGGAAATTCATCCAGCCCCTTCTTCATCTTCGCGCTTGTGCGCGTTCTAAACGCCAGGCGATTGCCGATATCACGCTCGCCACCTTCGGCGTGATCTGCTGCATCTACACGACTGCACTGACCCTGAAAAATTGGGTTGGTGCCAGTGCGCCCCAGAGCCCGGGATACTGTGATTCGCAGTAATTGGAACTCTTCGGTGAAATCCTATCTGACTCTTGATCTAATCACTCTTCCTCTTTTGGGCTGTAACATCCTCTGTGATATAGCATTTTATTCTCTCTCTAGTATGCATGTATGCATGGGCGAAGATAATCTATGAATTCTGATGGTCGGATCTTTTTCAACAAATTGCCCTCATTTGATATGATTGTCTGGTGGGTCGAGCGAGGACCCTTTCTTGTATACATATCCTTTCTCTTTTGTGGGCCCCTGGCGTCAATTCGGTGCAAGATATAAAGCAATTGGGAAATTATTGATAGTCATTTTGGCTGAAGATAAGATTCAATAAACCAGAGGATATTGTAGTTAACGCGATTCCTTTCAGTAATAACCTATATACAGCGAACTGGAAAGCAGATAGCCCAAGTCAGAAGGCTAGCAGTGCTCATCTGCCCAGTGCGAAGAATTTTCCCTCAACCTAGTCGTTTCTTAAACGCCGCATATCCACTCTAGATACCTCTATATCTTTCGCGCTTTCTTGTCGCTTTATCAGACTCTCAGAGTCTGATTAGTCAGATACAAAATTCAAAAGACTTGAAAGAGGTGTATAGAGATGCAATGCTGCGAAACAAGATACAAAAGATGCAAGCCAAGATGATCAATCAAAAGTACAGCCCAGATCCGGGGCTTTTTATGCCTCTGCAGCCTCCTGGCCGAGCTTAGCCTTCTCGGCGAGCTGAGCTTCCCGGCCACCCCAGCTAAATGACAGAAAGAAAGTGAGAGTTAGTAACCATTTTATTAGGAGAAGTTCAGGGCGGGCTTGGTATGAAGACAGGACGTGACAATGGGTTCGCGAAGGCGAGGAATGACGTACTTCCAATAGTTCAGGTATCGGTAGGCTTGGGTAGTCTGAGCGCCAAAGTTGGTCAGGTGGCAGGCAAAGAGGAGGTAATTCTTGGGTGTGACAGCGAGAGAGTAGCGCATGAAGGTGGCGGCGTAGACAACCAGGGCGCCGGTCATAGGGCCGGAAATACTACTCCAGAGTCAGACACTGATGGCCAATCCCATTTCCGAAAACACAATGAATATTATTCCAACCCAGAAGTTTAGCTTCAGTGAAGTTCAACGTACATTTCAGGATCCTTCTGAGTGTCCATCACGGCCGCAATGGGGATACCGAAGTTGGAGACGGGGCCCCAGAAGTCTGGAGAGAGATATTGTCAGCGGGAACGGGCACCAGAGTATATCATGAGCCCAGAGACATGACAATGCCCCCAATCCGCAGTGACGGAAAATGCCATTTCCATCTCTGCTTCGCGTTGGAGGCAGGTCCTTGCGGCAGGCCGATCTCGGTCCGGGGAGCTGCGGCGGGAAACTCGGAGGCGGATGCAGTACGTACGAGTCGAGCAGACATAGTCCAGCACCTTATTGGAGCGGATCTTGGCATTGATAGCCTTGATAGCAGCAGCCATGACGAAGTTGCTGGAGAGATCGCACGGGTAAACGGGGTCAGTAGAGGTGGAGGTTGCGGTCTGCGGGTGCGGAATTACTCAACTCGAACCGGCCGGCGTTGACCGCAGGTCACGTGCACACCGGCCTTGCTGGGCTCTTATCTCCGCTATTTTCCATGTCAAGGGAATCCCTTGTCATATCATTTGTCCAGCGCAATAGAAATTATCTACTGCTTCGCAAAGTAGTGAGACGGGTGTGACATGTATTCATAATGTATGGAAAGTTATCAAGGGTAAGAATTAGGGTTCCTTCAATAGTAAGCTTGTCTTTTGTTGTTCAAGCCTAATAAATATATATAATTGTACAAATTGAGTATTTATTCATTAACTTTGATGACCTAGAACGCTACTATATTAACGGGACCACGGATTATCCATCTATTTTCTTTAAGTCTTTAACAGTGAAGGTACATATAATCAAGTGCAATTGAATTATCCTTATTTCATATGATGTGAATCTGGGCCCGAAGGCTGGAGACTTAACCAGCACATTATACTGATTTGTTCAATGTTAAGAAAACATGAACCACTCGCTTATACAAGCGGGGTACTACATGTAGCAGGTGTACCATAGAAATGCGATGAGTGAAAAACCATTGAATATGCATCGAAATTTGCGACAAGGGGGTCGTAGGAGGTAGCTAGCATTATGTTTTTGGTACTGAGCGCGAATCTCAAAAGAAATTTTCGGCTTTTGGTTTCCAACCTTTGAAACGACCTCCATCCGCATGCGCCGCAACGCCTTGCCCGGTAAACACGGGCAAAATAGCCTGTAGACTTGTTGATTGATATCCTGTCCCGAGGGCGAGGATAGTAGTTCCACCTGATCTCTGAGTCTTCTGCCCACCTCACTAGATAAAACAGATCACCGAAGTTAATAAGCCTGAAATGACATTCCCGTATAAATCTAGCCATTTATCGGCCGCCAAAACCAGGCGGCGGGTATCCGCGTCCCTGCCCTGGGGGCTGGAAGCCAGGAGGGGGCTGGAAAGAACCGGCTGTAGAAGATACATATATTAGTATTTTTAAACAAAAAACTGAAACAGCGAGAAAAGACTTACGAGGACCTTGAGAAGCAAAGCCAGGAGGAGGGGCAAATCCAGCTGAAAAACAGGAAAGTTAGCATCTGTAGCACAATCCAGCTGTCCTGATTCACTTACGAGGTCCACCAGGGGGTCCTCCACGACCACCGAAGCCGGGCGGCGGAGCACCAGGAAAACCGCCAGGAGGAAAACCAGGGAAGCCGCCTGGGGGCGGAGCACCACCAACACCAGCAGCGGGACCACCAAGTCCGATGGGCAGGCCACGACCAGCGGGCTTGCTGATGCCAGGGCCGGCAGCGAGAGTTGCAGCAGCGCCAGCAGGACCCGGGCCACTGCCGAGGCGAGCAGAGGGGTCGGCAGGAGGGGGACCGTCAACTGAACAAGACACGACCTGGGTACCGCGAATAATAGTCAGACCAAGAGTACGCTTCTCTTCAGCCTCGACCAGCGGGGTGTCGGAGGAGCCGGCGGCAGGCTTCGACTTCCGCTTGATGCTGCGAAACTCTTCTGTGTCGGCGAGAACGAGGTTCATGTGCTATAATTGAAAGCCAGGAAAGTCAGATTGAGTATTTTGGGATGGGTGAATTGGATGCGACGAACCTTATCAAAAGCCAGCATTTGACCGGTCATCTGGCGGCCATCGCTGAGCGTCACCCTCATCCGGAAGTTGATCTAGAACATTGGTTAGATTGTGAATTAGGGAGAATAGCGTTCTTTCAATAAAACTCACGAGATTTTGCTAGGTAATAGACGTTAGCGATTGCCATTGACCACACGAGTCGGGGATTGCACAGAGGGCATGAGAAACTTACCATCTTGCCCTGCTTGTTGGCGGCCATGGTTGGTAAGAAAAGTGCGCACGAATGCGACTTGAATGACCCAAAAAATTCAAAAGACAGCGGAACCGCTCTCTTCGTAGGGGGAGGAATCGAGCAAGACGCGAGATCCTTTTGGTCAAGCTTAGCTCTTCGATGCCCAGGACTCAGGTTCTGGATATCGGATGACTCAGCTACCTGACTCAGCAACTCACAGTCGGCCTCGATGGGGCAACTGACATAAGCGCCAAGCCCTGCAAACCCTCTCGCTTCCCGATTCCCGTGACTCGGCTCCCGTGACCGCCCACACAAACCGCTTTTGTGCTTTTCACAGATTCCTTCACTCTCGTCGACAACCACATCCACGCCACACATCAGTCGCCATGGTATGTTACCACCACAACCATCCCTCCCCTCAATCACATTTCCCCTCAATCGCATCTCGCCAGTTCTAACGAACATGCAGTCGGACGGAAAGGACAAGAGCGCCAACCCCATGCGCGAGCTGCGCATCCAGAAGCTCGTGCTGAACATCTCTGTCGGCGAGTCTGGTGACAGACTTACCCGTGCCGCCAAGGTTCTTGAGCAGCTGAGCGGTCAGACTCCCGTCTACAGCAAGGCCCGCTACACCGTCCGTACCTTCGGTATCCGTCGTAACGAGAAGATCGCCGTCCACGTTACCGTCCGTGGCCCCAAGGCCGAGGAGATCCTCGAGCGTGGCCTCAAGGTCAAGGAGTATGAGCTCCGCAAGCGCAACTTCTCCGAGACCGGCAACTTCGGCTTCGGTATCAGCGAGCACATTGATCTCGGCATCAAGTACGACCCCGGTATCGGTATCTACGGCATGGACTTCTACTGCTGCATGTAAGTGACCGCCATCTGGGTGACAATATAGAATGGGAAGGAAGAGAGACGTTCGGTCACCTGTTTTTCGAATTGGAGCATAATTGACAAATATTTTCCCTCATAGGACCCGTCCCGGTGAGCGTGTTGCCAAGCGCCGCCGCTGCAAGTCCACCATCGGTGTCAACCACAAGATCTCCGAGAATGAGACCATGAAGTGGTTCAAGAACCGCTTTGACGGCATCATCCGGTAAATGCCCGGTTAAGATGTGGGGAATTGGGGAGGCCGGTTGAGACTTGTGATTTACGATGCATCGAAGGGAGCCAAAAAATTTCTCCGTCCTCAAAAGAAAACAAAAAACGGCTCAAGACGGACCCGTCGATTCAACCGGCCGGGCTCCTGATCTCTGTGTCGGATATGGTGTTCTGAAACTTTTTTTATTCTCTTACGGCAACCAGGATAGGCGTGTTAAGAGACATGAATCTACTACCACCTTGCAAAAATTTGCGTTTTCCTCCTTTTCACAATGAAGGCTACACAAAGGGTGTTGTTTCCGCATAATCATTGCTGAAAAGGCTGGCTGGCACTGGACTCACTGTCTTGTTGTTTAGCTTGGACTTGGTTGACTTGGTCTACTCGACCGGGTTGAAGAGTCGGTCTCTACTACACACACAAGCGGTCTTGTGTGATGGAACGAGTACCATGCCTTGGCCTATCTGTCTATTGCTGTCTACACTCTATACCTGTTGTCTTCCGTGTAGCCGTAGGCTTTGTAACTCGTAGCTGTAATCGCCGCATGTCGTCGTCTTGCCCTAGGATAACGGTGTCGGTGCTGTGGAGGATCTGTGGGGTATCTTTGGAGCGACAGGTGTGTCTACTTCTCCACATTTGGGTTCACTCTTTGGGTTGGGGTGTAAAAGCATCCTAGATGTTTTCGTGGGAACGATCTACCATTACCCAAATGGACATACTGCCAGATGAGGATGAGGGTCTGAAACTCACTGGTAGTTAGTTGCCCGAGTATCTCAAAGCCTGTGTTTTGGAATTTGAGATCGACCATGAAAATACATCTACATGTTATTAACCATGGAATCAAATACCCGAAATTCAAACGATGGTATTATGCTGCTCGTCCACCGGTGATGGTCTTACGGCAAGTACAATAAGCTCCATGATACTTTCCCAGCCCATGTAACAAACCTCTGTTACAGGATTGTCAAGCGTGCAGAAGGGCCAACCAACTGACCCAGTACTGTCATTTTCAATCGTTTTAAAAACCGAAAGGGGTTTAAAATTGCTGAAAATTGCCGAATATATCCCCATAAATCCCTTAGCCAGAGGTAATGTGCCCGAAAGAAACCCAAATCCTGCAAGTAATGCACCCAAGGGCAAGGAGGTAGATACATGTATATCATGGGTATGATTATAATCACAGTCAATGAGTTGACCATGGTAAGTTTGTGAAGCTTAGCTGCGAACTGGAGAGCATTGGATATTGTAGTCGCCTAGTGTGCAATTGACTCGCTTCCGATAGAATAACAGAACGGCATACATTAAATTTCTATCTTTCGAAATATCAGTAAGTCACATCTATCTCATCTTTAAATTGTACTTTGAAGAACTGAATCCTGGAAAGATTGTTTCGTTCGTATCATCTCACAGTGATAATGACGAACAACGAAGCATGATGAATAAAGGAGCAGACCGCTTTTGAATTTCTTATAAACCCTACTTTCTAAGCCTAGCTAGGAACACGCAAGAAGCTATACTTCAAATAAGCAAGCCTTTGACTTGCTAAATTATTGATCTTTTCCAGCAAACTATCTGCCTATATCCCAGAATCTTTGGCGCCATGACATATTGAAGTTGTATATGGTAAATATCTAGCATGCCAAAATTCTTTATAAGCATTGAGAACCCTACCAGTAGGTTTTCGGCTGCACGAGGCTCTAATACCTTCTCAATGTGGCTTTGGTGGCCTGATTGGAGAAGATAGTGTTCACAAGACATTCGTCATATACGGCTTTTGTTTCGCGTAAAGCGGCCAGACAAGACCTCAGGTATTCAATATCATCAAAAATAGATATGTTCCATCATTTAATTTGATGTTAGAACCCCCCAAAAAATTTGGTCCAAACCATTTTCAAGGAAGGAATTCGGGATGAGAATTCGGGATGAAAAGACTGTGACACGAGGTCGATCTGTTGCCAACCAAAGAAATTATTAAAAAATATGACTACGTTTATTACATTCCAAGTGGGGTCATATCGAAATATCATGCAATAAAGATGCATCCACATATATTTGTTTTGTGAAATGCATGAAAATAGCCTAAAATGGCCGAAAACTTCTCCTCGAACTCGGGGTTGAGATAAGTCTCCGGGCCATTTTACCTACCGAAAGAAGCTTTTGGTCGAAATGCATAGGAAGCGCGAAAAAGACCCCAGCGAAGCTAAAACTTAAAATACGGGCCGTAATCTTTCGTTCTGCTCCACTTTCTTGCATTCCACCTGGATCCGCATCGTCTCCGAGCTATGCAAAAATATCCACCCAGGCAATTTAACAGCACTTTGTTTTAGCGTGGCTGAATTGCCTTAAGATCAACGAAAATAGGGGCAATTAGGGTCAGAGCTAATTGATCATAAAAGATAGGCTTAAAATGGCAAACTTTTTTTAGAGCAACTGTTCGCCGCTATTTTGCCGCAGTCTTGCTCTAGTAATATCAACTACTACAAACAGATATGGCAGACAAGAAACTTGCGCTCATCCTGGAAGAGGATGGGGGATTTCCCAATGACGCCATTTTTGCAACAAATCTCATTCCTGTTGCGCGCGAAATCAAGCGAGCTGTTTTTCATGACCCCGCGAAAGACCTGAATGTGACTTACGACCAGTTCTTGACCGATGTTGTTTACATGCGACGTCAGTTGAAGGCGCATCTCTCGTCATTTATCGATCCTCAGAATGGATCTATGTTTGCAGAGCCTGTACTGATCTGTACGCTCGCTCCGGCAAACTATGAATTTGCAGTGGCAGCGTTCGCGATCCTGGCGCTCGGTGCAACAATTGTACCCTTGCGTAGGCCCATTTTCCTTCCCATATTGAACGAGAAGAAAGAGAAGGCATAACTAATAAACCAATATTATAGCAACCAACACAACTCCTGCCCTTGTCTTTCACCACCTTCGCAAAAGTCCAGTCAAATACATCCTCGCGGGATCCGATTTTCTGGACCAAGCGAACGAGTTTCAAGCCTATGCAAACCAAAACTTCCTTCCAGCTGTCCAGGTCGAGTCTATCACTGTTCACAATGAGTGTCCAGATTCACTGTGGGATCTTCCGCACGTGAACATTGCCGAGAATCTTACATTCCCTGAATCTCGCCCGGGTATTGTCTTCTTCTCGTCGGGTTCAACCGGTGTTCCCAAAGGTGTTATACACAACCGGGGTTTCTTCTATAACATGCCTCGCCTGGCGCCTGACGAAAGCTTCCTTGTGCACCGTCCGGCCAGTTGGCTCGCTGGAACCATGCCACTGGCATCCGCAGTCCTTGGGGGCGCACGGGCCGAGATTATTGACCCGGCGTCGCCGCCTGAAGCATTCTGGGAGCGGTTGCGAACTGACAAGATCACAACGCTGATGACGACGGTTGTACTTTGGGAGAAGATGGCTCGGTACTACAAGCACAATCTGGAAGCTCATCCAGATCGGGCGCAGTATGTGGCGGGGCTGCACAACCTGCGCACCGCTCTTATCGGTGGGAGTGTGCCTGTGCCGTCGTTGTTGAAGTTCTATAGTGAGGAGTTCAACCTACAGCTTGGGATCGCGTATGGGTCCACAGAAACGGGCAAGATAGTTTCACTTTTGCCTCCGGGAGTACAGGTCGAGGAGAATGTGAGTCTATCCCTATCTTGGAATGTAGCTATGGACTATGAGGCTGACAGGACTCTATAGCGCTGCATTGGTAAGCCTCTGTCCCCGCAGAACCCATTCAAATTGTCCGATGGAGATCGAGGTGAGCTTCTTATTGGAGGAATCACAACATTGCTTGGGTAAGTTTATCTCGGAGAAAAGCCCATATAAATTACTAACTCGGGTTAGATATATCAACGACGAAGCCGCGATCCGAGCGGTGCTTGATGACGAGGGATACCTGCGAACTGGAGACCTAGTCCACAAGACAGGCGAGTTCTACTTCTTCGATGGCCGGGCATCTGTTGATTGTGAGTTGAACCAAACCCGCTGGGCCTTCTGGAGCTAACAATTTGAAAAGTCATCAAAACCCCTGGAGGCCCCGTGCCTGTCGTACAACTCGAGGAGGCTGTGCAGACGCTTGAGTATTTCAAGGAAACCTACGTTGTTCCAGTAGAAGATCAAGTTGTCGGTCGACGAGTTGGAGTGCTCGCTAGACCTCGAGATGCGTCAGTCAGCCTGGCGAAGTTACGGGAAGATCTGGCATCTCTCGTGGCACCTCACATGCTCCCCAGTGCTTTCCGAATCTTGGAAACTGATGATACGATTCCGCTAACGTACACTGATAAGGTGTCGAAGAAGGATATCATGAAAAAGTTTTTCTTGTGCGACTCGGAGGGAAAGCTGCCGAGCGTTGTGGAGTTGATGGACCTTGAATTTCAATAAATGGTGTAAATAAATTATGCTTTTGTCTGAGCGATTTAATCTATTCCATGCCAATTCGACTTTGTCTGAGCTGTTCACCATATTTATAAAAGATCACAGGTGAGAAACCAAACAATATAGACAAAAATGCAAGAAGCGTGTTTCCCCAGCCCAGCCCAATCCGGTCGTAAAGACCCAGTCCACCGAGCGGGACAAGACCTCCCGCAATACTTCTAACCAGGCTATTGGCCGCGAGTGCGCTGGATGCATAGATGGTAAAGCTATCGACAAGGTACGTTTGAATAGCGGCCTATTTTCAATTGTTAACAACACCAGCAAATGCCACAGAAGGCATCTGAAGGAAAAACATACAAAGCAGCCCATCAAGCTGAACCCACAAAACCCAGTGCCGATAATTGAAACAATCCAATGAAGATGATACTGTGCTGTCCAGCCATAAAGAACCAATCCGATGGGCATAGCAAGAGCACTAGGTATTAGTGGAGGCAGTCGATACCTTGCCAGAATATCAGCAAAGAGACGCGAAATTTTCACATAAGAAGACGGGCCACATACTCCGGTTTTGCACTTCCATGCTTCGCAGCCAATTGAGCATTAATGCGATCACTATAGCAACCAAAGATCGCCATACCCAACGCACTTCCAACTCCGAGCCCGAGATAAGCTAAACCAGCAATACCCTCTTTGAATCCGTACTCGTTCTGGAAGACGATCGAGAACGTAGTAAACAGCAAGTAGATGATGCCATACATGACCGCCATATACAGCGACGTTCCCAGGATAATTGGGTTGACCAGCATACGCACGGGCCGCGTGACAGCCACTAGTAACAGCTGGCGTAGGCTCTTCGCTGATTTTCCTTCCACTTGGTAAAGCGAGTCCCCAGTCTCTTTACGGAGCCTTGCGGCCTTGCGCTCCAGCAACACCGGACCGTATGTTTCGCGGAGGAAGATAAACGCCACAATCGTCGTGCACCCGCTCTGTCAGATACCTAGTCAGAACAGAACCCAGCCGTTTCGTAGTCATCAAAATCAAGAAATTGGACATACAAGGATGGTCAAGGCCCAGAAGATCCACCTCCAGCCCTTGGCCTGCGCGAGAAATCCGCCGACAACAGGGCCCAGCACCGGGCCAATGAGCATACTCGCGGAGAAAATACTCATGATGCTAAAAGCCTGAATATTAGCTTCGCTTCGCTACAACAAGCATTCGGTCTCGCAACCCAGTAACGACTGCCAAGGAAAGACATACAATCCGCGTTCTTGCGCCGGGACTAAATCGGCAATCGTGCCTCCACCATTGGTCAAGGGCGCGCCACCGAAGAAGCCAGCAGCGACGCGGAATGCCAAGAGCGCTCCAATATTCGGTGAGAGACCGCAGCATGCAGTGAACAGGGTGAACATGATGTTAGAGACGTGATAGATCACGTTCCGGCCGTAGACCTCAGAGAGCGGCGCGAGGATAAGGGGACCGAGGCCGAAGCCGATGATCTGGGGTTGGTTAGAGATTGGCTTTTTAAGCTTGAAAAGAACTCTTTTATTTTTCCAATTCGATCGAGGAGGAGATATAAAACGATGAGTGAAAATCTCAAACCTACATAAATCGACACGGTGAAGCTAAGAAGCGTGTTCGAGGTCCCGGGGAAGTCCTTTCCGATCGCTAGCAAAGCAGGAGACATCGTAGATGAAGCGAAGGGTCTGTTTGTATTCGATATGAGTTGTCAGTGCCATTTTGCGAACGAGGGAAGAGCAGAGGTGGAGTGGAGTGTGCTCTCGTACGTGGTGAATCGCATGGCGCACACGGCCACGATAATCCCTCTTTTGCGCCATCGTGGCCAATTGATTGGTTTTTCAGGGTCTTCAGGGCTGTTCCAGTCGACATTGTAGCTGAATACCGGCTTGTCCACTTCGACTGAGGACACCGACATGATGTTTGGCTCGGAGCCGGTGGGTAAAGGTCTGAGAAAGGGAAATCAAAAGCTAAACACTTTCTCGAATAATAACAATCAAATTGAATCGCAATCTAATGAAATCACAAGCAAATCGAATCTCGAGCCTTGCAAGGGGGTCTGGCGCTAGCGAGCATTCTTTGCAATGGTCACAGATTGAGAAAAAACGCCACGAAGATCTTTCACCCGGGTCAAAAAGCAAAGGAAAATATCAAGGCGGAAAAGCCCTGGGTGGAATTCCTGGCAGGGGCTCGCCATCTGGGTCTGTTTTGAGATGATCGAGAAATTTCCCTAGGACATTTTGCTTGACCGAAACTTGCGGCCTGGCCCACTACGCTGTTCGGATAACGACGATCATCGCTCCCGTTGGGGATCCACTGTGGACGGATATTGTATTGTACCGTACTGTACGGTAGCCTGTCGAGCCTAGCGGGGCCTAGCCCCTGCATTGAATCTGTCTGGGAGTCTGCAAGAAGACGCCGAGGGTGGAGTGATTATCGGAGATGCTTCTCTTTCGTGCTACATCTGGTATAGTATAATACGGTTGCACCCACATGCTAGTTCATAGTAAGCCGCCTGGGGCGTATGGGCCCAGATCGGCGCTCATAGAGGCTGCCGTGCTAGATTTTGAGACCGAAGACCCCGCGTGGTATGTGAAATAGCCAAACAGCTTGAATGAGGAGACAAATGTCCATTTATCAATCGCTTCCGATTCTACGTCAAATGACTCAATTAAGGCCAGAAAGTCACCAAGATCAAGACATCAAAGTTGATCAAAAGAAGTTAACATACAGAAAAATATTATCAATTGTCACAATGAGAATAAAATTCGACAATCTGGAAAGCATTGCTTCCGATACCTCCCCTCACCTGTAACAGCCCTCAAGAAATAAATATGGGTCTGCTTTATTTGCCGCGCGTATAGCCCTCCCACAACTTGGAGAAGACGCCGCCCTTCTGCTGCTGCTCGCTCCAGCTGGCGCGACGATCGACCATATTGGGATCGGTCGACTCGCGCTTCTGGGTGTGCAAGTTCGAAAAGAGACCGGAGCCGGAGCCGGCGCTGGAGCGGCGACGCTCGTTGACAGAGGAGTAAGGCTGGGAAGAATTGTTGGAATCGGCGGCAGGTTGGTTGGATGCACTGCCCGTGGAAGAGGAAGAGTCCTAGAAGGATGGGAGTTGGAGATTAGAGATGTCCATAGTCCATAGTCCATAGTCCATAGTCCATAGTCCATCATAGTAGGCCACGAGAAGGGATGGAGGCTAAAGAGGACATACACGGCGGGATGCGGCCATCATCTCGGGTGTTAGGGCCCAGGCTGCCCGAGAGGCAGGCCCTTTGGAGCCACCGCTCATCCAGACATTGAGGTGCTCGTGGCGGTCGCCGGGGTTGCCGTGCCAGTGGCGCTTGGTGTTGTCGTCAGACATTTCGTTGACGATCTCAAAGAGCGCGGAGTCCGTTGTGGGTAGTTGTGGGTGTCCTTCACGGGGATGGACGAGGAATGACTTTTTGTCGTTGATCTCGATTAGTCTTGGGAGACCACAGAGGAGGGGAATGAAGAGAATAGGCAGTAGAAGCCAGTGGGAGGTTTGGAGAGTAAAGGTCAGGGTAATTTGACGTCAGTAGGCAAGAGTATAGAGGTATAGAAGTATCGAATACAGAGCGTGGAGCACAGGGGATCTAGATGCTCTCTTTTAATACGAGAGGTGAAGTTGGCATGGAAGTTGGGAAGATGATGGAGTCAAAGACGTCATTGGGAGGAGGTGCGGTATGCGGGTATTGGATCCGTGGGCGAGGCCACGATCCGAGGTGGCCGGTGGCCAGCGCTGGTCTTGTGCTTTGAGGATCAGGGATCGAGGACAGAAACCTTCACATACCTGCTTTTCACAGTTGTCGGGGGATCAAAGCAGAGGGAGAGTATCTGGAGGGCCCAACGGAGGGGGAAGCGCTTATAAAACAGACACGACCGACTAGACAGAGATGCCGTGCGGGCAACACCCTTGCACAACCCACATCAGGGCCCCGGCGATGATCAGCCAGTCGCGAGATGGATCCCGTTCAGAATCCTCCGAACTTCGGTCGTTGGATCAAGCATGATTGGTGATTACGCGGATTCCTTTGATGCTGCTATACTAGACGCACCAGAGGGGCTGGATCAGGAGATCTCCGGAAGGTGTCCGTAGGTCGAAGGGGCTCCATTGGCTAAACCAGCAGCTCCACGGATTCGTGTCCATCTCGTTAGCTCCATGTCAAGGCAACCGTCCTCGATAGAACCGGGCACACGGCGGTACTTGAAGAACCCGCCATTGTTGGCCGGAGGAGCAAGTACTCGCGTGTCCCGGCGATGCGGCTTGACGTAAGACGGAATGCGGGGAAAGCTCGACGACACACTCGGCCCCGCCAGGTACCGAGTACGGGCCCGTCAAGCGTAGTCAGCGTAGTCTGCATATTTAAAATATGTACCCTGTACTTCTAGCTCCCCGCCCCCGCGACGGCCAGTGCAGCATGTGCGGTCGATCGTGGTCCAAGTGAAGTCGAGTAACGCTTCGTCTGTCATTCTTCATTAAGAGCATCTATAACGTAAAAGCATAGGCTGTTCAGTCATCAGAGACTGGAAGTCTCCTGGCCACCATTTTACACTTCTGCATTGGTCGAGGACCAGCTTCAATCACAACCGCGACTTCTCCTCCCTCGCCCGATCGGCCGCCCGCACCGTCTTCCATGCCTTCACTCCCTCGTCCCACAACGCATCTTCCTCCTTCACCTGCACCGTCCCATCTGCCTTCAACACCCTCACGCCTCGTCCCGTCGTCCCCCATCCAAAGTCTCCCTTCCCACCCTCCACAAACCGTCCCAATGGCCCGATAAAGGCCTCCCGCACCACTCCTTTCTCCCATCCACTCAACACATCCCCATTGCCCCAGAACCACAGCGGATAATCCGACGAATGCGTGACCCCCCACTCCACCGGGATACTCTTGTCGATGCACTTCGCCCGGAACTCAATCCGGTACCGGTGCACCAACCGCGACGCGTCCACGCCCCCAGCGTTCTCCGTCAGCGCATACACGAGCCCCCGCTGCATATGGTACACCTGCATGTCCGCGTACACCCGGCCCCAGGCGTCACTCACCCAGTCTGCACAGCCGGCTGGCAGCCGCCCGCCCGGGTAGTGCAGTGGCAGGACGGCATCGACGATGTGGGCGGGGTAGTCCGCGACGAGCCGGGCGCGCAGGGCGGGCAGCGTGTCGGCGGTGGGCGGGTACCATACGCTATAGAGGTGGTGCTCGTCGGCGCATTCGCCCACGAGGAGGCGGACGTTGCGGCGGAGCAGGGCAGCAGCGAAGGCGCCACTGTCCAAGGAGGCAAAGAGCGCCGGGGAGATGAAGCCGGTGTCGGTGGTTGGGCGGAATTGGTGTATGGGGATGGTGGGGAGGGCGTCGATGAGGGTTTTCGGGGGCAGGGCGCGCAGGCGGGCGAGTTTGGCAGGGCCGGGGAGGTCTGCGGGGATGGAGAGTGCGGAGAGAAGTTGGTTGAATTGGATTTGGGTCTCGGCAGGTTGTTTAGGCTGCACGGCGGGGGAGTTCGAGAAGATGCAGGCCTGGCGGATAATGGCTTGATCGTCGGGTTGGCGGAGGTCGTAGGCGAGTTGGTGGAAGACAGAGTTGGCGCCTGAGGTATGAGAGGTTCGCGGTTAGCCATTAGACTCTTTGTGCCTCTCGCAGATTAGGAGTAGGTATAAAGGGAATGGGTGAGGTGGCATGGGTTGGTGTATGACTGACCTGCAGAGTAGCCGGAGATCGTGATATTCTCTGGATTGCCTCCAAAGAGATGGATGTTCTCCTTCGTCCACTCCATTGCCAGCCGCTGGTCCCAGAACCCGTGGTTGCCCACAGTCTCACCGACCTCGCGGGCGTCTTGTTCCAGCTCAGCCGAGTACAAGAATCCGAACACATTGACCCGATATGCAGGCATGACGACCACGCAATTCAAGTCCGTTTCGCCCAGCAACGCCGCCGCATTGAAACTGTTCGGTGAGCCGAACTGGAGCCAGCCACCATCTAGCAGCTGTGGTCAGCAAGCAATCTTTCGGGAAAGGTTGTAGATCTCTCTCCGACCCCCCCCATCCCCGGGGATGGGACCAGGTCAGAGCCAAGCGTTACAAGAGCAGATGGACATACGAATAAACATGAAAACTGGCCATCCACCCTTCGGGGGCTTTCCAATAGGCAGCCACACATTACACTGGAAACAATCCTCAGTCCAGGCATCCTCGTTGGGTGGTGACAGGCTCATAAATCCAGGCTGGGGGCACAGCCCAGCGCCAGTGTCACATGTACCCGGTGCATCTGTGGTGCCATAGGTATAGGAGGCAGGCAGGCGACGGGCTCGGCGCCAGCGCTGGATGGGCGGGAGGCCGTAGCGGACGCCTCCGAAGTAGTGGCACAAGTCGGATCCTTGCTGTGTAGAAATGGTGACACCAGCAATGGTGCCGCGGTGGGCAAGGGAATGGAGGCGTGGACGACGAGTTGTTTCCATGATTGTGGATTGAGAGACGTAGGTCTGGAAACACGGGGGCTGCGCAGGGAGATAAGATGACAAGTATATTCTAATCAGATCAGTGAAAAAGATAAAGGAGGTCCTCAATCGAAATAAGGCTGTAAAGGTGGAGATATGCAGGGTGCCTGTGGCTGTTCCTGTTACTGAGAGCCCGCGTCTCGCACTCTTTGTCGCTTGCCGTGATGCGTCCGGACAGGCCAGAAAGGAAGAGGAGCTCTCCTCGGAACGCGCTCCTTTTATCACTGCCCGGGCTTCATTCCGAGGGTCTCACCTGCTCACGGAAGATAAAGGGTAGCCGAGATAACCAACTCACAGGCCCACCCCATTGGTAATGGAGACGAGCAGATCGGCAATTGGTAGTTGGAGAGAGGTGGATTGCGGGGAGGCCCGCTGGGGTTCCGGGCATTCGGAGGGCTTCGGGCTCCAAATCTGGGGCCGAGCGAGATAAGCGATAGTTAGCCACGGTGGACGTGCGAGAGCTGTGTATAGCACTTACTACTAGCATGATTCCTGCACCTTTGTAAGTTAAGGATTCTTGAATCGCGGATTGAATCATTCTGGATCCGACAACTGCTTGTGATGTGGTGCTGTGAGCTCTAATTTGCATATGCCAAGCCCAACAGGTTATCCAATATGCATCGGATAATTGTGTTCGATATAGGTTCTTGTGCTTCAATTTCCGTGCGAGTTTCGAGCTTGACACACTAAATCTCCAGTTGCCAAATGTCGTCGGAAGACCAGAATGCAGCAAAGGCTCGATAAAAACAGCATTCTTTGTATGCGTGGGCTGCCTTGGCTAGAAACCCAAAGATGAGAGTATAGGACTCCAGTGGTGCTGATTCAAGATTCTGGGAGCCCGGAGAAGAGTTCACTGGTTGAAAGCGGAGCTCATATAACTCGCACCGATAAGAGATGTAAACAAACATATCCAGGCCCCGAAGAAGAGCATCCTTCTGATCTTGGTGCGAGGTTGTTGCCTATATACATACCATTAGAGCCAAGGACAGCACAAACAGACGAACACATACCTCAAATAGAAGCCTGATACCAGCCTAGGGCAATCCAGCATGAAGTGGATCAGCATTTTTAATATTTGACTGCCTCGAATGTCTCCCCACCGCACAGCTAAGCTACATGAATAGGTAGCAGTTCTGGCGCAATGGGAGAATACCAGACGGCTAAAGAGTCAAATGAAGCTTACTTTGAACCATTTCCTCACACGGCGATGATACATGTCGCCTCCTGCCTACCTACACTAATCTTACCACTACCACTTACAGACACACCATCTCCTACGAGCTAAGATCGAGATTAAAAATCCAATCCAGTTGATTGACAACGTCGATAAATTTAAACGACAAGCAAAGACCAAGATAAATCCCAGAAACGGAGCCATAACCAAAAACCACAAACGCTGGAAATAAAACAAAAAGAAAAAGAAAAAGCTTTCGTTCAAGTCTTTGCGCATTACCAGGTCGTGCACGACGCTTATACACAGACAGAAATAAAACAAGACCAGAGTCCTGCAGACCCGCACTTTTCTTGTATCCACCTTCCATCTTCACTACTACAGGACAGACCGCGGCATCTATGCCTTGGTGATCTTGCAGATCAGGTCCTGGCCGTCGACGGAGTCGCCCTCCTTGACGAGCATGCCGGAGACCTTTCCGCTGTGCGGGGCAGAGATGACCATTTCCTTTGGAGAAAGTTAGTATGATTGAATCGGGAGAGGAGGGTGGGCTGGTGCTTGTGCTTACCATCTTCATAGCGCTCAGCACGGCGATAGGATCGCCCTTCTTGACCTCGTGGCCGTCGTGCACACGGATCTCAACCACAACACCGGACATCGGGGCACCGACTTGGCTGCTGTCGGCGGCATCAGCCTTGGGACGGGCGATGTTGTCGACAGAGGCCTTCTGGTCATCGACGCTGACCTGGCGGACCTCGCCGTTGACTTCGTAGAAGACCTCGCGCTGGCCGGTCTGCTCGGAGAGCGGGCCGATAGCCAGCAACTTCAGGATAAGAACCTTACCCTTCTCGAGCTCGACGTGGAACTCCTCGCCGATCTCAGGCTTAGCCAGGAAGAAGCGAGTGGGCAGCACGGACAGATCGCCAAACTTGGCGACGAACTTGCGGTAGTCCTCGAACACCTTAGGGTACATGGCGTAGGAGGCAACGTCGCACTCAGTAGCAGTGCCGAACTTCTCGCGAATCTGGTTCTTGATGCCGACAAGGTCCAGCGGGTCCAGATACAGACCAGGTCGCTTGTCGAGCTTCCGACGGTTACGGAGTGCCCGGGAGCGCAGCGGCTCAGGGAAGCCGCCGAAGGGCTGGCCCATCAGGCCCTCCAGGAACTCGAGCACAGAGCCGGGGAAGTCCAGCTCACCGGCGCGGTCGATGACGTCCTGCTCGCTCAGCTTGTTGGACACCATGAACTGAGCCAGATCGCCAACAACCTTGGAGGTCGGGGTGACCTTGACGATATCGCCGAGAAGGTCATTAGCGGCCTCATAGGCCTTCTTGGTCTCGGCCCACTGCTGACCCAGACCCAGCTGGCTAGCCTGGAAGATCAGGTTGGTCAGCTGACCACCGGGGATCTCGTGCTCGTAGACCTCGGGATCGGGACCGGTCAGGCCGGCCTCGAAGGGAGAGTAGAGCAGACGAAGCTGAGCCCAGTAGGTGTCCAGAGCGCGGACCTGGGCCAGGTCGAGCTGAGGATCCTGCTCGGTACCACTGAGGGAGGCAAGAATGGCTCCAATGCTGGGCTGCGAGGTCATACCCGACAAGCTGTCGGTAGCAGCATCGACGGCATCAGCGCCAGCCTGGGCGCAAGCAATCATCGAAGCAACACCGGTACCGGCGGAATCGTGGGTGTGAACGTGAATAGGAAGGTCGGGGTAGCGCTCACGGAGAGCGCCAATGAGCAGGCGGGCAGCCTGGGGCTTCAGAACACCGGCCATATCCTTGATACCAAGGACGTGGGTGCCCATGGAAACAATCTTGTCGGCAAGAGCGAGATAGTACTCCAAGTTGTATTTCTTGCTGGGGTTCAGCATGTCACCACTGTAGCAGATGGTGGCCTCAACCACACCGCCGGCCTGCTGAACAGCCTTGATGCCGACCTCGAGCTGATCCACGTCGTTCAGGGCATCAAAGACACGGAAAATGTCAACACCATACTTCTTAGCCTGCTTACAGAAGTGGTAGATGGCGTTGTCAGGAAGGGAAGAGTATGCCACACCGTTGGCGCCGCGCAGCAGCATCTGGAAGGGGATGTTGGGGACGGCCTTGCGGAGCTTGCGCAGACGGTCCCAGGGGTCCTCGTAGAGGAAACGCATGGCAACATCGAAGGTGGCACCACCCCAGCACTCCAGACTGTACGCGTTGGACAGGGCATGGCTGGTCTCGTGGGCAATGTTGAGCATGTCGATGGTACGCACACGGGTGGCGAGCAGCGACTGATGGGCATCACGCCAGGTGGTGTCCATGATCAAGCAGCCCTTGTTGGCACGCACAGCCTTGGCGAAAGCAGCCGGGCCTTGACTGTCAAGGATCTGCTTCCAGCCCTTCTGGCAGGGGGCGGAGACGTCAAGAGCATTGCCAGAGGCGTCCTTGAGGATGGGCTTGATGATATCGCCCTTGAACTTGGGCTCGCCAATCTGACCCTTGATGCTACTGCCGTTAACAGCGACGTCACCCAGGTAGGCCAGCAGCTTCTGGGCACGGTTCTGAGAGCCGACCAGGGCAAACAGCTCGGGGGTGTCATCGATGAAAGTGGTCCAGCAGGTGCCATCGATGAAGGTAGGGTGGCTCAGCAGCGAAGCCAAGAAAGGAATGTTGGTCTTCACGCCGCGGATACGGAACTCAACCAGAGCACGCAGCATCTTACGACGGACAATCTCGTAGGTGGAACCACGGCAAGTACACTTGACCAGCATGGAATCGTAGTGAGGGGTGATGATCGCACCGGCGAAACCGTTACCACCATCGAGACGGACACCGTTACCACCGGCAGATCGGTACACCTCAATCTTACCAGTGTCAGGGGAGAAGCCCTTGGAGGGATCTTCGGTGGTGATACGGCACTGAATAGCGAAACCGCGGGTGGAGATGCGGTCCTGGGTCAGACCCAGCTGCTCGAGAGTGGCACCAGCGGCGATCTGAATCTGAGCAGCAACGATATCGATGCCAGTGATCTCCTCAGTGATGGTGTGCTCGACCTGAATACGAGGGTTGATCTCAATGAAGTAGTAGCGGTTCTGCTGGTCCACCAGGAACTCAGCAGTACCAGCGTTGCGGTAGTTGACAGACTTGGCCAGGCGAACGGCATCAGCCAGAATCTTGTCCCGGACGTCGACAGGGAGGTCCTTGGCAGGGGCGATCTCAACGACCTTCTGGTGACGACGCTGGACGGAGCAGTCACGCTCGAACAGGTGGACCACGTTGCCCTGGTTGTCACCGAGCAGCTGGACCTCAATGTGCTTGGGTTTGTCGAGGAAGCGCTCGACGAAGACGGTGCCATTTCCGAAGGCCGACTTGGCCTCGGAGGTGGCACGCTCGAAGGAGTCCCGGAGCGAGGCCTGGTCGCGGACGACACGCATACCACGGCCACCACCACCGAAGGCAGCCTTGATGATGATGGGGAAGCCATAGGTATCAGTGAAGGACTTCACGTCCTCATAGCGCTCAACGGGCCCCTCCGTACCGGGGACAACCGGGACATTGCACTTGATGGCCAGTTGGCGAGCGGAGACCTTGTCACCCAGACGCTCAATGGTGTCCGGGGTTGGGCCCACGAAAACAATGCCCGCCTTCTCAACGTTTCGGGCAAACTCGGCGTTCTCCGACAGGAAACCGTAGCCGGGGTGGATCAGGTGCACACCGTGATCCTGGGCGATCTTAATGATCTCATCGCCAGCCAGGTAGGCTCCCACAGGGGTATATTGCCCCCGCCGACCAATCATGTAAGCCTCATCGGCCTTTTGACGGTGCATGCCCAGGCGGTCCTCATGGGAGAAGACGGCGACCGTCTGGAGGGACAGCTCGTGGGCAGTACGGAAGATTCGAATGGGGATCTCACCACGGTTGGCGACAAGGATCTTCTGGAAGTGCATGATGGTCGAGTTTGCACGCAGGCGCCGGTGGACGGAATCCTGGTGATGCTCCGAGTGATCCTCGATGAACTCGGAGTCATCGATGGCGTCCTCGGGTTGGCGGTGCGGGGCAGCCATGGTGATAGAAAGAGGAAGAGAGGGAGGGAGAGAAGGGGGGTATGGATTTTTATACAGGGGTGCTAGGATGCGAAAGAGAAACCAGTGTCAATTGCACCGCTCTCGATGGAAGACGAGGAGAGCGTCGGCGTGACTCACGATGTTGGAAAGCTACTGGGATTGAAGCTCCAGATAAGACCCCAGGCCGGTTTCGGCAGAATTCAGCGCAATCACTTGCACTCGTACAGGGTCAGAATACAGACAAAGACCCTGAGATGGATGGAAGAGAAAGGGAGAGGGGTGGGAAAAGGATTGAAATAGGCAGGGGAAGAAAAAAAAAGGCCAGCGGCTATTTGGGGGTTGAGGGGCAAGATAAAGGCGAGGGGGGGGGGGAGGGAAGCATATGCGATCACGGGCGGATCTGCAGCATCACGTCCGGGGGCGAGTGGGTTTGGGTGGAACGGGCTGGTACCGTATCCCATACCACACCTAATAGTAATACCTAATTGTAGAATAATACGATCTATAATCGAATCCCATTTCAGAAATCATGCCTTGCGAATTATCCAATATTATCCAATGATCCACCCGTTCCCCCTCGATGGAAATTCCAGACCGGCACTTCGGTCCATCGGTACATCCATGACTCCAGGAATGAGGTAACAGCGCTGACCGCCTTGGCTCCCCCAGCCCGTGACTTCCCCGTGACTTCAAGTTCTCACCGGCACACCGAACGACTCTGCTAGTCGACACTTCCAAGGGTCTTGGTCGCCTATTCCGGCGGGGCAGATGGTTACTTTTTTTTTCTATGCTCTGATTTTATGCGATTAGAACTGTCATTGCTTTTGCGCTTACCGGTCTCTTGCGTCGTGGTTCCACCCTGGTATCTCCCCGCTCCCGGCTCTATACAGACGGGCCTCGACGCGAAATCGGCGACAAGATCCTCCGATGATCTCATCGGTCCTGAGCCTAATCCACCCGAATCTGAAGAAAAAAACGCGACTTTGCGTTGACAGGGTGATCGCGGGTCCCACGAAAACAACCTCGGGTCCTCGGGCCTTTCCTCCCCCAGGTTCCTGGTGCCGGGGAATGGAGCATGTTCCCCCTAGGGCGTCTAACGAAAAGAAAAGGCTAGTTCCAGATTCGTTGACCAGTCGAGCGCACTGCGGATATCGTCGGGAAACCTGGAGTTGGTCCGGGGGAGACTCGGAGAACTCTCGATGTCTGACGAACTCTTTCCGGGGACCAATCACCCTCTCCGATTCCTCACGTTGGAAGCTCGCTCCTCTTGTGGAAGTCTATGCCCCCCAAAGGTGGCCCGAGTTGACCTCGGGGAAGTTCATTCCGAAACCCTCCTCTGTCCACTGTCGTTCCCCTTGCGATTTTTCCCCGTTACGGACAACCACGATCGCATCCTCCGGTCTTTGAAAGTCAATTGACTCATGAGACTCAATTCACTCCAATGAGGGGGGTTGACCCTACTATTTTCGTGTTGATCCCATGGCCCCTTCCCTTCCCCCCCCCCCTTCTTCCAGCCCCGTCCAGGTCCCAGGCCAAGGTCCCGTTCCCGCATCGGAGAGGGAACCGAAGTCCACGAGGACTTGTTGCCCCGTCCTGCCAGGCGGTCCCGCGAAATGTGTGACCGGTCATGCGTGTCTTTCTCTAGAGGAAAGGATCTCCTGCTCGTCTCCGACCATGACGGACGAGGGCGCGCAACCTACCTCTCGGAGTATAGAGCGACGACGTAGCCCCGTAGTCTCCGGTCTTGGAAATTTCCTCGGTGTCTCCTTCCGATTCACCGAGAGGGGGTCAAGTCGACTCGCAGGGGGGCGGGTTCATCGCCGTCGCGACCTGACGCCTCACTCTCTCCCACTTGGCGACGATGATCTCCCGTTGCCGTGACGGGGGGGGGAGATGTCGAAAGGCCAAGGACAGGGCCAAGCGCCGCGGCATACCGAGGCAGGCGGCCGGGGGGCCCCTACCATCTCTGCCACTCCTAAACACCAGCCCGCAATTGATAACCAAAATATATATTTTCCGTCGTGATAGATATTCCCCGGCGGATAAGCCGCCATACGACCCCGGAGATCCGGAGATCTCTGATCATCTTTGAGCACCTGTGAGCACTAGTCGCACTCACAATGCCAATTTCAATAGCTTCAATGATTTCTCAACAAAACTGTTCTCTCTGCTCATACGACTCCGTACATCTAGCCATGTATGCTGTATGCACCCCTCTCCTTCCGTCCGTCCGTCCAGCTTAGCCTGTATTATGACTCGTCGTAGCCTGTGCTCTGGGGTGTCTTCTCACTGCTTTTGGTTTGTTTTTTCACCCCCCATTAGGGAAGCTACGTAGTCTGACCAGAGCGAAGCCAACCACAGCCAGTATACCCCGTACTCCGTACACGAATACACGAACCATCCCTGTCCGATAAGCAGCTTCCCAGCGAGTGTTCCCTGCCCAGTCCTCCAAGTCTTGGAAGAAGTCTTGGAAGTAAAGTTCTTCCACCGCTAACCATAATCCCGTCTTGGAATCCAATCAATTGCCCATGCAATGCTTATCTTACAGATACTCGCTTCCGCCTCGATGTCATCCCCTGCGTCTGCAATTCCCTCCATCTGAGTCTTCGATCACGCAAAACCTGCATGGAACCCAACCCCAAACCCCAAGGTCCCTCTTCCAGTTCGAGATCGTCCCACATTGGCCCCCTCCCCAGTCCCGCCAGCTCCCCCCCAAATTCCTCTTTCTCTTCTCCATATTTCTTTTTCGGATTGGGTTCCACGCCCTCAGTTCCATACCGAATCAAATCCTACAAAACCAAGCCCTCTCAATCATCCCCACATACCTAAGCCGCATCTAACCCTCCAGGCACCTCTAGAGCTATGTCACAAGGTCTTTCTCAATTTTGCGGAAAAAGTCACTGCCACTCTCTCCCATTCTGCCAATATCCACCATCGACGGGCGTGCCGACCGCGCGTTCGCGGAACCGGGTTAAAATCTTCCCCGCGCGCATCTCGGCTCCCTCCAGCCGGTGACGTTGAGGCCGAGGCCGAAAAGTGCCAATGTACCGATAGGACTAAGGGAAGAAGAGGAGGGGAAAAGGTCTTGACCGAGAGCTGTGGCCAGGATATGACAGGGATCGGGAGAAGCCAACGAGCGCGAAGCGATTAGCAACACTAGCAACACCCGGACAAACGGGAGGCGTCTTTTACTGGACTTGAGAGGGGGGGGAGGGGGGTTCTCGAAATCCTCGCCGGCGGTACGGATAGGATCCCTGTATGCGCCTGTACCAACGCCATCATGATGCATGGTTTAGTGCGTTTGCGATGTGCAGAGGCATATCTAGATCTCCACTATTTCATCGTCCATCCTCCACGCGCCCGGGGGCGCTCGACTCCAGTCTGCCTATCTAGGCCTCTACGAATGGTAAACTATTGCTTGGCGAAGTCTGGAAATCTGGCACTATGTACTCCATACGGAGTACACTGAAAAGGTGTGCGAATGATCTACCGTCCAACTATCAAATAGAGACCCATCTAGCCACCGACCAGGGCGTGTGCCTTTCCAATAGTCTCGCCAAGATACCCTCAATCCGCCCAACCCGCGAAACAAAAAGTGCGCCAAGCCACCCAATCTGAACCACACCGCGGGAGATGTGCAACCCGGCGTCATGGCGGAGTGACATTTCAAAACTAGGGGGCATGTTGCAGGACTGGGCGCTGCAGAGGATATTTGCAGAGAGCGGGGAGGGGGCTAGGGAGGGTTGCGAATGATTGTCCTTGGCGGGCTTGGCGGGGGGAGGGATTGGGAGGGATTGGGAGGGATCGTGATTAGAGCTGCGGCTGGGACTGGGACTAGGATATCACACTTGTCAGCTGATAGAGATGGATGGAACCATTCCTGTGTCCACATTCCAGGTGCCAAGTGTTGCAGGAGGATAATGTGCGAGCTTACCTGAATGTGGACAGCGGCGTGAGTGCACTATTCAGACCTTTGGTTCCACAGAACTCTGTGCTGAAATACTAGCTCGTAAGCAGGACGGATGAAGAGAAATCCCTCTGGATAAGGATACTACTTCATATCGGTTTCCTGCGTTTGGGCGTACATCCCTGGTCAGATGTATAGGTGGACCTCGGATGCAATCATTTAGGGTTAAAGCCTGCCGGTAGGCCAGGAGTCAACTGATTTAGCCTAATCTTAATTTCTAATTGCTCACCGGACTAGGGCACTCGGTCGAAAAAAAAATCATTTCGTTGACTCTGACCCTGAAGGCCCAGTTGCCAGAGGTAAGCATGAAAGTTGAAAGCGATCTTAAAATGTTTTCGAGGGAAGTCCCGCCATCCTTTTTGACAGGCAAATGAATCAATTCTATCGACGATGTCTGAACCTTTGTTACAACCTCTTTTTAGCTTCGAGGCCAATTGTCCGGGTCCTATTTCCTTTTTTTTTTTTTGAGGTAGTCGCTTTTCTGGAATACCTGTCAAGTGATGTGAGCCCAGTTGGACATCTTCAAATCTTCTTTTCTGTTCAATTTCGATGTCATCGTTTCGAAATCCCCTTCGATCCTTGACGCAGTGATAAGAACTAGAATGTAATCAGAAACTTGTCAACGAAGCCCTCGGGAGACTGAAGATTGGCTATCTGTAGTGAAGGACGTCCTTCACTGGGCGCTCTCCGGCAACGTCATTGGTCTGGACATATTCGAGTAGTCCTTTTGCAAATGCAGCCGTTACAGCAGTAGCATGCTCTTGCCTTTTTTTTGATTTTTGATTTTTATTTTTGTGCAAATACGCCTAGTCACAGATTCCTCGAATGACAACGCACGGAAAATTGTTCATCAGCCCGACCGCTTCCATTTCGACACAGAGAACACGACCGCCGAGGTCCTTGTTGAGAGTTTCTCGGAAGACAGCGCCCTTGATGACCCGGTTACCGGACGCAATAAGACTGTACTGTACACGCATATCTCTGGGTTTCCTCTCGGTCTTGGCCGTGTCACAGAATCGGCAGTTCACTTCCTCGTCTCCTTGTCCATCATCCGAGGGGAGTTCACAATCCCTGGACCTCGCACTTGCATTGCTGTAATCATTTTTAAATAGAACATTCTCGAGTAGATTCGATCTCGAATACTTCGGCGCCAGCCTTGGCCATCTCTCTTTCCGCGCATGGAGATTCTCCGGTATCTTTGATCCGGTCAATTCGTACTCCGTCTCCAACTTCGATATAGCTGTTAGTAGCGATGTTGGAGGATTGTTCAATGATCCGGTCCGCTCAAAGCCCCCGCCTTCGTTTGCTTAGCCCATATCCCAGTGGACCACGCCAGGGAGCTGACCAGATGGTGTACTGACAAACCACGTCGCGGAGTCTCCCCTTGGGCGGAACACCACCACCGATGCCAACCATTAGACCAAATCTTCCGATGAAAAAGTGGAGCTCATCTATACAATAACGGTGGCTGCAGGATTGTTGTCGGTCTGTCCTTTCGGGAGACAAGCTATAAATAAATTAAACGCGCCAACAGATCCAAGGGTGTACGTGTTAGGGTCATTTGATGCCCTTCGCAAGATCGGCGTGTCTCTCATCCAGCATAGCTGTTGTTATATCTTCATTATCTTCGCGCGCTCCATCACATTTTGCCATCGCTGACTTGTTCATGGATATATGAATGACATATGATGTGGATATATGGAAAAGAAGTCTGATAAGGAAGAAACTCGAATGCCGTATATAGACTTATCTTATTGGATTCCTATAGGAGTCAGAATTTGTTGGAGTATAATAGCCCTTCAGATATCAAAATTGTAAAAGCTGCCAGATTTGGGGTTCCTTTGATGTGAACAAGACATTTTGGGCGCCTAGCTTCTCTCTTGCCAAACACCAATACCGACTACGCCAAACGCATATTATGAAAACATACTCATGATCACGCATAAACAATTATTAGCGCCAAAAGCTCAGTAAGTTTGAGAAGGACCAGATCCTCTGCTGAAACATTTAACTGATCATGTCAAAATGGGCGACGGTGACTTTTGAGACCATATGGTGGATATGCCCTACTAGATAGCGATTAACAGTTCAAAATGTTGAGGGACAGAACCTTATTCATTGCAGATAGGGAGATGGGCGACAGGGGGTCCGAGATTATTTTTCTAACACTGCTAACATCGCTGTGGAGAACGCCCGTTCAATCTTGGTTTGTTTCCAATAACTAACTAATTTTTTTGATGACGAATTGGGCCAAATCAACAGGAAGTGAAAGACACCGCGGGAAGGATGCTTAGCAAGCAGGAACATGGAGCAAAGAATTATGTATTTCTAATGAACGCCGGATAGATCCGGGATCTACTAAAGAGAGAAGAGAATTGGGTACGGAGAAGTCGATCCTAAAGTACTTCAGGATTGTATCCAAACGGACAGCTGAGGTCAGGAAGCCATTTGGCATAGCCGGAGAGGCCGAAAAGGATCTCAAACGGTCTCCAGAATGGTTCGGGTCTGTCGAAAACTGGTGGGATCTCTCAGGGTCGCCATCAATTGTACGTCGCATGCGCCGCTGATCCTCCAGGAAGCTGACCCACAAATTTCTCGACCGCTGAATTGGGGTTACCCTTGTGTTTATCATATAAGGCGTGCCATGCCACCTTTTGAAGTAGAGTTCTTGAGAATATTGTCAGTGTATCGCGTGGAAGCCGATATCGAATTCAAGTGTAACTCCCAAGGCCAACAAAAATTCACGGAAGCATCTGAAATAGGAGCAATAGCTCACCCTAGGCTTTCTAGGTGGCTGCCCGGATAAGCTAGCAAGACCCGACATGAGAGAGAGAAACACATGTCGCGATTTGCCAAGTCACCTTGGGGCCAAAATTGAAAATGGTAGCATCCGATCCCAATACTGGGGCTCTCGTATGTTCATCCTGATGGAATTGTGGGTCTACCTATTCCAGCCATTTTAGTGTAACCCCTCACCTGAAAGAAATAAATAGTCGCAAGAATCAGCTTTCCATATTGCTCCACGAATAAACTGGAAACTCAAGTTTTGACTACTGGTATGGCTACCATAACACACCACGATGTTACCTACGCGGGAGGAAGCAAGAAGATACATTACCTGGCCACTGGCCCGGTCGATGGCCCATTGATTCTATTCATTCACGGATGGCCTGCTACTGCCATCACGTGGAAAGCTCAACTCAATGCATTCGCCTCGGTAGGCTTCCGGGCTATCGCCCCTGACATGCCCGGCTATGGACAGTCAACAGCCCGGCGAGTCGTGGACGACTACTGTCAGGAAGCTCTTGTGGAGGGTATGATGGCCCTGCTAGCCGACACAGGCCGCCGCGCTGCCGTTTGGGTTGGTCACGACTGGGGTTCGGGCGTGACTTCCTCGGTCGCGATCCAGCACCCCGAAACTGTCAAGGCTCTAGTGAGTATGTGTGTGCCATATTCGACCCTCGAACTTGGCTGGGATGGCTTCCTACCGTTGGTAGACCGGAAACTCTACCCCGCAGATCAATACGAATATGGACAGTGGGACTATATGAAGAATTACGAAGAGAATTTTGAGAAGGCTGTGGAATGGTACCACCGTGATATCGCTGGGTACTGCAAGGCTATTGCTCAAAAGCCAACGTCGCGACCAGACTTGAGTGTTCCTCACTTGATGGCTACGATACGCAAGAAGGGAATGATGGGTGGCAGGCCCAAACCACCAAGTGTCGACCAATTAGGGCCGACGACTCTTCCAGCCGATGTCCTCGATTCTTTCACGAAGGACATGCAGAGGACAGGTTTCTGGTCAGGTTGTGCTTACTACCTAAATCATCGTCGAAATGCGGAATATAACGGCAGTCGGGAAAGGAAGTTGACGCAGCCGGTGTTGTTTGTCCATGCGACATGGGATCTTGTTTGTGCTACGAAGATAACCCGGCTCATAGAGCCAATGAGAGAGGCTTGCTCAAACTTGACAGAGGTTACTATCGACGCAGGTCATTTTGTGGGATGGGAAAAACCCGCAGAAGTCAACGCTGCCTTGTTCAGGTTCCTGGTAGATGCGCTGCCCAATGAATGGCCTGGATCCTTGGAAAGTGAATATACGAAGTCCAAGTCTATTCTATAGTCATTTATTGGTCCAGGTCTACAACGCAAACCTACATAAAGACCTGGCTCTCGGGGCGAAAGATACCAATGACTATCCCTGTATTTCCATTAGACTAGGGATTTATGCCCGCGGAAAAGGCTCCACCGCATTTCACCAAGCCACGCGATTCAAAGCCTTCTCCTTCACCAAATTAAAAGAAAAATGCAGTCTAAACACTAGCTTATAATTGGCATGAACTCATTATCGTGGCTATCTCATTGTATTCTTGAAGCCTTTCCACATTTGAATGGACAAAAATATGGTAGAACTTTTTGAGTTTGCTATTGCCTGTAATACGATTGAGGAGAGCACGCATTGATATACCAGTCTACACCTTCATGGCTTAGCCTAACAAGATGCACTAGATGTTCATGGTTCACTTCACTTGGCTGCAGATTTCGTAGCAGAGAAGGGGCATGATGGCTTTGTAGTAACCTAAATGAGGCATAATGGTTTTATATGCTCCATATGTGCCAGCGCGAGCCAAATAATTAAGGGCCGAAGAATGATAGAGGAACTGATGGAGTTATTATGGGAGCTTAACAATGGAGAGCATGCGATTACGGAATTCAAAAGGAAATGGGCTAAAGGCATGGTCACACTAGACCGAGTGAAAGAAGATCGAAAAAAGGGGTGATTGCAAGTATGGAAAACGAGTCTGAAAAAGAAGCCTATCAAAATACAATTGGATAATAAAAAAAGAGAAAGATGAAAAAGAGAAACAAAATTAACGGGCCGCCATGAAGAAAACGTTCCCATCCGTTCCTTGACGGTCTCAATGGCAATGAAGAATTACCCAAACTGCCTGTCAGGGCCACCAGTCTCATGTCTTTTGCTCGCACCAAGAGTCGTCACGTCGCTTTATGTTACACATACGAAAAATAATAAAAAGGGCAAATAATCAAGGGCACGCCGCTCTAGAACGCACGGTATCCGGTGGCTTGAGGAGTGATACCATTGGCCTGCTGGCCGTACGGCATCGGGCTGGCCGAAGGCGCGGGGCCCTGGGTCAGCATCAATCGTGAGCCACCCAGGATAGGAGTGTTGTCCTCCTCGGTCTTCTGCGTCTTCTCGCGGGACTTGCGCTCCTCGTTGTCCTTCTTGAGCATCTCGATGGTGCGGGTTTGCTCGCAGAGGAAGTTGATCATGAAGGGCATGGTAAAGTCATGCAGGCCCTTGCGCCAGGAAATCTCCATGATCACGTCCGGACGGATCAGGTCGTAGCAAGCATACAGCATGCCCACGTAGCACTCGCGGCTGCCAATGTCGACGAACTATAGACAGGTTGTTAGCGAGATGAACATGAAGATAAGCAATAAACAAAAAAAAAAACATACGTAACGAAGGAGATCCTCCACCACCTCGGACTTAGCAGAGATGGCAGCAGTCTCGATGGCATCCTTGTAGAGCTTGTCCTGCTTGGAAAGCGCAATTGACTTCTCCCACCGCTTGTTATTACGGTAGATGCTGGCGGCAATCTGGCGGAAGAAGATCAAGTCGTGCTTCTCCAAACGCTGGGCGAGTTCCACGGCATCAAAGTTGTCATAGTTGTCCACGGAGTCACGCAGGGTCTTATAGTCCTCCTCCTCAATCAGAAGCTCGTTGATGGCATCGTTGACAGCCCGCTTGTTCTGAGTTTGAACGTTCAGCAAGAAAGGCTTAATCAAAGGAATGTTGTCGGAGCTCTGGAAGATGCGCACAACGCGGTTGACGTCAATGCGTGCAGTAAGGGCTTGGAGCAGGTCGGTGATGAGCAAAGGCTGTTCCTGCAGATAGAAGTTGAGTGCGCGGTAGTAAATCTCCAAATTGGCAACTTTGACAATGATGTCCTTGAAGGAGTGGTGCTCCCAGGCATCGGCCGCACGCTCCATCATCGCCAGAGCAGCGTTGTCCCACTCATCGTAGTGGCAGTACAGGAAGACCAGCTCGGGCCAAAGGTTGGCCTCCTCAGAGGCACGGATCATCTTGGGGATGTTGATGCGAGACCAGAAGAGCTTGAGGTGTTCCATCACACGATCGGGGTGGTACTTGGACAGAGCAATGCCCAGCTCGGTAAACATACCCATGTGAGCACGCTCCAGACCAAGACCGGCCTCGAGGACAGCGATGAGCTCATCGAAGTAACCGTTACGCTCATACTGACGGACAAGGGTCTGCAACTCTTCGGCGTGGACAATGAGGTTTAGACCACAAATTTGGGCAAGGCGAAACTCCTTCTTGTCAACGCAGGCCTCGTTGACCTGCTTCCAGACCTTAACACTGTTGGCCTTGCGGGCACATTCCACAGCAGCCTGGTATTCCTCTAGGTGAACTAAGGTAGTAGCCAGCTTGGCCCAGTTGGAGATACTAGTGAAGAAGATCTTAGCGGCCTGGTGGTAGCCTTCCTCGTAAGCCTTGTCACCGGATGCCTCGACATCCGCAACGTTGGTGGATCGAAGGAAGTCTTCAAGCTCGGCAAGCTGATCCAGACGAGCGAAGCAGAAGGCAAGGCCGGTGTCGATGGCGGGCTCACGTAGAGTCTTACGAGCCATGCGCAGGAACTTAACAAGATCCTCGTCTTTACCAGCATGGGTCGCGGTTTCAATCACTTCAAGGTAGTTGGACGGGTCCTCAGCACGAATGTAGGATTCAATCGAATCAGACACACGAAGGCCATCCAGCTGAGCCTTGGCGACCTTGCTCCAGACTTCCGACAGCTCAACACGTTCCGCAAACTCCTGAGCGCGATCAATGCTAACAATGTTCTCGACGAGGACATTGACAGCGGCAAGCTGGTTGTTGACCTTCTTGAAGATTTCGAAAGCCTCCTCATAAAGACCAACTCCAATGCACATTTCGGCAATTTCATCAGCAGAGAACTCGTTGAGTTGGTGAATATAATCCATCAAACGACCCTTGTCGGCCTTGGCGGCGGTCAACATGAGCAGATTCTGCAAGCTAGCATTGTCGCTGAAGGGAGAGGGCTCGAGGATGATCTTCTCCAGCAGCTCAATCAGCTCACCAGGGAGATCAGCCTCGAGGAAGCACTTGACAGCGACAGATACCTTGTCGGGCTCGGTGGACTCAGGAACGGCGGTGGCAATAACCTGGTCGACAAGTGAGCGGCGGTGCATGTTGTTCTCGCTCAGGACAAAGTTCCAGATCTCAGAGTCCGCACGCTCAACCAGGTAGCGAGCCTGAGCACGGTACATGGAGTTCTCATTGGTGATACTGATGAGCTCCAAGTCATTCTGGCCCTTGCTGTAGGCAATATAGGCGAGGTTGGGGTCACGCTTCTCACAGTACTTGCCGACAGTCAAAGTATCATACATATCGTTCTCCTTGAGGAACTTCTCCGGGTTGTTGTTGCTGTCGATATAGATCTTGGCAAGGGCGTTGTAAACAGCCTGCTGCTGGTTGCCGGTAGCCAAAGTAGCCTCGAGGAAGGGCAAAAGCAACTTGAGGCGGTTGCGGCTCTCAACCTCAGAGACGAGCTCATCAATGGGAATAACAGATGGGTCGACGGTAGACAGGAGGTTCTTAATGATACTCTCCTCGCAGTCAACATCCAGAAGACCACCAACCACAGCGGGAGCACGGGAGGGGTTGACACGCTGTACGTAGACTTCAATGGACTTAAACTGCTGGTTCTGATACAGGTACAGCACCAGATCGTGAATGAAGTTGAAACGATCGCAGACGATAATCAGAGGCAGCTGCTCAGTCAGATGCGCCTCCTTCAGGAAGTTCTTCACTTTCTCTGGGTTATAGTAGTTGCTCTCGCGACAGATACGCTCGACTTCAGTCACTTGGCCCATAGCAGTAGCGGCCTCGATGTACTTGAAATGCACCTCCGAGTCCTCGCTGAGATTGACAATGCTGCCGAGATAGTAGTAAAGACCCTCAGCAGTGCGGTACTTTTCGAAGAGATCGATGAGGCGGTTGGAACCAAGAAGATCAGAGAACTTAGTGGCAATCTGAACAACAGCCTGCAGGTTCTGGCGAATGTTGGCCTCAAGCATGGTGTCCATGCAGTCGAGAGTCTGCTCTACAGACAAGCGGCCGAAGTAGGTCATCAACCACTCAGGGCTTAGCTTGTCAGTCTTGACAATGTTGCGCTTAATCACGGCAGAGTCCTCGGTGTTTTCGAGAGCACGCTGGATGAGACCGGCATTCTCGCACAGCTGGGCAATACGAGGGCGATCGTAGTGGGTGAAGATCTCGTTGCCAAGGATGGCATCCGCCACCTGCGGCGCATTCACCAAATTCATCTCCAGGAGACGAGTCTGGAGAGCACCATGCTCGGGCTTGTTGTCCTTCAGTGCATCAAGGAGGAAGGAAGTGGCTTGCTGGATCATGTTTTGAGACAGGAAGACATCGACAACTCGGTCAAGGTCGACGAGAGCACCAGATTCCTCGTTGGCAAGCTGCGTGGCAAACTCTGCGCCTTTCTCGGGGTTAACACGCACGATGTGCTGCAGGAGCTGGGTATAGTCGGGCTGATAGCCAACTTGCTTAGAGTAAGCAAGAATCTTCTCGAATTGACCGGTTTCAGCAAAACCAGCGACAACCTTGTTGGGAACATTAGCCTGGAGATAGACACCAAGAGCGAGGTTCATGTCGTATGGGCGAATGATATCTCCAAGCTCCTCAGAAGACTCCAACTTATTCTCGCGCATCCACTTCTCCAACAAATGCTTACGGTTCTGCTGCAGTACAGGCCGTACAAGCTCCACACTCTCGTATCGGTTAAGGGACCCCTTGTCCAGCAGCATACCGAAGTACTGCAGAATGACAGACATTTGGCCAGTCTGGGGAGCGTTCTTGAAGCGATTGATGGTCTCTGGGGTGCGGAGGAATCCTCGTGGAGAGTTCGCAGCAACCTTAGCGGCCTCGGCAAAGTTACCTGAGTTGACGAGGGTATCAAACTGCTGCTGGTAAAGGTGGTCGGCTCCCGGGAGTCCGGCCCGAGAAGCTAACTTCACTGCAAGAGACGACATAGCGGGGTTGTTCATCAAATAATCGATGATCGTGTTCTCGTCAACACTGACAGCCAGAACCTGACCCTTGCGGTTGACACCGACCAAGCCAGCACCGTCATTATCTGACGCAGTGGTGAAGATAGTCTCACTGGAAATGCGGTTCATGAAGATACAAGTACCAGTCTCGAGATCGTAGAGGTGAATAAATCCGTATTTGGTGACGAGGTATACCACATCATATTTGGTAGACACCTGCATTGCCACGGGGAAATCATTGACCGCCTCTTGGGGGAAGTATACTTCGACGGCCTTCTTCTGAAATCGGGGGTTCGGTTCTTGGTGATCAATCTCGGCAATCTGGAGCTTGGCACCGGTCTGAGTTCTGACAGCGAAAGTGAAGAGGTGATGGGGCAAGGCAGAGCCTTCGACGTTGATGTCGGCGAAGGCGGCGGCATGGCCCTCAATGAACTGTGAGATGCCGCGCTCCTTGGAATAAAGTTGCATTGATCCCACAACACGGCCCTGTTGTTGACTGATGCCGACCACGACCATCCACTTTTCTTCGGAGTTGACTCGGTAGTTGATGATTTGACATCCCTAGTAACCCGTAAATCAGTATCGTGACTCCTATCAAACCCCACAATAATTGCAAATCCCACGTACCGAAAGATTGGGAAGACGATCGAACATCTTCACCGGGTTCTGCTGGGTAGCATCGTAAACGTCCCAGTGGTAAACGGAGGTGTCGGTAACCAGACCCAGGGACTTCTCGCTGAACCACTTCCAGTAGACGATATCTTCGTTCATCACAGCCGACTTGAGCTTCTGCTTTGCTCCAAGGTCGAAGATCTGGATCGTTCGGCCCTGGGCCTTGAGGGCAATGATGTTCTTGCTCCAGTGCATGATAGCACTGTCCGCATTGATCGGTCGCCGCATGACCTCATTGTTGTTTTTCAAGTCAACAATGATGACTTGTGGCTTATCATCTTCATCGAGTTTCTGGCGAACGCAGACGTAGTGATCCGATTCGAGAGTCTATTGCAATGTGGCCATGGCCTCCGTCAGCCGCGTGCTATCATAATTTGTTTTGACCCGGGTTTCGAGCCACTTACACATGAGGTGAAGCCAATAGATGCTTGCTAGAAAGCGCGCACTATGTCAGTAACTAGCCACCATGAACTGGCAATGTATGCTGAGCGCAACCGAAGAGATCCGCCTTGTAATTGGAGCTCGCCGTGACGTAGCCTCTGAGGGGAAAGCAAGGTGAGACATACCGCAATGCCGACATTGGTCAACTGTGTAGAGATGAAGCTGTCAGTATTTGCAATGCATGCAAGGAAAAAGGAACCGGAGGAAATTCGCGACATACATTGACCAATTCTGTGAACTTGATGGGCAGAGGTGCCATATTTACTTAGGCCGCAGCACGACCTTGTCCGCCCAACGAAACGCCACGCAAGGAAACCAGGAAAATGGAAAGTGGTAAGGAGAGTGTCAGAAATCAAGTGAGATAGGAAAGAGAACGAGGGAGATGGGAGGGAAGGGAGGAGAGGAGGGGAATCTGAAGAAGCGGAAGTGACCTCAGGAGGTCCGCTGTTGTCGTTGCTGAGGTGTCGCTTATGGGGGATCACGTGAGACAGGGGCAGGCCGGGGCGCCTTCAGACTTTGGGCTTTGGGGCTTTTGGGCGGTGGGGCCGTTGTCCACTTTGAAAGGCGGTGCGCGTCATTGAAGAAGAGAAGAACGAAAGAGAAGGCGGTAGGCGGTGGCTGTGACCGACCCCTTCCGCTCTTTGCTTGTGTTTGGGTATGACGATGGTGCGCGTTGCGTCTCAATTTGCCCGTTTATAGATCGGAATGAGTTCACACCTGATTTATACCACAAGAGTAATTGATTGAAATTATAACTTTTGGTCATCCCTTCAACATGGCTTTGACATGATTCCTACGATGGCCCTTCAACAGCGTTAGTCATCTTAGTTCCCGCCTCAGGCACTGCGGTTTGGTTCAATGCAATGACCTGCCAAAGTTGTTCCTCTATGGTGTTGAATTGAGCATGACAAAATTAAAACCAAAGGTTGAACACTTGGACTGGATAGGCGATTCCAGCTGATTATTCCTGAATGCTCCGCGCTCTGCATCTCTACTCAGCTTGACAAAGTTTGTCAGGGCTCTCGGTCTTTCTCCGTCCAGACCATTCCCAGTCTCTTCTTACTGCCTACTAGAGATCACCACAGCCACCTTACTCCAAATGAATTTGAAATCATCCCAAAAATCTTGATTGGAACTATTTCCCTGCTTGTACATGTCCTCCCCGGTTGATGGGGTGCCTGGACTTTCCCACCATTGGTCTCGCAACACCGACATCCCGGTGCCGCATCACCGGACGTCTGCTCTCTCAGGGAACCAAGGCCGAAAGGATCCCGGGGTAGGACACTCCCCACGCTAAGCCGGCTCGCATTGCTTGGGATGCGGGATATCCATCGTATCGCATCCTGGCATTGGAGGGGCACGGATGGCCGAGATGCTTGGCACCATCTTGGCTTGTCAGCGGAGTGGTATGTCCCCGCGTGAATTCTGGCGAAATCGCAAAGGTTGGCGGCACGCTTTCATCGACCACGAGGAATATGCGGGAGAAACGTGCGGGGGTGGATAAGCACGAGGCGAGTATAAGTACTACAATGCCAGCGGGATGTTCGACCGAGAAGGAGATGTGACATATCGAACCTCAGTGGTTATCTGGTCTATCTTATCTCTATTTTTTCTTCGTCTTATTTAGAAACTGGTCTCTGGTCAATTGAGACCATGGCCACCAACGACCATGCAGACCCCATCCCAAAGGGACTGATATCTCAGGGGCGTCAAGCTTTTAAGGACTTGTTCATATGGAAACAACGTGTAGAGATTGTCAACGAGTACGGTGAAACTCGAGCAGAGTGGCAATCTCCAGAACCATTTCGCAATCCAATCAGTCTCATGGCCGAGCTTTCGGCTCGAGATTGGCTTTTTTTCGTTGTCGGCCTTGCGGCTTGGACTGCGGATGCTTTTGACTTCCATGCATTATCTATCCAGACCAAGAAGCTGTCGGACTATTACGGCAGATCCAAGACGGACATTTCCACTGCCATCACTCTGACTTTGCTCCTTCGTAGCGTGGGTGCTGCCTTCTTTGGGCTGGCAGGAGATAAATATGGTCGCAAGTGGCCCATGGTGCTAAACATGATAATCCTTGGTATCTTGCAAGTCGCAACCATTTACAGCCATACATTTCAACAATTCTTGGCCGTGCGCAGTCTTTTTGGTCTATTCATGGGAGGTGTCTACGGAAATGCGATTGCGATGGCTCTGGAACATTGCCCGTAAGCTTATATTTACACTTGCTTTGAGAACAAGGCTGATATTCTGGTGTCTAGTGTCAACGCCAGAGGACTCATGTCAGGAATACTTCAACAAGGGTATTCGCTGGGATATGTGCTTGCAGCTTGTGCTAACCTTGGAGTCGGTGGTGGCACGGATAGCTGGAAGACAGTATTCTGGGCTGCAGGTAAGTCATGCTCTGCCCTAGAAGTTGTCGGCCATGCTAATAATCATTCTTGAATAGCCGGTTTATCCATCGGTGTTGGGATTATTCGTATCTTCTTCCCCGAATCAAAACAGTTTCTGGAGGCTAAGAAATTAGGGAAAAGAAACATGAGTGCGAGTGAGTTTTGGAAAGAAACTCAAGTCATGCTAGGAAAGGAGTGGCGCATGTGTATTTATTGTGTTGTTCTCATGACGTGGGTAAGCAGTATTTGTTTCCAAAGTTCGGACTTCGCCCTTCAGGATCTCATCTATGCTTCTAGTTCAATTATTATTCGCATACGTCTCAAGACTCCTATACCACATTTATGCTTACACAGAAAGAGCTCGACAATGCAGGTGCCTCAAGAGCATCTATCATCATGAAAACAGGGGCATGTGTTGGCGGAACAATCATTGGATATCTTTCGCAATTTTTTGGCCGTCGACGCGCAATCATAGTCTCTGCTTTGATCTCTGGAATTCTTATTCCAGCATGGATCCTTCCAACGGGTGAGCCATCGCTGAGTGCAACTGGTTTCTTCATGCAATTTTTCGTCCAGGGAGCGTGGGGTGTGATTCCGATTCACCTAAATGAGCTGTCGCCCCCTGCATTCCGTTCCTCATTCCCAGGAATTACCTACCAAGTCGGAAATATGATCAGTTCCCCATCAGCACAGATTGTTAATGCAATTGCCGAATCCACTTTGGTGACTGCGCCATCAGGTGCCCGCGCATCTGCTTATGGGCCTGTGATGGGTATTGCGACGGCAATCATTGCCACTGGAATAGTGGTCACCACCGCATTTGGGCCAGAAAAGCGCGGTCGGCGCTTTGAGAATGTTGTGGCAGCAGTGCAGGAAACATCGCCTGTCAAACCCGCGGACCTTGAAGCGGGACATGACGATACTAAAGTGAAGGACGAGATGACTGAGCTAGCGGACCAAAAGAAATAAATATGGCGTTTTAAGATACTTGATCTATTTGCGCACATACACGCTGAGCATATCTGTTCCTTTCGCTACTTCGTACGACCGCGCAGGTTTGACATATAGCGCTCTGTGAAATTCACCTTTCTCTTCCTCCGAGAAATTCTTTTCTTTGCCGTCATCTCCAACTTCTCCTGTGATAATGCCACTTCGGCCCCGTGACAATAAGTCCCAGTGAGCCCCTTTTACACCCCAAGGTGGCCCTGGAAGTTTCGGGTCTTTGTATAATGGAAATTCAAGACAGACTAGAAGGCCTCCCGGCTTGAGGATTCGTGACATGCTGGCTGCCCATTTCAGTCGTTGCTCAGGATGCAGTGCACAAAGAAACTAAAAAACTAGTTTAGAGAATCCCAAATAATTTGCATGATGAAACTGGATACTCACAGTGTAATCATACACCACATCAAATTTAGTCGTCTCATCGACTCCTCCTTTGAAATCCCAATTAGAAGAGAAGAAGTCTCCTCTAAAGAATGCAACCGAACCAGGTGAATGACTTTCAGGTTGCCAACTTGAGAAATTGTATGGAGAGGGGGCTTTCAGCTCGATATCAGCGTAGGCTTCTGCTTCTTTGACAGCCGTGTCCGATATCTCCAAGCCATAAGCGTCAAATCCATGCAAAGCAAACATCACTACATCATAGCCGCGGCCACATCCCTGGGGTACCAATGATTAGTTGAAAGTATTTCTCAAGGGTATTTAGTTGAATGATTCACTGGAATAAGCGCTTTTTTTCTCCGACCATCTTCAGTAATAGGGTGGAACAGCTCCTGCTCTTGGCCAAGAATATCGGCTAATGCAGGAGATGCTTCACCTCGGTCCCATAGATCGCTTTCCCCTGAATCCCACAGAGTTGACCATCCTGATCCATGCTCATTCACTGGCCTGAATGAAAAGTGATATTCACAATCATTTGGTGTCCATATGGGGAGGATAACGTCGTGAAGGAACAAACTGACCGGTTGATAAATGTATTCAGGAGCCGGCCACCTCCGCCGGAGTGTGAGGTACTTGACTGAGCCATGAACGTAACCTCGTCTGTCGAGGTTTGCCAGAGGCTACAATGGTTATAACTTGAAAATACGTTTTCGACGACTCGGTTTTAAAAGTCCAAGCCAATAGGAAGATTACTTATCACGTGACATTATCGTATGCTATGAAGCATGATCGAGAATAAAGTTGACGGCGAAAAGATATTAATGCAAGAAAATTAGGAGATTAACTGAAGTCTTTTTTTGTGAAAGAACATATAGAGCTTTTCATCGGCCAAATCTACCACTAATGTTCCTAAATTGGCTATCACTAAGGCGTCGGGTCACCACTATGGTCACCCGCAGAACAAACCTCCTTTTGAGACTAAAGATATTCATGCTCTAGGGCCCGAAAGGCACTGTGTACAGCGCCATTTAGATATCTGTTGAGGCAGAAAAAGTTTCCCATGCGCCTAGCTCACAAAGCATATCCTCGCATGTTTTGTGAATGGTCCCAATAGCATCGGACCCTAGGGCCAGCGAGGTCGGCCATACCTTTCCAGCTGCGTCATTCTCGCCTTTGACAATATCAATGATACGGTGGGAACCCTTGGTAGGATCACCAGGTTGATTGTGATGGAGGCTTGCAAATTGACTTTTCACTGTCTCACACAAAACTCGATAGTCCTCGATTTTAGTGGGCACATTCTTGCGGTTCTGTGGATTTAAGAGCTCCGTACGAAATGAGCCGGGCTCTATAAGTAGTGTCTTTATTACTGTCGAGGCAAGCTCCTTAGATAGAGATTCGACAGCATCTATAGTACATTAGCTGGATGACCACAATTGAAGGAAATTTGGTGAATAAAAATGAGTAAGAAGGAATCTTCACATACAATGGAGTGCGGCCTTCGATGCACAATAAGCACCAAGGGCTGGAAGGCCATCCCAAGCGACCATTGAGCCGACAAAAATAATTTGACCTGACTTGTTTCCTCGCATATGAGGAAGGAAGGATCGGGTTGTGTTCAAAGTACCGAAGACATTTGTGTTGAACTGTGTGAACCACTCATCGTGGCTAATGGTTCGATATCTCAAATTAGGTCTAGAGAATGGTCGGCATCCCTGAGTATTGCTTACTTGGTCTCCTCAACTGTTCCAAATTGGGTATAACCAGCGTTGTTGATAAGAACATCAACTCTCCCGTAGAGTGAGATCGCCTCTTTGGCTTTCTGGTCAAGTTCGATTTGGGAAGCAGTAACATCAAGTTGCATGGTCAAAGCACCGATTTCTTTGAAGTGGGCGATCCAATCGATATTGCGGGCGGTTGCGATCACCTTGTCACCTCGAGCAATCACTTCCTTGACAAGCTCAGAGCCGAGGCCCGAAGAAGTGCCAGTAATGAGCCAAACCTGAGACATAATTTGAAGCTGACAGCCACAGTAGGATAAGTTGTCAGGCCAAGAGTTCTGTTCTTGCTTTCGATCCTAATTTCTGTGTGTAAAGGTGGCATAACCTTCATTATTTATATACTGGAAGTTTCCCACACAGTCTCTCACTGTAAGGAGTGTGCGCCCGAACAGCTTCGGGATCTCCGTCGATCATCGGGCGCGATACATCTAATCGACTACAAGGCGACCACATTCATCACAAAAAATGGAATTATCAATAATCAAATTGATAGCAATAAAAGTGTTATTTCTGGTATCCAAAAAGATCTTGATCATCCGCTTTCGGCCTTATCAGCTTACGCGGAGAAGGCATGCCGAATTTGACTTCACGTTGGGGGAGATTTCCACGATTTTTATCTGAAATATCGGTATGCATTTGGACGATCTGGATCTCACATGAATTTTCGAGAACCAAGTCAATTTTTTTTGCCCGCTGCTTTTAATTCAGAATTGGCTTTTTCATAGTGGCATGGACATCTTGTAACTTTCGCCGGTCGGTTGTATGTACGTAGCGAAGCACTAGAATCACCTAAACAGCGAAAATAAGGGATCAAAAATAAGGGACCAAAAAAAACTTCTCACATGCTTCAATATCTAGGAACTTATCATTTTAAGAGGTACTGGGGCTTTTAGGTTGTATGGGGTGCGTCAGGGCAACCGCTCCTCTTGGAGCCAATATTCGACGTCATGACTGCCGAAATTCGATGGCCGCAGGTAGTGAAGAACATCACGCCCACAACCCCGAAGAGCATCAAATAGGACGGAAAAAAGTAAAATTAAATACTGTAAGAATAATTTGATTTATCTGATTCAAAAATTTGAACTAGAATGATCTGCCATAGACTTGAATTAGTGTCGCGCATGTTTCAAAGTAACGCGGTTTGTCTGTGATAAGACTCAGGATCCATGATGCATTCTTGTGGAGAGGTAACGGTAAATCTAATTTTTTGAACTATCAGCGAATCACGCGTCTGAAAATTTTGACAGAATGACCGTGGCATGGCCTTTAAATCCCTCGACCCCCGAAAGACTTTCATCCATCAGGTTGATGACTTACAGGCGCACCATCGTGGAGAACTATGAAGCGAAAAGTCTTCTATCAACTTTTGGGTCTGATCGCCAGTGTAAACACAGTGCCAGGTGTTGTGGATGCATTGAATGATACTCCTACACCAGTGAGACTCAATGTCTCGAGCAATGGAGGAAATAAATCCAGCCCATTGCTTTATGGAATAATGTTCGAGGTAAGAGCCACCCACCCAAGCCGCAAAAGACTTTTCTTGAACTTACTCAAATTTTCCAAAGGAAATGGATCATTCAGGTAAGTGATAAATTCTGACATAGCAGAAAAGCCTGAAAAGAGGACTGAAAATTACACTCCAAGGCGACGGGGGTATCCATGGGCAGTTGCTCCAGAACAATGGATTTCAGGGAACAAGTCTTGGATTAACAGCATATGCCCCCGTAGGCGATGTCGAGATTTCCCAAGATTCGACTGAACCTGTCAGTGATGCTATACAGTCTTCGCTCAAAATCAATGTATCAGCAAACCCGACGGGCTACGTCGGATTTGCAAATACTGGATATAACGGAGTTCCTGTCATGAATGTTACCTACAACACATCCTTCTGGATGAAAGGAAACTATTTAGGAATTATCAACATCCAGTTGGTTGGCTCACATAGCGGTACTGTGTACAGTGATCACAACCTGACCGTGGAAAGTACAGCATCCAAATTCACTCAGTTCAAAACAACATTCAACTCCACTACATCGCCTGATGGGGAAAATGAGTGGCATCTGACTTTTGATGGCTCTCAAGTTGCCGGGGGGTCGTTGAATTTTGGCTACATTGAGCTATTCCCTCCCACTTATCGTGGTCGAGAGAATGGACTACGCGAGGATGTTGCAGGCCTACTCGAGAGTGCCAACTTTTCGTTCCTTCGTTTTCCTGGTGGTAACAATATTGAAGGACTCGAAATCGACAGTCGTTGGAAATGGAATACAACGATTGGTTCCCTGACCAGTCGCCCTGGTAGAGAAAGTGACTGGTTTTACCCCAATACCGATGCCCTCGGCTTGGATGAATATCTTTGGTGGTGTCAGGATATGAAAATGACACCCCTTCTAGCTGTTTGGGCGGGAAAATCATATGGCGGTATTGTCTCAGGCCCTGATTTAGTACCTTACGTGGATGACATCATGGACGAGTTGGAGTATCTTCTTGGAGATTCGAAAACTCATTTTGGAAAGTTGCGTGAACAAAATGGTCGCAAGCAACCCTGGAAAATCGACTACGTCGAGATCGGAAACGAAGACGACCTTACTGGTGGTTGTGAAACCTACCCTGATCGCTTCAATCAGATCTACAAAGCTATTCATGACAAATACCCGGATATAACACTGGTTGCATCGAATGGAGACCTCAATTGCTTACCGTCGCCCCTCCCTGAAGGTGTCATTATTGATCTGCACTTGTACCGACAACCCGATGACTTCGTTGCCTTGTTCAACCAATTTGACAACCAACCTCGAAACCAATCGGTCATGATCGGGGAATACGGATGTCGAAATACATCGGATGCAAAAGGTACTTACTGGTCATACATAAAAGGCAGCTGCAGCGAAGCAGTTTACATGATGGGCATGGAGCGGAATAGCGACATTGTTCAAATGGCAGCATATGCTCCAATGTTGGAACATTTTGGATTCATTTCCTGGTCGGTAAGGATCCCGGATTTGAATTAATTATCATGAATCAAGAAATCTAGGAGAGCTAATGCTACGGACTTCACCAGCCAACTCTTTATGGATTTGACTCAAGTCCTGGTTCAATAACGCCTTCGACATCATATTTTATACAAAAGATGTTCGCATCCAATAAAGGTGATACAGTTCTTCCTGTGAATTCATCGACAGACTTTGGTCCACTTTATTGGGTGGCCTCAAAAACAGGTTCGACTTATTATTTGAAGCTAGCAAATTACGGACAAGATGAGCAGAGTGTTATCGTCAGCGTTCCCGGCACCAAGGAGGGCAAAGTGGAGATGCTTGCTGGTCCTCAACATGAAGGAAACCAGCCATTCAATATAACAATCACACCCACCACAACGAAGATGCATAGCAGAAACGGAACATACACGCTTAAAATGGAACCGTGGGCTGTCGCGGTCCTTGTAGCGACATGAGCTTTGTGTGGCAATAGTGTATCTAATTCAACTTACCTTTAAGCTATTAGTTCTTGTTATAGATGACGATATGGAGTTCATGAGCGAAATATGTTATCAAATGCCAATTAGATCTGAAGTCGACACGACCTGGACAACACAGCCAATAGCACTATTAGAACATGACTTTGTATCTCTTCCTGTATGGTTGATTTGTCTTGAAAGAAGGTTTATTCAAGACACCTCTCTCCCTCTCATAGAGTGTTTCTCGCATCCGCTGTTGCATGTAGAGAAGCCAGAACTGATTCCTTTTGTCATGTAATAAGAATATTTTGATCTAAATTTAGTCCACTACCTTGATATCAATGCCCTCATTCTCACACATTCAACAGATAATAAAACATGGTGAAAAGTGAATTTTAAAAGAGGTATAAGTGTCTGTACTCTTAAGCCCTCAGCCTCGTACCTTTGACTCTCTCGTACGTGTTCTAGTTAATCGAACACATCAACGAAATCATGAAAAAGCTGACGCCAGAAAGACCACCCATAATTACATACGTATTATGTATACGGGACTTTGTAGGTTTACAAGATTTGATCTCAGAAAATACGTAAATGAGGATACCAAATAAATAAATAGTATTGATTAGGTAGCTTCGCTGAAGATCATTAACGCCATTGAACCCAGGCCGAAGGAAAATTTCTGAATCCTCAACATTTCAAGATAAACACAAAACAAGTTTAGTACCCGACACCTTCCCTTGACGAAGCATATCGAGCCCTGTGCTCAGGTTTTCTAATCCGCCATCGATTTTCTTGATGGGTGGAGCCTTTAGCTTGCTAGAAAGCTGGGGCAATGAAGCATAAAATCGACGCAGAGCAGCATTGTCGGATGGTATCTTCGGAAATTTGGGTCCAAAAGGAGGCAACCACTGGAATTCTGCATTGAAGACTGAATACCCAAGCAAGAATTCCACTCTTACTCCATCAAGATCTGCTTTGGCGTTGTCCAGAAGTGTCACCACCCACCCCCTGTTCTTGCGAACCACCTCAGCGCAAAATTCCGTTGAGCTGCCTTCTGAATAGCAGTCCAACGCTCTGTCGATATTTGGATATGCTCGAATGATATCTTCCACGGCGCTAGATGACCGATAGTCGAAGACATCATCAGCACCATACTCTTTGACTAGATCATGCGATCGCGGTGAAGCGGTTGTCACTACTTTCAGGCCTGCGAGTTTTGCAAGTTGAATGGAGTAGAGGCCGGCACATGTGGAGCCAGAGTATATCAGAATCGGAGTCTTTGATCTGCCTTCATCCAGACTTTCGTGTCCGTCAACCCAAGGAACTCCCAGCCTGCAGTTCAAAGCGAGCATTGCCGTGACAGCCGAAACTCCAAATGTAGTTGCCTCCTCGTTCGTTACGGAGGATGGGATACTCCAGGCCAGATCGCCAGGAATCTTGAGGTACTCCGCAAATGAGCCACGATCGACGTATAGACCACCATGGATGAAACCAGCCACTCGGTCACCAACTGTCCAGTTTCCAGGTGCTTTGGATCCAATTTTAACAACAGTTCCCGAATAGTCGCACCCAATAATAGCGCCTTTGGGGGAGAGAATGTCGATATGTTTGAAGTCAGTTGGATTGAGGGCAACGCATTGGATTCGAACAAGGATTTCGGTTTCTGATAGCTCAGGAACTTGAACAAATTTGATTTGTACTCCGTCTCCAGATGGATTTCCACAGACATAGTTTGCAAGACGAGCAATAGTTGATCGATTGCCGACAAGAGCTTTCATGGTCTCAGGGACATTGACAGACATGATGGAAGGTTTGGAGCCTAGAAAATGAAAAGTAGAAGGACTAATTGTCTAGAAAATATTGTCACCCACTGAAATAGCATGTGAATATTGGTGTCAGGCCTTAAATAGTTTGTTTTCTTTAAGCTGTCCTTCCCGATTATCACGTTGATCCCGACCTCGGCTCAGATAAGACTCGGGATGGTGTGATATCCGTTTTCCCACGCCGACGGATCGTCAATTTGCCCGATCTTCCACACGAGTCAGCGATGCTGCCTAGATGATCGGGTTCAGTGGCCCCGATCATCCTTGGCAAAAGATCTAATTGAAGTTCAAAATTGATTCCGAGAAAAAGCTCAGAAGGGCCCACCGACCTCGAAGGGCCCTCGTGGTGACTCTTCTTGGCATCGGCATTGCGATCGGTTCGGGCTAAATAAGGTTTGCCATTACGTCGTCCATTTAACTTGAAGATTGAATGACAACGAATTAGTTGGAATGAAAATTCCGTCTCAAGCTTCACGGTTCCGTTCTCAGTATAACTACCTTGGATCGTACCTCAAGAACCCTTGGGCAGTTCACTGTGCTGCATAAATCAAGCCACGGTCATGGCTTACCGAACGGTCGGAGCCTTCATGCAAATATAGGCGTTGACATCCCCGGGGGCATTAATTTTACTCGGAAGCCTCTGTCAGTTTCATTCCAGTCTTCACTTGCCATGAAAATGAGGTGAAATGCCCTCTCCAGTCATTTTCTTCCAGTATGAGGCGCCTTGAACTATCCATATCGTGCCTGTGGTTATGCGTCTGCATCTTTCTTGTGCCTAAGATTGTCGAAGCTCAGTCGGACAATGTTGCACCATTGTGCGTTGTGAGTTTGTTCAGATTCAACTCCGGCTTGTCTTTGATCTCATTTTGATGGCTTCAGGCAAAATGCACTTCCGAGAGCCTTGCACGTGGAGACTGTGCTTCCTCTGACCTCAGGTGCCGATGCTCTAACAAAGTAGTTAATGACGACATATCGTCCTGTGTTGTTACCAACTGCAATATTCAAGAGGCTCTTGGTCCGTTACGACTCATCCACTCTTACTCCAGATTACTCAGAACTAAGACTATACAGACGCAACCCGCATATGGGCGAGGGTATGCGACCGGCCTCATGATAACCATCACGAAGCTATTAAAGCTGCAATAATTGGAAGTGGGGTCGCAGGTTTTGGTCTTGTCGCATGTCGCATTGTTGCAAGAGCCTGTACGGTCCATCGATTTTGGTGGGATGACTGGAGCCATGTTGTTGCTGGAGTATGTTGCTCTAGGCTCAAAACAACTTGAAGTTGCCTCAGATACATAAGCTGACTCCAGATCAGGTGCTTCTCATACCTCTCACCACTTTCATCTGTCTTTGTGAGGGAACTTATTCCAAGAATTGGAGTAATTCGGCTAACGCGATTGAGTTCAAGGTGCGAGCGATGGTATGGGCTATCACCTATACGACATAACGTTTTCTTCCATCTCTCAAGCACAGCACATGGAATTATGGTGTGAGCCTTCCTTTATGAAGCTACATTGTGAACTTTCACTTACATTGATTTCAATTCAGATTACTTATCCCAAATATTTTGGCTTCTGGAAATTGGCTTTATCAAAATATCCATTCTTTTCTTGTACCTTCGAATATTTCCCGACATACAGAACTTCCGAGTATGTGTGATTGGTACAATGACTTTTGTGGTACTTTCTATGGCCATTTTAGTCCCCATGGCTATATTTCAGTGTATCCCAGTATACGCTGTCTGGGCTTTCAATCGAAGCAACGCACAGTGTCTAAGCATTTCGGGGATTGCATATGCTAGCGCCGGGACTAATATTGCGACGGAAATTGCCATTTTCATCTTGCCTTTACCTCTTCTTCGAACTTTGCGTGCGTCAAAGTCACAGAAGGCCGTTTTATACGTACTTTTTGGATGTGGAATCTTGTGAGAATCCTTGCTTTTCGCCCGTTGGCAAAAATACTAATAAATCCAAAGGGTCATTGGCATTGCATCTGCTCGGATCCCAAGCTTGAAATATGTTGAAGCAGTGAATGATCCAACGTATCTTAATGCGGGCGTTATCTATTGGACAAGCGCGGAAACTGCCGTGGCGCACTTTTGTGCTGCTGCACCTGCTATACGCCCACTATATGTCAAAATACGCGATATTTTCCGTTGGAAACGGAGGGCATCAGCCAATTCAAACCAGCCTATTTTGGGCCACTGCACCATTGCAAAACCATGCGACTCCGCAACGTCCAGATCGAACTTCCAACAAACGATTGACTTTGCAAGCTTTGAGGCTCATGATGGACCAGATGTGAATTCTATGGCTATGATTAACCAATGTTCTGTCAAGGAGAAATCGCAAGCTGAACTTCCTCAGGAAACAGTTTGAATCAAAGCCTTATAGAAATTCTGAGTTTTTTTCGGGAAAATACTGTATCCCGTATTGGTGAAAGTTATAGCATTTGAAAGGCTTTCTTGCAGCCAAGTCGCTTCTGGACTTGATAGTCAATTTTTGGTAAAAATCTAGTATGATGTGTATTTCTATGGTGATACCTTATATCGATCCTTTGAAAGCGCGAATAGAGTTTCTGCGCTGCTCTTTATTTGTTGGGGTCAACGAAATGTGGACACCATTACTCGCAAAGGCCACCAAATTTGTCCCGCGGGTGGATTTTTGTCCGATTTCCCAGGAAGAGAACTTGCGAGAAAATGTGATGCTGATAGTTGGCACGTTGATTTCGGCAGTCACCGTTCTGGATCACGATCGCATTGTCGCGGAACTTGAAATGTAAGACACAACCGCACCTTTACTAACCGTTGTTTTCTGTCGTTTTGCGATAGTTGCGATAGTGCTGGGCTTACAGCGATGGATATTGGCTTTAATAGGTCGAAAGGATGAATTGTGTAGAATCTAATAAGGACTTTGTATTGTCAACCATTTGCTTTTGTCCGCGCATCGGTGAATTAATAGCTTCGTAAATAACCTGTCATCCTCCAAAGGACGAAAGCTATGCATTTAAAAGGTGGCTTATCTTTGCCTTCGCTGTTTGGCTTGAGTTGGCTTCTGGAAATCCTTCGGCCGATGCGCACAGTTAAGCTCAAAGGCTCAAAGTTGAGGGATTATGAAGCAGAGGATACTGGAAGGCGTAATATGGCTGCAGGACACCCTGTCCTACACGTCCAACCCAAATTTTTCACGATGAAAAATCAATGCGACATGATGATTGCCAGCTACTGTATCTCGGTATCTAGCCTCCAATATGAGTTTTTAACTATTCGATATCCGATTTTTGACGCTTGCCAAAGTTTAGGTGGTGCTTGGAACCATTCAAGGTACCCTGGTATTCGGTCTCACCCGGCTCTTTCTACGCTTGGCTTTTCTTGACATCCCTGGCGTTAAGATAATCCAACCTTGAGCCGACCATATTTACGATGCGATTTCAAGAAGCATAAATCCTTCAAATATCATTTGCTAGGTCTTGAATGATCGTCCACAGTAGTCTGGTTGCTAAATGTACAAGCTGGCGAGAACAGCAACTTTTTATCAGCCCGACTTCTCATTCTCCGTTCCGAATTCTATGATCAGCAGTTCCAAGCAGAAATTCTTGAGCAAGATCGGTTTGCAGAGCATATTGTTCATCCGGTATTTTGGTCTGGAGATCTTGGATCTAGCAACCAGAAGGTATGTATTATTGAAAGCGGTGCTACAGCTGTCACACTCTTCTCGAAATTTGCCGAAAAATCAATGTCACCATCCTACAATGTAGTCCAACTTATGTCGTTTCCATCGAACTGTATCAAATCTTTGTTTAGTTATCGCCTTCCGAATCTAATATATCTAAGATTTCAGCGCATCCGATTTTCGCACTCCTCTGTATGAGTCGCCTTTTATATCTTTCTCGTCTCTCATGCCTTTCAGAATTTCAATTCGCTTGGCAGTCACTCGTCAGCTGCCGAGGCACATTGACCCTCATGTCTGCCCTCGATACACTCAAATACATCAACAACTCTGCATTTGTCCCAGGTAGACAGCTTCAAGAGTTTGCATAGTGGTCATGAAGACGTGGAAACTGATACAATTCAAGGCGCCATGATATTTAGAATAAAATTGATATGACACTTTCACTCAGCTGTCCAGATGCGAAGATGGGGACATATGCGTAGGTCAGCGTATGCCTATTCATATTTTCAGAAATTTCTTATCCTGGAATGGTGGCACATGGACTGCTATCGCTGCTTTTTTACGTCAGGAGATCAATATATCCTGGATTCTCGGTGTAAATGGAACGTTGCTATTCATCTATCGCCTACTTACGGAAATGAGATACCATAGATCTCCAGTCACCATCTCGCGCCTGAGCTCAGGGCTCACTAGCCGAATACAGATGTGTCGTCTCTCTGTTTTATTCCGACATACTTGATGAAGCCCGAGGCAAAATTCCTCAGTCAGCTGCCCATGGACCTTTGAAGTCATGAGTAACCCTTTCGACGATATCAAGTTCGCACCAACTTGGGTTTTAAAGGAAATGGGACCATTAAAATAGATTCACTCTTGACGTATATTTCTCGCCTGGTTCATAATATGCCGACATTTATTTTGATATCAACACTGACTCAATTCAAATAATGAACGAGGCACAAGAATATACTAGCAAAATACATCTAAGACGCCATATGTCCGAAAATTTTTCAATCTCAACACTAGGCAATATTTTCTCTTTCGCTTGAATTTGACTCTAATTTTCGAAACAACTTCTTCTCATGACGACTCATCACAATTTCAGGTGTTTAGCCACGAGTGGAATTCTCCTCCTAGGTTTGGAGCATGGTAGCGATCTCGTATAATCCCGGAAATATAAGATTTTATACCAATCAATTGAAAATCCGTGTACAAGTAGGCCAAATCGGCCCAGAATAGACATGGGTTTTATTTGATAATAAGCTATGTCAGAAAGCTATATCGTGGGTGCACAACACGGCTGAAGGTAGGTATTTGGGTACGGAATCGATCGCCGGTTATTGAAATCGCCGTGTTTGCGCGCAACAAGAGCTGACAACGATCAGACTTGAGACAGACGTGACCATAAAAAAATTGAAGTGTGATGATAGTCCTCTTGAATGTTCATCGATTGCGTGATCAAGGTGGTACCGGCTAGATCAGCTTGTCAGCTAAGCTATGTGAAATGACGGAAGTTAAACCGCATTTGACTTTTACTGATCGTTAGTTGTGTCGGAAATTGAAGCTTTAATCACCTCAAAAACAACATTGCTTAACTATTATAAAGAGCTATCTATAGTCTATATTCCTATTTTTAGTTAAAGTAACCACGTACCACCCCATAACCCTAGATGTTACTCTGCACAGTAATCCCTTTGCAGATTATGCAAAAGCTACAGACCAGTTCAGATCCAATAGTATTCAGGGACGATATAGCTCTGAAGCTCTTCTGTTTATTTTAATCCAGACTGGCTTTGTTACACAGTCTGGAAAATTATCATGGTCTGAGCCCGAACTTACCCCACAATAATTGTTGTATTCTGGACGATGGTCATACCAGTGCAATGCACTGAAAGCAAGGTCCCCCTGTAGAAGGTAACAGTATCTTCGGCAATGTGCCACTTTTGTTTTTCAGAAAATGCAATAGCATATCTAGTGGCGAACTGCATCAGATATAAGGGACAGCGGCAGATCTCGATAGTGGTAGTACCTACATAATTGAGATCTGTTTAAATAATTTCTTCATGCGATTACATCTTAAGTCCTCACAGAGATGCTGATTCATCTGGCGATGCCATAGGGTTACAGCAATAGTAACAAAATGTAAATGTAACCGCTTGCTGTTATACCTGAATACTAACCACGAAGCGGCAGCCATTGTCTCAGCGTCATTCTGTAACGGTTATACAAAAAATTCTGAGTTTGTTTTCAATTATCGGGCCATTGCATGGTCCCTTTGAGTTAATTTCCTGGATACCCGAAGGGCTCCATAAAATATAAATACTTGCATCCCACGTTTTAGGGGAAACATTTATTGCTCAATCCTCGGCATCAACAGTTCTTGAATTTAAGTCACTCGTTCACCTCAGCCTTTATCCTCTCCAGCCCAACTCAATCCCCTTTTCATGATTATAGTGGTCATGGCCTCCTCATGCGCTCGAGTTTTGCTTATCACCTTGGGTCTCACTTCGTTAACTCTTTCGGCGCCTACCAAAAATGAGGTTGTCCAAGGAAGGACCGCAATTCAGGAAGATAAGGCACAAATTTCTCCTGCTTGTGAGTCAATTTTCACTCTATTATTGTGAGATTCCTAACGAGGGGTATAAATCAGGCGACCTTTACTATACCATTCAAAGTGGAGACACCTGTTGGGATATCATAACTCGAAATGAAAATACCTTCACAATGAAGCAACTTCTCTGCTGGAATCCGGACATCAACCCCTGGTGCTCAAACCTGATTCCAGGCCGCGACGTTTGCGTGGGCGTATCTCACGGTGGACTTCTATGCTAGTCAATGGGGCTAGACATCGCAGCAGCCTTCCGATTGAATCACTGGGCTTTTAGCAATGACTGTTTGTGTGTTGGTCAAATATTGAGACTATTTTGCCAAAATCTTAATAACTCCAGTGGCTAATTTCAATGAGTGATTTTGGACCTATCATTAAGTAACAGTACTAGTTATCCCGCAGATTGGCTTTAAATTCATATTTGCATTTAATCCTTGTCTTTCTTCCAACATTTCTCTAAGAACTCCCTGATCTTGATGGGTTGCACCTCGGAAAAGTAATCACTCAGGCGATTGTCTTTCGGTAGTCGAAACGCACCAGCGACAGTAAGCCGACTCACCAAAGCCGTAACCTCCTTCAACTCATCAGGAGAGCCCACATCATCGGGCATAGGTGGCACGGTAGAATTTCCAACATTGATTTGATCGACACTGTCATAAGTTACCCGGAATTTGTATCCTATTTCGCATTTTTATCAGCAAAGCGATGCGTCCAAATGAAGAGATTCTGGTGGTTACCGACCGGTTATGCTCTCCGCCATGGAAAGGAGCTCGTTGTATGTAACTTCATCGCCCACGAACACGCTGAACTCCGGCCATTCATTGAGGTTGAGCATTTTAACCATGTAGGTCGCTAGGTCATATGTATATGTCATGCAAATAACATCATTTCCATCCCCAGGAATAGCAGCTACACCGCTTGCTATGTTGATGCCAAAGGTGTAAGGATGGAGGTTGGTCTGAATATGTGGCATTCCCCAGTAGTCCATGAAAAAGCCCGGGATTACCCTAGTGTATTGCAGTGAAGACCTTTTTAGTCGGTCGGCCGCATCCAGCCAGTACTGAATACTAGGATCAATATGGAGTAATCTGCGAAAATATTGGTATTAGTAGCTATTGTAAGGCAAGCTCCACAGAGACCTACTCAGGTGTCTGGATAAACGAATACTCGCTCGGAATAAATCGCTGTGTCATACTTGACATCTCAGCAGCCTCGATTAAGTTCAGTTGAGCGAGACTAGTCTCATCGGAAATAATACTAATTGCAGATATGACAGTGTGGACATTGTGGTGTTCCAATGTGCGTGTCATAGACAGCAGATCATTGTAGTCGATAAGCACTCTTTCCACTCCATTTCTTTCTTCCTGCTTCTAGAAGGACATTAGCATCATCTACATCAGAGCCGGATACTTATGACAGCCACGAACATTCCGTGATAGCACAAGAACTTCGAATCCAGGTTCCTGGGCCAGTCTCTCTACAAGAGTCTTTCCCACGCCGCCTGTACCACCAGCGACAGCGATGACGACCATCTTCGGCAGTGATTTAAGCTGTGAATGTGTACCACTTTATCCCCCAAGTCGGTCAAAACACCGTTGCATTGCAGTGCAAAGGCCGGGGGGCAAGTTTCGTTATCCACCCTACACTGGACCCCACCAATGCAAACTCGCTTGAGATTCTTCTCGGAAGGCCACCAATCACATCAATCACGCTCACCTAAATACTAACACTGATTTCTACAGGAATTTTCGTTGAGACATGTCTGAAGGGATTTAATTATTTCTTGTACATTTAGTTGCACCTGGTCTAGTTTTTAATACTGAAAGAATTGAATGCCGATATCAGCTCGGGCTTTCGGGCTTCATTGTCGGCGTCTTCCAGTCTTCCGGCTATGACTAAGGCCCCGCCAAGGACGTGTATAAAGAGACACTTCCCGCTTGCCATCCACTATTCTTGCCAAATCACAAAAATCCTGACGCTCACTATATCTACGTTCCGAGGTTTTGCCATTTCATAAAAGCTAAACAAGAAAATCCTTATTTCACGATACTGCCCATCATGTGCATGAAAGCCAAGTGCTCTAGTTGCAGTAAGTCCAAAATAGCTACATGCGTCAGGAACAAAATGAAGCTGATCATCTGCAGGCAAGGTCACCTGGTGGGGCTGTGGTGCCCACATCCCTTCTGTCATGGACTCTGTCCCAGAAGATGAGCGCTGTGCTTGTGATCCCAAGGTGGAGAAGGACGGGAAGATGTATCCTCCCAAGGCTGCGCAAGCCAATTGACTACAAGGTTGTGTGATTTGCTAGGCTGTCGTACAAAGCCAATCTCTGTCTCAAGTGCAATGCAGGTGAAAGACTTTTTCAAGAGAGCGCATGGATTTTTGAATATGAATATCTGTTTTAGCAAAGAACCTAGATGACCTGCCTTCTTAAACTGCACAAAGGTTCTTATTGTGTATATGCCGAATATGCCGTATATCTTGTACATCAAGGGTAAACTTAGGCCACGTAGATATATATAACCATTTGAAATATTCAAATATTTGAGCAAGAACATAGCTAGTTAGCCACAAATATTCTCTTGCCATTCAGACATGTTCTATCTTCACAATATTGTCCTCCTTCGCATCACTCATTTGCTCGGACTTAATGTGACCATGGGCTTTCAACTCTGCAGCCATGAGTCGCGCCTGTTGCACGGGATTACCACCCCGAGAGAAAATTAAGTCGATGTCTTCGAGGCGTAGATTGCTGGTCTCGGGATAAAAGAAGTAGACAACGGGGATGAAAATAAAGTTGGTGATCATGAAAATCAAGTAGGCTTTCCACTGAATACGATTGATAATCACGGGTGTGATCATCACCACAGTGAAGTTCCACAGCCAGTTTGAGCTGACACCGATGGCTGTTCCCTTGGTCCGGGCTTCCAGGGGAAGAATTTCAGGCACGTACACCCAAGGTACCGAGTTGATAGACATGCCGTGTATCAACATATAAAGGAAGAAAAAGGAAACCGACGCAGAGGCATATGATTTGCCATGTGGTTCGTTGACTTGAGACAGCAATGCTGCAACCATCAACATGCAGACGCCTAGGCCGAAGGAACCAATCATCATGGTACGGCGACGGCCCATCTGGTCCAACTTGAATGCCGGCAGCAAGGATCCTAGCATGAACATTATTTGAATGCACCCGCCTAGGATTTGCGACAGTTGATAAGTCATGCCAACATTTTGTCTCAGGACAGCTGGAAAGGCGAGGTTAATCGGCCGGTCACGAATTTATTGAAGATAGCAGCACTTACTTGGGACGTAATAAACCACCAGATTGATACCGCCAACTTGGTTCATAAGCTGCATGCCCCAGGCCAGAAGGACTCGCTGGCCGGTCTTCACTTCGTCATTGCGAAAGATTTTCCAGAAGGACTGCTTATTGGCAGAGTCTTCCAGCTCAATGGCGGACATGATCGCTTGGCGCTCATTCACAATAAATTCATCATGCTCTTCTCGGTCATATACAGCACACAAGACCTCCATGGCCTCTTTTTCTTGACCATGGTTCATAAGCCAACGTGGTGACTCGGGTAGACCAAAGACTAGCACAATAACAAAGATTGCGAACACAATCTGCATGGCAATTGGAAGACGCCAGGCGATCGGGCCGCCTACAAAGGACATTCCAAAGTCGAACCAGTATGCCACAACAATGCCGACAGCAGTGAAAAGTACCTCAGAAGAGATAAGACGGCCTCGAGTTTTCCCTTCGCACATTTCCGCTTGATACCTTTTGCACATCATGATCAGTATTTTATATTCTTCTCCATCAGCTTTTCCATCAGCCAGAACTTACATTGGGACCGTCGAGGTCTTCAAACCTGTGCCTGCGCCAGTGACCAACCTTCCAATGATCAAGTGTGGCACAGTGAAGGCCGTTGTCTGCAGCACCGCGCCCACAATTACAACACCCATGGCAAACCAGATAGTTCTGCGGCGCCCAAGATACTCTCCAATGAAGAAATTGACTGTTCGTATATTAGACGGAGTTTTCCAAGACCAGCGTGTAAATGAACAATGAGTTATACATACTCAGGCAACCCAAGAGACATCCTAGATTGTAGCAACTGACAATGATCCCCTCTTCAGAATCATCAGGGTATCCAAATTGCTTCATCCAATCTTCGTTACCAACAATGCCGCTGAATACGCCCTGATCATATCCGAACAGGATGAATGCCACCAGACAGCATGCCGTGACAGCCACCTGGAGGGACTTGCCTCTTCCATACCAAGATCGCATAATGAGGAAGTTGGAAGATTACTGGCTTTAGATTGAGCAACCAGTCTTCTCTGTAGAACCAATTATCTCCAGCTTCGGGAGCCGCGACTTCTTATATGTGATCTGGGGTCAGGTCGCATGGGGTCTGCCACCATGCTGGCTGCAATGGAGCCGGGTCGCATCATTGCCGACAATGACGGCGTCCATGAACCAATCATCCTCTATCCTGATGGATCCACGGCGGAGTTTGAAATGGGATCTGGGGAATCTGGAGAGCGCCCATTAGATATGTGTGTGTGGCGGAGAAAACTGGTTCCACAGTAGCCAATGCTGAATCAGGCAAGTCAGCCGCTGGAACCGGGAGTTTGCCGAGTAGCTGGAGAACGGGAAAAAGGAAAGTGGTTGCACCTTCTGCTTTCGGGTCAGATGCTCGGGATGGATCGGAAAATCTTCTCTCTATTCAGGTCGCTTTCCTCCTTTGGAACAAGTGTCCCTTAAAAGGGAAACTCCAACCACCACTCCTCCCTGAAAAGGCTTTGGAAGTTCGATGATACTTCTGAAGATCAACATGCCGAATCAATATATCTAGAGCGTCAATGAATCTGTCTGTTTTTTTTCTTGGCTACAAGCTATATCATATCATGTATCACTTAGAGCATGACGTGAAATTAACGGACAAGTTTGTCGTCTATTTAAAGAATATAGTTATACTTGAATATACGTATTTCGGCCATTATAATCACGAAATACAGTAAGCGTGCCTCAAAAATGAGAAAAAAACTGTATTTACTATATGTGAAGATTTGATGGAATCAGCTGATCCGAATGAGTATTTTCTCACTCGAACTGAGGGCATTCCTCCAATATCTGAGCTCGAAGTGACTCCCATGTCAATGTCTGCGTCTCCTTATCGGTTGTATTCTTGACGACTAAGGATTGCTGCAAGTTCTGGCTCAATTGCGCATCCACTAGTTCTTGAACTTGGTCTGTCGCCTCCTTGTCCTCCCTCAGCCTCTTGTTCAAGGTGTTCTTGAAAACCATGAGCAGATGTTTCCGCTCCTCGGCCTGGCTTTCAATGGCAAATTTGGCTTCATATTCCAGGTCCTTGTGAATCTATGCTATGTCAGCTTACAATAATATTCGCAGCTTATGGCTTCTCTTGCTTTCATACCCGTTCACACTTTTGATGGGTGTCAAGGCAATACCGACACGAGATGTGCCCTGTTTGGCGGAAGCAGATATGCTCAGGCTCTTTGATCATGTGCTTGACACACTTCTGGCATGGAAGTCCCTGTGCTGTGAGGACTGATTCTTTTGTTTTCCGCCTTTTCGTAGGTGTCCCTTCCGTCTTGGTTTTCGGGCCTCCTTTGTCAGTAAACACTTTCAATTTTTGCCCTTTCGTGGATGGACTATCCTTTGGGTTCACCTCTGCGACTTTTTTGCTGGTAGGCATGATGATGTCTGCTGGAAGTCCTTGTACAGTCGGTAGAGATTATTTTCTATCTTTGTTTTGATTCCTATGCTGCTCAGAGGGACAAGAATTGATCCTGTGATGAAATTTGTATCAGAGAATAGATATGAGAGAGCCCTTCAATAACCAATTGAGAAGAATCTTGAAGACACATTTGTCATTGAAGAAGATAGGTAGCTTGCCAGAAAGAAGTAAAATTAAAGAACAGCCTAGTTAACCTGATTCCTATTCGTAGTCTTGTACAGATCCACTAGCATTTACCGTTGGCATCTCTGTCACCTTTACCAGGAAAAAGCTGCATGTCATTGATATTTTTTTTATCTATGATGAAAGTTGTTATTCAAAATATCATATCCTGCCTGTTATTTGGCTAGAAAAGTCCCAGGCCACCACCTGGTTGTGCTTAGGTAATCAAGATAGATCTGAGCCACAGTGGCTTCAACCTCATAATCAATGTGGCTGCTTTTTATCTCCCGCAACACCCTTTCAGCCTCTCTCAAAGCAGAAGGCAGGCATAATAGCAAGACATTGACCGCCCTGTGATCTTTCCTATCTCATCCATCATTCATTGATCATCAACATCGTTTCATTCTTCAAGCAGCCAAACCTCAGTGTGGAAAACAAGCGACTCGGCCATCAGGAAACCTTGAAATAGTCCCACCTGGCCAGGCACATCGTGCATCCACATCGCTGATTCGCTGTCTGGCTTGATCACAGTTCCCGTTAGTTCAATAGTCTCTGTGTCGCAGCACCTTTAGGATTTCAAGACAGGCATACATATCCCGGTTCTCGCCTGTAGGCCTGTCCGCACCTCTTTCGCTTATTGACTTCCACAGCCATGGCGACAGTCCCCACGAGCTTGCCTGCGACTGATAACGCGGCCGTCGCTACAGGGTCACAAGTTAACGGTCAAGCAACTGCCGCGCAAAATACAACTCAGCAGTCTAACTCCAATGTCTCATCCGTCAACTGGGAGTCCGAGCTCCAGCTGGTGTCATCGCTCGCAAAGCTCCAAGAATTGGAACGTAAGGTAGGCGACCCAAACCAACGCCAATGACTTCTCGCCGGGCCCCCACCCCTTTCTCTTCTCCTGAAACTGCTCTTTCTGTCCGTATAGACTGACTGTGGTAGATCCATGAGCTGCGCCAATTAGTGCCTGACGGCCTTTTGGAACCACTGGGGCCCATGTCGTCAAACCACAACCATAACCCCATCAATCTAGCTAACGACTCCCCCGGCCAGCTCCGTGGCGACTTGGACCGAACGGCGCGCTCTCGGTTGACCGAGATCGAGCAATTCCAGAATCTGTGGCGCGGCCCCGAGATGAAACCAGTCTGGGAACGCGTAGAGGCCCGTATCCAAGAGTCTAAGGGCCAGCCCCTCCAACCGACAGGTAAATGGGAGCGAGACTATGACGTGCTTTTTGAGACGATGGTCCAGGCGCAGAAAGCGAAAGAGGAGACGCGTTTGCAAGAAGAGGAAGATGCGGAGCGCACGAAGGCGCAGTCTTCTGATAGCGAATGGCAGGCTGTTGTCGAGCGTTTCAATCAACGGAATGTGCCAGGTGTGCGGGTTGTCCGCAGACCCGAACCGCAGTCGCTGGCGATTGCGCTTGTCAAGGCTGGAATGGTCTTCCGCCTGGAGGGTATTAAAGAGTCTGGCGTGAGTGGCGTGGATGCGTGGGAGGTTACTAGCGGATTGCCGTCGGGAAAGACGCCCACGAAATTCGAGGCTACGGTGCTGAAGTGTCTGAATGCGCGGCCGCGGAAATGGGATCTTGCATTCTTGCTGGTATGGCGCTGCCGCAATTATCAACCATGCAATTGGAGCGCATGAAGCTAACCTCTCATGACCAGGACATGCTCTCTTCCTACGCAGATGTCAAGAACACTATATGTGTAAAATGCGGCAAATTGACGAACAATGCAGCTCAACTGCCAGTCATCCGCCAAGCACAATCTACTCATCTTCCCCCGGGAGTGCCTCGCACATATACATTTGATGCCTTCCATTCAGCCTGTATTTGAGACCAGGAAATACGACTCTAATCCCCACTGCAAGAAGTGAGAAACCTCTTATTGCAATATCCAATGAACAACATTTTGCTTTCAACTAGATTCGATTTAATACTTATCTTCTCTATCTCTATGCGCCCCATGAGCCTCGTCATGCCATGAATTCAAATCAACCTCCTTCCCCGACACATCCAAATAACTCCGCGGCACAAAGTGTACCTTTTTTCTGTGCAACAGTCTCCGCTTATCCGTCTCCTGCTGTCCGTCGCAATACTGCACCATGCTCCATGACCCGCTATCCGGCACGACATACTTGCGCTGGCGGAAATCGTAACGTTGGCCATGGCAGCGCGCCCACACGAACGGCGTGTTTTTGGAATCCAACTCCTCGTCCCACCGGGCCCAATTGGTCTTGGAGGGCTGCTTCTCCTTGGTCCTGGGTGGCTTACCGATCGTGCCGACATACATGTCAGGCCCACGGCCGGTCAGGATGTCGACCCAGCGCCAGCGACGAGGCCAGTGGGAGGGGTTGCCAGGGCGTGGGTCCTTGGGCCAGATCCAGCCGACTTGCTTCTGAGACTTTTCCGGCATGATGAGCCTGGAGAGAATAGGGTTGTTGCGAGGCGTTTAGGCAAGGGTGCCAGGGAGAAAGGGGAGTTGAGGAAGATTGATGGGTTGAGGAGCTAGAGTTAAGGGTCCTGATAGTGGGATATATAGAGCAAGGCAATTAAACAAAGCTCTTTATTGTTCTCCCTCTCTGTGATTTATTCTTTGATTTGGTCATGGTACTGCAGAAATCTGCTTGGCTGATCGCTCTAAAGCATCCTCATTCAGGTTGCACGTGCTATTCAATATTCACTTCTGCCTCTTTCGCACTCTTTTGTGCTCATATGGGATATCTAAATCCTGTGGGGGCTCTTCATTGGGTTTGGGTTTGCTTGCGCTTATAGAGCCGGGAACGATGCATTGTTTTCTTGAAAGCATGCACGAATGGCTCTGCTTTGTCTGTGCTTTTAGGAAACGATGTAGCAAAGAGTACTCAAGGTTTTTTCAGAAATGTACAAAGAATATGGAGAGAATGCTCAGTCTGAAGTTCTAGAAAGGTCGGCAAAAAAGCTAGTGGTGCACGCGGTGTGGAATCCCGCGCCGGTAAATTGAGCATACTTATTATGCAGTGCGAGAGTAAGACATCTGCTCTCCTCGGTCCTTTTGCCTTTCTGTCCTTGAACCTGTTCCTACGACTAGTCAGGGTTGTTTGCTTTTTGATAAGAGGCTGAAAGGAAACAAAGCATTTTGTTACTGGCTGAGAATAGAATGTAATATGGATTAAATCGTTTTTAATAATTTCGATCCGAAAAAATAAATAAATAACATCAGTGAACGAAGGCGATGGAATGACAGCTCGCTCGCTGGTTACATAGTATCAAATGCGTTAACCCTCGAAGAAAAAAAAAGAGAACAGTCCAGGGGCCACATCCCGCCCTTTATGTTTTCGAAATATCAACAAACGCCGGTTCTTGCTATTATCGTAAGCCCACCCAATTCGCTCTCAAAAAAAAGAAAAGAAAGAAAAAAAACGCCCGGAGTCAAAATATATCCATGAGAGTGCCAATTTCCCACCACAAATAACCCACCCTATCATCCGGGGTGGCTCGCTAGCCTAGGAGGCCCGCACCACTGGCAAACCAGGTAAAGGAGACGATTGTGATGATGGCCATGCCGACAGCAAACTTCAGACCTTGGCGCTGGATGTCGGAAATAGCACCACTGCAGGTGGCACATTTAAATTCTAAGGCTTATTAGTGGCTCTTGTCGTGGTAAGTTACAAGTTTGGAGGACTCACCGTTCAGGGGCGTGTAGGATTCACGGCGATACATGCCAAAGCTGTATCCGACCGATCCACTCAAATAGCCAGCACTGGCTGTGTCATCCAAAGACTTGTCTGCATCGTAAACGAACAGAGTGTAGGTCGCTGTCAGCAGCTCCACAGTTTGGGACGACTGGAAGGCACCGGTGTCCCAGATCATGGTGCCAGTGGGGTCCACACTCATGTTCTGAGTGAGGGTGTATGTCTGGCTGTTCAAGCTGCACGAGGCAACAACATCGACGGCGGACGGGGTCACCGAGAGCGAGGTGTAGTTCCACACAAAGGTCGCGTTATAGCCGATCTTGAAATAGGTGGTTGATGTGGCGGCCGGTGTGATCATCGAAATACCGCCTGCACCTGCAGCTGGATTGATAGAGATCGAGCTTGTTGTGGTTGTTTTGCTCTTGGTTGAAGTCTTGGTTTTGGTTCCCGTGGAGGTTGCATCGCTCGCTGTTGTGGAATCGCTGTTGGTGCCGGTTGTTGAAGATACAGAGGAGGTATCGGAAGACGATGAGGCAGAGGCAGTGGTGGAGGAGGAGGAGGAGGAGGAAGAGTCGGCTGTGGTTGTGTCTAACATTTCGGTTAACTTGATCATCTTTCAAAGGCGAGAACAATGCTCCATACCTGCCCGCTGAGCTAGACCTCGCCCAAGCAGAAGACCATAGTCATGCAATGACCAAGAGGCGGAGACCAGCGTTCCCAGCAACACTGCCAAAAGCACGCTCAGAAAGGCGGACCGCATGTTGGGCAACTATCGACAATAATTCTGAACGATGTGGAGGAGAGCAGATCAGGAACTGAAAAGGTTGAGAGAGAGCCCCTGGTCGGAGCAAAAATCCCGAATTTACAACCCCCTTGCCTTGGCTGGCTGTGGAGAGATGCTGCTGACGGGTATTGACACAACACAACAATGTTTACTAAGTCCCAGAGAGTCTGATTCACTGGATGTCGGGCAGAATGGAAGGTAAGAGTTGAACAGAGAAGCAGGAGGGAATAGGAAGGGCGTTTAGAAAAAAAGCCCCGTCACAATCGGTCACACGTCTGGACCTTTTGGGGATCGCCGATCGCCCCAAATATGTTGGTTTTGTGGACAGTGGAGCCGAGGGTTCCCAACAACAACTGTGGACAACCTGAACGAGAGATGTTGTCAAACGAGCGACGTGAAGGAGCAGGAGGTGGGAGAGAAGAGGGAAACGAGGAAACGAGGAGGGACAGGAAGTCACCAGGCGTGCAGAGAAGAGAAGCGACGCACCAGGGTGTTTGAGGTGTATTGCGGGGCTAAGCCCAAAAGGGCGATAGCGGAAGACCCTTGACAAGGGAAAAAGTGAGACATCCTATAAATAGTGGCCCGGTGCTCTCTGTACAAGGTGCGATGAGTCCGCCACCAGAAGATATCAGGCCATCCGATATATTCGAGTCTTGTGTTTTTTTCATAGTCTGTGATTCTCTCATCTCAGCTGCACACAGCTGCCCCCTTTCACTGTTGGGTGGGTATCTCCAACATTCGCCCCCCATAAACCCCTCTCCGTCTCCACAGTGACAAGGGAGATCATCACATCGAAGCCCCAAAAACCTATTTCCCTCACAAAGCTGGACTAGGAGGCTCTCATTAGCTAATCCAAGTCAACACTGAACTGGTGTCATTCTTGATTCACTATTCATGTAAAGACTGGAATTTGATTGGGAGGTCACAATGATCATCTGAAATGTACTGTAGTTGTGCGCTTATCGATAACCGCCGGGCTTCGCCGACCGAACAAAGTTCAACCACTCAACTCGGCTGTTGGCGCCACCTACAAACCATGCTTAAATTACCTCGGAGTCCCTATATGATCACCCGGTAAGGCACACTTTGGATACGTGTCGAGTATGCCCATTTTGTCAACAAGATCAAAGAAAGTGTCGATAAAGCGAAGAAGATTAGAGGACACTTGATGAGTAGTGGCATAGGGGGCCTCATTATTTCCGAACTTATCAGTTCTTAGTCATATAGAGCAGAAAGATTGAAGTCTGACTATCAGAAATAGCAATACATACCTCCATGATTGCTCATTTGTGAATTATTAGAGTTAGGACGAGGAAATGCAGCATTCGTGCAACATAATATACTATTCATGAGATGAAGGCATTCCGACTCCTCTAGAGGAGCCGGGCCCAGATTTTCTTGGAGCTCTTAAACTGTGAATAACTCCAGGGACCCAAGCAAAATATTTGGACGCACCTTCACTCACCTGGCTGTTCTCACTTCACCACCTGTTCATTCCCTTCTCTTCTCCCCAAAATCCTTTCTCGTCCACAGAATCCATCTCTTTCTCTCTTTATCCCTTTCCATCTCACTGATATCTGAATGAGATCACTCCAAAAGTGGTTCTGCAATATGCCAACACCCGATGTGAACGGTCGAACGGCCACGCCAGATGGGAAAAGACCAGGACTTCGGCCCTCAGCTTCCTTCCACCAGAATCAGAAGAAGATGATGAAGAAGCAGGGTGTGAGCTCTGTTGATTTAACTAATTGCAGCGATACCTGCAGTCCCACCTCTGGCAGTGCATCTTCTGAGTCTACCTCGAGCTCTGGTTCTGATTCCGACCCAGACGCTCAGAAAGACCTTGCGTGCCAGAATGTGAGCGTTGTGATTCCCTCACCTAAGAAGCGGAGTGCCCCCAGCCCCAGCTCTGGGGCTCTTGTTTCACCCAAGCGCATTGCTTATTATAGCTCTGCCAGCGCATCTGACTCTTCTTCTTCCGGTGAGAGCAGCCTCGTGGTCAAGCCAGCCTCAGATCTGTTTGGAGGTGTACGTACCATTGAGCCAATTCCCGACACTGCCACCATCATGAACTTTCCTCTGCCAAAAATCGATCACCAGGGCCTGCGCCCTTCAATCTACCTCGACAACGAGAAGCTGTACAAGTCCTACACCAAGACTGAGGAGATCTTCAATGACCTCAAAGCCATGGAAACCGCTTACGAAGACACTATCAAAGTTCGAGAGCTGGTTGACTGGGACTGCCGCCGTCTGGGGCTTCGCCTGAGAGCTTTGCGCCGTCGCGCGTCTTTGCAAGCACGACGTGGGGAGATTGTTCACCGCAATCGATGGAGTGGCAACGATAATGACCTGCTGGAAATGACCAAGAGTCCTATGGAGGGCAAGTGAATAGAGACAGTGTACAACAGCTCCAAGAATCCATGGCCATGATTTATCTACGGTTATATTTCCAGCATGATATGTTGCTCTCTCTGAGAAATGAATTGTTCTGACAACCAGTGCAGAGAGCGTAAACATCACCCTTCTTGGGGAACCCCCCTCCCCCTGTACAATACCTCTAATATGCAGAATAAGACAAGACTAGGTTGCTCTACTTGAGTGGTTGCGCGCATAACATAGAAACGCAACGTAAAAGCGGAACGCATCAGTCAAATGCGCGCATAAAAACAAGACTTGTCCCAACAGAGAATAAGACCCATGACCTTGATATAAAAGCAAACTCGTCTAATTTCGTGTCTTCCTGTTTCTCTTCTTCTTTCTTGCACTTCCCACAACATCAGACAAGCACCCTCAGATCAGACGAAACTTTTCTTTTTCTCTCTCTGCACGCCCACAAACACAAAGCCCTATTGCATCCAAACATCTTCTGGACTTCAATTGCACAGCATCAAAACCCTGCACTGTGGGCAATTTTCCTTCCAAACATCTCAGTGTCATGATGGCACCTGCCAGTACCCGTTCTAAGAAGCGGTCCCTGCTGCCAAACACGCCCACGGCAGCTCAACCACCCACCAAAAAGGTCAAACAAACAAGCAAAAGCCCAATCGCACTACTAACGAAACAAGTCCCGCCAGCAGCAAGAGCAAACGCACCACTAAACCCGCAGCTCAAGCCCCAGCTCAAGCACCAGCGCCAGGCCCAACCAAAGCAACCACTCCAGCTCCAACACCTCCTCCACGCCTGATCGGCCCCCTGCCCAGCCCATCCGCCATCCTCGCAGTCACTTTGCCAGAGATCAACCACCGAGGGCTGCAGCCGGCATGGGAGTCTCGACTCGGGGGCATTTACAAGCCAGTGGCACTCGACAAGACAATTCTTGCAGACATTGAGAGGCTAGGGGTAGTCTATGTGGATTTAGTGCGCATTCGTGAGTTGCTTGATTGGGAGTGTCGGTGGATTGCCATGCATTTTGCTCATGCCAAGGGAAAGGAGACGGAGGATTTGGAGGGGAAGGACGAGCTGGAGGAGGGTGTTGATGTGAATGCGGATGCTGATGCTGGTGTGGGTGTGAAGGTGAAAGGAGCGAAGAAGACGTCACAGAAAGGGAAAGAGAAAACAGAGAAGAGCATCACAAAAAGAGGGAAGGGCAAGGAAAGGAGGGGGGAGGGGAAGGGGCAAGTGATGCTTTATTTGCCCCTTTTCTTAATCTTTTAGTTGAGAGGGAACGCGATAGGCACAGTGATGCTTGGGCCCGGCTGAATTGATGTTGATATTTCATGGTTTCTGAGATAGCTGGATATGGAATGGGGAGTTTGACGGATGATAGGACAATGGGCATTAATGGATAATCTATGACAATCTTATGTTTCAAGGGTAAACAAGTAGACGAGGGCGAGTGAGATTGTAGTGTTCTCTTGCAATACCGAGAGAATCAAGTTTGGAGCCCCTTGAGCACAAATGTGAGACTATATTCTGGACATGCAGACTACAGGAAGGTGGAAGAAATATTGTTAGTACGGTACATACAGGCGGTTAAGAACCAAGTTCGCCACCCTATCTCCGCCTTCCTATTATACTAATGCATGACTTCATATATAAACAAAAAACGTCATGTAGGCCTGCTATCATATTATATAGCATATTCCTACCTATTCCTACTATTCCTCCTCCCAATCCTACTACTATTACTACCATGGCGCCCTCTATGCCTACACGCAAGCATCTTACCCGTGATGAACGCTTGAAAATTCTTACTCTGCGAGAAGAAGGCGTATCATATAAGCGTATTGCCGATAGGCTTTCATGCACATATCGCCAAGTTCAATATATCTGTGAGCTTGGTAAGGCAACACCACGAAAGGGTCGTGGTCGCAAACCAAAGCTTTCTAATGAGCAATTGGATGATGTTATATCTTGGATACGCAGCAGTTTTGATAATCGGCAAAAGAGTGTTTACCAGATTGTTGCTGAGCTAGAGCTTCCTGTCTGCGGTGATACACTACGCAATATGCTTAAAAAACGTGGTATGAGAGCATACCCTGCTGCACAGGCACCACCGCTGTATCCCCGTACTCCGCTTCGTTATCAGCGTTGGTAGAGACGTCTTCGATGGGCTGAATATCCCCATGATTGGACAATTGAAGACTGGTATTCTCATATCGTTACCGATGAATCCTATATACGCTCTCGTTGGTATCGTCGACCGTGGGTTCTTCGATTTAAAGATGAGTGATATAATCCTACTGCTGTTCTGCCTCAATCAACACAGAATCGGTATAGAATTATATTTTGGGGGCTCCTTTCGTGGTAATTATAAAGGACTATGTGCTCTATAGCAAAGAGGCTAGGGAAAGCCTAATTCGATAGCGTTTATTACTCGAATCTTGCCTACAATAGTCTATTTGACGTTCTTGTTGCTGCTGGATAATACCAATGCGATTCTAGTACAAGATAGTGCTAGATGCTACTAGTCATTGTTAACACCTGCTGCGTTAACCGAAGCAGAGTTCCAATGGATTTATCCACCCTCCCTATTCGCCAGATCTTAATTCTATTGAGAATATATGGGATTGGATGAAGGACTGGATAGGAGAGCGATATGGGGAGCAGGAAATAAAGGAGGATGACTTTCGACAAGTGATAGAACAGGCGTGTGCAGCAAGTTATTGAGAGAGGAGGGGTGTATATACCGTACTAAGAAATTTTAATTCAACAGCCCTCTAGCATGCTGTCAGTTAACCTTATTTACCTGAATAATACTGGTGGTCCATGACATCAGGAAATATGCAGAAGATTACAGTCTTGAAAGAATGAAGATTTTAAAAACACTTGAATTTCATGAGTCATAGCCGTAGGTCAACGCCGATCTATGCCCCCCCCCCCCCCCGTTCGCATCCCAATTCAAACAAGTTTCTCGTAGCTATACAGGTCGGCAAAAGGAAAAAGAGAAAAAAAAAACCCATAGAATATCCGATCAAACATTAAACCTCCCGAGTCACACTTCCGTTCCCCAGGGTCTCAACCCTTTACGAAGAGGTGTTGGTATAAGCCACATCGAGCTGCACTTCGTCACAGCCACTCGGCACGCCGGTGCCAGCATCCTGGTCCACATAGAACAAGCCCAGCAGTTCAGTGTCACCGGGGCAGACTAAATCACAGCGTTAGTCGAATTCAATTGTCGATCGTGGAGATAGAAAAGAAAAGAAAGAAAAAATAAAAAATAAAAAATAAAAAACAAAGAGAAACACTTACCCAACCAGCCACCCCAGGCTGCATTACTGGATACCAGGTGCCCACTCTGCAGGCGGAACCCGGTGCTGCCGGAGCTGGGGCTTACGCTGACCTCGACATCAGCCTTGACGGCCTTGCCCTCAACCAAGGCAAGGGCATAGGGGGCACCGTTAGGGGCAGCGTAACGGACGGTGCCGTTTGAGGCGACGTAGGAGAAGCTTGCGGCGTCGGCAGCGTCGCGGAAGACAGCGTTGCTGTTGAGGGGGTCGGTAGCTTGGGTGGACAGGTAGAGGTTGTTGCGGGAGGAGTTGGAGGCGCCGCTGGTGATGAGGTCGAAGGGTTGCGATTGAGTGACTGGCGCGGCGATAGTGGAGGTGAGAGTGGCGAGGAGGAGGGAGAGGGAGGAAGTGAGCAGCTTCATGGTGGATAGGATTATGAAGTCTTGGGGTGTGGTTGCTCAATGGGATGTAGAAGGGTTTGGTTTGGGTATAGGTAGATGGTAAATGAGAATCGCGAGATGAGATGCAAAATCAAGTTGTTTTGAGCAACGCAGATTGCTGACTGGATGGTCTAGTGATGTAATAGCGATGGTGCTAGGGAATGACGCCTGCTATTTATGTGTTTGGGGAGGGGAACAACGACGTGGGGCAGCAATACAATAGCTTGCTTTGGCTCTTGTTTAGCTTGCGAAGAAGAGCGTCCCACCGGTGGAGCCCAGAGCCAACGCCACCCGAATAGGGCTCTTGATCGCCGATCTTGTCCTTGGGTCAGAGGCTGGGGATCGGTTGGCTTGGCCAGTGAGATTTGGTGAATTGTGCCGTCTTCCACGGATGCCCGTTCCCCTCGAAAGAGTGAGCTCCCCATGTAGGCCCTCAGACGAGATCCATTGGCATGCGCGGTGGCGTACGGGGTAGATTGGGGGGTAAATTAAGGGCGGGCGATCAGGGTTGCGGGCTTGCAGGGTTGGCCGAGGACCAACCACGCAGTCACGACACCCGACTTGGCTTCCTCCGTCACGACTCGTCTCCGGCCCCCGTGCCGATCTCTACCCACCGACTCCACGACTCCACGAGTGCACGACTCCACGATGATGAGCTCGTTGCCAGTGAACAGCAATCCTTGAATCTTTGAGAGATCACCGCCTCGCATCTCCCATTCGACTCGCTTCCAATTCAGCCTGTCCCAGTCAACATACTGTCTGAACACCTCGCATCTCGTTCCCGCTGGAAACATCCTAGCAACCAACCATTCACAATAAACAGCTAAAAACCCAATTCCCACTTTCACCATGGATAATTTCCTCCCTTCCACCCGCGGCCCTGCCGACCCCGTCCATCCCATGGTACTCGCTCAGTCTTGGCACCATGCTGTTACCCTGAACCACGCAACTCCCCTCTCGAAAACCCCCCGATAACCCGACAACCCAACAACCCAACCCACGGTTCCTCACTCTGGAAAACCGGGCAACCGGTTGTGGGTTTGCAAAACTACCTCACTTCTTCACTACTACTACTACTACCACCACCACCTCGGCAGTCACTCGAATGCTCTCTCATCCACGGTTGAAGAAACAGGTCCCGGTTTGCGACGGAACGGGCAGGCCGGATGTCCTCCGAGGATTGTATCTCAGCGGGACCGGTATACTCGCAACAGAGAGGAATTATATGTGGGAACACGGGGGACCTGACGAACACATCAAATCCACATACTATAAACTGTAGTCTAGAAAAGCCCCTAACCGATGCTTGTGCAGTCGTAGACCAGAAAGAAACAGCAAGAAAGAAAGAAAGAAGGAAAGAAAGAAAAACAAGAAACGAAGTACCCAATCGAAGTCTTCCGGGGACAAGTCCAATTCCATTTAGCTGGCTGGCTGCAGCCACAGAGCGAGCCTGAGATGGGGTCCGTACGGTCAAAGACGACGGCGTGGCTACACTACACCACTCCTAGGAAGGAGAGGGGAGATACGACACCAAAGAGAAGAAAACCAACGAACGAGGAACAAGCACAAATATAACGCAGTATTTGAATCTGTATTTGAATCTGTATTTGAATCTGTATCTGGACCACCGGAGGATCGGGGGACGTAGTCATCATCGTGGTCTCATTCATTGCGTCGTGAAAAGCGCCCCCGGCGACTTCTATTCTTTCTCTTCATGTATCGTACACGGTTCTAGGTACCCTAATACCTCTTCTCGCAATTGTATCAAAATCACGCCCTCCTGTCTTTTAACTCTTCCTCGCAAATTCCGGCTTCAGCATCCATCGACCCCGGCCGCCACGGTCCCGGTCCAGAGTTGCAACGGTCTTCAGCATCTCCTGGAACTCCGCCACGCGCTGCTCGTTCGTACAGTAATGATTGAAGTGGTCCACAATAACCGGTGTGAACACCGGCCCACGCCGTGAGAGGAAGAAGTCCCGGATCAGCGGCATGAAATCCTTACCGCGGGGCATGCGCGATGGGCCTGTGGGGGTTGTGGGTAAGACCGGCAATGACGCGCCGGGGTTGAGGCGGGAGAGAAGGTTGAAAGAAGACGGTCCGGCCCCGGCAGGGCGGGCAGAGCTGGCGCCGGCGTGATCAGATCGGCCTGCCACGCCGAACTGACCAGTCCAGGTGGGAAGTCCGATGGGGACGGAGCGAGCCTCGATCTCGGCTTTGCGGAGCTCCTCCGCTGCTTCGGCGGCGACGCGCCGTGCTTCGGCTTCAATCATCTTGGGATCTGCGCGGACGACGCGCTTACCGTTCACGATCTGGTCGTGCTGGAGAGCGGTGTGGACGCCGGATCGAGCAAAGATGCCGTGCATGATCCGGTCCTCAGCAGTCTTGGGATTCCCATTCTCGTCCTTGTCGTCTGATTCGGTGTTGAACTCTTCAATATTGGCGACTCCTTGAACACTGGTAACATCCTCAGATTTCGGTAGGGGAGAGTTGGGTTTGGCTCGGCGGGTATGTTTCGGAATGGGTGTGGTATCTGCTTCCTGGTAGGTCACGTCGGCATTTTTGAAAAGCTTGGTCGTTTCGAGTTCCTTATCGTTCTCTTCTGTGAGCGAGAATAGATCGTAGAGATCGCTGGCTTGAAAGCTCTCTCGTTGCTGCGGGTCACGGGTGATCTTGTTCGTGAGGAATTGCTTGAAAATCTGCCGGTGGTAGATCTTTTCCTCGATTGTCCCCTTCATCATGAGACGAAAGATGGTCACATCGCGCTTTTGACCCAGGCGCCAGGCCCGTTCACGGGCCTGCATGTCGGTTGACGGATTCCAATCAGGGTCGTAGATAATGACTCGATCAGCACCGGTCAAGTTCACACCGATACCGCCGACGCGAGTGGTGAGCAGGAACACATGAATCTCAGGATCATTGTTGAACTCATCGACCATGGTCTGCCGATCTTTGATCGGAGTTCCTCCGTCCATTCGACGAAAGTTGAATCCACCGAGATCCGCAACGAACTTCTGGATGATGTCAAGCATCTGGCGGGTCTGGGCGAAGAGCAGAGTTTTATGTCCCGTATCCTTCCAAACCTCCAGTAGACCCTTCAAGACCTGCATCTTTCCCGAGCGCGATGCCTCACCATAGTCGGGTTCTCGCGATCGGATTTCCCGGTCAACAAGATCAGGGTGGTTGCAAACCTTCCGGAGAATGTCAATTCCAAAAAGGGAATTCCGCTTCCCCTTCATGATAGAAATCATGTCGTTAGATGCAAGGAACCGCTTGTAAATTTTTCGTTGCTCCTGTGTGAGCTTGCAGAAAATGACCTGTTCGCTCTTTTGGGGAAGATCAGCTGTTACATCGGCCTTGTAGCGCTGGAGGAGGTACGGGCTGATCGCATCCTTCAAAGTTGCTGCGCACTTAGCGGCAGTTTGGACCTGGAGATTGGTGGCCGAGGCGTAGCCCCCTGGCGAATGGGAATCTCGAACTGGGTTTTGAAGGTGACAAGAGTTCCCAGGCGCATGGGAAACACAAAATCGAAAAGGGACCACAGGTCAATCAGGCTATTCTGCATGGGCGTCCCGGACAGAATGATGCGGTGGGGGGTCCGGAGCTCCTTGCAACTGAAGGTGATACCAGCATCCGGGTTGCGGATTTTGTGGCCTTCGTCAAGGATAGCACAGCCCCAGTCCACGTCAACCAACGCATCTGCATAGGACTGAAGCCCAGAGTAGGTGGTCACGAGAACGTGCCCTTCCTCTTGGACCCGTTTGATTATTCGCTTCGCAGCTTTCTGGCCAGCAGTGAGGTAACGAGAATGTGAGTTGCCCACCATCTCAGATGTGAGGGCATTCTCACGGCTGCTCTCCTTACCGAGGTTCATCATTCCGCTGCCGGAGGAGTGCAGAATCGACACACGGAACGGGGGCCACCAGCGGTGGAACTCATTGACCCATTGCTTCATGAGGGTCGCGGGGCATACGACTATGGCAGGTTTGGTGTACATATTGCTGTGGTGCAATGAGGCGAGATAAGAGATGGCCTGGATTGTTTTACCAAGGCCCATCTCGTCTCCGATGATGCCCCCCACTGTCTGCTGGTGCAGTTCCCAGAGCCACTGAAGGCCTGTTCGTTGATAAGAAAATAGGTACTTGCTGATATCTCCCGGTGCCCGGAGACCATTTTGAAGATCCATGTCGGGCTCTGTCGGATGTGGTTTGAGCCATTCAGGTTCATCAGGGTCCTCTTCCTTGATCTCACTGCCATGGGAACGCTTTCGAGCTGCACTACGTCGACTTATCCACTTCTGAAGGCGAGCCTGGTAGATCCTCTCATTTCCATCGTCGACGCCGCTGAGGTCCTCGAATTCGGACTCCGCCTTGGTCTGTTTGCGCTTGCGACTCGATGTTTCGGGGACAGTATCGGGCATAAACTCTTCATCTTCCGATGCGGCGCTGCCATCTTCCGAAGCAACATAACTTGCGGACGAATCGACATCGGGGGAGCTAGGAGCACGAGCCTTGGACGTTTGGGGGCTTTCTTTCACTTTTGGACTCGTGTCAAGCTTTCGACGCTTGCTACTGCTATCAGTCCGGCTGTCTTCGCTGGCATCATCAAAGTCGAACCCGGGGCGGTGGAGAACTCGGTGAGAGGCGTTTGGATCGTGATGCGCTTGTTCGCGCTCCTCGTCTTCTTTCTGTTGATCCTCTGCATCGACAAGAGCATCATGCAGAGTTGCCAGAGGGCCGTCTTGGCCCCCAGTGGCCATAAGCTCAAAGGGAGTGATCTTTCCAGTCCGCAAAAGATAATCGCGTCGCGATTCGTTGGGCAGCCGGCCTGGGCCATGGGACCCATCTGCCTTCTCTTGTGCTTCACGTCGGTCATCGATCCGTTTCTGGATCTCTTTAATATCTTTAACCAACCCGACGCGGCGGGCTTCAAGGTTTCGCAGCTCATTTTCAACTCGGTGTCGAGTGGCGACGCCGACATGGCGGGTCAGGCGATTCTTGGCCTGCCGAATCTGCGAATCCACCTTGCTAGGATCGAAGTCAGCATCTCTAGTCTAGAATCTGTGGATACACTCTCGGGATCAGATGCTTACTCTTTATCAATCAAGGCTTTTTCTAGCCGTTTAGTATCATTTTCCTCGGCCTTCTCGGCGAGGAACTTGTCGGCCTGTTCAACCCGTGAGTATGGTTTCCCGTCACAAGTGAGGAATTAGGGGAGTCATGAAGCCTACTTGTCGAGTGATGTCTCGTTCCAGGTCGTCCTGATCACGAACGTCGGCATTCAGTTCCTGGAGACGACTCGCCTCCGCAGTCGCATTCGTTGCCGGGGAGGCCATCGTGGATAGCGAAGGACAGTTGCGAGAAGGATGGGATGAGGAAGGAGTGAACTAGGATCAATGGAGATACAGAGTCTATGTAGAAGGGCCGGAGAGCACGAGAACCGGCATGGCGACGAGTGCCTGGGAGAATCTAGGCACTCGAAAGGACGAAGTATCAATCTTGAATCCTTAATCCGTTATCAAAGTGGAGGCAACGACGGCAGATATGCTCACCGCCTAGGCAGCCGCCCACGTGATGCTTGTGGAAACAGATCTTTCTGCCTCAGGCGAGTAACTGGAGGCACCCTCTCAGCAGCCCCAGGTTCCCGTTGCAGTATATATATATATATGTTGTTCCAGCCACGTCTTGTTGGCTCTAAGCTTAATTGCAGAGGCCGGTCGGAAATGATTGGTTCTCGGCCAGATATTCTACTGTCTTGCTATATCAGTTACCCCCTCCCCCAGCACGTTGGAAAATGAAGGCATCCATGGCTCTTTAGTTTTGTGCTGGGATTCAACGTGCCCTGGGCCATTAGAGACACAGAGAACGATCATGATCTTGGGATTACGAGTTCATTCGGATGCTTTCGATGACCCGAAGGAGAGAAGAAAGCAGCCCGATGATCACTTTGCCCTTCTATCATGTTCTGATTTGTTTTCATTGTTCCAGAACTTGACAAACTCAAGCTCAGTTATATCAATTCGAAGCTCTTCTTCCAGCGCGGGGCTTTTTTTTTTAAAGAAAAAAATGCGTGCTGATTCTGATTGGCCTCTGTCGCGTCAGTTTGCGCTCGAGCATTGCTGCCCTATTTGACCAGCCTTTCAGGACTGAGCCGTTGGACGACGTTAAAGTCGGGGCTATAAGGATCGGAGGATGGGAATGCCGCAGGATGTAGCCTCACAGGTCTTACACCACTAGCTAAGCTCTTCGCACGCTCGAGCTAGGGCGACCTTTTTCAAAATCAAACGAGATCCCTGATTCTGGTGTCTGCCCGAGCTCCTGAGGGATTGACCAGTGCCCAGTGCAGCGGGGGTCAGGCATTCATGAGCCCTGAGCGTTGGGTATGCAATGACGGTCACCGCGGAGACCACAATCTAGGAAACGGATGTGTGATGGAAAAAGTGATGAGATCACCAAGTCCCTTTCTCGCCTCCCCTTTTCGGTGTTGGGCTCATCACCGATCGAATCCGATCTGGCGACCTGGTTTGCGGCCCGAGAAGGTCAGGGTCTTCGCTCTCGGTTCCTCCAACCGTCGCTTCTCCTCGACTCCGAGTTTCTCGAGGCGTTTCAGGCTCGTGGACCGTGTCCTATCAAAATCCCCCATCCAGTCCCATCCAATCAATAATAGTCAATGATCAATATCGTAGTAGAGGGCTACCGGTATTCTCATCCTCTCTCGAGGACGAGGACGCATGTACACCTGGTATCGGGAGGGCAGTAGATGCCGGTTCATGAACGAGTGCAGTTGATAGTTGATACTCGTCCCGACGATCCTCGCACACTGGCGAACTTCACGGTCCGCACTCACCTCCTCTCTTCCCCTTCAACCTTAATCCTTCAACCTTCCAGCTTCCATCTTCCACCTCCCCCGCACCTCTTTGGATCTCCTATCATTTCCTCGTTCCCGGGCGAGGTGGATTGGATCTTCCATCTTTCGCGTCCGTCATCTGTCACGTTACACTATTTCCCAACCAGCCCCCCTTCGAGCCCGTCTCCAGATTCCCAGACTCCCAGATTCCCCAATTCCCCGGAGGAGCTACGTCGGTGGCATCGGTGACATCGCAACTGACGTCCCGGTACATCGGATATCTCCCCTCCTTCTGGTTCCAGCAACGGATCCTCATTTAACTGCTCAACTGTGAGGTTCCCATCCTGCCATCTGCCCTGAATCCATAGATCGCAACTCGGTTGTTCGGCCCCCCCCCTCCTCCTCTCTACCCTGACTGGTTGGCTGGACAATGCTGTGCAGTACATCCTCACTTTAATCATCGCTTCTTCCTCATTCCTCCCTGCGTTCAATCTTCGCCAATTCGTGGAATTGTCGAATTGGGTCGCAGATTTGGTCCCCCGCCTTTTCGTCGCCTCTCCGCGCGCTTCTCTCGTGTTGCCCTCCCCTCCCCACCGGCATCCCACGCAGCCTTCCCAATCGTGCCCCCCCTCCCTTTCGATCGCAGGCCCTATCGTCGCGGTGGACCTCAATTCTGGCAGTGCCGCACCCTCTCCACAACCTCGCCGACCGTCCGACTGTGATCGCGACTCTCCCCCCGCACGATGGATCCCGGGTGGCAACCCTACCAGGATCCCCTGATGGGTCGTCCGGCGCAGTTCAATACGGCGCTGGCGTCTCATCCCCCCCAGGCGCTAGCCTCGAAGCACAGTCAGCCGCAGTCACAGCCGCCCGTCGGGTACACCTACGAGACCTTCCAAACTCCCAGCAACACCTCCAAGGCACCCTCTGCCCACTCCAGCTCTAAGCCCGTCTCCATGGCGTCGTCACCCACGGCCACGCCACGTAGTCGGGATTATGTCACCGATACCGACACCACTATGGAGGACGCGGATCCCTACAACCGGGCCAAGTACCCCTCGAGGCCGAATCATCACAATCGTGCCTCTTCTCAATTCCTTGCCCAAACCGAGGAGTCGTCGGCTGCTCGCAGATATTCTCCGATGAATGTGCTGTCGCCGCCGATGTCATTCCCTGCCAGCCCCGGCAAGTCCCAGGCCTCCTCCTATGGCTTCCCGCCAACCGCCCCAGGTCAGACACGTCGCTCCCCCGCCAGAACAGCCGACTACTCGTCTCCTCCCCAGGGATATCAATCGCCACCATGTGAGTGACCCGATCGCCTTGGCACTGGTCCGGCCCCCATGCTGGTAGTAGCTAACAAGGTCTCTTTTTTTCCTTCTCCTTCAACAGCTTCTTCCAACCGTGCCTCCCGTCTTCCTCCCCTTCAAGCCGCCGACCGCAGCCCAGATCAATATTATCCGCCCTCGGCCTCCTCCCATATGAGTCCGTTGTTTGGCCAGGACTCGCGATCGCCTCGATCGGGCTCCTTGCCGTCACAAGTCCCTGGTCGGGGCCCAGTGCCTAAGTTCTCTAAGATTAAATCGGTGCAGGAGCTTCAGCCGCGGGTGCACACGCAGCCCGCGTATCGTCGTGCCAACCCCGAAGGGGGCTTCATCAGTGTAAGGAACCCTTGACTGTTATCCCTTGTGCCTCGCGCTAAAGCAAGAACCGTCGCCGCCTGCAGCCGCTTCAAGCACTAACGACCCATCTCCCCGCGACCTATCGTATCTGCAACCCGAACTTCAACTATGAATCCTCGAGGAACCCGCGACGCGTCCTGACCAAGCCCAGCAAGGGTGTGAAGAATGACGGCTATGACAACGAAGATAGTGACTATATCCTTTATGTGAACGATATCTTGGGCAGTGAAGAGGCTGGTCACAAGTAAGAGCCCTGGGTCGTTTCTAGCCCCCACTGATTTCCGTTGCTCTAACTCTTTCCCGTTCTTCACACAGAAACCGATACCTCATCCTGGACGTTCTGGGCCAGGGTACATTCGGCCAGGTGGTAAAATGCCAGAACTTGAAGACCCAAGAGGTTGTGGCCGTCAAAGTCATCAAGAACAAAACGGCATATTTCAACCAGAGCATGATGGAAGTCTCTGTACTGGATTTGGTATGTCCCATGGCTGTTCGTTCGCGGCACTCGTTGAACCTGCTGACTGTTGTTCGCCGCAGCTTAATAGCAAATATGACAAGAACGACGACCACCACCTGCTCCGTTTGAAGGACACCTTCATCCACCGCCAGCATCTCTGTCTCGCATTTGAACTCCTCAGCGTCAACCTCTACGAACTCATCAAGCAAAACCAGTTCCGTGGCTTAAGCACTACTCTCGTACGAGTCTTTGCGCAACAGTTATTGAATGCGTTGAGTCTGTTGAATAAGGCTCATCTGATTCACTGCGATTTGAAACCCGAGAATATTCTTTTGAAGAAGTAAGTGAAGGCTGCAACTACTTAAGCTATGCCTTTTTAACCTTTGAATGTCGTAATAGTCTCGAAAGTCCTATTATCAAGGTTATTGATTTCGGTTCTGCGTGCGACGAGCGCCAGACAGTGTATACTTATATTCAATCCCGCTTCTACCGCTCGCCAGAAGTTCTTCTTGGCTTACCGTAGGCTGACCTTCTCCTTCTCGGTCATCTGATCCCAAAGGTGTTCTAACTGGTCTTTAGTTACTCATCTGCCATCGACATGTGGTCTCTTGGCTGCATTGTTGTTGAACTTTTCCTCGGTTTGCCTCTATTCCCTGGATCTTCTGAATATAATCAGGTTACTCGGATTGTTGAAATGCTCGGTCTCCCTCAAACCTGGATGCTGGAGATGGGCAAGCAATCCGGAGAGTTTTTCGAGAAGACCCAGGATGAATACGGCCGGAAGACCTATCGTCTTAAGAGTCTCGAACAATACTCGCGGGAGCACAACACTAAAGAGCAGCCCAGCAAGAAATATTTCTCCGCATCGACATTGGAAGACATTATTCGAAGCTACCCCATGCCAAGGAAGCATATGAAACAAGCGGAGGTTGAGCGAGGTAAGTCCCTCTCGATATTTAGCTTCCAGTTCTGTGGGTCATTTCATCTCACCGATTTATGATGAACTTCTAGAACTAAACAACCGAGTTGCATTCATTGACTTCGTCCGCGGCTTGTTGACAATCAACCCTCTCGAGCGATGGTCGCCCCAGCAAGCCAAGTTGCATCCGTTCATCACCCAGCAGAAGTTTACTGGCCCCTTCGTTCCTCCTATGAACTTGAAGTACTCGTCTCTCAATAAAACTGTCGCCCCCGGTGTCCAGCAGCAGCAGCAGGCTGAGGCTGCAAGCAAGCAGAGAGCGGCCCAGGCGGCGCACGCGCAGTCCGCCTACAACATGCAGATGAACCAGTATCACACTCCCCCAGCTCATACTGCCCAGGCTCCACCCATTTATAATGGAATGTACCAGCAGGGTGGGGCTCCGCCTCCCTATCCAACACAACCACCAGGGTACGGTCATCAGATGGGCATGATCCCTACCGGCCAGATGCCGCAATCACAGTATGCACCATCGCAAAGCCTTTATGCTCAAGCCACAACCCGCGCGGGCCGACAGCGAGCCTCAACCATGGACCCTCAAGGAGGTGGTATTCCACCGACAATTCAGCGCGTGGCGAGCCACCTGGACCCCAACGCCCCAATTCGGTTGCAACCTAGCCCGGCATACTACCCTCCGCCGCCTGATGGCTATGTCGACCCCGCGAATGCCAATCAACGGCGGCGTGGCAGCCGTGCTGCTGCCTCTGGGGGCAACCAGCGCAACCGGGACTTCATCCGCACTCTCGAAGACGGCGTCTTGGGTGATGGCTACATGGGCCAGAACCAATGGCACTAGAAGGGAATTAACTGGCATCAAGGGAGCCTCCCTCACCGGGCTGGAAGGGGAAATCCTCCCTCTGGTGCCATGTTTCTCTGATTTTACTGATCGGGCATTCCGCTGAGCCTGAGCATCATCACGCCCGGGGCGTGAGTGCCCGAGCAAAAAGGCTTATTCCGGTATTGTCTTGCTTTGCTTAGTTCATATCTGGAACATCGCTCGATTTACCTGCTCCCCTCTTAGCCCTCTCGACCACACCACACTCCCGCCGATAAATTCTTTTGTTCAACCGGAATCTTTTCCTAGGCATCAGTCATATTCTAGGAGTTGTGCAATTTGTGGCTTCTAGGCCAGCCCTTGTTTCGGTCTTGGGTTTTTGGTGGCCCTTTTTTCATTCTAGCTGGTCTGGTTGAGAGGGCAAATCCCCGATGTATGCTCTGCGTAGCTCTCGGGCCATGGACCCGTGCGGTCGTCTTGAAAACGGGTTAATCCCCTTGATAAAGAGTGGCGCATGCTGTCATCTCTTTTGAAGTATCGTGTTCGCCATCTCTTGTGTTCCCCCTCGGTTCTTCTCGCTATGTTATGCTTCTTCCTTTTGCCTTTCCTGCAAACGATTGTTCTCTTTTTCCCTGTTTCCATCACTTGTCGCTTCTCGGTATAGGCGGCTCTTGTGTCATGAGTCCTTTTCTTCTCTTCCCTATTTCATTTTTCTCTTCTTTCGGCATAGCCTGGAGTATGAAAGAACGATATCATCCCCTGTTCCTTGTCTCAGTAAACCATGGGTCTTTTCTGTGTGTTTTCGCCTTTTAGGGATGATTCTGGATCGTTTGACTTCTTCATATTGTTGTATGTTTGGATACATGTATCTTTGTTTCTTTTCCGCGGGTAGAGGCACTTCGGGACTCGGCCTCACTTCCGCGCCCATCCGGATGTTTTTTGCACGCAACTTCGTTATCTGTGAATTAGTAGATACCATTCGAATCAAACGATTACACGTACCTTTTTTCTTTTTTTTTTCTTGCTTCTTTTATCAAATCTTTGACTGAAGTGACGAGGTTGCGTTGTAGGAAAGCGCATAGAACGGGATTCGCGCGCTAGTCCCGATTGGGTTTAGTTAGCCCCTCGCTTAAATTTCGTGTGTGGCTCTCGCCCGCCATTCAACTCCAACTTTTGAGAAGGACAATCTGCCCGTGCAGCACCGGATTCCAATCATCCGCAACCATGTCTCGATTCTTCTACCGCGGTGGTAGCGACAGCGAGTCCAGCTCCTCTGATGAGGAGGAGGATGTCTACGAGCGCTCGGAGGAGGAGGAGAGCGAGGAGGAGTCCAGCGAGGCCTCTGACTCTGAGTCTGAGGAGGAATCCTCCGACGACGAGGCCGTTGGCGGTGCCAAGGCTTTCTTGAAGGATGTTTCCGACAGTGAAGAGGAGTCCGAGGAGGAAAAACCTACAGTCGTCAAGAGTGCGAAGGATAAGCGCCTGGAGGGTCTGGAGAGCACCATCCGCCTGATCGAAAATGCCGAGAAGATCAACGACTGGGCCGTCATCTCGACTGGTGAGTCCATCGTCCACCCTTTTTCTCTCTCCGTCTTCCGTTTGTGATCTCCTGCGGGAGTTCAATATGTGACTTGGCAACACGGTCGCATGGAAGGGCAGAAATGGGACTTCCTGCGTGGGGCGGGAACAAAACTGGCAGAGCAGATGCTAACCACACGATATCTCAGAATTCGACAGTCTCAACCGCCAGATCGTCAAGATTGCCCAGTCTGGGCCAACCCCCAAGGTCTACGTCAAGGCCGTCGCCGACCTCGAGGACTTCGTCAACGAGACCGTCAGCAAGCAGAAGTCCTCCAACAAGAAGATGAACGCCAGCAACCAGAAGGGATTCAACGCGGTCAAGCAGCGTATCAAGAAGAACAACAAGGACTACGCCGCCCAGATCGAGAAGTACCGTGCCGCCAAGGATGCTTTCATGGAGAGCGAGGAGGAGGCCGAGAAGCCCGCCGCTGCCCCGTCCCGATTCACCCGCGAGCGTATCCAGCCCGTCGCCGCTGTCGCTGCCGCTCCCGCCGATGATGAAGACTTTGTTACCGTCGGCCGTGGTGGCAAGAGCCTGCAGTACACCCCGGAGAGCATTCTGAAGCACCTGCGTACTATCGTCGAGTCTCGCGGAAAGAAGAACACCGACCGCCTCGAGCAGATCCGGACGATGGAGAAGCTTCTGGAGGTTGCCACCACTCCTTACCAGCGCATCCGTATTTACTTGACCCTCATTTCCACCCGCTTCGATCTCACCTCGTCCTCTGCGAACTACATGAGCCCCGAACAATGGAAGTCGGCCGATAAGGAGTTCGGTACCCTCCTTTCTGTCCTCGAGCAGCACCGTAACTTCATCATCAGCGAGGGTGCTGACGAGTGGGAGGATGATGAGAAGCAACCTCAGGTTGCCGATGATGAGACTTTCTACATCCCCGGCAGCATTGTCTCATATATCGAGCGTCTGGATGACGAGCTCACCCGTTCTCTGCAGCAAATTGACCCTCACACTGCTGAGTACATTGAGCGCCTGAGCGACGAGCAGCAGCTGTACACCAACCTTGTTCGGACTCAGCTCTACGCCGAGAGCCTGAACGCCGGCGAGAAGAACGACTCACGACAAGACAGCGTCAACCGAGTGATCATCCGCCGCCTGGAGCACGTCTACTTCAAGCCTTCGCAGGTTGTCTCCATCCTTGAAGACTCCACATGGAAGGCTCTGCCTGCGGAACTCGACTCCGCTGCCACCCCCCGCAAGAATGCCGGCGATGTCAACGTCCTCATCCAGACCCTCTGCAACTACCTGTTCCAGAACAGTGATGGCATCATCCGGGCCCGCTCCATGCTGTGCCAGATCTACTTCCTTGCTCTGCACGACCAGTACTACCGCTCTCGTGACCTGATGCTCATGTCGCACTTGTCTGAGAACATCGCCAACTTCGACGTTAGCACTCAAATCCTCTTCAACCGCACCCTCGTCCAAATCGGCCTGTGTGCCTTCCGTGCCGGCCTCATCTATGAGGCCCAGACCACTCTTGGTGATATTTGCGGCTCTGGCCGGCAAAAGGAGCTTCTGGCCCAGGGTATCATCCTCCAGCGCTACTCGACCGTGTCCCCTGAGCAGGAGCGTCTGGAGCGCCAGCGCCAGCTGCCCTTCCACATGCACATCAACCTCGAGCTGCTTGAGTGCATCTACCTCACTTCGTCCATGTTCCTTGAGGTCCCTCTCATGGCCCAGACCTCGTCTGCCCCAGAGATGCGCCGCCGCATGATCTCCAAAACTTTCCGCCGCATGCTCGACTACAACGAGCGCCAGGTGTTCACCGGCCCGCCGGAGAACACCCGTGACGGTGTCATCATGTCCGCCAAGTTCCTCGCCGCCGGTGACTGGAAGAAGGCTGCCGAGATGCTGGCCTCGATCAAGATCTGGGACCTGATGCCCCAGCCCGAGAAGATTAAGGAGATGCTGTCTGCCCAGACCCAGGAGGAGGGCCTGCGCACCTACCTCTTCACCTACGCCCCCTTCTACGACAGCCTGTCCATCTCCTCGCTGGCCGACATGTTCGAGCTGCCCGCTAAGAAGATCCAAGCCATCATCAGCCGCATGATCTCGCACGAGGAGCTGGCTGCCGCCCTGGACCAGGTCAATGACGCCATTGTCTTCCGCAAGGGCGTTGAGCTGTCTCGCCTGCAGTCCCAGATTGTCACCCTGGCCGACAAGTCCATGGGCTTGCTCGAATCCAACGAGAAGACTCTCGAGCAGCGCACCCAGGGTATGGCCAATGCCTTCCAGCGCGAGCAGGGCCCTGGTGCCCGTGGCCGTGGCGGCGCCCGCGGCGGCGGCCAGGCCCGTGGTGGCCCGCGGCTGCCGGGTGGCCAGCAGGGCCGGAGACCTGGTGGCCAGCAGTTTGGTGGCGGTGCATTGGGTGGAGCAATCAAGGCTTAAAAGGGGTGTTTTTCTCTCTCTGGTTTAATGGCATGCCTCTTTTTATCATTCTTCTTTTCCGTCCCCTCTTCCTCTAGCCCTCCCCTTTTCTCCTTGCCCCACCTCCTCTCCTCATCGCCGTTGTTTTTCCTCTTTTCCTTGTCATGGTTTCCTTTGTGTTCCTCTCTTTCCCTTTCTCATGCCGTTGCTGATCACGAGTGAAGTCCACCCGTGTCGAAGTCCCATGATACAAAATGAATGAATATAAATGGTTAGAAAGTGCTTTTTTCCCTTGTCTCGTGTAAGACCTCAAGTATCTTGTAGATATCTGTATGGATGGGTCTCTCTTTTAATCCTTTTTTCTTCCAGAAGAATATCTACCTGTCGGATGTACCTGGCGAAAAGATACAAATGGGGTTTGTCTCAAGAGCTGGGGTTTATTGGTCGTGCTGGGGGATGCCAATTGGTTCCAATTACGAGCTGGCTGGCAATTCAGGATGGCCAAGATCAATATGACGCGAGAACACAGCCTCTGGGGAACTTTTTAAGTCTATATACTTCTCCACAACGAGCTGCTTCGCAAAATACAATTCTTCCGATACTGTCGTTCAATGATTGGTAAGAAGATCGAACATATACCGAAGGTTCACCAACTTGTATCCACTTCTTGATCGAGTGGAAGATCATCGTCAGAAACACTATCGTCAAAGATTAAAAAAAAGGATCTGTTCCCAGCCCCACGATTGGAATGGAAACTGTTTTGCAAACAGAGCTAAAGAAATTCAATTTTACTCGCAGATAAGCCACACGCCGACCAGTCAATAGCATGGTACGTGACCACATGCGAATGCCGACTGTTGTGTGCTTTTTTCTTTTCTTTTTCATCCCTACTCTTTCCTTTGTCCATATATACGAAAAGGCTTTTGCTTCTACATTTCTAGTCCGTCCATCGACAATGGGGCAGACACTCCACGCAGAATCTTATCATTACGTCTTGGCTCAACCTTTATTTACTGATACGGCCTAGAATTTCCTTTCCACCTCCCTGATGGCAGCCCAATACTGCCCGTTCTATGAGTAGCAGTTACCTCACCCTCATCCCCATATTCAGATATTTTGCTGCTGCGCTGCCTTCTTCGAGTTGGATGTGAGCCACCACGATGCATGTTTTGTTGCTGGTCAAATGTATCGCTGGGTGAACTGGGACGATCAGGAGAGTGTTGTCTAACGAGCGGGCGAGAAACCAGTTTTGGTGGTCCAAAAGGTGGCATTTGCATATATGCACCCGCCTGACCTTGGCCCGCGTTTTGATTGTGAATTTCCGGCTTAGCGCCTCGGCCATTATAGTCAGATTCCCCGTCACTTGAAAATAGCGAAGGGGGCGATGATCTCGAAGGGATTCGCTGTTCACACCATTAATATGCGAGTTGGAAGTTTTTTCGGGACTCTTGTACTCACTGAAGGGGCTGACTGAGTTCTTCTTTTCCGCGAAAACCGCTTCCCGGGCGACGAGACATCTTCGTCTTGCTGCAGGTTAGTGCTAGATGTCTGGCTCCTAGAGTTGATGGGGGAGAGAGTGGCGGGGTTGTAAGGGTTGAAGGCTCGGTTGATATCGGTGAGGTTGGTGGCGACCACGAACCAGATGTGGACTGGCTCTCAGTGCGCTGGTGATTCTTTAGTTGAAGAACCTCGTTCTCCAAAATTTGCATTATTTTTTTGGCAAACATGTCGGCTTCGAGATGTTGACTCTGCGAGATTTTTTGCCGCATCAGGAGCTTCTTTTGGACTCGTTGAGCTTGCTGAAGCTTGTTGAGTTCGATATTCAGCATTTTCTTAAAGATTCACTGTCCGCAAACAATCAGTATAGAACTCTATGTCATCGATCAAGTGGAGGAATGCTTGAGATATACAATTGTGCCAGGACTACACCTGATCCATCCCTTCGGTAGGTTTGCAAAAGCAAGTGAATATGCACCAGAGTTCCGATTGTTCTCATAGACCTCTCTAGTACCTCCATGTCCTGGAAAAGAGAGGGGACAGTTTTCTTCCTCTCTTGAGACCATTCAAAATGTGCAATCCATTTTTCGATCTTACTGACAGGTTTTCCATGTATGAGAGAGCGAAACTTTCCGGTAATATGCTTCAGTCTTTCAATGGTTCGATTTGATTCCTCATCAATACTTCCCATAAGTTGTTGATATCGATTAAATATAGGCGCTAGTTCTTGAACTCTCCTCGCAGTTTTCATGGTTTCCCTGAAGAACTCGTATGTTTGGGCCACTGAATCCGTTCTTTTCATCACATTATCTAGATCTTTTTTCGCATTGCGGATCTGCTCACACAGCTTTTTTAACTTTTTTGCAAGCTTATAAAGGTCTTTAGCAATAGGGTAAGCAACACCCGCCACTGCGAGAATATCCGCCATTTTTGCCAGCTCGCGCTTGCATGGTCTTTACAATGGTCAGAGAGACATAGAAGTCGCTGAAGATTATTAAATAAAGTGGAGAAGGTTCAATGTCACCCACGCATATCAGTTAGCTAGGCTATAAGATAGACAGATGCTCAATTCAAACGTAAAGATACTAGTTTCGATCCTTATACTTGAATATCTATGCTGACCCACCGTCGCTAAATTTAAGCCCTCTGTAAGGCATTGCCTCATACTACATTCTTCGTCCATCTCGCCCCCCCCCCCCTTCTCCCTTAGCTGTCCAGTGAGGCTGATCGACAGCAAAATTGTATCAATCTTGACAATACACGACTGTTTACATGTTAAGGTTGAAAAAGCAAAAAATACCCCGCTTTACCTCTCTTGCCGTATCTGGCCAAAAAGGCTTAGTTCTTGCATGAACAGCCAATCTCTGCATGCCACGATAGACATCATCTTCGAGGGGTGAGCATGATCATGCCGGAGACTAGTACTAGAGGCAAGTTTGTGGTTTCTTGGCAACTGGTTTGGTCTACCTGATGCGGCTCAACACAGTATAGGAAACCCATCTACGCAAGCTTGCACAGGTCCCTTAGTAATGGCGGTGACCCTCGCGAGGTGTGAACACGGGAATCCCTGCTGAGCCAGGACGTAACTTGGCCATGTGACAGGCAACTGTGAGGCGGATATGCGTGAGTCTAGAATTTCCTGCATCGACAACTCAGTTCATTCGGTAGGTTCGCCTACTGAAGAAATGTAATCGCCGCTGCCCTCGCCGCCACTTAACATACTCAAGTGAAGATTGATGTCCTTGCCCTGTCTCTAACATCATACCAGTGACAAGAAGGATATTGAGGCCTGGGCCTCTTCTGTTTGGTTTCTCCTTACAGATTTCCCAAGTTAAATGGGTGGCGTTACCATGGAGCTAAGGAGAGCTCGTAGCAACTCAGGGATCTGATTAGCGTTTCCGTTAAGATGCGTCCATGACTCGCGCGCACTAATTTACCTGCTCGTGAGCAGCGTATATCTTAGAAACTAGTGTATCTCATCGCTTGAGTGGGTATCAAAAACGCCAATTTCCTTGTTAATCTCCAGTATCCCGGCCGTCCCCTACCCGCCGTACTGAATGTAGATCACGATAGAAGTTCATTCAATTCTATACTGTACGAAGAGTTTTATGCAGCTTCTCTTTATTTAAACATAGACCATATATACCCCCAATCAACTAAGTTCTTATTCCTTCCCTAGGACTCAACTTAATGGAGCGAGTTTGTTCCTGATCCACTGAGGCGTTGTACCACAACAATATTCCCGCGAGTCATGTTGTTGGCAATTGATTAGATCTTACTCAGAGTAATATTTGATTTCAGATACCAAACACCAGACAATAGTTCTTCCGAATTAAACTGGGTAACTTATACAGTAGTATCCACGAAGTGACGTGGCAATGGTTTTAGATGCATACTCGATACCCTGCATCTATTGGTTGATTCAGCCTTATCAGCAAGACTGAGATCATTCATCAACAAAGGACGCACAGTCCACTCTCATCTAATTTGCCAATTTATCCTTAAGCATAATAACAGTGTAAATTATAATAGCTAGTCAAAGTCGCACATCTTCCGGGTGGCAAGCCTGTCCAGGGAAATGTCCGATAGAGAATTCAAGAGCACATTTCAAGAGGCACTTAGCGATAAATTCAAGAATTATGGGACATCGTAATAAGAGCTAAGACCAAAATAGTGCCTTTATGATAGAGAAGTGACATACAGAGGGTGGTGGTGATACAATTTTGTGGTGACCCCGGGTGCCTTGGTTCCTCTATCAGCTTACATAAAGGACAATTCACAATTTTCACAATTTTTTCACATGGACTACTGTTACCCCAAGCCAGGTCACATGACCCCAGTACACCCTCTTAGCTAGTTCTGAGCATAACCAATAAGATCACCTTTACATCTCCTGGCGCTGTCACAACTACGTTCACAACATGCGTCTGTGATGGTAGACTTAAACGAGCTCCATGATGACAAATTTGGGTAGGCGGATAAATAATTTTTCGCCTTCCCTGTCTATATACTGAGATATTCCAGAGAAAGAGCGGCATGGAATTTCTTGAGGCATGTCTGTTTTAGGATGGCATATATTCGATTGTGCATTGTAGAATTATGGTGATTTATGAATTCGTCCAGAATGAAAGTTCGTCAGTCTCTCAAACTTCTGCTTGCTAAAAAGTGAATCAAAGGATTAGATACATATATGTCATGGTTAAACCCCTAATGCTCGTCAATTACTAACACTCTAAGTTCTGCTCCAGCTCATACACTGTTGGCGTGGACTAGAATCGGTCGAGAGACAACCTTTCTTGCCTCTCCTCAAGGAATAGAGCCATGATTTCAGTCAATTGAGCGCACATCAACATTGACAGGGGACGCCGTTTCTGATTATGATAAATGCCTTGTAGGGCCTAGGAAAATCAATTACATTAGAGACCTCAGATGCTATCTGAGGTCAATGGCAGACAATATCAAAGATATATATTGTTTCAACTGATCGACTACGGGGATAGTTTCAAGATAATTCTACTACTTCGCACAAGAATATCCATATGAAATGACAAATATAAAGTTTCCGACATGCTAATAAAGGCTTTACCATACTCCATGATGCCATCGACAGATCCCATAAGGTCAAGGATTTTGTCGAGACTATTTAGACCATGGGCAACCGGGTCGACGCTTGGGCCCACAGTGGCCTCTCATGGGCCCAAACCCTAGTGTTTGGGGTTTCCATGTTCGATTGGTCTTCAATTTTTTTTTTCATACACTACCAGTCTACCTCGAGGGGACTGACACTAGAAAATCACCTGAAACTACCCTCAAATACTGGTGCATGAAGAAGTTGCGGGTTGTCTGAAGCATTGAATTACCGGAAATCCTAGACTATCGTATCGCTAATTTTGACCAGATGTACACAGCCCGTGTGCAGAACAAACAACCCGTAAAAGACATAAATAATTTTGTTTTTTTAATTGAGGAACTCCATTTCACATGAAACGCCCCAAGAGGGACCCCGTAAAGAGAGAAATCTAGTTCATCTGGCGGATGAGACCGTTGATGTTCTCCTCACGGTTACCGGTGTCACCACCCTCGATGTAGTGCTTGAACTTGCGGGTGCGGAAACCACCAGTGGGGTTGGACAGCTTGAAGGGCCACAGGAAGTTGTTGGCCTGCTTGAAGTTGGGGCCAACGGTGTAGATCTCGTGGATCAGATCCTCCATGCAGACAATGCCGTACTTGCCGAGGTGCTCCTCGATCAGCTGGTTGTCGGTCAGGGCAACGCGCATCTTGTCAACCTTGCCGTAACCGCGCTTGTACAGAAGCTCACGGACGGACTTCAGGTTGGGGTAACCGTAGGCAATGTAGGGGTTGACAATGGTCAGCATCTCCTGGGTGGCCTTGGTCAGGCGGACGAAGGTACCGCTGTTAATCTGGAGCAGACGGAGGAGCTGCAGAATCTTGCGGGGCTTGGGAGCAATCTTGTTGATACTGTAGGGGATAGGATTAGTTGTCGGCTGCAAACAGGTCGGATAATTCAATGGTTGACATACCCCTTGATACGGACAACGAAGACCAGCTTGGGCTCGTCATCAACGTAGAAGTTACCCTCCTGGCGGGCAGCGCGGGCCAGGCGGATCTTCTCACGCTCAGCATCGCGGTACTCCTTGACGTAGGACTCGGCGCGCTTGAAGATGACACCACGCTTCTCCTTGTTGGCCTAAATGGAATCTCAAGTTAGCAATAAGATCCCTCAATCACGTTGGTGATTTAAAAATGCAGATGGCATCAACAGTGTATCAGCCCCGAAAGATGGTTAACAGGCGACAGCATTGACCTTTTGGCCTAGTCGCGTGGTTGGTGTTGTCATCAGATAGTTGGATGTGAGGGAAGGAGAGGTTCTGGGTTGAAAAACATGTGATACGAACCTGCTTCTGCTTCTCGGCCTCAGCGCGGCGCTCAGCGCGGGCAGCCTCCTGGGACTTGCGCTTCTTCAGGAGGGTCTCGGGGACGAGGACCTGGTCCTGGGAGGGAACGGAGCTGGTGGAGGTTAGTATAGTCTGTCCGCATGATCATGACTTGACATGAAACAATCCGCCGAGTGTCAGAACTGCAGCATAGAGCGCCACATTCTCAACTGGGAAGATAAATAAAACAAAATAACTCGACGAAATTTCTTTAGTCAGTGAGGACCATAACCAGATGGGCTTCACGGTTGATCCACTTCCCATTGGCATGTTTCAGCGCAACATTTGAAGAGATTTTCAACCACCCGAAAAATTTTTCCAGCCATGTTTGTCCTCATCCGACAATACCCCGAACCGAAGTCCAGGAACAATCTGTTGACGCTGTTCGTTCCATATGGGCAGTGACTGCTTTTACCGCATCAAAAGCACCGGATACGATAGCTGACAACAATAGTTTTGGAGGAGAAGGCGTAGATTGCTTTCAACCTCAACACTCCGCACGCCTTCATCCTCTCAACTGGGCCGATTCTGAAATGCGAAGGCACGTCGTCAAGGTCACACGAGCAGGAGGAAGGCACCGGAAGGATCGAGCTGGTGCTCAGCAGCCATCAAGTGAAGTCGATGGCCGTAGCATCTCCAGCGAGAAGGACGACTATACTGCAACCTCACAATCTCGAAGGATTGCTACAGTCAGTGGAAAGTTCAAGGGATAGCATACGTAGGAGTAGGGGCCATTGCGAAGGTCCTGAAGGTCGAGTTGTCGGCGAAGGTTGTCGGGGGAAAAGTTCGAGCAGAAGAACCACGAGAGAAAAGAAGAATTCGCTTGTGGGTGCCGGACCAATCTAGCCTATTACGGACTAGCCTTCACAATTACCACACTAACCAATTCGGGGCACATGCCCTTATCGCGCTTGATTAGGGCTTCTGGCTTATCGGCTTATCAGCTTATCAGATGACTTCATCTCGTGGCCTCGCCGGGCCATCCAAACACCCCTCCGCCGCAGCTCCTCTCACCGATTACCACAAAAGCCAGCCATCATGTCACGCCGTGGTGTCGGCCTTGGTGCCTTTGTGAATCGCAACCAAACGACGCAGTCATATGCCACTCATGGCGCTAACCTACGTTCCACGCATCTGGCGTCCCTCCAGACTCAGCTCTCGGTCTTCCAGTCATTACTTCATACGTTCGCTCTCGAGCACAGTTCTACCATCAAGTCCAATCCGACTTTCCGGGCAGAATTTGCGCGCATGTGCAATACCATCGGAGTTGATCCTCTTGCTGCTAGTAATATCAAAGGCAAAAATGGCCGACGAGGGCTGGGTGAGGGGGGTAGCTTCTGGACTCAGATCCTCGGGGGAGACATGAACGACTTCTACTTTGAGGTTGCCGTACGTGTAGTTGAACTTTGTCGCGAGACGAGGGGTGAAAACGGTGGCTTGATTGGCGTGGAAGAGTGCCTGAAGCAAGTAGGCAAAGGGAAGGCAATTGGAAGTGGACTAGAGGTTACCGAGTATGCTCGCCTTTTTGTGACGATCCAGCTGTGCATGACTAACTATATCGCCTTCATAGGGATGATATCCTCCGCGCTGTCCGTTCTCTCGAGCCTCTCGGCTCTGGATTCTCTATCGTTCATGTTGGCTCCAAACAATATATACGATCCGTTCCAAAGGAGTTGAACACTGACCAGTCGACCGTACTGGGGGTCATTCAAGTCCTGGGATTTGTGAGCGTCTCAATGCTGCGGTTGAATCTGAATTGGGAAAGGGCCCGAGCACAAACTGTGGTTGATGATCTGCTAGCTGATGGCCTCGTGTGGCTGGATGCACAGGGCCCCGAGAAAGAATATTGGTCCCCTCAAAATCTTCTGGATGATAGTTGATGAAGATTATAAGAACAGTCAATATTTCCATGACTTACCGAAGATAACATGGAATATATTATCCCGACAAATGTGCATCGGCAAGTGTGGTTCGGTATCAGCCATCTGAAGCTGACCATCGCTGGATCTCTCCCGCTGGCAAATGAAGGAGTATTACTTGTCATCTCTTGCTACGAACTGTGTTCAGCGGATCCAGCGGATTCCATGGAAAAAGAGCACGATTTGGGTGCATAAGCGAGCTTCCGGCCCAAGCCTTTTCTTTTCTTGGATTATCTACGACTGGCTAAATGACAATTCACAGACTGTGCGCTCTAGAGTACCTATAGAGCAAACAATGAGATATACTCATAGGTATAGACGCTGCACTCGCCTGTTACGATGTGGAAGAATCTATGTATCCACGGAAATCATTGCAACTGATTGAATGCACTGGAGCAACTTGCAAGTGTGGATTAAACTTGCAATACGTTCTGAACCCTGCGATTACGGTCAACGACCAATCGAAGCTGTCTCCCTTGCCAATCTGGCGTCGATCCTACGGAGGAAGCGCGAGGCTTGAAGACTCCATCGCGAAGGGTCTCCGTGAAGAGCTCGTAAGATGGAAAATCTGCGATGACAATTGTGAGACTTGGCATTTTAAAATATCTCCAATCAACCTCAAATTACTCACAGCCATCGACGAAATGATTGACCTGTTCCTCGGTCATTCCCGTGCCTCGAGCAGCTCGCAAGGTGCGCTCTTGCTCCTGGCGCCATTCATAAACGAACTGGAGGTCCTGGGCATCACTGGGGTAGCAACTTAGCAAGACAAATTTCAACATAGAAAATCAACAGAAAGAGAATCCAATGGCCCATACTCACATATGGATCAAAGCATCCAGTTTGCTGCGATTTCGCGTTAGCCCAATTCCTAACCCTCTCCAATTGAATATAATTTGGGGGCCACAACGTACTCGGTCAGAGAATCATATTGTTTCAATGCCTCGTTCACCGTCTGGACATCCTCGAGCTTGACATGACCCAATCGTCCATGATAGTCCCCGGTCTCTTTCTGTCTCACCGCAGCCTCCCATTTCGCACGCAGCGTTTGGTCATCCCAGGGGCGGAATCCGACGCACCATCCTTCGAAAATGACGACCTTGACCTTCTCTTGTCCATCGGCGTTGACCGTCTTCCAATGCGACCTGGGCACGCGATCGCCCTGGCCTCCGAAGGCGGACTTGTCATATTGTGGAATTGCCGTGGGTTGCTCGGCCGCAAGAGATGCGAAGACCTTTTCGCCCAGCGCCAGATCATGCGTCGCAGGCTGGCCCCGATGTTGGAGCAGTGGGTTTGTGGGATGAGCCTGGGCGAGGGCCACCTGGTCTGCGTGGGTGAGATAGATGTCGTCCAGCGACAAGGTCACCACGGAGAGGGAATACGGGGTCGACTGTAGCGTATCCTGCAGGGCTGACACCTAGATGACTGATCAGTACATTCCTCGGGGAAATTGAGCCGACGATGTTGTTCCTCGGCAGCACGGCCTGATCGAAGCCGACCGGACCGTTGACTTACCAGGACGGTCTTGCCGGCGCCCTGGACGCCATTGAGCCCCATGAAAAACGGCGGGGTCCTGCCATTGGCGTGGTGCCGTCCGGTATGGATGCGTAGCCGTTCAAGGAGGAAGGGAATGCAATGTTGCGACTTGTCATCCACTATTTCCGGCATGTTGGAGGCTCTCGAGGGTCAATTGCGTTCCTTTACGGGTGGTGCTCTGAATCTGATCGGTTACGGTGGCCGGCAAGTTCTCCGATCGGGAATCTGGGGTGCTTTTAGGCCCCGCGGGGTATCCTCTCTACGCGATTCTATGGCTCCTCTCGGGCGAGATGTCGAGGTCAAGGTTGACCGACCAACAGCACCTTTTAGGCTCATGGTTTACGCGCATGGATCTGCTCCAAATATCTTTGAGGAAAGTCTCGACGCATTTTTGTTTTGTAAAAGCACATGGCGATGACGTTGACTGTCACATGTCTGAGTCAGCAGCGGTACTGTGCGCCGGTAACACTGTACAGGGTGCCGCAGAAGAGAAAGAGAGGTACCTCAGCTCCCGGAGGAACCCTAGTGCCTATTCGGGAATGCAGCGAGTCTCAAACCGGGGGCCAGGATGAACCGGTGTCGAGCAAGTAGCATAAATTACCGGTTGAATATGGTCTCCATCATGCGACCGTGCTTTGAATACCAGCCTTAACCGCCGGGGAGCGTAAAGTACGCCGTAGCTGAGGATGCATTGCAAGCCATTGGCCCTGGATCGTCGGCATGTGAAGGGACCCCCATCTGCCATGTAACGATACGTACCCCATTTGTTACCGACCAAAACGTGCCGAGGTCCCCCAGACCGACCTGCTCCCGCCTACCGAGCTGGTCTTAAACTCCCCTCTTCTCCATCTTTTCCCCTTCTTCAACTTCTAGTTCTTCTACCCCATAGACTGAACTAGTCGGAGCTCTCTACTGCATAATATATCGGGATGTCCGAACTACGCTTCGATAACCAAACGGTGGTCGTCACCGGCGCCGGCGGCGGTCTGGGGAAGGCATATGCCCTCTTCTTCGCCTCAAGGGGCGCGAATGTCGTCGTGAATGACCTCGGTGGCTCTCACAAGGGTGAGGGCAAGTCATCAAAGGTATGCGTTCGTCCCGTCTATTTGTCTGCATGATCCTCTACTAAACTCTTCCTTTCCGCCGATCCGCAGGCTGCTGATGTCGTGGTCGAGGAGATCCGCGCCGCCGGTGGTAAGGCTGTTGCCAACTACGACAGTGTCGAGAATGGCGAGGCGATCATTGAGACCGCCATTAAGAACTTCGGCCGCGTGGACGTGCTGCTCAACAACGCCGGTATTCTCCGGGATATTAGCTTTAAGAACATGAAGGATGCGGATTGGGATCTGATTAACCGTGTTCACACATACGGCGCATACAAGGTAAGCTTGCATTCTGGAGATGCCCCAATCCATGCATAAATATCAGACTAATCAGATGGTTCCCTGACAGTGTGCTCGTGCTGCTTGGCCTCACTTCCGGAAACAAAAGTACGGCCGCGTTATTAACACCGCCTCGTCCGCTGGCCTCTTCGGTAGCTTCGGCCAGGCTAACTATTCGGCTGCCAAGCTCGGCCAGGTCGGTTTCACAGAGACCCTGGCCAAGGAGGGTGCGAAATATAACATTATTGCCAACGTCATTGCCCCCATTGCAGCGAGCCGTATGACTGCCACTGTCATGCCCCCGGATGTCCTGGAGAACCTGAAGCCCGACTGGGTCGTTCCCTTGGTGGCCGCTCTGGTCCACTCTTCCAACACCACCGAGACTGGTGGCATCTATGAGGTCGGCGGTGGTCACATGGCCAAGCTCCGCTGGGAGCGTGCCAAGGGTGCCCTCCTAAAGACTGATGACTCTCTGACTCCCGGCGCTCTTGCCCGCAAGTGGAACGAGGTCAACGACTTCTCTAAGCCCGAGTACCCCAACGGACCCGCCGACTTTATGGGTTTCTTGGAAGATGGTCTGAAGCTGCCCAGTGCTCCCAAGGGTGAGGAGCCTGACTTCAAGGGTCGTGTCGCCCTGGTTACCGGCGGTGGTGCTGGCCTCGGCCGGGCCTACTGCTTGCTTTTCGCTAAATACGGTGCCTCGGTTGTTGTTAATGATCTGATGGACCCCGAGCCTGTTGTTGAGGAGATCAAGAAGATGGGTGGCAAGGCCGTCGGAAACAAGGCCAATTGTGAGGATGGTGATGCCGTCGTTAAGTCTGCTATTGATGCCTTTGGTCGCATTGACATTCTGGTCAACAATGCTGGTATTCTGCGTGACAAAGCCTTCACCAACATGGACGACAACCTGTGGAATTCGGTCCTCAACGTTCACCTGCGTGGTACCTATAAGGTGACCAAGGCTGCCTGGCCCTACTTCTTGAAGCAGAAGTATGGCCGTGTTGTCAACACTGCTAGCACCAGCGGTATCTATGGTAACTTTGGCCAGGCCAACTACGCTGCCGCCAAGTTGGGTATCCTTGGTTTTTCCCGCACTCTCGCCATGGAGGGTGCTAAGTACAACATCAAGGTCAACACTATTGCTCCCAATGCTGGTACCAACATGACCCGTACCATCATGCCCGAGGAAATGGTCCAGGCTTTCAAGCCCGACTACGTCGCTCCTCTGGTTGTGCTTCTTTGCTCCGACGCCGCCCCCGAGCCCTCCACCAAGGGTCTGTTCGAGTGTGGCAGCGGTTGGTTCGGCCGCACCCGCTGGCAGCGCGCTGGCGGCCACGGCTTCCCTGTGGATGTCAAGCTGACCCCCGAGACCGTGGTTTCCAAGTGGAAGGAGATCACCAACTTCGACGACGGCCGTGCCGACCACCCCGAGGATGGCCAGGCCGGTGCCGAGAAGATCATGGCTAACATGTCGAACCGAGTTGGTGGCAGTGGCCAAAATGAGACCCTCGCCAACATTGAAAAGTCTAAGACTCTGACCACTGAGGGCACTACCTTCAACTATGAGGACCGGGATGTCATTCTCTACAACCTGAGCGTGGGTGCTAAGCGCACCGACCTGCCTTTGGTCTATGAGAACAGTGACAACTTCCAAGCGCTCCCCTCCTTTGGTGTGATCCCCTGGTTCAACACCCAGAATCCCTGGAACATGGATGACATTGTCAAGAATTTCTCCCCTATGATGCTGCTTCATGGCGAGCAGTACATGGAGGTCCGCAAGTTCCCCATCCCCACCACCGCCAACACCCTGACCTACCCCAAGCTCATCGACGTTGTCGACAAGGGCAACGCCGCCATTGTCGTGTCTGGCTTCACTACCAAGGATGCTAAGACCGGCGAGGACCTCTTCTACAACGAGACGACCGTCTTTATCCGTGGCAGCGGTGGCTTCGGTGGCTCCCCCAAGCCGACTGCTGTCCGGCCCAAGGCTGCCACTGCCGCCTACAAGGCACCCCAGCGCAAGCCCGACGCCGTCGTCGAGGAGAAGACCTCCGAGGAACAGGCTGCTCTGTACCGTCTGAATGGCGACCGCAACCCGCTGCACATCGACCCCGAGTTCAGCAAGGTCGGCGGCTTCAAGACCCCTATCCTTCACGGTCTGTGCTCGCTGGGTGTTTCCGCCAAGCACGTGTTCGCCAAGTACGGCGCTTACAAGAACCTGAAGGTTCGCTTCGCTGGTGTCGTGCTCCCTGGCCAGACTCTCCGCACCGAGATGTGGAAGGAGGGCAACACTGTTCTCTTCCAGACCACCGTTGTGGACACTGGCAAGCCTGCCATCACTGGCGCTGGTGCTGAGCTCCTCGAGGGTGCTAAGGCCAAGCTGTAAAATATGGAATTTGAATGCCCAGTTGTGAAGTGATATACCATGACCTGTGAGCTGGGATACTCCGGTCAGAATGTAGCCTCTTGTTTGTATATACATAGCTTTCTGTTGCTCTTGTTTTCGAATCATATGTCTTTTCGTATTCAAATTTTCAGATCTCTTAAGACCCCGTTCAATTTTCTTTTTCCATAAAGTTTTGTAGATCTTCCAGGAACTTTTCTTCGGAAGCTTCATTATGGGGCCATTCCTGCCACTCCCTAGCATCGCGCATTGGCATCGCATCGCGGGACAAATCCTTGCCGACTCGCCCCGGCGCAAGGGAGGCGAAGGTCTATATTAATATAAAAGAGATGCACCCATATGCTGTTCAAGAGAACTTTGAGATCCGAGCGATATTATTAGAATAATCGGGTTCCACAGGGTGTCCAAAAGTGTTGAGCTTCCACTACTTGACCCGCATTTCCCAACCGCCGAGTGGACAACGTAGGCAACAAAGATGCCGCTGGTCGTCCGTCTTATGTAAACCACACGCTTCGCGATCCTTCATTCTTCATTCCTCCCAACGACCAAGACAACCTTGGCAACCCCCAAAAGTCCCTCAAACAAAATCCACGCCCTGCTGCTGCAGATCAACGATGTAGCAGTGCCTCGCTCGCTCCCATAATGGTGCTTTCGCTGCCGGTTCCCGGCTTCTTCAAGTCCTCCACTTCCCCCCACGCCCCGCCGACGGCACCGCACCGACTGCCCACTCCCACCGTCACCGCGGCTCAACCTCGGCCTCAGCCTCTTCGTCTAGCTCGTCGTCCAGTCGAAATATCTGGAACTCATCGTCAGGGACTGGCGGGGCTGTGACTACGTCCTCTTCGCCAAATAGCCATTCGATCACACTCGAGGCCCTCCGAAACAACCCATTCGGCAGCACGTCACGATCCCGCTCGCTCCAGCAACAAACTTTCCGCCCTGCAGAGGATTTGGAGCGAGAATTAGATGAGTTGAACACGGCGTTGGAGAAGCTTGTGCGGATTTTCCCGGATGTCAGAATCGAGGTCTTTCGAGAGCTGTTGACGCGCTTTGACGGGCTCAGCCGGCTGGAAGTTTGCGTCGATCAATTGGTCCGACACAAAGAGAAATGGGTGGAGGGCCGATGGAATATCTCCGAGGACCAAAACAAGAAGGATGAACAAGCCAGGATTACTAGTGACGATACAGCTGATGGTAATCTGGTGCCCGCCGACGAGCAATTTCGATCCGAAGACTACAAGGCGGCAGTCAGATCATTGCTAGCGAAGGAATTCAGCGGCTTGGGTAGAAGCATGATAGATGGAGTTTTGGCAGAGGCGAACTTTAGCTACTGGCGCGCGCGGCCGATTTTACGCAACCTTTCTCGTCGAACTTGGCGAGCCACTTTCAACAGTCTTCTTCCTTCCTTCAAACGCAAGAAGGACCGAGACGAGCATCCGCTCCTGGCATGGCAGCGACAGCCGGATGGTGAAATCCTACCCCGACTCAAAGACACGGGGTGTGCTGAGTTAGACAATGAACTACATGCAGCTCTTCTGGCCCCACTCCTAGACCAAAGGCGCGAAAACCAGGAAACTGAGGATTACCAATTTGCGCTGGAGCTCAATGAGAGGGAGGCTATCGCAGCCTGTGCGTTGTATGAATGCGAGTGCTGCTTCGCGGATGTCACCTTTGAGCAGATCGCAACATGCTCCTCTAACACCCACATAATCTGCTATCATTGCATCCAGCGCACTGTCCATGAGGCGCTGTTTGGCCAAGGCTGGGGGAAATCCATGGACCTAGAACGTTCCACATTGAAGTGTCTTGCTCCATTATCCGTTGGCGCTTGCGATGGATGTCTGCACCCGGAGATTGTACGGCAAGCCATCCTACTCAATACTGCTGGTGCTGAGACGTTTCGCAAACTCGAGGATCGACTGGCATCAGAAGCACTCATGAAGTCTCAATTGAGATTGGTACGGTGTCCATTTTGCTCGTATGCTGAAGTGGACCCTGTTTATCACCCATCTACGCGTGGCATCCGCTGGCGGGTGCGCCGTGACGGGGACCTTATTCCGACCATTTTGATGGCCGTCCTCATTTTGGACCTTGTTCCTCTTCTAGTTCTCCCTCTTCTTATCCTACTGCTTTTTAATCCCTCTGCCGTCGGTGCCATATTCAAAACTTCTATCCGCCATCTCTGCCTCAAGATCCGTCTCAAGCGGTTCACTTGTGCCAACACGTCCTGTCGAAGAGTGAGCTGTATGACATGCCAGAAAGACTGGCGAGACCCGCACGTCTGCCATGAGCCACTTCTGCTGGACCTTCGTGCCACGGTGGAGGCGGCGCGCACGGCCGCTGTGAAGCGTACCTGTCCGCGCTGTGGCCTCTCCTTTGTCAAATCCTCTGGCTGCAACAAGCTCACCTGTGTTTGCGGATACTCAATGTGCTATCTCTGTCGGAAGGCACTTGGCCCGCCAGTGCGTCCAGTCCCACTACGCCGCGGCTTCGACCGACCTCGTCCACAAAACCTAGACGCCTACGATGGCGGTGCGGACGGGCCCGACGAAGATGAGGAAGGGGCTGGCAATGTCTTCGACGATGAATTCGAAGAACCCGAGGGGTACAAACATTTCTGCGAACACTTCCGCATCAATCCTGGCTCCCGCTGCTCGGAGTGCAACAAGTGCGATCTCTACCAAGCTGAAGACGAGGAAGCCGTTGCCCGGCGTGCCGGTGAAAAAGCCGAGCGCGAATGGCTGCTGCGTCAGGGTGCTATGTCGACTTCAAGCAACCCTGCATCGGCGATGGCCCTGCGCAATGTCAACCAAGACCTCTCCGCAGGAGCAGACACACGCACTAATGCGCGGAGGGCCCCTAATAGCCTCTGGGACTTGCATTTGCCGCCGAATAAGCGGTGGTCCTACTGGTTAAGTGATGTGTGGGCCGACGGCCGATGGAAATTAGAAGCCCAGGTTTTGGTAAACTGGATTGTGGAGCGAGCCATTGTCATCGAGGAAGTGTGACATTGTCCACAATCCCTATTGCCAACCTGTTTTCTCCGTGTTGGATTTGATTTGCAATTCTGGCGCCCTGTTGTCTAGCGTTCCGGGACGCTAAATTGTGGCTTCCTTTGGACCGGAACTGGCGTTATTCGTTTTTAATTTGGAATTTATTTGGACGACGTGATGACCGATATGACATTCTTTCTTTTGACGCATGGCGGATTTTCTGATGCTTGGCTTCCTATCATGAAGTGATAGTTTTAACTCTCTTTGAAATCAAAATGCCTCTGATCTCTCCTCATCTAGAATCGCTTCCATGCCTTTTGACATCCTGTTTTCATCATGATACCCTTCGATACACCAGTAAGAGCAGTAGTAGTGCCATATGAACCAAAGGCTCCTGTAAAAAGATTGTAAATTCACAAAATGGACTGCCAAGTACTATCTCCGTGATGGGAGCTGAAAATTGTTTATTATCTACTATGATACATTATGAGAACTACAATATACTTTCATTCCACAACTTGGGATAGGTTCTCTGTGCCCGTGTCAATCAGCAATCAGTCTTCAAACCGCTGATTTCCAAGCTTCTGCTTGCTCAAATCAATCTCGTCTTGAAACATTGAAGTCAACAAACCAAGCACACTGAATCCTGTCATAGTATAAAAAATTGTCTGGAAGCACTTTCGATAAACCTCCAGGACTTCCTCGAGTGTTTCAGTGGGAATATCCAGTGTTCTCAAACTTTCAATAAAGGAGACAGAATTGGACGCATCTTTGAGCGGTGCCAGCGGGCCAGTGAGTTGCACGGCAGAAACCACGATGTATTTCGAGAAAACGGTCTTAAAAATTGTTGAGCAGATGGTGAACCCGATGACTCCTCCTAACATGCGAATCGAGAAAAATAGTCCGATTGCCACGCCCGTATCATCGACATTGACACTCGCTTGCATAGGAAGGGTGTTGAGACGGAGCAGGGCAATCCCCATACCCCATAATATTGGTAGTCCGTATCGGATAGATGATGATGATCCTATATCAAACAGGGCAAGTAGACCGGTTCCCAGTGTTAGAATGATCCATGAAATTCGGAGAACCCATGTGTACCCTCCGAATACAGGAACGAGCAACATTGAGACAGCGGCAAATACCACGCTAATGATGACAGTTGGTAATAGAGCGACTGCAGATAATATTGCAGTCTCAAGTTCCACAGATTGATATAGCAACGGTAAGTACTGTAGGAGAGAAACCATGACCACTCCATGGAGGAAACCTCCAGCCAGTGTCATACTTGCAGTTTTGGATCCAAAGATACGATGCGGAACGATAGGTGCCTCGGGATATTTTTCGTAGAACACAAATATGACAAGAACGATAACTCCCAGAAGCAGAGGAAGAAGGGTCTGCCACGCACCCCAGGGGAACAAGGAGCCCGCCCAACTGAGAGGTAAAGCGAAAAGACTAATACCAATAGTAACGAGAGCCATGCCAATCCAGTCCAAGCGCTTCAAGTTCCCGAGTAGTGACGTGTCAAGAGGAACCGGTCGTAGCTTAAGGAAGAAAAGCAGAAGAGGCGTGCCAATTCCTAGAAAGGGTAAGTTTATCCATCCGATCCACCTCCAGGTAACATAGTTAGCGAAGAGCGCGCCAACCGTAGGCCCAAGAATATTTCCAATAGCCATTGGAATGGCCATCAGACCAATGTATTTCGACCTTTCCTGCAGCGTTGTCATATCCGCCAGAATGACCGACGCAAGAACGTCGATTCCCCCGCCGCCGAAGCCTTGAAGAACTCGGCCGGCGATTACATTATTCATATTCCTAGCAACAGCGAAGATAATAGACCCCAAGAAGAAAAATGCCATGGAAATGTATAAAGGGACCTTTCGGCCAAATGCGTCTGAAACACTCGCCCAGACGGGTTGCATGATAAGACCACATAAAGTATAGGATAAGCTCGCCCAGAAGGACTCTAGACTTTGACCATTAAGGTCAGCGGCAATTGTCTAAGAATGATATTAGCCTTGAGACGACAACGAGATACCCAAAGCTCGAATAGCGAAGAATGGAATTGTTGCTCACGGGCAGGGCAATGCCCAGGGAGGTTGCGTCTATTTGGAAAACGAACGCACTAGTGGCAAGGCCATGAAAGAAAGTTTGAATGCCAATGATTTCTTTCGCTCTGACTTGATTTCTTCTCCGGCAATTGCTTCTTCAGGGATTGGTTTTTCCCCTGTCCCTGCTCCTTTTTGCTCGATGTTCGATTTTGCTTCTGGATCTAAGGTGCATCAATTCTCTAAAGGCACATCAATCGAGAGTGATCTGTCCTTCAAGACGTTCTCCCCTGTTTCTGGTGATTTAGATGAGCTCGGTTTTCTCCACTGCGAAATAGGATCCGGTTTGCTGCACCCGATCACCGCCTGACAACCTTCTTTGAGTTCTGGACCCTGTTGCTAAGACGCTAGCGCATAAAATTGAGTGCAGTTTAATCCACCACGGTGGGCTTTTTCCCCGATGTAATTGACAATCTCAATGTCAGTATCCAGATTAATACTCCACGAAATAATATTAACACATATGACCGGTTACGGGGTTCAGCCTATCTGGAAATCGAGGTGGGGTTGACCGGCATTTAATGGAGGAATATCTGTTCAAAAAAATAGCCAGCAAGGCATAATCTGATAATCCATTTGAGCTGACATGTAGTAACCTAGAACGTCGTTACCCCGCACCCGACATCTTCCCCTGAATCGCAGCAAACTCTTCACTTCTGAAAGTATGGACCAGGCGATCTCGTTTTATGGTTCGAATTCGGCATTGCAGGTGGGAATCAATCATGGTCCGATCACCGCTACGTTTCCTGCTCCAGGTAAATTACAAGTCTTTATCAATAAGGGCAACAGTATTGATCTTTCTATAGATCTCGATGACAAGCTGCCCATGGTGCATGAGGCTGCCTTCGGGTCATACATGGATCAGCATGAGGATGAATGTCTTCCTGGGACGAGAAATAGCATACTCCATCAAATCAGAGAATGGGCTTTCTCACCGCAAGGAAAATGCATGTTTTGGTTGAACGGGATGGCGGGAACAGGAAAATCGACCATCTCTCGAACAGTAGCAACCACCTTCAGCCAAACTAAGTCACTCGGGGCGGCCTTCTTTTTTAGAAGAGGTGGAGGGGATCGGGGCAATGCTATAAAATTTGTTCCGACAGTGGCGAGGCAATTGGTATTGAACGTTCCTCAACTGCTCCCTGGTATCCAGAAAGCAGTATATGACGACCCGGGCATTGCGGGGAAGACGATGAAGGAGCAGTTTGATAAGCTACTCCTTAAACCACTCTTAATCCTGAAGCCTTCTGATCTCCCTATCCAGACTGTGGTTATAGTGATTGACGCGTTGGACGAATGTGAAGGGGATAATGATATACGACTTATACTCCAACTTCTTCCACAGTTACGCAAGTCAAGTACTATAAGTGTACGAGTCTTTTTGACCGGTAGGCCTGAATTGCCAATTCGCCTAGGCTTCTCAAAGATTTCTATCCACGATTACGAGAAACTAGTTCTCCATGAAATCCCCGAGGAAGCTATTAAGCATGATATATCACTTTTCTTGAATTATCGACTTTCAGAGATCCGCGCTGAGCGTTCCCTGCCTAGCGACTGGCCTGGAACTATTCGTCTTCAAAATCTACTAAACTTATCTGTGCCATTGTTTATTTTCGCGGCTACTATATGCCGCATATTTGAGGACTCTCTTTGGGACCCAGAGGATAGTCTTAACAAGATCCTTACACATCGAAATGATAAATCTCAACTGCATAGAACATATCTTCCGGTACTTGATCGGCTATTCAGCGACCAAAGCGAGAAACAGAAACGCCAAATAGTCCAAGAATTTCAGCAAGTAGTTGGTGCGATCGTGCTTCTAGAAAGCCCACTCTCAGTCATCTCGCTTTCAAGACTTTTAAGTTGCCCCGAGAGACTGATTCGTCTTCGACTAGCTCCTCTACAGTCAGTTCTAAGTGTGCCAGACGAGAACAATTTGCCAGTGCGGCTCTTTCATCTGTCCTTTCGGGATTTTCTCATTGATCTAGAAACCCGCGAAAAAACTCCTTTTTGGGTACATGAGAAAGAGATACATTATAGGTTAACCGAGAGGTGCCTTCTTGAGTGCCGAAGTCTATGGAAGAATATATGTAGACTTTCAAGCGATGGAAAACAACGTGCAGAGATCGATCGCCAGACTATCGATCTCTGCCTCCCTCCGGAGCTGCAATACGCCTGTCGATATTGGGCACATCATCTCGTCCAATGCGCAGACTCAGATGGGGTAATAAATAATGCTCTTCTATTTCTTCGGAGTCACTTCCTACACTGGGTGGAAGCAATGAGCCTACTAGGCCTTGCTTTAGAAGTGGTAGGGATTATAAATCTCCTTCAGACCGTATTGGTAAGTAAGTCTTTGGGTATTGAACGTTAGCTATTTATGAATAGGGCTTATTGATAGCTCTAGAGTGACAACCATACGGCTATGCTCGAGTTTCTTCATGATGCGAAACGCTTTATTCTTAAGACCTGCAAGCTAATTGATGAAACGCCCCTACAACTTTATTGCTCAGGGCTTATTTTTGCACCCCGAAAGTCGATAATTTGGCTATATTTTAAAAGCGAGCTTCCTACTTGGATACATCAGTTACCACAAGTTGAGGAAAGCTGGAACGCAGAATTACAGACTCTCGAAGGTCATATGGACTCGGTATTGTCGGTGGCATTCTCGCCTAACGGCCGGCTGCTGGCGTCCGGCTCTAGTGATTACACAATCCGGCTCTGGGATACGGCGACAGGCGTCCTTCAACAGACTCTCGAGGGCCATTCAGGTGCAGTTCAGTCTGTAACCTTCTCACCCGATGGCCGGCTTCTAATATCCGGCTCTGAAGATTGCACAGTCCGGCTTTGGGACACTATAACAGGTGCCCTACAACAGACTCTCAAGGGCTATTCAGGCACAGTTTATTCGGTAGTGTCATCACCTGATGGCAGGCTACTAGCATCCAGCTCCTATGACCAGACAATCCAGCTCTGGGATATTGTTTCGGGTGCCCTCTATCAGACTCTCGAGGGCCATTTAGATTTAGTCAGATCCATTGCCTTCTCGCCCGATGGCCAGCTACTAGCCTCTGGCTCCCATGACCAGACAATCCGGCTCTGGGAAACGGTAACGGGTACCCTTTATCAAACTCTTAAGGGCCACTCGTATTCGATTAGGTCGGTAGCCTTCTCACCTGACGGCCGGCTGCTAGCATCTGGCTCCCATGATAAAACAATCCTGCTATGGGATATAACGACAGGTGGCCTACAGAAAGCTCTCAAGCATTCAAGTGCGATTTATTCGGTGGCGTTCTCGCCTGACAGCCGGCTGCTAGTGTCTAGCTCTAAAGATCAGACGGTCCAGTTCTGGGACATAGCGAAAGGCACTATAGAGCGCTCTTTAAAGGGACACTCAGGAATTGTCTATTCAGTAGCTTTCTCGCCCGACGGACGGCTGCTAGCATCTAGCTCTCATGACCAGACAGTCCGGCTCTGGGACACAGTGGCGACCGTCATACAACAGACATCCCCGGGTCATCCAAGCGCGGTTCAGTCGATCGCATTCTCACCTGACGGCCGACAGGCGGTTTCTGGATCTTATGATCAGACAATCCGGCGCTGGGATGTGGCTACGGGTGCCCTACAACGGACTTGGAGGGGATATTTAGAATTTTTCTTCTCGGTGGCCTCCTCACCCGAGAAACGCCTACTAATATCTGGATCTAATAACCAGAAGATTCAGTGCTGGGATCCCGTGACGGGCGACGATAACCAGATTCTTGAGGGCCATTTGGACCTGGTCCAGTTGGTGGCATTATCGCCTGACAGCCGGCCTCTAGCTTCTAGCTCTGAACATAGTATAGTCCGGCTATGGGATATGGCGAGGGGTGCCCTACAACATAATGCTGAAAGTTATTCACATTCAGTTCGGTCAGTGGCCTTCTCGCCTGATAACCGTCTGCTTGCATCCGGCTCCATTGACAAGATAATTCGCATCTGGGATATAGCCACCGGCTTGCTAAATCAGACCCTCGAGGGCCATTCAGGTCCTGTTCAGTCGGTAGCATTCTCGCTAGATGGCCGATGTTTAATTTCTGGGTCTAGTGACCGCACAGTCCGGCTTTGGGACCTAGCAACCGGGATGTTACAACAGACTCTTAGAGGTCATTCGGATATTATTTATTCAGTAGCATTATCGCCGAATGGCTGGCTGCTAGCGTCCGGCTCTGATGATCACACAATCCGGCTTTGGGATATAACAACAGGTGTCCTACAACAGACTCTCAAGGGCGATTCAGGTGCGGTTCAGTCAGTAGCCTTCTCGCCCGATGGCCGGCTACTGGCGTCTGGCTCCTATGATCAGAATATCCGGCTTTGGGACACTACAACAGGAGCCCTAGAAAAGACTCTCGAGGGTCATTTATATTCAGTTCGATCAGTTACTTTCTCACCTGACGGCCGGCTACTAGCATCCGGCTCTAATGATTCTACAGTCCGGCTTTGGAATGTGGCGACATACATGCCACAGCAGGTCCTAGAGGCCCGTCTAGGCTCAGTCTGGTCGGTAAACTTCTCACCTGACAGTAGGCTGTTGGCGGCCGGATCCCACGACAACACAATTCAACTCTGGGACACAGCAACGGGTGCCCTCCACCAGACTCTCGAGGGCCATTCAAGCGCAGTTCAATCGGTTTTTTTCTCTTTTGACGGCCGGTTACTGGCCTCCGGCTCTTTCGACGATACAATAAGGCTTTGGAACGCTCAAACGGGCGCCCTGCAAGACACTTGGACTATCAAGGGACGAATCACTTCCCTCAAATATTCTCAACGGGATTCCTATTTGAACCCTAAATTGCGCTCCCCAAATATTCAATGCGGGCGAGATGATAAAAGTTCTAATCCAGCTAACATGAATCTGGAGATCTCCATAGAACGAAGGCAGTGGATAACATTGAACGGTGAAAAAGTACTGTGGCTTCCTGCTGAGTACCGGCCTAGCTCTTCGGCAGTCAAAGGCAGTAAATTAGCCATGGGACACGCATCAGGGCGGGTGTCTTTCATGGATTTTGCGAATAGCTGGCATTAAACTTTTTTCTACTTTAGTTTCTTCTAGTGTCTCACCTGCTCGGGATAGATGAGACTACTGAAATCGAATGAATGTATACGCCCCTATCTTGCTGGTAGAACGTGCCAATTATGTTTAAAGAGGCTGGAGAATTCATATATTGGCCAAAAATCAGTGGCCGGTCTTATACGTACATATTGAGGAAGTTCTCCTAGAGGATATCCGTACCCGCCAATCTCAGTCAAGTATTCAGCCTTGCATAGCTCATCTCCCATAATACGTGCTCGTCTCGTTAGATCTAGAAATTAGGCGTTACGATGGTAGATTGCAGTATCCTAAAGACCATACTGAATAAATTGTCAGGCATGAGAAATATCAAGAGGCGAAAGCAATGCATCGACAGACACTGGAAGCACGAGAGAAGGTGCTTGGACGCGAGCCTCCCGAATTAATGGCTAATCTCGATATTCCTTGGACTTCCTGGATCAATATGGGAAACTCGGAGCTTCGTAACACCCAGACCTCTATCTATAGCATTTAGCGCACAGACAGTATACATGGAGATATGATATCTATATTGGTAATTTCTCCTGCAACATCGCATGCCTTCATAATCTGATGCCGTGCCCAATCCATATAACCCTGTCTACCCTTCCCCGAAAGACGACGCACTTTCTCATCATTCTTCTCCCCACTTCCCCTGAATTAGGACTTAGATTCATATGCCTAGAGAGATGCTGCAAGTCATGGAACTAACATTATGAATACTGCTCTTCACATTGACTTCCTACGACTTGATTTGTTATGGAACAAGGTCCGTTATATCCAAATATAAAGGCAACCAATTACCAAAAGAAATTTGGAACTCCGAAGCCAGCGCGTAGGATATAGGCTAATCACGATCAGCCCTCTGCTACTATAGGTGTAGGGCCCTTCTCTTCCTCCTCCAGTTGCAGGAGATCTTCATAGTCGATGGCTTCATTCTCCCGAAAATGTTCGATCTGCTTATCAATAGCCTCATTCTGAAACAATTCAAGCTTTGTTAGGATACTTTTGATTCCACAAGCGATGAACTGGGATCGAACGTAGCATCGACCCGTTAGGTCATCCTCATGTTTGTCCACAAGCATGTTGATTAAAAATGTAGTTGAAAGACAGTATTCCAAGAAAAAATCCAGCTGGTCAATCCCTTGGCTGGAGTCGAGCTTGCTGTCCGAAATGTGTAGGTGGTTATCAATCGCGAGCTCGAAACTGGGGATCCAAAAGTCAAAACGGCCTGCCTTGTGATGCTGGTCCTTGACAATGTCTATAGCTTCGAGAACCTTGTGGCAGCCCTGCCCGTCGCCCCAGTGACTCAAAAAGGTCAATATTTCGCTCACAAGCTTCCTGGTAATTAAATCCGGGGAAACGAGTGAGTTTATGAGGGATACGACAATCGGTTGATGGGCCAGGGCATCGTCCACGCCGTATTTGTTGTTCATCAGCGCCTTAACACACCTGACGATAATGCGTTCATTGTCTCTGTCCCTATCATCTCTCACCGGTCCAAGGGCGGACTGTAAGCTGCTTTTGCGATTGATTTTTGTCAGAACATCTGTCAAGGCAAGGAGTCCCCGCGTTTCCAGAAATGCCTTCACCCAGCTACGTCGCTTATTAGTTCTTATACCGTCAATTTGCAAGGGAAGAGAGAATGACTTACCTGATTGGTTGTGTCCGTACGGCCACACTTAGACGTTCCAGTTGCTTGGTTGTAATGGTCCCGTCTATAATCTTCTTGACGTACCACTCAGGGCTTCCCTCTTCATCTATACGGCCGAGTATCTGACCAGATTCAGACCTGTGCTTTTTGCTTTGCAGCTCTGTTAATCGATGCTGGTGGATGAGAACCCATTTCTTTGCCGCCGGGTAGGCAAGCATCTGCTGTTTAGCCAGTGCTGGAAGGTTTATCCACCCTCTTATTTCCATCAGCTCCCGAAAGAGCTTATCAACTTCACGATCATCACCTGGCCTCTTGAGGTAATCTTCCGGCGCCTGAGTCGTGGTGGTTGCTATTGCGGCCGAACACCGATGAGAGCTCTCGGCAGTAGTGACAGGAGGCTCACGGGTTGGTGCTGGCAACCATCGAGAATTCTTTTCCCCCAAGGTGTCCCCTTTTCCTCCAGTTCCGTCGGAGCGACCGTCTTCTGGTGCTTTCTTCTGCATTTCCTCGGGTAGAAGTGCCTGTTTCTGCTTCATCCACTTCAGCATTTCAACAATAATCTCTGAGATACGGGGTAAATAGCGGTTAAGGGCCAGTGGTGACGCGTCTTGACTCAAGGTATCCTCGAGAACAGTACGAAGACGGTCGACGATGGATGCGCTGTCCCCGGTTTCGATTCCGACACTTTTGAGTACTCGACAAGCCAGATTGAACTCGTACCCACAGGACACAAAAGCCCTACTGACATCCCCTTCCGAAGCTTTTTCCCTCGACCACTCCGTTAGCGTTTCCAGAAGCCGCTTAGTCGCGACCAGGGTAGCAGTTACAGCTCTCTGGACAATCTTCACCCCGTTACCAGGCGGTGGTGATCGCTGCGGGGACTGGGGCTGGGGAGGCTCGCCCCGCCTGGCTGGCCTGGGAGCAGAGAGCCTCACGGTAGCTTCCATGAGGTTCACATCGCGATCCACAATATCACGGACGCGATTCGGAAGTGGAGAGGAGGACTTCGGGGGAGACATGGGCTTTCCATTGGTTGATGTGGCCTGGTGCTTTTGTTGTTGGCCTGCCGAATCCCTTCGAGATTCGCGGAGTTCCCCAGTTTGCGGTTGCTCCGATTGGAAAGCTAGCCGTGAAGTTGAGATCGTCGCAGTCGCTTCAAGCTCTGATGGATCCATACCAAGATCTCCTATCGGTCCAGCTTCCGGGTTCTTTGGGTCGGAAGATGGTTGGGCTCGGATCCGAATGGAGTCTTCGGACGATCGTCTTCTCTGCGAGAGCCACGAGGCTTGGAGTGCGCTCTCAGCTGATAGACGGTCCCGTGGGTCCAGGACAAGTAACCTTTTGACGAAATCCGTTCCCTCTGCGGTGATACGGTCTAGGAGAGGTTGCCCAGGAAAGGGTCCACCGGCACAAAATCTCCAAAGGTCCCTCCCAGCTGGGAATGGGACAACTTGGGTAGCGATTTTGTATACGACACACCCCAACGACCACATATCCACCGCGTTGGTATATTTGGATGTCGGTTCATCTGTATCAAGGTCCCCAGTGACCTCGGGAGCCATGTAAAGACGCGTGCCAATCGATGTGTAAAGGGCCGTTAGCTCGTGGTTAACCCGCTTGGAGATTCCGAAATCCCCAATTTTAACCCACCAACTTGCCCCGGGTGGCTTTTGGACCACAAAGATATTGCCCGGCTTGAGGTCGCGGTGAGTGAAGCCCTCGCGGTGCATAATGCGGAGGCCGTTGAGCAGGTTGGTGGTGATGTCTTTGATATCATCCTCCATCATGGAGCCAGTGATGTGATTCTCGAGGTCCCCCAGCTCGAAGTATTCCATATACAGAAACAGATGCAAGGATTCTTCGCACCATCCTAGGAACTTGACCAACACCTCTTGCTGCTGATACTGAGGCTTCGAGAATTTGGCCAGTGCCAACAGTTCCTTCTTGTAATCTATACCGTGGCGCATCATTAAACCCTTTTCCATGATTTTCACTGCCCGTTGGTTACTTGCTGCTCCCTCTCGCTCCATCCAGACTGTTCCATAAGTGCCCCGCCCGATGGGCTCTTTCCCTCGGTACCATCTCTTTTTAATCTCTCGGGGCACCAGGCCTTGCGCCACCTGGTATTCGGTATGGGTTGTGCATTCATCCGTCACAACCGCATCTAGGTGGAAGTGCTGCAGTAAATCCGTGGCCTCGGATTGATTGACAATGCTCTTGATCCGGTTTATCAGCTCCGTGTTATCCCCGAGATCCTGGAGGAGGACCGCGAGCTGGGACAGATCCATGACTTGACAGCGCGATGGTTCCGCGGATGGATCAAGCACAGGTGGCCCGGCGATTTGGGAACCGAAAGGCAGTTCAGCTCATCATCACTCAAGTTCTAGCGTGAACAGGAGGCTGAGGTCGAGAGTAAACAGGATGGACCGAGATCCAATGAGAATGAGCCGTCTAGCGCCAATGCTGCGGGGTGGATTCCAACAGTCTGACCCAGCAATCTGCGATGTAATCGAGAAGAAAAACCTTGCCATTCAAGGGTGGAGTGTCCCTTGGCCACTTGAAACTGGCTGAACTCCTGGCCTGGCATAAAAACGCACAATGGAAGCCGTGGGGCTGGGATTTGCGGCCGCCTCGATGGCAGAGCTGTGCTTACGGTAAGTTCCCGGGGTCGTGGCCTATGAGCCTCGCAAGACCAAGACCATGGGCAATTCGGAAATTCTTTTCTGAAGGGATGCTGATCATGGTTATGGATGGCGGGAAAAGGATCGGAAAGGACCTCTACGAACGCTGCCAATCCTATTTACGAGCCGACCATGAGTTGCGAGAAGCCACCTTATGCATCCAAGGCCATTGGATCAAGATCGAGCACCAAATCTCTGCCCTCCATCGGGTATGGGAAGCGCTGGGGGATGACCTTCAGACACATCAGAATATCGTACTACAGGTGCTCCAGGGGAAGTTGCAAAACGCGGTGAATAAGGTGGATAGCCTAGTCCTCGTTGAACAGCGGGACAAATCCAGGTTAGACCGGATTGTGGCCAAGATGGGGGATATGAAACGACTCAAATATGCGGCGTATGCAAAATCGTCTCTGGAGAGCATCGTTGAGGATCTGGAGAAGTGGCAGAGGATATTCGATCCCTCCTGGTTCCTCTTGGTCCGCATTGCCGTTCCGGTGATTGACCAGCAGTTGGCTAAAGAACCTCAACCCCCGGCGAGGATAGGGTCGTGTCAAGAGTGGTACAGCTACGCCGCGCTCACAGCATCAGTAAGAAGGGCACGGGGGCATCCTCTAGTGTCTTTCTCCCGGCAAGCTATGAAATAAACGACCGGGAGTTGATTCCACTCGCGACTGCATCCACCGGCAGCAACTCGGGCCGGGGCCTCGTCATCGACCATGTTCCAGCGAGGGAGCAAGTTGACATCGATCTGACTACAAAGGATGTCCAAAATCTGGCGCGTATTCTCTCCAATGTCGATCCGGAGCTTTTCGGCCTTCTTCCCTGTCACGGGGCCATCGAATGTCGTGATCCATCGACTCAAAAAATCACCGGGTTTGATATCATATTCTCAATCCCGGAGAACCTCATCCATACACGACCTCGAAGCCTTCGGACTCTCCTTTCAACATCACCCATGAGCTATCCTCTGAACGAACGCGTCAAACTAGCCGTATCACTTGCTCGGTCAATTGTATTCCTCCACTCGTCCTATCTCGTGCACAAGAACATTTCCCCTGAGAATATCATTCTCTTTCAACAGCCCACCGATGTCCTAGGAAAGCTGTCTCTGGTCGGTTTCGAGCGATTCCGTCTAGCACGAGGGCGGACATACATGTCGGGTGACAGTGCATGGGAAAAGAACCTATACCGACATCCTAAACGCCAGGGCCTCCACCCAGAAGAGGAATACACAATGCAACATGATATTTATAGTGTCGGAGTCTGCCTGCTGGAGATTGGTCTGTGGACTTCATTTGTCTGCTACTCTGAAGATTCAAAGTTCATTACTCCCAGCCCGGAGCTACCCATCAAGGGCCACATTGGAGCTAGGGACCAACAGAGGGCAGCCACGTTGATCAAGAATGTTCTTGTCCAGGAGGCCCTAATGCGCTTGCCGGCGGTGATGGGCCAGATATACAGCGACGTTGTTGTCTCGTGTTTGACCTGTCTGGATAAAAATAATCAGAGATTCGGAGATGAAAGGGAGTTCGAAAATGACGATGGCATCCTCGTTGGTGTCCGCTATATTGAAAAGGTAAGCTAGTCAACTAAGATATTGAGCCTTCGCATAACTAACCATCAATGAACAGATATTGTTCGAGCTAGAGAAGATTGTTGTGTGAGCTGACGCTAGTTCGTCACAGTTCCAAGCTACAATGATAAGAGATAAACATGATAGGCTACCTCGATCGACCAGTATAAATTGCCCCCTTGCCCTGCCTCCGCCTCATTATCCCAGTACTCACTCCACTCTTACCACCCGCAGACCTGCTTTGCCATGAAATATCACAAGAAGCTGGGACATGGAATCAATCTTTCCCTACTGTCCCAGTCTGCCCCCAGAGCTACGAATCCAGAAATGACGTCTCGCTCAATCCGATTGAGACCACTCGACTCTCAACTCCGACAAGAAGGGCCCATGGGAGTCATGCTTGCATGTTCCGTAACAAGAAGCTTTAGCTTATAAGGCTACAGATTATAGAATATACGTATCATAGTTTTAGAGGCTTATGTTAATATAGATAGTAAGACTATAAACCTTGATCAAATAGATATAAATATGATTACTATATAGCTGGAGCATAAGATATTCAATCTTATTCAGAAAAGTAGAAAAGAAAATGTTGCACGAAAACAGAGCAAGCGTGTCGTGTTTTATTGATCCCGCTTTGTTACTCAGGTCGTGCTTCGTAATCGACCCGCGATGATCTGGTCAGGCTCAGTGAGTTGATCATGCTTTAATTTCATAATGATCACTGAGCAGCTCAGACTGATCAGGGGTGAGTGGAAAGGGAAGGTCAATAGTTACAAGAAATCATGCGGTATATACGCAAAACAGCCCGAAAAAGTAAAATTCTCCAGATTTGAAGGTCCACCTGGGCCCGCTTCCTGTACAATCCAATCATCCTGGAGGCTTCATTCAACCCTTCTTCTCCTCATCATGATTGATATTCATGCGCTTCTTCCCTTCCTCCTTTAGCTTTTCATCATCGACCCGTTTAAGCCCAATTTGTGGGATGAGCCAACTAGCTATGAAGAAAGCTAGTGCTGCTAAAACTGCCCCAATAATGAAAATTATTCGAAAGCCTTTCTTGTAGGCTGGAATCAGAACATCGCGAATATTTTTGGCTTCCTCGGCTGAGAGACTGGACAGGTAATTTTGAGGACTTGAGAGCAATGACCGAGAATCAGCTTGATCGAGACCGAGAACGGAAATGGACGATGCAACGACATTGTTACTATAGGCATATTAGTAGCAAACCTAAATAATTCTGAACAAATAGATCTCACATGATAGTTCCAGCAACGGCAAGACCTAGGGTACCACCGAGGTTCCGGGCAAAGCTAGCGATGGTTAGTGAATGAGATTTAGAAATTCTGTATATTGACCCACTTTCGGAACGAGGTTACTACTGCCATATCTCGTCGCTCGACACCGGCCTGAATCGCGATCAGAGAAGGCTGTAACGTATTCCCAACCCCAACGCCGGTCAAAATTCCATATCCGATCTGCTTTCCAACTCCAGATGATTGATCCAGAGTGGAAAAAAGCCCCAGTCCAACCGCCCATATCACCCATCCAAAGAGAATACACTCTCGGTAACGTCCAATCCAATGTACGACGAGACCTGAAAGAGTACTGCTCACAGCTAAAACGATTTTGTCATTAGCAGTAGACCAACAAGTGAAGACAGGAGGGAGCGAATACTTTGCATCAAGGTAATAGGAAGCAACATAGCGCCCGCTTTCACAGTCGAATATTCAAATACCAGTTGGTAAAAGGTTGGGATATAGTACACCTGAACCAGAAAGTTCCATCCGTTTATAAACATGGTCAAGGATGCACCATTCACGATCCTCTCCTTGAAGATATGCATTGGTACCAAGGGGTTTCGCGCGCCCTTCCACTGCCATACCACAAAGACCACGGAGATCGCAAAGCCCACCACAAGAGTTGCAACGACATGTGCAGAATCCCATTGGTATTCACCACCGCCCCAGTTCAATCCAAGAAGTAGGACCGAGGTGCCTCCAAGGGAAAGAAATGCTCCAAAGAAGTCAATTGCTTTCACCTTGACTTTCCAATCCCCTTCCACCTTGCGAAGAGGCATGAAGAAGAGCACAAAAAGCGTTGTAATTACTGTCAGAGGTAAATTCAAACGAAAGATCCAGCGCCAGGAATCATGCGATATAGATGCTAGTGCACCGCCAATTACTGGACCGATGCCATTTGCAATGGCGACCACGGCACCTAGAATGCCTTGGTATTTGCCCCGCTCACGGAGAGGTACAACATCGCTAACGATCATCTGAGCGACGGTCATTAGGCCGCCACCACCAACGCCGGTAAGCGCGCGGAAGACGATAAGCTGGGTAACAGTTTGCGAGAGAGATGCTGCAAGGGATCCGATGAAGAAAATCGCCAGGCCAACGAAGAGCACAAGCTTCCGTGACCAGATGTCAGACAATTTCCCATAGAGAAGTTGGAAACATGTCGATGTCCTGTTCTTCGTTAATATTCACGTTCTCTCTTCAGAAATGACGGCAACTGCGATCGTCATGGCTCTAGAATAAGGGCTACTTACACAAAATATGCACCGGAGATCCATGATGTCTGGTCGCTGGCACCCAGATCGTTGCCAATAATAGATAACGATGAAGCCAGCGTCGTCTGGTCCATCAGGGCCACAAGGTCGACGGTCGAGCATGCCAAAAAGATCTAAGGGCGATTAGAGCCCAATATCAGTTCGTTTCTTAGATGACAATTTTCGAGAAGTATCAGACGAAGAAGCAGCCTTCCACAACAGCAGCAGGCAATTTTTCGATTCCTGATGCAGACAAGGGCCTACCGTGATGATCGTGCGCTTGGGCACATAGTTAGTTTGCTCGTTGAAAACTACTTGGGCTCCATTTTTGTCCTGCAAATCCACCTGTGAGCTGTCGAAGCCTGAGTCACCTGATCGATTTTCGAGAACTCCGGGCATTGCGTGTATTGCGCCGTAGCCAACGATTCCAGAAAAAGAGAACAACAAAAGAGAATGGGCGCCCCGAAAGAATCTTTCTGCATTCGGAATGACGATGGAAAGTGGGATTTTCTGGGAGGGTTGGGATGCCAGGGAAATCTAAAATACAATAGTTATGAGAACAATAATAGTCGAACTAAAGAGAAATATGGATCTTAGCCAAGAAATTGACCGCATTTCGCGGGCTTCGTGCGTGCATTGCTCGGATTATGGCGTATGCTCATGGAGTGTCAGCCGATCCAATCTCGGCAGGGACTCACCCAACAGTTTTACTAATTGAAAAACTCAATGATATATGGTTGTACATACGGAGTATTAGGAGTAGGACGTGGCACAGGTCGCCCAGGGCCTCGGAGAAAGGAGCATTCGACCAATCAAGGAGTCAAAGGACATTATAGAAAACGGAATAGGATCGGCAAGAACCTTGACAGCCGCCGATCAGCGCCACAAGCGACGCGATTGCGGGCAAACTTGCTCAAACACTCTCAAGGTCCCCACTAAGCGAGAAACCTTGGAATCTCTTACATATTACATCTGACATGCATGGGCATTAGGGAGGTGAGGACCTGCTGTAGAGTTTATGGATGGCAGATTAGTATTTCTCGGCGCGGAGACTCCGAGGACCTTGAGAAGCTTGAGGAGCCCGTCACCCTGAATATCTATTCAAAAACCGTATTCAATGGCTGTGTGGGGTAGTAACCGCAAGAAAGCCTAGAATTCTGTGAGTAAAGCTAGTAGAATGGAAATACTACAGCGGGGACCAATGACGCAGTTGCCGCGAGCTGCTCCGACCGTTTTCGAATATTTCCGGTCTAATTTCGTCGTCAAATACGGGATGTGACTAAACTGAAGAAGTATGCATGGTTTTATCCAGGATTTTCCTGCTTGGGTTAACTGTAGGTAACCGTAGATTCCTAGTTTGGCAAGTAGACCATGGGCCTGGGCCAATGGGTCAAATGAATGGACTACCAAAATCGAAATATTGTTCCAAAGTGGGTTTCAGTCTGTCATGAAGATCATTTGAACAACCTGCCTGATTGATCTCAGTTGCGGAAAGACAAGAGGTAATTTTCAGGCGCTTGCAGCGTTTTCGGGTAGTCCCTGGACCACCCGTCCCATCCTTACACTGCCTTGTTCCTCGAGCTCTTTGAGAGTCTTATTGTATCGTCTGAGCCCCTGTACATGTGGAGCCCCTCGAGAGGGAAACACGTTTCTCGTGCGTTTCTACCTTTTGGGCGCCAAGCAAATGCAGTCAGATGGGCAGAGGTCCTGGGGGAGGGGTTATAGAAGTATATCTATCTCGTGATACCCGCCTTTTTCGCCTTCCCTGTCTTTTCAAGTTCGTGTTCCAAATCCTCCAATCTTTTTTTCGCAACAAATGTTTCAAAAGATCATGGGTGCCGGGGGTAGTACGATGTTGACTCCTGAAACAAGGGGTTTCTCGAATGAGCGCAATGTATACTTCGGTACAGACTCATTGAAGAAATATTTCGATCCAGATTGTCAGCCCCCTCTGCCACTAGTCGAACTACCAGAATATCTGAATCCATACTACCACGATGGAGTGAGGATATACGCCAAAATGATGACTATGCATCCGGCCAACAATGTTAAGGCCATGCCCGGTATGACACTGCTTATTACCTTGATAGAAGAACCTCACGTTGACGTAAAAGTAGCCTTGAATATGCTTGAATCGAGTGTCACGCCAAATAAAACAAACACTATCATCGAGTACAGCTCTGGGTCAACAGTAATCTCGATGTCAATGATTGCCCGCGTCATGCACGGCGTACAGGATACGCGAGCGTTCCTTAGCAACAAGACCAGCGACGCAAAGTTGAAGCTGATGCAATTCTTTGGATTGAATATTACTCTCTTTGGGGGCCCATCACAGCCAGAGCCAATTGACCCTCGTGGGGGTATTCAAAATGCCCGCCGCATGGCCCAAGAGTCGAGTGACATCGTCAATCCGAATCAATACGAAAACGACCACAATTGGCAATCACATGTTCGGTGGACTGGTCCACAAATCTTTCAGCAGTTGCCAGAGATAAATGTACTCTGTGCTGGTATGGGGACCTCAGGAACTATGACCGGACTGGGTACATACTTTAAAGGGGTCAAACCATCCGTGTTTCGACTCGGAGTTTGTACTGCTCCGGGAGACCGAGTGCCTGGGCCTCGTTCGTTCGCCCTGATGCGACCCGTTGAGTTCCCCTGGAAAGAAGCTGTGGATACTATTGAGGAGGTTGGGTCCTCGGACTCGTATACGTTGTCTTTGAAGCTGTGTCGCGAGGGGTTGGTATGCGGTCCTTCTTCCGGATTCAATCTCCAAGGTCTGTTCCAGATGCTAGCCAAGCACAAGGATGCAGGAACCCTGTCCGATCTGGCGGGGCCAGATGGTGTAACGCACTGTGTCTTCCTATGCTGTGATTTGCCATATCAATACATCGGAGAATACTTCCAGAAACTCAGCCCTGAGCAATTTCCGCCCATTCAGAACGAGGTAACCATCTCCCCAAGTTACTAAACTATTGTAAGAGGCCTGTCAACTAACGAATATTTCATCTACAGCAACTAACCAAAGTCGATCTTCATAGATACGATGAGGCCTGGGAGCGTGATGCCTTGGAAGTTCTCCCACACGTCTACGGCTCTTCACAGCCGCTGGATCAGTGTTCATTGAGCGAGATCACCCTGCGGCCACAAAAGCGGGTGATCGATCTCCGTAAATCCGATGACTACCAAGCGTGGCATCTCCCTGAATCGATCAATCTACCGCTTGTTAGTGCTGGCCCGCACACTGCGTCACCGTTCTCGGATCCGGCGGTGTTGGAGGCGCAATGGGTGGAGCTGGAGCAGGTCTTCAGCACCGGACGCTTGGTCTCAGATCTTGGTTCACATCACGTTCTGGTGGTATGTTACGATGGAGATACCGCACGTGTTGCTACGAGCGTGCTTCGGAGCAATGGCCTCGAAGCGGATAGTCTGCGTGGAGGTCATCGCGCTCTCCAGATGTATCGCACCGGTAGTGATCCTGCGCCTGCCCCCGCGGTTTCCAGTGCAAAGGTACCTATTGCGGCGACAGTTTCTGTTGCAGCTGTTAACCCTTGAGCACAAAGATTATTAGGCAAATTATGATCGGCAGGGAACATTTATCCAAGAGAAACGAAGAACACCACTGGAGAAGTACGGAATGGAATGGAGAAGGCAATCGAGGAATGTAGGGTTGCTCGCGACCATGTGAGGCGCTAAGCCCAATGCGGAAGAGGCATTGGAACTGCGTCTTCTGTTGTATATCGAACATCGCTTATTCGCATATCGCACATACTTTTTTCACTGCTTTTTAGCATAGTCCATCTCCTTGAGTAGCTGTTACGTCCGGAAACTACCTAGGGTTCGCTTCTCATCGACCCGTGGGATACTTGGGCGCATGAAACCCTGTATACTTCGTCCCAAGATCCCGACAGGGGCGGTCTGGGCCTGAGTCCCCCTGTCTGGGCCCCTGCCTATCCACTTCCTCCCCCGGAGTGGACACTAGTGGAAACCCCATCCACGCAATAACGTTGTATTCAGAGCACCTTTACCACGTCATTTGCTCATTTTGATCGAGTTCTCCAAGAGCACTCGTGTGATCGCACAAGTGTTTTCGAAATCCTATTGTGCGAGAGCAATGCGGAGAAACCACCGTTTGCCCAAGTCGGCGACGTCATTCCTGCCCTTTCGGTTCCGACTGGCAACGAGGGGGCCTAGGGTTTGGGTCTCGCGCGCAAATGTGCTCAGTGGACCCGGGCTCGGGTCTGACTACGGAATTTGTATAGCGCGATACGAACTAAAGAAATCGGATTCCAGAAGGAATCTGCACCAGATGATTGCAAATCATAATTCCAACAAACGAAGTATAATCTATGAGATGATCAACAACAGTGATGTTAATGAATAATGAATCCAGCCATATCTGGCCAGGCTGTCCGCCGATCCGACGGCTGATCAACAGCCATGAAGAATGCGCATCGGAAACAAGCTCAAATCCCTAGCCCCGTGTACCTTGGGTTGCCGTCCCCGTTGAGAACCACCGCCCGAGCTTCCCCGTTTTCGGCTGTGCAACCTCCACCACGAAGCTCATGTACGGCAGGGCTGGTCAACCAAATCGAACCCTCGTCGATGACTGCATCGACCTTTGTGCCGGTCGAATCCGTTTGCTTCGCTACCCTTTTCCATTTACTCCTCATAACAACCCTTTGTTGCTGTTGTGATGGTCTTCGTTATTTGAACTTGGCTTCCTTACTGAGAGGAGCGACAAGCAACCCAACACTGCGGTGTACACCACGATGAATATGGATATGGACATGTCGGGTGGTGATGTCCCCTGGTTGGACCAGCCTGTCTTGCTGCACTCTTCTCGAGCAGATAAGTGTAAACTGACTGACGCCCAGTGTCACTATCGCAACGGCCACTGGCGTTACTGGTATGCATTCCAGCCATCGCCATTTTTTTGGGTGCTCAACACAAGTGTTTGCCGCATGCTGACTTTGTTTCTTGGTGTTTAGGTATCAAGCAGATCATGTATATGCACTGAATACAGTGTACTTTTGCTGTGCTGTCATTGCAGTCTTTGCGATAGCAAATTTTCTGGTCCGGCTCACCCCAGATTGGATGAAGCGGACCAAATTATGGCGGGCCACAACTTCAATCTCAAGATACATGTCCTATCGTGGGTACGGATTTCCGGTGCTTAAGTATTGGTCCCCATCAGTGGGAGTTATCACTCTGGGTGTCCTAGGCGCAATATTCTTTTTTGGTACATAGACGGCTTCGTGTGGAACTTGAATTTGGGGAGCTAATTCTGGCAAATATAGCAATGACCGTTGGCCCAAAACCTTTTTACTGGCCAACCGATGCGGACTATGGAAGCAGTCCCCCTATCGCCACACGAGCAGGCTGGATGGCCCTCGCTCTTCTACCATTTGTTCTGTACGCTCTTACCGAGAAATTTTGAAACAGAACGGAGCACTAATCTAGTTTACAGTGCCTTAAGTGTTAAGGCAAACATGATATCCGCCTTGACTGGTATACCTCATGAGAAACTCCAGGTTTTTCATCACTGGTCCAGCTATGCCATGTTTGTTCTGGCTTTGGTTCACACATTCCCCTTCATTATATATCACATATCAAAAGGTGACATGGTGAAGCAGTGGAAGACGAGTCTTGTATATTGGACAGGGATCGGTGCTATCATTCCACAGGCCTATCTGACAATTATGTCATTGCCTTTCATCCGAAATCGCTTTTACGAATTTTTCAAAGCAACTCATATGATTGCTGCCATCCTTTTTGTGGTCTTCTTCTTTCTTCACTGCGATTTCCGCCTTTCCTCGTGGGATTATTTTATTGCTAGCGGGGTGATCTATGCTCTATGTTTGCTAACCGCACAAGTCCGCACTTACCTGATGCATGGTGTTCATACCGCCACCCTCGAACTTATTCCAAGTGGCCTACTCCGCGTATCAGTCCCAACGATCATTAACTGGACACCTGGTCAGCATGTTTTCGTACGCTTTTTGACGTCTGACCTACATCTCTTAACTGCCCATCCATTCACTATTTCCTCCGTCTGTCATGGCCCCGAAAAGATCGGTAAAGCGTCTGAGATTATCTTCTATATCAAGCCCCGCGGCGGAGTGACCGGTCGTCTTGCCGCACTTGCGGCAAAGCAATCTGGTATACAGAAGAGAATTCTCATCGAAGGGCCGTACGGTGGCGTCAGCGCACATCACATGGCAAAGCTTGATACCATCCTCGTCGTCGCCGGAGGCTCGGGAGGGGGTTCTCGCTTGCAATGGTAGACGAAGCACTTCGTCTGAGCAGTCTCATGACCGATGAAAGCAGGTCAGGTGAAGAGATTCGCCGCCGCCTGCAGGTCGTCTTTGCGACTCGCGACACCGCCATGGCGAACTGGTATGTTGATGAAATTGAGTCGAGGCTCTCACAATCAACAACGCTCCCAGGCTCAGATAGCGGGTTTGAGACCGCAGTGTCAGTCCACATCACTGCCAATCGCGACCCGACAATCTCCACCTCCACGCTGGACACTGAAAAGACATTGACGCCGAAGCTACCCCCGACAGAGATTACGACCACGGGAAGCTTTAGCTTGAACGTGCACCGCAATGCGAGACCTGACATTCCTGGCCTTATCGCACGCACTGTGGCAATGGCCCACAGTAACCCCCTCCCAAATGGCAAGAAGCAGCGCATTGGTGTGCTTGTATGTGGACCAGCATCTATGTTACACGACACACGTAATGCAGCCGCTCTTGCGCAGATCCGTACATTTGGCGGAGAGGTGGAGGAGCTCTATTTGCACTCGGAACCCTTTGCGTAAGTTCGATCTCCTTTCCCATGCAGCGCGGATAGCCTTTGCTGACTTTTTTGATCAGGTGGTAAAAATTCTCGGCTTCAGTATATATTTTGTTTTGCATTTGTTCAAAAACCTGTCTTGTGTACATATTTTAACTTATTGGGTAGCTTCCTTCCCTTAACCCTTTCTATTGCTATAATGATGACTTGAGTTCTCAAATTACTTTTTCGTGTTATCGACTTTTCCATACCAACTTGACTGTCTCTGGTTCTGGAATATGCAGTGTAAGTAAGGATTTGCTTTGCTGCACCACATGCAATGCCTTTATCCGAGATTCTTGGATGTTTTCACCCGGGCCTGGGGAGATGTGTACAGAGGCACTGCGTAGCAGGGTTACAAGCACAGCGATGATTTCGACCTGGGAAAATTTCTTCCCTGGACAGATACGTGGTCCTTCAGCCCATGCTAAAAGATCATTAATCTTATTGCTGTCAAGTTCCTCTTTAGTGTTGTTTGAACATTTGCGTATCCATCGGTCGGGGTTCCATGAGAGGCTATGTTGGCCCCAGTAGTTTGGGTTTGTGTGTAGAGCTGGCAGGAGCATGTTAACTTGTATATTTTCTGGGATGACAAGTTCCTTTTTGTGGGGTAGATGGGCTGTTTGGGATGTCTTTCGAAAATTCGTGGTGACTGGCCCGTAGAGTCGTAGTGTTTCATACTAAGAACGTAATTAGATTCGACATATCATTCAGAGGTGGATGACTTACCATAATGGCTTTAAGGCGATTGATCCGAGGAAAGGCTTCTTGAAGTGTAGGAATCTCATGTGGAGGTAAACCCATAAAGATATGGTCCAGTTCCTCGGTTGCCCAATGCTGCCATTCCGGAAAGATGGCAAGCAGATAGAGAATGTATAGTAGAGTGTTTGCTGTTGTTTCCTGGCCAGCGAAAAGAAACAAAAATATATTACCTTTGATTTCTTGATCGGTAAGAATATTTGCCTCTCGGAAGCCGAGTAATGCAGAGAGGAGATCTGGCTCCGATCGAGGATGATTTCTCCGGTAGTTCATCAGGTCATTTAGGAACGAACCAAGACCTTTTAGATTATATATGAACTGATTTGACGGCTCCTGTAAAAACCTCAAATTGAATTTTGGCGATGCAGGTATCATATCCAGGAGTAGTTTGAGGTGTTGTTTCCCACCATTGATGTCGAGGTCGTGCTTTTCATTTTCAGCGGTCTCCGTGTCCCCTTCTAAGCCCATGCATGCCTTCAAAAGAACTACAAAGCCGATTCGAGACATCTCATCTTGGGTGTTGGAGACTTGAGTCTCAGACCTGAAGCCTGTAAGGGTATTGGCTGCTTGCTTGCAAGATTCATACCAAACGATCTGGTTGATATTGTCTGAGAATGCAACGGCTGTGCATCGGCGATGGCGGTTCCAGTCTGCGCCTTCTACCTGAAAGAAAAGACTGGTCAGCTCATTATCCGATAATAAACAATGCCACTTACTGAAGCTAAGCTGTCGCCGAAGATGGTGATTTTTTCTGTGAGAAAACGTCAGCATGTCACCTAGTCCATTCGTAATTATTGATTTGTAAGTTCGTACTTGTCATTTCAGTCGGTTTAGTAAATTCCTTTTTTCGCGCAAGCACCTGCTTTGCCAGACTCACATCGGCAACAAAGAGCTCCCACCCTGTTGGAGTAATGAATGCGAAAATGTCACCATAATCTTCACAAATTTTGTATTTCTCGGAAAATACCCAATTTGACTGAAGAAATCGAAGAAATGGTAGGCATCCCCACAGAAACTTCAACGAATTGTGCCTCAAAAGTCTCTGGAGACATATCCAAACAAACCCATTCTTTGACACCGGGCAGATAATATTTCGCACCTGGAGGCATTTTGCCGCGTTCCAATTTCGATAGAGAGGAAGAAGAGTCGAGCTGAAAACCCAGACTAGACTTGCAATAGCAGCTAGAATGAACCACATTTTCTAGACGCTTGAATCTCAAAGAGAATGGCAGGGAGGCTGAAGAAGAAATGATTTGCAAATCCGTCCAAATTGTAATCATGAATAAGGGGGGCCTATTCTATATGGATCGCAGGGTGGCGTCCAGCCAGTTTCAGACATGTAACGCGCGAATCGTATGTAATAGTGGGGCTCTCGTATTCGTGAAATTTTCTGAATTCGGATGTCCACGGCACCTATGATCCAATTCTTCCCTCCAGTACATAGCAGACTTGTCAACGCCACGAAAGTCGGCGCCTAGCAGGATTTTCTGTATCTGCCTATCTGCAACACGCTTAATAATAGATAATCGTTCCTGTGAATACGAAACTGCAACGAAACATGGCGACGCGCCGCTCCCACCAGAAATCCCGTCATGGCTGCACCACATGTAAGCGCAGAAGAGTGAAGGTAAGATTGTCTTAATCGATCTATGAAATACATCCATACAATCAAATTAACCAAGAAAGCTCTCGGCTTTCATATGCTGATATGTTTTGTAGTGCGATGAGCACCGGCCAGTTTGCAATAATTGCAGCCAACGAAATGATACATGTGTGTATAGCGCTCCGGTACCTTATTTCTTCCCAGAAGGGTCGAGGAAGCCACCAACAAAAGGCTCAAATACACGAAAAGGGTTGAAGGATAGCCACACACCTGACGGCTCGATATGCGATGTGGAAGGCTATTTATCTGGCCCAGAAACTTCGGAATCTTTACCGTCGTTGAATATGGATCATTTGGAGCTCGAACTACAGTGGATTATGCATACGCACAAATTGTTCGCTAGAAGCGAAGAAACTCGAAAAGTGTGGGAGATTTCAGTACTTCAGGAAGCTCTCCGCTCACCCTTCTTGATGCATGGCATCCTAGCTTTATCTGCCTTACATCTATCACACTTGCATCAGGATGATCGGCAAACAGAATGGCTCAACATCGCAATAGCACACAAAAGTAGTGCACTATCTAAGTTCTCGGGCCAACTAAAGTCAATCACTGAGTTGAATGCAAAAGCTATGATGAGCTTCGCCGGTCTAGCAGTTGCATTCAGTTTTGCGAGTGCTTTGAACTGCTTCAACCCTGAAGACGGACCCAGCTTGGGTGCCTTGACAGATGTTTTTGTTTTGTCCCGCGGGGTACAAATTGTCTTCAATCAAGCAGGCGACTTTCTTCGGGAAAGTAACTTCGCCCCCCTCTTCAACATCGCCTCTCCTGATATTGTGATCCCTGACCATGTTATCTTGGCTTTTGATCTTCTCAGTAATCTTAATAATCAGTGCAAGAAGCATTCCCCTGAGAATGTATCATCAGCTTATGGGCTCGCCATTCAGCGTCTCCGCGAACTTGCGTCGTTTTCATATGCGGAGCCGACTTCCTTGACTCTTGCTGCAGGGTGGGCTATACGTTGCCCGGCAGATTATCTTGATGAATTGAAAGCGAGAAAGCCTCTTGCTTTAGTAGTTCTAGCTCACTACTGTGCCTTATTACATCTTGCTCGAGAAAACTGGTGTGTCGGGCCTTGGGGGCGCGTTGTTCTGGAAGAAATTCAAACGATATTAGATGGGGGCTGGCAAATACATATTGAGTGGGCGCTTAATCAGGTTGCGGAATGAAAATACCTATCTGAATCCATTCAGTTTATATTGATGACTATCAGAATTGATTTAGTTTTCCCCTTTCGCACGCAGTTAAATTTCAAAATTTGGTCGAACCAACAGTTTTTATGAACTCCAGATTATTGATTTGCAAACTTCATGGCCAGGATCAATGCCTTCATTGCAATAGCGATCGCTTTAGCTGCTATCAAACTGATTGAAATTTATTTCATTACTTGCATCTATTGATCGGGTATAATCTTCAAACATAAGAAATACAACCTCTGTCGCGGCTGGTATGAAAGCCTCATACCTCCATGCGATCCATTTCAAGGGCAGATTGAGGAACAAATTTCTGCACTCGCACAATCTTCTCGGAATACTTGTCACCGCGACCTATCAAGCAGTTTATCTCACTAGGGTGCGTATACTGGATGAGTAGTACCGTCACAAACAACAAGAGAGCATCAAATACATAGATAAAGACCTCATTCTTCATCAAGTATCCATCATAGCCTTGTAGGTACTCAACCACACGTACAATTGAGCGAATAAGAATCAATAAACTAGCCATATAGAGCGAAAACATATGGCGACGCCAGATATTTTCCAGCTCAATTGACCGTGCTGTTGGGTTTCTAGTGATACGGCTCTGGAAGATCACCGCACTGATCATAAAAAAGCCGAAAAAGATGATTTGCACGAAGAGACCGCCGATGATGACGTGTTCACCGGTGGATGGGTCATTTGAATTTGAGACCATAAGGCCCGCACCTTTGAGCTGATTAGCGTTATGTGTACCAAGAATAGATCAGCATCAAATTCTGAAGAGATACCTGAAGCTTGCATCAAGAAAGATAAGACGTCGCCAGTAACAAATATCTTGGTGAGCCATTTGAGGCTTATGAAAGAACATTTCTCTGCATCAAGCATATAGATAATGCGTCCAAGGGTCATGTAAATGCTCGCAGCAAGAAAAGCCGGTGCGATTAGGATCAGAGCGCTTTGCATGATATACGGCCCTTTCGTAAAACCAGGGGATTCGAGGGAGGATAGAAGGCGTCCAACGTAACCAATAGTCTCGACTAGTAAGAGTTAAATCGTTAATCCCCTTTTAACTCCAGCTGTTTTCAGCATATGGGCAAATACTCACGGATCGCTCCGATCAAGAATGGAATCATGAACCATGTGCGGGTTCGGACGAGCTGGTAAAAGTGCATGAGGCTGCTCAGCCCAAATAAAGCAGTAAAGATGCCTGCAGCCGCAGCTGACGGCGTGTAATAGTAGAAGGTGAAATTCATTGCGATCAATGCAAGATTGGTTTTTTTTCAATAGCAAGAAATCCAAGAAAAACGTAAGTGCGAAAATGGAGGGAAGCCCAGTCTTGACGGATCTTTTATATCTCAAGCTCGACAGAAGATCGCTGGAAAGGGTTTCAAAATTCTCTTGTTCCAACAACAGGGGCTTTTTGGATGCCTATTCCTGGCGCGTACGCATCCATGTTTCTGGGGCTATCTAATTGCTTCGTACTCGTTCCATTCGCTGTTGTTGGAAAGGTCGAGTGGGGCATGAGTGTGATTATTCATGTTCTTCGAACTAACTGCTCGTGTTCGTGAATTTGTCCTTATCAGGTACAAACGTTTCTCCGGACCCACTGATCTCACGCTTTGCCTTGTCGCTCTAGTTTTTCGTGATCTAAATTTATGTACCCAAAGGGCTAGCCATTTTCAAATATATGGTCTTGAGAGTCGATTGATCTACATGATGCCTATCAGCTATTGGCTTCCCCACTTTTTGTCTGGAAAACATTGGAAAGGATACCGGATATTTGGGTTGCCTTGAGGCTCACAATCTGGGTGGTTCGTATTCGGGTTCGGGTTTGTTTCTCTCAACAAAATTCGAGCATCAAAAAACTATTTGCTCTTTAATTAATCATTAGCGTATATAAGTAGAGATACCAGTCACTTCCACTCAACTTGCCTTCCTTGTACCGGTTCGGATTCTTGACCAGCATTTTCATGGCAAATTCAAATTTCCTTGACTGGTCCAGTGTAACTCCAACTCAATGGCTTATAAACTATACAACTACAATCCGTCAGTGGGGGCGGCAATCCCCTTTGCCGCTATCTTTGGATTGCTGACAGTTGCACACCTTGTCCTGATGGTTCGCTCTCGATCTTGGTATTTGACACCATTCATAATTGGAGGTGTCTGTAAGTTTATATCTCTAGTCTTTCGGTGAATACCAGTCTCCTAATGTTTGAATCTTTTCCATCGACACAGTCGAAGCAATCGGTTATTTTTGCAGATATATCAACTCGACCGAAACACCAGACTGGCAGTTGATGCCGTACGTTGGACAAAGTCTTCTAATTCTTCTTGCGCCCGCCCTCTTCGCCGCATCGATATACATGATACTAGGACGCCTTATTCGATCTCTGAATGCAAGTTCCAACTCGATCATTCGCCCATCGTGGCTGACAAAAATATTCGTGACTGGAGATGTTATATCTTTTCTGATGCAGTGTGGAGGTACGCCTATTAACGTTGGATCACCTTGCAGCTGCAAGTACTGATTCACAATTATTCAGGAGGAGGCTTTCTAGCCAATGCCAAAACAGAAGCTAAAGTCGAGATGGGCGAGCACATGATTCTTGGCGGTCTTTTCGTCCAAATCTTCTTCTTCGGATTTTTCATCATAGTATCGGTTGTCTTCCATCGTCGAATGCTCGCCACACCCCTGAATTTTACCATGGCTACGACGATACCTTGGACACGATGCATGAAGGTGCTATATACCGTCAGCTTTCTGATCATGATTCGATCTATCTATCGCGTGGCCGAATATATACAAGGGAGTGATGGATATTTGCAAAGCAAGGAAGCTTTTATCTATATCTTTGATGCCACTTTGATGCTTCTGTGTTGTCTAGTCCTTGTCGTTTACCACCCAAGCAAGATGCTAGCTGACCAGCAGTACCAAAAGAGTGAGGATCTTGAGATGCTTTCCAGTGCCTATGAATCGCATAGGAATCTATCATAAGCAACATCAAAATAGAATTTCTCTTCATATTCTACCAACAAAGTTCCTGACATGACTATTCATAATGAAGTATTTCTCGTGCCGATTTGAATTGATTTAAACATTTCCTGAGCTCTTAATCCCTCCTTCATCAGGGAGCGTACCATGAAGTTTGAAATAACTCGGAATGCGAAAGCAAATATAGCACTGAATGCTATTGCATGCACTAGATCAAGGATTTGGTGAGTGGCTAACTTCGATATTGAGAATGAATGACATACCACAATACCACGGCCAAGATGGCAATTATAGCTCCTAATGCCCGACTGCTTACATTATGCGAACCCTGTGTTGCAATTATCGTTATGATAAATAGTGCGAACCAGAAGATAGTGTCGATGACAGCAAGAATTTTGTTGGCTTTGGAGCTCCCCCATCTTTTGAACCGCTCGACATGAACAGTCACGACTTGGTAAGCTAGCGAGACAGCTGATTTCAGACACTTGAGACAGAATTTAGACTTATTTTCCTATTTATCGCTAAAATAGATCAGCTTACCACTGCGATGCCCCATGTGTTAGCTCTTGTAGAGGGGGTGCCTTTGTTGGTCACGCGTGCAATGATAAGAATGAAGATGACGAAAAGTAGAGATCCAATGGCAATATCCAATCGTAACTTATTTCTCGAGGAGGGTTGAATTGGGAATTGCATTTTGAATGAATGATCGCGCAGTAATAATACTTGAGTCAACAGAAAAATGGAAAGATAGGTGAATGAAGAATTATAAACAAATCTCAACCAAAGTCGATCTCCAAAATACGCAAAATGTGCATGCCTTGAGCAACCATAACTTGAAGACCCGTATGTTTTTCCTGTTCCGACATAGCTAGTGATCGTGTTGCCTAGTGCGAGTTGCGCATACTTCTTCTCGAGGCTTGTTTCGTATTCGTAACTTTACCCGAAACATTTGTCCATTGGTGGGTACACTTGTAAATCCAAAAAGCTTATTGAACGATAGCTCCGCATGGGTAGCTAAGAACCACCTTTTACGTAAAGATAAAAGAAATAAAAGATCGTTCTACGCCTCTGGGTTAGAGTAAGTAGTTGGCTGGCTTGGGGGAACTAGGGTTCCATGAATCGTTTGAAGCCTAATGATATTACTTCATTTGTGTCGGCGTATCTAGCCCTCTGATGGTCTTCTCGATGGCTGATGAATTCAATAACAGTTTCGTATCTGGAAGAAGCTCAGATGGTTCCACTTGATAATAGCATCGTTTGATTATTAACAGTCAAGGAAGAAATATCAATCTAAAAGCTCCGGCAAATATACCAAGCCCGAAATGTATCACACAATCTAGAGTCATCACAAAATAAAGACACAAGACAGAAAAGGAAACCCCCGAAAAACGCCATGGCCATATGATAATAAAAAAATATGCAAATGTCTTAAAATCAAAAACAGAATCAGGCCAAACTCCACGTCCTCGGAACTCCCGAGATACTAAAACCCAAGTCCCAGTATGTCTAGAGTGGAGAGAGGTGGCAGTATCAAAAAGATAACAAAATGAGAACAATATAGTCATCAGGTCATAACTCAGACATACCCGATGAAACCATCACAGATCTCAGAGCATATCAAATGTTATTACTCAGTCTTCTTCTCGAGCTGCTGCATCAAGGAGGATCTCAGCCGAACGTTGGCAACGCCACCAACACCATAGGCAGGCACGATCTTGCCCATTCGCGCAAAGCAGCTGGGCACATAATCCCGGCGAATGCGGGCCACACGGTCCGTCCACCGCAGACCACCAGGCGGCTGCCGGTTATACAAATCCAGGCCGAGAAGATGCATCGGCGTACTGAAAAATTGCATCAGAGCCGGACAGGCAAATTGCGCCGTTGCGGCTTTCATGCCTGGTGTGGATGCGATAAAGTCCGGTATTGAAGGAGCAATGAGGGCGGGCACATTGAACGAGGCGAAAATCGTCACACTGTCACGTAGGCAGAAGAGAGTATAGGAGACTTTCGGGATTTTGGGCGCAGCGACGGGTTGTGAGACAGGCGGCATTGGTGGACGGAGGGTGGTGCGCGGTCTTGAGGAATTAGGCTGTGCCGGGGAAGACGCCGGTGGTGAGGCGCCGAAAATCTTTGCAAAGCGGGCATCCTTGTATACGCAAATGGCCATGTTGACAGCCGTTGTGGAGATGAATTTAGCAGGGCCGGGAGTCACAGTGGAGTAAGACTGGTTGCGGAGGGTGGAAGTCATAGTGTCAATGACATTTGCAGTAAGGTAAGTTGAGCTGTAAAGGGTGTATATGAGCAAGAAAGGCGTGCTGAAGAAGAAGCCGCTCGGTTTGGCGATCATGGACTTGAGGCAACTTGTGATGGTTTGGCGAATAGGGAAGCCCTTAGAGGCTTTCTCGATGATAGCGCTGTAATGAGAGCATCCAAGGTGAGTCAAAATGATCCCTCCTCGCTTTGTTTACATCATTGGCGACTGGATGGGGGAAAAGACTCACCGATCAATAATGGTGATCAGCGGACATGTCAGCGCGCCGGCCGCCGCGGCACTGGCCACATCGACACCAAGTCGAAGACCAAGATCATTTTTATTCCATGTTGGTGTCGCTCCTTTGGTCGGCACAGGCTTAGGCGCAGGCGGACACGCAACTGGGCGTTCTGAGACTGTGGTCATGGTGAATGAGGTATCCTGCGCGACCGCATCGCGAGTCATACTCGGGAATTGCGAGATCGGGGCGAATCAGAATCCTCGAGAAATGGCGCATTTGCTAAGTAAAAGCAAAGCTGTGGAAGCGAAGATGGGAAAACCCCCAGGAATACCCCAGAAAAGCGCAGCAAGTGCCGAATGAAGGAGAATCGATTACAAAAGTGCAAGTTAAAAGCCGAGCAGCTTCGGACGAGAAAGGCCCGGGCGCTCGGGTCTCCGATGCCGGCCCCGTGCCGGGCCCGTATCTGTGGTTGGCCGGATAAACGCTAACCACCGATCTTCCTATTAACTCCGGGTTGAGGCAGGATTTAGGTTTCGTGCTCGGGAAGTCAAAATGGTATACGGTCGTCATATTTTAATAACCCCCCCAAAACGCCATTATTCACAAAAATGTATAAACAAAATCGAAAATGCAACTACGCAGAAGACTCCGCAGAGGCGGCCTGGAAGTCATCCAACGTGACATTGACCGCGCCTGCCTGAACAAGCTGTTGAGGCATAACACCGTTAGCTGAGGGACTTTTTAAGTGGTCAATACTTTTGAGAGAGGACTTACCGCGCGTTGGAGATCATCAATCAGATCATCAACATCCTCAATGCCCACACACAAGCGGATCAAGTCCTCCGGCATAGCGCGTTCCGCCCGCGTCTTCGCGTCAATGCTGGCATGGCTCATCCGACAAGGCATGCTGATCAGACTGTTAACACAGCCAAAGCTCACACTAATCGCCCAGATCTTGGCGCTCTCAACGATACGCTCGCTAACATTGACATCACCCGTCTCAAACGACAGCACCGCTCCAGCACCCCGCGCCATGGAGTTGTGCAGCTCGTACTGCGGGTGTGACCGCAGGCCCGGATAGCGAACCTTGAAGCCGTGCGACTCGAGGAACTCCGCAATGCGCTGAGCATTGCTCTGCTGCTGGTCCATCCGCACCTTGAGGGTCTTGACACCGCGCATCAGTAGCCATGAGTCAAAGGGCGACAGGCCGCAGCCGGAGGCGTTGATTGGGAAAAATAGCCGCTCGCCGAGCTGTAGGTCGTTCACGGCGATTACACCAGCCATCAGATCGTGATGCCCAGACAAGTACTTGGTACCACTTTCATACACGATATCGGCACCCAGGTCGAGTGGGTTCAGTAGCAGAGGGGACATCATAGTGTTGTCGACAGTCACCAGGCAGCTAGGGTTAGCTTCGTGAGCAGCCGTGGCGATCTGGCCAATATCGACAATCTTAATCAGCGGGTTGGTGGGGGTTTCTAGCAGAACCATGGCGGTCTTAGAGTTGAGAACCTCCAGGACCTTTTCAGGCTGGGTGGTATCAACATGGTGTACGATGATGCCGCCATTCGTCGCGAGAAACTTGAGCAGTCGGTGGGTGCCGCCGTAGAGATCATCACCAGTGACAACCTCATCACCCGGACGAAGAAGTCGGGTAATTACATCCAGGGCAGCCATACCAGATGACACCACCAACGCGCGCTGCGCAGACATGATCTTCGCCAGGTGTCGTTCGAGGTGGGTGCGAGTTGGGTTCCCAGAGCGGGTGTAGTCATACTCTCCGCCTCCGGCGCCCGAGGTCTGTTTGAAGGTCGCACTCTATATAAATGAGACTAGTTAGTGACATACCCCTCCTTGAATGGAGCATGGGCGTATCCTCCATATTATGGGTTAGAATGATAAAGTGATCATACCTGGTAAATGGGCACACTACTGGCATTGTATTGGTCCCCGCTCTCGGTAAAAACCAACTCGGTGGCAATGTTATACCGGCGTCCAGCATGGGGACTGGAGGGAGCTGGAGAGGGCGGGAGGTCATTGCCCTGGAGATCAACCCGAGGGAGAGCCTTCTTCGCAGAGCTCGAGGAGCCCGAAATAGTGCTGGGCACTTTGGATCCTGAGGCCGACATCGCTGCAGTGCGGGGCAGAGACAGAAGCGAGTGGTGGGAGAAAGGGTTGCAGGAAGATGTGGGCGCACAGGAGGGTTCTGTTGTGAAGGAATCAAGAAGATATTGGAGCACAATGGATATGAATAGGTGAACAAAAGATATACGGGGATTCCGGAAAAAAAGTCGCCCTTCGTTCCCCCGGACAAGTCATTGCTATGACTCCGCTCTCGCGGGCTGCTGATTGGCGAATAAGAGCGCGCTGGGATTTCGTCATCCGCTAGTCCCCATCTGGCCGGAATCACGTTATATCATGTGATACTACGCGCTCGCGTTAACTTGAAGAATGCGTAGAATGCATACAGTTCCCAAGCGAGCAAGGCTTGTCCATTAGTGAGCCCGGTATTATTATACCCATTGCCAACAGAGTATGTCTCAAAATTTTAATGAAGCTACACTCGAGACTTAAACATTATTTGATGCAATATTTTCTCGACAGAATAACAACAAAATTGCTCTATATTAACAGTGATCATTGAGATGACTAAGGTAAAAGTACATAAAATCCAATTAAAATCCACCTATTTATGGGCCTTATGATTCTTGTTACGAGAACGGGCCTTTTTGCTCTTGTTCGATTCCGCCGGCTTTTCATGGCCACAGTCAGCGGATTCGGTCACAGCCTGCACAACAGCAGACCCAAGAGTAGAGACAGTGGTGCCGAAATCCACACCACTGACAAACTGCTCGCTAAGGAACTCTAACCCTGCCACGAAGGTGCAGAGAGCACTGGCAATGCAGAAATGGCTGATAGTCATGCCAATATCCAGCCAGGAACCCTCATCGCGGACCATATAGAAGAAGTTCAGAGTCATGATGTCCGAGATGGACATGACGACCATGAATAGTGCACTAGGCGCTACTTCAAGTCGGCGGTTGAGAATGCCGAGGTTGGCGCTGATTATGGCGAAGGGGATCAAGATTTGTAAGATCAGCAGCGCGCCTTGGGCAAATGGGTCGAAAATGGGAATGAGACGGCGGACACTTTCTAAAGAAAAGGTGGAGATGGAGGCGACATTGCCGGTGCTGAAGAATGCTGACTGGAGAAGGAAAAAGAAGAACAACGCAACCCGGGTATCAGAAAGAGTAAGAGCACGGTAGTGGTAAGTCTGGCCGTCCACAATCGTAGTGGCCGACGATGAAGCCTGAGATGTGGACGTTGATCCTTTGGCGGCCGACTGCGAACGAGACGTCCTAGATCCTGCTGTATGAACATAGATGGCATGTTCAAGGCGGACCCAGGTGACAAGGGTCATGCAGAACACAAAATAGAACAAGCCTTCCCACGAAATCGTCAGGATGATGAATGTCGGAGAAAAGGTCAAAAAGATGACCATAAGACGGTGAAGATAGTTGTTATTAGGGTAGAGCCGGTGGAAAAATGGCAATGACAAGGATGAGACTAGATTGAAATTAGTATCTCAATGATAGCACCATAAAATATACCCAATACAAGGATCCAAACTCACCTAAAACAAACCATCCAACTACTTGATTTCCGAGGGGCAAGCCCTCACGCGCTCTAAGAGAGGTCGCACTGGATCGAGTCACAATTAAGGCAAGAAGAACCAACCCAACCTAATAAGTCCCGAGTTCAGTGTACGTGTTTTTCGAAAAGAAATATCACTTTAAGTCCTACCTGCAACCCAATAATAATACGTGCGCCAACATTTGTGAGACGTTTGGAGTGCTCGGAAGAAGCAGGCGTTTTGTGTCCAAGGATAGTATCCTCAAACAGCAAGTACAGAATACCTGTGAAAAACATGATAAGACCACCATAGGTACTTGAAGCACATTAGCAATCACCACCTTGAAACCGGGAAATGATTCCAGCTTACATAGTGTCGATGTTCTCCACCTTCACAACTGGCAGCAGAGTGAAAATGCCCATTAAAGAACAACCTAGGGCCCATGCTACAGTCAAGAAAACATGGCTGCGGATGAAGCTAAACCCATAAACAAGGGGCCAAATGGCACCAAGCGCAAACCCTATCGTGAAAATTTCACGATGAAAATAGGATTGAACCTGGAAAGCACATGTAAGCTTCATCAAATCTTCAAAACAGAGAGCAGATAGTCCACTTACTAGAGCCTCGAGAACGCCCAGAAATGCTAAAGCCTGCAGTCCAAAGTTCAAGTATCCTGAAAAGGAGCGAACATGGCCGAGAACAATTTGACGACCAGCAATCAGAGCCTTCCTTCGGGCAAAAACTTCTTCCCAAAAGTAGACGGGAAAGAATGCGTAGAAATAATAACGCCATGATGATCCTTGGTAGAGAAAGACAGAGAATAATGCCACAAGGATGGATGTGAAGAACGAGATGCTGGCAGTTGTCCGATGAGAATCAGATGTCCCATGCAAGACATGCAGGTCAATCACAGTCGTCAGAGCATAAGCAATCCAGCCCAAATAGCCCAAAGAGACAACTGTTCTCAGGAAAAGCCAGTCATACGTCTGTAGATAGCGAAGGCCTTCAAGACCAACAACCAATAATTCAGATGACAACGTAATAGACTCCTCATAAGATCCGTTGGATATGAGAGTCTCAAGATTGGCAAAACGACCTTCAATCGAGGTTTCTCCATAACCAGAAAGAGGCTCGAAGGGTACATAGCGGAGCACTGATGCTCTCTTATCCTCCTCCTTGACTCGATACATTTCTAGCACCGCTCGGGTGTTAGCCAGCGCAGCTTGAGCCTTCTCCTTAGGGCTAGCATCAATATACTCTAGCGGAAGCTGTCCGACCGAGTTGACCGGGTAATCGACACCAACTAAGTATGCCATAAGAGCAGCAACGTCGGCTTGTGCAACATCATGTCGCTGGACATGGTCAAATCCCCAATCGGACGAGAACCCGTCTTCGTGTCCCGAGGCAATTCCATCCTTGGTGATTCGCGGCTTAGCAACCCCAGAGCCCCAAGCAACCAAGGGAGTGCGCGTGTTGTCTGGGTGGCCATCGCCATGGCTGCCGAGGTCGTTCATGCCATGATCCGCCGTGAAGATAAATGCGGTCTTATCGTCTGCATAGAAATCTTCTACAAGTTTGGTGACCGCCTTGACACCTTGATCCACTACTTTGATGTTATGAAGGTATTCCTTGGAGTAGGGACGGTGGGCGTGGCCATTGGTGTCCAGTCCAAGCAGGTGAAGGAAGAACACCAGCTTGTCCTCGCGCAGCTTCCGATCTAATTCGGGGTCACTCCTGGCAGACTCGAAGAGATTATGAACTCGATCGAATACCCAGGTGTCCAGATGAGTTGCATCCACGCTGAAATCCTCTGCCTCTTCTCCGTATGTGTCCGAATCGACTCGCCCAGGCACCGCGCCCTCCTTGAACATGGGCAAGATATCAGGGCTTCCCCAGCTCCACGTATGCCGACTTTGGTTGAAGACACTGTCAAAGTTGACAGGATTTAGCTTCCAGCCTGTCGTAACTGCTGAGACATCCTCGTACAATCCCGCAATCAGAGCAACATGCCCCGGCCGGGACTCGGTGGGGACTCGAGTGTGGGAGACACCAAAGGTACCGTGCGATAGTACCTTAGAGCGAATGAACGGCGCCAATCGAATCAACTCATCGGTCTGCTGCGCGGGATTTTCGGGGGTCGGGTCGGGAAACGCCTGGAAGGCCTTGTCGGCGCGGAGACCATCGGCGACGAAGAGGACGAGACGTTGGGCAGGAGCATTGGTACCGGCGGGTCGTTCGACGCCATATGAACGCATTCCATTCACAATAGGACTCACGAAGTAGATATCGAAAATGGAATAAGTATAAATCAGGTGGAAGACCACCGCGAGGACGAGGAACCCAACGCGGCCGAGACGCGCCATGATTCTCTCTCCTCCCAAAAGGGGCCCAGCTTCAAGAGAAAAAGAATAAAGAGTGGAAGTTGGTCTCTACCAAAATATAATGAGAGGACCACAAGGAAAAATCAACAGAGTTGGCATCACCGACGACCACAAAAAACACGCAACCATCTTCACCTGCCTTGAAACACATTGGGGAACTTGCGGACCGGGGGCGGTGAGCACCAATCACAGGCCTCCAATTGTGCACGGCAGAACCACTTGGTGTTTACACTTTTAAAGCTCCACCACCAGTCCTATTCTTGCCAATGTTGACTATATAGGGTTGGACTTTATACTGCAGTCCACGAAGCGGTCTCGGATCGAGACCCCCAATGTATAATATCAAGGGTACTTGAAATAAGATACGATATCTGACAAGAACTAGTGCTATATAACTCCCAGATAATCACTCCATATCATGCAGTAGTACTCGACCGTCGCTTGGTCAAGGCATCAATCACTCGAGTATAGAACTTGGATGCCTGCTGTCGGCTAAATTGAATCTCCACAGTCAAGAAGTCAGGCAAGATATTGACCAAATCACGGTCTCGGTTAGCATCCAAGAGAGGTAGATATTGGAACTCTGCTGATTCATATTCTGAGCTAGACACCTTTGGAACGGCCAGTTTGAAGTGCAATGCTGTAGAGCTCATTAGACTCCGATTCGGTGTTTCTATGACATACACCAGCGATAGGGTACTCACCTCCATTTCCTCCAGTCTGTATACAATCATACAAATGGTCATGCTCACGGGCTTTTACGTCGCGGACAATCAGTCCGGTCAAATCCTCATAGAGATTTTCCTTCAACTGCGCGATCTGTGCTGCCTGGGCCGCTTCTGCCGTTGCAGCAGCAGCAATTCGGTTAGCAGCACCACCCTTAATAGCACTGCCGGGGACCCTAGAAGACTCCAAGCTGGCTGCCGTATTGCGCGCAGCAGCAAGCTTCGTCTGCAGGGCCTTGATTTCAGATTGTGAGGCCGCTAATTGAGAGCGAGCCTCATCCATTTGTGATCGGAGGCGGACCATCTCGGTATCCCGATCTTTCAGTTGTTTCTGATATCCGCGGCTTTGTTGCCCCAGTGCTCGCTGGGCCTCCAGTTCAGACTTGAGGGAGGCGACTAGCTCATTAGAAGCTAGCAAGGAATAATTGATTAGCCAACTGGCCCTTCATCTGAGTACTCTCTTGCGACAGCTCGTACCTGTAGTGATTGTCTCGCATTGTTTGCGCAGCTTCTCAATATTCGTATTGGCCTCCGTGATTCCTATCTCGCGAAGATTGCGATACTTGGACTCCAGAGCATCGTGCTTCTTCGTGAGATCTCCAATCCTACGCCTCAACTCCGGATCTCCGCCTTGCTCAGCGTCACCCAATTTGCGCTTGCGGGGGGACAGTTCTGCAATGTGTTTCACGGAAGCCTGTCTGGGCAAGGCATTTTTTTCGGGGGAGGGATACACTTGGGTGGGCCGGTGATTGTCTGTAGCTGGCTCCTCGTTTGGATGCGAGTTTTGAGTTTCGGAGATCTTGTGGGAGACACTTGCGCGAGTTGGAGTGAACTCAAATTCGCCATCTGTCTGGAGCTGTTGAGCGGTGCTTGCCGCGCGACCTCTGCCTCGCGCGCGTGTTGCTACCGGCGGCGCAATAGGCTTGTTAGATTTCACGCCCCGGTTAGGCCTCGTTGTGTTCGAGGTTTGGGGATCTTCGTTCTCTTGGTCCTTCATCGCTTCATCCTCAGAAGTTTCCTGTGCTATTGAGGACTGTGCTTGAGGCTCTGGATTGTCTGAAGTGCGACTGCTCCCACGAGGCCTACCGCGCCGAGTCGGGGCTTTCTTGTTTATAGCGGCATCTGCCTGCGCAACTGTAGCTGGCTCGCGTTTGTTTGATTTGGCAGTAGGCTTGGTTTCGGTCGCGCTATCGTTCGAGGCACGCGGGCGGCCTCTGCGCTTCTTTGCGGGTGGCTCCGCGGCGGGCTGCTGAGAAGAGGCAACCTCATTTTCAGTCAGTTGCATCAAGTCTTCATCATCAGACTCGACGAGGCCAGAAATTTTGGTGGGGGCTTTTCGTTTAGGCATGGCGCAATGTTTTCCGTCCAATGTGGGCGTCTTCCCAGCACTTCCACGCGCTCCGCGAGCATCAACAACTCTCCGCCTTGGCCCCGGTGGCATGTGACATTCCGAGCCACAGGGTCATCCGCGCCACAGCTGCCCGAACCAGTCTCCGATATTCACCTCGGACTTCGCATTCTTCGTGGACTTTGTGACAAGACTCCAATTCATTGTTTCTATTGTTATAGAAGTTGTGCTGCTGGTGGTTCGGAATAACGAGTCCCAGTCTTCCCCCTTTCTCCTTCCATTTACCCTCACCGCTGTCGTCATGGCTTCAGCTGGTGGCCGACGATGGCAGCACTTTCTGCAAGAGCTGGTGATGATCGCCGGCACGGTGAGTTTACAAATATTGAATCTCTTGTCTGAGATGTTGTATCTGACTTGTGACGTAGTCCGCATCCGCATACTTCCTCATTCGCTATCTCCTATCACGTCTAGATTTCGATCCCGAGAGCCAGAAGAAAGAAGAACAACGACGGAAGTCGGCAGCCATCTTGCGCCGGTTAGATGGTGGAGATGAATCAGATGAGGATGCGCCACGCGGTGGGATTGAGAAACGGGGTCGCCGGCAACGAAAGGGAGAGCTTACTCTCAACCAATACGAACAAGCCATCGCAATGGATGTTGTTGCTCCGGAGGATATTCCGGTGTCCTTTGAAGATATCGGAGGACTTGACCATATTATCGAAGAACTAAAGGAGTCTGTGATTTATCCCTTGACTATGCCTCATCTTTATGCCTCAACATCGTCACTCCTGACCGCCCCATCGGGAGTGCTCCTCTATGGTCCTCCTGGCTGCGGAAAGACCATGCTTGCCAAAGCATTGGCTTCTGAGAGTGGTGCTTGTTTTATCAACTTACATATCTCGACATTGACGGAAAAATGGTATGGTGATTCGAATAAGCTCGTCAACGCGGTCTTCTCTCTTGCTCGCAAACTTCAGCCCGCGATTGTGTTTATTGACGAAATCGACGCCGTCCTCGGCACTCGGAGAAGCGGGGAGCATGAAGCCAGCGGAATGGTGAAGGCAGAATTCATGACACATTGGGACGGTCTCACCTCGGCCAACTCGATGGGCGAACCACAACGAGTTGTTGTTCTCGGAGCGACCAACCGGATGCAGGATATTGACGAGGCAATTCTCCGTCGCATGCCGAAGAAGTTCCCTGTTTCTCTTCCGCCCGCGCAACAGCGACTTCGGATTCTTAGCCTCATTCTGAAGGACACCAAGGTCGACCGGGATAACTTTGACCTACACTACTTGGTTAAGAACATGGCCGGCATGTCTGGGAGTGACATCAAAGAGGCATGTCGAGATGCCGCCATGGTCCCCGTCCGAGAGCTTATCCGGCAGAAGAAAGCTGACGGCGCTCAAATGACTTCCGTGGACCCCCATGAAGTCCGCGGCCTCCGCACCGAGGATTTCTTCTCTCGCGCCGGGGGCGTGAAGGTGATTCCACAGCCAACTCAGTTGCCAACGGGAACTGGCAGGGTTCTGGAGAAGGAAGATGGCGAATGGAGCACTGAGGATGAGACCACCTCGGAGGCCGATGCTCGTCGCTCCGTTATGGCTGAACCCCCAGAATGAGGGCGAATAAATGCCCTTCGATTCCATTTCGACATTAATTGAGATGCCCATTTACCCTTTTTTTTTTCTTATTGTCATTAATTATTTATCAACTTTGGTTATCGACTGGTACGAAGGGATGGGCGTTATGTGCCGTCATGCTGGGCCTCAATAGCTTGATTCTTTGGCAATTTGATGTATTTGGCTGCCAGTTATGCTGCTTTACCAGGCGCCGGGTTGTCTATAGAATTGTGCGCCGGGTTTCTTGTATACAATTTTTGGGGTCCGGATTGCCACATAATACGAATCTTCGCTTTCTCAACGGGTGACATCTTGATATCTTGATATGTAAATGCGATAAGAGTCAACGTACGTGCATAAGTACCGATACTTGAGTCGGGGTGGCCGTCCTCGCACAACGTCATGTAGCGCTACTTCCGTGGGCGGCAAAGTCACCTGCCGATCCAGCGCCTCCCGAAACTCACTTACGCACTCCCTACAGTGGCTTTTTGGACGTACATTCTCGTCCTTGTACAGAATTCCACCAGGAGACCGACCCGTGAATTGCCGGCCCCTGGTCTTGTTGCTCCCCTTCTCCCCTTCCCCATATTCAAGCGCCGACGCCGTTGGCGCCTTGTGTGGGTCGTTATCGTCACTGCACCACCCTGCCTTGCCTGCTTTCTCCTATCGCATCGTTTGAGCAGTCGTTCTTCTCTCCGCCTTTCCCCCGCGTCTTTAACAATCCCCAAATCCCCTCAATTATTCATTCAAGGCAAGGTGCAAACGCTGTTACATGACTGGCCTCATTGTCTTGTCCCAGCGCTGAGGCCACGAGTGCGACACAGCGGGTGGATGACGAATGGGTCTCTCCTAGGAGACCACTGATGGCAATCAGTGCCTTGGCAACAACCCACACTTCCTAAGGGAGGCCTTGACCCTGTATCCTTGAGGACAACACCCCCTGACCTTGCTGAAAGGAATGAGTTCCCAAAATAGCTTCGTCAATGCTTCCCTGAGCTCTAACACAGTCGGCGCTGGCTCCAGCTCGACCTCCGCGGTCCGATCGCGTCCTCGCCGTCTAGTCTCCTTCATGGACGACGAAGATGACGACCTTACGAATCAGACTAGCAACTATTCCTACCAGGATGCCCAACCTTTTACCTCAGGCCTCTCCACCACCCTGTCCGCAGATGTTGGCTCTACGCGCTCTCGCGGCGGCACCCCCTCGCCACTATCTTCCCGCGGGGTGTCTCCAATGCCAATAAAACGCCCTTCCCGTACCACCGAATCGCTCAATCGGAGCCGCTACGAGACCTCATCGCTTGGCCTGAATGGATCGTCTAAAATGGCCTCCTCTCGAGGAGCTGTTGACTTCCTGGACTCCTCATGGTCCTCCCTCCAAAGCTTGGCGTCCTCGGTGTTGGGGAGCGATACTGGGCGGAGTACACCGAGCAACACGGCAAAGACGCATACCCGAAGGAAGCCCTCGCGGTCCGACGTATATATTCGAAGTATGCCCCGGTCGTCCCCGTCGACGTGGGGTCCCTCTGCACCCGTGACACCAGAGATCGGGGTAGGCACCAAGGAGGAACGACAAGCTTTGGTGCAAGCCAAGAAACGAGAAGCTCTTCTTTTAGCAGATGCAGATCCGATCTCAAGCCGCAACTTTCGACACAAAAGGCGCGACTCGGGTGATTATTTTGACCAGCCCCTTGACTGTGAGCACGACGAAGAAGCTCTTGCATACATCCACCCTGTTCAAGCCACAGATAGTATCACCGGGGTGACAATAAAGTACGGGTGTCAGCCAGCTATATTTCGAAAAGCCAATGGATTCTGGCCCAATGACAACATCCAGAGTAGGAAAACTGTGCTTTTGCCAGTGGATGCCTGTACTGTGAAGGGACGCCCTGTGCAGGCCACAGCACCAGTCGATGCACCAGTGGATCTTTTGAACGCCGACTCAGAAGACCCAACTGATAGCTCAATCGCACCGCCCCCCGTTTCGGCGAATGGACCGCCCATAGGACGACCAACTCCCACTGCTTCCAATGAAGCTGAAAGCAATCAAATCTGGAAGCATGAGAACTGGGTAAATATTGATGGGTTCCCGGTCCCAATAGAGATTGGCCGCGTGCCTCGACGGGCATTAGGTTTCTTCCCACGCACTCGCCGGAAATCTGTATCTTTTACCGATACAGACTCTCCCTATGACTCTTCACAGGAGCTGACAAGAACCCCATCCCCAACCGGATCGCCTCAAATGGCTCTGACCGATGGTGTTCTTCCCCGAACACGGTTCCGTGGAGACCAGTCCAACCCAAGTGGTGTACATCCCAGTCGTCCTCAGCACCGCCGCCAACGCAGCAGCGTTCACCTTTCTGGCACTGGGGTTGGAACCCTTGATCGCACCGCAACTGGGCCCGGGCCTGCGTTAGACGGATTGACCAAATTTTTCTCGCAACATATGCCCCATCTCGCACCACCCCCGCCTCCACAAAATCTTCGAAGGTCATCCTTCGGGTCTGAGTCTACAGTCACATCTAACGCATCAACCGGACTTGAAAACATTGGTGGTGCTGTTGAGGGTTGGATCCGCAAGGTTGCAACTCGCACCAAGGCCGGTATCAGCGAGCTGCAGCAGGGCTCCCCACAAACAACCGGTCGAGGTCGCAGTGCCGGGATCTGGGGAATGGGCGACCTGATCGAGCTGGATGATGCATCCGAAGGCCGTCGCTCACCCAGTGTTCTTGGAAGCTCTCGAAGGCCCGAATTACAGGGCTCTTCCTCCTCGTCATCATTTCGGGTGGCTACCGCTTCCGCGTCCGCCACGAGCAGGCCTCGCGGGACTGGCTTCGGATCGGGGTCGAACGGTTACGGCGCGCGAACAAAGGATGACTGATGTGTTTGATTGAACCTGCAAGCGTAAATAATAGAGCTGTTGTATGGAGTGAAACCTCGGGCGGGTTCACCAACTCTGCATTTTTTTCCCCTTACTTTTCTGTCCATCTTCCTTTTCCCTCTTTACCTCATGAGCGGCTTGGTGTTCTTTCTCTTCCCTATTCCCACAAGTCTTGATCTTCTTTCATCTCAGCCTTATTTGAAGCAAAGCTCCTTGGGAGCATCGCATGTATACGACTTTGTCAATTGGCCCTTCGGGCAAGGAATTCAAGCGATGGAGCTATAGTGTGGGTTGCTTCGTTTAGCTGCCCCCATGGTGAAGCACTAGTCATGTTTACTTGTGCTTCGTGCATCCTGCTCTCTTATTGCTTGTTAGATATATAACTATTATGTTGCTTCCATGACAGTCCGCGCAGTGTTTTTGTAAGACTTTGTCGATATTCATTCGCTCCTAGAAAAATCTCTCCCGCGGCTTGAATACATTACCCCGTGTTTAAAAGAAACTTTGAGCTCCGCTTGCATAGATCAACCACATCTTTCAATCTTCATCCGTCATGGGTAAATATTGTAGCTCATCATGATTTGTGGACTATCTCTCTGGATATTCAATGGCTTCATCCTTTTCTTGGCACTCAATCTCTGGTTTCAGGACGCCTCAAGACCCCAAGGACCCCGGTGCAAATATCGGACGTAAACTCCAGATGCGGAGAAGGTTGAATGCCATTTATCACATCAACCGTGCCTGCAGATCGGAGAGACTCCGCTTTTCTTACCCCGGAATTTCCCCGGCTTGGTTTTCCCACCTATCAGTGATAGCGAAAGCTTTGGGCTCCAAGCCTGAACCGGGCTTGAACTGTGAGAAGTCTCGTTTTGGAGACAATTCCCCCGGACGAAGGTATTCTTCTGTTGCTAAAATGGGTTAGACACATTGATCTGGCGCTGAAAGGGAAGGGGCTGGTGGGGGACTCATAGAAGATGATCTTCTATTTCTTGGCCATTGATTCCACTAAGTTAAGCCTGGTGCGTTGAGCTTTGATAAATTCTATGACAGATCAGTGTGAAGCCCCCACTACCCTTGGATGTGACCATCATTAGCATTGAGAAGTCGTTCATCGTCGATGCACCCCGAAATGATACGCGCAGCTCTCTGGCTTTGTCTGGCCACCAGAGTATTCTCGACAACGATTGCAGAGACAAGTAATGAAGTCACTAATCTTCCACCCACAGCTACGCTCTCTGCTAGTACCAAAAATGGCGCCGACACCATCTTCGTTGGCCGCAAGCTCTCGGAATTCGACCAAGACCTTTTCCTCGGCATCAAATATGCAGACGAACCAGTCCGGTTCACGCCAGCCAAGCAGAAAAAGAAGTACACAGCTAGCGATAGTGACTCCGGCACATATGACCTTTCTGTCGGAAACCTTACTTCCTCGTCCCATTCCGTTTACTATAATGCGACTGAATACGGATACGACTGTCCTGGCTATGGATCCGATACCACGAACCTGGTCAAATTGGGCCTGATCAAGTTGAATGAGGACTGTTTGAATCTGAATATCATCCGCCCTCAAACGAAAAGTAATGAGCTGCTACCCGTCATGATATGGATCTTTGGTGGAGGTTGGCAGCAAGGAGCTACTGCGGACCCCCGGTAGAGTAGACACCTTCTACTCCTCTCTGGTGGACTGTGCCTAGCACAAACAATACTAACAATCATTCTAACACAGGTACAATATGAGCTATGTTGTTCAGCAGGGGGCATTGAATGACAAGCCCGTGTTGGGAGTATCGATTAACTACCGTTTAGCAGCATTTGGCTTCTTGGACTCGGATGAAGTGAGGGTACACTCGCCCCCGCCCCTGAGACCATTCGAGAACGAAACTAAAGTTTGTGAGCAGGCCGAGGGCAACACCAATCTTGCCCTGCGAGATCAACGTACTGCTATGCGATGGCTGAAACAGCATATCAAAGCCTTTGGCGGCGACCCTGATAAAATTACGATTTGGGGGGAGTCAGCGTAGGTGTATCAAGAGCGTTACTTTTGCCCTGTTCTTTCAGCTCATAATATCTTCCCGGATACAGGGGTGCGTACAGCGTCGGAGCTCACCTGGTAGCCAACCAGGGCAACAATGAAGGCCTTTTCCGAGCAGGTACGTGTCTATGAGTTCGCGATTTCCGGCCAATGGCTAATATCTATAGCTATCATGGAATCCGGCAACGCTATAGGGCCCCCATACAATGGCACCGAGTGGCACCAACCAATGTACAACCGTATTCTCGAAAGGACCGGGTAAGCCTTTTTCTTAATTAGACTTCCTCTTTCGCGAATCATATCATAAACAGCTAAGCGAGGACATTTAGGTGCACAAACTCCACGAACACCCTTCAATGCCTGCGCGAGCTCCCATACGAGACGCTGTATAACAACGCGTACGAGGGCCTGGAGTGGTTTGCAACGATCGATGATGACTTCATCACGCAGTACCCGCAGATCAGTTACAAAGAAGGAAAACTCGCCAAGGTACCCATTCTGCTGGGGACGAACACAGACGAAGGCACCAGCTTCGGGACCACGGGCACGAATACAGATGAGCAATGCATCGAGCAATTGATATGTGCGTATCTCCACTATACAACAGCGCCGCGAATCTAGTCGCAGCTCTAATTGTTCTGGCTGATAGCTTCTAAACGCTGGGTTCTTACTCGGGACGAGGCGACGCAGCTCCTTTCTTATTATCCGGACATTGCGGCTCTGGGCTGTCCCTATGGCTGGGGCAATGTGACCTGGCCGAGTCTGGGGCTCCAGTACAAGCGGTATGAGTCTATGGCCGGAGACATAGCGATGGTTGCGCCGCGTCGAATGCTGGCGCAGACCATGTCCGGTTTCGAGGCCGAGATATACTCGTACCGTTGGGATGTTGCCGCGCTGAATACTTCGACCACAATCGGAGTGCAGCATTTTGCAGAAGTACAGTTTCTCTCCCCCTCTCTCTCTCTCTCTCTCTCTCTCTCTCTCTCTCCTTCTAGAAATTGCCCTTAATCCGAATGAGGAGGAATGTGACTGACGCACGAGACTCAGATTCCATTTGTCTTCGCGAACCCTGTGCAGAATATCACGGCGCTGGGATCAGATCCCGCTCGACTGCAGCTCGGACAGATGGCGGCTCGCATGTGGACATCCTTTGTGACAGATCTGAACCCGAATGGACATGGAGGTGAGTTGTGTGTTTCAATTGGCTAGCTGGTGTCAGTCTAATGTATAATGTGTACAGTATCCCGAATCCCGGAATGGCCTCGTTATTCAACCCACGCAACTAATTTCGTTTTCCGGCTACCGCGCAATGAGAGCTATCTTGAGGCCGATAATTATCGTGTTTCGGGTATGGCGTATCTTAATAGCATTGCTCGTTAGGAGCATTATACTGTCCTGAATGTCGGTGGGTGTCGGAAGGGGGCTAATTTCAAGATCAATAGATGCCTGGGTATTTGTACAGACCGACATCAATGAAGTGAATAAGTTGATCCTAGAATCATTGGAGATAAGATCTAGATTGACCAGGAATATGTCGCCTGTCTATTGTATAATCACCACAAGCTCAAAGATGATCCGCTTCTCTTGGAATAGAGAGCACCGTTGATCGAGATCTCACCAATGGGTTTCCTCTCCCGTTCTAGCGTCGCCTATTTAGCCGGGACGAAGGGCGCGGCATGTCAATACAGTGGCGACCCTTTTATCTGTTATCGGGTTTGCAATCCCGCTCGACATTTAAAAAGAGTCAAGCAAAACTGCACCCCCATTCATTCTCTGATTCCCTTCGCGACTTGAACCCATTCACTCTCTCCTCACCTTCCTTCTTCACCGCAGTCTGGTGACCTCCAATATAAACCACACAAAACTCTTATCTGCCTTACCCCACGACTACAATGGCCACCCCCAACCCCACCCCCACACATCTTGCATACCAGCACGACGCCAAACTGCTTACCCTACAAACAACCATCTACTCGCTCCAGCCCTTCGCAAGCCTGGAACCCGAAAACCAGGCGCTCTTTAAAACAGCCACAGAAAATGACTCCATCCTCGTCACCGAATCCACCATCTTCCACCCGCAGGGCGGCGGCCAGCCCTCGGACGAGGGCCACATCCATCTCCCCACCAGTGACACCCCCATTATGACTGTTCTCGCCGCACGCATGGACGCCGTACACGACGGTGTCGTCCTCCACCTCCTCCGGCCCCTCTCATCTTCTGCACCACCATCCCTCCGCCCCGGCGACGCAATCACCCAGGTCGTCGACGCGGCCAAGCGGCTCCTCTACTCGCGCCTCCACACAGCCGGGCACGTCCTCGGCTCGGCCGTGAACGCGCTGTTGAAAGACAGCATCCCCGACTTCGCCGAGCTCAAGGCATCGCACTTCCCGGACAGCGCGGCATGCCAGTTCCAAGGGGCGATTGAGGGGACGTGGAAGGAAGCGATCCAGGGACGTGTGGACGAGTATGTAAGGTCGGGGATGCCGGTGGAGATCGAGTTCTGGGATGAGGAGGACTTTGCGCGCGCAGGCGTGACACATCTAGTACCGGACCGGGCGCTGCTGGCGCCAGGCCAGGACAAGTTCCGGGTGGTGCGGATTGTGGGCGCGGAGGTATATCCATGCGGGGGCACGCATGTGGAGAGCACGGATCTGTGCGGGCAGACGACGGTGAAGAAGATCTCGAGAAGTAAGGGCGTGAGTCGGGTTAGTTATACGGTGGCGTAGGAGGGGAGCCAAGAGATGGAGGCTGAAGATCTGCGAGGTCTGGGAGAGAGAAGTGTATATAGATGTATACTATACGGGAGTCGGGGGTGGGTATAGAGGTCATGTATAGAGATAAAGCTACAAAGGTGAGGAAAGAGAGAATGGAAGGCCTGAGTGGAGCATGCGATTCAGCACGAAGATTGCTCCTCGACGGTTAATCGAGTCGGTCCCGTGAAGAAAAGCAGCTCCTGAAATAATTCTTTTTTTTAAGTATTTCGTTAGGGGTCGGAATTATCTCCTTCCGGCGACGCCAGTGGGCGGGTCATCTCCGGGTTCCCTGGGAGGAAGAGGAAATTGGAGGGTTCACACGGCCAGTACGGTGGAATTCGACTTTCGTATGACATATCCGTTTAGATGGACTTGTTGTTGATCTTGACGAGCTCAACCTCACTGGGACCAATTAGTATCGATGGCCTTCTTCACCAGATCGGCCACAAGGGGCACGAGCAGGGATTGAAGGGACTTACAAGACCAGGCGGGAGTTCTCAGGGATCAGACCGGGGAAGCCTCTGTAGGAATGTACACATTAGCAATTTGCACGGCGGGAGAGCCGAGGGCTTTGTATGGTAGATCATGGGAGAGATGTGAGAGGATCTCGAGGAACGAGAATGTCACGTACCGCTCGCCATAGCCAAAGTCACTATCGAAAAGAGCATTGTCAGCGTAATGGATCATTTGAGTCGGGTTAATGAGCTATTGAAGGAGAAAAACTCACGGGCTGATGTCCAGGATAGCCTTCTCGCCGAGGCTCATGGTGGGGACACCCTCGTCCCAGCCTGATATAGGAGGATTCAGTCAGTTTCAAGGCTGATGATCTTGGAGAGACCCCCTCATAGGCCTCAATCGCAAATATCTCTCGGGGATGCTCTCTGGAAGCTCAAGACATACCCTTGATGAGACGGCCGACACCGATGGGACTGGCCAGAGGGGTACCACGGTCGCGGGAGCTATCGAACCTGATTTGGTGCACGGAGTGGTGAGTGATGAGTCCAGGTCAAAGAGAACAGGAGAAGGGTTTAGAAGCACGTACTTGAAACCCATGTTGTGGTTGTCAGCCTCCTTCTCGTCGTAGAGGCATCCGGTGTAGTGCATAGCGACGTTGTCTCCCTTCTTGGGGAAGTCAACGCCGTTGCCGGGGGTCAGGATGGTCTTCTCAACGCCCATTGTGAAAGAAAGCGGTCTGAAAGAGGGAAAATGAAAAGCTGGTATAGTAGAGACAGAGGTGTTGAAGAAGAAAAGAGGCTAGGACAGGAAGCTGTGCAGAAACGGAGCGACGGAACCACTTTTTCTCCAGAAAGTGGGGGGGGGGGGCGCCTCGACGTAATCGACTGCCCCTCCTCCAGACCTCAACCCCTCAGAACACGGTCTTGCTATCCTTGCCCCGATGACGGATGCCAATGGATTCAAAAATGATGCAGACTCATTATCCGCTTCAATTTAACAAACTCTAGTGACTGATACAGCTTCCCGCTATGAAAGACGCGGGGGATGAGGGTTCACCTGCTCCACCGGCTCCCATTTCCCCTCGTTTCACGCCTCTCGAGCCCACGAATGGCGAATCCGGCGGGAGTTGACTCCGCGAGATGGCGATAAGCTGCGGGGACAGTTGGGGAAGCCCATTTGCTCAAGATGTGGCCCCCTGTCCACAAGAATACACAAAGCATACACTATGCACGAGTGTAAGCTTACCGCCATGGAGTCGAGAGGGTCCTGGATGCCCAAGCAAGCCGTGGCGGAGTCTGCTGGAGTGATTGGCATGAGATTACGATACTAGGCAGGGAGTATATGGGACTCATCCACTTCTCCAGCGCGATCAGGCCGTTTTTTCCCGGGTCTTCACGCTCATTTGCCCGGTCCCCTCCACTATCACCATTCTCCGGCAGAATGGGACCATTGCTAAGGTTTGTTTCACGGCTCGGCGAAACTGATCCTGGTCAATTGATCCTGTGGTAATGAGAAGCTCTCATGGATACTATTGACACCCGCACCGTCATCATCATGTGCAATCTGATACCTCACAAAGGCGACTCGGATCGTCCCTGACTCCCGGCCGATCATCTCCAAATGAGACAAATAATTATTAGGCCGTACTGGAACTTAAAGTGTAGTCATCTATATTGGTCCCCTACTCGGCTCTTCTTTTTTGTTTTTGGTTTCGAGTCTCATATCTATCTATAAACACAGTCCACTAACAAATGCTACTCCTGGCGTAACATTAAATGCGTAGACACTCATGAACCAGATCCTGTACATGCATACATACACACACACACACACCTCTCTCTCTCTCTCTCTCTCTCTCTCTCTCTTTCATGCCGTCTTCCAAAAGGGCAACTGTTTCAACTCCTCTGTGGAGATAGCGGCGATCTGCGTTCGGGGGAACCGCGCGTCCGGCACCGGCGCCTGCGCCTGTCCCGACGGCTCGACCAGCTGTAGATAATGTATTGTTGAAATACCCGCGACGTCGAGGAATTCCAAGACGCGGTGGAAGTTCAGACTCACCTGGTCCACGCCGTGGCTATCGTCCGAAAGACAGAATCGGCCACCCCGCGCCACAAATTCCTATATCAAGCCGACACAAGTCAGCTTCAATCACCCGTCATAAACGAGAAGAGTATACATCCTTTTGAGCTCCCCAACGCTCAAAGGGCAAAAGCACCAGCGAAAAAACAAGAAGCATGAAGGAGACACCTCCAAAGCTGAGACTGACCTGACAAATCTCCGCCTTCGGATACGGCTCACTCATTCCCTTCCTCAACGCCGCACCATTCAGTTCCACTAATCCGCCATACTCGGCCACAAAGTCCAAATTGCGCAACACCCGCTGCCACACGCCCGGCCAGGTGCGAAAGCTCCGCTCCGGATCATCGCTCTTCAGCCGGATCAGATCAAAGTGCCCGACGACGGGCGGCCGCGTCTGCTTCAGCATCTCCAGCTGCGCGTCGAAGTAGTCCTCGAACAGGCGCTCGTCGGAGCCGCCGGCCAGCTCGCGAGCGCGCTCGTACATGGGCCGGTCGTAGTCAATCGGCACGGTGTGCATGTGGTGCACCGAACCGACGAAGAACTCGAATGGGAAGCGGGCGAGGGAGCGAGTGATGAGATCGGCGGATGCGGGGCGGATCCAGTCGCATTCAAAGCCGATGATGATGGAGATCTGGGAGGCGTATTTGGCGCGCAGGCGGAGGGCCTCGGCGAAGTAGGCGGCTTCATTGGATTCATGCCAGGCTTCGGTTTGGCCGGCTTCGATCTGCGTAACAGGTTAAAGAACGAACGGTCAAGGATTTTAGAAGATAGATTGGGCGGGGGGCAAAGGGGGAGAAGGTCCCGTTACCTCTTCTGGGTAGAAGTCCTCTTCATGGCGGGGCATATGCTCTGTGAGGCAGAAGACCTGCATCTTCTTGCTGATGGCGGTCTGGATCACATCTTCGAGGGAGTTCTGGGCGTGACCAGGACAGAATTGCCCAGAGTGGCTGTGGTGAGAGAAGGGCATTGTGGGAGAGTATGGGACGCTTCCTGGGAGTAGCTGTCAGTGTTGGATGAGTTCCTCGCCCCGTTCCTCGCCCAGAGGATGTACGATGACCAAGGACTGATAGGCGGTGTGGCTGCAGAAGGATCTGTCACTAACTTGGCTACAGAAGTATAGAGTCTAGTCAACATTCCCCATGCACCGTCTTGGGGGAATGGAGGAGGGGAAGGTCTGCAGTCGGACTGGGATCGGGACTTGATAGAGGCCCGATAAGGATTCCGTCCCACTATCAGTTTATATCAGTTGAGAAGCGCTGCTGCGACTAAACGGGGGCACGATTCTTTGGCCTAGGAGATTCACTGTATCTCGACAAGATGCTGTGAGCAGGGTATGAGATTTAAATTCAAACTATTACATTAGGTCAATTAGATTAATGGGACAGCTTCCCCTTTGTTTTAATTTGTCCAGTCATACCTCGCTCGGCCCAGCTAAGTGTACAGATGGCATCTCATGGCTTAGACAATTCCTTTTACCCCAATATTCTAGTAGGCGTGCGTTCAACGCTAGTTCCGCCTGCATTATTGGACTTCTTGTGGCTCAGATATGATATGGAAGCCTAATATGTGTGGGTCGTAGGCCGTCCCAGCAAACACGATGACAGCTATGAAGGGCATGTCCAACACTCGTTTCTCCCGAGTCGAGGGTAGCAGCGTCATTGAGCTCCGTGGCGGCATTCATGTGCGATCATCTTCTAGCTGCGAAACAGCTAGCAGACCTGAAATCCGATTGAGCGATGCTCTTCGAATCCGTCGCGACACTGTGAACACGAGCCATCCACTCATCACTCAATTGCCGATGATCGGGAAGACGAAGAAATTCCCATCCCCCCATAAAATATTCGATATAAAGATGAAGTAACCTTGTTCACCCAGCGGCCAACACAGTCGCGACCACATAGTCCCCGTCATGCGAGATAGACAACCGGCCCACCCGCGCAAGACTCTCATGCGCGTCGGGCCCCAAGTACACGACCTCCGGCCGACGGCTCGTGCCCTGAATCTCCGTCCCGCGGGCCTCTTGCGTCCGAACGACGACATCTTTCCACCCAATTGACGCTGCCCCGTCGGGTGCGGCTTTGCGCGCGGCTTCCTTGGCGGCGAAGCGGCCGGCCAGCCAGCGCGTCATTTCTGGTGTGATGGGGGGTTGTGAGCCAACATTGGAGGGAGGGCACGACGAGGAGTGGAAATTTGGCGCGATGGTGTCTTTGAAGCGGACGTGGAAATCGTGCTGTTCGTGCTCGCTGAGGATTCGCCGGGTGAAGCGGGTGAGGTAGCCGGGGCGCTGGAGCAGGCGGGTTATGCGGGGAAGGTGGACAATGTCAGTGCCGATGTTGAAGGGAAGAGGAAAGGGGAGCGGCTTCATTGTGACGGGTTGGAGGCTCAGGATTCGAGCTTCGAGGTTGGTGTGGAGTGGTGAGGGGAGAGGGAAGAGAGGAACGCCGTTGAAGTTGCTGGCTGGACGCAGAAAGTCTGCTTAGCTCGGCCGATTGGGAGAGCAAAGGCGAATTGACGGATTAGCCCCAGGAGCGGTAACCTTCTTTATTGATTTGCGAGCGCAAAGTTAGAGCTGACTTTTTCGAGTCTTGGTTCTTTACTTCTTTACCCCATGTTACTAAATGTCGGCTGGTCTCAGACCATTCCAGATCTATGGTCTCGTGCCGACGGGACATCGGATACTACGTGCGATCCATTTGATGGTCGCGGGACTCGATACAAGAGTACTTGTAAAGCATCTACACTTGGTAGGATCTAAAAACCTCTCAGATGCTGAGGTTCCCGAGCAATGGCTGCGACCGTCATCACTCGCGACCCCCGGCCAATCGGACCGTCCTCCCCATTCCCCATGGACGACATCACGACTCCAAGACATAGAAAAAGAGGAAGAAGGAATAGTTCTTCTATGCAGCGTACACGGCTCTTATGTACAGATCCACCAAATCCATCCACCGACTTCCCGAATTGGCCCGGCCAGCTTCGCAATGAACCATCGCGAGAAGAATATGACCAATGCCAACACGCATCGACCAGACGATGAGCAAAAGGACGCTAGAAGTGATAGACGAACGAAATGGGCGACTCGATTCATGCATCATGCTGTTTCATGGTCGGGTCGGTCCATCAATATAATCCGTTACTCGGCGGGAGGGGTTTAGTGATTCTCGGTCTTCTTGTCGCCTCCATCCACTTCCTTCAGGAATTGTCTGTACGAGGAAAGAGCAGTTAGCATCGGAGGTGGTCCAATCTCCATGTTTATTCCCGCAGGTGTGGCAGTTTTGCATCGAGAATAGCGATGATGGAGCACGTACTGGATGAAGTCGCCTTCCTCCTTGGACGAAGCGTTGATCGGGGGACCGGCGGCGGTCTTGGGCTTGTCACCACCGCGGGTAGCGAGCCAAGAGCCGGCGAACATGCTGCCGAGGACGGTCATGGAGAGCTGTGAACATCGAGTCAATCCGGTTAGTGGATATTGCCTCCATCTGCAACCCGCCGGTGCTCATGCAAAAAAGGGATGGGCGAGCGACCGCGCGGCGGGGTCGTCGAGCCGAGAATGGTCAGAGACTTACGACGTGGGAGCCGACCTTCTTGCCGGCGACCTGGTAGTAGACAACCATCTTGAGGGATTGAGGTGGAGGAAGCAAGCAAAGGTCAAGTGCAGCGATGTGGAAGCGGAATCCTCAGGCTTGATTCAGAGTTGAGGTCGGCTCAAAGACCGCCTTGCCTGAAACGGTTTAGTGCGCCAGTTGACTGACTCAGCACCAGGACGTGACACCCGTCATGTGACCTTCCGGAACACCCCGGCGTCATGTGACTTTGTCGGGAAAGATGTCACGGGTTTCCGGTTAAGAGGAAGTATGGAAGCACCAGCATGTTGAGAGGTCTTCCTACACGGAGGACGTGTGATGGAAGACTATATCGTAGGAGAGCTCAAGAATGTAAAAAATCAATCCCATCATCCAATCGCAGATACCTCACGGCCCGAGCCCAACCACCGGGAAACCTTCGCGGAACCTCGGGGGAGGCAGGAGGCTATTCCATGGTCCCACGGGGCTGTACTCTATATCCCGTGTTGACGCTGTTCGCCGGCTATGCTGGCACCTGCTTCGGCTGTCGTGGACGGTTATTGCAGGCCCCTGGACCTCGACGCGCTTGGCTGCAGATTCCGTGGTCTTGTCAGTTCTTGTCGATTCTTTCCAGCGCCTTGCTTTAGTTTCTCTTCCTCTCCATTCTTGCATTTCCGCCACTACACTTGCTCTCCAGTGCATCTTCAACTCCAGTATTGCCCACACTCGTTTCTCAGGCCTTGAAATTTCCCATCTTTCATTTCACTCCGACACCCTCACTTTCCCACAATGGTCTGGGGTAGTCGCAAGCAAGATGAACCTCAAAATCCCCCGCCTGGTGTAGACCAGCCGGTGGCGCGCGAGAAGCTCCCTGCCAAGCTACAGCAACTGGTTGACCACGATGACGACTTCTATGATGATGTTTACTCCTCCTAGTATGTGCTGCTCCTATCCCAGTTCATTCGTCTTTTTCCATACCCAACGAGTCCAACGAGGGGGGAGAACAAGAGACGTCTGTGTCGCGTGCACCGAGAATCCGCCGAAAGCAGGGGGACAGCAAGCCCGTGCTTGCCCGCACTGCCCGACTCCACACTTCACGGCGCATTTGTTGTCTGCCAATGACGCACTACACATAGACAAGCACCACGCAAGAAGCTGCGGCGCAGACACCGAACGAGCATCTCACGACCCAAGATAGAGATCGAAAAAAAGTCTACCTGCAGAAGCTGACCATGGCCTCTTCTTCGTCCGACTCTAGCTCCGTCGACTCGACTGAAACCCCATACCGTTATGCCGCTTATGCGAACCGCATCCGTACCATCCTCCTCTCTGCCCACCGCTACGTCGCCTACACCTCAGATATCGGCGAGTCATTCCGCCCTGTTGCGCACCCGTGGCTCGTGCGTTCTGCGTACGGCATCTCATGGGCGTACCTGCTCGGCGATGTCGGGCACGAGGGCTACAAGGCGTATCTGCGCAACCGGCGCGCGCTCGGCCCACCTGGCGAAGAGTACAAGGATGCCAGCACCATCTCGCAGGAGCAAATCTTTCGCGGCATGGCCACGGGTAACATTAGCAAGCCACTGACGAAGGACGGCAAGGGCAATGACTCTTTGACGCCGTGGTCCACGACAGAGATATCGCTTGCCGAGGACTACCGCATGGTCATGGCCAAGCGCGCCGTGTTCCAGAGCATTGCGAGTATGGGCCTGCCCGCCTTCACAATTCACAGTGTTGTCAAGTACTCTGGACGTGCAGTGAAAAATGCGAAGACCGCGCTGGTGCGCACTTGGGTGCCAATTGGGGTATGTCTTTTTTTTTTTCTTTTGTCTGGCTATATCCTGGCTTGGACATCCCGCATGCAAGCGCTTTTGCTTTATGTTGTACATGTGCTAATTCCATCCTTTCAGCTTGGCCTTTCGGTCGTTCCTTTCCTCCCGTATCTATTCGACCATCCGGTCGAGGAAGCAGTCGACTGGTGCTTCGGTACCGCACTCCGCATCTATGGCGGCGAAGACGCTGTCCGTCCCCTGCCGCATCATGCTCTTACCAAGAGCCCCAGTGATGCGGATGGGGTTGCGGCTGCCGCATCCCAGCTCTCGTGGGAGGAACATAAGAATGAGCGTGAGCTGCGCCGCGAGCGCAATGGCGGGCAGTCGCTCTCGAGCTGGCTCGGAGGCTGGTCCTCTGGCTCGGAGAAGCCCAAGAAGGAATAAGGGGAAGTCGAGATGGCGCTTCATTAATCCTTTCTAATTTCCCTCTCTCATGGATATACATCTCTACTTTTCTTGTACATATCTCGCCCTAAATATACCTCTCATTTTAAATTCTTCCCCCCCCCCCCCCCCACCCTCCTGTGCTCGCTATCTCATAAAAATTCCCAGTCGGGTGAGAAATCAGCCAGAATCTCAAGGGCATAAAACGCACATCATACCATATTTTACTTTAAGGGAGAAGTAAAGAAGTGAATAAACGATCCAGTCGTTCTTGACACAAGAAGACTCTCAGAACAAATGTATTCTCCAATGCATATAAATACCTGTAACGCCCTGGGTATGCCATCTCCACAAAAAGCACCACCATATACACCAAAACACCAAACACGAAGACACTAAGAGATGCACTCTACTCTCCCTCTGCTCCCTTCGCCTTTTCCAACAAAATTCTGTAGAACCCTTTCATCTCCCAAGGCTTAAAGCACAAACTCACTCCAGAACCCGCTTCTCCATGTCCATGATCTTCTCATCCAGCCCCAACCCTCTCCTAACCCGTCTCTTCACCCGCACCCTTCGAATCAACATCCCAACCGCAAGCACAGCCACCAAAGACGCCGCCGAATAACATGACACCACGCACCCACCGCCAGCGGAAGATATGAGTGCGGCTGTTGGATGTACAGCATGCGGCCGTTCGTTCGGGTAGAATATAGACCCATATCGCGACCTCGACCGCTCTTTGTCCTCGCCACCGCGGGCGTTGTCCTCAGACTGCTGGAGTATGCTCTGTCCGTGGGCGTCTGGGCCAGGGCCAAACACGGCTGCTGGGCCGGGTTGGTAGCCTGCGTCTTGGTCGCGCAGCCAGCGCTCGTAGTCGGTGACTGGTCTCTCGCGGCGTGTAAGCATGGCTCAGCTCGAGGCGTGTCCGGCGCTGGGGTGGACTATTGTGTTTGTATGTGTGTGTATACTGGAGACGAGGAGTTTGTCCGATACAGAGAGAACAGTTGTCTGCGACAGGCTTCCGGGGATAGTTGGAGGACCCTCAGTGAAGCAGGAGAGACAGGACACGGTTTGCTTCAATTCCAGTCCAGGTGAGACGCCAGCATGGCCTATCAGTATATCACCATCTGGACAGGCACCCGGGGCTCTGCCGGGGAGGGGGGGGGGGGGGAGAGAGAGTGAGAGGAGGGGAGGAAACGCAGGTGCATCGGCTACTTGCACCCAAGGAAGCTTTTCCCCGGGATGCTGGTGGGCTCAGGCGATCTGCAGACATGCGGGCCGGACCCTGTACGGAGCAGGGGGAGGTAGGACACGGGCGATGAGGTTACGCCGTACAGGGCGCGGAGGGACGACGACTACTACTACTACTCTACCTCTATCGCTTCTACGGAAGTCTCTGGGTGTCTTATTACAGGGGCTGTTCTGGAACTATACAATTGACAATGGTCTCCCTGCCCCCACCATCGTCATCGCTGCATCTGGAAGTTTCTCATGAAGAAAGAGCCAGAAAAAGCTCTAGGAAGCACCAAGGCCACGGGAATTGCGGCCCAAGCGGACACGGAGGTAACTGTTCACGCCGGAGGTCTTGGCAGAGGGTTTGAGAAAGCTTTAGATTTCTTGGCAGCGAGGAAAGGGTCTTTTTTGGCGGTGCAACGTGGTGGTGATTGGCGGAATTTAGGGCGATTTCCGATTGTGAGTGGTGTAGGGATCCAATTGCGCAAGGGAGATTTGTCCTTTGCGATTCCGAGTCCTTCTCTCTTTCTCTTTCTTTTCTCGTGTATGGACTTGATTACACATACTCCGTTCTACGATTTCTATGCTTCAATAGCACTCGGAGTGTGGATGGTGATTACCGTAGGTAGGATGGATGGCAGTTTTTGTACTTGTCTATGCTCGCTTTTTTTTTCATTCCTGATTGGGGGTGATTGGGACTGTCCAGACTTTGAATTAGAGAGGTTGTATGTTGACCCAGACAATCCAATCGTCTATCAGGGAGAACAAAGTGATTTATCGTGATAGTCTCAATGAAGCTTCGTGCTTGAATCAAGACAAATCAAATGCTTCGAGGACTGATTATGGAGGGAGTTTGTTGATCACATAGTAGTCATATTAGCAGCGAAGCTTCATTAACGGATGAGCCATACGTAAAGTATCGAGAGACGGGCAATGCAATGGTCTACAAGCAACAGAAATGAAGGAAATTATCGACCTCTCTATTTAAGAGCGTCTCAACTTCTACGAAGTAGATCACTCAGCCGCCCACGCGACATTCACAACGACTGTACACGAGCCATTAAGGGAGAAAACACATAAAAATCAAACATAAAACAAATCCAACACAAAGAGATGGTAGGAAAAACAAACAAGGAGAGGGAGGGGGAGGTAAGGAGAACTAGCGTCGGCTCATAATGGATCGATCCAGGCCACCCAGACCATTAAAAGGGGTGCAAGTGCAACACATGTGCAAAGAGAGACATAAAATGGCCAGTTAAAAATGGTATTTTCCAAGGCACCGGGCATGTGCGGCAGAAACAGGACAGGAAATTAAAGAGTTCAGTTTCATCTCATTCAGTTCAGGTTCAGGTTGTCACAGTGCCATAGAAAAAACAACAGAGAAAGGAAAAAATTGTATAAGAGTTATGATGGAAACAGAAGGGGGAATAATATGAAATGAAATGGAGGCTGAGACACAGGCAGTGCCAACATGGACAAGGGGATGGACATGAGGGCGTTGCTTGGAGGATCAGGATCAGAGAAATGAAGATATAAAAAAAGTGGCCAGTCAAAAATTTCACAGAGAAAATACGTGATATATAACATATATCCTGATGTGGGGATGATAAACAATGAAGTTAAGTTTTGTGCAGTCTCTTGACATCGCAACTCAATTTCCATCTGCGCCACCACCATCAGGGAACACCTGGAGCAGGTATTGCTGTCTGAGGGACGGTGGCACATTATCCAATGAATCTGGGAGTTGATCCTGCCAGAAGCATTCGAAGAATGGATGAGAGGGATGAGAAAGGAAGGGGAAGGCAGCCACGTCTATGCGTCTTGAAGTCGTTTTCAAACATCTAGTTCCAGCCCAGAGAGTTCTCAGCCATCACCGGAGCACTGATCATCTGGGAACGGGCACTGCGCTGGCTGCCACCAAAGATGGAGCCAGCGGCAGCAGCCTGGCCCATTTGCTCAGCATTGGAGCTAGAGCGCTGGTGAAGCTGCTTCCTCTTGCGGTAGCGACGGGCGATCCAGAACATACCAGCACCGTAGGCGGCAGCACCAGCACAGACACCAACACCAATGCCAATGGAGCTGGCCTTGGTCTTGGAGCTGATGTTGGAGCCGTCAGAGCTGTTGTCACCGCCATCGCTGCCGTTGCTACCGCTCTCACCGCTGCCGCTGCTGCTGCCGCTAGAAGATGAAGAACTGTCATCAGATGGCCAGTTGCCGGAGAACTCCAGAGGAATAGACGGGTCAACCATGGACATAAGAGTCTTGGCAGACTCATCCGACTGCTGGTAAAGGGCGGAGTTGGGGTTGAGCTTGAGATTCTTCAGGGTCTGAACCTTATCTCTAGGGAAATAGAAGATGGCCAGGGTTGCGTTGTATCCGGTGGTCTGCCACGAATAGTATGGCTCGAGAGCCCACATGGTCACAGAAGACTTGGGCATGGCACTCTTGATAGCCTCAGGCACGTACTCGAAGATCTGGGATGAAGACAAAGGAGTAGTAGCCACGAAGGCCCAGGGAAGATGGCCATCGAAACCAAGCTGGAGCAGAACCGAATCGGCGGGAGCCTCCGTAACACTGTTCGAGGGGGTGATGGAACCAGGGAGCGAGCTAGACTCGGTGCTGCTGCTGGCGGTGTTGGTAGCAGTGCTGACGCTCTCAGATTGGGTGCTAGTCGGCAGGACGAGGATGCTGGACGGCATCCAGTTGTTGGTGTTCGAGGAGCTGGACGAGGTGGGGGTCTCGGTAGAAGAGGGAACAGGAACGGGCTCAACGCGAGTGCTTGTCGTGGACTCAGAGGTGTGAGGGGTTGGCGTCGGGGTAGCAGGCTTGGATGTCTCGTGAGTGTTACCAGTGGGGGTAGGGATCACTCCAGAGCCGCTGGGAGTGCCGGTCGAGTCCGATCCAGGCTGGTGAGGGGTAGGAATGGTTCCAATAGTGTTGGTTCCAGTAGGAGTGCCAGTCCAAGTACCGGTAAGAGGAATCGACACATGAGGGACGGAGCTAATGCCAGAGGCAGCCGGGGTCGGAATGAGACCAATGCTGCCAGAGGAAGTGGCCTCGCTGGTACCGTTGAGGCCAAGAGCAGAAGCAGCACCGCTGACGAGAGAAGCAAGAGGATCCGATGCGCTGGTGCTTGGGCTGGCAGTGGGAGACACAGCAACGCTGACCGGAATGGTAGAGGAGCCAGTTCCGGTAGCCGCAGTGCTGCTACCAGTAGTAGTCGAGTCGACTCCAATGCCGAGTCCAAGGAAACCACTGTCGGAGGTGGAGGCGGAGGCAGAGCTAGTAGCGGAGCTGCTCTTTCCAGTAGAACTACCGGTAGCAGTCGAGGAACTCCCAAGGCCAAGCAGGTCGGAGGCAATCTCAGCGACAAGGTTGCTACTCGCGGACGAAGAGGTCGAAGTGGAGGCCGAGGCCGAGGCAGTCGTTGACGCCGCGGTGTTGGAAGTCTCCGAGTTCGAGTTGGCTGTCTTCTTATCGGATTCAGTCGTCGTGGTGGTGTAGGTTGTGGCCGCAGTTGCCTGAGCCAGCTGAGTGGAGGTGGTCAACGTGTGGAGGTGGCCTGAAGCATCCTGCGACAGAACCACTACAACCTCCTTTGCGGTTGCCGTCGCTGCCGGAGCAGTAGTAGTACCTACACCATTCTCCATGCTGCTCCAGAAAGCGAGCCAGGGGTTCTCGCTACTCGTTGTAGCCTTGTTTGTGTTGTTCTTGACATGGCGTTTGACCTCACGAGGGAAGTAGAAGCGAGGACGGTCAACGTGCTCCGCAGTCGCCAGCTCGAAGCCTCCGATGGCGAAGGCCGCGAGGACTGAGAGAATCTCGGGGCGCATGTTGGTCGATGAACCTGTGCTACAATCTCAGAGAGAGACTTTTTTAATAGTTAAAATGCCGGAGGGTGCAGAACGAGTTAAGGAAGCACTCGTCTGTCAGCACCTCAAGCGGTGTTTGGTCCGAAGTGTTCGATATCACGAATTGTCGATAAGTCCAAGCTCCAGTAACGCGTTGGTCTCGAAATTCACCAATGGAGGATGTCCGGACGCAGTCGTAACAACCTCGCCGTTTTTCCTCTTGTCGAATTGATGAAATCCGACGTCTCAATGGGCAACCGAATTCAGGTGAAACACGAGCGAATCGAGAATGATCAACAAAAACGAATGGCAGGGACGGTTTCGCGAAGCGTGAAACGACCCGAAAGATGCAGAATGCAAAGCGAGTGTGGGTTTGGGCTAAAGCAGTAAAGTAAGGGAGCGAACGACAACCTTGAAGGCAGAGCGAAAGATGTCCGGGCAACGGTCGAAATCAGAGAGACGTTGTTTCGGAGAAGAGTAGAAGGGCTCAGCGCGACCGTGGGAGATGCAAGGGGACAGGGCGAATTGGCTGGATCCCAGGTCAAAGGCGCCTAGTCGGTGGTCGACTGAAGACGAAGCATACGAAGGAAAGGAATGAATAAGGTGAATGAGAATGAGCAACGAGCGAGACTGGGCGTTTGGGCGTTAGGGGGGGCGAAGGGGAAATGGGGGCGGTGGGACACGTGTGGATCCACAACACAGGCGTATTGTGACCGTAAATTATGGTAAATTAGTCTGGGTCGCAGCGGGCACCGTCGTGGACCAGTAGCCAGTCAGGAACCGGGTTCTACGCCCACGCACCGTATTGCCGGCTCTCTGTGCGTCAGGCGCGACAAGACTTGAACTCCTCAACCTGTACAACACCGTGAAGCTCTTAGTCGAACCTACCCAACAGAGAGCGAACAATGGACGAAGACAGGTTCCAAAGGTTAAATCCAAGTGCGACCGACATGGTCTCCAATGTCGAGCCAGACCTATCCGAGATTCCCATGGTGACACGACAGCGCTCCCAACTACTACTCTTTCCCCGGACGGGGGATTTGTTCCCCTATTCCTCTGAATCTGCCAGGCCAAGAGGACGCAGGTACTAGCGGCACCCGATGCAGGGAACCGAAGGAAATTTTTGGGATACGCCTAAGAGCCATTGGCTTCGGGAAACTATAAACCAAAGAAAACCCAAGCATAGTCCCCACGGGTGACTGGAGAAAGCCTCGAAACGGATAATCGGACGTGCTCGGAGGTATATTCCTTCTTCCTCCACCGTCGCTACCCTTGTACTACAAAGAAGGCTGTCACCTCATGATCGACAGGACCGATGGAAGGCTGCAGTATCAACAATCTCCGCTTGCGAAAGAGAGAATGAGAGAGGGAGAGAGCGCGCGCGCAATGTGATCGGGTCCAGCAAGGATCTGAAGTAATACAAGGTCGTTTCAGAGCCCCCAATGGCCCTCTCCAAGAAGGTGGAGAAGATATCGAGATTTGCCCATCGAATACCCGATCTCAAAATCTCACTTGCAAGTAATAATTATCAAGGAGCCTGGATCGGGACGGTACCCGGTCAGCAGTCTCATTTGCACGCAACTGGAGCACCTCGCCTCGGACAGCCAAGGTCTGGATTCCTTCATTCCCCTTTCAGGATTCTTAGCTCTTTTCAAAGACGGAGGACTTGGCCTTTCGTAGTGATCGACAATGAATTAGGCAGTGTCCAGGGCCAGGTTCAGGAGCAGCGGCCGCACATCGCAATCATCGGCCTGAGGTGGCCTCTCCGCAAGGCCACTCAAAGATCAGCCTGATGCCAGGCCCAGATTGACGGCATCGTGGGTGGAGTCCCGAATTCCTCGAAACACCATGGACTTTACCGAGAAAGAGTAGGGTACAGAGTGTATACTCTGTACTCCGTACAACAGTTGGAGCGATCGGGGATCGGGTGGCCCAGCTCCAGGGTGCGTGGCAACACCCCTCGCGGTGGTCCGTGGTCCCTTCCCGCCAGCCCCATACGTGCGAATACCGGTTGATACACGGGGATGGCCAGTCCTCCGGGCCTCGTCGGTCACCTCGCTAGACCTCTTCCAACACTAGTCGACGCCCATTGCTCTCGCCTCGCGCAGAACGAGTGACGATCAACCTGCACCTCGAATCAACGCCCCTGGTCCGCTAGCCGCTCCCCCTCTCCAAGTACGCCTTACCGCACCCTCTTTTTTCCTTCCCTCCGCTAGTCTGTTTGGGGCCGGCTCCCCGAACCCCCCCCTGGTCTCACGACTCCCGAAGCGGAACCTGACTGCGGCATTCCCTTTCAATGCGCCTTTCAGCCACCCGGAAAAGGCTGTGAAAGGACAAGACTGTGGTCTCCATGACCTACCCGCCAAAGTATGTACAAAGTGACTGCGGTCTTCGAGACGTCATGCAGCCATCGTGCCCGGAGCCAACGTACATACGCATTGCGTATGCCGGTCCATAGGTTCGTGCGACAATAGACGCCGTTGGATGGGCTGTTGGTTCCTGACAACTCAAACTAGAATTAAGTCCCCATCTGCGACACCGGACTATTCGCACACTACGAACGAACTTGAGGGTCTTGGGAGGCCACGTCCGGCCCTCCAGCACCTCTGGCTCCAGAACAATCTCCGATCGTCCAGGCCACGTGCCTGGCCTGGCCCAGTGGCAGGATCGGAATGAAGGCCTCGTTTTCCCCTCCATTCCTCCCCGCCACTCCGCCCGATTTCCCCTCTTCCTTTTCGTCATCATCATTCTCGCATTCTTGACGTGTTTGAGAGTGTGGTGGGGGTGGCTATCGATGAATAACTCTTCGTCCTTTCGCGTTCTATCGTCCCACATGATTTGTTCCTGAACCTGCTGTGTCTATGACGCCCTGGTCCGGGTACCCTGGCCACATACCGCGCGTAAAAGGCGCCCCCTTCAAGTAGGCCGTCAAATGGGCAGACGCGTGAAAGGAATTTGGACCACAATACAGCCATAGTCCGGAAATGTCTTCGGTGGCTGCTGATGTGCGGGATAATTATAGATGCCGCTTGTTCCTCGATACCGTCAGCCTCGTTTCTTTGTTCCGCCCGTAATTGGCTTGGATGAACTGATTCTCAGTGGCTTAAGGGCGAGATTAGGGAGGTGTTCTGGACGTACTCACCAGCTCTCTCGCACGGTGAGGCTGAGGGGCCATCGCTTTGGGATCACGCTCGATGCCGGTGCTTACCCTGCGCCATCCTGACTACTTCATGTATTGCCCGATCCCCCGACACCGCGCTGACTGTCTGATGTAAACACGATCATCGCCAGTACCAAGGGCCACGGCCTACGCTAGTCCTGTTCCTGAGCTGTCGGGCCCACCTAATCCCGCTCCCTAAACCAATGAACCCGCTTCGACGCCTGCCGAGAAGCGGGTACCTCGCCCAGAAAGGCGAAAGAAAACACAAGATGTGTCGATCACGTGATGTTATTTCCCGTGACGTGGCCATGGCCCTGTATCATGTGATCTGGTCTGGAACCCTTGACCGGTGGAGCCCCGGTAACAGTCTGGACCACGACAGATGCTGGTCCAGCACACAAATCGCCTGATGGACGTCTGCGGTGGATGCCTCTGTCCCCGTTCTCCACGATAACCAGCCCTAGGGGCGCACGTCATGCGTTGCACGCTTCGTAGACAGGGTCTAGACCGGACAGATCGTTGGATTAATTCGATGCCTCGCACACTGAGAGATATTGTCGCGGCTATTGGGCTCCAGGTGACGCAAGGGCGTGGCGTATGTGCAGCGGCCTCAACTGTAATTTAATTTCCCTTGTTCGTTCGGTTCGGTGTGTGGATGCTTGGGACTTGGGGGGGATAGGGCTGGAGGTGCGTTTCGCCTTAGATGCGGGTAATAGATCGATCACACAGCCAAGATATATATGTCCATTGCCATTGAGGAATTCCAGGTATCCTTCGCTAAATGAATGCGTAGTATCTCGAGTTTGAAACCCCTTCTCCACCTGTCCTACCAACTCCTAGCACATGATGACGGCAATGAAATGCCAGCATGCCCCGGGTTAGAGAAGCCAATAAAGTATCAGCTCATCTGAATTTCCGGGGGCGTCAGCCTCAACGCCCAGGCGTGTGTCAAGGAAACTCTTTCTGAGAATTGTGACTGCTCCAAACCAAAACACCTGTACGTCCATGAGATTGGGTATGAGAACCTACTCTGCCCAGGCATGTATATCCCATACCTGTTCCTGTTTCTGAGTTGGAGGTAGGGGAGAAGCCACCGTCGACGTGTTCAGCGATCCTCTCTCTTGACTTCGAAGTATACATTATGCATCCGATATTGGGGCTTGCTAGCCATTCCTTTCTCTTTAACAGCGCAGTGTTCAACAGTGTACTGTGCGGAATCTTTATTTCCAATCTTGATCGGCTTGCTTTGAAAGAACCCGGGCTAGATTACTTGGGGAGCAATATGAATGGATCATAGTAATATATCATGATCATCTGATCATCTCGGCCAGGTTGACTCTGCGAGCAGTCGAGCTGATAATTGCTGACACCAGACTGATAGACTGAACCCCAAGTGGTCCAAAAAGAGCTTTATTACGGCTGAAACCCCAGTATCCATAATATTCATTCGTTGGAATCGGAATTTTAGTCATGATATATCGTCTTTATCATCCAAACCATGCCGTTTTCTTTTCTGAACTGCACGGTAGCCCTGCTTTTCTTTTCAGGAAGTCCTTCAACGGCAGTCATGATACTCTTCTTCTAGTTCCTCTCTTATTTAATAGACCTCTGAGTAATTTGATTGAAGAATGAGGAAGACAATGCATGTTGAACGAGAGCTTTCCAATCGGCGAGGTGTATAGGGAGGCGGACTCCGGATGAAAAAGAAGGAGAACCTACATGCACCGAATCAATTGGGAATCCCAGTTTTTGGGACGAGAAAACCTCCAGTCTGGATATTGAGAGACATACTAGATATCTTCTTGCTTGGATCTAGAAGAACATAGGCTGTGATGTTCTTTGTGGTTCTCCCGACTAAGCTGACCCTCGAGGCTGGAGAGACAACGGTGCCGGAGCCGCAGCTCTCACTTCCACCATCCGCTCGACAACATCAACAAAGCATCCATCCCCCTTCCACCTCATTTTACTTCTGGTCCCGCCACACATTCTCATCTTCAACCTCCAAATGCCATTGCCGTCCCTTAAAGGACATCGGATATCTCCCTCATGGTATCTTGCAAATTTCGTCCCAGCCGATGTTCCTCTGATAGACTAACCAGACAAAGCTGAACATGGCGAGCCTCTTTGAGTTCGCGCGAGAATCTGCCTCGGAAGTCTCAGCAGACCCGCATCTGGGCAACCCAGTGTTTACCGATGACTTGGCGATTGAGATGCGGCCCATCGAGTGCAATGCACAGAACATAACTGGCAAGGTCTTTCTGAACCGTCCGGTAGACAATCTCGTCCCGCCGCGGTTCCTCCATATGGCCCATCATACAAGTCAGTTTCTTCTGAACTAGATATTTTTCTCTATCAAATCCATGAATTTCCTTCGTGGTTCGCCTTCTCGAAACTGCTAGCCTCATCTCCAGGCCCGATCATACGCTGACATCAAATCCAACTGTTACAGCAACGGTCCAGAGAAAGCCTTGGATTTTCCGAGGCGGCGCTGAAGATGCCCGCAAAGTTAATATGGGCCGCTGGTCCAAGGTCGACATTCGATACCGAGGCGTGTTCAAGACACTGGCAAAAGTCCCGCGGTTCCAAAGAGGACTGTGGGAGGACGGCAGTGAGGACTGCCAGGACAAGCTGGATGAAGCTAAAGACCATACTCAGGACCAGGTGATCTACGCGCTACTAAATGAGCTCGGTGAGATGATGAATCTGAAAAGGGATACTGCGGCCAAAGATAGAGTGTTCTCTCTTGGGTGAGTGACATTGATCATGTCCACCATCGTCGACAGCGTTTTGTGATAAGCAATGGTGGATTGTGGATGAGGTGGCTCATTTGTTGACCTTCTTTCTCCTAGCGCCCGCCTTGTTTGTGTTCAGATGGAGTACTGGACGGGGTATCGAAAAAGATACAATGATGGACCAATGTCCTCCGGATTTCTCTCTCTCGCATGCGACCCGGACCCATTACCGTCTATTCCCATTGTCCCCGTGTCCACAGTAAGATACCCCGTTACAATCTTTGAATAACAATTAGAAAAGAACATCTCAATCAGAATCTAACATCTCCCTAGACAACCATCGAAGAGTCCCTCCAATCCTCGCTCTCCGGCAAGTTCAAGCTCATGCTCGGCCAGCTACTCCGCCATGTGAAATCCCTCTCCCTCTCACACCCGGGAGACAAAATCCCCGACCAGGAGATTTTCCTCATCGGTCTACATGGCTCGCGCATGCACCTCCTGCGCGGTTTCTTCCCCGGCCAAAAGCTGTCTAGTCTGTGGTGCCAACGTGAAATCACCATGCCCATCCCCACCCTCTCCGCAGAGCAGCACCTGTCTCCGTCATCCCCGTCCCAATCCCCGACGGTCCCAACCACAGCGCACATTGAGCACTTCAGAGAAAGCAGCAGCAGCCCCGACAACGACGGTGCCCCGTGCTGGGGGCGGACTCGAAGCCGCCGCGGCAGTGATCGCTTCTACACGGCCGAGAACATTGAGCGTCTGCGCCGCCACTTCGAAGCTACTCGGTTGTCGATGCTGGACCACGAGCCAGATCTGCATACATTTCGGGTGCTAGGCACACGCGAGTATGATCTGTGGCGGCGCGGCGACTTTGCCCATGCGGTCCATATGCTCGTCGCATTGCAGATGTATCTACTCAGCGGCGAGGCGCAGTGCGGGATTCTACAGGAGCTGTTTGCACAGCATCCGGCGCCCGCGGAGGGTGGAGAAGCTAAGGGCGCTAATCGTGAGGTTGGGGAGGAAGGCCGTAAGCACAGTCAGGATGAATTTTTGCAGGGGGAGTCTGGGGTGGGAGATGATGCCGGAGAGGAGGGGGGTGGGGGGAACTGCGAAGAGGGGATGCAGACGGCGGAACCTGGCGAGAACTCAGGATTGAGGGGCCCGAAACATTCGAGGTGGGATGTTTGGCAGCAGACTGGGAATCAACAGGAGGGAGGACACAGGGACCCGGACGCGAACAAGGCCGGACATGATGGAGATGGGAAGGAGACGCGGGAGAGGTTGCATCAGGGCGACTCGGATATATGACCGATCTACCCGAACAAGGGTCGAATACATGTATCATTAAATCTGACGAGCTCACGAATTCATATCGAAGTATCTAATCGACTTGATGGGGTCCTCGTAGATATGGAAATATCAAATCCACTCCTCTGGCCCGTCAGTCCAATGCTTGATCTGCAGCCATTGAATATTCCGGGGACGGAACGAGGTCCTTGCAGAAAACAAATCGCCCTGGGGGTCCGGGCGAAAAGTACCACCAATCCAATGCATCGATTTTATGCTTGTTTCATCGAATGAGCGGGGTTCTCGCCTCTTTTAGGTGTGCTCCATGTCTAAATTGGCGAATATTGGTGGACAAACGCTGCCATGTTTGACGAAACATCAATCTCCCCGCCCAAGCGTCACACCATACTTTCTTCAATATTCCGGCGCGGTCATGGCGGCGCCGAGCAAAGCTTGTCTTTCATAATGTATATATGCCTATCTTGGCTCCTGGCTCCTTGTTTGGGAGCTGCTCGAACGAGGCAGTGACTTCTCTCGTTGATGCTGCAATGTCTTTTCTTAAAGCGACTCTTATTGTGGCTGCGCTGTCACCTGCAGTCGCCGCACTTGCATTTGATGGCGCCGTTGGGTTCGGCTCTATAGCCACCGGCGGCAGTGGAGGAACCACCGTCACAGTGACGACCCTGGCGGATTCAGGAACAGGCTCCTTCCGGGAGGCCGTGAGCAAATCGAACCGAATCATCGAGTTCAGCGTCAGTGGCTACATCGAGCTCGAGTCGGCCATCTCCTTGTCCAGCGACCTGACCATCAACGGACAAACAGCGCCGGGCAATGGAATCGGGATCATGGGCGCCGAAGTGTCCGCAAGCGACAAGAGCAACATTATCATTCGAAACCTGCGGATGCGACAGGGCACCCTCGATTCCGACACGGGCCACAGCGCGTTCAACATGGGCGATGCCTCGAACGTCATCCTGGACCATTGCTCCATCGAGTACGGCCAATGGGACTCGATTGATGCCGTTGGCGCCGTCAACATCACCGTTTCCAACTCGATCATCGCTGTGCCAATTGGACAACAGTTCGGCGCGCATGTCGAGACGGGCCCGTCGACGTTCTACCGCAACCTTTGGGTCAGCGCGCATAACCGGCAGCCCTTGTCCAAGGATGACACGCAGTATATTAACAACGTCGTTTACAATTATCAGGCGGCGTATACATCTGCGAACACGGGCGGGTACTTCTCGCATGACATCATCGGCAATTATTTCATTACGGGTCCGAGTACGACGACGGCGAAAAACGCGTTCTATCAGATGAACGCCAAGCAGAGCGTCTATGCGTCAGGGAACTATCTAGATGACAATGAGGACGGCGAGCTGAATGGTAGTTCCTACAACTCTGTGGGCTCTGCAACGGTGCTGTCGGAGCCCTGGGCATCGGACTCGTCTAGCCTGGCTACTCTCTCGGCGGAGGAGGCGGTCGCGTATGTCCTGAGTAATGCGGGCGCGACTCCTCGAGACGAACTAGATACCTATGTTGTTGGTCTAGTTGAGTCATATGGAACCAAGGGGGCGTTGTATAAGAGCCAGGATGATACAGGTGTCTCCAATGGCGGCTATGGGACTCTTTGATTGGGTTTGCCTAGAGTGACAATTTTATGCTGGCAGGCATATGCATATCATATAGATTATATATAGTATGTGTTGCCAGGTTGAGATGAATTATTTGCCTATTTCTATTATTACTGCCCCGATTCGTGACTTTATATATATTTTTTGACTTTCCCAACTCTCCCCGATGAATCCAAGCACACTTTTCCCCCTGGCAAAATCTAGTTGGTAAAAGTGAGGGCCCCCTCAGCCACTCTGGGATGGTAGTAAGTTAATGTGGGAGATTGCCCACTATTATGATGATGGCTTAAAGTGCTCTCAAACAGTCCCATGAAGCCAATCTAGCCCGGTCCATGGATAAGTAAAGTTCTCTTTAATGTAAATAATTTATGTGACCACCAATTGTGGAGAATAGGGCTTCTAATCCCATTGAGCCGTACTGGAGTCGGTCCAAATTCTTCGGGGTCATAAAACAAAAAATTGTCCGATTCACCATTGTCAGGCAATGTAGCAAAGTGGTTACTGCGGTTGACTCGAACTAATCCGATATCAACTCCCTTCGGGGGCGTAGGTTCGAATCCTGCCATTGTCGCTTGATTTTTTTTAATGAATTTTTGTCGCGCGCACAAGGTGCGAAGAGTATTGCGTTTCGACCACTCTCTCATATTTGACTGGATTTTTGTGGTGATTATCACACCAAAAAAATCTCATCGACGAATATTTTCACGATTTTTGTGGCAACTACAGCTTCCGAACGACGTCAAATTGTGATGGGGTTATAAATTAAAAAAATGGCCCGATGACCATTAGCTGGCAATGTAGCAAAGTGGTTACTGCGGTTGACTCGAATCTTTCCGATATCAACTCCCTTCGGGGGCGTAGGTTCGAATCCTGCCATTGTCGTGCAATTATTTTTTTCTAAAATTTGTGGCGATACACGGCGCGTGGAGGATAATACATTCCTCCCGCCTATTTCGAACTTTGAGCATTAGTTATGCCACTGACTGGCAGTTTACTAATTGGACAGACGATTGCAAGCGAATTCCTGTTGTCATATGTTTTCGTTACTCTTGTTGTTACCCTTTAAGCTGGGTTAGATGACCCTCAGCACCTTCCTAGCTAGGCTTAGACAGAACCAATAAGATCACCTTTACATCTCCTGACACTGTCACACTTGTCCTGATCTTTTGTCTGTACACATTATCTTTGATCTTGCCACCTTGCTCAAGGTCTCAGCGCCCGAGAACTGGATGGAAAACCAGAGAAACATCCTAGAACAATTCATAGCCCTTACTTGTCCAACTACGCCTGGAGAACGGAATGTCCAGTTTTTCGTCTATGCCATTTCTTGTCGGACCGATCACGTGACCGACAGGGATGCATCCCCAATTGGGTGTCGAGACAAGGGCATTGTTTGTCTATCAACCGGGGCCGTAAGGCGGAGAGGAATTCTGCAAGGATATGGCTATATCGGGCAAAACACACCACAACGATAAAATGTTCAGATCGCTCAATGGACTATCCAGCAACAGGACTCATCCCATCATAGGATTACACCGATCCCGTCCCATGATAATATGGACTATGTATGTAAGAACAGTCCGTCTAGCGATACTGTACTTAGGTCTTCCCGTTCAATTCATACATAGTCACCTTGGAGCTAACACCTTGGGGCTACCTTCAGTGTTTCATATACTTACTTTATGATGAGGATAGACCACCAACTAAAAGGACTATTAGTGATTACCCCGTGATCACTCACTTTCTGACAAGGCAGTCTCAACCCGGCAACGTTCATTGGTTCTCTCTGGTGACCCTAGCCTGTGTAAGACCTAACCAAGCGGTGATATCACGGTTGCGAGATACAGACCATTGAGAGGCACGTGCGGACGTACTTAGCACGTCAGCTAGTTAGCAGTGCGTGACATTCAATTCATGGACTTTGAACGTAGGTAGGAAATTACATCGGTGTCTAAATTGGGGGCCATACAGCAGTCATATACACTATCAGGGTCGCCCTTAGGCGCTTATCTTTACAGGCTTATATTTACAGGAAGAAGATCCCGAACCACGAGTAGAGTACGGTCAGTGGAGCCGTGAATAAATTTGAGTGCCCCACTGCAGTCAGAAATTACACACTGTCCTTCTGGCAATGTGCCACTTCACCACACCCTGAAATAGATTCAAATATATTCGACTCTCTTCTTCTCTCCGGCTGTCTTCGCCGCCTAATAACCGGAAAACACTATTTGATAGTGCTGAAACCTGCCATTAGCATCTTCTGCGGCTTTCCTTCCAACGAAACAGTCCAAGAGACGTCGGCAAGGAATAGCCTTTCTTCAGCGAAGCGGGGTATACCATGCTGCATTCTCGTCTTCGGCCAGCTGCCCGTGGCAACCCCACTGCAGCCAGTCACACGAGGCCTACGGCCCTAGCGCCAGAATTCGACGATGCAAATGAGAGTTCAGATCCTGAAGAGTCCCAAGAAGACCTCTTCAGTGCGTTTCTGCCTCATCTCTTTCCCGATGATGCACCCTCGTTCCACGGTGATCCCGGGCAGCGCCTGATCTATACGTCCCCGCGCTATGGCGAGCTAGAAATCATGGTTCCATCCTATCCAGGCCAAACGAGAGATAATTCTGAAAAAGGGACAAATGGACCGGAAAAGAAGGATGAGGGTAATCAGGCCGAGGAGGGAAGGAAGCTGTTTGCGCATATTCTGTGGAGTGCGGGAATGGTGGTAGCAGAAGGTGTAGAGAATGCGGATTGTAAGGCGATGGAGAACGTGTCTGCTGCGCAAAAAGAGGCTTGTGAGGTTTGGTCTGTGCAGGGAGAAACGGTCTTGGAACTCGGCGCCGGTGAGTTTTCGCTGTGATACGAAATGGTCGATTCAACTCATGCATATCCACCTAGGCGCTGCTCTCCCCTCTCTTATTTGCGCACTCGCCAATGCCTCGCTGGTCGTCGCAACGGACCACCCTAGTTCGTCAGCTCTTAGCGGTGCAATTGATTTTAACGTAAGGCAGAACGTCCTCCGACATCAAACCTCACATCAGACCACTACCTCTATCCAGCCCCATGAATGGGGGACTCTCACAGACTCCTTTTCACAATCCCACAGGGGGGCTTTTACTCGCGTCATCGCCGCCGACTGCTTCTGGATGCGCTCGCAGCATGAGAACCTCGCGCGAACGATGCAGTGGTTCCTTGCACCGGGAGGCAGAGTCTGGTGTGTTGGCAGTTTCCACACGGGTCGGGCCATCGTGGCAGGCTTCTTTGAAACCGCACTCGAAAATGGCTTTGAGATGGAGCAAATTTTCGAGAGGGATTTAGTCGATAGGGATGAACAGGGCAGGGAGATCCGGCGGGAATGGGTTCCCCAACGGGAGGGCGAAGGTCCGGAGAATCGTCAGCGATGGTGTGTGATTGCGGTTCTGAAGCGGAGAGAGGAATACTGGAGGGACCTGGGCTGATGACCGGACCCGGGCTAGATACATATAGAGCTGTAGATAGTGTGTCAGCTGTTGCATAGGCGAGGAAACCTCTGAACAATCAATAGAGCTTAATCCTTTCGACCTTCGAAAGATATTAGTTGGAAAGACACTGAAAAAGGGACAAAGCAGTCAGGGTCAGACTTCACCAAATTCATAATATAAAGAACAGATATGAAAACTTCGGGACCAGATTGATTGCAATACTGCGATTCTTTCCCTTTTCTCCTCAAATACCACAACTTATCAAACAATATCGTCCCAATCTATATACTATCTCACTCATCATATCTTCTACAACCTCTCAATAACTGTTATGGAACAACCAAATGTATAATACTTGATGTTATTCGGGTCAACCTCGGATACGAATCGTATGCATGACGCACACACTCATTGAAATATGACGAAGTCAGACCCCATTTATCGTCATACGTTTGGCGAACAGTGCAATGACCACATCAAGATTAATGAAAAAGGAGAATACCGCTTTCTTCGAAATGAGTCTTTGAATTTTCGAACTCAGTCTTTGAACAGAATCTTTGAAGATTCGGTTATTTGAATATTTCACCCTTATGATTTCCCCCGATTCCATAATGATTCAATATTGATATAATTTTTTTCCTTACCTGACCAACAGGCCGCTGCCCTGCAAGTAGCACATCAACACTGTGAGGTTCTTATCGCTATGTGATTCTAAAAGCCCTAAGAGTATATGTATAAAAAACTATCAATAGCTATAGTGCATTAAAAATTACTAGAGAAAACTAACCCCGTGGCCTCCCTACTCAAAATTGTTTCCTACGCTCACAACTATCTATCCCTAAGACTTAGTATTCCCATGGCTTATTCTCAGTGTCAGAAAGCTTCGCTTGTAGGCGTTCTTGCTCCTCATTCGGACGTGGCTTATCTGTGGAATTCTGTGACCTTTGGTCGACATTCGAAGGTACTGGTAAGAGGCCCTTCCCCACAATGCGTTGCTCCTCTGTAGGCTGTCGGGGATCGGACGTTTCGTCGACATTTGAGACTAGTAACGAGAGCTTGCTCGCTGCAAGAAGGTCTTCGATGTTGGTGCTTCCACTCGGGGCAAGCCCACCACAATCTTCAAAATCCCTCAAGACCTTGTCAATTATCTCCCCCTGACCACTCATGTGTAGGAAATTTCCAATGGAAGCGTGGAGTTCGAGAAGTTTGGGATGCGGAAGTTCCCAACTTCCTTTGTGAGCTCGAAACTTGACGAGCCGGTTCCTGGGTAAACTCTCTATCGACCTTGTTGCACATCTTGGGAAGGTCTTGATTCGATATTGGTGAGCAATTCCGGTTGCCTCAAAAATAAGGTTGAACTGCCCAAATTCCTCGTGAATTAAGACGTCTAGCATCATAATATTCCTTTCTGAATTAATCTGTTCTGAGGTAAAGGATATTTGGCGAAGAGCTGGAAAATAGCGCCTAAGGTTGACCCAAATCTTTGCATGTCTATTGACAGCCTCGCTGCAATTAGTGTCGAAGGACCCAAGAGCAAATGGAATAATATGTGCTGCATTAAGACGAGCTGTTTTCGCGTTTTGTGGATAGGGGTGATTTAGACTATAATACCCTGATGCAACACATTTGTTGCTATCTCTTTCTAAGCAGTGGGATCGGAGTTGCGACTGAACGCTTCTGCTGATAGAATCGATTCCTTGGCTCTTAAGATCCTCAATTGAATCTTCAACACCAGAACGCGGGGAAGGACTGATTTCAGTAGGTGTCTTTCCACCCTGTGCTTTTAGAGGAATCAACAGCCCGGTTCTGATACTTCGGACTAGTTACCGAAGCTTCTCATTATCTGCACACTCTGTAACGTCCTCTACCAGATTTCCTTTTCCTTCAAAAGGAAGGGCCTTGAAGAAGTTATAGAGGAACTCCTTGGTTTTATCTGTAGGTGCAAGTAGAGTGTAACTTCGCAGCTTTTGATCCAGCTCTTAGGCTTTAGATATTATAATAGTTCTAGTAAAATGAAGGTAAAATGAAAGTAAAATGAAAGTAAAATGAAGGTAAAATGAAGGTAAAATGAAAGTAAAATGAAGGTAAAATGAAGGTAAAATGAAGGTAAAATGAAGGTAAAATGAAGGTAAAATGAAGGTAAAATGAAGGTAAAATGAAGGTAAAATGAAGGTAAAATGAAGGTAAAATGAAGGTAAAATGAAGGTAAAATAAAGGTAAAATAAAGATAAAATGAAGATAAAATGAAGATAAAATGAAGATAAAATGAAGATAAAATGAAGATAAAATGAAGATAAAATGAAGATAAAATAAAGATAAAATGAAGGTAAAAGACACTATCTATGGGAGTTGCTGTAATCGCAGTGACAGTGGAAGGTCGGATTTCCATATCAATATTGACACAAACATAATCTCCAACATCCAAGTATACCCAGCTAGTACCAACAGCTGGATTCCACCTGTAGAGATAAATGAATACTCATATTCGGGATGCTCTTGATATTTTCAAGCATTCATAGATCGTCGTAACATAATCCGCCGTACGGTCCGTAGCTCCAAAACCCGCGCCCATGCGATTCATAGTGTATGTGATGGTCATTTGGTTATCAAGATCCATCATTCCGATAGAACCACCCCAGCCAGTCCAGTAGCAAACCCGCCCATCTAGCATCCATTCAATTTCAGTTCCCTCAGCCTCCGGCATGGGCAATCCAAACCCGATACCGAACCGAACTGGCCGATTGGTGACCACATCCAGACCATTTGCTTGTACCCGGAAAATTTGATCAATTGTAGATGGCGATAGAAATTGTTGACCATCAACTGTCCCATTTAAAGACACAATTGACAAAATTCGATTGAGAGCACGGGCATTGCTGAATCCACCCGCGGCACCCATCCCAGCTAGACGAAAGCCTGGCGTGGCTGGCTCCTGAACATCGGGAGAGCCACTCATAATAACGCGCATAAACATGCCTTCTGGATTAAGGAGTTCTTTTTTCAATGGTGGGGGTGGCGTTAGTTCCGCAATCCGCCCCCATTCGGACTCTGGAACCCCAAGGTAAAAATCCGCCTCTCGAGGAACAGCAAGCTCTTCCCGTATAAGCTGTATCAGGGGTTTTCCTGATACACGGCGCACAAGTCCGTCAAGAATATATCCGAAGGTAAAAGTCTCATAGCCAAATTGTGAGCCTGGTTTCCACCAAGGAGATTGGTTAACGAGTTTATCTGCTGCAGCGGGAATATCGTACAGCTCTTCAGTCTCGAGATGCGTAGGCCACCCTGGAAAGCCGGATGTATGGCTCAGCAGATGACGAACAAGAACATCATTCCGGCCATCACCGGCAAATTCGGGCCAATACTTGGTGACAGGTGCGTCAACATCTAAGAGACCGCGATCAACCAGCAATAATACGGCTAAAGCAGTCACTGTCTTGGTTGTTGACCAGATGGGCCCGATGGTGTCCTCAGTCCACGGCTTGGTTCTCTTTTCATCCTTATAGCCTCCCCAGAGGTCGACAACGGACTTTCCAGCAATGCTCACGTGAATAGAGCCACCGTTTTCGTGCCCGCTTGAGAGATGTTTTTCAAAGATTTGACGAAGAGGCTCGAATTGTGGATCACATTTACCATGAACAGGGACCTTAGAGCTCTGATCTGCAGACATTTTCGGAACAAATGACTTATACGATAGGTTTAGGGAAGATGAACTCTAGTTTTAAAAGTGCTCATACAGAAGATAGGGCATGGAATTCAAATTATGAATATTTACCTCAGTACGGAGTAGAGAGCGCAGCCTTGCCGGGATGCCCCACAATAGTGCCATCACTATTGTACCGCTAACCCGCAGATAGAAATTCGTTCGAGGGGCCGCAGATTACGACGACTGAGGACGTAGGTGAGTAGGGGTCAGAGTGGCCCGAGGGCGAGTTGGGGGGCCGGGATCTACCTACTACCAGCCAGGTTTGGTGGATATTGAGCATCCACGTCTACATCGCCCCCAACTCTTCCGGGTTGTGGGTGCGCCTCGCACTAACTTCCTATTTCACTCCAACATCCAACTTTTTGATTTCCTACTCACTAGTATTGAGCAATTACCACCGGAATCAAACCATAATCTACAGAAGAACCAACAGAAGATCGCTAGATATCTAAAGGAAGATCTTACACCAGAACAGAAACGAAGTCTAGATTTAATATTTCATCATAATAAGGTTGCAATATAAGACCTTACTATGGCAAACAGTACAATTCGACAGGCCTGGGCCGCACAACTACCACCTCAACGCTCAGTCAACAAAGGACAGGCCAATAAACCACTTTGCAATGCAGGAATCCATTATTTAGAGAGGCCAATTGGCATTTCTAATGACGCTCTTAGGCGATCGATTCCCAACCAGGAATTAGTGACTATATCCAACACTTCCACCGCGAACGCTAGAAATGAAGGGCCTTTCAGTTCTATTGGAGGAGCGATAAGTAGGGCGGATCTGAGTTCTGTCAGCAAGTTCCTAGATCTTTCTCTGTTGATTAACGTCTAGAAGATTATGGGTACTGCAGATTTAAGGTACGATTTAGAAGCATCTCCGCTATGAGGTGGCTACCCGCCAAGGCAACGGCGCGGAATAGTGGGTTACAGGATCAATTTGAGAAGATTATTATTGTAACGGGTCATTTATCAATCTAATGCCTAGGCCTGGCCTGTATGATATGATCTATCAGTTCCTCCAGAATATTCACTCGCCGTTAGTCACCACCTATATTGCACTTCTCCAACCTTTAGACAAATTGTATGTTGGCACAGCTCAATTGAATCAGTTTGGCTGTAGCCCTTCGCAAATAGAAAACAATGGGGGATAGTGGGGTATAATGTAGAGGAGAAGAATTGTGGCACCCGCCTCAATTCCAACCCAGAAAAGAAAATTCAACAACACAGGCGGGCGATCGAATCGAAACCGCCAAGAAGAGATATCAAGCCAAAAAAGACGTCAGGATGATTCTTTAAAGAACCTCCGAATGTGGAAGAAAAAAAAGTAGGGCGTTGATCACTCCCGATGCCTCCGCTCCATCTCAAAAGCCGTGAAACCGTCGATTCCTTGCCCATCTTTTCCGCCGTTCCGGAAATACTCAGTCACGGTGCCGATAGCATAGCATGATGCAGCAACCGAAGTGCCGGTAAGAACCATTCGACGAAAGACTCTGCGAGTCGAAGATTCGGTTATTCTTGACGAATTTGAAGGGCCGATCGGCTGAGTGTTGATGGGCCCAGAGATTGAGGGGGGGCTAAGTTGACCAGTTAGGACGGGAGGCGGTCTGAATAGACAGCTTCACTGCCTACTCACCTTGGGGGAGGACGGGTGGTATGGACGGGCGTGGGTGTCGACCGAGTCGTAAGAGTCATGACATAAATACTTGGCAATATCCGCGTGGACGTGAGAGGGAACAGAGTCCTGCGTAGAAACAGAGGCAGTGCTGGTGTTTTTGGGAGTTTTGGCGGCCTTTCTGAACACCAGGATGTCACCACCGCCGGTGGAAATCTCATAGCCATCTTGTTGCATCTGAGAGAAATAGGGCACAAATTTGGCTGGGTTGTGAAGACGGGAGAGAACTTCATGAGGTTGGGTAGTCTCGCTGGTGCCAAAGAATGCATCGGCCTCAGCGGTTGTTACCTTGGAGGTGGAAGAGTCGAACGCCAAAATACGGTAATCGGCTGAAGACCACTCCTGCTGTCCTGTAGAAAGGATCTGATGATGCTGAGACACAAAATCGCCGACACGATCTTCAGAGCCTTCAAAGTCGAGATCTTTGGCTGCTCGGATGGGCGCATCTGCATCAACATCGCTCTTAAGAGAAGCGTAGCGGGTGCGGATATCTCTAGCTTGCAAAGCACTCAGATCTTCGCTCTCACCACGTGTCTCGGCACTGACCATATCAGAGAGAAATTTGGCCTCGAGTTCACTTCCAGGAGCGCAGTCAATTGTCACATTGACCTTCTTGAGGTTAGCATCCTCTGCAGCTATGGTCGGCTGGGACTCTGCATTTTTAGCAGCTGCTGGGTTAGCAGCAAACATCGCCTCTAGCTCACTGCCCGGAGGACAGTCCACAGGAGACCCCAATGTCTGTTGCGGGGCAGCTGCCGATTCAGAGAGGATTTTTGCCTCCAGCTCACTACCAGGGGAGCAGTCGATGCTGTCAGCGGCAATCTCATTCTGGGCCTGAGTGTCAAGGCTTGGGAACTCGGAAGCGAACTTGGCTTCCAGTTCATTACCAGGAGGGCAGTCAACGGAAACGCCACTTGGCTGTCCCTTCAATCCCTTCGATGGGCGACTCTGATCCACGCGAGCAGCAGGGCTGGCGGTGAACAGTGCATCAAGTTCACTTCCAGGAGCACAATCTGTATTTCTGCCAACACGCAGGCCAGCATCTTTATCAAGCCGCTTGAGCGTCTCTGTGACTTGAAATATCTCAGCCTGAGGCTGCTGGGACGGTACCGACTCGGAAATGAACAGAGCCTCTAGTTCGCTACCTGGAGGGCAGGTGATATTGATGTTGGGCTTGTAGGCAGACTCTTTTGGCAACCCCGCTCCAGTCCGAATATCCTTGTAACTCGTGGGATTGGCCGTAAAGAGAACTTCGAGCTCACTTCCAGGGGGGCAATCAATGGACTGTGAGTTGAGTTTGGTCTGTTCGGAGTTGGTGACGCTCCCGGGTTGAAATTGTCCATCCTCGACTGTCGATGAATTCGAAGCGAGGTGAGCCTCGACTTCGCTTCCTGGAGGGCAGTCCGTATAGCCTCCAGCGTGCCCGCTCAAGGCCTGAGAGGAAGGACTTGGTGGCAGCGGTGCCATACGGCCACTGATTGGGTCGTATTGCAAAGCATCTCGGTTCTCTGATTGACTGGCCTGTGAGCGAGTGAAATTGAAATCTTGCAGATGTGCCTTCGCGGGATGGTCACTCATGAGTTTGTCGGCACCCATAAAGGTCCGCAAAAAGCCGGGCCAGACACCCTCTGAGTTGTGTACGTCTGGGAAATCATCCGGTCTACGGCTAAAAGCGGCACTGTAAGGATCCTTGGTCACATTCTTCTTCAGGTGTGCCATCCGGTGGTGCATCTGCGCCCGCTCGGCATCCCAGAAGCCCTGCTCTCGGCCAGCCGAGAGATCTGAGAAGCTGGAGCGAGATCGACTAAGCCCCCAGCCCCATGTAGAACTGGGGTCCCGGTGAGTAGTCGAGGGCCAGTCGTGGCGGGTCTCTCCTTTTCGACGGAGGTTGGCCTCTGGGTGTCGCTGGTATTTATCAATGCGTCGTGCAACTCGTTCCATCTTGTCACGGTTTGCTTGGCCGTTTCTCGCACAGCGCCATATACTTCGGCTCTGGGAGGCGTGTGCAACCACTAACTGAGAAAGGGCCGGGCGTGTAACACCTGGCGCAGCCATCGCGACAGAGAGGGCGACTGAAGAACTCATGGTAGTTGCTTATCGAAAAGCTGTATAGGGAGTGTGTCTGTGGACTCCGATGCCGGAATCAATTCACTCGGGAATATAGAGATCGGGCAGAGGATAATTCGCGTGGGGTCGATGGCTCCAGGACGCTGTCGATCATATCCACCCGAAACCGTAGGGGACCGGGGTAGCGGGGCTTGTGTTATTTGAGCTCCAGCCGATGCACTGGAAACCGTTCAAATAGGAGGGATTGAAAGAATTGAGAAGAAAGAGGAGGAGCAGAAGTATGAAATAGAGCAGGGGTAGTTGATGAGGAGATTAACGAACGAGTCGAGTAGGAGCAGGGGGGACGAGCAATACACATGTCACCATGAATGCCAGCAGGACCAGAGCACTCCGAAGCGGAGACAAGAGGCGGGATCACCGCGGGGTGCGCCAATCACAAGCCACACCCGCGCATCCCCCGCAAGTAACCCTGCTTAGGTCAGCCACGCTTGACGTCACGGCGATTCCTCTGGTTCCTTGTGCACCCGACATCTCCACTTGCAACCAACCACAACCCTGTCTCGATGCGATTTCCCAAGTGATGACCGGGTCCCAACGAATCATATCCATGCACTGCCTCTTACAGGAAGGCCAAGTTGAGTCAACGACCTCCTCCATCATTTGATAAGCAAGTCTCGCATTCTATCGTCATCGCGAATGAACCCGGCGGATCGTATCCCCTTTGGGGCAATTCGTTGTATGATTGGTCTCGGCCTCGCCCTGAGACCTCCCCCCCCTTCCTGCCTGTCCCCCTGCCATAATACCCTTCCTAAACCTCTACGGGTGATGAGACAACAATGTGGTTGCTCCAGAACCGTAAACCCTCAATCCCCTCTTCCCGGCACAGAACCCCGCGATCTTCGGCCATCTCTAGCTCCTCGGCAGCCACACCGACACTCCATTTAAATCGCTGCGCCGTTTCCTGTGCTGTTACGGCCCGACCGAACATCATCCAATCCCACGGAACCGGCTCATCTGGTGGGACTTGACGCAGCTCCGACATCCAATCCTGAAGTTGTCGGACGGTCTTCTCGTCGCTCCAGTCATATCGCTGAACCACCAACAGACCACTTTTGAAACGGCGCAAACGCACGGGTAACTTTAGCTTCTCCCATAATTCGGCTGCGCGTTGGAAATCCACCGGGCTGACCAGCTCTACGCCATTTCGGGACCGGTTGAACATAGCCCACAGGTCAATCAGACTCATGATGCCCCCTTCGCGTTGTAGAATCCCCTTCCGATCGTCTGTTAAATACTCGGCCAGGTTACGGGACAGCTCTGATAGATAAAGATTCTCAGATCCCGAGCTGAGCATGTCCTTGGTCGTTACCATTCCCAGGGCCGTAGCGGACTCGGAAAGCACCGCGTTGGTCTCAGCTGTACTTCCTTCATTGGCACTCATACCGGACTCGCGTGCCAGAGTCTCAGCCAAAGCAACAATCTGCTTAGCAGAGGCCATGAGGGCTTCAAGATCCTCAAAGGCATTGCCAATGATGAGTTGATTGTTCATACGGGTTTCAAGACCTCGTTGCTCCAGACCCGCAATCCCCGCAGCCGTAGCACGTGGGGCGGCTGGCTGGGGACTCGCCAAGGCAGTTAGGGTGGGCGTGCTCGACGCCGCAGTTCCCTGTGATGGCGGAGGCACTGGGGGGGCATTATGTAACAGCCATTTTCTTTGGATGAGAGCTCCTTTAAGTCGCTCAAGGAAAGTCTTCTCCCCGCCATCTCGGAAAGAAAGCTTGATATTATCCGTCACTTCTGTGTTGGTGATATGAGCATGGTTGAAGAATGGAGCGGGGGAATCAGCACGGCTACTGTCACCACCAGGGACTGACAGACTGATTGATGCCAATGGCGCACCACACATCTCGCACTCTATCAAGGACGGGTGGTTCACAAATGTGCATCGAGGGCATGGCACCGCTCCACCGGGTCCCTTCGCTGGAACTTGTCCACTTCCATTATTTTGTGGGATCCGATATTCTGTGGGCAGTGTATTTGAACCCGATGACTGTGATTCTTTGCTCGTCACCGCGCTGATTGCAGCTTTGAGTACGGTCGTGAAGGGCGGCTTGATACCGCATGCCAGACAAGGTGGCAAATGAGTCCCCGAGGTGGCTGTGGCAGGGTCAAAATTTGAAGGAACAGGGTTGGAAAATGAGCATATGGGACAGATCCATGTTGCATTGACTGGCTTTGGTGACTGGGACTGTTGCGGTATGGCGCTTTGGGGGCGAGGAGAGAGCGGTTGAGCTGGATGGAGAGTGGCTTGTTGTGATACAGCAGGACTGGAAGTTGCGCTTCGGGCCTTGTCGGTCTTTCCCTTGGGCAGCTTTGAATATATATTAATTTTTGGGGAGGATTTGAGAAAGCCGGCCTGGATCAAAGCCAGCGAGTTAGTAAGTCTATCGCAACGCATCCACTTGGCGCTGGGTACCTCCCACCTGGTATTCGGCTCGATCGATATCTTTTAGATCAATACCAACAGAGTACTTCCGAGGCTCATCAGCAGCCACATAGCACACTCGGTGGGATGTCAGATAGGCATGGCCGTCTTGGAAATTGGAAATCTTGTACTTTCTTGGATTCGGACCCCGTATCAGTACATGGCGCCGCTCGTATGCAGGACAGTCACTTACCCCTCATATAGTCCAACCGCATCTTGAACAAAGAGGAGAGTCTCGTCTGGCAAGAGCAATGGTCTCAATGCCGTGGTCAGATCCAACGGCTTGAAAAACATTTAGATTCGGTGCAGGCGACATGTCCTTTCGAGGGGCATGTGAGCTGTCACGATAACGATAAACCGGGGCAGGGCCGTCGGAGAAAGGAAGTTCCGGAAGCAAAGTAAGCGAGTTGCGAGTCCCCCCGTTGACCTTGTGGGATTCCTCCTCTCTAGAAACGTCAAATATCAACCTCTACGGGACTCCATCCTCAACTTCTTGTATTTGTGGTGTAAGCGATACATTTACTCTTCAGTTGATCCCCCGTGCCTCTTTGGTCAACCCTTCGTAGCCTTTTCTTTCTTTTTCCGCTTCCTCCCTTCCACTCTTTCATCCCGCTCTCGTCCTTTTTGCCTCGTCGATCTGCTTGCTACCCCTTCTATTATCTCTTCTCTTTTTTTTTCTCTCTCCTTATCATCGGGATGAGTACCGGCATCCCGCCGTGGCGTGTATCAGCCTCAGCCCCGGGCCCTCAACCTGTTGCTTTTTCTTCGACCGGTAAGGTTTTGATTACTTGCTCCATGTTTCGACCAGCTACTGACGGGAACTGCCATAGCCACCCCCGCCTATATTCCAGTCCAAGCACGACGTAGCCTTGCCCATAATACGACCAGTTTTCCACCCTCCATCGGACCCATTGCCCCTCAACCCACCATGTCCACAGCGGATGCAGACTCACGGCCACGCGTGGAGTTCCCACCCGCCGTACGTCAATACGTACAGCGATGTTTTGCCCCCGACAATCAGGTCGCCAGCGTGAGCGCCACAGAGATGCAAGAGAAGCTGAGAACTGTCATCACCGAAGCCGCCGAGAACCACCGGCTGGACAAGATCGACTGGGAGAGACTTCCACTCCCACAGGTCATGATCCAGAATGAACGCAACAAGATCCTGGCAAACCCGATTGTCTCGAACTGGGGGGCCTCCAGTCAACCATCTTCCCCCAGTGATGCCAGCCGCAAAAGAAAGTCAACCGATATTCATAACCAGCAGTCTGGAAAAGACTCACCCCCGTGGAGAAAAACTAACAATAACCGCAATCGTTTTGAGGACCGAGTCACTTACCCGTCCACAGACAAAAGACAGCGCATGGCCCTGGATGACTCTAGTAAGTCCAAAGCTAATTTGGAGATGAGGAAGAAGCGTTTTGAGGGCGTCGGGGTCAACTACAGGAATTCTGGCACTTCTTCCCCAGTCGACTCTCCATCGCGAAGTGTCGATTCCGACCAAGGACCTGTGGTTGGACGATGCCAGAACCTGGAAAAGAACTACTTTCGCCTGACCTCCGCCCCCAACCCGGATAGCGTACGGCCATTACCCGTCCTCCAAAAGACCTTGGATCTGTTGAAGAAGAAATGGAAGCAGGAGGGTAACTATACCTACATCTGTGACCAGTTTAAATCCCTCCGACAGGACTTGACGGTGCAGCACATCCGGAATGACTTCACCGTCATCGTCTACGAGATTCATGCGCGCATCGCCTTGGAGAAAGGGGACCTTGGTGAGTATAATCAGTGCCAGACTCAGCTGCGAGTTCTGTATGCACAGCAGCTGGGCGGGCATCCGACAGAATTCAAGGCGTATCGTATTCTCTATTTCATTTATACCCGCAATTGGACGGCCATGAACGATGCGCTAGCCGACGTGACAGCAGAAGACAAGCGAGACCTCGCCGTCAAGCATGCTCTGGACGTTCGCTCCGCGCTGGCGCTTGGCAACTACCACCGTTTCTTCCAGCTGTACCTGGATACCCCCAATATGGGGGCCTACCTGATGGATATGTTTGTTGACCGAGAACGGTTAAGTGCGCTTGCTGCCATTTGTAGAGCGTGAGTGATTCTCTTTTCCTTGGAACCTGATTTCGGTTTATCAGTTGCTATCCCTCGTTTGGCTCTTGACCTTTTTCCTAACGTCTCATCACAGGTATAAACCCGACGTCAATATCAGATTCATCACCGAAGAACTTGGATTTGAGTCCGATGAGCAGACTGCTCGTTTCATCCTAGACCATTCTTCCGAGCAGCAACTCCTGGAAGAGAAGAATGGGTCTGTGAGGCTGTTGACTGGCAAGGTCGGCCAGCTGTTTGAAGTGGCCAAAGCCGAGGCCCACCGCGTTGTCGACATCAAGGGCCAGATCTGAGCCAACGATTACTCTTCGCCCACCCTCTTCCGGAGCTGGCTTTCCTCTTCTTATTTCCCCCCACATTAATCAGACACACCTAGGCTGGCCACCGTTGGATATCGATCCCCCCTCGCCGCTGGTTTTGACACGTTCGGCCCGTTTCCCCTCATCACCCTTTCCCCCTTTCGAGCGACAGGCGTTTCCTTTTGGCCCACCTGAACCTACATACGTATCTTCTCATCCGGATCCCATCCCCAGGAGTTGTTGCATTCCTCTTTTGGCCCGTCCTTCCGCATCCTGGTTTTTATTTTAAAATCTTTTCCCCTTCAATTCCTGGCGTTGTCCCTGGAGTTCTGTCTTCCGTCTCATTCATGGGTATTCACGCAATGCCCATGACTATACTAATACCCGTTGGTTTCTTGTTTCTTGCGAGGGGAAAGGGCGCGAGATCAGGCAATGGGCTGCATAGGGCGTCGCGGGCGCACCGCCCGAGTAGATAGTCATCTTTTGCCTCCATTTACAGAGTACATTTTTCTCCGATCAATACGAGCATGCTTATACAAATCCCCCGCCCAGTTACCGACGATGTGGTCCTTGATTAGACTTTCCCACTAAATGGTAATATTATTCCCTATTCCCGAGGTGCAGAAAGGTCGGTTTCTTGCGTGAGATCAGATCAGCTTATGAGCGTAATTTAGTGCCTGGATTACCAGGCCAGTAGTTTTTCCCCGCTGTCTTCAGTTCCCTCCTCAACAGCGCGACTGATCATCATTTCATTGTGCCCCTCATCAACCATGAAATGCGCTTTGTTCACCATCTAAACTGCCTGCTGGTACCGACCATTCGGCAGATCTCAAGCCGCCTCCTCCAAAAACAAGCCACCCTTGGTCGGGCTTGTGTCCACGATACTTCAATGGAAGCCAACCACCGCCCCGCCACGTGGGGCCCACCGTCTCGTCACCCATGGATGTTCCACCAGCCCGGACGATGACTGGCGTACGCCATTTGGGGGGGGGGGGCGGGCCTTCGAGAAAATTGCCCTGTGCGTTGAACGTCTGGAACTATGCTAGTCCAGACCCAGGGTTGAAACGAGGCTAGAAAGGTACTCATTAATGGAGGTGCCCACTTTATAACAACATATTTGACTGTTCTATATCCATGGGAAGAGTATGGTTCGATACTTGATATATGTGGTCACACTACCAACACCAACAACTGAAACAACCGTCAAGCATCGGCCATAACCAATAATCTCAAAAAAAATCCATGTCCCGCCTCTGCACGCCATCGCAGGTGCAGGGCTTTTGGGGTTGTTGGCATTGTTGGCTCACTAAATTCCCTCATCCGGCATGGACCAACATCTGTGGTTTTACCTGTCGCAGTTTCAGGGACTCTCGGGCTGAGGCTGAACTTGACATCATCGCAGCGATCGGCGCTCCTGCAAACAGCTGCGAACTGTGGCTGAGCGTTTCTTCAGCTGCACAGTGTCCCGTCCCGCCCCTGGGCGAAACGAAACGGGCGTACTAGATGGAATCTGTGCGCGCCAATGAGCCGAGCAGGAAGTCTACATCCGCCGTCCTCCCCTATGAACCATTTCTTCTACTCTCCTTCCTTGGGGCTGTGAGAAGCACTGCGAAAGATCAATCATCTTCCCCCCCCACTAGCAGGCTGGCAGGTCAACCTGACCTGTCGCGGTCCCTCCCGCCTGGAGTCCATTCAGCTGGGTCGCAATCTGCAGCAGCCACGCGCTGAACGCTCTGAAATTAATTTATCTTTAATTTACAAGTTCCAACGCCGCCGAAAGTGGCTCACGAGGAAGGCGTCTAGACCCGTTCTGGGGGGAGGCCCATGGCGTCATGGACGCCTCGTTTTTTGATGTATCCTCTTTCTCTCGCCAACTCGCTTTCGGATCAGTCACATCTGATTGCTTGTTCTCTTTCTCTTTCTTTCTCTCTCTCTCTCTCTCTCTCTCTCTCTCTCTATATATATATATATTTTTTTAAAAAATTTTTTTAAAATTTCTTTTTATTCGCAATAGTTGGGAGGATCTTCCGTCTTCCATTCCCCGGAACCAGGCCAGATTGGGCTTCCAGCAAGACGTGCCGATCGCAGTGGCTTTCAGGTGGAAACGTGCGGATCCACGGTTGCTGCGGTTGGCGCACCACGGGTGGAGGGCAGTGGAGAAGGCACATGGAGCCAAACGTGGAAACAGACGCAACCTGTCTTTCTGTTAGGCGACAGCGGGAGGGGTCTCCAACGGTCTTCGACTGAAACTCATGGTGGCAGTGACGAGTGCCGGATTCTTGGGGGATTTTTTTTTATCAACGGCCAGGGACAGGGAATGGGGGGGGAAAGAGTGAAAAGGGGGGAAACCGGGACTCTGGTTCGTTAGTTCGTTAGGTACCGATCTTGCGTTGCCGCCGGAGCGGACGAGGTGCCCAACGGGGCCCTTTCATAGACGTTATCGGGGAAGACATGGTGGGATCTCTAGCAGCCCTTCAGGATCTCTATAAGACCCAACCTTATATCCTGCTGCGACAGTGATGAAGCTTGCCTCACTTGCCACCAGACACCTGATTCATATGTATACGTATGCTCCGGGTGGCGCCGTCTATTTTGGTGCACAGAGTCTGGTTTCTATTTTCCGGTGCCTGGTTTCTATAGCTTTGACCGAGGGCCTCTCTCGTGCGTTCCAGCATGTGTTATAGAAGGCATATAGAACTGCAAATGGAATTCTCAGCCCGTCGCGCAATAGTGGACAGTCCAATATACTCCTAAGTAGTCGAAACGAAAAAAAAAAAAGCGGGCCGGTGCATGTACTCAGGCTTCTTTGGGTCTTGGGTCTTTGGTTGGAACCGCAATTGCGCTGGTTCCCCAGCCAGTTTGCTGGTTCGGACGGGGATGATTGGGCCTCTCTTGTGCTCCCTCGCTTTTCAGGTACCAGAGCCGTCTGGTCTGGCGAAATATCGAACTATCAGAGAATCTCACAGGATCCGTTCCCAGGCGTCGAAGTATGAGTAAGATGCGCCGGAACAAAGTAATTGTCGTCCAACACTGGTCTCGGGGGTCTGGAGATCTGAAGCTCTGGTGCAGGCCTGATTCTGCCTTGTTTGCTCATGCTGGATAGACGACGATCCGACATCACTGGATCACTGGATCACTGGATCACCGTCAACCTCGTCACGTCCCTGGACTTTCCAACTTCTTGCGGAGCCTCCTTTCCTCTTCTCATATTCCTCTCCTCCTCTCCTCTTATCCTCGTCCCTCCTCTCCACTCCTTTTACGCTTTTTTTTTTAACCAACAGTTTCAAAACCCCTCCAGTTTCCAGCCTCGTCCCGGCCAGACCCAGACCAACCGGGACCGAAGTGACGCCTGTCTCTCCCCGTCCACTCCTTTCTACGCGCCGTTCTTTTTTGGTCTCCTGGTCTTTTTTTACGTTTTCTCATTCTCTCGTCTCCCCCTCCAACGTCGCGGGATTTAGCGCCCTCTCCGTCTTTCTTCTCTTCTCTTCCCTTCTGCCGCTCCGGTCGCGATGAAGGTCAGTTGTCCACTTCCCGCCCCTCTGGTCGTAACCGATTACGCCGCCCCCGTGTGTGCTTAAATTAATCATTCGTCCTTCACGCCCACAGGCCATCCGGCGATCTTTGAAGGGAGAGAAAGAGCCCAAACATCATCCGCACCACATCTCCATCACCCCCAAGTCCGCCCTGGCCATTTTGCCTCCCAAGAAGGTGCGTACCTTGCCTCCCCTCGAAACCTTGGACCCTCTTTGGCATCTGATCCCCCCCCCCTCCCCCCCCCGTCTCTCCTGGTGCCTGGGTCTCTTGCGGTCCCTGTCTTGCCCTGCCCCTCCTTTATCCCTTCTTCCTTTTATCCCCCCGGACCTGCACCCTCAAGAGCAACCCAAACCAACCTGTACTTCCCCCCTCCCGACATTGTTGCTCCCGCGGCCGCTTGGCCACGCCGTGCCCGATTTTCTTCCTCGTTCTTCCTCTCCATTCCACGCGCCCCGACACCTCGGTCCACCGCGGGTCCCTACCATTGATTCCCCGTTTCATCCCACTATCGCGACCCGCCTTCAAACCTACCAACAGCCTCCTGCCCACCCCCCTCCTCTCTCATCTTCCTCTCCCCATTTCCCCCCGTCCCTTGTCATCGTGAGAAAACGATAGAGCAAGGGAGACAACACATTTTCCCTCTCGAATAACAGCACATATCCCATTTCCTCGTCTTGTCCGCAGACAGCCAACAAACCAAGAAAAAAACGAGGTGGCTGACCGCACGCGCTTTCTTTTTTTGTGCGCTTTACACAGGTGATCAAAGCGCTCTACGACTACCAACCAGAACCCGGCCCCAGCCAGGAATTGGCCTTCAACAAGGGGGACTTCTTTCACGTTATCAGCAGGGAGGACGACTCGGATTGGTACGAGGCCTGTAATCCGCTCATCCCCAGTGCCCGAGGGCTTGTCCCTGTTTCCTTCTTCGAGGTCATCGGCAAAACCGAAAGGGATAGTGGGGAGTCCGTTGATCTGCATAAAAAGGACCACTATCACCACAGTTACCACGACTCTGGTTTCTCCGATCGTACTCCCACCACCGATACTTCCTTCATATCCGCTCCTATCCCCACACCCAGCACCAAGAACAGCGCCTTCAGAATGTCCGCCATGGGCAAGGGCCAAGGCGCCATGGTCTACGGCATCGTCCAGTATGACTTCCAAGCCGAGCGACCCGATGAGTTGGATGCCAAAGCCGGCGAAGCCATCATCGTCATCGCCCAGTCCAACCCAGAGTGGTTTGTCGCAAAACCCATCGGCCGCCTCGGCGGTCCCGGTTTGATCCCCGTCTCCTTCATCGAGCTGCGCGACATGCAAAGCGGCCAGGCCGTCACCGATCCCTTGGAGGCGGTGCGCCGCGCCGGGGTCCCCAAGGTCGAGGAATGGAAGAAAATGACCGCCGAATATAAAAATAGCAGTATCACCCTGGGGAAGATCGAGCCCGCCGGTGGTGGCATGGGAGGAGTGACTTCGGGCATGGATAAAATGTCCATGAGCGGCTCCCACCAGAGTATCATGAGCCAGAATGGCAACAACGCCTATGTAAGCTGACCTCTTTGTTGCCCGATCGTCGTTTCTTTACTTTTCCTTCTAATTTTGTTGGTGGCGCGATGATGTATTTGTTTCCAATCTTTTTTTTTTTGCCCCCTATGCTAACATCCACGGTTTCGCAACCAGGGGTACCACCAACGCAACGCTAGCAAAGGCACCCTAGCATCCCAAGCGCCCATGGCGCAACCCGCACAACAGCCGTACACGCCGCCACTCCTTGCGCCGGTCGCCGCTTCGATTCCCCGCTACTGTTTCGATAACGATAAATATTGGTATATCATTGAGGCAAAGATGGAAGATGGCCGATGCTGGGAACTGTCGCGCTACTATCACGACTTCTACGATTTCCAGATTGCGCTCCTAGCCCAGTTTGAAGACGAGGCAGGCCACCGGGGTCGCCCGCGCACCCTTCCCTTCATGCCGGGCCCGGTGACCCACGTCACCGATGCCATTTCGAATGGTCGCCGTCAAAATCTTGACGAGTATATCAAGAAGCTCCTATCCATGCCCCCTTACATCGCCCGCTGTCAACTTGTGCGCCAGCTGTTTGCGCCACGCCAAGGTGACTTTGAAATCGATCCGAATGCCTTTGGCGAAGAAGCGCGGTACTCCGGCGAGTCCCACCACTCTTCGTCTGGTATGGACCCGTCTCGCAGTGTGTCACAACAGTCTTCACAAGTTCCATTGAACGCGCCTTCGGAGCGCGCGTCTCAGCAACAACGTGCGCAAGGTCCTACATCATATGCCAACGGGGGTCCACCCCCATGAACCGACAAGCTAGCTCCCTCACCCAGGTTTCTAGCGCGTCGAACTCGAGCGCGATGAAGGTCAAGGTGTTTTTCCAGGATGACCTCATCGCTATCCGAATTCCGAATGGGGTCAGCATGCAGCATCTCAAGGATAAGCTCTCAGATCGCCTCAAGATCCAGGAGGATATTATCGTCCAGTACCGTGACGAGGCAACTGGGACCTATGTCGATCTGATTTCAGATAATGATCTGGAAAATGCCATGCAGCGCAATGTCAAACTAACTCTGTTTGTCAGCATTGCATGAACAAGGAGAGAGAGAGAGAAAAAAAAAGCATTGTCATTTTGGATATCCCTACTCTCTGGAGATAGACCTCGTTTTTCTTTGCTACTGCTGTGGCTGCCATGTCTTTGGTCATCTCCAAAGAGAAGGTTTAGCAGGTGTTTCCACCGGTCTCCTTTCTCTCGCATATCTCTTTGTTTCTGCTCTTCTCCATCTTCATCTTTCGTCTTCTTTCTCTCTTTTTCTGCAACTGGGACGGTGCATCGGCGTTCTGGCATCCACTTTTCAAGATTTCCCTGTCTTTCCACCTGCCCTTTCAGCGATTGCACTTATTTTCGACGGCGGGGGGGAGCGGGGGGATGATCGATCGGCGGTGTTACGAATATGATGCGTCATGTATGGCATGGTTCTCTCTTCATTATGTTCTCTGTTTTTTCTTCCCTGTGATTCCGATGCATTTCTTTCTTCCAGGCACAACTGTCCTCCTGGCCATCATTTTTTCTGGGCTCCTTGTGTTGACTCAATTCTCTGTCCGGATTCACAAGGCTTGTCTGTTTTTTTTTTTGTGCGTGTGTGTTTTCTACCTACCCTGCTCCTTTTCTTGTTTCATGTTTCATGTTTCGTGGGTGATATACCCTGGAGTGGGTTCTATCCCGTCTGCTTCGGTGACTTGTACATATGTTCTCTTTCTTGTGCATATACAGGGAAGGTTGATCTATCTATTCCAGCGCCTGGGAGACAGCATCTTATCAATATATAATACATATATACTACGTTCCAAATGCCGCTGCCCGATTAGAAGTGCCTATCATTTGATGTATCACGTGATCTATCCATCGGCCCGGCAGTTTTTCACCCCAGGAACAAACCACTAGCCGAAGGCCGATTACTGGCGTTAGTCCACGTTATTTCTCTGTCGTACTGTAGATACATAGTCATTTTTCTTGTGCTTTGGACTCTGTTTCATTCCTGTTTGCGCTTCCACGGCCTTGCGACCTGCCTCTGGGCCTCGAAAGGAACCCGCCGCTTCCCCCGGAAGAAAACAATTCCTGCGGCAATACCTCGGCTACGACTTTTTACATCGCCGCCGTTTCGACGCCCACCAGCCACGACCACGCTCTTTCGTCCGCTCTCTTCTTTTGGCTTGCGTCCGTACATACATTCCATTCGACCAGATGAGCCGACCGTCGGCAAAGCTCTGCGCAGACTGCCTCCCAGGTGTGCTGCGGCAGTCTCGCGCCTCGCGGTCTGCCGCACCGCTGCGGGGCGTCGCTCGCGAGAGGTCATATACTACTATCCAGCGGAGGGAGTTCTCTCCTGCTGGGGCGAGCAGCACTCGAGTCACGCCGGGTCCTGTGTCTACTGGCCGGATCGTAGGCTCTCGCCTGCCAATGCGATCTGGGCAGAGGGGGCGGGGTCTGGCCACTCCCAGTAGCGGAGCCACGGCTCAAAAGCGCGCGGCGGAGAAGGAATCGTCGGGACCGCCGCAGGAAGGACCGTTGAAGGAGTATGATATCAGGGTGCAGGAGGGTCGGCTGCGGGATGACCCGTATCAGAGAGGTAGGTGCCCGAGCTGGGAGGCAGCAAAGGAGCTGCGACTAACACATATTTTGTGGTATAGGAATCATTCAAAACCTGCAAGACCTCTTCGAAGCGCTGAAAGACTACCACCCGCCTCAAGTCGTCCACCCCAGTATCGAATCCCTGGACCCACAGCCGAAGCAGTCCTTCTTCGGCACTCTCTTCGGCCGTGGTGCTGCCGCGAAGGCAGCAACCTCGAATGTCCCAGAGAATCTCCCCAAGGGCTTGTATATGTATGGCGATGTGGGGTGTGGAAAGACCATGCTGATGGATCTGTTCTTTGACACGCTGCCGTCCAATATCCAGACCAAGACACGCATTCATTTCCATAATTTCATGCAGGATGTACATAAGCGCATGCATGTGGTGAAGATGAAGTATGGCAATGACTTCGATGCGTTGCCGCTTGTTGCGGCGGATATCGCCGAGACAGCGAGTGTGCTGTGCTTCGATGAGTTCCAGTGTACTGATGTCGCCGATGCGATGATATTGCGGAGGTCAGTTTGCTTCCCTTTCCACGATCATCTGGGATATTTCTTGGATTGGAATAACTGACTTATATATATTATTTTAATACGCTAGACTTCTTGAGTCTCTCATGTCCCACGGCGTCGTCCTCGTCACCACCTCCAACCGTCACCCCGACGACCTGTATAAAAATGGCATTCAGCGCGAGTCTTTTATTCCCTGCATCAACCTCCTCAAAACCGATCTCAACGTCATCAACCTCAATTCCCCTACGGACTACCGCAAAATTCCCCGCCCCCCAGCCGCAGTCTACCACCACCCTCTGGGCCCAGAGGCCACGCAGCACGCCCAGAAGTGGTTCGACTTCCTAGGCGATCCAATCAATGAACCCCCACACGCAGATACCCAGGTTGTCTGGGGCCGCACGATCAAAGTCCCGCTTGCCAGCGGCAAGGCGGCGCAGTTCACCTTCAATCAGCTCATTGGCACTGCCACCGGCGCCGCCGATTATCTTGAACTGGTGCGGCACTACGACGCGTTCATCGTCACCGACGTCCCTGGCATGAATCACAACCAGCGTGACCTGGCCCGCCGTTTCATCACCTTCATTGATGCGGTCTACGAAAGCAGGGTACGCAGCCTCCCTCCCTCCCTTAACACAGGCAACCCCACCTAACCCTTCCATTCCACAGGCCAAACTCGTGCTCACCACCGAGGTTCCCCTCACGAACCTCTTCCTCTCCGAGTCCGACGTCAAAGACTCGCTCCAGAAGTCCGGCGACGACCACTCTGACCTGTCTGATGCCATGCGTAACCTCATGGACGATCTCGGCATGTCCGTCCAAGCCCTCAAGAACACCTCCATCTTCAGCGGTGATGAGGAGCGCTTCGCCTTCGCCCGTGCGCTGTCCCGTCTCTCTGAGATGGGCAGCAAGGAGTGGGTTGAGCGTGGGCTGGGCGTGGGCAAGTCCGCTGTCGAGGGGAAGGAGGAGCGCGATGCTTGGCTGAAGACTAGGAGTCATTGGAGCGAGGATAACATGTAGCTAGTCTAAGTGCACAGCCCGCCGGTTCTCGTTCTTCTTCTTCTTTTTTTTAATGTGACATAGATCTCTATATATCCTCTTCTTTGGTCTTGCAGATACATTTTCATCACCTAGAACGCTTGCAGTGAATAGCATCATCTCTACATTCATTTATATCTTCTTTCTCGATTTCAAAACAAAAAAAAAAGAAAAGAAAAAGAAAAAGAAAACCAGATATCCTAGGGAACTGTATTATAGCTGTAAATCCCATCTAAACAGTGTTCAGGAAGGGGTCCATAGAGTACATGTTATGTTATGGGCGTAAAGCGAAACTAGGAGTAAATGACGTCACTCCTCAGCTTGGGCGGGAAGCGTTTCGGCGTGGTTTTCGATGTCGCTTCCATGGACTATGATCTTTGCGAAACAATTGTTCGGGGGTGGGAAGGCCAATTCCGCTGGACTTTGGGGATTGGAGTCTGGTTCGGACTGCCGTTTCTGCCTGAAATCCCGGTTTCCAGGTTCTTGAACTATCATCATCGCCCGCTGCGATCGGAAAGGACATGGCAGTGATCACAAAGCGGGCGGGGGGGCTCCACACTAGCTTTCCTTTTGGGCTTGATGGTTCGATTGGAGTGTCCAAATCCCGGGTACTGAAAACTTGATTGCTCCACTTTCCTTTTTTCCCCCGGGGGGCGAATCTGGTGAACGCATTCGAAAACAGGATGAGGCGGAAGGAGGTGTTTGGTTGAAGAGTTAGTTTCTGCAGGGCCAGGGGAGGAGGAGGAGGAGGAGGAGGAGGAGGAGGAGGGGGCATGGGAACCGGACCCGCGAATCAGGGACTGGATATTCGCAATGCTGGAGTGAGAGACAGGTTTTTTTCGGAGTTGAAGATTGGCAGGTGTGATCGACGTGCGCCCAGGGCCTAGAAGAGGCCTCTTTGAATAAGCGGATTTGGGGGGTGGTTTTTTTTCGCGTTTAGTCCCGGGGGTCCATTGAGGTATGTGACAAGCTGCTGGTCTGATATGGGATGACGATTACATCATTGATTTGAGATTGGAACATTTCAAGTTTCTTGATGCAATTGAGGGCTGATGGGCTGGTATATAGGGAGATATGCTCTGCTGGAACCGGGGTTACTTGATACTTGAGTTTGATTTTGTCTCAAGCGGAATCCTAACCTGAACTATTAAATAACCTGGTGGCTCCTCTGTGACTGTATACTTGCAGCTATCACAGCAGAACTCTCGGCATCATGGCGGCTACGGCGAATTCCAAGATCGCCGACATGCAGAAGGACACTGTCGAGCTCAATGACAAGCACCATATGACTACCGACTATGGCATCAAGATCTCCGACCCGGACCATTGGCTGCGAGTCGCCAGCGACTCCCGTACGGGTCCCATGCTCCTTGAAGATCAAATTGCTCGCGAGAAGGTATGTCCTTGGTCTGCCAATTATACCCTAACCTACGAGGGATCTAGACTTATGTCTCTCACAGATCATGCGCTTCGACCACGAGCGTATCCCAGAACGTGTTGTACATGCTCGGGGTACCGGCGCCTTTGGCACGTTCAAGCTGTTTGAGAGCGCAGAAGACGTGACCACCGCAGGTGTCTTGACAGACACTACTCGCACGACGCCGCTTTTTCTACGCTTCTCCACGGTCCAGGGTAGCAAGGGGAGCGCGGACACCGTCCGCGACGTGCGTGGTTTTGCAGTCAAGATGTATACGGAAGAAGGGAACTGGGATATTGTTGGGAATAACATCCCTGTGTTCTTCATCCAGGATGCGATCAAGTTCCCGGATCTGATTCACTCGGTCAAACCCGAGCCGCATAACGAGGTACCCCAGGGCCAGAGTGCACATAATAACTTCTGGGATTTCGTCTACATGCATTCTGAGACTACGCACATGAACTATTGGGTATGTGTTATTATCTCCTCTTCTTTGGGACTTGCCTTGTTTCTATCTCGATGAATAGTGAACTGATGCCTGTCGCAGCAAATGTCTGATCGAGCGATCCCACGATCATACAGAATGATGCAGGGATTTGGTGTTAATACATACTCACTGGTCAATAAAGAAGGCAAACGCCATTTTGTCAAATTTCACTTCACCCCCGAGCTGGGCGTGCACTCTCTCGTCTGGGACGAAGCCCTCAAGATCTGTGGCCAGGACCCCGACTTCCACCGCAAAGATCTTATGGATGCTATTGAAGCCGGTCACTTCCCGCGCTGGAAATTCGGCCTGCAACTGATTCCAGAGGAACAGCAAGATGAGTTTGAGTTTGATCCGCTTGACGCCACCAAGGTTTGGCCAGAGGAGCTGGTGCCGATCCGATATATCGGCGAGCTCGAGCTCAACCGTAACATCGACGAGTTCCACCCACAGACCGAGCAAGTTGCGTTTTGCACCAGCCATGTCGTGCCGGGCATCGATTTCTCCGACGATCCCTTGCTACAGGGCCGCAACTTCTCCTACTTCGACACCCAGATCTCGCGCCTGGGTCCCAATTGGGAAGAGCTGCCCGTCAACCGCCCTGTCTGCCCGTACATGAGCCTGGTCAACCGCGATGGTGCTATGCGCCACCGCATCACCAAGGGCACCGTCAACTACTGGCCCAACCGCTTCAACGCCAATCCACCGGCTACCCCAGCTCAAGGCGGCTTCTCGAGCTTCCCTGCACCGCAGTCTGGCATCAAGGCGCGTGCGCTCTCCGCGAAATTCGCCGAGCACTACAACCAAGCGCAGACCTTCTACAATTCGCTCTCACCTATCGAGCAGCTCCACCTTTCCAAGGCTTTCTCCTTCGAGCTCGATCACTGCGATGATCCGGTCGTCTATAAGCGCATGGCCGAGCGCCTCCTCGTTGTCAGTGCGGACCTTGCCCGTACCGTCGCCCAGGCCGTCGGCGCCGACCCTCCACCTGCCAAATCTCCCAAGCCTAACCCGGGCCACCGCGCCAAGGGCCTCAGCCAGCTGGAGTTCCAACCTGAGACCACAACTATCGCCACCCGCCGCATCGCCCTCCTCCTTGCTAAGGGTTTCGACTTCTCCGCCTATACCGCGGCCGCAGACTCCCTCCGTGCCCGCGGCGCCTTTGTCTTCACCATCGCTCCGCACCGCTCCGCCGTCACCGCGTCCACGGGTGAATCGGTCATCCCAGACCACTGCTTCGCCGGCATGCGGTCGACGCTGTTCGACGCGGTCTTTGTGCCGGGCGGCGACAGCATCCGCACGCTGGCGCGCAACGGCAATGCCCGGTTCTGGATCACCGAGTCATTCGCGCACCTCAAGCCAATTGCTGGGGTAAACGAGGCGGTACCGTTTATTCAGGCGCAGATCGGACTGGACGAGGTGACTGTTGCGGTGGGCGATGGCGTGGCCGACTCGTATGGTGTTGTGACGGGGCTGGGCGCCCGCTCGCAGGACTTACTGGAGAAGTTTGTTAAGCATGTCTCGCAGCATCGGAATTGGCAGCGCGAGTTGGATGGATTGGTAGATTTGGTGGCGGCGTGAGTGGTTACTGTCTCTTTACCTACAATACTATGTGTGGAAATGGACTTGGCGTTTGGATTGGAGTTTTGGAGAATGAGTATAGTCCATGGAGTGTGCGAATTTGGACTTTGCATGGACTTTTCCCCCAAAGGCCGCCTGGCATTGTTTGTAGAGCTGGCTTGTGGTTCTAGGGTTAGTCTCTTCTGCTGCTGCCCGTGAGGACCTTGGTTCTCTCGGTATGCTTAAATTACTAAAAGTACTGGCCCGCATTTTTCGGGATCTGCGCTCTGAACTTAATTCCCCGCTTCCCCTGCACGTCTGTTTAAGGCTGGGACATAGTTTTCCCCCTTTGGGCCCCTGGAACCTTGAAATCCTGTCTACAATACTATCTTAGACTTTTTTTTCTCCTCTCTGGAATTCCTTCATGGGAAATATCTAATATATCGAGAAGACCTGGGCGATCACACGTTACCTAGTAGACTTGTACATGCCTCATCCAGGTTAAATGCTTTTTTGGGGCCGGCGCTGCCACATGCAGTACAGTTACACCACAACTGTCGCAGGCCCGGCCGACCAGCCATCCAGTTACCAGCTAGGCATTGAGGTAGTTTGTCGGTATCCGGGCCATCAAGCAGTTTCGTCTTGACATCCTCCATATTCCCAGGTCTCACCCTTCATTGTACCAGCCCATCGCCTGTTTTCTCCTTTTTGCTCTCCTATGTACGCTTACACAGGCTTATTTCATCTTCCTGCCATCGGGAGTTATCGGTTCAATACATTGTCTAGGCTGATCGCAGATCCCGACAATATCCACATACGATTCATTTTACCGGCGACCTCGCGTATCCGGTCGAGAAGGGCGAATTATCCAGCTTGCTGTGTCTGAAGTTGAAACCCTTTCATCGCCATGCCATTCCGCATCTCGCGCTCGACACGGCTGATTGTTGTCATTGTCATCTCAACATGCTTCTTCCTGGGAGAGATTTCGGGTTCGTCTCATCATGCATAGGGGTTTCCCTTTTCCCATACTTTAAAGGCATTGGGCTCATGCTGATCGGGTATTAGTGGGATTCTATACGCATTCACTTGCCTTGATTGCAGATGCTTTCCACTATGTATGTGCTGGAACGACTTGAATTGCGAAAGACCGCTTGTTGCTGATGCTTTGCAAAGCTAAATGATCTGGTGGGATTCATCGTCGCTCTTGTAGCCTTGAAGGTATTAGCCATGTCGAATATAAAAAGACGAAGATCCACTCTTCTGATACAGGTGGATTAGATATCTGAAAAGGGCGATTCACCGAGTGGCCTGTCCTTTGGATGGCAGCGCGCCCAGTTGCTAGGTGCCTTCTTCAACGGGGCTTTGTTACTGGCACTGGGGATAAGCATCTTCTTACAGTCTATTGAGAGATTCATTTCCCTGCACCGTGAGTCGTTTCTTTTGTTCGGGAGATCCTTTTCGGTATGCAGATCTAATGAATCGACGCCTAGGTGTGGAAAATCCTGTGCTAGTTTTGATCGTCGGTTGCATTGGTCTGGGACTCAATATCATCAGCGCTTTGTTCTTGCACGGTACAGTATCTGATAGGTCTCTCGGGGGTCTAGTGTCATCTAACGTGGCCTAGAACATGGACATGGCCACGACCATAGTCCGGCACCTTCTCTGAAAACCGAGATTTCGCCAATTTACGATGAAAGCGAGGATTTGCCTACAAAGGTATGCTAGGCGTAATACCTTAAAAGAGGATTTCAAGTTGACAGCTGCCACTAGCACCATAACCACAAGCACACACATAGCCCAGCCTACGGTCACTGCCATGATCATGAAAATGGTCATGGTCATGGTCATGACCATGGTGACCTGGGGATGATGGGTGTATTATTGCATGTCCTCTGCGATGCGGCCAATAACCTAGGCGTCATTGCATCCGCCCTAGTGGTTTGGCTGGCGAAGTATGATGGCCGCTACTACGCCGACCCGGGCGTCAGCATTGGGATTGCTTTGATGATCATTCTATCATCCGTTCCTCTTGGTAAGGTTTCGTGATTTGACATCTGATCACATCGTCCTCTTCTACTGGGCTGACATGAACCCCCGTATAGTCCGCAGAGCTGGTTTGATCCTGCTGGAAAGCGCTCCGAACGGGGTTGACCCCCGCGACGTGCAACATGATCTTGAGAGTGTGAGAACACCCAAAGGAGAGAAGCAAATAAAATCAGATAAAGTCTTCGAAATTGACAATTTGAACGTATTAGGTTCCCGGAGTCCACTCCATCCACGAACTTCACATTTGGCGCCTGAACCAGCAAAAAACCCTGGCATCGGTGCACGTCGTTGTCTCAGACCCCTCGGTCGCCACCTTTTTAAAAACCGCGAAGATAATAAACCAGTGTTTTCACGCATACGGTATTCACTCCACCACATTACAGCCCGAAATCTTGATCGACACCGAAATCCCGTCCCCGATCGGCGAGAAAGCAGCGCGGTGCCAAGTTGTCTGTGGAAGCTTGTGTGAAGCGCTAACTTGCTGTGGATGAACCATGAAATGGCACCTCAAACATCAACCAGCACCAAGTGGTCGAGCAGTAACTCGACTAACGCGTCTTCCTTGGTCTAGTGGTCATGATTTCCGCTTGTCATTAACACCGATAAGCGCGGGAGACCGGGGTTCGATTCCCCGAGGGAGAGTTCTTTTTTGATTTATTCCCACAACTCACGGGCGGGGGCATCTTTTTTTGTTAGATACACAAAATCATGTGCACGATTTGTTCACAGCTGTTCACGATCTGGTTACACTAGATAGGCTCCTTATAGATCATGAACCTAATGAAGTACGCTAAGAAACTGCTGGATGGTGACCTGGTTGTATCTCTTTTCAAGCTACTACCAATTTCTCCACTTCGCAAATATATTATCTGCAACAGCTTGTCACCTTTAAAATTGCACGAGGCACATATTCTTGTTGATGTCCCTAGTGAATCTAAGCGCTCAATTTTAGTAATGTAATTGATTTTTAATCGTGATTCTATCTACGAGAATGCCTTATATTCAGTCAATATCTATAAACCGATAAGCTTGTCACTGTCATTAAAGACTAGTATGACCGCGAGTCGTGTTTGGCAGCTCCTATGTTTCAGACTATTGATCTTGGAGTGTCCCCGACAGCTCGGTTTAGTCTGATCCCAAAGAAAAAGAACAAAGAATTTCGGTCAAGAATAGGTAGCCAGATTTAGTTTCGCTTGTCTCCTGGAATTTGATGTTTCAAAGGCTTATTATCCTTTGAATTATCCATGTCCTTTGCTGGATAAGCCTTTGTCTTTCTTATCAGCCCCCTACCTTCTCAAAAACTTGCACTTGGTACCTAGGTGTCAATGGCTTTGTTTAGGGGTAATTCGAATAAATTTATCTTCTAGTCTGTTTCAATGTCCCATGCACCCTATATATATAGGGTGAATATACACTAAAGGATCAACAATATGGTAGCTTGAATGGAATAAAGATCTATAAGAATGCTCTCGGTCGAGGGTTGTTCGAGTCTACAAAGGTGAGCATAGGCTAAAGTCATCGACTCTCCATCAATATCACTTCCCAGGCTCACCCAGTGTGCAACCTGGCTCTTATTGGACAAAATGCCTCTTGATAAGCTGCCAAACGAGCTCCTATGGGCCATTGCGGAGAAACTCAACTCCGCAAAGGATATCAATGATATTGTGAGAGCCTGCCATCATACCTATTTTCACCTGAACCCTTACCTCTATTCCTTTCACGTTCGCAACCAGCATGGTGCAGCCTTGACCTGGCTTGAGGACGACCAGCTTGAAGCAGCTCGAAAATTGATCGATGCTGGTGCTGACTCAAATGCAGTTCGAGGTGACCTAGGCTTGACTCCTTTAGAAATTGCTGCCAGAGAGGGTCGGCCTCAGATGATGAAACTCCTCATCGAAAGTGGGGCAAGGTATCCAGCTGGGTCGACGGCTATACATTTCGCTGCAAAGCATGGTCACCTGACCGAGACGAAGTTACTCCTAGATCTGGGTGTCGATGTTAGCTCGAAAGATAAAGATGGCCTTTCCGTTCTCATGAACGCTGTATCTGGATATAACCTGGATATCATCAGATTATTGATTCAAGACTATGGCGCCGATGTTAACGAAATGTGCGCCACGCCTTCGACTAGTCGCAGTACCCCATTATACCAGGCACTCAGTTCACTTGAACTTTGGGAAATGACCGATGAGGCTCTCAAAGCTCAACAAGATACCGTAATGGCCTTGATAGATCTGGGTGCCGACATCCATGTGGGTCTTGGTCCCGAATGGGGTCATGGTTCCCCCCTATATCTGGCTTCAGCAGCCGACCAGGTGGGTATTGTGAAGCGGTTGCTTGAAATGGGTATCAGTACAGATGAGCTGAATGATAACTTAGACGTTATCAATATGGCGAGCCGTAATCCATACATTGCCGCCCTCATGTTCCAGCATCAAGGTGTAGTTGATCTTTTGAAACCATTTTGGCCTCATAAGAATCCCGACGTGGGGAAGCTTCTGGACTGGAATCCATGCAATCTTGACGCAAGACAATACTACAGTAGGATTCGAAAAAGTTTCCCCTCTGAACACATCGCTTGTTTCTCGATTCGTACTCGAAACCGCACTAGTCTAAATATGGGTATAGATGTAAATAATCAGTTTTTAAGAATAGACTGATTTAATACCAAGACGATCACATTACGTATAATATCCTATGTTACACGGAATGCTAATATACTGTTTTTCCTGGCACCCTATTCTTTCGCAATCAACACTCTTGTTTATCTAGAACTCACGTTTAATAAATATGGCACCGAGACTATCCCTATCAAAGCTGCGCTTTATTTATGATATGATAGAAAGCCAATTACTAACCACACTTCAAATAGCTGATACAGCCGAATGCAGCGATCGAACGATCAAGAATATTCGTAGGAACTTGCGGCTATTCGGATCAGTCTATGCCCCTTTAAATCGTGTCGGTCGAAGAAGAACTATAACGCCCCCAATGCTTAATGCACTTTGCGAACATCTGCTCGAAAATCCGCGTCTCTACCTTGACGAAATAGTAATATTTACATAGGATGAATTTCGGACACTTGCAATAACCTCAAGTATTAGGAGGGCTCTGACACTTACTGACTGGTCGAAGAAATCTATTCGCTAGAGAGCTAAGGAACAGAATGCTGAATTACGGGAATTCTATCTTTATAATATATTAGAATTTGACTTGTTCTACCTAGTCTACGTTGACGAATCTAGTTGTGATAAACGAATCGGATTCAGGAGAACTGGTTGGTCACCGCTTAGTGTTGCCCTAGTCTAAGTGTCACAGTTTCACCGTGATAAACGATATCAAATACTCCCAGCGTATGCCCAAGATGGTATCGTGCTTTCCCGCGTTTTTCGTGGTTCAACAGATACCGGTGTATTTGAAGATTTTCTTGGCCAGCTTCTTCGGCACTGTGGAAGATAGCCGGAGCCGAAATCCGTTCTGGCCATGGACAACGCATCGTTTCACCACTCTGAACGTATTACGCAGATGTGTGCTGATGCTGGAGTCAAGCTCATTTACCTACCTCCTTATTCACTGGACCTGAATCCAATCGAGGAATTTTTTGCTAGGTTGAAAAGCTTTATCAGGCGTAGTTGGTGCTACAATGAAAAAATCCAGGCCAAGGATTTGATCATTTTCTTGATTGGTGCATTGAAGCATTTGGAGCTAAAAGGGAAAGTGCTGAAGGTCATTTCTGGCACGCAGGCCTAACAATCGAATATCTAGAACGCCACCAAGACTAGAGATTTTGAGTGCGATATTTGCGTGCTGATAAATAACATTTTCTATCCCTTCTGTAAATTCCAATCAGCGTCTTGTGAAGGAAATATACAATTCAACAATGGTATCTTCAGCGTCATAAACCAAAACACAGGCCTTCAAGCAGTAGCGTCATGTTGATGATTGATGTTGTGGCAGTTTCGGCCCTAGTGTCTTCATCGCAAAACTGCACCAACGCGAATAGGATATTAATTGGACCCATGAGTTTCCAATCGAGGATAGCCTGTGTACTAAGTAAGCGACAACTTGTAGCGCAGCGCTCAAATTGACAACCTACAATGATTAGCTACTGTATGTATAAGAACTCTTGATACCAAGCTTACCTTGCTAGAACCGACGCTATTCCATCATTCGAGTTGGGACAATGACCAGCTTTATACCCTTCACACAGTTTCCCTATCGTGCGGTCTTTTGCTCTGGCCAGAAAAAATAGGCCGCTCTACCTCAATTCCATTCCATTTTTTCAGCCAGTATGTCACTCTTTCCGCATAGCACTTGGTATCCAGGAATAGCCGACCAACTGATCTGCGATTTCTGCATCGTTGGTGATAAACTCGTGCATTATATCGCTGTTGAGGGTACATGCGAATTGTTATCGCCACTTTTTTGCTCGACCAACCATTAGAGTCACATCCGCTGTTCTGGCATATAAATCGACCCATAATATTTGTGTCCCGCTCTTCGATGTTGGACTCCTCATCATAGGCGTCAAAAAAGTCCAAGTGCAGCCCTCCCGCATCTAATATTCGTGCTACGTCGTCATGAAGCTTTGGGTGGAGCGACCACAATCTCGCAGACTTGCGTCCCTTGCGGAGCATTTTAGACTTGGATATCACTCGTGGCGTTTGAAGATGCTGATATTTTTCTATGTTAACTTTGGAAACTCAGAATATGATCTTAATATGGTCTTAGAAGCGCTTTTAAATACTTTTTAGCAAACAGGCTACCCCGCCCTAACGCAGCAGCTGTACCTTCAGAGGACAACGCATCGCTGTGTCAGTATATGCTGATTGGTAGGTATGTTTTATGTGGTGTAACTCGAACGCTCAATGCACAGCTGAGGTGCGAATAAAAACAGGGAAGGAATACCCTGTAACCAACAACTGGATGAGCAACTAGATCATTAGCCGAGATCCTGCAGGTATCAGCTTCATAATGCGACCAAAAGGTTATGTACGGATCATCAAGCTGGCTGGAACTACTGGAACTAGGATAGACGTAGATTAGTAATGGGACTTGCAATAGTTCATTGTCGTCAATAAGCCACTAGGTGATATTTTCGTCGCATCGCGCGTTTAGGCAGAGCAGTACCGCCAAGTGGTCTATAGTTAACTACAGGCGTAAGAGGTTTGGTATCTATGAATCAAAAGGCGCCACGCTATGCAGTACTCTTGGAATTATTCCCTCCAAGCCTGTCAACCTCACCCTAATGTTTTCAAATATATCGAGGCTTTTTGTTAGACGGTCTACAACCCCCTCTCCTTCAAACGGCGACTACTCTAAGTCCATGAAAGAATCTCTCTGATTAATTTCGATAGAGTGACTATTTAAATTTGCATTTTGAGGGCTGTATCACTATAGATGTTCATCTTACAAACTAGTTTGCATGATCTGCATGGAGCCTTTGTCGAAGAAGACTTCTCGTTGTCCGGGCGTTCAGGGTCTTGTATTCAATCTAAAGGGTACAAAGCCCTGGTATTATTATAAGTCAATTTCAGATCCGTCATTTACGCAAAATCCATATCATATTTCGCATTTCATATGTTGAGGGTTTGAAAGACTATCTCTTTGTTCCTCAAGATGGAGGGCAATGACGAACGTCACTGTAGCTTTAATATAATGAAACGAGCAAAAATTGCCTCAATAAGTATACAATGAAATTGTATGGTTAATGTAGAAAGATGGAAAATTATTGATTTGAGGGTATTGGGGTTTCGTCATGACCTTGTACATGTCATCAAGATTCTGCGAGACAATTGGCAGCTCAATGAGCCTGTGTTTGAAGCTATCTGACGGTTGCCGCTCACTTCAGAGCCACCACATCACTGCAGAAATTGTCATGGAAGTTTGTGATGGTGGCCGGAATTTATATATCATAAAGAGAATGAAGAGTTATGAGTAGACACTCAAGACTGCGGGGCTTGTGGATGACGAGGAATGGAAGAATGATAGAATTGGGATGAAATCGAAGATGATTACTATCTTTACAACGACGACGACGATTATGATGATAACGCTCATGACTACACTATTGACAACGACAGTGGCTTTTGGAGAAGGGCAGCGGACTCAGTGTCGCTCTTATCTTATCTTTTCAAAAAGGAAACAAACAAATTCGGTGGGTAAACTTGCGGCACAGATCCAACACTGAAAGATTATTCAATCCCATCAAACGGACAGCAAACGCATCTCCCAACGCCAACGCAATTTATATATACATCCTCAAGAGTGGGTATTAATTTCTTCGCAGTTTCAACCCAGTCACGAATATTCCCTACAAATGTGCGAGCGGTTCCCGGCTTGACCCCCTTGCCGACGAAGAATCTTGGATTTTGATCTTTATATATATGCTCAAGATCGAAGCCATCTGATAGCGTCACATTGCACGCTTGCCGGAATGCAGCTTTGAGAGTATCATCTGATACAGTTGAAGCGAGCCACTCACTGTACTCTTTGGCAGCTACATCCCTGAAACCGGGGATTCTCAATAGGCATCTCTCTTTCGAAACGCTTGGGTCAGCAATGGCACTGGAAGCCGTCACATCCAACTCAGCAGAGTAAGAAGGCAGAACATTGATGTTGATAGGCGGATACGGTGTGCCGCCGAGAATATTTCCGTTTTTGCCTTTGTCTTTCTCCTGTCGCTGCTGCTCTTCCGTATAAAGGTCACCCCTGATTTCATTAGGAACATCTTTATGTGTCTCGAGAACACCACCTTTCTCGGCGTAGGTCACTAATCGCTTGAGGGTTTGTGTGCGAAGTCGATAATGCTTCGTCGCTACCGGGTCCAGCCAGCAGTAAGGGCCGAGGTGGCATGCAGAATAATCGCATTTCATCAAGTCATACACGTGGCGCCAGATTGCTTGTTGGCCATATGCATTTTCTTCAGCATCTAGCTGTACGTCTCGATCATCAAGCATTCTGTTGGTCACAGATGATTTACCTCGCTTCTCCCCTTTCCGACCCGCGGATACAGAAGTGCTGTCTTCTACATAGTTAAAGCACACTCTCAGCGTGATTCTCTTACCAAATGAAAATTGAATCGACCACATGCGAAGTTGCTTCTCAATCGGTGCCCAAACGATATCGGTCTTGTATTGACCTCCCGTTTTTATACTTGATAATCATTATCAATTTGATTCTATCTGCTTCTCTTACAGGATGGATCGAAATCAGTCTCATCACTTTGCTCTTACAGAATCTATCTCAAACTCTGGTTCGAAATAAAGTCTGAGCTCTCAGGAATAGTGAGACCGTCAAGTCACATGAATTTCCTAATACCTAGCATCCCCTGGACTTTTCACCTGAAAAGCACACTTGGAGTCGCTCCTTTTCCCACTCTGCACGGTCACCCCTAAGCTCTCCTCTATCAACGTGCGGACTTCTCTTCGCAACATGGCGCCAAGACTCCCTATCTAAAAGTAGCACTTTCATTCACCTTGTTTGCAAGATCAACAGTCTTAGTCCTCGAAGCCCGCAAGGCTATACAAGCCTAATATGGGGCCTAATTCATGCTTTAATTTACAGCATTTACAGCCATACTGGAACAGACAGGGGTAGAGTAATCATAATAGGTCTAATGTGCTTTGAAAGAGGATTTAAGAGATAACATCTGTGTGCAAGTGGTGAAACTGATTTCGATCCATCCTATAACTAGACAGCTTTGTGAAATTCCCGAATATGAATTGATTGTAGCTTTAGATTGACCCCTTCTTACCCCAGTTCCATGATGCTGAAATAGCTATTTTCTTAACCTCATAGTTTAAATAATGTATTGGTATCTAACCTGTTACATACGACCGCCAGGCACTAAGTGAACATCGACATACGATGGCTGTTTTAGTTTTTTATTTTTTGCTCTTCCCTTTTAAGGTATACCGAAATACTTATCAATTGCTTTGTGACATTTGATCATTCAAATATTCTCCCCAGTTGCTTTCTTTGATATTCACCGAGATTGAGCCCTCTTAATCATTTGATTTTTCTACTTTGAACACTGAAATAAACCTAGAGGAACTGGAATGTAAAAAGAAAATCGCCCATTGAAACCACATCAGGCTCGGAGTACAAAAAAGGTTGAGATCACTCAAAGTTTGAAGCTTTTTCTTCCATCTTTGATGACATCTTCCACAATTTTGGCCGCTGCCAATGTATGCTCATCCTTGAAATGTCTTCCTGTAATTTGTATAGCAATAGGAGCACTTTCATATCGTTCTGGTCCCGGATACTTCTGCCATTCTCTTTCATCAGTGTCATTGCGAGGCACATATTTTTTATCTTGCTCTGTCAATGCATCCAACTTAGGGTCAACAGTAAGACCAGAAGGAAAGACGACCGAAGGGAGATCCAAAACGTTCCAGATAGCAGTATAGTTCCAGTAATGAGACTCGCCCATAACAGCAGCAACTGCCGGGTTTGCTGGAGAGATGATGAAATCAACACCACGGCGCTTCAAAAGCTCCTGATATTCATCGCGATAGACATCTCGTTCATACTGCAGTCTCCAGGCTTCGGGGTGCGTTAGTGGGGTAGTAGGACCGTATGAAAAGGCCCATTCGGTAAGGGGACGAGCTGGCTCGCCTGACTCCCTTAGCATTTGACGCTGCAATGCAGCAGCATCTGGATAGTAAAGGGTTGACTGGATGTCTTAGTAATTATTTTTCAGAAAGGGCAATTGGACGTACAATTATTTCCCAGCCACGTTGATGCTTGTATGGCTCCCAATCGACAACATTGATACCGGCTGCAGTAAGCTTTTCTTTCACAAGTTGCAAAGCCCGAGTTATTGGAGGATGAGGACGAACAGTTCTTGATATACTGATTAGCCTGAGATAGATAATCTTGGTTGGGGAACATACCCATCGTCCCACATAATGGCAATATTCATGTTCCGTGTTGGAGTCACAGTTTTCCATGGGACTGGCATCAGGGATGTCTCAGTCTCCCAGGGCTCTTGATCAAGTACGGCTTTTTGGAAAAGTTCGAGATCCTCGATCGATGTACTAGCCATGGGTCCTACAACTCCATGAATAGTCTCCTGTCCGATGCAAGACACCTGACATCCTGCCAAAGGGTTGCGCATTGCCGTAGGTCGAAACCCATAGCCTCCACAAAACGCAGCAGGACAGCGGATTGATCCACCAATATCAGTTCCTATACCAAGTGGTGCACAACGGAAGCCTACAGAGGCCCCTTCACCTCCAGAGGAGCCACCCGGTGTCAAGGTACGGTTGTGCGGGTTGAGAGTTGTACCAGTAATGTTGTTACTGCAACACAGATGCTAAGTAATGTTAGTATATACCCGTCAACATATAATGAACTGAGGCCGACCATCAGTGATTGAGGCTGGTTTGTTCGAACATGGAACACTGCGCCAGCGTTTGCCAAGAGTTTCAAGAGGTGTGCATCGTCCGTAGCCACATTGTCAATTCTAAGAACTTGTCAATTAGTTTCCCTCCATTCATCGGCAGCATTGATACTGACAAAGCCACATATCCGGTATTGCAGGTCTTGTTCTTGATTCCAATGTGTTCTTTCACGCTGATGGGAACACCGTGCTTAAACCGGTTCATTAACCTCAATATTATGAGCAGTAGAGTCTCATAAACTCACCAGAGGTCCGATCAGTTTGCCTGTCTTCTTGTAATATGCGTCCAGTTCTTTAGCACGCGATATTGCTTCATCGGCAAGGAATTCGGTTGCGAAATTCAACTGTAAGTCATCACATTGTTACTTGTCAATTCTAACGTATATTAAAAAACGGCTCATACCAGCTGATGGCCTAGCACAGCTCTTTTGAGGAAAGCAACCACGACTTCTTCGGCAGATAAGGTTCCCATCCCCATTTCAGAGACTAACTTCGTCGCTGACAGGTCGGTGATCATGAGCTCCCGCTCGCTCAAAAGCCCACTTTGTCTCGGTAAATCGATTACATTCTTCTGGGTGACGGGAGGAAGTTTGTGTTTTGGAAGACACCATTGCTTGGGAATAGAGTTTTCTAAGATATCTCTGCCCTTTTGTGCTTTCTCTTGCCAGCGCTCGAGCGACATGTTGACTGAGCAGTGGGAGTAAGTGATGATATAGCTTGGGGTACCAAAAGATGTAATGAAAGACGGAATTAATCTGAGGGCGGAAGAGAAAAGGAAATGTCGCTTCTTATCAGTCGCTTCAAAGTTTCCGCAAGCAAGACCCATCATACATATCTTTGTCGGAATCGGTGGAAATCTAGTGGCTGTTGCAAAGTATGGGGACTGCCGAGGAGGACACCCCCGCATTTAGATGTAAAGTGGAGCTGGGATCGTACTGCCGTTGGCTGGCTGCTATCATGAAGTGGGTGAAGCCGCCGGGCGGGCATGTTTTCCAGCGGAATTTGGTCCGCTGCTGATACACTCACACACGCTTTCTCAATTGGTCACTTCGTACATGATTCCTGGGCTTGAAGTATTGGCTCTTATAGTGGAACAAATAAAGTGGTAATTGGGATTACTCTTTGTTGAGCTATATATCTGCTCCTTCTCAGATTATGAATATTAAGTCCTATTATAAAGCCCCTCAACAATTACGACTCATATGTATTGCATCGGCAACCAGCCCCCTTATCGTCCCTTACATAGTAAAATGGGCAACATTGCGGAAAGTCGTATATCAATACCAGGAGCGTCAATGTGCATTGACTACTGCTAGGACCACATAGAGACTTAATGTGAAAGCTCAACACCGTCATGTCCCAAAATACAAGTGGCGTTTTTTGGGCAAGGGGCCAATTTGGGATCAGCCGGCCTTTTGAGATCTGGAATCCTGATTCTGAGATGATAGACCGGGCCCGTTTTTCACGGGTCTCTTCTGTGCTACCCGCAGGTCCTCTTATTAGATAATATCCGACCCCAGGGTAGAGACCGAGGAAAAATCAAGATGAAGCGAGAGTGGTCATCTTTGCCGCCAGATTGTGGCTATTTTTGTCTGTACTTATGTTCATTGGCTATTCTCACCAAGAGATGCAACAATGATGAACGATTTCATTATTCCTTAGAACCTAAGGATTCGTGAGAATTTGGTGCAAAAGTAACGTTTCGGTAATTTCTTGAGATAAGATGATTATCTGTAGATATTTATTGGTCATCACCTCGTAATTTATAGCATTCAAAATGCTTCCCCTTCACAAACATATGAAGATTCTATTTGGCTCTTTCCTCAGATCTTGTATTATGACCGGGTATCGATGTTAAAAGAGTGCGTGCACATGCACATTATGTTAACTTGTATTCCCACAAGTATAGGTAGTACAAAAGTGACGATGATTGCCTTTCAAAGTTCCGGTACTCTTTGCGATGATCTGCGACGTGACTCGGCAGCATCGTATAGGAAGTGATGATCGGGCTGATGTGATGCCCCTTAAAGGCTTGGAGGCAATTGAATTGTGGGTATCAGAAGTATGCGCTGCAGGAAATCGAGTTTCATGGCTACTCGGTTGAAGCAGGGTTGAGAAGATGACCGTCTCGATCCTTCATCGGACTTCCCCATAGTCAATAGCCTCGAGTCCTGATGTACGGCCTTTAGAACCCTGGCTTGTTCCTAACGAGGATTCTGCATGGCTGTAGTCACCTGCAAGGCGGGTGGGGTCAACAAAAGAGGGGTATTGGCCAGCGGACGTATCGAATGATGACCGAAAGACGTTCTGGTGAGCGATTTTGACTAGTTTGCCGAGCACGGCAATTTCCAACTTGAGTTTAACGCTGTAGAGTGTGGCTTTGAGGGTGGTTTGGTAGATGTAGAAATTCATGAACTCGATGACCATCAATGCAATGTCCATTAGAATACAGGACACGTTCACGGCAAGCAATTGCAGAATGGTCTTGCGACTGCCACGGTCGGGGTGCAGCTGCAACATGCGATTGGTCTCCCACATGTAGAGACTGGATATGATTACCTCCTGGACGCAGAAACCTGTCAACTGTAACTTCTCCATGACGTCGTACCCCGCGATCGCAGTGCGGGACTCGGAAAAATTGGCGGCGTAAGTCAACACGGTCGTTGGGACGTGAAACAGGAATATGTTTGTGATAATCATAATCTTGACCATGCGGAGCACTTGTAGATTCTCAAACACCAGATGTAGACGGGAGTAGAGCACAAACGATTGGCCAGTTACCATCGCCCACCAGCCCACCGTGAGTAATGTAATAGGGACCCAAGTGGCCGAAGTCAGACCGAAAAATTTGATCAGATAGCCTACTGAGTAGGGTAGAATGCCGACCGAGGCAATCAACATACTCCAGAAGTAGGGGCCATGGTAGCGCTTGAAGGTGAGGAAAATGAGCACGATCAGCTCAATCACGTTGTACCACGCAACGCCGACAAACGTTGCGATTGTGATGAGCACTCCGATGCTGTTCCCAGTGTAGCTGCCAACGATCCAGTTGCCAGGACTGGCTTCGCTGGATGAGGACATGGCTCATCTAGCGAAGCTGCGTGTCAAGGGCGAGTCGTGAAGTCGTCGAACTCGATGAAGCGAAAAAAACGAAGAACGCACGGGCCAGACTTAGGTTTTTCCTGCGGGGGAGCCTTTGGAGGGGGGCTGGTCAGATTGGTTTTTTGCTATTTTTGCTGGCCGGTGGAGATGGTCTTGAGGGGTTTGGTGGAGATGGTTGGTTGGTCGTTGGGTCCCTGGCAAAGGGATGAGCTTATGCCCCACCGATGACGCCACGGGGTCAGCCGCTTGGACTCGGGCTCTTGGGCCTCACCTTTAAGCTTATGTTTGTCTATTGATCTTATGCAGAGATCTCTGTTGCAGATCGGAGATTTTTCGATCTGGGATCGGAATCCATCCGATATGTGCCTATAGAATCTACAATGAACAGTCAATTTGGAGTAAATAAACTATATATGCGGCATCCCTTCCTCATGATCCAGGGGTAAGTTGACCCCCTGAAATCGCTTGGCCCCAGGGCGATCACCCTTGGCGAATATTAGAATGATAAATTCAATGGGCGTTGAGACGAGATCGAGTAGCTTTGCGTATTCATTTAAAAGCTATTCTTATAAATAAGTTTTTCTTCTAAGCGGCAGGGCCATAAATGGGGAATTGGATAATTATTCAATGCATCTATGAAAGCGCTATGCCACTACAACCTCTTCCACTAATATTTTCCCTCGTGTAGCCCGATTCCCTGGCTACATACAGCTCGATAAGTTTGGCTATTTAGGATACCAAAGCAAATCACCATAATAATATAGCAAGCATTTTTATGAGAGAAGGGTCTTGCTCCCCAAGCTGGCACGCGTCCCTGCTTAGTTTCTTCTTACCACGAGAAGGGCGAGAATTCTCGTTTGTTCAAATATCCGTACGTACATTGAGACTCTGATTGGTATTAAGGTAGAAAATCATCGAAGGCTAAAATACCAGGGGGAAACTGGAAAATGGAAGCTTGTTAAACTAAACCTCAGTGCAATGTTATTTACATATCCAAGAAGGTGGCTAAAATACCCATTGATAAAAATTTCTCGCTGTTGGCCTTCGTACCGCCAAAATACCTGATACATGCCTAAAGTTTAGGAAGATCACATCTCACCCACGTTTATAACGGCGGGGTGTCCGCAAGCACATATCCCATCATGCTGCATGGATCCATGGAGTTAGTAGAAAGACCCAAATTTGACCATATAAAGAATGACAAAGAACTAAAATCGAAAGTCAAAACAGCTTACATGGCAGGGTACCGAGCGCCCGAAATCTCAGTCCGTTCTACAAGCTGCCGAATAGCTTGCACTTCCTCGTCGGTAAGGTGCAGTAATGCAGAAGCAAAATTCTCATCCGCTCTTTTAGTCGACTTCGTACCCGGAATAGGGAAGATATCAGACCCCTGGGCTAGAAGCCAGGCAATTGCAACCTGGGCCGGAGTCTTGCCATGAGCCTGAGCCACGTCCTTGAGCCCTTGCACAAGCTCCAAGATTCTGGGGAAATTCTGTTCCGAGTACTTTGGTAACATATGCCGGAAATCATCATCAGGGATATCCTTCGGCGACTGAATCTCCCCGGTCAAGATACCGCGACCAATAGGGCTATACGCAACAACTGCTACCCCAAGCTCTCGACAAGTCTTCAAAAGCTCCACAGTAGGCCACTCGATATCCAGGGCAAAAGCGCTATATTCAACTTGATAGGCAGTAATAGGGTGAATAGCATGTGCCCGACGGAGAGTTGCAGCAGATACTTCTGAAAGACCAAGGTACCGGATCTTTCCCTGTCTGTATATCGATCAAGTATTAGTATCAGATACGAAGAAACAGTGACCAACTATGACACAATCTGATGGGGTTGAACATACTTTTTCAGCTCGACCATAGCCTCAACGGTTTTCTCAATGGGGGTCACTCCATCTACACGATGGCAGTAGTAGAGATCAATGGTATCAACCCCAAGTCTCTTCAGACTTTTCTCACAAGCAGACTTGACATATTCTGGATCGGAGCGAATCGTGATTTCCAACTTGGGATCCATCTGAATGGCAAACTTGGAAGCGAGGAAAATGTCATCGCGTTTTCCAGAGCGCTTGAACCATTCTCCGACAATCTCTTCACTATCCACATACAAATCAGCTGTATCCCAGAATCGTTGTCCAGTGGCATGCGCATGCTCCAGGAACGCGACTTTCTCGTCGAGGGAGCCTGCAGGTCCATAAATACCCCCCAGGCTCATCAGACCCAGACCAATGGCAGGTACTTGCGGACCATTACGGCCAAGTGCTCTTAATGGGACAGACATAATAAAAGATAACCAAACGTGTAGAATCAGAGGTGATGAATAAAAAGAACAGGAGTAAGTGAGGATGAATTGATTGCGATGATGAGACCATTCCAGAGAATGGACAACCTTTAAATACTATTGCGCGGAAGAACTCATAGAGCCGAATGGAACCTTCTTTTATGAAATCGACTCTTTTTATTCCACTCATGAACATAATCCCAAAAAACTATCATGAACATCTCATTCTTCGGAACTTTTGACGGAGTTAACGGCGGGCTGAGTAGCAAAGCCAACCAATCAGAAGGCCGAATCTCGATATAGTTCCACTTGGGTGGGCAGTAGCCAATCAGAGACTGTGGTTTCCGAGCAGTCCAATCACTCTGCACTGGCCTCGTCCCAAGTTGCCTTGCACAAGAAGGAATCCTCTTCTGTCGCTCACCTTCTGCAAAAGATGACCTTTACACTACAGCAACTTTCTCCAGCACTCATTCTATTCGTATGTCATGCCCAAGCCCACTAGACAGGCACAAGGTCAAAATCGGAAAAAGGTGAAATCCGGTTGTAAGACTTGCAAGTAAGCTCCATCGCTTCCTATTGTATATGCTATCGACTTATCCAAGCTATGCAGAGTTCGTCGCGTAAAATGCGATGAGAGTCGACCGGCTTGTCGCCGCTGCGTATCAACAGGTCGTGTCTGCGATGGCTACGGGATCTGGGGAGGAGGCGGGACTCCTTATGGCCCACCGCAAGCCAACCGAGCTCTTTCGATCTACCGTACGCCGGTTCCCGCCGGCAGTCTGACCCATGAAGAACAGGCTTACTTTGATTGGTTCATGGAAAAGACGACTAAGAAGTTCGCCGGCCTGTTTAATTCCGACTTCTGGGAGACATTGGTTTTCCAGGCCAGCGCTCAAGAGCCGGCAGTTCGTCACGCGGTTGTTGCACTGTCGGCAGCCCATCGATTTGACCGAAACTATGGCCCCTGGACCATTCCAGCCACATATGGCTTTGATGCAGAGAAATTTACCCTCCAACAATATAATAAAGCCATTATCAATCTGCGAAAAACTACCGCCAGCACTAAGAAGAATGCTCTTCGGGTTGCGTTGATCACTTGCATGCTCTTTGTGACCCTGGAGTATCTCCGGGGCCAGTATAAAATGGGCAGTGCACATTTACGCTACGGAATCAAGCTTCTTTCGAACATATCTACAACCCAGCCCCGACTGGCATTGTCGCCAATTATTCTAAATCCAGCTGAGGACTTTGCCCTCAATGCTCTCATCGATTCCTATGCACGCCTTGCGATCCAGTCTGCCATGTTCGGCCATGTGCCTTCAGAGCTATGCGTGGTGACCTGTGATCCACAAAATAATGCTCTTCCTTATAAATTTTCCTCTGTCTTGGATGCTCGGCGGAGGCTAGATGACCTGCTCATTAGATCCCATTGCTTGAAAAGGCACTTGCACAATCTCAAGATGGCGCAGCAACCAACAGACGACCCTGAAATATTTGAAATTCGACAGAGAATTTTGAATGACCTATCTCTCTGGCGCAAAGCCTATCATGCAACTGTCACACTCCTGGAAGAAGAATCGGAGCCATGCAAGGACAGATTTGGCTATCTTCTTCTAAGTGCGTACTATGAGATGTGCGTGATCATGACGTCTGTCTCTCTTTCTTCAGAGGGAGAATTGGTGTTTGAGTCTTACATAGACAACTTCGTTGCCATTCTCACTGGCTTCGATAAGTTGTGGGAATTCTGGCGCCTCCAGGCCATCCAAACCAAAGAGTGGGACGAGATCCTGAAAAGTGCCGAATGCGGCGGACATGGGTTCACTGTCGAGTCTGGTTTTATTCCTCCAGTATACTACACTGCGCTCAAGTGCCGCGTACCACGTATTCGACGATATGCTATTCGAATGTTGCGCTCGGTGCCACATCGCGAGGGTGTTTGGAATGGTCCTCTTCTAGCAGACGTCCTTGAAGAGGTGATGCGGGCCGAAGAAGGGAATCTTTTTGACAGGGATAAGCACGTGAATGAACTTGATCTGGCTTTAGCTCTGACAGAAGAAGATAGAGCTCTGCCAAATGTCGAGTCAATACGTCGCGTCATTGATGTCACGATTATCCTTCCTGATTCGGTGCGAAGTGACACTTTTGTGACCTACAAGCAGCAAATCGAAAAGGGAGTATGGGAGACCTTTAGGAAAAAGGTCGGCCCTGGTAAATTGCGTGGCCAGCTTGACTTGAATGGAATGCAAGATAACACTTGATAATTACTTAGCCAATGTGTTGTATTCTTTATTGTACAATTTGAACAACCAATTGTTGTAACTTATGAAGAATCGTAACTTCGTGAAGTATCTCTGCCTGTCTGAGGCCCCATAAACGCCATCCCAAGATTGAAACAAGTGTAATACTTCCCCAAGCCATTGATCCACCACCTTTCAGAATGCAAAATGCAAAATGCAAAAAAAAAGAAAAAAATCACCATCCAGATTTTTGACCAAAATTCACCGACCACTATTCTTCTTGAGGAATGCGGCGACTTGCTCGTGGCGTGTCACAAAAAACATTCGCTTCCGATCCGACTTCCACACCAGAACACCGATCTCGGCCGCGTACTGGCATAGCACTTGGTACTCACTCAATGTACTGAACTCCTTGAAAAGGAAACCCGGAGTGGCTCTCAGACGATCTCGTTCCAGCTGCCAGAGTCTGATTTGATCGGTCACCGTAGGCGGGAGCACTGAAGGCGGAATGCCGGCTGTGTTGGATGTCGCATGGCCAGCATTATGTTTACGTAGTTGAGGATGAGCGTGAGATAACAAGTATGAGATAATTTGCTCGGCGGTAATACCCATCTCAATAGCTCGACGAACCGATTGTCGTGTGATTTTTCCCGTGACCAGGTTGGGAAAGCGATATTTGAGGTTCGTGAAAAGTGAGATGAGAGATATCTGTAGCGGGGACGACGTGTATGCGTAGAGGCGGTAGTTTGTTTCAATGATGATGAAACCTGCCGCCGAGCTGCCGGATTGGCCGGCAGGACCAGTCAGGGACCCAGTGACGGGGTTTCCAAGTGCACTTGAATCGGAGGTTAAGGTGGTTGCAAGCCGGGTGGGGTAGAAGCGAGGAGCATCCGGAGTTTCTTGAAAAACAATGCCAAAGTCTGCAAGGTTGGACAGAGTTTGACGTTGGACAGATGACAAGTGCGTCTTCTCGTAAGATTGTCCCAATTCCAGACTACTAAGCAGGAAGAGGAACGAGAGAACCTCGACACTATCCATCCCCATGGCCTTGGCGCTCTCGACATAGAGGATCAGAATATGCCAGACTTGGGTGTTTACGTCTTGAAGCACAAATCCGAATCCATGCTTGGTGATGTCCACTCGACGATCACGAATTTCAACCAATTGACCCGCTTGGAGCAGTGTTTTGACGCCGTTGCTCAAGTTGACATCTCGTTGTCCGCTTAGAGCACTTGTTCCAACCATATACCCTAGCACACCTTCCCATTGTCGTCGTGCATATTCATCCAAGTCAGCGATGGATACGGGGTTGTCGCTTGGTGCTTGGGAGAAGACGCCAAATGATCTGGAATCTTCCGAACCTGTAAGAGCTTGGCGAAGAGAAGATGCAAATGGGTTGGTCACCATATATGCTCGAACGTTGTCTCCAGTAAGCGTCGAGGATAGAATGTGAAGTCTTCCCAATATCGATAGCGCATTATCTCTTTGTCTTTTTCGGTCGCAAACTGTTAGCGAACTGACCTCAACTAAAGACAACTTAAGGGAACATGCGTCCATACTTCTTGCTCTCCGATTTTACCCAGACCTCTAAATCTGCCATCGGAAGAGGGTCCTTCAGATACAAAAGTGCCATCACAAAGCATTTTGCTGCCAGTGTCGTTAGTTCAGCTGTGACTGACGTGTGGAAGAGCTCTAGATACCCAGATCAGGTAACATCCGCCGGAATATTGCAAGAGCGGTAGATGGCTGTTGATATAGTTTGAAGAAGGTTGTACCCGAGAGGCCTTCCAGGTACTCAAGAGGACGGGACGTAGCTGCCGCCATGTTGATGACTCGAGAGACCTGGTAGCTCTGTAGCCTTGTGAAAAGAGAGGGCGCGGTGAAGTCATGTCAATGCCGAATGTACGGGAACCGCAGCGGCCACCTTGCGCAGCTCCCGGGATCAACGCGCCGGCTATCTACCGGGTTCCGGCTCAACAACTCTTCCTCCCTCCAAACTTCATGCAATTGCAAAGATGACAGCTCTCAGGTTTGTCAAGTCTGTGAGTCTGAGTCCTTCTATTACCACAATGAGGAATATCTCACTAATAGAAGCCCTGAACAGGTGTGGGAGTCTTTTCGGGCTACTTCGGGTCTAGAGCCTCGGTAAGCTATATTGGTTGCTCTCCATTTTTGGGATTCAGTGGCTGTTACTGAGACTTATCAACTGAATTCTCAAAGGCTTTTGAACAATGTGAGTTGAGAAACACATTTGAACCCTTAGTTTGCCTTCAAACTAAGCTTGCGTTCATGTCTAGCTTCGGGTGACAGCTGCTAGACCGGGCACTGTGAACTTTGAGCTGGAGATCCAGAAGGAGCACACGGTAAGTTCAAAGGCATAGCTTTGTTGATATGGAAATACCTGCCAGTTTTCCAAAGACTCTCTCTTTACTTGTTCGCTAATGATTCATCAGAACCGCCTGAACATCCTGCATGGAGGTACCATCGCTAGCATGGGTATGTTTAGCTTTGTTCCTGTGCCCCCTTGCCCTTTACAGAAACTGACAATATTTTCTCAGTTGACCTGGGAGGCTCCTTGGCTGTGGCTTCCCGTGGGTTGTTTGCGACAGGTGTCTCCACAGACCTCAATGGTGAGTTTCTAGCAACAACTTGAGCACCTTGAAATATGGTGCAATCTCCATGAAACACGCGAGACTCATATGACAAAAGTCACCTATCTGAATTCTGGAGGCAAAGTTGGCGATAAGATCATGGCGGTATGTTTCATATGTGCTTCTTTTGTTTATTAATATTTCTTATATACTAATGGACGTCTAGGAGGTGACTTGTGATAAATGTAGGTTTCTCGATTGAGCGCATATGGGTTTTGCTAATGCTCAATAGTTGGAAAAACTCTGGCTTATACCAACATCAAATTCACCAACGCTAAAGGTGATATTGTTGCTCGTGGTAGTCACACAAAGTAGGTTTTGTTCCAATTTCTCCTATTCACCAATTACAAGCCAGCATGATTCAGCATTTCTAACTTCGGCGGCGATGCAGGTATGTCACTTTTGCCTGGAAGGATCCTCAGAATATTGTGGAGGAGATCAACAAGCTTCCATAGAGAATCTGACTATAGCACCGTAACATGAAATTAGAAGGGTTTCCCGCTCCAAGACTCCTCAAGAGTAATCATTATAACCAAGCACAACGAGAAAACATATTCATAACTAGGTGAATCATAATTCTACGGATGAAAGATATATCATGACATATCAAAATTGTAGTATCATTCAAGCAGTATTGATTCAGCTCCGGTCTTTCGTAACCATCGGCCAGTGAAAGAACACCTGTTCATACAATATTCTCATCATCGTCGGCACCCAGAATCTGCTCATCTTCATCCAAAAGGCCCTCTTCGCCATCAGGTGCTTCTTCATCAACAACCATCTCGCCATCACCCATGGCCTTTACCTTGGCCTGGGTCATCTCGAAGACGTACTGGCCAAGGTGTTCAAGTCCTTCCATGGGAGTGCCCTCGGTGACAGCGTCCAGCGCTCGTGTAGTGGGGAACATCTCACCCGGGGCAAGCATAAGCTTGTCAGGGCGCTGAAGTAGCTTGTCAAATGCAGGTTTAAGCTCATAGCACGATTCAAAGACTTCACGACGTCCAAGAATGTACAGTCCCAAACGGGCACGAGAGAGGGCAACAGTGAGACGACGGACGTCGCGCAAGTAGCCCACAGTGCGAGTGCGGGTGAGGGATAGAATCACATCTAGACCGATGTTAGTGTGTAGCTTGGTAGTTGCTGCATATTGAACTCACAATCATTCTGCTCTCCTTGATATCTATCCACGGTGGTCACAATCTTAGGCATTCCGAAGAGCGAATTCTTAGCACAGCGGTGATTCAAGACATCGCGAATCAAAGCCGTCTGCCCAGCATACGTGGCTAGAATCGAGATCTTTTCGGCTGGGTAGCCCAGCAAACGCATGTACTGATACAACGCAACTGTATACTCTGCTTCACCCAAGTTTTGGATGAAGTGCGGTGTCGGTTCTCGCTCGCCGTTGCCCTGGTAGTCAGGCACGTTGATAAACTGATAGTCGAACTGGAATCCGGCATTGGCTTGCTTGTACTCTTCGGCCGTCTCGACAACCGGGAGGTCGCCAAGTTCCTGGTAGCGCCACCTGAAGAGTTCAGCAATGCTAGGTCGGGATCTGCCCTGCTTATCAAGGGTAATCACAGGAACGCCTAGACGCGCCAGGCGAAGGAACAAGCTCTGCTCAAAGTGTGCGTACTGGCGGAAAGCAATGTTTTGAATGATCGGAGAGTTCTGATAATGATCTCCGCAAAGGACGACCCGCTTAAGAGGAAGCTCACCATTCTTCATACTCTGAAGAGCAGTGGGTATGAAGCTTTCAATCTCAGTGATTTGGGCAGCCTCTTCCATGATGACATTGTCATAGTGGAAGCCGAGATCCGCAATTTCTTGTCGGCGCATAGCGGCGTGGGTGGAAGTCATGGCGATGATCCGAGCTTCCTTAATAAGAAGATAATTGGCCCTGTCTCGGGGTTGACGCAGAATCTCAAACGGCCGAATGTCTTCAAGTTCGGAGAAAATCCGCTCAATGTGTCGTTGACAGCCCGAAGCCACGTCTAGAAGCGTTTCTTTAGAAGCCTGCGCATCAAACAGAGGCTGTGGAGCATTGGAGAAGTATAAATGGAACGGGAAAGAAGTGATGATCTCCTCATTCGAGACTTCTTCGGTATTGGCTCGATCCCAGAACTTCGCCCAGGCCGGTTGGATGTAGACGGTGTTGAAATAGCCCGCCGTTTCACACGAGTTTCCATGGGCACCCTCTGCTTGAATCGATGCTGCAAGTCGCATAACCTCAGAGAGATAGATATTCCTATTATCAAGGAAAGATTCGACCCGTCCATATTTGCTGTAGTTGGTATCGGTATCTAATTCTTCCTCGCCACGACCCAATCGCAAAAGATGGCGTTCATCAATGTCTAGGGCGATGATCTTCTGGAAGAGCTGATTGAGCGCTTGATTACTGTGTGCAATGAGCAAGGTGCGTTCGTTGGGGAAGTTATGGTAGAGGTTGTTGATAATTTGGGTCGCAACATCGGTCTTTCCAGTACCAGGAGGTCCCACAATGACAGTAAGACCCGGCTGGGTTCCAGATGCAATTGCCTCCACCTGAGCTGGCGTAAAGCGGACACTGTTTAGCTTGGGGGCATCAACCGGGTATGGACCGGGATTCGGTGGTCTATATGTTGACACACGCATCGTTGAAGTAGCTTGCTCGGGTTGTACTGCTTTCTCTCGGCGATTTTTCTTTGACGGAGGAGCAGCAGAAATTTCTTCGCTCTCAACAGACTCGAGAACATAAGGAGGCCCAAAGCTTGAAGACTCCGGCCCCGATGGTTCAATTGTCTTGCCAGGGAAACTCTCCACCAGGTGTGACCAATCCAGAAAAGTGTCCCGGAAATCGACAGATTGAAGCCGATTCGACAGTTGTGTATACTGCGCACCGGCAGGGTCTCCATATCCAAGGAAAATATCCTGAAGCCAGGAAGGAAGTGTCATATCCGAAACAATAAGCTTCTGCATCGTCTCGAGGATCGACTTGAAATTGTTCTCTCTGCCCTTCCTACGCGCAATGACATTGATCAAAGGATAAACATCGGCCTTGCCTTGTAGCTGACGATCCTTGTCTGTCTTGAACACCGAAGCGTCCAAATTGACGAGCAGTCTGCGTACGCGCGGGCGAGAATGGTATCCATTGGTCTGGCCACCAGTTGGGTGTCGCAGCGGGCGGCCTTGTTCATCAAGAACTTGTACGATCTCTGCTGTGCGGAGGTAAGTCATGCGAGGGCCTTCGGCATTTTGATCACGAATACCCAGCTGTGTCGGAGGGGCTGACTGAACAGCAAGGAGATAGACAACATCATCTGGGCGAAGGGCCTCCCATTCCTTTCGAACTCCATCTGCGAGACGTCCTACCTCGAGTGCGATCTCGGCGCGAACAAAAGCAGGGTTAGGAGAGCCTACCTTGGCCGGAGCCACCTCGATGATGGCGGGCTTAGAAATTGGGATGGCCATTCGAGAGAATCCCTCAAATGTCAAACTTCCATCACGGTTTCCTCGCGGCTGCATGCGCTTTACAAGTCCTTCCATGTCTTTTCGGATCTGGAAGAACGCCTCGGATCGGTAAAGAAGAAATGATCGCCAAAGGAAGTCTCCAAGGCTCAGATACTGAAGATTCAGCTTCGGGATCGCCAGAGGCCGTGATCCATCGTAGGTTTCATTTCTCAGCAAAGCTGGATCGTAAAGACTCTCCTCCGTTGGAACGATACTCAACTGTGCAGTGGCATCCTGGAAGGTAAGTTTGCGCTCAAAGAAAAACAAGAGAATCTCCAGATACAGTTGGCGGTCCGGAGTAATGTTGCATAAGGTGGGATACGAGGACCGGAAACCTAGGTGGGTACATAGGCTCTGGAGCTCAGTTTCATCTAAAGAGGAGAGCTGGCCTTCCAACTCTGGGCGTTGATCGATTGATCCCAAATTCGAGAGAGCGAGAATCATCAGCTTCTCCTTGAAGAATTTCATTGCGGTTCGCTGCAATCGCACCAGCTCCTGGGAATGTAGATCATAAACTGCCTGAGGGGAGAGGGCCTCGCCAGAGTAATCATCGATAGCGAAATTAATGAAGTGCCTGAGAAGATTAAATAAATCCCGGAGCAGAGCATTCTCAGGTACGCGGTAGAGTAGCGATAGCCGAATGACAGGCAGCAGGTTGAGGTCTTTCAAGAGAGTGTTCACATATCGTCGTGTTGGAAGTTGGCTCAAAAGATCGATCAAGAGTTCCAGAAAGCGTTCGCAATAAAGTAAACAGTCAGTCTGCTCCTTCTCAGGGCTGTTCAGCTTCTTCAGGAAATCCAGAAGCATTGTGTAAAGCCAAGATCGCTCGAATCGCATCTTTGCCTTCGTGGCCTCGTCTCCTGCATCGTATCTCTTTCCTGCCGCTCTCCATGCCTTCTTGAGAGTAGGCGATTTGGCAACAACGCGCTCTCTGGCATCTTCGCTGCCCAAATTATGCCAAATAGATATCGAAACAAGCGGGGCGCATTCCTTTCGGATTAGGACGTTCTCGAGCGATTGGAAGGCACCGATAATGAATGAGATAATCGACATTCGTGAATGAGTAGGCAGTGACGGATCAAGGCTCATCGACAATATACGGTGGAAGAGACTGGAAAAGTCATCGCCACGATCGGAGAAAATGTCTGCATTAACAGTCAGCGTGAGCGACTCCGGGCCCATATCCTGTTCATTGCCGCTTCCACTCACCCCAGATCGGAAGATGCTCGCGATATTTGACACTGACTACAGAAGCAATCAGGAGCACATGGTGATTTGACGCATCCTCGGTGTACGTCGGCCAAAGAAACCTGCCAAAAACCTGCGATTAGCCCTGCGGGCACAGAGACGAACGATCAAGCGCGGGCACCATACTTCTCAAGCACATTCAAATTCTCCAAGATCAGAAGCGAGCGACTGCTGAACCCCTCTGCTTCTAGTGGATTCCACAATTGCTGTTCGATCACATCTGGTTTGACCTTGCGAACCTTCGCATCGAGCCAGTGCGCCTTGGCCAGCTTCACCCACGGGCTGTCCTCGCGGAAATCCACCACAGTGGGCCTGATCTCCAGACTCTGCGCCATCGCAGCACTCGATTATCCCTGATCTTGATAGATTGGGGTTGGTCGAGGGCGTGAGGTGGATCTGCGCACGTCGGGAACGTCGAATCGAAGCTGGGGGGAGCTTTTTCTGAAAGTCTTGGCTCGCCCTCTCCGCCGAGCCGCAACCTCCGTCACTCCGCGCTCTCTGTTTTCCCTTTGTTACGACCGCAATTGTCACCCTCAATAATCGTCTCGCCTCGAGAAGATGGCGAACCCTGAAGTTGAGGCCGTGCAAGTTTACTCAAAAGTCATTGACGATCTCCTGGAACGCGCTGCCCGTGCCAAACCTGATGCGCAAATTGAGCCCCCGTTGACCGAAGCGCTCCTGGGCGAACCGATCTGGCAGGTCCCAGCGGAGTATGAAAGCACCGTGAAGCATTTAAATCAGCAGACACGTTTTGCTGCGGTGGAAATCGCATTTCGAGAGAAGTTCTATCGCACTCTGGTAAGGAATCTCCTACCTTGGGCTCAAAAGACAGGGCCTGGCCTGAGCTAACCCTTCTCTCAATCTGCAAGGCCTCTACTTCCATCGATGACCCTTCCTTCATACACATCTGGAACTTGCTAGACATCGTCTCCATATTCTCAGATAATGGTCAGTACCGGAAAGCTATACGAACTTCCGCAACGGTCCCTCCTAACGCCCACAACAGAACAATGTGAACCTGGCCTGATTTTCTGGCTGAACGAGGAGCTCCTGGACAGCCAAACTATTGACGGATGCCGCAAAGTTTTTGACTATCTGGAATCTCGTCGAGAACGAAACATCAAGGTTAGTTCAGTCTTTTGGATACGGCTGATAAATGTACGGATTCTAACAAGCTTCTCTGCAGAAACACTTTAAGCAGAAGAGCCTAATCATCTTAAGATCATGCAACGAGCTCCTTCGTCGACTGTCTCGTGCTGAAGACACCGTATTCTGTGGACGCGTTTTCATATTTCTTTTCCAGAGTTTCCCACTCGGAGACAAAAGTTCAGTCAACCTCCGCGGCGAGTTCCATACAGAAAATGTCACCACCTACGACGAGTCCGTCAAATCTGCCGACTTCGACGAGGGAGATACCACAATGACTGAGGGCAATGACTCTTCACCAGCGGAAGGGCCTGTCGAGGGTACATCTCAGTCAGAGGAGCCATCGCAAGTCCCGAAAGTCGTGGTCTCCGCAGACCAGAAAGACAAAACGAAAGAAAAGGTCGATCTAGATGCACTGTACCCAGCGTTCTGGAGTCTCCAATCCTACTTTTCCGCGCCAAGCAAGATGTTCGACACCGCACGCTTTGCAGACTTTAGAGCTGGCCTCGAAGCAACGCTCTTAGCTTTCAAAAACATCAACACTGAGCTTGATAAACAGAACGGCTCACGGGCCTCAGAAGAAGCACGCAAGTCCAACAAGCGTAAGCGTGTCGCTGACGAGGCCGAGGTGGGGACAAGTTTTAATCCCAAGTACCTCACTAGTCGAGATCTATTTGATCTTGAGATCAGTGACATGGCTTTCAGAAGACATGTTCTAGTCCAAGCTCTCATTCTTCTCGACTTCATGCTTTCGCTCACATCCAAGGCCAAATTACGTCTGGCCAACTTGACCAACAAGTCCGTGCTGTACGGTTTCGTACTGAGCGAAGAGGACGCAAAATGGGCCGCAAGTATGCGGAGGCGGATTGAGGCTTATTTGCAAGAAGGCCCCGGCGGAAAGTTCTACTATCGCATGGTCGACACGGTCTTGTCCAGAGACAAGAACTGGGTGCGCTGGAAGGCTGAAGGTTGTCCGGCAATTGAGCGGCCAGCCGTCTCAGTTCCTGATTACATGACTGCGCGCGAGCACGCCACCAAGATGTATGCCAACAAACGCCTACGCCCAGCGCCAATGGGATCGCTGGACCTTAATTTTCTTTCAGACGGCGAAGCGTTGGCCAACGTTGAGCGGCTCAAAGAGTCGGATCGATTTTCCGTTCCGGCTCCAGACACTTTCATGATGGGCATCATGGATGACGAAATGGACATCGACATGGCGCAGACTCCAGATGAGAAAGAAATCGCATCGATGGCCAAGTCCAGCAAGACTTGGCGCATTCTCCGCTTGTCGTCAAAAACAAAGCTTGCTGCTTTCGACAAGATTCAAGATGGGAATAATCTCAAGGCCTTGTTCGAAACTTCCGAGGCCCCAACAGAGACACCTCAGCCTACCGAAGGCGGCGAGTCTATTACAAACCCGGCTGATGAGTCTGCACAAGGTACTCCCATCGACAGCTCGCTGGGTGATGATGGAGCGCAAGACGCCGAAGATACCCCTATGGAAAACCAAGACGCCACCGAAGAGACACAACAAGTAGAAGAGTCCCCGGAACCCCAACCGAAACTCAATGTGGCTATCGAAGAGAGTATCACAGATGAACCCGACCCCGTCGCTTCTAGCGCGTCCCTCGGAGATAATCCCAAGGAGGAACCAGCAACGTGACGAGCATCTCAGGTTTGGCGCACGCGAAAGTTTTGGCAGGATGGTTTATTGCTTCGAACCCCTTTGTTCGGTCTGCGGAGCATTACCCACAACGGGTATCGTTTGACGGACATGGCAATCTACTCTTAGCCACATCCAGTTCTCCGGGTCGCTTGCGGACTTGCTCTAATGCATCGATATCACCACGATGCTGAGGGATATACACTGCATCTTCAAGCGCCGGGATTGAGGGTGTGCAGATGACCGTTTTTTTTCTTTCAATAGTATCCATTTAGCGACATTGTCCACGTCATTCGTCTCTCTGAAACCCCCCATGACTTTCTCCAGCACAACAGGGGCCGACATTTAGGAAAGGGGAAAAAGTGCGCGAAGATCGTCTTGTCCAAAACTTTCTGGGCACCCTGTTGCCTGCCTTCGTCCACATTTGCTTGGTGGGATTTTTTCAGGACCCGCAGACAGAACGGAGCTAGAGGGGGTTCTGTTTAATCTGTCGATCAGGAACCGGGATTACGAACTATGCGTGGTGTTCCATACGGTAGCATTCTGGCACCCCGGGAGTCTGGCGTCGTGTCTTGGATTTGGAGCTTCAGGAGGCAATGCAAATCCTTTCAGATCGCGGCGTGTCTCTTAAACGAGCGGGCGGAGCACACTGGCATCTCCCGACGCGATGGATATAGTGGGACTCGCGTGGGAAGGGGAGGAGAGGGGCGCCAGCTTGGGACAGTTTCGCCGTTGGATTAGCTACCGACGTGGGGACCAAGATTTCTCAAGCTGATCGGCAACTCTATTGCGTTTGCGAAAAGTAAGAAGAAAAAGAGGAGAGAAAGGAGAGGTTCCTGCATGAAATGTATGTGCTAGTACTAAATCACCAAACTTCTAAAGCATGATTCTTGCATTGGATCCTTGCCCCAAGTGGGACATACTTGTTATACTCCGTAGTGGCGTCTTCCTTCGGCCCCATCTTTGCTCTAGAAAACTTCGGTGTCTCGGTACATTGCTCAATTCCCCCCCCTCTCCCCCTAGAAACTTACTAGAATCAATAATCAAAAGTGGGAGGGCTGGGGCGCCCGCACCGTCGCAGCCATGTTTCACTTTTCATGCGCCTGGCGGTCCGCCTCACGAACCGAAGAGTTGGAGATGGCGTTGGCGTCGAAGGATCTGGGTTTTGCCAGCCCCTACGATGCAAGATAAGTGGGCTAGTAGAGTGGACTCGGTTGTTTACTGTTTTTTTTTTTTTTTGGCCCCTGGCCGAGGGGGGGAAAGACCAGTTCCCAGAAGTTGCGGCGGAGGGCCATGGGCACTGTTTCGCTCGTACGTACGAAGGCCATTGTTGTGCCGCCAGCTCCATAGAGCAGGAGAACACACCGTAGCCTGACCGCACGCATCCACAAGGAATGGAATTAGCCCCCGTGTTCCGTACGAGCCGGGCGTTAGGGAGCGGGCAGTTCGCACCTTTGGATTGTTCGAGAAAAAAAGACGCACTGATCGCAAAGGGGGCCCTGTACAGCTGTGAACGGTGCTGGTCGGAGACTTGCGAACTCCACTTGTGGAGCCGAAGGTCGGCGCTATACAGGACATGGAAGGAGACTCGTTAGCTGTGTGTTGCATGGCCTGCTTCTCATTGAGCTCGCCGAACTGTTCAGGAGCTCCAGCTTGACGTCAATACGCAAGATCCGATAGATCTATGGGATCTCTTGAAGGGTGTTTCTCTTTGAGCTTTTCTCGTCTTGGAGACGGGAACGGGGGTTTGCAGGATGCAGTGGTTTGACTACGCTACGTAGACATGTATACTTTTAGTGGATATATCTGGGGGGAGGGGAAAGCAAAGAAGCATTGGCCCTGTTGTCTAAGAACTATGGAAGTATATATTGGCCCGATCGCTGCTTTCAGCGACGAACTTCAATAATGCCATGCTTCGTTTCGGAGGTGTTCACTTCTAATCTGTTTTTGTAGATGTCCTCCGGCTCGTCCCTTTTTGTTTGATTTTCGATATAATATTCATGGTTTCTTTTATGCTATCTTTCGTAGTACGTATATTTCATTCTCCCCTTTGTCTTTTTCTCCTTTTTGTTTCTATCTCGCAAGAAAATCCACTTTAGGAATAAGCCGAGTTCCATGGAATGGACTACGGCCATCGCCTGATGTCAACCGAGTTTCAATTGCTGGAATTGACCCGCTTTGAAACAGCGAAGAGGACAGAAAAAGGAGGAGATGGAGCTGATCTCTGTTGGTCTAACTTGATAGACCAGAAATGTAACATGGTCGTCGGGTGATGATGATTATTACTGTATAGATCCACGAGGTATAAACATAAACCCCGTATGTATCTAATTTTTGTCTTTTTTATATATATATTTCCCTTTTTCCTATTTGGATTTCCCTGGAACTCTGATTGTGTGCAGAAGCGTATCCGATCTGCAGGGCACCGCAACTCATCGGCCCATTTTACCGGGGCGAACGTGCACGATGGCTCCGGGCACCATCAACGACCTAAGGGAGAACCTAAGGGAGATGCAGTTAGTGCCGCTGACCAGGGAATCATCGCTAAAACTGAAGGCCAAGCGATCGGCTTGCGTCACCTCCCCTCCCTCGACGATGACGACGTGCATGACCAGATTGATCGCGGACCGTAACACCCAACCCTCCCACCCCCATTCCTCCTCCTCTCGCCCCCCGACGGAAATTGGAGGGAGGCCCCGATGCAGTCTTGGCACAATGCGCAAAGCCATCCGAGATTAAAGTTGCGCTGCGATTGTCCTCTCTGCGACGTGCGATCGCGCTGTGCGATCGGATTCCCCGCACCGGTCGTTCCAGAATGCGCCCAGGGGACGTGAGATGATCGGGGCCATCGGAAGGGCCCTGCCGACCAACGCTGAGAGCGGCTCAAGAATGGATTCCTTTTTTGCTTTCCCACGGCACAATGAGGCTGTTAGGCTGTTCTCCGGAGTCTTCCTACGGGAGGGGGCTCAGAAGCGGAGGGGTGTTGGCCTTGTTTTTCGTTTTCCTTTTTATTTGGTTGTTTTTTCCGTCCCGCCCCGGGGCCAAGCAGACGAAGACGAATGCGTCATACGCCGCGAGTGGGAAAATGAGATGGGACTTGCAAGGGCAGACTAGTCGCAGTCGTCCATCGTTTCGGCCGTAGAAGGCGCGTTGAGCGCTGTGATTCGGGTGTGCAGGTCTAACGGTCCGAGTTTTCTCCCCTCCGAAACCCGTACGAAGTCAAGTCCCCAGTTTTCTTTTTTTCTTTTTTCTTTTTTTTTTTCTTCCCTCGTCTCCATCGCTATTAGCATGCATGGGGTTACTACATGCATCGTGCTCCACTATCCACTTAGGGCCCTTCGTACTCGGATCTTCCGTTTGGTGCAGCAGTACTTCGTACTCTGTACATCATAAATCGTATATCGGCACACTTCGCTTCCCCTGAATATAGGGATACTTCGGTAAGATGAACGGGAACTCGTCTCCGCGGCTTGAGTCAAACCGACCCAAAGGAATCCGAGAATGATTCTGGACGGAGTAAACTCCGTTTATCCGGGTCTCCGCCGGGGCTGTGGGGATTGGGGAGGGCTGAGCATCGAGGCACAATCTGATTGTCTGTTCGGTCTGTCATACTTCGTCGATGTCGATGCATCCAGGATGGAACGAGATCTCCCCATTGGTTGTTGAGCATTACTTCTACTTGCGCCGATCATCTCGGCGGCAGATACAGCCATCGGCATTTCTTCGAAGCTTTCCTGGCTCGGAACAGCCTTCTGATATACTAGTCCCATGGAAAGAGTTGATGGCAAATTGCCCGTGTAGTAGATGGATGAAGACCTGGACCCGGTGAGCCAGGGCGCGCAGGAAACCATCCAGGGGTACCAAATCATCGCTGTGGACCTGAACCTAGTCCTCTCGAAAGCCGCGCGAGCGAAATACAACGAGATGACTGCCCAGGTGGACCGATCGATCGTCTTCACCGGGGGCGGAGTGCACTCTGCCGATGAATGACAGTATATTTTCCGAATCCCGATGACTTGGGTCAGTCAGCTGGAGTTTTTGCTACCGCCAGGCTCTCTAGGCCTTGATCATGGTGCTCCTGCGATGCATCGCGGTCCTCAGCAGGTTCTGAATATCGCGAGGGTGCAGCGGGTCGGGAAAGACATCCAGGCCCACCACGCTCCCTCGCGAATTGTTCCCGAACTCGCACTCCGTCTCATGCTGGCATCTCAGACCTCAGTTTTCTCTTTCCGAGGCTATTTTGCCCCTCCCTCTCTGGTAGTCACAAGGCACAATGTCATTTTCGCGCAGGAGGGTCTTCATTTCCAGCTGTGACCCGGGTTGTTTCATGCTGCTCGATGTGGAGATTTCCAGGAGCTCTTTCCCTCCTGCCCGGTGGGGTTGCGACGGGCCTGTGAGACGGATATGAGCCACGGTTGACCTTGGACCTGGCCCTACTGCTGGCCCTGGCGATGATTGTGCACAGTGGCACATCGGATGAGCGGGCACATCCCCCAATCGTGCATTTTCCAGGGATTTACGCCAGTCAACGCAAGGTCCGCGCGCTGGTCCGTCTGCTCGGCCTTGCACCTTCTAAACCCTTTCTGGAGATCGCGCCAGGGGAAAACGTAGATTATAGATTGACAATTTCTCGGACGTCGGCGCGCAATTGGACTCTGCAGGAGGCTCTCAAGCTGGGTTTATTTCTCCGTGATTTCGCGAGCTGTTGCTGCTGGTGCTTTGTGCTTCCGACGTGGGTTTCAGGGCTCGTCCGCACAGCCAATCGGCGGGGTTGATATTCCACTGGGACGCTCGAAGGGAGACCATGGATGAGGATCGCGGGGAGGGGGTAGAAGGGAAACTTGAATCATGACGGGTTTCTTTTGCTTTTGGGCCCTCGCTTGCTCTCTTTAGTTTATTTGTTTTTTTTTTCTCTCCGTCTCGGACCATTCTGTTGGCCCTGTTGGCCTTGTTGGGGCTCCACCAAGCCTCCAATGCACCTTCATGGCGCATCCCTCCGAAAGCATCCAGTCGCGAATTGGTGGCGGGCAGCCCGCTGAGTGGCTCTCCAATCTTTCCTGATCGATGGCCCCGAGGGGTCCGGCGGCTTGAGGCCACTGCTGGGAGTCAGCACGCTAGCGACAGGCCTTCCACATGGTGTCGAAGGCTCGGTGAGGCCCAGGGTCTTTGCCTCCGATCCTCCGGCCCTAACGGTTGGCTGGTGGCTCGTGCAGGCCTCGATATCTGGCTGGTTGGTCACCAGTCACTGGTCGTGATCCGCCACGAGGTCCACGTCGGAAAATTTTGGGACGGTTGACGCTCAATGGACCATGTATCGCAAGCGCTTGCACTCTACCTCGGGGGGTCCACCGGGTGGAGTTCTGATACTGGGTTACTGGGTCCAAGTCTTTGCTCTCGTTGTTGGATCCTCCCTCCATCGACCCGGCCCCAGCTCTGCTAAGCTTGTCTAGATCCTGGCCTGAGGATTTGAGTCCTTCTCTCGGTACCCACGGGGGGCCCCTTGGGGGATTTTCAATACATTTTTTTCTGTTCTTTTATTTTCTTTTTCTTTTTCTTTTTCTTTTTTTTTTAAAAAAAATTAGCCTCTTATTCTCTTTTTCTCCTCTCCTGCCCCCCCCCTTCTCAGCTCGGGCAGAACCGCGATTTGCCACAGACCCGTTACGGTGGACCACTGTATTCCCCCTCGATGGCCAGGACTTCGTTCCGGCCGTGTCTATACTCGGAGTTCCCGAAATGCTGTGTTCGGTGCACGGCATAGCGTGTTAACAGACCGTAGTGGTCTTTACAGGACCTTCTCCACGGAGAAATGGAGGCGTTGTCGAAGTCACGAAGCGAAGCTGACTCGTGCGTTCGAGATCAGGTGGCCTTGCATGCCACGCACTGGACGGATATAGATCTATGCAGACCTCCCAACGCCCAGGCCCGCCAGATCCCCCGTGAGGCTGTAAAGACAATCTGTCAAGGTATTTGGGGCCTGCCTTTCGCTTTCTGAGTACCGACATGCCGCAACCATGTTTGACTATAGAACCCGGGGTTACATCTACACACTAACCCACATGGAGCATCCCCTTTGCCTCCATCCTCCATTTTCCGTAGATCGCAGGCTCACGCTGATCTAAGACTCGTGCGCGGATACTATGACCAGTTAACGGCTCCGCCCAGGAGATGGGCTGTTGTTGACCCATCGTAGACCCATCTGTGACCCATCCCACTCAGTAGTTCTACGTCCTCCCCCTTTCCTTCCCCTTCCCCTCTCTATTCTTTCTTTTCCTGTTTATAGTTCCACTTTTGACTTCTCGCTTTGTGTCATTCTACTTGCATGCTATTTCCAAAGTCGAGAAATGCTATTGCTCTTCGGGCTGAAGTTAGATACCCACGTGTAGGCTCTGCGAGAAATTGACTTTAAATTTTGGGCCGTTGGACCAAATTTTGAGTCTGTCTTGCAGGACCGTTTCAACCGTTGTCCCGATCGACGGCTAGATTACCGCCACGAACCGTGAACAATTACGTTGCTCTCTTCTGGTGAGCTAGTGCCGAAGCTTGAGCGAGTACCAAGCCCGGTGGGAGTCTATTGTGAGTCGGCAGCTTCTGTATACGGGATGGAGTACGGAGTACAGGAATCAGTACGGGAATCGGGATTCCAGAACACCCTGTATATCCACCGCATCAGCCACTAAACCCACGATATTGCCTGACTCCTAGAGCCATTTGGGGAGTGGTCATAACTCTGATTTCTCCGGTGGACCCTTCAGAGAGAGAGAAAGAGGTGGGGAGGGGGGCTTATTGCGGGCGTCCGTTTAATATGTCAACCCAACGACGAGTCCCTATTTCCACTTCCGCGCTTTTTTTCTGTTCTTGTTTTCGTCATTTTGGCTGTCCCAGATCCCCGGCCGATCCAGGTGACCCATTTACCGGCTTGGGCCCAGGTACCACATAGTAAAGGTGGATGCCCTCGTGTCTGGCTACTGCCAACCTGCGTAACGATCATCCTTTCCCTCCAGACGGGCAGTTCCGCGATCTGAGATCCTAAAAAGAATTAGATGATTAAAAAAAAGATAGAAGAAAATAGGAAAAAAAAAATGGAAAAGAATAAAATAGAATAAAAACGAAGGCTGTGGCGATTGTCCCGCCTGGTTGACTTGACCTAACGTGGGTCTAGTCTAGTGGTTGGGTTTGGTCTGATCTTCTGGCTTCACTTCTTGTACTTGCCACACTCTACACAATCTCAACCTCCTCAACCTCTCTCTCTGCAACTGTAAATAGGCCCTCTATCTATCTCCTCGGTGCCTGAGAAACCATCCTCTCAGGCTCGGCTCTTCTTTCCTCTTTATCTATTGGGCCCGAACACCCTGCACCCTCGCCGGCGTGCAGACTCCGTATACCCACAGCTGATTTACGTTTGATTTGGCTTCACCCTTTACTCCGTTTAATTGCAGAGGGAAACCCTGAGCCTGTTGCGCAAGCGCCCCGGCACTTCTATCAGACCCACCTTCGTCTCATCTCGGGGAAAAGACGCATTAGTTTCTTCTGTCCCTTTCCCTTCCCCCCCCCTTCTCCCTTCTGCTTCGTGTTCTGGTGGTTCGGCGTCTTAGGGTCTCCGTTTGGCCTTACTTTTCGGGTGGACTTGGGGTCTCTCTTTTCTTGCTAGCCTCGTCATCGTCTTGTCTGATCTTGTCTTGTTGCGAGACGCAGGATTCTGGTCACTGAGGGCCCGTCGAAACTTCTGATCATGTCAATCGGCGGCACTTGTCTTTGGGTGCCTTCGTTGTCTTCGCCTGTGCCGTCCTCACTGTCGGCAGTCACATCTCATCTATCTGCAGTGGCTCGCCATCGCGGAGAGCGCATCATTTCGACGCCACGGACGATCTCTCCGCTGTTGACTTTGCCTAAAGAACGAGAGCCTGGTGCCTCGCTAGGCGTGTCGTGTGCGGAAATGCAACGGGCTGGTACGACGGCTGAGAATGCCTTGACCACCCCGGTTCCTGTGAGGGCGGCCGCCCCGGGTCCGTATCGTGGGGGAGAAATCCCATCGCTAGATGCGGTTGGCCTTCGCCCCGTGGCTTCGAGAGATGATCTACTGCCACGAGTCAAGTTAGAGATTCCGGGTAAAAGCCATACGAACTTTGCAATCTCTCAACTGCAGGCAGGGCCCGGTCGCTTTGGAGAGGCACATGCTCCACCGTCTGCGTTGGACGCAAGTGACGAGCTTGACAAAGAGTCTACGATCAGCCCGACGGATGACCGGGCTGAGACGGTGGCCAGCGACGAGAATAACAAGTCGCCCTCGCTCGAGAAGAAGAAGATGAAGCGGTTTCGGTAAGGATTTAGTTCGAGGATCAGTGGGACCGCTAGGCACAGAGCATTGACATGATCGACAGGTTGACACACAACCAGACTCGTTTCTTGATGAGCGAGTTCACTCGTCAAGCGCATCCAGATGCTGCTCATCGCGAACGATTGTCACGAGAAATCCCTGGTTTAACACCACGTCAAGTCCAAGTGTGGTTCCAGAACAGGTAGAGATTCCTAACCTTCTTTTCTTCTTCTCCTAGAGTTTCGTTTGCTGACGACCAGCAAAACTGTAGACGAGCGAAGCTCAAGCGTCTGACCACGAATGATCGTGAGAGGATGCTCAAATCGAGGGCACTTCCGGACGACTTCGACACAACCAAAGTTCTGCGAACGCCGTTTGAAAGCAAGTCGACCGGTCAGACACCCGTTGCATCGCCACAGGATTACGGAGCACCAAATCCAGACTTTGCATCCTTGAGGGCTCTTCGCACCGACTGTTTCCAGCGTCCAAGTGAGGATGACTACCTTGTCTCACCCCTGAGTTCTGCGTCGACCGCTGGAACGTACATGTCCTCTGCTGGACAGGGACGGACTGATGGCTTGCCCAGCTCGAACATTATGTTTAGCCGGCCGGCAGCGTCTGCGTCGATGCACGACCTGCACCGAACGATTCGGAATGACTTCTCAATTACCAGGTCTAGCAGTTTATCGGATGCCTCTTCTCAGACATCTTTTCACCCAGGGATGCTGGGGCACAGCCGGTATGGCCCTTCTTCTAATCCATCCGGCTTGCCATATAATATGCGGCCGATGGAGTATGGTATTCCTCGCCATCCAGGCGGGATGGTCACACCTTATGAGCAGCACCAGTCGTTTGAGGGCTCTGTTTCTCCGTCAGACTCACCCCAGGGAGCACATATGACATACGACATAAGCAGCATGGGTTAGTCTCTCATTAATTCGCTCTAAGGGCACTTTTCTGGAGGGGAAATGAAATTAGCTAACGAAAGAATTCAATCTAGGCTCACAACCCCAGAGTTACCAGCCACATCTTGCCTTGTCCTCGCAAATCCCATCTCATGCAAGACCTCTCTCCACTCTGCAATCCCTCCCGGTCTCCGCGCCACAGGAATACCGACCCTTCTCATACGCCAGCCCCTCCGGCTCTATCGGCAATATGCCGTACACCCAGTCGAACGCCTCCACGCTGAGTCTTCCGACATCCTTCGCCCCGTCCGAGTCTGGATCGACCGCTGCCGATTCAATGCAGCAAGGCCAGCCGGGTCAGCAAGGTCTCGAGTCCCTGAGGACTAAATTCGGCAATCCCCCTTTCAACTACGCGAGCTATATTCAACAATAGAGCGACGCGCGGCAGGACCACATAAAAGCAATTCACTCTGGAAGTCTTCTCTTCAGGCTGGTCTGGTATCCACACTCCCATTTTACACATCATTTTCTTTCTATTTGGTTTTTCTCCCTCTCCGGTCTTTTACTTTCCCGGTCTCTCTACATCAGCGTGCTTTAATCTTAATGCTTCCTACAGCCTCTCTCCTGTTCATTTCCTCCTGTGACTTACTATCTTTATTATCTTTGGTTCTTCTTCGTTGCCTTTATCTTTTTGCCGGCACCATACTGTTCTACTTACATATTGGGCCTTTTCTTCTTTTCCTTGGGCGGATCTTCTCCAGACTGAAAGCAAGTTCGTGTTTCTTTTTGTGTTGTTTTTTTTATCTCGGGGGTTGACTCTGTTGGTTAGGCATCGCTGTGGCCATTGCAAGCACTAGCGTTGAATCATTTCTCGCATTAGCGAATGTTGGCCTAATTTTAATCGTTCTTGTCAGCCTCGGTTGTGTCGAATATTGATGATATATAGTTGACACATCTTGCATTTTCTCGAGAGCGAGAGCAACTGACGGGTATATACATACATACATGCATACATATATAGTATATACTTGGCCTGGATACTTTCTACCTTGCACGTTTTTGTGTACCTGTGCTTGTAAGAAATGTTAGATAGTCTCTCTTCATCTGCAATGTAACCAGGAGTAGGTATAATTCAGACCTTTTCGTTCTGTCTGATCCTAGTTACTAGTAACTAATATCGATTATCCAGATACGGTAGTCGATAGAGGCAGTTATAACCCTAATATCGCTGGAGTATTACAATAAAGTGCCTATACAATCATGTTCGAGACGGAGAAAAGACATATAATCCTCACTGTGGTCACTGTGGATTTGACTTCTGTCTTTTTAGCTACCATATTACCATATACTGCCCAGCTCTCGAATCGATAGGTAGGTCGTTGAATCTAGGGGAGGGAGGGAGAGAGGGGGGGGAGCTCCGATAGACTCACACCTGCATCTCCGCCCCCCTTTAGGTTGCCCTTGAAAAGCTTCTTAAGGAGTACATTTACCACTGTCCATCGTGTCGAAACGCATTGCCCCGTCACTGTCTATACGGGTCGCTGCAGCCTAACAGGAATTCGCTGATCCCTTTCCATACAATAACTATCGACTTCATCGTTAGCCTACCCGAATCCAAGGGTCCCTACTCCTATGACTGCATGTTGACAGTCACGGACAAGTCCACGAAGCTCGTCACCCTCGAGCTTGGCAAAGAGACTTGGACAGCTGAACAGTGGCCAGAAGCACTGCTGGCAGCCCTCTGGACATCTAACTAACTTCAGGACCAGGTGTAGTTCAGAATGTAGCCAGCGATCTGTGACTTCATCAAAGAACATAGGTAAAATGGTGTCATCTGCCGTCCATATAGCTTCGTCTATCTTGTGAGGCGCCAGCCGCCTACAGCGTTGTCTAGATCAGTAGAGGGAAGAAGAATCAGCGAATTAGGGATGACTCAAGCAACTTTTAGGGATGTCGAATCATAAGAAGAAACGCATAACGTCAAGGTTGGATAAGTGAATGAAAAAGAGAGAGATGAAAGAGAGAATCTTGACTAAAGGGAAGTTTCAAGTGAGAGGAGAGGTGAAACGTGCCGATCGTCTCAACTCTCAGAGCACAATGCTGACAATGTATTTGACTCTGACCGCCAACAAGGTAAACTCGAGCCCAGGAGAAAGAAAGCAAGCCCAATGCTTTCGTGAGTTTTCACTCTTCATTCTGATGTCCACAGCTTTTCCAATAAATAGGTACCTCTACTAACGGGAAGATTCTTGAACATGCATAGCTGGTGACCCCTTTTGGTTGTTTACAAAGCCTACCTAAGTTGCGACTAGCATTAGGCTTGTTTCCTCAAGGAAACTTTGCAGCTCTCCTCATACTACGATAGCTCCAGAATGTCGAAGGCACCGGAGCCACTGTATTTTAAAGCTCCAAGATGAGGGTAGTCCGGCTTTCTATGACCCAGAAGGCAATGGAAGAGTAGCAAGGGAAAGCAGCACAGGCGTGTGAATTTGAAATGTGCGTCGTTCGCTACAGGGAATTGCTATCGCATCTAAATACGTATACTTATCGGACGCCTACTACAAGTATAGCCAAGTTTGTGGACACTTGGGATTACGGTGAAGTTGTAAATTTGTGTGCCTACCTGCCACCATTCTCGAATATATCTCGTACTAGATAAGTGACTTACGGCAATTATGAATTCGCAACATGATTCAGGGCTAAAGGTCTATGTGATGTAAAGACCACCCAGCTCGGCGACGACCTATTCAAACACCCTTTTTTCTTCTACTATTGCACCTAGAAGTTGGATCTTGTTCACAGACACGTCCCTCTTCAATATTTGTATCAAAAGCAGTCCTACTCTTACTATTGTATATTCAGAAATAAATCAGAATAAATATATTGTTTCCAAAAACACGAAATCGCGTACACTACCGAGTCTGGTACGGCACTTCAAACTGTCCGGGTATACTGCAAATTGAGATCTGTCCACGCAGTTTTAGACTGAAAACCCATCAATATTGAATGAATGCAAACGATATTAAGAGACAATTAATTTGTCTGTGCAGTCAGGATCGGACAGAGATGATGTTATTCAGCTTGTAGTTATGAATTAGATATACTCACTTGAAGGTAATTCGTACTTTGGACGTAAATATACTTTGCGGGGAATGTTTATACTTTGGCGCCATCCCGACTTCTTCCCCAGTCCAAACGTAGTTTTAACGTTGAACGAGTCTGGACTGTTGATAGGAACAAATACTATTCGATGGTTGCCTGATCACCTGCCTGCCCTCAATAATTATTATTTCCAGCACCTTCTCCACCCAAGGGAAACTACCGACTGCCATTAATGATGTAGTATGGGTCCCTGTCGATCAGGACAGCTTCTCCCAGTTTCCTTGGTTTCTTGAGCCCCAACAAATGACCTGCATCAGCTCCAATAATCGAATCAGAAGCCAGGCAAAGGTCATCACCAACTACGCTGCTTCCATGCCACCAGTCAGAGACACCCGATTTGCAGCGGCTGAGTCGTGGTGGCAGAGGAGCCAATCAGAGCGCGCAAATTGGCGGGCGATACAGCACGTGATGAGAATGTTGACCAGGCCCCAGCCAATCAGCAAGCAGATAATGCTAATCAGGCCACGCGAGGGTGACGCATTCAGCGCTTGTTGCCAACAGGTTGCAACAGTATAAAATCAACTGGGAAACCCTGTTGAGTTCTCATTCTCACAGATCTTCCAAATCCCAAGAACACCTTGAATCATCTTGCCGTTCAGATTTATTCTGCAAACGAAGCTTGCACGCTTATCTTCTGAAACCTACGATATCCTACTCTAACCTACAACGCCACATCCCTCCAATCCATCAAAATGGTTCACCCCGCTTCTACCTGCTGCAAGACCACCCCTGGTGCTGGTTGTGTCTGTGCTGCCCAGGCTAAGTGCTCCTGTGGCAAGGAAAGTGCTCTGCACTGCTCTTGTAACAAGGCTTCCGCCGAGAACGCCGTCTCAGGACCGCGGTGCTCTTGCCGTAAGTCTACCTCAATACGGTTATTTTGAGTGCATCAGACGCTAATGCAATCTCCCAGGCGCCCGCCCTGCTGGCCAGTGCACTTGCGAGCGATCCGCCGCGGAGAACAAGCCTATCGACGGCGAGACCTGTGCGTGTGGCAGCCGACCCTCTGGTAAGTGGCCAACAGCAATATCAATCGGAGAGTCAACTTCAATTCTAACGCCTTGCCCTAGCTTCTTGCACCTGTGAGAAGGCCGAAGCCGTCGAGTCTTCCCTGGAGGTTGACTTCACCACCCGCGCTTGAGTGAATTCGTTCTGATTTTTTGCTGACTGATGATCGAGAGTTGCATTTTCAGTTTCCAGAATTGCATGGCTGTATCTCAGGAACTGGGCGGACTGGTGTTCAAGGCGAAGCTTTCTATTTTTTTTTCTTTTCGAATTGCTTATTTGTACAATAATCTGTCTGATCCACATTGCTTGTGAGATTTCAATAACGAGACACGAAATATCATCTCCATGATGCTTAAGCTTGACTTGGTCGTCTCCATAACAATTGACAACCATTGACGCACCCGCAGCTATCTTGTAGAATTTATCGTTGGCTATCTCAAGCTGTTAATGGCATTAGAACTTCTCATTATCGGAAGAGATGGACGAGACCCTTGGCAAGGAAAATGTATGTAGGGAAAGAGGAGAACCGCCACACCGCATCAACGTTGTTCCGCCGTGCCACAGCGGAACCCGGGCGATCGACAACGGAAGTGGCCCAAGGACGGCGCGGATGCGGTGTTATGGAGGAGGCTTTCACTTCAACTTGTTTTTGGTCCTTCCTGGTCCTGTTTAAAGAAGCCTTCCGGCTAACTGTGTGGTGGTATGATTGATATATTCCGAGTCGACTCGAGTCTCTGAGCTCTGAACATTTCGTTTGCTGACAATCCACTCGCTACGAAGATTCCCGGCGCGACCGGCAACCCCCTGTTTCCCCAGCTCTCCTGTGTGCGGCAAACGCCTCCGATCTGCTCATTGTCGAACTCTGGACGGCCAATGAAACATCGACGCCACGACAACGCCGGGATATGGTTGTGTGACGTGGTCCGTCCGATCGCAAACCCCTGAGGTGACCTCCGCGTGGCATGCGAGTCCGTACCTTGAACCCCACCCCCCGATTCATCCTGTATTGTCTGTTCGCGAGGGAGACCCCTCTGTGATCCCGGGGAAGTGACCCCACACGAAACGTCCGAGTAAGGAGCAAACAACCCTCTTGCGACCATGTCGTCGATGCGAGGTTTGGTCCAGTTCATTGCGGACTTGCGCAATGCGCGGGCGCGGGAACTGGAGGAGAAGCGTGTTAATAAAGAGCTGGCCAACATTCGCCAGAAGTTTAAGTCCGGCAACCTGAACGGTTACCAGAAGAAGAAGTACGTGTGCAAGCTGCTCTATGTTTATATCCAGGGCTACGACGTCGACTTTGGACACTTGGAGGCTGTCAATCTCATCTCCTCGAATAAATACTCCGAGAAGCAGATAGGCTACCTGGCTGTCACACTATTTCTGCACGAAGAGCACGAACTTCTCCACCTGGTTGTGAACAGTATTCGGAAGGATTTGCTGGATAACAACGAGTTGTTTAATTGTCTGGCGCTGCACGCAGTGGCCAATGTGGGTGGCCGAGAGCTTGGAGAGGCCCTGGCATCCGAAGTGCACCGTCTTTTGATCTCACCGTGAGTGATTGATTCTTGATCGGTTCCTCAGCCGAACCTCGGCTCTGACATTGATATAGGACCTCAAAAGCTTTCGTCAAGAAAAAGGCCGCTCTCACCCTGCTTCGTCTGTACCGCAAATACCCGGGCATTGTTCGGAATGAATGGGCCGAGAGAATCATTTCCATTATGGATGACCCCGACATGGGTGTCACACTCTCAGTAACCTCACTTGTCATGGCACTTGCCCAAGATATGCCGAACGAGTATAGGGGCAGTTATGTCAAGGCCGCACAGCGGCTGAAGCGGATCGTGGTCGACAACGATATCGCCCCAGACTATCTTTACTATCGTGTGCCGTGCCCATGGATCCAAGTCAAATTTCTGCGTTTGTTGCAGTATTATCCACCATCAGGTATTGTTCTCATCTTTGGTTAGGGCTTGCTCCCATTCTTACTCCCATTCTAGAGGATAGCCACGTTCGTCAGATCATCCGAGAGTCCCTGGCCCAAATTATGCAAGCTGCAATGGAGACGCCTAAGAACGTTCAGCAGAATAATGCTCAAAACGCCATTCTCTTCGAAGCCATCAACCTCCTTATCCACCTTGACTCTGAGCACTCTCTCATGATGCAGATTTCTGCCCGCCTGGGTAAGTATATCCAGTCACGCGAAACAAACGTTCGCTATCTGGGCCTGGATGCATTGACCCATTTCGCTGCCCGGGCGGAAACTCTCGACCCTATCAAAAAACACCAGAACATTATTTTGGGCTCTCTCCGAGACCGAGATATCAGCGTCCGCCGGAAGGGATTGGACCTTTTGTACAGCATGTGTGATACTACCAACGCCGGCCCAATTGTCAACGAACTCCTCCGCTACCTCCAGACAGCTGACTATGCCATTCGGGAGGAAATGGTACTGAAGGTTGCTATCTTGACCGAAAAATATGCTACCGATGCCCAGTGGTATATCGATATGACCCTCAAGCTCCTGTCTCTCGCGGGTGATCATGTCAATGATGAAGTGTGGCAACGAGTTATTCAGATTGTGACAAACAATGAAGAATTACAGGCTTATGCAGCCCACACGCTTCTCGGCTATCTCAAGACTGATTGCCACGAGAGTTTGGTGAAGATTGGCTGTTATGTACTGGGTGAATACGGTCATCTGATTGCTGATAACCCCGGTTCAAGTCCGATTGAACAGTTCTTGGCCTTACAAGCCAAGATGTTCAGCGGAACAGACAACGCGAGAGCCATGATTCTGTCATCCTTTGTCAAGTTTGTCAATCTATTCCCTGAGATCAAGCCTCAGCTGTTGCAGATCTTCCGCCTGTACAGCCACTCTCCCGATTCTGAGCTGCAGCAACGAGCCTTTGAATACCTTTCCCTGGCAACTCTCCCTACTGACGATCTTCTCCGGACTGTCTGCGATGAGATGCCGCCATTCTCAGAGCGCGCTTCTATTCTTTTGTCCCGACTGCACCAGAAGACCGCCGGCACTAGCGAGAGGAAGACATGGGTTGTTGGCGGCAAAGCTGCAAATGCTGACAAACAAGAGGTTCTCATGGCCCAAAACACCGGTCTCAAGCGTACATTCACCACGATCGTTCATGGCAACCGTACTGGATCGAATGGAACGCCTGCCAGTGCTACCAGTGCCTCCGGTGACTTGGCTGGTCTGGATTTCAGTGGACCACCAGCACCTGCCCCAAACCTTGCCAGCGCAGCACACTTGACACCCGAGTGGGATATTGGCTACAATCGACTCTACTTTGCTCATGAAGGCGTACTTTTCGAAGACGCGCAAATCCAGGTTGGAATGCGTTCGGAATATCGTGGCCACATGGGTGTTGTCAAGCTCTACATCTCCAATAAGTCGACCTACGCCATCAACTCCTTGACTACTACCGTCGATAACCCCGCTTCTCCAAACCTGAAGATCGATACCAAGAATCTTCCCGATTCAAGTGTTAGCCCCGCCTCCCAGACTCAACAGACCCTGTTCTGTGCCGCACATGGCCCCTTCTCCGATGCCCCCACTATTCGTATTTCCTATCTGGCTGGTGCTCTTCAAGCCTACACTCTCCAGCTTCCGGTCCTGATGCACCGGTACATGGAGCCATCCTCGCTGTCTGCCGAGGACTTCTTCAAGCGCTGGCGCCAGATTGGCGGTCCTCCACTGGAGGCCCAGAAGACCTTTGGGTTGAGTGGGAAGAACAAGGTCATTAATGAGGCATACACCCGCAAGACCGTCGAACGGTTTGGGTGGAAGATCCTGGATGGCGTGGATCCGAACTCGAAGAATATGGTTGGATGCGGCGTGTTCCAGTTTGAGAAGGGCAAGACAGGCTGTCTGTTGCGGCTGGAGCCCAACTATGAGAAGTCGGTAAGTCTACACGTGTCCACCCTGAATTCTTTTGCGCTCTTCTTGGGAGATCCAACTAATTGGGACTATAGATGTACCGCGTTACTATTCGTGCTACACAGGATGGTGTGCCGCAGGGATTGGCCCAGCAAATGGAACAGAAGCTGGGCCAGGGAACCACGGCAGGTGGACTCGAGTAAACAAGGCATCTTCAAACGCGATGGGAGGGTCTGCATGTATATCTCCGGTAGCTTTCTATTAGCCAACTATCACTGAGCGTTCGATTTCGGATGTCTCGTGTATTCTTGTATAATCTTGGACTGCTACAAGGGTGCCTCGATGATGATACAAAGTAGAAAACCAGCACCCGGCGGTCCATTCGAATGGACCTTTTCATCTATGCATGTGCTCATTTTCACAATCCTCCCCCAGCCAAGAGGCTAGCTTGTTTTCGACCTTCACGCTCCGTATGCAACAATTCATAACTCGTAAAGAAAAGTTCACCGCACACAAATTTCCCAGTCTCCAATCTCAAAGGATCTTGGCTTCCGCCTTGGGGGGCCGATCGCCAAAGATCGTCGTTCCAACGCGTACCTGGTCACTGCCCAGTGCAATCGCCCCCTCAAAATCCGAGCTCATCCCCATACTCAACTCCAGCTCTGCATCTGCCCCTGTCAGCCCCAGCTCAGACACAATGCGATCGCGCGTCTCGCGCAGACACACGAAATCCTCATTCTCCGTCTCCGCCGTCGTCGCCTTAGACCGCGCAATTGCCCCAATTGTCATGACGCCCTGCAGTTTGAGCAGCGGACACTTCTCCCGAATGAACCGCGCCAGCCCCGGCGCCGCGCTGGGCTCAATTCCGGCCTTGTTGTCCTCCCCGGATGTGTTGACCTGCACGTAGATGCGCAGCCGCAGGTCTGTCTCGCCTGATGCCTGCCGCGCGGTGTCTTCTTCGGCATCGGGGGCACGCTCGCTGCGCCCTTTGTTGAGCAGGGTAGCTTTTTTCTCCGAGTCCACGGACTCGACGGCCCAGAGCCCGCGCACGTCGCGTGCCAGCGTCACGCACTTGTTCGACTGCAGGCCACCGATGAAGTGCCACTTGATGCTGGGGGGTAGCAGCCGCGATTTCTCGAGGAGCTCTTGCAGGTAGTTCTCCCCGAAGTGGTGCTGTGAGGTCGGGGGTTGGTGCAGGGCGTGGATATCGGAGGCGGGCTTGAGTTTGGAGACGGCGACGAGACGGACAGGTTTGGCGGGGGTCGGGGAGTGAGTAACAGCCGTGGTGACGCGCGCGCTCACCGCGGCGAGGTTGGCGAGGAGGGTTGCGGTGCGCGCGGGGGTGGCGGCCATGTTGGGCGTTGAGTCGGTAGTTGATGGGGTGGTCATGGCAAGTGGAGGGGCTCTTCTCTTGAGACCTGGTGGAAGTAGGCCTTGGATAATTGATTGAGTGCGAAGAAGGGTGTAGAAGCAACAGACGACGTGTGGAGGAGCCCCCTGCCGTCACCAATGGAGTGCTAATTGGGGAATTTGATGACTAGACTCGAGCTGCCCGGTTGATAAGTGTCGATAACAGCCTCAGGCATCATTCTCCGCGGGAAAAAATAGGTCACCTGACCTGTCAAGCTCCAGAAGGTTTCAAGGCTGCTCCGCCTAAAACGATTAGCTCTTTTCTAGGAAACCTAGACCGATGAGCACGGTGCTCATAGTCATCATGCTGCCATTGTGTATCGCTTCACTTTGCTTCTGTTGATTGATCTCTTGGCCATTTTGCGCCTCATGTCTCAATTCCTCCCACGCATGAAAGCATCAGATAAGCCCACGTGATACGTCAAGTATCACGTGCACCAATCAAGCCACTCCGGGCCCAGCCACGCTTGCACGTCCTCCGCCACATATCCAGCCCCCATGTTCTTCACGGCCGTTTGCGTCCGGGTAGGATCGACATGATCTCATCTCTCCTGGATCGGGCCATGCGACGCTAGGAATGGTGCAACCGCAATCCACTAACCCCCCAACCTCTAACTAGGTGACTGGCCAGCGCCCGCCGTAGCACGAATCGCTCCACTCCGGCGCCAACTGACTCTCGACCAGTCCGGCTCCTGGCGGCAGCTCAGACAGAGGATGGTCCAATCAACGTTGTACAGGGTCGGGAAAGAAACCCTGGCGAAGCGCCCGGCTCTCCGCGGGGCCCCTAAAGTTCGTCTCAGCCCTGACGACGCGCTATCGCTCTTTGATCCGAGTTGACGCCTGAGAGTTTCAACCGGTTTGTTGCAGCTTATCCTTCTTTACCTTCTATATACGCCTATTGTTAGACCCCTGTCTGTTTTCCTCACCACATGACGAATCAGCTTTTCCTTTTTTGTCTTTCCTGCTTCTTCTTTTTTTTGGTGTTCTATTGTCGTTCGACCTACAGCCAAGACAATAAATCGGTTTTTGTTACCTCACATGAGCCCCAGTTGACCAGTGACAAGGGGGGCGCTCGCCAAGATGAGCTGCCCAGTGACTTGTCTCAATTCCTCCTGGTGGGTGTAGGCTGGTCAAGTGCACTGTCCCCAAGACAGAAGAGCGGTACGCGGTCTATTCTCGGCCTGCCAGGCGTCTGTAATACTACCTCTTCCCCGGTGGTCTGTGGTTCTCATTGGCGAATATGTAACCCGGTTCGACGCGCCAGACGGATGAGGCTAGTCACCCAAGGCAGTCAGCAGTGACTAGGATCCTGGTACTCCGTAGCTACGTTTTGGTTCACCTGGTTGTCCTCCATCGTCCGGCTTGTCCTCCCCGGGGACCTGCGTAGGGCAGGTATTAATATCCGCTCGCCATCCCAAGTGGCTGCGACAGATCAAATCAATTTCTTTGACGTCAGACCCGGGGATTGACCATGGTTCTTTCATGACTCTAGCAATTCACTCGTTACTCTTCTTGTTCGCTATGACTATAGGCTGACCCCTCAGCTCTAACTTTCCTTCCGTCACGATAGATCTAGAACACAAAGTGCTCCTCCTGCAGGGTAGCAGCTCGCTGACCTCGTTTTTTTTTTTTCACTCTGTTCCTGCCTCCTTTTTTCTACTCAGCTGGCCTGAACCTCCTTTTCTACTCCATCTCTGCTGTCCACTTTCCACGCTATCGTGCCTCCTTTGGTCCCTGACAGGCCGATCGTGATCCGGCACTTCCGCTGAGCATACTCTGGGCGTGGAATAAGCTCCTTGGCTCTCCCCACCTCTTCGTCTCTTTTCTATACCTTATATCGCCAATCTACTACACTCACCACTACCAAATCTATTCTCAATTGGCCCTTTTCCAACACCTTGAAGGTTACGATAGACGCCTCACAACTTGGACACCGACGCAGTTCAGTTTTCTTCCAGTGCTCTCTCCACATATCTCCACTGTTCGTCACGACTAGTGACAGCCAAGCGGGCCGATAAGACGAGCTCCAAGGATCGGCATCAAATTCCGTGAACTACTGAACTTGCAAATTCTTCATAATGTGTCGCCAATACTTCACCCTATACGAGTGGTGCCATTGCGAGGAAGACGCCGGGCAAAGCGTCTGCTCTGGCCAGCGGCGCAACAGCTGCCCCGGCATCAGCATTGAGACCGTCCATATGCACTGTTTCTGCGATTCACACGCTACCCGTGGCTTCAAGACAGAGAAGAAGACTCGGAAAGAAGAAGAGAAGATTCGCCGCCGCTCTCAAGAATCTCTTGATGAGAAGGTCTCGCTGGGCCGCCGATGGTATCAATGGTATCAATGGCGGAGTCTGCGATCGCGGTAGACCTCCGTTTCTTCTTTGTTTCTTTGTGATTTATTTGGATTTTTTTTTATTTTCTCATGTTCATGTTCTTTTTTCAGCTTTGGTGTCTCGGCTGAATTCGGATTTTTCGGTGAATTTAATGGATGGGGGAGGTGTTTCAGAGGCGTTCATACTTGTGGTTCCTGGATGGGCTGGGCTCAACACTGTTCGGTCCTTATATGGGGTTATGCATTTCATGTCTTCCATTTCTCTCCCTTTTTTTATTTTTTATTTTTATTGTTAGACTGCCAGGTGTCTCTATATAGCATAAGGAGATGCAAAAATGGACTGATATTAGAAGTTAAATCATTCGACATTTCGACGCCAGCGGGGAAGTATGTAGAGGGCGGGAATGCCTAGTGTTTGGAAGGGCGATCGGATCGACTGGCCCCTTGCCCCATGAAGAACCAGGATCACAACCCAGGGACACATGCAATCCAATCCCGCGCTCCTTTCTTTCTTTCTTCTCCCTCCCACACTTCAGGAAATCCACCGGGAACTGCAGAGTGACAATCATTTTGATTGATATTTCTCCACTTTCTCATGCGTTCACTTTCCCTGGTCCTTATGGTATTATGGACCCCTCCAAACCCCCTCAGGATGATCCGCCTCCGCGACCCATTGATAACAGCCAAAACAACCCAGCCCAAGTGGCCTCGCAATGTGATTTATCAGACTCTTTGAACCAGTTATCTTTGGCAAACGCAGTCGCGACCCCTCTACCGCAGTCTCCGTCCCTTTTAACCCCCCACGACACCTCGTCGCGTTCCTCCGTCGCCAGCGTGACAGCGTCCCAGCGGAAACCCAGCGCGAGTTCCCTACACGATGAACACCGCAAGTCGATCCCTGCACTCCATAAACGTCCCTCGGCTGCATCTTTGCGATCCGTATCTCAGCCAACGGGCCCATCTGGCCCTACTTCCCCTCGTGCTGGCTCGTCGCGTCGTTCTTCTGCTAACTACGTGGGGCCCTCAACAGCAGTCACGTCGCCCACGATGTCATCCCACCGGCTGTCTTTAACCTCGCTGGAAATGCAGGGTCCCACGGCAGCTACTGTCGCCACGGATCACTTTCAAAAGGAGCTTGCTTTGCATCAGGTTGTTGATCTCAAACCCAAAACGGTCGTCCTGGTCCATGACGCTTGCTATGGCCATCGCTTCTCGCGTCCGCGGACCTCGAAGTTAACTCTTGGCTCAATCGTGGAGAGACCTGAGCGCATTCGGGCCTGTGTTTTGGGAATATCTGCCGCTTACGTTCGCCTGGGTCGACGATATGCAGGAGAACGGTTTGCGCCACACCATCCCGATCTAGATTGGCAGTTACTGCCCCCACCATTCCTTATTCGCAAGACGTCACGATCTTTACCGATTTTGGATGGTGCTGTGACCAATGTTCATGGAACTCAGTGGATGGCGGATCTAAAAACCATGTGCGATGTTGCGGAGTCGCGTCTTGTATTTACAGGGAAAGAGTTGGTTCGACCAAGCACCGAAGGCAAAGACGGCCCGGCACTTCACTCTGGCGATCTCTACCTGTGCTCCGAGTCTCTGGAGGCGCTCCAGGGCGCACTAGGTGGAGTCTGCGATGGTATTGATGCTGTCCTTGGTCCTGGTCCCACATCGCGCGCATTCGTTTGCATTCGGCCTCCTGGTCACCATTGTTCGTCAGATTTCCCATCCGGCTTTTGTTGGCTCAACAACGTCCATGTCGGTATCTCCTATGCAGCAATGCACTACGATTTGACACATGCTGCGATTCTGGATTTCGATCTCCACCACGGCGATGGGTCACAGGAGATTGCGTGGGACCACAATTACAAGGCGTCCAACGCGCCACGCAACGCTGCGCCTTACAAGAAGACGGCCATTGGATACTACAGTTTGCATGACGTTAAGTCATACCCCTGTGAGGGAGGTGACCCTGACAAAGTGCGCAACGCCAGTGTTTGCATTGACGGAGCACATGGCCAATCAATCTGGAACGTTCATCTAGAGAATTGGAGGACTGAGGCTGATTTCTGGAAATTGTATGAGACCAAGTACATCGCCTTGATCAACAAAGCTCGCGACTTCCTCCGCGCTCACACTCAAAAATTGACCGAGACCTTCGGCGGTCCAACTCCCAAGGCTGCGATTTTCATCTCTGCAGGATTCGATGCAAGCGAATGGGAAAGTGAGGGTATGCAACGACATGGGGCCAATGTGCCAACCGAGTTTTACGCCCGGTTCACAGCGGATGTCGTGCGCATGTCCCAGGAAGAAGGCCTCGGCGTTGATGGACGTGTGATTAGTGTTCTTGAAGGAGGTTATAGCGATCGGGCTCTGACCAGCGGTGTGCTCAGCCATCTAGCAGGATTGGCTGATATTGTCGCCCCAGCCAACGAACCGGCTGATAACACTATTACTCCCGAGATGACCAACCGACTGGATCTGCCAACTAATACCAACAAGAGTGAATATGACCCTGAGTGGTGGTCTCCAGCCATGCTCACGGAGTTAGAAGCTCTCGTCTCCACACCACAGAAATACGAGAAGTCCACGCCGTCTTTCCTCGCTTCTACGACATCTTTCAAGGCGAAAGTGGTCATTCCCCCGCGTGATCGCAAGCCCTCTAGTTCCACCATTGGCACAGAACTACCTCTGCCGGAAGTGGATTGGGCAACTGCAGCATATGTGCTGTCTAGGATTCTAATCCCCGACGAGACTCGTCAAACAATGAGCTGCCGACCAGAGGATCTCAACGCTGAGGCTTCTCGCCAACGGCGTGACCGCCAGGTGGCTTTGAACGGTGGCATCAATCCTGCAATCCTTCCTCCACCTCCGCCACCGCCTCCAGAGGAGAAACGCCAGCTTCGAGTCAGAAAGGCTAAATCCCCGACGCCTTACTCGCCGCGCCCTGCTACTCCCCGCCAACAGGCTATGCGGAAGAATCGTCGAACAACGATTGATGGGAATGACCTTCCGGATCCCTCGACAGACTTGTCTTCGGCAGACTTGTCTCCATCTGTGGGTGCCAGTCGCAGAAAAAGCACTAGTGCAACAGAGCCTATCAGTATGGGTGGCTTGAATTCTGCTATTGATCAGGCTAAACCTGCGGCAACACCTGTGAAATCTGCTGGTACGCGCAAGACTAGTGGTCCAAGGCAGGGGACACCGAAACGTTCTGCAAGCCCAAGAAAGGCCCCGCCAGTCCCAAAACTTCCATCCGGGTACCTGCCATCCAAACTTTCTGACGAAGTTACTGTCCCAGCGAATGATGTGGAGAACCTCTCAGCTGGTCTTCGCAAAATCAAATTGGTTGTGCCATCGCCCGAAGAGCAAGCTGCTCGGGAGAAAAAAGCTGCAGAAGAGCGCAAGGCAGCTTCGAAGGCACCAAAGCCACCGAAATCTCCACGATCTTCCAGAAAAGCCAGTGGTTCTAAAATTGCCCGTGGGAAAGCTGCGATTTGTTCTGAGGTTACACCTAGCAGCTCTCCTCCCCCTTTACCGATGCCTCCCTCGGACTTGGCTACCAGTGATCTCATAAAGCAAGAGAAGCCGAGTTCTAATTTCGGAGTAGCATCTGACACACCTACTGCCTCCTCTCCTTGGGATTCTGCCGCGGAAACAGTCGATTCGAGCCTTATGGACATCAGTCTACAATCCTCCAAACCCTTTGAATGGCCTGCTCCCTCAGTGCCCGCCTCTGCTTTCCAGCAGACCCCAATGTCTGGCACCAACTCATCACCCCCTTTGACGCCAAATCTCCCTCAAAATCCCCATCTGTCAACCCATTCTTCTAACATCTACTCGCCCCCAACTTCAACTTCCCAGACTAAACAGGGTCTTCCCGTCCTCACATCCAGCAGCCCCATCCCCTTTTCTACCCCTGAAAACCACACGACCCCCCAACACTATCCGGAAAACCGGCCTCACCCCTCATCTACACAACCTCAATCGTATGATGGACAATTCTTCCCCCAGCAGAAACAGTAATATGCATCTGATGGGCGGGTTATGCGTACCAAATGTTCTATCTTGTATGTCGCTTGATGTATTTTTCAAGGATAATAGGATAATACAGGCGTCATGGATGGGCTTGGTTCTCTATTGTCATACTGCATGCATATGTTCTCAGTTGTTGGTCTCCATCCTCTACTTCATATACCCCTTGTGTATCGGACGGTTTCTTGATTCCTTTTCTTTCCTATGATTTTGGTGGGCCTGGGATGCGGCATTGTCTATTTTGTTTTATCTTTCATCCATGGCTTACTTTTTGTTTTGATTCCCAATCAGACTTCTGAACAATACACAATACGAAATTTGATAGTATCAGTTGGTTACCTAAGCGGAACTCTACGTGAATAAGGTGGTTTGAAGATACACGTAGACAGAACGTAGCATTTGAAGGGGTCTCCTTAACAGTGCCATAATCTACCTTCGGAATATCAAAATAGCTTGGATGGTCTAGTGGGCACGTAAGCGCTGTCCAATATAATTGTTGCGAATGAACCATGTCTTACTCTCACCTATAATAGTACATTTTGATTTGCACTTAGGATACACCCAAGTATTTCCACTGCTCAGGCTTGTTATTCTTTCTATCCTTGAGAGAAAAATTGCCTTTGGTAATGGCAATGATATCTAGTAATGTATGTGCAACTGTGATACCTTTTTGCACCCAAAAAAATCAGCTTCCCAGATGCTCATTCATAGTCTTTTCTAGGGTAAATTTTTGAAGAGAAAATTTGTAATCATTCATAATCTATGGTCAATGATATCTATTTGCATAAAGAGCTTTGGTTCTCTTTATGCCATCATAAAAGAAGCAAAATACAAGCTGCATACAAACAGGTCAGTCACCACATCAGAAATGGATTATAGGCCAGACAGTATAACTCACTCATCATACAGAACATGGAAATCAACCCTCTTCCCACTCTCCGCACTACTTCCACGGCAAAATTCACTGACGGCTGCGCCACCGCAGTGTACGCGGGAAGATCAGGATCGCTGTTACTATCATCAAGCTCCTTCTCCACGCTCTTGCTGATCATCCCAGTGAGGCTCGTATTCGCTGCCTTTTGGAGCATGCCTTCTTTGTGGGCTTGTTGGATGGCTGCCCACCATACAGATGCCATCTCCTTGTACCCCGTGTCATCCGGATGTGTGTCATCTACAAGCTGGCTAGATTTAATGAAGCTGCTCATCTCCGCAAGCACCAGGCGCTCCCCCTTTGCTCGTCGAAGCGCTGCTAGAACCCGTAGCTGCTCGCTGATCTCCCAAACTAGTCGTGGCTGCTTCTTGTTGGGGAGTAGTGTGGACAAGATGATGGTTGTGCCTGGAATTTCGTCGTATAGTTTGGTTAGAAGCCGGCCCATGCGCATGCCAGCTGTGCCTGGCTCATGTTTTTGGAGGGCGTCATTGGTGCCGGCACTGGTGGGGGTTGTTAGGTTTGATATGGGAGAAGATGAGATTTCGAGAGACGACGTACTTGATTAGAATCAGATTTGGTTGATGCGGGATGATTTTCTCGGCTTTCTCATATAGTTGATCTATTCGGTAGCCAAAATGGCCCTCGTGTTGCTGCGATAGACAGATAATGATTAGATTGTGATGGATATCTCTTGTTGAGGATCCGAGTGCCATACGTTGTCGTGCATAGTTCCATTCTTCAAGCTCCCAATCATGTCTACCTGCCAGCCAGCATATCGAAGTTGCTGTCGTATCCATTTCCGATATCCATTGTGATCGGTGGACTTCCATCCGAGGGTGATCGAAGCTCCCAATGGTAAAATGCGAAGAAGAAAGGTGCTGTTGTCGCGAGGTTGCAGTTCCGCACGGCTTTGCTCGATCTCTGACAGCGCATGTCTGGAAACAAGACTATCAGGCAGCGGCTCAGCCACTACGAATACCAGGACCAGTGCCAGCCATAAGAGACAAGCCCGGACAACCCAGTGACTGGGTGTCAAGTGCCTCATGGCTATCGGCACCAGTTCATCAGTGCCAAAAAATGAATGAAGAGCAGATGAAGGGGATTTAAGGCCTTACCATTTACAACTTAAGTCCGACTCAAATCCGCTCCCTCAAACTTTCTTCGTGGAAAATTCGTCTGCCTGAGACCAGCAGATCGTTTCACCCAATGGCCGGGTTCCTAAAAGCAAGAATGCTAGAAATTTTATCCTTTCCAAGAGCACTAATAATTGCTCTATATGTGTCCAGAATCTTCCTTTTTGTTTTTGTTTTCAATTAGCTATTTTGATGTTGCACTGGTCTTAGGGGCTATGATCTGATCAAGCCTCAGAAGCACGTTAGCATGGGCGAGCCATGGTTGCGACAGAGCCTCGATTTATTGGTGCACCGGGCGGCGCTAGGCTGCTAACGAGATTAGTTAGTTGTGCGGCATCGTTGTCGGGACGATTGTCTCCAGATGGTGTTTATTGGCCTTAATACTGGGCTTTTTGCGCCTGCAATAATATGCATGTCCGTGCAGAACAGTCCAGAAGCTGACAAAAAGGATCTAGGCCACTAATAATACACTGGGGCTTGATTGGCGAATGTAACGTTTTGATGGCATTTGGATCTTGCTGATTCGGGCTAATCGGGTGATCAGGTCCTGACGGTGATGTTGCCTTTCAAGGGATCTCTTTGTGATCCGGCCTGATATGCCTCAGGAAAATTATAGCATAAATTAATAAATTGAACTTCCTAGTTGTATGAGTTGATTTGGGCATTATCAGAGGACAAGGTGAGCGGAGAGATTCCGCTTCGTCCTTGAGTCGCTCCACGTTATTTCTAATCACGGGAGTCTATCTCGTCATCTGTGCATTTCACCTGATTACAACGACCGATTGGTTTAAAAATCATTATTTTGATCTCACCAACGCTCTCAAATATTGTCTATCACGGATTTTCCAATAACCGCCCGTATGGCTGTCCAATTGGGGGAGATCCATAGAGCCTCGACCGCCGACGGCTGGCACGGCGTCATTCCGAGCGAACGGTTCCCCGCTGAGAAGGGTCGCTATCATTTGTATATCGGCCTCTTCTGCCCTTTCGCGCATCGTGCCAACTTCGTTCGCCACCTCAAAGGCCTTTCCGACTTTATTGATGTCAGCATTGTGAAGCCATACCCTAAAGGCGATGAGAAGGGTTGGCCCGGGTGGTGCTTCCCCACCTCCGATGACGAATATCCCGGCGCGACTGTAGACCATCTCTTTGGTGAAGACTATCTACACAAGATCTACTTCCGAGCAGACCCGGAATATCAGGGGCGATACTCGGTGCCTCTATTGTGGGATAAGAAGACCGGAACAATCGTTTGCAATGTACACTTGGCCGCGATCCCTGACCTTGTTGCTTATATACTGACTAGGGAATGTAGGAAAGCACAGAACTTCTTCGGTGGCTTCCCACAGCATTTAATGAGCTTTTACCACCGTCGCTGGCTTTAATTGATCTCTACCCGTTAGACCTCCGTGAAAAAATTGACGCGATCAGCCTATGGATGCAATCAGATGTCAATCTAGGCGTCTACAAGGCGGGGTTCGCACCTTCGCAAGAGGTTTATGATAAGAATGTTGTCCCCGTATTTCGAGCGCTCAATAAGCTCGAGTGCTTGATTGCGCAGAATGGTGGCCCCTTTGTTCTGGGATCAAAGATGACGGAGTTGGATATTCGCCTTTATGCGACCTTGATTCGATTTGACACAGTCTATGTCCAACATTTCAAATGCAATCTAGGAACGATTCGGCATGACTACCCCGTCCTGAACAATTGGTTAAAAGGAATGTACTGGGATGTGGAGGCGGCGAGGGCGTCGACTAATTTCAAACACATCAAGGAAAACGTATGGATTTATTCTTGTGCGTCGTGATTTAGTTCAAAGATAACTAATCATTCGCAGTATACAAAGAGTCATTGGGACATCAACCCAAAAGCGATCACGCCCATGGGACCCTTCCCAGATGTCGAAGAAGGTGTCCAACGCGACTGGAGTAAGGTAACGGTTGGCGGGGTGAAACACCCGGCTGTCCTGGAATATGAAACGACAATTTCTGGAATTTAGGCTATCCTCGAACAGAAAGGTTTTTTGAATTCGGATGTTATGTTGTCGTGGCCAAATTTGTGTCCCGAGCCCGATATGAGTTGGTCGTATGTCCGTATTTGCAATATTACGTATTGAGTGATCGTTCGCTGCGTGAGGAATATACTCTACTATAACTCTTTTAACGCTTTTCCCCGTGATTCACAGAGCCTATCAAGTAGACTGGAGTCAAGCTCGCACTTATATTGATATTGCTTGGTATCTAGCTGAAGGAATTACTCTACTGATTGGCGGTTTTGTTGGGTGGATTCCGGAAAGGTGGAGTCTAGAGCCATTCGATATCTTGGACCATTCTCATCAGATTTGGCAGTCTCGCTATTTTCGCTAGAGGGATTAATATACATGCACTAGGTTATTGTTATGGGTATATAAAATGAGTTTTCTTTGATCAAGGAGATCAAGGAAAAGGTATCATTTTGAAGAGGGAAATCCCCGAGAAGATATTAGACAGCGGAATGTATGCAATTTTTGAAAATGACTGCCTATTAGAGATAATGGAAGCAGTATTATTTATTATATCCTCAACTGTTCGTATATCGATTTATTTTTCCAAATAATCGTGTATCATGGGAATTAATTTGATGGCACTCAAGAAGAGGCTCGAGCTCACCTTCAAGCTCTAATTAGATGGCCCAGTAGTATAGCTGTTTGAATATTCCACAGCCTCATCGTACTGCTCAGGCTCCAGACGACGCAAATAACCGCCTTGTAGCAGGGTTTTCACGTTATCGTATGCTAAAAACTGGGTGCCCATACCCGGCTGCTCAAACCACGGCGCAATAGGCCCCAGTCCAACATCGAAGCTTTTGGTTACCTCATAGACATGATAATTGAAGGGATAATCGCCGTCATAGGTGATTAAGTTGCTAGGCGGCAACGAGCGTTGAATATAGGGCGAACCCAGTGGTGCCAGGAATGAGCCGTACTCGGAGCCAAAGCGATCAACCTTCTGACCGACAGACAGGGTGGCATTTCCTAAGATTGGGGCGTCTTTGGTATCAACAACGAAGCCGTTGGAAGGAGGGTATTCGTATGATGCGCTAGAATTGATAGATCCGGCCCATTTCTCGAGGAAGTCAACAGGGCAGAGAGAACCAAATCGTGCGTATGTGCGCAATTCATTGTTAAGGGGGAACTTCTTCGGCGCTTTCACGGGGCCTAAACGTGAGTCGCCGCAGACATAGCTGTCATTTTGGGAGACGATTCCAGCGCAAGGATTTGGGTAACAATAGTCGGCAAATTGGAACTGAGTTTTCGAGTTTTAGAATTGGCATTATTGAAGAGCAGTTGTAGAGCTTACCTCCGAGGCTTCCCGGGCTTTATTATGGGGTAATGCAGTAGAGGAAGTTGCTAGTGCACCGAGCACTACTAAAGGCGTGAAAAAGTGCATTGTAGATAGGGTCGCGACTCCCCGTTTATGATTGGGATGTGTTGATTGATTTTTTTTTGGTAAAAACACGCCTTCCAGCAGACTTTATAATTTTCTCGTATCGATGAGCTTCTCCAGCTACAAATTTTTATTACGCACCAGTTTCCACAGAGTTGCATTCATAGCGTGATAATCATGGAGCTGAATGATGAAGTGGATCCAGTTATCCGCAGGTTGGGGAGGAGGGAGCGTGTTGGAACGAAAGAAGCCAATTAAAACGCCATCCCGCTCTTGGCAACAGATTTAGATCGGACTAGGGTCATTCTGCAAGAATTTTGTGGATATTCCAGTTCAGCTAGCCGATCATACGCCCCAAAAACAGTTCTGTTATTCACTTCAAGCTGAAAAACATGATATCACTAGAAAACCAAGAGTCTTGGAAGGTAGGGTTCCCTCCAAGACCCCTCACAACTCAAATCCCGATTGTCTTTTCTAATTTGTACGATTTTCATCAATACAATTTTATTTTACAATGTGAAGCAATGGCGGGAGGCTATGTTAATATTCCAATTAAAATTGGCGTCTCCTTTAATTTCAAAAGTGAGCTGCCGACTTTTAACCCCAACCTCATGTTGCTGTCAGATTATGTGATTGCAGCTGACCCAATGCTTTAGGTTAATCTTGGACATTTAAATTGTAACCAGGCCTGTTGCGAACTTGTCAATCACCCAATTCAGTGGCCTATTTTAAGATATTGCTACAGCATGTCATATACCCATTACCCAGTCTGTGCCAGATGCCTCACATTACAAGATCTATCTTATTTCACGCTTATCTCAAGCAAAGTCGACTTCCAAGAATCTTCGCAGCCTCTCATTTTTTCTCATAACATCGGCCAAGTTGGATGGTCCCTTAGCTTCCAAAAAATGAGCTAATGCATGATCGTAAATAGTGCAGTGGGGAAGCGGCCTCGGGCAGAACAAGGGTCTTGCCTCGGTAACCGGGGTTCATTTTAGCTGTCACCAAAGATGCTCCAAATTCTTCGCTAGCGGTATCGACTCGAGCTATTTCGTAAACTGTGATCCCGATAATGTTCAGCTCACAATCCACATGCTTGATATAGAATAATTATTTACCTTCCAATAAATCGGAAGTCGACATTAATACACGACCCTAGAACTGGCATTTCAGGTATACAAACATCAAGTAAGATAAAAGCATCACGTAAGCATTTGCGGAAAAGGAAAGTGAAAGCTGGCCATCAGCAATAAGGGCTGGTAGTACCTAGCTGTATCGAAGGGTATAGAAGTTGTCGCTAGTAATAGCAGAATCTATTAGATTAGACGGTGATTGGACTAGGAGAAGAGATCCAGTCTTAGTAAATACTGAACCAGGGCGCTCAGCGGCAAGCCTGGGAATGCAGGCAGGATGATATAGCCTCAACAAACCAGCATACAAACCACCACACACCACAATGGAGGAAGCCTCCCCTATAGAAAGCAGAAGCAGATAGAGCAAGGAGAGTGTAAGAGTTGATATTTCTCCCTATTGGAGATCTGAAGCTATATCCTGTAAGGACTGTGTACTGGAAAGATATCCTCCAATTAGAGATCCCCCTTTGTAGGCCATTTCCCCACTACAATACGTAGATAGCGTTTAAGCTTAATCAAAATATCCACCAACCTACCTTTTTTCCTCATATGTAGAGCACTTCCCATGTAGTCCATGCAGACTTTTGGGTTTGCCAGCTAGATATTCTATAAGAGTATAGTCCAGTCCTACCTTGTCTATCTCATTGCCAGCAATTATATATTCGAACACTTGAAGAGCAAGTATTTCAAACGTTTCTAGAAAATTTAAGATTGGCGTATTCACTACGAATCAGATAATTGATGCTGTTCTCCATTTGAGTACCTCGAATGAGCCAAACAGTGCTACTGTCAGAGAAAAAATGCGGGGAAATAGATGGCGCACCCATGAAGAATCCTCTTTCCTATAAGGGTGCCCAATCTTGCATTTGCGACCGCCCCTTGCAAACATCGCTAGCATTGATTCCGGCTCGAAGATTTCTCATTTGATCCTGAAAGAAAAAACTTTCATTGAATAGCTTGATCTTCGGAAACCAAGAAGTATTAACTTGATACACAAAATAAAATTCATAACCCAATCTTCTTTAATTAGAAGGATATGTCTAAAAATCTAATTTTCTTTTCTTTGAAGATCGCTTTATAAGCTCGTACACTCATCTCTTTCGGCATATTGCAGCTATTGCACTTTTCCTCTCGAATCAACAGGCCAGATTTCCTCAATAATGCCCTTACGGTGAGCAAGGTAGACGTCGTGCAGGTTGACTGTGGGGTCAATGTGACTTGGGATCATCTCAACACGATCGCCAACAGAAAGTGCCGGTGTTCCCTCTTCCCACATGAGCGAGCCATGCTCGTCGCCAAGAACGCCATAGGTATATCTCGAATCCTTGCACTCTGCAAGACCACTGTCTGTGGTCAATGACTTGAGTCCAGTGTCAATCGTAACGGCGCGCGGTCCTTGTTGAGAAATGACAGTTGACAGGAGGGTAAGACTGTTGGAATAGAAAGTTCCCACTGCATTTCGGTAATCGGTATCCATGAAGATAAACGACCCTGGCTGAAGTTCAGTAACGCCAGGGACAGTGGCGCAAAACTCGGCGGTTCCAGTTCCACCGGTGGTGACTACTTCCATATTGAAGCCTTCTTTGCGGAATGCCTCCGCGGTGCTCGTCAGGATTCGCATGGATTCTAGACATTGGCTCTTGCGGTCTTCATAGCTGTGTAGATGCTGCAGATGACCCTCATAGCCTTGAACACCAATCAGATTCAGGTGCTTCAGTCCACCAACATGCCGTGCTAACGCCAGTGCCGGCTCGCCAGGTTTCACACCTGTGCGATGAAGACCAACATCGACATCAATCAGGGTTGTAATCGGGTCTGTGATGCCCGATTTCGCCAAAGCATCGTTAATTGCCGAGGCGCCGACCTCACTGTCAACCACAATCCGAATCTTTGGGTATTTGCGGAACAGCTCTACCAGTCTCTTGACCTTGGCAGGTCCGACAATCTCACAGGTAATGAGCAGATCCTCGAATCCAGCAGCGGCAATGACCTCGGCCTCGCTAACCTTGGCCACGCAACCTCCCTTGGCGCCAGCCTTTGCGAGTTTTCCGGCAAGAATGGCGCTCTTTGTTGTCTTGAGATGCGGGCGAATGTTGAGTCCCGTTGGCAGCAGCTTGTCCATCAGCTTCTTGATGTTCACCTCCATGAGATCAAGATCTACAATCATGGAAGGCGTATCAAGGTCCTCGACCCGGTCACCGACATTGGGAGGCTCCATAGTGCTTTCACGTCTCGCGCGAGTGGGAATATCAGGTCAGAACCTCTTGTGTAGGAGAGAAGGGGTGAATGTCGCAAAAGTGCGGGCAGGTCCGGCGGCCTGGCCATTACTTATACACCAGACGCAAGGGGCACCGTGACATGCAAAGCTCCCAAGACCCCATGTTGTATTCAGTTGTGAATCCCACTTTACCCCTCGGTCACGTTCCGCCTTCTGATTTGTGCATGGCGCGCGCTCCCGCGGTACAAGTGGTGCACCCCCGCGTTGTAAGTGGGATGGCTCCATCGGCCCGGTTTCTCGGCGCCGCTCAACCCCCGTGGGGGTCGCTTAGAGAGAAGGACGCATTATACCGCGCTTGGAAAAGAAAGGGTGCGAATGGATGTTCGCTGGAAAATGATCCAGAAATCAATTTGTAATGATATAAATTTATGTTCTTGCGCAGATAAAAAAACGACGGCCCTCCGAGAATTATTGTAGTAAACGATATGGCCTCATATGCAACCTGATGTCAATTTTTAAGCAACGCCCTTTCCATCCGATTTTTCTTTCACATTTAATTTCGATCGATCAAGGCCAAGAGCAGATCTCGTGCAAATTTGGGAGACTCGTCTAGGATCTCTCGGTCAATCACTGCACTCAGCATAAAAGTGCGAGCTTTTCCTGGGCGCTTTTGCGCTAGCCAGGAAGATACAGACTGCCGCAACTCATGATAGTTGGTGCGTGGAGGGTCCGAGTATAGTTCTCTGATTACCAGAGCAAAGGCATCTTTCTGAGACACCAGGGGAAAGCACTCCTCGAACTTCGTTTTCGCTTTGTCTTTGAGTCCATTGATCATCAAGTAATCGCTCTCAGCATACATCCGAAGGTGAAAATAGGATGGACATGGACGGCCAAGAATAGAAGTTGATATCAGACTACAGAGTACTCGCTTGGTCAGAGCTCATTGAAATTGACAGCCAGGAAACTTCTATAGTAGAGAGCTGACCTAGATGATAAGTCTGCATTTGCATCTCTTGTCTTCGAGAGTGTTGTAACCGTGGGATTATCCAAGACCTGGCTTGCTGAATTCGTATCCGCAGTAGGACCATCAATTGTATAGTCGCCGGTGTAGAGGTACTCCAGGATTTTTTTCACCAGAAGTGGTTCTTTATCCTTAAGTGTGATGAAATCAGAAGACTCCTAAGACAAGATTGGACTATAAGATATAAATTTTGATATCGAATCATGAAAGAAAAAGAAAGGAATTTCACCTTGAATTTTCCGGAAGTCACTTTTTGAAAGTACCCAGATCTGGGACAGATAATGAGTTTATGAGCTGGAAGCATCGCATCTCCACAAACGATGGTTAAATCGCTGTATTCAGGATGGAGAAGAAACCTGAGAAGAGAATTGTAAATCATTAAGAACCACTCTTTCCTAGTTTCGGGATTCTTACTTAGAAACATTCTTAGTCACCAGGTCAGGCTGCTCAAAGAGAGCTTTCCGTTTGACCCCAGACATGGCTGATTCAGAAAATGGACGTGACTCGCTTGAGAGTATATAGCTTGATGAGGTCGAGAGGAAAGAAGGGGATGAATGCCAAAATCCAGGAGTTGTCGAAAAAGGAACTTTAAAGAGTTGTAGATGTTCGGTGAAAGTCAGTGATATTTTGGAGGGATTTAGATGTCATTATGCTGGGTATGGACAGACCCGTGGCGATGGCGACAAGACAACTTCAATTACATTATTCAAACTTCCTTTTGAACAATCTTAAAATTGTGTAGAGTTTCGCCCAAATGGCACCCACCTTCGTTGAAATCCTGGCTTCCTAGACTAGGAATCGGCAGAATGAAGCCCTGATTACTGGAATTTCAGTACAGCGTTGAGGTCAACATGAGAGGGTTTCTGAGGGTGCGAGTTCATTATTACACTTGATGGCAGCTCACGAAAAGTAAATCTGAAACATTAATGGGCATTTATTTCTTTAACAAGCGCTTCTTCCTACTGATGATGCCTGCTCTAGATTCCCGGTTTGATAGAGCGAGAAAGCGGTGGTGGTGTTGGGAGAGGAATGGGGGGTCAAAGAAGGTTTGGATTATTGGAAGGTCCTGCCTATCCCAGTATGATATCATGCAATAGCTGGCTGACGCCAGGCCAGGAACAAAAACATGAGTGTTCTAGCACGGAGCGTTATGGGCAACTGTAAACTCTCAGCGGCGTCCAATCAAATGATCACATTCATGGATCTCCGCGATCCTTAGGTAAGCTTCCAGTGTCTTCTCCGCGTTATTAGTCAAGTATTGCCATCGCCTTCTACAGTCCTCGATCACTACTTCATATATTTCTCGCCAATCTGCATTTTATTTCCTAGCGTCTGCTTTTTCCTACCGCTCGCTATGTCTCCCCTCAGCGTCTCCAGAGGGAGTTCATCCTCTAGAACCCCAGAGGAATCCTTCACGCAAATGGCTGACACCGACCTTGAATCCATCGGCCGCCACTGCCAGTTTGAATACTGTGGGCAGCTCGATTTCCTTCCTTTTCGCTGCGAGTCCTGCCAGAGCACCTTCTGCCTCGATCACCGGTCTGAAACATCCCACAAATGCCCTCGCGCCGGCGAATGGGCGCGACGCCGCAACGGCACCCCAGACCAGACAGAGAACCAGATTGCGCCTGAGAAGCCCAACATCTACAACTCAGAACAATGTGCAGACCTGTCATGTAAGACGCTCATAAACACACTCAAGGACCCCGGTGTACGCTGCCCGAACTGCAATCGCCAGTACTGCCTCAAACATCGCTTGCGCGAAGCGCACGAATGCGCCAAGGTTACCCCGCTGGGCGCGCGGCAAGGCAACAGTCCGGCGGCGGCGGGCACCCTCAAGTCGATGTTTGCGCGCGTGCGCGAATGGGGCAAAGAAAAAGGAACGACCGCTTCTGCGGCATCTTCGAAGTTCATCCCCAAGCCGAACGTGAAGCCTAACAGCGCTGCTGGTCGCTTGGCTAGAGTCAATAATATGAAACGTTCAGCAAAAGGCGCTGCCAATATCCCGGTCGACCAGAGGCTATACCTACACACTGTGGGAACAGCAGATACACAGGCAAGTGAGCCACCGGCGGGCGATTTTTACTTCGGCTCCCGATGGAAAGTTGGCCGTGTCCTTGACGATGCGGCACAGCGCCTACATGTTGAGAATCTCAATAACCGCGGTGGGGGAGAGGAGGCGCGGTTGCGAATTTACCACGCTGATTCTGGGGATTTTTTGGAATTTTCAGATACTATTGGAGACAAAGTGAAATCTGGTGATACAATCGTGTTGTTGCGAGGTGCGGGCGTGATTCTCGAGAACTCGCCATAGTGCTTCTTCATCTTGCGATCTTCAAGGGGAGTCTTGGCTATTCTTCATTTCAGGGCATTTTCATTCGGAAGCGTTCATCATACCCTCAAATTTACCTTATAATTTATTGCATGAGCCACTTGGCGTTAGCAGCTACATCATATGTGAGGCTTGGGGGACGCTATTAGCATTTTCATCGCAGATAACAATGTCTAATTCATTGGCATTTATATTCCAAAACTGGTATCGTCTAATATCATAACTCGGACAACGGTCCAAGATCAGGCCCTATAGCACAATTCCATCCCCAACTTTAAACACTCATTTTCATCTTGATCGTTTTGTGGGGTTGGTATCCAATCACTTCGAACTCTTCTTCCTTCCAACCATCAACGACGGCACTACCCCGGTCGTCGCGCTTGATGCGAAGCTCTGGGAATTCGGTAGGCTCCCGCGTAAGCTGTTCATTGAGGGCATCGATATGGTCAAGGTAGATATGAGCATCGCCCATAGTATGAATTAAAGTGCCAGGGTGCAGATCCGCGGCGTAGGCGAGAATATGTGTAAGAAGAGCGTAGGAGGCGATGTTGAAGGGAACACCTAAGCCCATATCGCAAGAGCGCTGGTAGAGAAGACACGAGAGGGTGCCTTTTTCGTTGGGCTTGCCAGTCTTCTCATCGAGCTTCATTGTCGGTGGAAAAGAAACGTAAAATTGTGCGAACATGTGGCAGGGGGGCAGGGCCATCTTGCGCAGATCTGCCGGGTTCCAAGCACTCATGATAATACGACGATCAAATGGGGTGTTCATGATCTTATTGACAACATCTTTGAGCTGGTCGACACCTTGGCCAGTGTAGTCAGCCTTTGCGTCGACGTACTCTGCGCCAAAGTGCCGCCACTGGAATCCATATACGGGACCCAGATCACCTTCTTCCCGGTGTCCCAGTCCAACCTTGTCAAGAAATTCCCGGCTTCCATTTCCATCCCAGATCTTGATTCCGGCTTCGGAGAGGGGAATTGATGATGTGCAGCCAGAAATGAACCAAAGCAACTCTGCAAGCACAGCGCGCAGGAAGACTCGTTTGGTGGTAAGGAGGGGCAAGACAGGGATGGGATCACCGCCCTCGGGATTGGGTTTGGAAAGCGAGAATCGAAGCTGAGGAGGGCCGAAAATGCTTCTTGTGCCGGTGCCAGTTCTATCCGGGCGGTGTTCACCTTCGGAGAGGATCGTTCGGATCAGGTTGAGATATTGGTGCTCTTCGTGCGACGGGTTGTGGGGTGGGTTCACCACCGCAGGGGCGGCAGTAAGAACTTGATCTTGGGTCATTTTGTGGGGTATAATTGATTAACTCAGTCCCTCAACTCAGTCCCTCGGGTTATTTTCGTTGTTCGACTGGTGGATCTGAAGGGGAGAAAAGCGTCGGGATCTTGCAGCGCGTCGACGCGACACGTCACCACGTGATTCCTTTCTTATCTTATCGAGGCCGCCTCAAGATTACTTAATTGGGAAAGAAAGTGTAGAAACATCTCGTCATTCACACGATTGTATCCTGCTTTCATAGTTGTCGGTATGATAATCCTTTTGTTTCATCTCCAATCATTCATTAATCTAGGTTTGACTTGGTTTTTAGTCTAGAAATTCGGCTCTTCGTGCACTCGTCTCTCTAGATATATAGTTACTATAATTCATTTGTTCATACGTGGATGCTATATTGAAATGTATCATAATATTCATACACGAATAAATTTGCATTCAAATAAAAGGCAAAATGATTGAACTTGGATATTCTTTGCCGCAGTGGAGAGTATGGCGACCTTTGTTCAATTCATGCTCCGGCCGCGGTCGGGAAAATGTCTTATATTCCGCGATACTGGGGTATTGTCCACCGACCTGGAAAGCCAAACACAGGTGATTAGCATGATAAATATTATGGGAATGGATAGCGAATACATACCCTCACACTTATGGACTCTCCCTTCTCGAAATCCACTCCCATGGCCCAAATGCCGATTTGCAATTTGACAATAGTTCCCTTGGGAACCAATTCTTGCTTTGTATGCGGATGGAAAGGGAATTGTGGATGGATGCTTTTTGAAGCATCGATCGCCCGATGAGAGGCTCGCAGGATTCCAACAGATCCAAGGTGGAGATTGAGACTTGCTTGCTCGTTCTCGGGGATCTCCTCTATCGACTTGACTGGGGTTGCGTGGAGCGGGAAGTTAAGATGCATCAAGTCCTTGCCATTTTTATCCCTTTTACGCAGAATAACAAAAACTGTGAAATCATCACGATCTTTGCAAGACATGTATATCACCGCTTTGGGTAGGCCGATTAACCGAGCCGCTTTTTCGAATGTGTAATTGAATTCTGCAAAACTGAACCGATCTTCAGAGTCATATGAGACCTGCAGGCTCGTTGAAGGCGGCTCAGCGTGAAGCTGTTTGCTCCCCGCAAAAAAGAATTCACGATACTCAGTCGAAGGAGCTGGGAAGTCATCTAGAACGATGTCATCGATTGCCTCGCGATTTCCAAACTGCAAGGCAGACCACCGAACTTTAGGCGTTTTCTCCCAGTCATTGTCCTTTCCTTTCAGATATCGGTCAAAGAACAGAGTTAATTCTTTTGTTGATTCAGGCACACTGTATAGCTCATACCACTCTTGCTTGCTGCCCCATTGGATCCATTTTTCCTCGTGAGGTACCTCGAGATAACCCCGAATGGAGCCCATGGTATGGATAGAGCTAACATCCGATCCGCGAATGAACACAGGGCATTTGACGCGCGAGATATCAGCCCGCTTATCTTCCCAAAAGGCATTGGAGACTGGCGAGCGACGATACATCTCCTCAAAATCTTCAAGGCCGGAAGATTCTGGACCACGCACGATGGCCTTCCCGATGAGGTCGAAATTGCTCATTGAGAACCAGCCTCCACGACAGAATTGTTCGCGATAAATATCATCAGCGCCCTCCCAAGGCGCGATCGCCTTCAAAGAAGGAGGTTGCTGGGCGGCAATGAACCACTGCGAGATCGCGAGAGCAGAGTTACCGGCCATGCCAATGCTGCCGTTGCACCAGTCCATGCGGGCAATAGCCTCCACCACATCATAACCGTCTTCTGCATCTTGAGTTCCCATGACACAGATTTGACCGTCGCTATGTCCAGACCCGCGAGTGTCAACACTCACGATGGCGTAGCCTCGAGGACACCAAGCTTGCGGATCCAGGCCTTCAAATTTCTCCAGTCCACTGAGCTCTGATGGTTTAACACAGCAGTGCCAGGTGGTCATCGGAAGCATGTCCAACGCACTATACTTTTTTCCATAGAATGACCAACTCAGCACAGCTGGTACCTTTTCAGTTGCGTTGGCTGGTCGGTATACGTCCGCATAGAGGCGAACGCCGTCGCGAACAACGATTTCAATGTCATGATCCACTTGAATGTCGCTTTCGAGAGGTTTGGCATTGAATCCATTCCATCCCTTTGGAAGAATTTCGGACTTCCCAGTTTGACGCGCCTGGTATCCATTCTCGCCTTCTTGAGGCTGGGCGATGCGCTTGTAAGCGGATTGAACTGGAGGCGGCATAGTAAGGGACTTGGACTGCTCTCAGGAAAATACTAAAGAAAGAAATTCACCAGAATTGAAATCTAAGCAAAATGACAAAAACTATACGTCGGTTGAATGAACAATTATACCTTGGTGACATCGGCATAAAGCCGAGATTCATCGATTAAACCACCCCCTCCAATCCCCCACATCATCTCATTGATTCCCCCACAAGGTCCCGAACCTCCATTTCCCGACAGTATTCCAAAACAAATGCCAAGCGGATTGTCTAGACTCCCCGCATTTGATAAACCGGGGGGAGTGGAGACGGCCATCAATGTAGACCCCGCTTTTGTCAGCGTTTTGACACCCCAGAAGTTTTGTTATTTTGTCTTCCTTTCCTAAGTGAGCCGAGCGGGGGTGGAGGTGGACATCCTTGACGATGGATTTCCTTCAGTTTCGGGATTACATTGCAGCTGACACTCTGAATCCTCCAAGGAAAATAGCCTGCGGATAAGTGATATTTATTCCCCCCAGAATTAACGCATTTGATCCAAACACCCAGGCCAAACTGCATAGTATTAGATACGTGACACATTCATCTTTGAAAGACTTTATCTGCCTATTCACTATGATCTCCACGGAGGTACAAGCTACGTCGGCCGACAACCAAGCTCCGACCGCAACGAATCAGGACTTGGTCACCTTCGCTCCCCGCAACTATGGCGACTGGCGCGATGAGTTCCACAAGAATGGATGCGTTCTAATCAAGAATGTCATCAGCCCGGAGAGAGCTCAATATTATCGCGAGAAGCAGATCCAGTGGCTTCATAACTTTGACCTCGGATTTGATGAAAATGATGAAAGTACCTGGACTGAGGAGCATCTTCCTGTTAGCTTCAAGGGCGGGTGAGTTACCTGGCCCATTAAAGTATAATCCTACAAATCATTCGCTAAGTTATTCAAAGCATGTACTTTGCCTATGGAGCACCTCATGAGAAGATGGCTTGGGAGGCCCGCACGGAGCCTGCAGTCATCGAAATCTTCGAGAAGCTCTGGGAAACTAAAGAGCTCATCAGTTCTTTTGATGGCATGAATATCTCAATGCCGCGTCGCAAGGATCTTCGTTGGAGCCCGTGGCCTCACTGTGACCAGAACCAGAACCGAAAAGGGTAAGGTGAGACTCTCCTATTAGAAAGACTGCATGCTGAATTGTCTCAGAATGCAAGCTGTGCAAGGTCTCCTGAACTATGCCCCCAATGGTCCTAAGGATGGTGGTCTTATGTTGATGAAGGGCTCCGCCAAGCTATTTGACGAGTTCTTCGCCCACAAGCGAGAGTCCTTTGACCACGAGGATGCGCCCCCTCCAGAGCTTGAATACATGGACCTCTTCCTGTTCAGCCAGAAAGACGTCAAATGGTTCGAAGAGCATGGCTGTGAGCTGATCAAGGTTAACATGGAGCCTGGTGACTTCGTACTCTGGGACTCTCGCACTATGCATTATGCTTGTCTACCAGAGGGGGATCAGATCCGACATGTGCAATATATTTGCATGACGCCTAAGCGATTTGCGACGCCTGAAGCATTGGAACTGAAAAAGGAATGCTTTGAGAACTTCGTGGGCACAACTCACTGGCCCCATTGGTACGTATTTGCGAGTCATTTAGTCTTACATCATTAGCTAACCATATTGAATGAAGCAATATCCGACCGGCCAAAGAAAAGCCCATGCGTGGAGACAAAGTGTGTCCAAAAGATCGCAGTGAGCCATTTGAAAAGCCCGAAGTGACCGATGCGGTATTAAGACTTGCTGGCATTAAGGCGTATTAGCTTGAAGGCTGGGAAGCCCGAAGAATGATAGATTGCAATATATCGCAGATTCATTTGAGAAGACATTCCTGACGTTATTATTGTGACTTCCTCCTTAACGCCTCTTTTCATTGGTACCTTATTATCATACAAAGAGTAGAACCTCATACATTTCATTCAACTATCAAATGCCTAGGGAGAGTTGGAAATTATAAAATGCGAGAATAAGTTTACGGAGCAACAAATGAGCTTAAAACTTTACATTCGTAGACACACTCATGATACAAGATGAACTTCGTAAATAGAATTAGCAGCTGGAGTCTGGGAAACTGGTTCTTGTCCATGGGTTGGACTGGAGAAAACAAATCAGGCGCAAAGAATTTCTAAGCCGTGAGCCTGTCCCACCTAAGCCCACACTCGTGGGGGTTCGAAGCCAATACTGTTCTCCTCTCCCCCACTCGGTAGTCCACCCAAAGCCCATCTGGCCCACCTCCACACGTCAAATTATGAATCCACTCCGGGGAAGCGGGGATAGTGTGTGGAGTCAGCTGTCCCTGCATCCTTTGGTTTGGATTGAAGAGGTTGAGTGGTCGATACCAACAGGGTAGCTAGCCACATTTGCCGTTGGTCGTGGGATTTGTAGCCGAAGGCGCTCGAGTCTGCGGGGGTGGGAAGCTATCAAATGAGGATTACGAGTTCTCTAGCCAGCCAAGGTTAAAGCTATTAAACCAGCAGGCCCGCCGTGATCTGGAGAAGCGTGGACCTTGCTTCTCGTGGAACTCCATTTTCTCTGCATCAAAATTGGCCTGATTGCCACTTGAGCGGAGCGGGACTCGCTCACTTTTGTTCTCTCAGTAAATCTCTCATTAGTTGCAATGGAGGACTCTGAGAAGGGAACCGACCAGCACATCGAGGTGGTAGGGGATGAATGCAAGAGACAGGAATTAAATGATGAATCGAAGGTGATGGGAACGGTCAAGTTGACCGAGGAATCAATCGTCTATATCCCAACACCAACAGCTGATCCCAGAGGTGATTAAGAACCAAAATCTAACACTGATATCTGGAATTTATTGATCACAATTCAGATCCTTTGAACATGGCACGCTGGCAAAAGGGAGTTGTTCTTGTGGTCATCTCGACTTGTAAGTCAATCGATCTATACGATGTGTTTTCTCAGATGATAATAACCGATCTTTGCATGGTAGTCGCCACGCTCAGCCTTTCCTTGGTCTCTGGTTTTGGTGGTGTTATAACGTTTTATATTGATGAGTATTCAGCAGCCGGCAAAGATTATGCCCAAATCACTCAGTTGATGACCTACCCTACTATGTTCATGTACGTCTCTTAACAATCCTCACTCGCAGAGATACTCATATCCGAGGTTAAAGGGGTATTGGAAATCTTGTCGGAATGCCTATTGCAATTGCTGTTGGCCGCCGAATCGTAATCTTATCCGCCACCGTCGTTCTTATACTCGGAGCTGTGCTCTGCGCAACAGCGAAGTCATATGAATGGCACCTTGGAGCTCGCATGGTGCTGGGCCTTTGTGCAGGACAGACGGAAGCTCTGGTGCCCATGATTACTCAGGTATTTGCCCGAGAATATCCTTGTGCTCCGATAGAATTGCTAAACAATTTTCATAGGAGTTATTTTTCCTGCACGAGCGAAGCAAAGGGTTGATGATGCAACAAGCTATTCAAGTCCTTTTGAATACAATCTGGGTGCTTTTTGCCAGCCCGATTTCTGGAAAGATTACACCCGAAGGCTGGTATGGTCTTGGGGCAGGACTGGCTGTGGTCCAATTCTTCATCGCCCTTTTCCTTCTTCCCGAGACCAAATATTCCCGTGACCTCGGTGCATACCAAGAGTCAGTGTCCAATGACGCTTCAACTGAGCAAGTTGACCTCGAGGCCCATGAACCTGTCAAACCTACCACGGTTGTTTGCAAAGAAAAGCCCCCGCTCGACTTTGTAAATTATAAGGCACGAACCTGGCGGTCAGACATGCGACTGTGGATCGGAACACCAGAATGGTCTAAAGCTGTAGATGTGTACAAGGTAGATATATCCCTAGGCCCATGTTTTGTCTCACAAAACTGAAAAAGTGTTGCAGCAAATTTTTGAGCTCTTTCTATTCCCCAATGTCTTCTGGGCCCTCTGTCTCAACGGCCTAACTATTGGAGTCAATATTGCCATCGGAACAACCTATGGCACTATTCTCACAGGTGCACCGTATAACTGGCCAGACACGAGTACAAGTTATGTCAATTGTGGGCAGATTGTTGTGGCTCTCATTGCTCTTCCGTTGCTTGGAAATGGCTCAGATTCAATATGCAAGTGGCGTGCCAAGCGCAATGGAGGCATGCACGAACCAGAATCAAGGATAATTACTCTTATTTTCCCCATCATCATCGGAACTTTCACAGCAGCTCTCTATGGACAAGGAGGTGCACACCCGAACGACTACCACTGGTTCGTGTATGTCTGGGCTGTTGCAGCTTATTACTTCGCCTTCGTTGGTGCAAACATTGTAGCGATCACATATTTACTCGACAGCTACCCTGCTCGTGCAGCGCCTCTGCTGGTCATTATTTGTGCAGGTCGAGGATTCATTTCCTTCGGGACCAGCTATGGTACAACTTCATTTATTGAAAGCAACGGTTATGATGGTGCATTCGGCATTTTCGGGGGACTGACGGGGTTGCTTGGATTGCTTGGCTTACCGATTTACTTTTGGGGGAAAAATATCCGACAGTTCACTGGAAGGTTCACAAAGGGTAAGGTGGAGTAGGGTGCGCTTTCAGTTCGACCGGGCAATGAACTCAAGAATGTTTGGAACGAGTGGGAATGTATGGAGTGGTAGGATATCGGATTTTTTCAATTCGTATCTGATGAATCAAGCCATCGCTCAGATGCAGACGCTTTATGGTGTCACTATGCAGATTATCTATCGCAGTCCGTTCGCGTAAAAAACATAATCATCGTAGCCCACGAGAATTTTGGAATTAATCGGATAGTAAATCCATCCCAACACCCCGTAAAGCCCCCACAGCCCATTCGGGGTACTTGGATTTATCTCCGTTATATATGTTGGAGAAGAATTGTCTAACAAAGGCTGGATACCGGTCTTCGATGATAGCCTGGCGAGCCTCACCCATCAATTTCAAGACGAAGTGAACATTATGTGCGGTCAAACTAGATAGTGTTAGTAAGCATTCGATCCATTAATGGTCCACTAGAACTTACAGATGAGCACCAACTGTTTCCTTCGCAGTGATGTGGTGAATGAATGCCTTGGTGACTCCTAAGCCTCCTTGGTCAGTTGGCCGACAGCATATACAAGTGCAGTTCTCGTCAATAGGAGTAAAATCCTCCGCATAGGCGCGGTTACGGAGGTTAAACGTTCCAGCGGAAACAATGGCATTTCCGAAACGCTAATTATTCATTAGTTAACAAAAACCAAGGTGCCAAGTTAGACATTCAACTTACCGCTGTCCGAGTTGGCCACACACAATCAAACATATCCGCACCGAGAGCCACAGCCACGATCATATCCTCGGGGTATCCCTGGAGAGCCGGTGTCAGCCAAAATTGTGAGATTAAAGAGTCGACAAACTTACCACGCCCATCACGTATCTAGGCTTGTTGTCTGGAAGGAGCCCTGTGCATGTATCCACGCTTGCAAAAAGTTAGCCTTCATGAAAATGTTGGAATGTATCCCACATACACTTTACAGAATTCTTCCTTGGCCTCACCACCAGATAGACCTCCAATGGCGATACCGGGTGTATCACGAGCCACCATCTCCTCGCAGCACTGCTTCCGCAGTTCCAGATCAAGACCACCTTGAATGATGCAAAATAGATTCTGTCGCTCGGGATACTTGTGGGCGTCAATGCACCGATCTAACCAGCGTACTGAACGCTCCATTGCTTCTTTAATTCGGGCGTGATCCGGGGATGTCGTCGCAATCACATCGTCTAATTGCATGATGATATCGGAGCCGATTGAATTTTGGAGGGAAATCGAGTGTTCGGGGGTGAGAAGCCTTGCGGTAGGGACTGTCAGTAATTGCGTATATCGTATGTATGGATCAGGACAGGGTCATACATAGGAGAGCCATCATGGGGACTCAAAAAGCGCACACCTTCCTCGGTGACGGTCGCAAGCTTGAGTAGAGACACCATCTGAAAGCTGTCCAGCGTAAATATTACGATTAGCATTTTTTTCCCTTCTCGAAAAGCTTCTATCGCATCTTACCCGCCGCTATCGGTCAAAAGATTCCGATCCCAGCCCTGCAATTTATGGGCACCACCGACTGCATCCAGAACTTCTTGTCCTGGTTTAAGTCCGAGGTGGTAGGTGTTGTTCAAACAGAGCATACATCCCGTATCGCGCAACTGGTCGTAGGTCAAGCCTTTAAGGGATGCTTGCGTCGCGACAGGCATGAAGATTGGAAGAGGAACGGAGCCATGGGGGAGGTGAAGAGTACTAGCACGGGCCTTGGTGGTCTATAATTCTCATAGAGGTTGGTTAGGGCCAGCAATGGTTTCCCAGCGTGTCATGAGGGGCTTAAAAGCACATACCGAACATTTCGAGTGGCGCTCAAATCTCAAGGCAGAAGGCATAGATTTTCGTGAAGGCTCCGTAGAGGTAGACATTCTGGCGACCGGTGAGGTTAATGCCCTTTGCAGCGTTCTAGGGTGAAATCTAGCAAGCGAACGCTGGCATTGCATGGAGGAGGGCGCGGGGCGTCACATTGACAGCGTTTGCGATGCGATCAGGCACAATCGCGGCGTGGGCCTGATAAGATGTTTGTCCCGTTTGCACATCGCAGGGTAAGTTCTTGGAGCTTGCGCAGCGGGGTGCCCCAGCGTAGGAATACAGTTGTTCTCGACTACATTGCATAGAATATTTCGACCCATCAAGATTGACATTGGGTTTTATTTTGGAAACTAATCCTCGAAGAAAGAAGTGCTAAAGTTTGCAAGGCTCCAAGGTTTCATCCGACTGGAGGCCCTGAAGTTGCTTATCCTCTCTCCCTACGATGGACGAAAAAAAATCAATCGCAACAATAATCATAATGGTAAATATGCGATTTTGCACATAACTATGCTTCCAAACCAAGGCTTTCAAAGTCGGTGGTTAAATGGGTAATTCCTCTAATAATGATGTTCGCCATATCTCATCTCCATTCGGATGAACCTCGGACAGGACATCATAGCCGATCTTTCGGCCTTCAGATTTCTTGCCCCTAAGAAAGCGAGCGTTCGATTGCAAGTGGAAAATGTACATTTTTAAATATGCAGACAAAATTACAGCAGTCATTGAGTCTCTTGTAGAGGCCACAGCGCATTAATTACTGCGAAAACGAGGTTCCCTTTGACTCAACCTCGGCGGTTGAGAATCCATGGCCAACCTTAAAAATAAGCTTAGATTGAACTCATTCACACAACCCGGGTTTCAGAATTGCTCTCACCTTTGCTCTTCTCCCCTTTCCATCGCGATCCAAGGGTTCTTGACCGACTCCTCGAAGTCGGGGAAACCCCAGTGGGGGTCGGTTCGGAGAATGACCGACTTGGCCAGTGCGAGCAGGGAAATGCGGGGACACATTCCCCGGGCTGCGAGAGAGTCTAGCTCGATGCCGAGAAAGAAAAAAGCAAATAAAAATAGGGGGGCACAGTGCTTTCCCCTCACTTTTTCCCTTGGCCAGACATTTCTGTGCGTTTTTGGATCGACGGCACCCCCTGCACCATGGCGGCGGAAAAGTACGCCCAGGACATCGAGAACGCTGCAGACGTAAGTTTTCGTTCAATCGCTTCAATATACAGGACAAAATACTGAGACCCGGAAATCGAAAGATCTCCGAGACCGATGTCTTTGATCCGGCACTGGAAGCGCGAGAAAAGGCCTTAATTTGGAAGCAGGATTTACGGATCGTTCCGCTCTGCGCGGCAATATACCTGCTCTGCTACTTGGATCGGTCGAATATAGGTAAATTGGGCCAGGAAATTGAGCTTAGAACCGGGAGACTGATTCGAGATAGGAAACGCCAAAATCCTCAATGAAGATACACATAATGACCTCCTTTCGGAGACGAATATGACTTCGTACCAGTATACGTTCGTTTCCATCGAAAATGATTGTTAGGGAGATAAAAAGCTGATTACCACAGAATCGCACTCATGGTCTTTCTGATTGCCTATGCGCTATTCGAAGTACCGTCTAATTATTTATTGAAAAAGCTTCGGCCCAGCGTACGTGTTGACTACGATATCCAGGGGACATAAATGCACACGGCTGATTACTTCGCTAGCGATGGATCGCTTTTCTTATGCTTGCCTGGGGCGCCACCACGATGGGCCTAGGTGGAGTTCACAATTACGCTCAAGTGACCGGGCTGCGCTTTCTTCTCGGGGTGATGGAGGCTGGCCTTTTCCCTGGATTTGTCTATTATCTCACTTTCTGGTATCGGAATTCCGAACGCTCTATGCGAGTCGCCTTGATACTTGCCTCGGCCACTCTAGCAGGTGCTTTTGGTGGTGCTATCGCGTACGGTGTTGGTCATATGAACGGTGCACATGGACTTTCCGCTTGGCGGTGGCTGTTCATAATTGAAGGCGCACCCTCTTGCGCCTCCGCCGCCCTGGTTTGGGCTTTTCTACCAGACTATCCTGAGTCAGCGCATTGGCTCAATGCGGAGGAGAAAGAGCTGGCGGAGCAGCGCTTGAGGCTCGAGGGGTCGAAAGGTTCCGCAAGCGCTATGTCATGGGCTGATGCAAAGGCTGTGCTCATGGACTGGAGACTGTATGCTCACTATGCAGTATGTCAGTCATACCTTTAACGATGGGCACAAACTGTCTGACTGTTCTCACAGGTTTACTTCGGAATCTCGACGCCCTTCTCAAGTCTCTCTCTTTTTACGCCTGCCATTACTTCTGGGCTTGGTTACTCCAACCTCCGTGCCCAACTGATGACTGTACCTCCATACGCAGTGGCATATGTCGTGACTGTAATTGTCGCATGGTCTGCCGACCATTTTAATAGGTAATTTTTCATTGACCTCTCTTTATACAACGCCGTGCCTATCTGATTCTTCGTCGCAGCCGTGGTCTTCATTCTGCCATCTTCTCCTTTATTGGGGCAATGGGTTTCCTTGCATCTGCCGTCCTCCCAGCCGAGGCTTACCTGGTAAGCACATCAAGTGACAAAATGACACCAAAAAAGAGTTGGACTGATCCGCAATGTAGCACCGCTATGGCTGTCTTATAGTTGCGGCCAGTGGCGCATTTGCCTGCATCCCACCGCTTCTTGGATGGCTCTCTTCGAATCTGCGCTCCACCGCAGGAGCAGGACTAGCGATTGCGCTGAATGTATCATTCGGAGCGCCGGGCCAGATCGTGGGTGTATGGATCTATAAGAGTGACGAAGCGAAGAAGGGATACCCGACGGGACACTGGACAAATGCAGCCTTGCTACTTTTTGTAGCAGTCGGATGTATCCTGCTGCGCTTATACTACGGGTGGAGAAATAAACGGGGCAATGGTGATGGAATGGGGAAAAACTTTGCATATTAGATAGCTCATTCGAGTGGGGCTTGACCGATCTGGAAAGATGGTCCAGCCCTTTCATATTGATATGATGTATGCAGATACTCGAAAGTGTAAGGGGCTTTGTAAGTGAGATGAAGAGCGAGCTCGTCTTAACGAAATTTACCGTAAGCAACCCAAGTCCTTGAATTATCATCATAACCTCGAAAGATTAAATCGCGCCAAGGAGCCAGGGGAAAGAGCAATCCAGTAATACATCATACCCCTTCGTAGCCTCACCCGAGAAAAACCTTGCTTGGACCCATGTCGACCCGATGTTAGACAGGTTCATTCTCAATTTTCTCCATAACTATTCCAAATAATTTCAACCGCACAACTCACAAGATAGATTTCCTAGCATCCTCCACCGCCTCCACCCGCCGTCGCGGCCGCGGCATATACCCCAGCATAGGAGCGGGGCTTGTGCTTCTTTTTCCGACGTTCGAGGCTCTTTGCGTGAAACTTCTGATATATATCATAATCCTTCAGATATCGATCGTAGTCGTTGCCATAGTCCTGTCGGCGAGGAGGATAGAGATTTTCATGCATGTCGGAAAATGACCCAAAACACATTTTATGAGATAAGTTTAATGAATTTATTTTCCAAATTTACGGTACTTGGATTGGTGATTGCGCGGAATATGTCAAGTTTGAGGCGGGATTTGCAATAATATTTAATACTCTGGGCAAGTCTCACGCTACTCTGCTATATTACCTCCAGAGAACCCCTCATTGTTCACAGCTCGCATAGCCACCGCCCCGTACTCGCCCGAGAGACATCATCATTCTTCTAACAATAGTTGCTTATATCAGCAAGTCCCTAGGCTGGGGGCCATAAGCGACTGTATGGGGAAATTAATGGGACGATCAGTTCTGGCTATTTCTGGCAATGGTCAAAGTCGCATTTCGTTAGAAAGAGATATGTATAAATGAATGACAAAGAACGGCGTGAAAATAGATAGGGAAAGTCTTATCGCCCATGATTCCAGGTGGTATTGGAGCTGCCTTCCCATCAGTTGTTCCACGCATGCGCGATCTATTACCATTAAAGAAGGAATAGCTATGCCCCCTGACTAATTCGGGTTCCCAGGAGTAGAGTATACATCATTTTGAAGAGTACCTAGGCAGACAGTATTCAGAAAAAATAGTTCATGCGTTGTTTCTTTCACACGCTGGGGGTAAGCTTTCCCCTCTAATGTGAAAAAAAAGGATACTATGGAACGCCAAATCGGGAACTTACTGATTACTAAGTTTATCATACCCAAGCGAACGCCGAGGAAGGATTTGTATTGCATTTTTAGTAGATACCGTGAAGCAGAAACTGACGAATAATTATTGGCTAGGTGGAAAATGCTTAAATTGAAGAGCCAAAAACTTGGTGTGAATGTGAGAGTAATGAAGGTTGAAACAATGAAGTTGAAAATATAAGCTTATTAGAGATTGCCTCTCATGATTAATCATTATGGAGCAATCGATTTCCATTTATGGCCCTGAGACCGAATATCTTAGAACTAAGAAAGCTGCGGTTATTGGACCAAGCAGATAGAGCTATACTTGTAGGACCGCAATACTTCCACGGCTACACGGTTCCAGGAGCTTGTCTATTTTCGTCCTACATCTATGTTGATTGTGTGGCTATAGTTGGTCAAATATTTCGCGGAGAAGGGAGATCAGACAAAGACATGCGATCTACTTGAAATAGCTTTTTGTCAGTCAAATTCATGAACTCCACCCAAAAGCTTGTATACATGGGTCGATATTTCTGTCCACACATCATTCACATCCCATCAATATTGACGAAGTGTAATTTTGGTCGGCGGATAATCATACTCCAAGAGCATTTTGCGGAAAATTAAGCCCTGAATAAGCGCCAATAGTTGGAACTCATTATCATACTTTTCGTAACCTCGGGCTATCTTTTTAGATGGGAGCTCGACAAATATAATTTCAAATTTGTGCTCCTCAGTTTGAACTAAATGTCCCAGGGTGTCTCCGGAAGAATGCTGCAAGATTAGGTCTTTTGATAAGCCGGAACGACTCCAGGAAAAATTCAACTCTTTCGACTTGGGTTGCCATAGATGGAAGGTAAAAATATGCATACAGATTTTCTGCAGACTCAACCCTCTCCGCTTATCGAAACGCGTTTGCCCATCTCCCATGACTCTGGGATATGCACCAGTCTGTTCGATGTGTGTTTGTGCTCTCTCGATTTGGGTGCGCTGTTTAAAGACTCGGATGATGTTATCAGGCTCATTATTTGCACTAGATTGTGTTTCAGATAGGACTGAAAATCTCATGTTAAACCCGCTGGGTCTTTCTTCTAGCATTTCAGTGAAATGATAAAGTCTCTTTGTCGGCTGATGTTTATCAGTGATGTCCCAAGAATAATAGGGAGAAGAAAGGGGGGGTTTTTCTGTTATACAATAATGGTGGCCCGGTAGGGCCACCTCTCTTCCTTTTGAGAACTGTTTCGACATGTTGTTTGATCTTGTGGGATTTCAAAAATTAGATTCTTCTATTTGAATCACTAATAGGCTTTCTCTGGAAGATCCAGTTACTTCTCTGGTAGCTTTATATCTATGATCTCTGGTGACTAGGCTAAAAATAGCCATACACCACACGCTTCCTTACTCTAGAATTGTTGGATATACGATAGTATTCGATCTAGCTAGAATTGAAAATTTCAAAGGCCCTTATATCAACTATTTGATGTTGGCTTGGTGGTTAATTTGCCCTATCACATTCATGAGGACCGAGATACGTTGGAGATCAAAATCACCTGCTGATATATTTTTATGATCCATGAGACATAAGCTACTTGAGTTAAACATAAATTGTTGATAAAACCAACGGAAAATAAGGGAGTGGTCGCGAGTGATCAGAATTGTGGCAATAATTTCCACTTCTGATCACACGGCGCGTAACCCTAGATCGCAGCTGAAAAAATGTCTGACTATCCACTATTTCTGTTGGATGAAAGCGTTTTGTGTGGATTATGTTGGATATTTTAACACACATAAGCGTATTCTTGTTCTTGTTCATAACTGGGGGCAATCTTTCATATATATAACCAACGCATTTCACTAGCGGGAGGCCAGAACGATGTGCAGCCAGCATTTCCTACATCGCACTTGCACCGTACTTCACTGATTACCTTATGCAACATGTGAAAATTGTAATGACGCCAGCGCGATTGTATAGATCAATATGTCTTTTTAAATAAAAGACGAGGCAAAGTTATTCTAGCACTCGTCATTTAGCGAGATTTTGCAACGCAAAAATTCAGCAGCGCTAGTAGCAATGGAGGCGCCATGAGAAATTCATCGTCCCAACCAAAATAGCCGATCTCTTATTATAAATACCGTATGTGAAACAGAGAGAAAGTCGATCTAAACAGTTTCTTTACATCCTATAGGATAGAAGAAAATAGTCGCCCAATGGAATGGCTTGGCCCCACAAAACTCGGCGCGCAGTGTACCAAGCGGCAACAGAAAAGATGCTATTAATGGGAGCCCGTCTTGTACCAACATTCCCAAACTCATGTGCCTCGTCGGAAGACCCTAGAAATACCGTAATGGATTCCATGCAATGAACACAGTCCTTCGGGATATTCCATAAAGATGGTCAACCACTATTCTCCGATCGGGAGAGGCTAAGGTGAAGAAACGAGACTATTTTTAGCGCTGTACCTCGAAACGACTACTACATCGTATTCGTCCCATTCGTTTAGATTGAAGGTTGTCGATCACGTTTGTCCTGCCAAGCCATCTCGTGTATTCTTCGTACTCTGATTACCTCATTGAGGGTTGAACCCTGACGATCGCCCACGCAGCCCGCAAAACCAGACTAAATTTGGCAGCATATCCGGAGCTTTCGGCCCCATATCGTATTTGCCCCAGATGTTCCGTTACTTTAGACGATGATTCTGGCTCTAGGTTAGGTCAATCTTCAGAATCCATCAGCATCTTCCTCGTATCATGCGAAAATGGAACGAAGAAAGTCCACAAGGTCTTTGCGGGTGAGGATCCAAGCTCTACGAAAATCAACCCGAATGCGCTTAGCACCTTTCGTCCATAGCCACCCGCAATTCACAACGACGCATTTTTCTGTAGTTAAAGATCTTCTTAGCTTCAAAGCTCTCGTAAAGATATCCCAGATCTAAATTTAGGCAAATTTACTTTGACGATACTCGTATTAGTCGGTGCTCAATCTTGTCCGAGATCATCAGCTGGTGAATGGCGATATGCCTATGAAAGTATAAGTATTTGGTTCTGGCACGATGGTCAACTTTTTTCGTTATCAAAGAATCAAGTCATTTGAAGTCTTCATCGTTTCTTATCTCAATTTTAAGCACTGTAGTGCCTCGTTCAAAGTGAAGGCATCCAATACCTACCGCGATATCACCATGCAGCTCACGAACTTGACTCTGGCTTTAGCAGCGGCTCTTTCTATGGCCAATGCGTACGCCATCAGTGGCAGTGAAGTGAACTGTCGTACTGGTCCCTCGACAAATGATGAAGTTGTCACAACATACGCAAAGGGTCATGACGTCTCGATCACTTGCCAGACTTATGGCGAAGAGGTTGAGGGAAGCACTATCTGGGACAAGACTTCTGATGGCTGCTATGTCACCGACTACTACGTAAAGACGGGCTCGACCGGCATGGTCACCGATGACTGCAGTGGTGGTAGCTCTGGTGGGGGCAACTCATCCTACAACGGCCAGATCAGCCGTGAGGAGATCATCTCCCGCGGTCAATTTTGGGTCTCACGCCACATTCCATACTCTATGAGCGCCTACTACCCGGACCCTGACGGCCGAAAATACCGCACTGACTGCTCTGGCTTCGTGAGCATGGCTCTCCACGCAAGTTCGCCAGGCTATAGCACCGTCAGCCTCCCGGAGGTCGCTGAGGCTATCTCTTGGGACGACCTTCAGCCCGGCGACTTTGTTGGTACCCTGGGAGCCGGCACTGGCGGTGCTGCTGGTCACGTCACTCTTTTCCATTCATGGGCTGACAGCTCCAAGAAGGAGTACAATACGCTTGAATGCCGCGGAACCTACGGCTGCGTCGCGTATAAGCGCCCTGTTAGCTGGAAGGATGGCAGCTTCACCGCCAAGCCTTACCGATACACTCGCGTTATGGACTAAGTCAGATCTCTCAGAAGTCTCACGCCTATATGAACAAGTACTTGGCTCCCAGGAGCAAGCTCCCGGACCCTGAGAGGAAGGAGCAGTGACCTCGGAATTCAATCGTCTGTATTGCCAAAAACGGAGAATTGTTCACAGCATGATTACCCTCAGTGTACAAAGACCCAGCTGTCAATGAATATTTGTCCATAGAAAATGTGCTTTTAGAGAAGGCCTTCAAAGCTAGAGAAGGAAGGAGAGTGAAGAAGATAGAATGCAGTACAAATACACACAGTTTCGACCTACCTTGACCCCCATAGCAGTTCCAGAATCTCTAAGCGGATGTTTAAATCCGAACTCCGATGCGTAACAAGAGAATAACAGTTTTAGTGTAAAGTCAGATGACGATTTAGTTTATCCGTTTGAAAAACGTCCTAGTTATCTAAATTTCATATCTAGGATAACTTGCAATAGGAATCCTATACGAAGCCCATCGAACGCTTCATCATTTCAGCATACTATTCCTACTGCCCCCTCAGCCCCCACAATGTTATTCAACGTGGAAAACTTTGATGGTGAGATAATATCCTTGCTAGGATAGCCAGGAATCCATGGTCAGACGCCTAGACGGGCGATTCCCTCAATATCCGCAGATATCCACATGTGCACTCCACAAATTACGGAAATGGTGCAAACCAGATTGTCGAGCTCCTTAGATAGAACCATATAGTCGAGAGGCACGGCCAGAACAGATTTATTCCCATCGTCCCAAGCAACGAAAGCGTAGACTGGGAAGGCTTTCTCCTTCCACTCGACGGCTTATCATTATTGTAGTCCTTGAAAGTATTATCCCTCTCTCGTTTGCTCTACATGACACGCTGGAAAAGAAATTGGTCGCAAGCCATGACATCGCATTATCGAAGATTATAGTGTTTGCTAGGCACATGGCCATGTTGTACAGTCCAGGGCTTGATTGATTGAAAGAAAAAAAGAACACCAAGATAGCGCAAACGACGTCGTATCGAGAAAGTCAAGCACAAAAAAAAAGAATTAGAAGAAAAAAAGGAAAATCGTAGATTCTTATTTGATCAATATCCTGTCGATAAATCTTGTGTGGAGATCAAGCAAAGCAAAAAGAGAGCATCCAATCAATCTGGTTAAAAAGAAAACCCAACCCCGACCAGCATATCCTGTGCGCTTCCGTGAAAATCATAAACAAAACTAAGACAAACCATGTCCCGTCCCGTGCCGTCCCTTGCCCGCTTCCTACAAGGCCCGCGTAATCCAAACAGCCCAATTGGCCCAAAAGAAACTCCCGCGATCCAGCTCTTCCAGAGAAAATCCATTCGAGACAACCCATCTGAATAAAACAAGACAAAAGAAATTGAAACCGAGTGGCCGCAAGCTTTTTTGGTAGCTGATAGGAGGGAGAGGAAGAGAGGGTGAGAGAAGAGCGTCCTGTCTATCCCACTTTTTGGCATCTTCTTCCACGTCTTCACTACTGCTTGGTCCATTGTTGCCAGGCCCATTTCTCCTCTTCCCTTTCCGGGAGACGTCGCAGCTGGCGGCTTGAAATTCGGGCGACTGAACTTTCCGCTCGACAGGTGACACAGGCACCACGTATATACCAGGGCTTTCCGGCCGAAGACATGATGCTGAAGCCCGTCCAAGCTTAATTTGCCTCCGCGCGGAACGAGAGGTCAAGACGGACCAAATATCGCACGGGCGAGTACCACCCAGGCCTCCATTGATCTATGAGACATTCGGGTCTGTGTGCCATCATCATACGACTCACGCAGTTTCCGGAGACGAACCAAGGGGCTTTCTTCCCGCGAGTCAAGCGGGTTAGGTTCGACGGAAGAGCCCCACAGACACCCATTCTCCACCAGCTTGATCCATGGAACCATGGTACCGCCACAGACTAGGGGTTGACAGCACGACCTTAGCAGTTCAGACGAAAAAACAACGTAAAAACAAGAAAAAGCTCCCTACTACACATGTTGCCCACCGCATAACTCCGAGGTCCGAAATGGGAAATCAAGTTGCTGTACCACCGTATCTTTGACCTGGTCTGCAGTGACGGCCCAAAATCTGCCGGCTGCCCGCTCGTCTGCGCCGGAGAATTAGGGAAGACTCCCCGTTCCTGACCCGTTGGAATTGAGTGGGTATCACGACCATGCCGATAGGTCGCACAGCAATGCGGACTCGAGTTGCAGGGGAAGGGATTTGGGTCTGTGATGCGGTATGAAAATGCGAATAATCTTTGACAAACAGGCTGCGCATTCCCGACAGAGGGCGATTGGCAGCGGTCCCAGCATCGTCCGCCCAGGTCTCGGGGGCTCCTCCTCCAGTCCTCTTCATGACCATCCGCCCATTCCGTTCTTGCAGCTGACGGACACACGGTGAGCCATCCTCGATGCACCTGTAGTGCAGGCTGGCCAGCTGTCCTGATTTCACCGGCCGGGGAGAGGGCGCGCGCATCCGGAGGATTCGGGATTCGTGGAGAGCGATGCAGTCAAGTGGGCGGAGCGGTGCATGAATGACGAGGCTGGAAGATATTTCTCTCCCTCCCTTTCTGCATGTGCATGAGAAAACACCACAGGCAAGGTGTGAGTGGGAAAAAAAGTGAGTGTGTGCTGTGTGGGCCCGCACAGGGGGAAGGAGGCATCATCACGCAGGGAAAAAAAAACCATGCCCCAACACATCAGCAGAACACCACCAGAAGGAGCATCAGTAATCCGCCAAAGAGTTTTCCTCTGTCTCAAGCCAGCAAGGAATTCCATCGAAACATGAAGCAGAGATAGCCGCCCAACAAAAGAAAAAAAGAGTTCGCCAAAGAAAAGGAAAAAGAAAGGGAAAGGATCAGAACCCGCCGGTGCCCCGGCCAAATCCAGCAGCCGGCTGCTGAGGGAATAATTGACCTGGATAGACGGTGGAGGATCGGGGCTGCTGGTTCAGCGTCTTCAGAGCGACTTCGGCAGCGTCCTCTTTGGCATTGTTGATGTACTGGCCATCGTACCAGTAGCGGGCGGCGATGTTCTGGCCTTGAACGGTGACGGTACTCGACCAGGCGGTCCGACCTCCTGCATTTCCGACGCAAGGGCAATCAGCATCCGCTGTCAAGCTCGGAACTAAAAGTCGGTGTGTACAGGGTTCTGGGAGGAGAAGGGGGGGAAGGACTCTGCAGACTCCACCCTGCAATGCTGAGACGCGCTGAAATGCGCGAATGCAAAGAGTAGACGAACCGGAGGAAATGGGACAGGGAAGAGTGAGGCAGGGAGAAGCAGGAATAAGCAGGAATAAGCAGGACGGAAGAAAGGAGGTGGGAAGAGAGACTCCACGTGGTTGGGATTCTGCAGGCAAAAAAAACACGGGAACAAGGAGAAACCAGGGGAGAAGAGAGAGAATAGGTACCTCGCCGATCGGACACAATGTTGAAGATAGGGGGAGCTTGTTTGGTTCGTCTGCAGTGTTCTTGGCTCGAGTCAGTCCACCGTCTAATCGGATCTTCGCTCCTGGAGCGGATTTGCCCATTTACCCTGAAGTTGATCCTGCCAGCTAGGGCGGCTGCCCGGGGAGCCTGCTTGAGGGCTAGTGGGGAGAGACATTGTTGAGGCGGGGCTGAAGGCGAAGGCAATGAAGCAAAGGATCAAGAAATGAGGGCCAATGAGGGATAAGAAGTCGAATCGGATGAATTAGGGGCGGTCGACGGGAGGTTCGGAGAAGGCGAGAAGCAAAGATGGAGAGGAATTGAAGTAGATAAAACGAGGGTTGACAAGGGCAATTGAGCAATGTCTCAGACACACAAGATTCGGGACAATGAAGGCTCGCGAGAATATAGATGAAACTCTATAGATAGGCCGATATAGATGGAGACGTGTACCGGGATGGTGTATCGAGTAGGAGGTCGGACTATAGCATAGCATGCATATATTGCAGATGAGTATAGCAGGATAGCAGGATAGCAGGATAGCAGACAGAAAGTATAGCAAAGCAGTGATATGAGAATGGAATAGAATCCAGTTGAAGCTCAATGGACCCGGACGTCTGGTGTGACCCTTTTTAAATCTCGAACGGCCTTCGGCGCGGGGAGGTCATAGGTCATATAATCACAGTGGGCCGTATCGCTCCAAAAAAAAATAGATGAAAAAAAACCGTTCTCGGCGGGGGAATGATGCCACTGAAAAGAGAAAAGATTTTTTTTTCCATTTTATGATGACAGTCCCCCTGTGACAAACATGGAGCCTAACCGTCAAGCCTAGCGGAACGGACTTATGCAGGATGCTGGGTCATGACACAGCGTCAGCCAGGTCCCTCTCCCCTCCCTCCTACTCCACCAGTGAAAAGATCGGGGCGGGATGGGACATGCGGATCATTTTGAGGCTGCACTGGAACGGCCCGGCGCACGCCTGCCAGACCAACCCTTGGGAAAAAGACAGAGCAGTAAGGGTGAACCGGTGGACTAGGAAGAAGTGGTCCTATTCAAAGGATTGACAGCTTGCAAATCGAGCAGGAGGGGCGGATGTTTCTACTTGCAGTTCCGGTCTATGGGTCGAATGGGTGACAGGCCTATCCACTGATCCACCGTGATGATGTCTTATTTTTTAGGATTTTTGATTAAATTATTTTCTGTGGGCTTTCAAATGTCATTGATTCTTGGCCTGGATCTTCTTCAGGCAAGGGCAGAGACTATTGGAGCTAAGTTTCGGCAAGGTCACCGAAATCCTTGAGACCGAGAAATTCAAATCATATGAAAATTATATATATAGATATATCTCCATTAAAGTCAAATAAATTGGGGACTAGAATTAAATTGGAAATTAAATGAGAATCATAACGAACATGTCGGGCATGTTCAAACCTGTCGGGAGCCAGGGTGGACGCAGATTGGATAGGAAAAGTGAACAACTCAGAGCCCTCCCCCCACGTTGGTAAATCTGGGAATTTTTTTTTCCTCTTCTCGGAGCCCCATCCCTGCCTCATCGACCAGGCATAAGATTGAATCCCCGCTAAGGGGCGTTAGGGGCGTCAGAAGAGCTAGGGGAGTGCGATGCGCAAGAGGTACGTCAGGTTAGTGTGAGGTACGGGAGGCCCGGGATGTGCGCCTGAGGCTAGATGAGTGAGGTTAGTGCGCGCATGAACAACCACATCGGCGGAACACCTTCTGGAACAAACCCCTGTAGCAGCCCATGAGATATGAGGTATAGATGGGGTCGACAAGCACCATTGCGAGTGTGGGTGAAGAGTTGGCCGGACCTCGGACGATCTGTGCCCAAAGTGCGGGCAGGTAGGGCTAGTGCCCCTCCCTCCCCACCACTTTCTGCCGGGAAAGCATTATTCTTTACCACTGTCCTTCTGCCTTTTCCTGTCGAGAGCTGCCCAAAGTACCGAAGTACAGTTACTGGCATATGAAGTATGAAAATAGAACTTAGGGTTCCCTTTTCCGATGCTATACTACCATCATCACCACAGACCTCCCGAGCCCACGGAGGTTGGGCTGGAAGTCTAGCAATTCTGATGCCAACGCATCAAATGGAGAATGGATGAGATCACAATCATTCAGAGATTTCGCTTTGCGACCTCTTTCAGGTAGTATTTTTTTTGGAATTTCCCTGTGTTTTTGGGGTTTTTTTTTTTTTTTTTTTTTTTTTTTTTTTGACTTGCATAGGATCATTTGAGTGTTTCTAGTCGGGATTTGGACCTCCACAGTCAAGATGCTGCCTCCGCCTCCCATCGCTGCAGGACTCGTGAACCACTTGGGAGTTGTGGGCGTTGCCAGCTGTTAACAGTTCGCAGTAGCTCACTCAAAAGAGAAGCAGGGACCAGCAAGCAATCGTAGAATCATTCTAGTTTCAACTGCCTACTGTATGAAATTCCGCCCCAAACAGGGTCAGGAACTTCCTTAGCTCCTCCCTCGGAACCACCCTATCAGTCATGTCGCCCTACTCGTTCAGCCTGCCACCCGGACCAGGGTTTCTCTTTTCGCCTCGCAACGCTGACAACCCTGACCCTGCATCTCAATGATTTTTTTTCCTCGTGCAGCATCCAGCATCTATCAACGAGCCATTACACAAGTTCCTACGGTTCCAGTCGGAAGAGACGGGCGTGATTCGCCGCTTCCCTCTGGCCCCGGGGTTGGGCATACATACATCGCTAGGGGAAGCACTCTGATTCCCTCCCCCCCCCCCCCTCCCTTCTGTTTGGGTTCCCTCCAACAGGCAAAGAGCCGAGAAGAAGCAAGTCATGGTGCCGTGGTTCCCATGTCCTTAGCAATGCGGCTAAACATAGCGTCGTGCTCATGGTGACGCGAAAACAGCCGACGATCGGGGAGGGGTGTTTGCTGCTGGTCTGGCCTCGGCCGGTTCAGCTCGCCCCCCGACAAGCGCCCGAGTCCGCCCATGCCCCGCACAAGCTTACCTTAATGTGCCCCCTCCCTTCTCCCCGAGGAATGTGTCCCCGGGCCAGCGAACTCCCCCATTAAGCCCCTAAGGCCCCAAGGCAGCTCCGGCCCAAGCCCGAGCTGAAGCTTGGGCTCGTCAGTCCGGAAAATGCATGTATATCCTGACGAAACAAAATATAGAAAAAAAAAAAAAGACTCCGGGTGGTAAAGCCAGAAGTCCCTTTAGCCCCGACAAAAAGATTCATTCCCATCCAATCGTTCCCCCAAGCGATCATCTCCCCGAGCTCCGCATTACTGACATGAGGTCGTTCCACCCGCCCCGTAGCTCTAGCTAGGAACTACCAGGAACTAGACCCAGTCTCAGCCAGGCGCTTGCGTTTCCCGTTTGATCACACAGTACGGAGTACTCCACATAGACCTATTGCTCTTCTCTTGGTCTCTCTCTACCACAATGTGTCTATAGCTCTCACGTGGTTCAGTGCGTCACCTGGATCGATGCAGACCGACATCTTCATTCTGAACCTAGAATACTGCTGTTTTGAGTCGGTGTACACAACCCCCCCTCCCCCAATGCACCCAGTAGCCAATGCAAGCATCAAAATCAAGTCATCTCTCAAATAACACATCACACATACATCCTCGGCCAGGATGTCCAGGACAAGGAAAGCCAGAAAGCACAGCAAGAAGCAGCGGTCAAGTCGTAGCGACCGCATCGGCAGTAGAGCAGCGCAGGACAACAATGCCATATGTATGTACACGCACGTCTCCAGGCGTCCCAGAAATACCTAGATCACTGTGAGGGCATAAGAAAAAGGAAAAGAAGAAAGAAACTAGGATCAATTCCCAAAATGTGTATTAACAAAAAGCCTGCGGATAAGGACACGGAGAGAAAGGGGAAGAAAGAGGGTTAGGAGGGTGAGAAAACAACACAGCGCCTCCTATCCAGAACGGTGGAGCCAAAGAAAAAAAAAATAACACCATGAAAAATAGAGAAACGGAAGGAACTCCACCTGTCGTCCATATTCCCAGATGCAGATACCACGAAACACAAGCTAAATGGACAACACAAACCCTAGTCCCCTCTGCACTGGCCGTCCCCGAGCCGCCAATTTATACAGCTATAGCCGGGGTGCAATTGCGTCGTTGTCAAGAAGCCACGACACCCCCAGAGATGCCCAGGCACCACGTTTCCCACGCTCTAGATCTCTGATGCATTATCACCCAACCACATGGCATGAACTATAGCCGGGTTCGGGGATCAAAGGGGCACAGCACCGCCAGCCACATGCCCAGATTCTGCGAGCCAGGGTTGGGTACAGCGTCATGGAGAAAGAGGAACCAAAGTCAAAAAGAAAATAAAGCAACCCCCGAGGCCAAGGAACCAAAAATAGAACAAGATTCTTTGTCACGTAAACCTGTCGTCAAAAGGGATCATCCAGAACGCAGATGCAGATGCAGCTCCAAGGCCCAACCAGACTAAATTCTCCCAAAACGAAAAAGAAAAGAAAAGGAAAAATTTGACCCAAATTTAGAAAATGCAGAAACTAGTCAGCCAACTCATAGGTCTCATGATAACACATACTGGCCCCAGAGCAGCAGGGGCCTGAAGTCTCGAATGCCGAGGATCGACGCTGTTACGCTGTTCATTTCGTTTTCTCCTCCCCTGGCCACGCATCAATGCAGCAGGGGCCATTGGGCGATTCGTTCGGGATCGGTGCCGTCAGAAGAAAAGAGAAAAACAAAAACAAAAATACCATGCCTGCCCCGCGCCCGGGTAAATCACATAACGCATAACGGTCCCTAGGCGGATCCGCGGCGTTGAAGGACTTCGCCGATCAGGCGGCGCGGGCCCATGCGCTCCAGGCTGCGTGTGAAGGAGGATCGTGCGGGGAGGTTCCACGGTCGACGATCGTGGTGCCAGCGCCGGCGGATGCAGTCGTCCACTAGGGTGGCCAGCCCGGTTGCGACAATCACGCTAGATGTGAACCGCTTCGTTAGCCTCACTATCGCCCTGCAGCTAGGAATAATGCAAGTGATGAAAGTGATAGGAGAGGGGAGGGGAGACCGGCGTAGCGCGGTGCGCCCCCAACGGCGTCGCGCAACCCAACCGAGATCCCCGAGCCCCAGGTAAAGAAGCGAGAGAGCAGACGGCCCAACGCGAGCCGGGGGGATTAGGGAGGGAAGGGAGGAGAACTAAGTGCAACAATGCCAGGGTATAGACAAAAAGACACAAAAAGATAGAGCGCGCCGCGCCATCGGAGGGAAGGTGGGACTTACTCGGCAACGTCGGGCATCCGCTCGTACACGGAGGGGTCGTTGATCCACAGCGAAGACGGCGGTACCCAGCCGCCCTTGCTCTCTTCCTCGACTGCCTCCAGCGGCGTCAGGATATCCGGCACCAGGTGGGCGATGGTGCGCGACGTCCGTGTGTCCACTAGGTAGTATGACACCTCGCGCAGGTCGCCTTCGCGCCGGAACTCGCGCCGCCATTGGTAGCGCGAACCCCAGTACTCATACTCATAGCGCTTGGTCGCGCCGGGCCCGCGCCGCTTCACCTCGACATGCGCATAGTTTGAGAACTCGAGCAGCATGGTGTCGCCTAGTGTGCGCTCGCCTTCGTCATCTGGGTCACCGGCCCGCGGCGTTGTGCTCGGCTCGACATTTACGTCGCCACCACTCGAGCCTGGCCGTAGACTGGCAAGCATACTGCTCCAGGAACGGCGGAAAACCGGGCGACGGTCTTGTGAGGCGCCGGCTTCGCGGCGCGTAGAGTGGCATACTTCTCGGCCGGAGTCCCGGCAGTAGCGGCGCAGGGAGAAGCGCCGTGAGAACAAGTCGTGCATGCGCAGGTGGAATAGGATCACGTCCTGTTGGTAGCCGTCGCGGCAGGGTACAACTGTGTCAACACGCAGATTCATGTTGCCGTCGAGAGTAGCGTCGTCGTGGCGAATAAGCAGCCGCCTCGATGAGGGGAAGAGCCCTGCAAATGATGCCGGTGTTGACGCGAGGGCATCCGTCATGAAGTTTTCTTGCCGGTCATCGACTTCGTAACGTGGCTCCTCCGGGGCAACTTTGGTGGTCGAGCGGGTGGTTGAGGCGTAGGTTGACACCGAGTCGCGAGGGTCTGGGTCGTCGGGGGTGTCAAGCTCATCGATATACGCCTCCGGTTCCTCGATGTACTCGAATCCAGGCCAGTCCTGATATTTGGGCCCGGCCACGGTGTGTTCACTGAACACGGTAGGTGCTGTGCTTTTTGAGTGCCCTGAAGCATCTGTTTCGGTGGAGCTAGAACTGCCGCCGCTTCCTGAGCGGTCTTGGCGGGCTTTATAGGAACCCATGATGTATAGGATTGGGGGGGGGGGGGGGGGGGGGGGGTTTAAAGGATGTTATGAGTTTGCGGGTGAGTAAAGGGAGGTCTGAGAAGCTTTGTGAGGAAGGTGGAAATGTAAGTACTCGGTCGAGAGTCGGAACTGATCGTGATCGACCGAGTTGATATTGAAGAACAGAAATGTGTATACCCAAAGTTGAGGATGAAGGATCACGATCCCCACAAGGGAGGATTTGCGGTCGAACTGACGGCACGATGGTCAGATGAGATCACGTTTCAGACGATCGGGAAGCCAGGTCTCTGTCCGTCGATTTGGCAAAAAATTAAATCGAGCCGGTTCAATTGAGATAAATCAGTCAATGATTCTAGGAAGGCGTAGCCAAATTCCCATGACGCAGTGACGGTATGGAAGGAATGGGGTAGTATCCAGATGTTCGAAGGGATAGAACGTCAACGGCCACCGATCACCCCACGTTCTCAGAAATGCCGGTCGAGGATCGTTTGATTTTGTTCTTGCGTTCCTTTTCGATTGGATGTGATCCAGGGGAAAGGAGGAAGATATCGGGAAGTCGAGGAGAACAGGCGTCTAGGGCCCTGGTCAACAATCATATGACAGATAGAATGCTGACGGTGATTCTCGGGAACCCGAGAAGATGCTGGCGAGGAGCAGGGATCGAAGATTCCTCGGGGCCAGCAAAGGGAAAGAAAAGAGAGGATATAGGATATACTATATCCGCTGAAGAAAGAGTTGTCTCTTAAGTTGATGAACTGGTTCGCCTGTCTGGGGCCCAGTGGTCAGACTATTCTTCCGAGAAATGGCCTTTTGGTAGTAGAGACACACGAGCAGGGGCCGCCTTCCGCCTTATGCACTGGTGTCACCAATATCAAGCTGGGAAGAGAAAAAAGAAATTAAATGAAAAGGAAAAACGAAATGACCGGGAACATAGAATGTGGGCAAACGGGCTGGACGTGTCAGACTTGCCCCGATCCCTGATGCTGGGTAGGAGCTAGAAGGGGAGAAGCGAACCCCACGACTTTAGAAGCTTGGAATGGAACAAGGAATGCAGCGCGTCATCTGGGTTTGGAGGGGCGGGGTGCAGAAATTGCGAGGAGAGAGTGTGCGAGAAGGAGGGTTTGAGCGAGAAGACAGGATCGCCCTGAATGTTGAATGGTGGATGTGGATGATGCAGGAGCAGGAAGAGCATGAGGATTCGGTACCCGAAATAGGTTGTTGGGTACCTGTTTAGGGACGCGGTGTTTTGGGTACATCGCGGATACTTCAGGACGATGCGCGGCATAAGCTTCGGGCGCTCTTGTGCTCCAATACTTTATGGCTCGAGCGTGATATAGGTCGTATCCTGGATTTCCGAAGTATACTCGGCTCGGTATATACTTCGCATCCTGAGTACTCTACTCTAGCTCTAATTCCCGCCCTCCGATGGCCGGGGCATGATTCCCACCTATCTTCGCCATATCCTGCTATGCTCGACAATATGTTCCACTGCTCTATTACATCTGATCAGCCCTCCAATCGAGCTGGACCCTCAACCACCACAAACCAGCACATCCTCGCGTCGTACAGCCCCATATCGGGCTGCACCGTCCCACGAATCGCCCAGAGAAGAAGACAGGAAAACAAAAAACCAGCACCGGAAGGGCATTGTCCATTCTCCTCCTACCCACTTGCCTCGCCAGTGCTGTCTTTCCCCTCCAAATGGAACCTATAGGACTCTATGGATAAAAACGACCATGTCCCCACCAAAGTACTCCGCCTGAAGAATCACGACCGAGAGGGGGTGGACGGGCCTCGAGGGCGTGGGCTTGGGCGGTGTGTCGGCCCCCGATTCGTCGCCGCTCCCCCTCCTTGCCCGCCGGGGCCTGCACCACCCAGAGCCAGTCAGCGTGCGCGGGGCCGGGGAAGGGCAGGCGTCGGCGGAGTCTAGACACTCGAGAAGGGGTCGGCGATGTGGTGATAGGCTCGCGACCAAGACCAGGCGACTGTCCCGAGGCCTTGTTTTGGGTATGTTGGGTTCACGGATTGGGTCAGGGTCTGATCGGCGCTCGGGCTTCGAGAAGAGAAACCGAATGTGGACAGTCACTCGAGACTGGGGTCAAGAGATGATGACGAAGTGTGGGAGACCAGCAAGGTCGCCGGTCCTCGGCGAGCTTTACATCGGGCGTTTTCGTGTTATTCATGCCTTTCGTGCGGGAGGTAGTCGTCACGTCCAGCCCGTCAACCGCGGAGAACGTCATGCTGGAGCCGGTGGACCCGCGGTCCGGTCCGGAACCGATCTTGCCAGTTGCCTAGGTTCTAACAAGGACGTCCATTCACTGGGGAAACCACTCCAGGGTAGACCTGATATACTAGATGCACTATCAGAGTTTTAGCATGCGTCCTGGGCAATTACGACCTTCGCTGCTGGCCAGACTGCGCCTGCGCCTGCGCCTGTTCTTGTCATGCGACAACAGACCTTCAACACGAGATGGCCTCGCGGATCGACAGCCGATAGCCGACATGATATTTTGCAAATAAACTAAATTTCCGACTGACTTAGGAGAAAAGAGGCCGGTTGCAAGTACCCCAGTAGACAGGGAGAACCCTATGCCCCTGACAGCACGTGCACGGGATCGGGTTGCCCCGTGTCATGAACATGAAGCGAACCCCATGTGGAGAAGAATCCGCATGACGAGGATAGCATCAGGAGCCCCAGTGAACTATCTCGGTCGTAGACACGTCAGTCAGGGGAAGGATATAAAGACCACAGCGGTTCGAGACCATTAAGACGGTGTCATTCCTGAATCAAATATATTGAGCGCCTCTGGAAACACTTCTGTCTCATCGGTGGGGGATGAGTGACGACATGGATCGTCAGATCCAGGTGCACGGACGGCTTTGACTGCAGATCTGATGGAGACATGGGGCCACCGAGGTAGGAGGAATCCCCCGATTCAACGGGTTTGATCTGATGGATGATCAGAGAGTATTTGTTGAGACGAGGTTATTCAGGATGGAACCGTAATCCATCCCGAAACCGCCTGGCTAGAGTTGGCCAACTGACCGCTACGGGCAAGTGACGGAATTGGGCACGCGGTGACTTCAATTCCGGAGCGGACCTCGGCAGGGACAATCGTCTCTATAAATTTCTTGCCCATGCATATTATGAGTCACGGAAACCGCAATCTGATAATCTGGTATCCCAAGGGAGAACAAGAACAAGTCTCGCACGTATATGTGTATAAACGTAATTAACATATCAACGAATCAACCCCAGAACCAGGACCGGACTCGAACACAAGATGAATCTCATCTAGAATTATATGGCGATCAGCCCAACGGAGACCTCGACAGTGTCCTCCTGTATAGAAGAAAAGACCCGCTATATTCTATCCATTCTAGTACGCACTCAGACTGGGGAGTGCCGAGTGAGAAACTCGAAGAAAACGAGGGGAAGCCGGTCAAGACATCCTCTTAAACCTGTGCATAAAGAGGTTGGGGCAGCTCCTCGCCAGGCTTGATCAACTCCTCCGCACGGCAGGTGGGATGGGTGATGAGTCCAACTCGGGTCCCTGGTGCGGGAGGTCGGAATCCAACATAGGCTTCTCGGCGGGCAGGGTTCCCGACAGTGACGGACCAGGTATGAAGCCCGTAATAGGAGGCGATAGAGTGCACTAGCCAACGACTGAAGCAGGGTTAGTGCTTGATTTGGATAAAACATGCAGAAGAGAGCACTCGAGAAACTCACCCAAACCCGGCTGCCCGGTCCTCGACGAGACTCTCAAACACCATCTTCTCACCATCCCGCTCGTGGTGTGAACTCATCTCGTCCCGCAGCTGCTGGAGCTTTCGCTTCCGCTCCGGCGAGTCATGCATTTGACCGTTCCGCCCGACAAAGACAATCTCGTCTTCTGAGTCCTCGCTGGCCGATACTTCAGGTGCATCCTGCAGGCCCTCCGACTGGAGGTACAGCTGCTTCTCGTTCCACTTACAAATAAAGAGCCGGATCTCGTCTTCCAGGTCCTGGAGCATGCCGCGCGCGGCACGGGCGTGCTTCAGTTTCAGTCGGAGCTCTTTGGGAACACGGTGTTTGGGGCTGGGGGTCTTTGCGTTCTTGCGAGCAGACTGATGGTCGGCCATTTTGGCGTAGTGAACGTCCCACAGCGGCGCGAGATAGTAGGGCATCGGATCGTGGCGGGGATATGTAGGCTTGATATCCCAGTCATTCGGGGATGGGGGCTCCGCCCACGGGTTGTGCAGCAAACGGTCTTGCGGGCTCATCAGCATCGTGTCTCATTTGAGCGAGTCGCTCTCATCGTGTCATGGGATCCGAGCCCAGGGGGAGGGGAACGTCATGGGACAGGTGTGAGGACCGGCATCATGACCTCCACGATAAGGCAGGGAGGGGAGGGGGGGCGCAACGGCATACCATTTTCCCAGCGCTGTCGTCGCCGACTTCCATCTTTACCCTTGAGCAAGGCCTCGCGGCGCTTGAGACTGTCACGCCGGAGGGGCTCGCGACGGCGAAAGCTCACGGTTGGGGGCGAGTCTCGGCCGGGCCGAGGACCTTGACTTGTTGTGCTGGCGCGGGGAGCTGGTCGTCGAGAGGAATGGAGAGAGCGACGGTCGCTCCGAGCAAGCTGGACGGGGGCTGGGTGGTTGTGGCATGTCGGCCGGTCGTCGAGTCCGAGAGGGTAAGATCCTGCAATGAAGCAGTGGCCTGTTCGGTCCACGCGGAGATGGCCATGGTCTGCTGTGGCGACAGGCTCCCGGGGAGGCCTGGGGTCGTAATCGGGGATGAATGGCCATTATAAAGGATCACCAATAAGAATATATATATATGAAGAATTCCTATACTCCAACAAGCAACGAGCCACGGGGGGATAAGAATGAGGGAATCCGGGAATCCGGGAGGAGAAGGGAGGTCGATAAGGTCGATCACGATAAAGAGCGCGTTTCCCCCTCTCGCGACTGCACGAGACTGGCACGCGACGCTGATTGGTGGAACGCGGGCCAGTCACCCGTCGCGGGCCCGCCCTAGCCCTATTTGCCCGTTTGGGCAAGATTGGATCTTGGCAATCGACCAGGGCTGAACGTCCCCCGTTGGACCCAGTCCGACACTCTCACTGGTGGACTCTCTCACTCAATATGATCTTTCGAATGACTGGGCCTGATAAACACCGGAGACCTGGTTTATGGACCCCACGATCCGTGGACCACTAGCGAGAAAACGGGAACGAATGCGAATCTGGAACCGGTCTAAGCCTCGCGCCCCCTCTGACCTGCGGCGGTGTTTTTTGATCATGTTCTCTATCGCTCCTTCCGACGAACCCGAGGTTGGCTTATCTCCGCAGGGCAGTGAGTCACGTCCCAGACGAAGTGGAGCTACCCGACTCCACTCTCCAATCCCCGCGCGAGGAGACAGGACGGTCCGAGGTGATACAGGATGACTCCTTTGAGGTCGGAGGGTTGAGGAAAGTGTAGGGTCTTCAACCCTTGGGGGCCGAGGGGGGGAGGGAGAGAAGCGAGGCCTGCCGGAGAACAAGGGATAGCATAGTTGATGTATCACTGGTTCCTGGGCGATACAGGTACCTGAGTGACCCCCCTCGGACTTACATAGCCGCCGGTTATTAATAAATTCCTCAGCGGGTTCGAGTTAGCGCGGGGCCGAAAGGGGCCAAGGGCAGCCTGACCCGCGATGGCCCCCAAAGCCTTGCGGCTGTACTCTTGCAACCCTCTGAACCTTCGGGCCTACACCCTGATTCTCCACCTACAAAACCCTGACACACCCCGTGAGCTGGAGCTTCAGAGCTGCATCTTTCCTCGTCCGTGTCCCTATACACCATGAAGTTCTCCACCTCGGTCGCGCTCAGCGCCACCGCCTCAACTGTTTTGGCTGCGATCATTCCTCAACAGGCACCACTCGGCCCGTCGATCGTTCAGAATACGCAGCAAGCCAAGTGGTTGATTGAATTGGCGCCCTATCAAACCCGATGGGTGACCGAAGAGGAGAAGTGGGCGTTGAAATTAGTGAGTCTCCCAGGCCCGTTGACATCCCAATCTACATGCATGTTCCCAGTCGACTGACCGCCAATGTGCGCTTTCCCTCTCCACAGGACGGCGTTAACTTCATTGATGTCACTGATGAGTTCCAATCTGGCTCCTATGGCGCGCTCCACACCACTCGCGTCGTTCGCTATCCCGTCGAGATGAAGCACGTGCAGGAGGTCGAGCCGCTGACCAGCGACTTGTCCAAGAGCAACATGAGGCAGAACCTGGAGGACTTTACGTCCTTCCATACTCGCTACTACAAGTCTCAAACTGGCATCGAATCCGCCGAGTGGCTGTTTGGCCAGGTTACTCAGGTCGTCCACGACTCGGGTGCTGCCGAATACGGGGCAACTGTCCAGCGCTTCGACCACCCGTGGGGCCAGTTCAGCATTATCGCACGCGTTCCCGGCCAGACCAACAATACCGTTGTGCTGGGTGCCCATCAGGATAGCATCAATCTTTTCCTCCCCTCCATTTTGGCAGCGCCCGGGGCCGACGACGACGGCAGTGGTACCGTCACCATTTTGGAAGCGCTTCGGGCCCTGCTGCGGTCTGAAATTATTGCCCAGGGTCACGCTCAGAACACAATCGAGTTCCACTGGTATTCCGCCGAGGAGGGTGGTCTGCTGGGCTCGCAAGCCGTCTACTCACAGTACAAGAAAACCCAGCGCCAAGTCAAGGCCATGCTGCAGCAAGATATGACGGGCTATGTGCAGGGTACATTGGACGCCGGCCAGAAGGAGTCGGTCGGAGTCATTGTCGACTATGTTGACCAGGGTCTCACCACGTTCATTAAGGAGGTGATTACTACCGTAAGTCTCTCTCTCTATATTCCATTTCCCACCCCCTGGATCTCCTTACACAAGATGAATTGCTAACCAGTCTCACCAGTACTGTGATGTCCCCTATGTCGAGACCAAGTGCGGCTACGCCTGTTCCGACCACGCCTCCGCCAGCCGCTTCGGCTACCCGTCTGCCTTCGTAATCGAATCTCAGTTTGAGAACTCAGACAAGAAGATCCACACCACCGACGACCAGATCAAGTACCTCAGCTTCGATCACATGCTGCAACACGCCAAGATGAGCTTGGCGTTCGCCTACGAACTGGCGTTTGCACCATTCTAATGTCGATTTAATTCTCTCACGGGCTTCCCAAGATGTTTTTTCCTATTTCGTTCCCTCCTGTTCTGTTTTCTGTTTCGGCGTTTTGCGAGATATACCTATGGGCATCCTTTTTTTCCATTATTTTTTTGTCCGGTCTTTTGAGGGCCCCTCCAGGCGGAAGGGGTCGAGCTCGAGTGACGATTGCCGCCCCAGGCTGCATTGCCTTTTGCGCCAGGGCTAGGTCGCGTCCCACCAGAGATTCCTATACCCACTATAGTCTAATTGAATCCTCACCCTCGCCCCTCTGACTTGGTGGGTCTGATATCTAAATTTTTTCATCATTGATCTTGGCATCCCTGTCTTCCGCGTCTTGCATAATTTGAAACTGGACTCTTGATATGGGGAAGTCAATGAAAATGCATAGCAATAAGAGTCTTGCCCATTCTAGAATAATCATGATCATTGATGTTTTCACTACCATTTAATGTTCCTGGCACGTAGTCGGTCATTCTCATTCATACCCCGTCCTATGTACGCAGTAGAGGAGAATTTTATGCAGCCTGGTCAACTCCAGATCGCGGAGACTTGGATCACAGGCTGGAATTTTAGTCGTAGCTTCATATTATGGAAAGACCCGTCCCCGTAAATCAATACTTTTGCGTATCGTTATCATAGAGATTCGCAATTCTTCCATGTACATTATCTTCTATCAAGCCAATCGTTTGAAACCTCAATACCACGGGTCAGCTTCTGGCTTTTCAGGCAAGTGAAGAGGTAATGCCGAAAATTATGACTGCCGGAGGCCTGACTAGTCACAAAATAATACATTGTTTTTTTTTTCGCTTTGCCGAAAGAGCCCATCTAATCGTAATAAGATACTCTGATTGCAACATAGCCGAACCCCAAGTTTGGTCCGAAAATAAGACCCAGCAGACCTCGTCCTGCGATTCGGCGAATAAAGCGAACAGAATTCCACTGATGCTCTGGCAGGCCAATGCAACACTCCCAGAGAATCTGCTTGAGCCAACAGGTCGGCAAGCGCCAGACTTACGCAAGTACAACAGAGAACGCCATGTTCCGCAAGCTGCTCTCTTGCATAATGCCTGGAGTGGAAGCAATTAAAAGCCACGCGGCAAAATAATCCGTGGCATCCCACTGCCTTAGCGACATAGTTTCCGGCAGACCGGTTACCTCGTTATCGGTGATTAACAAAACCCTACTCTTCTGATTCCTTGTGCGACCATGTATCCACATTCATTTCGTTACTTGATTCAAGCAAGCTGCTTCGGCTTTTACATAGCGCATATTGCGGTTTTTGTTGGGATAGGACCTGTGATGCAAGGAGTCTCCATATCAATGAGCCTATCTAACTCTTTCAAAGCTGATGTTGCGTCAATGATCACTATCAGGTCGATGATCAATTCACCTGTTGCATAAATCATGTATAACAATCTGAGTGCACATTTACAAAGGCGAGCGAGCTGTGATCGATAGACTCGTGCTTAGGATAGGGTCCTAGAGTAGCACAGGCGACCTTGCTATTGGTCCCAGGCGATCGAGATAGGCATAGCGTTTTACGGCATCAAGACTGGTACCATCATAATGCTATCATCCACGCCACTTGATAACCGGGAAGTCGGTGACTCCGTTCAATTTCTCCCCTGTCCCGAGTCCATGGTCTTCTCCATTGCCGAAGAGCACAGCGCACGACATATACCGCACGGCAGGGTCTAGTCATGCTTCTTCTTCCTGTCTTACGCATGAACCGAGCAAGTTCTATGTTGCATAGACTGTTAATCATCAAATTATCTTCAGATACTACGATTGGAAGAACTGATAGCCCCAGGTCATCGGGTGGGTTGTTCTAGACTACAATTTCCATCAAGGGCATGCCGGCAATGCCCGAAATGGGACAATTGAGAAAGTTTATCGCCTAATCCAAACAGAGTCCTATGCAGAACAGAGTCACGAGCGATCTATGTTGTTGCAATGTACAACGGCCAGTAAATCAAGATTCGATCTACCAATATACCTTCCATGGTAATGACAAATAAAAAGCAAGGCTGTTAGGTCAAATTCGCCTGTTGGCATGACCAGAGGCTTTATAAATAAGCCTTGAGATTCACTCTGTAGAGTAGGAGGACTAGATAGAGCCATCGCGTTATTGAATTTCCAAAGTAAATTCAATTTATCTTAATGCTTGTCATTCTTTGACAATGAGCAGAGCACCTGCGAAAGAACACACCACACCAGCTCCTTCGGATCCTAGCCACCTGCCCCCAGAAGAAGGCATCCGCGGCTGGCTATGCCTCCTCGGCTCCTTCTTATGCATGTTCTGTAGTTTTGGGTTCTTGAACTCGTGAGTCTATTTTAACCTCCCCGCCAAACGACTAGAGTAAGTACCACCCAGGCTAATAAACTGATCATCTACAGTATGGGTGTTTTTCAAAAGACCTACGAAGAGACAATACTAAAAGGCTACTCACCGTCAAGCATATCTTGGATATCTGCCGTCCAATTATGTCTCGTGCTAGCCTTAGGTCCAATTTACGGTCGCATCTTCGACACCTACGGAGCTTCGCCGATTCTGTATCCCTGCAGTGTATGCTGCGTGTTGTCGCTTTGTATGACCAGTCTTGCACATGAATACTACCAGATTCTTCTTGCGCAGGGGCTATTATTTGGAATTGGAAGCGGGGGTCTTTTCCTTGCGGGTTCCCTTTCTGTGGGCCAATGGTTTGTTCGGCGACGAGGACTGGCCATGGGCATCACCAGCACAGGCAGTAGTCTCGGAGGCGTCATCTTCCCTATCTTCATGGATCGCATGATTCAGCTTGTCGGCTTTGCAAATGCAGCCCGTTACGCAGCTCTGCTGGTCGGTATTTTGCTGGTGATTGCTTGTCTCTTGACCAAAGCTCGGCTGCCTCGCAAAAAATGGGACCGCGACGTGAAGTGGTTTGATGCGAAGCTCTTCAGGCAAAATGAATTTGCTTTCTATACTGTCGGCGTCTGGTTTACACTGTGGGTTCACCAGGTTAATTTGTTATGTATGCCATAATCCATGTGAAATACTGATCCGCTTCTCTCAAACAGGTGGACCATGTGGGCACCGTACAACTACATCTCGACTATGGCGGTCAAGCAACGCTTCCCGTCTAGCTTAACTTTATATTTGGTTTCGATGATCAAGTAAGGCCGACTAGATATACTTTTGTTTACGTCTTATTCCAAATAGAGAAGCTAACTTTAGCTACTGTGCAACATCTATCCCCGGTCGAACGCTTCCTCCCTTCCTTGCTGACAAGTTCGGTCATTTTAACACATTTACTGCCAGTTCCTTTGCGTCTGGAATCGCCATTCTCACTTTATGGCTCCCATTCAATTACCACGTATCGCCTTCTGGTTTGATTGTCTTCTCGTTAATATATGGCTTCGTGAGTGGTGCCATTGTTGCGCTCTTTATGCCCTGTGTTGCCAAACTTGGTAAACTCGAGACCTTGGGACAGCGACTGGGAACCTTTCAATTCGTGATCTCATCGAGGTGCGTATAGCCAACAGATGAAATTTGTTACCTGTGTTCCACTGCGACTCTACTTCATGCATGCATCCTGGTGCTTCAACTGACCCTGGTAGTTGCTTAACTGGTCTGCCGACCCAGGGCGCTATTCGTGACCTACAACAGGACGATTACTCAGGATTACAGATTTTTGCAGGTTTATCGCTTCTACTAGGTAGTTTTCTTTTAGCAAAAGCAACGCGTTATCTGGCTAGGGACCGTGGGACTTGGAAAGTGTGAAGTCTTGCGAGCAGTGATGAGTGGTAGGTAGGGCGTGGTTGATGCATGACGGACAAGGTTGTTCTTCGGAGCAACGGCCATTCTGGTATTAGCAATCACAGCATATCTTGCAGTCAATTAAGGATCTCATAATCTGCTATATTTTCCTATTTTCCTTTTCCCTCTGTCTATAATGTATCTTCTTCCTTGGTCTATAAATATGATCTTCGGTAGCCCACGTGATCGACGTCGTGACACCGAAATGATCTGCAACAAGAAATATATTTTTGGAATTGCGGTTCACACCGTCACCAGCCGCCACATACTATCACCTCTGGATTCAGCGAGCCTGCTCGCGCACCCACCTGGACATTCAACCCCCACCCTCTCCTTCCCCTTCCCTCTTGCAACAGGGAGACAAGCTCACCACCAGTACAATTGCCTCGGAACCCACAATCTTGGACGATGAGCTCTCATTCCTACGCCAAAGAGCTCCACCTCGCGAGCCTTGCTGTCCAGCGGGCCGCCCTATTAACGAAGCAATTGCTGTCCGCCGTAGACAAGGGCTCCTTCGACAAGATCGATGCAACCCCAGTGACCATCGCCGACTTCGCCGCGCAAGCCTCGATCATCGCTGCTATCCACAACACCTTCCCAGACGACGACATCATCGGCGAAGAAGACTCCACCGCCCTCCGCGAGAACCCCACCCTCCTCGAACGAACCTGGGAACTGGCGACGACAGTGCACCTCGACGATGAAGCCAGCGAAGCCCTCCTCTATACACCACGCACCCGGGACGAGATGCTTGACCTGATCGACCTAGGCGCCAAGGGCCGCTGCGGCCGTACCGGGCGCGTCTGGACCCTCGACCCCGTCGATGGCACGGCCACATTCATGCAGGGCCAGCAGTACGCGGTGTGTCTGGCGCTCGTGGAGGACGGCACACAGAGACTCGGTGTGCTCGGGTGTCCGAACCTGCGCCTTGACGAGGGCCCTGTCTCCGAAGAGACTGTCGACCGCGACGGCCTCGGTCAGATGCTCGCCGCCGTGGCCGGCCAGGGCGTGACCATCCGTCCGATGGGTCCCGGCCAGCTCCTCCCGAGCAAGCCCCTCGTCGCGGTCGAACAGGTCGTCGACGCGAGCGCGGTGCGCTTCGTGGATACTCGTGCCGCGAGTTCGCATGACCTGGAATGCCATGGCCGGGTGGCCGCGCAGCTGGGCTGTCCATGGCCGAACCCGGTGGATCTCTGGTCGGCGCAGATGCGGTATATCGCGATTGCAGTGCGTGGCGGCTGCAACGCGTTCATCAAGGTGCCGCGCAGCGAGGACTATCGGTCGAAGATCTGGGACCATGCGGGCGGGATGTTACTGGTGCAGGAGCTGGGCTGTGCGGTGACAGATCTCGAAGGCCGGCCAGTGGATTGTGGACTGGGGCGGACGTTAGCGGATTGCCATGGCATGATTGTGGCGCCGGTATCGATTCATGCTCAGATCGTGGAGGCGGTTCGGATTGTAAGACAGACACGGTAAAACAAGGCATCAGTCATGGGTGCGATTTTTACCGAAAATAGAGGAAGGAAACGAAAAGCATTCATCGAGCAGGGCCAGACTGCTTTCAGAATCCTTCTGGTACATGCCCACCCCCGCATTGTACGAGGGGGCGTCTCCATCCCCAGTACTGCCGGATCATGTATACAGGCTTAATCTCGATCGATCTGGGGGGCTCGAGTATATCTACCCTACCTGAACGTCAGGCCGGTGTGGACCCCTGATACGTTCTGCCTCATATCAACATAATAGGTCAAATAACATCTAACCACACAACCTTACTATGAAATACAATGAACTGGCCAAGGTCAGTGTTGGAGCGTCCGAGCTCTTCCTTTCAGTTCTCCTGTATTGTGAGTCCGCGTATGTCGTCGTATGTCCAAGTACATTTGGGTTTTGTTTTAGCTTCAGCCATGGCCTCCCCCCTTGCCCCGCACAGTTCGCCGGGGTTCCTCGTTTGGGCTTTTGCTGACGGGGCCAGGCAAGTCCGCACGTTTGCTCTCAGACACTGCCAAGCCTATCGGGTTGCTTTATTTGTTCACGTATTCAGCGACTGGATATTGAGACGGCTTTGGATTTCCGTTACCATACGGCTATTGAGATTCGATCGATGTCCCCATGTTGTACAATGAGCGTTGTACTCTGTTCTTTCCAAGCGGAGTTCCGATGGCGTGCCAGTTCCAGGCAAGTCGCGCCCTCTATGTTTCTCTTTCTGTGGATTTCCCCAGGTTTGATCTTCGCCGGGCGGACCGTGCACTTAGATCGACGAGTCTCGGCCGGTTGTGCCGTTCAAGTTCCGCGCATGGGACGTTCCCCCCTGCGCAGTGTGCTTGCTGCCTTTTTTTTTTTTTTTTTTTTTTTTCTATTGTAGCTTCGCCCCTCCCTTCTTGTCGAAGATCCGGGAAGTCTGATTCCTGGCTGGTGTTCCGGTCGATGACGAGTGTCTGTGGTGCCCGACCAGGCCCCGTTTCGGGACGCCAAGTGGGTTTGCAAGACCGAAGAACCGGCTTTTGCGAGCTTTTGACGTGAGGACCGGCGCAGGCTCCGATAAGAGCGGATCCCGCGATAAAGCTGGGCCTTGACATCACCGCTGGAAAAGCATGAGGGCAAAGACATCATACAACCTCCCCGCGGATTCCCCAGTGGGATAAACCAATGGGTAGAGAGGACCACGGAAGCCGGACCTCTTCAAATGAATGGGATGCATTGATTGGAAGCGGTTGACCTCATTGTGCTGCCGCGGGGGGCGCCACCCCTGCTGCGCGACACGGTGAGTGGTTGGCTGGCGGGGTCATCAGACCGGGGATCGTCCGGTTCCGCCTGAAGGCGAGAAATTATTGGAATATTGCAAACGGGAATTGGCGAGTTGGCGGGGTGAGAGCCGGAAGGTATTCGAGGAATTGAAGAAGGAAATCTGGGATCTTCCTTAGTGGCTGTTCTTCTCAGGCGGTGCAGAGGGGGCAGAGTGGGAAGGGGAGTCAGGGAAGGAAGAAGCGTGGTGAATGGATGAAACGTGCCAGGTTTCCCGGCTTTGGGGCGAGGCCTTATTTCTGCTTCTGGGTTTCTCTTATATAACGCATTCGCGCCCCCGCTTCCCTGTCGTTCTTTCGTTGATTGTCTTCTGTAACTGTCCTCGCTTCCCCTCTGCGTCTCTCACGGCCGTCCATCATGGCTTCCTACAACCCATTTGCCCGGCGCGAAACTCATAACCCACATGCGTTGACTGTCTACCGCATCTTGGTCCCACTGACCTGGGCCCTGGTTGTCATCGTTGGCATCTACTACTCCGTCCATTCGCCGGATGATGTCAAGCACAGCCACAAGATCTGGAAGCAGGCCAACAAGCATCCCACGCCGTTCAGCCAACATACTACTGTTACTGAAATTTATTGGTAAGTCAGAGAAAGAGAGGGGAGAGCGCGCGTAAGGATCCCTGCAATATTTCTAATACTAAACGCACCATCCAGGATTCTCTTGCTTCTGTCTCAGCTCAGCTATGTCTGGCATCTGTTCTCCAAAGACACTGCTATCGTCGCTGCTGCCGCCAATGTGGCTACGCATTTTATCTTGAACAACCTGTTCACCTTCGCCTGGATCCTACTATGGACTCGCAACCACTTCTGGGGAGCCGAGATCATCCTAATCGCCCATCTGTTCAACCAGGCCATCACCTACTGGCGCTACACTGGCCTGCCTGCGTTTGTGCATATCCCCGCCGTCGCTGGCCCGTATGCCTGGACCTTGACCGCGCTCTTCTGGAATGGCGCCGTGGCAGCCCATAGCCACAATCTGCCTGGCCGCATTGTGGCCAACATCTTCATCTGGGTGATTCTCGTAGTGGGCCTGTTCCATATTGCCGTCCGCCAAGATTATGCGTTGGGCTATTGCCTGAGTTTCCTCACTCTGTGTAAGTACTCAGATCGACCCATACCCACGCACAGGATAATGTGACTTTGTCGCATGGCATTGTGATGAACCCTGTTAAGTCGCTTTACTGATATATGTATGCTGTCGTGATATAGCGTTGGCTCTCGAGCAAATCGGCATCAAGATTATCGCGCTGCAATGGATCTTCGCCTTTGTGATTTTTGCAGTCTTCCTGGCTACCTCGCTGTACGTCTCTAGCACGAAGTACTACGGCCGCGACAGTTTGTTCCGCCGCATTACCCATCCCGAGTCCACCGACCGCGAAAGACAGCCGCTGCTCAACGAGGAAGCTTAAGGAAAGTAGGATTGAAGTCTATTGCGGCAAGGAATTGTGCGCTTTGGATGGAGGAGAGTGAGAACACAAAATGGTGTGATCCTGGGGAAATAATTTGAGGGACACTTGCGCCAAATTGGATTGTGGTTGGTGGGAGGCTGCTGTTATTGTTCTCGTTTTGTCTCTTATGCTTAATGTCCCGCGGGGGCTATGCGCTTTATGCCCGTGATTAACGGGTCGGACGGAGAGCAAATCTCCACTCTTCTGATCGTTTTGCATGGAGATATCTAATAATACCACCGGGAGTCAGTCCTGTTGATGTATTTCCGAGTTCTAATGCATCTTGTTATTACGCTAAGCCCACAGCTGGGGCGTTACGCAATCCCGCATAGATCCACTCGGTGGAGACCATCGCATCGGATATGTTTACTGCACGATCCAAGATAATCAGTAATCGGGCTCGAGGGACTTCGAGGATGAAGCGAGCGTAAGGAAAGAAGATTATCCACCTACTATCCAATAAATATTATTGTGCTACGATGCCCATTCTGCCCAGCCTCCGATCTTCAAGTTAATAGGGCCCCGTGCAGGAACGGGGGTGAAACAAGTGAAGCGCCCTTGCAAATGCCGTTTCCATGGCAACCGCACGCCTCCACTTTGTTGATCGAAGCCGCAGTGGACGGATGCATCGGGGCCGAGACTGTTTGCTGTGACCGGCAGTTCCTCTTATTTCTTGATTTCCCCAGCTCTTCCACTTCACCAACTGCCTCGTGGACACTTTTTATTGATTACTTTCTACTTTCAATCGTCCCTCGAAAAGTTTTGGTGAGCTTGATCATTCCTCAACCCCCCACATTCCAATGCTCTTCCGAATTATGTATTAACGTCACAACGAACCTGTCAAAGACCTGCCACACGGTGTCTCAGTGCTGATACCACTAGAATTGTAGTCTGGGGTTTCCATCACGCAGCGTGTCTCATCTCTCACCGACCAAGTCACGGTCCCCATACTATGAGGATCTGAAGACCAGAATACTCCCGAACACATTCCGCGGCCGAACGCCATGAATCGTCACCCGCCGTCCAATTACGGGGATGAGCCCCCAGCCTACTTGGACCACGAGGCGGCCTCATATCTGTCCGACCAGGAGTCTCCAAGTGCGGCGTCGCGACACAATGGCGCAACCATGCGCTTGTTGCCGACCAGCGGCGACTTTGACACAGACTTGAGTGGCAGTCCTCGTGCTCCATCTCCGTCCAACTATTCCCGAGACTACTCAGATATCACTCCGTACGTATATGCTCTTCTATTCGTTCCCAGCCTTGTACCAGTGGAGCCTTTATTCCCCGACACATTCCAGTCGTTACCAATGCAACGATGCTCTTCACACGCTGTGCAGCCTCGGCGCGGCTGCCCAGGAATGGGTCCCACCATGAGACGCGAGTGTAGAAGGAGAGCTTGTCTTTGAGAGCTAGTTTGACACTGTGGCGTTGGCCTAAACAATGCGTACCTAGTACTTGTTTATGATATCGCCCTGCACTCAGCATCCCCACTTCCAATACACTGCCTGTTTCACCGCAAAATGGAACACCCTACGCGGCCTCGTACTAATTTTCGAACGCGGAATAGGACCAACCAAGCACCATACGACCCCCGGTTTTATCAAGTCCCTAGTGCCGTTTCCCCGTCGCGTCCGGCTTCGAGTCTCGGAGGCGCGCCTTCCATCCCAATCCCCACAGCTAGTTTAGCTGATACCTCAGCTTATCCTTCGATCCCACCACGCACGGGATCTCCCACTCGCCCATGGAGCCCTGGTCATGTTCGACCTCCGTCGGTATCGAGCGTTGGATATGAACGCGCCGATATCAATGGCAGCCCTCGCCCCGGCACGCCCAGCTCCCGATATGGTGGCAGCCCTAGGCGGCCCTTGCCACCGGCTCCGCTGTTCTCTGCACCGACAGCCTCAGTTGGAGAGGATACCAGCATCGATATTGGAGATGGGCACGGCGTCGAGGATCCTTTTGGCGGAGGTGGCCGGACGATTCACCATACTTCTCGAAACAGCGTGCGATCATTTATGAGCGAGTCAACGGTGATGGGTGACGAGAAGGACCAAATGTCTAAGGTGGACTTGGAGGATGGAGAAGAAGAAGAAGACGATGGCATGATCGATCCTAACCTCCACTATGGACCGGCTCCTGAAAAGCAAGGCCGTCGCGGCGTCCGCCCCACTCAAATGGCCAAGAAAGAAGTTCAGCTGATTAACGGTGAACTGATCCTTGAGTGTAAAATTCCTACTATCCTGCACAGTTTCCTACCACGTCGTGATGACCGCGAATTCACTCATATGCGGTACACGGCTGTCACATCTGATCCGGATGACTTTACGAACAGGGGCTACAAGCTCCGCCAGCAGATTGGCAGCACCACTCGTGAAACCGAACTCTTCATTTGCATTACCATGTACAATGAAGACGAGATCGGTTTCACTCGTACCATGCACGGTGTCATGCGGAACATCAGCCACTTCTGTTCTCGCACCAAGTCCCGCACCTGGGGCAAAGACGGCTGGAAGAAGATTGTGGTCTGCATTATCGCCGACGGCCGCAAGAAAGTACACCCCCGGACTCTGAATGCGCTGGCCGCTCTCGGTGTCTACCAGGAGGGCATTGCGAAGAACATTGTCAACCAGAAGGAAGTCACCGCTCACGTGTATGAGTACACAACCCAAGTCTCGCTCGATGATGATCTCAAGTTTAAGGGCGCTGAGAAAGGCATCGTCCCCTGCCAAGTCATTTTCTGTCTTAAGGAACACAACCAGAAGAAGCTGAACTCGCACCGTTGGTTCTTCAATGCTTTCGGTCGTGCGCTACAGCCGAATATCTGTATTCTGCTGGACGTTGGTACCAAGCCAGACCCCACTGCTCTGTACCACCTTTGGAAGGCCTTCGACCAGGATTCCAATGTTGCGGGGGCTGCGGGTGAAATTAAGGCCGGTAAGGGTAAGGGCATGCTTGGTCTGTTCAACCCGCTTGTCGCGAGTCAGAATTTCGAATACAAGATGTCCAACATTCTGGACAAACCCCTTGAATCGGTATTCGGCTATATTACTGTGCTGCCTGGTGCGCTCAGTGCATATCGTTTCTTTGCTTTGCAGAATGATGCGGATGGCCATGGCCCGCTCAACCAGTACTTTAAGGGTGAGACACTCCACGGTCAAGATGCGGACGTGTTCACAGCCAACATGTACCTCGCCGAGGATCGTATTCTCTGCTGGGAGTTGGTTGCCAAGCGTGAAGAGAGGTGGGTTTTGAAGTTTGTCAAGAGTGCTGTTGGCGAGACGGATGTGCCTGATACGGTGCCTGAGTTCATCTCCCAGCGTCGTCGTTGGCTGAACGGTGCTTTCTTCGCTGCTGTGTACTCGATTTTCAATGCGAAGCAGATCTGGAAGACCGACCATACCTTGACTCGGAAAATCTTGCTGCACATTGAATTCGTTTATCAGTTCCTTAACCTCTTGTTCACCTACTTTGGTCTGGTAAGTAACCTCGATCCAGGCAACTGATCCTAGACCTGTGCATGGATGACGACTAACCAATCCACTCTAGGCTAATTTCTATCTCGCTTTCTATTTCATCGCTGGCTCTCTCACTGATGAGACCCTTGATCCTTTCGGCCATAATATGGGCAAGTATATCTTCATCGTTCTGCGATATGCTTGTGTATTGGTTATGGCATTGCAATTCATCGTCTCTCTTGGTAATCGACCTCAAGGGTATGTTCTTCTTTTCTTGTGACCGAAGCATTTTGCAGTGTTAACCACTATGATAGTGCCAAAAATCTCTACCTCGCTGGTATAATCGTGTACGCTATCATCATGTTTTACACGGTGTTCTGTGCCTTGTATCTCGTGGTCGAGGAAGTAATGTCCTTCGCTGGCGTTGGAGACTCTTCGCTGGATATCAGCAGCTCTTTGATGGCCAACATCGCCATTTCTATGTTGTCCACTGTCGGCCTCTACTTCTTCACTTCGTTCCTGTACCTCGACCCGTGGCATATGTTCACTTCGTCCGCCCAGTACTTCCTTCTCATGCCGAGTTATATCTGTATATTGCAGGTCTACGCCTTCTGCAATACCCACGACGTGACTTGGGGTACGAAGGGTGACAACGTGATTAATACCGATCTGGGTACCGCGAAAATTATCAACGGCACCACCGTTGTGGTGGAGATGCCTTCTGAGCAACTCGACATTGACAGTGGCTACGATGCCGCGCTACGCAACCTCCGCGATCGCCTCGAGGTTCCCACTCCGCCCCTCTCCGAAGCTCAAATGCAGGAAGATTACTACCGCGCAGTGCGCACGTACATGGTCTCCATCTGGCTCGTTGCCAACGTTATTCTTGCTATGGCAGTTTCCGAGGTATATGGCGTTGACTCCGGCGGTACGAATATCTATCTGTCTATCATTCTATGGTCTGTCGCTGTTCTCGCCGCCATTCGCGCCATCGGCTCTACTACCTATGCTATTCTCAACCTGGTCCACAAGATCGTTGAAGGAAAGACTAAGTTCGATGCCGGCAATATCTCCAACTTTGCTCCCAGCTCTTTCGGTGGAAGTAGCTTTGGCGGAGGCAGCTCAGAAGCACCCTCTAAGCCTATTCGGTATAGTGGCGGTCCGAGTTTCAAGGATCGCATTGCTGAAGCCCGGTGGTCTGTTGGTCGTGTGTTCGGCAAGGCTATGTTCTGGCGAAAGTAGATCTTGTTTTTCATTTCTTCTTTTCTTTTCAAATATGTTCGGATCTGGGAGGTTTGACTTTCTGGAGTTGGGTTTCATGATGTTTCATTTTAATGATGGAAATATTGGCATGATATGAGCTGTTTTTAGTTTCAATGCTTACTATTTCTACCCTGCGGGGTGCTATGTGTCTATGTGTATTGATCGGATGTATTTATGCGCGTTGAACTCAAATTACGATTCTTTCCAACATGTGTTGTCTGTTTCTTGGTTATCCTGAGAGTGCTCTCCTTACCACTCCTGCGTTCCCTGTTTCCCTGCTGGCTTTGATATTATTCTGTGAGCATTTCTCCTATAATGCTTCCGTATTCAACACAACCATCTGCCTCGCAGCCCCCATCTCCAACGCACAGTTCACATACTCAAAGCGTGCTTCTCCATCCTTCAAAACGGACACCTCATGCCACGTCCGAAACTTGCGCGCATCACCAAATCGCCTGCCATGCTTAACAGCCGCCGCATAAATCGCCAAGTGCGACGGGTGTCGTGACGCCCAGTTTTCCAGGTCGCCCATGTTTCTGAAGAATCCCGTCACGCAAGATTCCTCTAGTTCTCGAAATTCCGTCGATCCTGCTGAATGTACCTTGCCGACGGCCTCTACATTTTGAAGGTACCGCACCCCAGTCGCTCCACTCTCCTCCGACGCATCCCAGAGATAAGCCAGCCCAGTCCGTAGCTTTGGCTCCACAGCCTGTAGATATGCCGTCCGCTCTTCCTCGTCACAAGACCCCCAGAACTGGCCGGACCGGATGTGCACCATGTTTGCCGGGTTGGTCCCCGTCACCGACATTCCCATTGTCCCAGAGGAGCGTGGCAGCTCCGCACTTGGCGTTTCTGCACCCCTGCTTTGCACAAAGAGATCCTGGCCGGAGCCAGGTATTCGGTCTCGCGCTGCGCCCCAGTACCCCGTGTGCAAGTGCGATGTCGTCGTCGTGCCTGGTAGCCGGGCAAGCCCGGGCAAGTAGTCTGTCGCGGAGTACACCGTTTCCAGGCGCGACACATCGCTCACGAAACTCTCGGACCACAGGCTAGTTCTGGGTTTCATGGCTGGGTTGAGGCCACGATAGAGCTGTAGAAGGTTGAGGGTTGCGAGGCTCTTTCTGAAGTGGGCTTCGTCGGTCCAGTAGCAGGCCCAGACTGAGGAGTACTGCCCTGATTGAGGGGCTATCGCAGGGGTATTACAGGGAGATACATTCTGTCCCGTGAGAAGGTGGCTCACTGTATCATCTAACATCTGGAACTGTTCGGTTGAGGATGGGGCGTGTTGGGGGTCCGCAAGCCATTGCTGGACGTGGGCGTATGGTTGTGGGAGGGCGGATATGCTGGTCTGGGAGTCTTCAGATTTGCTCTTGGTCACTTTTACGCCGATGTACGCTGTGAAGACCCTATCCACGTCCGAGGGGAACTGTAGGTGCAGCCTCGGAGTGGGGTTGTGGTTGGGCGGCTGTCGAAGAGGGAACGTTCGTGTGCAGATAAAACGGTGACCTGGCACGACTCGAATAGGCCATATAGCATGCGAAGAATGTCTTGTCCATGGCGATGTTGACAGGCGCATTTTGGTCTTACGTGACATATATACGCATGTCCCAGATCGAAGTGCACCGAGTCGAGCTGTAAAAGTATATGAACGGAAGTTGCGGCTGTTGCGGAATGGCGCTCTGCCGCGGCTGTTGTCGATTGTGCGGGGAACTCGAGCGCAATCGACAGGTTAACAATTGGGCTTCTGCTACTGACTATGCCGGGTGAGCGCTTACTATTCGGCGTAAATTGGTTAATCTGAATTGTGTTCAAGAGGAATATCTGTGATCTGACATGTTGTTCCCGTGTAGACATTTGATTAAATCTGATCGTGATGTATCATCATCATGGCCTAGTTTGTCTTGCTTATCCTTTCCTGCAACCAGCTAGGAATGGTTGGTTCCTTTTGCCACGCTGTTCGCCAGTCTCTCTGATGATCAGGAATGGCACAAATGGCTGATACAACCCAAACTTCCTCACCGGAAGATAGGTCCATCGAAAGCGAAGGCAATAGCGTGCGACCATGTAGAAGATTAGAATTTGGATCAGCCAGGACAATCCGCCCGGAACGGTTGGTCTTCTTGTGCAATTCAACGATGCCAACAGCGCCCGCTGATGAGACAACAACTGCACTACGATTGTCGTGCATGGTACCTTCAGAGTCATTGTCTCCCATAGGCCCCAGAATACGGCCATTGTCACTACGGCATCCATAGATAGCAAATGCCCCCTCGGAGGTTTGGAGAGCGCGTCCGGTTCGGATGCGATGAGCACGAATGTGCCAATTCTCATTCTCAATTCCCGGGGGCACGAGAATAGTTTCAACCTCGACATCGGCCCATGGCTTCCAGCTGGAAACAAGGACTGGGGAGCCGTTAGGGTCGGGCTCCTCAAAGTGTGCGTCTATCGCAAGTCGTCTCGTTTGCCAGATATCACCACCATCATCTGATAATGCAAGCATACTATCTGGCGCATGCTGCTCAAGCTGATAAGAGCCTGTCGGCACCGAGTACCCAAACGCTGAACTATATGCGAACTTTCCATATTTAGCCTGCGTGGCTTTCAATGGATAGTGGCACGCTTGGCCCGACGACAGAATAAATGAGTGCCCTCCACGACGAATAGCAATATGCTTGGGATACTTCAACGCCGCAACCGCTGGTAAGCTGTCGCTAGGATAAGGCTCTTCCGGAGAGGCCCAGAATGGATGAGCTTCCGGAAGTACCAGAGGAATGAACGAAAGGCAACACCAATACGGCGACCCGGGCGAGTTATAGTTTTCGGTCAGATACATATTGGCGTACGAGTATCCGAGGCTTAGCGTGCCATCATTGTTGAACATGTCCTCCTGCGTCGCCCACCAGCGAAAGTGTCGGAGAAGAATGCCCTTTACAACGCCCCAGGTGAGTGGTGCAGGTAACTCGATATCGGCAAAACCTAAAGCACCCCAGAATCCGACCATTGCAAATCGATAGGTCATGGAGCGACCGAATGGAATGGAGCTTCCTGTGAAGATTTGAATCGACCTCAGTCAATCTTGGTACTTCTTTTAATAAATTGCGATCATCAAGGGCTCACCATCAGGATCGAAGTAGTGCACAAAGTCCCGCGCAAATTCTCTTGCACGCTGCCGATAGCGCTCAGCTCGTTCAACATCGAAATCACTCGCCAGCTTGGAGTAGAGAAGTTGCAAAAATTGAATCGCAAAAGAGCCAGAATAATAGTCCATTTGATGGTGGCTTTTAGGACCATCATTACTCCACCCACCGCCAACATGGAAAGTATCCAGATGGTCCATATCTGCCTCAATACGGGATAAAGAGTATGGCGCGCCGTTCTTTCGTAGACCTAAGTTCGCAAAGACACGAAACCATAACCTGGATACATACAATTCGTGTTAAAACCCTCAAATGTGCGAGCGGTAATCATAATGCGTACCAATTCGTGTTCGGCATCTCTCGTGCATTGATGCTATTCAACCAATTCGTAACGTTCTCTTTCTGCCCACTCGTTAATGGATCCCAAAAGGTACCAGGCGCAATAGCAAGTGTAAATCCAATTGGGCACATTTCAACCATTCGCTGATCGAGATCTTCGATATTGCCCCAAAATTCAGCGTGGTTCGGGTCCGTCCCGTTGATAATGCCTTCGCGCCAGCGATTGGCCTCCGCGTATTCATACCCGCCACCCACCAGGGATGCCAGACCCCAAAGAGGACGGGCATATCCTTCAATCTGGGCGCCGCCTTCGTCAAAACGAGTCGTGGACGTGCCGATCTTCACCCGGCTTCCACCGGGGGTGAAGAGAGGAACTAGTGGGTCAAGAAGCGCGCGACAGGCATCTTGCAAATCAGATCGAGTACGGAATGGCGATTTACTAAACGCCTGCGCAGGTGTCTTGCCATTAGCGTGGATAGACATTATATGTTCTAGATATTTTGACGCGACAACATGATCATAGGCAGTGGCCGACTTAGCATTTGGTTAAATAGAACCAGGAGACATCGGGCGACTGTCCGACGATGGTGGGGAAACCCCGCGTACGATCGGGTTTCAAGCTCCTTCACCCGACGCGTTAGCTTAGCAGATTAGCCGGTTGTGTATATTTGCTAAAGTGGTCGGACTTGTTTGCGAATACCGAATCAGCCAAATTTGGGGCCAATCATGTCTCAACACCGATGGTCGGAAGCAGTCAAGTTGGGGGGATATTTGCGTGGGGGTGTTGTGGCTTGAATTTAGCCGATGGGTGTGAAGCACCCAAGCCAGCATTTAGGAAGATCGACCGCATTTGCAGATTTCTTACTGCAGCAGGGGCTGACAAACTAATGTGAGCATAATAAATTCCGTCTGTCCTTTGCCTTAAGTAGAAGACACCTCTCATTGATGGGAGCTGCTATTCCATTGTCCAGTCATGTCTTTCAACAGAAGCCTAATCCGAACCCCTCCACCGGCTTCCAACATTTTATTTACACTATTTAAGTGTGTAGCTAGCCAATTTTAAAAGGATTCAACTTAACTATTTTTCCACCTGGTTGCTGTGGTGCCCGAGTACGATTTTCAGTTCTACTATTACATGCATTCCTCGGTAGCATATAATTGACGTGAGTCATTGGGTCGATTTATTTGATAGAAAGAGTGGATGCCGTACCCAGCGCATCTCGGCTTGAATTGTAGGTTCCAAAGCAAGACTGATAAATCTAGACCTCACAGGTTATGTAGACCAACAAAGCTCATGTGAAATCCGGGAGCAACATCATCAAAAGCACTAATGGAACTCTAAGCACTACTAGGTAAGCACGTCAGATCTAAGGGCTTACCCTGGTCAATGAGCATCCAATAAAGATTGTCGTGGGATAAAGTAGCCCCTAGGCCCCCAACTAGAACCTGGTAGGCGACATGAAAAACTCGGTGAGGGTGTATCAGCTTACGAAATTAGTCTCTTGGGTGGATCTTGTGTCTTCTTGGAAGGAGTGCGTCATAAAGACAGCTGCCCTTTAGATAACATGCATTTGCTCGCATTCAAGTCATACCCAAACACTGAAATTATTTCTACCGTTGAAGAAAATATCTGTATTCTCAAGTTTTGAAGCAATGATCAGAGATCTTGGTCAAAGCAAACTCCCACGCACGGGGCTTGCCGCCTTGCTAGCTGGACTTGATATACCGGGAGAGATCAAGCTGCCAGACAGCTCTACTGTGGCTGTGGGCACAGGCGAGCCACTATACAAAGTCACATTCCGTACTAAGCGCTCCCTGAAGACACCGATGACTGAGTTAGGCGTGGGTCGTGCTTTTGTTGCCGGTGATATCCATGTAGAAGGAGATATCGGTGCACTCTTTGATGCGCGAGAGAAGCTGCGCGAAAAAGTACCGCTTCGACAGAAGGTCCAATTTCTCTATGATTTTGTTCGAACTGCGACAACGATGAATGCTAAGGCTATTGGCGATCACTATAGCCGTGGAGATGATTTTTATCTGACGTTCATAGACAAACGCTTCAGATTCTATTCTCATGGATTGTTCCAACGACCCGACGAGACTATCGAGGAAGCATCGGAACATAAACTTGAATCTATGTTCAATGGCCTGGGTCTCAAAGAAGGCATGCGCATTCTTGATATTGGCGGGGGATGGGGTGGAATTACTCAGTACTGCGGCCCTCGTGGCGTCCATGTCACGACGTTGACAATCGCACCAGATTCAGCTCGCTTCATTCAACGTCTTATCGAGGACAAAAACCTCCCAGGCCAAGTGTTTTTACAAGACTTTCTTTTACATAAGCCCGACGAGCCCTATGATCATGCTGTCATGTACGGAGTCATCGAACACATTCCAAACTATCAGCGCTTTGCTCGCACCGTGTGGGATGTGCTCAAGCCAGGCGGTCGCATCTATTTGGATGGATCAGCAGCTATTGAGAAGTTTGCTGTCAGCTCTTTTACCAGAGACTATATTTGGCGTGGCACCCACACATTCATGACAATCCAGGATGTCATGGCGGAATTTCTTTACCATGGATTTGAGATATTGGATGTCACGCGAGAAACCCGTGATTATGAACTCACAATGCTGGAATGGGCAAAACGTCTGGACGCAGCTAAGGAAGATATCATCGCAGGCTGGGGGAAGAGACCTACCGAGTCTTTCGATTGTTCCTGTGGGGAGGCACACATGCATTCAAGACCAACACTTTACAGGCTTATCACCTCATCGCGGAGCGAACATCGTCTCCTGGCCCACGTCCTTCTACCGTCCGGCGCATTAAGCAATTCTTGGGTAATCTTCGGTAAATGAAGAGTGCTTTGGAATGTTTGATAGATTCGGTTGGAAATAGAATACCAATGGATACCTTAGCAGCAATGAGAGGGAATGGGGTGAATTTGATTTTCAAGTACTGACTTGACTCTATATGAGGTAGAATGGAGCAAAACTTGAATTTAAATATGGCCCCTCCGACTCAACGATGGTAGTCCCAAGCACTATATATGATAAGGATAGGATATTAAATCTTTCTTCTTTAGTTTATCAGTGCGTTTTTGCATCACTCTAGCTACTTGAGCATGTGAAAGGCTTGCTGATTGAGCCCGACTCGAATTTATCGATCTTTCCAGAATTAGAACACCTAGCATGATCGTATACAAAGAACTATGATGACTTACCAGCTCCACAATACTGGCATATGTACCACATCCAAAGATGATCATGCCAACTAGGAATACTATAGCATTGTAAATTGCAGGCTTGAGGTTATGCTGTTCATACCAAGCACCCTCCCGTAGAAGCATATACCACATCACTGGTGGAAGATAAAACGATAGCCCGGAAACAAACAGTGATGAAATGATGGATAAAAGCTCCGAAAAAATGGGAATTGCCTCAGCAATAATCCATGCCAGAACTGTAACAAGGAAAACCAAGCCGAGCCATGTAGTCCAGCCTTTTGCAGTGTTCACAAGACGGACAATAGAGTCTTGATAAAATTTGCCGTGCATGTATCGGCAAACCACAGTTGTATTAATCGACCCGGAAATGAAGATAACTGGCAAGGCTATACCGAAGACTACCCTTGAGATGAGGGGTCCCGCTGATAGCAAGGCAGGTGATTGCACGTCCTGTCCGACAAAAGCATATATAATTGATCCCGTCAGGGTATAGATGATAATTTGGATACCTCCCAGCCACCAAAGCGTTTTTATGTAATCGCTAGGCGTGTGCATGTCCTCCATGAATGACGGCAAGCAGCCAGCAAATGAGTATGCGAACACAATGTTGTTGGTGGCTACGATGGCCGCTGAGAAGGTAAGACCGGGCTTTGGCCAGGCTGACCATGGGACAATATTGTCGAAGGAACCGTTCGTATTCTGAATACCAGTTGCAATCATAGTGACTCCTATGGCCAAAATAATGGAGGCGAAGTCGACATAACCGAGTATCGCAATTTCGGCAAACGATGGGGGAATCGCAAGGAGCATAAGAATGGCAGCAGACGCAATGCTGAATATTAGGGAGCACGAGCCGCTTTGAGTAATCGTTTCGAAGGCAATAGCCCCAGTCAAGCAATGCGACCCGATGACAAATATCAGAAGAGCCACGAAACTGCCGACAAATATCTTCGAACCAAACTTCCCAAAAAGAAGATTTCCAACGTCTGCATAGTGAGCGACCTGCGGATATCGTAATTTGACCTGTCCGATATTATAGCCGGCATACATTGCCACGAACCCAATGCCCACTGTTAGGATTACTCCTGCAACCATGCCAAGACTTGCGAATGCGTACGGTAAACTTAGACTCCCAAGTGCAATAGCCTCAACTATTGATATAACGGTAAGGCGCTTCCAGCCTAGGCGATTAAATCGGTCACTCGAGTCCAGTATATATTGCCTTTCGGGGTCTGAAAGCTGCGGGTCTTTGGGAAGGCCCTCGCTAGCCATGATGAAAATGACACGAGTCAGTGATGCCTGTTCGATTGTTAAAGAGCAAAAATTGGGAGAGAGGTTGTGGTCTTGTTATTTAAGAGAGGAAAATCGATAAAAAGGTAGAGCCAAATGTGTTGTGATGGGAATCAGAAAGATCAGATAAGATCAAGTGACATGGTCCTCGGATCGGAAGTTCCCGCCAGGTCTGAGCTTACTAGCTCAACCCCACCAGAAAGTCGCTGTGAGACATGGCGGTCGACAGACCCTGTTTGGAAGAATTTACGCAGATCGTTACATCGCTTCCTTGCGGGAGGGGAATGTGGCTTGTTCGAATATTTGGAGGCAAGAATCGGGAGAAACTTTTGCTCAAGGCTCACCCAACGGCGTCTTGACCTCGGTCCTTCTCTGTCTGTTTATCCATGATCAATATGAACTACATGATTACCAAAACCAAACGGACCTTGAACATTAAGATGCTTCAGTACAGTCAGAGTTGAGATCAGGTGCCGCCTCTCTGACTTCATATCGCTTAATGATGCTAAGTGCGGCCAAGTCCCGCCACGAGGAATGGCGCTTCCCAAAATGGACTGGCCAAGAAACCGACCCCTGCCGGCAAAGTAGATACGTAATACTAACTTCTAACTAATTGGTTTCATGTTCATCAGATAAAAAGGATCAGTAGACGTTTCAGCACTGGGAACAGAATGATATATTTATCAAATATTTCTGGTTATCAGGTCCGCAACTAATCAAAAGGGTCACTGCGTGTTGTATGACCAATTGCTGATTCCATCAGTAAAGAGGAAGAATATAAAAAATACCAAGGGCAATAACTTTGAGATCCTGAACATAGGCCGTGAGATAATGCAAATTTAAGCCTATGCATACTAGAAGCTGGTAGCGCCATGACTGATCGCCAGAGCATAAAAGCAACCACTTTAAGAGTTGGAGCAGTCGAACCTTATATCATAATTGAGGCTAGATTAAATAAATCATATTTCATAGAAAGCAAGTGGGAATTTCTCGGTTTTATTAGATGCCTGAAAACTGGATATATCAGACTAGGGAATATAAACTAATCTTATTCCCCCTTCCAGAACCTTTCCACTACAACAAGAATAAATCCAACATCAAACGACCAGCATAAATGTCAATTATGGACATAGAAGAGCTCTGAACCCAGGGCAGAGAGGCAACATATGAGGCTACACGGAGAACCCATCACCCTTTAAACCATATAATTTGCTCAATGTAGTTGGTTTAAGCTTGAACGATCTTGGGCGACCAAGACAAAAAGACACGAATGATCTATGTAAATTTACAATTTGAAGCAAGCCTGATTGATTGTTCAAACGCCAGCCCTGTCAAACTCTTTCGATCTCCACCCCCACAGGCTTTTCAATCCGCTCTGTATTGAGAGTCCGGTGATGTCCTGGGAGAACCGGGTATCCACGGGACTCAAAAACACCTCCAGTGAGGCCGCCATTATCGAAGAGATGGTCAACATCCTCAAGCTCGAGCCCCTTGGTCTCGGGGAAGAAGAAATATACCATTGGGATCTGAAGAGGGTTAGTATTGATCGATGGGCCGGTTCATGAAGCTTACGTACCCATGCAAAACAGAAACAAGCAAAGATAATGAATGTTCGCCAGCTGATATTATCGATCGCGGTCGGGGTAACTTGAACAACGATGACTGGTATAATTAGCAACGATGGTTACAGGCTGGCTTATTTCAACAACATCAACTCACAGACACACATCCAGTTCACAAAACCTGCAAACGCCTGACCACGAGCACGGATACGAGTAGTGGTAATTTCACTTGGGTAAAACCTGCAATCCATGTTAGCAACTGCGATGGATTAAAAAAGAGGCTGAAGACAAACCATGGAACGGGCAGATATCCGATACCCAGGAAAAGCTGGAAGATAAAGACAAATACGGTCGCAGCATATGCGCAGGACTGAGTGCCAGTAGACAAGAGGATTGAAACCATGACAAAACAAAAGCAAAGTCCAGCAGCAGAGACCATCAAAGATGTTCGTCGGCCAAACCGATCCATGCTCCATAAAGGAATGATTGATCCAACCAGATACGCAAGAGATGTACAGCCGCCAAGGATCAACGAAAGGTTGCGTGAAAGATTCATGGCATTTTGATAAACTATGGGTGCATAGTAATTGATCATGTTGGATCCTAAAATAAATTAGTGGTCTGAAGTTGGTGCAGCGTGATGATTGGATTCCTACCTGTGAATTGCTGTTGCACGTTGACCAGACCCGCAAGAATCATCCGACGCAGATTTTGGACCTTGCCTCCGCTTAATAGCTCCTTGTACTGGAATGGACCACCAGCTGACTCAATTTCGATGGCAGTCTCAATCTGCCGACGCAGTTGCACCACTTCGGGAGTGGATTCGTTTGCAGGCTGCTCGGACTGAAGACGGGCCAAGACCGAAGCTGCTTCATCACTGCGATCTTGTTCACAGAGCCACCGAGGGGTATCTGGTAACGGGACCATCTGTAATACTAAGCAGACAGCGAAGAATGCTTGGAAGCTGATCGGGAATCTCCATTGGACGGGAGAGCTGATGAAACTGAGTCCATAGTCGATCCAGTAGGCAATACAGAGTCCAATGATTGTCACTGTTCCTTGCGCTGACAGAAGTCTACCTCGAAGTTCGGGGCGAGCCATCTCTGAGAAATGATAAGAAGATCAGTCAATGAATTTCTTTCTGAGCCTCTTCGTGCCCAGAGGACGAGAGCATGTAGCTTGAACTGTCACTTACCACTTTGGTAGGTTGGCACCGTGCTGCTGTTAATGCCATTTCCGAAACCAGTCACGACTCTACCGACTAGAAACTGCGCTCTCCCATAAGAAGAACCTAAAATGATCGTGCCGATGACCATGGTAGCACCTCCAGCCATGATCATCTTCTTCCGGCCGGCACGGTGACCGATCACAAAGGCTACTAGACATCCGACCGCACAGCCAATATCGTAGATCGAGGTTACTGTGGTCAATCAGAGTCAGTCTTGCCTTAGCTACGTTCCAGGCATGCCTTGTGACATACAGATGCCCTGCATAGTGGCATTTGGGTGACCGAACTGCTTCCCAAACTCGTTATCCGCTCCGACCAAGCCACTCATGACACCTTGGTCATATCCTAGGAGAAGAAACGCCTGACAGCTTGCCGCTGTATTTCTCACAGTCAGTATTCCTCATGGCACAAATGACTCAAACTGGTCAAGGGAAGACTCGAAATACCTGTCACGGCCCAATGTAAATATTTCCCACGCAGCTGGCCCATAATTCTCGATGGTTTCTTGACAATTTCTCGGTCTCAGACTGGACAGAGAAGAAAGCTGTTCCGAGATCGTGGACTCCGGGGCCCCAGGACTTTTTCTCCACCATTTTTGGAACGGATTGGGACCCCGGTGATCTTCGTCTCTCGCGATGGTGTTAGCCCGAGTGCTGTGGCTCGGGGCAATTCACCCCGGAGTCATTGTGGGGGTTGCACTCGCCTGATTAGCCGAAAGGCAAAATCCGGGGTCTTTGGCAGGGTGAAAGCGTGGCAAATGCTGCGCAACAGGGGAAACCGTGGGCAAAGAATAGTGGGGCCGAGCTTCACCGGGCGATTCCTCGCTTCCCCGCACGCCGTGGCTGACGTGGTCGCCTTGTGGTTGGAAGACAAGACGCCCGAGTGAGATAAGCCTCGCGCCAGCGTCAACACGCACTTGAGCTTGATGGACGCCACCGACGCCTCCCGCTTCCTGAAGAATCGGCAGCGACACCCGAAGGGACGATGGGAGTATTCATCCGTCCATAAAACAACATTTCCGTAGGGGGAGTCCAGGGTTCACTTTCACTTCAGTGGCTCAATGTGAAACAGCTTGGCTTAAATCACCAGCGAAAGGTAATTTCGAACAAGTTCGCCTGGTGAGACAAATCCACCACCGCCCTCGTTGGTGAAAGAGCAATGTGCTGCCATGGCTTATAGGATTGTGCGTTGGCCCTTAGTCACTGATAAGATCACAAAGCGTCGTAACTGACCCTGTAAAGTCGTGTGATCTAAACAGCCATAAATAGTAGCGGTATGGTCGAAAGCTGACTGTGGCTTCTCAATGTTTCCGCTTTCTACTCCTTCGGCGTATCTTTCGACAGTTGGTAGAATTTTGTCTATTTCTGTTTTATCATGCCATAAGGTTGTAGCCCTAGCAGATTACTAGGAGGAAATTGTTAGCCAGAATGTTATAGTAACTGAGTAGACTAACCTAAATACTACAGTTGGCCAAACTTCATTGGTAAATCCTAACCCAAGGTGAATGAATTTCATGCCTATTTTGATGTTGATACTATTATTCTTCACTCTCGAGAAATGTTTTCGAATCGAACATACAGAATTAGGGACTAGATATCAACATTCACCACGATACACGATACACCCCTTTTTTAACCTTATGTGTTGCTTTTGGTTGATAGTATCGAAACGAAAAAAAGCAATTCTGCGAGAAGGTGAAAGAACTATGTAGATCGATCATACAGACTATTGGTATAGGAAAACCAAAATATATTGGGAGTCGATAGACCAGATTACAATTTCAATTCTCATGAAAGACAAGAGAAGATAATCATTATCAGTAAAGTGTGGCTGCTCCCACGAATCGACAGAACTCTGACCATAACGACGGTCAGTATGCCCGGCTTTCTGCTGGGACACTTTCAATAGCTTGCTGTCATATTACTTCACTGTAAAATCATAAATTACTTGGAAATCCGAATAAAGAGTCTCCTAAAAAGATCCCCCAGTTGGAACAGCACGTACCGTTATTGTTCCTATGTGCTGCGGAGCAATTCTTTCTCATATTTTCGTTGAAGTCGCCCACCAAGACGTTTGACTTGGCCCGCGTCTATACATGTTCAAAGACTTTACCATAAGAGTCTGAGTAAATGTAAATCTTCATATGGCCAGTGGAATGAAATGTGATGCTTCCGGCATCATTTTCTTCCTGAAGTTGTTTCATTCATTTCAGTCTGTATCTATTGTACTAGAAAGCAAAATAAAATTTCAAGTTCTAACTGATAACAGGGGGACTCTGATGAACTAGGCACCCTTTACCGCTTCCTGGGAACCGGGGCCCATATAACAACTCAATCCCCAAAGAAAAAAAAATGAATATATAACAGGATGAACGAATATAAATTGTAAATGCAATACCAGGAAAGAAAAAGAAGAAATTATGCAGCATCAGCAATGATCACCTCAGCAGCCTTCTCGCTTATCATGTAGATTGGTAGGGCGATGTAGTAACCGGGAATTTTTGGAAAGACCGATGCATCAACGACACGAAGACCTTCGACGCCACGGACACGGAAGTCGGAATCCAGCACGGCCTTAGAGTCTCCGTCTTCTCCGATAGGAGCAGTACAACAGGCATGGTGTCCCCAGGCCTCTCTCTTGATGAAGTCTTTCAGCTCACTTTCTGTGGTGACGTTGGGGCCAGGCCAGACCTCCTCGAAACCCCCATCTAGGGGAATAAGATCATCGAAGATAGTCCGCGAGAATTCCATGGCCTCATAAACTGCCTGCAGATCTTTCTCGTCGGCATCATCTGTGGTCACACCAGTATCGAAAGAATTGAAGTTGATGATAGGCATATCACGAGGATCTGTAGATCGCAGCTCGACTGTGCCAGCATTATTACGGCTCCGTGACTTCAGTGTAATCCAGGTCCAGTGCTGAGCATCTTTCAGGCCCTCGTATGAGTAGTTTGGATAATAGCCGGGAAAGTTTGCAGGCGCTCCCGAGATCAAGAGGTCAGGTTCATCCTCTGCAGTCGAGGATTTGCGAATGATGGCGATGGCAATCCCGTTGGTGCCATATGTGCCTCTAAACAACGGGTCGTTCTCCCATTGCTCTAGACAAGGGTCTGGGAGGGTGTACATGAAAGTACATTTGGAGGTGAGTACGAAATCAGTAGGAGATTTGCCAACTAATCCCGTCTCATATCGATCCTGAAGATTAGAACCCACGCCAGGCAAGTCAACAAGGGTTGTGATATTGAACTTGGACAACTCCTCCTTGGGGCCAATACCACTCAGCTTCAATAACTGAGGAGTATTGAACGATCCGGCAGATAAAATTACTTCACGTGCAGCGTTCACACTCCCCGGTGTCCCATTGGAAGACGAAGTCCGAGAGGCTCGAGGATCAGCACGATAAAGACTTTGTCCCCGAAGGTAGTCAACGCCGGTTGCACGTGGAACGGCTCCAGTGGTGTCAAATCGAACATTGGTAACCAGGGTGTTCAATTGGAGATCCAGATGGTACTTGCGCGAGCCATCTGAATTAACAGCATTGATTGTTGTCATAAGGAAGTCCCGAGGTCCTGTTCTCTTATACTCTGGAACATCAACGGCAAGAGGTACTTGATATGGTCCCGTTTCATAATCGCGCGTCGGTGAAGGATTATTCAGATCTCGCAACAAAACCTCTGCGAGACCGGTCACAGTTGTGATCAATTTCCCCAGCAAAGACTGACCCGCTGCTGTTGCACCAGCGAGGATCAGGGAAAGAAGCTTTTGATCTTCAATAACGAGGCGCAAATCCGTCAGGCTTGTTGTGAGCCATCCATCAAACCCATGGCCTACAAGACTGCTGGGAAGATATCGATTGCGCTCCAGTCTTTCGAAATATTGACGCATATTGGCAGCGGACCATGAATCATTTCCGGTGAGGGCAGCCAGATGCTCCCAGTCGTTTTCGTACGGATAGATAGTGCTGTCAATATTCTAGTGAGCCACTGCTGTGAAAACATTTTAATCAATACTTGGATGGCTTCAGGCTCACATCATTGCATTATGGGCGGAGCATCCTCCCAAAGTACCTGCCCGAGGGTATAAGATACCCAAAGGCTCAGAGCCAGCTGGTGGGTTTTTGCCCACATGAAGTTCTCCAGAGGGCGCCCTGTAAGTCATTTTGGAATCTTCTTCTTGGCGTGTAAGGTTTGAGTAGTGGTTTACAAAGTAATCCCACTTCATAGGCTCGAATTCGGTTGACTGAAGCTGCAATGCTGGAACCTGTTGATGAGTGGCATTGCCTTGATCATCTCCTGCATCTAGAAGGAGAACTTTATATCCAGCGATAGCCAGCCGAGCTGCTAAGGGACCGCCTCCAGGGCCAGATCCCACGACAACATAATCATACTCGGTGGTACTGGCACCTGATGAAGCATCGTCTGAGGATCGCTTGAATGTGTTGTAATGTTGATGATCCCGGTGATTGTTCCTAATTTTTTCATCAGATACATCTCAAAAAGAACCATTTGACCCTTCACTTACCTCGCCAAGGCGAGAGTAAGAGTGGAAAATACCCCGACCACCACAGATAGACGCATGGTGACGACGGGTAGCAAGAAAAAAAAAGGACTGAAAGAAGGTCAAATAAGCTCAAAATTCAAACAAAATAAAATAAGGAACGAATTGGAAGAAAGAAATGGCTTTCCGGTCAAGCTCCGTCTGTTTCGGTTTGATCCTTTATAAAGCTATACTCAACGTTCTAGGTGACCTGCACCAAGCCATACCCTTGTTGGACGCACGATGTGCTTGTGCCCCTGACATGTTTTAGATAATGGATCGACCTACAATTTCCCCATTCTAACGGCTTCCTAACGGCTTCCTTCTTGCCATGCCGTTTATCCAAACCGTTGTTCCGTCACAATACGACGTAAGTTCGTACAAGTGCTAAAACTAGCTAACAAGCTCTTTGCCGAGGAACGGCTCTGTCGCGTATTTACCCTGGTATGGACTATTTGCTTGTGGTCAGACATAATCTGGACCCTGACATGTTTAGCCATAGTCATTCTACCCAATCAACAAGGACCCGCCTTTTCTCTAAACCCACCGCTCAGTAGGCCCTCGTGGCTGAACTCCGCCCCACTTCGTTCGCCATGCCGATCACACGGCTTATGAAGCCACCAATTTAACAGCAACGGCGACGTTAGTCCATTTGAGGAAACAGGTGCTAGCCTCAACATGTCAAAATTTTCATTTTTGGGGGGTATATCCTTTACTGAAGCTAATATGCGGTATGGATCCGACTTAGCGAGCCAATTTTCCTAATACAGAAACGAACGACTTGTAAGAAGTGCGGTACTTTTGTTTTGGCATTTTTCACAACCCCACTCACTGAAAAGACAGGCTCGTCACGAAAGGTAAGTGAGTTATTCAAAGCCCCTGAATGAATAAACAGCTGCCATCCCCTCTATCTCCTTCTGGCTTGATAGTTGTTAGTGGTTGTGCCTCTGCTTGAATCTCTCAGTTCATTATCATTTCAGCCGTAGTATCGTAGAATCCCATCTCGGGAATTTATACACCGCCAGGGAGGTAAATTTAATATTTTAGAAAATTTTGCGCTGCAAGAAGTGAGAGAACTCTTCTTGCTGACATTGACTTGCATAGCGCATTTTAAATAAAAGAAAATTTTATGATTGATTAATGAGTGATTTCCTTGGACCTCTTCTGATTTTACCGCCCAAATCCTTTCCTCCACTAGCCGTCACGGTGTAGATGAGCTTGACTTGAGTTGTCCAAGTCACCAAGTGGGTAAAAATGGCGGTCATCACTTTTGCTATGGGCATGCACTGCACCTTCGAATCGTGACACTGTGCCTCGGGACTGGGAGTTCATTCCATAGGATTTGGTATGTTCTGTATCTCCGAACATTCGAGGGGATACACGACGAAGGAGCGACCGAATTGCAGGTAAACAAGCACAGATGACTCCAACATCACACTCAATGGTGCTCCAGTAACCAATGCTCACATAATCCCCTTTTAATAGTTAGCAGACTTCTACTTCTTAATGAGAAATCGAAAAGGAGTCATACAAGTCAGGTTTGTGGTGGACGCGAAATGAATCAGCGAATTCAGTCGTAAGATGCTGACCAACGTAACACTAATTTCCAAGTTAGCATTTAGCGTATCTCCAACAGATGGTTACCAAATACTCACAAGATACCCAAACTGAACATGCACATCACATAAGCCTTCTTTCGCACGGAAAGGTTCAATTCATAAAGTTGCCGCAATGGGAGCACCATGACGAGCAGATCAAGTACCATGTTAAGCACAGCCGCTGCCCAGCCCTGAGCATTGATATGATTGCACTTATAATCACCCTCTCCATCCCAATGAAGCCATGCGCCAGGCAATGGCCGGCACTGAAACACTGATATCAGCACAAATGTAATCAGATAGGCGACGTTGAGCCCAATGACAATATAAGTTGCCGTTCTGAAGCGTCGGCTGGGAAAGATTCGCAAGTAAAAACAGCAAATCGATATTTTCGTGAGTGGCAGAATGCTCAAGTAGATCAATTCGTCCCAGAAGTATATCTTGAGGCAATGAATGAGCACACAAAGGAAGATTGTCTGAAACGGAGATGGACTGGGGACTAACATAAAGAATATGTGTGATATTTTTAAATGGAAGAGTCCACATATCCTTTCCCAAGCCAGTATCAGCCACTATAAAGCAGTGTCAGCGAAATAGTCAGATCAATCGACAGAAATGTTTTCCATACAAACTGCAGATAGTGCAGATAGAGGAATTAGGAGGCACTACACATTATTAGAAAAATTTGTAAACTCATCACAAGAAGAGAAAATCCTTATGCATACCATTGTCAATGCCATTGTCCAATCATCCATGCCAAAAGTACCACCACAGCATCGAAGACGTGCTACCATGCGAAGGCAAAACGCAATGAGGGCTATGATGCCACCCGCGATACCGGCGTACGAAACTGTCTTTGTTCGATCCCGAACAGGTGCTCCGCATGACGAAGTTGTCACGTTTTTAGTAGCTTGACTGTTAGTGATAGCTCTTGGATAGAATGGAGCTTCAACTCACTCAAAGATTCCCGAATTGTGCAGCTGCTGAGAACGCATTGCTCAAGCGAAGTAGTGTAATTGGCATTCGTACATAGACATATCTGGTCGGTTATGGTACATGGAGACTCCGGCAACGAAGAGATCATGCATTTGAGCTAAAAGAAATCAGTCTGTGTCAAATAAATTCATGAAAAAGGCGGGGAGGCGGCATTACGTACCGCACACGAAGGCAAGGAAGCAGCAAGCTCCTCCATCCCTGCTATTGCATACACTCCAAACAAGAGAGCCGACAGGATTGATATATTTAACATACGCATCTTGAAGACTGAAAAAAGCTTGCACTGGACAATGAGAAGTTGAATGAAAGAAATCACGTCCAATGTGACAAGATATCGACTTCAGGAAGATCTCAGTCTAGAGAGTACAGATCCGCCCCTTAATTGATACATTGAGCCCAGCAAGTTTCCCAATCAACTGATTAGCGTGCTCAATCTCCAAGCTCAAATTTCGCTCTTCTTCCTTTTAGAAGATCAAAATTTCTGCCTTTTTTTGGATACCGGGCAAGTTTTTCGGCTGTTAGTACCTGCCTCACTAGTCAAGCATGGCAGATCTTTTGCGGGATACGGTAACCGCCACAGAACTTCATATAACAGGGCCAAAATGCACTGGCCTCTTTTCTCCGCGGGTTGAATACCCATCACGAAGCCCCAAGCTGCCTCTTCATCCCAATGGCGACTTCTTGGTGTATTGAGATCTACACTCCGTGGAAGTAGCACATTGCGCTTCTATACATAATCTCTTTGATTCACGGGGCTTGTAGGGTCCAGACTGGTATTCCAAAATCGTCAAAAATAATAGGACTAGGCACAGCCCCACCAGTAGTAGGCTTTGAGGCGAATAATATGTCGATCTTCACTCGGGACTTTGACGTTTCACCCCACAGTAGCCCAGACGTTTTCCGTCCCCCGATATCCCGAACCAATTACCCCTGGCCTAAGAAGTGATATTCCTTTTTAGCGGAGGGACCAAGCAGCAAGCCTCCGTTGTTGCCCTAGGATGTTGCGGCTTGAACTCTAAACGTTGTTGTAATGTCTCCACCCCAGTCAGACTCCTTCCATTCTGAGGAAAAGATCGCTTTTTTTATCCGGTCCCCTTTTTTTATTATCTGGAGTTCCTCCATGACCGGCAAAAAGAGACCCTGATCGGCGCTGCCATTCCATCGTACAACCCGCTTTTTCCCCGAGGCTGGAAAAGTGGGACTTTCTCAACAGAAAAAGATCTGCATGGACATTGCAGATTTAGCTCTCCTTTCGCGGCAAGCCATACGGGCAAATTCCACTCCCCATCATTGAGAGGCTTGACTTCCCCTGTGGCAGCGCCTTCGAGCGGTCTAAATAGGGAGTCTCGAAGAGATCTGCGGGCTTCAACCCAATCTTGGGTGTCAACAAGGTAGCTAGTGGGAACGTTGAATCCAATTGCCGGCGCCTAGTGGGGCGTCTAATTTACGCGAACCGCCTGTGCACAATCCATACAACTCTGTATTAGGCTACATTTAGACATCCTGAACCGCAATGAAATCGGATGCACGTGTATCGGAGTTTTTGTGTTCCATGTGCCGAAAAGCCACTCAGGGGGATTCAATTGATCAGCATGATGTCGGGTTTAATCCCGTTAGTATATCCTAGAGCATACTATGTCTAAAAAACACATTCTGCTGTTCCGAACGGTCTTCTCCTCCATCTTTCTACCTGACAAATTTTCATGAATAAGCAGAGGGAAAGGTTCTAATTTTTCATCATGCGGATATTCACATCAGTTCATCTTTTGTGGTCGCTGCCATTTTCCGCCCTTGTATCAGCGTTTCCTGGCACAGAAAGCGGACATGGCGTCCACTCCAGCCATCAGGGTGTGCACAAACGGTGCCCATATGCCCGGGATCAACATGACACAAAATCCGAGAATAAAAAGAGATTTCTTTTTGATCTGATGAAGTCTCCTATAGACGGTATGCAAAAATTGAACCTATTCCAAGAGATCAAGTTGTAATCGCATCTAGTGACTGGGGAGCATTCTTTTCAACCTCCGGATTTTCAAAATGGTGACCAGCGCGGACCTTGCCCAGGTCTCAATGCGCTGGCTAACCATGGCTACATACCAAGAAGTGGCGTGGTATCAGTGAGTCACTTAATTCGCACCCAAGTTGACCTCATTCTAATTAGAGCTAGTTTGGTGAAGTGATTGCAGCTATTAACGAAGGTATTCTTTCTCGAGTTCTATTTCAAGTTTGGAAGGCTAAATTCGGTCTGCAGTTTATGGCATGGGCATTGATTTGGCTACCGTTCTCGCGATCATGGGTACTGTCTGGACAGGAGATCCCCTCTCCTTGGATCCCAGCTTCTCCATCGGTGGCCGTGATACAGGTGTCAACAATCTGCTTAACAATCTCGGCGGGCTGCTTGGTCAGGATATTTCTCAATTCTGAGTATTTGATTTTGAAAACTTACTAATACCTTCTACAGGTGAACCTCAAGGCCTTATTGGCTCCCATAACTTCATCGAAGCGGACTCATCAAACACTCGCGATGACCTCTACGTCACCGGCAACAACTACGCACTGAACATGGACAAGTTCATTTCCTGGTATAATATGTCGACCGATGGTACTTTTGACATGGATTTGATGGCAATGCGCGCAAAGATCCGTTTCGAGGAAACCATTCAGACCAATCCGAATTTCTATTATGGTCCAGTCACAGGGCTGATCGCACGCAATGCTGGTTATATATTTCCAGCCCGACTGTTCCGAAACCACTCTCACGAGAATCCTGAGGGTGTTCTGAGTAAGCCTGCCATCTTTATACAAGCAATATGACCTGGAAAGACATATCTTAACTGGCTCTAGCAAAATCTCACATCCGAAACTTCTACGGCATCTATGGAGAGGAAAACAATCTAACCTATCGTGAGGGGTGGGAAAGAATTCCTGAAAACTGGTACAAGACACCTGTGGATTACGGCCTTCTGCAGCTTAATCTCGATACAATTGACTGGATGGCGAAATATCCAGAGCTTGGAAGGTAAGCACCCATGTTGTGTTGACATTCCGGATGATCCAGATTCTGACAAGAATTTGAATATAGTGTCGGGGGTAATATGGGCACCGTGAATAGTTTTGCTGGGATTGATCTAGCAGATTTGACTGGTGGAATTTTTGATCTGACCAATCTGCTGGAAGGTAACAATTTGCTATGTTTCGTGTTTGAAGTGCTGAAATTTGCCAGCCCCAATGCGCTCTCTGGGTTGTACGCTACATTGGCCGAGCCATTGGAATTTGTCACCAACATTCTTTCTGTACCTTTGCTGAATATGACCTGTCCAGCATTTAAGGACCTTCAGATGGGCGGTAAGCCGTTTTGGGAGGCCATTCAGGATGACTTCCCTGGTGCCCTGAAGAGTGGTCGCGGGTTCTAGACCGCCATCTCTATCTGATTCTTCAGTCTTTGTATTCTTTTCATTTCACTCATTGTATTTATTTCTTATGATCCCACGATAGAGTGAGGAATCTCATTAATTAACTTGAAATTCTGACATCTTGTCTTGAGTTTGGAATAGCTTGAGTGAATATAGGTAGTATATTGTAATGAAGAAAAGCATATTTCTACGAAATCATGAAAGAATGAATATACTGATTCTGGGAAGACTTGTCTCGAATGTGTATAGTGACTGATATGTATATATATAGATTTGAGTTTCAAAGACAAAGAGATTGCGAAGTAATGCCCGCTGGTCCAGCTTCAATGCTTCAACACATTCTCGAATGCTCGGAAAATTTCTTCTGTGTTAATGATTGCCGTAACTTGATCAGATTCCCATAACTTTGGATGAATATTTCATCTTTATCTGCCATCATTTCTTCTTCCTGAGAAGGTGAAGACCTCTTTTGTTCAAATTCAGCTTGCCACTTTATCGTGTTTTCATCTGGGTCCCATTCCAGAATCTTTTCCTTCATGTTTGCCTTTTTTTGAGCCACGATCCGCTCCATTTCATCTTTTTGCTCCTCGCTCAACATATCGAGTCTATGCTTCCAAGCATTTTCTGGATTAGCTGTTGGTCCGAAAAACCGTGGATCAATATGTGTCCAATAGATTTCATCGAAGGCGAAATTCTCCCTTGCTGCATATGAAATCCAAAAGTCACCACTTTCCCAGCTCTGCCACATTGGACCTGAGAGCCGTTGCTCCTCAGTCAGCCAACCTTCTTGGACCGCCTTCTCTTCTTGCGCAATTAGGGCCTCGAGGAATATTTTGAGGCGACACTGAAATGTCTCTGACCAGCTGTCAAGGCCTAACGGCCACCATTCCGGTCGCTCAAGGAGAAGCCACCAAGGCGGCGAGCAAGAAAATTCGGCTGGAGCGGCGTATGTAAATTCCCAGTCCAACATGCCGACGACGGATTGATCGTCATCGAGAAGAACATTAGCAGGGCATAGACTGTCGCACCATAGTGTAAACGATCTGTTTTTGAGCGATGGTGTCACTAGTTTATTGTCCTGGGCGAGTTTGTGGAAGAGCTGTCGGGCAATAAACTTTCGCCGACAATCTATTTCAGAATCGATCGCATCATTCCTTTGATGTGCAAAATGCTTGATGTGAATTTCCGTAAGGGCTTTGAAGTATGCAGATGATGTATCGAAAGTGGTTTCGAGTCTCGGCAGCTCCTCTCGGGGAAGTGTTCCACTTCGCACAATTTCGTTCATGCTCAGTGACAAGGGTCGATAATTGACCTCCCATGTGAAATCATCGATCTGCTCAAGAGACCCAATCCGGGACATGGGCAGCCCAGATAATCGAAGCAAGATATCTGCCATCTTCCCATATAAATTCCTGAGCTCGTTATCATCTATCTGTGAATTGAGAATAGGGGGGTCTCGAATTGTAAGGCCCGGTGAATTCAGGGCATCGTTGAGGGTGAATCGATGTTGAATATAACCCATGTGGATGAAGGGTTCAGGCGCCTTCCATGGCATTGCTGAGGACTGGAATATGAAAGGTACTGGAATTGAGGCATGGTCGTAGATATAGCGCATCACTGCGATCTCGTTAAGAGTTTTCTCTTCAGGAAACATATGAGCTCCGGGCAGGCAGAATCGAAGCATGGAAGCCTCATATTGAGATTTTGCGTAAATGCTGACATTTCGAGATCCTGCCAGGAGCTCCCCGAACTCAGTCATAAAAATAGAGGAATGATTCTCGCCAACGAGAGCGAGTAGCGAAACCAAGTCATTCTTTTGCATCAGTTTCAGTACTCTGTACTGAGAAACTTCGTCACTTTTTTTGCATGCCATACGATCATGACACATACGTCGCTGCATATTGGCCTATTGGTCGTACCCCTGAGGGGTTGGTCCTTTGATATATCTGGGTCTTTTAAGATAAAACAGTGAGAGAGCAATGGCAAGGAAGCAGCAAGCTTGGTATCGGAGTGGAAGAGGGGCAGTTTCTTGTGGTGCAGGGATGTTGAGGGCAGGTGACTTGGAAGACAGGTGACTTGGGCTGCAGGAGAAAGTGAGGCTCTGTGCCCGTTTCTAAACCCCCTTTTTCACGCCATCTTTTGCTGTCTCAGCATCAGAAACAACTTCCTTTCTGATAATTTTCAGTGACAGGAGCATCAAGCAGACCTTCAATCCCAGATATCGAAAACTCCGACGAACGGGGATTTCGGGCTTTCCTCCACTCGTTTGAATAAATGCCTTGCAACCACAACAAATACAAATCAGGCCCACTTCCAGGTGCTAAAATAAAAAATCAGAATCCAGAAAGTCCAATATGGGTACGAGTCTCACAAGGTCTATCCTGCGTTACAGGAGTGCTGGGATGTCGCTCTTGTAATTGTGCTTCCCCTGACCGTTCCCGAAACCGAGGCCAGTTCTCCGAAGTTGTAATGCGCCTACTCCGACCCGATTTTAAATATTTTGAGCCATTGGACTCAGTTATGAGTATTGAACAGTTTTACTTGATCGAGAAAGAATCTATTTGTTTCAAGATGTAGGTTTTATTTGACTTGCGCAGTCAGATGCCATATTTCTGTAGCGCGGGAACTCAGAGATAAAAATTTTGATGATGGTATAAATCTAAGAGCTAGAGAATGTCATTTAATAGCAAATCTCAATGGTAAATACTTGGCGCACCCACTCTGAGAGAATAATATTTCAGGAAAGCCTTGAATATTGGCAGTCATTTTCGTTCACATTGGCTGAAGACGCACTGCGATATACTGTGATACAAACATTGGAAACGTGGAATAGGATGCGAAGACTAAGTCATAATCCGATTGCATCACACTTGCGAGGAATTCAGCCCTCTCCGAGTTGAGCGGTACGCATTAAAACTCCGAAATATTCTCATTATAATGAAGATGATAGATTTTCTCCATTTTGAGTGGCTATTTAACAGTACTTTGGCTGTAATGATCGTGTCAAGGTTTTTCTATAATATAGAATGGCCTCTATCAAAGGAGAGGGGAGAAAGGCGTGAAGTTTGCATTCAATATCCTGTGAGTCTCTAATACCCTGCGGCATTTGGCAATTCCTGCGGGGTATCATCCCGGAATTTGTTTGTGATCAAATTGCTGAAGGATGGCGACCATTCAACCCGCGGAGTCAGGGTTTCTACGCCCCATAGCTCAGAAATAAACTTCAGAATTGATGTGTGAGTAAACTCAGCGCTTCCCGAATTTGGTTTATTCTGAACGACGCCCTTATCCACCCAAGGGGAAATCAAAAGAGTGGGAACTCGGATACCAAGACGATCAAAACGGAAGGTGTATTCCTTTCCATCGTTGGCCTTCTCCGTATATGTCAAGTTATCTCCAGGGGGGACACCAGTAGGTGGAGAGACATGATCAGCGAACCCTCCGTGCTCGTCCCACGTGATTATAAATAGGGTTTGGTTCCACTGCGGGGAGCTGCGTAAAGCCTCATAAATGCCCTTCATGAAGTTTTCGCCCATATTAATGGGAGATTTTGGATGCATTGACATATAATCGCAGCATTCTGGATTGATCCAGGTGAACTGAGGGAGCTTGCCGGCTTTAGCATCCGTGTAAAAGCGGTCGATGGGTAGAACATTGGTCTCGCCCTTTCCAGACTTTGCGGTCCATTCATAGAAAAGGGCATCGGGCAAAAAGCTCGAGGCTCCAATATTTGTCGTATTCTCATAGTTGATCCAAGTTATATTCTTTTCGGAGAGCTGTTGAAAAATAGACTTTTGAGGTAGGCCGGAATTATAAAATACCTCTCCGTTGTCTCCATGGCCATATGAGGTGCCCGAGGTTAGGTAAGCACGGTTTGGATCAGTTGGTCCCGGAATAGATGCAAACCAACGATCGAAAAGGACATAATTCTCCGCCATAGCATTGGTCACAGGAACTAAATCGGGTGTATAATAGTTAATCACCTCCGCAGCTTCCATCATATTGTTTTGTAAGCTATACATATAGCTCTGCTCAGTAATGAAGCCATCCATAGATGGCTTGGAATCTGTATCGGGGTGATATGTGCCGAAAATCTGCATATTTCCGCCCGTAATCGTATGGTCTGGATCATCTGAGGCAATGTTCTTTGCGGTACCTGCCGCACAGACATTCTGTGAATTCGGTTGAGAAACATTTGCAGGATTGCAATAGCTATGGTTTGCTAATCCATCAATATTGGCGTTATAGGTAAAGCCACCCGCGAGCGTGTCGAAAGATCGGTTTTCTTGCACCAAAACGACAACATTCTTGATATTTCGCAGTCCAGAATTGTATGGCCGCGCGGCGACCCCAAGACCAAGGCCGAGGGTGAAAAGGATTGAGAAGGCCATCTGCAAGACTTTACTGATCCGAGTTGACTTTCAAAGGCGAACACCAATTTATAATAACATTGTATGGACTAACATAACAAGCATGAGTCTACCGAAGTTACATCGTGATCAGGGAAGGTTTTGCGGAGCCAACCGATACTGTGAGCTTGTAGATCATTAACTATTCTGAAATATCCATACCATTAAGCGGCCAATAGCCAGCTTTGAGTTATCAAAATTTGTATATCTTGATTGGTCGAATTTCATTCTTGGGGCATTGATCATCCTTGGCGCGGCAGCCAAGCGGCGCTATCTCATGATCCGTTCAAGACTGAGACATTCAACGTGTCGCACAAGAGAGTTGTATTTTTTTTGAACTAGGTCAATAAGTATAGGTAAGTTTGATTTCGCCCTTATTTGAGCCACTGCACCAACTAATCACGAGATATATCTCGACATCTGAATTTGAATACTTCTTGTTAGGCGATATAATGACATACAGGACATTAATTAGGGAAGTTTTCTATATATTTTCCCCACGGCCTGGTTACATGTTAGAAGTTTATTTAATTATGAGCGATGAAACGTTGCAGTCGCTAATGTTGATCCCTAGTCATGGCATGGACTTTCCAGATCTCGGGCGGACCGAGGAACCAAGCTTGTCGCCGAAGTTTATTGAAACACCAGTATATACTGGGTTTGATGATACACTATGCTCTATTATTACTGAATAAATGTTTAGAATAGTCTAATATACGGGCATTAGATACTATAGCATTTATAATTTAAATGCAACTCAGTTGATGTTCCCTATCAATCAATGTTATTGGGCTGCTTATTTCTAATTTTGGACTGGTTCTGCAGTCTCATAGAAGGATCAAGTGATGGGGTAAGAAAGCAAATAAATGGCTCCAGTCAGTCGTTCATAGTATCCTTTCAATCTCACTACGCTATCTCAACAAGAAATTCTAAGATTTAAAAAAAAACATGCTCGGTCAGTAGACAACAACAACGCGATGAAACTTTTGCGGACATGCCCAACTATGAACTTGCTGGTTATTATGTCAATTCTGAGGACTTATTTGACAAAGAAGTTAGTTATAATGCCTTTTAAGCATATGGAGAATATAAAAGTCCGTGAGATGCAAAAATAGTTGCGGAAATCTATTGCTTGCAATTCCTTCCTTTCCGGAATTGAAAAATCTAGTTAATACTTCCTGAGCAAGTTCCCCTGATGGGCGACAAGTAGAAAAACTATTCATATCAGCCACTGCCCGACCTTTCAGAGCCAGTGAGTAGCATATAATCCCCCGCCACTGACCTTCAGAGCAAAAAGAATTTAGCTTCACCTGCCAGAATACCAAGGATTGCAGCGATTGCTACTTTCCATATATTGAAAACGAATCATCACAGCATATTATTGGGTCTTCGAAACTCTTGAATGTGTGAAATATTAGCATCACATTCCTCTTTGATCGAAGGAGAGTTATGTCATTCTTAAACAGACCTGCGGGTGACCGAGCTTAAGGCTGAAAGGTTATATCTTTGGAAAAAGACATTCCGGATTCTGAGCTTCTTACGCCGGTGCTGGGACTCTTTGAGTGGATTATCGCAGAATGTAAAATCTTAAACTATAATCGAATAGCTATTTCCGGTTCCGCGGATCTTCCGATCACAACGAATATAGAAAGCCTGCGGAATTTTGCAGGAACGTGAAAGGATATGGGCATGACTTAGAGGATGACCAAGAACACGAGTTACGAAACTCGTTTATCCTTGCATCAGTATTCATCAAGATACGGAGAAGACCACATCGATATATTCGATGGCGCGAAAATCGGCCCTATCAATTACCCTGTGGGTTGGTTAAATGGGCGCACAGTCGCTCTCGATTGGATGTGCATCTCAACTGGTTCAGTAAGAGCGACAAAATCAACGACAGCTGACCTAATACATTTGCGAATCAAGACGGATCTCAGAGCAATTCATGCCGATGAATACGGAATAGAGCCGACAAACACGATATTTGAGTATAATTATGACGGCTTGACATTTACTCGGGTAGGCCCAACATACCTGCCGAGCAAGTCTACCGCAGGCTATGTGGGCTATCGCTTTGCACTGTTCAACTTCAGAAAGCTGCGACTAGGATGCAAGGTGCGAGTCAATCATTGCTGTATTGGGATCCTTGCGGGTAGGATGCTGTAACATGAGGCTGGTGCAAATCAGGAACCAAGTCGCACTCTCGAACCCAGGCCCAGGGTGTCTTTCCAGAACATCAATTTGATTCGGGATCAGATTGACTCTGTGCTAGATCACGATGTACATATTCTCCTATAATGCGCAGCACAAAGAATTTTCTTTCGAATTACTCAGTTGCCTTCTAGCTTCTTGCGTCTGAGATGTGCTAATATTCTTTCAAACATAAGAGAGAAATCAGGTGTTCCTATAAACCCGGCCTCACTGGCACTCCTGTAGGTCTTCGCAATTTCCAAACAGATCACAATCTTGCAGAGTATATTGATTTCATCGATCATGGTCGATGTGTGTAGACTGGAGCTCAAGATTATAGAAAGAGATAGGCAAAGTCTACATCTCCAAAACTTGAGCTTGGCACTGTTCCTCCGCCGTTTATTACCATCGTATAATGAAATAGATTTAGAAATAGAATCATACTATTTGCCAGTACGGTCTTTTATTTTGAAGTTGTTCGTGATGTGTCCTTCTTATGGGGCTTCGGGCGTTTAGATAAATCTGAATTCCACCACAGGAAGCGCCTACATGCCAATAGCGCCTATATTAATTTTCCATTGAATATAAAGAGGCTGATATGGGTTTGACATTAGTCAGTCGCCTTTCTAGGACAATATTCTTCAATACAAAGTCAATTATGAGCAATTTAAGTATGCCTGGTGCTCCCAAGCAATATATTTCGATTAATGAAGTAGAATATGTACCATTAAGGTCAGCATATATAGCAGCAACTCAAAGATCCTTATCGCAACCCTCTTCAGTCTTTAACAATTTGACCAAGATCCTCACAACTCGCTGAAAGTCAGCATCGTTTGGACTACTGAACTTCACAAGATCAGAATGATTGCGATTCAGGGGATGTATGTTATCGTAGCTTGCACTCCATAGTTTACCGTCTGTAGCTGAGTCCCTATCGACCAATATCTTTTTAGGGGTTGCTGCCATTTTCCATTGCCCATTATCAAGCTGTATAATAGTCAGAAAGGAAAAATTAGTTGCTGCTATAATAGGACATACCTTCAATGGAGAAAACGATGGCTCCATTTCATAAAGATAAATGATTGTTGGCTTTCGTAGGTTTCTTTTTCGGTATTCAGATTTGAAGTCTCGACTCAACTTTTGTAGAGTTGTAGATTGATAGCCAATCGAGTTCAAAAGAGCTTCATTAGGTTGACCTCGAATCATGGCTTCGAGAACTTCAACATTCATGCCATGGTTCGGCACACCAAAGAATAGTGCCCCTTGAACATTATTGATGAAGCTTTCCGGTTCTGGGGCTTTTAACTCCTGTAAGAGAGCCTATACAGCCAATTAGCATTTCCAATATCCTCTTCAGCCAGAGTCAGAGTGATTATACCTCTTTCACGGTCAGTCCACCAAGACTATGAGCGATAAAAAATGAAGGAACAGAGAACGACTTTCCCACACGAGATGACGCAGAGCCCAAGTCACCTAGCAAATCATCTCGTAGAATTCTTCCTAGGTCTTCGAGAGTTTGCGTTGACTCGTTCCCATCAAGCTTTGTCTTGGAGCCATATGTCATCAGCCGGGCCGTCGGAAAGTGTTCGCGAAGTCCATCCAATATCCACATGAAAGACTGGGAAGTGCCTTTGTGCTTGAACGATCCCCATGCATGACCACCGAGACCTGCAACAGCACATATACTAGGTATCATATTCAGCGCTCCCATTACGTCCATACTAATAGTTCATTTTGACTTACTCGACAGTAGGCGGAATATCGTCAGGTGGAGTATAAAGGACACTCAGACCACGAAAATGAGTATCAATAGTAATATGCATTTTATCGTCATCGGAAGTTGGCCCAAATTCCCATTCATCTTGATTCGGAGTCGAAAAGCACGCAGGGCGCGGCCTCCATGCTATGACGGCTACCTTATCACCAGCGGGGCCGGTAGCGAGGGACTTAATCCGACCCGTAATGTTAGGCTCAAGATCGAGCTTTCTTTCCAGAAATTTCAATAAGTCGTTTCCTGTGTACTCAAGGCTTATGCCCCGTACACGATAATCCAAATCCTTTATCTCCGACGAATGGCTAGAACCCCTCCTATCGCGTCCGGGTAAGTCAGTCGAAGCGTGGGAACCATTTTCAACCGGCCTCATCTGAAGGATTGGTCGTGACAGATTTGTTGGCGACATTGAAATCTCGGACCCAGTAGCCAATATATGTGTCGAAGATCTCAATCGAGTAGGAGATGCTGGATGATTATATGGCCCTTGGAGGCCGGAAGAAGGATCGGAAGGACCGGATGAAGCATTCTCGGAGTTTTCTCGTGATATGGATATCTCTCGCGCCGGGGCGAGGACCATTTGAAGTTTTTCAGTAAAGAATTGAGTTAACGTTTCTTGGAAAATAACCGCGTCTAAAATTCTGTCAGACAAGATATGACCTGTTTTAAATGAAAAAAAGAGTCTTACCATCTGATGTTGAGAATTCAAATCTCAAAAATGACATTGAGTTTATAAATTCAGCCTCACTTTCCGGTAGTTCTTCCTCTGCAAGAACATTCATAATTTGAAATCGCAGCTCGTGCTCCTCAAGAACTTCATCATAATCAGGCGGGGCATGGCGGATCAGGTTACTCAATCGTCTTAAAAGACGATTTGGGTTTCGTAATGCTTTTTTCTTCACTTTCGGAGCCCAAAATTCAACCCGAACCTTGTTAGTCGCGTTATTTGCGTGAATTATATTTCCAAACATTCGAAGAGGAACATCTAGGTGAAAATAAGGTCGACTGCGTTGCACTAGAAAGGAAAGCGCTCTATTCCGATCGTCAAAATCACACCAAAGCTTCACAGGCTGAGCAGTTCCTTCGAGACCCCTCTCAGAACTGATCTCTTCCACCTGAAATGTGTGCAACAAGATTTTGCCTCGAAGGGCACACTCAAAAGCAAACGCATCAGATAGAGAATTGAATCGATAAGCTGGTTTGCGCCCTTCGTACCGCCATGTTACCGAGCCATCACTTTGATCAATTATGCACGCCTCAAAAAGTCGAATTTCCGACGTATCAAACCTTTGATGTTTGGTATATGGGTGAATTCGATTAATTGGGGGGACTAAATATTCATCAGTCTTATCCATACATCCGCCAGAGCCGATGGAGACCCACGGTGTTGTACAACCCCCCATTCTTTATCCTCTTTGGTGCTGACTATCCACCTGTCGCTAGAATGCGTAACAATATCCACGGTGTAGAGGCATTCTTCCGTCTCATAAGAATCAAGTTGGCTTGAAAATTCTTAGCTTTCTCCACTCTTCTGCGTTTCTCATCCATGACTTACAGTGTTGCAAGATCAGACTCATCAACGTAGGTGTAGACTCGTCTGCGAAGGTAGGGAATGGGTCTTTGGGTTCTATAAGTTGTTTGTCGTTGTTTTAAAGATTGCTGCGAATAATGGCGTAGGTGCTCTTTGTCGTCCGTCAACTGAAAGTCTCGAGAGAACATCAGCTGGGAACCATGAGCAGGCAGCTCATGATCTCTAAACCGTAAAACAACCAATGTCCACAGTTGTTCTCTTTTTGCACTGCTCAACGGAGGTGCTCTCTTTCTTTTGATGCTTTCCTGAAGTTCAATCAGGTGTCTAAAGACAGGCCAGGTATTTTCATCCACTGGAGTCAGTATAGATGGTAGCGTCTCGTCATACTGAGGTGCAACACCATCGGTTGGGGACTGGGGTGTCTGGTGTAGTTCTGATTCACGTAGGATGGCGAAAAAAAGATGTCTTTCAGAGATATCGGATTAACTTCATTCAGAAGAGGCTTAAAGCACAATTCGAACATGGTGAAATACTCACAGCATGATATCGTCCATTTTAGCATTCATGATATGAAGCTGGAGTTCCACGCGTTTCGCGAGGTGATCCAAATCCAAGTCATTATAGACATAACAGGCGGTTTCATGCAATCGCGTGGTTTGCGGGACGAGATCATCGCAATAATCTGGGTTGTGACGAAGGAAATCATTGCATTCATCCCACGTTTGCTGGAATTCATGGTATAGCTCCAGTGTCGTGTGCTGATGACGTAGAATTCGGCGAAAGCATCGAAATGTCCGGTAGAAGGCATGATAGTACCGACAGACCCCTTCAAGCTTCTCTTGAGGGAGCGTGGCAAGTGGGCCTGCTTCAGCGCAAGCAAGCCAAAGTTGGGACATAGTGGAAATTACGACGATCAGGGATTTGCTGGGGAGAATTCGATATTAATAGCGCCGATCGCGAAATGTTTCGGCCATCCATATTCGCACGTCCCAATCATATTTGGGAACACGACGCGGCTCTAAAGCTCCAGAGCACGTTCCTGATTGAGCGGCATTGAGTGGTCGCGCAAGTAGTCAAACTGTGATGAAAATGCAGCGCTAGTGGTGTTAGGCACGGACATTAATCCAGTCGGCCCAGGAGAGTAAGCCCCGGGTGCCTCGTGGTGCCTCGTATTCATGAGAAAGCATATCTCCAAAATAGTCAACATTTCCACATGGCAATGTCGCCTCCCGCAGCTTTTCTGATATGTTGAAAATCCCATATTCCGCCATCGGCCATGGCAACTGCACGTTCGACCGATCGTGAACCGCAACCATCAACCTGGCAGGCCATAGGCAACTGGCTACCGTTTCCCTTCGGCGAACACCCATGGTGGATTGATGGAACGACACGGGTCCCGGACGAAGAGGATGAGCACCCTCGATTATGGCGCGAAGGGGTGATCAATATCTTCGACCATAATGGCTTTGATTTTCAGGTTTTCATCGTCGCCGCGTCCGGCTTTTTGACGGACTCATATTCACTCTTCGCGACCAATGTGATCCTCCCATTATTGGCATTTTTATATTGGCCCGATCGAACGGATCGCCTGCCTGAGCTATATATTAATGTCGCAACTCTCGCCGGCTCCGCTATCGGGCAGCTGTTGTTTGGTTGGTTGACTGACCGTCTAGGACGACGGAAGCTGTATGGACTAGAGCTGGTACTGGTGATATTTGCAACATTGGGGATGTCGCAAGCTTCGACCGGCCTATATAACAATATGAGCATCCTTAGTTGGATCGTCTTCTATCGCTTCTTTCTCGGGATGGGAATCGGCGCCGAGTACCCCCTCAGTGCTGTAATCACGGCGGAATTTTCCAGTACTGACTATCGTGCCAGAATGATGGCAGCTGTCTTTTTGATGCAACCTTTGGGACAGATATTGGCTGCTGCCATTGGCTGGGGAGTCTTGGCAGGGCTCATGAAGTCTCGAGGCATACAGGATCTACCTGATCATGGATCAAGCTTTGACCAGCTACCTTTAGACCAGCAACATTTGATCTTGGCAACCCTGGACAGTGTGTGGCGATGGGTCATTGGCGTGGGCTGTATTCCTGCCCTTCTTGCCATCCTATGGCGGTTTTCGATTCCCGAATCTCCCCGGTATACAATGGATGTCGCCCACGATCCTAGACAAGCATTCGCTGCCACTAAACGACAATTTCAGTCCACTGTGCGCTTGTTAGATTCCGGTAATGCTGATAGGATCCCAAGACCAAATCCACCAAGAGAGACAAGATCTCCCTCAATCGTCCCAACGCCCGATCCAGAACAGACAGCCGCTTCCGGATTCTGGACCTTCTTATTTGAGGAAGGAAACATCAAGTATCTTGCAGGCACTTCTATATGCTGGTTCCTCCTTGATTTCTGTTTTTATGCATTGGGGATCAACTCCCCACGGCCTCTTGCTGCTCTTTGGGCTTCTTCCATACCTAACATTACAACAACAACTGTATTACCAGCCGCTACCACCACAATGACGATCCCCGTTACGGAGCAGGTAACAGTGAATGGGCTCTTATACAATGTCACAACTTCGGTTATCGCAAATATTCCACCACCAACCACCACTCTAACTAGCATTATGGCTGCAACAGATCTTAACTTAAGGGTGCCTGATTACCAAAATATCTGGTATCCTTCATATAACATGTTCGATGGGTTATCTCATAACGCAAAGCTCTATATTTGCACAATTTCAATTACGTCCTTGGTTGGCGGCGGCTTACTGATCTGTATCATTGATTACATACCACGAAAACGATGGTTGGTCTGGTCTTTCCTCTTGCTAAGTGTCTGGTTTGCCATTCTGGGAGGCGTTCTCGAGGCCACTGAATTTGGAAAGGGCCATATAGCAAATGTGGTTCTGTATGCATTCTGCCAGCTGTGGTTCAACCTCGGTAAGTTTCTCGTTCATCCAGAAGTTGGAGACGATGAGTGGCACTAATAGTTTGAGACTTGCAGGCCCTAATACATTGACATACATCGTATGTGTTTCAAGCTATACTAAGCCATGTTTGGATCTAATACTAAGAAATCGAAACCTCAGATTCCCGCAGAGATCTTTCCCACCAGGTTCCGAGCTACCTGCCATGGTATCTCGGCAGCCTGTGGAAAGCTTGGCGCGATTATTATTCTCATTTTGACCGAAAAGACCATCCTCAGCAACGATCCAGGAACTCTAGACAAACTCCTCGGGGCATTTTCTGTACCCTTAGCATTTGGTGCTTTCTTTGCTTGGGTATGGATTCCGGATTTACAGACAGGACCTAAGGGCCCCGCGAGAGCATTGCGTTTCCCACGACTCCCGAACAAAAGCCTCGAGCAGCTTTCGAGGGGATGGGCATATTCAAATGGAACGGATACTACCGAGGATCTGAGAACTCACCTGCCGAAAGGTGAGAACCAAAGGTTAGGGATTACCAACAAAGTTCTTGACTTATGGAATCTTGTTCGATATGGCGGGGAGAGAAGGGTACTGGGCGGCGATGCACTTCCTGGAAGGTTGAGAACCGCCAATGACTCGATGCAAGAAGAAAGAGTTAATTGCTAGGCTCCGAGGGACAATTTTCTCTGCGGGATGGGCTGTACCATATTTGTAATTAATTGCTAGTTGTAACGTAAGTTGGCTTTCATCTACCTGTAGAAGCTTCTCTCGGATCAATCGGCCATCAAACGGTCAGACGTTGCTCGTTACTTTTCTTCAATCTTGTTTCCCTAACGATATGCAAGTTCCTCTTTGCCCGAAACACATGGTATACGGTCAAAAAGCCCCAGATGGCGCCAACCAGAATAACGCTTGCCACCGCGCCTATCAAGCTTGCAGCAGTGAAAACTACTGAGGCACCCTGAAAACCCTCATCGTTTTGTAAGGAACTTGTACCCAGACCAACCTGCATAGATCCAGCTACAATAGTCACAAACCCGAATACCGAGAATAGCCATGCGAAATTCCGCTCTATAAAAGCCTTGGACCATAGTGATTCTGACATATAGCCGTGTATAAAGTTCTTGACTGAAAATACGCTCGGTGTGAGCCGGTATATAAGATCCAAACGTGATAGTCGCAGCTCCCCAAAATGATAGCGTTGTGAGACTAGGTGGAGGGTCTCGCAATCAATGCTCGTGAGCAGATCGGTCATGAAGGGTACCCATTTTTTCCACGTTATAGATGATGGAAGAAGATGAGCATCCTGAGCGATGAAAAGATCTGACTTGGTGCAAATAAGCCAGCAGTACGACAATAGCATTCCACAGGCACATTGATAAATTGATCGGTCCCGAGTCAAGAGATTACTCTCTTTTGTCCAAAAGTCATGGGAGAGAAGATACTCTGGAAGCGGCTTGATGAAAATGCGGGAAGTGTTCCATACAAGATGCTCATTGGGATTTTCTGTTATTATGACATTTCTTCCCAGCAGGACTTGTCTGTGGAGTGGTCGGGCGGCTTTAGGGAGGCCGGCTAACCAAAGATGGGGATAAATCTTATCAATAATAGGGGTTCGCAGATCTCGCTCTAGTATATCAAGAACAGGACGCTGCCTATTGAATCCAACACTAGGGTGATAGGGTGAAAAGACTGGTGTAGAGGTCTCCAGTTGATGTTCTCTGTCGAAGGGTGGAAGGAGGAGAATCTGAAAAATCAGTCAGCGGTCTATTGCTCTGTCGGCAGAGAAAAAAGACAAACCGAATTCTTCTGCAAGGGCATGTTTTCCATTGCGAATACCATCTTCAGATAATTATCGCTTCAACTATGGTGGAAACTATGGTGGAGCCGGTCACTACACCCTGTTGATAATCTCCGGCGGGGTAAATTCTGGGCAGCAATCACTGGCAGCTTCGATGGCGTTTACAAAAATGTAAAGAGCCCCCTGTTTATGCGAAAATCATGAGTCCCGTGTTGTGCCCTTGACTGAAGCTAAAGTCAGATGTAATCCTGAGAGGGAAATTTAGCCAGGGTTCAGTAGAAGAAGCGACAGAACTACTTTGCACCGTGGCGACCGTCTTCTGCCGTGCGTGGAAACAAACCAAGACTGCGCCACAACGGCCATACGAGAAAAGCAAGTCACGCTTTCAACTACTTCACCCAGTCGGTTAAATAGTTAGCCAACTAATGCACTAACTAACTTAACTTGCTTAGGGTCACAAGGCCCCGAATGACCACGTTCCCCTACTCAACGATCGCTTTGACAAGGCATAGGCTTTCTCTCATGCATAGTCGCGTAGGTTCATACCATGAAGATATGTTCGGTTTGAATCTTTTGTTATTCAGTGACACAGGAGAATTCAATTTTGAAAAACAGTGACTATTGTTTTATAAAGGCGAAGATGTCGCTAGACCCTTGTCGCTAGACCCTTGTCGCTAGACCCTTGTCGCTAGACCCTTGTCGCTAGACCCTTGTCGCTAGACCCTTGTCGCTAGACCCTTGTCGCTAGACCCTTGTCGCTAGACCCTTGTCGCTAGACCCTTGTCGCTAGACCCTTGTTTCGATGGGACTTTCTCCCCTAGCTGACAACATCGCTTCTGCAACAATATCCCTTTCTTCTTGTCCGCTAGCATCTCCAAACACTTCATCCAGTTCTTCAAGGGTTTTCCCACCGGTCTCAGGAACCAAAACGAAAGCCCAGACTCCAGCTAGGAAGCACATAACTGCGAAAAACACATAGGTACCATATCTAATATTAGTCATCATACTAGGGACCGAAATTCCAATAATGAAATCACAGAGCCAGATCACACAAGTTGACAGTGCGACACCTTTTGATCGAGTGGTGGTAGAGTAAACTTCAGATGGCAGCGCCCATCCAAGAGGGGAGTAAGAGACGCCGTAAGTTAGAATGAACAAGAATGCCGTGGCGACACAAGCCCAGCCAGCGTTTTGATGATCTGCCCAGTTCTTCGAGTAGATACCCGAGAGAGCTGCAATGATGGCATACAATACAGCTGTTCCAAATCCACCAAATATAGCCAGTGGTCGACGGCCGACCTTTTCAATGATAAGGAAGCAAATTATTGCGGCGACCATTTGAAGAACATCCAGCACACCGGACAATACCAAAGACTGCTCCGGACTTTGTCCCAACTATGAAATATTTTGAGTAAAGGGGTCGAGATTGGAAATATACACTTGGAAGGTACTTACTGAAGTGAACAATGTTGGAGCGTAATATATGAAAGCATTGATTCCGGAGAATTGTTGGAAGAAAGCCACCCCGACCCCAACGACGGTTCGTCTCCAAAGTTTACGCTGAAAGAGATCCAGCCATAGTAGCAATTCAAGTTTCAAGCCACTAGCACCAGGATGACTCTTCTCTTGGGCAAGCTTCTGGAAATTTATTTCGGCGATGATACCATGGAATTCTGTTTGTACTCTGTCGTCGGTACTCGGTAGTCCTCGGAGTCGTACTAGGCTTTGGAGACAGTCTTCTTGCCGATTGACCAGTGCTAACCAGCGAGGCGAATAAGGAAAAAGTGAATACCAGCCCCCAGAAGAGTTGCGGAAACCATTTGCAAACCAAATGGCAGGCGAAATGAGACTTCCGTAGCAAGGTATCGAGTTCCAAAGGTGATCCAGTATGCGATGACAACGCCCGAGGTGATGGAAATGGATTCAAGCACTAAAAGTGTGCCGCGAATATTTGGTGGTGATATTTCGGAAATATAAAGCGGTGCACCCTAGGAATTTGGAAGTCGTGTGTCAGCGAGCCATCCCATATTGACTATTCGCTTCGTGAAGAAGGGGCAAATCTCACCATTGCTAGCGTTCCAACACCAATGCCACCAATGAATCGTCCAGCTACGAGGGCTCCATAATTAGGAGCAGCAGTCTGGATAATGGCTCCAATGTCGAAAATCACGACCACTACCGTGAGGGCCCATTTTCGGGAGTACCGATCTGCCATATACGGCATGAAGATGCAGCCGACAAAGGCTCCCAGAAGCAACATTGCCGTCATTAGCTCCTTTCCGAAATCAGTCTTAGCAAAAGGATATTTGCTATGGAATTGGTCCATCACGTTAATTATGGAGACCACACCCATGTCGTAGCCCATCGAGAACCCACCCAAGGAGGCGAGGACAGCTGCCCCCGAGACGTATGGAGAGGTTATTAGGCTACGGAGCCCACCAGAGCCATACGAGACGGGTTGTAGCAACCCCGGCTCTGCGATAACTGTCTCATCGTGCTCTGTGCTGGGTTTGGCTAGATGTTGGCCTCTAGAAGATAGTTTATCGGTGGATTCGTCGCTCGCCATGGCGATTAATAGATGTACAACGGTTGAGTATCATAAGTTTGAAAACAAGCACCAGATCAGATGGTGCTAGGTAAGCCAGCTATCGCATTTTTATACTCCAACGCGGCTGATCCACGAGCCATCGTCATCTACAACAGCCAACCCCCATACTTCACGCTCATTTGCGGGGTAGTCTGGAGAAGCTGGGTTTGAGTGACCCACACAGCGGTTTTGAAGGGTTGTTCGCCGCACATTACCTTCCTGGGACTTGTCGCTGGGCGTCTTGCCATCGGGGAAGTTGCCCCGGGTCGGGCCGATGATAAGATGACGACCAGATGAAGACAAGATGAAACTCTCGAAGCGCCCAACCCAGCACGCGCGTTCCTTTGTTGGGAATCTACTCCGGGCTAATCGCTCACCCGGCATGAGACTTTTGCACCATCCTTCCATCTCCCCAATACGATGAGCAAAAAAAGCACAGGGGTTGTGTTATCCTCGTCGCACCGCTATCTTGTTGCACCGCGATCGGCAAGTCGGTCAAGAATCATCCCATGAGCTCTGCCGCTGGTCAAATAGAAACTTTACAGAGGGAACTCCGAGACTACAACTTAGCATCTCAAATTGAATGGTCAAGGTCGGCAATGGTTGATGGCAGGAAAAGGGACTTATATCTCGGCAGACGAAATGGCGGGACTCGTAGAAGCAGCCGAGGCAGTTGTCACATGACAGCGCCGAGCTCCGAGAGATCACCGATGTCCACCACGTTATGGAAACTCCGATCGTCGATTGCCAGATGCAATCTGGATGTTGTTCCCTGCAGGAGGATTAGATCCAGACAAACTTGCCATGGCAGGTATGGATTCGACAATCGAGCACTTCCGCGGCCACCCGTGGGCTAACTCGCTCATCTGCTCCGCCGACTATACCCCAGTGCCGACGGATTCGAGACGACCGAAACCTACCACCGGTGAGGATGGCTACTTCTCCGGCACATTGGCAACCTCATCCACAATCCCACACGTCCTGACTCTTCAACGACGCGAACTGGGAACCCCACAATCAAGTCCTCCGACGTGGCTTCCCGCGACCAAGGAAGATGCCGCGGCCGCCGCAACGCCGACTCCCGGTGCGAACCCAGCTGATATCATTATGATATATGACCTTGGAGGCTCGGGAATCGCCGGTCACCCATCGACAGTGCATGGTGGAATTGTTGCGACTATGATCGACGAGGCTATGTCCCTCGCTGTGGCCGCGCATGCCTCTGCGCCATCCTCCCCACCTTCGACCGACTCCACAGACAAGAATCCCCGAGGCAAGACATTTACGGTACAGTTAGATGTACGATACAAGAAGCCGGTCACCACCCCGGCCTTACTGGTTGTTCGCGCTCGGGTTGTTGCACGCTCAGGCAGGAAGTTCTGGGTACGCGCGCAGGCGCTACAAGAAGATGAGACCGAGGCAGGTGGCCATCTCGAGTGGGCAAAAAGGAAACACGTCAAGTCCGATGCGATGGCGTTTTGGATTGTGACGCCGATAGACAAGTCGAAGTTGTGAAGACAGGGTGATGCGGAGAACAGCACCCCTACGTACCAGATATTTCCTGACGATTTTTGTATAGATCTGCAGGCCGTCAAACCTTGCTGCCTGGATATCTGGCGATTTGACCATGTGCGTTTTTGACACGTCTTCTCGTTGAATAATTATAGATCTCTATTCTCCTGCGCTAGAAGCGCACCGCTATGTATTGCTAACTGGCATCATTTGCTTGATTGATCTAGCGCTCTCTCTGTACGGCTTTCTGGCTTTTGCGAGCGCTTATATAGTAGAGCTTTGATAGATAATACTTGCTTGCTAAGCTGCTTAATTCTATATAGCATTGTAGGCACGATAGTGTTAGACCCACTTCTAGACCTGCTTGCTGGTGGTGTTTGTGTTCGAAGCGATATATGAAGTTTTGATAGGCCTTGCTCGGCATCGAGCGGAACCAGGCCTACACTAGCAGAGCTTGATTGAATCGTGCTCGATAGGAAGGCTTAAGTATCTGTGCCACATCGTAGGAAATATAACAGGTGGTCTTTGACTGCTTTTCTGGAACCCCTCAAATAAGTCCTTAGAAGAGATTAATAGATTGTCCCTTGGCTTACTTTCGATCTTTTTTTTATCTCTTTTTGTGTTAATCATTCTTTTTCCAAAGCTTTTTTTTATCCTGCTACACAATTTGCGTTGGATAATAGTTGAGACAAGACCTATGCTATAGCGGCTTAGTATCAGAGGCCGATTTTAGCAATCTGAGTAACTCCAATGTGACATGGTATAAAATATAGTTTGCAGCCGTATCCCATAAAAAGAACTTCTTCGGTTTAGCAAACACCGATCTATATATTTATGAAAAAATAATGTAGAGAAAAATCTACAACTTCTGGAACTTCCTTGTTCCTACATTCCGACTAGCGCTGACAACAAGCCCGACTTGTGTAGCCACTGCCACAACCTCACCATTCTCATCTAAAATCGTGACATCCAGATCCGTACGTCCGTCGCGCACAACCTTGGTCACAATCCGACTATATAGCCATTCAACACCCTCCGCTGGCAGATGTTTCTTCATATCAATGTTCAAAGTGACAGTAGGGTACCAGAACTTAGCCGTTGTCTTGGGCACAGGTCCGCCCTTCTCCTTGGCGACCGCCGTGGTTGACATTGTGTCGAATCCCTCCAACGCCATGGGGAACATATCGGCCAGATATACCACAGCTGCGTCAGTCCACCGACCTTTCAAATCCCCGTGAGGCCGGAAACGCGCCCACTGGTCTATCACCAGACTCTCCGTGCGCTTCTGCTGCTCCTGACTCTTCCCAGGGCCGTAGAGTTCTACCTGCGCAGTTGCGCGCCGAAATTCGAGATATGGCGGGTCGATCTTTTCCCAGGTGCCATCGGAGCCGGTGCGCGCGAGCGCGGGGAGGTCAACCTTTCCGCCTGGTAGCGAGCCAGGCGGCGGCGCGGGGAGAGGCTTCCACCCTGTCGGGGCGCTGATGCCTACTTCGGCGGTGGGCGGGCTGACGGTAATGTACCCAGCGACTTTCACCTCTAGTTCATCCTTCTTCTTTTCAGATTCCTGGAGAAGTTTGATGTGAATTATGCTGGTGCGTGCGCCTAACTTAATATCCTCAACTTCAAAGGTGACGGGGCCGGCGGCCGTGCGCCGGAGGAAAGCCAACTGAAGGGATATTGGGGATGCTGGGGCATCATATTGCTTTGGATGCGCATGAGCGAAGTGTGTTATAGCCAGGCGGTAAATGACCGCTGTTGTATAGCCACCATGGGGTACTAAATGTACACAATAGCAGGGTCAGCGTTTTTTGGTTACTGCAGGAGAACAGTCCACCGTATTTGGAGACGTACCAGTTCCAATGCACCATTCCGGTCGCAGATGCGCGCTATACTTGCCCCCGCCTTGCGGGGTGACGCGAATGGCATCCTCGAAGAATTGATTAATGACAGGCATCTTGAACCAGGAAAATGAGTGAAAGAAGGTTGAAAACGAAGAGACAATTGTTTGATATCGTAAACATGCTTCTCCGCCCGCATGACGGCAGTCCGGTAAGCCTCGGTGGACCTCGGCTCGGTGATTTCCCCAGAGACCAGTTAGGTAGCCGAATGGCTGAGTCAGCATTTATCCGGAGCTGAGGCTTATCAAAGTTATCGGCAACACAGGTTATTGTGGGGAAGTTCTAATGGAGGTGAAGAATGTGGAAGGAGTTGCAAGAGTAGTGTTGGTCCATTGTACTTGTAAATTGCCATCTATGATAATCCCGAAACAAAAAGCCCAAATGAAAAGATATTATACCATTCAAAACGCCCAGCCTTTCTTAATACTTCATAGACTCGTTTTAACGTGCTATTATGCTTCGCCAATGTAGTGGTGGGTTAATTGTTTTCCTAGTTTCAGTTGACGTTTACCGAACTGGGATTGAGTTGGTCTCTGGTCGAGCTACGAGCTGCTGCAAGCATGAGAGAACACCTAAAGCGATTTGTCAGTAAATCAAAGTCAGAAGACATCGCGATGGGACAGGAACTCACCAGTCACTCCTTGCGTTATTGTCGCATTGGCCTCAGTGCTGCGCGACCCCAAAGTGACAGTCATCGCGTATTCAACAGCCTTGGCTTTCTGCAGCTTGTTTGCCCACCGGAAAACAGGCTCATCTTCGCGATTATCGCCAACAACCAGCAGAAAATCTGGCTTCGCTACCTGGCTTTTGGCCTCAGATTCTTCTAGACACCATCGCCAAACTAACGCAGCGGCCGACGCCTTATTCGTATCGGCAGGTTCTACAACAAGCGCGCCTTCAACGGGGACGGCATGCACACCGTGGGTCTTGCAAGCATCATTGATGTGATCAGCACATTCAGCGGCAAGCCGACCTGCGCCGTTGCGGTCATCCGCCGATCCGTAGTGAAAAACAAGAGAACAGTGGCGTTCTTCAATCCAGCTCCCTTCACTGCGATCCTTAAAGTAAGCTAGAATTTGGGAAACTGATTGTTTCCAATTCTGAATGTGCGCCCTGTCCGCAAGATGGGTCCATTCATCGGAATGGGGTTCACGGACAAAGCACCCATTCTCAGCAATGAGACCTAGGTTGTTCACTTGGCGAAATAGCTGTTCCATCTCGTCGGGCATGCGCGAACTCATAACATAAACCACATTCTCTGGATCATCCGTCAGTTCGGTCAGGGTGGTGATGGCGCGCTGAGGCGTGGTGAGAATGATGTTGCTTGGAGATCCCCAAGATGCCAGGGTACCCTCATAGTCGACAATCATAAGCCGGCGCTTTGCCTGCTGGTATTGCTCCACCAGACGAGAAACCGACAATCGCGGGACGGCCATGATCTCCCTCGAAGACTGCTCATTCCAAACTCGTTTCAAAGTCTCGTTGAATGACTTCACCCAATTTGCAGTCGAGTTTTGTAGCACCGCCCGGTGCATCTCTTCCCAAACCTGTTTTTTCTTGTTCTCATCCCGAGTCAGGGCAGTGTGAATTGCTTCGGCACACTGTCTATAATCCCAGGGGTTTACTAGGAGCGCATGGTTGCCAAAGACAGACGCACTGCCAGTGAATTCACTCAGGATCAAAGATCCGTACTTCTTATCTCCGTAGCTGCCATCTTGACAGTAGACAAACTCGTGGCTGGTCAGATTCATACCTTCACGCAGGCTGGTAATCATGAGAGCGTCAGCCACTGTAATGAGAGCCAGATACTGGGGGAAAGCTAGGTCCTGTTTCAGGAACACTAGTGGCTGGTGAGCCAATGTTGAATGAGTAGAGTTGATGCGCATGGCGATGTCAGAGATGGTTGCTTCCAGCTCGGGTTGCTCAGTAGTGCTGGTCGCAACTTGAATCAATACCACCTCGTTTGCCCACTCCGGGTATGTGTTGAGAAACAGCTCATAGCTAAGAAGTTTCTGGCGAATTCCACGGACAGAATCAATCTTGTCGCGGGAGACGATGAGCCGTTTCCCCTGATATCGCTCGGAGATTGTGTCGACCCATTGTTCTACATCTCCGGCATGACGGCGCTTGTCCCAAGACAACGGGTCAATGCCAATTGGGAACGTGCCTACATTAATGAATCGGTCTTCCATCTGAATGCCCTCAGTGGTAGCCTCGACACAAAGAATGCGACTGCATGTTTGCAAAAAGTGCCGACAGTATTCCGCGGTCTGGAATCCTATCAGATTGGCCCCAAGGATACCCTCCAGAAGTTCTTTGCGCGGCGCCAAGCATTTGAATACCTCCGAGGAAGGGAAAGCGATGTGTAGAAAGAAGCCGATCTGGGCGTCCGGTAGCATTTTTCGAAGCATCGCAGGGACCAGAAGCAAATGGTAATCTTGGACCCAGATTGAGTCCCCTCGCCTCCAGTTCTTGGCGATACTCTCAGCAAATGCCTGGTTGAGTTTCACGTAATAGATCCACGAGTGATCTTCATAGGCTTTGCTCTTCGGATTATCCGGGATCTGGTAGTGGAAGACCGGCCACAGGATGGTCTTACAAAAGTGGGTATAGTGGCCATCAAAGTCGCCGTCGGTGACAAACACTGTCAATGAGTTGAAACTATCCTCCAATGTCCTTGCAATTTCATCCCGTGTCTGCGTGTTCAGTGCATCGGTTGGCATCCCTAAAGTGCCAACCCACATCATATCCTCCAAGTATCCGGAATCGCTGGCAGATCGAACCGCGTTCCGCAAGCCCCCGTTGCCCTGCTCTGCCATTTCTAATGTCCATTCGGCCCGCGAGAACGAAATTTTGCGATTTGGGGGGACGGATTTTTCGACTCCAAGATGGTGGCTTCTAACAGGCTCTGGCTCGGGAACTGCTAGTGACACCTGCTCCTTGGGGGGTGTAATGGGGTCCTCATGTTTAAGAATGGACGGAGATGGAGATAATAGGGTTTGCGGCTTCGGTTGATTCAGCGAAGTGGTTGCGCCCCATGCCGGAGACACGGCTTCGCTCTCGGTGAGGAATCGATTTTCCAATGGCGCCAATGTTGGAAACGGGTATGCCGATGGCTCCTTCTTAGGCTTGCTCACGCTCGAGGTGAAAATGCGCTCATGGTCTGTCGTTGCACCTGGGGTGAGACCCTGTTCAGGTTTGGGATCTTTTCTTTCGAACAGACTGGCCGTGGTGTTCGAAAGTGGAGGGACCGAATCAGCCACCGGATTCGCAGGCCGAGGGACGAGTTGTGGGGTTCGACTGCGCGAGTTGTCGACGTGGAAGTTGGCCGTGTAAGGCAGAAAGCTAGGCCACAGTTAAATCTCCATGCCGAACCTAGTACTGATCGAAGCTTTCATCAGGACCTACAGCGACGCAATGAACACCGTCATGGTGAAAGCAGCCTCGAAAGAGGGACAGAAATTGCGATATCGAGTGCGACGGCAATCTCTCGGAGAGGCAATCAGCAGCCACGGGCGGGCAACGAGTGACTGGCCAAACCGGGGACAGGGAGATCTGCTCGTCGAGGGTCGAGCTGGAAAGGATGATCAGACGAAGATCTATTTTCTCATGGCTACGTCATGTGAAGGCAGATCAGGTGCCGGTGAGGGATGCAGCCAGTTCGCAAGACGCCTGGTCGAGAATGAAGACGTAGAATCACAAAGTGGCCGGGAGGAAAAGAGCCTGACCGACCGGATTTTTGCCGTCGCTCACTTTGTCTTGTCGCGGACTGAATGGCGTCGAGACCCCAGAGCTTCCAAGGATTCCAGTCTTTCAATCGCAGCCTGTCCGGAGTCTGACCGCGCCGTACGTGATCCCGCCACTTCCCGCGTGGGCCGAGCGGCCGCGATACGGTAATACACATACCGAAGTATGCAATCATTCCCCGCGATTGGCGGAACCACGGATTCTGCCGCCCGAGATCACCTGACGATGAGGTACTACTTTTCCCCTCGCGGCGTTTGCGAGCTGCGATTTTCGAATATCCTGGCTGGTTTGGTCATGCCCTTGCGTATCACTTCTGCTCCCACAGCCGGTGTCCAGAAGCGCAAGTCTACAGCTCCCAGACCCCGCGCATCGCCCTTTGCCGCCCATGCGCGCCGCAAGCCGAGCGCTACCCCAACCGGCGCCGTGAAGGCAGCCGCGGATCTCGATGATCATGACCCTCTTCCCGATATAGGTGGTTCGCAATTCATCTCCGAGTCCGCCCCCGTCAAGAATGTAGTGGAGGCCATCCAATATATTCGGACGCGAATGTTTGACGAGCTCCCCGCACGAGCGGGGATGAACAGTACCCGCATTGCAGAGGTCTTGAATTTGCGCCGGTCGCTGCCTGCACTTGCCTCGGTCGCACACGTCCATACTCTGTTCAATGCGCCTACACAGGTCGAACGGGAGATCGTGGAGCTGGTCAAGGCAGGCCATGTCCGGCGGCTGATTATACCGGGGCGCGGCAATGATGCAGCCGGGTTGGGAGACTGTTTGGTTCTTGCGGAAGACTGGGACGAGATGGTCCGCGGGAGTTCGGCTTTAGATCCAGCGGTCAAGGGTAAGACAAGGTTACACCAATCACCAGTGATGTACGGAAATTGACCGTCCGTCCATACAGAGAAATTCCTTGACATTATCAGCCGTATCGGTACCAGCTCTGCAATCTCACAGGGCGTGTTTACCGCCGACGAGTACCGGGCCTTGATTCGCGCTGGATTCCTCGTCTCGTCCTCTTCGTACACACAGGGATCCCTGAGCATCGTTTCTCTTCCTCAGCTGCCGGGAATCGCGATCTCCGCAGCCAGTCGGAGAGGCCCGGCCCCGAGTTCTGATGCCGACCACGTACAGACCCATGCCCAAGCTCGTGCCGCGACTCTATTTTTATCGTTCCCCAACACCGGAACGTATCTTCGGTTGCTCGGCACCGGCCGTGCGCACTTGCTTGCCCTTCTCCAGCGATCGGCTTGCAGCGAGGCCCCTTTGCACTTGCTCAAAGATCGCTGGGACGGAGCAGTCGAAACGGAGAAGAACTTCCACCTGGCGAAAAGAGCCCGTGGCGAGTTTGCGGGGATTCTGCCAGGGAAAACCAAGAAGTGGAAAGAGTTGTATGGCATGCGATTCCAGTGGGTGTTGGAGGAAGCACTGGGGGCGGGCCTGGTAGAAATCTTTGAAACCGGCAGCGTGGGACCAGGGATTCGGCGTCTGTAAACCTTGTTATATCTCTGATTCTCGTACGTAGTACAGCACTCTTAATACTCTGTATCCTGTAGCGTGGAACCGGCCCATCGCTATAGAGCAACCTTGGCCGTGAAGGAATGACCGAATGAAAACAATGATTCAAACCCTCAAACCCCACGAACCCCACCACACCAAGTATATACCCGCAGGGCCGCAGGGTTGAGTCCAATCGGTGAAATCGCTGGACGCGGCGTCTCTGGTTCTGCGAAAACAAGCTCCGTCGATCCCTCGGCCTCCAACTTCCCGGTCTTCAAGTTCTCCCAAACAAACCACCAAACCCACTCCCTTCTCTCCTTTTCAACTATTCCAAAAATGCCCCTTCTCCAGCTCCGACCCCATCCGTTCACTTCCCTGCCTGCCCATCCCTCTCTGCCTGCAGATGTGGTCCGCCCGGAGCTAAGACAGTTCACCTGCACGGCTCTCCAAGAAGCTCTGGAGCTTCTCCACTCCGTCCCCTCCACCTTCACCGCAGACCCAAAACTTCGCGCGTCCCCCCGTCACAGGCGAAGGTCAAGCTTCTCAGGCTATGGCGTAAACCATCTGATGCCCCGGACCCCAAAGATGAAGCAGAATTCTGGGTATGTCGTCAAAGTGAACATGTCAACTCTCGCGCCAAAGGGACCGCGCTGTGGAGCGAATTTGAGGCCGGTTTGAAATCCGAACATGCCGAGCATGAGATGGAGTATACACCTAGTGTCAGTAATGTCAAGCGACTGCTGGAATGGGCTGCGCCGCAGATTGGGGAGGTCGAAGTGGATGGCGTGCGGTTTAGAGACGTGAATATCGAAGGTATGAGACTCGTGGCACAGTGGGGACTGCCTGTTCGAATGACATACGCATTGATATCAGCATTATCATGTAATTACCCTTGACTGATCGGATCTACAGTTAACCTGATAACGCATACTTTCCGCCCATCGGCGCTGATTGCCCCGCGCTCGTTTATCACCCTGGCTATCTCCGCCGCCTACGACACTCCACAGAAAAGCTTCTGCACTGTTCAAATTCCCCTCCGTGCAGATTCCTCGTCGACCCCGGAAACGATACTCCGTCAAATCTCCTCTTCTGTGCCCAAAAAAGCAATATTTGCCAGCTATGCAAGCGTTGAGCGTGTTCGGCTACTGTCCACGACACCTTCCTCTCAATCATTAGCGGACCCACCCCGCATTGAGTGGACCATGGCCACAACTTCCGACGCAGGGGGATCCATCCCACAGTGGGTTCAACGGAGTTGGACATTAGGAGGAGTGCCGCGTGCTGTGGTTGCGGATGTGGGATTGTTTATTGGATGGACGATGCGGCGACGAAACTCGACTTGATACTATCTTGTCGCGCATGAATGGAATGATTCAGCCCTTCATAGATATACGTAGAAATGGAGGGAAGCAAATCAAATCAAACGAAAACTAGAGGCAACTTCTTATTGAGAACTCTTTCCTGAGAATTCCTCTTGCCTCTTATTCTGGGGGCCTGCAAGTATGCATAGGATACTCAAGTAGTTAATATTCATCATTATATCTATATGGCAGAAACCACCTGGAACTTGTCGAAGAGGAACGAAGATGAAATCAAATTGGCCAAGTTTACACCCCAACGCTAAGCGACGGTAAATTTGAGACAGAAATTGTCTAACTTTTGACGCCGTTTTAAGCGTCCTTTTTACTAGAGACTTAATTATCACCCGTCCCCGTGATTCCGCTGGCCCTGATGATCCAGCGCGCTCCCGGAGTACTCTTGGACTACGTCCAGTTCGCTCTAGGGGCAATCTAGGAGCATACCGGGCTCCTTTATTGTCATACCGGCTGGAAACAGCGGATTGACGAAAATAAGGTTATAGAAAGGGAATCCCCTTTCTTTCGAGCCGAATCTCTTCATGATTCAGTTATTGAAATAATACACCTTTACTATTCTTCTCTGGTTCAACAATGATTCAATATCTGCAGACTAGATGAGAGCTTCCAGAGCTTTTGTTGTTACCCCTGGTGCCGCCAATGCGAGTCCCAAGGCAGATCGCGATTTCCTAGTCAGCGGAGATGCTCTTCTGAAATTACTGGCACAACTTCTTGCTATTGTACCACCGGCACAACGGCACAGCGGCACAACTTTGGTGTTCGACTCGTGGGACTGTCTCGAAAACCGGTGTCAGGAAGGAAGCTGCTAAAGAGTAGTGGCATACACCGGCGATTCCAAGACCTTTCTCCCTCTTCTGCATAAGCGCCATTGTCATGGACGGTATGGCAGCCATGTATTGTACATGCGAGTCGCCTGGAGAGCTTGAACAGCCACCACGGGCGTTGGCAGTGGGGGCCGGCGTGTTCCACAATTGATGCGAGTGGTGATGGTCTTGTGATTCAGGATGTCAATGGTGCCAAGGAAGTGATCCCCCAGGCCTGTCTCCACTCCCCTCACTCACACGGCAAGTTTAGACCTTCGAAATCGGGAGGAACTATAAGATGTGGCCGCCGCCTCTTGGATAAAATCAAAGTTTCCAAAGAAGCACAGAAGGCGAACGGATTACCCGGCCCATTCTTCGGTCGAGATGAGTGTAGGTCGGGGTTCGGCTTTTCATGGCTCCAGGCCCGCACAACTGGTTTATCAACACCGACTTGTCGGTCTTGAAATGAGCGCCGATGATAGTCAACTCTTGCCACGCGGTTTAGTTTGTCAACAACCAACATAGTTCCAGCTTACGATCGGTGGGCTGAACAATAGTCCAATGTGATAGGATCGGGATTGACCTTTTTACCGACCGGAACTAACGATTCTTGGCGAAGAAATTTTACCTAGCTCGTGTCTTACATATAGGTAACAGAGGAAGAACTGACTGGATGCTGGGCGTTGCAAAAATTTGAGAGCAGGGCTGCTCGATCCAAGGCCGTTGAATTCAGACTTTTGTTTGCATCATCTGGCAGATATTGAAGTCACCCTTATCTCCTACTAATAATCTTTACATCGAAGGACTCAATAACCCAACATGTCGGGCAATACCGAAAAGCGACCTTACCTCGACTAGGCTCTCCAACGTCACCAGGAACCGCATGCCTTTTATCCTATTGGACCCAAACTTATTCTGATTACAATCAGTCTGGTGTTGGCAGTCTTCTGTGTTGCTCTGGACAATACGGTATGTTTTGCAGCCTTTCAAAGCCACTTGCAGAACGGGTGCTGACATCGTCGCCAAAGATCATGGCTGTTGCCGTTCCGCGGATCACAGATGACTTCCACGCACTCAATGATGTTGGCTGGTATGCCTCGTCGTACCTACTCACGACTTGCTGTGAGATTTATCTGATTGCAAATTTAGCCTGCTATCTAAACTGACCGTGCTAAATCCCAGCCTTCCAATTGCTGTACGGCAAGTTTTACACTCTCTTCCAAGTCAAATGGGTCTATCTGTCCGCCTTATTTCTTTTCGAGCTGGGCTCCCTGATCTGCGGTATCGCGCCTAGCTCAACTACATTGCTTGTTGGACGAGCCGTCGCGGGCCTGGGAAGTGCTGGTATGTTTACCGGCGCGTTGGTGACTCTGGCGCACACGGTCGAGGTAGAAAAGCGCCCGATTTTCTTCAGCATGCTCGGAGGCATGTACGGGATCGCGTCAGTCGCTGTACCATTGGTAATTTTTTTTTATTCTGTTCCTCGACCTTTCCAATTGATACCTGTCTAACAAGATTCTAGTTGGGCGGTGCCTTTACCGATCACGCCACTTGGAGATGGTGCTTCTATATAAACCTTCCTCTCGGCGCGGTCACTGCCCTTGGCCTTCTCTTTTTCTGAGACTGCCTCCCAAGGAGAGAAGCCAGAAGACCCCAATGGACATCTTCTTAGATTTAGACCCGATGGGAACCGTCATCTTCGTCCCTGCCATTGTTTGTCTGCTCCTTGCGCTCCAGTGGGGAGGAGTCACCTACGAATGGTCCAACGGCCGAATCATAGCCTTGTTCGTGATCTTTGGATTGGCTGTTTTCGCATTCATCGCCCTCCAAGTCGTGCTTGGAAATAAAGCGACTGTGCCCACCGAGATTGCTCGTCAACGAACCATTGCCTTTGCATCTTTCTTCGGTCTTTGCATTGGAGGCTCGTTCTTGATCATGATCTATTACATTCCAACCTGGGTATGTGACTTCCTGTCTCGAATAATATTCGTCACTCATACGCTACAGTTCCAAGCCATTCGTGGCGTCACGGCCGTGCGCTCTGGTATCGACTCCCTTCCCATGATCCTGTCCAATGTCATCGGCATCATCTTATCTGGCGGACTGACAACCAAATTCGGCTACAACGCACCATTCTTCATCGCCAGCAGCATCATCATGTCAATCGGAGCAGGACTCGTCACTAGGGCTCACTGATATTACCTTGTGCATTTTACAATGTGAAATGATTACTAACCTATATTGGGCTGGCTTTAATCTTAACCCTGAAGCTACTCAATCTCTTATACCTGAGCGAGAGAACATATTATGCGCGCTAGCGACTCCTATTGAGGAACAGTACTTGCGAGAGTTTGATCTTAAAGTCCATATACAATGGCTGGCAGCTGTTGAAGCTCGCCTTTCTCTTTCTAAAGCACGGGTCGTTAGTCTTATTAACAATTCCCGGCTAAGCAAGGCACCAATTGCAACCAACGACAAAATTTTCCATATAGCGGTTGAGATAGTCAAGTTCGCGGACCTTATACAGAAAAATAAGCCGACTAGACAGTGGGCATGGCTCTGCAAAAGCTACAAGCAAAGACACGCCGTGGCATTTATTCTTTCTGAGCTTTGTATCCGTCCTATTACAACCGAAACGAAGCAAGCCTGGGAGATTACGAGATTGATATACAATCAATGGCAAGAGGAGGACGACAAGACAGATCCGATACTTCAGAACACTGTAATTCCGCTTATGGAGCGTGCTACTATAACACGAACAAAAAAGCTCAAGATTCTTGGGACACTGCGCGATTATCGGACCTCACTCCCCATTCCACGGTCTATAATTCAAGAACAATCATCACAGTAAAAATGACACTAGACATGTCTTCTGTAAACTCTGTTTTCGCAAAAAGGAAATACGGAAATGAAACAAGCGATGAGTGAAAATCAGGAAGTCCTTCAAGCATCCTTTGAAATGGGCTCTCCGTCCCACAACATTATGACTCTCCATTCACTGGTCCATTTTGTTGAGGGCTTTGTTCTATAGCCAGCATTGGGGGGTCTTGAAGGAAGACGGGGGTGGAGGATGCCCATATCCTGGCTCACCTGGTCTTAGAAGATCCTCCGCCGGTAAATTGGAATTTTTCACGTCCCAACGAGATAGCAAACCTTTCAGGCCGTCCATAGTCTCACTTGTATATAAGTAACCTCTATTATTTGGAATAGTTGCAGTATAAACCAGATGCCGCATCCACATCCCACTGTATCTCAGATCACCGGGGCCTCGCTCGCTCGTGGACACATTGCATTGCATCGGAAACCATGGCCGTATCTTCTCTCCCGATGACATCCACTCCATGTTGAATTCAAGCTTGCAGGATACATCTACAATACTACCACTGGCTGTTGTGACATTGTTCAGGCATAGAAAGGTAGCCGGTCTTCCCGCCTTGTCCGTCAGTATTCTCAAATCTTCTCGGAATATAGAACAGATGGCTGATCCAGTGTCATCGAAAAACTCCAACTTTTCCTGCCGTCCTTCTGCCCCGGGAACTCGAACAGAAAATTGCACCTGATATTAATAATGATTCTGGTCAGAGAATGATCAAAGATGTGATATATGGCTATTTTTAACATGAGAAAACTCACCGTATGCATGAACCAATTATTACAAGGAGGGTGACATCCCGCGTACCCTGGAATATTATAAGAGTGTCTGGGCGAGAATCCTGGGCCATTTAACTGAAACTAATTTTAGTATACGTATCAGCATTTCAAAAGGACTCCGCTTGATGAGCTTACACCTTCCACCCAGACACGATGTTGGAGACTCAGAGCATTCCACTTGTCAATATCGTCCCAGTTGAACTTGACGGGACCTTTGCCAAGGAGCGTGCCATTTGCCCAATACGTCACATACCCATACCTCCAGGTCAATTTTCCACTTCTATAAGCCCGCATAATTGCTGCCACGTTACTCAACTGGCCCCATTCATCTCCTTTTGTGAGTATGTGAGCCTTGATAATATCCAGTCCCTTCAAACGCATGACTGCTTCCCAGCTCAACCCCGCGGGCTCAGAAGCAATAGCGGCATCTTTCTGATCTTTGTGCTTTTGATAAAATTTTAATTTGTCCTCCCACCAATGGGGCATAATGCCATCCTCGATTCGCTCTTTGCACCTTTGTATATTTGCGTCCACATCACTAATAGGTTGGTTGTCTTAGTAATGAAGTCTCTCCATTTGATCTTTTACAGAGACAGGAACAGTTTCTTACTCTTTATCGAGATCATTATCATCGGATATCCAGTCTTCGGGGACTTTATCATAGCGTGTAATAATAGCTCGACCCTGGCGCCTCCACCTCTTGGAACATTTCGCCACTTTTGTGGGCTGGGCCCGGCTTCCCGTTTTTACACGGAGTTTTGAATCTGATACTATCCGGTACGGGGTGGGAGCCTTGATCTCCGATAGCAAATCTGATGATGCAGTCATAACCTCAACTCTCTTCTCCGAGGAGAAAGTCTCGGTGCTGCGCTTTTGGGGAGGCATGGTGTATTGAAGAGTCACTGAAAAGAGTAATTACAGGACGAAGTTGACTGATGTAATATCTCAGTCAAGGGAAAAGCGAGAGAACAAACAGAAAGAACGATCTTTCTTCAAAAATGACGTGGTCAGAATGAGACTTCTTGGTTTAAATATACATTCGCAAGGCAGGAAGAGCAGGACGTAGAGACACAAAGACAAAGGATGGATAGAAAGCAGTCAGAGCGTTACCTCGATCTAAACGTCCGCAAAGCTTGATCGAGTCGACTTAAAACAAAGAATGTTCTTTCACTTTCGTAAATTTTGACTTTCCCTCATTCTTTCAATGAGAACACATGCTAGATAGAGAATGAAATCATGGCCCTGGTCTCTTCTTTAGCAGAATTGAAGCAGATTAGGTCTGCACTTCATTTAACATCTCAGTGATTCAGACAACACAACCAATCTACTGGCTTACAAGTCTCTCGGTTCCACGGAACAGTGAGTCACAAATATAAGCAAGTTCCAAATTATCCTGGCGTTCAATCCAAGGCATCCAACAAAGTACCTGTTAATATTATGCTGAGGGGAATTATCATAGCTGTGAAAACCCTACAATCATTTGAAATAATCTAAATATTAGTCTCCGGAAGAGAGGCTCTCTAGAGCTAGGTAGGTCAGGTTTAAATCAAATATAGTGGCTTTCGCTGAACTCAGGAGGACCAAGTCCTGTTGAAAAGCATAAAGGAATCTAAGCCACAACTGTTGATAGGCCTGGCTTCCCACTTTAAGCTGTCAAGACTTTGGGAGGTTCCTCTGTGAGATTGAAATCTAGCTTGTTTTTAATATGCTTTTAGCAATCCATCCACATGCTTCTTAATGTAATTATAAGCATCTATCAAAGTTTATCAGTTTTTGGTGACTGTCGTTTTTCAACATGCAATTGACGTCATTCTACAGGGACCCCGAGAATAGATCTCTCGTTTGTATCTATCTCAATTGACTTTCGAGCCTCCGGCAACAAGTCTGGACCGGCATTAGTACGACCAAATAAGACTTTTGGAGACCAGAAAGCTCGTCATTCAATTTGATGGCCATAGCTAATCTCTTTAGAAATCTCTTGAGACAATAGCGCCAGGTAAGGTAGATGAAGGGAAAGTTCAATGTCTGCGGATGTCAATATGTGATTTCACATGGACATATAGTGCTAATGAACAAACTTATAGCATTTTCTTCTCCCAGCCCAGACAATTTTGACCCTCTTAGGGTGCCAGTTCAATTTCTGCTTGCCCGAATAAAATCAATCCATTGGTGAATATAGGATATTGCAACTGTTATGCCTCCCCCCGATAATTACGAAAAGAGCCACTTGCGATGAGATTCATGTATATATGAAAACGGGGGGAGCGGGTTAAGTTTCAAGCAGCCGGCAAGGATATAATTTCGAACGAGTTCAAAATTTCCAGATATACTAGTTGAAAAGATAACTTCGCATGGGTCCTTTCGCCTATGTCAATATTGTTTTCGTCCGAATCATCCATTTTCTGTCAATTTCTCGTTGTCTCCTAGTCGACTCATTCGAGAAACCCATAAAACCTCGGTAATCCTCCGTTAAGTAGATAAGGACATGATTTGCCAAGGCTTGCCAAGTGTTCCTCGATAAAATCGACCGGCCGGTATCTTTTCCCGCCCAAAGCTTGGTCTGGCTTGGCCTAGTGGCTCAGGGTTCGCACCTTTAGCTTAAAGCCACAGTAACATCGCATCGGTTTTGTTTACCGTAAATCGCATACTCGCTCTCTGTCTCGGAGATATTCTTGTTACTGCAGCTGGTGTGCTGATGTAGGGTCATCCGCATATAGTCATTCCTTGCGTGCATATCGCCATTTCAGAGACATTCATCTAGAGCGCTAAGAAAGGGGGGAACGTTCGTCTTCACCAAACTGCCAATAAACTTTAGAATCTAAATGGCAAGTTGCTGCAGGACTATCCCGCATTCATTCCCAGCGAATAAAGGCAAAGAAAAGGGTGCCGGTGGCTGACTTAGTGCGTGATGGATGAATAGGGGGGTCATAGCACGTCAATGCCTCCAGGGTTGTACTTCATCCCCCATTTTTGTGGCTTGAATATGCATCATCTGTATGAGATGCGACAGACAGTCCTGCACAACTGCGCTGTGAACGGAACGGCATCCCGATGGGACCCTGATTAGCCATTAGACCCCACCTCAACTCAGCTTTACCCCTCTTCCAACCGCTAACAAGACTATCTGCCCTGCTTCTAAATCGACAACAAAGTTATCATACAGTACTAATCCAAAAGAGAACCACTTGAAAATTAAACCTCCAAATCTGTCATCTTATTCAAGGCTTATTTGATCACCCAGTATATCTTCTGGGCCACGTTTCAGTGTCACCAAACAACCCCTTGGCCGGTTATATCGCTTCTCAAATAATGCATGTATCGGGACTACCGGGATATTCAGAAAGGAGCTAGTCATACTAGCCACCAGGATGTAGGGTTACCTTCCGGTCCTGAGCTTGGTTCAACTCTTCATCAACCGTCTCTCTGCATAAGCAACGCTAGTGCATTGCGCGATCTCTATTCATGGCGTTTTTCATCTCGGTCTCCGACGGCATGAAGTATGAGCCCTTTCAGGGTGATTATTCAATCATGAAGAAGTAGCGTCAATGGTTGTATCGATATTGAGGTTGCATTGGCATGTATCTGCAAGAGGGTAGACCCGTGAGGAATGGCTTCTCATGGGTCTTGAATATTCATCACGGTTTCGAATGCTGATTGAAAGGCTGCACTATAAAGTCTCCCATCTTTCTCTGTTTCTCAGTCCAACTATAGAGTTGAAACAAGCTTGTCTTTGACATTTCTCCAATACAAATCTTTCTATCTCTGCTATAAAATCTGTCTTCGGAATTCAATCATGAAGTTCCTTACCGCAATTCTCAGCAGCACGCTCCTGGCGTCTACTGCTTTTGCTGCCCCTCTGACTGCTCAACGTCAAGCTCGCACTGAGGCCCGTCGTCTTGCTCGCTCGGCTGAGCGCCATAGCAACCCTCCTTACAAGCCAGAATCCAACGAGGTCATTCACTTCAACGAGACCTCTCATGTGGAATATAGCTCCAACTGGGCGGGAGCTGTTCTAGTGGGCTCTGGTTATACCGCAGTCACGGGTCAGTTTACTGTCCCCACTCCCAAGGTGCCCAGTGGCAGCAGCAGCAGCGGGACATACTCCGCCTCTGCTTGGGTTGGTATCGATGGCGATACCTGGAGCGATGCCATCCTACAGACCGGTGTCGACTTCACCATTTCCAATGGCAAAGTGAGCTACGATGCTTGGTATGAGTGGTACCCCGACTATGCCTACGACTTCAGTGGCATCTCCATCTCCGCCGGCGATGTCATCAAGGTGACCGTGACAGCCTCGTCTAAATCTTCCGGCACGGCCACCATCGAAAATGTGACCAAGGGCAAGACCGTGTCCCACACTTTTACCTCCAGCAGTGTTGAGGGTGATCTGGGCGAGGTCAATGCCGAGTGGATTGTCGAGGACTTCGAGTCTGGCGGTTCTCTTGTGAACTTCGCCAACTTTGGCACTGTCACTTTCACTGGTGCCGCGGCTACCGATAATGGATCTTCTGTTGGGCCCAGCGGATCCACTATCATTGACATCAAGCAGAACAACGAAGTTCTCACCTCTGTGTCTACCACGTCTAACAGCGTGACGGTGAGCTATGTCTAAGCGATGTGGTCAGCACGCAATGCTGGTCATCGCCATTGGCAGCGAGACCTTGAAGAGTCTCCAGATACAGGAAAGAAAGTTGCGGGGTAGATGGATCGAGAAGGGGATTATAGAGATTGTCATACATATAACGGATGATTTCCTCTCCTATACATCTCATGTGACAGCTGAGATTTTGAGTTTTGTTTCTGTGTATGGATTTGGGGCAGGGGACATCGGTCAAGTGATTGCCTTCCAGTTACAGTATTCTCGCAAGTATTTGAGTTGTTGATCGGATTCCGGTGCTGCGTGGATTAGTGGATGTGTTACACTTCCTGTCTGACAATATGAACTATTTTCTCCATTCTTCATGAATCATTTCTAGCATTGTTATCTAAAAACCTGTCTGCTTCCTTACGATACGGTCGGGCTTGTGGAGTGATATGATAGGCCGAAAGTTAGCCCCCAATCCTGTGCACCACCGGCTCTGACAACTAGCAAAATCGATTCTTCCTTCAACTTTTCGTCGAACTATCATGGAAAACTCTTTTCATTTTGTTGATGGCTTGCAACCGGACAAAGCCTCAAGAAAGGCCTTGCGTCGCCATGTGATGAAGGGCAAAAATGTCGGAAAAAAGATCTCCAGGCCGTCTAGACTGAAATTAGGGGCGCCTCGAGAGAGTGGTCTGCCGCAGTCACAACCCACCGATACCTTGGCTTCCTTGGCTCCGCTCTGGCTTACAGAGAAACTCAGCTGGGAACATTTTCAGTTGGCATCTTGTGATACTGTGGTGAACAGGCCCTTTGGGGATGTAATTTTAAGCGTTTCAAATTCACCTTTTGAGATCACCCCATACTCACTAAAAGTCATACATGATTATAAGAATGAATCCGCTCATCACAATTTGAGCCAAAGCTGACATCATTGCTCAAGTTCTTGATCTGACAAGCGAGCGATTATACCCACTCAACCTCGGCCTTTCTCTTGATGAAGCCAAGCTTGTATGGCTGCAAGTTTTATTTGTGGATGAAGCCAGTATGTTTCTTCACTCTTAGCATTAAAGTGAGTTTCTCCTGTTAATATCACTTTTAGCTTATCATTGCAACATGAGCCTAATGGAGGCCTGCAACGAGATATTCCTCCATGGCGGTAATAGTACAACTAAAGCTTTGTATCATCTATCCCAGACATTCGCTTGGATTCAGAAGCGGCTTGAAAGCAACGAAGCCCTATCCGACTCCACTATCGCTCAGGTAATGTCACTTGTTATCCAGGAGCAAGTCAGGAACCAATTTTCTACTGCTCAAATCCATGCCAGAGGACCCGAGAGAATGGTTCAACTTCGAGGGGGGCTTAGTACACTCGAGGGAAATTTAGCTTTTGTGTTAAAAGCTTGCAAGTAGGTGAGCGCGTCCCTGGCTAAGCAGTATGCCACTGACAAATAACCTTGTTCAATGGTGGATATAACTTTATCTCTCCATCCAACGATGTTCTTTCGAGACCATATGTCTGAGGCACTCGATTTACAAGGAGTACTACTTGACCGTTCATTGACTGCCCATCTGGCTGAAATAAAGAAAATGGACCCTTACCTCTATACAATATATTTGGATGTAATGGGTATTTGCTCACTCCGACAACCGACCACCCAACGTTGCGTTTGGCCTTTTGGCATTTGAGGAAATTCTAGTGTCGATTTGCCATCGCTTGCTACGCTTTCGTTCATTAAATTATTCCTCCAAGCACATCGACTTGTCAGCAGTCTACCAAATGATAAGTCGGGCAGGAGATTGCGAAGCCTGGACAAGAGTCAATTTTAGAGTTAGAGCACGCAGCATTAGATTAGGGGAGTACTTACCAATACTTGTGAGGTTGAGAAGCCCATTCCCCCTCAGTTCACACCAGTGATTAAAACTGTCTTCCCACGAATTCCGGCGGCAAAGGCATCTGCAACTTCCAGTCCTTCGGTGTTGGAATCGATCTTTGAATAAGTGGTACTTGCCATTTTTGTTCAAGCAACCGAAGAAATATAAAACAAATGCACCAGATTGGATTTTTTTCGACAGTTGAGAAAAAAAGAGGCAACTATGGTCCGATCTGGAGAGTGTAGATGAGAATGTGGATGGGAAACCCCATGATATTTATATTTGTCCTGGTGCTGGCAATTTACTCATCAGATGCGCGATTTCAAATGGCAAGCAATGCAGTTTTTGATAAGAGCGAATGAGAGATTTACTACCCTATTTGGCCAAAGGACCGGCGCGTCTACTGTGACTATGTATAAGAAGTGAGACTGATTGATATTGTCCCCGCTTTTGACGATTTCTGGCCAATGGAAGACTTATTACGGGATTGGGTAAGGCGTTAGTAGTCAATTGAGCTCCATGTGGGGGAAGCTCGTCCGCTCAGTCACCGTGACGTCCAATGAGAGATTTAATACCTATTTAAGTAATGGAAGCGAAGAATGTCGAAGTGAATTGGCCGCATGTCATTATACATGTAGTAACATCACATTACTCCACTGGCCGAGTGGAGCTGCGAGTCGATTATGGTTACGTTCAATATATCTTTCAAAACAAAGCCTCCTGTTTTTTTTCCTGGCCTATAATCTACGCGAATGACGTGAATAATCACTGTTCGCATAAATTGTGGACTCAGAACGACCATTCTCCAAACTAGTACCCGGCGAAATGGCAATTTCTATCTCAAACTCCCTCGTGATAGTATGGCGCGATTCAGGTTTGTCAAGAAGCCCGGCCATGGGAATGTGAACTTGATATTGCCGGTTTGAGCCATATGTCGCACCAGTCACGCGCTGCTGTGACCAATAGGCCCTGTTCGTATGGCTCGTCGCTTGAATAGTGCTGCGGAAGAGATTTGGGAAAAGCCGATCGACGAATACTCTGGTGGAAGGGAGACTTGCGGCCATGACAGCACAGCATATTTCGATTGTGGACGAGATCGACACGAACGCAGTGTTCCAGGATGCATCTTCGGCTGTGTAGAGCTTGATCACGTAGACTAGGCGAACGATTCCGGCCACACATGCACTGGCGTCTGATGAGCATAGATACCTCGTTGATGGGATTGAGTCTCTTACAAGGCACCAAGGGAGAGAAGAAAAACCACTACTGCTTTCTTGCGCCACGAGATGTGGAGGCCTGTGATGTTGTCAGCATATTGCAGGTTCACTTATCGTGCCATGGCCATGTAGGATGAATGTACCCAGGATTGTTCTCATCGGAAGGATTAGGACCACGATATCCGATGCCAGAAATAGTGAGCCAAAAGATATCCAAAATGGTAATGCTGGGAAGCAGGTAAAACTATTTATTTCGTAGTTCCACGGATTCCACACGGCACCAATCGGGTTGCATCTGAAACACGCAGCCAGAATGAATGCTACCCCCATGGCGATAATCAAAATGATGGTTATGATGAACTGCCATCGAAGATGTGGAAATAGACGAAGGTATAGGATTAAAAGCGAGCATTTAACCAGAACTGTTCCGAGCGTGTATAAAAGGTGTGCAACAAGCCGGTACTGTATTCGCATTAACTAATGAATAAACAGTGAGTTTACTAAGACGTCGATAGTAGAACGTGCCTTGATGGAAATTTCGTTGTCTGAGATGGAGATGGTGCTTTCGTGCCTCCCAGTTCCATACTTGACACCTATTGGGGATCAGCCTGTGTGATTATACCATGCGTATATCATGATTCCTAGGAGTCATACCTATATCGATGCAAATAACGTTTGCTATGGTTACTGCGGTGGCTGCGACAATTAATAAGTCGTCTGCCCCGGGCCGTCGCAAGATGAAAACGCGGGAGATGATACGAAGAACCACGATGATAGTAGTCACTATTGTGAATATTGCGGTCACTATCACAACCACTTGGCCACAATTGGCATGGTTCTACAAAAAGAGATTTGAGTCAAAGCTTTCACTGTCCACTTTTCAACTGCCCTACCTGTTCTCCGCCGGTGTTCCCCAATGGTGAGCCTCCAATTGGAGAGGGGACAGTCGCATTCCCAGCTGTCTTCGAAATGAAGTCATACTTTGTGGATGTCATCAGGCCGGACCCGTTCTTTTTATCAAGTCCGCCTAGGCGACGACAGAGGAGACGGAACGAGGTGCAAAACAAGCTGTACTTCTCCCCTGGGTGGAAGGCAGGGCAGGGCTATATGGGACAGGCTGGACCCGGCGGAGAGGGCTTATCCCCAGTTCAGGGCCATGAAACATGATCAATCCCGGTTTAGTCTTTTCCCCGATTGACGGCTTTTTTTGAAGATGCAGACAAGGGGATGCCCCGCAATATCAATTGGACCAGAGTCTGCGCATTTACGGTTATTCTTGATGGAAATACTATTCTCGGAGCCCCTTCTCCGTGGGCCCAAGAGGTCTCTCAGGGTTCATTTAAGTGGAGCCGGAACATCCCTGGTCCCTGGACGTAACATACAAAGCTGTCCATGGTACATAAGTAGCATGGCGAACACAAAGTAAGGTGGAGCCGAAATCCATCCCCAGATGCCGAAAAAGTGGGTCTCAAGTTTTATTCCAGCAGCACATGCGAGTCTAGAGCGGATATTAGACCCTGCCCATCTATCGATTTTCTCCAGACTCCCAGGTAATCGGTGTTCTGATGTTCTAGGTTTTTCCATGATGTAGAAGACCGGCTCATTGCTCCGTCTCGGGCCACCAGAAATTCTATGTTCGGCGGCCTATGCACGCACTCCCGCACAATCTTGCTGGATAAAAATTCTGTAATTGTGGTGGAAAGCATTACGTCGTGTTTCAGGGTGATGCCCCGTATCATGTTTCGGTTCTTGCAGTGGAAGTCGTCGTGCGGAATGAGGCTTGCCCTAATGAGACATTCTCAACTGGGAAGATTCGGCAGTTTAAAGCAAGACGAGAAACGCAAGCAACCACAGGGAAGAATTAATTTAGCATTCCAATATAGGTGGAAAAATATACATTTTAACAATCCAGGACACTCTTGGCCACGCCACGCAAGCCACCAAGCACACGTCCGAATAAAGTCCGGAAGCCGTTCCTGCAGTCCTCTCTCGTTCCCCTCTTTACAGGAAGACAGAGTATGCCTGCAGGGCTGCAGAGAGGCCCACCGCCACGCAATTATCTTTAACACCCATCTTGGCGTACCAGGCCGAGCTAGCCCAGAGAATAGCATTGACAATGCCGGCAATGGCCTTGTTGAGCGGGTCGTTGAGAGCTGCGGGGTTATTGGACCACTGGTAGTGGATAATACCTGGGTTTGGTTAAGAATGCTCACAGTAGGTTTGAGATGGAACTTCAAAGGAGACTGGAAAATATGGTGCAATGGGGGACAATAGGGTCGTCCCAGAGGGGGAGGGGGCGGATTTGGGGGTCTAGATAGATTCGGGGTTGTCGATGCAGACAAGATAGGACAAGGTACGTACTAGTCATGAGAAGAAACGCGCCTCCCTATTCGCGGGTTAGAAAAAGATTCAATTGTTTTTCTCCAGTGTTGCGAATGCAGTGGAGAATGGCCTCCGCCCCGAAAAACCCTGTCGGATGGGAAAGGCCCTTTCCCAATCTGGAGGAGACACGTACCTGATACCAGCCCAGAGTGCCGCAGGTCCATGGCTTGGAGCCCTTAATGTTCTTGAAAGACTTTTCGGCCGTCCACTGTGTGCCTTGAACCTGTAAGTATTCACAGGTTTATCAGTTCCAGCTCCAACCCCATGTGACGAGACGCCTAAGAGGCGAGTGAAATTTTACCGTGTGTCCAATGGACAGGATCAAGAAGGTTAAGGCGGAGGCCTGAAGGGATCTGGAGGGCGCTACAGATGACATGAGGGGCAGATATCTCTGTGATGTATGTTCGTGAGAATGATGATCGTGCAAGCAATGATCGATAATGCTGGGGTAAGGGGGGCGGGTGGCGTCTATAAGACGGCGGGGCCTCGGCTCCATGCGGCGGGGACCACCGAGGTTCCCACGGGCTGCACGGGCTGCACGGGCTGCACGGGCACTACAGGGGTGAATCGACGTGATTTATCTACTCCTCGTCCAAAGACTGAGGGTTGCTACTCGCGCTACGATACGGATAAATCAAGAGTTTTGCTCAATCGAGATTGGAGACAAGGCACATGCAAGCATAGGGCATATTATCACTACCTAGGTGGGAATAACTCAACACAAGAGAAGGAAAGAGGTGAGAAGGGTTCCAAAAGCAAGGAAATTAACTCCAGGCCAGCATCGTCATGCATCAGTCAAGAATGAAGTCACCAAACATATCCGCAAAGGAGAAAACATAAGAGAGGGAAATAAAGTGGACTCCGGCCATCAAAAATGTGCCATGGTATGTAAAGTCATGAATAGCTTGTCACAGGGGGCTCAGAAAATCGGTAAACTTGGTCCAGATTAGAAAAAAGGTCAATAATAAACCCGGCCCATTGGGATCCGGGATCCTGTCAATACATCCAGTTTTGGGGACGCCAAACTCCTTCTGTTGATCCAGGAAGAAACAAACAAAAAAACACCTTGCAGATCGGTTCCCAGGCCTCAGCCAATATGAGATCAAAAGATGGGAGAAGAAGACACTAGGAAAATAAGGGCTATACCAAGAACCATGAAATCAGAAGAAAAGGAAATATGAAGAGGCTAAACAGGCCCTGAAGAGACAGAAAATAGTTCAAAAAGAAGAAATGCCACCAACGCCGGCAACTGTCGGGACGGTGATCATGAGGGGGGCGTCAGATATTCAACTCTTTCCCTGGAAGGGCTAAGATGGTCGAACAAAGGTGTATAAAAGCTTATCAACAGAATGGGTGGAATGCGAAGCGACAATCGAATCCCAGATGTGAGAGAGAATTGGATGAGGAGAATAGAGCACTCATATCGTACAAACAAGGAAGAAACCAACCCGCGTAACAGAAACGGTTATCGCGGGCCTGAGTTGGCCTGGTTAGCCTCGATCGGGGGCGGCACAATGGAGGCATTTGTCGAGGCGATATGCGCGCGGAGAGCTGCAACTTCGGTCCGGAGGCCGGTCAGTTCATCATGCATGGATCGCACATATGCCCATAGCTTATCAGTTTCGCTGAGATCGGGTCCGTCGGATGCAAGTTTGGGGGGAGGTGGTAGACCGTGGCTGCTGGAGTGGCTGTGGGATGGTGTGTGCTTCGCGGTGGCCTGTAGGGAGAATCGCGCATCGGGGGAGCTGATGACAGGCGGAGGAAGTTGTGGTGCTCCAGGCTGGGGAGGCGGTAGACCCAGTCCGGGGGGGCCCATGTGTTGACGATTGGCTGCCCCGACTATACGGGGCTTGCGGGTGTGGCAAGGACTGGCCCATTCCTGGGGAGTGTGCGCGATGCGGCGGGACACCCGCATCATGGTGCGACAAGGCATTGGGCGAGAGGGGCTTCGAACTTTCGCTGGCAGTCGTCGCAGGGTTGAAAATAGAGGTACCAGATGGATGACCTGCCGGCGGGAAGGTCAAGTTTCCAGGTTGTGATGTCGCCACTGATGAGGTACTCGAGCCGCCATGGGTGCCGGGAGGTGGGAAGAGTCCACGATTGGCGGCAATCGGCGGATATGTAGAAGGTTGGCGAACGTGGAGAGAATCGGATCGAGGCAAGGGATCCGCATCATGCTTGCGAATGCTTGGCATGTTGAGCCTCCGCTCGTCCTCCTCGTCCATTCGCTCGGGCTCCGCATACACCAAGCCATCCATTGTGTCGTCCGGGTGCTGGCCATCTGGATAGTCGTCCTCTGGGGCAAAGCTTCCCATGCTTGCTCGGCGACCGGCGCATCCACCTTGACCTTTGTTGTGCCGCGCGAGTGCATCGCCGCGAGCGAAACGTCGTCCACACTTAGGGCAGATATGGGGCCGCTCCCCCGTATGCAGTTTCGTGTGTCGTTTCAAATCGTGGAGTCGGCGGAAGCGAGATTGGCACGTCTGGCAGACAAATGGTTTTTCTTGGCTATGCGTCAGAAGATGGCTTTTAAGGTTATGTTGCCTAGTGAATTCGGTGGCGCAATACGGGCAGCGATGTTTCTTGGCTGAAGGAGAGCGTGGACTGCCTCGGTTATACCCTGAGTTAGGCAGACTCAGGCCGCGACGGGGATCATTAATGCCGCCGGTGGGCATGGGATACGAAAATGCCTTATTACTGTCCTGCTCGATTTCCGAACCGGCCCGCGGGCGCGGCCGATCTCCGTCTTGTGATGCCGACTCTTCGATGGGCCCTGGGCTGGCGACGGTGGAGGTGTGCATCAACGAATGTTGATGGTGGTCGGACGATCCATATGGGTCCGAGGTCGTATCATTTGTGTGCGTGTCTACTTGCATCTGTTCTGGGGACGCGTGCACAGCGGGCTCGTGTATAGCGGGCTCGTGTATAGCGGGCTCATGTATAGCGGGCCCCGGAGATTTCTCGCTGGCGCCCAATGCCTCCCGAGCCACCTGGGAGCGGTTGCGGTCGGCATCCCCGTCCTGCTCGGCCGGTCGATCCGGCGCCGATGTGGGACTGGCCATCGGCGAGGGCTGGGAACGCGAGACGTGCAAGCCGGCACTGGCGATGGAGCTCAAATTGGATTCCGGTTTGGATGGTGGTTTTAGGAATGAGATGGGTTCTGGGCTGGCGATGGCGGCCGGGGGCCGGTGATGGGGTTTGAAACGGCGACAGGCTCGTTGGTCGAGTGCATCAATGCCGCCATGGAGGCAGAAGGATTTGCGCCAACCGCGATGGGTGCTCGAACCAAAGCAACGGCTATTTCCACGGTCATGTTAGAGATGGATGAGAAAGGAGTAGGAAGACGGAGGGAGAGGAGGGGGAGGGGAAGGAGCAAGGAGAGCCCAACCGACTTCAGCCTATTCGATTCCGGCGCTGCACAAGAGCAGGTATTTCGGGGAGGGAGCGGCAGAGAGGGGGGGGGCAACGACGAAGAGAGAGTTGGTGAGAGCGAAGTTCCAGGGCGTGTGGGGCGTTTCTCTCTCACCAGGAAGCCGAGTGTGGCGCAAGCTGACGAGGTTGGTTTCAGCTTTGCCCTTGTCAGGCCCGAAGATGATCCACCCGGAAAGTCCAAAGGAGGGAAGAGGGGGCTTAGGCCTCGAGGTCAAAAAAAGAGCAATCGGCGGAAAGATGGACGAGATTGGTTGCGCATCAATGGCGTCGGGCCATGAGGGAAGGCTGAAGGTTGAGGGAGAAGTTTGGAACCGTGGCGGGTGTTGCAGGCGCAGGAACCAGTACAGAACAACGATAAACAGGCGGGTCGATAGGGAGAGGATCTAGAAACGGGGGGGGGGGGGGGGGATCCAGTCCGGGTACTCGGTCTAATTAACCGAGGAACCAGGCGCGATGGCACGTTGCCTTCAACACGATCCGCGAGAACTAGGGGAGAGAATGAGGACAGATGAAGATTGAGGTTGGCCAGAAACCAGAAACCAGAAACCAGAGAAACTCCAAGGAAACCGGGCACGGGGGAAACGGCGTTTCGGGGGAGTATGGGCAGAATTGCCCCGTATGTCAGTACCCAGCCACGGGCGTGGAGACGCGGGTATCCTCCTGGTACCGAACAGGGCCCGGACGGTGTACGGTATCGTTTGGTGCGGTTTTGGTCTGGTGGGTAACAACGGGTCGGCGGTGACGGTCGAGGCTCTTGGGAAATTGACCCTGACCGGGGGGTAGGTATCCAGTACCTGCGCTCTCCCGCAATCGACTATGCGGACACAGGTATTTTCGACCTCGATAAGATTGAGGCTGTGTAGCCCGCTAGCGCGTGTGGCTGGTCATCCAGCACGAGCATTCCTTCTCCTGAAGTATCTCTGTACTCCGTCCTCCGCAGTCGGTTCGGCGTAGTGATGGGTTGGCTGGAGAACTCGTGTTCTTCGATGGGGCTGAATCCCAAAAGGCCCCCTCAAGGGTTGAAAGCAGCTATTCCGGGGTTTCTAGTTGCTTCGTCCGGTTCGACTCCGGACTTGGCATACTTCACGTCCTTCAACCTCCCGATACAAGAATACAGTCGTAAACGGGGTATATTCTTAGTGTTCTGAGGTAGGATTGGCGTAAGTACCTCCGGCTGTGTACACAGGACTGCGTGACTCGTTGCCAACTGAACAGTCCCGCCAATCAAATCCCAACCCCTCTTACCCAATTGATCTTGCCCACTCCATCCTTCTTGCCTCTCTCTCTCTCTCTCTCTCTCCACCACAGTGGCAACCGGGCTTGGACAATGAGATGTGCGGTGTCACCCTGAACAACCCGAGGAACCACCATGTCAATCCGCTCCAAAAATATGCCGCTCGCCCAATCTGGTCGTTGACGATCCGGTAGATCGGCTGGCGCCCGTGGTTCGTGCTAGTTCGGACAGCACAGCATTGCTTTCACTCTTGGCGCGGGTCTCCTCTAATAGAACTCTCGCCCTCGAGTCCCCTGACATACTTCAACTAGCGACCAAGTTAAAGAATATACTGCAGGTTCAAACCTGACCACAATTAAAGACCACCGAGTCCGCCGAGATCGCCTGGTGGCACCCTGCACCGCCTTGTTTCACATAGCGCCCGAACCCGACGGGGCCCCGGGGGCTTGTTCGTCATCGGCGATCTGCAGAGCAACACGAAACCGGGCCCATTTATCTGGCTGTGCAGCCCGTCCATCCACGAAGACCCTCTCGCGATACGGTCTGCTCATCCCAAAACAGCCTAGGGGAGCTGTCGGTTTCCCTTCTAGAATGACGAGCAGGAAAATGAATTCCATTGGACTCGATGTCTGTAGAGGTGGGGAAGCTATGGTTCACCTGGCGACATGGACCAGTCATATCCACCAACCTTCCCTTCCCATGGCCTCCGAACCCTGATGGAGGGCTGAAAATCTCCTTGCGTGAGATCGAAGACCATCTCCATTAGCCCTAAGGCACCCCAGAGAACGGAGAAGGGGCCACCGTCTAACTATGCGGCTCCGGTATGACAATTCAGCCGCAATCATTCGGCGGGGAGTAGGACGTCACAGGATTTCAATTATGCACAGCTGGTGACGAGCCCTGCAATTTTGTAGATCGATGACTTAATGTTCGTGTAAGACAGCCCTTTCTCGGCTCGACTGAGGATCCTTGACGATCCAGGAGATGTGTAGGATAGGGGTGAAGCTGTCAACCCCAGCGTGGATCCCAGATGTATCTACAGGGCACGATATCGCCATGTTACTCCACGCCTCCATGTGTCTCCTTTTCCTTCGTCTGTGATGATAGGCTGTGATGTATCGAACCATATTCTCTGATCCCCCTCCTTGCAGCTTCACGTATCAAGTCTCGCATAAAGCAGCCAACAATGCAGAACGGGCCAGAGTGCAGCGCGCACTGAGCGACTGCCGGCCTCACACCGCCTCACTCGATCCTGGATCGAGGCTGAAGCGCGCCATAATTCCCCATGCTAACTTCGAGACTCTCGGTCAGGGCTAGACTACTCTAAAATAGCTAAGCACGCGACTCCTGTTCTGGTCGCGATCGTTCATAAAGGATGGGAAGCGCTAGATGAGAAAAGGACCGTTGCCACGATCATTTAGCTACCTGTTTGGACTCGAGTCGGTTACAGCCTTACCACTTCCGTGGATAGGACCCTCCCAACAAATTAGTTCAAAAGCATATCTCCGATAGAATCATTTTTCGCAATCTGTTGGGTGGGGCAAGTCTTCAGTCAAAGGTTAGTGTGTGTCTAGTGTTGTTTCCCCAGAAACCAGGAACAGGCCAACAATCGACCAGGCTGAGTTGAGATTGAACCAGCCATGACATGATGGTATTTCTTGATTCTTGTCGATTATAATATAGGACTCGTACGTGGACGTGTCTTATCTCTCATCCATGTCGTAATTCTTTTTCTTCTCCCCTTTCATATTTTGTTAGCTCGAGTATCATCTGCATCAATCTCAATTGGTGGCCTATCTTTTCCCGCGTCGTCCAACCACTTGCATATCTTGTTGGTGGATAGCGAAACAAGTCGAGAAAATATGCAAAGCACGATCTCTAGAACAGAGCGAGTCGCTCCATCTATGCCACCACCAGTATCATCTTGATTGCGCTAGAAAAAAGATATCTGTCGGGCGCCACCGAAACTGTCACTACGGCTTCGATACCTTCAGTTTGCATGGCCAACTCTAGGGTTGGCTCTAGTAGCTCGGGCAGGTTAGCCCCTAATCCTCTTATTATCCCCCTGCATCACACCGTGCCACCAATGGTGTGGTTGGAGATTGTGTATTTTTAGCAAAGCGCCAGGTCGAACAAGCTATGCATTGGTGATACCGTTCTCCGTCCGTGCAGAAGGTTCGGCGGGTAAAAAAATGGGGGAGGGGGAAGTCGACCGTGAGGGGTGTTCTGTAGACAGACTTGGGTCTCGAGAGTAGGAGTTAGCTATAGTTAGCTATGGTTATTCAATGGAACTTGGTCCTCATTTATGATATTAAGAGTGCCATTTTCTTACGCTGGACGACCCGTCTAGTATTCTAAATTCTATAGTTATGGGTCCCGCTACTGGCTACGAGACGAAGCCGAAGTATATACCGTGACCTCTGTAAAATAGGCATATCCCTATGAGTATACTGCCCATTGGAAGATATCATCTCGGGTATAGCTATGTCGTTCGACAAAATAAAGAGTCTCGAGAATCGATATACATAAGAGCAATTGTCCTAGAATCATAAATGGAATAACTAGGCCCCACAGAGAGTATGGCAAGCCTGTTGAGACGCACAGACCTCCCTGTCCTGAGCCGAAAACTCAAGGCGTGCAGAAGATGTGACGGGAAAAGCAGCCGGTGTATCCGACCACATTGGCCCTGTCGTGACTGACTCCCATGGTGGAGTGTTTGGGTTGGCGGGTATTTTGGTCCATTGGGGGGGGCCATTGGCGTACAGAGTACTTCCTCTCTTCCTGCTTCTTCCCTCCTGCACCACACTCCACCTCCACCCACCTCCATCCTTCGTCCCACATATTTAGGCCGGTCTTCTCTTAATGATCCGACGTGGGAGCGGTTCTGTATCGCCTGTGGTTGGTCAGTCGATCGGGGGGTTGGCGCCGGTGGAGGTGATGGACGTGCATCGTGAGGAGCAACGGGGCCTTCCGGGCCTGCTGACTGGTTGAGGGATCCACTGTGACAAGCTCGACCGATCACCCTCGTCCTTGCTCGTCCTCTCTCGTCCGCCAGTCAGACCTTACAATGGACGGCTGGCGAGGATATGTCTCTGCATCCTGCGACCGTGAAGAGCTTGGCATCGCCAATCACGACCTGGAGTTTGCCCTGCACGATCCTATTCTCGGCGCTTACTTCGCCCACGAGTGATGAGCTGCCCAAGGCCTGCAGCAGCCCCCCTCTTGCATCTGTCCAGTCGGTCTCCCACCTTGATTGATATTCAAAGTGCCCATGGCCGGCTCTGCCCATCTTCAGATGTCTTTCTCTTCTTGAGCATCACCATCGCTTCGCCTTGGCTTCTTATTTTTTTTTTCCGCCTTCTTCCAATCCCCGTATATTCCGTGCACGCAGGTCTCGCACACGGTCTATATCCAAGAAGGCGATATCTGATCAACTGGTTGAATATCAAGCTTCAAGTCGTTGTCCCATTTACGTTGGGGTCTCCGCAGGCAATTTTGTTGGAATCGGGCTCTTAATTTACAGAGTTCGAACCCTCCAACCCGGATCTTCTCTGGCCGGAATATAATCAAGAGCTGGCTCTCTTGACTGCATTGTTTTCTGTTTAATTCCTCATAACTCGTCTCTGGTCTATCGCAACAATGTCAAACGCCAGCGACTCCCCCCGAATGGAACATCCCACCGAACCCCACGATATCACCCGGGCGTCGTATCACAGCGGAATGGGAGATATTCCACTACAACCCACCACTCAGCAGACCCGCAGTTCTTCCGAGAGCAATGGTGCCTCGCTGAAGAGTCCGCGCACAGCTAGATTTGCCGAGGCCACGACGGTTCACTCGCCCATCGACCAGCCCAGGTCACCTTTCGCCGATCCACCCAGGACAGGCGGAGTTGGAGATGTTGGCTTTGGCTATGTGAACACCCCGCACGTAGCCGTCGAGCGGCCTCTCTATTCACCACTAGCGTCGCCGCTACCACCAGGGTTAAAGGTTCCAAATACGGCAAAGTCGCTGAACCCCCTCAGCCCAACTTTCCGGGAGGAGTATATGCTTGAGAAACAAGAGGCGACTAGCAAGAAACACAATGCTCGCGACATGGTAAGAACATAAAAGTGCCACAGGCGCTGATACCGAGCCAATGGGAATATTTCTGACTAACATCCCCCTTAGAGAATCAAACTCCGCGTCCGCATAGCGAAGGTCTTCCTTCGCTTCGTCAACTTCGGCTGTAGTCTGATCGTACTGTCTCTTTTGGCAGTGACTTTGACCGTTTTCAATGCAACCAAGTCCCTGCCGACTCGCAACAGTCTTCCCGCCTGGGCAGAAGGTACCAATCCATGGGCGCAGTATCTACTTCTGGCCATGGCTTGTGTCTCACTCTTTGCCTGTTTGATCGTCTTTTGGGGCTACTATAAAGGCGGTCACAAGCGTGCGGAAAAGACGGCTGTCTACTACTCGACGTTCACGATCGGTTTTTTCGTCTTCGATTTTATCATGTGGATTGTTGCGGCAGGAATCTATCAGCACTCCAAATCCTCTGGCAACAGTAAGGATCTGTGGGGGTGGTCCTGCGCGCAGAATACGCGTGAGGAGCTCTATCACGATCAGATCGACTATGCACTTCTCTGTCGTCTTCAGGTAAGTTTTCTTGTCTTCCATCCCCCCGTCGTCAAGACTCCTCCACTTCTCATGTATTAACAATCCTTCCCAGGACTGGGGCCTCGTCTGCGCCATCATCGAAGTTGTCATCGAGCTCATCGTCCTCTTGATTTATGCCTTCGTCGCCTACCGGCTCTGGTCCAAGCGCAAGCTGATGAAAGCAATGGACACCCGCGACAAGGCCCGTTCTGATCTCTACCTCGCCCATCTGCGTATGCAGTCGGCACCAAATACGCCCGGCTTCCCTGGCTTTGCACCTTACCCACCCAAATCCCCCTTCTACGCAGCCCACCCGGTTGAGCCATACCCAACTGCTGAGAAGGGCGAGATGCCAACAACCCAGTATGCCACGCCTGCCTCGCCCACCAAGCCCAAGCCCACCTTCCAGCTACAAGCACCTCCCATCCGCATCCAGCACCCAACACCCAAAGCTGCCCAAGAAGAGTTCAGCGCGCCCGTGCCTGCTCGCTCCGTCTCCCCGCCTGACCAAACCCAGACTGAGAATGACCACATGGCCGCTGCCCCAGGCGAGGCTAGCTACGGGTCTGTGCCGATCCCCGGCGCGTATGCTAGCCCAATGGTCCCCATGTACCCGCCTCCCCACAATTAATTGGCTTCCGGGCTCTTGGAAAATGGGAGGCGATGGAGTGGATTGACGCGGTGTACGACTAGGGTTGTGAATGACAGGGCTCGGGCTGCTTGTTTCAAAAGCCAGATAATCCACCTTCCCCCATATTCCCTCCCAAAAAAAATAGGAAAATCACGCAAAAAAAAAATCACCTAGCCCAGTGCTTGGTGAATCTTTATGAACATACACTTCTGATTCCCGGATCCTGGTCTAATTTCTTTGCCTGGAGGGGAGTAGCCTCTGGCTGGTCCTTGGTGCGCACGGCGGGCGTGGCTGGAGTTTAATTTTTGCTGTCTTCCTGGAGCAGATACAGATACCTAAACCTCATTTTGTTTTGAGGCTTGCATTCGTTCCCCTTGTTATCTTATTTTATTTTTTTTCGTTGTGTTTATGCTTTGTATTTACGATCTCCTCTAGCTTGTTTATCGTGAACTATACGGGAGAGGTAGTCAATAATGACACCTTCGTACATATCTTGAAACTATTCCTTTCGCAATTGGCCTAAAGTTAAGATCTTTTCCACATCTAAAAGTTTGGCTGTAGCGTCTCCTTTATACGGGTATACAAGTGGGCCGCAAGGGGGTACATAGGTCATGGGCAGATCGGCAGAGATAGCCATGCCAATGTCATAGCTTGCTTTGTTACGATGCCTGTAGTCTGCACATGTTGAGTCCATCACTTTAATCCTACATCTACGCAGAATGAACGTGAATGCAAAAAGTCTTTCATAGTAAGGACGAGAAGACAGCCGGAAGAGAAGCAAATAAGACCGAAGCGCCACTCTGCAGAGAATACAAAAACCACCCAACTCCATAGGGATCTACCAAATTCAAGACCCCCATTCTGTCCGTCATTCATGACCAAGATTGTTCCCTCGAAGATGCTCTAACCCGACGGCGGAGACTGTACATGCAAAAACAAACAATTGACTTACATCGCCTCCTCCAGGATGGCGTGGGTATCACGGCTCACAAAGATCTCCTCCAAGCTGCTAGCGCCACTTGCAATCTTGGCCACATCGCTCTCGAGAACAAGACCTTGCTCGTTGGCTAGGTGGAGCAGGCAAATGAAGCCGAAGGAGGTACTGATATCACGCAGGGTCTCGGCCGGGTAGACCGCCTTCAGGTTGTTCATGATCTGTGTGAATCGCAACCGGCCTTCTGGCTTGGAGTCGGAGGGCAGTTCTGGGCTGCTCTGCTGTGGGGTTGGCGGAACAGGTGTCTCGGGCTCAGTCTCGGGCTCAACAGGAGCATCACTCGACACCGCTCCGGGCTGCGATGCCGACGCGAAGTCAGTGGCAGCGATAAGGCGCTCACCCATGCCCTTCCACATCTCGACCTTCAGTCGTCGCACGTCAACCTTCTTGGCCACACGGGCGTAATTAACATAGTCTGGTCGTGCCCGGCGTCCACCTTGGGTCACCAATTGTGATCCATAACCACCCGCACCACCCCGGCCCGGTGTGGCCCCAACCATGTTCAAAAGGGCAGTCAAGCCTGTAGCGTTTCCTTCGCCGGCCGATGTCACAGGACGTCCGTCCGTTGGTGGAGACAACATCTCCCGCGCATCAGCAAATGGCAGATTGTCGTCGTCGTCATCAAGATCCATGCCGTTCGGGAAGGCCAGTCCATCATCATCGGCGAAAAAGTTAGCATCATAAGCACCACCAACACCGTCCTCGGCGGAGGTATCTTCGGTCTTATGGTTCGCCCAGAAGGCCTCGTCCATGTCGATATGTCCAGACGTCTGTTCTGGTCGTGCAACAGTGTGTCGGCTCAGCAGTTTTCTTGAGCCCATGCGAGCCTTTGGTTTCAAGAATAAGCGGAGTAGCTGTCGCGAGTTGAAATGCTTATCATCGGGCAAAAGGTTGCGTCCCTTCGTCTTCCATTGGGTCTTAGGGATGGATATCGCAGAGTTGGAGCTGGCAGGTGTATAGATCAACTCGGCAATAGCAGGGTCAAGAGGAGCAGAGAAATCGATCTCGAAGGGCTCCTTTTCTTTGCGTTGCTTGGGAGCGGTATTTGTATTGCTGGCGGTGGTATCCTTAATCCTCCGAATCTTCCAGTGTTCTGGACCTGCCCAATTCTTCTGAAGCGCGTTATCGAAGTAGCTCAAAATATTCTCATGGTCCTGTTTGCTTGGCTGATGCGACATGGAAATGGCATACGCATCTTCATCATCCATTTCCTCATCTCCATCAGCATCTTGCCCGTCATGGCTAAGCCGGTGAACTTTGAGCATTGGCTCCAAGGCAGCCTCCCGCGCCCAAGCCTCTCCTCCATCACCGAAGCCGGTATCGCCACTAAGGTCAAATCCAGCCAGAGTGGCATCGTCGTCATCGAATCCAACTGCATTGTCATCGTCGAGCATGATACCAGACGGATCCTCCTCTCCACCTTCGTTGATCTTATCATGCCGCCACTCCTCGGGGGCTTTCAGGAGAGGAATATCCAGATTCCCGCTGGGGTCACCTAGATCAAAGTTTTTCAAAGACGGGCAAATATCTTGCTCGCCGAGGCGATCTAGATCTGGGAAGAACTGAGCTGCCAGTGTCGCAAGGTCAAGGTCTGGATCTTCTTCGAAAGTATCACTTGGCTGAACTTGAGCGGGCTTTGACTGGTCATCGCCCTGCGATTCGGGATCCACAGTCCCCTGTCTTTCGTCCTCGCCTTCGGCAGTCTTGGAACTATCATCGACCGCATCATCGCTACTATCAAAGACGATTCTTCCGTGGCCATCGATAGCAAGGTGATTCAGCAGCAAGCCCTTGGCACCGCCCTCATCAAAGTCCGCGGAGGCCTTCTTGAATAGCGGGTCCACAGCGAACTCCAGCTCAAACTTTTTCAGTTGTAATGTGTTGAAAGAGGGGGCCAAGGTCGCCTCATGAGAACGAGTCTAGGGGAAACCCCAAAGTCAATTAAAATATCTTCAAGGTGCTATTTTCATCGTCACATACCTTCTTGCGCGATTTCCGAGCACCTCCCTCTTCCCCGTCGTCATCCTCATCACCCTCCTCCCCGTCCGCCTCGGTTTCGCGACCTCGCTTGTCACGGCTATCAGCCAACCCACTCAGAAGTTTACCGGTTTCGGTCGCGACACTGTCCACACGGCTCGTGTAGATCTTCACACACCCATCAAGAGTGCAACTAGCCTTCTGGAAGTTGACTCCGTCTCCCTCTTTCAAAAGTGACATGTCGTGGAAGTAGTCGATAAGCGCAAAGTTCCAGGAATTATTGGCATTGATCTTATTATCAGTAGCCATCTTCATCCACTCCTCAAAGTTGGCTAGAATAGGCACACGCTTCATCGGCGTCACTGCGCGGCCACTAACATCACTTTCGCGACCACGATGGCTGGATCCTCGGGGTGTGGAGGGACTGTCGCTCCCTTCGCGGTATCGACGGGCGGGCATGGGCGTCTTCACTGCAGCCTTGATCTGGTTCATTTGGCGGTCATGGAGCGCTTGACGGGCCTCCTTTCGGGCCGCTTTCTCTCCCATATCATCGTTGAGGGGAATTCTGATGGCTAGTTAGCTACCCGTGGCCCTCGTTGCCAGGCGTTGATTTCACGAAGAACATACTTGATGGGAGAGTTCTTGTGAGGGGTGGAGGCGCCGCCAGAGCGGCGATGGACTTTATTTGCGACACGAGGCATGGTTGCAGTTGCCCCCAGCAGGGGATCAAAGGATGCGCTGGCGTCGTGATGGTCGTCAATGATGGCAGTCGCAGGAGGGGTGACCCAAACAATGGGAAGTCAACAACAAACATACGTTTGCCCAAAGGGACCATAAACGCATCATATCACGTGCACAAGTCACTTTTGTGCCTTGTATATGAGGCTGCAGATCCGGACCATCTTCAAGGTTCTTCGCGTCATCTACAACATAAATCGAGTGATGAGGGCCGAGCCAATTTAATTGTTTTCTTTTTCCCTTCTTCACATCCACCATACAGCCCTGCTCCCCCCACTACCTCACGATATTGGGATGTACAAAGCGATGCGGGTCGGAGAATAGAAGTGCATTGGCCCACTTTCCCGACCGCGCTACTTCTAGGCTGACATCACCGGACTCACCGCATTGGCAGGTCCAAGGCAACACCAACTTGATGGAGGGGGTCGTGTGAATTGACTGCCGACTCTTGACACTTTTTTGCTTTTTCCATGCATATTGTGGATTGAAGAGTCTCTCGATCCCTCTTCGGCCCACAATGCAGCTATTTGACATGCCAAAATGACCCAGTTACCAATCTTCCTCCGCCCTGTCGTCCGCAAAGGGCCTCGATATTCGGTCCGGCCCTTCTACGCTTCCCTTCTTGTATTCACGGCCCTAGCGATCCTTAGCTGGTCTGTAGCAAAGGCCGGATCTGGACAAGTACGTGAGCATTCAACAACGGAATGGTTCCTCGCTAGGCGGGAGGACGAACCAGAGGTACATCATTCCCCTTCCCCGGGCTACTCATTTGAGATAGAGACGAGGCTAAAAGACACCACGTGTGACTTCAATACAGTGTCGCCTAGTTCGGAACTCGAAAGACCAGTGTGCCTATGTTCGTGACAATTGCCCCGATCACCAAGATGGTCTGCTTTCCTATCTCCAGCTCTACTATTGCGCCCTGTCCGATGCCAAACCGTTAGCATTCATTATCATTATTCTGTGGTTGTCGCTACTTTTCAGCACCATCGGGATTGCGGCGAGTGATTTTCTATGCATCGATCTGAGTACATTAGCAAGCATTCTTGGCTTAAGTGAGAGTTTAACGGGGGTTACTTTTCTTGCCTTTGGCAATGGCAGCCCCGACGTGTTCTCTACATTCGCCGCCATGCGATCGAACAGCGGCAGTCTGGCAATTGGCGAGCTAATCGGAGCGGCCAGCTTCATCACATCCGTTGTCGCCGGCTCTATGGCTCTAGTGCGGCCCTTCAAGGTAGCTCGGCGAAGCTTTGTTCGAGACGTCGGATACTTTGTGATTGCCGTAAGCTTCAGTATGTTTCTGCTTGCAGACGGTCGACTTCACGTCTGGGAATCAGCGACAATGGTTGCGCTCTATGCGTTCTATGTGGTGATGGTTGTGACTTGGCATTGGTATCTTGTTCGACGTCGTCGCAGGTACGAACGAGATCTCGCAGCGCGAACTCATTTTCATATTCCAAACAACCAGGAGCTTGAGGTTGAACATCCCATAGAGGACGATGATCCTGGTGTGGCTTCCGAGTCGCGCAGCCTTCTCCGTGGGGCATCAACCGATGATTTTGATCTTCTGGAACGTGCGGAATGGAGACCTAGTTGGAAAGACGAGGACGACGAGGACGACGAGACGCGCAATCGATATCTGGCAGAGATTCGTGACAATATGCACGTCTATAGGCCGCCAATTCGATCAAGACGGAACACTCTCAATCCTATCCGGCCGAGTCTTGTTGGCGCACTAGAATTCCAGAGTGTACTTCAAGCGCTTCAGAAATCGCAGACTTCCATACATAGACCGACGATCAGCCTGAGCAGCTATTCAGATGATGGCAACGATTCCTCACAGACTTTCGACACTCGGTCCATTGCGTCACATCCTCGCGCACGCAAACCCGCAAACTCGAATGATCGTTTGACCCCATATGGCGCAGAAGGCTCTCGAGCTCGAGCTGTATCAGCAAATTATGCTGATGGACTGAAGCTTGATACCAGTCTATTTGATCGACCTCAACAAGAGAATACACCTCTTCTCACCGTGAGACGGCCTTCTGGTGAACGCGCTGGTAGCCAAGATAGAGTCGAGCCTCCTCGAGTTCCCCGAATCGATACCAGTGCCTTACTGACCGCCTCCCCTTCATCCTCGGAATATCCATCACCAAGCGCAAGCCCCATTGGAGATAATCCGGCACAAAACTTATTGGCTCCTCCCGATCCATTCCATGCTCCCAATTATCAGTCGACAACAACACACGATCGATCTCCGCTCCCGATATCACCGCGAGGTGGTACCGGCAGTTCTTTCGCTGGATTTGGATCCGAAAGCCCATCTACACCGTTTCCCATATATACAGATACTCCATCTGCATCATCTTCTCGTGCACCTAGCATTCGCCTTCCCAACCCTGCAACTAGCCCATCGGAGCAGCTCTTGATTCACGATGGCATGGACGGAATGACTGAGAGCTCATCGTTCCATAGCCTGAAGAAATGGTGGCCAAGCTCTATCCTGCCCCCTCCTTCAATAATCGGCTGCACACTTTTTCCCACTTTGGCAGGCTGGAAAGACAAAAGCATCGCCGCAAGGCTGTTGGGAATTATTGCGGCCCCCAGTGTGTTTCTTCTCACCATTACGATTCCGGTAATTGAACCACAGGCTCCAGAACCCGATGAGCGGGACCCAATACCTGCGGTGGTTATCGAACCAGTTAATGATAATAATTGTTCTGCCCCAAGGATTAGGCTACCGGCGGATAGTCCAGTCCTTCAGCCTATGGGACATGATCATGAAGATCTTATTCCTGACATTGCGTCGGCCCAGCCTCATTCACATCGAAAGTCCACCCATCATCAGTCCACCAGTCGGCCTCGCTGGGACTCAGAGCTCCCAGCTGCACCTCCCGCCGGGCTGCCTTTGCCATCCAGGGACTGGAATCGGTGGCTGATTATGATCCAGCTCTTCACTGGGCCCTTCTTCTTTACTCTCATTGCTTGGACCACCGCGGATGCAAGTCTTGATCCACGAAACCTCATTCTGCCTACATTGATATCCCTCCTCTTCTCTCTCTTGTGTTTGACTGCTCTCATTATTACCACCCGCCGGCGCTCTCAGCCCCAACCAGAAAGCGTACAGTTGTCATATTTCTCACATGGGTCCCCGAAATTGCCTGTGCCTCAATCTCTTCCATCTGGCTGGCGACCTTTTCTTTCTCTACTCGGATTTTTGGTGGCCATCTCTTGGATTGCCACAATCGCTACAGAAGTCGTATCGGTGCTCAAGACCCTCGGTGTCATCCTTGACATTTCAGACTCCCTACTAGGGTTGACCATCTTTGCGGTGGGAAACTCGTTAGGTGACCTAGTCGCAGATATCACCGTCGCCCGTCTCGGATACCCCGTCATGGCTCTTAGTGCTTGTTTTGGCGGGCCCATGCTCAACATCTTGTTGGGTATCGGGCTAGGTGGTCTATATATGACCATGAACGGGGGCAGCAAAACGCCGAGAAATAGTGAGATGGCTGTTCCCGTGCGGGTTCCTTATGAGATTGCCATTTCAAAGGTGCTGGTCATCAGTGGCGCTACTCTGCTGGTGGTTCTGGTCGGCCTCCTGATCGTGGTTCCTTTGAATAATTGGCGCATGGATCGAAGGATTGGGTGGGGTCTTGTTGTTGTATGGTGCGTAAGTACCTTGGGGAACGTCATTGCGGAAGTTACATTGTGATGAATATACCACATGAATCTTGCATTAAATGATAAATTCGCTTGTTTTTTTTTTTTTTTTTTTTTTTTGGCAGCTGTGGCGTTGATGTATTTTCTATCAAGTATATGGAGGTTGCTAGTTTCTTTCCTGTCAATACTGCACGTTGGAAGGCATTGGAAATTGGCATGGTATCAACAATTATGCTATGACTCAGCAATAAAAAAGTAAATATGACTTGATACAAATGGACGTCGTTCGGTCTTTCCTTGTGTAGATTCATCCGGAGAAAACTGGAAAGTAGGTTCAGTGCAAATTCTGGATGGCACTGTCGCCCACATGTTTCAAATGCATTCCGATACCCAGGACGCGAGATTCTGTAGTCCGCGTAATCATGTCTCTGACTTTCTAGAGTGGCTACGTTACGCTCTTACGCTCTCAAAAGGCTCTCACAAAAATCCGAGAAAGTATTCTATTCATGAACAGTCGGGCAGGCATCGCGAGGAGTAATAGTCACGTGGGCGAAGGTGGAGGAATCCTTCCATATCTCAACGGATTCACAATATCTATTCTGGAGCCTCAGGCCCTTTGATGGGGCGACTGATCATTCAAGTCCAACTTCAACCACTTCCCTTGAGACAATAAGAATGCCGCCGGAAGATGACCAATTACCGGAGCGGAAACGTGCCTTCAAACCCAAAGTACGCACTGGCTGTATCACTTGCAAGTGAGTTCAGACCCTCAGCCACACGGAAAGACCTGGATATCCGAATTTCCCAGAGAACTAATCCAAGAAGAGCTCGACGGGTGAAATGTGACGAAGGGAAACCAGCATGTTCGCGGTATATAAGTCCATTTTCACCTCCCAACCCTCGCAATCGACCAATCTATTGACTGACGGCTGATCGGCGGGCCAGGTGTGTCCGTTCTGGACGACAATGCGAAGGCTACGAGCTCCCAAAGTCCCTAGTCATATTGCCTAGGGCTCTGGCTCCAGCTCCGACAGTCGAGTCGCCTCTTGAAACCCGCGCACTGGAGCTCTTCTTCCATAAGACAGCGCCTCAATTGGCGGGGTATTTTGAGGGCCCGCTGTTCCAAGGCAGCGTAGTTCAGATCAGTCTTGTGGAGCCTGCCATCCGCCATGCGATCGCCGCCGTGGCCATGCTCCACGAGGAGATCTCAGCTTCGCCAGCGACTCGCGAAGGAAAATCTCAGGCCTCGAAATTACCTATTCAGCTATATAACCGCTCTATCCGGGGCATCATCGACAAGGTGCAAGCTGGACCCACGGCCATGCCCTTGATCGCCATGGCAAATATCCTATTTATCTGCTTCGAATACTTCCAGGGTAATGTGACGATGGCCCGGTCTCATGTAAAAAGCGGGATCCACCTCTTGCACTCCTGGCGTGAGAGGACTCACGGGTCGTCGACGTCAATGCATCCCTGGGGTCAAAGATACGACTCCTTCGAATCCCAATTCATGGAAATGCAGATCGCGCCGCTACTCAGCGTTTTTCGAACGAATATCCTAGATAAAGATATGGCAAAAGCTATCAAGCTGGTCCTGAACCCAGTCAACGAGCAAGGTAATGTAATCCTCGGCGATCATTTCAGTAGCCCACAGCAAGCTAGGGTGGGCCTCTTAGACGTCATCACGTATGCCAGTTGGCGCATTCAAGCAGTTGATGAAGCTCTTCTCGGCAAAGTCGAGGCGAAGAAAGAAGTGATGCGGATTATGCAGAACATGGAACAGGGTCTGGGTCAGTGGGAATCCTACTTTAACGATCTCGTCCGTCGAAAAGGTGTCTCATGGGGCAAGAAAGATAGGCAGGCCGCGAACGTTGTACGCATAATCAAATTGGCTGGGAGCTTTGGAGGCCGTAGCTATCTGGCCGGCAACGAGTGCGCATGGGATAGCGCCAGAGCCGAGTATGAAGAAATGTTGTTGATTGCGGAGGCTCTCATCGCCGACCGCGATCGCTTTCCTCATGATGGATTCCGGCCACTCAGTCTGGATTTTGGAATGCTCTTCTCGTTGCATCTGTTAGCTTGGAAATGTCGGTGGCCTGGTCTTCGTCGCCGGGGCCTCGATCTGCTGCAAAAGATCCCACGACGCGAATGGTCGCTGGAGGTGGAGCACTATCATACGATTTTCTCTCGTATTATGGAAATCGAAGAAGCGCATCTCGATACTCCACGGGATGAAATTGTTCGGCTGGACATGCTTCCTCCCGAACATGCCCGGGTCCATGATTTTACCGTCATAGCTCAGCCCTCGTCCTCTCGACAGCCCGCTATATATGCGGTATCTTTTTGGAGTAAGCCCCTGGGCCTTGACGGCCCATCCTCCAGCCTCACGGAGTATATGCAATTAGGCTCGTCTCAGGCTGGCGAATCAGGCGTCCCGGCGAGCCTGATCACCGCTGCTCCATCGAGTCTAATTACACAGTACTATTCCTATCTTCGGCAGCTCAAGGGTTGATACTTTATCCCGGTTACCATGCTGGAGAAAGGAATGACAAAAAGTAGATTTGAACATAATATATCGGAGGATTATAGTGCTCGTATATCTCGAGAACCCATAATATGTTTAGTCAATTTGAAGTTTGGGAGGATGATAATTGTTTTTTCATGCGACTCGGTGAGGCTATGAACATACTCTTCCTGTGGAAAATCAAAGTTCTCACTCAGATGCAAGAATTTCCTGAGTTCAAACCATGTATATACCGACAAATTTGATCAACCACTCTACCCCGTTCGTCGAGCAGGGAAATTTGTTGAATACAAACTTGGCCCATATAAAACTAACGCTTCTAGGAACTAGGCTTTCTTGGGCAGGTGGGGGGATCCATTCGTCAATAATAATCTAATATATGGAGCCTACGATATATTCTTATCTTTACTCTCCTACTGTAAGTAAATATTATTGTCTTTCACACTAGTTATCCATCCTATTGTAGAGGTCTCCTCTTACAGAAATACGAAGACAAGCCACCCCACCATAGCACGAATGGTCAGCTATTACCAGCATAGTCTGCAAGTCTGAGAACACCAAGAAGATAGACCAACCAGAAATCTGCGCACTTGCAACATTCAATCACAAACAAGCAAAGATCATCATACACACAGCACCTCCCTTTCTTAATTAGCTAAGGTTGACACCCAATAGTAAATTGCCCCACACAGTTTATAGGTCCTGTAACTCAGTTTGTAAGAGTTTTATGCCACTCCTGCCCATTCTATTACGCTTCCATGAGGACCGTAGTTACCTCATTACATCGTGGGGCGCTGTAACATTTAGACGCGAGTTCAAATCTCGTCAGGACTGCTTTCAGACCCGAAATTGCTGCTTGAGCGTTCAGCAAACAATTGACCCCGACATATTGGTTGGTCTGGTATAAGATGCAGAAAACGACCTTTTTTGTTTCGACATAATTATAGCCAAGTCTGAATTCCAAGGTCATGGGTTTGCTGCTGGCTCGAGGCTGACTGCTGTATCTACAAGAGGAATTATTGACAGCCAAAATTTTGTTCCGCTTGAGGCAAGGCTATCCTACCGACGGCATTTTATAATTAAAAGATAATTAGCTAGCTATGACTCTTTCTGTACAAAAAAACCCCCCACATATGACTTCAATGCTCTGTGTATGGAGTAGCTAATTTCAATCTCAAATCAGAATCTCAAGCATGGGCCGATATGATGAAATACCAGACCCACTATCACATTACGCGGCGTGCCGCACTAGCGTGAAAAAACAAGCCTTTGCCGATCATGATTGGGAAAACGGTGGGGGCGATGGTCGAATTATTGATTGAGAAAGCAAAATCCTCGCTGTTTACCATGACAGTTCACTCCGGCCTTTCCGTACGTCAGCGGCTGGATTAAACGCCTATAATGATGAGATTTTATTGAGTACCTAAGTTTCGTCCAGTCTTCTCCTTGTATTCCAAGACAGGTTATTGCCCTCCAGCCAGCATGACCTGGCCCAAGTGTAATTCCACTGAGGAGGATATCACAAGTGAGTCTCAAGCTCAGATTATCCCTCGCCCTCCCCCCTTTTGACTGACCGACCATCTCCAGTCCATGAGGTCAACCTCTGGGATGGCGGTATTACCTTCCACACACTATGTGTGATTCTCTGCGCCATCTTTACGGTACTGTCCTTCATTCTCGTCGGCATTATTATGCTTGGTCATGCCAGGCACTACAGTAACCCCGTGGAACAGCGATAGTGAGGTCCCTTCAATCTCAGAGACCTCTATTAATCTCTAACTTTTGCCCTTAGCATCCTCCGCATCTTGTTCATGATCCCTGTATATTCAATCACGTCTTTTCTCTGCGTCTATTTCTATAGACACTCGGTCTATTTTGAGCTCATTGGCGATTGCTATGAACCCTTCGCCATCGCCTCCTTTTTCACCCTGCTCTGCTCTTATATCGCACCTGATCTCCACGCACAGAAGGACTACTTCCGTGGTGTCGAGCCTGTTAACTGGGTCTGGCCACTAAATTGGATGCAGAAATGCTTCTGCGGTAGCCGCGATAAAGGCATCTGGCGGAAGCCTCGTAGCGGACTGACTTGGTTCAATGTATGTCGAAATTCTTATGTTCTGCTCAGACCGACCTCGAGATCTCCAAGAATGACCCCACTGACGAGACTGCAGGTTATCTGGATATGTGTCTTCCAATACTGCTTTTTACGGGTCATTATGACTGTGATCGCTGTTGCGGCGCAATCAGTAGACCGTTACTGTGAGGTGTCGGATAGTCCATATTATGCCCATATTTGGGTAAGCCATTTTTCAATTTTCGTTTTTTATTTTCAGAGATTCTCCCTTTGCTAATATATCATAGGTTCTGGTTATCGAGTCCATTGCAGTCACGATCGCCATGTACGGCTTGATTCAGTTCTACATCCAGATCAAAGGGGATATTGCGCAGCATCGACCTTTCCTAAAGATTCTCTGTATCAAGCTTGTGATTTTCCTTTCTTTTTGGCAATCAGTCAGTTCTCACCCATCTGCCTTCTCCAAGCTTTGACGTAAGAAAAGAAAGACTTGCTAACACATAGATATCAAACAGACCGTTATTGACTACCTCACCTCATCTGGGACAATCAAGTCGTCCGCCAAGGTGCAGTTGTTTGACTGGAATAATGCCCTTCCTAATCTCCTGATCTGTATTGAGATGTTCCTCTTCGCTATTTTGCATTTCTGGGGCTTCCCTTGGGGCCCCTATGTGCTGAACAAGGGAGACATCACGAGCAACAGAAGTGATGAGCGCTACTACGGCGGGTGGATGGGCATTAAAGCCTTTATCGATGCCATGAATCCCTGGGATCTGGTCAAAGCTACTGCGCGCGGTTTGCGCTGGTTATTTGTCGGTCGCAAAACGCGCGAGGCTGATCCTAGTTACGAATTACCAAAGACTGGTTCCAACGAGGCTCAATAAATGAAGATGTCAGTGTGGTGCGTGGCTTCACATATGGTTTGATCACGACTCATGATACGGCCAGTAAACTTGATTTGAACTGAAACTGATTTGGCCTTTTGGCGCTTCTCGCCTCGGAAAATGAGATACATCCTCATCTAGAGGCAATTGGTGTTGATAATGATAAATTTAGATACAATTTACTATTTTATATATTCAAAGGGGATAATTATGAGCTTCGGGATCACTGCTGAGTAGCATTTGACAACTAGTAATTTCCACACAGAACAAGAAAATAAAAAGCCAAATTTCCCAGCTAATTTGGCCCAGATTCTCTCACATGACAGCCGGGCTTCGATTTCCTCAATCAAAGTCGATCTTTTTGCTTTGATTGGCACATTTTGAAAGTACCCAACTCTCACAGTAGCAGTAATACCCAAATGGCTTCTCAAACCTCGATCTGGGAGACTAGAGAGTTGGTCAGGGTAATGTACTTGAACGAGCCTACGAATTTTTCATGCGTTCAGAACAGACAGGATGAGATCATCTTGATGCAAGTTTTATTGAGAATGAAGTATTTCGTAGCTGGCGGACGAGAAGACACTGCCAAGCGCAGCCGAACAAAAGGAAATCGTCTATATATTATCTAGTTTCGTCACAATGCAAGAGGTCCGGGTTGCGCCCGGATGATAGAAGGGAGAAAAATCAAACAGAACGAGAGAAGCTTTTTATGCGCTGCCATTGGCAGAAGCCACCGCCAGCTCCAGGGCTTGCAGGACATCAATTTTGAGGTCCTCGGCGTCCTCGACACCGCAGCTCATCCGCACCAGGTCGTCAAACACACCCGCAGCCTCGCGCTGATCCTTCGGGATCCCGGCATGGGTCATGCTGGAGGGAACCTCGCACAGACTCTCGACGCCGCCCAGGCTCTCGGCCAGGGTGAAGACCTTGGTGTATTTGCAGAAGTTGTGCGCGGCGGCTTGGCCGCCCTTGATGCGGAAGCTCAGCATGCCGCCACCCATGCCGTCGCGGTGCTGCTTGAGGGCGATCTTGCGCTGAGGGTGAGAGTCGATGCCTGGGTAGTTGACGGAGATGACGTGCGGGGAAGCCTCGAGGGCGAGAGCCACGGTGGTGGCGTTCTTGGTGGCCTCGCGGGCGCGCAGGTGCAGGGTCTTCAGGCCGCGGTGAGCGAGCCAGCAGTCGAAGGGGGAGGGGACGGCGCCAATGGCGTTCTGGAGGAAACCGAGGCGCTCCTTGAGAGCGTCAGAGTTGAAAGCGGCAACACCCATCAACACATCCTGGATTCACAAGGTTAGATCTGTTGCGGAAATAGCATGCGGGGACGGGGATAGTAGAATACTCACCGAGTGGCCGTTGATGTACTTGGTGACGGAGTGCACGACAATGTCGGCACCGAGGGTCAAGGGGTTTTGAACATAGGGGCTCATGAAGGTGTTGTCGACCACAACGAGAATGCCATGACGGTGAGCGATGTCCGCGACCGCACGAATATCCACCAAGCCCAGGGTAGGGTTCGAGGGGGTCTCGATCCAAATGAGCTTGGTCTCGCCGGGCCGGATCAGTTCCTCCACGTGCAGCTCAATGGAGGGCGAGAAGGTGACGTGCACGCCATGCGCGTTGGCGACCTTGGTGAAGTATCGGTGAGTGCCACCATACACATCAGAGACGGAGACAACGTGCGAGCCGGCGGCGAGGGACTGGAGAACGACAGCAGTGGTAGCGGAGCCGGAGGAGAAGGCGAGAGCGTACTTGGCGCGCTCAAGCGCGGCGACGGCTTCCTCGAAGTTATCACTACTCGGGAGGTTAGCTTGACATGAGGCTCGTAGGAGGGAGGGGTTGGGCGGCTACTGACCGGTTGGGGTTGGAGCTGCGAGTGTACTCATACAGACCAACGGGGTTGCCGACGCTGGTCTGGGCATATGTGGTCGACAAGGAGATCTAGAAAGAGTCAATGGTCCTGTTCGCGCTCCTTCAAGGTCCAGGAATCCGACATACCGGAGCAATCACGGCGCCGGTGGTTGGGTCTTGAGGGGCACCAGCATGCACCGCCAGAGTGCCAAAGCGGCGCTCAGTAGAATGACCGTTGTCGAGAGAACCCATGATGATATGCAAGATGAAAATGCAGAGCAGAGAAAGTGGCAAGGGAGAGTAGGGTATAAATAGCGACCGGAACCAGAGAAGTAGAGAGCTATGAGGTGATCGTTGGACGATAAGATGAAATCACCGCGCTTGGAAATCGTCCTCTTCCGGCGTTGATTAGCAAGCAAGGGAACTGAATCTAGAGAAGGGAAAAGAATTGCTTTGTTATGGTTTCTCAAGAACTCTAATGGGGAAAAAAAAATTTCTTACAGCGACTGGAACCATTGGATTTCTTCAACGGTGCCTGCAGCTCGTAAGGCGATCGATCGTCAAGCGGCGACTGGTCAAGAGGCGGCTGCGACTCCACCATTGGGCGTTGTCCCGGGCGTAGCCGCGGCGGTGGGCTCGGCGAAAAGTCTGAAGAGTCCGGCTGATCGGAGTGATCGGAGTGATTGGAGTGGGCGGAGTGGGCGGAGTGCTTGCATAATCCAGGCTGACGTACTCCGGACAAGTGAACTGCGAGCAGGGATGGGGGGAATGTAACTACTACAATTCATGCGGGACTCCGTCGGACTGCGTCGGTGAGATTCCTGAATAAATCTGTGTTGAGCAGAAATCATGTAACACACTGCGTCAAGGTCAGAAAAGGCAATGAATTCCCGGGCCCGAAGAAGTTCTCTCCGTCGACTTTTCTACTCTCCTCGCCAAGAGATATATATAGTGTTGGTACAATGGCCAATGTAAACATGAAAGGTGTATGCTGATACTCTAATACTTGGTCCTGGAGAACGAGTTCCACGTAAATGCATGTGGGGTGTATATCTACCCTATTTTACCCACGGTGGCCATAGGCCATACATAGATTTGGACTTGTAATATATATGAATTTTGATGAATTTTGGCGCCCTCGGTCCATTATAAACCGGGACCGCATGGGTATCTGGACTGAAGATCAAGCAAAACATAACACCACCATTATTCCATCGCCTAGCGCCAACAGTCTATTTGGATGGGAAGACTCGAGTCGAGTTCCCCCTCAAGAAACAAAAGGCCATTACCACCAAGCCGTGGGTCCCAGGCCGGCCAAGTGCATTGAACCCTAGAGAAAACAGGTCAGTCCCAGTCGACAACAACAACAGCATGGACGAGAAAATCTCAAGACGTACAAAGATCGAGTAGGCAGGCTTGCGTTCTGTGGGAGTTTCATCGCCGAGATCCGGTGCATTAGGGATCTGATCGTGCCACTCCTCAGTCTCGATGCGGAATCGGACCACTTCACCCACATCTAGGTAGAATAGGGTGCCATCATTATCCCAGGTCCAAACCTGGTCCGCATAGTCACTATGATTACAGATGAGCCAGTGTCCAGGGCCCCAAGGGCACAAATGATGACATAGATAGCATCGAGCACAGGGGCATGGGGGACCACTCACAATTTAGCACCGTCCATCAGAAGATCTGGAGGAATTAGAATGTCATTAAAGAACTCTGTACTGACTATTCAAGCGGTTAGCCCAGGGCATATTTTGTCCATTACGATCTGATACTCACTTTTGATGCCATGCTCGGTGCCACTGGAAATCTTGCCCAACATAATCTCGCCTTTGAAAGGTCGGAAGACAATCATGCGGAATTTGACTAAAATCTAAGATGAGCACAGGGCTAGCAAGGCGTCAGGATCGACATCAACCCACCATTAACATTGACCAAGCCAGTTCCATGGCCGATCAGGCCATCTGACGACTCCAGCAGATCATAGAAGCTGATGCAGAGGCCGATCTTTTGAATGACCTAAACCCGAATCAAATCAGCATCCGGAAATCCGAAAAAAAAAAAACCGAGAATGCCTCTCCACTGAAGAGCTCTCGAGAATTAGAGCCACTGACTTTGTTTGCATATTTCTCATTAATGTTATCTTCAATCGCCACTGCACTGAATTTGGAGAAGTCTTGAGGCGCGATCTGAATCAGATCGGAGATGGTGGTCTGTCACACGTCAGTGAGAGAAAGATCTCCCGCCGCCCAGATTAACATACAAGAATGAACATGGCGAAGAGATAGTTTGGAATGAATTGGACCAGAATGCCGGATGTTCTCGTTATTTCAATCTAAACACACCAGAGCCATCCATGCTTAGGGCGTCCAGACCGCAGGTGTTTCGATGAATCAAAAACCTGCACGCCAATCACCTGCACCGAATCCTGCACACTCACGTGACCTGCGGAGCTGTCAGAAAGTCGAGCTCCGCCGAAACTTTCAAGCCGCAGCTTTGCTCCGCGATGGTGTAAGAGTCGGCGCTGGGACCTCTGAGAGGGCAGCAAACATGAGCTCCCAGGGGTTTTCATTCCCCCCACCGCCACCACCTCCTCCTCCGACCACCCAGCAACCGTCCGCCTACCCCTCTGCGCAGCCCGGCCAACACTGGAATGGCCGTGGGTCTGGCGGACGAGGCCGCGGACGAGGACACGGAAATCGAGGACGAGGCGGCGGAGGTGGCGGAGGACACTATACCTCCGACAAGAGTCGACCTCCCTATACCGACACCTCTGGCTACAACTATCCAGCAACAAACTACGGCTATCCAGCACAACCTCAGCCCGTGTCGGCGACGTCGTACATGTCTACGCCCCCGCCCTATCCTCCTACGTCCCCGTCAAACTTCCAACATCCTTCGAATCCGCCCACCACCAACCAACCTCCACAACCCTTTGCGCAGCCTGCTGGCTCGGCTGCCTACCAACCGCTTCCAGGGTACAACACACCTGGCAGTCTCGCGCACACGACTCCCTACTCTACTCCCACCCTTCCGACATTCTCTCACAATGTACCACCATCGCCGCGCCAGCAATCATCCCCGCCAGCAACCTCCCTCATGATGGGATCCGTCCACTGGGGGGCGCCCGCACCAACAGGCCATGAGCGAGGCCCCTGGCCCCTCTCATCCACACAGGAACCACGGGCCGAAACCACGACATGGTAACAAGCGCGACCATTCCTCTGCATTCAGCAAACCGCAGTCCACCGTCCCGCGCACCCCTGCGCCGCCGCCAGTGCCCAGCTTCGGCAATCCATTACCGTCGAAGCCTCCCCCGGCAGCAGACGCGACGCGGAAGCCCAAGAAGCGGAAGCGGAAGCACAACCAGCTCGGTTTGACCCCGAAGACCGAAGAGCACGAATCCAGCGAGGAGGAAGACGATATCGACGAGGAGGCCAAACTCGCACAGGCCGGCCCGGACGCGGCTCCGCTGCAATTCTCGTATAAGGGACAAACGGCATCCTTGCAGTCGGCCTCCGACATTGCGGCGTGGATTGCAGAGCGCAAGAAAAAGTTCCCCACTCAGGCTCGGATTGAAGAGAAGAAGAAAGCCGCTGAGGAAGCCAAGGCTGTCCGAGAGGCAAGTCGACGAGAGAAGCAGAAGGAGAGGGAACAGGACAAGGAGGATAAGGGAAGCGCTCGGAAAACGGGCGAAGAGAAGGCTGATCCAGCACTCGATGCCGCCATGAAGGCGCAGCGCAAGGCGGACAAGATCCGCCGCAACCTCAATCGCGAACAGAAACGGTTCGCAAAAGCTGAGGCCGCCGCCGAGGCTGCCCGCCTCAAGGTGGAGGCTCTTCAGAAGCAGGCTCAAGGCCTGGGACAGCACGACGCTACTGAGCCGAAGGAACTATTGGGCGGTGATGGGCCAACTATGGCGCTAGAGCCCTCTCCTACGACGGATTCCGGCGTCGCTTCTACGAGTGTCTCCCAAGAACTGGGATCCTTCCAGGCTGATGGAATTTCCGCGCCCCCGCGAGGGTGCTGAGGCTACTGCCACGACTCTGACCGATGCAGTCGCGGAACTAGTGGATGGCACCTCAGATGTGTCCTCGGATGAACCTGGGAGTAGTGATTGGACCTCGTCTAGTGGGTCGGGATCTGACTTGGGCTCGGGCTCGGACATGAATAGCGATGATGACGACGACTCTGCCCCAGAAGAGGTCAGCTCGCGGCGCCAGGGACCGGAGAGGGTGCCCCCGCCCCCTCGCGAAGGCAGAAAGCCCGCGTGTCGGCACTTTGCCCGAACGGGCCATTGCAACCGCGGGGAAAAGTGCAAGTTCTCGCACGAGGAGTCTGATCGAGGCCCCAAGGCGAAGCCGGTCGACAAGAAGATTGAGAAGAAGGTTGAGAAGAAGGGACGGAAAGGATTGCTTCGGGCTGTAAGTGCTATTTCCCCGACACTGGAGAACAGAAAGCTTGACCTACGACCCCCGCGGTCCCGGCCGATCTACCTAACCCTATCCTGTCATTTCCGTGGTCCTGAGCGACGCTAATCATATACCCTTGCGCTCCGAATAGTTACTGGACCGGCAGAAAGATGACGAGGACCGTCGGGCAATGGAAGTCATATCCTGGCTAGGACAGAACGGCCACTTGGCCCTAGAGACGAATAGTTTGTAGGCGAACCCCGAGGTCCCTGCGTAGGGACTAGGGTTGCCCAAGGCAATTTCAATCATATACGACCATTATTTGATGTAAATTCTCCGCTTGTCCTTTTTGGCCCTGGGGCTGTTCTCTTCTTTGTTTGATTTTATTTTATCCTTTGGTAGGAAGGGAAAGAAAAATAAAAAGTCGGGGTTTTTGTAGTGTGGCCCACTGTAGGGAGGTACACAGTAGAAAGAGCCCCGACAAAAATATATATCTGCAAATGCCAGCACTTATCTGTCACCAACGTGAATGCAGCCTGTCAGATTTACTACTAGTGGGAGCAAGTGACGAGGGGTGCGTTTGGCCCGGTTGGTAATCCAACAGTCCCCTGAGTCACTTGACTCGCGTGGGCCCCAAGCTGCATGCAGCGCATGTGATTTCCCCTGGCCCAGAACACCACTTTGTTTGTATAGATCCATGAGACAAGTGCTCGGGTTGATGAGTTAAAGATTTGAGCAGCATTACATCAAGCAGTTAGCGTGACCGAGTGGTTAAGGTGGCAGCCTAGAAAGCTGTTGGGTTCGCCCGCACAGGTTCGAATCCTGTCGCTAACGGATTACTTTTTGCCTTTCCCCGAAAGTGCCCTATTATTTTTTTTTTTTCTCACACCTCATTATATCTTAGAAATCATAATAGTTAGCTCTCTATCTCAATTGCGACTACAGAACTCCAACAGAGACATTGTGCCAGTAGTTAAGGCAGGGACGCTGGCGGATGCACTGTGCTTCAGGCGGGTGTGGAATGCCCTCTGTCGCTGGCCTATGTTCCGTCGGCTGTTGATCCTCATTAGGTACCCGAACACCTGCGCACATCCTCATTTTCCGTCGCGCCCGTCTGCTCATCAGCTGAACCCAGTGCCGAGCGTAAACTCTTCCTTCCCCACCCTTCGAGAAAAGAACGTGGTTTATTGTGCTCTGGCCATGGGCCATCCCAGCCACCTCGCCTGAGTAAAAGGCAAGACCCGTGGACTTCCGAGGAGGACACTCCCGACAGCATTCTGAGGTAGTCGGTCTACCTCGAGTCCACCGACAGGAGCCACGGTTCGTAGATGCAAGCACTGCGCAACAACAACACCAAATAGATTGCAAAAAACAAATTCCCCATCACCAATGACAATGATTCTTTCGGTCGAAATTCTCCTCCAGCAGGCCCCGGTTTCTCCCCCAACAGCCAACAAACGCCTCCTCAGCCGCTGCGCCTCCCGGATGCACTATGATTAGGTCCAGCTAAGTTTGCCCCGATGCGATTGCGTAGAGCCAAGCAGGGCCAAGCAGGGCCAAGGTTGACTGCCTATCGCTTAGCTTTCTACGGTGATTACAGTCTGATTATGCTTGTGGAATGTCCACCAACGGGGATTTCTTCACTTTATTATTTATCTCCCGAAGTACTGCCTAGATCGCCCCTCCTGTACAAAACGGGCTCTCTGAGTGGAGACCGTCATTTTCAAGGTCCTCTCGAAGCGAGTCCATTGCCTGGCCGACAGTGCCCATGCAGGGCTCAATTTTCCGCTAGAGTCAGGGCGCAGGGCCAACGAGGACGGGCAAGAGGCTCTGGGGGCGGAACTCGTGGATCATCACCACGAGCTTGGGGGTGTTCGAGGGGGAGGGAAAGGGTCACGTTAAAAAGAAAAAAAAACAGGCAGTTAATCTGGTGCTGGTTTTGCCCAGTTTGGGGCATCAGCCATGGCCCCGATAGCCAGGGGGGTCCAATCAGGCCCCGCCGAGGGTCCTGGGGGCGTTGGGTAGTGCAGCCGGGCCCTTCCTAGTCCAGATGGGCGACCATGGGCGACCATGGGCACCGCATCGCTGGCCGCTGATTTGCCTTTTCGGGCGGTGATTCGACTGATTCGACTGATTTGACCCTGCTCGGTCGGTCCTGGCTCGTCTTGGCTTCGGTTTAGCTCCCCTTAGCTCGTCCTGGCCTCCACCGCGAGGGTCATTGAGGACCCGAGCAACCCACGCCCCCGCGGCCCTGATAAATGGGCGCCAGTCCCGGGGGGCGCGCGAATGACTTCGCCTCCCCATCGGCTTTACCGTCCGCTCTTTGACGCCTGTGTTCCGCTCCTTTTATACCTATCCACAGGTCATTCGCTATTTTTGTCCTTTCTTAGCTTCTGTTGTTGCCGCCGCTTTGTGATATCCCCCATTGATCGTCTCGCGTGACTCGGCACTTCGCAATTTCTTAAATTCACGCCCCCCGTAAAGCCTTCCAGAAAACCTCATCCCCGTGAAGTTTTTCTTGTCTTCCATTCTCTTCAAGATGCGTGTCTTCCTGACCCTCGCTGCGGCCGTCTTTGCCGTCGTCGCCCTCGCCGGCAGCGATGCCAACCCTTTCATCAACCCATCCGGGGGCTACAGCTTCACCGTGGGCGAGGCTACTACTCTCCAGTGGACGCCCACGACCAGCGGCACCATCTCGCTGCGTCTGCAGTGGGGATCCGTGACCACCGCGACCTCGGGAACTCTTATTGCTTGTGAGTTCAGATCGCCGTTTTCCCCCCCGCATCTGCACGCCAAACGTGCACGACACGGGCTGCATAGACCCCATATACTATTCCCCATAGTATAAACTCGTGCTCGGATGATCATTAACCGCTTACACCCCACAGCCGGTCTCGAGAACGATGGCAGCTACACCTGGGATGTCCCGTCTGATCTGACCTACAAGTCCGACTACACCATCGAGATCATCTCCGATGAAGACAGCGATGACTACAACTTCCTGCCTCGCTTCACGGTCCAGGGTGCCACGACCGCTGCGGCCACCTCCACCACTGCGTCGTCCACCACTGCTTCCTCGACTACGGAGTCGACTTCCACCTCGACCTCCACCTCGAGCACCAGCTCCAGCTCCACCTCGAGCTCGACCTCCTCCATGACCACCATGACCACCGCGACCAGCACCTCCGCTTCCACGTCCTCCACTAGCAGCTCGACCTCGGCCTCCAGCTCGGCCAGCGCCAGCGCCTCGGCCTCCGAGACCGCCGTGCCGACCACCAACGCCGGCCTGGTCAACCGTGTCTCTGGCGGCATGCTCGCCGTCGTGGCCGGTGCCGCTGTTCTGCTGTAAGAATGTCCTTTGTGCGGCCCTTCTCCTCGGTATTCCACGCTCTCCAATCCGGCCCATAGCAGGGCCTCTGCTCGGGTATGTTTCGAGACTGGAGCGAGTGAATGAGAGGTGGGAAGTTCACCTCCCCCACAAAACGTCATGATTGGATTCCCCTCTTATTGAGTCTCTGCGTCACGGGTTCCTGGATCGCCATGCCCCTCCCTCCATGTTTTATTCCTTTTCTTTCGTTGATTCTCTGGTGATGTCTCTCTGAGATATGTATCGTTTTTCTTTAAAACCCATTTTTCTACTTCTTGAACATGATTTCTTGCCCCCACACCCGGGCATCGTCTTCTTTTATTTTATTTTATTTTCATTTAAATTTTTTTTTTTTTTAATTTCCTCGGCATTGCTTTCTCTGTCGGTCTGGGCGCCTCTTGCACAGCTTTGTCTCTATACCGAGCATCCGCGCCTGCGGGCTTGGCTGATTCTGTTTCATACTGTATGTGTTTACCGTCCTGGTTGCAAGGAGATGTGGTAGTGGGCATTAATCGGGTATCGTCTTGGAGAGAGAAAGGGGGCTTGCTTTGAGTGATTATATATCTACATACCTATTTCTGAACGAATGTACTGTATTATCTCTGAGATATCGTGTCTGATCGCACCGGATCCGTATTCTACACGCCACAAATGTGCTTTTAATATCTTGTTGCGAGTCGCGTTCGAGGACACATATCCTCGGAGCACCAATTCTCCCCATCCCCGTTCTCTGTTTGAGTCAATTGGGGGATGATAAGTGTCTCCTTCTCTCCCAAAACAAAACCGTACTCCGTACACTCACTCCCCCTTGAAACCGGAAGTCCTGGTGGTCGGGGCAAGCGAGGGTGGGATCAACCCTTGGTGGGTCCGTCGGAGATCAATCGCGCGGTCACTTTTGCCCCCTTCTACAGCGTCAATCTCCGAGATGACGACGTCACAGAATTTGTCGCAGCAGTCTACATAATTCTGTGACTAATCTGACTTGCTCGAGACACATGACCGACAGTAGATACATAGTTACATAGCATAGTCGTCCACTCGGCTCAGTGGCCGGAGCGGTAGGGATCCCGTGGAGCCCAAGTCAATAGAAATAGAGCAAGGGGGGAAAACAGGGGACGATGACTGGATTTTGGGGGCGGCCAGCCAGCGCGGAGGGAATGAGGATCATCGGGTGGAGACACAACGGTTTAGCGTCGATAGTCGCTAGGGAATTGAGTGGATATGCACTTGTACTGTAGGTTGGTGGTCTAGTCGAGGCTCGGGTTGGGTCTCGGGCTTGAGTGCTGCTTTCTGGTCCTCGGGCACTTCAGAGCATCTCGTCTGGGAGGCCGTCCCCAGCTATGGATTCAATGCTCCCTAACGTATGTTCTTCAGATTCTATCCTCCCATGCTCTATATTCCATACTCTTTGTTTGATTATCAAGAGACAACCCTTTGAGTTCGATGGTACCCGCATACGGCGCGTCCCGTGTCATGTCACGGGACCACTAGGGGTCTGTAGTTCATCGTTTCTGTTTCCGATCTGATGTCTCGACCGCAGAAACTCCTTTCTTTCCAGCCACGATTGGGAGTTCTCGGAACTCCACATCCATGTCGGGATTTACACCGGGAGAACCAGTAGAACGGATATCGGCAGAGGCTGGCCTGCCCGCGTGGGTGCCTGATTGGAATCGAGCCCATCATTCGACCAACCCTGCCACGATGGAATGCAAATGATGACACCCAATCGCATGAAGGGCAATGATTCCCCATGCAAATGTCAATGTCAACCACGCCTCCCCTTCAAATAATCTTTCCATGCGATATTTCAAAATCGATGCCATCGCCATTCCAACTAACCTGACCCGAGTTCAGCCCCCATAGGATCGAGGCTGGCTCAAGGTGTGGAAGGACGGAATGCAGAGAACATGGAACCCGATACAAAAATACCCTGTTTTCCCAACATGCTTTTCACTGCCTGAAGAAATCAAACCCCAGAAACATCTAGATTTCTTCGTGTATGCAGAATGCATTCTCACCTTCTAAGCAATCCCTCCCTCCCCACCCACACCCCACCTGCTCAACTCACACCGCAAGACTCCCGGGCCAAGACCATATACATCAATTCAATATCTTCATTCCTGAGCCGAGTCTGCTCTCATGCTCCCCATTCCATGCCGTAAACTCCCATCTCACCGTCATCAAGGGACAAAAAGCTGCTCACCTCCCAGCTCCATGCAAGGTTCACTGACATATAACTCGAAAGCAACCCAGCTCCGCCCCTCGTGTCGTTGCAGCAGGCAAGGGCGCCTTTGCACTACTGAAATGCAGCTCGCTACCCCAAAATAGCTCAGAGCCTGAGGCGTTTCTGTACATTCCCCCCTCCCTCTCCAGAAAACAGCCCCAGGGCTCGTTGAGGTGCTTCGGATGGATCCATCGCATCGGGAACCAAGCGACGAGGCGGAGAAGACCCTGTCCTCAAAAAGTGACTGCTTACATACATGTGAGATATGCACGCAGGGGGGTGTTCTTTCGAGACTTGGCCTATCGCTGTCGCTCAATAGCTGCGTTTTTCGACGGCACCTCCCCGGGTGCTTCATGACCTTTTGTGTGTGACAACAGAATGCCGCAGCGATGTGCCCACGATGACAGCTCGGTTCCAATCTAAATGATCGTCCCGGATTATGCCTGCAGCGTGACGATGCAGCCATGCATCAGCCGGAGATCCGAGGGAAAAATTTTTTTTTCTTTTTTTTCTCTTCAGTTTGCTATTGATTCGTCGGGGAGCGTCTCAACCTCGCATGCCGTCATGGCCGGGACTTTCGAATTATATAAATGGGCGAAGTCCATCCTCCGAAGGGTTGCCAGCTATTGTGAAGCTCACGGAGTGCCATTGCCCACCTAAGTATCAAGCACCAGCCTGCTGTTGCACAGAGAATTGGTCTTGCCTATTGAAGTAATAGTCATCTCAGCCCGACCCTTTGCCATGCCGTCCAGCATCTACTTCGCTGCCTCGGCAGCAGTGCTTGCCTGCTTTGCCCAGGTGGCCTCAGCGCAGACCAACATCACAGCTACTGTCTGCGCCGCAGAATCTGTCTTCTCTGATTGCAATGGGAACGTCGCTGATAAATGGCGCTCCTGTATCAACGGGTGCAACGGCAATGGCGACTGCATCGTGGACTGCGGCTGTACCGCACATCAGGAGTATATCAATTGCATGGCGCAGTCGTGCTGGAACCAGGTATGTGGTGTCTTTCCTTCTCTTGTCTTCCTTTCCACACTGAAGCTCCTCCATCCCAGCTTCCCTAGACTGACTCGTTTCCGCCAAATAGGTCTACTCCTGCGAGTACCAGCTCTTCGTCCAGCAATACTTCGCCGTGTGCCCCAGTGCCGCGGAGCCGATCCCCTTCTGGCCCGCCCCGGAAGATGCCCCGAACCGCTGCTCCTGCAGTCTAGGCAAGGTTCTCGCCAATACCCTCACTGCACGCAAAGAGCAGATCGCCTGCATGCAGAATGTCACCGACCAGGCGCTCTCCAACATCCCCACTAACCTCGCCGACCTTGGCAACGGCCTCGACATTGCCAGAACCGCAACCGACTGCGCCTGCTGCGGCGCCAGCGCCAGTATCTCCGCGTAAGTTGTCCAGGTCCCCTCATTCTATCACCCAACATTCTTTCCCTTTTTCTTCTTCTCTCAAGCTGGGAACCCGATCAATTAACCCACATACTGCCCTCTAGTGCCTGGGATGTCTGCCCCCACACAATCCCCACCCTCGCCGGCGCCGATCTCTGGCCGCTCTTCTTCCCCGCTGACCTTCCCAATCTCTACACCTCGATCCCGAACTGGGCCTGGTCCACCTGCGACAGTACCCTCGACTCCACCGACTGCGCCGCCGCCGGCTTCTCTGACACCGGCGACAAGTTCTACAAGCCCGGTGACTTCCCCGCCAACGGCACCGCCACGCTGCACAACGTCGCCGGCACAGTGACCGTGCCGCCCAGCGGGACCGTTATCTCATGGTCTCAGGCGTCCACGACGTGGACTGTTACGGCGACGGGCTTGGATAGGAAGGCTGTTGCCGGGTCGACTGCGACGGCGACTGGCACGGATGAAGCGTTTGTGACGCAGACGGCGAATGCGGCGGCGAAGGGGGTGCGGGCTGGCAGTGTGCTGGGGCTGTTGGGTGTTTTGGGGGCTGCGGCGCTGTAATTGATTTCTTATTCAAGATCGGAGCACACGAGGCGGAAAGTATAAGGTGTAATGTGCGTGGTTCATGATGTGATGATTGATATGGCTGATTATGTTTTCTGGGGAAGAAGTGGACCTCGTTCTTCCTTTCCTTCTCCTGTCGAGGGGGTATCAAAATGATGGGCCGTGGACGTACCTTGTTTACCTTTGCCCTTCTTCTATTTTCTATTTATATATATCGTATTTAATTTGTCCAGCTGTCCCTTTTAATCATCGGCACGCTTCTAGTCGAGTCCGCTGAGCTGCCTCATGCTATTGCGTGATATATCGGTGATACCCTCACTATACATTCCTCCTTCACGTACCTCTATTGTTGACGTTGCGCTGTCTCACAACTCAGGCCACAATTTTAGATAAACCCTTTTAACGAGCTTACGCGTTGATATTGTAGTCTTTTTTTTTTGGCTTAACATAGGAAGTACGTACCTAGATGTGTTCCATGATGTCCGGTTTATCTGCTAATGTATAAATTACAGTAGTACAACCTTCTCTAGCCTAGAGTTTGACGATCAAGGTAATATAGTAACTTGTGATAATACATTCAGTACGTATAGTAAATTGATAGTATAGTTCTACTAGTCTTAGAAAGCTAAAAAAAAGTAGGTCTATTATATAGTAGCTACAAGCTTATTACTAGACTTGATATTAATCTAGTTTCAGACTTTAGTAGGTCTCGAAATCACCTTCACTAATATATACTAAGAGGCTATTTCCCAGCCTGACCGCTTAGGTCATTAGCGCAATTTAATTATCAAGGATACTGTATCAAATTAAGGGATATAGTGAATGTACTGTACGCTTTATATATCATATTGACTATACGATAGAAGATTAAGCCTTGTGTATAATTGAATCTCATAAAATAAGCGGACGATAATATAGGCGTGATCTCTATCCACTTGTTTGTCCAGTGTCATGTCATAGCATGCTTCGTCCCTAACTATCTACAAAAAAGTGTTTATGAGAGTATCTGCACCTAGGATATTTAACTACCTTGGTGTCTATCTGTGCTCTCGCCAGAGGTTATAGAGCCATCGCAAGCACCATCTTCTTGAGGTAGTCTTATAACACCAGAACGGACTGGCAAGGCACAACACCAGCCACCTTCTATGCTGGAATCATCCAATAGTGGACCGATTTCTAAACGACGCCTTGATACGGCCTCCGAATAGTAATCATGATAGAATTTCACCTAAAAATTGTGGAATTTGTGGCTCAATCACCTGTCAAATGTTTGGTGGAATATAAAATTACTTGCCATCCCCTCTGCTGCTAGGTTAGATGTCAATGAATTAAAGTTCAAGTTGCGGATATATCTCCAACCACTATCATCTTAAATCCAATCTAGGGCATGGAAGGCGAGCTAAGAATACATTCAAAATTGGCTTCAAAATCAGCTAATTTTTATCTTTGTTTGTATTGGTGTTAAGTGTGCGCCGTAAAAAGTGGGGGCCGGGAGCACCCCGGTACTTAAGCTTTGTCTCGGCACCTCTTGAATCGCATGAAATTCCTCTGTGAATCTCATTCTTATTTAATACCATCATCCTTCACGGTCCACGTGATCAAAGATTCAAGGCTATCAAGTGCGTAACTTGGTGTGGCCTAAATAAATCTGCGCAACATGTCAATCACAGATTTGCCTCTAGAGCTTTTGACTCGTATTTGCGAGCATCTAGAGCCTCAAGAATGGGGCGCATTCCGGATTTCTTGCCGCCAAATATACGACAACACACTGGAAGCCTATACGACGCGATATTTCAAAAGAGTCACGATTCTTCTCACCCGTGAAGGTCTTGACCGCTTGGAGTATGTTGCAGCCAGTGAAACTCTTCGTGGCTCGGTTGAAGAAATTTGGATCATCCCGAATTTGTTCGATCACTGGGCAAACTTGGACAAGGCAAGTTTTACAAAGGTGGACATTAGGAGATATTTGTTGAGATTAGGACGTCATCCAACAACGGAAGAACACAATGAAGTTCAGGCTGAGCTCGAGGCTCTATTTGCCGTCTACGAAGCTACAATGGCAGAACACCGTGCCATTCTCGAGCCCCCGGGACTGTTGGGTCGCCTTGAAAAATGCCTACCACGCCTCGAGAAGGCTGTCACCCTTGGACTACGATCTTATGAGACAAGGTTCCTCCTGAATAAAGCAAGAAATACTGACTTTACTTGTCTGGGCTTACGTGAATTGAAGAGTCATTTCAACTTCAAGAGGTCCCCAATGTTTCATCAGAGCGTATCTTATATGCCTTACAGTTTGGTATTCTTGCAACTACTTAACGCCATAGTAAAATCCAATCGAAAGGTCCAAGCCCTCCATACATGCAGCCATTACTTTTGTGGCATGAAGTTGGAATCCTTTCAACTGCCAGAGTCACAATATCAATCACTGCTTCCACTCTTGAAGGATCTGACGACTCTACATATGTGCATTCGCCTCAAAGATCATGAACAAGAAAACTTCGATGAAGACACCTTTAAACGTCTTCTCAATATCATGATCACAGCTGCACCGACACTGAAGACTCTCAGCTTTGCTCAATGGAGCCCAATAGAAGAACTATCCCCTCGTTACTTCAAGGATGTCTCTCAGAGAATACAATTCACCCAGCTAGAGGAACTTCACCTTCATTCGATTGAGGTGACAGTAAATAGCCTCGAGGAATTTCTACGGACAGCAGCCCCAACGTTGAAGCGACTGAGTCTGAGATTAGTCAGTTTAGTTGATGGGATAACATCAGCACCAGATCTAGGATCCCTGACTCAAAACAGCCGTAGTTGGGTCACTTCAATGTCTACCGAAGTCAGAACCGAGATACAGGGGCTCTGGAAGCGCGTTTTCGAATTCTGGGCAGATCACCTCAAGCCGCAATACGTCGAAGTGTCCGTGCTTGGGTACCGGGGAAGATCCATAACACTGCATGACAACTTGTATATGGAACGTGGACAACGGGACGCAGAGCCTTTCCCTGGCGTGAATCCCTCAAGTTTCTATTTTGATGTTGAGAAGGCGAATCTATCTTTCAAAGAATGGGTCACGCAGCTTCAGATAGAGATGGTGCATCAGCCATTCTTGGGTGGACCAAAGCTTCCAGGGACCAGCAAGATCCACTTGCATGCCCCTGGCCAGGACTTTAGTGGGCAGTTTCCTGCGGTTTGTAGAAATCCATCAAGTATGAGCAGGGCATTAATAGGTTAGGATTGTGTCCTGTTGTATGGGGACCATTGTGCCAAGGTGCCTTGAGGAGGTCGCCCTTTTCCCCACTCCAACACAGCCAGTCCTCAACCATCGAATTAGAATCGATATATGTACTCTACTCATACGCCTTCAACGAGGCTGCTTTCAATTGGATTTCGGTCTCCAATACCCGAGAAGCGACGTGTGTCTTTCGAGGATTATTCGATATTGAGTTGATATAGAAAAAGCACTCGAGTCTTTGATAATCTAAATCTAAAAGACTTCGATCCAAAGAAAAAGAATCTAGAAAAGACGAAACGAAAATAAAACGCCGAACTCCATGCACACCGGCGATGGTCTTGGGATATGTAATCACAGCCCCCCAAGAATGATGAACAAAGAAAAAAGAATCATGAAGCTGCGAGAACTCTTCCGAATTCTGGATCTGGAAGCCCGTTTCACGGAGTCTTCAGGACAAAAGAAAACACAACATGAAAGATGGACACATGATTTGTGCCTAGTGCACCTCCCCTGGCCTCTTAAGCCGCCGTCCATGAAGGACACACCCGTTTCAGAAACTTCATGAACTTGAAAAAGCCCACCGCATATTCGACATTTCCATGCGGATCCACCACCCGTTCAGGGAACGCAATGCCGGCCCCATACAAGCCTGGGATCACGCTGCCGTCGCGCTCGTGGAACTTGCCCGACTCATGATCGAATTCAAGCGCCAGCGCCGCCCCGTCACACGCCAGCTGCGGCAGCGGATCGCGCGTGAAGCCTACCGCCTGCACAATGTGGGCACACTCGGGCAGATGGGCGCGGTATTGCGCCGCTTCGCGAGCCTCGCCACCAGCGCAGTCGACCTTGGTGATCACAGTGCCTGCGGGCGAGGTTGGGAGCTGGGCGTCTTCGAGCTGGGTGCGGGCAAAGTCGGCCGCCAGGCCCTTCAGGCCGGTGTTGTCGCGCAAGATCCAGCCATCCATGAACTCGGCATAGCGGAGCGGGTGGCGAGTGAACCACTTGACGCGGAGGAGTGGATGTGAGTCGCGAGCCAGCGTGACGAGGTTGAGCAGGGCGAGGATAGCGCTGTGGGATGCGCCGACGACAGCGACGGTAGTGGGGGTGTCAGTGGGAAGGGTGATGGCTAGCTCGGAGGGTTTGAGGACCGTGTCGAGGTCGAGAGGGGAGATGGAGAGGCCTGGGACGGGAACTGGCAGGTTGGTTGGGTGCGAGCCTGTGCAAAGGATCAGACGTGAGGTCTCGATCTCAAGCTCGTCGGACGAGTTGGCCTGCTTGACGCGGACAGTCCACTGCTTGGAAATCTGCGGTGGTGTAAATATTAGCCTTTCTTCATGATCGGGAGCGCTGGAAATCAATAGGTCATTGGCGCTTCCATCGAGCTATAAGCTGGTATGATGGGCCTGAATGGTGGTGGGGTGTAGAATGTCGTGCACATACCCTATCAGTCAAGTTGGCGGTAGTGACAAAGCCGCGGCAGGCATAGACCTGCTCCAGCTTCATGAGCCCGTCTGTGAGCCCGCGGACCATGTCAGCGGCATAGTGCAAGTGGCAAGTCTTCTCCTGGTCCAGTTTTGCGATGGTGGTGAATGCGTTGGGGCGCTGGGCATTCTCGATGACGTCCCTGAAGGGTTGCACGCCAGTGGCGTAGGCCTGGAAGAAGGAGACTTTGGTGTTACTGGACATCCTGTATTAGTGGCTGCGATCCCTGACAAGCACGACCCTGATCACCAACCTAGGAACCTCGCGGTACTTGCGGTGGACTCGGCCGGCCTCAAAGCTGGGGTCAATCCAGGCTATCGTGCCCAGCTGGCGCTCCAGCAAGTTTCCCACGACCGCCACACCAGCTGGGCCGGCGCCCACGACGACTGCTGCGCATTTTCGAATAGTCATTGTGGCAGATCTGGGGAGAATGACAGTAAAAAAATCGGAGGAGGGAAAACTGAAGAGTGGAAAAACAAAGAAGCAAGAACGGAATTTAGGTGGAAGCGAAAAGTGCGGGTAAAAATGGTTTCATTCGGTATCTAAATAGAATCAAAGTGCGCAGACCGCAAGTCATATGTAACCCCTCAGCGAGTCCAAGAGGGGCCAGAAAGGGGGGTTTGGAAGACCCAGAAAGCCAAGACCCGAGGAACGAGGAATGCGTAAGTCTCCGATCACCATCAGCGATCCAGATAACGCAACCAACATCCAGTCGGGACGTCGCCAACAGAGCGGTAAACCAAGGCCTAACACAAACGGGCCACCCTCCCCCTCAGGTACCCAGGCCGATCAATCTGAGTTACGGTGACACACACATGCATGACTGTGCCGGCAATCTCTCGGTCGAGAGCAGGATTGGGACACTGATAACCAGACTCACCCGCCCCTCGGCTAGCTTCAGCTGAGCGTCCACGAGCCATATATTCCTCACGAGGATGGTTCGAAGGGCGCGAATGGCTTCGTGGGACTGTTTGCCGGCCGAGAAACGAGGGAAGGGCGAGACTGACGCAGTAAGCCCCACCGGCTGGTGGTCGCTTTCCATCGGCCTGTCGGCTGTGTCGGGTAGGCCTGCGTACCCTCGCCAGGCGATAAGGGAGGAAGGGATTGTTCTGTCGCGGGCCGTCAGAAAGACTGGCAAAACCACGCCCTTCTCCAGGGGGTCTATTGGGAGGTGTCAGATGTGTTCCGGACATCATCACGGCACGGAGCAGGCGGTTTTGGGGTGAAAAGGAGAAGAAAGCTGGTCGAGGAGAGCGATTGATCTTATACTCCCCCGTTCGGGCGCTCATTGGAGGTCTTGGCGAAATTGCGTGATTGAGTTGTGCCTTATTGCCTCAGGCCACAATAGCCTGATCCATCTAGGAAACTAGCTATGATTCACTAGAACACTGCATAAATTTCTACTAGTGTGTATAAGAAAGGATGATTTGGGGACTACAGGTGAAGTGGAAAGCTTCGGTCAACTAAGAAAGCAAAATCACTAAATATTCTACAAGCTGGAGATGTAACGAGTATTCCAAGGAAAGAAATTATTCCACACGGCTCTAGATGTATTGTCCGGACTATCGCAGTCTTTGCTTGAATTTCTTGGCATTGTATGAATATTCAAACTTGGAAAAGACAAAAAAATTAATCATTTTTGATAGTTGTGTGGCATGGGTGTGCCAATGAAGTAGAGAAGCTCTGTACAGTTCCTGCACAGAGCAAGTCGAATGGGGGTTTTTTGGTTACCAAGTGACGATATAGTCACCCTTAGCTTATCATTATTCCCTCATAAAGAATGAACTTCATCTGAAAAACTCCCAGTAAACCAGCTTCTGGTTACCAATTGGTAGCAAAACAGCGCCATAGACCAAGTTGGCCGGGGGAGCTATTCTCGCACTAATATAACCGTCACTCTTGTCATGAGGAGATAGCCCATGATTCGGGCGACAACCCGTCCGCAGAGTATATAGTAGCTCTTGTATATCGGGAAGGAGAGGAGGCCATGCGCTTGTTTCAGCGGAGCTGGGTCGATTGGTTTCGGTCAGCTGAGATATCGCCTTGGGTATTGAAACCGAGGGCCCATTTCTGCCCTCTTTCCCTGTTTGGGACTTGTCCACATACGATCTCCACCCACTCATCGGTAAGGGCGACATTTGGCGGTGGAAAGTTTTGGAGCTTGCCGTCATCGAGTACCGGCTTCTCGCGGTATTCTGGGAACTTGTCAGTGATTTCCTTCTTTTCAGCTTTTGCCAGGCCTCGCGGGTCCCTGACAAGGCCAGCTGGCGTTTCAGCAGTCTAAACTTGCCATACAAGTTTGTCAAGGCGCGTCTCCGCGAGTTATCGAGCTTTTTCTGGCCGTCGTAGAAATCTTCTCGCGGATCTCGGACCATCCCGTACCGCGTCTGGTCGCGGTCCTTGCCTCCTTTCTTCTGTAGGAAGCCTTCACTCACTTTTCTCTTTGGCATCTTGGAGTTTTTGATTATGGAATGATAAAATATAAGGCTGAAGTGATATAATATAAGGTTGAATATTGAAATGTAACGGAAAGGTGAGGTGAGGATAGGATAAAGGATGTGCAGGAAATGAGAGTTGGTGGCTAGGGCGAGAATGACGTTAAAGTTGAGCTGAGAACAAAGTAAAGGGTGAGATAATGGGAAGGTGAAGTAACGATAAAGCGAGATATACATTGGACATAAGCGATTAAGCGAGCTTGTCTGCCTGAGCAGCTTCAAACTCACGTATAAGGTCCTCTGCTCCGATAGCTTCGTCTGCTGTAATCCAGCAGATACTTGTGCTCCGATATACAGTATCACTACGCCCTATGTACTAGTCTACACGGCCAGAATCCGTTCCCAAAGACTTAAATCAATTGCACTTGAACTAGTTCAAAGATTCAAATCATGACGTGAAACCTTCATTTTGAGATGCTTGCAACACGTCTTCATTATACCATGCTGTTTGAAGTGGCCTCTAACAGAGAACCAGACCTGCGTCGGAACATACATCTTCGTAAAATCATGTTCATGATCAGCAAATTTGTACATTAGTCTACCTGAAATATGTAGTGGTCAGATTCTCAAATCTTCCAACACTATCCTTCCGAGGAGGTTTTCTTTTTCAAACAGCCCAACAGACTCGAATCTGCGCGCTGCTAACATGATTTGACCACTGAGGGAATCTTGCTCGGGCCCAAAGAGCGATCGAATCTCCAATTTCAAGCTCGCGCACAGCCCGGCCATCCAGTGTGGAGCGGCCTCGACCCTGGGTGCGCTCAATATCATAGGCCAATGGCGAGTCCGGCGAAATCTTATCGAGGTAATGCCAAATGATTTCCACGTTCTGCACCTCAGACACGCGACTGCCGTTCACCTGCAACTTGTTGTCTCGGGGAAGAAGGAGTCGATCGTCCGGATTGAAGTGCCTGGAAGTCTGGCCATGCTCGTTTTCTAGGAGATCCTGCTCTTCCCCGTTGGCGTACATATTTCGTTCATGGGCCTTTGGTACGACTTCCGTATCGAACCAGGTCCACGAGCTCTCGTACATATTCTCTCGCCGTGGTCCGCGGCCTTGGTCATGGGAGGAGAGGTGAAAGACAATTTTGCGACAGGGGTGTGCAGTGCGATGTGGAAGTGGGCGTGAGGTGGTTGGTGATCGTTCGAGGCTCTGAATAGATACCACGATGTTTAGCAATGGGTGATGCCATCTAATTAATGGCAATATAAAGACCAACCTTTCTATCGTAGCACAGAGGCACTGTCTTGAGCAAAACCTGGTCTCGATCCTGGTAGATGATTCTGTTCGTTGGCTCTTTCATGCTGGTCACTGATGAGGGCCAGTATTCGGCCGCATCGACAATCGCATCCACCAGCTCTGCAGGGAGACCTTCGGTGACCTTCCATTGCAGCAAAAACCGTACCCTGAGAACATCCCATAGGCTCGGGAAGTATTCCTGAGACTTTCCCTCTCCTGGCTCCGCTGAGGGAGTATTTGTATCTTCGTCGCCAGAGCTGGCGTTTCTGAAGGGCTGCCGATTATGCCGGTGGAGCCACATGGTTGTATTATCGAATATCGATTTATTATTTGCAGTCTAAATAGATGCTTGAAAGTCGCAATTCTTGGGTAATTTAGAGTATCAGAAGGAAAGAAGGAAGCTTCGGGGCTTTTTTGGGTGGTCTGAACTGGCGAGTCCCAGGCAACAGCTCCACTCAAGCTTTCAGGATCGAGGGAGATGAGCTTGTGACTGAAAGTTGGCCTCTTAGCCTATTCCGATAGTCAAACTGTGAGTGACGTCGACAACAGGGTACTGAGAACAGGACAATGCAGTTCAGATGACAAGGGTGGTGCAGGTGCATCGATCTTCAGTATCTTATCGGACCCCGCATATTCTTGGAGTTCCCCCCCTCCCGACCTAGTCTCTACCATGGACCCTGACACTGCACCGAATGCCATTATCATGACCGGAGAATTTCAAGGGTAAAGCTCTAATACATTACGAGTAATAACGGGAAGCATGAAGAGTATATTTATTCAAATAGGGCCAAAGAAATCAATAGGGTTGATACAAAAGATGTCGAACAAGTGATCGGTGATGTGTACTATGTGCACTGAGTGACGTCAAAGGAGGCTTAATACCACCCGAAAGTACCATACACCTGCTGGATACCTACGTGTAGTATGTGAGTACTAAAGATTGCTAGAGTACGGGGAGACTCATTTATACAATGTGGAAAAGCCGTGTAGTTGAAAATAGAGAGAGATCATGAGTTGATGATATCTGTATGGTACTTTAAAATGCCCATTCCCAACGCCAATAAGATACAAAAACACTAATTTTTCTTTTTCCTCTTTCCAATCATGGCTTTTGACCGCCAGCAGCACGGTATGCAGCCGCACGCTTGCTGCTTCGGTCCTTGGGTTTGCCCTTAGAGCCACGGCTCTTGGTCTTCATCTTGAGCGTGGACGAGCCATTGGAGGAAGCCCGGTGACCCTCGAACACGAAGGAATTTCCTGCAATACCACCCTTGCTCTCTGACTTCATCTGGGCTGCACCGGCGCGGCCAAGCAACTTGTTCGCACGACCCTGGAGCGTTTTCTGAGCCAAATCGCCCGCACGAGCATCCTTTCCACCAGAGTCATCGCGCTTCTTGCCCATCTTCCGAGCACGAGTCACACGCAGCTTGCGGGGCAGCATGGGCGGGAATTTCTTTTCGTTGAGCAGCAAGGCTTCTTCGACACCATTGCCGTCGTAGAACTGAACGTAGGCAAAGCCTTTTCCGACACGGGTATTACGATCGCGGATGACACGGACAAATTCCACGCTCTTCTTGGAGGTCTTCTTATCCTTCGAACCTCCAGTGTTGGCGTTGAAAGTGCGCCAGAGACCTTCTTCAATGTCGGCCGGGGCTCTGACCTTCCTCTTTTTGCCATTTTCATCCTCTGTAACTCCCTCTTGGTCAACGAAATCAAGGTTGCCCACAAACACACATCGCTTGTGGTCAATCTCCGCAGGGTGCGCAACGCTGTCAACACGGAGGTGGCGGTCCAGAACCACAGTTCCGTTCAGCGCAGCAGGTGCCTTGCGAGCAGCCTGGACGGTACTGTAGACGGCATAGGCATTGGTGCTAGGAGTCGTCTCGTCCAGAATCTCACGCCGGGCGAAAGAGGCACGTTTCGGGGTTCCTCCACCACTAGCGAATGGCACGGAGCGGAATCGGATTGACTCAACCTTGTGAGGACCCGAAGCTTCACGCAAGGTTGAGCAGAAAGAGGCCAAGTGTCGGAGGAGGGTCTTCTTGGCTGTCTTGGACTTGATGGCTTGGGTTGAAACGTTGCCCAAGAAAACGGTACGACTGGACTTCTCAACTTCACTGGCCTTGTCGCTGCCAGTAACACTTTCATGAACTGGCACGGGGGCGCTCGCGTCATCCTCACTCTCATCGGCTTCCGAATCGTCCTCAGCGGCCTCATTCTCTGATCCCTCCTCTTTGCTGTCTTTCTTGGCCTGTTTTTGACTTTCAGCCAGCTCGGCCTTTCGCTTGTCCTCTGCCTTCTGCTCTTCCTTTGCGATACGGCGCATATAGGATCCTTCCAGATCATCCTCGCGGCCGCTTCGCTTGCGCTTGCGGCTCTGAATCTCGGCAGCCTTCTCATCCGCAGAGTCAGATTCAGTGGTCTCCGGAGCATCTTCCATAATTGCGTCCTCCTCTGCCGAATCCTCGTCCGGCTCTGAGATATCTTCATCTTCGGTCTCTTTCACTTGTTTTCTAGGTTTGAACTCAACATATTTCACCGCGGGCGCTTGCACGGGGCCAGCCTAAGGAAATGGAAATCAGACAAATTTCTTTCATATCAGAAGCGAATGGAACGTACACTTTTGTCAAATAGCGAGGACAAATTTGGGTCTAGAGCAGCACCGCCGCCGAGAAAGGGAAGGCTGCCAGAAGCAGGCGCCTTTGAGTCCGACGTGGACTGCGATTTGGATTTCTTGCCCATTTTGACGGATTGTTGGAGTCCACGGAGGATTCTTTGCCTTCGTGGTGGTCCAATGAGGTGGAGTCGAATTGCGCTGGGGAGACTCTTCATAGCTCCCGAACTTTTTTTTCTTTGGGCTTATCGGGCTTGGCGCGGGAGCTGCTGCACATCACATGATTACAGAATCCAGGCTTGATGTTCCTCGAGGCAGGGGATATAGATGGCGAAGATACATTGAAGAAGAGATCAGCTTGATCAGTTTACTGAAACTGAAAAAAGAACAGACAAAAAACTCAAGTTTACCAAAATCTACAGGTTTTCCGTGAATGCGACCCTGCTCCGTCAGATAAGGACTCACTTCGGTCCCACCAGAGTCTTTGAGAGAAGAAGACGGCGCTTTTCTCTAGTTAAAACGACCTCCATTCGAACCACGGTCCATTTCTATAGCAGCACCTTCGCGTATTCCAATCCCCATGTATTGGCATGGTGTCCATGTTGTTGATCCTGCAATGTCTGCCGTCTTCGGCGACGTCAGTATCACGTGACTGGGAGTTTTTTGCAGGCGGTGAGGCTCGCCCTCGCCGGGACGCGGCAGAACCCCGTCACTCGCTTCTGTTGCTGTACCCCATCATAGCGGTCTCGTCGCTTTCTCTCTCCTGTTGGTGAGCCTTCAACTCGGCCTTCGTCCCCAAAAATACGATTCGGCCATTGCGACGATTATACTTGTGCTTCAGATCTACCACTTAATGCAGAACCCCTCCCTGCGACCCTCCTCCGTGGCCCTACCCACGCCTTAGCCGACCTCCCCTCCCCGTCCAGCACCAACACTAGCGCACCTGTGGTCCACCAGCTCCCGAGGACCTTTCATATTGGCAAGACGCGTGGTACGCCACCTGGTTGATTGGTTGTGTACGAGGAACGCGGTGGCTGTGAGAATCCTGCTCGGTCGCGAGTAGCGTTACTCCTCACAGCGTCGCCCCGGCGCATTGTTAAAACGGTACGTCGCCCGGATGCTTACATCCTTCAGTCAGTAGTCTCTGGCTCGTCTTCAAATCCAAAGAGCCCCAGCTAGTCTGGGACGCATTTCAAGCAGGTTTGGTGGCTTGCGCGAAGTGCGAACCCTGCTTTGGGCGCTCGTTCCCGACTCTGGGGGCGTTCCGGCGATGATCAATCTCCGCACCGCCTTGGAGGCGCTGACCTACCTCTCCCACCCACTCACCCACTTTTCCTCCGCCACTTTTCCGTTGGCTCACTGTGGCCCTGATACCATGGCAATTGAACTGATCAATTATATCTCTCAACCAGAACCTCAATCGAACCCCTGTTTGGGAGCTCGGTGACCTTGCCGCCCTACCTGCCGCCCATCTACCCACCTCCACCGCTCGTACCGAGAGCCACCATCGGCACGACCCAACACCCTCCTGCCTCTTATCCTTTCTCCTTCTTATACTTCACTTCCTTGTTACCTTGAGGTCTCTCCATAATCACAGATGGAGGTGGCCGAGAGCAGAGAACAGACCTCCGTTGGGCCGACAACGGGGGCAGAATCCACAATTACCAATGGTGAGCGAAATCCTTTCTTGGATGACCCTCTCATGGACGATGGTCGGTCGAGTAGCTTGAGTGAGATCGACGACGTCTCCGACAATGAGCCCTCCGACTTTGAGGACTCCCCTAAGCCAGAACGGCAGCTAGAAAATGACTCGGAGGCGGAGACTGAGCGCATTGAGGACTCCCCTCACAACGTTCGAAAACGAGACATTGTACTTAGCGCTGGCAGCGCTGGCCCCAGTCCGAGCAAGCTTCACCAGTCCACAACATTGGATGACGTCGATGATGATGAACCAATGGCAGATGACTCGCCGAGCAAGCCTCGACGACTCTCCCCCAACAGCGGTATGGATGACGATACTGCTGACCTTGACGATGTGGAGCTTCCCGATAGCATTGGCAAGAAGCGGAAGCGCATTGATGCCGGTGATGACACTGGAACCGAACTCGGCGAGGAAGAGCCACTGAAGAAGCGCCGGAGCTCCATCAAGAGCGACCTGAGCGACCCGATTGACGACGATACCCCACTTTCCCCCGAACCGATGATGGAAGAAGAACCTACCACTCTTATTGATGATGAACTGCCCGCCGACGAGATTCCCGAATCAGATATCCCTGCTGCGCCTCCTAAGGGCAAAAAGGGCAAAAAGGGTAAGCGCAAGGGAAGAAGAACTCAAGACGCCGACGAGGGGACTGAAACTGGCGGCACTGAGCCTGTTACAGAGGACGTGGCTGATGACAATCTTGGAGAAGACGAAGAGCCTGCGGAAAGGGTCGATGAAGTTGACGATGCCGAAACCGCAGCTCGAATTGAGGAGGAGTGTAAGTCTTTTCTCTGCGCTGCATATCAGATCATCACACTAAATCTTTCTTTAGCCGCGAAGAAAACGTCTGCCATGGAATCACTGGCCACTTTGGAAAAAGAGTTTGCGACATTGCGTGACAAGTAAGAATTTCCGTCTCACTGCCTTCTGTTTACTCTCATCGCTAATCATGCCACAGGATCTATGACGAACGGATCACAAAGCTCAATCGGGAAATGGAAATGCTAACTGGTCCAAACCCGACGCACCCCGAGTACCTGCGTCAAATCGAATGCGTGCAACGTTACCGGGATGCCAAAATTCAATACGAGCATACCCTGTACCGTTACCGCATGAAGGCGCTGCTCAACAAAAGCTTGGCCGAACGTGCCCAAGCACACAGCACATACTTCCAGCGCACCCGAGATGTTCGAGAACATCATTCAAGTGCGATCAGCAAGCAATTCTATGCGATTCAGCATGATCGTTTCAAGACGGACGAGCTGAGCCCGCATCATATTATCCCATTCCCCACCCGTCGTTCCCAGCAGATTGCCCATCAGACTGCGTACAACCATGAAGTCTCTGTTATGGCAGGAGTCGCTAAGTATGTTGGTTTCCCGGCTGCGCCGACTTTGTTAGGCGCGCGGCCGGCTGAACTGGAGGACGACCTGGAGAAGATGGGAGTGAGTCAGACCGATATCCACGACGTCCATGCCGGTTACTGACAAGCCTCTCTAGATTACTGTTGAGACTCGAGTTTCGGCTCCTAGACATTCATCGGCGTTGCCAACTCGCGGTGCAGTGTCAGCAATGTCGTCGAACATGTTTCGCACAGCTGCAGAGGAGGCCTTCTTGGAACAAACGCCGTGGGCCAATCCACAGCATCCTATCCATCAGCAACAGCCACAACACCAGTATTCACAACAGCATCGCCCGCAAGGATCTTCATTTGCGACACCAGCCGCTCAAAAACGAGTGGTCGATATCAATGCGCCCAATGGCTCTGCATCCACGATTCCAGAAAACATCTCGGCTGCCAACTCATCCACTAACAATACCCCCTACGGTACAGAACAAGAGCCCCAACATTCGACTCAAGGACCTTTCCGCAATCCTGACTATGGCAACGAACATAAATCTGGGTTTCGATCTCAAAGTTCTTCCCCGTTAGATGTGCGAAAATCCCAGCCACATCCAAGCCTCGTCGAGCGCCTCTCCCCAGCGCCCGATGTCTCTGCCTCGCGCAACAATCCTCTCTTCTCTTCCCAACCTATCCGCCAGGGTTTGTTCCAACCCTCTGCCTCTATGCCAGACTCATCACCCAGTTTGCCAACAAAGGTCGTGGATGCGGTACATTACCGTCCCCATCAGCCTGAAATCTCCGCTGGATCCGGTCCGAGCCACATGCCAGCTCGGTAAGCCGGGGCCTCCGCTTCCAAGTGCGGAGGTCCTAGCTGAGAGCTCTGCCCTGTGACTTACATCAAAAGAACCGGATTTACCCAATAGACATGATTGCTTGTTTTTTTTTTCTTTACTGCAACTTGCATTTGCTTTCTTCTTCTCTTTTCTTCTGATTGAATTCCCCTAATGAAGATTCCCTTGTTTTCGTTTCACGTTCTACTATTGTTACAACGTCAAGTGGTTTCTGATTAGCGTTCCGCGCTAGAAAGTGGGAAAGGGCCGTACGGCGTGCTATGTGCATGAAAAGCGCCCGTTGGGAATTCTCGGCCTTGACGCTGACGAGCCACATTACATATGGGAAACCTCGGTGTTTGTCAATCCCCGGGTCTGTGTCCTGGCTATGACTGCATGGAATGGAATCGGGATTTTTTTTATCAATTTATCATACGTGGTGTTTTTGTATGGGGGTATGGGGGTTCTGATCTGTTCTTCTTCCTCTTATATCTCTTTTTGCTGTGATGATGGGAGGTTCTCTTGCATCGGAGTTCTCATTTGACTTCTTATTTTACTCCTGGGAAAGGGAGATTTGGCTTTGTCTTTTACCTTTCCGCTCTTATTACTTACTCTCTTCTTGTTGGTATCTGTGATGCTGTACATGACTTTGAAAATCGAGAGGACACCGCTTGATACTGTGCCTAAAGTCTACTAAACACCATGACTTTCTTATTCTTTATGTTGGACCGTAATCAGATTTTCTGCATACTGATCATAGTGGGATAGGTGTCGTAGTATGGCCACTATCAAATGGCTAGAGGTCTATTAACTGAAAGAAGGTTCTCAGTTCAATTGACCGTGACGAGTCAATTATGAGCCAGGTCTTTAAACAAGAAAAAAGAAAAGCACAAAAAAATCCAGAAAGGAAAAAATCGATCTTTCAAAATAGGTAGGTATATCCCCGATCTTGATTTTTCCTATGAACCTAAAATATGATAAATCGCTTTACTCTGCCACGGCGCTGGCTGCTGCCTCTGGTTGCGGGGCAGCTGGCATTTGCTCTCCATCGCCGTTGGTAGAAGCCTCAGTCGGTTGAGTCTGCGTCTGCTGGGGTCGCCATTTGGCCAGGACTTTGCCTGCTGCTGGTCGAGATTCCTCGTCTGGTGTGCAGAGTTAGCCAAGAGAATTGGATCGAGATGGCGAGAAAACGACGCGTGAAATGGACTTACAAGTTTGGTACACATCCTCTAGTGTGTTCAAGCACATTTCTCGGGCCGGGGGCCGGAACATGATCAGATACCTGGAATTCATTAATAGGTGATAGGACGAACTTGAAACAGGTGATACTCACATCAACGCCTGCACGCAGAGATTCACACGCTCGGGATCTTTGGCCAGACTGGCTATCCGCTGGGTGATAGAGATGGTAACTTCTGGGATCTCACTGAGGAAACGTACAAGCACCTTGATGTCACGAGAGTCGATGTATGGTAGGAAGCCATCCAGTAGACGGAGCACCCAGGTATCATAATGAAGAGCGACAGTAAAGTCGTCCTCTTCGCCTTCCTCGCGCTCAGAAGCGGCCACTTTCATCTGAACCCGGTCATTGTACCACTCTTCATTGAGCCAGATGATGCCGATATTAAGTCGAGCGCGGAAGTCCTCCAGAATATAACGATACAGCGTTTCCCGGATTGAATCTGAAATCGTGGTTTGTCTCTGAGAATGTTTGCCCTTCTCACTTCCCTCCAGGCCGGCTGGAGCTCGAGTGGCAAGTCGGGTGAGCAAAACAACCCATGCATCCCGGTCGAAGGTGCTTCCAGCCAGGCGCGCAAAACCTGGCTGTTGGCTTTTACTCGTCGCTGGTGCTGTTGTGGTTTCAGTAGCATTGATCATGCCAAACACTCGTGCCACAGCACTACGGCCCACCTCTCCTGCCTCCTGTTCGGTCAATGGGGGCGGTTGAGGCAGAACAAATGGTCCTAGGGACACCAAGTCTGGCTGAAAATCTTCATCGGTCGCAACCGCAGCAGCCTCTTCGGATGCATTTTCAGCCATATCCATAGGCTGATACTCGGGTTCATAATCGTCATCATCATCAGGAGCAGCCTGTTGAAATTGCTGCAGATGTTGCTGCTGCCGCTTGAGGTTTTGTTCCTTAGTTATACTTTGATATCGAGTTCGAATAGCCTAAGATGCGAGTTAGTTGTAACTTTGGATAAGTTTGTTCCCAGGCCTACTTACATCCACAGCTTGCGTGAGTAGGGATGAATTGACTTGCGCCAAAAGGGGCACAGCAATCTTGACCACCAGGTCTGGAGGGAGCTGCTTCACATCAAAGGAGGAAAGCCCAACATCTTGGGTTAGGGTAAATAGTTGATCATAACTATGCGGGCCCGGTGGGAGAGGGGGGATTTTGAGCAACGGAGGAGTCATTGCATCAAGACGGACGCGTTTGGCGTTGTCTAAGCCATCTATTGGCTCGCTGGGAAGTCCACGTTTACGAGAAGCATCCTCAACAGGCTCCAGCCGAGACTGCACCAGGCGCTCAATGTACATCTGCATTTTGCCTACCAGCGGATGGTTGGGATTCCTAGGGCGCGTTAATTAATCTTCGATCATGGGGGCAGCAGGGTGCCGGGTCGGCGTACTTCTTCATCACATTCACCAGCAAGGCCCGAGCCGTGCGCTCCATCGACTTGACATTGACGCGAGCGGTTGGTGTGAATGGGGGGCGGACATGTTTCGCGGGGTAGAAGTCGAGAATGGTATAAATAATCTTATTGGCAATCGTCTGGCGAGTGCGGATGAGAGGCGCGAGACAGTTGAGAGTTGCGTTCACAATTAGGGGGTCGCTGCAATCATGTCAGTATATAAACCTGCCTGTCGGAGCTTAAGACGCCTGATTACCTCGTCTCTTCTTGGAAAACGCCAAGTAGTCGATCAAGGAGACCAGACGATTCGGCCTCGAGGTGGGGGATAGCAAGGACGGCATGATTTCGGGGGACAATGGCTAATGATGTCTCATTCTGGTCCGGTCGCTGCAAAAGGTGAGTAGCTGAGCTCGATGGCTAAGCAGGAAAATACGATAGGAGAACATACCCGAGGATCAGCAATCGGGCCAGGCGTCTGAACTTGAACTACACGCTGTAGAAACTTGACACAGCAAATTTTGACGGGACATGGGAAGGAATCCATTTTTCGGAGGATCTCCTGCTTGATAGCGGTCATTCTTTCCCACGTTTGGCCATCCTCGGGGTGGTTGACACTAGCATTGCATGCGCATTAGTCTGGGGCCCAAACCAGCCGGTATTCTTCCAATAAGCAAACGTAGTCTTCGCCAATACCTACATATAACGAAAAATCACCGTGTACAAGCTAGCTGCGGTCTGCACCAAGCTCTGGAGGACCGCTACGTCCGTCTCCGGCAGCTCCAACGTCTCTTGGATGGTCTGCAAGACACCTGTCGCAAGCTGTTCCTTCTGTGCGGCTCCTAACATAGGGCTTGAAAAGGTCTCTGCTAGGAAATCTGCACCCCACCTCCGCAATTCTATTCTCGCATTGGCCCCGACAATGGGGAGGATGCCGTTGAGGATTTGTGGGTAGAGCGCCGCGTCGCCGAGGACAAGGTTACGGGCCGAGTTGAGTTGGCCAACCTGGTCAGCGATCTGGTCTGTCGGTTGAGCCATCGTGGCTCAAGATGAGGGGAAAGGACTATGCGATGGAGAGGAGTCGAGGCGGAACCAAGTCGAGACTGTGGATACAATGGGAGGGAGCTGGAGGAGCTTGCTACTGGAGCGCGAATCAAGCTGCGAGTTCGGGTGAAATCGACGCGTACTCTGACGTGCAGGAGTTCCGATGAGAAAGGCGACCACACCGATGTACCACGAACGAGCCACAATCGAACAAGAGCGAGTGGGCGATGGGCCGATCTGGCGTTGGGGTGCAGGTTGGGATATGCAAAAGGCAGAAGAGGCCGCAAGGCCGCAGGGGCCGAGAAAAGTTGGGGAACGGACAATCCGCAATTCACGTTATCAGTGTGACCTGCGACAACACCACACTCTGACCAGGACAGCCTCAAAGGAGTATTTGCCCGGTAAAGTCTGAAAGATATTCTGTCTGGCTTTTTGAAAGTGTAAAGAGGACATTTAATAGCATCCGGCGTGAATTTGCTGTAGCCTAAGCTGTCGGGGCAGTAATATCAATCGAGCAGAGGACAGTCAAGCACTAGATCAAAGAGTTCCGAAAAAAGAGACACTCTAGATCAGAGCCTTAAAGTTCAATTGATTAAGTTTCGTGAGATGTGATGTTCTCTACCGATTTTTGCATGTCTTCTTAATCTGTACTTGTGGTATTCACACTGTAAGCACCCGCCAAGACTTTGCCTTTCCGGCCGCGAATAGTTTCATTGCCCCATCATCTTCCCTCCTCCAACCACCCACCTTCCACCATGGCCTCTGGAATGTACGTTGCAGTGGAGGATACTCTCTAATGGCTGATGATTCTGTACCCGCTGACAATTTGCACCCATCGCAGCTTCAACTCGACGTACTACGGCAAGGACTACCGCGCCGGTGCCGCCCTCCTGCGTGCCCGCCGGCCATATCTGGTTAAGAATGCCCTTACTGGGTTCGGCTTGTTTGTCTTCTCCATTGGTGTCTGTATGTATTTGTCTCTCCAACCCACAAGCTTTGATCGTTCCTTGTTCCCTCTCTGCCTCGTCCCAGAGGATCATGCCACTGGGCCACTTGGCAGAATACCCTAACATTCTCGCTGTGAAGCAATACGTGAAGAAGGGCGCATTTGCTCAACTCAAATACTGACCACTGTCTCTCCCGAATACAGATGCCTACACCATTCGCGCCGTCGGCCAAGAAGAATTTTCCGACGTAAAAGTCCCCGATGCCCCCGCGCAGAAGTCAGCGCAGAAATAGAGCAAATCGCACACAATCCAAGGCCGACCAGGATCGAAATCCCCAGTCTCATGGGGGGTTGAACTCGGAATTCGGCTTTTTGCGTGTACTATATAGTCGCATTATTTGGGAGGGGCCGAACAAAGTGGCCGACAGGGCCACCCCCTCGGCAGGAAAACAGTCACGGAGCACATCGGGGTTTTGGAGTCTTCTGCGCAGACCATCTTTTTTTGGATCTGTGAGCTCAGCGGGTTTACTTTATTGGCATCTGCGTTGTACTGTACAGAGTAGCTTGGCTGGGATATTCTTTTTTCAAGTGTATAGGGCTGGAACCAGCTGCAAATGCCAAAAATCTTCTCTCTTCGAGTTTGCTTCCAGGCTCCAACATGCCAAGTAGTGCCAGAGACTGTGAAACAGACCAGGGGTTCATATGGTGGGGGGTGATGTGTTTACGCAAGATGGGTAATCATTCCGAAGATATCCATGTATATTTCTAGGAAACCGAACCCAGATGATATCCGGTAATCACGGAATGTATGCAGAACAGGTTGGGCCTGCTATGCCATAAGGGAGTTGCACAAGCACAGGAGACTCAAAAACAAGGGAGAAAAAAGATAGGCAATTCTAGTTCACAAATGGGCTTACTCGGTTCTCAGAACGCGAGGGCCCTTCTTCTTGGAAGCACGCTTCCGCTTGAGACCCTTGTCGAAAGCAACAGCGTTGTTGTGATCACGACCGAAATTGTCCAGATCCTTGACCTTGAAAATCCGAATGATCCAGTTCTCACTGGTAAACGCCTCCTCCAGTGTGTTGAGCTGTGGGCTCTCAGCCGGGAGTCTGACACCACGCACCCGGTCGACAGCTTGGCCGGCCGGGAACAGGGACTGAAAGTTATAGTAAGACATCTTGTACCTATGAGGGAGTTAGTGTATGGCTTCATTATCAAAGAGAGGCGGAGGGAACATACATCAAGCTGTTACGCATGGTTGGGGTAGCCTCCTCATCAACACGGTATTCACCACGAGCAGTGAAGAAATCACGCTCCTTCACTTCATCAGGCCAGATACCCTCGGCAATCCGGACCATCCACAGGAATTTGTTCAGATCATCGCCCGAATAGCCGAGTAGTCCACCGAAGACGACAAGAACATAGTCTACATCGTGCTGTCGCAGAATCGGGTAGCTGACCTCCTCTCGAGAGCTCATGGCCTTGCCGACAGTGGCAATGTGGGTGTTGTTCCAGGTGTTGTTGTCGACCAGCGTGGGGCGATCAGCCATGCCACCAATCTGGTAGCCATAATCCCACCAGGACGCAATCTTGGCATTGTCGGGGGTGTTCTGGCGGAGCCAGTAGTAAGCCTCACGGTAGTCATCGATGATGTGCTGGCTTCCATCTGGCAGCTTGCTAGCTAGAACAACGGAGGGGGACGAATATGCGTTCGACGTAACCCAGGTGCAGTGCGCCACGAAAAGGAGCAGGTAAAGAGTGAGAGAGCCAGACACAACTGCCTTTGAGAAGTACGAGTAGATGCCAACGAGGGGGGTCCGAGTGGAACGGAGAGACTTCGATTCCTCAGCGTTGGCCTTAGCCCGGGACTCCGGGTTTGGCTTCTTCAATACCAAAAAGTGGTCAAGGATTCCAGACAGGGCCAATGCGGCTGAAACACAGACGATGGGGGTCAAAGTCAGCATCAGACGAACCATAACGCCGGCAAAGTAGCTGGAGAGCACGGCGTAGATAATCACGAAAACATGCTCATCTCTGAGGTTCTGGAAACACATGAAAACACCGGCCGGGAAGAGCCAGATGAGGAAGTTCAGATCAAAGAAGAAGGCAGGCCAGGCGGTAGGCTGGTGCTCAGAAACCGATGCAATGATTGGAATATGGATCTTGGCGTAGCCAGTATCCCACAGGGAGTAGAAACGGCCGCTCCACGGGGCGACGACTCCAGAGACAGTAAGGAGGACGAGCCCAGCGAATCCAAGACCAAAGGTAAACAGAACCATAGAGGTGAGCAGCTTTTGAAACTGCTTTCCGGGCAGGAAGCCTCGAACAAACTCGGCGAATGCCACCAGCTGAAGTAGCCCGAACACACCCAGGGCGGACATGTGATCACTATTGCGAATGGGCAAGAAGCCCACGAAGGGAATCTGCATGCTGCCCAAAGTTCCTAAGGCATACCACGTGGTGTAGCTGATATAGACGCGGGAGCTATACCGACCCATGCAGAGAAGGACGAAAACATGGAGAGGAATGAGGTTGGTGATAAAAACGTAACCACCCCAGGCCGAGACCATGTATCCGTAAAACAGGGCTGTCAAAGCACCCCACATGATAGAACCATTCTTGACTGCCTTGATCCACAGGAAGAAGGTAAATACTAACAAGAAAATTGCAATGGCCTCGTTATCGTAACTTCCCGCAACGGAACGCGAGATATAACCCGGGGTAATGCCCATGAAAGCCGCAGCGAGAAGACCAGCTGATGGCGAGTGTGACATTTCACAGGTCAGAAGGTACATGGCAAGGGCTGTAAGGCCGGAGAAGCCGGGAGCGAGTAGAACGCAGACGTTTCGGATGTCGACGGGGATAGTGAGGAAGCGAAGGATGTGGTAAATCACACCGCTGGTCACCATGAGACCAGGGTATAGCGTGCCACCAGTGACACGACCAAGGGGGTGCCATGTTCCTATATAGACAAGCAATTTGTATCAGCACCGGCCTGTGATACCATTGAGGCTTGAGTGACGCGCAAGCCTCAAACAGCAGGGTAATGGGATAGCATACGGTCGTCAAACCAGTCCCAGAAACTATAGAAACCATTTTGAACCAAGTACTTTGTTGCTCGAAAGTTGAACCAGGGGTCGACTGTAATTTCGAGAGGTTAGTGCCTTGTCATCCGCAATCTGGCCGATATGCCAAGTTGTATACAGTATGAAGCAGCGACGGGAGGTCATACATTCGTGGATAATACTTTCAAATCCTAGAATAACTGTCAGCATTGAACCACAAAGAACAATTGGGCTACCACATACGGATGACACTGAAGAGTCGACTAGCCACAGCTGCTGCTGCAATCGTGACTAGGATGAGGATTCGTAATAAACCGCGCGTGTTCCTGGCGGAGCTGCCTTTGAGCAGGACATCAAGAGAAGATTGGGCCATAATGGCCGGGAATGAGGAGCAAAGTCCAAAAATCAAAAGAGGTAACACATGAAAACAAGAAGCGAACGGGGCAGAATTGCCAATGAACGGTGGCCTGTTGATGGATGGAGGAGGGAGAGCTGCGCAAGGTGGTCACTTCTGAGGTCTTGGCATCGGCGAGCGGCGCCACCTCCGACTGCTCCCCGCAATCGTCGATTTAATCACCACAGGCTTTGCAAGCCTTTTTTTCCCTTTGTGAACTGTGAGATTTGATCAAGTCTAGGAGCAAGAAATCCTGATCGGTCTATTTGACCCACGACTCGTCCTAAAATGGAGCTTCCTCCCTTCTCCATCGACCAGCTCGCAAAGCTGACCGAGTCCAATGTGCCACCATCACAACTCTTTGAGATCCTCTCACAATACGAGACCGATGCGTCTCTTATGTCGGCAGGCTCAGGTAGCCAAGAAACAGGCGGGGGTGACTCAGAGCTACTAAGCCTTTTCTACTCCTGTTTCTTTTTCGCCCATCTTCTTACAAACCAACTGTCAGTATGCCCTCAATGATGCTCAAAAGGGATAGGCACTTATAAAACGCTCGATTATACAGACCCGAAGCTCGAGCATTGACACAGCGTATGCCAGAGAATTTGCGACACCAAGATCCGTCTCTCCAGAACTGCTTGACCCTACTACGAGCACTTTGGCAAACCCAACATGCCCAAGTATACCGGATTCTTAGGGGACTTCCTTGGCCAGATACACTCCAGCCTTTGGTGCGGAGATATGAGAGTATGAATTTTACAGCTCGTATGATGCTATCGCAACGAAAAACTAATGTTGGTTCTGTAGGCTTTTTCCAAGATCAGACCTTGATATCCGTCAGCACATCTTACGAAGCGATACGGCCCGCTACCGCCGCGAACTATTTAGGTCTTGATCCCCAGGCTGCAGAACGGGGCGATCAGGATATCATAGAGAAGTTCACGAGATGCGGGTGGACTTGGGACCCAAAAACGAAGCTATTATATCCATTTCCGATCGCCATACCGTCCACCGATAAGCAATCTTCAAACAGTATTCGCGAGACAATGGCGATGCTTGGAACCCGCGGGAGTTAAAGGAGCTAAGGACTGCTATCCATAATTACAATTTGATGAAACTGGACCTCGATACGCCATGGGATGACGTGTCTACACACTCCCTATTCAGGGAGTCCAGTACAAAGGCGATACGCCAGAATCAACACTTAGCCAATTTAGACACAGGCTAGTGATAATGCCGGAATGCATAACACGATCTTTTTGCTCTTTCTTGTGGTCCAACTGTAGTATACAGTCGCACGGCAGCCCAGGGTATGTACAGGACCCAAATGATAACGTCTAAAACGATAAGTAAAGGAAACGAATCAAAAAGAAATCATTGCATCTTCGCTCGGCAATGTTGCAACCCGAGGGCAAATAAGACCCAAACAATCGTACAGTAAATGGACCCGAGCAATCACTTCTAATACCCTGGGGGAGGTGCGAGTTCGCAAAGAGATGCGTATCCATTCCTCCTCTATTTCGTCTTTCATCACCCATTTACGGGTTCTCCTTAGCCTTGGCCAGCAAGAATGCCTCCAGATCGAATTTGGGGTGCTCGAAATCAGTGATCACTGTTGGAGGGATAACGATTAGCGATGCGCACGAGGATGAACAATTTCGGTCTCATTGGATGCCAATGTGTCGAATTCGTCCAGAAAAAAAAGGGAATGCGTAACATACCACCGCTAGATTGTGTTTGGGTCTCCTGGGGCTGGGTCTTCTTCTTCCACTCGGCCTTAGCCTGCTCGATCAACTTCTCCTTGCGGGCATATTCGTGCTCGACCTGCGTGCGCTTCGTCGCGGCGGTGATGGAGGATTGGTGGTAGACACCGTAGACAAGACCGGCCACGAGAGCCGAGTAGCGGAAGACCTGAAGATATCAATGGAAGGTTAACATCCGATCTCGCATGGGGTGGTGGTTCGCTGCCGGGGCACACTCACGTTGACACCCTGAGAAGCCATTTCTGTAAGGTCTCCGGAAGACAGGAATATGACGATAAAACAACGAGCGAGAAATCCGAAGGACCGTTCAACAGAAGTCAACCGTCAATGGCAATGAATCTTCGGGTTGGGCAGGGCGAGGTTCAAGTCCCTGTTCTGCGCGAGTTTTTCCGGCGCCGTTCGGACCTGGCGCTTATGTCATCCCGGTAAATAAACCGCAATCAACGCAACTACAGCTACATCTCAAGTCGGGTTCCATGAGTTCAGGATGTCGTCGTCCATGCAGCAGCGCAAAAATGAGATTCTTGCTAAAAGGGCTAAGCTCGCTGAACTGAAAAAACAACGCGAACTTCGCCAGAAGGAATTTACCAACACGCGAAACAGTGTCGGAGATGCTTCAGAGGTAACACTTCGTTCGGACTGGAACTTATGAAGCTTGGTTGGAGTCTAACATTTTCAAATAGGTCGCTTCGCCGGTTCCCAGTCGCTCTGATAGTAGGGCCGAACTCGACGATTTAATCTCTCGCTTGGTCGATCGTCCAGGGTCAGCATCTATCAGTCATGGGGCTGACGGCCAGTCGCGCAAGGGCAGCCGCCCAAACTCCATACTGAGCGCGAGTCAATTGAGCGGAGAGAACGCTGAGACCTACGCTCCTTCATCCCGACCACAATCTCAATCTATTGCCGTGCAGACAGTCCAGACAGCTGGAGAGGAGCCTTACACCACCTCATCCGCAACGGAAGCCCCACCGGCCCCTGAACCTAAACGAGAAGTTGTCACATACAGCAAGGCAGTACAAACGGATGGGCTGGAACAGCAGACCGAATCAGTAGACGGGTCTGTTGCTTCAGATACTGAGGATCTGGCCGGTGCTACACATTCAACTAAACGCCTCAGCCGACGGGACCGAGAGCACGACGATGAAATTCGACAAAGACTCCGCAAGGAAATCGAAGAGGAATTGCAAGCGACTAATCAAGAGGGAAACAATTCAGCCACTGTTCAGTCTACACAATTGCGATACCCTCTTCGAACGCTGGACGATGATGAGCTGAAGGCCGTCACCTCGTCGGACGAATTCTTGGACTTTGTGGAACGGTCTTCAAAGGTTATTGAGCGGGCATTGGACGAGGATTACGATGTTCTAGCGAACTATGAGCTAGGTGTGGAAGGGGAGTTGGAAGACGACGAAGAGAGCGGTAAGAAGAGAAGGGGTATACGGGAGGTCTGTCAATTCTGGGACGAAAGATGGAGCAAGAAGCGAATGATCAGTGACCTGAGCTTCTCGCCCAAGGTAAGCAAATCCTCTTTATCTGATGCGTTACCTTCAATTTGTTCTTTCGATGCTGACTCGTTTGAAGTTCCCGGAATTGGTACTCGCAGCCTACACCAAGAATCCTTCTGCTCCTCATGAACCAGATGGGTTGGTCCAAGTCTGGAATCAGCATCTGCAGTCTCGGCCAGAATACGTTTTCCACTCAACATCCGATATCACTGCAGCCAAATTTTCTCCTTTCCATCCTAATCTTATTGTTGGAGGCTCCTATTCTGGACAAGTCCTCCTCTGGGATACTCGTTCCTCGCGGGCGGGCGGAGGAGCCCCAGTGCAGAAGACCCCCTGACCGGCTCTGGCCACACCCACCCGGTTTACAGTATTCAAATTACCGGCACCCAGAATGCCCACAATATTCTGACTGTTTCCACCGACGGTGTCGTATGTGGCTGGACAGTTGACATGCTATCTCAGCCGCAAGAATACCTCGAGCTCACCACACCGCTTCCATCGAAGACAGAGGACCTTGCACCAACGACTATGGCGTTCCCACAATCAGATCCGACTTTCTTCATTGTCGGCACCGAGGAAGGCGTCATCTATCCATGCCACCGCTATGACCGAGCGGGCGCCAAGGCTGGCACCGACCACCGCCTGGCGTACCGTGGCCACAGCGCCCCGATCATGTCCACGGCATTCCATCCTGCACGCGGCCCGGTCGACCTTGGTGACCTGCTGCTGAGCTCCAGCCTGGACTGGACTGTCAAAGTCTGGCGTGTGCGGCCGCCAGCCACAACCGCTGCTCTTGGATCTAGTACCTCTTCTCGCCAGACCATCCAACCTATCCTGGATATTCCCCGCGAAGATGTCGTCTATGATGCCCGTTGGTCCCCACACCGCCCTGGGGTTTTCTCTTGCGTTGACGGTGCTGGCAACGTTGAAGTGTGGGATCTTTATACAGACACCGAGGTCCCGATTGTTCGCACTACTCCCTCTCGCGGAGCTGGCGGCGCATTGTCTCGCAGTCTCAACAAGGTTGCATGGGAGGAACGGGAAGGCCGGCGTCTGGCTACGGGTGGCATTAACGGGGTTGTCACAGTCTTCGAAGTCGGTAAGGGCCTTGGTGGTTCTGCTGAAGAAGTACCCGCCGAGGAGTGGCAGGGCATGAAGCGGTTGATCAGCAAGCTGGAGCAGAAGGATCGGGCGGCTTGATCGGTTGATGGTATTTCCTACATTGCACCCCATACTCTCTCCCTACGGCGTCTGCTTGTCTCCGTGTTGTGCACACCCTTTCGCGCTCATGTCTTGGCCCCCCTCCATTTTGCTTACCATATACCCCGTTTCTCTTCAACCACATACGTTAGGCATCTTGTATCTAGTATCTATTCTATCAACCATGTCGCTACCTTGGTGTCTTCTCAGTGAAGAGCCTTACTCTAAGAAAAGCTCTCGGCCAATATGTACGATTAGAACCCTGTATCTTATGAATGACCTGCTAGTATGTATCGTATAGAAAGCATTGCACTTGTCTCTACTTAGGCGTAGCGTCCGTGTTGTGAGCCTGGCCAATACTATGTGCATGATTACGATAACCGACATGCTAGACACTTGATAATTGGCTTTTGAGAACATCTTCCAGGAGATCCAGGGAGCTTTGACTCTGCCCTAAGCCACGCCCCTCCACCCCCGGCTCAGAGAAAATTGTATATATACATTACACCAGTTCCACAAACATGACATCTCACCAACTTGCCGCTTTTGCCCAAAGAACATTCCTGAAGATGAACTTGGAAGCGATGGCCTCTTGAGACGCGCTCAAAGGCAAACTCCAAGAAGAGGGTATACGACGAAAAAAATGAACAGCAATTGAGCTGACCAGGTATTCCCACAAGAAGAAGATTCTTTGCTATAATTGATACATTGGAATTTAAAAGCAAGGGGTCCGAAGCTTTTGGAATCGGAAAGCCTGGACTATCACAGAACGGGAGACATGGCTAGATTTCGGCTGGCTAGCATTGCAAGGTAAGTGGCCCTCTAGTCTGACAGGCCAAGCGGGTGGCAAGAGACAGGGATCGATAGCCAATTCCTTTTATGCCCCTTTTTTCTCTTTGACGGATAGTTCCCGGGCATGGCGGAAGTACAAAGTGACCACTTTTTGTTCCAACGCCAGAACGAACGATGGAAGAAGGACCCTCATCCAGAGTTATTGTCATGAAATTTGAATGTGTTCACTGTGTCTCAGTCCCTCCCCTTTCAGAAGAAAATATATGAAATTGCTGTTTATCTTGGTCTTCTCCATCATGTTTCTATTCCCTCAAACACCTTGGATAATCGTCAATTTCGACGTCTTTTAACACCTAGAACACTCCATAGTCACCATCAACAGGAGAAATGGACTTGAAAAAAGCAAAATGCGAGTCTACGAACAGGTCGATTTGGTTTTTGAAACCGCTCAATCGGCTCAAATGAGTCATCGTGCGCGTCTTGTCAAAAAACCAGGTCTCAAGAAACTAGGCCAGGCTGTCCGATCGATTCGTCAAATTGCGAGCGAGATTGTTGTTGGGGCTGGCAAGGTCCTTCTTGCTATTATACTATTAACTTCTTACCTTATTATCGACATTGGAGAGTCGTTGTTGAAATTAAGAGGTGCCTCGTTGAAGATAATTGCGGGAGCTCCGACTTTGCCTTCCTTTTGACTCTTCTTGCTAAGTAACTTGGTCTCCAATTGATAGATCACCTCGCAGATTGATGAGATCTTTGAGAATACATCTCTTTTCTCCTCTCCTTCCCCTGCATTTGCTTTAGGTCGACAAAGTCTTTAATGGAGGATCACTCTACCCGTATCTAGTAATTTATGTTCAAAATAACCCCGAAATATGGATATAAATGTATAGTGGCGACCGCTATCGCCTTCCATATAAGGCGACACAGAAAAAGTTATTTCAAGCCCTAGTCACCCGAGTCACCATACCAGATCATGGTTAGTACCGTATTTGAGAATCCGTTCCAAGCTGAGTTGTGAAATGCCAAAGGAGGATATATCACGATAAGTAAAAAACTCGAGTATTTTATGGCCAGTGAAATAATGTGTCGGATAAATAGTTTGTTATCTACTACATACCATTGCCAACGATTTGGATCTGGGATTTTGGGGCAGTCTCAACATCAAGATCAACCCATCTAACGACTTGATGGATCCTTTCTATTGCACACCGGACGAGGATTCTTTAGCGTGCTGTACCCCTACTGACGATCCAAAATCGACAGGATATAGCGATTTCGCACTCCGTAATGGAGGGTGGTGTTTTGGGGAGTGCGTGACGTCATCTGCGACTATTGATAGTGTGATATATTCGGGAAAAAGATCGGACTTATGGGTAGAATAAAGAGGAGTCATTGCGTTGAGGTACAATGCCGATTGGTGGTTCATCGCCCAGGGGTCATGAAGTCGGGATCCCAAGGTATGTGGTATCTCCCTGGTCAATGCCGTACAAGGATAGCGAATCTAATAAGAAGCGCCACGGAAAAGACCGGTTTAAAAGCCCACCTATTCGGGTTTGCTTCGAAAGTGCCTGATAATTTGCGCCAAAGCTTACGCTTCCCGGCTTCTTATGTAAGTGTAAGCTCGCAAAACCTGTGAAAAAGTCGCAAGGCACCGAAATATTCTTCAGCTCACTACCCACCAGACGAAACACGCGGTAAGGATTAATTAGTGTTGGGGGGGGGGGGGGGGGGGGGGGGTGCATTTTCGTTTCCCTAACAGGCCTTACGAGCGGAGCCGCTAATTCGGCCAATGCAATGTAGTTCAGCCGGCCAAAGACAAGCACTTTGGGGCATAACCGTCACATAGAACCTATGATCGATGGCGTAGGGATTTTTCTGAGGGGCCCCACATAGATCAGCCTTGTAGGGCTGAACAATGAGAAGAGGGGTTCGGGTCATTTCTCTGATGGATCGCTGTACAGGAACGGTATTACTTTGGCTCCACTGGCAAGTCTAGTAATAAGACTAGTTTCCATAGGGTGACGAGTCATAGGTAGATAGCCGTGTGGTTGGCCTGTCGGCCCGTCAGCCCTGGCCTACAATCGCTCGCCTTCAAGTTGCTGCCTACCGTAGCTTTGTCTGATTGTCGTTGGGATCGGGAGAAATCCGCGGTCTTGCTTTGCAGGTAATGCATCGATTGAAGGTTGCAGCAGCATGGATTATGATAGACAAATCAATTTATCAATGGCAGATAGAAGAGTTTTCGATTGCTCGGGACAGTTAAATCTGTTCGTTTTACCTCGAACATCACGTAGATAGATTGGCGTTGCCGCCCACCCGGGTCCCTTCGGTAAACCGGCACTGGCGGTATTCCCGCGGATGGGCTTCGCTGCACAGATAAATTTCTCTCTCTCAATTGTCTCCCTGTGCATATCGCACATTGTCGTTACGATGCCAGTCCAAGGGCTCGATTGCGAGAATCCGGCTCTCCATGGTCCCGACGAATTCTCTAGTACGGGACAAAGCACGACACAAGATTGGGCCAGGAAGAATAGCTGGTCACGAAGATGGATGGAAACAGTCGACGCCACCTATGCCGATTGGGTATGCTTTGTTTTATGTTTCAATACAGGCCTTTGCGATAGCTGTGCATTTAACTCTTGGTCTTGCTTCCTTGCTATGCAAACCGGTTCGTCATTTCTCAGCCAGCTTATCATAAAGATCATAAACTGACTGAAAAGACAGGAAATACAATCGTACTTGGGCTGGGAGCATCTCATCAGCCGAACGGCACACCAAATGCGTGGATTCGTTCGCTCGTCTCCATTGCCTCATTTATCATCGGCGCTGTCTTCTTTGCCCGTTTGACTCATTACTTGGGGCCCCGCCGGCGTAAGACGCTGGTGACATCTTTTGCATTGCAAACCATCCTCATAGTTGTCGCTACAATTCTCATCCAAACGGGAGTGGTTCAGAAACAGGTGGAAGAGGTTTTCATCTTTAAAAATCAGAATTTAGCTTTGATTCCCATCGCACTGCTAGCCTTTCAGTCAGCAGGTACCATCAACTCTACTCGGGTCCTGGGCTTCAATGAGATTCCTGGTGTGGTTCTGACGAGCGTCTACTATGATCTCGCATCAGATGGACTCTTCTTCGAAAGCTTCGGTGCAAATCGCAAGCGGAACCGTCGTCTTGTTGGAGCTGTGATGCTTCTAACTGGAGCGATCTGCGGCGGGTGGTTGAGCCGATCCGCAGGGGGTATGGCGCTGTCCCTCTGGCTTGCTGCATTTTTGAAATTCATGGCCGGACTCGGATGGGTCTTTTGGTCGCCGGAGGTTTCATGATATGGACTCTCAAGGCCTGCCAAAGTTTGATAGCGGAGGGTATAAGCCTTAACAATGAGCCCGAGTAGCTCCATTTAATCCATCAATAATGCAGCGGGGTATGGGAATATTGTGATCCAGACCCTCAATAAGTCAGATGGCACGGAACGTCTCTTCAAAGCAGAGAAAAAGCTAGTTCGCCAGTGTGAGCGACTCTCTATTCGTGACATCTATCATGATCAAATTCGATCGTAACTATTATCATAAGAAGATACCTCTACTTGTTTCTTCACATCTCGTCATTGTATGACAAGTTATCTTAGTAGCTAGAATTCATTACTTCCGACACCAAATTGGGGGCATTTCCTTCGCAACCAATTTTCGTGACAGTCTGTCGTCTTACCCTGAAATAGCTCTTTCTATATCTTCTCCGGTTACTCAGTTCAAATGGAGCCTCACGTTTCCAGCGTAATTTGGAGTGCATCATCAAATTGCTCACTGGGTAGTATCAGGCTCAATGTCCACGACGGGGCTCTCAAGGGCAAGGGAGAGATCCATGAGACAATCGATATAGATTGCAACGTCGTCCAAAATCTCGTCCAAATCATACCGCAAAGATTCACAATCCGACAGACTCTCAATTTCAGCTAGAGTCTTAGGCGCTCCCCCGATGGGAGCTGCCTTCTCCAGGAGCCCTTGAAGATGTTGAGCCGTATCTGAATGGGCCAGATTGGCCAAGACAGTCTCGGCAGGGCCAATCGGTTCTTTTGATTGGCTCGTCCTATCAACAGCTTGGAGTAGATTCTCTTTGATGACTTTGCCAAGCTCGTAGAGCGTACAGAGAACAGTCTGATAAAGGTCAGACGATTTGGAAAGGACTTCATCGAATTCGTCATCCGGGAGGGAGAAGGCCTCTCCCCAGAGGAAAAGACGCTCTAGCTCGCTACGTAGACGTCGCGAATAGGTGGTGTGTGCCTTCCGTTGGGCAACCGTAAGAAGCAGACTCAAAATTGCATTGTACAAGTTGCTCGATAGACCAGGTGAGGGAATTTCGGGTGGTTCAGGCAGCCAGGCTTTAGTATCTGACGCCCCTGCTGTTGGCATTTGATCGAATTTGCCCTCTTTGTCAATACTCTCTTTGGAAGTGCTTTCGATTTTGTATGGTCCTTTGTCGCTCTTTTTATTTTCATCGAACGGGATCATGTCACTTAACCGCGTGTTTGGCGCCTTCCTAAGGCGATTTTGTAGAGTAGTCGAGTCCAGGGGCTGCAATAGCTCAAAACTGCAAGTTAAATCAATCGATATCGACATGACGGCGCCCCAATTATCATATTCACCGCAATAGTTAGGCGCGGAGAACACCGTCACCAACAGCCGGTCCTCATAAAATTCATAGCCGTCCTCAACCACCATGTGCGCACGGCATATCAAGTCGAAATCATGGCGCTGCAAAAATTCCATTATCGCCTTCTTACCGAATAAACAACTCACATCCCGGTCTTTCGGTTTCCAATCCTCTTCTATATAAGCAGGATCACTCCATAAGAGGTCGTTTAATAGACCGTAATCGGGAATATTGGTAGGACGAGCAATGCCTCGAATATCATCCATGTTTGAAAGCCTAGGAGAAAGCCCGCTGTGAACGCAGAAAACTTTTTCAGCGACAATAGCAGCGATCGGAAGGCAGTTAAAGGTATCGATAAACGTCTTCCAGATCTTTACGTTGCAGCGGCGCTTACACTCGTCATAGAACCCAAATACCCGTGAGACATTAGCACACTCATGGTTGCCTCGGAGTAGGAAAAAGTTCTCGGGGTACTTAAGCTTATAACACAACAATAGAAGAATGGTCTCCAGGCTCTGCGTCCCCCGGTTGACATAGCCCCCGAGAAAAAGATAATTTGAGGTCGGTGGGAACCCAGCCATGTCAAACAGTCGAATCAGGTCCGTATACTGTCCGTGGATATCGCCGACAATTTTTACGGGAGGCGATAGATCTACCAGAGCAGGCTGCGAGAGTAGAAGTTCTCGAGACGCCGAGCAGACGGCTCTGATTTCTGCATTGTTTAGACAGACGCCCTTGGTGACTTTGGTGGAATGTCCTGCATTCAGCAGCCGCGAGATCATATCATCCAGATCAATGGATTTCAGGGGACTCATACTGGAAGATCCAGAAGATTGCACTGGCGTATTGAGGATGGAATCCAATACCTGGGGGATATCTCTTTTGACCAAAATCGACTCGCCCACTTTCTGAGCGCTCTCACCCGGAACGGTTGCCGCGAGGGCATTTTCAGACACAGAGTCGACTTTGACTCCTTCCAGGAGTCCACTAACATCAAAATAGCCGCGCTTCGACCTGACTGACTTCGTATCATCCCTTTCAATATCGCTGCCCGAATACTTCGAATCGGAGAGTTCAAATCTGGGGCTTCGAGGGCTGTCAGCCCTTTGAGCGCCTAGAATTTTCGAGGCAATTTTCGAGCGAGGGGGTTCTTTCTGGAAGAAAGTCTCCAACGATTCGCCTGCAGCATTCCTGCCCTTGGAAGGCGCATTACCCATACCGCTGAGGCCAAGATGTCGGCTTAGGTATGATAGTGATGATTGCAAAAGAATCGCACGCTCGGTATACTACGCGGAGAAGAACCTTCCCGCTTGAATGTCCTATTCCCTAGCTCTTTAGATTCCGTGCATCAAAGCGGTGTAAAGACAGTCTACAGAAGCCATACTTACAAAGAGTTTTGAGCCGTGGACGAGCTACTACCACCTCGTTCACGCATCGCCTCGAATGGGGTATAGGTGGGGAAGCTTTACAACATGAGGGATGTTACTAACAAGCGACGGGCAGATAGAAACTGACCAGACTTGATCAGGCTGCCACAGGCAGGAAAATTGAAGCTCAGGAGAACAAAAAAGCGAACAAGAAGGATGAGACGAAGTTGCGAGGCCGAATTGTAAAAGGCTTTGCACGTCTGGGTGAGGGTTGTCGCCCTGAGGGCACGAAGCTTGCTGCCAATTCGTGTCAGCTCCAAACCAGGACATCGTGATGCTAACCTTACTTTTTTCTAGGTAGAGACTCTTGCACGATGACCTGTATGAGAATCGAGTTCTATTCATGCAGCGGCTTTGAACTGACGATGAGCGGAAGACGGTAAAAGCTGAAGAGTCCAGAAGATTGTGCAAGCAACTCGCTGGCCATGCACACGTTTGTGAGTGAGATACCTCGAACTCCGTAGGGCACGCCATAGAAAGAGATGTACCCTCGTGGCGTCCATGCTTACCTGGGCAAATAGCTACCCCGCATCGCAGAGCCCCATGCACATCTTACAATGCTTTTGATCAGGGTGCCAGAAGCCCGCCTTTTTTCATGACAGCTAGGAACGGTAGCTTGAGTCCGGATTCATTTACTTTATGCGATGGAGTTCATCGTTGGAACAGTCCTCGCTGGCATCCCTCTTGTTCTTGAGGCTTACGATCGCTACCGGAAACTCTCAGAAGGTTTCGACACCTTCAGGAATCATTCGAGGGAGTTGACTAAATTGGACACGGTGATGAAAACGCAGAAGACTCTTTTTAGAGCAAATGTCATAAAGTTGATTACAGAAATCACAAATGATCCAGAAAAGGCTCGGAATTTGCTCTCTGAAAGCCACAGGGAAAACTTGCAGAAGCTGAAACTCCCCAACGTCAATGACAGTGCTCGCATCGACTCACTTCGAGAGATGTTCAGCACTTGGAATTCTGTACTTGAGCTTGTCCTCCATACAGCCACAGCGATATGTCTTGAGGTGGAAAGTTTTGGGGCAAGCAGTACAGCAAAACGATTTCGGCTTTGTTGGAAGAAAGATGAAGTGCAAACTTCCATCCGAGAGCTTCGCGACTTCACGGCCGACTTCAACGAATTAACGACTCGAATTGTCAAGGAGCTCGAGCAGATCCGAAACACAAGCCTTCACTCCCAGGGAATCATACTGCCGCGGAAAACTAGCCAGATGAGTGGCCTGGAGAGATATCGCCAGATTCAATCCGCGGCGTACGAGCTATATAATGTCTTTGCTCTGCAATGGTCTTGCGCAAGGCATCAAAGGCATGCCGCCAGCATCTCGGTCATTGATGAAAGTACCACCCGGAACTTGGGAAAGGGGGATCGCGGTATCAAATTTGATGTTGCCATCAACTGCAAGGCTGATTTACCAGCAGGTCTAGAGACGCCAATCTGGTTAGAAATCAAGTCTACCGATGGAAGCCACCATGCGAATTCTATGGGCAAGACCGGACACATTGACATTGAGACTGGTAATGTCTGGACTAATGTTATGGAGAAGTTAACGAAGAATTCTCAGCCAATGGTCGTCAGGCACGCTGAAACGGCCCAGAGAAGAGTCATTGCGAAAGCAGTGCCAGTCCAATCCCATGATGTTGGTCTTGCGTCTGGGATGAGCGATTCTAGTATTATTCCTGTCATACAGGGAATAGCAGATGACGACTGGGATGGAGACAGCCTTTCAGCTTCCATTTTAAACAAAACTAATAATCCTCCTTCTTCCGATGCCATGATTGATCTCAAGATGATTAAAAATTTCTGTTGCCATATCCAAGCCCTAGAACCAAAATGTTCGAATACCTATGTCGGCTACATCCAGGATCTCGGTCTTCACCGTTTCTATCTCCCGCCTCCCGAGCGTCGGCCGCCAGAGCAGCAAAAATCCTTGGCAGATATTATCACCTGGGTGTCAGAAAACGAGCTATTTCGCGATCTACCCAGAACAGCAGTCGCCCATATCGCCAGCTCCCTCGCGGCTGCCGTCCTGCAATATCACTCTACACCATGGCTTCCAGATAGCTGGCAGAGCAGTCAGATCCACTTTTTCGGGGTTGGAGAGCTTTCAGAGGGCACTGATGGAATCTCATCCACAACTCCATACTTCAGGGTCGAATTTCCAGAGCCGGACGAAGAAAAAGGTCGGCTCATGACAGCAGTGGCTGCTAGTCAAGCCTTCACGGCTGCTAGCACAACTTCCGCGAGTTCGATTACTACTGCTCATGCTCCTGGCACTACCTCTGTAGCTCTTGCTCGGAATGAGCTCCTCTTTCGTTTTGCCATCGTCCTCCTTGAGTTGGGATATGGTCAGTTATGGCCACAGCTTCGGCAACGGGCTCTTACGACCCTGCCACCGCAAAGGAACACTGATTATCATGCCGCTGAAAAACTTGCCCAGGCGCCATATTTGCGCAATCGTATGGGGCCCAAATTCATAACAATTGTGCGCAAGTGCCTGGGGTGCGACTTTGGGCTAGGGGAGAATGATCTAGCGAATGAACAGCTTCAAGGCTTGTTCCTTGTGGATGTAGTTAGGGAGCTGCAAGCGATAGAAAAAGGCTTAAAAGAATTAGAACAGCATTCAGGAAAGTGATAATCAAGGTACTCCCAAACAGAAATTGCGGAAAAACTTGAACAAAGTATTCTTTATCATATGCTCTAAATATTCAAATTGGCAGAGGGGACTTGACCGCAACTGTTCTGCAACAGCATCGCATGTGCGCTGCTTTCAGAACCGAGTCTCAAGTATGATGTCCAGTAATGCGAGTTGAATATAATATTCATCTCATACAGTTATACTATCATCTTCTCTTTCAGTTATTCATACAGGTATTCTAGCATTATTAGTGTGATGCTTTGTGGTCGTCCAGCTTAGATAGTAATAAATCACCCCAGAGTTAGCCCGAATACTGATGATTGCGCGTTTGCTGCAGCCAGCATCTTCAGCCATCTAGAAGGTGGTTTATTCTCCAATGCTCATCATATCATGGATCATCTGACGCATAGATGTAGGCTTGGTGCCATGAAATATCGTGCCACTAGTTTGGTCTCTTGCTGACGAAATTGGAATAGTAACATTTGGAGATAGAGCAAGCAAGGCACTGTTGAAGCCTGAAGGGTTTACTAATTACTTTAAGAACTATATTATCTCTTCTATATTTTAACCTATAAATATCCTCTCATTTGAACCGACAAATTTAGTGGCAATGGGGGATTAAAAGGATTTTTCATAGAGTTGAGCTTCAAAATTTGCGCAAAGGGTGATATTGTGACTTACTATCCGTCTAACAGTGACATTTTGTTGGCAGAAACGATTGCAGGCCGGCTGTACGGTCTTGAAACTGGTTGCATCTTCCTCTTCACTTAGAGAAACTCTTGGGCGCCACTTCGGCATGTACACTAGTTTGTATTGGGTATAAACCCTGAATAATGATGTTCCTGTATCATGGAATTAATGAAGCATCGATTGGCCTCACGCCGTTCGTCAGATATGATCACGAAACTTGGGAACTTGGGTTTGACTTAGGCGGACGTCCCGAACTTGGCGGAAGAGACGAATAGCCCACAGTAGAGCCTGAGGAGAGATCTTCAAAACATGGCGGGGGGTTCTCCACTTTTGGATATTCGTCGGATCTAAATTTGCGGGGATCAACTAGAAAATATATCCCTTTATCCGAAAACACGACTTTCCGAAACATTCCCAATATCCACTTTCCAATAATTCTACTGTAGTGAGATTAAGTATTTGTAATTATTCTTATACTGTGGGCTGTTACATATTCTAGGGCCAGTGGATGTGGGGTAAGTGGCTGTACCAGCGGGAAGTTTTCCGAGAAGCAGTCACCCCGCCATGAAGGTTTCGCCACGAGCCATATGTCCCTTATATAGGTATGTGGGTGGTAGCACGTCTGCCAGCCTTTGGTATATTCTTCTTTAGATCTGTATTTGATTCAATCCTATTATTGCCTGCATTTTGTGATTATGGAATCCACGGACGTTGAAATACGCTGGCGTCATCTGCCTCCTCCTGAAGAGTCGAAGGCATACCCGGGATTCCGTCCATCGATCACCGTTTTACCAGTGGGCCATAAACGAAGGAAAAACTCTCGTTCCCTTCATGAGCCTATGATTTTTGAGCGAGATCAAACTCTTCGTCTTCGTGACGGAACCAAAATATACGCCGATATATATCGCCCCGTTAGTGAGAATGTTGTACCGGCTATCATGGTTTGGGGCCCATATGGAAAATCGGGCAGTGGTGGGTTTGAGAATGGGTTTATGGCAAAACTCTCCCTGCTGACTTCAAGGCTACAAACAGGACATTTGAACCTAGATTCTTTCCCGCTGCGAGTTGGTGTAGCCGAAAGCCGACTCTCTGGCTATGAGAGTTTTGAGGGGTAAGAAGCTCGGCGTTGCATATTTCAAAGGCTATACTGAAGAATCACTTAGCCCAGACCCTGCTGAATGGGTACCACGAGGCTACGCTATTGTTAACGTGGATGCCAGAGGCGCGATGGACTCAGAAGGATCCATGAGATTCTGGGGCTCCGGCGACGGGAAAGATGGATACGATGCTATCGAGGATATTGCAGGTCAATCATGGTGCAATGGCAAGGTAGCCATGCTAGGAAACTCATGGCTCGCTATATCGCAGTGGTTTATTGCCGCTGAGAGACCGCCACATCTGGCTTGTATTGCTCCCCTTGAAGGTGTCAGTGATCCATTCCGGGAGCAGTTTCGTCGAGGGGGGATTCCCGAGTTGCAATTTTGGAAAGCTTTATCAGGCCTGCTCTGCGGTTCGTATCGATGTTTGCTTTATTTCATTTCGTATATTTCTGATATGAGACAGGCCGCAATGACATGGAAGATATCGTGACCATGGCGGAGGAGTCCATCATCACGAATTCCTACTGGGAGGATAAAAGAGCAAAAATGGATCAAATCGAGGTTCCTGCCTACATTTTGGCCAGCTATTCGACTATGCTTCACACGTTAGGATCTCTCCGAGGATATGAAGAAATTCCTCACAAAAAGAAATGGTAACGAAAATTCCTGCCGTTATGCCATGCCATAGTAGTTCACACTAATCGAGTTCCAGGCTAGTGATCCATGGAACACAGGAATGGTACGACCTGTACTCTCCGGAGAGAATTCAGGAATTGGCTCTTTTTTTTTGACTGTTATACGAAAGCCCCGAATGGGTGGGAGAGTACCCCGCGTGTGCGCGCTACTATACTTCCATTCAACCAACCGGCCTTGATTGACATTCCTTTCGAAGAGCCTTTCTGGCCTCATCGCCAGACTCAGTACAAACGATTATTTTTGAACTCCGAAGGTCGTTTGACAGAGATACAACCTAAAGAGTCAGGTCAATCAGTGTACCAAGCTGATTTTGCGCCAATTTGGCAAAGAGATAAGGATTCAGGTGAAATTCAGTTTTCGTTCACCTTTCCTCGTCGAACAACTATTCTCGGCTCATCGCGTGCTACTCTTTTCGTTGCGACAAAGAACGGGCCAGATATGGATGTCTACGTACATTTAAGAAAGGCAGACCGGACTGGGAAGCTTCTACAGCATGTCAATATACCGCTCAGTGATTTAGGGGTTGCCTCTGCAGAAGAAGTTCCTTTGACTAATCCGATGAAATATTTCGGTCCACATGGCATCTTGAGAGCATCTTATCGAGATGTAGCAGAAGAATTATCGAAACCTCACTGGAAAACGCTCTCGCATAGAAAGCGTCTGCCGGTAAAGGTGGGAGAGGCAATGCGATTAGAGATTGAGATTTGGCCAACAGGTATGCTGTTTGAACCGGGCGAACAACTGGTCATGAAGATATCGGGCCACTTCATGGGCCCCGCCGAGTTTGAAGCCCTTCAGGGATCGTTTCCTGTTCGTAACGAAGGGGAGCACTCTGTTTCGTGGGGAGGAGCATCTGCGAGCTATCTCGAGATTCCGACCGTGAAGATTACGGACGACTTTTGAACCTCTGCGTGATACTATCGTGTACTATGGTATAAGCGATGATCTATCTGTCTTTGGAAGCCCTTACAAGGGTGGCTCTATTGGATTGGAAGTTTTCGATTGAACGCTGCCAGCAAGCGTTGAAGCTGTTCAAAAGATGCTATATAGCTTGCTCAACATCCTACTATGGGCGCTGAGCCCACTAGTAAGCGCGTGTTCCGGTGTTCTGGTAAATACGTTAGTTCCGTTAATTATGATTATCTAATATTTCCAGGTTCGCGCACTAAATTCCTGGGTACGGAGACCCGCTCCCGGATTGCTCCGGATCGCTCAGGGCGGCGGGATGTCTAACCCATCGGGTGTGTTCCGGGGGCCGATCGTTTCCTGAGGTAGTAGCTTTACCGTCACCAATATTGCGTTCTAAATTTCTGTCTGGCTCTTAAGAGGCATGGAGTCTAGGCTTTAGCCCCCGGCGGCCTCCAAGTGAGAATCCTAAATCTAGGCCCCTTCCTGAGTGTATTGATCCCCTTCCTCCCCCATACACCAAGTTCCTCTGTCCCACCCAATTTCAAACAGGTTCCAACTTATTGAGAAACACATGCAAAGATTTGGACCCTCCTCTACCCAAAGCATCCTTTACACAAAGTTAGCCGCTGCATAAAACGACCAGGTAATTCTATGCATGACGAAGGTCGGGACCGCCCACGAGGCTCGAGAACCAGATGACAGGAAGCTTAATGCTGCACGCGACGAAACTCTGTTCCTCGCCTCACTACCTGACTTGGAATGTCAGTCCGATTGAAGGAGGCATGAACTAGAACCAGAGCTTGATATGGCCATGCATAAAACCAGGTTGCCGGGTCAATGTGGGCAGCCGATCCGACATGGCCGGTTCGCCGAGCCCCTCGGGAAGTGTCCATACATTCTCCATCGGAACCACCTTATGAGGCTATGTCCTTGTCAAGAGCCGAGATTAGTCTCTGATACTAGAATTTGGGGGGTCAGAGGCCGTGATTTTGTAATACATAGTCTGGGCGAGATGAGGCCTTGGTGAAATAAGGTTATCGCAAATGATCAGCTTTATCGTCGGTCAAGATTTACCTCCATGGGGAATTCTCGGGGGATTGAGAGATCGAGAAATCGAGAGAAACGCCGAGCACCAAAGAATTAGCACCCTTGGGGAAGAGAGGCAAAAACGTCAATGGAAAGAACCCGGGAAGGAAAAGTGGACAGTGGAAGCCTTCTAGAAAAGGATTTCCTAATCCGGCGATGATGTCAAGAGCATCCCAAACACTTCTTTCTCAGTTCCTCGTCGGTATATCCTGTTCAAAGTTAGAACATGTCCAAAGGGATCGGTAAATAGCTATCCCGGACGCCAGCCATCTTGCAACTCTATTTCATTCTGTCCAGTTTCTTCTTGAAAGTCTCAACCCCCCGGCGCAAATCAGACTGGCGCGGTATGTCATTGACCCAATGACCGCAAAACTGGGCCAACCTTGTTAAATCCCCGTCCAATCGGCGGAATCGAGCTTATAGATCCAATTTCCTACAATAGTGATTCCAGACCCTTCGGGCATCCATGACTTGCATTTGGTTCCCACCTCCAAGATCAACCCGTGGATGCGTAATGTCCTTCAACCAGGGATTTCCTCCCAATCCATGTACGCTCTCAGCCTCTCGGAGCCTTCCGATGATAATTATGCACCCACCAGAGTACACCCAAAACGGACCCTCCCCGAAGCGCGGCAAAATGGTCTCCCTCACCCCGGAATGAGAGAAAATCGGGGAACACGTCCGCGGAGCTTCGAGCATAACTATCTCGCAACCATGGTGAAGCTTTCTGAGCCCTGTGAGCCGCGCGACAGGATCCAGATAGACTTTCGCTGGAGCTGAATCATCGGAGAAATGCCCCATTTTCAAGAGGCCGGAATTTGGGACGCATCATAGTTGAAATAGCACCCATTCTGCTCTCTCTCGCCTCTGCTCGTGGCAATTCAGGCCTCTCTCATTTCTTGTCTTCTGATTGTATTGTGAGCATTGCTCCGATGAAGAGGTCGGCTTGGCCGTCAATGACCTTCCACGTTGACGTAACATGGATGGCGTCTTAGTGGACGGCAGTTCACCGTCATCCAATGGCGGCAATGCCTTAGTTGGCGTAAGTGTCGCGCTGTCGGTGATGCAAATCGTTTTCGTGGCAGCACGCTTTTATACGCGCTACATGCAGCGGACCAAATGTGGCGCTGACGACTATGTTATGCTTGTGGCCTTGGTATGTAGCACGTCTGTACCTCCGGAATAATTGATAAAGATATTGATACTTCGTGATTAGTTTGGAAGTCTGAGCAAAGCGGTCATTTACATCGTCTGTGAGTATACCAAGTCCCATATACACAACTCATATAGATTCTAACAACATCCAGTGGTCGAAATCGCCGGGCTCGGATACCATATCGACGAAATCTCTCATCCTAAAGAGAAAGTTGCCCTCATCCGAAAGGTACCACCATCGAGAACCACCCTGCAAGTATATCATCACTAACCCATTCATCCACCCTCAAGGGATTCATCGTTCTTGAAATTCTCGACTTCCCCCTCACCATTACCCCCGCCAAGATCTCGCTTCTCCTATTCTACCTGCGCATCTTTTACACGCGCAAATTCAAAGTCCTGGCCTACCTGGTCGGATCCCTGGTCCTTGCAATCGGCATCACGGTCCTGTTTGAGTCTATCTTCCAGTGCTCTCCCATCGGCTATGGCTGGAACAAAAGTATCACACATGGCTCGTGCATTGACCAGACTGTCTTCTACCAATATATCTCGCCCTTCAATGTACTGACCGGTTTCCTGATCTTGGCCATGCCCTTGCCGCTGGTGTGGCGGCTCCATGCACCCAAGATGCAACGGTTGGCCATAATAGGCGTTTTTATGCTAGGGGGGTTGTAAGTGTTCTCTGAGTCACTGGAGGCTCGTTCCGCAGCTTATTATTCTGGCAGGGGAACAGTCGCAAGCATTCTGCGGATGGTGATCTACTTTATGCACATAAAGACACGGCTTAACGACGTGACATGTACATTGGTCCCCCCCTCCACCCCCCTCCCCAATTCAAAAACCATCGGCAGATAGCATATCCCTGAAGTGGACGCTAACAGCCTCCCAGATTTCTCCGTCAAACTCGGCATCTTGACTGTTGTCGAAGGAGCGGTCCTCATCATCGCCTCCTGCCTAGTCACCATCTGGCCACTGGTCTCTCGGCTCTGCCCCAATCGCCTCCTCCGCGCCCTCTGCTGCCACACTTCCCGCGTGCGCGAGCATCAGTGCTGGTATATGACAACCCGCGAACAAACAAAAACCGAGAGCGCGCTTGCGCCCGGACAGAACATTCGGCGCATGGGAGAAGGCATATCCTGGTTTGATAGCGTGTCCTCGTTGCGGGATATCGAGCAGCAGCGGTGTTATCCCTCGGCCGAGAGAGATGAAATTCTCGTTTGTGAGAGGACGGCTTACATATAATTCAAATCAAAAATATAATGAATAATAGATATAACATTTATATTAACATGCTCATGGCTGGTCTGTGCAGGGTCTGGTTCTCATAACTTCTTTTGCTTGAGTGGAGTGATTCGTTCTATGTGATCGTGATATACTTTCGTCGTAATTCGTGGCCGGGATGGGGTAAGATCATGCACGCTTCGTGAACTAGAGTCGGAGGGAGAAGGATGAATTTCTGACTTATTTAATAGGTGTACCGGAAACCAGGCTGTTTAGTTAATTTGGTTAGCCTTGCAACTCAAGATTTTGCAACATGCATTCCTCCCTCTCTTGCTCGTCGGGAAAACTTACCACGCCCTCAATCACTTTCAAGCCTCGCCTCTGCTGCCGATTGGCAATGTAAAAATAGAGCGTGAAAGCGCCCACAACAGTAATCAGAAGGATGTGAGAACTAACACCACCATCATCAGTATCCTTAACTCCGGTTCTGATGATCAATCAGAAGATGCCGACTCACCCAACAGACACCCAAACGGCGGTTTGGTACTCTGGCGCCTCTTGGGAGCGGACGATGTAACTCCCGGCAACACCACCAAGCCCATTGCATGCCGTCACGGCGGCAGATGTGACAGCGCGCTTCCACTGGCCCGTGACATTGTTGGCTTGAAACGCGTTCAGAGCAGCCCAGTTCGAAATGTAGGCCCCTGTCGCCAGGAACGTCCCCACATAGCGCACCGTCACTTGCGTGGAGGCAGGGAGACCGAACATGAGAAAGCCGGCGATGATACACAGCGCGTTGAACGTGATCAGGGGCCCGCGCATGCGGTAATAATCACCGATTAGAGAGGTAAGCAGCACGGGGATTACGGCGTAGTAATATGGCTGGAGAAAGTCAGTCTTCAATATCTATCGAGAGGAAAATACCGCGAGGAATTCCACCAGGGTGAGTTTACTTACGGGAGTGGAAAGGAGAATGGAGTCATTCGACGAGAAGCCCATTCCGGACTGCAAAATGATCGGCAGGAAATAAGACAGCGCCGTCGACACCAAATTCAGCAAAAAGAACATGCATGCAAACCCGTAGATCTTGAGATCCAGGAAATTGCTGAGCACACGGGGCCACGAGAATGGCTCCGGAACCAAATCCGCGCGGTCGTCCTGGATGCGCCGCGCAGCCACGCGCGCTTCCCGCTCGGTGAGAAAGCAAAAGCTGCGATGCGAGTGTTCGGGGAAATCTACCATCCACCAATACGTGGCGATGCCCAGGACGCAGCTTATCAGGCCCTGGACCAGATACATCCAGCGCCAGCCGGCCAGGCCGGCGCGGCCGTCCAAGTGGTTGAGACCGAAATTGACCAAGGTGCCTGTGGCGAGAATGGTCACCTCACCCGATTGAAGGAACGCGAATCGAAGCTGCTGCTCTCGCCGGGGGTACCATGCGCTGATGAGATAGGTCAGGCCCGGGTAGATGCCGGACATGGCGATGCCGAGCAGCACACGCAGGGCGATCATCTGGCGCCAGGTGTGAATGAACGCGGTGCAGAGGGTCAGCAGGCCGAAGACGAAGGTGATCATTGCGAACCAGAGGCGTGGACCAACTAATCGCACGGCAATGGTGCAAGGCAATTGGAAGACGACGCTGGCGATGGTGAATATGAAGATGGACACCGAGTACCTATTGCCCTGGTCCAGATCAAGATCGGAGAGCATGCGGGTGACGGCCGCTGATGAGAGAATGCCCGAATCTAACAAATTGAGGCTGCAAAGCAGGCCGGCGATGGAGCAGAGGCGCAGGTCGACTTTCCATCGGACCCTTTTTTCGAGAGCGGCCCACTCACCGGGGTCGCGCTCTTCTTCGAGAGGAACCCGATCGTCGGAGGTAACAATGGCAGTGGTCTGTTCGGTCTTGTCTGGCATTTCGGTCTGAATTCCTGACTGATTGGCCACAGTCCTGTTTGTCGACATGGTCGCGAATGGTGTTTTCTTCTCGTCTGAAAACATGTCAACAAGCGTGATTGGAGGTCTGCGACCTCGGTTCAGTTCACGGCTTCACCAATGCAAGGATAGAGAGCGCCTAGGAACAGGCGGACTGGATTTGGGAGCACTGGTGTGATTGTGTGCAGGCGTGAAAAGAGAGATGCGAAAGAGAAGAGGTGCAGGCCTAGATCGAAAGGATTGGAAATCGGCCGAAGCACCGGCATTCTCGTTCGGTCCGGTCGCGTCGGCATCGGAGAAGATGGGGACTGTTGCAGCTGATTGACGAGAGGTCGTGCCTGGATTTTGCTTGCTCTCCGATGATTGACCATGTATAGCGTGGACCAGTGTAGTTCTATCGTTTTGATAGTTCTTCAGAGGGGGCCACAAGCCTATTCGGCATCCCGTTGATCTTGACGAGGATTTGATCCGCATTGGGGAGCAAATGGGGGGTTACAATGTAGAGGATGTATAAAACACCTAAAACGCAGTAGGCCGTCGGATGTCTACCTCTTCTCGGTCAATCATAATACTCATAAATGAAATCAACGATATCTATCACATACCTGGCACAACCACCAGTAAAGATCTGGATGATTTATGATTTACTCGGGCGGGATCTCCATCGGCTGTTTCCATCCCCACTTTGGTTCCCTTTGGTCCGCGTAACGTGGAATTGCAACCAAACACCCAAACACGCTACTTCAACCGGCGATGGATCAACAGACCATTTGTTGTGCTCATGCGACCTGGATGCACTCGCCTGGCTACACCGTATTGCTTCAACTAATCGCTCAGTATCTCCGATAGCCCCAAGCTACTTGGCAGGGGTCCTCCGTCCAAGCTCCCCGTGCCCCACGTTCGGGCGAAGGGAGCCCGCATCCACCGATCCACTTGGGGAGCTTTCGGTCCACGGATTCACGGGACATGGCACGATTCTTCCGCCCTCTCGACTTCTGCTCTTGAATCGACTCCTTCTCTCCTCCATCCCTCGATTTTCTCGCCTCCCAGCCATTCCATCCACATCACTTTTGACCATGGTCGAGCTCATTAGTCCTCCGGACCCACGTTCACTGCTTCCACCGCTTCTGGCCTGTCTCCCCACAGCTTTCGTTTCGCCGCGCCCGCCACCAGCTCTCCTCCCTGTCCTCTCTCCGATCCTGCGCCAGCGTGTCCAGATCCTCACCTCGGTTTCCACCTCGCCCTCTGACTCCTGGCTCCGGCTCCTCTGTTGGGATGCCTCAAAGGCCGAACGCCTGCAGAGCATCGTCGACGATGCCAGTTTCGAGCCACACCCGGTCTCCGGCGAGATTGACCTCCCGGGCGACATTCCGATAGCCTACAAACGCATTGATGACGAGACCCTACAGGCGCAGGTCCGGCTCCCGGAGTACCGCCTGACGGTGATCTATCTCTGGTGCCCCGACGACGACGCTGGCGGCGGCCGGGGCTGGCGTGTGGCGGAAGTGCTTCCGCGCGAGGGCCCCGCGGACGATGAAAGCTCGTGGGCTGCCTCGATCAGCGAGGCAAATGCCCAGGCCAAAGAACAACTCTTCGCCGACGTCCTCGACGATCGTGCGGAGGGCCAGCCCGGAAACAATGGCCCGCAGGAACAAGCGCCGGAGGATGACGACGACGACGATGATTACTGGGCCCAGTACGATGCCACACCGGGGAACAAGACCCCGGCCCCGCGGACGCAATCATCCAACCTCCCGCCCTCTGGTCTCTCGGAGGCGTCCTACTTCTCCCAATACGGCAACGTCCAGCCCGCTATGGACAACCACGACCCCGAAGAAGAGCAGCCGGAAGTCGGCCCCTCGTCCTTAAACGGAGATATGCTGGCCAGCTTGCTGCGGCGCCAGGTAAACGGTCTCGACGCCAAGGCGCCGCGCACCAACGGCTATGCCGCGGGTGACGTGCCCAACGACGAAGCAGCTCGCGCCCTAAGCCATCCCCGCCCCGCGTCCGCCTCATCCACCAGCTCGGATGCGGTCGCCCGGCTGGAGCTGGAGGCAGAGAGCCAGTCCACATACGAAGTTGGCGTGAAGCAGCACATCGGCACGAGCATCAAGAGCTTGTTCCGTCTGGCCAAGGCGACGGGCATGTCGCGGGTAGACTTCCAGGCCTTGGTGCAGACGGAATTGGAGCTACTGGAGGTCACGGACGATGAGTGATCGCAGCCGTGATTGCGAATTACCGGGACATATTCTGATCGGATATCCTTTTAATTTTGATTGCATCTACTTGCCTGATACCCATGAGTCCACGAGAATTTGGTCGAGATGCCGTTTTATATTTTGTTCTTTCTTGCTTCTTTTTGCTATTTTCTGCTATAGATGATGCATCATGGGGTTGAGGGAGCATTGCTTATTATGACTACATTGAAGCGCGACTATCTATCCTTCTTTTTTGTGAAAAAAAAAATGAATATGATCATTCCACCAACTTTAATTTATTCGTACCTTAGCCGTGTAACGACACAAGGGCCAACATGAAACGCTGTATAGTCAACCAAGTAACTTAAACTCAGCGTTTCAGATGTTAATTTGGACTGATACCAGCGGGCTCCTCGAATAGCATGACGCTGATAGCTAACAGATGACCCACCAGTGGGGGCCGATCTGTCATCTGCTCCAGCTTGACCTCGCCTGGGTATGTTGTCCCTGAACGATATCTAAACCCAGACCTTCCCTGCAATGTAGTGATGGCTTCCGGTGTTCCATTTGGCAATTCGGATTCCGAATTTTATATAGGGAATGATTTTATGTTTCTTCTAAGGGTAATATATTCGAGTAGATCTTTTCTCCAAATACTTTGATTAGAAAAAAGCTGACGCCTAAAGTGTTATAATGACTACTCGACACTCTACTTCTTCCGTTCATACTTCGCCCTCATAGCCGCCGGGCTGACAGCGGTTGCCTTGCCGTTCCCATCAACATCAAACACAAGCAAATAAGCCGGCAGACCCGCATAATGCGTTGCATCTGCCGACAACCAGTCATAGTTCGTCATATACTGACCGGTAAACGGGCCAATGGCGCCGGTCTTCGCGGCACCAGGGGAGAAATATGTTGATAGTTGCTTGTTAAAGCTCGCCTGGAAAGCGACCTGGCCTGGCTGGCCGGGCGAGGTCTGTTTCGAAATACTGGGGAGGAGGCGTGGGCGTGCGCCGAGAAGACTGGAGGACATCACATTTGTGCCGTTGGAGATCCACTCGGTGATGCTGAGACCGGACTTGGAGGTGATGACGTCGGACTGGTTGAACGCAATGGTGAGGGAGGAGTTGAGGCTCGGGTTGGTGGATACGTAGGTCCCGACGTAGTTGGTGATAGCTTCACGGGCGGCTTGTGCTTCGAGGGCAGGGAGAATGCTGGTGACGATGTAGTCGAGGATGATGTTGGAGAGTTCGCCGCGGCCGGCGGCGGTGCCGGCGTTCAGGATAGTGAAACCGGCGCCGTAAGATGGGATCAGTACGATATTTGAGCCGTACCAGCCGGAATCGCCGAGCTTCGTATATAGGTCAGTTATCTTGCCGGTATCGGGATGAATATAGCGAAGTATTTCCCAGGGGGCGCCGATGGAGTACGTCAGGCTTGCGGTGTGGGTTTGGGGGCGCATCCACTTGCGAGTCGTGTTGTCTGGGAGGAGGGTGTTGTTGAGAATGGATGAGCCGAATTTGGCGAGGTCATGGAAAGTAGAGTAGAGGCCCCCAGAAGGGATGGTAAGAGGCGTATTGCCTAAGAAGCCGAGGCTGGGATTCCCAACAATGACCGAGCGAGCGAAGTCGGCGGGGTTGGTAGGCTCTGTCGCGGACGTGGAGGTGAGATGCAGCGGCCGAAAGAGCTCATCCTGGTAGATGTCTTCCATCTTGTGGCCGGTCAGATTGGAGATCATAAGGCCGAGCATCATGAAGTTATCATTCGCATACATTGCTTCAGCCCAGGGGAGGAAGACAGGCGGCTGGGAGCGGACTGCGCGGATGGCATTCTGGCCATCGCAGACAGCCGAGATATTCCAGCATTTCCCCAGGCCGAGTATGTCGACAGGAGGCACTCCCCAAGCTGTGACCGGGTTCTGGGCGGAAATGTTGTAAGCCTCGTAGACAGTATAGTTGTATAAACTATCACCTGCTGGCCATCCCTCACGCGGAATCCCGGAGCTTTGAGAGGCCAATGCCCACGGAGTAATCTTTTCCCATTCAATTTTCCAGGCGGGATCTTTATCCCCTTGTTCCGCGACCTTGGAAAAGGCAGGATTGATCTCGGTGAGCGGACGGTGCCATTGCTCCTCAGTGAGAGCAAGCATCCCTGCGTAGACAGTGAACAATTTACTGGCACTAGCGATGCGGTAGATGGAGTCGCCATTGACCTTATGGGTACCATTCGTTGCGCCGGCAATTTCGGGGCTAGTGTAATGATATTGGAGCGTCTGTGCTTTGAGATCGTGAATGGACAATAGTCCCGTGGAGAAGGTTATGTTTTCCACGCCAGCGAGTGGCGTCGTGAGTTTGTTTTGAACATGCCGTTGCAGATAGGCGTCGAAGGTCGCGGTGAGATTCTTCCAGGCAGCGGACACCAGACTGTCACTACTAGTCAGGTCAACCGGGGCGGGATATGTGGGCCCCAGAAAGTCCGCTGTAGCGGTGGTAGCATATAGTAGCCAAATACCCAAAGCATGGCTTAGTTGCATGTTGAAGGACCGGTGAAGGACTGGGAAGAAACGATATCGAGGAACGTATCTAGAGAGGGTGAGTAAGATTGTAGGCAAAGGGAACCCCAATTTATACTTCACGCTTCTCAATCACGGCTACTTAAGCCGCAGTCTTCTTCCGATCCATCTTGACCCTGTTCTTCTGGAAAGGGGCTGTTCAGGCTGTGTCTTCTGCCTCCATCGTCATTTCATCATTGCCTTGTCGCATTTAGATCGCGAGCAGCCAATGAGGAACCAACGAACGCCCCGGTTTGCCGACGATCAGGCTCGGCACACCAACCCCGATTTGGTGGCACGTTCCGCTTGGCCAAATCATGAGAGACGGATGTACTGATATTGGGGGCGAACATAGAACAGACGATGTGCTGTCCGCTGCGACTCCTTTGTAAGCTTTCAAATGATGTGGTCCCTTTTCATTTTCGACTTTCAGTTCCAGAAGTTTGCGTGAGACATGCATCCGTCATGCCCCGTGGGCAATGCTAATCAAAATTCCAACGCCACACAACGGAAATCTGATCATGATTCGGTGTGATTAAGCAATCTTTTTTCATAATCGACTAGTCCCACCAATTTCGGCCTTGTTCAACAAGTGGCTCGGCGCTGATCTATTCTAGCGAAAACAATGCTAACTTCCTCTCAGGCTCTGCTGACATATTAATTCATCTGCTTTTCCCTTTGCAATCGCCTGGAGTATTTATCTACCAAGCTACTTCATTTTCAATGCCTACGCTTTTTATCTTCTTCACAAGTATGATGTCTCGCAAGACTTTGGTCCCCGCTCGTTCTAACAAGGTAAAGCCGGTCCAACTTTGTGCTACTCAGGATGGAACAAAGTTCCGTCGTTATCCTCAGAATTAGACGCGAGTCCATGGTTCACTGTTCAGCGCGAAATTCACTTCCTACTTCTTCAGCTTGCCATGAAGAGATTATATCGTGGCCCATAGTTTGGAATTAGCACAGAAGCTATATCCTACTCGCGAGTTCAGCATCACCGCGAAGTGTCCGACAGCCCGCAAAAGTCCCATTTTTTTCAATTGACGCATAGATCTATTGCACTCCTCCGAGTCTTGTTTTGAGAATCCAACAACTGCTGGCTGTTCCGGGTCAAAAGGAACACCTACTGTATTACAACTCAAATTCGCCACACGAAGGCTAATAAACCTCGTAATGAGAGCTTATCGAGCAGGAGCAAGAGCACCTTTGACCCCGTGCACACGGGGCGTTTGCGCAGCCGATTTGCCTATTATAGTCTGTGACCACGAGATTGAGTTGGCTCAGATCATGACAAAGTGGTTCGACATTGGTGCTGGTTTATCTGCAAATGATCCCCGTTGAAAACGACATGCTGATTCAGCGGACCGTTCATACACCGACACTGGAAGATCGAGCCGAATTGATAGATAATCAAGTGCCCAAGTCCGATTTTGTGTGTTTCCTCGATCGTTAGCAGTCTTAGGTTCCTACAACCTTTCCTATCTCAAAAATGAGCGATACGACAAGGTTAAGTATAGGATTTGTACAGGAAATCTCTGGTATACTCCGCGCAAATCAATAAGCTGGGCTGGGTTCTAGGGAAAAGGGGATTGCGAGCAAAGCTAGTCGCTGATCTTGAGATAGGGTTTCAATGTCCTTGAATGTAAATTATTAGAGAATAGTTTCAGATGCCAAATTCGCTCCACGACTCACGCTTGCCTAATTTTCTTCCCAAAAATCATCGACACACAAGCTCTCTCTCCCAATATCTCTGTCACATTTTCCCAGCATCGAGTCCAGAAGCAGGACCAGAACCACTCAATATCCGCTCAAGCAAGCCCTGGAGAGATTGCACTCGTATGCTATTTTTGTTTTGCTTTGTTTTAATTAGCGTGACATGGGTGGGTCTACATTCAAAGCAACACGTTAGGCAAGAGTAATCCTAAGTCATAGCATGGTCGATGTCAACAGCAGTCATAGAAATTTATATTATATTACCTCACATGTGTGACTGACTAATATCCTCTGTCACACCATCTAAGCAGTGTGCCGAGGCCTAGGTAGGGTAACCCAGCCTGGAGTAGATAGTGAGCAATCTCCACAATCAACTATTCAAGAAACATACTATTCTTTGCAGCATCATCACTTTCGTATCTCCCCATATCGATTTCAAGGCTCACATCGCAGGTAACCTTCCGCGTCATCGAGGCCTCCTTGTCGCAGATTGGTCTCGAAATGGCTGGACTACGAGGGATCTGATTGGTAGGGCTGGCGCTATACATGCGCGCCGCCTGGGCCACCGCCTTGTCTGGAAACAAGAAGACACGCAACCAACAATCCGCCCGCCCCTCCAACACTCCTTCCTCTGCACCCAGCTTTCCTGGCCTCGATTCCGGAGTGCCATGCCCTTTGGTGATTCTGGTGAGTCGTTTAAATCATTCTGCTCCGCCTCCTTTTTCTGCCTTTCCACCATCCTCCGTGCTTTGTGATGAAATCAAGGCTAACAGCTGTGCGGTTTGGGAAGTCTATTTACTTTAGGTAGTTTCGCGGTCGCTCTCTTTATTTCTTTTCTCCTTTCTTCACCATGTCGTCCCCTTCTTCCTCTCTGCGCAAGAGAGGCGGGAAGAAGGATGGCTACACGGCTCTGCCTTCTAATGATGACCCCAGCCCTGCGGTTGTAGCTGTGGGCAAGAAGTCAGAATGGGACTATTGGCTGGCCATGACCATTCTCACCGTGTTGGCATTTGCGACTCGTTTCTACCGTATTGACTTCCCCAATGAGGTCGTTTTTGATGAGGTTCATTTTGGAAAGGTAGGTTACTCGCAATTGTTCGCAATTTGATACTTGGGAGAAAAGGGGGGATCCGATGAACTAACACGTGGTGATCCTCCAGTTTGCCTCTTACTATCTACAACGCATGTACTTCTTCGATGTCCATCCTCCGTTCGGCAAGCTGTTGTTCGCCTTCATGGGCTGGTTGGTGGGATACGATGGCCACTTTTTCTTCGAGAACATCGGCGATTCGTATATTGATAACAATGTTCCTTACCTGTCGCTCCGCGCTATGCCCGCTACCCTCGGTGCTCTGACCATTCCCGTGGTCTTCCTGACCATGTGGGAATCCGGTTATTCGTTGCCAGCATGCGTGCTCGCCGCGGGCCTGATGGTGTTTGACAATGCCCATGTGGGCGAGGACCGTCTGATCCTCCTGGATTCGACCCTCGTTTTGTCCATGGCGCTCAGCATTCTATGCTATGTCCGTTTCTATAAGTTGCGCCACGAGCCGTTCGGTCGCAAGTGGTGGAAGTGGCTACTCTTGACTGGATTTTGCCTGAGCTGCGTCATCTCAACCAAATATGTTGGCGTCTTCACCTTCGTGACTATTGGCTCTGCTGTTCTTATTGACCTCTGGAACCTGCTGGATATCAACCGTCAGCAGGGCGCTCTTGACATGGTCACCTGGATCAAGCACTTTGTGGCTCGCGGAGTTGCTCTCGTTGTCATTCCCTTCTTCTTCTACCTCTTCTGGTTCCAGGTTCACTTCGCGATCCTGACTCGGTCCGGCCCTGGTGACGAATTCATGTCGCCCGAGTTCCAGGAGACCCTGAGTGACAATGCAATGACCGCCCAATCGGTTGGTGTTCAGTACTTTGACAGTATCACTATGCGCCACAAGGACACCAAAGTTCTTCTCCACAGCCACTGGGAGAAGTATCCACTTCGCTATGATGACGGCCGTATTTCCAGCCAGGGCCAGCAGGTGACCGGTTACCCTCACAATGACACCAACAACTTGTGGCAGATCATCCCAACAAAGCCCTTGGCAGATGACGGTCTGCCCAAGAGTGTGCTGAACGGTGATATCATCCAGCTCCTCCACGTCGGCACCGACAGCGTTCTTTTGACCCACGACGTCGCCTCGCCACACTACCCGACTAACCAGGAGTTCACCACTGTCTCCCGCGAGCTAGCGGAGGGCGAGCGTCACAACGACACCCTGTTTGAGCTCAAGATCGAGAATGGCAAGCCTGACCAGGAGTTCCGCACCTACGCCAGCTTGATCAAGCTGATCCATGTCCCGACTCGGGTCGCCATGTGGACACACACGACCCCTCTTCCCGAATGGGGCTTCAAGCAAGCGGAGATCAATGGTAACAAGAACATCTTGCAATCCAGCAACTTGTGGTATGCCGAGACTATTGACGGCATTGAGCCTGACAGCCCTCGTCTGGTGCGAGAGGAGCGTAAGGTTAAGTCGCTCTCTTTCCTGCGCAAGTACTTTGAGCTGCAGGGAGCGATGTTCCATCACAACAACGCTCTCACCAGTAGCCACCCCTACGCCACTGAGCCCTTCCAGTGGCCGTTCCTGCTACGCGGTGTCAGCTTTTGGACCAAGAATGAGACCCGAGGCCAGATCTACTTCCTGGGTAACCCCATAGGCTGGTGGATTGCGAGCAGTCTGCTGGCTGTGTTTGCGGGTATTGTTGGTGCTGACCAGCTGTCGTTGCGCCGTGGTGTTGACGCGCTGGAGGAAAGTAAGTTACTCATTCTTTCTTTTTCCCCTTAATATTATCCGATCGATTATCGCGACATCGCAGAACTTCTCCGGTGGCTAACCATTCTTTGCGTTTGTCTTCCAGTCTGGGGTCCTGGTGCCCGTTCCCGTCTGTACAACAGCACGGGCTTCCTGTTCCTGTGCTGGGCTGCCCATTACTTCCCCTTCTGGCTGATGGGCCGCCAGCGTTTCCTGCACCATTATCTGCCGTCCCACCTGGCCTCGACCATGGTGACTGGTGCACTGATCGAGTTTATCTTCAACCTCGAGCCCCTGGACCCTGCCACCGCCCTGCCGCCCGTGGATGATCCCACAGGCAAGGCCAAGGCTACCCGCCGCCCGCGCCGATTCGTCACTGCGCGCGAGCGCATGGGTCGCAAGTCGCTCCTGGCGGGCTGGGTGGCCACCCTGGTCATTCTGGGTATGACCATCTGGGGCTTCTGTTTCTATGCCCCGTTGACTTACGGCACCCCGGGCCTTGACGTCGATGGCGTCAATGCCCGCAAGTGGTTGAACTACGACCTCCACTTCGCCAAATAAACGCCGGATCTCCTGGTATGAATGAGTTGGGGATGGATGTGGGGGGAATGAGGATGGGAAGGCTGGAGAATCTGTCTTCCTATCCTGGACTCTTTTGCCATCATGTTTGTGGTATCTGTAGGATAAATGTATCATCGTTTCTTTTTTTTTTCTTTCCCTCTCCTATCATCATTTTCAATCTGTTTTTTTCTTTTTTTTGCGTTAGAAGGGCGATGAAAAGGTGTTGGTGTTAACAAGCGCGATGCCGGTTACTCTTCAGCGGAGACGTGAGGACTTATTGACCTTTTTTGTCTGTACTCCGTCCTATCCTAGTCATGATCCGTATGCAGCTCGTCTTAATATTTCATCATCTGTTGCTGTAATTGCGTTTAGTTCCGCGTCGTTCCATGCCAAATTTATGGAACTACGGGGGAGTCGAGTCCCTTGTGCCACCCTTCGGCTGGATCCCGACCACGCCGGCATGGGGTTTTGTAAACATGTCGTGTCTTCCTGGGCTGGTCGAAACCAACTAGGTGATTCTGGATACACAGCTCTGCGAGACCGACGCGAACAGAGAAGATCATGGCAGGTTATCTGAAAATCAGAAGTTGTCGTATGTTACATTTCAGATTCTATTATTATTGTGCATGCGACTCGAGTCCTGGATCGGGGCGCCTCTCGGGACGGCATTACATCGTCGTCGGGATCGTGCTGAAGCTCGCATAGTAACCGGGCAAAACCACGGGAATAATCTAAAGGGGGGAGAAATCAAGATATGTCTCTTTGCCATCTCTTGTCGTTTAAATGTATTACTCGACACTCGATGGAAGAGTTCGATGGTTGGTGGGGAAGCAAAAAAGAGGGAAAAATGAAATGTTGGAGAAAAAAAAAATGATGGGAGCACGCGGAATCGAACCACGATATCCAAGGAGCAGCATGTAAATTCCATTTGGAGATTCACATAAGCTTGGTGGACTAACCATTATCCTATACTCCCTTCCTCGAAGGAGAATGTGCTCATTTTAAGATTCTTGTAAGCGACTACGGGAACCCGCAACGGTCGATAAATTCGCCACTGTGGGCTCAGCTTTTCGCCATACGGGACGAGAAAACGTCGAAAATAATACTTCTAATCTTGTCCTTCGCTGTGAGGCGAAAATTGAAGATAAAAAGGGGGATAGGTGGGTGTGAAGAGACGTTCATTTGTGTATTTCATTTATGGCCGCACAACTACCTAGACTCTGTGTACAGTATAGTTCGAGACAACACCAGAAGAAAATTGAATGTATGTAGTTAACGTGGTCACTGAAAGCTCCCAGCTGCTGAATGGGTTCCCGTCATGGTCCATGGTACGGGGTCTACAATCCTCCGATCCTCGAGTCCTCCGAGTCGTACGGTCGGGCCCGCGTGGAGGCGTGGTTTACAATTGGTGGACCGTAGGGGTGGCACGATTTCATATACATTAAAGCAGATTAACGGGACGCTGGCACGCCTTTTCGGGGATTGCTAAATTGCAATCGTCTTGTCGCAGAGGGCAAGTAGTCGTGTAGGTTGAAGAGCGCTTAGTTTGTAGGCGTCCCAAAAAGTACAACCTTGAGAATTGTCGGGCGTGCCACAAAATCCATTCTGGCTTCCATGTGGTGAACCAGCTATCATGGAAGGGAGTGAGAATTTCCGATGTCCTCTATATTTCCGGTCTATGTACTTCATATAATTTATGCATTAGGTTCTACGAACTTTGTCCATGGTTGGGCTCAATATATACATTCTTCCTCGGTGGTCCTCAATTTGGAGGGAGATTGGGAGTTATCATGGAAGGTTTCGATAGTTCATCCAATCTATATGGTCGTCAAGACCTGGACTCTTTGAGTCTCCTTCTTCCTCTCCTTCTTCCTCTCCTTCTTCCTCTCCTTCTTCATCTTCTTCAGTTTCTTTAGCTCCGTCTGATTTAATTCGACCGATGGCATTATTATTGGTGGGCGACTCGGCAACTCCGCGTTAGTTTATTTTTAGCGCTGGGCTTTCCCTTTAGCAACGCTCCCGTTCTCCCGGCTATACTCCGTACGTGGCTATACATAGAAAAGAGGTTTCACCTGGGAACGCTCTGGACGCTCTGGACCGTGTCATTGATTGGGTCTGCAGCTGCCCAGATCATCCACTCTTTTTTCTTTTTTCCTTTTGTTTTCGCTGTCGATCCGCTGCCGTCGACATCATCATTTCACATTCGCCTCCATCCCTGTACCCCCCGCGGTCCAGCCACGACACTTCGTACCCGCCACTGACACAGGGACATGAGAATAAAAACAAATCCCCATCCACCAATGCAGGGACGCCTTTCGTGGTCTGTTGGGTGGATGTGAAAGTCTGTGGGTGTAACCTTCCTCTTCGTTGGTCACAGTTGGTTGTGAGGATCGTTGAGGGCCAGCGGCTGTTTAGCGCTTGACTTTCTTCTCTCTTCTCCTCTTCCTCTTTCTCTCCGTCTTTGCTCTTTTCACTTTCTACTTTCCCCTTCCCTCATTCTTTCCAGTGCATTCCGGCCTGGTTCATTCCTTTGGCCCGTATTCGATTGGACGGATACTGTCTCCCGGTTATTCAGTTAGTTGTTCGAGAATTGCTCCGGGTTCCTCTGGTCGCTCAGGTGACTCCGGCTTCGTCTTCATTCTTGGGCGTTCCGACTGCCCAATTTTCTGCCTTCGTGGCTTTCTGGCTTGGATCGCGACTCGCCCGGCCTCTTCATATATCGAATCACATCGTCTCCCGAGTCAATTTGACGTGATCGTTCGTCGCCAATCGACGACCATCGACGACAAGCAACAGTTCGACGGATCTGCCTGACTGGCCGAGGGTCCTCCTACCCGACATCCAGCTCCACTCCCCACTTGCCCTTGGATCTGACTCGTGCGCGACTGAATCGCAGCGGAGCCCAGTGAAACGTGCTGTAAGTCTCGGGTCTCACTCTCAACCCCCGCTCGGCCTAAGGCGAATTCTTTGGCGAATTCACAGCCGGGGTGTTCTTTGTTTTTCTCGCTTTTTTTTTGCTTTCCCCTTTCCACCGTCTCTTGTGGTTCCCTCCCCGAACGCCTTTTCCCCGTTTGTTGATACCCCCTCCCGGTTCGGCGGTTCGACGATTCAGGGTTCAGGGTTCAGGGGAACCAGGACCCTCCCAACCGATAAGACCCCGGAGCCGAGTTTGTTGTGAGTTTGCAATCAAATCGCTGCAACGAATCCACACGGTGGATTCCGCCCGGGGGCCTTGATCAGCCGCTAAAGAAACTGTGGTGCCGTTCGGCTGCAGTCACCGTGCCAGAAGCTTCTTGACTGACTGGTTGCTCATTCTTTTTCCTCCCCCAGGTTCTCCCTTCATCCACCAACCTCCCCCTATTGTCCGTTACTCCCACTACCCGCTTGGGCTGCGTGTTGCCCACGCCTAACCTGCTTGTCCGCCGATACACGACCAGCCTCCCCTTGCGACCGGAGATCGTTTTGAAGACCCCCTCTCCCCCCCCCCCGACGAGACTAGTCGCTTTTGTTTCCCGTGCACCTGCATTTGACACGTCAAGCGTTAAAAAGGAGAAATTCAGAACCCACCCCTTTCTGGAGAGCTGGACTCGGTTGTTTTTTTCCCATGGGAGTTGCTCGTGATTTTTGAAAGGAAGCTAGCTACATTTCAGAGGGTCTTATCATTAACCGCTGTGCGTGCGACATTCCATCACAGCCGCGCCAATGCCCATCAAGCTGCCAAAGGGGTTCGCCCGGAGGAAGTCCTCCGGAAACGTCCTTGAAGATGTCGACGGGCACCCTCAACCCTCTTTCCGCGTATTTGAGCGCCCAGGAAACCCTCAACGATCCATGACAGACGGCGACCACCTGACCAAACGCATGAGTGATGGCCATATAGTGTCCTCAATGCTAGAGGATTCCGATAACATCTTCGCCGGCACTGAACACGCCTCGAGCAAAAATCGGTATGACCATGAACATGACCGTCCCCGGACGATGGATTCGCTAAGGAAGCGACTGACCGGTCACCACCGTCACAGCGGTGCAACGTATGAGAGCTCAGGCTCGACGCGGCTCAGCTCCTCGTCCACCCAGCCGTCCTCCACTGAGGTTCCTCCCCCCGACGATGCCTCTTCTCCACATTCGAGAATCCACGACATCCCCGCTCCTCCCCCTCCCCTCGCCGGGGCCCTGCGCGCCGCAGGCCGGACGTTTTCATTTGGCGGCCGATTTAGCAAGAACTCGACACCCCCTGCTCCCCGCATGGCGACACCAGATACGTCATCCAGGGAGCGAACTCATACAAGTGGCACAGACGAGACGGCCACCCCACCCAGATTACCGGACTCCCAGTTACAATTTGATTTGAGCGCAGGGGGTGATGACGATTTCGGAAAAATGTTTGATCATTTAGGTAAACGGAGTAGTGCCATCTTGCGGGACCCTTCTCCACAGCGGACTACTCAGGTACGAAAGGACCCATCCAGATCATAGGAAGTAAGGGGGAAGTAGATTTGGCAACTAATCACCGATCTAGTACTCTTCGTCCCCGCCAACGCAGGCCTTGCCAGAATTCAAAGCCTCAGACAGCCGGGCCACTCGTCCCGCTGCCATCACCACAGACCGATCTGTCCCCGTCGAACCATCCCCTTATTCGTGGAGTAGCCATCACTCCGATGAAAACCTGCTCAAGTCCCCGAGCAGCAGAATGGTTACCTCGCCCTCTCAGTCTACCACTGAGACTTTTACTGGAGTTCGCAAGCCCTCGCCATCCCCCGGACAAATGCTAGGTACCACGGCACCTCACCGTGGCATGGAGAAATCGACACGACGACAATCGGGTGGACTTCGAAAGAGCGGGATCTATTCAGCGGAACACAATTCGCGTGCCCTTGATGACGAGGACGCACGATTGGTTCGGCAATCTATTCTGTGGACCAAGGAAAACTCTCCACCGCATTGGAGCGATGGCGCATCTCCGTCGAATGGAACACCGCTCCTGGACAAGGGAAAGTCTACCAGTCCGTCAGGTCCCTTGAGTCCAGCGGAAGATAATATGTTCGCGCATCGCCCTTCACCTGCTCCTAGTGATCACGGCATGGATGATGTACGACTGGCTGTTCAATTCGCGGAAAATCTTCCGAAGACAGCCTCCCCACCTGGTAACAAGGTGATGACTCCGTCCCAATTCGAGCATTATCGCCAGCAGCAGGAGCTGCGACGTTCCAACAGCGATGCTTCTAAGAGTGATGATGAATCCGAACACGAGGATCTTGAAGATGAGCAGGATGAAGTCGAGAAACAACGCGAGACCGAACGGCAGCGCCGGAAGCAAGAGGCCCACCTCTCTGTATATCGTCAACAGATGAAGAAAGTCACAGGCCAGCAAACCCCCTCGCCGTCCCTTCGTCCTGTCATGACCGGGGCCAGCAGCAGCACCCCCAACTTGGTAATCAATCGGCTGTCCAACCCAGGTGACAAGTCTTCGAGCGGAAAGAGCAGTAATGAGGATGATGACGACGAGGTCCCGCTGGGCATTCTTGCGGCACATGGATTCCCCAATCGCAACCGCCCACCGACTCGCTTGACCAACGCCAACTCCAACCCCAATCTCCGCGCCTCGATGGCTCATCCGTACGCGTCGTCCGCTGCCTCCCTTGTGGGTGGTGAGGCAGGCAACCGGGGCAGTCTGCCTGTCTTTGCCAGGAATCTACCTCGCGATCCCTATTTCGGTGCTAGCCTGGTGAATCCATCCAACCGAGAATCTTTGGCATTGGGCGGTGGTTCGGGCTCGGTATATGGCGGGCCTTCCTCTCCCGTGCCTCCGGGGGGTCTCATCAATGTAATTGCGAACGAAGAGCGACAGAAGGCAATGAGGCGAGGAAGCCCTAATGCTCAGGCAATGATGCATGAGCAGCAGATGCAGATGCAGATGCAGATGCAGATGGGAGGTGGCATTCCTCGACCCTATTCCATGATGGGTCCACCCCCGATGTCGCCTAGTGAACAGGCCAATGTTCAACTGTCCAATCAGATGGCCGATATGATGCGGCTGCAGATGGAATTCATGGAAAAGATGATGACCCTGCAGGGCATGCAAGGCACCCCCTCCAATGATGGCAAACGGCATGTTTCCGCCCCAGATGATGGGGGGTATGCCAATGCAGGGCGGTGCCATGCGGCCACCATCAATGGCTGGCGGTCCTGCCATGGCCCGCCCCGCTTCGGTAATGGGTGGTCATCCCAACATGGGCATGAGACCAGCCTCCCTGCACTCCGCAGCCGGTGCTATGCCGCCTCATGTTGATCAGCGTACTCTCAGCATGATTGACCCCAATATTGCCGCCCGTCGCGGTTCGCCCATGCCGCATCTCCCACCGGGGCCCCCCTTCCACTCGAACACTGGCAGCTATGCCCCATCTATTGCACCCTCCGAGCGTAGCAATACTGGCCTGGCTTCTCGATACCGGCCCGTCTCTGTCATGCAAGGAGATTCCGCCCATTCCATCTCGTCATTGAACAAGGGCTGGAACGATGAAAACCTGCACCGCCAGTCCCAACTGGGCCTGCCCAAATCTTCATCTCTTGCCACTGTAACTGTCCGGCCGATGTCACGAACGAGTGAAGCTCCTGGTGGGCAACGCCCCATGCATGCCTCGGATGAAGACGACGACGATGAGGGCTGGGCCGACATGATGAAAAAGCGCGACAAGAAGAAGAGTAGCTGGAAGTTGAAGCGTGGCACTTCCTCTTTCGGCGATCTTCTGAGCGCTGTGCATTAAAAGAAACTTTGTTATCTCGACTTTGACCTCGCACAAGTTTAAACACTTTCAACACCATTGTCAAAAACTTGCATCTCCGGCAGACGAACACCTGGCGTCGCGCTGTATAGAAATTGTTTTGCCTCAGTTCAGGCCTGCTTCGCCTCTCATGACCATGACCACGCACATACACCATCCCACAATACAGGCTACTTACTGTGCATGATTCTACTTTGCTCAGTTATTTGCTTTTATCTTCGGACATGTCTCTTCTAGGAGCATTCTGAAGACTTAATTTACAAGTTTTCTTGTTTCATCATCTGCTGTTCGGGCTTCTTTTTCATTTTGTATCAACGTCATATTTAGGGGCGACCCAGTATGCTCAGGATTGTGAACCCTCAGACTCGTTGCCTGTCTTTCATCCTTTTCTTTCCTTTTTTTTGGCATTGGCGCAGGAAAGCATGGCGTTTGTTCCCCCCTAACCCCGCTCTCTCCCTCTCTCTCTTCCCCTTTTTCCCTTGGTCTCTTATGGTCATCTTGACATCTTGTGAGCATCCTTGCATTGTGTTTCCCCTCCTCCATTCTCCTCTTCTCGGCCTAAAAGTCTGAGCAAGAGGTATACTCATAATGCATCTCGGGCCGTTGGGCCTTTATATTTTTACTTGTTATGACGGGTCGATTTATAATTATTAAATGAAAGACACAAGCATTTCTCATGCCCCAATATTTACCTTGCTTCCATAATACCTCTCATTCAATCAAGTACTTCATTCGTAGAACTTCAAATTTAGTCAAACCGCGCTCGACCCTTTCGTAAACGCCCCTTTCAGCCTCGCTTACAGACCACCATCTGAACAACCACATCCCCTCCTGCCTGCCTTGAGATCCAATCCCACTCATGCATTCCACCTACAACTTCGTCTTGACAGCCTCCTCTTCACGCCCCTCCCGCTCATACTCCCGCATCCACGGCCCCTCCGGCATCGAGAAGTCCAATTCCCGCATCTTTGCGTCCAGCTCCCTCCGCTTCCCAGGAATCTCCCTCCGCTCCCCCTCCAAATCCTCCCGCTCCCACCCCGCCACAGACCCCGCCAATGCCCCGGTCACCTCCTCCTCCCGCCGCCGCAGCCGCTCCGTCTCCGCCACTAGGAACCGCTTCTGCTGCAGGTACGCCTTCTCTTCGTCTGACGAGAACGAGAAGAACTTGGCTATCCCCACAACGGCTGCCAGCGCACGTGTCCGGCCGCGCCCCTCGAGCGATGTCTCCATCGTGACGAAGATGTCTCGGCCGTTGATGATTTTGTACGTGTAGTTGATGAAGGCGATGATGCAGATTATAATGAGGAAGGCCACGCAGGCTTCGAAGGTTGTGGTGAGGAGAAGGATTGCCAAGTAGAAAGTTAGGGTTAAGGGGTCGAGGTTTGTTGGGAAGAGGGGGAGGGAGTGTTGGCGGAGAACGACGAGAGCTGTCAACATTTCGGGCTGGTGGGTAGTGGATGTTGGAAGTTGTAGGTTGTAGGTTGTAGATGAATAGAGAGGTGGTAGAGGTGGGCTGAGGGGATTCTTATTGGAAAGTGGCGTGCGGCGATGGCCTATGTGCTAAGCTTTTCGGGGCGATCGGAAGACCATAACGCAATGAACGCGTTGATGGGGGAGGCTGAAGCTCCCAGTGGACTTAACTCGGTATCCACATCGCTCGGCTTGCCGGATCTACGGGGTGGGGGCGGTTTGGGTAGAACGGCCGCTTGGGAGGTTGGAATGGGGTCAAGAGTGTCTCTGTTCGTAGTCAAGAGATCCTAGTGCCTTAGGGAGCGAGAGGGGGTGAATTAAGTCATGGCTGCAAGATATGAATTGCAGGGTTGCCTTATTTTTCTTTCCTAGGGGAGGTATTGCATTTGGGAGGATCTCTACAATGGTTTAGGACGTCGGTCCTTGGAGCTTTGATTGAGGTGTCAAATTGGAGACTGTACGGGCTGGCTGCCTCAGAACAAATGTGAATTTTGTATTCATGTATTTTGAGTCTCTAGAGGGGTGGTTCTTGGCGCTGTGGTTCTAACAGAATCGTGGTGCCTGGATCTGAGAATTTGCGCAAGTCCAGGTCAAATATAATAATGTTGTGTATTGTGTCATAGATTATGAGGATTTGGAACTGTTGCGGGGGCTTTGGTTCTTGGACTGGTTGTAAAATAGTTTATTTGATCTGGTTATGCTTATTGGAGATAAGGTTATGTTTTTCTTTTTTGGTTTGAAGGTTTTATGCTGAGCTGTCAAGCTGTGTCGTCCACCAAATATATCTTGACTTGGAAAAATCCCAACCATATTATTGACTCCTGCTGAATGGCGCACCCCCTAAGATAGACCACAGTATCTCAAAATAAACAACCTTAAACAAATTGGTCCCACCCATCCATGGATCCCCGACACGGTTCCAGATTGCTCGACTCCCGAGTAGGTCAAACAAAATCACGTGACAAAGAATCACGGGACCTGGCGCTCGGTGATATCAGGTGACTGGGACGATCTTGCCCGCGACACGACACTTTTCAACGAGATCATATTGGATTGGCTCCCACGCCACATCAGAGCCTGATCAAGATCGCTAGGCTCATATTCAACTACTCCTGCATATTAGAATTGGAATCTGAGCCTTGTTTATCCAGTTGCCTCCTTGAGCCAGTCCATTTAGGAGATTCACGCTGCCGTTACTCGGCTTTCACGACAAGCTCATCAACTCAGCGTCGCCCAGCCACCAGTGTTTAAAGAACTGTTGCTGTAACAATTTCCACGATACTATTTGTATCTGGCCTGAACAAGCCCTGCTTTCTTTGACCAGGATCCCTCCCAGGTCCTGCTCACGCAGTGCTCTTCCACGAATATCGACACTTTGAATCTGTTCATAGTAGTGTCTGCCCACCATGAACGCCCCTGATCGGTGAGTGCAGTCGTTATTTCTCTTCCTGTCTGATGGGGTCTCTTTGCCTGTTTCATTCTGTTCTCTGCATTCTGTTATATATTATGCATCTGTTGTGTTTCTTCTTCCCTTCCTGGAACAGGTTGGTTGCATGGTTCGTGGAGAGTGGTGTGGACAGGATGTTCTGGGCTGTCAACGGCTGTTGTGTGTCTCGAAATCACTGAGCTGGAAGGGGCGGCCCTGTAGCCAGCACCTCTGATTCCTGTGTTCACCTGTCCTCGACCATCCCAGCTTCACATCTTCACTTCAACACTTGCTTTTCCTCTCATGTCAATCTCTCTTCCCAACCCCCTCCCCCCAAGAGATCTCTTCGAAGAAGATTGTGAGAAACTTATTGTCATGTCTGGCAACGATATATCGTTCTCCACTGCAACAGATGCGATGGCCAGGGAGCGCGGTGGTCGTCCAGGACGACCACTCCCCCTCGGGCCGAGCGTCCTCGCCATGTGGATGACCGTCCTGATATGTCAGTGTTAACCACTACAATGTCCTATATTTGGTTGCATCTTCTGGCTCTTGTTTGCCAGTCTCGGCAGTCTGGCATCTCTTTTGCTCTTCTCGCTTGTTCCTCCACATCCCCTCATCAGCACCTGCACCTCCATCGTTTGATTTCAAATGATTTACCCGGTTTACAGATACGAAGCCATCCTCCTCGCACCTGGTGAGGAGAAGATCGATGTCGAGGTTGATACCCGTGAGTACCTTCAAGAACCCTCGTTGCCAGTGAGCATGTAAACTGACAGTGGACTGCCAGGCCTTCCCTCTGCTGCCATCTTTACCTTCCACAAAGAGGACCACACCCTCGGAAATATGCTGCGTGGCCGCCTGCTGAAGACCCAGCACGTCATTTTCTCCGCATACCGGGTAAGCATCATGCTCATCTTTTCTACTACGTTGAAATTTGAATATGGCCACCAATACTCATCCATCACCCTGCAGGTCCCTCACCCCCTCACTCCCAATTTCCAACTCCGTGTGCAGACTGATGGTGAGATCACTCCTCGCGAGGCTGTGATCAACGCCAGCCAGGCTCTGATTAAGGACCTGGGTATCTTGTCGCGCGAGTTCACCAAGGAATACGAGCTGCGAAAGATGGCCAACGCTGCCAACGAACAGCAGAACGTGGAGTAAGAGATTGTTCTTAGTGAGACGCAGACTCATACTTGTGTTGTCTTTTGCTCTTGACTGGCGCCTGGGGAAAATTATGAGGTTCTTCATTTTCGTGTTGTCTTCTTCTATTATGCTTTTTCACTTTTATATAAATCTGGACCGGCGATTGTCCAGTCTGCTTTTTGTCCCGGCGCGGACTGGAGTTCATGATCTCTATGATCTGCATCAGCCTAAGCCTTGATGCCATGTATCTAACCCAATACCATTTCAACCTATAAACCTACTGAATCATCCCTTCTTCCCCAAAGCACCCCAATTGTAGTCGCTTACATTCAATCATGTCCCTGTTTACCTATATTTAGATGTACTCGGACTCAATATCGCCTGAGGCCACCATCGACCCTCCAGAGCCGACATGACTAAGCGCCCCTTCGGGCTAGCGTGTCTCCGCGTCCCTGCAACAGCGTCATTTACGTTTGCTCCTGACGGTCGACTTCCCCTCGGCTGCATTCGTTTCCCTTTTACCTTGGCATCAATCTCCTCGTTTTTCTACTGCATTTTGTTTTGTCCATGCGAGCGCGGTGTTCATAATGTTCTCCTCGTCGAATTCCTTCCTCGGCGGTGGTGCCGCTGGCCGTCCAGGCCAGGCACCATTCATTCAACAGCAGCAGCAGCCTTCATACTCGCAATTCCCCCAGGGCCAGCAGCAGCCACCAATGCAGCAACCTCAACCGACTGGATTTGTGCCACAGCCTACTGGATTTGCCGGCCAGCCATCGCCGTTCGGTAATTCGCAACTTCAACCCCAGGCCACCGGCTTCCCCGCGGGACAGCTCCAGCCGCAGTTCACTGGATATCCCGGGCAACAACTACAACAGCAGCAGCAGCCCCAGCTGCAACCGCAGCAGACCTTCCAGCAGCCTCAGTATACCGGTTACCCTCCCCAGAACCAGGCCGCGACTCAGGCCCAGCCGCAAGCCCCACAACTTCAGGTGTCCCAGCCCACGGGACTCCCTGCTCGATTGAAGACCTCATCTGAAATTGCGAGCTCTTTCCAATCAGATGGCGCCTCGGGGGCACCTCCGCAAGTTCCGCCCAAGACGGGATCAAGAATTCCGAGTATCCGGCTCTCGTTTATCACTGCTCAAGATCAGGCCAAATTTGAGCAGCTCTTCAAATCTGCAGTCGGCGATAGCAAGACAATGGATGGTGGGTGAAATTGGCGACGTTAGCAATAAGATTATACAGGGCGTTGATGCTGACTATAAAAACAAAATAGGCGACAAAGCGAGAGACCTTTTAATGCGCTCGAAGCTTCCCGGCAGCGACCTTTCCAAGATCTGGGTGCTATCAGATTCTACCAAGTCAGGACAGCTGTTCTTCCCCGAATTCGCGCTGGCTATGTATCTATGTAATCTTCGCATTACTGGGCGCGATGTACCCGCAACTTTACCCGAAACAATCAAGAATGAAGTTTCCAGCATGGTCGACATCATCTCTTTCGACGTTCCTGATACACAACCGGAACCTGCTCCACGAACCAACGTCCCTAGCTTCGATGCGCCTTTGCTCGAAAACAAGTCTACGCCACCGATTGTCCAACAGCCCCAGCCCCAGCAGGCAAGCAATCAGCAGCTCTTGTCGCAGCTGACTGCTCAGCCTACTGGATTTTTCCCTCAGCAGACTGGTCTGCAGCCCCAACAGACTGGATTCCCGGGACAGAATCAATCGCAATTCCTTCAGCCCCAGCAGACTGGCTTCATGAACAACCCGCAGGCTACTGGATATACCGGACCCCGGCCTCCTATGCCACCTATGCCTACAGGGTTTGGCTCGAACCTTAGCCCTGCACAGACCGGAGGATTGGCCGCCCAGCCTACAGGCCTGACTGCACAGCCTACCGGTATTCCCGGACAGTGGGGCTTCATCAACACCCCTGCACAGGGATTGCCTAACATCGAGGCTATGAAGCAGCAGCTCATGCCTCAGCCTGGTCGCGAGGGTGGGTTTACCACCGCCAATTTGTCTGGAAATGCTACTGTAGCCTGGGCAATTACCAAAGAAGAGAAGAAGATCTATGATGATCTCTTCCGTGCCTGGGACGGATTTCGGAAGGGATTCATTGGTGGCGAAACTGCTATCGAGATCATGGGACAGAGTGGATTGAACCGAAAGGATCTGGAGCGGATCTGGACTCTGGCGGATCCACACAACCGCGGCCGTCTCAACATGGATGAGTTTGCCGTTGGCATGCATTTGATATATCGTGCTCTCAACGGCTACCCTGTTCCTAGTCGTCTTCCCCCCGAGCTCATCCCTCCTTCTACCAGGCATCTGAATGATTCAATCGGCACTGTCAAGTCGCTTTTATCGCAAGATGCCGAGACTCGCAAGGCTACTGGCGCTTTCTTACAGCCCCAGAAGACCGGCGTTAGCTATCTGAAGGACCACTCCTTCCGTGGTGGCAGTTCTTCTCCTGGTGTCGGCCGCAAGGATGCGACCATGTTCAAGAATAACGACGCTGCAGGTGGCTACCGCTCTAGCGCGCGACGTCGTGTTGGAAATGATGGCCGCACCCCATCGCCTGCCCCATCTTCTCAAACATCTGAAGGCGAGGAACTCTCCGTTGAACAATTGCAGAAGAAGATCCGTGAGACCAAGATCATGTTGGATGCCGTCGACTTCCAAGATGAGAATCGGGCCGAAGATGATGATGCGCTTGATCGCCAGGATCGCCGTGAGGCTGAGAGTCTTATGGATCGTATTCGTCGTGTCCAGGATGACATTGATACGCACCCCAACGCTGGGTTCCGCCAACTGGACAACGGAGCGGACCGAAGGGCTCTTCGCCGGCAGCTCCAGTCGTTTGAAGACCAGGTTCCCCAGGTTGCATCTGATGTTCGTCGAATTGAGCGCGAGATCGCTGACGCGAAGCTGGAGCTTTTCCGACTCAAAGATGCAAGGGCCAACCCGGGCAGTGCCGCCAACATCGTTGGCACTGGTCCTGGTGGCGCAGTGACCGAGGCTGACCGAATCAAGGCTCGCGCTCGTGCGCGTATGCAAGCCCGCGCTGCTGAGCTCGCAGGTCGCCCTGCCCCTGCATCCGCGGATGACGATGGCCAAGCTGCTCGTCGTTTGGAAGCCGAGAGTGCCGACGTCAAGTCCGAAAGAGAGCGCAATGACACTATGACTCGCGATGTCGAGGAGAGTGTTCGTGACTTTGCGAAGAGTTTGGAAGACAGCCTGCGTGACGAGGGCGAGAACTCAACCCGCGAGCACGAAAAGCGCCGCTGGGAGGATGCCCTCGGCGTGGAAGACATCATTCGTGACTTCATCTACGATCTTAGCCGTAACAAACGAACTGTTCATATTCGCCAGGAAGAGTATGGAACCACTCCCCTCCCTCTTTGCTGTATTTTGAACCCAGCTAACACAAACTAGACGAGAGCGTTCTTCTCAGTATAGTTCTCCGCCTGTCGAGTCGCCTGCGGCCCGTCCCTCCATGCCCGCTTCAACTGGCTCCTCTGGGTCTCTTCCCGGAAATACGCACGAGGACCGTGTGGCTGCTGCCAGGGAGCGTGCGCAGAAGCGAATTGCTGAACGTATGGCTGCTGCTGGTCTGAAGCCAAGCGATGCCGGGGAGACTTTGAGCCAGCGGCAAGAGCGTGAGAAGCGAGAGCGCGAGGAGCGCGTGAAGCGCGCCGAGGAGGAGGATGCCAAGCGAGAGCAGGAGAGACAGCGCCGTCTGGCCGAAGAGCGCGGTGGACCTAGCGCCGCGGCGCCCAAGATGGCTGGCAAGAAGCCGCCTCCAGCGCCCCCTACTCGTCGAGGTCGGACTGATAGTGCCGGTCAGGCTGACGCAAAGAAGGCCGAGGATGCTAAGGAGCAGGCTATTCGTGAACAGGCTCTTAGAGATGAGCAAGAAGCACAGGAGGCAGAGACTAAACGTCTTGAGTACGTATACTTGATCACGATATCTAATGTTCGTCTTACTAACTAATTTGCAGGGCGGAGGCTCAGGAGCGTCAAGATGAGTTCCAAAAAGAGAAGGAGGCCCAAGAAGCCCGGCTTCGTGCTCTCGAAGAACAAGTCCGCCAGGGCAAGGTCAAGAAGCAGGAGGAGAAGCAGCGCAAGGAGGAAGCGGCCCGACTGGCCAAGGACCGAGAGGCCAGGTTGGCCGCCCAGCGTGCGGAACTCGAGGCAGCCAAGGAGCGAGAGCGTCAGTTACAGCGCGAGCTGGAGGGTATGGATGATGAGAGCTCCTCTGATGATGAGGGACCCGTCGACATTGCTCCTCAGGACCGTACTCCGACCCAGAGTCAAGTCTTGTCTGCCCCGCCTCCTATTCCCACCGTCTCTATTCCCGAGCCTCCCGCGGCTCCGGAGCCCGAGAAGATCTCTAGCCCCGAAGCTGCGTCTTTGCCGGCTACCACTCCCGACTCCGAGTCCAAGAACCCTTACTTCAAGTCTCTGGGCCATCCGTCTGAGCCCTCTCAGGCCACCTCGCCCCCAGCCGCCCAGTCGACCAACCCCTTCCACCGCCTCGCACAGCAAGAGAAGCAAGAACCCATCAAGCCCACCTTTACCGGAGCTGTCCCTCTCGAGCGCAAGACTCGCGCCCGTCCCGAGGATGATGATGACTGGTCTGCTGCCGGATCCGAGTTCGACTCGTCCGATGACGAGGACGATCGTGCTGGCGGTGGTAGCGCCAAGCAGCTTGCAAGCATCTTGTTCGGCACCATGGCCCCTCCGCGTCCTCTGAGCGCCATGGAAGAGGACAAGTCCGCAACCCCCGTACAGGCTACCCCTGTCGCTCCCCCGCCGCCTCCCCCCGCCGCGGTCTCTCCACCAGCTAGTGACGATGTCACTCCTCCTGCTGCCCCCGCTGGTCTTGCACCACCACCTCCTCCCCCACCGCCAGGAGCTCCCGCTGCGGTACCACCACCTCCACCACCCGGTGCTCCTCTCGCCGCACCACCTCCACCTCCTCCCAGCGGCGCACCAGGTATTCCCCCTCCGCCTCCGCCTGCTGGTGCACCCCCGCCTCCTACGATGCCCGCTGTTGGTGGTGGTGGCGGTGATCGCTCTGCCCTCCTCGCGTCTATCCAAGCCGGCAAGGGTCTTCGCAAGGTGCAAACCAACGACCGCAGCCAGAGTAACTCGGCCGGCCGTGTCCTGTGATCCCGAAACCGTGTGCTCGAATATATTGTACAGAAGTCGGTGAAGTATTTATTCTTGTTTTTTTTCTTCTTCCTTTCTAGAGGCTGGAAAGGAAATTACGTCTCGTTTTCAAGCCATTGCTCTTCTTGGAGGGCATGGCTAGTGTGGTATACTACACGATAAGATAGCCAGATGAAGATGATGGGCAAGGCGAGAAGAAGATGATAGTAGGTAGCTTGTTGTGCATGTCATTCGCATAATTTATTGGTCTTCGTTTTGATATCATACGATGTACTAGATTCCTGTTAAATCCCTTATTTCTTCCGTCTGTATTCCTTGGTGGAGATAGACTAGGTCTAAAAATTTCGATAAATGGCCACGGAAACGGCAACGAGACCGATATGGTCGATTCTATCTTGGATTCCTGTGGAGTCTTCTCCCTTGATCCACTGAGCTGTTGGTAGCGAGATAATTGCGGAACGAATAAGGGCGGCTATGGAAGGCATGGACGGCTGTTCGGGTATATATTCTGTGAGTCCCTGTGGACCATCCGTTTTAGCCATGTGCCGAAAGCCCGTTTTGATTCTCTTTGACATAATTCTACCATCTTGATAGGTCCCGGACGCAATCCCTCAGGGATCCAGGGTCATATTACCCAAGCCGGGGGTTCCCATATGGCATATCGAACTGGTCCGATCATTGGCTGTGGTGCTTCAGCCCTACGGCAGGGCTGGTCTCCAGTGTGGATCGCTGCTACTGAGAACCCTGCTATGCCATATGAGTATCCGACGATCGTCCAATTGCTATCCGCATACGTGTCTAAAGTGGGCGACATTTCAGGCATCAGCGTTTCCGCGCTCCCCGTTGCTGACGACGCTCGGCCCAGGGGGATGGCCCCCGAAGCTTGTTTCCTCCTCTGTTTAGATCAGCCATTGACGCTCGTTGCTCGCCACCCTGGGTGCATGGCGGACATTGATAATGCCTCGGGTGAACGGCAAGACAGGGTGGATCGGAAGGTGAGTTGCTGGGTTCATTCATTGTTCTGGCTGGAATTGGGTCTGCTGCGATGGACCTCATCATGACGTTGTTCGTGGACCACACAGCACGTGAGAGACTCCAGGGCATTGATCTATAAGAGACAAACAAATTGATCAATTGGCTCCAGTAGCCGTCTCAAAGCTGTCCGTGTCGATCTGCCCTCGTCATGCCTCCTCCTACCCACAAAGCCTCTCTCCTGCATACCAAGCCTTACTATAACTCAGAACTCGGGTCTATCCGGGCTGTAACGGCCGAACAGCTTCCGGTACTGAAGAATCTCTCGATCAAGCGGTTGATTCTGGCGCCGTCAGCTATTCGTGAGCCCCACTGGCATGCCAATGCCAATGAGTTGGCCTACTGTCTCCGAGGCACGGTCCAAGTCAATATCCTCGACACGGGCAATGTGTTTGCAAACTTCGTCATTGAAGCTGGTCAGATGTTCCACGTGGAATCTGGCTCACTACACCACCTCGAGAACATCGGAAATGAGGAAGCAGAGATCATCATTTGCTTCAGGCATGAACAACCCAAGGACTTTGCCCTTTCTGCCTCAATGGGCGCTATGGCGGACTCTGTGCTGGGAAATACCTACGACCACCCGGCATCTCACTGGACTCAGATCAGTCGGACCACACAGCCGAAGTATATCGTCCGCCGCAAAGGAGAATTGAATATCCTGTCGACAGCATACTTCCCCGACCCCCACAAGTTCGATGTCGAGGAGATGAAGCCTCCCGTTTCCTCAGAAGTAGGCTCGAACCGCACCGCTCGCAACCAGTTTTGGCCTGCGCTACACAATATGTCAATGTACTCTCTGCGCATTGAAGATACCGGCATGCGCGAGGCTCATTGGCACCCGGAAACGGCGGAGTTGGGATACGTCGCCGAGGGCGCCGCTAGAATGACCATCATGGACCCAGATGGGTCGACAGATACGTACTACTTGCAGCAGGGAGACATGTACTACGTCCCGACGGCGTATCCACACCACATCGAGGTGCTTGGCTCAGAAAGAATGCATTTTTTGATTTTCTTCGATCAGCCCAATCCCAAAGATGTTGGATATCGGTCATCGGCCACGGCTATGTCCCGCGAGACTTTGGCTTCGACATTGGAGGTTGAGGAGCGGGATTTACCTCGATTTCCATTCACAATTAAGGATCCTTTGATTGTGGGGAAATTAAACCCTGTAGATGAGGTGAAGTCCAAGCTATAGATGTCTACTTTTACTAGCTTAATGCATCCACATACTATCTCAGTCGACACAGAAAATTTCGTAGGACCATCATTATCAGCGTTCTAGCTCTAGTGCTCTCAAATTGTGAAAATAGGCACGTAATGCAAGCTCGGTTTAACAAATGGTTCGGTTTAAATTGCTATGTTGGACCGCCCAACTGGCCAACAGCTGAGCCTCCGTGTTGCTTAGTCAGCACCCACTGACGGCAATTTCTGGTATGCGTCGATTGATCGTCGTCGATCCAGTTCAATGCACGCTTGGCGACGAGGCTTTTGATATTTGAAGCCCGTCTGACATATTGTCTGTGTATTATATCCTACGACCCGTGTCCTGAGTCCTCAATTGTTCACAACCTTTCCACCATATCAAGCCCTGTTTAGCTCTGCCCCATATATCTCTGTCTCAAATCCATAGGATAGAGGCAAATATGGCATTCAGCTTCGGCTTTTCGGGGGATGATATCGATCTTGATGACTCGGAGATTAATAATGGCGTCGCAGAGGCCGCGGTTGCACAGAATTCAGCTTCAAATGCTCTCCCCGAACTGGTGAAAGCCAGCAAGCATGATATGAATGAATGGGTAAGTCGTTATTGAATGATCAGCTCGTTTGATTACTCGAATACCCAACAAAAAAAGTTCAAAAAATTCGCTGCAACCCTTGACCGGGGTTTAAAGACCCTATGGCACCAGAGATTGCATCTCGCCTGGTGTGAACGTCTTGATATTGTGTACTTTTTCATTCTCTTCTCGAAGCACCCGGGTCTGATTTAATGATAGCTTTCTATTCTCCCATCACAAATATCATTCAATCGGCTTGCAATCAGTGGTACCCCAATTGTTATTGCACGCCGAGAAATCTTCGATATCCGCGCCCAACTGATGGCAGAAGACAATGAAAACTACGACAATGCAGAGCTGATTGCTGGCCTCGAAGAAGGTGACCTGAAGCCAAACTTTTACGAAGGTGGATTTAAGACCTGGGAATGCTCCTTGGATCTGGCCAAGGTTGTGACTGGCGACAGCGCCATTATGGGGTCGCTCGGCGACTCGCAAGAGGATTTCCACGTCATTGAGGTACGGGACTATCGTGGATAAATCATCCTTGGGTCTCCTGATCGGTTTCCATAGTTTCACTGCTGACTTCCATTGAATAGCTTGGAGCTGGCACTGCGGTACCATCTGTTACCTTGTTCGCCCATATACTAAGCCAGACAACCTCTGCGGAAGGCATACCCCCGCAGCGGAAAATCCATTTCACTTTTGCCGACTACAACTCTGCGGTCCTGCGTCTTGTCACCTTGCCAAACTTACTTCTGACCTGGCAAAATAGCCGCTTGCGCTTGGCTACTGAGGCACCTGGAGACCAGGAGGCGCCGCAGGTTCAGGAGGACGAGGAATTGTTGGATATCACGCCGGAGTTGGTAGAGAATTTCAAGAGTGACCTGGTTCGGCGGGGTATCTCTATCGACTTCATCTCCGGTGCCTGGTCTGCCGAGTTCGTTGACTTGGTCTTCTCCACTCGTAGCAGTGGAGATCCCAGGGTGTTAGTGCTCGCCAGCGAGACAATTTACTCCCCAGCAACGTTGACCGCATTCTCCGAGACCCTCTTGGCGCTCTTGCGCCACTCCACTCCGACGTCGGTGAGAACACATGCGTTGGTGGCAGCTAAAAAGGTCTATTTCGGTGTCGGTGGTGGTGTGGACGAGTTCCTTGCCGTGCTGAAGAATGTTTGTGCAGATGAATTGGAAGTACAGCAAAGGGTGGATGTGCAGTCAGAAGGAGTGGGTCGGGTTGTGTTGGAGATCACACCGTCTGCAGGTACGGCATAGAGAGCGATAGATGCCATAGATTTAATCAATTTACAAGTACTGATATCATAGCTCTCTCCGGTTATGTGTTTTCAAACAAGTGGAATTCAAATAATCAGGTTGCCGGACTGAACGTCCCAGTCCCGTATATGTACATGTTTTGCTCTATCCTGCATGCCTTTCTTCGACTGCCAGCCAGAGAAATAAAAAACCCCAAAGAATATCTCCTTCTCGACACCCTTACTCGTAGATAGACACGACCTTGCCGTCCTTCATCCGTGCGACCCGAGCGGCTTCAATGTCCTTATTCTGGCGCTCGTAGTGGGCAACCACGGCGCTCAGGTCAGCCTGGGATCCGGGAGAGACGTTATAAGGGGGGCGAGCGTTGAACATGCTGAGAACTTGTTAGTCATTGACAGCGGAAAAACAAAGCACTGGGCTAAAATACTCGGGCTGCTTCAGCTCGAAAGCCTCGCGGGGTCCTTGGGACTGGAGGAGGTGGCGGTCCTCAGCGGCCTTCTCCAGAAGAGCGGTGTGGATGGCATTGCGCTGCTCGAGAGACTCCTGAGAGGTCGAGTACTTGTTGATCAGGCCGGCGATGAAAGATTCCGAGCCAGATTCCTGGCTGGCATTGCTGATGCGGTAGAGGAGGTACGCGGAGGCGAAAGCGCCAACGGTGACGTAGAAGCTGCGCTGTAGATTCGGGTCTTGGTAAGCAGGTCTTCAAGAGGAATTGAAGGTCTTCTTGAGCTCATTGCTGAGTCTCAAAAGATCAACCCAACAGCGGAGGGGGAGATGAGCTTACGCCAAAGCCCTCGTTTACGGGCTCGGAGTGGGCGGAGTGCGAGCCAAACCGACGAGGCGGCTGGCGCAGCAGCTGCCTTGTCGAAGCAGCAGACCGTCTGGCAGCAAACATGGTGTAGGAGGAGCAATTGACAAGAATCGAATGGTGATGACCCTTCGGGCGGCGGTGATAGGGCGGATCGAGGTTGCGAAGAGACGAGGTCACATGACAGTTTCCATATCGGGACTAGAGTGCCCGTTTGACTCGTGAGCGGTAAAGGAAACGAACTACACGACGCTACAGTTCATCATGTCCACCGCCAACGCGAATAGAAAAATTTCCCTTTCCTATTTAGGGGAAAAATCGCCATGAAACCAGAACTTCCCTTTTCTGCGAGTAGCATACTGCATATGCAAGAATTCAAAAAACCAAGGCGCTCTAGTCCGGGGTTGCATGATCAAGGCGGTCTTCGGATGATGCCTCATTTCCTCTCCATCTCCTTCCACCAAGGCCGGACCCAGTTTTATTGGACCCATCAATTCTGAATTCTTGACCATATTGCTCTTTGCTGTAAACACTGCAAGCGCGAATAGCGTCTGGCTAGGAATTGAACATGTCAGCTTTTGGGTAAAAGCCCCCACCAGCCTTTGCCTTACTGTTCACCACGCCCGAACCCATTGATGCCCAATGTTCCCCCCATGGCGCGCCACAATTGGTCTCGCTTCGGTTGAGAATGGAATATTCGCTGTTCCCTGGCGCCGATCAGCGTTTTGATTGCATTGTCGACCCGGTCGGCCCTAGGATGGGTACCAACATTCACACTAGGTTCGGTCCGCTGCGCGCCTTTCCCAGCAGAGACACAGAGAGGGATAGAGGTTGGGAATCGCACTGTGCTTTTTTCTCCCGAGTCGCGCGTCCCACCCCGTATAATTAGGTACAATTAATTTCAATCCCTTTGTCTTCCCAAGTGATACAAAGCAGGACCTTTATTCTCTTGTCCTCCAGTTTCCAACGCTCAAAAATTGAGATCTGGACTTGCCCGAATTGTCCTCGTGTCGGAACGGGCAGCCCTGCTTTCGTGTATCGCCTTCATTTGTGCCCACTCATCCGACGGGACCAGACTGGACTCGAGGGATCGTGACTGATTCTCTGCCCGATTCGCGCCGCATCCAGCGCATCTTGACTCACTGCCTGGATCCTTCTGGGTCTTTGTTGGCCCTAGTGTGTGCGTGGAATCTTTTGGGCTATATCTTAAGCATTGCCAGGGCACCTTGCAATGTACAGTGCAGAACAGAGAAGCCCTATCAATCACCAGACTCAGAATCTACTCATCAATTCATCACCTTGATTGACCGATTCTTCCTATTGGTAACACGTCTTATCCATTACCCTCTTCTCACTTGATCTTGGGCACGCATCACTCTACCGAAATGGGAGCGGGTGGCAAGAAGGCGAAGGCCAAGGATAAAAATGGCAAGGCCGGAGCAAAGCAGAAGGTTAAGAAGCCGAAAAGCCCGGAGACCACCGAGGACCAGACAGTAACCGAATCTCCTGCTCCTGGCAGTCCTGAGCCGGTCGTACAAGAACCAGAGCTCGGCCAAACACCGGAACCAGAGCTACAACAGACCACAGAGGCTGTGCATTCCGCTGAGACAAGTCCCCCGGCAGCAATCGACAATGAGGGAGTTGGTCATGAACACCAATCTGCTCCTGACATCTCAAAGCCATCACTATCTGTGAATGACTACCTGGAAAAAGAAGAAGTCAGCAACGAACACCAATTTGGTTTCGAGGTCCCGAAACCGCCACTATCTGTGATCGACTATCTCGACAAAGAACAATTTGATGACGAACAAAGACCTACTTTCGAGGTCCCGAAACCACCACTGTCTGTGATTGACTATCTCGACAAAGAAGAACTTGGTGACGAAAATCCTTCTAGTCTTGAAGTCTCAAGACCACCCCCGTCCGTGAACGACTATCTGGAGAAGGAAGAAGAACCTCAAGAAGAACCTCAAGAAGAACCTCAAGAAGAGCAAAGGACACCGACGCCAATTTCCAATAGCCAAGGCATCTCAGAGCTACCCATTGGGGCAGGAGAAGATACTTCACCCTTTGAAGAAAGCTCTCAAGTAGAGCGTACGGCGAGAACACCTAGTGTATCTTCTCCAGTTTCATCTTTCTCTCCTGTACCAGCTCTGGTGCCGTTGCCATCGCCGTCTCTGACAGAAGCACGGTTTATGTCAAGCCCTTCCCCAGAAGCTCATTACTATTACCCTACACCTTCACCATTTTCGCCATACGCCCAACCCGTATATCCTCCATCGGTATACGCCTCTCCCATCCCGAAAGTGAGCAGTCCCCTGGCTCGCTCTCACTACCCGCCCTACATGTCTCCGATCATGTCGCCCACCGCAACCCCTCCACCTGCACCACCGGCGCCAGTCCCAGCTGCCCCTGTGACTTCGGTAGCACCTCCTTCCACTGCCCAAAGCTTCACAACCGCTGTCCACTCTCCCGTCATGAGCACTGCCAGTGTCATTCCTCCTTATGCCCCATACGCCCCGCCTCCCGCAGATTCCCACTACATGCACCGAAGCTACAGCATGTCTCATCCATCCTATGCCGCATCATTCCAGGCTATCCGTGATCTAGGCCTGGTCAATGGTCAAGCACACGATACCGGCAACTTGTCTCCTCCAGATAGCGACCAGGAGCATGTTGAGCTCCTGCAACGGATCCAATCCGCCCTTCCCGACATCAATCGCCTCCTACATGGGTTCCGGAATACCCACAGCAGGCTTTCAAGCCGCGAAGCGGAGTTGAAGCAGGTAGGAGACCAGCACGAACAAGCTCTGATGCACAAGGAATTCTACATCGAGGCTCTTCAGGCCCAAATGAAAAAGACCGCCAATGAAAATGCCGAGGAATGCGCCAAACTGAAGCACACGATCAACGAGCTCCGCCTCGAGCTCGGCAACCTGCAAGAGAAGCAGAAAGACCTCGAAGATGGCTTGGCTGTTCACCAGAAGTCCAATGAGGAGCTTTCGCGATCTAAATCTGACCTCGAGGCTGAAGTGGTGAAATTGAATTCCACCATTCAAGAAACAAAGGAAGCCCACGAAAAGGAGCAGGAGCAACAGAAGGAAGAAACTACAAGGGCGCTCGCGGCCCAGAAACAAGAGCTGACCGAACTTTTTGAGGAGATCAAGAACGAAGACGAGAAGGCTGCGGCGGACACCTTGGAGGCGCGCGAGAAGGACCTGCAAGACCTTCACGACTCCCACAGGAGTGAGTGGGAGAAAGAGAGGGGGCTTATGCACGATAGTCTGGAATCGCATCGTAACGAGTTGGAGGCCACCAAGACGGAGTTAGCCGCGAAGGTTGTTGCACTGGAAGCCAAGGAGACTGAGCTGGAGACACATATCGCGGAGCTCAACAGCACCCGCGAAGCAGTGGTCGCCAAGATCGAAGAGCTGGAGGCGAAAGAAAAGGAACTGGAAGAAACCCATGCCAAGAATAAAGACGAGCTAGAGACGCTCCAGCAAGCTCATGGTACTGAATTGGACTCCTTGCGACAAACCCATGGCGAAGAGCTTGCAGCGGCTGCGAAGGAGCTCGATGACAAGCTTGCTGCTCTCGAGGCCCAGTTCCACGAGAAAGAGCTGCAATGGGAGGAGGAGCGGGCTGCACTGATGAAGCTGCTGGCTGAGAAGGACAGTGAGCTAATGAGCAACGAGCAAGAGAAGGAGAAGTTGGAGGGAGACGGTCTCATCAAAGAACAGCAACTGCAGCGCGCAGTGGATGAGATGCGGTCGACTATCGACCATTTGGATCAGGACTGTGACCGACTTCGGAAAACGCTGCACAGCCTTGGCGAAGCGACTGATCTGAAGACCACCAAGGGCGATCAATTCTTGTAAGTGTGCCGCTAGCCCGAGTGTCTTTTGCTTGGGTTTCTTCATTCATATTTTTTTTGGTTATTGTTTTGCTTTCTTTTTCTAGACGTGTTATGAAAATGTCCCCCTCCTTTGATGTCTATTGTTTCTTTTGTGATCACGCGCCAACGACCCGACCTATACTTTCGTTGCTCTCTATAGAATTTCATGTTGATAACGCCATAAATGTACATGATCTAATAAACCCGTTATCTCTTCTAGTTTGGACTGCTTCACTCAGCTCTCGCAGCTGATCCACGATCTCTCCAAGGCGCATTTTGCCTACCTCCCCATCGACCCTCCTAAGGATATACTCTCCAAGATCCCCTCTGAGATCCCCTCGTTCCTCGACAACACTCTTGCCGCGAGAGAGCTGCGCTGTGCCTACGTCCAGCATGTGATCACCAAGACCTTAACCTACCGGGTTTTCCAGCCGTTCCTCTTCACCCTCGGCCGGCGGTATGACAAGGCCGACACCTTCTTCCAAATGCTGTCCATGGACATCCGTCGCAAGTCCGTCCGTCGCGAGGCCTTCTGGCGCCAACAGACCCTCAAAGCGGCCTACACCACCTCCGACGCCAAGCAATCCATCAACGTCGCCGCCGCCGTCATTGTGGACGAGATCATCGACCATATCCGCCATTTCGCCGACCCCAAGCAACTCGACCCCTTGCTCACCGGCGTGCGCAAGATCGTCAAGCTTGCTGCTGAGACATGGCGCCACGCGCGCGTCGAGCGTGAGCTCGTGCTCGCGTTCTTCCCGGCCCCCGACGCGGAGAGCGTCTCCAACGACGGCTGGATGGAGTACGGCGTAACCCGTCAGGACTCCACCTCCAGCCCCAAGCCGGATCCCAGCCGCCACGTCGTGCTCCGTACATTCCCCCGCGTTCTGCGCGAGCCGGCGCACGAGGACTTTGCGAGCGGCGAGCGTGCCAGTCCCTGTATCTATTCGCCGGGCCAGGTGCTATATTCAGATTCCCCGGTCATCATGGCGCGGCTGCAGGAGCTGGCGAGGAAATCGACCGAGACGCTAGTCGCCGCAGACGAGGGTCTGTTTTCGCCGCCCAAGACGCCCCAGGGCTCAATGGAGAGCCTGATCGTCAAAGGCATTGAACAGTTGGCGGCTGATGCCGCGCCGGTGAAGCTAACCGTCCAGTCGGCGCCGTCGAGTCCTCGTGCGAAACAGCAATTTGTTAAGGCCGTGGTGTCCCCTCGGTCTTGAAGATGAGAGAAGGTGAAGGCTTTTTTTTCCAGAGTCGTTTTTTTGCATTTGTTTTCTCTCTTTGAATTTCTAGTTATTTGGAGAGCTTTGACTTTCCTTGCCTGCTCTCTTTTTTCCTTTCTGTTCTCTCTCTCTCTCTCTCTCTCTCTCTCTCTTGTCTCTGTTTGTATTGATTGATCTCGGTATAGCGTGTTCGTGATTTGTGCTATGGTGAAATGTTGTTGTTCTTTCTTTTGTGCAGCGCATTGAGCGAGTTGGGATTTGCCAGGTTCACCTATGTATTTCATCAATGTTTCTACTTTTATTTTTTCTTTATTTTTTGTCTGATTGGATGCGGTGATGCTATGAGGGTGCTGTGTAGGATGGGAGTGGGGAATATAGAATGAAGAATGCATAATCTGAAACGCATCGTTTGCCTGCCTCTCTGGCCCCCATCCAACATTGTGTCATTGGGTATACTCCGATCTTGTGCTTCCGTTTTGTCCCTCGCCTGGGACCCCACTTCGGGAAGGGAGAATTCACCGTTGTCTTTTTTGCTCTTTGACGGCGCGGGACCTGTGTTTTGCTCCATGTCGAGGCATGTCGAGGCATATCCTGCTTGTGCTCCCCTCTGTGTGAGCAGTGTCTCCCTCACTGCCTCTCGCGCAGTGTGTATGTATGATGCCGTCATGAAGTCAAAAGTCCGGAACCCCTGCGGCCCCGCAACCACGATCCATGGACCCGCGCCACCCCCCGATTGTTTCGGATTCTGGTGCTGGTAAACAAGCTCATGGACCTTTCACTTCAGCCCTATAGTGTGGCTTTGCCCAACGGACCCCACGAAGGGGGCTGAGGGCCGGTGCCATGAACCTCAGGATCTAAGAATAGGAGCAGATGGTGTGGTGAAGTCGGTCAACGACGGCCACTCCATGGACTGGAGGTCCGCGTTGCAAACACTGCAAAACACACAGCCCAGTTGCATGCTCCTTGGGGCGACGCGGGTCAGCCTTGTAGGATTTCACAGATTCCAGAATGTAGCAGCACGTTGTTCTCTGGTCCAAAGAGGAGACATGTTGGATCTGATAGAGTTGGGTTGGAGGACGATTAAAGAATTAGCACCTATAGCGGAGTGAGCTATCGAGCGCCCGTGGACTGATCTCGTTCCGAGATGACGGTGAATCGAGAGGTTGAGGTTCGATCTTGACGGTCTCACGTCTGCGACGAACTGCTCGAGCCGTGGTTTCGATGACAAACGTGAGGCTCATGAGCCCCAAGGCGGATCTTGTGCTGCGGTGACATCGCGGGCGGCTAATACTCCCTTCAACTTTCTAGCTTGCGCAACTTAACCCAGCTTCACCCAACCTAACCCAACTCTCCTTCTTCCTTATCCTTCCCTTCTGCAATCTCCCGAACTCGGGACGTCTCCAGTCCACTCGTGTTCGCCCTCCCCGCCCGTCTCTGCTTCTCTCCAACCATTATCCCCCGATCGATGATATCTAGAGGGCGCGCTCGGTGGTCATGCCCGTTTTGGCCCTCTATCGCTGCCCCTCCTTCGCCTCGATTCCACGATTCTGCCCCCCGGTTGGCCCCCATCCTCTGCATCCTCTTCTCTGCATTTCTGCATTTCTTTTGATCCTCCCCCTGGTCCTGCACCCTGTTGCATACGCCAAATCAGTCGCCGCGGGATCTGACGCGCTCTCGCCCTCGCATATCCTGTGGAATCTACAAAAGAGCCAACCCACCTGAGAGCCCTAGGAACCTTCTCGTCTCACTTCTTGCTCCTCTGCCGCCCACCCCCCCCTCCCCCTTCCCTACCCTCCTCCAACTCTGACAAGCCCGATGACCGAGCATCTATATAGCAATTCCCCTGAACTGGCGCGGAGCGGTCTACACTCATTCAATGCTTTCCCCGTCCACGCGGGCCCCCTCTCGCCTTCGTCCGAAGGAAATTCCCCCAAGCGCCCGGCGTCTGCGTGGGCTCCCACACCCACGTCCCCGTCTCCCCACTATCTAAAGATGTCGGCCAGCCCCTACGCCAGATCCCCCAGCGGCCATCCGCTCCCCGAACTCAACACCCAGGATCCGTACCTGTCGGCGCAATCCGACCCGGAAGAAACAGACTTCCATGCCAGCGCCATTCGACTGACTCCCGTCAACGGGAGCCCACACCATAGCTCTTCTTCTTTCACCTCCCCCAGTGATGGCAATGAGGCTCGTCGCCCCTCGTTCCAGGCCCAGGATTTTTTGGCCCCCGGAGGAAATGATTATCGGGACCCCAGCGCCGGTACCTCTCCGGCGGATCTCAATGCATACCTGGCGCCCTCCGACGTGATGGTCGATTATTCAAATAACGGCTGGCAGAGCGCCGGTCACCTCTCTATAGCTACCCAGTCGACCGTCCCAACCAACGCTCAATGGTCGTCTATGACCGTCGACACCTCTCACTTTCTCAGCCCAGAACACAGCATTCCGAGTCCCTTGTCCGTCCCAGAGAGCGTCGTGGCCCAAGCCAGATCGCCCATGATGCACGGCGGGTTCGGGCAACCACTACCTTCGTCCACCCTCACCAACCCGTCCTATGGCCCCTCTCAGCTCACCGTCTCAACTGATCACGTCGCCAACAATGAATTGAAGTCAGCCTCATCAAGAGGCCGGAGCCCCATCGTGACAATTGAGAGCGTCTCCCGGGGAGACTCCCCTGATGCGTTCGCGCACGAACGACGTCCCAGCCGATCACTGTTATCCCCCAACGGACTAGATGACGAGGACGATGAAGACGATGGAGACCAATTAGTGTCCCCCAAATCGACCGCACCGTCCCCAGCTAGTAACTGGGTCCGAAATTCCACTCCGGGTCGGCAGGGTCTTGCCCCATCCGCGCGAGGCGACGAATATGTAACAAGCCCCAACGACCTGCAGAACCAGCGCGACCGAGACATGAAAAATGAAGACATCAGCCACTGGTCGCACAATGTGAGCGCGGCCAACAGCGAGGCCGGCGATGACACACCCACCCAATCTCGCCGAAAGAGCAAGCCAGCCAACCGACTTCGCGCCAGGAGTACGGGAGACCGTCCGCTTCAACGCGAGGATTACTTCAATCTGCAGCGGGGCGCCAAAGATCAATCGGCGCCCGGGCCTGGAGTCATGCTCCACGAGAGTAGCGACGACGGGATCGTGAGCGACGATGAGAGCGATGGCAGCACAGCTCCGGACTCTCTCCCCGCTCTTGCGGATGAACGTGGCATCTACGACCAGTCCACTCCCGATATAGATTCATCGCTGATCGAGAATACGCCGAGTGAAAATGTTTATGTATTCCCCTGGCAGGACCCTCCCCGTGACTTAACTCGTAGGACCGAACGAATGCAACCGGGGAGCTCCACAGCAGCTATGGTGGCATACGAGAAGCGTGCACGGGAACTAGATGCACAATCAATCACCGCCACCATCGATAACAACAGCATCATCAACTTTGGATTAGAGCGCCTCACCCTGAACAGCAACGCCCCGAAAAAACGCAGTTCAAGTATATTTAAGCGCTCCGTCCAGCAGGCGCAGTCGATGTTGAAACGACAGGCATCGGACCTTTCTCTCGCCAGCGTACCCTCCACGGCCCAGCCCGGTGGCTCCGAGGGGCCTCAGCGGAAAGATAGTGGTGGTTCCTATCGGCATCGACTCAGTTTGTCATCTAAACACGGCTCGCATAGACAGCACATCCGGTCACCGAGCTTGACAAATGCGCTCATGTCCATGACGGGGCAGATGGCAGCTGTTGGGGGTAGCCACTCTGTCCAAGCCGTGTCTCCCAATGGGGAGTTGAGCCCAAAGCTCCCGACCAAGCTTCGGGGTCGAAGCAGAAGTGAATTACCCCGGCCGCCCACGCCAGGCCTGATGGATCTCATGACTAGTCATGGCGGGCCTCCGGTGGCCAGCCTCTCCCGCTATACCCAACCCGATCCCGATGATGAGCCCGCTCGCAGCAAGATCTCGGCTGAGATCGATGTGGCCGGGGTAGAGGATGAGGACGATCTGGATATGGCAGATGATAAGGGACTGGTGATGGAGTTCCCGCCCGTGTCTCGCTTGCCCGTGCCCACCTTAGAAGGGTTCAAGGCGCAGATCATGCAACTGAACCCGCGACTGGACCCGGCCCTGATCCATCGGTTTGCGCATGAGCAGGTGCGCCGGTACCGAAAGCTGGTGGAGTACCAGCAGAAACACGCGGCGGCCGTGGCTAAAGGCTCGTGCAAGTCTGGCAAATTCTGTTTCGCGCTGGGAGGCCAGGCGACCTTGTTGCAGCAACGTAAAACAGCAACGGACACCGAGAGCGGCCAGACACAATTCCGAATCACTGATCTGAGTCAAGGCCGTGATCAGTCATATGTTCTAGGTGAAGGAGCTGTTGCCGCGGCACAGTTCCCCCTGGCGTCCCCCTGCCTCCTGTCACCCGGCTCCCTGCTCGGTTCGAATGTCCCGTCTGTTTCCAAGTCAAGACGTTTCAGAAGCCCTCAGACTGGTCCAAGCATATCTTCGAGGATGTCCAGCCATTCACGTGCACCTGGCCCGACTGCACTGAGCCAAAGTCCTTCAAGCGGAAGGCGGATTGGGTGCGGCATGAAAGCGAGCGACATCGACAGCTAGAGTGGTGGACGTGCTCGTACGCCGAGTGCAGCCACACCTGCGTGCGTAAAAACAATTTCATCCAACATCTGGTGCGCGAGCACAAGATGCCCGAGCCGAAGGGGAAGGAGATGAAAGGATCGACAGGAGTCGATGGTTCCTCGAGGGAGTTTGATCGTCTGTGGCGGATGGTCGAGGAATGTAGGCATGAAACGGAGAATACTCCCGCCCAAGAACCCTGTCGCTTCTGTGGGAACAATTGTGGCACCTGGAAGAAGCTAACGGTCCACCTGGGGAAACACATGGAGCAATTAGCCATGCCCGTTCTAGCGCTGGCCAGACAGAGCTGCGCCTCGCCGGGCCAAGGCCAACCGGTGCCGGGGGTTGTCGCCAGCGGGACTGCCGACTCGCTGCAGCTGCAGCTGCAGCAGCACCTGCCTGCCTCCTCCCCCTCGCTGGAGGACCGTTCCACGGCCATCCTGATGCTAACGCTGCCCCTCCGTCGGTTGCTGCTTCTGCAGCCGGTCCCAATGCCCCGGGTTCTCTCGCGCGGCCGCCGTACGCGACCAGTCACACCCCTCACTCCCCTGCCCCCGGCTACCCCTACGAGATTCCCGTTCTGAACTTCACTACGATGACCGGCGCCGAGCTCTCCATGGAGCCCGAATCCATGACAGAATCCTTGGTGGGCGATCAGTACTCCACGTACAATCTCGGGCCCTACGGCCAAGCGACGGTCCCTATGCAGGCCCACCCCCTGCCACAGAACTCCCTGACGTACCCGCCCCCCTACAACGCGAGCTTCTCGGCATACCAGCCGGTGGCTCCTAACAATAGTTCTTATCCGTCTGGCCCGTATAGTTCAACGTATTCGTCCTCCCAGATGTGAGGCCCGCGATGCGCAGACGATACTCCTCATGATGTAAATGTTGATGTGGATTCTGTTTTTCTTTTCCTTTCTCTCTTTTTTTTCCCGTTTCTCTCCTCTCTCCTCTCTCCTCCATTCTCCTCTTCCTCCCGGAATTTCTTTCTCCTTTCTTTTCTTTTCTTTCTTTTTTTTTTGTTTCCTCCCCTGTTCTTGTCAAGTCCCCCATTTCCCACTGCATTTCCGGGCGCGTGTATACGTGGATACCCCCTTTTTTGTCCGATTTACCCGTTCCTGCCGGCGGATGGCCACGATTCGACGTCACGCCGTGCATGAGAAAGGGATGCGAGAGTTTTTTTGGTTTGCAATTTTGGGTTCTGGTTTTGGGTTGAGAGTTTCTGCACACCATTTCTTGTTTTTGTTTTGCTCTTGTCCTTAGACCTTCCCCCTTGTTCGTTTCTTTTTTTGGGTTTCCCCGATCAGTCGACTATCTATTCTCTAGTTACATAGTCTCTTTATTTTTTTTATTCTGGCTCTCTGTCCTCTTCTACTAGTCTCCCGGCAATTGTCCTCGGGTGACTCGTAATGGAGGACCTTGCACGAGACGAAGGTTATCTGCATGTGTGGAATGAATGATGATGATCCGTACATAGTCTCTGATTCTTCCTAAAGTACATATTTTTTTTTCCTATGGGCATACCTGTCTCGACGGGTGGCGTCCTCTTATGCTGCAGTGCATATGAGAGATCATATTTTATGTTTTTTTTTTCTTTTCCTTCCCTATTTCCCGTGCATTGGAACGTCGTCCGGCTCGTGTGGCCGTGGGCCTAGCGGGTTTCCTGGTGCATCATTGGTCCGGGATGCGAGAGGGGGTAGTGGTTCGAAGGGGCTGGCGATCTTCCCTGAGAGCCTGGAGACCCCCAGAAAGCTTCCTAGCAACGCGTGGATGTCAAAATGTCAGGTTTCAGCTTATCCCCGTCTCTTCTCCAGCGAAATGTGTCAAGTCGGTGCTGCTATCCCTTGCCCAACGCCCAACGGCATGGCTATCACGCCGATCTCGCTGCTTCCTCGATCTGGAACCGGTTTTCCTGTTTCGCGCAGGTCTCGTGGTGGGGGCGCGAGAGGATGCTACTCCTGTACGTTCGTCGTAGTTAGTTCAACTGGGATGGACTAGCTGGTAAGCTGGTGAGCAGGCAAACTAGTCTTATGTACCTAGTGCCTTAGTGATCTTCTCTGTCAAGGAGGAACTATACACCCCCAAAACTATAGACCTATATCGAAATTGCTCGGCGGTTTGGCTGCTCGACTGCTCGATCGCTCGATCGCTCTCCCTGTTCTCCCTGTTCTCCAACGTGCAGAGGATCATCGCCCGGGTGAAGCGCAGCGGGGCTGTGCAATCAAGGGATGACATGCGCATTCCAGGCTTGCACGACATTTTCCGCCCTTGCCCGCGTGGGTGAATCGGCTCGGGGCGAGAAGTGGAGGTGTGCCGAGTGCGTGTGTTTTGGGGCGCGTGTTGGCGATGCTTAGGGGCTGCGGCTGGACTGCATTTAACCCTGCTCGCTACCCGACACGCACAGTAGTCTTGCTGTGGAGGGGCATTGATTTTTTTTGCTCTGGGACACATTTTTCATTCGATCCGTTAGGCATTTTGTGATTCAGTGATTGGGACCTGCTAGCTGATTGTGGGTGGTGGTCAACTCGGCCACAACTATATACTTCTCCGGGGCCCGGGAATCGTCTGATATACGATATACTTCCTCCCCCAACTCCTCTTTTTCTCCTCTCAACCCCGCCACATCTCAGCTTCCCGTTGATCCACTGGCCCTCCCTCCACCCTCCAGCTGACGCTGCAGCTGGTCTGGACGCTCTGCCCCTCTTCAGGGTCAGCCACACTATGGAGGTTCGTGCTCGTGGCTCGCGGCTCTCTCCCCCCTCCTCTCTTCCGCCCCCGGCTTACTCTAACCAAACCCCCTCTTCCCTATCCAGGACCCTCAGCTTGCCTGGAATGACACAACCAACTTGCTTCAGGGCATCATGGTCAGACACGATGGCTCTCATCTCCCAGACCCGTCAGACTTCAGATCCGGCAGTTTGACCCTGGGGGATGCCGGCCCTAACCCACTCTTCGACCTCGACCTGACGTCGTTTGACCCAGCCCAGGGCCACTCTACCATCCTGGGACCGTGGCGTTCCACCACCGACCAGCAGGATTTTTATCCAAACTACTACCCGTCCCGTCTCGCAGGCGAACAGGATGCCTGGAACCCGCTGCAGGTCACCGGTGTTCCCACCTCGACGGCCGGTCCCCATATCCCCGGCCCGTCGGTCGGCGATCGGGAGTTTGGTTATTCAAAGCCGCATTATCGGACTCCATCCGAGAGCGGCAGCCAGTATATGGGCAGCCTGCATTCCGCCGATTCAGGATACGGAAGTGCCAGCTGTGGCGCGCATTCCGTCATCGCGTCCTACGTCGACTCGTCGAGCCCGCAAATCGCCTCCAAAGAGCATAGCCTCGGCGAGTCGCTTGCCATGTTCGACCAGGCCCAACTGGGGCCATCGATGTTCGCCAGAGATTTTGCGGAGTCGCCGCTGGAGTCGGTCCGATGTGACCACCCCGCCTGTACGTGGGTCGGGAAGTGTCCATCAGATAAGAGGTATGTATAGATATAGACGCCATCTCCCCTAAACTTTCGGCATAGCGTTTGGGGATAACAGTTTTCTGGTCTATGTGCGGATGCTGATATGGGCCGTCTAGAAAACATGAGGCTCGTCATAGGAAGTTGTTCAAGTGTAACGAACCCAACTGCCCTCGCAAGGAAGGGTTTGGCACGATCAACGATCTTGCTCGTCACAAGAAATGTGTTCACAATAAGGAACCAGAGCGCGGCCCAAAAATGATGTACCTCTGCTTTGGCATGAACTGCCCTCGCCCGGACAAGAAATGGCCCCGTCTGGATAACTTCAAGCAGCATCTGAGCCGGATGCATCATGAAGAGGATGCAGATGCATTATTGAAGAAGTGAGAGATCCTAGCAACCTCGCCCACATCTTCTCGCGTTGTTCCGTGCTGACGCTGAGGTTGGGGGAATTTTAGGTCTATGGACTGGTATGAGAGGGTCATCGGCCAAACCGGCCAAAAAGTCGATGACAGCGTTTCACTGGATGAGTCGCTGGTGGATACACAGCAGGATCTGGTGTCTATTCATGAGATGGACCTAGATTCGGTGGATTCCGTACTTCATCCCCAGGACCCTGTCGAGATGCCCTCCCCCAAGGCTTCAACGCCCACATCAATTCAACATAACACACACTCGGAAATCCCCACCCTCAGGTCACTATCAGCACTCTCTAATACTGGTCCTGAGCCTGCAATCGAGCAGGGATCAGCCAAGTCCGAAACATTTGTTACAGACGCTGCAGAGAACTTGGTTAATGCCATGACCAGAATGGTCAACAACCACGCTCGAAGATCGAGCCAACAGAGCGATGAGGGAATTGACCTGGAGCTAGAGAACTCCCGGCTCTCTCAGCCACAACGCCAGATGTTGCAAAGGATTCTCTCCGCCGCCTTGGAGCGTCTGTCCGATGAAACCCCGGCGGCTCCAGAGTTGAGTGATGACAAGCAGGATTGGTTCCAATGTGACATCTGCTCGAAACGCACGCGGCTTCGTTGCGAGATGAAGTAAGTTGGCGCCCTTCTACCCTCACTCGTCTCCGCACACCCCTGTACCGCAGACCCATTTCCCCCTCCCAAGCTAATCCTTCTTCTCTTCTCTGTGCAGGAAACACCAGAAACGCCACGAACGTCCCTACGGCTGCACATTTCCGCATTGTGCCAAGTCGTTCGGCAGCAAGGCTGACTGGAAACGTCACGAGAGCTCCCAGCACCTGCACATTCAGAGCTGGCTCTGCCCCTTCCAGGATTCGCAGAAAGACACCCCCTGCGAGCGCATTTTCTACCGCGAAGATACTTTCTCCCAGCACCTCTCCCAGCACCACCGCCTCTCCAAATCCCGCTCCAAGGCTGCCCTCCCCCCCAGTCGCCTGGACCTCGCGGACCGGCCCCATTTCTGGTGCGGCTTCTGCACGCGCAATGTGCCGCTGCGCAATCACGGCTCCGCCGCCCTCGACGAGCGCTTCAACCATATCGACGTTGAGCATTTCAAGAAGGGGCAGCGCGGCCGCGAGTGGGCGTTCCCGTCTGAGGTGACCTTGGATCGGGTGGCACGGGAAGGCCCCGGTGCGCTGTCCAGGAGTGATGCGGGCGACGGATTGTCACAGACTCCAGATAAGAATAATAAGAAGCGGAAATTCTCCGAGTAGCCACTTCTTTTTTTTTTTTTTTTTTTTCGTTGGGCCGGGAGATACTCAATCCTTGTTACGGTAGTAATAATGAAGATTCTGTACAATGTGTTGCCTGTCTATCGAAGTCTGTGCTCTGGTAGATGAGAGAGAGAGAGAGAGAATAGAGGTATATTAGTCGGTTTAATGGGCCTTCAATCCCAGTCTGCAGGAAAGAGAGGACAGCTCGGAAGCCACGATCAGAATTCAGCAAGTAATCAAATTAAACCCCGTGCTTAATGGTAATATATGATACAATGTGTTTCGTATAGCAAAAAAAGGAAGATATTCTCCTCTTGCGCCGCTTATTTCTGCTGGGCAGCGGCCAATTCTCGGGCCTGCTTCTCCAGGCTGGTGATTTCCTCTAAATAGACTCAGTCAGCACCAAGTACTCCAGGTTGGGTTAGAAATAGAATATATATATATATATATATATATAAAAGTGCGACACCCAGGAGAAGATTTGAAGGAGAGGGGAAGTCGGTACCATTCTTTTCTAGCTTGGACTCATCCATCTCGAGCTTCAGCCAAGTCCAGTAGATGATCTGGTACGTCAGCACGGCTCCTAGAAAGACCTTCCCGAAGGGACGGGCAAAGAAATTGTATCTTGACATCTAGAGAATGACGCATTAGCGGGTTTATCTCCAATTAGGCAGCACCCTGTTCTAGCGCAGAGAAACCGAGGCTCATATTCATGCAAAGAAATGAGAATGCTACGCACCCCTTCCCGGTAGGCACTCGGGTTCTGCGCGGCGTTGAATCGCGCCGGCGTGGAGGCCCAGCTCCGTCGGCTCACGGCAGCAGTCAGATGGCCTGAGAGATGGGCCGGACGCCCAAGGAACCTGGCTGTATGTTGGAAGAGCATCTTGGAGGTCTTCTGTAAGGGAATGTTGTATATTCCTGGGTTTGGGGGGATTTTCCTGGTGGCTTCGCGGGTCGAGCGCGGTCTGGGGCACCCGAATGGGGTTTAGCCTGGGAACTGGTTTGGGTATAGCCGATGCTTGGCGTGGATATGGTCGGCGCGAGCTTTGGTTTGGATTGTTCTACTGCAAATGATTAGATGGCAGAGATGCAAGGTGAATATGCATCTGTAATAGGGTCTTCTTCAGGAAGTGCTGGTTATTTCGCGTTGGCGTCACTTATGGCATAATAATTTCATTGGGACAGGATCTGCGATGTGTTCAGTGTTCTATTGCTGTGTTGGGGATACTTCCAATGAATCGTTAAGCAATAGTGAACGGAGATTCCGACGAAGTATCATCAAAATCAATCTAGTCGCCCCTACCAGCTACCTGTCAGACAATTGACTTCCTCGAAAGACAACTGCTCATTGAACACAACGTGATGCTTAACCTGTGTTTCGAGACAACCCCAGGATGTGGCTGACTCAGCAGTCACATGATATCAGGTCCGGTTGAATTCTGGCGGGCAGCCAAAGAAGGGGAGCCACAACCCAAATGTAAGAACGCTTCCCGGCAGTGCTTCTCCATATTCCTGACCGTCTTCTGACACCTCCTTTCACCACCATGACCGTCCCAGGATCCCTCCCCGTCCAGGTCCCAAATACACCGAGTTGGGACCTAAATCAACTTCAAAGGGCCTGAAGAGGTAAATTGACTGCCCAAAAATACATCTCCAACTTGTATTATTGGGGGGTGGAAGGGTTCAGGCAGCCAGGGCGAACTGAAGGCATTCACTTCGCGGATGGGAGGAAGGCACGTGCATGGTGACTCAGCATTATGCGCCTCACCGCCACACATCCCCTGTGGCTGGTGCCTGAACGCTCTCAGGCAGCGCAGCGCGAGGTCCCTTCCGACCAGGGCTACTCGTGTTATCCGACAGACTTATTTGATGAGCCTTGAGTCTCTCGCTCAACTTCACCCTCTCTTCTACTCATGCTGTGCCGGATCCATCTCTCGTTGACTACCTCTCCCCTATTCTGATTTTCTCACGCGTCTGTGCCGAGTTTGTGAGAGGCACACTCTCGACTCGCCCCGACTGCGCTCCACCATCGTTCCCGTCGCCGACAACCTGCCTGTCGATCAGCAATTGTCGCGGGGACCGTCTCTGGTAGCCCTTTTCTGCCTTGCCACCAGAGCCTGCGATTGAAATTCCAAGCTTCCAACGTCATCGCTGGTCGAGGACTCAACTTGATCGTTGGTAAGCTCTCCTGTTGCGTCCTTGCTTCCGCGTCTTTCGATCGTTCGCTTTGATCTTTTTTTCTCTTGTTCCTGTTAGAACCGAGATGAGATACTTCCACTGCCGCATCCTTTGATCGTCGATGCCCCCTTATGTCTGATCGCTAACATTGCCTTGTTCAGTCATCCCCCCCCCGGCGGGTGGCTTCGACCTCATCATGCCGCGCAATCCCAAGCGCAGCCTCGAAGAGCTCGCTAACAAATCCGATTCAAATGATGAGGATTGGAGTGAGGAATCGGGGCGCGCGACGCAGCGCACTAGCCGCAAATCCAAGTCGAACTCGAAGAAGAGGTCCCGACCCGCTAAACGACGACGCCGCGGCTCCGATGACATTGTCTCGGATGATGCGAGCTTGAGTGATGATGATCTTTCTGTCATGGAATCGGAGGAGGATTCGGATGATCCCGACGTCGAACGCAATGCACGAGGAACGGCCCGTCGACGGACCACACAAGCCCAGACGACGTACGAGGAGCCATCCGATGACGAGTCATTTGGAGATGACGAAGATGACGAACCTGAGGTTGGTTCGCCTTTGCCGCGGAAGAGTACGATGGTGACACTGAAGCTGCGCCCCGAGATTCTCTCCCAGCCTCAACTCATGACTCGACGCATTACGCGCCGTACCAGAGGCGCGTCGGAAGAAATGTACGCGCTGACGAACTCGGGACACCATATGGAAACCGTTGAGCGAGGCACAATGAGCCCTGAGACGGGGTTGTCACGAAGACGGGGTAGCCGGGCATCGAAACAGCCCGTTATTCACGAAGAGACTGTTGAAACATCGACCGAGATGCAGGCTTCGTTAGAGATTTTGGAGAGCGATGCACCCCAGAGTGGTCCCGAAGGGGATACTGCAATTTTGGCGGAAGATACCCAAGATGTCGAGATGATCACCGAAGGGGTCGTTCCGGAATCCGAGAACGGGGACGTGAAGAACGATAATGACGACGAAGACGAGGATGACGACGAAGTCCCAACCACTCGACGCCGAAGCCGGCCCTCTCGCAATGCTGACCAGGACGACGAGGATGAAGGGGCCGATGCCGAAGGCGAAGTCGAACCCGAGGTGTCTGATGCAGCTCAACCTCGCCGATCCAGCCGCAAGAAGCCTTCATCTCAGCGTAAGGGCCAGGATGATGAGAGCGACTTCGAGCCTGAAGAGGAAGAGTCGAATGATGATGATGAATCCGTCTCTGGGAAGTCAGGCCGTTCACCCCGCAAAGCCAGCCAGATTCGTGACGAGGAGGAAGATAGCAGTACTGTCGGTCGTCGCCCCGGCCTGCGCAAGCGCCCAACCCAATCCCGAGGCCAGTCCGAAGTCGCAGATGAACTTCGCGAAGAGCTGCAAGACCTCAAAGGTGGCCGATCGAGACGCCGGATCGAAGTAGAGACCGTCTACGAGAAACCGCGTCGCAACCGCAAGGATGTTGATTATCGCCTCATTCGACCTGAATACTTCCAGACCTTTGATGATGCCGAAAATGAGCTGATTACTGAGTCTCCATCCCGCCGCGGTCGTGGTGGAGGCGGCAGCAGCTGGCAGCGAACCCTGTTCCCGACAGCCGGTCCCTTTGGTGGTGGTGGCCCGTCGGCTATCCTTGGCCCCGCTGGCGCCCCTGCTGCCACTGGCGGCGTGGATAGTGACAGCAGTGACGATGAAATGCTCCAGCAGCCCAAGCCTGCTGGCCTTTTATCTGGCGGCGGCCTTGTCCCGCAAACCCATTCCGGGGATGTCAATCAGAATACCTCTGGAACACCGGCGAACTTCGGCAAGATTAAGGACCGACAGGCTTTGGCGGATGCAGACCCGCTTGGTGTGGATATGAATGTCAACTTTGACAGCGTTGGCGGTCTTCAGGGACATATCGACCAATTGAAGGAGATGGTTTCTCTTCCATTGCTGTACCCCGAAATTTTCCAACGATTTCACATCGTCCCTCCCCGTGGTGTCCTGTTCCATGGTCCGCCCGGTACCGGAAAGACGCTTCTGGCTCGAGCCCTAGCAAACAGTGTCAGTTCCGAAGGTCGCAAGGTGACGTTCTATATGAGGAAAGGTGCAGATGCCTTGAGCAAATGGGTTGGAGAGGCCGAAAGACAGCTTAGGTTGCTGTTCGAGGAAGCCCGGAAAACCCAACCCAGCATCATCTTCTTCGATGAGATTGATGGTAAGCGAGATATCCTATTCTTCTGTCGTGTCTTATTTCGACTAACAATTTTCAAAAAGGTCTGGCCCCTGTTCGATCAAGCAAGCAGGAACAGATCCATGCTTCCATCGTCTCAACCCTCCTGGCGTTGATGGATGGTATGGATGGCCGAGGTCAAGTCATTGTTATCGGTGCTACCAACAGACCCGACTCAGTTGATCCTGCTCTTCGCCGTCCTGGCCGTTTCGACCGCGAGTTCTATTTCCCTCTTCCCAACATCGAGGGCCGACGTGCTATCCTTGATATTCACACCAAAGGCTGGGAGCCTCCTCTTCCCGGTGACATTAAAGATGAACTTGCCAAGATCACCAAAGGCTACGGCGGTGCTGATCTACGGGCCCTCTGTACAGAGGCAGCCCTGAATGCAGTGCAAAGGAGGTACCCTCAGATTTACAAGTCCGACAAGAAGCTTGTGATTGACCCAAAAAATATCGATGTGATCCCCAAGGACTTCATGCTCGCAATCAAAAAGATGGTTCCCTCATCGGAACGATCCACCTCATCGGGAGCAACTGCGTTGCCGCATATTGTTGAACCTCTTCTCCGCCAATCACTACTTGAAATCGAAACTTCTCTCTCGGAAATTCTTCCTCAGAGAAAGAGATTGACTGCTCTTGAAGAGGCTCAATATGAAGAGCCCGAAGATGGCAACGGCTTCAAGCGAGAACAGATGATGCAAGAATTTGACCGATCTCGGGTTTTCCGACCAAGATTGCTCCTCCGTGGCTCACAGGGTATGGGTCAACAGTACCTTGCCGCCGCTCTCTTGCACCATTTCGAGGGTCTACATGTCCAAGCGTTTGATCTACCCACTCTGCTTAGTGATTCCACTCGATCTCCTGAAGCAACAGTTATCCAGCTCTTCTCAGAGGTCAAGCGACACAAGCCAAGCGTGATCTACATCCCCAATATCCAGACATGGATTGAAACCGTTGGTCCTGCTGTCATTTCTACATTCCTGGGTCTCTTGCGATCAATTCCTGCCTGTGACCCTGTTCTTTTGCTCGGCGTTCTTGAATCGACAGGGGATGATATTGATGCTGGGCTGCTCAAGAATCTGTTTGGATTCTCGAAGAAGAATCTCTATGATCTCAGTGCCCCCGGTTCCCATGAACGGTATGAATTCTTCGGCAAGCTTATTGAATACGTCCGAACCCCTCCATCCGACTTCCCCGATCCTGAAAACCGCAAGAAGCGTCAGCTTGAAGAATTGGAGGTTGCGCCACCCCCGGCCCCACAAGCTCAAATACCCCCGACCAAAAAGGAGCGCAAAGCCCAGAAGAAGAAGGATCACCATACCCTCAACCTTCTCAAAATTCGCATTCAGCCGATTATGGACCAGATTAAGAAGTACAAGCGTTTCCGCACTGGTGTGATCGATGATGCCCAAATCCGGTATTTGTGGGAAGAATCAAATCCCAATATCGTCACCAGCGACATTCCTCCTGATCCCCTGACCAGCCTTCGACCATTTGAGATGTGTACCGACAAACACGGTGTCCCTGGTCTCCGCGAGGTTGTGTCTAACAAATTCTTTTACAATATGGAAATTGTCACAATGGAGAAGCGTCTGTCGAATGGCTATTACAAGCGTGCTTCTGACTTTTTGGCCGATATTAAGCGTATCGCGAAGGATGCTCACCAACTCGGTGACCCAGAGCGCATTCTACGCGCGAATGAACTACTATCTAATGTTGATGTGGATATCGCTACCATTGAACAATCCGACCCGGCCTTAATGGCAGAGTGTGAGAATGTTCATCTTCGGGAACTGGCTCGCGAGCAAGAAAGGATAGAGGCGCAGAAGCTTGCTGAACAGGAGGCGGAGGAGCAATCTAGATCTCAGACTGCAAATGGAACTCGCGGGGATGAAGCAGATACGTCATCTGGTGCTGCTCGGCCGGACGAGGTCATGTCTGATGATAATGAACGCCCCACTACGCCTACACGCCAACCGAATGTCAGTTTCACCAACGGTGAACCGTATCCAAACGGTGGTGGCTCGGATCTAAATGAACCTGGTCCTCAGGGACAGACCAACGGCGATAGTTCGCACGGTCATGGAGATGGAGATGGAGATGTTCTGATGACGAATTCGGAAGATAACTCTGGAAGCAAAGATACCCAGATTAGCTCGTTTGGGCCCTCGGCGCAGCCATTACCCCCATACTCGTACACCGCGCCATCTCAGCAGGTGCGCCGGGAGTCGGGGATGTCGAGCTTCTCGCAAACCAACCCAATGACGCCGATGGCAGCGGGATCCCAGCCAGCCGACTACACCAACGAGGCGTCTACCACCCAGACGACTTCGGACAAGAAGTCATCGGAGCATGACCAAACCCAAAGTCTACATGTGTCACGTCACGATTATCCTGATCTCACTCAGTATCCAGACCGCATCTCACAGCAGGAGGAGCACCTGCCTGATACTCAACAAGGTGGCAGCAGCCAGCCCTCTCCTCGCCAGGATACTGCCCCGAATGGCAGCCAGTCTCAGGCAAAACCCCAGCCTCCTCTGTTTGACGCAGACAAAAAATCTGCTATACACACCTCAGCCAATCTACAGGCCTTGCTGAATGATGAGCCATCCCCTGAGCTGGTCCTTGACAAGGAGTACCTCGAACATCTCCACAACCAGCTAGCCCAGCAGACTAGTGGGTGCTCTGTTGAACAACTGGAGCAGATCAACACTTGCCTTATGGACTGTGTTTGGCGGATGCGCAGCGAGTGGAACCGAACAATCGTCGCTGAGAGCATTACCGAGACGTTCAATGCAGTGTTGGAGGATATGCTGTCCATACAGGAGATCGGACCCATCAGTCAAAATACCAAGCAGCAGATGGCTATTCCCAGCTACCGTGTGTAAAATGGTTGATTGGGACGGTCATTTTTTTTCTTTTTTCATCAAATTTCTTGCATTCGTGTCAATACGTTCATGGTTGAGGTCATATCCCTGTATGGTGGTTCTAGGTCATTCGCGTTTTGGGGGACACGGTGTTTAGTACCCCTAATAGTTCTTTTTTTAGTTCATTTTTTAACTGTTTGAATATTAGTGTGGCAGTATTTGAGCGGTTTAAAAAGAGTGCGTCTATTCTCATGTAGTATTTTGACTCCTGATTAATTCCAGTCCGTGGTTTACCCAAGAATCAGCAGATCAGTAGTGTTTGGTCGTGGACCCTGATGCTATACTTGAGCATGTGACGTTGACCCACTAAACACCTGGCCTTTGTGGCCCTGTTGTGCGCCTCTCTTGGATGCACCACACCTCCCGCCCTCCAACCTCTTCTTAAAGCACGATTGTCGGTCTCAATTCCTGGACCATGACCGGAGCTTGATAGATTTACATCCGCCCTTTCCTTCTCCGACACTTGATTCCTCCCACCATCGCCTCTCCCTACCGCGCATTTACAGCGCCCGCACCCGCAACAATGGTGAACTGGCTCGGTCTCGTCGTCCCCCTAGCCTACCTAGGTGTTCTACTCGGCTCTTTGGCCACATTCTCTTCGCTCTACCGCAAGCGCAAGGCTCGTATGTGCTTTAGTCCTTGACCTGTGCTCAACTTCGTTTCACACCTATTCTTCGCCATCCCTCCAAATGCTCCCGTGATACCCACTATTTGTTGACCGAAGGCTAACTGCATGACCGTGAAATCCAGACAAGGCCGCTTCCCTAGAAGCATGGTTCCCTGCTCATCTCCAACGCGATATTTACTTCTCTCTCCTTCACCTTGACCCATCATCTTCTCAAAAGAGAAAAAGACATCCGTCCCCGAGTCTGTCCTCAAGGCGGCACTCCTCCGCCGCGCAACCGAAGATATCCGCCGCGTTATGGCCCTGCGCTCACAGAAACAGGCCTTGTCTGTACTTCTCCAACGTGGAAGCGTCGGCGATGACCTGTGGCAGCGGTTCGTGCGCGCGGAGAAGGAAATGGAGGATGAGGTGCGGGATGTTGTTTCTGAGGTAAGGAGAGCTTCTGCTCAGCCCTGTGTTGGGCTGCTCGTCCCTTGCAAATGTCCTTGGTCAGAACTGTGTGTGTTGACAAGTATTGTGTGCATAGGCAAATGCCTACGTGCCTAATTGGGGCCAAACTATTTTCCAATCAGCCAACGAGATGTTGAACAATGATATGTACCGCCGTCGCCTCAACGAACACCAGGAGAAACTCACCGAGGAGCGTGAATGGTGGGCCAAGAAGAAGTCGAGCATTCAGGAAGGTTTTATGAAGGAGCTCAATGAGGAAAGCCCTGCGTCTGCTCCGGCGGTGGCCCCTGTTGCTACGCCTGCGAAGGCCGCAGAGGCTACCCCTGCGGTGGCTACGTCTGCTTCGGTACAGGGGAGTGATGATGATGCGGTGCTTGTTGAAGCGGTTAATACTCCGTCTTCCGGTGGTGGCGGTGGTGGCGGGGGAAAGAAGAAGAAGGGCAAGGGTAAGAAATAGATTAAATGAGCTTGTAAAATTATGTTCTCTTTCATTTGGGGGTTTCTCTTCATTTCAATTCATGGGGCTCATTCAGAATGGGGTGTTTTGAGGGAGTCATTTCTTGCATCTGATGCTTGTTACTACTTTACGATTTTTATCCGTTTACCTTGGATGGAGCATGCGTAGAATCTAAGAGGAGAACAGTATGCATTACCTGCCTAACTTATTTAACGCCTATAATATACAGCCTCTCCGCCGGGTTGAGAGAAACAAGAACAGAACTCTACTAAACGCCATTCCATGATGCATGTCATACCTGTCCAAACACAAGATGCTATGGATGCTACAGCAGTTGGCTGTCATTCACGCCCAAAGGAGACCCCAGATCAATACCCTGCACATGCATTTCCGCAGCAGCCTGAGCTAGCTTAGCTTCTACCTGCACAGGGTCCAGGTTGTCTGTCCGAGCAAGCACAATGCGCAATAGATTAGCCATGACCTCAAGTTGGTATTGCTGTTTCTCGTGCGGATCAAGCTGCTCAACGCTCAACCCCTGGGCTTTAAGAGCCATCGATTTCCGGTCACTCAGCATTTCCAGAAGGCGAGTGACTTGACCGATATTCTCCTTGCTGCGCGGCGTAGAGGACAGACGTCGAAGCCGGCGTTTCGGCGTATCGGCCGGCACACCAGCTAATCGGGCAACCTGCAACACGATCAGGCGAGCGGTGACGTCGTCGGGGGCGTAGCCAAACAAATCTCGCATAGATTGCAATGCAACAAGGGTGCCGCCGAGGTCCTTGGACAAGCAGAAGCAACGCACAATCTGGTCGTAAAGTTCCTTGGAGAATTGCGAACGGGTATTTGCACGGGCGTGCTGTGAGAGCTGCGAATACCATGGGGCCATACGTGCGTACAGTTGGCGGGCTGATGGAAATCCAGCGTCAAAGGCAGTACGACCACGGTCATATTGCAGCTTGGCGCAGTCCCAAAGACATGCGAAGGTTTCCAGGTCGGGGCGAATACTTGCAGACATCTTCTCGAACTTGGTCCAAAGAGAGCGGATATCTTGTTTTCGTAGATCTGAGTAGAGGAGATGGTTCATGAAATAGGAATTCGGCTGGAGATGTGCGTCGCCAAGGCACTTGATAAGGTATTTGACCATATCATCGTCGCCTCGGCGAGTGTAATGAAGAAGAAGGATAGAGAAAGTCTCGATGCTAGCTGGTGGCACTTCTCGCTGTAAAAATTTGGGTATACGGCCTGACTCGATCGTTTGTGGGTGCTTGATCTGAATTTGAGGGGACTGTTCTGCGGGCTGGAAACGCTTCCATGCGGCATCAACGCGATGTTGGATCATGGACCAACCAAGTCGCTCTGCTTTGTCTCGTGCAGCCGCATTGCCTTCACGTAACCAGCCAGCCATGACTCCGTTCAGGTGCTTGGTGTCCGGTTTGACTCCTCGCTCGTACATTAACTCGATGACTAGCGCAGCCGAGTCGACATCGCCCATGCCAATGAGCTTCTTCATCCAGCTCGCATAAAAGAACCGGTTCTGGAAGCGTCGCGGGAGCATTGTGAGTACCGATAGAGATACCTTGTTCACAGCTTGTTCGTTGATGCTGGACGCTTGAAGATTTCCAGCAAGACCGAGAGCTGATTTGTAGAGAGCGGTCGAGTCGTTGGCTGGATCTTGTCCAGTCACCATCATGTCCTTGAATATGGCAACAGCAGTGTCCAGCCGGCCAGCTGTTAGAAGACCGATGCTGATCTGGTCGTAGTCTTCCATTGTCATATCTATGCCTAAAAATGTTTTCAGTTGCAGGTACAAAGACCACGCCTTTACCTCGGCTTCTTTTCCGGGCAGTCTTCCCCACGCCGTAATAACTGGGATAAGGACGCGAGGCTGTCGAGATTGATCATTCGCAAGGAATGCCAATGCAATATCTTGAGCGCGTTGAGGGTTATCCTCGGCTGCAAAGAGCCGAACACCTAGCATCCAGTATTCCTCCAGATCCTCTTTTTTTCGAGACAGGTCTGATTGATAGTGTTCCCACTGCTCCAATGCCTGGTTTGTAGCCCCTCCGCTATGAAGCGCTTCGATGTAGGAAAGGATTTGGGGGATAGAGAGTGATTGTCCAACGGATTGCATGTCTTTCACAAGATTCTGTAGGTGGACAGATCGTGTCGACTTCGTCAATTGTGCTGTTGTTTGTGACTCCCAGATCAAGCTCATTGTCTCTGGGGTGAGGTCTTCCAGAAAATCAGGAACGGACTGCTTGCACCGTCGGTAGGATTTCCATAGCTCTTGTCTTGTCCGCTCCTCCTTTGGGTTTTCTGAAAATTGCTGTACAAATCCTCTGAACTTTGCAGAGTATGGGTGATCTTGAAGGTCGGCAAGTGTTCCATTTCGAGCCTTCTGCGAGGCCAGCTTTCGTCTCGTTCTCGCGCTGTCCTGCCAATCCTCTTGTTCCTTTGCGAGGCTCTGAAACTCCTCTTGAAGCATATCGTCTAACTCATCATCGAAAACGTCCTTTAGCGAAGGCTGTGGTGCTGACGGGCCTTGATCCTCCTTATATTTCCGTAGAGCCTCCAGGGCAACCTTCCGATCGTTCTCCGGTAGACTCTGAATGAAAGGACTGTCAGGCTCGAAAGGGCCTTTCTCAAGTTCCTCCAGCTCTTCCTGCAGCTTTGAAAGCTCTATCTCCACCTCTTCCCGTTGTTCATTGTCCTCGGCTTCCGGGTCGACTCTTCGTCGTACTTTGCTCGCGCGGTTGTCTTGTTCGTAGTAGTTGACCTTATCGTTTGGCCCGCCGAAATGGAGGCGACGCGCAGCTACAGCGCCAAATGTGCACCGGGGAAGCGATGGGCAGCGAGCCCCATGGCACCATCGAGTTCCTCCTCGAATCGCCTGGCGGAGCATATGGACTTGTTCATCGAAGGGGAGTTTGCTGTTGTTATTTGGCGTGGAAAGTTGAAGATCGGAAAACTACCTAACGCCCAATTCGGGTTTAGCGCGCTTCCATCTCCGAGCGTGAAGTCATCCGCTCTTGACGCGACTCCGTCAATTGCGACTAGCAATGGATCCCGATGGCCTGGAGGATGCACTGGACCTGTCGAGAGACAGGTCCCAGAATCAAGTATGCCTTTGCATCTTCTGCTTTCCTCGTCCTGAAACCTAACAGATGCTAATACAAATCAAGGGCGTGTACATCTACAAACCTGCAAAATTTGGGAAAGCTACAGACGAACGACCTCCGAAACGGCGCAAGGTCTCCTTGACCGATAACGAGGGAAAGCAACATAATGAGCAATGCTTTGTGCCCTTATTAAACGGAGAGGAAACCGCTGAGTGCGTGAAGTTGCGATACGATACCTATAAGCAGATGTGGTCGGAACAGGAGCACAAGATTCAGGTGAGAAACAGAAGATTGTTAGGGAACTCAAAAGGCCTGTGCTCATCGAATTCACCAAGGCTATTCTTGAGGACGTCGATGCTGGGGTCTTGAAGGATGTGCTTTCCTTTGTGAGGGAGTCTTCACCTCCAACGTATGGCCCTTTCCTGCGAAAATCAAGAATGCCACAATCTAACAGGGAGTTCGCAGATGCAACGGATGTATACCAACGGCTTTAGTGACGGTGGGCTCCAACGTATCCTCTCTAAGCAGATTACTCTCTCGCCTCAACGACCAATTGACGACATCCGGAGAGGGCGGTGTCGTGGTTCTGGAGTCAGGCGATGCGCCTAACCTGAAGACATCGCTGAAGAACATTATTCGAGCTGCGATTACCAACACCGAAGGTAATGACGGATATCAGAAATTTATTACCGACCGCTCCGGGCCCCGACTTCTTGGTTACGATCTGGATCTTCTCCACGACTACGTTCAGAGAAAGGGCACCAAAAGTTGGTCCTCGCCTTGCGAGACAGCGAGGCCTTTGATCCTGGGCTTTTGATGGATCTTCTATCTCTATTCAAGTAAGTATCCCATACTGATAGGCAGTTCCATGGAGGTCTTTGCTGATACAACATCAGGTCGTGGCTTGATCGGATTCCATTCACCGTGCTCCTTGGTATATCAACCTCAGTTGAACTTTTCGAAGGTCGACTTCCCCGATCTTGTGTCTCCTTACTTCAAGGAAAGCATTTCGAGGTTCAAGAAGCAGGCAACTGCGTCGACCGTATTTACGAGGCCATACAGACAGATCACAATGGAAAATTGTGGATTGGTCGCAATATCACTAGCACTCTTTTTGAAAAGGCAAGCGACTATTTTCAGACTCCGGAGGCTTTTAGTCGTATGGTCAAAGTAAACCCAGCCCCGCATCCCCTATTCATTATCGACTGGTGTCTAATTGATGTTAGTATGCGTATATGTCGCATTTCTTTGCCAATCCTCTTGCTGTGCTTCTGGGCTCCCCGTCAGTGTCTACACTCTCTCAGGGTCATTTTTGTGAGGCAATACGTAACCTTCCATCTTTCCGAATGTGAGTATTTCAAATAACCAGGTTAATACTCCTGTCTAATTCATTCAAACAGGTTCTGCGATGACCTGGTCGAGGTTGGCTCTACCAATGACGCACGAAATCTGCTAGAGAATGATGAGTACCTACTCCAAGAAGTACTCAGCCACTTTGGAGCCGGGCAGGAAAAAATGCAACAGCTTCTCCAGGCCGTGTTACTTATTCATGCTTGTCTTCAGCACACGCAAAGCACAAAAAAGACCAGTATATCTGATCTATCAACCCGCGCCCTATCTGGAGAGCTGAGTGAGTCTCAAGTCTTGGATGATATGCTAGCCACCGTGAGAACACTCGACTCCGGAAAACTGGGGGTTTTGCTTTCGTCCTTGCCTAAAAGTTCGTCCGTGCATGCGCTATTGGAAGAAATCCAGGCAGATTTCGCAACCTTGCTCGGACAGTCTATACACTCCGTGCCACTACGCAGCGAATACAATATAAACAGCTCCGTGGTGAAGACGACGGTTGTCCAGCAACGAATTCTACTCAGCAAAGGCAAGGCCAACTTATCGGAACAAGATGTTGAATACACCAAAGTTGTTGATCGACTAGTTGGTGCGTTCCAGGAGTATTTCGCAGAGACCTTGATCCGGCCACAGGATTTGTTTCTACATGAAGCGTTTTTGTTTGACCTGCGAAACCCCCTGAAGGAAACCTTTGCCCCTCGGCCCCGATTTGCGCTTGAGCGCGCCTTGGGAAGTCCCTTCGACTATCTGATTTCTTCAACAGATCGAAATGAGAATAAGGTCTCAGCAAAGCAGCCTGCCACGGCTATCTTATATCAGCTCTATCTTGAGTCCGGGGCATTGATCAATGTTCACGATCTGTGGCAAGCGTTCTATGGAGTCTTCGAGAGCGATCAGGGCAACCAGTGCGACGACCGTATGGTCTTGTCCATGTTCTACGGAGCCATGTCTGATTTGAACAGATTTGGGATGGTCAAAAATAGTCGGAAGAAAGCCGACCACTTGGCCAAGTCATCGTGGATGGGTTTGTAGGTTTGTAGTTAAGATAACTAAGATCATTTCATAATAGCATAGCATTCATCGCATCCAAATCGATTCGCTTTCCCAGACCTGGGTGGGGTATCTATCATGCTGGTACAGTCAAGTATTACAAGAAAAAAAAATCATCGAGCCGCCGTCGGTCAGTCATCTTGAATCGGCCTCTGAATAATGTCGTCACGTCCAAGTGGCCGCCCTCCTTCACTGAGAACCATTGCTTCTCTCCTTCGTCGGCGAAGTGCTTGGTCTTCTGCGCTCCCTTGCCGAGGTCTTCGTGACGAAGCATGGGGGAATGAACCAGCTGTATCTTCTCCATCTTCCATCCATACATCACTTTCTGCATCGTCATCGTCTTGGTCATTTTCTTCAATCATGCTGCCCATCAGCCCATGTTTCCGTAACTGTTTGATTCCTTCTGGATGCGTGGTCAATGTACCAAATATGGAACTCATGACTGTATCATCCAACCACCAGGTTTTCATCATAATCACCACATCCTGCCGGCGCGATGGCTCAGTCACTGCGCATGGAAATGGATACTTGCACAGCCATCGACTCACAATCCCTGCTTCTAGAGCGCTTGGAACGTTCTCTGGTAAAAGAACATTTAAAATTTGAAGGGCTTTCTTCTCTCCCAATGGCCTGGTCTTCGGTAGAACGGGAGAAATTGTTGTAGATGTCTGTTCGGTGTGCTCCTCGAGGAAGTTGCAGAGACAGCTTATCAAAGCTGTATATGTTTGGATATCTCGGAGGCGGGTGCATACCGATGTGCGCGATACTATTATTCTTTAGCATTGGGTCTTTTATGCCGGCAAAATGGTTTCCATACAAGCTCGATTGGAGACCAGAAAGTGAAGGGCAGTTAGCGCCCGGCTTTGTCGGAGCTTGTCCTTGCATGCCACATCATCGAGAAGCAAATCGCGTGTTTCTCCCTTCGTGGATCGCTCCGAAATTATGCGCAAAGCTCTATATGTATATTAGTAGACAGTTTGGAACGCTTGCGTCGGCATATCATACGCGGCTCGGAGGTCATGGCTTGTGCTTTCGGAGAGCTTAAGAAGAGTATCAAGCTTGAGCACTTGAAAAATATTAGTTAAATTCTCCATAAATTCTGAAACTTCATTTACCTTCCTCTGTTCCTTCACTAATTATCTTGTCTTCCTTCTCAACGTGTTTGATCTCTGTCAGATCAACGACTTGGCGCAAGTCAGTGGCGATACCCCGAACGGCAAAGAACAATGATATGCCTGCAGCCATTAGAAATCGAATCTGACCATCCAAACATTCAATGCCATCTTACCAAGACAGAGCCACAGCACTCCATCTCCCGAGAAAGGTGGCATCGTGGGCAGTTGTAGTGAGTGTTGGAGATGCGGAGACACCGGCCGGCAGAATAGTTGATTGACCGGAGGCGGTGAGCTTAATTTTCCTGATCGGCCTCACTCCAGCAAAAAAAAAACCCAACTCCGAAAGCAGTCCTCCAAGACAACAATGCCGCCCTCACAGCTCAAGCAGCTGAAGGCTTCACTTCGGGACAGTGGAGTCCTTGGTCCCCAGCAGTCAAAAAAGCAGAAGCGCCAAAATGTGAAGTCTGGTGCCGCCGCGCAGAATCGGAACCAGCGCGAAACCGCCTTGCAAGCGATTCGAGACCGCTTCAATCCCTTCGAGATCAAAGCACCTTCTGTGCGGAGCAAGTTCGAGGCGACTACTCGTGATAGCAATGTCAAAGCCACTGGGCGTCGTCCAGGCGTCACAAGATCACTGGGCGAGGAAAGAGTGGGTTCATGCTTCTGCAATGCTAAATTTTTACTCTTGATATTGACCATTGTTGCTCCTATTAGCGTCGTGCCACCCTTCTGAAGGAAATGAATAGTCGGAACAAAATCGGTGGACTCGTTGATCGTCGATTTGGTGAAAATGATCCGACCATGACCCCCGAGGAGCGAGCCGCGGAGCGATTCGCAAGAGAAAGCCAGAAAAAGATGCGCAAAGAATCAATGTTCAACCTGGAAGATGAGGAAGAAGATTTCCAACTAACCCACATGGGCCAGTCCCTCTCATTTGATGGAGCAAACGTGGATGATTTCGAAGGCGACGACTTGGGCGGCCCGGACTCCGATGAGGAGGAGAGCCAACGGAAGCGAAAACGGCCTATTGGGGAGGATGGAGAGGAAGGCGATATGGACGATTTCATCGATTTCGGAGATGAAGATCAGCCTGACCGAAAGAAGTCGAAGGCCGAAGTCATGAAGGAGGTCATTGCGAAGTCAAAGTTCTACAAGGCCGAACGGCAAAAGGCGAAGGAGGACGATGAGGATCTCCGAGATGAGCTGGATCAAGAGCTTCCTGATCTTTTTGAAGCCCTACGCGGCATGAAGGCTCCGCCCAAGCCCGAACCAGTCAAGGCTGATGTGGATACTATGAATCCAGAGCGTGCCGCTATGTTACAAGCGCCGGAGCAGAAGGACGCAGAGAAGGAATACGACCAGCGTCTCAAACAGTTGACATTCGATAAGCGATCGCAACCGACTGATCGTACAAAGACCGAGGAGGAAAAGGCCGAGGAGGAAGCCGAGCGGCTGAAGAAATTGGAAGAAGATCGAGTGCGCAGAATGCGTGGTGAGCAGCTGAGCGACGAGGAGGAAGAGGAAGATGATAAAGATTCTTTCTTCAAAGATGATGAAGATGAATCCGATATCGATGATGCAGCCGCTTTTGGACTGCCCACATCCTACGGACCCCGGCCTGAGCTGGCTGTTGAAGATGAGGATGATTTCGTCATCGATGATGATCTTGTTGAGACAAGATCGAATGTCAGCCTCTCTTTAGATGGCAGTGATATGGAAGAAGAGGAGTTATCAGATGATGAATCTGTCGAGGAGCCGGAGCAGGAGGATGAACTCATCAACGGAATGACGCTGCCTACCGGAATCGGCGCGAGCGCCGCATCAACGGCTGTTCAAGTCAAGCAGGGCTCTGATGGGAAATTGGCTTTTACATATCCCTGCCCAGAGGACCACGAAGAGTTCCTGACGATTATCAACGACGTGCCTCCTCAAGATTTGCCGACGGTCATTCAGCGCATTCGTGCCCTACACCACCCCCGTCTTGCTGCCAATAACAAAGCTAAGCTCGGAAAATTCGCCGAGATTCTCGTCGAACATGTCTCGTACATGGCCAACCACAGCGAGGAGCCCTCGTTTGCTATCATTGAGAACATACTCCGTCATGTTCACTCATTAGCCAAAACTCACCCCATCAATGTGGCCATGGCCTTCCGTGCTCGTCTCCGTGAGATCTCGAATGATCGCCCACTCAACCTTCTCCCCGGTGATCTGGCCATCTTGACAGGCATATCTACCATTTTCCCTACTTCGGATCACTTCCACTCCGTGACGACGCCTGCGCACTTGTGCCTTGCTCGATTTCTGGGACAAGCCTCAGTCAACAGCATCTCAGACTTGACAACCGGTGCCTTCGCCACCAGCTTGTGTCTTCAATACCAAGCTGTTTCAAAGAGATATATGCCTGAACTGATCAACTATATCATGAATGCTCTCTGCAATCTCGCCCCCACAGAGCTTACCACCAAGCCCGGATTTTTTCCCTTCCGGCAATTCCAAGAGTCTTTGAAACTGGCGCCAGTCAAGAAAGTCGCTCCCCGCAAGCTTCAATTCCGGGATATCACCATGACCCCCTCGGACTCAGAGGCTGAGGAGGATCTGAAGATCTCTCTCCTTGCTACATTTGTCTCTCTCCTCGGCTCCGCGGCTGACCTCTTGGCCGAAAACTCCGCCTTCATGGAAATATTTTCCCCTGTACAGACTCTGCTTCACCACCTCCGCCAATCCTTCAAGTCGAAGGTGTTTGTGGCCGCACGGGATCCGGTTCAGTCGGTTATCGATAAGATCGACTCCCATCTTGCCCGTGCTCGTATTACCCGCCGTCCACTATTCCTCCACGACCACCGCCCACTGGCCATCAAATCCGCCATTCCCAAATTTGAGGAGAATTTCAACCCCGACAAGCATTACGATCCAGACCGCGAGCGTGCCGAGGCCAACCGTCTCAAGGCCGAATACAAGCGCGAGAAGAAAGGTGCCATGCGCGAACTGCGCAAGGACGCAAACTTTATTGCGCGCGAGAAGCTGCGGGACAAGAAAGAGCGCGATGCCGAGTACGAGAAGAAGTACAAGCGTCTTATTGCGGAGATCCAGACCGAGGAGGGCCAGGCGGCCAACGAGTACGAGCGGGCGAAGAGAGCGCGCCAAGGCAAGCGGTAATTCTGTTTCGACTTGCATTTCTCTCTTCTTTGGCGCCTTTGCTACTTGTGATGTTATATCTTGTTTTTTATTGCACAGATTATATTCATGTTTGGATTGGTACATACCGTTATTTTTCTTCGCCCTCTTATCGGGGCAGGTGCATGGCTGGGAACTCAAAAAAAAGTCGATGTCCATTGGAATTTTATCCATCTCTACCTTTGTTTCTTTTAAATAAGGCATTATGACTGCTCTTCAACACCGATCTTGTCTGATAGTAACCAATAACCATGGGTATCTGAGATATTAGATCTGCTATAGGGTACATAGACCGGCAATGTCGCTTTTGTGTTGTTGCCTAGATTCTAGGAGACATTGCCTAGGATTGCACCCCGTGTTATTTATCCAATACTTCCTCAGGTGAATGTGTAGGCTTTCAAGAACCCGACGTTAATTATGAACTCATGGCCTCTGGAAAACGGGTTTTAGTTATTCTATAGGACCGATTCTCCATAGGGTCTAATCTACTTACGCTCTAAGCGGTTTGGAACCTTTTCGGAATCTTCTCGTAGGATATGGCCCTGGATCATTTGCGCGATTTTGTTCGTCCGTGTGTATTGGTCAGGGATGGATATTGGCAGACTCAGGCTAAGAGCATGCCTCTTGGTTGTAGTATGGCGAAGCGGATAGTAGATTCATGGAAGGTAAATGACTAGATGGAGTCATGTATATACTAGGCGGTGGATCATAAAAACATCCAGCGCAGAAAACTTATGTTACTGCTCGTATGCACGGTGTCCTCTCCCACCCTACTGTCCTAAAGCCTCCCCAATGCTGACGAGATACTTGCACCGCTCCTGCTGCTTCTGCGGCACCCGCTCCATGCGGGTCTGGTTCGTGCGGATAAAAATGCGCTTGTACGCATCGTCTCCTGTGCCCCATGTCTTCCACTCCGGGCTCGACGCGTACCGATGAGTATTCGGGTTCAGGGACCGCACAAAACTGGTCCAGTACCCTTGCATCACAGGCACGATCCCGGCATTGGTTGTCCAGTACGAAGAAGGGGGCACGCCGCTGACATGGCTGGGGCCCCAGATTGCATTCACTTCCACCGTGTGCGAGGTCCCGGTGCCCTCGGCTTCGCTGCTCGGGTCGACCACGGCATAGTGATAGTTCCAGCTGGGAACCCCTGCAGCAGCGTAGACGGAAGACATATCCACTCCAGGGCAAATGTACCGGATTTCTCCGTATCCGTTACTTGCTGGACGCCAGTATGGCCCTGCATTCGGGAAGCTGCGCGTCTGGTCCGCAGTTAGGTACATGCTATTGATCTTGGTTAAGTGCGTTTTTGTGATACGTGGGAATTGGTTTTTGATAAATTGATCGGCGGCGTTGACGCTGGACGTATTCCGAGGCACAAAGATTGTGCCTTCGTTGGTATCGTCACCAAAAATCACGGGGACTTTGATGAATTTTCCCTGGTGGAAAAGCCGATAGGTATAGTCGGGAATTAAATCGCCATCGATGGTCGGGCCATAGAGGTACAATGGATTACCTGGGGCTCCAGGAAAGGGAGTCTTGATGTTCTGTGCCTGCAGAGTACTGATATCCAGGCCGCGGAGGCATGCAAGAGTATCGTCACTGCTCTTACAGCCTGTACGAGTGACCAATCTATTGTAGGCGAATTGGCTCTCGGAGACATTGAACATCGAGGCAAAGCTCTGGGATTCGGCCGCGGCCCCGATGAAAAGACCGTCATCTCGTCCACCGTAGGCAGAGAGTAGCAATGTAACAGACGCCCCTCCGGCGCTGTCGCCGCCGATGACAACATGGTCGGGGTCTCCACCAAACTGAGATCCACGTTAGGGGTAATTTCGCTTGGATAGATCAATTGAGATAGGCCTCCAGATGGAAAGGCGGGACGTTACCTTGCTAATGTACTTTTGCACCCATTCGAGCGCCTTGAGTTGGTCTTTCAGGCCATTGTTTAGACTCGCACCTTTCTGCACTTCGCTCCCGGCGAGAAAGCCGTAAGGCCCCACACGGTAGTTAAACGTGACCACGACGATGTTCAAGTCAGAGGCTTGCACCAGGCCAGAGCCATTATAGTTTTTGTTGGAATTCTCAGCAAAGCCTCCTCCCTGAATGAAAAAATAGACGGGGAGTTTCTTCTTTGCCAGGACTGCATTGCTGGGGGCATAGATGTCCATAAAGAGACAGTCCTCCGAAGTGCCTTGAGGCACGGCAGTTCCTACACTGCTGGCCACCGGAATACAGGCCGGGCCATGCTGTGATTTGATTAGCACGAGGGAGGGACGGGGACAGAGTGGGACATCTTCTCAGATAAATTGACTTCTCATACTTGTGTGGCTTGCTGAACCCCGTTCTGGGAGAGAGGATCCCGTGGTGAGGCAAATCGTAGATTCCCTAGCGGGGGGCTGCGAAGCGTACTCCGAGCCATTGGGAAATGCCGCTGGCAAATGAGGTGCCTTGGTAGCTTGTATAGCCGAGGTCGATGACCGGAGACTCTGCTACTGCTAGGGATAGCACGAAACAGAGGTAGAGGAGGATCATGTTGACATTGCCTGGCGTGCAAGCGGGGAGATGTAGGACGTCCTTCTTTAAAAGACCCTTCGGAGCTTAAAAGAAGTGCCGAGTCGGAGTCGAAGTCGAATGAAAAGGGATCAATCTGAAAGGATCTTTCGGCCCCCCAGGGAGAGAGGGGGGAAGCTGGCGAACAGGGCAGGTCATTGGAGGACTTGAGACACCTGCATGGATCCTTGAATGCGCGAATGCGTTCAATGGACCCCTGAGATCCTTTGGGGGCTCGATCCTTCCGAAAACATGGCTGGGCGTCCCTTGCGGGTCGAGTAAACAAGAGTGATTTTGGTCGAAGAAGATCGTCAGTGGCTGAGGCTGTTTCCGGCTCCACTTCGTCGGCTTTTCCCCGCAAAAACCCTATCGCCGGAAACCTGGGCTTCTGCATCCACCATGTCGGACGAGGACGATTATATGTCCATGGTCATCGAGGAGCCGACGCAAAAGGAGACCTTCACCCAACGCAAACGGCGAGAACAGCGTGAGGTACATGTCTCCTCAATTTTCCCTCTGCCCCCCCCCCCCCCCCCCTGCATCGTGGCTTGCTGTTTTGGGACCCTGCCCCTCTCCGTTGCGCGCTGACCGCGTCGAACTTTTTTAGGCCGAAGCTCGAGGCCGAGTTCTCAGCAAAGCTGAACGTGCCGCCCAGGAGGCCACCCGTCGCGATGAGGCCCTGGCGAAAAACACCCTGGACCCCTCCAACAAGGGGTTCAAGATGATGGCCAAGCTGGGCTTCAAGCCCGGCGAGTCCCTTGGGAAACGCGACACACCCCCGACGACCACCGACCCTGTGTCCACCCCTCAGGCATCTGCACCGCGTTCAGAGCCCCTCAATCTCATTTTCAAGGAAGGCCGTGGCGGCATTGGCCTGGACAGCGAAAAGAAGCGCAAGATCCGCGAGGAGGCCGCGGAAGCGACCAAGAAGATCAAGCGAGACGAAGGCGACTACCGCGACCGCGTGCGCGAGGAACGTGAGACACGCCGCACAGAGGCGCAGGTGCGCGCGGCTCAGAAAGTGGCTGAGCGGTTGGATGCTGAAGCCGAGTCCGCGGACGCGCCAGCCGATGCGTCCGGTGGCGTGATGGACCCCGACGAAGACGACACTGCCGAGCCCAACTCGGCGACGCCGCGCAAAACCAAGCCCGTGAAGCTCACCTCTCACCTCAACGTGCTCTACCGCGGCCTGGTCCGTGAGCGGGAGAACCGGGAGCGAGAGATTCAGGCTCGCCATGCGTTGCAGACGTCGCTACCGTCATCATTCTTCCCCAGACAACGGCTGCCTGGATACAATGATCCTACATTAGACCGCGATGACCTCGAGGCGCTCGGGACGCGGGAACCCTATACGGCGATCGTCGAGCAGGAGCTCGAGGAGGAAGACGCGGAACTGGACGCCTTTAATGCCCTTGAGCCAGCGGAGCGACTGGAGAAGCTCGTCCGGTTCCTGCGCGACACGTACCGGTATTGTTTCTGGTGCAAGTATCGCTACGAATCGGACGAGGAGTTAGAGGGCTGTCCGGGTCTGACGGAGGAAGATCATGATTGAAATTACTGCGGTCGCGCTGTTCGCCGTCTTTATTTGTACACTACTTCGCAAATCAAACCGATAGATGGACGATTTACATGAATTGCATTGCCAATTGTGGATTTACTTGTAATCTTTTTTCCCCGGCTACTTTGGAATCCTTCTTGTTCTCTGAAAACCAGAACTCATTATCAATATGCAAATCTCGACTATTCGAGTAATCCTAATATACACACAAGCCCCTTGGTATCATAAGAAAAGAGCAGAAAACAATAGATGAAAACAAAAAAAAGATCATCCACAAAACACAGAACGGTCCGCTGTTCACCCGAATCTATACTGGAGGATTGATGCATCCGATCCTCACCGGGCCCCGACCCCAGGCGCGCCGCGCCAATGCAAATGGGAGACCTGTCCGCTGATAAGACTCGCACATGAAGCAAGAGAACCAGAGAACATAAATAAATAAGAAAACAAGGACATCAAGGACAAAGAAAAGGGAGGGGGTTGGGGGAAAGAGAAAGTGGGATCGATCAGGGTGAGGCCATCCGGTTCATCAGCTCGGCTAGCGAGCGACGCTGGCATTTCTGAAGGCTCTGGTGGCAGCTTTCGCAGATGCGCAGGCAGCAAAACACGCAGCGGTGTCGGATCTCACGATCAAACTTATGACAAGTCATACAGGGTACGGCACACCATTCGTTCTGAGCCACCGGCATGCTGCGATGATCTTGGAAGCACGCAAAGTGGACTTTGTTCAGCGGGGCTGCGATGGGTTCAAATTCCAGGGGTGAGGCAGTCCCAGCCTGCTCGGCGCTGGATATAGATCCCAGAGGTGCACCTGCCTCATCGGGCGTGGGGATGAAGTCTTCTAGAGGGGTATCGTCTTCATTTTCGGGTTCCGATGGCTGAGAAACATTTGGCGCTGGTGCGGCTGGAGCGGGTTGCGGAGCCGGAGCAGTTTGCGGAGCTTGAGGAGCCCGAGATACTTGCTGAGCCCGAGAGGCCTGGTGGGGCTGAGGGGCCGGAGAAACCGGAGAAGGCAAAGTAGTTGATGTAGCTGCTATAGTTTGAGGAGCTTGGTATGCTCGAGACGTATGGGTGGGTGAAGGTAACTGGGGAGTTTGAGAAGCTCGCGGGGTCGGAGGCGTTGGAGGCGTTGGAGGAGTGGGCGGCAGTGGAAGTTGAGAATTGACCGGCGCTGATGCTGGTACAGGTGCTGGGGGGAGTCCCTGCTTCTGCTGCTGCGGCTGCGGCTGCGGCTGCGGCTGCAACGGCAACCGTTGTGTTTGTAATTGAGGCTGCGGTTGAGACTGACGATGAGCTTGAGGCTGTGGTTGGGCCGGAGGCTGCGATGGCAGCGCCGGGAGAGGAACTTGCGGCGGTGGCGGCGGGTGTGACGGTTGCAGCTGCGGGGATGATGAAACCACCGTCACAGGCGATGGGGACGGGGACGGGACTTGTGCTGCCTGTCGCAAGCCTGTGGGAGTCGCCGAGTCATTCGGACGAGGGCTGCCCACCTCGCGCCGCTTGGGCATGGAGGATTTGCGTGGAGGCGGCACCTCCTGAGGAGTCGGCGGCAGTTCCTTGTTGGGCGCCGTCTTGGGCGTGGCGACGACCGTCACGGTCGGGCTGGACGAATCGTGGGAGTGCAGGTCGAGAGGTTTCTTGTGGAAGGTGAACTGCGACTTGGCGCTGCCGTTTTTTATGGCCGTCAGCGACGGGACTCGTAGGCCGCGGGGGCGTTTTTCGGAATCGAAGATCGCCATTGCTTGTCACCGGCGATGAAAGAATATTCAGCGGCCGATTACGATGTGGCGCTGCGGGCGCACGGTGGGAAAGAGAGATAGAAGAGAACAGAGAGGAGGATGAAGTATAGAAGGTATGACAATCGCAGATATAGGAAGTATACGAATCCGTCGTCAAATGGACCCGATGTGCGCCACCCCCGTTTTGAGTCGGACGATCTCTCGATCCAGATGGGTCACCGAATCTGATCAACACTGCGAAAATCAACAAGAGCACAGTCGTCGCCGGTTGCAGCGATGGAGGGGAGATGCAGCGGAGCGGGCGTGGCAGACGGTATTTAGAGTGAAGGGACGGAGAAAAGAACAGAAGCAAAGAGGAGAAGAAGTAGGTCGAGCAGACAAGAAACCGGGAACAAGCAAAACACAAAAAGCAAGAGAGAAAAAAAACGCAAACGAAATGAGGGACCCATGTAATCTTAATGCGCCCAATTTGGCCGCTGAAACCCACTCCTCCGATCCCGAGATTCTTCCAGGAACCTGCCCTCCTCCACTCTTTCGCGCTCTCTCTTCTCTATCTTCCCACCTCCGAACCGCCTGTCATCCCAGGACCGGGATCGCAGGATGCCGTTTGCTACTGGAGATCGCGCTCGTCATCTCCATGCTCGATGATTGCATCGCCGATGCACATCCCGTCGATCGCCATGGAATCTCGACGTGGAATCCGACAATCATGATCGAGGCCGCCCCCTCATTGGCCGGTTGAAGAAGGAAATGGGAGGTTGATACATGGTCCCCACTGCACCGCTCTTGTGCCCTGATGTTTCACCTTCTCCCAACGTGGTGGGGGCGATTGGACCCGTCACAACGCTGCGGATGCGCTAGCGGCAATAGATCGAGGTTAGCGACTCATTCATGTTAGAGGTCCGATTCCCCGACTCCGTTCGCTACTGTACCCTCTCGGATCAGCTCTCTCGTCCTCTTCTTCTTGCTGGCAGATCGAAAATACCCCTGAATCCTGTCCATGCAGACTGGCTGGATCGTCCCGGCATTCCACGGGTCCGCTGCTATCGGGATCTCATCCCTCATTGGAGGAGATCGGGTTCAACGTTCGTCTAGCACGGACTTCGCCGTCATTCATCCCCCTCCCATCCCGGAAGTTCTCATGTCGTCATTGGATTAGGGTTTCTTATCGGCTTCCTTTCTTTCCTTTTTTTGGGTGCAGACTCGTTCTATCTACTATGGACGAAAGACCTGTCTCCTTCTCCTTCTTATTCGCTTTTTTTCTTTTCTGTTCTGTTCTTTGCTTTTACACCATACACTTTACGGAGTTATTGACACGAGGTTGGATGAAAGCAAAAGAAAATAATTGGTTTAGAGGGTTGCCTATACACTTTTTGACGCTATTTTAACTATCGTTTTCCGCAACAGGCATGTACGATCGGCGCTCCCGCGCTGCCTGCAGGTCAACCACGCATTAGCCGCTAGAACACCGAGAAGGCAACCGTCCGAGGGTGATTGCTTTGGGGGAAAGGGGGGAAAAGGGTCGTTTTTGCTATGCTCACCTCGAGATAGCGCTCAATCCAGGGCTTGAGCACGGCCCAGGCGAGCAGTCCGCCCGTCGCAAAAATGAAAATGAAAACGACTGCCTCGTCCTTCCGAGAGTCGCGCTCTATGCGCCCAACGGTTGTCAGCTTCATGCACCTTGCTTTTTGGCTTGCGTGGATCTGCGGAGGAAAACAACAGTTCGAAATGGGGTTTGCCTTGCCCCCGTGCAGGACAAGGCAGGTGTGTGATCCGAAGCGCAAAGAGCCCGTCTCGTCTCAACTTACGGAAACAAGTGGTGAAGACATCGTCTTCTTTGGCGTCTTTGCAGATCGGGAGGTCGTAGTCCAGGCAGAATTTGCGATTACAATCGTTGCAGTTCAGTGCGCGGTATTTCTGTGCGCGCTCGATCACCTGTGGTACGGGGGGTTCGGGGTCGGCGGAGGGATCGTCGAACGCGCGTTCATAGATGTTGTAGACCTTGTCTAAGGCGGACGAGGACGAGCCCGGCTTGGCAGGGTCCAGGGGGATGATCGTGCTATTGGAGAAACAGGTACATTTGCAAAAGGAGGTGGGTGCTGGAAAGCCAGTGCAGATTAGCGAGGAGTTACTGATCAGGTAGACAGCAGCGCTGGTAGGTTCATTGGGCCGATCCGCAGCTGCAGATGTAGCTTTGGGAACAAGAAGGGGAATAGATGGAAAGCAGGGTGGGCGGCTTCCACGTACTAGACGCGACGGTGACGGATATGAGGGAGAACAGGGCAAGTAGTAGCAGGAGCAGACTTGCCCTGCTGCTCTTGACACTCCAGATGGGCTGCATCTTGCGGGCAGTTGATCAAGTTGGGACAACGGTTTTGATGACGAGGTTATCGGGGTTATCTGGAAGCACGTGACCTATGGGCTCCGATAGGCCGCAGCGGGACTACGGCAGTATCTACGCAATCAGCAAATGAGACAAACGAGGTCAATGCAGTTTATGTTCCATTGATGTGATCGGTTTATACAGATATAATGAAGCGTGGCTCCGACCGTCCCTCGCCATCTACACTGGTCTTTCTAAATCGCAACAGCGCTAGGTATGACTCCATCCAAATCACGACTTGCCCTTCATACCCTTCTTCCGATTATCTCGCTGTCGCTGCTCCTTCGCCGCGTCACGCCGCCTCTTCTTCCAGGCGCGGTTGTTCTCTCCACGGTGTTCCCAGAACCACTTCGCAAACTCAGTCTCCTCCTTAGGGATGTCCTTCTCTCGGGGCTTCGAAACAGGGGTATCAATAGATATTTCTTCCTCCTCATCCTCATCCATCTCATCGGGGTCTACCCAGTTCCGGTGTCGGCTCGCCAGAGCAGTATCGGGCGTAGGCGCAGCACTCCGTAGGCCCCGAGATTGGAGATCCTTTTTGGTAAATGGCGTGAAGGGAGTTTGGGGCTCGGCGGCCGGGCTTTCTTCCTCAGACTCAATATCATTACCGAAGAAGCTGAACCCAGCCGTGGTGTCCACTGTCAGCGATGCCTCCGCAGCTTCCGGGGCAGATCGCTTGAAAAGGGCCTCCAGGGGATGAACCTCTTTGGGAAGTGGCTCGTTGGCATCTTGGACGGGCGCATTTTGCTTGCCCTTTGCCTCGTCCTCGTCCGATTCGGCTCGAGAATCAGAGTCGGAACTGGAAGTTAAATCAGAATCTGAGCTCGAGGCAGAAGCTGGATCCTCAAATGTAGTTGCCGGGTCATTCGCAGGCTTTGAAGTCTCTTTCACGGGCTTGTGAAGGGTGGAGGTCTCCTTTTCCCCGGATGGCTCGGACAACTCATCTGAAGAGCTGATGGCCTCGCTTTCTGAGTCTGAGCTCTCATCAGACGACGATCCACTGCTGGACGTCCAATCTTCCGGCTCGCTGGATGATTTTCGGGTATCCTCCTCCCGCGCCGAGTTTTTAATGGCTGGTCGCTTTTCTTTGGCCCCGGCGACCTGGCCGGGACGGTAGTTATCCTTGCGAACTTTGCTGCTGGCGGTTTCCTTCACGTTCCCGCCAGCGTCCACCCACCCCTTTCCTTCTTCAAACTCCGTTGTGGGTGCGCTGTCTTCACCACTGGTGCGCAGGAAGCTGGGATGGGTCATCGTTTTGGCAAATTCGTGGATGACGGACTCCGACTCCGACTTCTTCTTTTTCTTGGCCTTCTTGTCGTCGGAAGTGACATCAGAGGACCGGTTGGGTGGGACGGTGGTTCGGAACAAGCATTCAGCCTTCTCGGTATACTTGGACTTGGCTTGGGGTTTTTCTTTTTTGTCGCTCTTGCTGTGCTTCTTGTCGGATCTGCGTCGGTCCTTCTTGGTATTGGACGGTTCGGTCCAGCCTCGCTTGACTTTGCGATCGGACGGGAGCTCGTAGCCCTCAATGACTTCGTCGTCCGATTCGCCCGACTTCCTCTTCTTAGATTTTTCTTCGCTTCGACAGGTAGATTCGCCACGGCCGTGTCGTCATCTTCGTTTCTTTGTCGCTTGTGCGGCCGGGCGGCCTCGATCTTGAACTTCTTGCCCTTCAGGATCGAGCCGTTCAGCTTCTTCTTGATCTTTTCAGCATCCATGGCCGGTAGTGTGATATATCCGTAGCTGTTCTCGGGGAAGGTTTGCAAGGTGTGGAACGAGATATCGGTCGCGGCCTGTCGGAGCGACGGAGGGAGGACCGAGGGCAAGATATCGGGGGTCAGGGGGAGTGATATGGAGTCGGGTCGTGGTGGCTTTGGTAGCCTCGGTCATGGCAGATGGCAGGCCCCGGTTGGACCAGTTTGAGAATTTCGTAAATGAGTCCACGACCCACGAGAGCAACGAGAGCAAGCCGATTTTTGTTTCCGCTCTTTTTTTTTCTGCTTCTGCACCTCCGCGGCCACAGCTCGGCGGCTACCACCGCCTACCTCTTTGAGACCCCCGTGACCATTTGCCTGTTTATCACGTGATGTATATGTACCCTGGGTGGTGATCGAGATCACCTGACACTTCCGTCTGTAATCACGATACCGACCAGTTCAAGCGCTAAAAATAATCCCGTTCGCCCTCTGACTTGACCAAAAATGAGGGGGAGCCAAACCGATGATGTGAGCCAAGGAACCGCTGCCCGTCTACTCCACCCTCAATGTCCCACTCATGCCGGCATTACAGGATATCCAGCAGGGAGGTCTTTTATGTACTCTGCCGTACAGTCGAACGGGTATTATTCGATATGTGGTTGGTGTTTGATCGACATGCAGGGCTGATGTAATCACGACCTGGTGATGACGGCACACGACAAAGATGGCCAGACCAGAATGGAGCCTCGTAGGGTCGGTGGAGGGGGGTCTGGATTTGTGGATTCGTAGATTCGTGGACGTGTGGACGTATGGCCTGGTGGATGAAGCACTGTCGCGGAGTATGTAAGAGCACTTCCGCCACATCCGCCCCCTGCTCGTCCTGCTCGTTCTTGTTCTGTGGGAGGAACACGATCTTCCAGACTGCGGACTCTAGACATTCTTCTGCCATACTGTCTCTCCCGATCCTCTTCCCCAGTTCCTCCGTGCCAACTCCTCCCCCCCCTCCCCAAACCCCTCCATCTTCTCCCCGCGCTTTTGAACACTTCTCTTCTCCTCCACATCTCCCCACGTCATCTTCGGTCCCTTTCCTTTCCCCCCCCCCGATGTCATCTTGGCTTTAGCCTGTCCCCCTGCTCGTCTGCTCGGTCTGCTCGTTAATCCACTCTCTTTTGCCCCTTGGGGGCCCTTTTTACCCGACCGGAGTTACGCCGCTCAGGGCCTCCCACGTCGGCTCTTCTACCCTCTCTTTCCTTCCCCTCCTTCCTTTCTTTTTTCCCCATCCCCTCGGACCCTCTTCGCGATGGGTAACTCCCAGACCAAGGAGTCCCGGTCCTCCACTCCGCGTCGCCGCAGCCAACAATGGTCGCCAGGCGCTTCCGATGCTCCCAACCGGGTCCTCTACCAGTCGCCTCGGTCGGGTAGAAGCAGTCGGCCAGACCTGTCGATCCTCGGAATCGGCAGCGGCCATCACCATGATCGCGACGTGGCCACTCTGGAACAAAGGCGGGAAACCAAGCAGGAACGGGAAGCGCGTCGTCTGGAGAAGGAGCGGGCGGCTCGAGTGAAGGAACGAGAGCGCAGTATGAAGGAAGAACATGTGGATGGGGGCTACCTCGTCACCCAAGGTGTCTATGTGGGAACAGAGGATTTCAACAAGGCCGTCGTCCGCCAACTGATGGTCTGTCCCCACGGGGAGGAGACCTTCCGCATCCCGCATCGTCAGTGACCCCGGACTAACACCACTTCTTCCTTCTAGATTGAACGTCGTCTGGCCCCCTTCTGGAGAGGGCTGAACGATTTCTCAGATTCATGGGCCGAACACCAGCTGATGGCTGCCGCCCGGGGCATGACCATACCTCCGCCGGATGAGATTCCCCCCGAGTTGGAGTACACCCTGCCCAAGCCATCCGATGCGAAGGATTCGGCCGATGCGACTAACATTCAACATCTCACCGTGCCTATCACATCGCGCTCCCAGTCTCTCAACTCTGATATATCGCAAACCTCCAACCCCGCCCATTCATTACCATCAGCGCTATCACCGATTGCATCAGGGACCTCCACCTCGCCTCTATTCCGCGCCCGCGCGAAGACTCTAGCCGCCCTGACGACGTCTTCAAAGCATGGCTCCCAGACGGACCTCACGCCGCGAGAGTTGCAACTTCCCAAAGACCTTTTTGTCAACGGACAGCCGATTGAGGTCTATCTGTACAAGGATTCCAGCGAATGTCCTATCTGTTTTCTTTACTACCCGCCGTATCTCAACCGTACCCGATGCTGCGACCAACCCATCTGCTCTGAATGCTTTGTCCAGATCAAGCGCCCAGAACCGCACCCCCAGAGCATGGGGAGCCCGACGCGAACGCCCCAGCGCCGACCGAGGGCGAACGAGCTGAATCAACCGAGGGTCAGCTCGTCTCAGAACCTTCGGCTTGCCCGTTCTGTGTCCAGCCTGAATTTGGAGTCACTTATACTCCTCCTCACTTCCGCCGCGGCTTGACCTATGCCGCAGACCCAAGCGCGCGGCCATCACCCAATATCACATCTCCTGTCTCCTCCACGTCATCTCTGTCTTCCGCCAACCTAGCTCCAGTGGTCGGTCGTCGCCGGGCGACATCCTTATCCGCCACTGACCCTGCTGTGGTCACCACCGATAAGGTTCGTCCGGACTGGGCACAGAAACTCGCAAATGCCCGAGCGCATGCTGCGCGTCGATCCGCTGCGGCGACCGCCCTTCACACCGCAGCTTATCTGATGAACTCAAGCAATTCGGGCAGTGACTCCCGTGGTCTCGGCCTGGGACGTCGAGGACTACGGCGCGCCACGCACGGGGATGCCGGCCGGACCGGGTCTCCCGCGCTGAATGCCCTGGCCTTCTTGTCTGAGCGCCCGGACCGAACCCCGCCGCGTGCGCCGGCGCAGGATACAGATTCGGCCGAAGAAGGATCAGGAAGCATCGCGCCGCCACGAGACGCATCCCGACGTACCCGCATCGACGATCTTGAGGAAATGATGATGATGGAAGCGATTCGTTTGAGTCTGGCCAGCGAAGAAGAACGTCGAAGGAGAGAGGAAAAGGAAATCAGAAAGGAGGCCAAGAAGCGGGAGAAAGAAGCCAAGAAGGCGGGAAAGGTTGCTCGCAAGAACGGCTTGTATAGCAACAATGCTAGCACTGTGGCACTGGAGGTTCCCGGAGAGTCTTCTCTCAGCAAGGATGCCAGCAGTGCTTCCTCGGTTGTGGGCGAGGATTCTACTGCTGCAGGAAAGGGCAAGGCCGTCGACCGGACAATCCAGGCTGCATCAAGTAGTGCTGGTCCGGTGGATCAGACTCCTTCTGCTTCTCTAACCGTGGAATCTGCGGCTGCCGAACCCTCAAAACCCTCCCATCTTCGCCACGTATCGAGTGCATCCTCTTCCTTCTCATCCATTATGGAAACCAATACCGAGGACCGATCGGGTGGACATATTGGTGCCGATGGCAGCAACACCTCCTTGGAGCCCATGTTCAACTTCCGTAGTCTGGCTGCGGTCATCGGCGACGAGGAGAAGCCCAGTGAAGCCGAACACGTCGAGGATACGGCCACCCATCCTCCGGCCGAGGGCTCTTCGAGCGCCACTCCTTCCGTCCATCAGCCGACTAATCCTGCGAAACCTGATTCCGATGCGGCGGACCCGATCATTCCCAACCCGACACCTGTGGTGAGTCCTGCGATAGAGACTCCAAACGGTTCAGGTGGAATTCTTCCCAAGGAACTTGAGACTCGATCTGTCGAGATTGCCGCCCACACTGAGACCTCATAACCTTCATCTTCTCCCTCCATCTTTTTTTCCTTTTCCCTCGTTTCCTTGGTTCTTGTTCCCCTTTGGGCGCATGAATGGATTAGCCGGCGCTGCAGGAAAGGGGTTTTGATTTGATCAGAAGTGGGTTTCTTGCATTGCACTCCCTTGTCTATCTTTATGTTCCTTTCTCTTTGTCTCCTTTCTCTCTGGTGGCGGGACCGGACCCCCACCCATAGCATTCATGTTTTTTGTCACCATCATCATCACAACTACCATGATAGAGATCCATTTTGCTTTCTTCGGCCAGGTGCCTCCTTGAGACTGCCTGCGATCCACCCGCACCTTGGCTTTACTATGTATTCCACTTACTACTATTAGCAAATGGCTGGCTCTTTTTTTCCATTCGGCTTCAGTGCTGGTCTTCAGACTCCTTCCAAAGCGTAGGCAAAGCAAAGCTTGTATCTGTAATATTGAGCAAGTTTTAGGCACGGAAAGACTGCCTTGGATTGAAACCAGGTCTATTGTTCATCGCGGCAATTTTATTAGGTAAATATTTCATAAATACGCCTGCAATTTTCCTGCAGCATCATGTTGCACAATTGTGCAGACCCTAAATGGTGGGGAACGGTGCTGGCTTTGATTGGACCGATTGCGATTAAGAAACAGACCCAAACGGCCGCTAGCGCCACCAAAGTGGGGATTGGGGGGGGGACTTTGGAGATTTCCAGGGTCACTATATCCACTCCTTTCTTAGATTGTTGGTATTGTTTATTTTTGATGCGGGCTTAGAAAATCAGTCTGGTATTGAGAGATGAGACTCTGCAGTATATGCTAGGATGTATAGAACGTACTCAGTATGGAAGTGGCTTATATTCCGTTGTTCTTTTGATTTTGCTCGCGATTACGACCGAGATTAATTTTAATCGATCTGACCTGTTCACAGACTTGACTAGTATGTATATATAATGCTAGAACTATTTGATTATTGATTGACAGTTTTCCTGCTCCCCATCCATTAAATTGGTGTAAATATTGGCTACCACAATGGTATGCTCCATCGCCTTTTGCTATTCAAGGAAACCTTGAAATGCCCAGGCATCTACAAAGTTTTATAAAAAAAAATTTTAATTCCTGAAACTGCCTCTAATAATCCCTTGCTATCTTCTGCTGGTCATGATACTTCTCAAATCAAATAAAAATATTCTAGAAGTACCCGCACGCGGTCTGCATTCCTCGGGGCGGCTGGAAGTTTGTATGGCAGCGGTTCCGTTAGGCCCGAGCGCCGGACTCGGTTGAGTAATGGAAATGCAGACTCTTTCCCCTCGCCACCTCTTCTTCCCCCTCCTTTATCACTTGACCTCTTCACGTTTTCAAATTATTCTCTTGCTTTCCTATCCCTCGCTAAAGACAAAGGTCTCTGAAAACATTTGCTGAGGTGACCTCGATTTTTTTCTCTTTTCTTTTCTTTCCTTTTTTTACGCCAGCACACCACACGGCAGACGAGGATCAAGCAAATCGACTTGACTTCGCGGGGAGGGATTGCCGTAAGGTCTTAAATACTTCTCTTGAACGATGGTATTAACACAGCAGCCAAGATTCATTTCTCCGTCTTCCAACAATGCCGAAGATGCGTTCCCCACTGCACAGCTTTTCCTACTGGGTACGTTCCGCCCTCGTGGCTTTTATTTATCCACAACATCTCAATTGCTAATGTCTTCCGGTGCAGCAATATGTCGAGTGGCCGAGCCTATTGCCTTGACCTCTATCTTCCCCTACTCATGGGTGATGGTCAAGGACTTCCACATGGCTAGTGGCAACGACGCATCTTTCTATGCTGGTATCCTGATCTCAGCCTTTTCGCTCGCCGAAGCCCTGACGGGCATGTTCTGGGGTAGTCTCGCGGACCGTGTTGGTCGCAAGCCAATCCTTCTTTCTGGCTGCTTCGGCACTTTACTCTCTCTCCTTCTTGTGGGATTGGCCCCGAACTTCTGGGTCGCCCTGGTGGGCCGCGCTCTGGGCGGTGCCTTGAATGGCAACATCGGAGTAATCCAGACCATGGTCGGTGAGCTTGTTAAACGACCAGAGCACGAGCGTAAGTGCTGTAATGGAATTTTTCGTTTTCCTCTGCTGGATTCTGGCTCACATCAGTTTGCTTACAGCCCGGGCATATGCGGTCATGCCCTTTGTGTGGTCAATTGGAACCATCATCGGCCCAGGTAAGCAAGAATTTACCCTTCCTGGCTTCGCTACAAAACTCTCAGGCCCGATACTAAATCGCAACTTCCATCAACCCAGCCATTGGAGGGCTACTGGCGAGACCATCAGAAGGCTTTCCCTCTCTATTCCCCTCGGAAGGTCTCTTTGGACGTTTCCCTTACCTGTTGCCGAACCTTGTCTGTGCATTCCTTTTGCTCCTAAGCATTATCGGGAGCTGGCTGTTTCTGCGTGAGACTCACCCGGAGATGCAACCTGGTAGTCATCACCAATTCTTCGAGCACACAACAGTTGAGCAGCCTTTACTCGCGACATCAGGGGCAACGGCCAATGCTGGTGTTGACCTTCGCGCTGAGTCATACGGAACCTTTAACGAGGTTCACCTGCATGAAGATGAGATTTGGAATGTCCTTACGGATGAAACCTCTCCCACGTGGAAGAAGCCGCCGAGCCCCAAGGCCTTCAATTGGCGGGTGAGTATGCTTGTGGTTGCACTGGCCATATTCACGTACCACTCGATGACTTATGACCATCTTCTCCCCATCTTCTTACAAGACAAACCCAGTCAGGGCGTACCAAGTGACCATCATTCCCCTTTCTATATACCAGGCGGTGTCGGTCTCTCGACTCAGTCTGTGGGCATGATCATGTCAACCGACGGCATTATCGCCCTGGTCATCCAAAGTCTGATCTTCCCAGCTTTGGCTCAGTGGCTCGGAGTCTGGCGACTTTTCGTTCTGGTGACAGTGCTCCATCCTATCGCTTACTTCATGGTCCCGTTCCTCGTATACCTGCCGCAAAACTTCGTCTTCTTCGGCATTTATGCGTGCTTAATTGTCCGCAATGTCCTTTCCATCATCGCCTATCCTGTGCTTTTAATTCTCATTAAGCAAGCCAGTCCGTCGAACTCGGTCATGGGTAAGATCAATGGTCTGGCCGCCTCTGCGGGAGCTGCGTCACGCACTATTGCACCACCTGTGGCAGGGTTTCTGTATAGCACTGGTGCTAGAATTGGCTGCACTGCGATCGCATGGTGGAGCAGTGCGCTTGTTGCCCTACTGGGTGCTGCGCAGCTCTGGTTGGTCCAGCGTAAGAAGCATACCTCAGCGACTGTGAGCGCTGCGGTTTCCTGCTGTTATGCTCCTGTTACGGACCCCCGGCCGTCGAAAGAAATAATTCGCATTATTGTTACCGATGCCGATTCTGATGAGACCCCAACCGCAGCGGTTTCGCGGTAAAAACTGGCATCGGATTGCAACATTCTCTCCCGGTCGACTCTTACTCTTTTTCGAATCAGAATCAAGTGGTCTGAAATAAGGTATATGACTGTCATCCGTTTCTTTTTTTATTCTTTTTCGTAATTAGCGAGCAGTCCTTTTGTTACCAAGCCCTTTCTTGCATGGCGTCGAGCGTTTGTTTTTTGCATGCTGCTCACCAGCCTCCCTGTGACTCAAAGTTTTATGTATTTGCAACGACCTGCTATTATTGAACTACTGTCAAAAATTTTGAATTATAGAACATTTTTCCAAATCAATATAAAAATTGTTCACTCAATATACGTATAATTCTAAAATCCGCAGAACCTGAGAAGCGTTCCGAGGGATTATTTACAGTGGACTTCTCGATTTGCATATGTCGAATTGTATATAATAGACAAAGTAAACATATACCGATCTACATCAACCCGAGAACTTCGTCGGCTTTGGCATGCTTGGGCCACAGATCATCAGTCATACGGATTGACGAATATTTCCCTCGCATACCGGGATATTTAGGACCTAAAAAGGTCTCACAGGGGAAGATGGGCCGGATTGTGGATGGGATGTTCAAATCTGTTTTGAGATAACTTGAATATTGAGCTCAAAGGCCCGCAAAACACGCCGCACGGGGAACGCATTCGGTATAGATGAACCAAGGATTTGTTCTCATCTCAACCCAGTGACATAACACAGTAATATGGTCATCACTGGAGAACTTCGTAAATTTTTTACAGATGGGTATGTTCATTGCAGTGGACATGCAAAAATTCATAATATACAAGGTAGAAACGCTTGTGAAATGCGTCGCCTCAGAGTTGAATGATATCCAGCTCAGAGAAATCCGGTGGACTGCGACTGAAAACCGCTCGGCATTTGCCGTCAAGTCCCTGGTACTCGTTGCTGACCCAGATATGCTTGCTGAATCTCTGGGTGCGGTGGACTTCGTCGTCGCTGACTCCAAGATCGTCCCGCGGAATCCAAATCACAGGCCGTTTCGCGCGAAGCGCCTCGTGTTGGAAGGCGCGCTGCACTAGTTGATCGCGCTCTTCGGGGGTGAGATCCTCCAGTTCGTCGTGGATGCCTGCGAACAAGGCGCTGAGCCTGTTTGAGACTTGCTCTTGGCCTTCGGTGTCTTGGGTCACCTTTTCGCGCAGGGACTTTATCATCGTCGGCGATGAGGCTGTTGAGTTCCCGCCCAAGGACCTGGGTCGTCGGGTTGGGTCTGCCTCAAGACTCTTGAGCTCGATGTCTCGTCCCTCGGGATGCTCGTCGTTCTCGGGGTGGGGAACTCCATGATCAACTGGCGGAGCCTCATCACCACCATCTTCGTCGACAGCAAGGCCCAGTCGAGTATGTTGGGCACGCTGAAATTCGTTGTCGCGGCGGATAGCATCATCTTCCAAGGTGATTGGTATATACCTAATCAGGGGTCCAAATGCATCGTTGAGGAGAACTTGATAGCCGATTGTCATAGCAAGAACAAAGCACATAATGATGCCTTGGCCTTTGCAGGACACCTCATCGTTCTCGTCTCGAACCAGGAAGAACAAGACAATGAGAGCAAGTTCCATTACGTATAGACCAGTGAAAAGCTGATTAATGGCCCGAGGGAAAAGGAGGCCCCCGGTATCAAATCGGAACTTGGTAACATAAAGGGTGCGGTAGCGATACACAAACCAGAAGGCACCAAACGTAATAACATTGAACACAAGAATCAAAGGTGCAACAACGCAGTAGATCATTCCTAGAGCGAGAGTTAGGATGTTTCCTGATATAATATCACACATTCTTAACATACCGATCGAGGCCAGCGTAGTATACATAGGGAAGAAAGAGCCCCATTTCATTCGGTTCAAGGTGGTCATTCGAGTCCACTTCTTTCTCGCAGTTTTATCGAGAATTGGAGCAAGAATGAACCATTTAATCAGGCCGGCAATCTGCATCAGTGCACCAGCACTCACAGACATAGCCCGTAGTATCATATAAGAGAAGAAATAGTTGCTAGCTTTAGGGATATCGTTGGCCAAAAGTGTTGGCCAGTTGCTCACGTCGGAAGCGCCCTCGAGAATAGACGCAATGCTAGACGAAATTGTAACAACCAGGAAAAGCTGTACAAACAGAAAGGCGAAGTAGTAGTTTTGAACGGTCATCTCGATAGCCATACCCGTCACTACACCTTGCCTCTTACACAGGAAGCGAAGACAGACAGGAAGAATTGCCATCAAGATCGCGAGGAAGATTGTAGGCAAGACACCTTGAATAGCTGAGACCAGCCAACTCGGTAGCTTGCTCAACCAAGATAGCCATGTAAAGAGGCCCTCTAGATACGATAGCTGCGACAACAGCCCGGTAAATGCAACAGGAATTGCCCATGAAATAACCATCACACAGACAATCGTGATGATAGTAAAGGTGCGCAAATACCGCTCCCACCACTTCATAGACATGTTGTCCCAGATGACATCGTCGGGAGAGATTTCCACGATTCGTGGTGCCATCTGCTTGGGCAGATGATGACTGAGTGACTGACAAGCCATATGCGCAGCAACTTGATGATTGAACTGAATGAATGCTGAGTTCATGAGCGGGAATCGTTCGGGGTGTTGTTGATCGACTTCAATTTCCAGGTTCAGGCGGGCGAGTTCTTTGCGACAGTAGTTGATTGTGTCAACTTTCGTGCCAATAAGCCAGATAGTTGGCCATTTGTTCCACTTGAACCACGGAAGTCGCCATGTGTCTCGATCCTTAGCCTTGATGTATTTCTTCCACAATGGCTGGTCTGATTCATCCAATTTCTCAAGATCATCCTCTGCAAATTCTTCGTTATATGCAACGGGATACGGCGGCGGATCATCGTCATCACGTTCTTGACCGTCGTTTTGCTGGCTTATCTCCTGCTTTTCAGTCATTGATCGGCCAAAGCTACCAGGCTCCGTATCAGGGATAGGTGTTTCGGGTGCAGTGAGAGGTTGCTCATCAATTTCCGGGTCACGTTTAGAATGCTTGGAGTAAGATGAGACTCGAGATACCCAAGAGGGTCGTTTGGACAGTGGCTTGACATCCTGGCTAGGTTCTGACGGTTGGGTAGCGGAATCAGACGTCGTAGGTTTCCCTTCGACGTTGGTAGGAGGAGAATCTTCCCTGCTGCTGACGGGAGTGATTTGACGAGGTAATCCATAGTCCAGAGACTCGACAAAGCCACCCGTACGCATCAGTTTATTGTCAATACCGCCCTCGACCTTCTTGAAACCACCGAGAACAGTTTTGCCCAGTTTCCCGACACCTTGGCCAACTGCCCCCGCCGCCATGATCGCCGGATCAAATACCTTATCCATGACACCGTCCGATGTATTGTGCTGCTTTCCTTCGGGCTGCCGATGGAGAACTTCTGCCAGCGTGTGAGCCTGGTGGGGATTGCCGGAGCTCACACCGGGTCCCATGGCCATTTGAGATGCCCGTCTATCGGTGGCCATCCTTTCTCGATCTTGGGCGCTGATCTTGGATTTTCGGTTCTTCTTGTCCTCCGCCTTGAGCTGCTTGAGTTGAGCTTCCTTGCACTGACGGATGAGGGAGGTCTCGGCCGCCTCCAGCTTGAGCGCCACCTTGCGCCGTCGTTTGACCTTTTCGTGGAGCTCATCATAGTCCCGATTGATCCAGATGTTCCTCACACCTCCCGGGAAGACGCCAAAGAGCTTATTCAAGGCTTCGGCATTCAGCCAGTCGGTTGGGATAGAAGTAACCAGCACGGTGGTAGCGGATGCCCGCAGCCGGTGCTGGGGCGATGTCATATAGGCTTGTCGCATGCGAATATAGACTCGCAGCTCGTCAAAGAAGATCGCGCACACGTAGGCCACGATAATGATTGCCATGATCAGGTGCGCCCAGTATCGGTGGGTGTGGGAGGGTCGGACATTTCCCCAGGCCAACTGATCGAGGCCCGTTACGGAATATCGCGTTCCATTGTGGCCGTTGATGAAGTTCGTGCCCTTCCCTCCAACCCGGTTGATGGGAATCAGGACCGGAATCAACAACACGGCCAATGGAATGAAGATCTTCAGGAGCATGCGCAGATAGCGCAAGAAGAAATAGGCATCCAGGCCGCTTTTCTGGATGAATTCGGCACTGGGGGTTGAAAATACAGGGCCAACCCAGCGAAATAGACCTGGCGGTGATGCTTCAGTACGTTCCCGATCCGGGACCAGGTATGTGCGTGGCTGACTGCTGTGGTTAGTCTGGACGTATGATACAATTTTGATTTCGAGGACTTGATGCTTACTAAATGCGAGTCAGTTTGCCTTTGAGCATTAAGAAGACACAAAATTCAACGGCAAAGATAATGATACTGGTCGCCAGCGAAGCCAGAAAGGATGATAGTGATTCTCCCTCATCGTTTGCGCTTTTGCTTCCGGCATGCTCGAGAGCATCGAGCAGTGCGTTAGTCATGGTGAATTAGTGCTGCGGCGCACGCGCTGAATTAAGGATTCAAGGGTCCTTTCCCCTTTAGTCTGGGAAGGTCGATGATGATGCTGGGGAGAGGATGTGACGAGGTTGCTGAGGGCCCCCGAGGGTCCGAGAGAGCGCAGGATCTCCCTTGATGATGGTTTCCCCCACTCTATTTCCTTTTTCTATCTCTAATTGAAAGGGTTGAATGGGTTTACAAGGCCAAGTGGGCATGGCCAGGAATAAATACAGCGAAGAAAATATCGTCAATGGCGCCGGTCTAATCTTAAGTGGAGCCGCCCTATACGGGGCTACCGTTTCGAGCGTCGAGTGCCACCAGATCCTCCAGAACCTCCAGGCATCGGAGGTGATCTTGATCGCATTGTGTGGTCAATTGGCTATGACATCAAGCGCCTGATGAAACTTTCGATGGCCAAACAGCGTGCAGATTCCGGCTTTGAAGAACGCGTGCGGCCCGACCTAGGTTATCTTTAGTTCCATTTAGGGCTGGGTCCTCCGGTGGCTGGTTCCCAGGCTCCTTTTCAGTTGGTCTCCCCAACCCGCGCTGTGAGACAAAACAAACGAAATCCATATGCCGATGACTATTAATCCTTATCTTGTACCCTTTATTATCTTAACATTGCAGGGTTCACCCTGAAAGAAAGGGGCGACCGCAAGCGGAGGGCTGCAAGCGCCCTCATTACGTGGAGATTCCCCACTTCGCCAGCAAAGACTTGCGTAAGCCCGACGGTCGCTCCTGAATCAGGATGATGTGATGGCGAGACGCCACGACAAACAAGGCAGCGAACGCTGCAGCACAAGGCCCTGCTAGCTATCTATAGCCAGTGGCTTTGTCTCAAACGCAGGTCAAAAGGTGAAAATAGCAGGGTTCCCGCAATAATCCCCGATTCACACCATTCAAAGTTCCATCCGAGAGGGAGAAGGGGGTTCTATATTTCATAAGCCATCCAGAACACTTCATAGTTAGCGCCTTCATAGTTAGCGCCCTATCAGAGCAAAGTGTGCTACCAAATTTGATCGACGCGCTAATTGATGCTCAATTGATGGTAGTGGAGGTGACATACTAACTTTTTGGTCCGGCAGACCCCCGCAGATTCAAGTTCATTATTCAACCCAAGTCTATCGTGTCTGCCCCGCTTTAAATCCTATGGGCACAAATCGGCAAAATTTGAGTCTGGCATCGGACTGAATGCGCAGATCCTTTATATCATAACGGTACATCATAACGGTACCCCCTCAATGGTGTGCCGCCCGATCAAGAGTCGAGCGGGATCCACCACCTTTAACCGAAATTCCCAGCAATGCATCGACTTCCGGTGAAATTTACTAGAATAACTTGGAACTGCATTCAAGAAAGGTGAAAAAAATGCCAGCAAGAGCTCAAGGCTACTACAGTTGGCTCGGTTAATTCACGAAGAACCATTCTCATCATCATTCGTGGCTTAATCGTGGTCGCAGGATCAGAGGTGTAGTATATCATGATGCAACTAAAGACTGGAAATCTGAGGAACGTGTGTGATGCTATTTATTTCCGAATCCAGGCATGGACATCGGCATATACCGTTCAAGGGTGATGGGGAAAGTCGTAAGGACAAAGGGTGCCGTTCGATTGACGACAAACCTGGGTTTCATATACTGAAAACCGGGCACGCATCCAAGTGTTCTGTGATCAGATGGAAACAAAATATCGAAGATTTGCAGACTGACGCTGGCGATATAATCAGGATCATCATGAATAGTTGTAACTTGTCTATGGTTGTATAACTCGGTTGTGTTGGTTGTTGGTTGTTGGTTGGTTGCCCGCACTGTCGCCCAAAAAGGCTTAGCTCTGTTTACATAGCAACACAACCGCTTCCGTTGCTTCGATCCAAACAAGAGGATCCTGCTCGAGCTGGTTCCTCCCTCACACACAGAAGACGGGCTCGAGACGACGACCGCTTCGCCCTTGATCGCCATGTCGAATCCTCTTCCCCCCTCTCCTCCTCCTACCAGAATGCGCGAGCCCGTTCTCCGATCAGCGGCTCCTCGCCCTTCCTCACGAAAACGCTGGACGGACCATCCGCCCCAGAGTCGGCTATGCTGTCAAGTCCACTCAAAAAATCATGGACAGATCGCAATACCCAAAGTCCGGATGTCTATGAGACAAACGAAAATAACAACTATCACGACCATTACGAACATGACGAGCTCAACGATAACGACGATTTTCAAGCGCCCGCAAGTTCGCCATTCCGTTACGACGGACGCGAAGACACAGTCGATTTTCACAAATTGCAAGAATACCAGCGCGCATCTTCAGGAACACATCATCCACTGCAAATGAACTATCCAGAGGAGGAGCCGACGAGCTCGCCTTTTCGCCCCGCTGCCAGAGATGAAACAGTGGATTTCCAGCGTTTGCGCGAGGTACAACCGATGTCGCCGGGCCTGGAAAAACGCTTACATTTCGATGAGCCGGCAAGCTCGCCTTTTAGACATGATGTCAGAGACGAAACAGTGGATTTCCAGCGATTGCGCGAGGTGCAACCGATGTCACCAGGCTTGGATAAGCGCTTGACATTTGATGAACCGGCAAGCTCTCCGTTCCGCGCGGAGGTAAAAGATGAGACGATTGATGTTCAACAAGTGAATGAGCTGCAACAGCCAGCGTCACCCACTTTTGACGAGCAACCGCTAGACCCGGAAAGCTCTCCATTCAGACCAGAAGCGAGGGAAGAAACTGTGGATTTCAACAGACTACGTGAGGTGCAACAGCAGTCAGTTGGAGAGCCGATGCAGTCTCCCTCTGCCATGGCCCACAGCTCGCCATCCAGTCAAAATGTGAAGGACGACACAATCAACTCCCAGAAGATGCGCTCGATCCTTCGGGCCTCCCTCACTCGAGCATCACTTGGTTCAAACGGAAGTCGATTGAGCACTGCCACTCCCCGGAAACGCTCCTTCGATCAAACACCTCAAGATCAAGAAAGAGACGCACAACTGAAAGAGCGATGCAAGAAGGGAATGGTCAACCGTGCCGAATGCCCGGAAATTCATGTTGATCTCGAAGAAGATTCGAGCGTCATTCACGAGCGGAGCTTTACATCAGCTGCAAGTGCCACGCAAGACCGATCTATGATCGCGAATAGTATGATGGAAGACAAGCAGAACGAAGGCATGAGCACTGTCCTCCACGAAGAGGAAGAGCAGGGCAAGGAGAACCAGGGGCGCGCTGTTTATGATGACCGTTCCGTTCTAGATGAACAAGATCATGACCCAATGGATGATACAGGCTTCAGCAACTTCTCTGTTTTGCCCGATATGACTTCCTTTGCGAAACTTCGGGCTGACTCGCCGCTGAAGTCAATGCGCGGTAGTGTTGCTCCCAGCCCAGCTCGCACTGCTGATATTTACCGACGCAGCGTCGATCCAACTACCCCCGGCACTGCCCGAAGATCATACCGGACCAGTGCTCTTCTTGATACCGGCTCCCCAATTGGAACACCTACTCCCCGACGTAGAGCATCGCGGGATGTTGGCCATTCTGGGGAGACCCCCAATTTACTTGACTTCACGGACCAGGCGAATTTCTTTCACCGGCAGTCGATACAGAGCACACGGTACTCGCCCTCGCGACGATCGCCTCTGCGGACCCTGCGCGAGTCTATCCGGTCGCCGTCGAAATTGTCACTACTGGATTTCGACATACCCCCTGCCCCGACTCCTCGGTCCATTCCCACTATCACCCCCCGGGAACTTGAATCGCTAAAGTCAAGCTTCATGTCCGAGATTTCATCCCTCAAGGCCACGCTCAGTGGGAAGGAGGCTGAGGTTGCTAGCCTGAAGACGGCCGTAGCAGATGCAGAGCGTCGTGTTGGTGAGGCCTTGGAGGAGGTGCGCAATGAAGCTGCACGCAAGGAAGAGCTCGAACTGGAGCAGTCGGAGTGGGATCGTCGAGGAAAGGAGATGGAGACTGTTCTGCGATCTGTCCGGGCAGAATTAGAAGATGGAGAACGTGAGCGAGATCGCCTGGCACGAAAAGTTGAGGAGGCCGAGAAGGCCAAAGAGCATTTGGAAGGCCGAATTGTCGAACTTGAATCCCAGCTCTCCGCTGCGCGTTCGTCGACTTTGTCCGAGCCAAGTTCCAGTTCTGGATCCCGACAGGTTTCTCAGTCATCGGCTGAAGATACCGCTCGAGAGGTGCAGGATGCTGTTGAGAAGGTCGCCCGGGAACTTCATACTCTTTACAAGAGTAAACATGAAACCAAGGTTGCTGCCCTGAAGAAGAGTTACGAGTCTCGTTGGGAGAAGCGCGTCCGAGAGGTAGAGAAGAAACTTCAAGCTTCTCAAGAAGACAACGAGCAGCTCAGGATCGAGCGTGACGCTGCTCAGTCTGAGACAATGGCCGCCGCCAATGCCAGCATGATTGCGCGCGAGAATGACGAGCACGAAGCCGAGAAACGTGTCTTTGAAGCGCAAATCAAGGGCCTGCAGCAAGAAATGGCCGCCCTAAAGGAAGACAGCGAGCGCCTTCGCTATGAACTCAAGTCAGAGCGGGCAGAGAAGGGCGAGCTCGTCGCGGCCGTCGACGAGTGGCTTGCCATGCAGCAGGGTCAGCCTGCTCCTCCCCAGCAACAAGATCGTGAGCCATCCGTTTCCTCTGCTGGCCCTCCCGAGGATGACTACCTGTCGTCCGGTGAACCGGTAGCGGAGAACCTCAATCGCAGCATCGGCCGCTCGGGATCCAGTGGGGTTCGTCCCCCTGCGACGGCTGAGAGGCGCATCCCCCGATACGGAGCTCCTGGTGGGCACTCTCGTGGTAACAGCGGTGGGAAGTCTGGCATCGCGGTGTTCACCCCCGGTCGTGGAGGAATCATGAGCTCCATCGAACGAATGGGCCGCGGTGGTGCCGCCTGAGCGAAGAATGATGATTGGGGTGATGGACCGGTTCTCATAATGTCGGGCGTTTGCAGCTACGAGATATTGTTGATGTATTATGTGGTGTTTTTACTGTTTTACTTTTCTGATTTGCCTCTGGCCACCTGACTGTTCGTGCGATTGATTCCCCTCCCGCGGATGTGATTCTTTACTTTGATTATGAGTTTTATGGTACAATGCGCTATGAAATGAATCGTCCTTGTACTTTGGATGGTTAGGAACATTGCTTTAGGTTGTGCTACACTACACGGAATTTGATTTGGATTACAACCCGTACCCATACCTTGGATTCGTCTCGATATTCATCTCATCCAGTTATAAAGAATGTGTATGCGTAATGGGTTCTGACGTATATATTCAGATTGTTTATTTATGAATGTCACGTTGCAAGACCACATATGTACATCAAAAGGCATCCGCGATTCAAACGATGATGCAACCACTTCATATACATCCTAATAACACTCCCCATCTTCCCATCTTCCCCTCGTCCTGATGTTACTACCAATCAACTCCAGACCACGTGCAACCCTTGATCGGGCGTTGAGGCACGGGATCCCCCAAACATCGCCCAAATCAATCTCCCCCAATCTTGTCGATGATCTTCTCTTTCTTTTGATGGCCCCAAGTGACAATCATGTTCCGATTGGAACCCGAATCAAGCCCGCGCCGCGCCACCACCATTGAATGGTTCATTTTCTCTGGAAGGCAACACCCCGCCACCCCGGGATTCCCCCCCGCCCCCCTAAGGGTCCAGGTTTTTTCCTTTTGCGGGGTGCCGAGTTCCCTCCCCAGACTTGCCTAATCTGGCCCGATTCTCCTCGCCTGGTTCCGTTCGGTGCCCCCACGTTGTTGGCACAATACAGTTTTCTACCTAAGCTGTATATTTCCCGCACACCGTGATGCCAGACTTTGTGTCCGAGAGAGTGAACCCGAGCATTTTATGTCCAATCATAACCTGGCTGCCCGCTTGAGCTTGGACGCCCCTCTGGAGGGGCAATATGCGCAATGACGCCACAGACCACAGCAACCCCTCTGTTGCTGCAGGTCGATTAATTCCCTCGTGGTTTTTCGTGATGGGAGCTTGGCGCTAAAACCTTGCAATACGGGCCGCGCAACTGCTTAGCGTCAGGGAGGAGGGGGGCATGGAGGGGTGCAAGCACCGTCCTTGGCCTGTGCTGCTCACAGATTGGTGAGTCTTTCGTGGACATGGCCTCTCTCGGGATTTCTCCAATATCACGATCCCAACCAAAAAGCGTGGGGTGGCTTTCGAAGCTGTCAAAACCACAATGGAAGTTGGGGGTCACTCTTTCTCTGATGCGCCGGTGTACCCGGTCCCCCATGAATCCTGGAAGCTCGAGATGATTATGTGATGACAGCTACAAGAGTATACCAGTCCCACTCTGGAAGGACACAGAGCGAGAGCGACTTGCCCGGCTTTACGACCGAGCGGCACGATGCCCGATGGCGGGCGGGACTCCTCCGCCTTCCTGCAGCTCTCTCTTACTCTCGCCAACTAGTCGCAAAGTCGCAGTTTGACAGCGAATGTACCCGCCCATCATCCAGTTGAGGCTCGCTGTATCCTGTTGGGAAGGGGGCAATTCCTTTTCATGTTGCTGCTGCTTCCGCCCCCCCACCTAATATGGAGCCTACAATCCGGATTTACGGAGGCAGAATAATGCTCTTTGCGAATAGGCCGTATCGGCAGCCCATCTCGGCAAGCGTTGTGCTGGTCTAAGCTTCTCGGTTCGGCTCCTACAACAAAGGCGTGCACGCAGCGCAGAGACCTAGCTAGCTAGCTAGACCCCTCCAAGCTCCCTGCGGATCGTACTGCGCGTTATGGGTGGACTCTGCCTTGTTCAAGAGAGCTGAAGATGGGGAATGAAATCTACTGCAGTCTCATGTAATCAAAGCCCCCCAAGTCCGCAGGATTGAATTGATTCGGAATGCTAGTTCCCCCATCCCCATCCCGCGCCACCCACCCCCGGATTTCCTGGTGCTGTTTTCGCGATTCCGACAGGATCACGCCAAGAGCTCAGCACGGCGCTGACCCAGAGATTTCAATTCTGATGGGTGCCGGAATTGACCTATACTAGGTTTGTGATTGGCGTCCCACTCTTAAGAAGTAAGGGCCAGAAAATTTTCTTGGGCTGGGTTTAGCGTGGTCGCGTTGGGCCCCGTTTTTTTTTTGGCGCCCCGCAAATCCCCGATGTCCTCGTGATATCCCCACATGCTTGGTCGCCAAATTTCGTCACTTCTGGGCACGCACAACGAGAGCGGTGGTTGAATTGTGCGATATTCGTCCTATCTTGTGGTCGGACACAAAAAATGGGCTCGGAATTTATTCGGATCTGGGAAGGATATGTGCAATCCATCGTCTTTGGAGGGAAAAGGGGGAAAAATGCAGGCAAAGAAAAAGGATTCAATACGTACGTAATATCCCCTGGTCGCGAGTTTCAACATCGATATGTCCGAGAATCGGCGGTTGCGCAGAGGCACGCATGGGACCCCCGGGCTGCGAGCAATCAGCGTTGATCGCACGGAATTCCGGCCAGCCGGACGGCTTGAGGACTGCGTCGGTGCGGGATCCTGTACGATCTGGACCGTCGGTCCGGCCTAGTCCCTTTAAACTTTCTAGGGGGAGCCACACGAGGAGGATCCGGTTGTCGGCTTTTTTAGACGGGAGATTTTGCTCTCCTGTCTTTCGTGATGCTTTCTGTATACTCCGGCCATTAGATTTCTTTTTCTTTTCTTTTTTCTTCTTCTCCTATATTTTTTTTTCTAGTGGAGATCACAGTTGAGACTGTCTTTGTTGGAATGGCATTATCTTGGATATACCAAGGTTATGATATACTCCGCGCATAATATCTATATTGCCCTTTATCATAACCCTTTATGACAATCCCGATTGGGAAGGGGACTGTGTGGAGTGACTGATGTGTCGAATCATCAAATTTTCTGCAACTATGAAACTGAAGCCCCAGTCCCCAGCGCCCTCCTCCTATGGAAATGTAAGAAATAGTCAACCAGAAATCGTCGTGTCTGGGGTGTGAGACCCGGATTTGGGGCTGGTTGTAGTGCGCCTCCACTCATCCACGGTCGAGGCCCGCCCCTCTGAATAATCCATCTGAATAGAAAAGTGCACGTTCACGCGTGACTCTATATTCGGTACTACGCCTCCGGTCTGTCTAAGCCAATTGATGATTTGACCGCAAGAAAAGGATTGTGGCAACTATATTGCGGATCCTCGAGATTGATGCATTGCTCGGCTTGAGTCGGCTCTCGAGGGAGGATTGTCACAGTATGATTGCTGGATATACTCGATGACAAAAGTTTGAAAATAAATATGAGAGAAAAGAGTCAATAATGGGGGGGGGGGGTCTTGCATCTGATTATTGACATCAAATTCGACTGTTTCTCCTCCTCCAGGCATCCATTGATCTTCGTATTTCTCCATTCGCTCTTCGTCCCACCAAGCCGATTCGGAGTCGTCGCGCCGGTGGACACCGGATCAGCATGCTCGACAGGCAGAACGACGCTGACGGACCGGACCCTCTCATCATGGGATAGCCTCCTGATCTCCTGTCCTCTCGGGCGCCTCTTCTCTGGGGGGACGTCTCAATTGGACCTCATTTTTCATAATTCGTGTCCTAGTAGGGGTCATCGATGGGTATGAGACTTCGTGGCCGGGGGTCCCGCTTCCTTCTCCGCCCATCGGCGGCTGGAGCGACCGGTGTTTTTCTCCAGTTCCGTCCGGCAGTGGGCCCCGTTGGGCGGGTTCTAACCTGGTTCCTGTCCCAGCCCCAGGTCCGCTAGGCCGCAAGTGGCCCTCCGATCTTCCCAAGACCAGCGGTGGCCCTGGTTAATGGTTGGGGGAGAAGTGGGCGGACGGTTTTGGTGTTTGTGAGGGGTTTTTCTTTGGTTCTTTGCCTTTTTGGTCCTCGGCGTATTTCGGAAGTTTTTGGTCTAGGGACTTTGTTAGTTAGGGACGCTCTGCAGACAAGAATTGGGTGATCGAGGGGACAGAGAAAGCGAGATCTATTCTCTGACAATCGAGTTGACGAAACGAAGCACCTGGGTGATCTGATCAACGTGTCGGTTTTTGAATACAGGGGCCCTGTTGTCCTTGTCCTTGATTGGGGAGGCCATACAGCCGACTCGCCCGACGGCCGTTTTCACGTGGTATCGTAATTTTCCTCTTTTTTTTTCCCGCCGATGACACACGCCGACTCCACTTGGTTCAGGGCCGTGGGGTGGGGGGTTATGAGATTGATTTTTCTGTAAAAGAAAAAATCCCTTTTTTTTCGATTTCGATTTTCCTCAAAAAAACCAATTGTTGATTCTGATTCTTGGAGGGAGAAAGTATATCAAAGGAACTCGAGAGTCTATAGAACGAGCGAGAGGACGTTTCGGATAGGCGGCACCGGGACGGTTCCGGGGTAACGTGACCGGGCCGAAGTATGCAGGACTGCATAAGATAGAGAGAGGTATACATGTACATCCGGTGTATCTAGGCCTATACTTCGGGGGTCGGACAGTATAGATCAGCCTGGAAATGCATAGATTAACTAGATTATAGGGAAACACAATCTTATTCGACTGCATTACAGCAGCGTCTTCCCGGACAGGGAAAACAAGACGGAAAGCCACCGCAGAGTCCAAGAGGACCTCAGCATCCGCATCATCGGATCCTCAAACCCGCTAAACCGGGTTGAGGCGTTGTGACGCAGTCCTCCACACTTCCAATGTGGAAATGCCTCTCGTGTGGGGAATGCTTACCATTCTGAGCCTAGCGAATTATCGTCGGGTAGTTGGTTGAGAGGCCCAGTATTTCACGCATCTGACTGGCAGACACGCATGGGTGGTGTTCCCCCCCCCCCTTCTCCCTGGTTCTAGGTTTCTGGTTCCTTGTGCCAGTGAAAGTGGAAATGTGGAGTATTGAGTCCTCGAACGACTATCCTGACCATCCTGTCCATCTTGTCCATCCTGACGCCTTCCCCCAACTCCGTATACTTAAACGTTCCGTCTCCCCCGGGCCCCCAGCGCGCGCCCCCGAACCCTCTCCACTCTTTCCCCTCCTCCCCCCATCTTCTCCCTCCTCCTTCTAACCTACCATCTTCTCATCTTTTCTCTCGTCCTGTCTTCCGGTTCTCTTCTTTTACTTACCGACATTACTGTCTTCTACTGCAAACCCGTGACTAGTTCTAACGGCCTTGAATCCTCGCCACTCCATCCGCATCGAATGTGCCGGTTCGCCCCCCGTGTTCTCCATCAGTATGAGTAGTGCCACCGCCACTATGGCCGACGAGGCCGGGAAACGCAAGGCATCGGTTGCCGGTCTCTCCACCCATAACCGCCCTGTCAAACGCCGGGCCTCCAAGGCCTGTTGCTGCTGTCGAGCCCGCAAAGTGCGCTGCGACGTCGTCGAGAATGGCTCGCCCTGCACCAATTGCCGCCTCGATCAGGTCGAGTGTGTTGTGACGGAAAGCAAGCGGAGAAAGTTAGTCGACTGCAATTCATGTGTTTTTCTATTGTTGCCCCAAAGTTCAATGCCAGAAACCTCAGAAAGAGAGCAAAAAAAAAAAATTACCCATCACCAAAACAATCTATTTTCATAAGCTAATGTAGAATGCTTGTACCCTGCAGGAAGTCGCGTGTCGAGGCGGAGATCAACCAAACCTCCGAGTCGCCCGGCGAGGCCTCTGAAGACAACCCGTTGCATGGCCTGTCGGGCCTGTCAGGCTTGTCAGATATGGCGGCGCCCACGTCGCCCTCCCAGAACTCGGTCGACGTGGACCACAGCCAGCATATGCCGCATCTGCTCTGTTCGTATTTGTCCGGAGAGAAGGAGAGAAAATTTCCCGTCTCTAATGCTTCCCTTCCTTGCTCAGATCAAACCCAGGCGCATCGCATTGGCTCAGATGACTGCTACCGTCGCCGAATGGCCCCGAACCCAGCCGTCCCCTCAACGATGCCCCTCGCCCATGCCACCTTGCAAATCCAGCAATTGCTGGACCCGACCTTTGCCAACACCCGCTCGGCTAATAGCTTTCTGCCAGACTATATCCGCGGCCTTCCTGCTCGCCTCCAGAAAGAAGACATCGACTATCTGGCGGCCAAGGGAGCTCTCACTATCCCCGACGTGAGTCTGCGGAATGAACTGCTCAAAAGTTATATCCATTATGTGCATACCTATATGCCCTTGCTGGATCTGGAAGAATTCCTGCAGACAATCGTACAGAATGACGGCATCCACCGCATCAGTCTTCTGCTCTTCCAGGCCGTCATGTTCGCCGGCATGGCCTTTATTGACATAAAGCATCTCCAGGCGGCGGGCTATCAAACCCGCAAAGCGGCTCGCAAGATCTTTTTCCAGCGTGCACGTCTCCTTTACGACTTTGACTACGAGGTGGACCGCATCTCCCTGGTCCAGTCGTTACTCCTGATGACCTACTGGTACGAGACCCCGGACGACCAGAAGGACACCTGGCATTGGATGGGTGTCAGTCTGTCGCTGGCCCACACCATCGGCCTGCACCGAGACCCCGGCAATTCACGTATGGATCTCCGCCGCCAACGGATGTGGAAACGCATTTGGTGGAGCACGTATACTCGAGATCGACTCATTGCCCTTGGCATGCGACGCCCGATGCGTGTCAAGGACGATGACTGCGATGTGCCCATGCTCACTCTGGACGATTTCGAATTTCACTCCTTCTCGCCTGAGATCGTCAAGATGGTCGGGGATTCAGAAATCTTGCAGAACGTGAGCCATCAGCGCGAGCTGGCGTTGATGTTCATCGAAAAGGCCAAGCTCTGTCTCTGTGTGAGCCATGTTCTCTCGGCGCAATATTCGGTCTTGAGCCACAAGTTTGGCGGCACCATGGAAACCACCATGATGCTTGTGCCGAAGAAATCGACGGCGGAATCCTTCGAAGTGCGCCGCTGCGATCAGGAGCTGGAGGACTGGCTGGCCAACCTCCCGGTGGAAACGCAATATACTCCCTCCGGGGTGTCCAAACTGCCCGAGGCTAATGAAGTGCTACATTCGCATCGTGCTCTGCTGAAGATGGTCTATCTCACGACGTCGAGCGCTCTGCATCGCCCCCAGGTCCTTCCCGCAGTCCCCTATCCGTCCATGGACTCGGAGCTGCAAGAGATGTCGCGCAACAAGGTGCGCTTCGCTGCTATTGAGATCACCAGCATTGCGCAGGACTTGCACGTCCTAGACCTGACCCGTTACTATCCCACCACTGGAGTGACGGTTCTTCTACCCGCGGTGATAATTCACTTGCTCGATATCAAGTCCAGCGATCCCAGTGTGCGGATGACCAGCCTCCAACGCTTCTACCAGTGCATGCGCATCCTGCAGCGCCTGCGTGAGATCTATGCCTCGGCCGACTTCGCCACATCCTTCCTCGAAGCTGCCATCCGCAAGGCGGGTATCCAGCTCACAGTGGCGCCGCAAGACGTGCAGACCTCGCGCGCTTCCCGCAACACCCACGCAGCCAGCAACGACCCCTTCGACCTTCTCTCTCGCCCCCACGCTCTGACACCACCACCGGATTCCTTGGCCCAGAAAATTCCCGATCTCACCTACCCCAAGGTTGGTCCTGCTGCGGGACGGGCAAAGAGCGATCTTTTCGCTTCCACTCCCCCACACTCGGATGGCAGCGAAAATGGCAGCACCAATAACATCAACCCCACCTACAATAATCACGACGCCTTCGCCATCCCCGAGTTGAATTCGGAGCTCAGCCTCACCGAGCTGATGGACCTGGCCAATGACGCCGAAGTCACCCAAAACGACTTCGACGCCCTGATCAACTTCGACGATGCCGGAAACGAGTTCTTCGCCGACGACGCCGCCCCGCAGGCCGGGCAGGCTGGGGCTCCGTCCACCACCGACAAGGCCTACGACTTTGGCCTCGATAACGTCATGGGGTTCGATACTGATCCCAAAGCCCTGGACTTTGCGCACCTCGCCGAGCCGCAGGCATCTGCTGATCGCAGCCCCACGGGGCCTGATGCGCTTTCAGCCGAGGCTCAGATGCGGCCCGAACTGACCGCCGATCTGGATACGGATCTCGGGATCGACGTAGATGAATAAACATGTGTTTATTCACGCTTTCCTGTTTGGGTTATTTCCTTTTACCCTTGTTTTTTTTATTTATCTCCCTCTGCTTCTCTGGATGGGTTATTTCAGCGGAATTTTTATTTAATCACTGTTTTATTACGGAGAATTTCTTCGGGAGGACCGGTGTTTGATTTTTTTGATTATTTTTACTTCTTCTTTCGTGATCCATTTCTTGGCGCAGGGTCTTCTTTTCTTTTCTTTCTTTTTATGGCCCTGTTTTTGGTATATTGGATTGACGATGATGATGATGTCCTTTGATTCACTTGGATATAGAGGGATTCCCCACCCCCGCGAAAAAGCATGAGCAATATGAATAATGGTTCCATTTCCATCTTGCATTTCTAGTTTCCGGTTTGCGGTTCTTTGTAACGTTTGGTTCTGTCTCCATCAAGGGTCTGCACTAATTTGTGCCCGGGACCGGAGTTGAAGGTGTCTCGAATCCCGATGCCGAACCCACCCTCCTTTCGGCATCACATGCTGGCCCGGCGTCGGCGTCGGCCCTGTCTTCAGGCCACATGGGACCTGCGAGCAGGATGTCAAGACTGGGGTCTGATCGGCGGCTTTGTGTTTTAACGGTTCGTGCCAATGTCAAGGGAGTGTTCATGATCGACAGGGGTGATAAGTGGTAAATGACCGGTGGGCGGAGTAGTGTGGGAGTTGCGGATGCCTGTAATGGTAGCATCCTGCTAGATTCGTCTCACTCTCTTGAAGACCGCCCTGTAGTATGTTGGTGTAAATATGAAACTACAGTGTATTTTTCGTTTGAAACCTTTTTCTTTTCATTGGAATGCATTGGAATCTGTTTCTGATCTTTACCTGCCAAGGCGGTAAACAGTATACAAAGATGAACGGCGAAGCATGTAGAGGGACGTAGGACAGCCATCATGCTATTATAACCAGCTAGCACCGTGCATTTTTTTTTTCATACGAGAATAATGGCGGAACTCGGAGATCGGCCGGAAACATGAATTGCGTTGATGGAGGTTCCAAGTTCCTTACTCCGTGGAAGAAATGTTCGTACAGTGTGAGCATGCAACAATTATACAATTTCAAACTCAAGACAAAGACAACGCTCTTTTCCAGATGCATCATTGTATTTGACTTTCCATATCACGTACCAGAAATACCTGTTATTCTTGCGGCTCTCACTGCACTAATCACATGGCATAATTATATGTGTGGGCATCCCCTGCTTTCCCCGCCCTATGGTCCATTTGCACGTTCATTTGCTCAGCTGTATTACTATCCAGTACGGAAAATAGCCATAAAATGCTGGTCTCGACTGAATGTTGAGCTAAGATGCTTATTAATGATATGGATCTCTCGATATAGTCCACCTCGTAGTGAATTCAGGCTGTACGTGCCCCAGAGGTGGCTTCTCGAAGGTATCTCCAATCTATATGATTCGCCAACCCCAACCCTCGCATCTTTGAAGACTCTTCAGTTTTGAACTACCCCGAATAATTATCTTCTATGGCCTTCCTTGGTCACTGTATCATCCGAGAATCGAGCCGCAGGAAGACCGGAGACATTCCAATGGCGGGACGGCACGCCTTAATGCGGGACCGGTTTTGCTTTCGCGGGCCCTCTGCATAGATTCCCCACGCCTCCACGGGGATCAATGAAAAGCTCCCTTGACGAAGAATGCTATATGCTTTACTGTATCCAGATTCTCAACGATTTTCTTGAAATCCTCGACAACAATGCCTTTCAATCCTACATACGCCTCCGTTGAGAATGAGGGCTGTGACCTTCACTACTGGTTCCAAGGGGCCGGGCCCCTTCTTGTCTTCATCCCCGGTGGAGGCGGAATCGGGCGTCAATTCAACCCTCTGTTCGAGCACATGGATCAAAACTACACCATCTGCACCTTTGACCGGCGTCAGACAAACGCTAGCGTCGTGGCCGAGCAGAAGCCGCTCAATCCGGCCCAGCAGTGCCGGGATATCATTGCCATCTGCAAAGCTCTTGGCCGACAAAAGACCTCCATATTCGGCAACAGCGGTGGCGGCGTCATTGCACTGCAATTCGCCGTCAGTTATCCTCAGTACCTCGAGCATGTGGTGGCCCATGAAGCCCCCACGACAATCCTTCTGGATGACACCACCTACCATCTCAATCGCGCGTTCGAGATCCTCGAGGTCTATCGATCGGGCGGTGTTGAAGCCGCTTTCAAGACATTCCAGGTCGAGATGAAAGGCTTCGAGGATAGCCCGCCTCTGGAGAAACCCTCGGTCGAAGACGGGAAGAACTTCTTCGAAAACGAATTCTTGACCTTCACTATTTACTGCCCTGATCTTGGAAAGGTCAGGGAGAAGCAGGTCTCCGTCCTCGTTGTAGCAGGTGAGAAAAGTGGCGATGCGTTCTATGCGCGAACAACCTACGCGCAGGCAGAGATCCTTGACTGCCCCCATCGCGTCTTCCCGGGTCATCACAATGGGTACGAGTCCGAGCCAGTTGCGTTTGCCCGCCAATTGCTCGATGCCCTTCAAGATATGGAAGAGAAAAAGCTTCTATCGTCCTGTTGAGAGATATCGATTCAGAGGAAGAGACCCCATCTCAAGCCCTATCTATTTAGCTTGGTTGATTGATGAGCTACCACTAACAACCACCACAACAATATTTGCCTTCTTCCCTCTTTGATCTTTCCCTGCTCAACTACTTTCCTTCTTAGAGAGGGGGTTTTCGGTGGGCTTTCGTAGTATTTCATTCGAAGACACGTATACCCTTCAGCTGCCAAGATATAAATTTTACTTTTTACATCCTTGCTATCTATAGATTCAAGCAGGCTTGTCATGGTACGAAAAACACCTTTCGCTATACTTTGATCTGATTTTGTTGCCCTCATCCGCTATTTTAGAGTCGCATCTGCTAACCCTCTGCCCATTACCGTCATCCATTCAGCGTGAAATGCTACCAAAAGGCAAAGGGACAGCAGTGGGCGAGACCCATAATGCAGTAAAGTATCGTCAATCTAGAAGAACCCTCATCCGTTTTGGAGAATGTCAGCGTTCCTGTGGACGAGAACCGGATCATCCGTCTTCCCGAGATTCCTCCGCATCTATTCGACTGTTGTAAGACCGATCAGACACTCGCTTCGCTCAATGATACATTGATCATGCAGGCGCTGGAATCCGGACCCTGAGCCCCACGATTTCCCGATCTGACGATCTTCCCGTCTGGCCCACCAGCTCCCCAACTTCTTGTCAATCTTTTATTTACACCTACCCTCCCACCTGCCCCCATGCAAATACATTTGATTTCTCAAGGAAATATTGATCCATTTGACCCATACTTCAATGTTCAAAGATTATGGCTGCCTACGATGGCATCAACATGGTCAAATCCCGGTTCTGTTGCTCCACTGGGGCCGCTGGACCTATCCAATGCCCGCTTCTCGTAGCGGTGTCGATCCTTCCCCTCATCCAACGCCCAGAGCTCATTATCTGGTCGAATCACGACTCCTGATTCCTGATTTGAACCCTGGCGGAGCCTTTGCCGACCCCTCTCACGGCTGACTTTTGTTGAGGGCCCTCTCCTATCGCGACGCAGCAATGCTACCTTCCCCGGAGCTCCTGCGGAGGTGGATGGATCCCGTCCCCACGATGCGCAAGGCTTGTGCCTTTAACTGGCCTTCTCTGCTGGACGGCGAGTCTTGGCTAGCCAGCCTCATTGTCCACCAGAGGAAGGATAAATTGACGATTCCTCGGGCACGGCTATCTCCGGCCGCGCACGCCTTCAACCCCCGGTAACCCGCATTATTTGGACCGGGCAGTGTTTCTGGAGCCTTGTTCATCGTTATCTTTGCATCAGGAGATCTATTTTAAATACCTACAGAGCACCCCTGTTGATTGCCTCTTGTGAGCAATCGCAGCCGTCTTCCCTTCAATTGGTACGGCAGAGACTCAATGCGTATCCACAGCTTGATTCCGCTGGCGCTGCCTCTGGCAGCAGCCTACTCCGTCCCTTTTGGAAACGAATTCGGCACCGAGTTTGCTCGTCGCCAGCTTCCCAACGAGCCGACGGGAGTCAAAACAATCAGGACCGCCAATAATGTCACCATTCGGTACAAAGAGCCCGGGATCTGCGAGACTACCCGGGGTGTCAAGTCGTATGCAGGCTATGTCGACCTGGCCGAGGATGCACACACGTTCTTCTGGTTTTTCGAAGCTCGTCATGACCCTGAGAATGCACCCATCACTCTCTGGTTGAATGGTGGCCCGGGAAGTGATTCCCTGATTGGTTTGTTCGAAGGTCAGTTTCCTAAGAAAACAAAGAACCTCGTGGCATGTTGGCACCGTTGCTCACAAACCCAATATCTAGAACTCGGACCCTGCCGTGTCAACGAGAAGAATGAGACATACCTCAACCCTCATTCATGGAACGAGGTTTCCAACATGCTATTCATCTCCCAGCCTCTTGGCACAGGTATGACAGACAGAACCGGATTTCCTGATTAGACTCATCGGAGATACGTTCTAAATGGTATAAATAGGCTTTTCCTATGCCGAGAAAGGAGCGGGATCTCTCAATCCATTCACAGGCGCATTTGAAGATGCCTCTGTGGCAGGAGTCCAAGGACGGTATCCTGTCATCAATGCTACTTTGATCGGTTAGTTCGTGTACCCGAGCGAAAGGAAATGACCCTCTAACAGTCACCAAGATACTACCAACCTCGCCGCTGTAGCTACCTGGGAAGTCCTGCAGGGATTTCTGAGTGGTTTGTCCAAGCTGGACTCTAAGATCAAGTCGAAGAGCTTCAATCTTTGGACTGAGAGTTATGGAGGGTAGGTTTTGCTCTATCTAAGACTGATATTTGATATGATGGTGACGCTGACGTTATTCTACAGACACTACGGCCCCGCTGTGAGTATCATTCTTGTACAATTCTCATTCGGGCTTTGTCTAACAAGTACAGTTCTTCGACCACTTCTACAAAGAGAATGAAAAGATTGCCAATGGCAGCAGCAAGGGTATTCAGCTCGATTTCAACACCCTCGGCATCATCAACGGAATCATCGATGAATCTATTCAGGCTCCCTATTACCCTGAATTCGCGCGGCACAATACTTATGGTATCGAGGCGGTAAGGGTTGAGTTAAAACGACGATGTGAAAATAGTCTAACGGATGATTGTTCTAGGTTAATGAGACCGTTTACAACTATATGAAATTTGCCAATTCAATGCCCAATGGCTGCCAGGACATGATCGCCAACTGCAAGGCCACCAATCGCTCTTCGCTGTCCGACTATGCGATTTGTACCGAGGCTGGAAATATGTGCCGTGATAATGTCGGTACGTATCTGAATTTACCGCAAACCTACCGGACTGAACTCCTTCTACTCGAATTATTGAATTGAAACTTACATCTCCATTCGACAGAGAGCCCCTACTACGTCTTCAGTGGCCGCGGCACCTACGACATCCGCCACCCGTCCCAGGATCCCACACCCCCTAGCTACTACGTCGATTACCTGGCCAAAGATGAAGTCATGAACGCTCTCGGCGTGGATCTCAACTACACCCAATCCAACAGCGAGGTCTACTGGGCCTTCCAGCAGACCGGTGACTTCGTGTGGCCGAATTTCATCGAGGATCTCGAGGATATCCTCACGCGCCCCGTGCGCGTCGCCCTGATCTACGGTGACGCAGACTACATCTGTAACTGGTTCGGCGGCCAGGCCATCTCCCTCGCCACCCAGTACAAGCACAGTAAGGAGTTCCGCGCCGCAGGCTACGCACCGTTCCTCGTCGACGGCGTTGAGTATGGTGAGACGCGCGAGTTCGGCAACTTCTCCTTCACCCGTGTCTACGAGGCAGGCCACGAAGTCCCCTACTACCAGCCCATCGCGTCCTTGCAGCTGTTCAACCGCACCCTGAACGGCTGGGAGCTGCCGACTGGTGGCAAGAAGCTGACAGCGGACTTTGGGTCCGAGGGCCCGAAGACCGCGACGCATACCGAGTCGTCAGTAGCGCTGCCGACTGCTTCGGAGAATGCGGGGCTTTCGGTTGGGAGGAAGAACTGGTAGACAGCAAAACATTCGATATACGTTGTAAATAAATGCTCGGAAACAGTATAGTACATGTAGCCCTCATGGCCTGAGTTCATAATTTACATATTCATCCCAAAGTTTCGCTGGTATTCGGAGATTCGTGATGGCGACCTGCACCGGGCAAGTGCCACGTCCGAGTGCAACGTGATAGTTGTAACCCCTGCATTTTCAGAGAAATAAAGAGTCTAGGTTGATATCCGGAGTGCTAGATCTCGGGGGTTACTCGGAAAACAAATTCACTGGGAATAAATCTAAGCTGCGCACAAGTGCCGCTGGTTGTCGTATTGAGAATTAGAGAAAGATATCACGCCTCGTGAAAATGCAAGAAAGGTTTCGTAGCATCTCCCCAGGATGCCAAGTTCGAACAGAAAAGTCGAAGAAAAGATGGAAACAATATGTTGGTACAGCGCGGTAAAGGCGAGTTGGGGAAACATCGAAACGATCGCTCACGCCTTATGACCGGCGTCCTCTTCAGCATGAGGCTTCTCATAGGTATCTACGGTGTCACCAAGGACATCAGCGGCTGTCTCGTCGGAGAAGCGCAGGTCTTCTTCGACATCGGTGTGCTCTTTGACTTTGAAGAAGATGACCGGCGACGCAATGAGCATGCTGCCCACGAGTAGACCCCAGCATGAAGCAAACTCGGTCATGTATGGAGTCTCCACGGCATCCATTCTAGAGGAACAGTCAGGGTTTAGAATAGATATAAAGCGATGAGAGAGAAGAAAAAAAGGCAAGGCTGCACTTACCGCCACATTCCAGCAGCACCGGCAGACTGGATGCCCTTGTAGAAACCGGCGAAATTAGCCAACTTGCGAGCGTTATTGGAGAGAGAACCCATGTACCTAGGCAAAGGCGAATAAAGTTAGAAACTGCAAATCTTTGGCGACAAGAGCGAGGCAAAAACAAAAAAGAGGAGACGAGCACGAAAGAATGATTGCGAGATCACTCACCAGTAGGTACAGGTCTGGAAAGCAGCATCGTAGAAGCCGTAGAACATGTACAAGAACATAGGACCAATATAGTTGCTGTCCGTGAAGTCGGTATCAGCCTTGACCGTCGCACGAGTGTACTGTTTCTGGAAAGCGTAACCACCGCCCCAGATTCCCATAGTGATGGCAAAGAGAACACCGAAGTTGATCTTGGCGCGGGTCGGACGCGAGAACCACTTCATGTCCAGGAGCTGGCCGAAAAGGAACGCACCGACCATCTGCATTAGCCAATAGAGGAGGCTGTTCAGTGCACGAGTGCGGACGGTGAAGTAGGCGAGGTTGACGGCATTGAAATGGTATCCGTAGAACCAGTTGCTGGCCAGAAACATGGGAAACATCAGAACGATGTAATAGTCGCTGAGCAGGGTCTCCCACAAGCCCAGGAACTCGGACTTCCAGGTGGGGTTCTTGATCACAATGACTCGCGAACCGTCCTTGCGTTTGATATACTTGGAGTCGGCCAGACACCAGCACAGCGCAAATCCGATGGCCATGAGAACCAGGAATGCGATATAGGTACCGTTGTTGACATTGCCAGCGGTGCTGTGCATGTTTTGGCCGAGGGGGACCTGCCTCCATCGTTAGTCTCTCACTCTCACACACCCTTTTCGCCATCTTGAATAGCTGAGAGAAGAAGGAATGGATCTGCTTTTCTTACCAAGCTACCAATGACACCACCCAGGTTGAAAATGACCCAGAAGATGGCGATGTACTTGCCCTTCTCGTGTTCAAGGGGATAACTCATCATGACAGCACCCTGGGCGCACCACAGCAGGCCGGCACAGACACCGAGCAGGGCGCCGGCAAAGATTAGGAACCCAGCATTCTGGTTGATATTGTAGGATAGGAGCGCGGCAACATAGAGGAAGTAGCCAAAGCCACCCAGGGACAGGGTCAGGCGAAGACCAATCCGATTGGCGATGGAGCCGGCGAAGAAGCCCACCACGGCAAAAGTACTGTACAGGGCCGTATTGGAGTTGTTCACGTCGGTGGCATTGACCTGGCCACCACCACCGAGGCCACTGACCGCATTGTACATACCAGGGCAAAGGAAGCAGACGAAGGAAACCAGGATCAGCTGCGTCTCCGGCGATGCGAACCAGGGCGCTTGCCATTTTCCGATCTTCAACATCGGCTTGTACATCCACGGCTTGCCGACCACGGCATCGTCAATCATGGGCTCGGGATCCTCCACGGTGAAGGGCGTGTACTTGGCCGGTGCCGCGGGCTCGGTCGCCGGTTGCGACTGCGGCTGCTCCGACTGCTCCGGCTCAGGGTTCGCCATAATTCGGAGAAGTTCAGGCAGAAAGGAGCACAATTGAGGGCAGAAAAGAAAGGGCAGATCGGAGAGATAATTGGGGGAAAAGGTAGCAGATCAACGGGGCAACCCAGTGGGAGTTTCCGGAATGCTACTATCGATTTCCCACGTGAGAAGGACTACTCGATCCAAGGTAATCGAGAATCCCAGAGAGGGAGGAATGCAGGAGGAACGATTTATGAAGTTGCGATAATTTTTTTTCTGGACTGGAAGGACTAAAAAAAAACCCTATAGCCGAGCTAGCCTTATCGATGTTTCACAGATAAGTCCATTTTGAATGGTACGCTGAGCTAGAAATACGGAGACACTGGAGAACATGGAGCGAGCGATGTGGGGGTTTCGTCATTCTCTGCGAGTCTGGTGGCCAGACATTGCGGGGAGCCAAAAGATGGAGACCGGAGAGACTTGGAGAGAGACTGGAGAACGTTGTCTGGATCGTTCGGTCATTGGCGCAAAACCGGGCCCAGTCAGTCCTCGTCGTCCCGGGTGTTGGTGGTGGTCGCGGGCTGAATTAAGAACCGCGGATGCGACCGCAGAGTCGCATTGGAGGTAGTGGTGGCCGCATGCAACTCTCCGCATGCGGGGGCCCTGTATGGTCAGGTTCGTACGGCGACCGCGGGTAAAGAGGTAATATTACCAGAAGAGACCTCGACCGGCCAATGAGACACGTCTCAGCGGGTGCCCGAATGCGCTAGACCCCCCTCTGGTCTAGTTGGGTCTGCGGGAACCGTTCTCTTGACTAATCCCACTGCAACAAGACCCTGCTGAACTTACTTAATCATCTTCGATCAGCAGGATGCGTATCGTACGGGGTACGAGCAGGTACGAGTCCGTGATCGTGGGGGTCTACCACATCGGCATGCCGATGTCACGTCTGCAGAAGACAATGCACGTTACATCATCATACAGCGTCTCCTCTTGTCTTTATACTTCTCCAGATTTCCCCCCCCCTCCCGTGCCTGGCGACTTGATATTCACTCCTTCACCCCCCTCCAGCCCTCCCCGTCCAGCCAAGAGCCAACCCACTCACCAGATATCCCTCGATTTCTCGGCATCGGTCTTCCTTCCTCCCCCGAAATTCCGACTTTCATCTCGGCTTGGACATCATGCCCGGCAAAACCACTGAAGCGCCCCGGATCACCAAGTTCACCAACTGCCGTCTCGTGCGAGGCTCTAGTCTGGTCGAACAGGATCTCTGGATCGACTCTCTGACTGGCAAAATCCTCAAAGACCAGGAAGCCTTTTATGAGCTGCATCTGTCCCCCGATGAGATCATTGATCTCGGCGGCCGCATCGTCGCCCCTGGTCTGATCGACCTCCAACTCAACGGCGCGCAAGGTTTCGACTTCTCCGTGCCGTGCGACACCAAAGAGGAGTATGATGAGGGCCTGCGCATGGTCAACATTGGCCTGGCCCGCACAGGTGTTACCTCATACTTGCCCACCCTAGTCAGCTCGACCCCGGAGGTTTACTGGAAGGTATGCGCAATTCAACTCATCTCGCACGTCCCCCTCCCCTTGTGCTCTCATTTCCCTATCAATTTGTTTGCCCACCATTGCACCCCACCCCTCTTTCCCCCGTGCGCAACCAATCAATCTCGGGGTTATACGAAGACAAACAAACGAATCTGACCGCAGTTCATCTAGGTGCTTCCCTCGCTGGGTCCCTCCGGTGCCACACACCGTGCCCAAGATGGCGCCGAATCTCTTGGTGCGCACGCCGAAGGCCCCTTCATCAACCCCAACCGTAACGGCATCCACAAGCCTGAGGTCCTACGTTCAGCCCAGAACTTTGACGATCTGCTGCATTGCTATGGTGCCGACAACCTCGGTGCCAACAGCCCCATCAAGATGATCACCGCCGCCCCCGAGGTCGGAAACATGATGGCGCAGATCCCCCAGATCGCCAAGAGCGGCATCATCTACTCCATCGGCCACTCTGATGCCACCTACGAACAGGCTGTCTCTGCCACCCACCAGGGCGCCCGCATGATCACCCACCTCTTCAACGCCATGCGGCCCTTCTACCACCGCAACCCAGGCGTGTTTGGCCTGCTCGGTCAGAGCGAGCGCCGTCGCCCTTACTACGGCGTCATCGCGGACGGCATCCATCTTCACCCCACCACCATCAAGATCGCCTACAACGCCCACCCGGACGGCCTGGTCCTTGTCACCGACGCGATGCGTTTGTGTGGCCTGCCGGACGGCATCTATGAGTGGACTAACGGCGAGCGCATCGTCAAGACCGGCGCCCGCTTGACCCTCGAGGGATCGGACAAGATTGCTGGAAGCTCCGCCACGCTCATCGAATGCGTGAACAACTTCCGCCGCTGGTCCGGCGCGTCCACGGCCGATGCGATCAAGGCTGTCACTGCGACTCCTGCCCGTCTGCTGGGTCTGGAAGGCGTCAAGGGGTGTCTGGACAGCGACGCCGATGCCGACCTGGTCATCCTGGGCGAGAAAATTGACTCCTATGCTGGACCTACTCTGACGGTTGATCAGGTCTGGAAGTTCGGTGTTAAGATTCATGACGCAGACAAGATTGCGGTCTAGCGGTCTGAGGGCTGACAACGGGTTCTACCTTCTTTTTTCGAGGTCTTCTTTCTCCTTTTCTGTCGTTTACCTGGGATTTATTGTTTACTCTTTTCCTCTCATCTGGCCATCTTCGATTTCTATCTGCTCGCAGTTTTGATACTTTTTTCGGGGTCGAGTGGGATTGGGCGTTCAGGAAATACTTGCATTTTGCCATTTTACGGCCATAGAAGCAGACTACAAGCGCATCTCGGTTTTTATCATTACTATTCATATCCATGTTCATAGATTCGGATTTCAGAAATCATTCAGTATACGTTAAGAAGTTGTAGGAATATCTGTCTTTCCATCCCTTCCTCATCTCGTGTCGTTCTCAACTATACAGTATATCTAAACGCTTCCGTTGACCCACTTTGTCGCCAACGCCGTGTGTCCAAGATACCTGCGCGGGTAAGTGATCCATATCAAGAAAATATCCAAGAATTCAAATGCCCAGGTCCGTCTGGCGGACACTGTGGCCGGTCGAGAGGAGTATGTACTACAAGAGGGGTTTCATGAGCACTCGGCGACAACTGCCCCCCTCCCTCTCTGATCCCATGTTCCGGGACCTCGACCGAGCTGTGCGCCGCTTGCTCGCTTATATGCTAAAACCAAAACAGAAACAAATTGGAACTTTTTTCTTCGTTCATGCTGGGAATGTTAGACCGGGGTTTCGGTCTTCGCGCTTCTCAGCGCGCCCGCCGTGTGGTTTGTTTTACAGGCGGGGCTGCGAGCGGGTCCAGCCAGCCTCCTCGGCGATGAGCTCGGCGGCGCGCTCGCCAATGGCCAGGACCGTGAGCATGGGGTTGATACTAGGCATGTCAGGGAACACACCGGCATCCGCGATACGAACGTTCTTCAGGCCGCGAATCTTCAGCGTCGGATCCACAACGGCCATGGGGTCGCGAGTCACATCACCCATCTTGGTGGTACCGGCCGGGTGATACACGGTGTGCGCCACGCGGCGGCCGTACTCGGAAAGAGCCTCGTCTGACTGGACGCTGGGGCCAGGAGCCACCTCGCGCTTGATCCACTCCTTGAACGGCGACTGCTGGGCAATCTCACGGGCCGCCTTGAGACCTGACACGATGGTGGCAGCATCGTAACCCTCGGGGTCGGTGAAGTAGCGGAAGTCCAGCGCGGGCTTCACAGACGGGTCGGCGGAGGTGAGGTAAAGACGACCGCGGGAGCGGGGGCGGGGGATGTTGGGAGTCATGCAGAAGGCGTTGACGGGCTCGTCGTAGCCGAGACGAGTGGTGTTGAGGGTGAAGGGAATCTGGTAGCAATGCATCATCACGTCGGCGGCCCGGCCGTCGAAGCCAGCGGCATCCTTGGGCTCGCGACGGAAGAAGATACCGGCATCGGAGTCCATGGTGGTCTGGTTTGGGGGCACAGGACGGTTCAGCTCCCACATAATGATACTCTCCGGGTGGTCGATTAGGTTCTCGCCCACGCCGGGGATGTCCTTCACAACCGGAATGCCCAGAGCCGAAAGTTGCTCGCGAGGACCCAGACCCGACAGCATCATCAGACGGGGAGTGTCGACTGCACCGGCACAGAGGATGGTCTCCTTCTTGGCACGCAGGGTGTGCTTGAGGCCGGACTGGAGGGTCACGTTGACACCGGTGACTGCGTCACCCTCGATGTTCACCTTGGAAACCCAGGCGTTGGTGAGAATCGTCAGATTGGGACGCTTCTCTTCACCGCGCAGAATGGGGTGGATATAGGCGACACTGGCACTGCTGCGGCGGCCGTCATCAGGGTTGTAGGAGACGTTAAAGAAGCCGACGCCCTCAGTCAGCTCACCCTTGTTGCGGATGTCGTCATTGAAGTTCTCAATAACGGGGATGTTCATGGCGGAGGAGCAGGCCTGGACCCAGTCCTTGCACAGCTGGTTGCGGTGACGGGCGTGCACCGGCTGGATGGTGTTGCGCAGACCGTCGATCATGCGGGTGAAGGTCTCAAAGTCCCAACCCTTGCAGCCCTTGGCCACCCAGTTCCGGCAGTCATACTCGAAGGGACGGAAGGAGATCAGGGTATTGTGGCTAGAGCAGCCACCCAGGACCTTCGCGCGGGAGTGGCGGATGAAGCTGTTACCTGTCGAGGCTGTCAGTGTCTTTTCTTCCGTAGGGTCCCCAGGGCCTCGAACTATGCGCCGGGGAATGGTGAGAGGGCGCAAGTGGGAGAGGGGGAGATTTGAGGGGGATAGTGGCCGGGCATACCCATGGGCTGTTCGGTGGTGGGGTAGTCGTAGTCCAGCTCGCCGCCGAGCAGGTTGAGCCATTCCTTCAGGTTGAGGACCCGGTCATCGTGGAAGTCGCTGGGACCACCTTCGATGACGAGCACGCGCTTGTTGGGAAGATACTGAGCGAGGCGCGCCGCGATAACACAGCCTGCGGTACCGCCACCAACGACAATATAGTCGTAGCTGTTCACGTCAAGAGCTGGGAGATCGTTGGTGGTGGCCATGATGAAGAGGCAAGGCGCAATGAAAGAGGGAGAGAGTAAGAAGGCGAGGACGGGAGAGACCGCTACTTTAAAGATGGCCTGGAATGGATGGAAAGTGGGTGATGGTCTGATCGATGCAGACGATCCAATCTTTCCAATGGCTTTTCTCTTCTCGATACCTTGATTCGGCGTGTGGTTCTCTTCCGATTTTGCTTTTTTCCCTCTCTTTTTTTTTGGATCCGGAGGAATCGAAGCCTGTGAGTGGTGGCGAGCGAGGCGAGTGGAGCGACTTAGATAACCAGCGGCCCACCAGGCTGCCAACGGGCGCGATGCGGCGTTTCAGGGAAAAACGATCCCAAGGGGGTCCTCGCCGGCCGAAGCGGGTTCACGGACGTGAATGGGGAACTCCGAGGAATCCCGAGAGGGGAAAGAGAAAGAAAAACAGAAGAGGAGATACGAAGGGCATTGGTGTATCGTGTCGGTGGTCTATAGATCGATCGTGCTTGATAACAAGTATCGTGACCTGCCCGGAGATGACCAGGCTACCTGGGTTTCGCTGGCGCCGGCCTTACATACGGAAGTACCGGGGCACCCTCGACGCATCGCCCAGTACGTCACTGTCTGCAAAGCCTCCCCGCTTCGAAGCCCACTTTACGGAGTCAAACCATATCTTTTCTTAGGGCGATTTTCCCACGCCCCATCGGAATATGCACGGCGGCTGGAAATGCAGCCTAAAAGCGGCCTGGAGCCAATCCTCATCGCCGGCGGTGTCCGCCTCCCCGCAGCCACCGCCTCAGCGGCACAACTAGTCTCGCACTCCAAGCACCCCCGAACCGAGGATCGAAAGGACGAACTCCATTACGCAGTCCTTTGCGTCCCGCAGGCGCCGGCTGCTACGCAGTTTACGTACAAGTGCACCGCCCCACTAACCCAATTCCCATTGACTTTGCGTTTCCCATTCACTTCCGTCGCGCGGCCCGGGCAAAGTCCGATCAAAGGCGGTGTGATCCAAGTGGACGCCGATAAAGATTATCTTCCTCGCAGCAACATTTCCCCTCTTGACCGACACTTGGATACTTGGATCCTTGGACCAATCCCTGGACCGATACCTGGATATCTTGCAGAGATGGCCCTCCCCTTCCCTCCCCGTCAGCTCTACTACGATGGTAAGGTCCAAGCCGCCTCGTCCGGCAAGACCTTCCAGACCATCAATCCCGCCACCGCGACCCCGCTGGCCGATATTCAGATTGCTTCCCACGCCGACGTCGATGCCGCGATTGGAGCGGCCGACCGTGCCTTCTCGACCTGGTCGCAGACCCCCCATATCGCCCGTGCTCGGATTCTGCAGAAGGCCGCGGTGCTCCTGCGTGAACGTAACGATGAGATTGCCCGCGTCGAGACCTTGGACTCCGGCAAGGCCTTCACCGAGACTAGCACCGTCGACGTCGTGACTGGCGCCGATGTGCTCGAGTATTATGCCAACTTTATTGGCGGTGGAGGATTGAACGGCGAGACTACTCAGCTCCGGGAGGATGCTTGGGTGTATACCAAGAAGGCCCCCTTGGGTGTCTGTGCCGGCATTGGTGCTTGGAACTACCCCATTCAGATGTGAGTCTTTCGAATCAAGGATGCTAGTAGGAGGGATAAGAGAATGGTCGATTTCTGACAGAATGAAACTAGTGCCCTCTGGAAGTCTGCTGCTTGTCTTGCGGCCGGAAACACTATGGTCTACAAGCCCAGTGAATATACCCCTCTCCATGGCCAGACCCTCGCCGAGATCTATACCGAAGCCGGCCTGCCTGCCGGCGTCTTCAATGTGATTAACGGTGCGGGTGACATTGGTGCCTACCTAACCGGCCACCCAACCATCGCCAAGGTCTCCTTTACCGGCCAGGTCTCGACCGGTATGAAGGTGGCGGGCTCGGCCGCAGGCAATATGAAGTATGTGACCATGGAGCTTGGTGGCAAGAGCCCGTTGATAGTGTGCGCCGACGCAGACCTGGAGAACGCCGTCGATGGGGCCATGATGGCCAACTTCTACAGCACCGGTCAGGTCTGTACCAACGGCACCCGGGTGTTCGTGCCCCGGTCCCTGAAGGCGGCCTTTGAGAAGAGGCTGCTGGAGAAGATTCCCTTTGTGCGGGCGGGCCCGCTCTTCGATGAGCAGACCAACTTTGGTCCTCTGAGTTCGGCGGTTCACTACGAAAAGGTTGTCGCATACATTCGCAACGGTATCGAGACCGATCGGGCGACCCTCCTCTGCGGTGGGCCCGAGAAGCCCGATGTGCCCCAGGACCTGCAGGCCGGTTTCTGGGTCAAGCCCACCGTCTTCACGGACTGCACAGACTCCATGAGTATCGTCAAGGAGGAGATCTTCGGTCCAGTCATGTCGATCTTGTACTACGATACGGTCGAGGAGGCGGTGAAGCGCGCCAACACCACCGAGCTCGGTCTCGCCGCCGGTGTCTTCACCAAGGACCTCAACCAGGCCCACCGGGTCATCGACCAGCTTCAGGCAGGTATCACTTGGATCAACACCTGGGGCGAGAGCCCGGCTGAGATGGCTGTTGGTGGCTGGAAGAACAGTGGCCTGGGTGTGGAGAATGGCCGCAAGGGTATTGAGGCTTGGCTGCAGAACAAGAGCACTCTTGTTGACATGAGTGGTGCCGTAGCCACTGTCTTTGCCAAGCTGTAATGTTGTATATGATGTGATGCGTGTATGACCCCCCTGCAAACCACAAAAAGGTCGGATAGAGTGTATCAAAAATCAAGCCCCCCCCCCCCCCAACTTTTCTTTAATCAATCCCAACTTCTTTTTTTTGAGATCTTTACGCACCAGACACAACACACAAAATACAAAAACACAGATGAAGTAATAAAGACATAATACTTAGAAGTTGGGTACCTTCGTACCACTCTATTCCGCCAGCGCCTAGTATGACATTGAATGCAATTTCAAAAGGATATCTTGTCCATGGCCCATCTATGAGAAAAGATTACAAGAGGCAAAATAGCAGACACTCCATAGCTGATCCCTGAAACCCGAGACGAAAAAAAAAAAATTCAAAAGCCATGCAGCGATGATGGACGATAAAAGTTGTAAGACAAGAGAAAAGAAAAGACAAAAGACAAAACACCCAGATCCCAGTATCCCTAGAAATAAAGAAAAAGGAAGTGCATCCGAGAATATTCGGATAGCAGATGCCGTGGTAAAGAAAGTTGTGTGCCGCTAGCCCTGTATTATAGCGTGGTCACTCGGGCGCCCATGCGATCGAAGATCAAATCGTTCTTGAGGGTGCCGTCCAGACCACCGATGGCTGAATCCACCATGCGAGAGGACATGCTGTCGGGCGTGAGCTCGTCTTCCTCCATAGAGCGGTGCAGCTCGGTGTTGATGCGCAAATCCTTGGGCACCTTCTGTGGGGTTGTATCTGGGGTGGACTGCTGGCGCGGCGAGGCCTTCTTCGCCGGCAGCGGGGCCGGGACGTAGGTGCGGGGCCGGTAGACCAACGGAGGACCCTGGGTGCGCGCATCGGTGCCGGCCTGCTCGATCGACTCGAAGTAGCGTACCGTCTTGACCTTGAGCTCCAGCGTCGCGTCACGGTCGCAGACAATCAACGGGTGCTGGTGCAGCTGTAGGGCGGACAGCGTCCACATGTGGTTCACGCCATCCTCCAGTCCCTTCTGCACGGCAAAGGCCTTGTGGGCGCCTGTCGCCACAATCACCACCTCCCGGGCATCCATGATCGTCTGGATGCCGACAGTCATGGCCATGCGCGGCACCTTGGTCACGTCATTATCGAAGAAGCGCGAGTTGGCCAGGATGGTGTCGTAGGCCAGCGTCTTGACCCGGGTCCGGCTGCTCAGCGACGAACCGGGTTCGTTGAAGGCGATGTGCCCATCGGGTCCGACGCCACCCAGAAACAGCTCAATGCCACCGACGCGCGCGATTCGCGCCTCGAAATCGGCGCATTCCGCCACGGGATCGGGCGCATTGCCATCGAGGATGTTGATGTTCTGGGGCGGGATGTCCACGTGCGAGAAGAAGTGCTTGTACATGAAACTGTGATAGGACTCGGGGTGGTCGCGTGGAAGGCCCACATATTCATCCTGTTCTTGCATGAGTCTTTTTTGACGGGCAACCGGTCAAAGAGAGACGAAGCATACCATGTTGAACGTCACGACATTCTTGAAAGATATCTCACCGGCGCGGTGGCGCTGCACTAGGAGCTTGTAGATGATTTCAGGGCTGCTACCAGTGGGCAAGCCTAGAACGAAGGGCTGAGTCTCGGTGGGGTTGAAATCCTTGATACGGCCTGCGCAGAACTCGGGTCAGTTCTCTTTTGCCATCGCATCGCAAACATGCTGGCGCCAGCCCAGCAGGTGTCCCAAACAAGCTACTTACTGACGATGTACTCGGCAATGTACGCCGATGCAGCCTGAGGGTCTTCGCGGATGATGACGCGCCTGCAACGGTTAGAAACAAACAATCAGGTTAGTCTTGATTGCTCACTGCAGAGGCAACTGGATGGATGCGCATACATGGTGGTTACGTCAGCGGGCGTGCAGGTTCAACTTGGATGTCAGTTTTGATATCGAAGCCCAGTCTGCTGCAGCGATGAATGGGTATAATAGATCGAGCAGGGTCGGACCGGGTCAATAAGGAAGTTGGGAAGTTGATGGTGTTGGCAGGTGAAGACGAAGTGAGAGAAGAAGAATCGACAAGGAATCGACCGAAAAAGAGGCGCCCATGGATCGGTTACGTCGAGGCCGGATGTACGACAGTGACAAAAAGATCTACTGGGTAGTAGCACCGAGGAGGGGGTCCGCTGCCTTCGTCTGTTACCTGCTACCTGCTATCTGCTACGAATCGGGACCGCAAAATGTATCGTCGCATGCGCCCCTCCATGTGGTGGGATACTGGTGGGCTTGGGGTGGACTCGGGTGGGATATGGACCACCTGCGCACCCTCTGGACTCTCAGCATCTGGCTTGCCCGGACACAACATCACTCCCATCTATCTGATTCGTGGTGCTCTGGGTTGATCCATTCTTGTTTGTAGGATGTTGAACCTTCATTGTTCATGGTATCGAGAAACTCGGTGGATCCAGCTGATCGGTACCTTGTTTCTCGCGGACATGGCCGCATTCGCAGCCATGTGGTGGCCAACAATAGCAAGGACATTCCGATGACGCAGCGGTTGGGCATTGCACCCGTCGCAGAGTCTGTCTGATAGGCATTATGGGGTGTGATTGGCGATGATTCCAGCGAAGTAGAGAAGCGGATCCAGATGTCAAGCTGGCACGAAGGTTCCATCGAAGAAGTTGCATCCGGCAAAGGTCGGCAAAACGCCCGCGATGGCAAAATCTGGGGCGGAGTGTAACCCTGTAGCGTCGCACCCGGATACGGTACGGTACGAGACGTATCCTATCCACGTGATTGCACGCGGTTGCGTCGGTTTTCTAGTCGTCTGATTCGCGGGGGCGGCTAACACCCACGAAGTACCATCGGCGGGTTACGTATGTACCCGAAACGATGGTCCCGGGTCTAGCACACACCATGCACCTGGTAGCAGGTACCTTCAAGAAGGACAAAGGCATTTAGGCTGATCGATGAGGAGAAAAAGAAGCACTATCTCCCTCATACCCCGGACTTTATCGTCTGGGAGGTGAGGTCCCCGGAGAGGCAAGGGATCATCAGGCACACGTTTCATGCGGCGGTTATGCGGACGCTAGTTCGTGGAAGCTCTTAGCCAGCGAGGAGGCTTGGAATCTCTCGGCGGAGCCCGGGGTGGAGGGGGGCCTGCTGTCAGGGCTTGCGCCCTCAGGTGCGGAGTAGTTTCGGGAACATCTCTCAGCATCTGCACTCTAATCGCTGTCGCCCTCCAATCACTCCAATGGCTCTAATCTACGGGGGAGTTGGTGCTCTGCGGCTCTGACGCTGTGTACTCGGACGTCACCTGACTGCGACCTCGGAGCTTCCGCTCCTCCTCCTCCAAACGTGCCAGCGTCCCAACGTGCCGCGATCTCCCCCCCCCCCGCCGCCAAAGGAAACCCGGTTGCAGGTAGCAGCTCCTCCCCGACCATCCTCCACTCCATCCTGTCACCCTCCATCCCTTGCTCTCCCCTCTCACCTCCACCCTCCTCCCACCTCCCAAGCTACATCGGGCACTGCTGGCATTCCTCATTCCCCTAGGGCCATGGCCCCGAAAGAGGACATGCTGCCCCCGGGCTGGGAGGATCTAGACAGGTATGTTGACCTCCTGTTTCGGAGCTTCGATTCCACACTTGTTCCTCGTTCCCTCCCAACCACCTTGCTTTCCCCGTCGAGATGGCCGCCCTCCCCCAATCTCCACGTTGTGGAACCCCAACACGCCTCGCCGGCGATTTAAACTATTTCCACTTTGGGAAATCGGGGACCTGAAGAGAAAGCTACAAAGTGCACTATGCTGACTCCCCATGTGGCAGGCAAATGGGCCAGCTCTTTATGATGGGCTTTGATGGGACCTCGGTCAGCCCGCAGATTCGCACCCTCATTGAAGACTACCATCTAGGCTCCGTCCTACTGTCAGCTAAGAATCTTAAATGTAATGATCAGTCTTATTCCTTCCTTCTTGTTTTAACTCTCAACCTCAACCTCAATCTGCTCTTACTCCCCTTTTTTTATCTTAACTTCCTAGTCCCCATCGTCCCCGATGGGGAGCCTCCCCCTCCCCCTAGCTCTGGCCAGATGCTGATTTTGTGAACTACAGCGGCTGAAGAAGCAACTCGGTTGGTCCTTGAGTTGCAAACCATTGCGCGAGCTGCCGGCCATCCGGTCCCCTTGTTGATCGTGTTGGACCAAGAAAATGGAGGCGTTAATAGTTTATACGATGAGATCTATATTCGTCAATTCCCCAGCGCCATGGGAATTGTCGCGACCGGTTCCAAGACCCTCGCTCATGAGGTCGCCGTTGCGACAGCGCAGGAAATCAAAGCGGTAGGGGTCAATTGGATTCTTGGACCGGTCCTAGATGTCTTGACGAACGTGCGAAACCAACCGTTGGGGGTGCGTACCTCTGGGGACGACCCCCAGGAAGCATCGCAATATGGGGTCCAGTTCATGAAGGGATATCAGGAAGCGGGAATAGCCACCTGTGGCAAGCATTTCCCCTCGTACGGCAACCTGGAATTTCTGGGATCCCATGCCGATGTTCCTATCATCACCGAATCTCTGGAGCAACTCAGTCTAAGTGCGTTGGTTCCTTTTCGTAACGCCATCATGCAGGGCCTGGATGCCATGATGGTCGGCGGTGTGTCCATGTCCTCTGCTGGGATGAATGTGATGCACGCCTGTCTGAGTGACCAGGTGGTCGACGAGCTTCTACGGAAAGATCTGAAGTTCGAAGGAGTCGTCGTATCCGAGTGTTTGGAGATGGAGGCCCTGACTCATAACATTGGAGTGGGAGGTGGCACGGTGATGGCAAAGAATGCAGGCTGTGATGTGATCTTGCTCTGTCGATCCTTCCCAGTGCAGCAGGAGGCTATCAATGGATTGAAACTGGGGGTAGAGAACGGCATCATTGGCCGTCCTCGAATCGAGCAGTCCCTGCGTCGTGTGCTGAATCTCAAAGCACGATATACCTCGTGGGAGCAGGCACTGAATCCGCCCGGAATCCTCTCTCTCACCCAGATGCAGCCATCCCATACGAACTTATCCACGCGTGCTTACAACAGTTCCATCACGATGATGCGGGATAAGAATAACCTACTTCCTCTTTCGAACGTGATTGAAGCCAGCGAAGAGCTTCTCCTCCTGACCCCGTTGGTCAAGCCCCTTGCAGCGTCTGCAGTATCACTTTCCGTGAATGAAACTAAGCATGGATCTCTGGACACGACCTCGGTCGATCATGCGGCTTCGGTACTGAGCGGAGAAAGCGTATTCAAAGAGCTGGGGAGATCCCTCTCACGGCAAAGAAATGGACGGGTGTTGCACACCTCCTATACCCATAATGGCGTGCGGCCAATCCATGAGGATCTCATCAAACGAGCCAGTGCCGTCATTGTGGTCACTGCAGATGCCAATCGTAACCTATACCAGCAGGCATTCACCAAACATGTTTCGTTGATATGCCAGTCGCAGTACTCATCGTCCGGCGAACGTTGCGAAAAGCCCTTGGTCGTGGTCGCCGTCAGCTCACCGTTTGATTTCGCGACGGACTCTTCGATTGGGACCTATATTTGCACGTATGACTTCACAGAAACCGCGCTTCAGGCTCTAGTCAAGGTTCTCTATGGAGATCTGACACCCACGGGAACCTTGCCGGGCACCATCAGCCGCAGCCAGAAAATTCACCAATCTCGACAGCATTGGCTTGTAGAAAATTGGAATGAAGACCGAGATGCCGATGGCTTGGAGGCGCTGCTCGATGCAGTTCGCGAGGACTGTACACAAGGACAGCGCTCCGAGCTTCTCGGTGCCACCTCTGGCAGCTTCCTACTCCGGAAGGAGGATATCGATGAGGCACATTTTGTGGTGCGTAACAGCAGTACCCGAGCGCTCTATGGATTCTGCGCAACCTACTTCTTTCGATCAACCGGTACGGGCGTCATTGGGTGTCTGATCGTGGATCCCTCGCGGCGGAAATTGTCTATCGGACACTCCCTTCACAGCCGAGCCATCCGGACCCTGCTTCAGCGAAAGGGCATGAAGCGATTTCAACTGGGGTCTCGACTCCCGGGTATCTACCTGGGGATCCCTAACGTTACCCCTGTCGTACGTAAACGGCTGCGGCAGTGGTTTGCCAATCTGGGGTGGAACATTGCCCTCTCGCGCCCCGTCTGCAGTGTGGTGCTGCGCAACCTCGGAACCTGGACTCCACCAGAGGGCCTGACAGCCACGCTGCAGAATGCCGAAGTCATCTACGATCTCGTGTACGGATGGGATTTCGCGCGTGCCATTTTGGAGCACATCAAGACCAATGCCCGACAGGGAGTCGCGGACATCTACAGAATTGCACTGGGTGGTGCACCCAATTGTGGCATCATCCGAGCCAAGCGGTCGTCCGACGATATGATTCTTGGGAGCATTGTTGTCTACAACGAGCGATCTGCGTTGGCGGACCATATGCCGGTCTTACGTGCCACTCAGACCACTGTCGGGGGCATCTCGTCACCAGTCATCTCGCCCTGTGCTGACGACTACTCCACTGTCATGCAGGGGTTGATTCTGCTAGCTATCAAGCAAATCCGCAAGCTGAATGCTAACGCGGTAGTAATGGATTGTGTATGTTGACAACCCCTCACTCGTTTTATTGTCCCCCGCTTTCTTCCCTGTCCTTGTCTTTAATTCTCTGTTCTTGGAGTTTATCTACCCTATGCTAACGAGCTTGCAGGTGGACGGCGATGGCAACTTCGATTGTCTTTCCTCGATGGGCTTCAGTGTGCTACACAACTTTGAAGAGGTGAATTGTGACGCCACCGCCTGGACGATGATGCATCCTTCATAGAGAGGGTCTTTGGCTTGTGATTGTGTCTTTTCCTCCCTCCAGTTTTCATCTTTTCTTTTTCTCATTTCTCCCGTTGGGAGGCCTTATCGCTCTCCTCTATGATTTTCTCCTCGCATCTATGATATCCATGTGGCATTTGTTTTTGGGGGGGTTATTGTTTATTGAATATTGGTTTCTTGGCTTCCTGGGCGGTTGGGTGATTGGTCTTTTGTTTGATTTATACCATCTTTAGGGCCCCGGCTAGTCGGATTCTTATGTGATGCAAGTACCTGAAGGGTGCCTTCGTTTCTTTTTCTGCTCGTGGGGCACACGTATCGTTGATTGGACTTGTGTGTGTTCACTGGCCCCTTCCAGTCCCATCTCCTGCTTCGTGGTGCATGGATAGATTCCTACGGGGCAAATTCGGGGCGCTGGTGGGTAGGACAGGAAGTTTGCACGGCGTCATTTGAACCAATCTTACATCATATTCCCGAGGGATTTGGTCCAGCGACATCGTGTCGATCACGGGAGATCCGCATTCTGCGTGTAGCCGGCCTTCTTGTTGACTCTGGCGTTTCGATTGGGAGGCCCTTTTTGCCTTTTTTATTTTTTTTTTACTTTGAGGCTTTTGTTTAACCTTTGCTTTTGCTCGCCGAGACAAGCTCGGTCTGGAGGGCCATTCTCGACTAGTTTATCCCCAGGCCCTGTCGTGGCCAGGGCTCCGGGTGGAGTTCGTGGAGGACCCCACTGGAGGCACCAGAATAATGGTGGGCGCTGACTGGACCGGACGTCCGTGCAGAAGTACGGTGAGGAGTGGGCAGAAATCAATCCAGCTCTTTGCTTCGGCAGTCAAACCCTCTAGACTTCATGGGCTCACATCCAATGGATTCAGGGGTGACAAGAAGTGGTGTGGTATGGTCTCGGACTCCGCTTAGCGCCGGAGGCGAAGGGAAAAGCGAAAGTTAAGCACCCACTTTGGGCCACTTGGACCTCCCCGACTTGGCTGAATGGGGGACGGAGTTTTAGTCTTCTGGAGCCGGGGGAATGGGAAGTTGGGAATGTTCAGATTGCACGCTTTCTACGGATTACAGAGTACATTGTAAAATGATGGTTCGAGACGATGATTCTGATCTAGTTATCTGGGTTATCTTATCGTAGTCCTGGTCGCTTATGATCACGTTCCGATAAGACCGAATCGCGGACGAGGAACTCGAAGGGCAGGATTCGAGAATGGTGCTCAATGTCCCATATCTTTAATTTGGTGAGCGAGGAATGCTTCCGCTGTGTTTCTCGAGGCACGTCCGAAGGCGTCGGGCGTCGGAGCCACATTTCTATCCGGCCGCCACCGGGTCCAGACGCGGATGAGCACCATGTTCATGAGATGAGATGAACCGAGTGTATAGATTAATTGATACATGGAACCATTCAACGGCCGTTTTGTTAATTAACTGGGCAGCCGAGCAAGGATGTCAACAACCGGAGTTCAGCAAGAATCGCATCATAGGTCCGATGAGCAGAATACCTCCTCTTTCCCGAACGGGGCAGTACTCGAGCAGAGTTTGGCGGGCGAGACAAGCACCAGAAATGCCTCAGTCGCACAGGACAGGTGGGGAGGGGGACTTACCGGCTCTTTGAGGGTGATGATGAGCGTTATAGTTAGTTTTGCCTAATCTAGGATCACAATTCCAATGGGGTGTTTTGAAGACAACGCGACAGTCCTGTACTCCAATTGTTTTGAATGCCTGAATGGGGGAAAGAAAAGGAATCACGGACTATAACGACGCCCCACCGGGCCGGTATGGGGCAAATCCGGCAGGATTCCCTCGGCTCTGGAGGATTCGGTGGCTTCTGCATTCTGATTAGCGGCTTCATGGTGAGCAATAGTCCGTCAAGGTAACTAGTTGGTTGGCTGGCTGGCTGGCTGGTTGGTTGGTTATTTCGCTCGACGAGTTCAAGATCCTCTCTCCCATCCTTAATAGGATTAGGATGCTCGTACGTATGTTCCGGAATTCCGCGCGTATCTGAACGCACTGTTCTGCATAGGGCCGCATAGCAAGGCCTCCCTCTCTTACGGCCGACCCACATTCTTTATCGTTCGATTTCGGGGGATTCGCTTGCTCCCGTTCTGAGAAAATGCTCCCGGATCCCGACCAGAGCAATTCCGTCGAGGAGGAGGCCGAGACCTTCCGATATGGGTTGCCCCTCATGCCGTGTGTATCGGGGCATTTGGAAACTGGCGTTGATCTCTAACCTTCAATTATGCTCCGTTGGGCGTGAGTGGGCAGTCATAGTGATGATAATCCATCCAGCAGAAGGGAAATGCCGAGCAGAAGAAATCATGGATCGCCCGCTCGAGGCAAACACGACGGAGAGCCCCACACTCAAACGCGTCTAGATCGATCGGTCTGTCGGTCTTGGAGATCATCGTGTTGCTCCTCTTCGTTTCCGGTCTGTCTCATCTTGCACGAACCGTCAACTGGTTTACCTGTCCTGCTCATACACCGGTCCGGCATACATAACAGAGGAACCGACCAGGGGGGAGGGCCGCATAGGCCGGAACGGGAAAAACGAAGTCTCAAACGGGAAGCATGAAGGATCCGAACCTGGACACAGACGCATCGAGTAACACGATCCAGCCGAGAAGAAGGGGGGCAGAGGGGGGATGAAGATTGAACCACCAGTAGACCAGTCCCGAGTCCGTTCCTCAGCGGGGAGAGGGAAAATGATCTGAGGGCCATCATCAGGATCCCAGTCCCGTGGTCCTGATTCGTCTGGGGGTGGAATGAGGTGGGTCACCACCAACTGCCAGGCCCGCCGACCGGGGCACAATCATGGCTTGTGAATGGACGCCATTGTTTGAATGGCCAGGAACGAAGCTGGGAATAATCAAGCTGGGGTCGTCGCTCTCGTCTGGGACCGTGCAGAGTCCAGCCGAGGGGCGTGTCAAGAGTAAAGTTGAGTCCGCCGCGGAGACCAGTCGAATCGGGTAAATGCACGGGAGATTGAAGGAGGAGAGCAGCAGATCCGCATCCACGGGAGTTGCGCATTAGCGAGGAATAGTCTTCCAGAGACGAGAACGAGGAGGATGAACGGGGATGTCGAGACGTAGTGTAGAGAGGAGGAACGAACCACATGATACCATCTCGAACCATCACGTCCACCATCTATCTTCCACTATCCACTATCCGCGACCATCCAACTACGCCCAGCAACTCCTCGCCCCGAGAACGAGAAGCGTCCTCACATGGAAGCTTCTTTGGCTTCCTTCTTTTTTCCGCCACAGCCGTCGTGTAGCGTCCAGTCAGGGCCAGTTGCTGCTGCGGCAACGCAACACAGATGACCCGCATACAACTACGCAGACAATTCGGCGGTCGGAGGCCCGGTCGATAATCGATAATTCTGGTAATCAAGCCCTCCAGCGGCCAACTCAGACAAGAGTCGCTACATCTCTAGAGTTCCACACGCGCGATGCCTCTATATCCCCGTGTCCAGTCTATTCTCCCCCTAGTCATCTTCAGGTCCCTCTATCGCGGGAAGCGGGGGCCCACAACGCTCGCCTCTTATTCGTGCGCGCTTTCTGTATGACCAACCTCACCTGGGTGCATCACTCGCCGAGGCGAACCTGCAGAAGATCATGAAAATCATGGCCGGACATCTCCGGTCCCACCAAATCGGCTTCTCCGTCCCTCCCCCTCTCCTCCCCTCTCCCTTCATCTTTCGCCCCCACGAGGCAACTTCAAGTTCGAAGTGGAAAACGAGGAAAGGGAGGGGGACCAAAGGGAAATGGAAACTGTCCTAGGTCAGAGTTTTGGAGCTGCCGGACAACAGAGCTGCTGGATCTGCTTGGACCGCCTGGAGCTACGGGACTGGTGGACCAGGATGGGAGACCACGACTTATGGTACTGCTGGGGCCGTCTTCAGTCTCCCATCTCCAGTTAGCGATGGTCTCCCCCCCCCCCCCCTCTCTTTCAACGGCCACAAGAATAATAATCATTAAATCATCCACTGGAGAAAACAGATAGCACAGCGCTCGGTTCCTGGCTCCGACTGCGTCTGGATGGGTCTGGAGTGGATTGCCCGTTCACGGTGGGCCTCCACTACCAATCACATTGTCTGCGGGCGCATCGGGCGGAGCACGATCACAGACGGTCATGGCTCTCGCTCTCGTGTCCTGCATCCTGCGCGTTGGACGGAAAAAGAAGGCTTCCCGTCGAAATTGGCCCCGTTTTGGCCACCTGATTGGTCCCATCCCCCAACTCCAACCCCCTTCATCCCATCACGATGGCGCTGCATGTCAGACGGGCCCATGTTGATCATCAATCCTTCTGGGAGGGGCGCGTTGTCCCGCTTTTTCTCGAATAGTCAACTTTGGAATGGAGGTTGCTGCTTGCTGCACCTCCTGATACGGATGGTTCTGCATCTGAGGCAGACTTCTTGCTCTGGCGCCGATTGCGTTTCTTATATCATTTTCTCTCGCTAGGATTGGCGAATCCACCTCTCCTTTGGACAGTTTGCCTTTTTTTTATTTTCTTTTTATGATCCTATTTTTGACGCCTTTTGCACATCCCCCCTCTTCCCCGCAAGCCTGTTCTCCCCAGTGATTCGCCTGTCTTCCGACTATCTGAATCCTGCTTGTTCTACGGCCATGGCGTTTTCAGGGTTTTGACCCGAAACAGCCCGGCCTTAATAGGCAGGTGGGTTCATGGTTCTTCACTGCATGATCTTCAGGGCCCAAGACGGAGCGAAACCACGACAGTTGCCGAGAGCCGGCGCGCGATCGCCCGCGTCTTACTCCATTCAGGCCATCTTTCTAGGAGATTTCTTTCGATTTCGCTAGGCAAGCCCATGTCCTGCACGCAGTATCCCAGTCCGGACCGTTGTCGAGGGGGAGGAATCGCCGTGGACGTATCGGCAGGATCGTCGTGGATTCTGGAGTATGGTCCCGATCTTATCCCGCCTTTCTGTTTCCTCAGGTCTCTTCAAGTCCTGTCGCCCAGGGGTCCCCCTTGTTGCCTCGAGGTACTCCGTAGAAAATGAAAAATGCACTTCGTACGCCCAAGTTCCTGTGCCTCCGGTACTTCTGTACCTCCGTAGGTACCGCGTTGTATAGCCCTCAGTTCATTGCCGTCTATATTTTCGGCCTCTGCAACTCCCCAAGTCAGAGGACTACTTTCGTTCGGGCTGCTATTCTACTCGAGTCCTGTCCGTTTCTCTCTTCTCTCTCTCTCTTATTTTACCTTGTCTTTTCCCCACTTCCAAACCGTCTTCGTCCGCGGTCCCTTTTTCTGTTCTCCGCAAAAACCGCGGCTCCACTTTTCCCCGAATCCGTCGGCGCATCCGCAACGCATTCCATGTTCCCTTTCCCTGCTCCGTTCCTCGTGTCCCTCTCTCCTCCTCTGCCTCCTCTTCTTCTGCTTCTTCTTCTTCTTCTTCTTCTTCTCTCTTTTCCCCAACTTGCGCGCCGACCCTGATCCCCTTCCGGCGCCTCTTTGCTGGCATTACATTCCCAAATCCCGCACTTCTCATCCTCCTTTCGGGTCTTGTCTTCTCCGCCTCTCTCCCCTCCCCCGAATCAACCCCCTCCCCTCCCAAATCCCGCCACTCGTCTCCTCTTCTCCTCTTCTGTATACGCTCACGCATCCCCTACCATAATTTCTCCACTCACCTCCCTTCTTATCGCGTATTGGATATTCCCTCAGCCCTCGCCATGGAGGGCTTTGATACCATGGCCATGCCGCCATATTTGGCCAGCCCGTTGTCCCTCGGCAATCTCCAGGGTACCGACTATCTCAATGCCATGCCAGGCCTAGATCTCCCCGATCACCGCTCAAATTTTGATTCCGAAACCTTTGTCAGGTAAGTCCACTCGATTTTCAGACTTCCACCCGCTTTACAGAGAGGAAATGCCCGTTTCAGACCGAGGAATCAGGAATTAATTTCCTTCGCAACACAGCGACGATCTCGCCTTCGCCCAAAACACCCTGCCGCACTCTTTGAAGCGCTTTCCCTCAGGCTATGATGACCCGTTTACTGATATGGTTGCGCCATTTGACCCCGTGCCCCCGGAACAACCCCAGGATTCGTCGATCGACCATAATAACAAGCTCTTGAGTTTCTCCCTTCCTGTCTACCATTTCACGTTGCTCGACTACTCCATGCGACGGACTTCGCTTTCGGTGTCGGCCCAGCTACATGGCATGTTCTTCCTGGCCGAGTCTCCCTATACAACCTCTCCCTCCGAGAACGCCCCGCCGCAGCAAGGTGCCGAATTGACCTGCTATCGCCGTAATCTCTTCCAGATTACGGGCTCCGTTACCTTACCCCGAGGGATGCGCTACATCATGACTGATCAGGGCGATCGGATCCCCATTCTCGCCCAGGAACTCACCGTCTCGGCGACGGAATCAGTGGAGGGGAATCCTGTGAAAATCATCTCGGTGCCCTGGAAAACGCCTTCGGCTGCCGCTGCCAATTCGGGCACCGTGCTCGAAGATAACAGCACCGGCAGCGCCGCCAAGGTAGAGAAGGAGCCCCCGCCAATTCCGCTTGATATCATGGCGGGTCAGGACCTGGATACTGACTACGCGACTTTCCCCATCGCGTGGAAGCGACTACAGTTCCGTGTCGCAACCGCTAATAACGGACGCCGTAAGGAGCTGCAACAGCATTTCGTTGTTCGACTTAAGGTGGTTGCTACCCTTTCGACCGGGGCCAAGATACCGATCTCTGAGGTGCAATCGGGTCCGGTTATTGTTCGTGGCCGCAGCCCACGCAATTTCCAGTCCCGAAAGGATCTCCCACTGAGCGGCAGTGCTGCTGCGTCCCGAAAAAACCAGGCCAACTCGGCGGCTGCGCTCAACCGCACCCCGACGAATGAATCCGTGCCCCGTCGCGCAAGTGTGACACCGGCCAAGACAAAGGCTCCCTCTGGTACAGTGCAGAGCAGTTCCCCCGAGACCACTTCCGTCCCCCCCCCACCATCATGCATCAGCCACAGGTCACTCCCGACTGGACCCCCATGCCCCAGTCAGCTTCGACTGCCGTCATGGCCCACGCCCATCATGCGCTCTTCCCTCATTCCAGCCCCGAGCAACTCTCTCAGGCTGCTGATCCCCAGCGCCGCGTCAGTGGCACAACGGCCGCAGCGGCAGCACCGATCAATCTGTCTCTGTTGGATGAGGAAGATACCGCGGATGCTGGCCTTCATTTGGACCAAAAGATCATGCCACCCTACACCAGTGAACTCCAACAACAACGAGCCATGGGGATGGATCAATCTGCACAACCTCCAGCCAAGATGCGCAAATTATCCCATGGCATCTCGCAGACTCCCTCGCGGAGTGCCACTTCATCTCTGCCCTTGCTGGAGACTGCCAATTTACCGCAACAGTTCGTCTCTTCGCTGCCCTTTCCAAATGAGAGCACCGACTTTCTGTACGAATACTTCCCTCTTGGCCTCGATGACTGGCAGGCGCCTGTGGACGCTGTCTACCGGCCCCATGTTGTGCACCATACCAACATGCCCGAGATGAAATTCGTGGGGGCATCCAGAGGTCGCAGCAAGCGATATTTTGCAGCAGAGGATGTTTTCTAGTCCTCATCAACCTCTTGGCGCTGGGTGGCATTTCGTCCTTTTTCTCAACTTTTTTTCTGCCCCGGCTTTGTCCCTGAACGGGGTTCGCATCTGCATCTGCACATTGGGCTGGAGTATGGTTCGGTTCTCACTCCTGCTCTTGCTTCTATTGTCTCTAGAGCCTCTTCCTTCGCAGAGGAGAGTTTGGTTTCCTCTCCTCCGCTGATATCTTGAGGTTGTGAATTGTTTCAATTTTTCTGGATTATTGGCATTTCCCGTGTGGGCTCTTGGTGGTCTTCTCTCTCTTTTACTTTTGCCTCTTGGTTTGGATCTTGCGGCTTTTCCCGGTGAAAAAATGAGGTGCTGTGGCGTGCTGTGGAGTTCTTTGTGTTTGGTGTTTTTTTGTCTCGTATTTCTTGTGGGATGGATTTTTTTGGATGCCAATCCGATGTCTTTGGCTGACATTGCCCCCCGACTTTGTCTCCAACGAGACTTGACTCTTGGAGACATCACCTCAGCGTCCGTTTGTTTGGGCTTGGATTTACTTGGCACATTTTGGTTCTGCGGGTCTTTCTTCTATCTTTGGTTTTGGTTATATCCCATTGTGTTATGATGTTACGCTGCTATTATCGCGCCTGATCTGAATGGCCTTGAGGCCTAAGCTTGGCACTCAACGTTGAGCACCTCAGACTCAAATATATAGTGAAAGATCTATCATCTGTGATGATTTTTTTTACGAAAGGCTAAACTGGAATTTGATAAAAAAAATTTTCTAATCCGTATCTATATATATAGTTTTTGTCGTGTCTGAATCTGCGCGAGATTGAGATTTAATTTTCCATAAGATAGGGCTGAGTTGACATTTAAGAGACTTAATACATTTTAAATTTAGAAAACGAGTATGTCATCTTAAGCGCAACACATTAGAGGTAACCCAGTCCGTCCCCACTGATGGTCTCCAGATCGGCCCGAATCTCCCACTCTGTCGCGCCGACCCGGGCCGCGATCTCCGCCTGGCGTTGCTTTCCCAGGTTCAACAACTGCCGGAGCAAATTCCCATCGACCATCCCCCGACCACCAGTACCGTCGCTCTCAACAGCCCGGTAAGCGCGTGGGTTGAGTCCGCCAGGGTGCTCAATGGTATTGGTAAGCTGGGATTGCAGGGCCGACAATCGGCGGTAAGACTCTTCGGCGACGGTGGTAACCAAGGCCAACGATCCATTCTGTGATGTGATCAGGGCATGATGGGTGGTAAGAGCACTGTCCACTTCCATTTCGTCTTCTGTAGTCTCGACCAGTTCCGACGAGACAGCCGTACGAGGGAGAAGAGTGATAGTCGAGGCAAAATTGCCCGTGTAGAACTTGCTTCTATTAAGCAGCCGGTCGCCATTGGAAGACTTGGGGTCTAAGAACATGGGTCAGTAAGGGGTTTTCATTTGAGAGCAGGCAGATATCACATACCTTCAGGGTCGTACTGCAGCACATGCAGGTTGCAATCGCTGTCGGCAACCAGGATGTACAACTTGTTCCCGTCCGGGAGGAAATCCGCAGCCACTACCTCCAGATACTCCGGGTCTTTGCCGAAGAGAGTCATTCTATAAGGGTCCTCCTGTGGGGCAATGTTAGTGAGGCCAATTCAATGAGTGCCGAAGATTTTTGATACCGAGTAACCCGCAAACCAGATACCCTTGACAGCATCCCCAAGGATGCACATCCCGGTCCCTTTGAGCTCCTTGGCAACGTTGACATAGCATTGCATATCCATGAAAGCCACGGGGAGAAGGCTCCCGTCTTCTTTAAGACCCCGGACCATGCACTTCTGTCCCTGGGCCACAATGACAAAGCCCTGTCCACCAATCCCCGACAAAGCCGTCACCGCACCCTTCACGGTCTCCTTCCCCAGGAGCTTCAGCTTCCGTCCAGTCTCCGATTTTCCTGGCTCCGGAACAACGTCAATTACATCAAAAACGTATATCCCACCTCGTGCAGGAATGTCCTCGCCTTTGGCAATTGCGGTGCCCACGACAATGAGATCTTTTCGCTCATGTGTATTCTCCGAAACTTCCATATTCACATTCTTCACTGCTGTAATATGCTCCGCAAGTTCCAGAGGGTAACTGTCAATGACAGACCACGTCTTCGGGCTGACTACTTTGACAAAACTCTGGGGAACTTCTGGGGAAAAGGTGACTGATTCGTTGCGCCATTCAGGATGCAGCTCGTCATTATCCGGTAGCTTGAAATCCATATTGGAACTAGTGCCAAGAACATAGGTCTCCGATGATGTCGAGTAAGTCAGATAATCGACCTGCTCACCCAGAGGGACCTTACGGAGCGTCCAAGAGTAATCAAATTGGGTGTCGGGAGGTAATTGGCAAGCTCGAACACAGCCCTCGGAATTGACGTAGATGAATCCTTTCTCACAGGCCAGAGCCGATGAGTCGAAGCCGCTCAGCCACTGCGTATATTCTCCTCGGAGGCGTACAAAGTGTGGTGAGCTTGTCGATGTTCTGACAACAAACCCGGAAGAACTTCCGGGCAGAAACACTGTGCTGAGTCCAGAAACGTTCGAGAGGACTCGCAGTGGTTTGACCCGCAGAGGCGCATCTACTTCCGTCAATGAGGGCCCAACTCTGGGCAAGGTGTGGCTGGATTCTCTGAAAAAACGCAGATCATTTGACGGCTGGTTGTCAGCCTCTGTTGACGTGAATAGGGGCTTATAGACGATCAAGTCATCGTTCTCGGTCCGGACCTAGTTCCAATTAATACGCAAAATGTTATATCAAGTCAGGGAAATGCGTACTATCAAGTATGGCAAAGTGCTCCATTTATCTCCAAGGTCGGCAACCAAAATTTCTGTGAGAGACTCGCGTGTGTTGGACCGCCGAGGAGGCTCCGATGACAATACAGGTTGGAGACAGTCAACGCCATCGATGATCGTCAACAGCTTCATCTCAGGAAGACTGACAACCTATAGGTCGATTATTAAATCTATTTCTCACCGAATGAATCAGCAGTTACGTACCCAGAGTTTGGATTCAAGGCTGAGCAGAAATAGCAGCATATTTCCATTTGTAGAATCTCTGGTCACTGATCCCCAGTCACCAAATGCTTGGTTCTTGTCATGATAAAGACAAACAGAGCACCATTTTGAACCAGAGATATTTTCTGGAAGCGAAACCTCATCAAGATCACCATTCTCATCCGCTTGGAGAAGCAAAAGAGATGCACCATCTCTAAGGATTGCGAGAAAAGGGTCCGAGAAGCTCACGCTCAATGCCCGGCGTTCTTCCTCGGTATCTTCATCCCACATAGGATAGATCTGTGCTAAGCCCAGGTCTGAAGATAGATCGACTATGTTAGTTTTTCATTCGATATCTTTACCTCATTTATGAGACCAGAAAACCAACCTATATCATAACTTCTGACTTCATTGTGTAAAACTTGAGCGAGACGAGTGCCGCCTGCTAAAGGTCCAATATCGACGGTGAAATCCTCATTTGGATTGAAATCCGGAGCTTTGAATGGCTTCATCTCTTGACCTTCGACTATCAGGATCTCTGAAATTTCTTTGTCAGACTCTGAAGGCCGTGTCACGATCACATATTGACGAGAGAGAGTCTCGGACAAGTCGTTGATGTTGGGATGATCTCCTTTTCCTTGAATCACAGTAGCTGACCATACCCGATCGGCGCCGTCGATATTCATAGCCATGCTGGTTAAAGGGTCAATTTGCCGCTTGATAACAACTAAGCCTCCAGCTCTACCGGAGCCCTGAGATGCCACTAATTCCAACTCTGCGGATACACCCTCACCTGCCACCCGAGCCTGGTTTGAGGTAGTTTGGAAGGCTTTTCCAATCGTGACATCTCGTAGGGGGCCGACACTGGACAGTTGATCATTTAGCCAAAAATCATAGAAGCCGGGTATGGCATTCCCCAACGCTATGCGTGAGTCAGTATGGGTAGGCTCAGGCACTGAGGAATAAAGATCATCCTCATATGCATCGTCTTCCATCTGGCCGCCATCTGACAGATCCCCAGCTCCATTCGCAACAATCGTGGAATCCGATCGTGACTTTTTAGTGAATGAAGAGCGAGACCATCCCAGCAGCACCGAGTCTGCGTCTTCGCTCCCTAGGAAAACGTTTCCATCTCCAAAACAGGTTGAGCATGATGCAGCTGATTTCAAGAGATCCCCGCCAGCTTGCGCCGGCAGAGGATGAACTGTCATGCCCGACACCGACCGGCCATCTAGCTTAAATCGAATCAAAGCCATGTCCCCAGAAGCAAGTGCGAGGAGAAGATCCCCACTATCACCACCCAGTCGCTCCACCACGCACCCTTCTAAGCGAAAGGACAAGTCGGACTGATCGCTCATGGAAAATGATGAGACCTGGCGAGAGAATTCATTCACTCCCACCGCGTTAGTTTTCCCGGCTTGGTCCACATGCACAATCTCATTAGCGCCCAGAAGCAACGCTCCTCCAACAGGAGGTGGGAGAGCAACCACTCTGAATAGATCACTGGGGAGCCGAGAGACTGAAAGAAGAGTTGTTGACGCCCGTTGCTCCAGGTCTAACGTGAAGACAGCATAAAACATCACATCTTTTCTTTCATGAAGGAAAGCATTGGATGTTGCCACCTGAGAATATAAAATGCCGAAGGTCGGCTCTCGGTATTCATAAAGAAATGCAAGATTGACTGGATGCAGCAAAGAAGGGTCCAAGGCTGTCAGTGGCAGCACAAAGGATGCTGCATATGGCGTTTGATATGTCGGGCCCTGCTTGCTTCTGTCAATCTCACTTCCCTCTCCAGAGGTTTGGGCTGGGCGTTCTCCGTCCAGCTCTGAGTCGTAGTCATCCATCACTAAATCATCACCAGCTTGGTGAAAGGGTAAGATGGCAAGATTGCGTTTTCCAAAATTGAAAACCGCACATCGGCTGCTAGGATCCACACTGAGAATGCTGGTACAGCGACTCAAGTCCGGGATCCATGGACTACGGGTTAAATCATCCCGTTCGTAGTAGTGGATGGAGATGGTGGATATGCCATGTCGCGTGGGATCCCATTCAATCAAGCTGAGCTTAGCATTGCGGATGGCGAGCAAGATTGCTTCTCCGCCACTCTTGGTGTTCAGAATTTTCACTCTGCTGATATCAGTCACCGTTCCTGGCAGACAATACTCTTTCTCCAGAAATAATTTTGTCTTTGGCGGGTGAGAGGGCGATGAGTGGGTCTCAGTGATTTCTCCCAGCTGCTGCGCGGAAGGTTTGAGGAGAGAGAAAACCTGCAACAGAGATGATCGGACCACGATCAGATTGTTGGCGGTAGCAGAGAGAAAAGGAATTGCCAGGGCATGAGTAACCCCAGTGGGGGGGATCAGTTCCGTATAACACTGCATTGTAAAGCCCCTCCTGCCTTACGGCAACTGGAATGATTCAATGACTATTCTCTGGTCCAATGAAAATGCCAGAGCGCATTGCAGCTTTTGAATTCTTGTTCAATTATTTGAAAGCCCTGGACCGCACGGCTTGGAAGTGCATACAAAGGCATCACAACACATTGCAGGGCGGTCTTAAAGCAAAGAGCCCATCACGTGGTGATTACCAAATATGGTTAGTGCATGACGACAGGCGAGTCCGCGATTTACTTCCCAGTTGCGCCGTGAAACCTCGACTGTCTTGCATTCAGACAACCTTCTTTGCAGTGTTCTATTCTTCAGCTCCTCATGCGGGCTCAGTATCCTTCAAGATGGCACTCCTTCAGACTTCACTAATCTGGATCGTGTATGCTGTGGTGATAGCTATCCTGCTGGCGGTAGCTTCGGTCTTCATCTACGTCTACCAAACTCCGCGGGACCGGTCCCCCTCTGTTACTCTGACTTGTATCATTGCAATAACCTGCTTGCTAGCCACTGTTCTTCTCCTCCCCGTGGATGTTGCTCTGGTATCATCAACCACCTCGTCCAGGTTGGGTAAAAGGAAAGATTGGGCCACTCCAGATGCAGTAAACCGCATTACCTACTCCTTGACCATTGTCTATTATCTCTTATACTCGGCGGATGCACTGCTATGCCTGTTAATCATTCCTTTTACTTACTTCTGGTACGAAGAATATGACGAGGTGGCGGCCGAGGAAGGTGAACAGACTTTCGGCCAGCGATTTTGGGGTGCCTTCAAGTACACGCTCTCTTTCATCGCGATTGTGGTGATTTTGTTCCTGGTTGGTTTCTTCGTGCCTGTATCCAAAGATAAGGGTGGCCTTGATTTGGACTATTTCAAGCGACTCCTAACTGAGAACCGTGAGTTTCTTTACCACCTTTACCCGGATAACCGTATTGACCCGATGCAGATGGTGAACGAGCATTAGCATTTGCACTTGGGCTGTTGACGACTATTGGTATCTGCCTCTACGTCCTATATACCTCGTCAGGGCTTGCGCTCCTCCCTATTGGTCTAATCAAGACAGCTCCCTCGATTTCCAGCCCCGCCCTGCAAGCTACCACCGCACAGCAGCTGGAGGCAAACCGGGAGCGACAGCGACAACTAGAGGGTCGCTGTGGAGGAAACCCCGAACTTTTGTCTTCTAAGGACCGTCGCGAATTCGATACTCTTACGCGAGAAGAGAGGACGTTAATTCGACGACAGCGCTTGGTTGAAGAAGCACAAGGAAATGGTCAAGGCTGGCTGATGCGGGCATGGTATAAGATCGAGGCCATTTTGCGCCCCTTCAAGCTACTGGGTGGTATCCTGCTGCTGCTGATCGCTTTGGTGACCTGGGTGTCGATGCTTTTGACAGCCATCGATAAGGCCAAAAATTCGATCTGCAAGCACCGCTGCGGTTATATTCTTGGACATGTTAATGTTTTTAACCCTCTGAACTGGGTACTGGTGCAATCCGCCAAGGTCTTCCCGGTTGACTACGCGATCTTCACGGTGCTTGTTCTGCTCTTCTTTTATAGCTCTGTGGTTGGTATCGCTACAGTCGGGATTCGCTTTCTCTGGATCAGAATCTTTGAGATTCGCAAGGGCCATACTTCACCGCAGGCTCTTCTCTTGGCAACTTCCATGTTGATGGTCATCATCTTAGCACTGAACTACTCAATTTCTATGGTGGTTGCGCCACAGTACGCCACATTTGGGCCCCAGACTTTCTGTAATCGGGCTCCGAGTTCATCGTTCGAGCAACCAGATTGTTCTGATAGCAAAGAGTTCATCAAGCCATGCTCTGAGTTATCAGATAATCCTGCTGCGCAACAAGTATGCACACCTAGTGTTGTCAGCACTTTTTTGAACCGTGTCACTCTCAATTATCCGTTCTTTGGCGTGGTTTTTTTCTGGGCACAATTCTTTTTCTTAGGTAAGGGACTCCCTCTCAAAGCTCTCAAAGCTCAGATAAAATGTCCAGCGAGGTCGAGTATCCATAAAACAGACCAACTAACCATTTGCTAGGTCTTTATCTAATCATCTTCGTGGCTTCTCTTTTCCGATCACCGAAACTAAATGAAAGGCAGCTTGATGAAGATGCCGAAGAGGCTGAGGAAGAAGGTCTACTTGCTAGCACCGGCAGACGGTTCAATGCGACTTGGCAAGACATTACAGGGAGCCTCCCCCAAACTAGAGGGTCCGGAGGTTGACGTTCCCCATTGAGCGGAGGTCAACTTATAGGCATACTGAATCTTGCTTGATATCCTGTTGCAATTAACGAAACGAAAATCTGATGGGCAGATGTTAGTTTTTCATTCCTTAACAATGAATCAAATTAATAAATACACGAAACTTTGCAATTGAATGGCATAATTGATATTGGATTAGAAAGAGTAGCCAACTATCGGGTTTGCATGCCCAGCATGCATTGAATGGATTAAAAAATGAAAGAAAGGTGTCATAAAGTAATTCCATACTATTATCCATCAAGCCTTGAGCTGTTCATTGAGTAAGGCTAGAGCACTCTGGAAAGCTTTGACAACTTCCATATCTAAAGTAAAGCAATCAGTTCTGAGCCACGACAATGGGATACCAGAATGCCAACCCGCTTCCCAGGGGCCTTACAGTGCTTTTTCTTGTTCTCCACAGATATTTCAGAATTCTGCACATGCTGCATCTGTGTTTTGAACCTATTAGACATAATGCATCATCAGTCTCTCGATATGATTAATTTCATCATGGGGAGGCATTTGCCTTAGTCTCACCGTTTCAAGGCTCTTTTCTCATCCTGCAGAACAGTAGTTTGGGACCAAGCGGTGAAGATCTATGTTGAATTTAGATAGGCTGCAAGGGCATGTTAACAAATTTTGACATATACCTCGAGGAGTTTGGCGGTCTCAGCGCGAAGATCTTCTTCAGCACGGCTGTGTTCGTCCATGGCACCCGTATATTTCTCTTCCAACTGATCCCAGTCGCAGTTTTCCAACCCCTGGGTTAACCGACTTACGAGGGAGAATTCTGCGTTAATTGCATGGGTGATTGCCTGGGAACCATGGGCATGCTGCGGTTCTTTGGCTGAAGGTTGCAGAGAAAGGTTGCCTTGTTTGTCTTCGATGGACTCCATAGCAGACTGCAGCCTGCCAGGACTAACCCTGCAAGACAACTAGCCACCAGAAAGAGACGATAGCCAGTTTACAAAGGTCGACAAGTAGTGTCAAATGAGGTGGGCCCCACACTGTTTGGATGTAGGAGATGCTTTCCAAAGGCAGGCCGCTAAAGCGGGAACCGCGTCAGGTGACGCCATCACATTTCGACCCTTAAGTAACCTGTATCTCTCCACTTATCCTCAATCTTGATGGTCATCGACGGCAGCTCTGGCAGCTTCCACGACCCGCCATGGATATACGATTCTTGACAACTACTTAAGAATTTACCACTCGGTCTCTGCGATGAGCTGTCACATATGCGCCTCTGCTCACTCCCGCCTGCCATTCCTCTGCTCAACATGTGCCCGCAACCGTCTTTATCAGCTACGATTAGAGAACGCCCAAGTACTTATTGAGAAGGAGGCTCTTGAAAAACAAGTGGAAGCCACTGTCAGCCATGAAACTCCTCTCCTTCCACCATCCGCTGTCAAGAATCATTCGACCGGAACCAACCATGATAGTGCGCGAAGTTGGGCCATTCGAACAATTTTGAGTGCACAGGCTGCCTCGTTGGCTAGAAAGGATACCTTAGCAGAGCATGTGGAGACTTTGAAAGATGAGATCACGGCTTTGAAGACGGATATCTCTATGCGAAAAGCGCTCCTGGCCCGCAGGCGCTCTGATGAGGAGTCTGCTCAATATCAAATCGGGGAGAGGGAGGCTGCGGTTTTGACCGGTATTCAGAATACGACCAAGAGAACAGAGCATCTCTGGCATTCCTTACATAGTAAAACTGCCGAGGCTCGGATTTTCCTCTGCAGGGAGTCTGCCTATCTTTTTGGCTTGCGGCAAAAGACCTTGAAAGGTGACGGTCGGCAAACTTATTTGCTCGGTGGCACCCCAGTCGTGGACCTGAGGGATATGAATAGTAAGCTTCCCCGCAGAAATTTACACTTTCATACCCTATATAATATACTGATGTATGTCTAGGCGCTACCCCGGTCCAGATCTCTACCTCACTATCCAACATTGCCCGCCTTCTTGTCCTTGTATCCCATTATCTTTCTCTCAGACTCCCCGCCGAAGTTACCCTACCTCACCGAAATTACCCCACCCCCACGATTTATCCACCTGCCTCATCCTACCACTCGCATGAAGCACCGGAGCGGAATGACCCATCACAATTATCTGCGCCAAGCCCAGCAGCATCGAGAACTGCCGACAAACGCACACAGTCACGGCCGAGGCCCCTCTTCATCGACAAGCCCCTTCCTCGGCTAGCCAAGGAAGATCCTGGGGCGTATGCACTCTTTTTAGAGGGAACAGCCCTTCTCGCCTGGGACGTTGCATGGCTATGTAGAACCCAGGGGATTCATTTGACATCAGATTCATGGGAAGAGGTCTGCAACATCGGAAAGAGCATGTGGCAGCTGCTAGTTGCCCCACCAGCTCAAACGTCAACATTGATGCGAGCCTTCGCTGGCCGAGAGACGCATACAAAGTTGAAATCTACCAAAGACTCTCCTCAGACGACTATTCAACGCACCAAATCATTCCCCATGCTAGGACACTACTCACATGGCACGGTACATTCTTTCCTTGCGGCATCGGAGGGGTCCGAGTTTATGCGAGCATGGAAGTTGCCGACACCAACGAAGATTGCGGACAAACTGAAAGCAAGTCTCCTTGGCGAAATGGCAAGTGCAGAATGGGAACTTTTGGAAGAGAATGAATGGGAAGATTGGACCACAGAATCCCATGAACGGTCAAATACCCATGACTCTAAGGTTACCACTTCCCCAACCCCCCATTCTGAGTCTAAAGAAAGAACTGGGGCCATTCAAGCCTCTCCAAAAGAGGCAGATGAGGCTCGTCGACCAAAAGGCACTAGTGGTTGGACGAAACTAAACAGTAGATAGAACAACCAGATCTAAGAGCAAAAGTGCCACTTCCTCGATGTGAATGCAATTTCTATAATTTTACGTAAATGATCTTGCATCTCCCCGTGGCTAATTGAAGATACTGAGGGCATACTCCCAATTTTTAGGGGCCTCTAGAGGTAGAGAATACAATCAAGCTTTCAAGGTATTTCAACATAACTAGCGGTGCATGTTGGGAGCCAGAGCCTGAGGGGATATAACGGTGATTACTAAGCATCTGAGATAAGATAAAGTGTAGGTAACATGTGGCCCGAGTCCCTCCGTTTCATTGCAACAATGCTCCGGGATTCGGGGTCTCCTGAACGGTGCTAGCACATTGCAGGATATAATTCGCGCGGGCCCAATTGCATAATCTCATCTTATCCATCAGTTTTCCCCTCTCTTCAAAACCAAAAAAAACCCGAGTGGTGGATGCGGCCGGGGCCAGCTGCTTTTTGATCCACGATCCAAACGATGAAGGATACTCATACATGGCAAAGTGCAGGCGAGGGGTCACTAGGTTGGTGTTCTCTTCTCTAGTTACCGCTGTTTCAAACAACAGCTAAAAGTATTGTCAGAGTTCAAGCATCTCCTGCCTGCGATTTCTGCAATCCCCGAGTCCCTCCTGAGGGAGGAACTTCAACGACGAAATGTGGCACGCTCCTCAGGCTCAGATGATGCACCCTCATGTGGTTCTCGCGAGCGTGGTGCCTATAATACCCCTTTGCATGTCATGGCACTCTTCCTCATATTAGGGCTGAGTACACTGGGTAAGCGCGCCAGCTTCTCTCCCCTTAAATACCAACCTCCGTCGATTAACCATCATGGCTGCGCCAGCATGCTCATTTCCTGTTCTCGCCCGCCGATTCCCTCGCCTCCCCATCCCTCGAAGGTTTCTGTTCATCTCAAGACATTTCGGTACAGGAGTCTTGATCGCGACAGCGTTTGTCCACCTGTTACCAACCGCATTTGTCTCGTTGACTGATCCATGCCTCCCCCGGTTTTGGAGCCAAACGTATCGTGCAATGGCCGGTTTTGTCGCTATGATATCTGTCTTTGCCGTCGTCTTGGTAGAGATGTTCTTTGCTATGAAAGGAGCGGGACATGTGCATGGGAACGATTATGACACTCTCATGGGCGACATTGGTCGCGAATCCTTGGATGATTTCGCATGCGATTCCTCGGACTACTCGCGCCTGGACGCTCGAGAAACCCCTCGCAATATTCCTTTGGAAGGTCTACTACAACATAACCAGGAAACATCTGAGCGTGCGCCTGGGTCTTCGCATGGATTAGAGCAACCGCACTTGACTGTTTCTCATCCTGATAAGGAGAATGGGGATGACGAAAACGATGATCTAGACGAGCTTGATCCATACGCCGACGATAGTTCAATTAACGGGCGACTCCAGCCTCCGCCCACTCAGCCTCTTCGTCGGCACCGACCGCGCTTGAGTGGCAGCTTTAGCCAGCATGGAGATGCAGGACTACCAATGCAGAATCCTCAGCGTCAACTTCTCCAGTGTTTGCTTCTGGAGGCGGGAATTCTTTTTCACAGTATCTTCATCGGCATGGCTCTTAGCGTTGCAACTGGAACGTCCTTCGTCGTCCTCCTTATTGCCATTAGTTTCCATCAGACCTTTGAAGGATTCGCCTTGGGGTCCCGAATTGCGTCATTAATTCCGGACCTCTTCTCACCATCATCAGCGAAGCCCTGGCTCATGTCATTGGCGTATGGAACTACAACTCCCCTTGGCCAAGCCATAGGTCTGGGTTTGCACAATCTCTATGACCCCGCAAGCACAACGGGCCTCCTCATGGTCGGCATCACGAATGCAATCAGCAGTGGTCTCTTGCTGTTTGCCGGTCTTGTGGAACTGCTTGCAGAAGATTTCTTAAGCGAGTCGAGCTATGAGACTCTCAAAGGCAGACGACGCGTTGAAGCATGTATATCTGTTGCCTGTGGGGCAATCCTAATGGCCTTTGTTGGGGCTTTTGCCTAGGGTGGTATACGAGACTGCGAGAGCTATCTAAAAATGCACTCCATTTACTGTTCATATTCATAGACTAATGACAACAATCTCATTTTTGCTCACTTATCCAGCTATCATCATTTATGTTTGTAGATAGCCTGAGGTCCAGATTATATCCTGTGATTTTGTCGGCGGCAAGGCATATATTCTGCCTAGAAAGGCGTGATTTATCTAGGGATACGGCGAGGGATCTAGGATTTAGGGCTCCTTACGATTGATGGCCAGCAGAAGGCATTCAGGGCTATGAGGAACGTCCGAAATATTTGATTCTCAAACTCCGAAAATATTAGTCCCGTAAATTTTCCATCTTTGTACCCCGAGCATCGGGTTCCAGCATCTATTTCCAATATATTCTTCTTGGTCAAGTTTTAAGTCACATGCAGATTGGTTCGATAATCATGTCATATCCGTACATCGTTATAAAATTGCTTTAAAGAAGGGACTCGATCACCAAGGCGCTAGCACCACCGCCACCGTTGCAGATGCCGACACAGCCAAGCTTGCCCTGCTTTGCCTTCAGGACACCGATCAGGGTGGACAGGATACGGGCTCCGCTAGCACCCAGGGGGTGGCCAATGGCAACGGCACCGCCGTGAATGTTGACCTTGTCTTCAGGCAGGCCTAGTAGTTTCATGTTGGCAAGAGCAACAACGCTGAAAGCCTCATTGATCTCAAAGGCGTCAATGGAGTCCTGAGTCACGCCAGCGTGCTTCAGAGCTTTGGGAATCGCCAAGGCAGGGGCAGTGGTGAACTTGCTCGGCTGGTGAGCAGCATCGCCCCAACCGAGAATCTTGGCAATGGGCTTCAGACCCAGCTCCTTCACCTTGGCCTCAGAGACGAGAACAACCGCCGCGGCACCGTCGTTGAGCGGGGAGGAATTGGGAGCAGTGACAGTTCCTGTTCCCGGAATGAAGGCAGGCTTCATATTGCGCAGCTTGTCGGGGTTGAGCTGAATTACAGGGGTAAGCCATTGCTTCATCACTTTTTTTCCTTCGTTATTTCTTCAAAAGAAGCAAACTTACGTTCTTGGGTTCATCGTCTTGAGAAATGACGACACCGGGCTTGCCACGGAAACCAGGGATCTCAATAGGAGCAATTTCATAGTCGAAGACACCGGCCTTCTGGGCGGCCTGGGCCTTCTCATAGGTGCGAATGGCATAGTCATCCTGCTGCTGACGGTTGAAGTCGTGATCTTGGGCACACTCCTCCGCAGCAAGACCCATAAGTTCCTGCTTGCCATAGGCATCCATCAGACCGTCCTTCATGATTCCGTCAACCAGGTTCTGGTTGCCGTACTTGGCACCAGTGCGGAGGTTGGGCAGGTAGTGGGGAGTATTGGACATGGATTCAGTACCACCAGCCACGACAATGTCGGCGTTGCCAGTCATGATGGTCTGGGCTCCGAGGATGACGGCCTTCAGGCCAGAGGCGCAGACCTTGTTGACGGTGGTGCAGACGGTGGAGTCCTGGAGACCGGCGCCAATGGCACATTGGCGTGCAGGATTCTGTCCAACACTAATAGAATATGAGCACTGATTTTGATCGTGATCACATGGATACGGCTTACCCAGCAGACAAGACGTTACCGAAGAAGACCTCCTCAACGTCGGACGCAGACACGCCCTCGGCACGCTCAACAGCCGCTGTATTCTGTTGTCAGCTTCAAATTGGAAGGATTGTTAGGCCCAGGAAGCATGTACTTACATTTAATAGCGTGGGCACCAAGCTGGGGGGCAGTCAGGCTAGAAAGAGAACTGTCCGGTATTCATTAATTTCCCGATCGACAAAAACGGATGAGGGGCATTGTACCCAAGGAATGAACCCACGGGGGTGCGGGCAGTCGAGACAATGTAGACGGGGGGAAGAGAAGCCATTGTGAATTGAGTAGGTAAGTTCCGGACAATGTAGAGAGAAAAGGAGGAAAGGGGGGGTGTAACGGAAAAGAAAAGGAACTGGAGTAGGCTGAGGGGCTATATAATAGTAGTGAGGAGTGATAAGCTGTACGGTGTAGGCACGAGTCCTTGAGACGCTCGGACCACATGAAAGTTGAGAACCTTTGATCTTCTCCGGCGTCACGCCAGCAACAAGTCGGAGAGCCGGCAGATCTACTCTTGCCCTGTCCCATATTGCTCGTTCAACTTTGCCCACCATGGACGATCTCTATGATGAGTATGCTCTGCCTCAATCTCTTTCCTGCTTGCTTTTTTCTCTTCACCCGCTAACTAGGGGCCCTCAGGTTTGGTAACTACATCGGCGAAGCTGAGTCCGACGAGGAGCATCAGGAGCAAGCCCCACAGGCTTTCAAGTTTGACGATGCCTTCGATGATGAAGAAGAGGCCGATGAGGTAAATGATCAGCAGCTGATGGAGGTTGACGGTATGTTTGCGCCCCATGAATATGATTCCCTTCACGCTGAATACTCACCAACCGCCGCGTCACCTAGAGGGACCCTCCAACGCTGTCATTTTGCACGAGGACAAACAGTACTACCCCAGCGCACAGCAATTATATGGCGCCGACGTTGAGACTATGGTTCAGGAGGAAGATGCGCAGCCACTGTCCGAACCGATCATCGCCCCCGTCCAACAGAAGAAATTTGCAATCGCGGAAACTGATCTTCCACCCGTTTGCTACTCCCGGGAATTCTTGTCAGATTTGCTCAATTTTCCCGACCAAATACGAAATGTCGCGATAGCAGGCCATCTGCACCATGGCAAAACCGCCTTCATGGATATGCTCGTGAAACAAACTCATGACTTGACGGAGCGGCTAGAGAAGCGCATCGGCAAGCGAAGGGAGGAACAACTTCGATACACCGATGTCCATTTCTTGGAGCGTGAGCGCGGTCTTTCAATCAAGTCAGCACCCATGAGTTTGCTTCTCCAAGGCACCAAGGGCAAATCGCACCTTCTCAACATCATTGATACACCTGGACATGTGAATTTTGTGGACGAAGTGGCGGCGTCCATCCGTCTAGCCGATGGTGTCGTCCTCGTAGTTGATGTTGTCGAGGGCGTTCAAGCTAACACCGAGCAAATTATCAAGCATGCAGTTTTGGAGGATATCCCTTTGACTCTGGTTGTGAACAAGATGGACCGACTCATTTTGGAGCTCAAGCTGCCACCGAATGATGCCTACTTCAAGCTGAAGCATGTGATCGAAGAAATCAACACCGTCATTGAGAATATTCTTCCGGGCCAGGGTGAGCGACGTCGCCTGAGCCCTGAGAAAGGAAATGTCGCCTTCGCCTCCAGCTCGATGAACTGGTGTTTTACCTTGCAGTCTTTCGCGCGGATGTACGCGGATACTTACCCGAAACTCGACTCGACAGAATTCGCTGCGCGCCTCTGGGGAGACATCTTTTACAATCCCCGAAGTCGCAAATTTACCCGAAAGGGCGTGGAAGAAAATTCCAAGCGTGCGTTCGTGAAATTCGTTCTGGAGCCAATTTACAAACTGTACTCTCACACAATCAGCGAGAGTCCCGAAGATCTCAAGGAGACATTGGCAAGCGTGAATGTTAGCTTGAAGCCATCGCAATTGAAATTGAATGCTACTGAGTTGCTGAACCTTGTTTGTGAACAATTCTTCGGCCCTCCCACTGGATTTATCGATATGATTGTGCAGCATGTTCCCTCCCCGGTGGATGGTGCCCAAAGGATGTTAGAGCGCTACTACACTGGTCCATTAGATACCAAACTTGCAGCTTCTATGATGTCCTGCAACCAGGAGGGCCCTCTGGTGATTCATGTCACCAAACTTTTTAGCAGCACTGATGCTACAAGTTTCTCCTCATTTGGAAGGATATTGAGCGGCACTGCTCGCCCGGGCCAGCAGGTTCGTGTCCTTGGAGAGGGCTATACCCCTGAGGATGAAGAAGACATGGTTGTTGCCACTATTTCGGACACATGGATTGCTGAGACTCGTTATAACATACCAACCGACGGCGTTCCCGCTGGTAACTGGATCCTTCTTGGCGGTGTGGACAATTCCATTGTCAAGACAGCAACACTGATTGCCCCCAAGCTTGAGGATGAGGAAGACGCGTATATCTTCCGTCCAATCCGCCACATGACTGAATCGGTGTTCAAGGTTGCGGTGGAACCAGTCAACCCGTCCGAGTTACCCAAGATGTTGGATGGCCTGCGTAAGATCAATAAGAGTTATCCTCTGATCTCCACGAAGGTTGAAGAGTCAGGTGAGCACGTCGTCCTAGGAACCGGCGAGCTCTACATGGACTGCGTGCTACACGATCTCCGACGCTTATACTCCGAGATGGAAATCAAGGTTTCCGACCCAGTCACTCGATTTTGTGAGACAGCGGTGGAAACATCGGCCATTATGTGCTACTCAATCACTCCGAACAAGAAGAACAAGATCACCATGATTGCGGAGCCGTTGGATGATGGCATCGCAGAGGATATCGAAAGTGGTCGAGTCAGCATTAAGGACCCAATCCGGAAGGTTGCTCGCTACTTCGAGGATAACTATGATTGGGACAAGCTGGCTGCCCGTAGCATTTGGGCGTTCGGGCCCGACGAGATGGGTCCCAATATTCTACAAGACGACACATTGCCCTCTCAAGTGGACAAAAAGCTTCTTGGAACCGTGCGAGACTCGATCACCCAGGGTTTCAGTTGGGGCACAAGGGAAGGCCCATTATGTGAAGAGCGTAAGTTGAACCTCTCGCAACTCCGATGCCAAGTATGATACTGATTATTTTTATTTTCTCAGCAATTCGCAACACCAAATTTAGGCTCACTGATGTGTCCCTTGCCGATCAGGCTATCTATCGCGGCGGCGGCCAGATCATTCCTACCGCTCGCCGTGCTGTATATTCCTCCTTCCTGATGGCTTCCCCCCGTCTTATGGAGCCTATATACTCCTGCATCATGACCGGCCCCGCAGACGCTGTCGCCTCGGTATACACCGTCCTGTCTCGCCGACGAGGCCACGTCCTGTCCGACGGACCCATTGCCGGAACCCCACTTTACTCTGTACGTGGATTGATCCCTGTGATCGATTCATTTGGTTTTGAGACAGATCTTCGAATTCACACGCAAGGCCAGGCCATGGTCAGCCTGGCATTTGATAAGTGGAGTGTGGTCCCTGGAGATCCGCTGGACCGTGACGTCAAGCTCAAGCCCTTGGAACAAGCGAGTGCCATGACCACCGCCCGGGACTTCGTATTGAAGACTCGACGGCGCAAAGGTTTGGCAGAGGATGTGACGATTAGCAAGTTCCTGGAACCGGAACTTTGGAAGGGCCTGCACGAGAGTGGTGTTTTGGACTCATGAGTCTTCTTGGAAAGGGGGAAGGTCAAGCACACAAACAATATTCCGGAGAGGTTAAGGGTCAGGCTACGGAGTCATCGTCTTATTTGGCATGTGGCATGTCGTTGCATGTAATTGTAATTCTCTTATAAAAAAAAGAACATTCGTTTCAAATTGCAAGTCTAGGATATCTCTGGTGAACGGATTAAGATCAACATGCCGAATTTAGGCGAGAAAAGAGAAATCCCTCCAGACGTGCGTTGTCCGCGTGAAGAGGGTAGAAATAATAGTACATCCCTTTCCGCACGAACGACCGAGTCGGAAGATTAAGGAGGCCCAATGCGCCATTTATTGGCAAGTTTCCATCATCTTCGCAATCACCTGCATCAATGCTCCGTTCTCCAGGGCTGCAGCAACTCGCTCCTTGTCTCCAAGTTGCTTGTTCACCTCATCTCCTGTACTATGCGTTCCCTCTTTGATTCGCACGTCGACCCGGAAGCGTGGAGGGAGAGATTGTTCCAGACGCACTCGCACACCGAGACCAATGACGGTGGCTAGGCTACAGTGGGTGATGGTTGGTGTGATGAGGACAGTGACAGTCTGCAGCGGCGAGTCTGGGACCGTGGGCAGAGTCGGTTGAATCGAGATGTCGGGCAGGGAAACCACCGCCAGTTCCCCCAAGGAAAGAGGGTGTTCTGGATCCGAGATAGACTTAATCAAATCTAATCGGAGTTAACTGGTTGTCTATGGCGATGAAGTGGGAGAAGGAGGGGATGTGACAGATGCCCAAGTCGTCGTACCATAGATTTCTTGCTCATCAATCGGCTCCTCGAGCAAATCCTCATCACCTTCCGAGTCGGACGATAGGAAGTCCGTTGGGCTCGGAACTGCCGCAAAGATTCCTGTAGGATGGACACTTGTCTTCTCGGTGGGTCGAGACCTCGTGGGGAGATCTGCCACGTTCAGGATCGTGGGGTTGGAGTTCTGCACCTCCGCCATGGTGGATGGATGTGAAAGATAACGAGGGGCAAATCCCGCGATAACCTTATCAGGCCGCCTCACGTGTTCTCGGAGGATCCTCGGCATTTTCCCTTCGCCCACCGACTGTAGAACATACCCTTGTTTTCTCGAGTTTCCTGGTCACGCTGGCTTTACTGAGTTTAGACGAATGACTTTTTTCTCCAGCTTCCAGATGAGAATATACAATTCTTCACCCTGAAGGTCAACCCTTTGTGAACGTCGATCATGGTTTCTCAGCATCTCTCCCCCGCCGTCCCGAAAGCTTGGGAGAGTGATCGACGAGCTGGGCATCAAAGACCGGGTATTTTGCCCCCTGACAACTTGCCGAGTCGATCAGGAAAGGCCGCATGGGGCCTGCAGCGCCATGTGTGTGGCTCCACAATCTGAACCAATTCCGTAACCATGGCGGTTCCAGTTCGTCTGGCCTTCCAGAACCTACCGGTCCCACTCCTTAGCCTGATTCCCCCCTTGCGGAGCTTTTTTTTCCCTCGATGTTTCTCTGAAACCCAAGGCGCCAACACCCGGTCGCTGGCTGCAAATCAAGACGTGAGGACGGGGGGGAGGAGGGGGAGAGAGGAAAGCCTGGAGCCATCCGGTCTTACGGCGGTCAATTGGTGGTTTCATCGGAATGCACTAGCCCCTCGGCCTGTCGGAGAAGAGGAATAAGCCCTCTCTATCTGACCCTACAGGGGAGACAGAGCCAAGAGGGATTACTTCTTTCTTTCTTTCTTTTTTTTTTTTTTTTGGCCCGGCCCCTACAGCTGTTGTTTCGGTCCCAAAAGTCCCTCCTGAGTAACCAAGACCACTAGTGGAAATAATCGAGGCATCGAAAGAGAGGAGCCATTATCCAGCCAAAGATGGGGCGAGACAAGGAGGGTTTGAGATACATCCTAGACCAGCAGGGCCCCGGTGGAGAACCTCGGTCATCTACCGCGAGGTCGCAGCTACAAGATCGTCATGGCGGGGGATTTGGGGAGTGCAGGTCTTCAAGATGCATATTATCATGCTCTTTTGTCATCGCTGCTCTCCATCTTGTCGACACCCTGCACACGTCCTTAATCACTATATGAACTGCTGTGATACCCTGGCCTCAATCCATTCTGAGATGCTGAACGGGTACTCTAGGTGCTCCTCGGCCCCCGGCACCCTGCGTATCATCTTTCCTAGACCCAGAGCCTCGGGCGAAGTCAACTCGATCGAGACAACCCCCATAGAGAGGAGGGATAGAGGTCCCTCGATCATCGACTAACGGGGGTCTACGACGGAGTCGAGAGAATCCAAACAGAGGCCCAGGAATGGATCATGGATCGTCAACCTCGTGAGGAAGAGCGCGGTTACGCCAAGGAGACGTAGAGTAAATCCCCATCGAAATCGAGCATGCTGAATATACGGAGTACTCTGACCTCCAAACAAAGTACCTCCTGCCCAGGTGCCTAGGGTTATAGAAACAAGTCACATGTGGGGACGGTCTCTATAGTTCGGCGCGCTGAAGGTCACTGGCCTCGGTATCACTAGTGTCACTAGTATAAATACTCTTTCTCCGGGTGCTCTCGATGGCAACATTAAATCTCGATCCCCGTTGACCTTCGCCTGAACATGTAATTATATACATCGACTCTTTCTCTCGGTCTAGTCTTGCCCGTAGATCATTCCGGTATCGCCATGCTAATACCATCTTGGTAACAGGCGTCCCGATGGTGGACTCGACAATCTTCTTGCACCTATGAAGGTACCAGCTTCCAAGGTACCAGACACCTCGGTGCCATGGAAGTCGACGCGCATTCAAGTCAGTACGCTATACTCTGCAACCGGGTATTCGAGAGGACTTTGTCTCGAGCTCTCTCACCTCCTCATCCGTTTTTTTTTTTTTTTTTTTTTTTTTTCTTTCTTTTCCACCGTGGACCGTAAATGGTGTCTCCACCTGGTAACCGTAGAATTACGTCCTTCTCAGGAGGCCGGATCGCCCCTCCTCCACCCACCAATCCACCAATCCACCACGCGGGCGCTATTGCATGTCCATCATCACCTTGGCACACGGCCACCACCCCTCTCAGGTCTTTTCCCAGCTCCTCCGCCCTTTCCCATCTGAACCCCCCCCCCCTCCCCTACGTCTCCACCTAGGCCCTGAGCGCACCTTCACGATGCTCTTGCGACCTGGGACATGCCCTCTCAATCTCGCTCTTCTGGTACGCCCTCCCCGCTTCCCTTTCCGCAGGCCGCTGATCGCATGTCTCGGCGAACTAACCCAGCCAACACCTCTTAGTACTCACGCCCCTGCTCACTGTATTGAGCCTGTCTGCGCGCAACCCACTCGACCTGTCAACTCGGCATAAACGCGCCCAATCTTTCTCTCCGATATAGCCCAACCCTTACCGACTTTGACTGTAGGTGAATTCCAGCTCATCCGACGCCGGTCCTTCTCGTCGCAGTAATCGGATCTTGCTGGCAGCAATCTTCTCAACCAGCGCGGCCGATCGACCCCATCCATTCCGACAATCCCGACCATCAAAACACCCCATAGTCCCCTTCGAAGGTCTCGGTTTGATATTCAGATCTCTCAAGCGCGCACACGGCCGTGTGTCTGCAAAGCGCCCAGGGGCAAGCAACTGAGATCACCCCCTCCCTTCCATTGATTTTTCATCCCAGGGCCGGCCCCTGCAGATAGGCAATTGACACCAATTGTCGCAGTGACGCGACTTTCGGACCGAAGGAGCATATATTCTGCAAAGTGCGCGAGTTGAAAACAAAAATAAATTATGCAGGGTTATTCCTTTGCTCCGCCATCGGGGCCTCGGGAGGGCCAGAAGAGTAAATATGACCACCCTTTGATGCGACACAATCTGGAATCCATGTCTCATAAATGACCTGCTGTTAGACTATGTCTTCGTGGACGAACATAATCGGCATAAGCGACTGAAAGGTAGTTATTGAGATCGCTAGCGCAATTTGATCCTTTGCTGACAGGCATATAGTGATGCGCGCATGCAATGGCTGTCGGAAGCGAAAGATCAAGTGCGATGCTGCGACCACAAATACCTGGCCATGCTCGGCATGCACTCGACTGAAACTGGTCTGTGTCCCTCCAGCGATTGGGCAAGAAGGGGATTTCGTCTCGGATGGGCTCATGGAGTCGGCTCAGGATGCGGGAGGCTCCTCCAGCGGGCCTGAGACCTCGCATCATGCATTTCCCGTACCGCCCACTTACAGAGACAGTAATCCGCCCACTATTGGAACGATGCCCTCCTACGATGGAATGGGCATGTACTCTCAGTTTGTCCCGGGCCCCGCGAATCAACCGGGGATTTATAATGACGGGCGATCACCTGCTATGGTTTTGCCGCACCAATCCTATCAGCAGCCTCCAATGTATCCAGGATCCCAACCGCCCTCTTTGGCAACTACAGACCGTGGGGTTTACGCCGACAATGATTCATCTACGGCCGAACACCTGAGCGATGTCCTTGGCGAGCTCAAGATTGACGAAACGGGGATCGGTAGAGTATCCCACCCGATGTGTGATAGAGTCCATCGTTGCTAATCCTTCATCCAAGCCCCATATATCAGGAGGCAAAGAAAAGATCGTGTCGAGCCTGATGCGCCTGTCCAGGACGAGGTCGAAGAAAGACTGCCTCCTCTCAGCACAGGCGCAGGGGCGACGATCCGAATCCCCCCCGAACTAATGCCGTCAGACGAAGACGTGATGAATTACTTTAAAATCTACTTCGATGAAATTCACCCCTATGTCCCCGTTTTACCTCGTGCTCATTTATATTATCAATGGCAAAATGACCGCGGCTCCATTTCTCCACTTTTGCTGGAAGCGCTGTTCGCCTGCGCTGGGCGATTATCTGACGAGCCCTCGGAAGGCGCGCAATGGCTCGCTTTGGCAAACCGTGAGTTTTCCTTCAATTGTGATCTCCAAGAAAAAGTTGGGTTGTTTTCGCTCACCTCATTTCTGCCAGGACACGAATCGAGTTTTATGGATGTTCCCCGGCTGAGCACGATTCAAGCCATGCTTTTACTACTCAAAGCAAGAGAATCATTACCTAAGAAAGGGTATTACTATCGGTCGTGGCAAACGGTCAAAACAATTGTGTCGATGGCCAAAGACTTGGATATTCATGAACATTATAGCACTCATGCGGAAGGGCGGCCTTGTGATCTTAGCCCCATCGAATGCCTGGTGAATACCCGGGTATGGCAAGCTCTTTTAGTAGTCGAGGTGATGATTGGGGCACCCCAAGGTTAGTTACGTGTTGGTCTTCCTATAACTCAACGCTCTAACAATCTCGCAGGGCGTTCTGACTACGGTGTTGATCCCGAATCTGTGGATATGCGTCCCACGTTGGATATTAGGGGTCTTGACCAATATGAGACCGAACGGTCAAGACAATATGCGTACTTTGTCCGCAACGCGCACCATATCCGTATCATCACAGACATATACCATAAAGTCAAGAAGCAGAGAGACTGGGGAGCTGATCCTCGGTTCGTCCAGAAAAATCCCCTCTTCGCAGATTGGATGAGGAATCTTCCCCCAGATCTGCAGGTCAACTATCCCGCAGATGGCTCCCCCCGTGGCTCCCTTCCCATTTTGTGGGAAACATGCATTCCCACTGCCACCTTGCCATCATCCTACTGCATCGTCCTCAGCTTTTAGCCTCTCAGTCTTTCGCAGCAGGCGGGGACTGGAAGATTCATTTTTCCCTGTGTTACTCATCTGCCAAGAGCATCTGTCGATTACAAGAAGCTGTTCTCGAACGGTTTGGGCTGTCTGGAATGCTTTATATGCAGCGTGGAATTAACTTCGCGATTTATTGTGTTCTCACCTGCACGATGCTCCATTTGGTAAGTTTCCTAGGCACATCTACACAGTCGGCCCTGTTTAACATGGCCAGATTGCGATCACGTCCCCCGACCCAGAATTCAATTCGGATGCGCGGGAGTATTTCACGCGACACATGCGTATTTTGGAGCGGTGCTCTGCCGCTTGGCCTATGTCAGAGATTCAAGCGCAAATCGACTCCTTGAAATTGGCTTTCTCAGCTGACATCCACCGACCTTTTGAACTGAAACCAAGTTTTCCATACGGCAGCCCCTCCGAGCCCTACCAGCCCAGTCCACCTATGGATGCGCATTATCATCCGCATATGAGCCACTTGTCAGGCAATGTCCAATCCAGAGTAGGGTTACAAGCACCTCCAATAACCCCTCCGATTTCTGCTGGTGCTGAAGAATCCAAGTCCGACACATCCTCCCAGTTGCAATCCCTTGGAATGGTTCCCCATCAACCGCCTACCACTCACCCGCTTGACACGCCGTTGGTTGATGAGAATAGTTGGGATCCTACCCGCATCATCAAGTATGTGATTCATACCATTTATTCCCCCATTGCGCAAGGCCTATACTAGCATTTACTGATGTTCCATTTCGAAGTCAATGGGATATGGCATTTTCTGTCAATCCTTCTACAGTCAGCACGAATTCGCCGCCGATGCCCATGAACAACACGACCCAGCCCTTATCAAACATAGCCAGTCACCAGTACTCGATTCAGTATGACTCGCCCTCGAAATCGACGGTGCCGCAGTCCCAATCTGTTTCTCCGCCTCAGTTTCAGACGGCACCAGTCGTGTTTAGTGCCCGCGACTGGCAGCAGAGCGTAGCGAGCGTGTACGATCCCCAGGGATTAAAGCGAAGATGGAATTACTCGGTCGACCTTGGTTCTGACATGGCAAAACGCGCCCGAGGATGATAACATCGAACACGGATTTCATACCTTTCCCACCATACTTGTTCAGCCCTTTGGTTTTCCTTCCATTTCTGGCCCTTCGCGAGCCCTGTCTCAAAACCTTTCCCTTGCTTTCTTTGATTCCCCCTTCCTTACATGTGTTTTCTTTCTTACGTCTAGCCCCAACAGACAGCGGGCATGTTATCATCGGACCATGACCGCGGAGCCAGGATGCTCATTGGTGATATTGCCCTGTAAGGACATTGTCGATCAATTGAAATTATGATCGAGCTCATGAATCTACTGTACACCACGAAGAGAAGACCTCTAGAGAGCAGAAGAACAAAAGGCCCTACCCAGAAGGCATCCCGTTGGACGCCTTTATAAGTTTCAAGAAACAACATTTTCTTAATATTTCTGAGCTACGTACAAACTTAATACACAACACGGAAACCTTGTATAGTGGATAGTGAAGATGTGTCATCTGAATAGGCTCAGAAGCGAGTAGAAACAGAATAGATTCATGATGGTGTTTCCAATGTAGCCACCAGAGATATAAATGGACGAAAAATGATTTTAAAAGCCGTGATGAAATAAATGAGTCCATGTCAATGAACCGTGAAGCAGTCCTGTTTCACCCCGACTCCAGACCTATTTTGGTTGGTCATGAAGAGATGATCTGAACGGCGTCTTCTTAGAGTGAATCGACGAGAACATTCGGCACATCGCAATGAATTGTTGCTTTGTTTATTCCAGGCAACGAGCAAGGTTGGAACGAAGTTGCTTCCCAGATACCGATCACATCAAGGCGCTTGAATCCTCCAAATGCCCATTAGTTGGCATGGAGAAAACGGTTTGTTTACCGTCAACCACGGCGACTGAGACCTATTCTTTCTTCACGGGACCGGACGATCCTTGCCTTGTCTCCGGGCAATGGTTTCAATTCATCACTGGGGTCGAAATTGAAATTGACATTGGAATTGCCCGTGGCTTGTTCAGGGTGTCGGTTCTCTTCTAGTTTGCGAAGTCTCACCTCCTCGAAAGCAGCAATATCTTCAGAGGTTACAGTGATAGCTGTTGGCTGGCGGCGGAGCATCTTTCAATTTTTGTGGGAGAGGAGAGCTCTGGAATTTTGAAAGACGCCAACAATCGAGGGAGTTGAGACTGGGAAGCGTCGTTGCATCTCTGGGCGACATCACGTGACTTGATCACAGTCTTCAAAAGTTGCGTCCGCGTCTCATCAGATTCCCCATCAAAGCCTCTGGCGACACAATGCTTCGACCACAGCTCAGGCAGCTTTCCCGTCACAGGGATTTTATGTGCCCAGGTCGTCAGATCACCATTCGGCACTTTTCCATTCCGCATGCAGCCGCTGCAGCAAGTCAGAGTCCAGGTCCATCAGCGGGTATGTTTTCTCTTCTCTCGGTTGGCTTCTGCGAGCTCGCCATTGCTCTAGACTACCTGCGCTTCGAGTGGTGACTGTTTGATTGATGTTCAATTTTCTTTTCTGCTGCTAACCACATTTGTCTCATCGCAACCAGGCCCGAAGGGGTCGAAACAAAACCCGAAGCCTGCTCTTTCTCGCGCCCCCCGACCTTCCAACAGGCCCCCAAGTCCTAGCTCGAAATTCCCACCACACTCAGGCAAAGTGATTGATGCACGGTCCTTCGCTGCATCTCGCACAGGGGGTGAATCGGCAAACGTCATCCGCAGCCCCAGGCTGCGCAACGTTCGAGGAAACCAGCCGCAAAGCCGCAAGCCTAAGCCTGCAACGTCCAAAACAAGTTCGAAAAGCCGCCGCTCGGCTCGGCCCCGCCGCTCGGACAACGAGGTTGACGATGGCGAGCATGCACGAGCAGCTGCAATTCAACAGATTGAGCAAGAACAGCTAGCCCGTGGTCGACCTGTCCCCGTTCGTTACGAACCTCAGAATATAGATTTCTCCACGCTCAGTGAGACGTGGCCCGCCTTTCCAACGACCTCTAATGGCAAATCGGCAGCTGTTCTTGAAAAGCTTTCTAGCATCGGCGGTCGTCGCCCCAATGGCGCTGTCCCACCGGGTCAACTAGCCTGGCGTTTGTGGACCGGCGAGCATGTTTTCTTTAAGAGCGAGGCCGAAAAATCAGAAATCATGGCCGCCGCTCAGCAGATCTCCCAATACCGCGCCGACAAGAAATCCCAGAGACGGGGAGAACTCGTGGAGCCCTCGGTCGTCTCCTTCAAGCCAGTCATTGAGAAGGACTCAAACCGGCTGATGGAGACTCTGGCTCAAGGCAAATACCCCGCTTTGAAAGAGGGCAAAAGCCAGCCGGCAGTCATAGGTGATTTGGCGAGAAACCTGCGGAACAATGCGACATACCACACACCCTCGACGAAGCCCCGATTTCTTGGCAAGGTCGAGTCCCTGTTAGCCTCCAGTCGCGCTAAACGCACCTAGCACTCGAGTGTGCATGCTGAGTGTTCTGTATTATATGGGTTGTGGGATTGGAATTGATTTTGTCTGTCCGGGGGCGCATCTGGGGCTTTTGCCCTGCTGCCCTGTACCCAGACAATTTACAATGTGATTATATTACAAAGAGGGTTCCTATGCTTGTCCGAGGGTTTTCTTGGCTGTGTCAAATAGATCCTTGACATCTTTCTGGCCTTTGTCCGTAGCTTTCTCCATTTGATCGTGAGCCTTGCGTACATCATCAGGTCGTGCTAGCTTCTTTTTTTGCAGCTCTTGTAGTCGCTTATGCATGGTGCCTCGACACTCGCGTACCGTGCTAGAAGCCCTCTCGAAGGCCTGTTTGGCAGATAGGACATTTTGATCGCGGGACTCCTTGGTAGGAGGAGGAATAGGAATATTTAGCTGGAGCGCATTGTGGGGATCGGGCTGAGGGGTCAGAGATAGATTGGAGGAGATGATTGTGGACGTGACTGGTTTGACATGCTGTTCAGATAGGCAAATAGGGTTAGTTAGAATGAACACAATGGGAGACTATAGAGCATTGAACGAATCCAGCTGACTCACCTCCTCCTCTGCCACCAGGAGAGTGACCATCCTGCCTCCTTTAGGGACGACCTGCGCAAGATCTCCAAGCTTGAATGCCTCCTGGTCATCCTTGCTGAGCTGGACCTTCAAATTTTCCAGTGATGCGGTGTTGAATCGGCCACCAGCTCGGAGCTTCGAAAGCTCATCCTTTAATCGGGAAACAGCGGCTGCTATTCCCGTGTGTAATTGAAACAGGTCAAAGGGATCTTCGGCAGACAATGCAGTACTCGATTCATATTCGGCGGGGGCGCTCTTCTTGGTGCTTTTGTCTTTCTTTTTGTACAGCACGGAGGAGTTGATGAAGCTGCGACTGAAGGGAGTAACCCCGGGTCTTAAAGGAGGTGCAAACTTCGAGACCTGCACTGATACCCGGGATTGGCCGAGAATTCGCATTGGAATTGGCGAACGAATTAGAAAGCGATACATGATTCAAGGGGGTAGGGAAATGAAGATACAAGAAGACGGGTTCGCGGAAAAGTTGGAAGGAGGCCGGTGTGATAAGATAAGGGCGATTAGACTGGCCACCTTAGCAGAAAATGGATACCTGAATCTCTTTTGCAAACCCAGCTTGGCTCTGTAAAAGTCCAGACCGTTGCGTCGACATAAGAAACTAATATACATAAATGCCTTTCGGTAGATACTAAATAAGCAGTAGATAGGAGCTGAGTACAAATATGGGTCCAGGTCGGTAGAGAAGAATAAGTGATCATCGAAACCACACGGGAAATTGTGAAAAAAAAATTCATTGAAGATAAACAGACTAAGAGCACCAGTACGTCATGGAGAACCGAGGTCGTCACACATTAGATTTGCAACGTTGATCTTCGTCTACATAAAGAACATACTTTTTAACAAAAAGAAATAAACTGCGCCTAAGATTGCCCGGATTCAAACAACACAAAAGCATCGACCAACACGGCCCCGAGATCTATATGGCGCAGACCTTTTCCAGATTTTCATCTGGAAGGGAAAATGGAATGAGGGGGAGTAAGGGGGGAATGAGTTGGTCGTCCTATGTTCATCTCGTTTAGCGAGTGGCCATGGCCTTGGTGATCAGGCGCTTCAGAGCCAGCTCCTTCTTCTTGAGGTCCTCGGGGGTAGAGTCCTCAATCTCGAGCTGAGCCATGGCGTCGCTCAGGGCAGACTCGATCTTCTCCTTGTTGCCGCGCTTGAGCTTCATCGACATGGTGGGGTCAGAGACGATCTCCTCGACACGAGAGATGTAGGACTCAAGCTGCTGGCGGGACTCGAAGCGCTTGGTGAAAGCCTCGTCGCTGGTCTTGAACTTGGCAGCGTCTATATACCATTGTTAGCAGGATGGCGGGCAACGTGATATCGAGGAGGGAAAAGAACTGACCATCGATCATCTGCTCGATCTCACCGCTGGAAAGCTTGCCGACGGCGTTGGAGATGGTGATGTTGGCACTGCGGCCGGAGGACTTCTCGGTAGCAGTAACCTTCAGGATACCGTTGACGTCAACCTCGAAGACACACTCCAGAGCAGCCTCGCCGGCGCGCATCGGAGGGATAGGAGCCAGAGTAAACTCGCCCAGAGAGGTGTTGTCAGCGCAGTTGGTACGCTCACCCTGGTAGACGGGAAACTGGACAGTAGTCTGGTTGTCGACAACAGTGGTGAAGGTACGCTTCTTGATGGTGGGGACGGTCTGGCCACGGGGAACGACGGGAGCAAAAATGTTACCCTCCATGGCAACACCGAGGGACAGAGGAACAACATCGAGCAGCAACAGGTCAGCGGTCTCAGCGGAGGTAGCCTTGCCGGAGAGAATACCGGCCTGGACAGCGGCACCGTAAGCAACGGCCTCATCGGGGTTAATGCTCTGCACAACGAAAATTAGCGACTATGTTCAGTCTGGCCGGAAGGAAAAACCGCAGAAATCCATCAACAATCTTACCTTCTCAAGCTTCTTGCCATCGAAGAAGTCGCTCAGGAGCTTCTGGATGCGGGGAATACGGGTGGAACCACCGACAAGGACAATCTCATCGACCTTGCTCTTCTCCAGGCCAGAGTCCTTAATAACCTGCTGGACGGGGTCAAGGGTACCAGAGAAAGACTTGGCGTTCAAATCCTCGAAACGGGCACGGGTGATGGAGGAGTTGAAGTCCTCGCCATCGAAGAGAGAGTCAATCTCGACGGTGGTCTGGGTAGCGTTGGACAGGGTACGCTTAGCACGCTCACAAGCGGTGCGGAGACGACGGAGAGCGCGAGCATCGCCAGAGAGGTCCTTGCCGGTCTTACGCTGGAACTCCTTCTTGAAGTGGTCCAGCAGGTTGGTGTCGAAGTCCTGACCACCAAGGTGAGTGTCACCAGCAGTAGCCTTGACGGTGAAAACACCACCCTGGATGTTCAGCAAAGACACATCGAAAGTACCACCACCCAGATCGTAGATGAGAACGTTACGCTCCTTGTCGGACTTGCCAGAGCCTAGGCCATAGGCGATAGCAGCAGCAGTAGGCTCGTTGATGATACGGAGGACGTTCAGGCCGGCGATAGCACCGGCGTCCTTGGTAGCCTGACGCTGATTGTCGTTGAAGTAAGCAGGGACAGTGATGACGGCCTTCTCAACCTTCTTGCCGAGCTTGGTCTCGGCAACCTCCTTCATCTATTTTTTTTATAAATAAATTAGAACGGAATTTCACTGGTTGTTCATACGACGTACCTTCATGAGAACCATGGAGGAGATCTCCTGGGGAGTGAAAGTCTTGGTCTCGCCGAGATACTCAACCTCGACAGCGGGGCTGGTACCCTGGTCGACGACCTTGAAGGGCCACGACTCGACATCCTTCTTAACAATGGGGTCGTCAAAACGGCGACCAATGAGACGCCTATTGAAAATCCAGGTCAGACCCACAGAACACAATGGCAGTGGAACAGACAGGGCAATGGTTTATAGATCCGATTGTGGAAAGGGTAAAAGTGTTGATACTGGGAAAGCCCAGGCGGCCAAGACTCACTTGATGTCGAAGATGGTGTTCTTCGGGTTCATGGCGGCCTGGTTCTTGGCGGCCTCGCCGATCAGACGCTCCTTGTCGGTGAAGGAGACGAAAGAGGGGGTGGTGTAGCTACCCTGGTCGTTGGCGACTAGAATTCTGGTTAATTTCTGGAATAAGAGGCATATTGCGATGCAAACGCACTGATCTCAACGTTGGTGCCCTCATAGTTGGCAACGCAAGAGTAGGTGGTACCTGACGAAGAAGTCAGTAACAAAAATCTAGAAGCATCAATCGATCGATATTCATACCGAGATCGATACCGATCGCCCCATCATAAACCGGAAGGTCCGCCATTTTGAAAGTGAGTGGTGAAATTGAAGAGTGGGAAAGGGTTGGAAGGAGGGGTTTTGCCGGGTCGAAATTTTTTTATAAATGCAATGCCACACATGGCAAAGGCAGAAAATTTTTCGGGAGCGGTGAGTCACGTGTAACCTGGGGTTTCCCAGTTGAGCGTATTCGCCTCATCACAGCCCCAAAGGCCCTGAAGCTCCGTCCTTTCGATAGTTTTCAGGATATCATTTCATAGCTACAAGTGAATTGTTTTCATTTAACTTATTGATCAGGTACAGTTTCATCGCTCTAGCAGTTGGGGCAGTTGCGTTTCCCCTGCTAGATCTCAAGAGGGATGAAAAAAAATTATACAAAGGGTTGGGCTCAACTAGGACATGGAAAACACACACACACACACACACACAAACACACAGACAGACATTCCATCCTTTCACTAAATGACCATAGTCTGTGTGCTCATGAAGTTACAGTGAGGACAGAGGTGATATCTTCTGCTTTCCCTCCTCCCACTCTTAGCGAATTACCGTAGCAAATTAAAAAAGACTGTAGTTCGCTCATAGTCGATATCAGAGCCAGGGAATCCAGTTTTTGGAACCCCTCTTGGCGGCCCGGCAATAGCCTCGAGATCGAGTTTAGTAGTCCCCGGATGGAGTTGAATATCAAAAGCCAGCGTGGAAGGATCGCTGGTCGGATGGAGTTGTTGCATACCCATCAAAGCGACGAGCTTGACATGCCGCTGCGAGGTTCCGGCAGAGATAGTAGGTCGAACGGTGACCAAATTATGCGTCGCGGGTAGGTTGATTGTGATTGTCTGCTGAGAAACAGTTGATGATGGAGGAATATCCAAACACAAATTATGGTGGAGGGATAGCGAGGGATGGGTGATGATTTGAACATTCCGAATCAGAGCCGAGTTCGCATCTACATCATCATCATCAATATCATCATCCTGGTTAGCAGGCTTTCGTACTCGCTTTTCCCAAAATATGCCCACGTGCACAACATATATCTTCTCCATGGTAATGTGGTATATGTAAGGATCTCTTACCTTGGCCCGGTTTTCTCCAAATCGAGGTGAGAGGAGATGTATTGGAAGGTTGCTGCACGGTCGCTATACGTAGCCACAAAAAGGCAGAGTCAATCATTGTGCAACAACTGGGGGAATCGTGACCGGTGTCCAAGAATCTCCGAACTTACCGTCGTTGGAGACTGATCTAGTGGTAGAGTCCAATGGGTCTCCGTCCGGACCATGAGAAGGGCGTGTCTCGGCATGCTGAGACGATGTGCTCCGAGTCTCGGTTTTTAACACATGGGATGCCTCCCGACCACCCAGTTCATTCTGCGATTGCTCTAAAGTAGAGGGAGTGGTGGTAACACTGGATCGAGGGCTGGGAGCGTGCCTTCGAAGAGACCGGGTTCGGTATGAGTCCAACTCCTGATTTGCTGATCCAGTTCGAACAAGCTCTTGCTGTCGTTTCAAGGATTCATTATCGACGGTGAGACCGGAGGATGGTTGATCATCATTATTAGGTGTCTCGGAGGTCTGCCCAGCCATCTTGAGTGTTAACCTTTGCACCCCCGGTTCCACATCCCTCGCAGCCATTTTCAACTTGATACGAGGCATTTCGGGGTGACCATCTACCTGAATGGAATCGGGAACAAGCTTTCTCGCCTCCGCCACTCTCCGCTTGAAGTGATCCTGGTCTGGTATGAGTACTATGGCAAGAAGCCCGGTTCGGACGGACAAGGCACAACGGGGGTTTACCTCTAGCATGCCAGCTAAAACAGAGATATCACTCCCGTCTTCATTATACTCTCGCGCGTTCCGCCAGAGATAGCTCACCTCCTCTTCAAAGGACTCCCAGGTGGAGAAGGCGGTTGTTTTCGAGGGTTTTTTCCGGCTATCAGTGCCGCGGACTTGTTTTTGAATAGTCCGTATCGACACTGGATGTTGAATAATTTCATAGTAGTCCCGGTAAAGGTTGCGATCGGGCTTTCCAATGAATGGGTATGCGACTTCTTCTCCACTAAATCTTGGATTAGCCTTCTCGGTGGACTCAATGAATGGCGAGGAAAGCAGGAAGACTCACTCGGAGTCCTTCAAACGCGCCAGCTCTGTCATGATCTTGTCTTGCGCAGTTTGAAGCGTATCGCCCTCGAAATCGACCTCAGACTCCTCTTGCTCATCCTGGCTTACTGAGCTTCCATCCGTTTCGGCCTCATCGCCTAGCTCGGACCCAGCAGGCGAAGAGACCGCGTTAGAGCCATCAGGGTCCACGATATCATCATCCTAGTGCATATCCATCGACATTAGCGACGTGATTCAAGCACTCTTTCGTCTTGCGCCTCGCGAAGGGAACTTGTAGCATGACTCTTTCGCTCATGAAGCACATTGAGCTCAGCGCATAGGAGAAAAATATTGTCGATTGATTCAAAAGACAGTCCAATTCGATTGAGTCCGCGCGTCGGTCGCATGAATCCATGGGAGAAGGAGTGCAGCGACTTACAGACACTTTCCGGCGCTTCTGGCTGCGCATCCTCGCCTCTGGCGAAGCAGCGACCATGCTTCGCCGCTTTGTGGTCATCTCTGATTACAATACTGTATTGCCCAAAAAAATCGTAGCCAATAGTAGAGTGCTCAACGATCAACCATTCGATGGGATCAATGATTACAGCGGAAACTCATACCTCGACGTGTGCAGACGCGCTGTGATCATATGAGTGGAGCCAGGGCGTCTTAGGTAAGTGGTATGTCTGTATTTGTAGGTCGGCAGAGCCTGACTGGGTACAGTACTTACACGTAAGATACAGCCTAACACGGTGCACCGACCACCTGAATCGTATAGGAATGTACGATACTGTACGAGCATTACAGGGGCACCACCAGTGATGTATTTTGTTATCATCATCTGCAGATAAGATACTGACACCTCAGGCATTAGGTGCCTCAGGCTCTAAGGCATTTAAAGCCCCCATCATTTTCCGCGTCCCGCAAAACAACTCGGTTTGTTGCAAAACACGGCTCTGTTGTCTTTCCTTTTTCCAATCCGCCCTCTCCGCTCTGTTTGGGGTTCGTTATAAACTCGCTCACGGCAACATTGTTTTTGACACTCTAGTAAGTACATTTCTTGGAAAATTAGGGAGAAATCCTTTCTCCACCCAGTTTCATCCCCAAACTGACCTGCCACGTGCAACAGGCCGATTCCCGAAATCCTCTTTCCTCCGCAACCCCTCACCGTTGAGCACAATGGATATCGACCCTAGTCGACGAAATAAGAAGCCCCGTCTCCTCCTGGAGTCGGAGCGGGAAAGACTAGACGAATTCATCGATTCGATTCATTATTCTGCAAGGTATCACCTATCACTTGGGCCATGGATGCAGAACTGTGGGCATCTACTAAATTGGCCCAGATATTCCGACGACAAGTTCGAATACCGTCATGTCCAACTCCCGAAGAACATGCTGAAGAAGATTCCCACGGACTACTTTGATAGCTCCAAGGGAACATTGAAACTGCTGTGGGAAGAGGAATGGCGAGCGCTAGGCATCACGCAGGTTGGTTGACTTCCCCATGCCTCAGTCCAGCTACAGCTAACAAATGCCGACACATAGAGCTTGGGATGGGAGCACTACGAGGTGCATGAGCCAGAACCTCATATTCTGCTTTTCAAGTCCGTGGTTAGCACCTCTCAAAGCCCAATCCACTCCCCGCTGACTCTTCTTTAGGCGACCGCTCAACTACCAACCTCCACTAGCCCAATAAACTCGTTACGGATTGATGGTGTTGCATTTGGATGTCCTCTCCCTACCTTCTCCCCTCTCCCTTCCTCCTCCCTTTCTTGAGAGAGACCCGACTATGGTCGGTTTTCCTTTTATCATACGGGCATGCGTCATCGGTATGTTCACTAGGGTCGACAGCAGCTTCGTTATGGAAGTTCTGGAATGAGATATGATTCATTTTTCCCTTCAACTGTCCATGGGTTGGCTTGGTTCAAGCTCCGTGTATGCGCCCCAATGAACCTTCTCGGTGTATCATAGATACGCCCCTCGGTATCCCTCATCAAACCACATTCGTGGCGAACCATTCTCCCCATTGCGCCGCGGTGAAGCTGCTGCTGATCCCACGCTCCTCTACACCCTATTCCGGATGTCAATGTCTGGGCAGATTTCCGATGCGCAAACCTTACGTTGAAAAAAACCGTTGGTGAAACATGAACTCCCACTACTCGATCCGCCTGCCATAGGTGTTAGACAACATTTGAGAAGCAGGGAAAGATACGGGTAGTGCTCTACTTTGATCATCAACTTCAGGTCGTTGGTCACCTGGTTTCCCACATTCAATTGGCCGGTGCTGTCGGGGGTATCTGGGATTGTCAACAAGTTCAGGACGCTTTGTTCGTCCACGCCAACAGACCCGGCAATCCTAGCGAGGCGCTCATATGTTTTATTACGAGTTTCATTGACCACGCTCACGTCAAAAAATTCACTCTGGTGTTGAAACAAGGTCGCGCTAAAATCCCAGAATTTCTCCGGGGCCAGTCGAAGGACTGCGGCACCTGCCTCGTGGGTGAGAGTGGACGACGGATGCCATGGTTGAATATGCTGCCGGAAGATTACTTGGAGCCGAGAGCCATATTGGTGAGCGATCGTGGGACTCAGCGTATAGAATGTATTGAACATCTTGGCGGAGAACTAGAAGGACTATTTAGTAGGGATTGAGCCAGTGCGATATAGGATACAGGGTCAATCACTCACCGGGCACACATAATCAAGGTCAAGAAGCGGTCAGCTCTCGTACCTGCGGGTTGGACGGACGTGAGACTTACATAGTTCGAGGGTATGGGGTGTTTCGTTGGGAGTTCCCAAGGGGAGTTTAAGCCCATTGAATTTGGGGGGAAAGACATGGTTTAACGAGCTGGGAGAGATGAGAGGTAGGGCTGGTTTGAGAGGGGCGGGGAGAAGTAGCACCGGTAGGGAAAAGATAAATCACGTCACTACCCCGCTGTACCCTGCGAGTAGGCGGTATCTACGTATATCTACTGTAAATCCAGATCTCCGCATCATTATCTATGAGAATATAATCTACACATGGGCCCACCATATCGTTCCATATAGGCGCCAAGGGGGGGATTCGGAGACAAATACCGAGAGGGGATATCTCACTTGCTCGTGAGACACTGGACGGGCGCTGATACGCTTATACGTGATATTAGGAATTTCTATACCCAATACTCCGCACCGAATCGACAAACCACTTAACCTTTGATATTCTAATCGCTTACCCATGCAAAGAGGATTGTGGGTACCGACCACTATTATTCCCATGCATAAGCCGTCATCTTCCTTCTTGAATCTCTTCGCACTCGAGGACCGATGAGATCAAAAGTCCACGCTTTATATTGAGCGTTTCGGAACCGTTTAGCCTCAGAATTGGGGTATTGTAGGAAACCCCTCAAATCGACAAAGGGTCGAAAGTATAGGACAACAAATAATAATTGAATGAATGATTACTGCGTGTATTACCGCACTAATACCAGGCACCAAGCCGTATTCATGTAGGCGACCTCGTGTCTGTGTAAGGACGAACATCACGTGTCCAACGGGCCGGGCATTACGACGCCGCTTAACCTGAGCCCAGCAACCCGTCTGTCTATTCCAACCCGCGACCCGGCCGAGGATATTCCCAGGGATTCTCCCAATGCTTTGGCTCAGGCGACTGATACGAAGCCAGTCCCGTTTCGCTCTTTTCCACATTGGCCCCCGCCAAGCTACCACTCCCCCAGCGATCCGGCATGTAAGATTCAGACGGCCTTGGCTTAGGTGTGTATTGGAGTCCCCGATCGCTGCTGCCCTCAACCATGGACTTAGGCGAGGATATGGACGCTAATTTACGGATCCTCCAGGTCATTTTTGGGGAAAACATTACTTTATGGCACCGCTTTCCACCTATGGAGCTCTTTTGTCCTAATTCAATTTGATGAGGAGGACCGAGATACCCATGATGTGGACTCGATATCCGAAGCCGAAGTCAAAGAAACTACATCACGACCATCCTCCCAAAGCAGCCCAGACGAAGGTCGGATGGGGGATGGGGTGGAAGAGGAGGACCCTTTATTCATCCCACTCACATGGTCTCGTCTCCAAGAGGGCGATCTGTATGCCGCGTCTGATCCTGAATGGCAAGAGTTTGTCAAGATCTCCAAAGACCGAAAAAAGTTACAAGCCTTAAGAGGTGAGGTCTTCATGGACGTACACTAGAACGTCCTATTATTCTGACGAACCCAGATGAACTTGCTACCATTGTCTTGAAGAGCGCCTCGTCTCGAATGTCCCAGATTCTGGGGGGCCCTCTTTCCTTGACCGGGTTCTGGCTGGTCCACCAATTTCCGTCTCGTGCTCCGCCAGGCTACCTTCGATCCGGGTACGTCCATCTCAGGAGCTAATCCTCATGTTTCTCTGCTAATTTATCTGCACAAAGCCTTGAATTCACCGACGACAGTATATCTTGGGTGACCAAGGCTATGGAGCCCGACGTTGGAGATAGACTGCAGACTGTGATGAAACCAATTCACGTGGCTCTGGCTATCAAAGATGCCTATTTGATCTTCCTAACCCGACAACTTGCTCGTCTCAAGGACCCCAATAGTCAGCCATCGGATGCTCTGGAGGTATTGAATGGTCGGTACATCCTATCGGGCAACGAGCGACTTAGCCCGATCAGCCCCAACGAGCAACCTAAATTACCGCCCCTAATATCCGATGAGGCCCCCAACAGCATTTCTTCCCACGACAACCCAGACCTTCCTGACCTTCATCCATCTTCTATCATCTCCTCCTTGCAGCGCCTTCCCTTGCCAGACCTTGGTCCGGGGTCCGACCTTCACCTCGCCTCCATGGCATTCAAGCTGCGTTTGAACGAATATCGTGCTCAAAATCCACGAACACCCCAACGGGGTACATTCTTTATCTCCGGCCCGGTGGGTCTCAAGGGGCCGGATGGGTTCTGCAGATTCGAGGTTCGTGGCGAATACGACCCGGCCAAGTCTGCATGGCGAACAGTCGAGATGAAACTGAAGGATATCAATCCCAGAAGGCAGAGGCCGAGAGGGTCGGCGTGAAACCTCATCTCTAGCAGAGTTCCTGATTCGGGAGATACCGAATACTAATATGGATTCCCCTCGAGCTGACTTTATAGCTTTGTAGATAACTGAATCTCCTTAGAACATCATCTTTCCCCTTACTAGGATATGTACATATTTTAACTGAAAAAAGCCATCATAGGGCTGATTTCCTACCGAGTCTCATGCCGAGAAGAACAAGAGAATAGAATAGGCCTGTAAGTTCTTTGGGAACGCGCAAAATATCAGTATATTCAATGAATGCCGAGCCAATAACCAAGGAGTATGGGTTGTACGATCTGGTAGCAGTGGGCTTGGTGATCTACATGATCGGTAAGAAGTCAGCCATGTGTAGTCACCAGTCAGCCCATATGTGACTAGTGCGATATAGTATTAAGTGTGGTTTGATGGAGAGCTCTGGTATGATTAGCTAAGCGAACCCACCAGGTGGCCCGTTGACTGATGCGGAGAGCTTTCAAGGCGGTTCTCGGCCCTCCCTGAACCTCCCCATCCCGACCCTCCTGATCCAGGTCAAGCAAGAATCTCGAACCTCAAATCTTTCGAACGGAGTTACTCCCCTGTATGCTCCGCCTTGAATCAACCCTAAAGTTATCTCTCTGAGGTTTCGATTCAACGCAATGCGCTGGGGCTCCAAGCTCCTAGCCCTGGCGGCAACAGGCGCGTGGGGAGCGAACGCCCTCGACGCATCAATCTTTACATTTGCCTCTACTGATGAAACATCCAATAATGCCAAAGCGATCTCCCAGGAAGTACCGGAAGAAGTTGCTCAACTAATCCTTGAGCTGCGCATGGGCTCCTCGCTTGGGTCTGTCCTCGGTAAGGTGCAAACAGACACCATTGACCGCATGAATTCCTATTCCGGTTCTCAGCCCAGTCTATTTGGAGGCTCCCTAGATAAAGAACTACCACAAAGAAGCTTCATTTTTCTCGAAGGGCTCGGTGAAAATATCGGTATGTGCATTCAAGACAAAGCACGCCCCAACATGTGGCTGATCATATTTTGTTTCGTCTCTTTCTATAGGTTCAAAGTTGCGAAAGCACCAAGCACCCAACATTTTCGTTCCTCAAACCTCTTCAAGTCTCGTGGACGATGCTCTGGTGTCTCTTATCGGCGATGGCGATGTGGACCGACACTGCACTTACCATGCGAACACCAGCCGAAGCCAACCGAAAGCTGCTCAGGTATAGCCATTTTCTGTCACAGGAGATAAAGAATAAATCCCATACTAATGAGAGATGACATGCCAGTCCATCCAAGAGTGTCTTTCTAGGGACCCAATACTGTCTCATGGAAAAAGCATATTGAGCCACGAGGTTCTGAACCTGATCAGGTCGATGGAGGCATGGGGAAGCAACGATTTCAAAACAACCGGCTCAAGACTAGTATTCAAGGTATTTGGACAACTGGCTGCACAGGTTGATCGTGTCAAATATGCCTGGCTAACATATATCGACCTAGGCGATCTCCGGGGATGACTCGCTGGTTACCAAAACCTTCAACTCGATTTTTCATGATCTGAACCAGTTGGTATTGTCAGAAAATCGGGAAATTACAGTGTTGCTTTTGACCGGCAAAGAAAGTACACAAGACTTGCCGCGGGTCTCCCGACGAGATGTGATGACTCAGACTGAATCGCATACATCCACGATCAACATCCAGGAAAAATCCCAAAGATCGTCCCAGGAATCTGTCATATCCTCGGTCTTTGCACCTGTCTGCCACGCTTCCAACTCATCCTGCGTCGACGCAACTAACAATTGTTCCGGGCATGGATATTGCTATCTCAAGTATGGCTCTGGCGATGAGAGCACCAGTGGAAATTGCTACGCATGCCGCTGCCAACAGACTGTACAACGGAATAGTGACGGCACCACCCAGAAGTTCCAGTGGGGTGGCTCTGCTTGCCAGAAAAAAGATATCAGCTCACCTTTCTTCCTCATTGCTGGTGTTAGTGTCTTGGCTATTTTGATGGTGAGCAGCGCTGTTGGAATGCTTTTTAGTATGGGACAAGAAGAACTCCCTAGCGTGATTGGGGCCGGGGTTGGAGCGACAAAGTCCCAGTCGTAAGAAACAAGCAACTACTGTCCCTCATTCTCATGAGAAGAATTTGGGGGAGGGGGGGATGATGCTTACATCTCTTTCTCTTTTGTGCTCGGGGCTTGTTCCGGTTTATATGTATATTTTGTTCTGTCAAAATACTTTATATCTTCGAAGTGCCGGGGGGGGGGACCTTGCTCTCTGCTTCTCCTTTCTCATAATATGGCAATTACATGCCGGGCTAACGACGTGGTAGACATACCAACACCAAGGAGATATTTGCTTCCCTGGCCCTTCAGCAATACTGAAAAAGTGCTACGGGAGGAGGGTTCTTCAAAAGATTAGCATTCAATATTCAATATTCACTGAACAGAGCTTCAAGTAAAAGAAAAGGGGTATCCGAAACCACCCGGGCTTGAGCTTTTGGCTCATCATTCCCACCATTGCGTAGCAAACTAGAAACATTTCATAAGGCTCCCAGCAACACCGGGAACGAGGCAGGAGAAGAGACCGTGTAGTCACTTTTCTGGCAATTCCCAATAATAAGAAGAAAGAAAGAAAAAAAACCATCAAATCATGACAAAGTGCCTCTGGGATAATTCCAATAGCCCACACGCCGAAATTTGAACCATGAATGGGGCGATAAATTACATGTAATAAAATCATAAACAATGAACCAGCTGCGATGACCAAACATGCCAGATGTTGATCAAGTGTGCAAGAGATGTCTGAAGATTCGTGAAACGACAGTAATCGAATCAAGGACCGGCTTCAAGTTGACTGGGAGTACGGCGCTGCCCAGCTGCCAAATCGTTAGATGAACCCTGAGCCTCAGATAGCGATGACCTTTGATTTCTTGTCACGGAAACTCGATTTGAAAGCCCACGAAAACGAGTTGGGAAGAATCGTGACCAGGTAGAAGAGGGTGAAAATTCACCCGAACTGTGGGAGTCGTTGGGAGGAAGTCTTGAAAGCTCCCTTGGAGGGAGATGTTGACTACCTAGCTGTGGGGAGGTTGGTTGGAAGAGCCGTCCAGTAAAAGCCATATGGGCCCGGAATGGATTTTCCTGGGTCCTGGATTGAACTGCACGGGGAGGTCTTCGGAGAGCATCGGCGCGATTTGAGGCCTGGCGACGCCCTTGCCGATCTGAATTCGATGCTCCCTCAGTCCCTTGTGGGCGTGGTTTGGGAATATAGTAATCAGCCTTGCATAAAGGACAGCACGCTCTTCTGCTCGTCAGCCATGGATCGACACATGAAGCATGGAAAGCGTGTCCGCATGCTAATCCCCGTATATCGTCATCGTCCTCAATGGTGTCGAGGCAAATTGCACAGGAATCGCCTGGGTTTGGAAGTAGCTCCGCAGGGACAGCTTTGCGGATCTGGTCACCATCCTCGTCGTCTTCTTCCAGATCAATATTCTCATTGATCATAGAGGATTGCCATTTTTCTTCCGCAATACTTCCACCAATGCCTTGTTGGACGGAGGTCATTGCGGCGATTGAGGATCCCTTTTCGTCCGTCAAGGGTATGTTGGAGTTGGAATGAGAGTCATGATGTGAGAGATTAGAAGCATTGAATTGCGCTCTGTCTAGTTCCGAGGCTGGTGATATTGCAGCAGTTGCAGAGGTACAGACAGGAGTGGAAACAACACCACCATCATCCTTCACACTTGGTGGTCTGCTGTTGGGAGCAGTGATACCTCCTTCTGTTGGAAGACCCTGATTGGCACGAGAGGATCTCCACACCTTGTATTTGGTAAGAGGGAAGCGATCGTTGACCTCGTCCATCGTCATGAGTTTCTTCTCGCGTCGTCTCCGATGGGCTCGCGGCATCGATACCAAATCTATTGGCTCGCCAGGTTCTTCTCCACGCAGCTGACGGTTTCGTTGGTTATATCGGAAACAGTACTTGACCCCAACAATAATCCTGCAATATCATGAGCTTCAGAACCTCGGTATGTTGGGGGGGGGGAAGGAGTGAAAGCCGAGATTGGCGATGAAGACGTACCATAAATTAGTGAAAACAACGCCAAACCCCAAAGCGACAAAGAAGAGCAGAGGGGAGCTTGTCGCATTTGAGCTAGACCCTGAACTACTTCCACTGGTAGTGGTCGCAGCGCTGCTTGCAGCCGAGGTTGTAGATGGCGCCATTTCTGAAGGCGATAGAGCAGAAAGAAACAAAATAGCACAGGAAGGTCAAATCCAGATAGCTTCTCTTTTACTTGGTCAAAATTCAATTTGGGTTGAGTTCAAAGAGGCATGCCTTGGGGGAAGGAGAGGGATACGGAGCCAAATCAGGAATAGCCCTTCGCGATAGCCTCAGAAACAATCAAGGGCGATTGATGAGCCCCTGCTCAAAATTCATGAAACAGTGACTTTCATTCAACAAACAAGGGCGCAGTTCAGTGTAGTTGAGGATGACTGTTCATGGGGATCGACAACGGAGGAAGACCCACAGCATATGGATTATCTCTGGTGGGATTTCTCGAAGGGACAATTCAGGCCCGGCTACTAGAGCCAGATCATCTCATTAGCAGTGAAACCGAGGGGATGGAGAGAGAGCCAACCCAGGGTGATAAAGGAGGAACAAAGGGACTGAAGAAGGGAGAAGGGAGAAGAGGGAAACGAGGGGATGCATGCGGACGGGGAAATGAGGAGACGGACACCTGAATACCTGAGGCGGACAGGTCACGGGAGCGGACACCAACCACTCCAAGTCAAAGATTCAGTTTCAACGACCGCGGATTATGGACGTCCCTGGCGGCCTTCCAAGAGTCGAATTGGACCCACCGATCGATCCAATACAAACAAGCACCGAACGGAAAATCTTCTCTTTCATCGGGTGGAATTGTCGGTCTTGGCAGCCCTTCCCGTGATTGGTTAAATCTACCGCTAACCGCTAACCGCTAACCGCTAACCAACTGCCAACTACAGACTTTGGGGGACTTTCACATACTTAGATTTAACTACCGACCCTTGAAAGGAGCCTGAAAGCCTGAGGGAACAGTATTGAACCTCGCATTGTGTAACATCAGGTCCAGAGAATTCTTTGATCTTTCTTTTTTTGGCCTTTTGGCCTCGAATCCTCATCATGGCTGCATCCACTCCTCAACCAAGTGACTCGACCAATCCGGTGGTGTTCTTTGACATTGCACTGGGAGGTAAGACGAGTATTTTTTTTTGTTATGTTTCTGTTTCTCATGATTTATCTTTTCCATGATATTTTATTTTTCTTCCCTCTCTCTCAAACTTATCAGGGACTAATTTGAAGTGCTATCAGGCGAGGCTCTTGGTCGAATCAAGATGGAACTCTTCGCCAAAAGCACTCCACGGACGGCCGAGAATTTCCGGCAATTCTGCACCGGGGAGAGCAAAAACCCCAAAGGACAACCCCAGGGGTACAAAGGTTGCAAGTTCCATCGCGTGGTAGGTAGCAAAGCCCCCTTCTCTCTCTCTCTCTCTCTCTCTCTCTCTCTCTCTCTGTGGGCCGTGGTCCCGATCAATACCCCTCGACTGACATGATTCGGGTTTCAGATCAAAGATTTCATGATTCAAGGTGGCGACTTTGTGCATGGTGACGGTACCGGTACATGCACCATTTATGGCACACCTAAGTTTGCCGATGAGAATTTTGCGCTATCGCATGATCGGCCAGGACTCCTCAGCATGGCGGTAAGTCGAATCTCGCATCCATGAAAACATTCCCGTCGAGGTTGCTGGGTCTCAGTCCCATCCCACCAATCCCACTACTCTCTTCCCGGGAGTCGCAGAACACCATGCTGAACATTAGTCAGAATTCTGGCCCGAATACCAACGGCTGTCAGTTCTTCATCACCACCACTGCCACCCCATTCTTGAACAACAAGCATGTGGTATTTGGTGAGGTCATTGATGGGATGGATGTGGTCCGCATGATCGAACATACTCGAACCACTAGAGATAAACCCAACCAGGATGTCACGATCGTCCAGTGCGGAGAGATGTAATATTATACATGCATGAGACCGAGTCTTTTTTTCTTCTCACATGTCGATTACAACGATTACGAAAGTATCTCAATGCTAGGACCGAAGTGCATTTCGAGAAAATTGATGCTAGTGAGGGAATGGTCATGATAACTATAACTACCTATCGAAAGCTTCAATTTTTATCTGCAGATACAAACTTTTTGTTCTCTCTTTTCCATAAGTATTTGGTATTTCACGATAGTCAAAAGCCTCTCAAGGACCATTTGGAGGCCTTGGAAGGGGAACAGCCGAAACAACTTCCCAAAGTTTTGGATTCGTTCAAGTAGCATAGGCTCAGTGTAGATCAGAGCTTAAACTTGCTCAGGTAATCCGATGCAAGCGAGACGGCCTGATCCACTTTGTCCGGATTGACTCCGTTGCCAATGGAAGTCGAGCCTTTGCCGCCTGCTTTTCCTCCAACTGCACTAGAAACGACAGCAGCCCAGTCGTTTGCCGACGCACCCTGGTCACCAAGTTCCTAAATGACTACTTGTTAGTCTTGGACCCCTCTGTCGGAATCTTCGATTTGGGAGAGTATAGAGAAGGAATGGGCAAAGGGACATTTTGGTTTACTTACCTTGGATACGTAACAGCCATGAGCAACGCGGCTCTGTTCAGAGTCCACCGCCATCACATATACATTCTTGTCCTGCATTTTCGTCTTGACATGGTTAATTGATTCACTCACAGCCTTCGCACTTGCAGGCATTGGAAGTTTGACCACAAGGCAGGATGATTTCTGATTCTCCGGTGCCTGGAAATAGGACGTGATCGTTTCCACAGCCTTCTTGACCTCCAGCTTCTGTTGTGCCTTCTGACCATCGAGCACTTGCTTGTTGATCGCAGTAAACCGTTCGCGGAATCTCGCCTTCTGAACGGCGGAGATGACAAGCTGGTTCAGATCAACTTGCACCTGTTTGGCTTCTCGTTCTTTCTCGGGGCCGAGGGGCATTGCATTCAAGAGAGAAAGACGCTTCTCGAAATTCTGAGCGACACGCTGCACCTCGTGGGCTTCTTCTCCAGTCACGGCGATGATTCGGCGAATGCCCTTGGCAATACCACTTTCTTCCAATATAATCAAATCTTTGATATCGCCCGTCTTCTGTACGTGAGTGCCACCACAAAACTCGATACTGACTTCTGACCACTGAGGGTCCTTGACGTTGCGCAGGATCTCTTCCAAATCGACGCCGACAGAAACAACACGAACAGGGTCAGGGTAAGTCTCACCAAAAACCGCACGAACACCAGAGATTTGCTGAGCAGTAGCAAGAGGGACCTCTTGGGAATAGACGGCACAATTTTTCCGAATGTATTCTGTGGATTTCGCCTCAATCTTCTCCAGCTCGGCATCAGACACAGCGGCCTTGTGGGAGAAGTCAAATCGAAGCTTCTCAGCCGCCACAAGTGAACCGCGTTGCTCGACTCCATCACCTAAAACCTCCCGAAGAGCAAAGTTGAGAATGTGAGTGCCGGTGTGGTTGTTTCTGATAGGCCAACGGCGAAGTTCATCATATTCACAAATCACTGAGTCGCCCACGGAGAATGACCCGTATTTCATGAAGCCGGTGTGAAGAACATATCCCGCATAAACCTGGACATCTCCAACCTCGAGTTCAGCTTGCCCATCGATGACAATTTTGCCTGTATCGGCCTCCTGGCCACCCTGCTCGGCGTAGAAATTGGTGCAGTCAAGAATGACACCGAGCTGTTCGCCTTTGGGGACATTATCTGAGCTATCATAGAAGGTTTTTCCATGGTAAATCGCTTTAACATGGGCTGTGATGTTGCCCCGTCCAAACTTAGCAGAATCGTTTGTTTTTTGGACATTGTTCATCTTCTCCAGCTTCCCGAGATCGTGTACATCCAACTTGACGGCATTTGCAGCTGCCTTCTTTTGGCCTTTGCTAGCTTCCTTTGCCTTTAGTCGTGCGTCTTCGAACTCGGCATCATCAATGCGCAGGCCACGCTCTTCAGCCATGATTTGAGTCAGGTCGACGGGGAAACCAAAGGTATCGTAAAGTCTCCACACATCAGCACCGTGAAGCTTATCATCTCCTTTGACCTTAGCCTGCTGGGCATATTGCTCAAATTGCCGCTCTCCTCTATCCAATGTCTTGGCAAAGGACAATTCCTCCTCATCCAAGATCTCCATGACATCTTGCTGCTTCTTTTTCAGCTCAGGGAACATATCGCTCAGCTGATCCACGACAGTAGGAACGAGTTTGGAGAAGAAGCTTCCAATGTCGACTTGGAAGTATTTACGCGCGTAGGAGCTCCTCGACGTAGCACTCGGCGAATAACATAGCCACGACCTTCATTATTAGGCATAACGCCATCGGAGATAGCAAACATCAGGGTCCGCACGTGGTCCGCAACTACACGATATGCCGTGTCGATGCCATCGGGATCATCAGCACCGAACATACCCCGATACTCACGAGCCCCTGTAGCCTTTTGAATGACTTGGAAGATCGGGGTGAAGACGTCTGTGTCATAGTTTGAAGGCTTGTCCTGAAGAACAGACACCAAACGTTCAAAGCCCATGCCCGTATCCACGTGCTTGTTGGGAAGAGATCGCAGGGAACGATCTGCTTCACGATTATATTGGATGAAAACGTTGTTCCAGATTTCCAGAACATTCGGATCATCTTGGTTGACAAGGTGCGCAGCATTGCGGCCACCAATACGATCATAGTGCACCTCACTGCATGGGCCACACGGACCTTGGTCGCCCATTTCCCAGAAATTGTCCTTCATGTTCCCAGGGAGAATATGGTCTTCCGGGACACCCACCGACTTCCATAATTCCTTTGCCTCAAGATCCGGTTCGAGACCACCTGCTTCGTTACCTTCAAAGTAGGTTACGTAGAGACGATTGGGGTCCAGGCCGTAGACCTTCGTCAGGAGGGTCCAAGAATAAGAGATCGCCTCTTTTTTGAAGTAGTCACCGAAACTCCAATTACCGAGCATTTCGAAAAATGTCTGACGGGTAATGTTAATTAGAATTGCATCCCGAAAGATCGCGCACCAGCAACAATAGAACAGCTAGCCAGATAGCAGACGATAGAGTAAGATATGAGCGAAGGAGAAACTCACATGGTGGTAGCTATCTTTGCCCACGTCATCTAGGTCCTATACGGTGGTGGAAACCAATTAATCAGGCGAAGCGACCCTCAGATAACAAGCCAGCAGCACTCACATTGTGTTTTCCACCCGCGCGAAGACACTAGCGAATCACGGTCGGCGTTAGCGAATCAAAGTACGTGAAAGGCATGTCTGTATCAAAATTACCTTCTGTGAGTTCACAGCGCGCCGCAACTTTGCAAAGTCTGACTGGGGATCCACGGTGCCCAAGAAAATTGACTTGAACTGATTCATGCCCGCATTGGTGAACAACAGTGTCGGATCCGACAAGGGGACCACCGGCGACGACGGGACTATAGAGGCATCGATTAGACTGCAGGTTCAGAGAGTTCTGGAGGAGGCGAACTTGACGCGGTTCATGGAGGGGTAAAGGGCGACGGGAAAAAACCGCTGTGGGAGGGCGGGGATTCCAACGCACCAAAGGTGTGGCCATGCTGCTTGAAGAAGTCCAGAAAGGTTTCTCGGACCCGATGGGCGGTCCATTCGGGAGTGTCAGAAGCCATCCTGGCGGTGCAAGGGAAGGTGAACGGGTGGCGGAGGAGAGGAAGGTGGAAGGTTCTAGGAATTCGGCGCGAGAGATGAGTCAAAGCCTCCCCCCTCAGCATCCCAGGAACCCGCATCGCCCCGCTGATAATGACCGGAACGGACCCGACTTCCCACACCCCGAATCAACACTTGCTTTCTCTTGTCGCAGCCTGGTCCGCCTGGTCAGGAAAAAGGGGGAGGAGTTGTGGATGGCGCGGAATGATGAGCGATCCCAACACGGCAAAAAGCGCCCCGCGGAAGGCGACCCGGACGGCGCGCAACCCTTGACCAAGCGATTTGGCCGTCTTCAGATCGGTAGGGCTCCAGCACCAAGACGAGATGCATCCAAATACCTCGGACATCCCAGAACTCCCAGACTGAGCAACCCAGATTGACTTGCTTTTCAGATAATGAGCCCGTCGTCGCGCGGGCCCAGCGTGATGTGCTTCCTGCCGCCGGGCCCCCACCTCAGTCCGACATGATGCTGCTGGACGACACTCGATACACGACCTATATCCACGATCTCGACCAGGAGTTGGCCGAATCCGACGCCTCTCCCGATCACTTAGTCCTTCTTCCCCTCGCGCAGAGGATGATCTCGCCGAACGCGACTCTATCCACCTCCTCACAAGGCAAAGAGTTAGTTTTGTACACTGAGCCCTCCTCGTTGACCGTTTCGAAGGAGCAGGATAGTGTGCGCAAGGCAATCATCGAGTCAAGATCCCGCGCTCGGGCAGAGAGAGCCTCGTCTATTATACAGTCAACCGACCAATCCATCGCGTGTCCAGGCGAGCACGTTATGGCAATTGTCAGGCCATCCAGCGACGATCCGAGTGAGGATGTAATGGATATCGACCTGAGTTGATGGTTTCTCTACACTCGGCAGGCATGACAGGCAGATTAGTCCCTGGATAACATAATATGTGTATCTGGTCTATTTAACGGCTATAGTGGTGTAGGTGAATGATGGACTTCATTTATCTGAATCAAGATTATTTAGAACAATGATACTTCTCAAAATATGTAGCTCTGAAGTCAACGATCAAAGATGCTGAAAATGAACAGGCCTAGCGAAGCTAGGCATACGGGTATTTTCATGCCTTTGCACAATGAACCGCTTACCTGCCGCCCTTCTTATTCTGATTTAACTATTATATTTAAGGTTGTTTTTTTATCTTGGCAATGGATAATTCTACCTACCAGGTACGGTGAGCGGGACGCCTGAACCCGCGCCTGTTAACATTGTCCCCATGCTCCTCCTGGCGCCTGCCTGTTGCCTTCATCTGGACGCCCGTTCGGCCTCACCCCTTATCCCTGGCTGGTTTACTATCTAGCCTGTCCCGATCGTTCTATAAAAATCACTCTTGCTCTGTTCTGCTCTGATGTAGGTTATTTTTCCTTTTCTACTGTCTACTCGTGTGTATAGTTATATCTCGTATAGTTTGGAAACTCTCTTTCTGTTACAAATCTATGTACTATATACTATATAGGTATAGTACGACCCTAGGAACTTTTTGATTCTAGATAACTAGATATACTATATATTGTGGCCCAGACGGTAGGTGGAAGTTGCATAGTGTCATATGATATTGCAACATGAGGCTATTCCCAACTCCATGCCTCAGGTGTCAGTTCGACCTCTTATCGGTCAGGCTTCGTTATGACAGCCCTACTTCTCCCTAACATAGATGCATAACCTACAAGGCCCTAAGGGTTCGGCGCCCTTCCATTAGGGATTCGTGAACCCCTCTTCCCTGTAGCCTCGCGCTCTATCGTTTGATACTAGTTTCATACTACTACCTACGATAGCAGCGGTAGGCGTGGCCGAAATAGGGATTTTGCACCCCGACCGGGCGCGAAATTTTCGCGAACTACGGAACGTATAAACTCAATTCCAACGGAATTAGCAATACGCGAACTACCGAATAGTAAGCTAACTAGTAGTTAAGCAATAAGCTCTCGATTAATAACTACTCTTCGATAGAGGAAATAGCTTATATCGCAAGGACTATCTACAACTAACATACAAGTACTACTAATCCGATCGTGCGAGGCTTTATCCTCTCTATCGAGCGCTATATATTAAAAGCGCGCGAAAACGACACCTAGGGGATAGCCGCTGTCCTCGCAGCTATCGCTACTATCGTTAAAGGTTAGTAGGAACTTAAAAACCGAATAACGCGTATTGAAAGGTCCGCTTAGGAGACTTCTAAAATAATAAGCTCTATATCGACTTCCTAGTAGTCCTCGGTAGCAGCGTAGCGCACCTTCCGCATATAGGGCTAGTAGCGAATAGTCGGAGCGGCCGGCCCTCCTTTAGGAGACGGCTCTTAATTAGTATATTTATCGGTCAGCGCCTTACTAGTTAAACTAGCGGAGGATCGCTAGGTAATTATCAAGATAAAAGATAATAAAATACGGGCAAAAATTAGGATACCCTCGTTTAGGGAGTAGGATCTAGTGAAGATAGCGGATAAGGAGAGGATTAAGGTCGTAAGGCGTAAGGATAGCAGTATACTCGTAGGTATTCGCCCTGTCGCCGCGCGTAAGCTTCCGTCTAGCGATATAGTATTAATTGCCGATACTACGGTATCAGTAGAAGTGCTACGGAAGCGGGAATACTAGTAGTGAGTACGCGTATTCGGTAAGAATTAGACATCTTCAAAGCCCACCAGCGGGCCCAAGGTCGGGCCCAAAGCCCAGCCCGACGTAGGCTTTAGGCCTAAACCTTAGGCCTAAGCCCGACTACTAGGCCTACGTCGGGCCCCTAATAGGCCCCCGACAAAGCCTATCTTTACATAAAATCAAGGTCTTAGCGTTTATAATTTCGCTTAGTTATCAAAATTAAATACTATATCTAACAATTGTTATAGTTATATCTTAAAGAATACTATCAATACTTACTAAGAAATAGGTAAGTTTAGGAAATCTCTCTGAATTCTATATTAGAGTTACTTATTTTGTTTTAATTACTACGAAAGAGCGAATTTCTATCGTGTTAGGTAGTTCCTATTAGTAAAGGGAGAATCTTCTATGTAAAGTTGTTAATATATATATATAGTAGTCCTTATAGTGTATACCTTAATCTAGTATATATAACTTTCTAAATATAGTCAAAAAATCACTTTTATAATTATACTAGTCTATAGCTAACTTTTCTAACCGCTATTAGAATATTAGTAGTTATTATTATTAAGGATAGTAATAGGCCTAAATATATAAGCGATTTTTAACGCTACTTTTTTAACTACGGTTAGAAAAGTAAGTAGGAAAGAACTATAGAGTTTAGGCCTTAGCCTAAGGTCTAAAAGCATTTAGTTGAAAATTTTTTTAGGGTTATTAGGGCTCTATAGGCTTTTATAGGCTTTCGTAGGCTTTATACGGGCTTTCGTGGGCTTTCGTGGGCTTTATACGGGCTTTCGTAGGCTTTCGTAGGCTTTATACGGGCTTTTATAGGCTTTTTGCAGGCTTTCGTAGGCTTTTATAGGCTTTTTACAGGCTTTTATAGGCTTTTATAGGCTCTAATAGGCCGGACTTACGTAAGTTACCCTTCCTATCTAATAAGATTCTTATATTATTATAGCCCTATCTTTAAAGCTATACCTATTTACTCTTATACTTATAAAGTATTAGACATCTTCAGGGCCTACGAAAGCCTAAACCCGACCACGGCCTAACCCACGCGTAGGCCGGGTTTTAGGCCTAAAGTTAGAGCCCACGTCGGGCTTTAGGCCTAATTCATAGGCCTAGGGCCTACGTCGGGGGCCCGCGTAGGCCCCTAATATCAAGTAAACTATAAATATAAGCCTTCCTTCCTACTATTAGAAAAGTAGGATAGTAGGATAAGGAATAGAGTAGAATAGACTAATTAATAATACTAAAAATTATTATCTTCCCTTATCTTCTGCTTTCTTCCTAATAAGCGCTGTTAGGTATTAAGTTCTAGTAGCTATAGCTTAGAATTATCCCTTTCCTTATCCTCTTCTTCCTATTCCTTAGTATTACTAATCTTATTACCCTTAATATCCTCTAAGATCTTATCTCTCTCTTTCCTATATATTTTAATCTCTTTATATATAAAGTACTCCCTTAACTCCTCTAGTCCTTGCTATTTAAGATTAAATCTTAATATATAAAGGAATATTATTAGTTCCTTAATTATCTTAGACTTTATCCGACTACGATAATAATAATAAAGATCCTAGATAGTATTAAAGAGTCTCTTAATACCTACGCCTATAGCTAGAACTATAAGGATATCTCGTATAAGTAATACGACTATAGGAAAATAAGCTTAGTTATCCCTCTAAAAGGGAAGAGGCTTAATTTTAATAGTATCTAGTATAAGTTAGTATCTAGTTACTATTAGAGGATAATTAATATACTACTATCTAGATATTACGTTACTTTATTAACTACTAGCTTTACTAGCTTTATTTATAATTTATATTCTTTTAATAACTTACTTAGCTCTAAGCTAAGTTATATAGTTATATAATAACTTATTAAGCCTTAGGTATTTATTAGATATTACTAATAAGAAGCTAGAGTTTCCTAGAATATATACTAATAAGTATCTCGCTATTTTTTATCCTAGTTATTAGTTAGAAAGAACTAGAATTTATTATCTAGGGTAAGTATTATACTAATTACGTAGAGATAGCTATAGGCGCTATCTATCTTAGAGTAGTATTTATTAAGCTTTTACTAACTAGCTTCTAGCGCCTTTAATATCTAGACTTTCTATAGAATCCTCTTTTACTTAAGCTAGCTAATTAATTTCTCTAGATAGCTAAAAAGTATATTATATATCTTAAAGACTAGATATACTATTATATTCTAAGTCTTTAAAAGCTTAGTAGTATAAAAAAAGAATAGCTTAGTTAGATAAAGAAGGTAGTTAATTTAATACTATTCTTTATTAGTTAGTAATATCTCTTTATAGTTATAATCTATATAAAATAGACTAAATATTTAGTAAAGTTACTTAGCTTAATAAAGTATAAGAAAGATTAAATTCTAGCGTATCCTAATATCTTAAATTAGAAAAAGCTTTAGTTTATTAGGTTAGAGATTATAGAATATCTCTTAACGCTAAGAGCTTATATTAATATAGACTATAAGAAATTAGATCTTCTTAAGAGTAGATAAAATACTCTAGTTTTAATATCGTATATTAGCCTTAGCTACTAATAACTATTAGTCGGTCTAGATAGTTTCTATAGTATTATTTAGAGAGACTATATTTAGATAATTAAGTAACTAATTTAGACTTAATTAGATAATATAAGTAAGATAGAGAGTTTAAATAAGTTTTATATTATTAGATAACGTAATTCACTAGCGAGCTGGCCACACTAGCGAGCTGGCCACCCTACCACCTACTACTTTTTGAAAACACTATTTTTCTACCAAAACGCTATATATTCAATTCAACTATCTAGCATTACATTGATTAATCTTATGCCCTATATTCCCACATCCAGAACATTGAAATACACGCTTAGTAGTAGGCTTAGCGCCCTTAGTAGGCTGCTGAGCCAGCTCTGCATCATCGTTTTGAATAGCTTCAACGCTTGCTGGCAACGTTGAATCTAGAGATATAGATTCGCCGACCGTAGGATCTTGCTGCCTAGATATCTAGCGATTAGACCGTGTGCGTTTTTGACGCTTCTTCTCGTTGAATTGCCGTAAATCTTTAACTTCCTGTGCTAGAAGCGCTCCGCTATGCATCGCTAATTGGCACCCTTTTATCAATTGATCTAGCGCTCTCTCTGTAGGGCTTCCTGGCGACCGTGAACGCCTATATAGTAGAGCTTTGATAGATGAAGCTTGCTTGCTAAGCTGCTTAATCGTATGTGGCGT